GAGAGAGACAGAGAGAGACAGAGAGAGACAGAGAGAGACAGAGAGAGACAGAGAGAGACAGAGAGAGACAGAGAGAGACAGAGAGAGACAGAGAGCGAGCATCATGTTAGTTTATACCCCCAACCCCCTTTTTTGATGCAAAAATGCAGAATCCTTGATTTTCAGTAATTAGCTATTAGCTATCATGTCTTTGAAGTCATGATGTTGACATGGGCACCAGCGCCATTCACTAGACAGACACTTCAAAGAGAAAGAATGAAACATTTCAATCTAGATGATCTGTCTCTTACTCAAAAAAACGAAAGCAAAACAGGACTCCCTCGTCCCTTGACCTTTCTACCTACCTGCCCTCCTGATGGCTCAACTCTCCATCAACTCAGCCCCCCCGTCTGCTTCAACACTCACTCACTCTCCCCAACACTATAATAACCCCTAAACCTCGCATTCCCCTCAACCCTACAATCTTTAATCGCCCAGAAACAAGCCATCAACAACATCGGAAACCTGCTGGTCCAATACTCCAAGTACCCTTGCGGCAAACTGCCCACTTTCCTCTTGACATCCGCACCCATGTCCTCGTAATGATTCTTCTTGTTCCTCAGTGCGCGCAGCAAATCAAGCATTTTGGTGCCGTTGTATTTGCGTTGTTTGCCGAGTGTGTCGATGAAGATGCGGTCGAGTTTGCGCTGCCAGTCTGGTTCTGCTTTTGCTGAGAAAGGAATGATGACGGTGGAAGCGAAGGATTCGAGCACGCAGAGGTGAGGCGAAGGCGGATCACGGGGTTCGTGTTCAAAGTGGTCGGAAACATCGCAGAGGAAATCAAGCCGTTTCTTTGGCGACCAGAAGAAAGGGTGACAAAGTACTTGCAACGCAGAAGGTCTGTCTTCGGGGTTATGAGACAGCATGGCGGTGATGAGCTCGCGGGGTTCCTCGCTGTCTGATCCCAGATCCAACTTGTGCATGTTCTGAAGATTGTTCTTCTTGATGTTGAGTTCGCGCATTTGCATCCAGCCTTCTTTGTCGTCGTAGGGGTGGTCGCCGCCAGTCAGAACCCAGAAGAAGAGGCAGCCGAGAGAGAAAATGTCAGCTGCTCGCTTGACGCCGCCCATTGTGCCGCCGGAGGAGCTTTCGCTCGTGCCAGGGTGTGAGATGTTGCTGTGGCCGTTGTTAGAGGCTGTGTCCTTGGGCTGCGAAATAAGCTCAGGAGCTTTCCAGCCGCAGGTACCGGCATTGCTTGTCGGGTCGATCAAAGTGCTGACGTTCTCCGGAAGGGTCTTGCACAGGCCAAAGTCTGAGATGACCAGACGAAGCTCGTGAGGCCTGTTTGGCTTGGGGAAGGCAATGAGGATGTTCTGCGGCTTGATGTCTCGGTGGATGATGCGAAGATCGTGAAGATGGTAAAGTCCCTTTGCAAGCTGATAGAGTGCGCCACGAGCATCACGCTGGATAGCTGAAGCCAGGGACTGCAGTTGCTGATAGCGAGCTTCTTCGCGAATATCCGGGAGGTTGAACAGATCCCACAAACTTGCTTGGCAGAGTTCGACAGCGATGTACAAGAAGTGCTGGTCTTTCTGCTGACAGTAGTAGCGGATAACATTCTTGTCGTGGTCGCTTTGTTGGAGGAACGAGACTTCTTGAGAAGCCAGCTCGTAGTACTGTGAAAGCATACGTTTGACAGCGACATCACGACCTTCGAATTTACCCTCGAACACACATGTTCCGGCACTTCCGTGGCCAATGATGCGATCCGTGTCGATAGTAAGATTGTTGATTTGAATCTTGCCAGACACATTGGGGCTCTCAGATGCGTCAACACTGATCACGTCCATGCCGTCGATCTTATCGATCTTGGAGAGAGCCTTTGGAACAGGGGTAGCAAGCGCGCCGTTGCTCTCCTTGTCGCTGTTGCTCTGGCTATTTTCGCGACGACGCTGCTGCGCTTCGAGCTGTTCCTTCTTCTCCTTTTGCTTTCTGCCGCCTCTGACGCCACGGGTGGCTTTCTTCTTTGGCTTGACGGGTGTTTGATCTTCCGCGGACTTATCTTCTGTGGGCTTATCTGCTGCTTCTACTGGAGTTGGAGTAGAGGCACGGGTTGGTGAGTCGACTTTGATCTCAACAGGTGCTTCATCCGTTGCAGCTGGCTCCTTAGCAATTTCTTCTTCTCCCTGAGGAAAGATTGTTTCCTCCGCGGGTTCGGGGAAGCGGACCTTGCGATCAATAGATTCAGCCGGAGAAGAGTCATCATCCTTGGCTGGGACAGCCTCGCTGGGCACAGAAGTAAGCGGGACTGGTGCCTCTTTCATCTTGACTGGGTCGGCAGCTTGGCGTTGTATGATTTTCTGCACATCGACCCATTTGGACACAATGGCGAACAGTCCAATGAGAGCGAGCAAGCCAATTAAGCCAGATGACGAGACACCAGCCCAGGTAGGTGAAGTGGGGGGAAGCATGACTTGAGCATTGTTGGTATGATGGGCGTTAGGGGAACCAATGAGCGAGTGATCCGGTCCTCCGATGGTGAGGATCTCGCTTTGGTCCTGGCTCATGGGATGAAGAGGGTGAATGCCCACCAAGTTTGCTCGTTGCTTGGCAGGGTTGAAGGTGCCCACGGGGAGAGCGTAACCCTGAGTATAACAAACGGCGTTGGAAGCACCGTCAGTCACGGTGGGATAACGCAGCTCCGACATGGCATACCAGCTGCCGGACTCAGTGCAGTTAACAAAGATTTTGTCTTGTTCAATTGTGTCGTCACCAGCAGGGCCGATTGGCTGGGGCAGAATGACAAGTGAAGCGTCTAGGATTTCTTCGTCAAGAGGTCTGACAACATCGTAGACGCGAGCCACAGGCGATGAAAACTTCTGTTTGTACAAGATGGAGTTGCCAAACCTACTGGTCTCTCTGTAGTCAACAGCGACCACGCTCCCGTCATGTTGGGTGTAGATGTATTTGCTGTCCATGGTCGAAGCGTACTGATTGTGTAGGTCTTTGTCGCGATTGTTGGGTCCCCATTCAAAGTATCGGATGGTGCAGATAGGATTGCCGGTCAGCTTGTCCGCAATGGAGACAGTGTACTCCGTCCTGCCCAGGGTAAGAGTGCCGATTGTTTCGCATTCGTTGTCTTCGAGTGAGCCAAGTCCATCAACTCGGCGGCAGTTCTGATCGTTGTTGTTAAAGGTCGAGGCGCTGGAGCTGAACATCTTGAGGATTCGTCCATTGGATGCGTCAACCGTGTACAAAGTGTTTTTCTTGTCGGCGGTGTAGACTACAGGCGGATCTTCACCTGCGTATGGCGACAGTTCTTCGACAAGCTGTTTGACAGACAAGCCGAGTTTCTGCATGCCGGTGTGCGGCTCAGAGGAGTAGACATAAAGGCTTCCATCTTGGGAAGGCTCGACGATCCAGATGAGGCTGGTGTCAGGCTGAGCGTCTGGGTCCGAGTCGTTATGGTGATAGAGAGTCTCGATCATGGGCTTGTCGGCCTCTATCTCCCATCTTGGCGCGCCGGTCCTGCGGTCTCTTGCGTGTAGTTTTCCATCAACGGTCGCCAGGAGAATAATATCCTCGACTTGCCAATCCTGCAGAGACCGCGCCGGGTGTCGCGAAGAGAGACCACCGGACGAGGCCGATGATTGTGCAGGAGGTGCTCGGACGGCCGGGTCAGACTCGGCTGGAGCAAAAGTCGCAAGGGCGCGCTCAATTGAAGGGTCGATTGCGGTGTCTTTTAGGTGTTTGTGGGTGGATCTCAGTTCTGGCGACGAGCGCGCGTTGCTGAGCTGTGGGCGTTTGCGGAGGTTGTTGTTGTTGGGGTTGCCAGCGGACTGCTGCTGCTGAGCAGTGGCTATGAGGGGCAGCCATACGAAGATGCAAAAGAGAGCATTGCCGAGACTCAGTGCTGGAGGTCTTCGGCGAGGCATGTTTCAAGAAACAGGATCCAGCCTTGTGCTCGCATAGGTCGAGGAAGGGGGAGTCGGTGGTTTGGGGCTTTAGAGTGTCTCAGCACCCATGAATGATGGCAGAGTGAACGAGACGATGGGCGGATGGATGGATGATGGACTGTTAGGCGAATTTGATCAGGGGCATGCACGTCGTGTGCGAGTGGATGTGGGCTGGGTTGCTTTTTGTGGAGCACGACGACTTCGCGCGTTCCGAGTAGCGACCGTTGGATCGCGCGAGTGGTGGGGTGAGCTGAGACTGACGACGGAGGCTGGAGCCAAAATAATGATAACTTTTGTGTCGAGGACAGAAGGGATACTGGGTGATGCTGACTGTGTGGGCACAAGCGAGTTGCTGCTGCAGTGCTTCGTCTTGCATCTATTCGAGACGCTTCGACCAAATCCCTTGCCGCGGCGCCCTGGAAAGCCCTTGGCGACATCTCGTGTGCTTGTGCTTGCACCATCACCTCAACATCTTCCTGCCTTGCGCCTTCCGTTCCTCGTCCAACAGTCCCTCTGTTTCGTGGCTACCCAACCTCTGTGTCCAACTGCCAGCAGTTATAGAATCCCCGTCTGCTTGTTTTCCTACTGCCTGGATGAGTATTTTTTCCATGATCCCCACGTTTCCAGCGGACCCTTGCGATCGAGTCCCGCGGAGAGCCGGAGATTGTTATCTTATCAATCAGTTCATCAACCAGTTCCCCCGCTTTGCTTATACCCGTATCATCACTAATTACTGGGCGACTGTCCGACATCCAAGTAAATCCATAATCACATTCATCAATCATCAATCATGGCTGCCCCAGGACGCGAAGTTAAGTAAGTTGTGTTCCATGCTGCGGCATCAATCGTGTTTGACCACGGCTTGACAGCCTACCCACACTTGCCCGCCATCTCGTCGAGAACGGCCCACACAAAACGCTCCCAACACCACGACGCGTGAGAATCCTCATCAACGGCGCTTGCATTGCAGACACCCTCAACACAGGAGGAGCTCTGTTTGTCTGGGAGCACCCATACTATCCACAGCTTTATGTTCCGAAATCTGCTCTGCTTGAAAATGTCAAAGGCTATACTATCGTCTATGAAAACCATCGAGATGTCAAGGATACTCATGATAAACCTATTGCACAAACACTCAAAGTCAAAGTAACCCGCAACTCAGACAACAGCATGAAAGAGGTCAAAGATGGCTTCATGGTCTTTCGCGACGATCTCCCTGAGCGAGCCTCTCCACTCAACAACATGCTCAAAGTCAACTTCAGCTGTGCAGGTAAGCAATCTCCTATGCTCGCACCGCATCGAGAGTCCTAAGCACCCGATGTCCGTCGCAGACAAATGGCTCGAAGAAGACACACCCATGTTCGTCCACCCAAAAGACCCCTTCAAACGCATCGACATCCTGCACTGCTCGCGCCCCCTACGTGTCTCGCTCAACAACACCGTCATCGCAAACTCCCCCTTCAGTCTCCAACTCCACGAGACTGGTCTTCGCGTGCGCTACTACGTTCCTCTATCCTCCGTCGATACCTCGGTATTGCGTCCCAGTCAGACCACTACGCAGTGTCCGTATAAAGGAACAGCAGAGTACTATGATGTAGTTGTGGGTGGTGAGACTTACAAGGACGTAGTCTGGTTCTATACGCAGCCCACGGTGGAGTGCGCGGCTATTGCTGGGTTGTGCTGTTTCTATAATGAGAAGGTTGATATGCAGATCCAGAATGGGGATGAGTGGCATAAAGCTTAGTCGAAATCGCTGGCGATGACACTTGGAATGGGTGGCCATGTAATAATGCTGATGAAACTTCCACGGTCACCGTCGCTGCATCGGCTCGAGTTATTGCTTCATCATTCTATCAACATAACCCATCTTGCCGCCAATTCAAACACCGGCCATGCCGATCGTCTTCTCTGCTTGCGTGCTGATATCTTCAAGGCCTTGTCCACTGCCGCTCTCCTGTCTCTTTCCTTCTCCATTCTTCATCACTAGGTCTCCTGACAAGATAGCACCGTAGAAAACTTGAGCCATGTTGTCGTTACGGTAGGCGCGTTGGACGATCCGAAGAGTCGAAACGCAGTGATCACGGGTGCGGTGGTCTTTGGGGAGAATCTCATCCGAAGCAAATAATCGGTCATGCTGAGCTCCTTGGAAGCCATATTTTGTCGCCATGCTAGGGTTATCCGCTACCCACACGTCTCAGAAAGAACTATCTCATTTTGGCTGACTTGCTCGCTGACCACAGGCACAGTGAAGCTTCTTGTAGCCAGGACCTGAGTATAAATGCAGAATTGACCATATCATTATTCAGCTGTAATCAGTAGACGCAAGCCCCCAACCTTTTGGTCTACCTTCTTCCCCTCTACCCCACTCATATCACATCCACCGCCGTACTTCCCCCAACATCAACATCCTCAGGCTTTCCCTGCTCAATCACCCTCCCACTACCAAGCACAAGACAAAACTCGGCACCCCTGACCGCAGATGGGCGATGCGCGATTGTGATCACCGTACTCTGCGCCATCTCCTCCCTCAACACTCTCTGAATCTCCCACGCAGTTTCCTTATCGATACTAGCCGTAGCTTCATCCATGATAACAATTGCACTGCGCCTCAACACTGCTCTTGCCAATCCGACTAATTGTCTTTGTCCCTGAGATAGGTTCTTGCCGCCTGTGTCGATGACGGTGTCGAGCGTCCAGTTGTAAGACCCGCACACGCGTGAGATTACAGTGAGACACTCGTCGTCGCTGTGTTGCTCTGTAGGATCCAAGTTGTGGCGAAGCGAGCCAGGGAACAACACTGGTTCTTGAGCAAGGAAAGTGATGCGGTTGCGCAGTGCTTGTTTGTTCACTTTAGCGATATCGATGCCACCGATGGTGATCCTTCCTGACTCTGGGACCATGGTAGCAAGGAGGGAGAGTGCGAGTGTGCTTTTGCCTGAGCCTGTGCGACCAATGACTGCTGTGTTGGAGCCGCCTTTGAGCGTAAAGGATACACTAGAGAGAGCCGGGTCGAGATGAGGTGCGTACCGCATGGTTACGTCCTCAAAGACAACGTCGTCGTTGTAAGATGGCCAGGAGGCTGGAGGGTCAATCTCGCCGGCGGGTTCTTGCTCGAGATGCAGTAATTCGACTACGCGCTCCACAGAAACAAAGTTCAATTGTAGTTGGCCGTACTGTCTGCATAGGCCATGAGTCGCTACCACGAATCTACTGGCAGAGGCCAGGACGAAGGCAGTCAATCCAGGAGATAGGCCAGAGTTGATGGCCAACAAAGTCATGACGAATGTGGAGCAGGCCGAGAGAATGTCGTATCTGTACATCAACCATGCTTGCAAAGACCTGGGAGATACGTGTTAGCTGGAGGTCTCATCTCGTAGTCCAAAAAACGTACCAATAAAAGTGATCCATAGCCTGAAAAGCATCCGTCACAGCGATCACTCGATCCTGGAACTGAGACTGAGCGCAGAAAGCTCGAACCGTCGTGAGGCCATTCAGCAAAGCGCCAAAGTTCGACATGAGCGGACTGAGAGATGTCATCTCGAGGCGTCGTAAGCTCTGACTCGTGGGTAGAAAACGCAAGAAAATAAAGATGAACGCCAAGGTTATAATGAAAGAGAAGGCAAGAAACAGTGGCGTGGCGCCAGCAATAACGGCTATTGATGTCACCCAAGCAATTGCTTGCCAGGCCACGATCAAAAATTGGTTCGAGATGTTGCCATCGATGGTGGCAACATCAGAAGTCATTCTGTTCATCAGACGTCCTATCGGTACCACATCGTAGTAGTGGAACGTGGTATTGCTGACCTTTGTCATGATGTCCTTGAACATGCCTTTGCCGGCTGTGTAGGTAATAACAAGCATGAAGATTTGCGATATCAGATAGGCCACGCATTCGACGATGATGAAGACGAGGAAGGCGATCAACCAAGGATAGACGTTGACACCTGGATCCGGGAAACGCGCGAAGAAGCGAGAGATAGGGCTCCACGATGCAATATGAGGCGCGGCGTGAACAATCTGCAGACTGTACACCTGCTCGGGTTCTCCATAAGCCTCTCCCCATTCCTAGTTGACAATGTTAGTAGAAGTTTCTTGAGAAGCTTGTGATTGGGCTTACCTTGAAGAGCCACGACTCTGCCACCATGAGCAGTCGGAAGACGATGGCAGAAAGAACGACAAGGAACCACCATCGTAGCCGTCCAGCTTTGATGTACTGCCAGTAGACTCCTGCCTTGACTCCTCCATGCGCTCGGTGTTCTTCTTCCTCGAATTTATCAGGTACGGCGGCAGATTCTTGTGCTTCATCAACTTTGACATCTTTCGCGTTCATGAGGTTTTGAACTGTGCGAGAATTGGTCGGGCTTAGTTGCAGCGAATCGCCCCTGCGTGTCTCTGATATCCCATCTATGATCTCGATGAGCTGCTCGGCGATGCCGTTACACAAATCTGTACGGTGAGTGACTAATACAACTGTTCGACCTTCGACGAGCGGTCCTCCGAAACATTTCGCAACGATCTGTTCGGCAGTCTGCTGGTCAAGTGCACTCAGCGGATCATCGAGTAGAAGAATTTTGGCACGACTGTAGATTGCACGAGCCAATGCAACTCTAGCTTTTTGACCTCCGGACAAGCCGATACCATTCTCTCCAATATTGGATAGATCTCCATGCTTGAAGTTGGCAAGATCAGCAGTAAGAGCACAAGCTTCGAGAGTTTGCTTGTATCGTGCGTCGTCGTACGGAGACGAGAACAGGATGTTGTCGCGGATACTCATACTCTGCAGCCAAGGAGTTTGAGCACAGTAGCCCATGGGAGCATCGGGTTTGATCAATTCACCATCGTGTAGGTCCAACTCTCCAAGCAGAGCTTGAAGCAAGGCGCTTTTACCCGCTGCAACCTGACCGAAGACGATGTTCAGACCAGGTGGAAAAGATAGTGTAAGGTTGCGCAGAACTTCTTTTGAAAGTCCTGGCCATGCGAACGTGGCGTTCCTCAGCTCGAGCATACCGTCTGATGTTGATGCCGAGCTGTCATCTGCAGTTTTGTTCGGCTCTTGCATGAAAGCTTCGATTCGTCCCACAGCGACTGCTGCATTGAGGAAAACCGTGATCAGATCAGGGATCTCCTTCAAATCGCTCTGCAACATGTTGAACAGCTCAAGAGCCGGGAATGCGATATCGATGCGCAGTTCGTGACCAGCCAGAGCTGTGAAGCCGTAAAATGCGGCAACTGGCAGCAGCCCACTACCTAAGATGTTGACGAATCTAATGGAAAGGTTCCACAAGAAAGTGACAATTTTCAAATCAAGCTCAGTCTGTCTAGCTTCCAGGATCTTCTCGAGCCAGACAGGATGCCAGCCGTACCATCTCAAGTGACGAATTGCTTCGACGTAAGCCGAAACTTGTTGCAGTTTGGCATCAGTAGCTTTACGACGAGCCTGTTCTTTCTTGATGAGAATGCGAGCGAGGAAGGCGTTCAGAACCTGGGCAACAAGTACAACAGCTACGCCGAGCAGACAAGATGGACCGAGAAGATTCCATACCAGACACAAAGATAGTATCATGCCAAGAGGTTTTTGGATAATCCGTTGGTACTCCCAAAATCTTTGACTTACCTATGCATGCATGTCAGTGTGCAGTTCCCTCAAATGTGTCGAAATCACTTACCTCGTAAACATCGCCACGCATCAAATTGAGAATCTTGCCCATGGAGGCAGGAGCGTTGTCTTCGGTCATGGGGGCGGGTCTCTTACTACGTCTGAAAGGCTTCAGAACCTTTGACAAGAATGTCTGCTTTTCGTCCGACTTGTCATCCTGGCCGTTCAAGAGCCCTTGCGTCTCACTGGACCCGTTTGCATTGGGTGTATTGTCAGCATCTGTCTCCTCGTCCGAGCTTGTCTCATTCTCCTTCTGTTCCTTGTCTTCGATCGTCGCAACGATCTTTCTGTTGAGCGTCTTCTCAAACAGCATCGTGATCATCTCTCCTCTGGACCGCTCATATGCACGCCTGCCGTACCAGAGACTGAAGACGTCACTTTGCGCGGCAACCAGTCTCACAACGAGTATGGATAGCGCCCATGTGACTGCGGGCTTAATTTCGTATTTCAAGTTTCCCATCGCCTTGAGCAGCTGCTGCAAGAGTATCGGCGCGGAATAGTTGGCTGCCAGCTCCAAGAGTGCTAGGATCGTGAGTATGGCCATATCATGCCAGTTTGCGCGAAGCAAGCGCCTGACAACAGTTCCGTGAAGTTCACGGAAAGCATCATGAAGCTGGCGATGCTGAAACTCAAAGCCCAGGAACCAGACATCCTCCTCGTTCAATTGTCTTTTCTTGCCAACAGAGATAAGCGGAGACATCCAAGACACAGACATCCATTGCCACAAGGTAAGGTCATCCTCTGGAGTTCTGAGATCTGATGTTGGTGGCGTGTATGCTGGACTGATACCTTCGCGTGGCAAAGCAGGATCCCGAAGTGGCAAATTGACAATAGCGACTATGCTGATGAGCGTGATGCCAATGTTGGCGAGATAAATCGCGACGGCGGCATTGAAGATTTTGAAGTCCCAACGAGGGACTAGCAGTGCCACTTGCACAACGAAAAGAGCCGTGTAGAGTACGAACAGGAATATCGAAGCCGTTCGTGGTCTGAACAATATGAGGTAGAAGGCAGCAACTGCTAACAAAATGGAAGGCGACCGAATTATAACGAGAGCCTGGAGCACAAAACCAGTGAGCGCGAGGACTAATAGAAGAATTGCCACCCATGGTAGGCTTCGCTTCTTCTGTGGTTGAACCTCGATGTCGACTTTGGGCTCCTCAATGAACGGCCTCATCCACCGTGGCTGGTGAGTTAAAGCGACCATGCCTGTATTCGATGATCCTAGTCCGAATATAGCGATTCCAAGTCAGTCCCCACTCATGAAGTGCGGGAAACTCAGTTGCAATGGAAGGAGGATTATTGACGTGCTCAGGTCAACAGCCAGGATGCTTGGCACGGGAATGCACTTGAGTTTAGGCAGACATCGACGCAGAATCGATCTGCAGTCTCACAAGATTTTCTTGTGAGTCAACAAAGAAGAAAGCGCGACTCACGTTGGCATGCAAGATTGAAGTGATCCTCCTGCTCAGTGCTGCACTACTGCCTGAGTCCAGTCGTCACCGACGTTTGAGGCGCATCGCGATCTAAGTTTCGGTGCGATCTGCCGAACCGATCCGACTTGAACATTCAGTCGAGGGTGCGAGAATAGTCAAGTACGTTGTGCTGTGCACAGCAAACAAGAGTGACGGGATGTAACATTTGTGGTCTTTTATGTTGCTAGGAGGAGAAAATCTATCAGTCGTAACACACGAGAGAGTCTAGGTCTCTTTGATCATGCTTACAGCATAGTGCACGGACTACTCCGATCTGTATATCACTCGAGAAGGGTCACTTCATGTGTTGTTGTATACAGTCTGGATGGTTTGCGAGCAGACCAGTAATTTCGTCTTACGAGCTGTGATGAAGTTGAAGCCTTACCCGAATAGTCGCTTCGCGGCCTCGCTCCTTCGACCGACCTGGAGAAAAGGCACGGTAGAACAAGCACGATCACTCTTCTACAACCCATTGTTCAGCACAAGACAATGTCTGAGTATCGTTTGGGGGCTTGTCACATGGTTGAAACAATGCATGGGTGCATGAAATTGTCTGATCGAACATATTGTGAGCCTAGCAGATAATGATATAAAAGATGGCCTCGGCCACTCTTTCGCTCCTAAAACGTATTCACACTTCATCGGCCTCTAAATCCATACTCGAAGATATGCATATATACACAATGCACTCAAGCCCGACATCAAGCACTTTGTTTCATTACTCGCCCCTGTCAACGGCCTCGAGCGCTCTCTTCCACTCTGCATCTCCATCCTCAACAACTACCATCTCCCATCTAACATGTCATACGACAACAATAACCCACTTCTTAACGACTACTGTCCGGCCTCATTTACCAGTATCTACCAATCGATGGGACTCGTCGATCGTGTCAGGCCATTTCACACCGTCGTCCACTCAATCACCAAGCCCATCCCATTCAGCTGTACCGGTCTCTGAGAAACTGGATTCCACGACAGGTCTTACCATTGCGGTCCTGATGTTTCTGGTGATCCTGATGGGTATGACGGGCATCATCTGGTGGATTGAGCTTCATGCTTGTAAGGATTTTCAGGACCGAGAGCGCCAAATGGCAAATCCCAAGCCTGTTGGGCTGGATATAATGATGCAGCCAAGAAGAGAAAGAAGAAAAGAGATTGGATACCGTGAGCGATTGCGAGCCTGGCTGGTTCAGTTCACCAAGAAGGCACACTTTGCCAATACGATAACCAGATGGACAGACTCTGCTGCTGCCGTATTGCGAGCCGAGCCTGGTATAAATGCCGAGGAGGGGCTTTTGCTACCCGTCCAAGAGAAGGAAAGATGTGGAAGAGAGAAGGATGAGACTGGCATCAAAGCCGATTCTGGCCGAAAGTCGAGCATCATAGAGAAATTGTGAAGAGGGAAAGAGGTCAAGCAGGCATCTCCACAGCATCTTTCTGTTCATTTGCCCTCTTCTCTTTCTCCTCAACATACTCCTTCAATCCATTCACCCAATGCTCAAAATTCTTTTGCAAGCCCTCTCCAAACTTCCACTTCACAATCCTTGCAGCAAGACCTCCAAATGTTTCCCAAGATCTGTATATGCAAGTGTCATCGCCCAAATCCTCAATCTCGTTTACTCTCTCAGCAGCCAAGAAGAATTTGGGCGTGTAGTTTTCTTTGTTGGCCATGATCCAGCGTATGATGGTTTTTTTGCCTGGTGAAGGGGTGGAAGGGCAGTCGTCGACTTGGAGGACGTGCTCTTTGCTTTGGGTGGTCATGGTGGGAGACATGTGGACGGTGAAGGTCATGATCATGTCCTCTTTCAAAAGGGCATCATTTGAGTCCGAGTCAGACGCAGGACGTTTGTTGATGGCAACTGAGGATACGAAGTTATTCCATTCACCATAGGTAGATGTGTCGACGAGGATTTTGTAGACAGCAGAGGGTGGGGCGGCGACTGTGGCTTCGGCATAGACGCTGAAGAAGCCGCCTTCTGGCATGGTTATGGCTGGTCTTACAATATCGGCCATTATGGTAGTATAGCTGAATGGTGATGCGGATTTACGTAGAAAGGGATGGTACTGGAAAAGATGGAAGCCAAAGTAGTGAAGTCGGACAGATCTGAGAGAGATGAGAATCGGTGAGGGTATTCAAGACGGGCACGCAAGATTATAAAGTGGTTCACTGGACGCTAGGCAGTCAGCTGTCGGCAATATAAACGAGCAGGATTGGTTTGTTGTTGCTGTGCATCAAGGTGGGTGGGAAGGAAGTCGGTCACAGCGCCTTCCCCATCTGACGCGGTGCATGCAGCATCTCGAGACCGTCTACTTTGTACCAGTGACCCTTGCACACCATCGCCCGCTCGCGTCCGTCGCAACATCACAAGCTGCATCCAGCATGGCGAGCAGTCCTCCCGGAAGCGCGACCTCACCGCCCCCGACAGGCCCACAACTAGCTCTACCCAAAAAGCGCCCGTCCATCACCATCCCCGGCCAGGCCCCGGCATACAAGCGCCGCAAGCCGTCAAACGCAGGCAGTTCCACCCACCCTCTACGCCAGACTTCCTTTCCACCGCCCGACCGTCCAGGACGAGAATACAGCCCAGACACACAAGCCTCGCAGGCCGCCTACTCGCCCGTCTCTCGCCGCAGCGATAGTCTCGACATCGACGATGAGATCAATAGCGTCGTGAGCGGCCGCACCGGCGGCGGCAGCAATACTTCCAACAACAAGAAAGATCGCGCGACTAAAGGCAAAAAAGCCGGCAAAGTAGGTCGACCACCCAAGAACCGCGGCGACACTGCCAGTCTCATCGACGGCGATGGCGGTGGGCGCAAAGGCACTTCCACAAATACCCCCAACAACGACGATGCCAACGACAACGATGCCAACAGCGAAGACGACGAAGACGGCGGCGACGACGTCAACACCCTCGAAGGCGGCAAATTGACCAAAGCAGCAATGGACGCAGAAAAAGAGCGCAAGGCCATGTTTAGCACACACATCCACCCCGCTCACGCCGAAATCTACGAAACCTGGAATCGCATACATCTGAAAAAGGAAGTCGTGCGCAGACTAGCCAATCAGACACTCTCGCAATCTGTTCCTGCCAGCGTCGTCACAACCATCAATTCGTACACCAAAGTTTTCGTGGGAGAGATTGTGGATCGTGCCAGGGAAGTTCAGAAAGAGTGGCTTGCTGCTGCTGAAAAATTGCCGACCGGTGATAAAAACGAGGAGGCATTTGGTAAGGATGGCGAAGGAGAGCCGAAGGTCAGGGAACGTGATCGAGGACCACTGCTACCCGATCATTTACGTGAAGCACTCCGGAGATACAAACACGACAGATCTGGAGGTACCGTGGGTTTCACCGGCATCAGTCTGGAAGGCAGAGAATCCGCTGCTGTCAGAAACGGCGGTAGGAGACTTTTCAGATGAGAGACTTGCCTTGATCCGAGTGGCAAGCACTACCTACATTCACACCCTTCTCTTTACCCGCACTATAAAAGTTGCACTTTCGGCCTGCGTCCAATACTACCTCGGCCGATGAGCTACATGAGAACGCCGAATTCCTCCGCACCTGGCCAGACGCGTTGCGACGGTCAGTGACCTATCGTCACCAAGACCTCGACATACTGTCGTCCACGAAAGTTTTTGATGAATGCCGGATCGGACCAATAGCAATATCGAGACAATCGGCATAGTCTTCGTACCTCCGTCAGCTCACGTCTCTGCTGCTCTCAGCAATCCTGCTCAATATTCAGGTCGAGAGCAGACAGACTTAAGTTAGAAGCACCCATCACTACCAACACGAAGGAAGAATCTAGTTCCTCAGCAAAACAGCTCAAACACCGTCGAACTGGATTCGTAAATTTAACATTCATGAAATCATTAAGAGAGCTGCATCCGCTCATATCGTACTCCCGAATGCCCTCGCCCTATCCATCTTCGTCGTGAATTGCGTCTCCGTAGCCACGCTGCTCAACACACCCAAATGCAGCGGCTGCGTAACAATCTTGCTATGTTCTCCACTCTCCAAATCCATCGTATCGCATTTCTCTGCCTCTGACTCTTGGGGACTGTCTGCAGGCGTACGGGAGCCACCAAAACAATTCAATGTACTGCTCAAAGATGACTTTGCTAGACACCTCTCCCCAGTGCTTTTGCTTTGAAGTGCTGATCGTGTTTTGCCCGCACACTTCTGGAACAGCGGGCGCAGAGTAGCGAGACTGGCGGCGATGATGCCCAGTGCGCCTTCGATCATTGTCCATATCAAAGGCTTCATTGACCGTGAGTAGATGTTTCCCTCCGGACCGAACATGGGGATATAGACAGTGCGCACGATGGACGCAATACTGCCTACGACTGCAAGCATCAGAATCCCACAGCAGGAAAGTTTAGACGCCCAAGACATCTTGGTGCAGCGAACCAGGAATTGGATGGCCAGGACGGGAAACACCCAATCGGTGATTGCGTTCAGAGCGCCATGGACATAGCCAGTGTTGGATAGGACACGGAAGGAGAGGCATTGACCTAAAGCTGTTTTCATGGCGTAGTTGCCTGGAAGTCCGCATTCGAAAACCACAAGGAAAAACATTGCGGTTGCGACGGTGCTGTAGACGATGACGGAGATCCAGACCACGTAGCGGGACCAGCGGACGATCAGGAAGCGGAGGAAGAAGAGGGCTAAGGAGATCTTGAGGCAGATGGTGCCGGCGATGTAGAGGGCTTGTTCTGCGCAGATGAGCTGTTGGTAGATGTCAGTACTTGTTGTAGAGTCGCAAGACGGTTCATATCGTGTAGCGCTTACTGCAGCATATGTATTGAGATTCGCCAGCGTCGTTGGTTTCGCCTCCGTATCCGCTAGCATCAACCAGACGGTGCACTCGCCAATGAAGACTGTCTGCCGAAGAGTTAGATCATTGACCCCAAGCCCAAGCAAAACAGCACTTACCAAGGTCAACAGCATGAACCAGTCATCCCATCCCCAGCATCTGGAAATCTTTGTCCGTGTCCAGACACGAAGACCGACGACAATACAAGAGAGAGCAAGAAATGTGCCATTCAGAGCTTTCATGAGCTCCAGCTTGCTGGTCTCTATCGAGTAGTGAGGCAGACTCATATTTGCTGATCCTCTCTGAGATCGAATGAGCCGAGTAACCGAGAACGCAATGTTGACCAATCTCGCTATCATCCCCGAAGCCTCAGGACGATCATCCGTGTGTATAAGTATACAGCCATACCTTGTCAGTGAAGCTGTAACGCACGTAACCTAGTGTTCTGGCTATCGAGAAACCTATAACGGGGCGATCGAAACCAGATCTGGCACTTTCCGAAGACATTTGTGCCTAGAACTGACTATCTGAAGGCAGGAATAAGCAGTGGATCGCAACGTCTTTTGCTCTAGGTATCAGAAAGACCTGTACTCAGTAGACAGCCTCCAACGGGTTTCGTCGGTCACTGAAATCATGCCAGTAAAGTGCCGTCTGGACCACGATGAGCTGTGTCCTAGCGTCGCTCGAATGTCCAGACATCTTCCTACAACCAAACACCAAGTGTTCTCTTAAAGGATTGTATTTGGTCGAAAATTGTGCAGGATAGCCAGCTGAACAAGCAGACGCGTGTGTGCGTGTGTGTGTGTGTGTGTGTGTGTGTGTAAAGCCGCCTAATCCTCGTTGGAAATGGTGACCGTTATTTTCACTCCCGCCAAGCAAAACGGTTATACACAACGAATACCTCGAGGCTTGCAACGTCCCGGCTTGTGCCAGTTCCATCTCGGTACTCAGATCTGCACGACCCGGCTACGATATTCCAATCCTGAGGTGGATCTGGTCATACTCGCTTCGACTTGAACAGGCTGGACAAGCTGCGCGCCAAGAGAGACCCTTGCTGCTTCGTTCTTCAGCACATCAAAGGCATTGATATTTGGAGTTCTTGACACCCAGAGGCATGAAAAAATGCTGAGAGAGTCTTATAGTATCGACGATTCGAAGGCTGAGCATAAGGTCTCGGCTTTCGTGATCAAGCGCAAAGGTGCCGAATTCTAAACTCGATGGATATAGAGTTCGTCGGCCGGTGTTGAACAGCCCTGACTTCGCGGAAACGTCATCTTCTTGTTATTAGCGCCTCCATATATCAGATACCAACCAGATGGGTTGATTTTCCGGTTGTATTTTCTCAGCTGAGTCTCAGAGAGACGATTGACAGTGAGTCGTAACCATGGGAATCCGCCATCGTCTACTGTGGTTCACGCAATAATGGGATGATGAAGATCCTCTCACAGGCCTCCCCGTCCTGGATGTCCTGAGCCCTCGGTCTGCTCACCGTTCGCCGTTGGCCCAGATCAAAGGTGAAATGGAGATGGCCAACATTTCGATTCTCCATGGGTTCATCAACAGCAACACGGCTTGCAAGTGCCGAGCAACCGAACCAGTGGCTTGTGACCGTTCAATACCGTGAAGCTGCTGTAGCAGTTCAAATATGGGTCATCTTGGTTCGGCTCCATACGGCATATTTCGGTGCAACGGAAGGCTTTTTTGCCAAAGTATCAACGGTCAATGTAGATAGATGAAGCCAGCCACTGGAGGCTGGTCATCCGGAGAGTTCACAGTGGACCATTTTCCTGATTGAAGCACAGTGGTAGGGTTTCAATGCAGGAACTGCCGGACAGTGCGAGAATTGGGTTCGAGACTATTCGATACCTTTGTCTCTATGGTCGGATGTGTAGTGGCGTAGTGTAGAAATCACAATCCGAGTCATCTTACCATGACTCTGGTCTTGTTCTAGACTCGAGTCACTTTGGGAATTGGGGCTGATTGATCGATTTATGAGATTCTCCCAGTGTTCATATCGTATTTGAGATGATGCCAGCCAGAGGAAGCTATGAGATCATTTCCGGGGTTCAGGACGAGAGTCGAATGTGTCTTGGATCCCGAGAGGCACTCATCATAAGTGAACCAAACTTGATGCTGAGTGAGGCTGCAAACCTGTCCATACTCTGTCTCACTCAAATGCCGTAGCGGTATCGATGATTCTATCTGGAAACAAAGAGTGCGGCGATGACTGCACCCTAAGACATCAGTTCCAACTGTGTCACTAGCAACGACCTCAGGTACCTTCCCCGAAAAGGAGCGTCCCAGATGCAAATTGCTCAAATGACATGATTGTTGGGTCGTCAAAGAATTCCATCCAAGGCACATCCTCGGTACCAATACTTGTACCAATACCACTGTCTGTACAGCTATCGCACTGCGTAGAGGCTACCGTCATTGTACAATGCTCCGACCTTAGTACTTTCGCTGCAATTCTCTTGATCTTAACAAGGACCGATCCTGCGCAGGCCCAGTTCGAACCAAGTGATTTGAGCAGACCGACTACCAACGTGATGCGGTCGCGATGTTGGTACATGCAGCGGCAGTTGTGAAGGGTGCAGGCAGCCAGCTGTACGACCGAGGCAATAACAAGAGTACATATGAAAAACGGGGTGTGCTTTTGTACAGGGCAGCGGAGAGCAGCTAGATTGGACAGCTCTTTGGACGCGTCAGTGGCTTTGCTCGCATGGGCATGCTTAGTGTCTGTAGATGGCATCTGCTTGTCGCCTTTTGCGCAAAATATATCTGCGGTGGCTGGATGAATCGATAGAAGCTCGCTTCTTGGCATATGAAGAAGGATGGTAGCCCAGTGTATCAGCATGTGCGCTTGAAATAGCAGCTCGTCGATTTCTCCGGAGTTTGAGATGATATCACGTTTTTCCGGCGGTACGTAGTGCGACCAGGCTGCAAGCGAATTATCGATGGCTTGCACTTCGTCCGGATGAGCCTCAGTATTTGCTATCGACAGAACCCGAGAGAGAATCTGAACAGCTTCGATGCGGTAGCAAAACGAGGGAAAACTGACTTCCTCTTCAGCGAAATGACGGTCAGTGAATTGAGCCAGTGTAGATCTCGCAGAGTAACAGACTCCATCTGTGTATGTTGACTCTTCGCATGGTAGTAAGACTTCATGAACGACGGACCTAGTCTTCATGGTCGGTTTGCGATGGATGGCGGACATGATGCCTTCGACCACAAACAACTCATACCACGTCCGACGGAAGCTCTCCTCAAGACAAGGTGATGAATTGCCATTCAGAGTGGCGTAATCTTTGGTGTTCATACCAAGACTGATCGCCATGTCTATAGCGTTGTCAAGCATCTCCTGTCCTTCGCTTGGCTCACCACGTGCGTGTATGGCAATAGCAAACAAAAGGCGAGCTTGAACCATGTACGCCGACTTCTGTGAATTGTCTCTCAGGGTGGCAGCGGTTAGCTCCCGAAGCGAATCACCAGATTGTGATGCTGAGTAATGACTTCCAATAAAGTGAACGACTGATTGGAGGTATGAGGGATATTGTTGCTCGTACATATGACGGGGGAGCAAGATCGGATGTCCTGAATGAAAATACGAATAGTAAAGATTTACGACATGTGCCATACTTGCTTGACGAATTTGTCCTTGAGAAGTTGATGTTGAAGTTGAGATTTGGTTGCTTGACAGGATTGTTGGACTGGTATTGACCAGCGGTACGCTAAATTCAACACCGATCGAATCCGATGTAACGGGCTGATCATCTGCAGTGGCAATGACTGTATGGCTTTGCCAGGATGAGGGATCAGGCGTCGTATGAGCGAACGCTGTGGCCAGCAGTGGCGGTTGAGTCGATGTATCTGGTGTAGGCTGTGTCTGATGGTCGGCATTGAGTTTTCTTCGTTTTTTCGGTATGCCTTTGCAGCCTCGTCTTGATGTCGTCCAGGTGCATGGAATGTCCGAAGCAACACATCGTGAGCAAACAGGTTGCTCCCCATCGCATTTGAGATGTTTAGACCGACATTCGGTACAAGCCAGTGGAGATGGTTTGGCAGTACATGCCGGGGATTCGGCGGTGGTCCTAGTCGTCATGGTTTTTCCCTCCAGATGAACAGGGTATGGCAGCTAGACTCCTGCGAAGCCTGCCTATAGCGAAAAGTCTAGCAAATTAAAACGATCAGCATGTCAATCGACTGTGTAGCGAAAAGATGACAATGATGGTTAATGTCGCCGATTCGGGGACATTCGAGCGATGAGGATGGAAGCGGGGACATTCATCGTTTCCGGCATGACCCTGTCAAGATACGGCTATCTGTTCCATCACACTCTAGCGACGAGAGAGGATGGTATGATTACCATGTGAGGAAGCGGTGAGTAGGACTCAGGATACTATTGTGTGCTCGCAACAATCCAATAAATAACCGACAGAGTGTGTGTAGCCAGTCGGTTGGTCTTGCATTAGTTGCAGCTTCCATATGAAAGTGTTTGTTGGTCATAGCGCAATGGTGCAATGCGTGACGAAAGGCAGGCGCGAATGGGCAGTTCCCCAATGTGCCAACTTGTCTGCAGTGTACAGCCCTCGCTCGCGCCTCATACATCGCGGTAGCCAGCTTTGGATACAGGGGTGACGGCGGACCTCAGTCTCGTATATTCCTCAACGAGCATACTTTCAAATGTGTCGATTTATGGTAAGACCAAAACTTGAAGCTGGTATCTACGCGCGACAGCTACTGACGAGTCATCAAGGTATACAAGGGCAAGGAGCCCATCCTCCTTTCCACCCTGATCCTTGACCCAGCGCACTCCATTCTTACGCAATCCTACGACTCCCGACTTCGTCTGGATACACGCCGACCACACAACGGCGACGGCTTCGGTGTTGGCTACTACACTCCTCCCTCGTTGCTGCCACTGCTCGGTCCCGATCCGTGTATCTTCACCTCAACCATCCCCGCCTGGAACTGCACCAACCTCACCCGCTTAGCGAGTAAGACCGTCTCGCCTCTCATCTTCGCCCACGTTCGCGCCAGCACCGAGGGCGCTCTAGCCGAGAGTAATTGCCATCCCTTCAGCCGCGGCTGCTTGATGTTCATGCACAATGGAGGTGTAGGAAGTTGGAACTCTGGTGTCAAGCGCAAGCTTGTCAGCGACGTTGGCGACCGCTGGTTTGGAGGCGTTACAGGTAGCACCGACTCCGAATGGTGCTTTGCTCTGTTCCTCGACAGTCTGGAAAGACTGGGCTACGATCCCGACAATGCTGACGCCCAAACCAACGGCTTTGGTCACAGTGTTCTACGCAAGGCCATCCTGAAGACGATCGAACGCATCAACGGTTACATTCGTGAACTCCCTGAAGACGTCCGAGAAGGCGACACGCGTAGTCTACTCAACTTTGCTGTGACTGATGGTAAGAGTGTCGTCTGCACCCGTTATGTTAGCAGCACTACGGATGAGGCTGCCAGTCTCTTCTTCAGCTCCGGTACCAGCTGGAAGAAGCAGAACAGCTCTTCCGCCGAAAAGGCCGACTACACCATGGAGCGTCGTGATAGAGGCGCCGATATCGTCCTTGTTGCGAGTGAGCCTCTGACCTTCGAGCGCGACAACTGGGTCACTGTCCCCACCAACAGCACTGTCACCATCCACAATCAGACTGTCCTCATTCATCCCATCATCGATGACTTCTACAATCCTTCGCCCAGCTTCAAGCGCAGTTCCAAATTCGCCGAGACTAAAGGTCAAACTACCACTGAGATGGCAAAGGCTTCGATTGATCCTCCTGCTGAAAGCCTCGTCAAGGCCGCTGCCTGAACAATGCTTCTCACGCTTCCACGCTCTCAACATCGACAAGCTTCCGGGGTTAACTTTCTTTGTCACCGCTCAGACTCTGTTTTCCCCTTCTAACAGACTCTCCTTCGTGCGTTGATGTGAGACCTGGATAAGATGCAGCAGCCATTCAAGCGCTTGCAGTACGATTTTGTCAGTCTGAGCAACCTAGACCCGATTCTATGACTGCAGGATCGACGATACACAACGAATTCTCCGCCACGAACACTCTGCCGATGCGTCGCGCGACACTTCTTGGAGCTCGTGAAAACTAATATGCAAAATGCTGGGTTCTGCGTTTACCGCTTTCAACCTTCGGAGAATTTAGCAGAGCAAAATCGATCCGCGACGAGGTTTCGAGGTGGTGATCTACTCTATGACCACTTTGGATCGTTTACAGGAATGTACACTACAGGAGTGAAACTTCTCACGCGGGCTTCGAGAAGGGATATACGCTCAACCAGGACCACGTTGACTGCATGACACAAGTCGATTGCACCCTTCGAGTCTAGTAGCTCTAGTGCTATTCGCAGAAGCACGCTCTGCGCATTCACCAATTTACCACCAATGAGAATCACCAATGAAATTCCATCTGAGATCATATTACTACTCACCGTCAAATGCCGGCCGGTAAGGAATAGACAGTCCTCGAATCGGACTGATCTTCCGCGTAGGATTACCGTTCTCACGCTTTCCCCGGACAAGCCAACACGGCAGTGTGCTCAAGTACCGCATTAAACGCCAATCATTACCCCATTTGACATCATACACTCACGAGATTCACAACACCTCGCAGACATCCATACCATCCATAAGCCTCATGCAGGATCCAGACTAATCTTCGCTTGATCAGACTACTGATCGAGATGATGCAATGTATGTGTTGTATCAGTAGTCTGCTGACAGCACGAGTCGAAATGTCATCGCCGTACAGATAGCGAAGCCGCCCGCTTTTCTATTTATCGTGGCTAAGCTGCTGAGAGGTTATACGGACCTTTTGTCATCGCCACAACAATTTTGAGACGTTAGTATTTCAACAGTGTGCGCACCCGCACTGGATCGCGCAGTTTTTGACTGGGTCGACTCACCCCTATATTTCATCGGATGTATCGAAAGGATATATCGAAGATCGAAGATCAGACCATCCAGTGACTTCAACTGTAAACTGCATCACACACAATTTTGGACAAGCTCATCGCGTGGCTCGGATCTATATCCCAGATTCTGAGTCGTTCTAGTGGTCGTCATCTGCCGAAACCCTCCACCCGTGTAACCTAAACCGCACAGGCATTGGCAGGGTTGACCACGTTCTATTTTGAAAGACGTTGGTCGCTTTCTCCTTCTCCTCGTCCTTTTTATCGTGGTTGTTTCTGCAGTCTTCGAACTCCAGTCTGGCCATCAGCATCTTGAGGAGCAAATAAAAACTCATCGTCACAGCTCGTCTACAATTCATACTGTGCTTCCACATCGCTTGCAACTTGACCTGCCATGACTGGACTTACGATGAGACCAGCAATGGCAACACGCTCGAGAGATGTGACTGTTCCTCCGACGCCGCCCAATGGGGAAAGATACTTCTATCCTCCTACAATCGAGCAGCCTCTGCAAGGCGAGATGGCCTCCAAACATATCAAAGAAGAACCTCTCACGCCAAACCTCGCGCCAAGGGACTGGAAGAATTATATCGAAGATTCTATCGATACGCAAACTGACCAGCTGATCGAGTTCTTAGACGACTTTTCAGCTGCATCGAAGTCACCAGTTTGGAAACCGACGAGGAAGGAAGGCTGGGATGGCTATGCCGAGACAGCATCAGCGGCCAGTGTGATATCCTCGTTTCTCTCGTCCAGGCAGACCAAAAGCGTCGCGCTCGGCTCACCAACGTTTCCATCTGTGGTCAGTGTCTTCGACGGTGGCGACGGGCCTTGCCTTGTTATGAACGGGCTATTGTTTCCACGCTTGATATCACCGTCACATCCCTATTCCTTCAAAGAGACTGCCGCACCGTTACCGCATACAACGCCAACGCCGATCGATACAGGAGGTACCGCGGCTATCGTGGCTGCCTATGCTTACTTACATTCAGTTCGACATCATCTTATCGGCACAGTTGTCTTAGCGGCGATCTCCGACACGGAAGAAGGACACTTGGGCACATGTCAGCATTTACTACATACTGATGAGAGGAGAATGCTTTGGAGAGGCGACTGCATGATCACTGCCGCTACAAGCTCCAAAACCTCCACGATACCACTTTCTCCTCCAGAGGCATTTTCCTACAGACCCGCGACGAAAACCATTGACCCAGCGACTTTTGACTTAGGGTCCTCGAGCTGGCAAAGGAATCTGCCGAACGAAAACTTTACACCTTCTTGCCTCTCAACGCGGTGCGCCACTCATCCTGTCGCAACCTCAATATCAAATAATGGCAAAAGAGTGTTGGGCAGACGACCAAGTATGGACTTCAAGATTGCCCGTCAGCCCGGCTCACATGCTCGCTTCTGGACCGATGCAGGTGTCTCGAGTTTTTGTCTTGCGGTTGGTGGTACGGATAGCAAGACAACCGCTTCGCCACAACAGCAAATGTCAGAAGAGGGCTCGGCGGTGCCTGACGAGATGGTTGACTCTGGGATCCAGGATGCGGCGACGAGAGAGCGAGGGACAGAGCAGATTCATGGGCAACAGGGAGCAACAGAAGAGGTGGATAAGGAACAGTGGATTCAGCTTGTCAAGGTGTTGGTGTTGACGGCCTGGGATCAGTTAGGCTTAGAAGAGTGAGGGTGGAGAGCAGTAATTCGCACAGACAGCAAGGTACTGGAAGCCATTTACAACAGGCTATCATAGTCGGAATGATTGGAGCGTGATGACTGGCTCTTTTCTTTGCTCACATCCAACATCTTTCGTGCATTTATTTGTGTTGCGTGCATCTTAGATGAGTCCGCACTACTTAGACGGCTTCTTTCTCAATGTAGATCGCTGTGCATCTCTATTGTTGGCTATATAGGGTGCAGTCGGGTCTGAGATGGAGATAAAGAGTACCCGGTCGATGAATTACACAGTCTCTGATCTCTTCCGACCGCTCATACTCTGGACATCAAGTTAAATGAAGAGACGAGTCTCTCCTACCGAATTATCAACCCAAGTCGTTTAGTTTATGGGTCCCTTAAGCTTGATACCGCTGGAGATACCCTTAATCTGTGGGGTCACACTTAAAAGGCGATCTAGCACCAGACTATGATTAGCGACTGAGCGAGAAAGTTGAAAGTTCAGAGTCCATTCAAGATCTACGAAAGTTATTCATAAGGCTGTTAGAGGATAACTCCTAACCTAGATGATCTATGACACACTGCAGAGTACACGGATATGCTATGTACCGATGGTACCTAGCTATCTTTGCGTGATCATTGTTTTAGCCACTATCGATTTCTTAAAATTGAGAGCACAGCAGACGAAACATCTTGGGTCGATAAACGTTATCAGTCTCCTACGCCTCCCATTCTTGCGTTATATGCTCGTGTCCAGATATTGCTACTCAGTCAGATTTCATCGACTCGACGACTATCGTCCCCTGTCCGTTGTAGAGCAAATCACAAATGAAACGTTCCGGGTTCATAAACCTCATCCCTTTCTTCCATCTTCGGTACCGTATCTCTATTTTCGTATCCTGACACCTTTGCCAAGAGAATAGTGATATTGCTATAATTCATCGACCCGAGGCCGTTCATTTCTCCCGTTGCAGGAGATGAGATCTATGAAGCGTTGTCTGACGATGCAGCAGACGATGACAGCAGGAACACTGGGACAGACATATGATCTTGGGGTATGTATTCGTTGCACTAGAAAGCAAACAAGTGATCACAGGTATATATATAGGAAATGTGTGGGTTGGATGTTATTCATATAAGTCAGATAGAATGATATTGATATCCATGTTGCGTCTCTCTACGGACTGTATACTGCTATATGTATGTCATAAAAATGCACAGCTGATATTAAGATGTAGGTGTGTCTAGAGAAAGCTTGACGGAAAAAAGAGCTTTCTGTGGATATCAGTCTGCTTCTCGGACGTACTGTACATTCTGATAGTGATACTCGGTGGTCTCCAGCACATAGAGATCAGGAACATTACAGCAGAATATTCTTGGTGCACGGAAGAGGTCTGTGTAGGTGCTCTTCTAATGGAAGCATGGTGTGATGTGTAAGCTATGGAAATGCACACTTGACATCGAAACAGAAGTGTGTTTAGAGAGAGTATGGTGGAAGAGGGACCTCCAGTATATGCTGGTTCGTCTCTTGACAACACTGTGCATTTCCATAGCTGTATTCGACAGTATCCAGCACAGGAAAACGAGAGGTAGCTCGAGAGACCAGTTAAACGATACGTAGCAAAGGCAGATGACTTGCTCCAAAAGACTTTCTAGGCGATGGCGAAGTTTGTGAAGGTGTCTTTTCGTGGTTGTTTAGATCGATGTGTTAACTATAGAAATGCACAACTGATGTCGAAAGTAGAAGTGTGTCCAAAGAAAGCTTGATGGGCGAGGGGCTCTATTGTCGCTCTGTCTCGTGATAGTACTGTACATTAATATAGTCGTTCTCGATAGGCCATAGTTGAGGAGAAAGGATAGACAGATCAGAATATAAGCACACAGAGAAGATCAAGTGGATAGGGTGAGACTCACCGACCGAACATAGCACACAACTGGATGGTGGACCAGAAATAGAGGAGTGATGTAGTTGAATCAAATGACTTTTTTACGATTTCTGTAATGACTAGAAGAAGAGTGATTGCAGGAAGAGCGTATGTGGTGTGGGTACTTGTGGAAAGAAGCGGTGAAAGTGAATTCGTGGCCATCTTGCGTGGTAAAGGTGTTGTATGTCAAAAAAAAGAGAAAGAAAACAAACCCTCAAAGGCGGGCAGACATTACAAAACAAGCATTTTTCCCCCTTTTGTTCCTTCTCAAAACTCCGGTGCGGTTGGTTATCAGATTGGGTGGTAGTTGGCGACTGTGAGAAATCGATTCGGGGTAGGCATTCGAGGGAGAAAAACAGGTCGGTTTCGTTACTTTCGTTCATGTGACTCTTTACGAGGCCATGGCGCGGTTGCCTCCTCTGCGGTTGAAGTTCTTAGTCTTGGCCGAGACAGTGGACCAGCCATCGTCCTCCATGGTCTCGGCTGTGGTCTGAGGCTCCTCGGTCTTTCTCCATGAGTCGCCGCCCTTGGCCGGTGCCTCGCGTGTGATTTCTTGGGGCTTCACTTGCTTGTCGTCGGTGATGGTACCCTCAGCATCAGCGTCAACGCCCTCCTTGTCGTTCTCGTCACCCTCATCCATACGGCGCAGGATCTCGTACTGCTTGCTGTCCTCGCCCTCGGGCTTCTCCTCCTTCTCAGCCTTCTCAGCTTTGGTAGCGGCCTCCTTGGCGCGCTTCTCCTCGCGAGCCTTGTCATCTGCCTCCTTCTTCTCACGGATTGCGATCTTACGCTTCTCCTCAATCTCCTGCTCTCTGGCCGAGGTGTCGATAGGACGGGCAGCACCGAACGGCGAAGCCTTGGATGAAGCAGCGGCGTTGTTCTCGGCGGGAGCCTCTGAAACAGTACGCTTGGCGAGGTTGAGTCTGGGTCTCTGTGCGGGTGCTTGAGGCGAGGTGGGGGTGCTGGCGTCGGGGGAGTCGGCGGGCGAGTCGGGCTTCATTCTGGCTCTCCACTTGTCGTCCATATCGGCAGCGGTGGGCTGTCTCTCGGGTCTCTCAGGTCTGGGAGGTCTCTCGCCGGTTCCGGAAGCACGGTCGGCAGCGCCCTCACCCCATTGGGGAGCAGCTCTGGGTTCTCTAGGCTCTCTGTTGAAGTTTGATTCTCTGCGCTCACCTTGGGGTCTGGGCTCAGCGGAGGTGAGGGGTCCCTTTCTCTCCCAGTTGCCAAAGTCGCGGGGCTTGGAGTCGACACCTTCGGGGGGACCTTGTCTGAAGCTACCAGCTCTGTCGCCCATTCCACGGCGCATGCCACCGTCACGCTGTCCGGGAAGGTCGGGAAGGGGACCCTTGCGGGTCCAGTCGTTGAGTTCGCGCTGAGGTTCACGGTCCTTGGCTGGAGTATATTGTGAGTAAGAGTCTTGTAGATGTAGACTCATGGTGACTTACGGGGGTCGGCAACGCTGATGCGGATGTTTCTGCCCTGGAACTGGGTCTCGCTGAGAGTAAGAGCCTTCTTCAGGCCGTCGACGGTACCAAACTCGACGTAACCGAAACCCTTGGGTCTGCGGTCCATCTTGTCCTCAACAATGCGGACGCTGGTAACCTCACAGCCGTCGAGGAAATCGCGGACATCGGCCTCGGTGACTTCGAAAGAAAGGTTGCCGAGATGGGCGGTGTATGGGGGCTTGTCGGGCATGGGGAGCTGCTCGCGAACGGCGTAGCCAGCGGTACGGTCTGTGGGCGCAGTGTGAGTCCATGTGTGTGTTTGTAGATGTGCATTTTGTCTTACCGCGGAAACCACCAGCAGCGGCATCGTCGCCAGCAGGGGCAGCAGGGCGGGAAGAGGCGCCCCAGCCGCCGGACGAAGTGTTGGTACGGGAAGATTGGTAAGGAGCGGCTAAATATGGTGTTAGACGGACATTCGTTCGCATTGCGTCAGGCGCAGATCGGGGAGAAGATACAAGCTGCTCCGTGTTAGTCGAGCACTTTTCTGGCGCATGCGCATCAGTACATACCAGGAAGAGGAGCAGTCTCCATCTCATCGGCCCACGAGCCGAGCGCTATGAAATTTCAGCCATGGACGTCTTTGCGACTGAGGTGGGTCATAGAGCGCATACACTGGTCGTTCAGGAAGTCGCCGAGCGACAACTTCTGCTGTTGCGATTTCTTGGGTGCTGTATGCGAGCCATGTCAGCACTCGACCACTTTTTTCGCCTGTCTGTCGCCGCAAATCGCTCCGTCCTTGTAACATGTGCGTGCGAGGTGCGCTGGCCGTAAGTGACTGACCCATGATTGCGGAAGATTTGAGAACGCGCGGTAGAGTCTGCGCGAGTTGTTCTGGGTGAGTGTCTGTAGTAATGAATCCGGGAGATCCAGTGCGAAGGGAATATCCAGAGGCATTTCCTCTTGCGAGATCAACGCTGGGGCGCTGAACTTCTTGGCCAAGACGCTAACACGGAAAAGGCAAAACGCCCGTCCGCCAGTCCGACCTCTGCTCCTTGCAGTCCTGCATTCGCCCGTTGTCCTTCTTGACCATCCATCTTTCCTGGTAGACATATCAAACATGGATCCAAGTCAGACGTTACAATCGCCGCAAGCAAAGTCCATCATCGGACCTGCTTTGAAAATAGGTGCCCTTTCTGGTACGTACCTCGACCCATCTTTCCTTTTCCGAAAATCCAAGCCGCAAAATAAAATGCCGTTCGGCTCCTTCCTTGATCGCACAGTGTGTCTTCGGCCATCATGTTCCTGACTTCTGATACCCTCATCATCAACATGCTCTGCTTATTGCCATCCTGACACATACTGTAGGAGCTGCCGGTTTTGTGACAGGAAGCGTTGCTGGTGTCATCAGAAATTCTCCTCCTCTTCTTTTCGGTCTCGGATCTGGTATCCAATGGTTTGGTCTGGGTACCACCTACTGGGGTGAGTTGATTTATTGATCTGATTAATCTATCTTACCAACCATATCAGGCACAAGAAGCTTCATATTCCAAGCATGGGACACCGGCAAGGGCTTGACAAAGAGCGACAAGGCTTCTGCTAGTGCCATCGCTGGTGGCGTGGCTGGCAGTGGCGTCGGTCTACTTACTCGTACGTACACTCGACTTTCCAGGACTTGGCTCCAAGCTTACCCTTCCAGGTGGTCCTCGCAATGCCATTCCTGGAGCTATCATGTTCTCGCTCTTTGGTTTCCTTGGACAGACTGCCACCAATTACTACGACAAGACTGACATGCCCGTATCTAATGAGCCGCAAATGAACTTCTGGCAGAGGTTTGCCAGCCTCAAGTGGATGCCTGTCACTGTTCTCAAGGATGGCGAGTACGAAGATATGCTGCGTGAGAGACAACTCAAACTTGAAGCAGAGATTGCTCTTGTCGATGAGCGTATCGAAGCTCTCAAATCACAGCATGCCAAAACCTCGGCCTCGGAAACTACATCATCTTGAAATCATATTCGTACTCTTCACCTCCTATCAAGCGAGTTCCTTACGTAGGCCGGTCACTTGGAGCAACTCGCAACTGTCCATAACTCGGGCCGATGAAAAGCACAATCTGACTCGAATCGCCAACATTTCTCCACAGAGAGTTTGATGATAGCCTGAGTACAAGGCCGGTTCATATGAGTGTGCGGAGCACCTGCCGCCAGCGCTACAGAAGAACCACCCCTGCCCAATTCCGTTCCTGGCTGTGGTCGATCGACTCAGAGAGTCGAGGGTTGTGGCTGTCCAGCGTAAGGCCGACAAAGGGCCAACCTCCGGCATCCTATATGCTACTGCCAGCTGTGAGCCATCTCGTTCCACCCGGAAACAAAAAAGGAGTCACTCGTCCAATGGTCGGGATGTTCCACTTACCGGAAGCCGTCCATCTGTCGCTCGACCGCCCTTTTGCTAGCCCCGCCCAAATGCTCTCAGATCTTTACCAACTCACCTGAAGGTGTTTGTAACGATCCTTTCCACAGGCGCCCCTTCACCCAGACGTTGCTTGAGGACTTTCACCTCTGGCAGAGAATTGCACCCTCACCACGAGTATGACCATCTTGCCGGTAGAGATATCTGCGAAAGTAAAGTCAGTTTTGACACCATCAAGAGTTGAACTGTGGTTGTCAGTATTCGTCGGTGTCTGCTGTGAGTCAGCAAGCAGAATGCAGTGAGCGGTGGTGCTGACCACTAGACTAAAGTGACTTTGGATGAAGAGGAGGTGACCACAATGGTATTCGAGACCTCAGGTCTAGCAACTGAGTGAACAGCGGCTCGCGAGAGGTTTGGTTGTTGTGTGCAGTCGTATGTTATACGCTCCGCCGCAGTTCACACACTTCACTGTCTCTACGTTGGCCAACATCGATTTGCTCTTTCTCGTACACGTCGCTAGACAGCAGTGCATAGAGCGCTGCGCTGTAACTCAGGCGCCTCATTGCACTACTTTGGCCGATTCTGGCTCCAGCACTCTGTTGGCTTGGATCTCCTGATACCAATCAATTATCATACAACGTTGCGCAGTAGCTCACACGCTGCACTGCCTCTACTTTGGCTGAAATTACCTTCAGCATTTCGATTGTTCAATCTCGCATCACTAGTTAGCCGTACATTCAACTCTGCGCTGCGACTCAAGCGCTTCACTACAGTACTCTGGCCAGACCTGTGCTTTTCTGTCAACAACTTATACCTCATACTACCCTGCGCTGCAATTCGCGCGCTCTACAGAAGTGCCATCGGCTCGCATTACTCTTAGCTTTTTGTTCACTTTTGCTCTCTCATCGGAGGCAGCTGATATCTGATACACCGTTGCGCCGCAAGTCACGCGCTCTACCAAACATTCATCAGCTCGCATTGCTTCTGGCCTGTTGTTCACTTTGCTTCCTCGCTGATAGTCAACATTTCGTACAACGCTCCGCTGCGTTTCGCGCACACTTTCTCACCTTCACTATCGTCCGCAAAGCTTTTACTTCTTGGAAACCTGGCGCTTCGTCCTTAGTCACCCTCCTTTGCAACGATCTCTGACCAACCCCTCTGCGAAACATCCAACGCTCCGCGACTCTTCAACAACAATAACAACAACTACTACTACTACTAATACTACACTTCTTTACACATCATCATGGGCGTGATCTCTGAACTCCGTATGCAGATTCTGGGTACGTTCTTCTAGTGTTCTGCATAGCTTGCCATCAGCACTAACAACTACTATATAGAGAATCTCGGAATCCTCGAGCCTCGCCTGATCGCACCCACATGGTTGCTCTACTGCGAGACCAAGTCCACCGACGTTTCTGCCAAGAAGCGCGAGTCTGGCGACATGATCAACCCTGACGATCAAATCTACACCAAGACTTTCTCCAATGGTTCTCACCAGTCCGAAAAGGACTACTATACCGTTGTCCTGTCCTTCTCAGAACGCTTCGGCATCCAGGGAATCAAGATCTTCAAGGACTCTGGCGACTCGCCCGAGTTGGCCTACAAGGCCCTGCTCAGACAGGTGGCCTTCGAAATGACCGCGCGCAACCACATTCCCATGTAGTCGCTATTGACGAGCGAAAACCGGGTTCCCGACGTGAGTCACTTTTTGTTCTATCCCGCGGCGTCGAGCATGGCTAACTAATACTCGCAGATGCAACGCAATATGAGGGAGTTGAACTTGGCAGCGCGGGATTGCATTTTCTAGCAGTTTTTGCACGCCGGGTCGATAACGTAAGTCAAGGAAGCTCGTCTCTCGCTTGGACGTGGGTCATTAATGTGTACTCGCAGATGTAACGCAAAGGAACGAAGATTGGATGTAACAGCGCGCGGGATAGGCACTCATAGGCTTCCAAAGTGGAGCGTAGTTTTACAAAAATGCAAAAGTTTGCCTTATTCACTTTTCCCCTTGATATGTCACGTGAATATCCGTATTCTCTCATGTTGTTACAAGGTCTTTTTCACGCTTATAAAAATGCACAAAGGAACGCAGTATCGATGCTGCGTCCAAAGAAGGCCCCGAAGTTACACAATTTCACTGGACGGTGTTCAGTTTGTTACACCACTGTGCATTTCTATAGCGATATGCTACTGGACATCTCTGTAGGAGATACAAGTATACTATATCATCTTGGTAGCCATTTCACATAGTAGTTCAGTATTATAGTTAACTATAGAAATGCACAGTATTATTGAATACAAGAGGTATATCCAAAGAGAGCCCCTAAATCCACTATATCTTATGAGGTCTTCTTTGGATACTGTTCTGGTTCTCAGACCACTGTGCACTTTGATAGCTGCATAGAACGAGTTGTCTCTACGGGAGATACAGGCATATCACATCAGTCCGGCTCCTGTTTCATGTCAACACAGGGACTCAGTTCCAGCTATAGAAATGCACGGTGGTGTGCAGTCCTAGAGATATGTCCAAAGAGAGTCCCTAATTCGATACCATCTCTTGGAGCTCTCTCTGGATACAGTGCTGATTCGTATATCTTTGTGCATTTTTATAGCATATTTACTGTAGCTAGGTCTATCCGAGATGAGCCATATGATTCAATTCATCTGGATGTCTCACTGGGACATTATTCGTCAAAATGCTATTATGAAAAGGCATAATGGTTTTGAGATGTAGACTATGTTCCATTGAGAAGGCTATTGGGTATCTGCTGATGGTTTGTTTGTCGAAGAAATATGCATTACTTGTCAGTTTCATGTTTGATCTCTTCTTCTACAGTTTTGTTCTTGCTCTGTTTGCCATAGAAGGCGCTGGCTGACCTGAGTTGTGCACGGGTGAAGGTCCCGAATTGCTGTTTGCAAGTGCAAACGGGAAGGAAAGCGACACTATATCATCTGCAACACCCACGTCCCAGCTCTTCCTCCTATCATCCAAGTCCTCAATTCTGCTCATACTCACCAGAAAGTGTTCAAGATGTCAGAGGTTCTGAACATGTCAAACATCATGATTTTGCGCATGCTTATCTGCGGTATGTATCAACATGATCCCAGCTATTTGATAACATTCTAACTCTGTCAAGAAAACATCACTCTCACATTCGACTACCCAATCAAGCCTCAGTTCGTCCTCAAATATGAGACCACTGTTGGACTCTGGTCTGTCAAAGTTGGCCATGGCTGGAACTACGATCCCCCTATCTTGTTTGGTTGTGCTGTCGCGAATGGCGAAGGCGAAACTCCCGAGCTAGCCTACCAGGATGTTCTGAAGGCCACTGCCATCAGAGCCTCCAAGTACGATTACAACTACTCCAAGATCACATTTAATCGCTAAACGCGGCGAACGGTATGATTACCGCTGCTCCTCGGCTCACATTGACTCTTTTGGCTGATACAATGTCGCCAGATTATCGCATGTCTTCTCTTTCTGTAAGGCAGAATCTTGCTGCCTCGGCCTGGAAATCACAATATGACAGCTGCAACCAGGCTTGTCCTCAAGTACACTGATGATTAAGAATTCATCCCTCAGATGTTGGCTGCAGTTTGTTGGTACAGTGTATATCTAGAAGAATATGAGGTTCTTGTCAAGTCTGTACTCTTGGGCTTGTTTCTTTGGTCGAATGCAGGTTGCAATGTACTAAGGATCTCAACAATTCAAGTTCTCTATGACTCTACTGTATCAAAAGGAAGAGAAGTCCAAGAGAGGTACAACTTATCGTTGCAAATGGAGATCATGATTACCATGACTTTGAGGGCGGGTTGTGATGAAGCCTGTGACTATCGTCAGCGAAAGGATTCTCGTGTTCGTGGCATGTTATGACCTAGACCAGGCAAGCAGCTGTTAGAAACATTATGTCAGTATCAGCGTGGAACTGCTTCAACAACATCCGATATGGTCTAGTGGCTAGGATTTCTCGCTCTCAAACCGTTCGAAAGAACAACTAGGTCCGAGGAGGCCGGGGTTCAATTCCCCGTGTCGGAATCTTCTTCTGTTTATCTTGCGTCTTTTCTTTTTGTCTGACATCCTGTTGGCAGCCGAAATGAGATCGTGAAGATAATTTTTTCTTGTGCCAAGATTTGGGGCGCCGGCGGCGAGCTTTGAGGTGTGAGGACTTGCTTCAACAACGGGTATCATGGCATCAGGCCCTTGTTCAGGACTCTGTTTTGCTTGTGACTTGGGTTTTGCTCAGACTCCGCGACCCCAATCCATCCTTGTCAATCTTGCCTTCCTGATTGTAACAGAAGAGCAAATCGATTGGGGAGAAAGTTCGTATTGACTTCAGCTGCTTCCACGAAGAACAGACACGAAGGTGATAGAGATGTGCTGTAAAAAGGGAAATAATATATTCATGTGGAAAGAAAAGAAAAGGTATGAACAATCCATGCCACCAAACGCCAGATTTTTACAAGCCATCGCTTCCTCTACGTCTATCTGTTCACTCATCCATCTCCTCATCCTCTCCGTTTTGCATCTTCTCCACGAAGGCCTTTGCTCTGGCCTTGACGGCATCAACATGCTTAGCATCGCCCTGCTCTTCCTCAAACTCCAACCACCTCTTGAACACAAATCTCGCACGACGCTTCTTCATCTTAGCTGCAGCCATACGCTCAAACAAGCCTCTAACTCTCTCCACATCTTCTTTCTTGCCGCTTTGCTTGGCCAAGCTGCGCTCAAGATCACACCACATATCCCAGCCTTGTGGCCATTTCTTCCACTGCGCGAGCATGGATTCGAAAATTGTGCGTGCGCGCTCGGGCTCGCCGGTGGATGTGCGGAACTCAAGGGCTGCGAATTTGGCAGTAAGGTTGCGGTGGTCGTGGGAAGGTACTGATTGCAGAGCGCGGGGGAGGAGAGCGCGTGCTTGGGTAGCTGCATCGCGCTTCTCGAACAGGAAGGTTGCGTAATTGAGCCAGAGGTTGGGGTTAGGGCGGAAAGACTTTGTGGATGCCATTGCGTCGAAGATCTTTTCGGCGGCGCGGAAGTCTCCTGAGGAAGTGTAGATGGCGGCGAGCTTCTCGTGCATGGCGAAGCTGTCTTGGACTTTGCAGGCTTCCTTAAAGGTGGCGTCGACTGAGTCGGTATCGCCGTAGGCGACTTCTAAGTTCAGGAGGGCGACCCAGATGTTTTGCTTCTCGTCTTGCTCGCGGAGGTGGATGGTGCGGAGAGCGCGTTGACCAATGTCACGGGCCTTTTGGACTTCGGAGAGACCGAGTTGGAAGGCCATGTATTGAATCCAGAGCGAGGAGTCCGAGGGAGATGTGAGCAGCATACGTTCGAAGTCGGCGACTGACTGAGGGCCGTTGGCATCAAGATCGCCAGTCTGGTCGACTTGGATGGCAGCCTTGCGCTTACGCTTCTTGAGAGGTGCAGATGCTTCTTCAGCGTCTGAGATGGCACCGTCGTTGTCAAGAGCCGAAGCTCCGCTCCAGTCGAAGCCGGAAGTAGTAAGACCACCGAGAATAGACTTGCGGGCGGGTACATCATCCTCGCTCATCTCTTCGTCCGATGCAGCTTCATCATCGCTCTCCATGTCTTGTACGTTAGACATGTCGATGTCAACACCGTCATCAGATTCCGAAGCATCGTCATCAAGAGCAACGCCCTCACCATCAGACTCTTCGTCCTCATCGTCATCTTCCATCTCCTCATCGCCATCAAGGTCCTTGAAGTACGAGGCTTTCAAACCGAAACTGATGCGACGCTTCTCGGTGTCAATGTGCAAGACCTTGGCCTTGACGAGATCACCGGCATCGTAAAGCTTCTTGACATCCTCCACAGCAGAGTCGGCAATCTGACTCTTGTGGCAGAGACCGCTGACACGAGGGATAGTGTTATCGACGTCGATGAAGACACCAAAGTCCTCGACCTTTCTCACTTTACCAGTAACGAACTGACCAACCTTGAGGTCGGCGAAAGAGTTGGCAGGGACGTAATCCTTGTCAACGTGAGACTGCTTCAAGCTCATCTGAACGTGGTTGAGGTTTGCATCAATCTGCAGAATCTTGCCCTTGACGAGCTGATCAATCTCGACTGCTGACTTCCACTCCTTGACAAATTGGTCAGAGAGATCGGAAATACGGACAAAAGCATCGACACGAGGGCCGAGGTTGACAATGACACCCTTATCTGTGACAGCCTTGACAAAACCGCGGACAACATCGTTGACAGCCAACTGAGGAATAGAGGTGATCTGACGGTCTTCGACAGGCAGTGCCGAACTCAAGATTTTGGAGGGACGCATGCTGAGGTAGACACGCTTGTTGGGAAGGTCAACAGCGGAGACGCAGACACGAACGATGTCGCCTCTGGTGTGTGTGGTAGGGTTGGCCTCTGTGAAATCATCGGACAACTCGGTCAAAGTAACAATACCAGAGACAGAGTCGCTGAGCTGGACAATAACGTTACGCTCGCTGACCTTAGTAACCTTTCCGGCAAGAATCTGGCCGTCAGTAAGAGTCCTGAGGGTGACTGGAGCTGATGAGGCGGCGGAAGCGGCAACGAGATCCAGACGGTTGGCAGCAGCATCGACGTTCTTGACCTTGACACGGATGGCAGAGCCGACAGGGAAGTTCTTGGGGATGTCCTGGAGAAGGGAAACGTCGTCCGAGACATCGAGAAGATCAATGCGACCACGAACGTTGGGTGACAGGTTGGCCCACAAGCACTTGTCACCGATGTTGTTGACGTAAGCAATCCAAGTAGAGTCGACCTTGACCTGATCAAGAGTCAAGATGTCAGACTCCGAGTTCAAGGTAGTGTTGGTCTTGGCAGTGAGCTCAAGAACGGGAACGCGAGAGTGGCGGTGAGTGATAGGCAGGAAGCGGTGGTTGCGGGCATCGTGGATACCGAGGACCTTAACAGGAAGAACCTGCTTGGCCTTGAATTTTTGGAGAGGCTTCTTTCTATCCTTGATGTCTTCCCAGCTGTTGAACACCTCAGATACATCGATACGACCTTGGATGTTGTCGGCAAGCAAGACATTGAGTTGAGTGTCCTTGATGGAAACAATGCGTGCTTGGGTCTCCTTGCCCAGTGTGAAGTCAGTGAGCGAAGCAGTAACTCCATCGACAGGGTTGGTCACAGTGGTGGGCACAGCGGCTTGAGGCTTCTCCTCCTTCTTTTCCTCGGCGCGGAGGGTGAGAACGAAACGCTTGGAGTCGTTGTTGACGGAAAGGACTCTAGCTGAGATGGACTGGTCCTTGCGCAGACCGAATGCAGGCAAAGCAAGCTTCTCTTGTGTGATTTGAGTCTTAGGCATGAAGCCAACAAGACCAGCGGCGAACTCAACGAAAACACCGTCAGGTGTAATGTTGCGCACGAAACCGCTGACCTCTTGACCTTGGGCAAGGCTCTTGAATTGACTAATCAGGGTCTTGGAGCTGGCGGCCTTGACCAAGCTGGGCTTGTTGCTCAGAATGACCAAATGTCTTCTGTCCAGCTTCTCTAAAACGACAAGCTCGTTCAGCTTCTGGCCAACTCTGATTTGCTTAAGAGTCGACCTGTTCTTGGCCTCAGATCCATCAGTGAGGTGAGCGAGACGGAGAGTACCCTTGAGGTTTGAGCCTTCCAAGTCAAGCATGACGCTCTCACCAGTGACTTCGGTAACAGATGCGTTGATGAGCTGACCCTCTTTCAGGTCACTCCATGCCGACTCTTCATCCTTTCCAAAAGCAGAGGCATCCTTGCAAGAAACCTTAAGCTCATTGGCCTCTGCATCAACCGAAAGTGCGTGGACCATAACAGTTTGACCTTGTCTGAAATGCTGAGAAGGGTCTGCGATATATGCCTCGCTCATCTCAGCGACGGGGAGCCATGCTCTGACCTTGCCGTAGAATTGAACAACAGCACCGTTGGGCTTAATGTTGATGATGGTACCAGGTGCTTCGTCTCCAACATTGATGTCCTCGTATGACTTCCAGATCTTGGCATCGGCGTTGACGAGGGTTTTCTTGAGGGTCAAGCGAATCTGGTTCTTCTCGGGGTCGACAGTGAGAACACGGGCAGTCACAGGGAAGCCTTCTCTGAACTTCTTTTCGGGATGTTGCAGCTTCACGTCAGCCATGTGCGCCTCGGGGACGAGACCATCAATGCCGTCAGCAAGCTGTACCAGAACACCAGTGACACCCTTTGCGCCCAGAATGATCTTCAAAACAGTTGCCTTGACGACCTGACCAACCTCAACATCCTCGATACGCAAGAAAGGCTGATCCAGGATCTTCTGCTCGAGAGAGACATTGTAGATGGCATCGACGGGGTTGAAACCAAGGACTCTAGCGCGGTGAGTTGATTCGAGTTTGTATTGGCCGATGGTTTCTGAAAGATTGTCGATCTTTTTTTCGGAGATTCTAGAAATGTGAGCGAAACCGGGGTTGGAAGAACCAGCGAGCTTCACGAAAAGACCCATAGCAGGCTCAACGTGCACGACCTGGGCGTCCTCGACAATCGAGGAAGGACCGATCTTGTCGGCCTTCTTCTCGCTGCCAAGAGCGAATGCCTTGAAAGTCTTGATGTGGTCGAGGAAGGAGATACCGATCTTCTTGGTCTCGGCTGTGTGGAAAGTGCAGATCACACGAGCCTTGACCTTTGAGCCAATCTTGTACTTCTTGGACACATCGTCCACGCGAGCACCAGCGCCGGAGTGAATGACGTCTGCCGTTGCGTCGAGCATACCCATGACCTGTGTGGCAATACCTCCACGGCTTGATTCGGTGACCAAGACTTCAACAGCTGTTCCGGGCAAGAAAGCATCAATCGTGGGGGCGTCAGAAAGACAGTGCTTCGTAATATCGCCCATCTTTGTGAAATCAGGAGCCAGCTTGATGACCTTGTTGGCCGAGGCCTTGCCAGTGACAACACAGAGCATGACCTGACCCTCGTGGATCTTGGAGATGTCAAAAATCTTTCCTAGCTCTTTCTTGGAGACGAAACCTCTGACGGACTCGTCGTCCAGGCCCAGATCCATAACCAGACCGTGATCTTCCACACTGCGGACCGAGGCTTGCAGTGTCGAGTGGACGGGCAGATTTGAGACGTCAAGACCAACGTTTGCTTGTTTTGGGTCGACAGAGAGTTCGATTCTCTTTTTTGATTTGCGCAGACCGTTGACAGCAGTCTCGTCGGCAGTTGAGGTAACACTGGCTCTGAGCCATTGTCCGACGTGGAACAGCGATTTGAGGTCGAGGTCGTCATCATCTTCGTCTTCGCTCTCGTCCTTGACATCCTCGTCGGCCTGAGCCAGCAGGGCCTCGATCTTTTGGTTGACCTTTTCCGAGATTGCCGTCAAGGGAACAAATCCTGTGAGGTTGTTGGGCAGAGCAAGAGCAACATCGCGCGATGTGATATCGGTGACTTGGCCCAGTACCAGGGTTCCAACGGCAATGTTCTTGTAGCTCAGACCGTGGATCTTGATTGTGGGCTTGTCGTCTTCGGCGGCTTTGGCAGCACGCTTGTCGGCCTTTGTCTTTCTCTTTTTTTTGGGAGCGGCACCAGAATCGGCACCAGCAGCAGCGTCCTCATCGTCGTCGTCGGAAAAGTTGTCTGATTTTTGCTTCTTGCCTCCGGATTGCTCGAAAAGAACGTCGCGTTCGGCCTGGATCTTGATCTGCTTGTGTTCCAGAGGAGTCAAGACACTGGCACCACCACGAGGGAAAGCGCGCTCTTCTTGCGAGAGAATCGAGGCCTTGACGGGATTTCTGTCGCCTTGTTCCTTGGTCTCCGGGGGTTGTCTCTTCTTGACCGGAGCAGCGGCCGAGCTGTCGGCCTTGGAGCGCTTCACCTCGCGCTCCTCAGTCTGAGCTTTCCTTTTGATGGGAGCCATGGCGAGATATTCGACCACGGAAATGAGTAGAAACGGATTTTCCACAGCTCGCTCTCCAGACTTTTTTGGACAGGCGAGATAAATTCCATCGGCCTTGGCGGAAGCTAAACGCCGATGATGCCGATCTGCAAGCTAAATTGCTTCGAACGCGTGCGGAACGTGCAGCATCGCGTCTTCGTTCGAGTTCGTGGCGGGACGAACAACTGACAGAGCTCTATCCATCGTGTTGCAAACCAACGATTGAAAGTGCTCTTCCGTGTTGCAGCTGTGGTCGAGTATTGATATCTCCGCCTCTGTATCATGTCTGCTCAGGATATACCGTCATCCTCCCAGAGCAGCAATGCCGCCTTGCCAACTTCGCCAGCCCGGCCAAGCAGTAAACCCAAGGGACAACCATCCATCACTCCTCGACGTTTCACCCGCTTCTTTACTCCCATCACATCACGGTCATCCACAAACTCAAAGTCCAACAAGAGACTCAAGGACATCACCAAGAACGCCGTCAACCAAGTCAAGTTCAATGGCTTCCACGACCTTCCCCAATTCGAGACTCCCCGCAAGAAGAGAAAGATCCTACCTACTCCCGATAGCTCGCCCGTTCAGCCCCTAGACTCTTCACCCTTGAGGCCGCTCGACTACCACCCTTCCAATCTCTCTCACTATCAGCGTTATGACTTCGAAGCTTCGGATATCGACGAAGAGGACCAAGACGAAGACGAAGAAGAAAAATACATCCCAACTCCCATCACACGCTTACAAAACACCCGAACGAATAGCCGTATCTTGCAACGAAGCTTTGGTGGCTCAAGGAGCATCGGCCGTGGCAGAATCTACGACCACTGCGTCCCCGACTGGCGTGCCCAGACTGCCGACTTCTACTCCCGTCCTGACGACTGCCACAGCTACCGTGGTGATGCTTTGCCTTTCTGCGTGACTCGCTGCAACACAAACCCTCTCGTCGCTATCGGTGATGAAGAGGGCGGTGTAAGGCTCATAGACTCGTCTCACTCGGACAACTCCTTCTCTCAGCACCACATTGGATTCAAACCCCACCGCAATGCCATTATGGACATGGCCTTCTCCTCGGATGACTATTTGTTCGCTACTGGTTCTGGAGATCAGACTGCCCGCATCGTAGACATGCACACTCAACAAACACGCTACATCATGCGCGCCCACACATCATCCGTGAAGCAGGTTCGTTTCCAGCCTGGGAACGACAGCATTGTCGCCACTTCGAGTCGTGACGGCAGTGTTATGATCTGGGACTTGCGCTGTCGCGGTCAGGACGTGCCCGTTGCTGAGTTTGCTGTCAGCTTTGAATCTGGCAACGGCATGGTGAACGTCCCTCGCCCTCATAGCAACACCGTCACATATTCTCCTTGTGTCAACAGCATGCGTGATGCTCATGGCGTGCAGCACGAACGTTCCGACGTCTCTATCACTGCTCTATCCTTCCTGCCTGACTCACGCTCGCATTTGCTGATAACTGCAACCGAAGCAAACGCCAGCATCAAGCTATGGGATCTGCGAGGCAAATACACATCTCGCCGAGGCGGCCCTTCACGTCTCAGCTCAGTTCCCGTATCGAGCACTCGTGAGCCAGAAGCTCACATCAAGCACCGTCAGTTCGGCATTAGTAGTCTGTCCCTGAGCGGTGATGGTAGCCGCTTCTATGCCCTATGCCGCGATAGCACTGTTTATGCTTATTCAACCAACCACCTCATCCTAGGCTCTGCTCCCGAGTATGAAGCCTCCACCGACACACAGGCTTCAAAATGGTTCCGACCTCGACAAGGCCTTACTGGTATTGGACCCCTGTACGGTTTCCGTCACCCCATGTTCAAGTCAACATCTTTCTACGTAAAGTCCGCCTTGCGTCCCGCTACTTTGTCCCAGCCTGAGATGCTTGCTGTCGGTAGTCGTGAGGGTTGTGCCGTCCTGTTCCCCACAGACGAGTCCCTTTTGCAAAAGAAGCAATACCAGCAGCCTAGCTCAGGCACCTCTACACCTGCTGGCGACCGTGATGAAGGCTCTGGTTTCCGTTCACGGATCGGATCCATGGGTAAACATCAAGATACCTCGCTTCCTATCTACACTCAAGGCACTGCCTTGATCCGAGCTCATGGTACGTCCGAAGTCACAAGCTTGGCATGGAGCACTGAAGGCGAACTTGTCACACTGGGTGACAACTTTACAGCAAGATGTTGGAGGGAGAAGGACCGAGACGCTGCAAGAGACATGAGACTTTGCGGTGAGGGTCAAGGTGCTCGCTGGGGCTGGGGATGGTCAGATGTCGAAGGTTACGACGAGGAAGAAGGTTGATCAACGAGTGATACAATGCTCGCATCAACATAATGAGGAGGTTGAGGGATTGGATGGCGACTGTTCGATGATGGATTGTTATGGTTTGCTTTCTGTTTCTAACTTGTTTGGTCCGGTTTGGACAAGGATACCCACAGCCAGTATGGCCCATAGCGTAGCGATGAAGATTGCTCTCCTCTGTTGCTTTTAGATAAATTTGTAGGTAGTTGAAGAAAGACACGACGTTTGAACCCAGAGTGCTTTTTCCTCGAATCGTGTTCCTCTCGTGCATATCTATCACACGTATGCATAATCTTGTATGGATGTAGTGCTCTGTGCATAAGTTTGTGTCAGGGTGTCTCCCTTAGCAACCATCAGAAGCAATAACATCAACACCATGGCCTCAATTGTGATTTTATCTGGTCTCAGATCTCTCAGATATGACTTCTTGGTACAAAGCGTATACATGAAGAGTTTTGTATCGATAGCTCCAACATGCTGGCGTCAAAGCACAAATAATGAATTCTATATACAGCTCTTGGAAAGAGCGTCCCTATTTGTGTAGGGACAGCATCGAATTTCCTTTGAGTCCGGAACAAGAGAAGAAAACTCGAACGAGTCTTCCAAACCAGCCCGGATGTCGCTGAATATCAGACACGGCATCACAAAATATTGGTCGCTGGGATAGAACTCAAGCACAGGACTGTATCACTGGCGACTACGATGCCGAAGCATGCTCTATCGTTGGCAACAGAGATATACATTGACAACGAGTACCCAACAGCCCCTCATCCAGCAGTCCTATCACCGCTCGAGGACGTCCTTATCAACCAGGATGTCGCGGCCTTGTCCCTCGCACTTCCACTCCTGATTCTGAACTCTTCCTCTGCTATCCCTCTACCTCACAGAGCCTTGCTGAAGGACATGAGCAAGCCGCCATGTTCAGAAAATCGGCAGGTCGTTTCGAGAGTACAGAAGGCTATCCACGACCGCCGGCTCGCTATGTCGACATCACAAGGCAATGAAACCGGCTGCGCTGACCCACAGAGTCGCGGCCACTTCGTCAAAGAGCCACAGTGACACCGCCGAGCATCTATACCAGACTCAAATATCGCGTTTCCTCCTTTTACGGCTAGCAGCAACTCAATACCAAGCTGCAACGGTCTTGGCCTTTACGTACTGGCAAGCTCGTTCCGCCGTCGATTCGTTCCGCTGTCGATGATGACGTTCTGGCGAAACTTAGCGAATACCTCGATGGCCATGTAAGTGCAAAACGAGAACCCTGCGGCTCTTCTGTATCTGTAGCATTTCATGTCGTTTTCTTTTATACATTGCGCGATCCGTGCTCGCTTCCATGTTCCTTCGTCTTTAACTCGCCAGTTCTGCAACCACGCTGCTACTGCGAAGCATCTTCGCCCCTCACAGCAAGCACACAACAATTACTTCACACGTCACCAATCCAGACAGTTCACGAACTCTATCAGAATGATGCACGACAAATTCTCGGGCTCGGAGGCCGAAAACAAGGTGAGGATGATGGTGTTCGAGACAGACGAGCCACATCCAGAGGACCATGCGGACAAGGGAACATTTGGAGATGTATTCGACAAGCTGTTCAAGACTGCTGGCGACAACCATGACCCTCCGCTTGGAATAGAAACAGCCATGAAGTTCGTGGTAGAGCCCAAGGGCGGAAAAGTGCCTTCGGTGGACGATCTCAAAGACGTCCATGCCATTCTGATCACAGGAAGCATGTACGATGCTCATGGCGACGACGAATGGATTCTGAAGCTTATGAAGCTGCTACAAGGTATGCGATAATACTAGGTTCCTCGAGCAGACAAGTGCTAACAGAGGTAGACCTGTGGCAACACCGTCCCGATATTCGCTTTTCCGGAGTCTGCTTCGGCCACCAAATTCTCTGTCGCATGCTTGGAGCAAAAGTCGACACCGTACCCGGAGGTGACTGGGAACTCTCACACACACATATCGACCTTAGCGACATCGGCAAGAAACTCTTCAGGACACAGAACGATCAACTACGACTACACCAGATGCACCAAGACCACGTTGTCGAGCCGCCGTCGTCCAAGTCTAGCAACCTCCTCAAAGAGGGCCAGAAGGTCCACGTTTGGGGAAGCTCGGAACACACAGCTGTGCAGGGTATCTACATCAAGGACCGCCTGTTCACCTCTCAAGGTCATCTGGGCTTTGACGAAGATATGGTCAAGCGACAGATCGAATTGCGAGTCGAGAGTGGCAGTCTCAAGGACCTAGATCACGCCGATGCAGCCAAAGAGACGGCTGATATGGAACATGATGGCGAAGCGGTCGCTGGTTCGATCTTGCGTTTGTTCCATGGCGATGACAATGATATCCCTTGATCAAATAGTACCAATCTTGGCATGAGAGAGCCAAACGCTTTAGCAAAGGCCCGCGGACAGATCTGCAACAACGAATTGAATAAAGACATCCGAACATACCGCAGCTAAGAACTAAGCCGCTCCAATGATATCAAAGGCTATTACATTAAGTACTTCACATTGGCAAATGCACCCGTCAGGCCATATGATTCATCAAGGTCCAGATGCCAACCGGTGAGGATATCTCGATTTCGGCGACTATTCTTCCAATCACCTGTTTTGGTGTGCAGCACAACCAACTACGTACTCAAAACGCAACACCGAGCCTACGAGCTCGAAAATGAGTCACAAACACTTGTTGAATTATCGTCACTCACAGAGTCTCTCTCCACAAAAAGTAGGCAGAAGTTGCGATCCTCCGAAAAGTAGGCTGCATGTAGACAGCGCGTGTGGGTTAGGCAACCACGCTTCGAGACACCGCAGCCAATCTGGATTCGCCAACAACTTCACAACTCAGCCTCGCCAAATAGATTCGACACTTATAAGTGAAGTTGAAGCCGCTGTCCAAACCTCAATTACTTCTCATCATCACTTTCATCTTCCACTTGACTTCTCTACAAAAACATCATCTCGCCAAGTTGATCTCTCTTCTCCTTTACTTCAACATCACAACCAGTCGATCTCTCAAAAGGTTACAGCAACCATGGCTCCATTCCTAGTTCTCGACGATGTGACTGAGGCTTCGCAAGAGAGCAAGCCTGAAGCCACCACTCAGACTGATGACAAGAACGAGACAAGCACAGCCGAAGGCACAACCAACAGCACGAAAGATGATGCCAAAAGTGAATCCGCCGACAAAAAGGCCGATACCAATGGTGACGCTAAGAGCGATGCTTCAAATGACGAACCGGAGCCAAAGAAGAAAGTTGATGCTGCAGAGCCAATGAAGGCAGAACTGAAACACCTCGATCGCAAGTACAGCGAAAAGCACAAGTGGTACTTTGCTGAGACGGTCGAGGATAAGGCGGTCCCAGACCAAGTTGATTGGTGAGTCATCCAGTCTGTCAGGGCATGTCTTCACTCAAAGAGATTATCGACTGACACTGAAACTAGGTGGACAAAATATGCTCTGTGCGTGACAAGATACATGTCATCGGATGGCAAAAAGGTCGAGAAGGTAGTCGTCAACATCAACTCACAGCACCTCAAAGACCTGCTCAAGGAAGCGATTGGCTCATACCCTGGCGTCAGTCTCGACACAAAAGACATCACCCTGACACAGCCATGCCGACTCCTCTACCACTACCTGCCCGAGATCAAACAACATGGCGAAAAGTTCGAGGCTGGCTCTGAGGCAGCAGCCCACTACCGAGTCCTCCTCAACCACATCAACGAGGAGTTTGACGAGACTATCCAAGAAGCCGATAATCTGCGCGAGCAAGGCGTTATGAGCTACCAGCATCTGTGGACTGTGTTCAAGCCCAAGAGTATCGCATTCGCACGCGTGCTTGGTCAGATTCAGGCATTCCGCGTGCAGGACTCGTTTTACGTATGTGGTCAAAACCCTCGTATGGCGCTTAACCTGCAGCAAGTGGACTTTGATGGCAAACGCTTTGGTCACCGCACCGAACAACTGTGTATCCCTGCTTACCTAGGTGCTGTGGCAATCAACAAACTCGATGTCGTGCCTCGTGTCTTCTTCCCTCATGTAGAGGAGGTAGAGCAGCGTCTTATCGCCAGAGGTCGCAGATTCGAGCAGTATGCTGGTATTCACTTTGCCGAGCATGCTGCTGTTGCCTTGGAGCACGTCTACAACAGCAACCGAGGTTGCTACGATATCAACCGCGTGCACATCAGCGAGAGAGTGGTGATAGATTGCGCCACCCACCACCGCATGAACCCTGAACTCGCCAAAACTGTCTCTGCCTTTGATGACGAGGCGATGATTCTAGTCAAGGACACTCAGATCAACAACAACGACGGCTATGACTCTGACAACGAAAGCTACAACAGCTACGACTCGGACAACGACAGCGAGGATGACTCCCCAGATCGACTAGACCGCGACCTCATACCCTCTGTCAAACAAAACTTCAAGCCCCTGACAGATGCTCAATGCCTGCTGGCCTCAGCACTCGTCCACGGCTTCTCCTTCACCCACAAGAAATGGATAGACATGTTCATAGACGAGCTCTCTCCTGTCGACTGGAACCCCGACTGCTTCGACCAACTAGTCCTCGCTCCCCGCCAGAAGAAACTCGTGCAAGCACTGGTCACCGAACACATATCCTCCAAAAACGACTTCGACGACATCATCAAGGGAAAAGGCAAAGGCCTTGTTCTCGTTCTCCACGGCCCTCCCGGTGTAGGCAAGACGCTCACTGCAGAGTGTGTAGCTGAGCGCTGCAAACGACCCCTTTACGTCGTTTCTTCCGGTGACCTTGGCACCGACTCCTTGACTCTCGACGAAAGACTGACGCAAATCTTGGATATGGCGAGTACATGGCGAGCGGTCCTTCTCATTGACGAAGCAGACGTGTTCCTCGAACGCCGCTCGCTGCACGACATGGAACGCAACGCTCTAGTCTCAATCTTCCTCCGCGTACTCGAATACTACCAAGGCATCCTATTCCTCACTTCGAACCGCGTGGACACCTTCGACGATGCGTTCAAATCACGCATTCACGTTCCGTTGAAGTATACAGGCCTGGATACCTCTTCCCGCAAACAGATCTGGAAGAACTTCTTGGACAGGGCCGAGGAAGGCGCTGTTGATGAGGAAGGACTGGAGAAGTTGGCACAGCATGATTTGAATGGAAGACAGATCAAGGGTATCGTCAGAACGGCTACCAGTCTAGCTAGGTATGATGGCAAGAATTTGGACTTGGAGACGTTGGAGCAGGTCGTGGAGATCCAGATGGATTTCGAGAGGGATCTGGTTGGAGATAAGCAGTGAGCATCGGAGGTTCTGGAGTCTGGAGCAGGCATGATACGGAACGCTCTATGGCCTATTATCTGGAAGTGGCGATACGCAAGATCATCAGGATCAATAAAGAAAGGCCAGCATATCAAGAGCAATGACATATAGTGGAACGAAAAATCAGGCTGTATTGACGATAAAAAAAAGCCCTTTCGGCCACTAAAAAGAAGAGTTGAAACAACTGAAGAGAAAAATCCATCCGATCCACGTTCCTCTCTATGATATTCGCCAACCATACTCCGAAGATCCTGCATAATGCTTCTGAATGATTCTCTACCCTCTGCTCGACAAGCATAAAGATAGGGGTATAGTACACACCAAGGAATTGTGATGACCACTTCAACGCCGTTAGGAAAAGTGTGGTGTCGTGTAAGATGAGTTTGAGAGATCTCTAGGCTCTTTTGTATACAGCAGGGGTGTGAGTGGACGTGGCTTCTTCTGTCAAGGCGAAGTCGCCCTCAACAGCGACCTCAGAGCCAAAGCTGGATTCGCTCGACACGGAGGAAGCCAAGTCGAAGGGATGGCCAGAGTAGAATTCGGGATCAGTCATGGCTTTGAGGGAGTACTGGGCTCTCAGCTCTTGGACGGTCTCCTCACAACCAGGTAGAATTGAATATGATGTGGTTGTGGGAATGGTTGGGAGACTGATCGAAGATGTTGTAGTGTGCGAATGAGAAGGCGACTCGTCATCGTTGGAGGCAATTGAAGCACGGTAAATGCGACGCGACTCGGAGTCAGGGACGAGTCTGATGGTTGAACGAGGGGTGTGCGCATGACGTGGGTCTCTGAGAGTGACAAAGGACATGTCGACACCGGCACGAGGGTGATTGTCACCATCATGAGAACTGCCCGAAAGAGCATCTCCGCAGCTTTCATCGTCGTATTCGCCATCGGTAGAGAAGCCATCGTCTGTGTAGTCCGATGATGGGGAGTGGTTTGGTGAGCCATATGGAGAGTCGCCCCAGATTGGAGGTGAGAAGAGTTGAATGGGACGACGCAATCCGAGTTGCTTGGCAATACGTACGTCCTTGATGGGCAGTATCTCTGTCATCTCATACTTGTCGACGGATCTGACTTCGTCTGCGAAGACTGCTTCGAACGATAGCCAGCAGCGGTCTTTACGTACTCCAGCACATCGCTGACAGACTTTGAAATCACAGCGAATGTCGTCAGATGGACTGTTTGTCTTTCCAGATCCTGATTGATTGGTGGTTGACAAGGGTTGGGCGGCCTTCTCCTGAACTTGTTGCTTTTGACGAATGAGGGTTTGAACTTGCTCATCGGTGTAACCACCTCGCTCGAACTCCTTGATGATGGACTCGCTGAGGCCTAGCTGGCGGAGCCTTTCTCCAGCAGGACTGACGGGATGAGTTATGGATTTAATGAAGGCATAGTCTCCAACCTCAGGGACATCAGAAGAGCAGCGGTAGAGCCAACCCAAGGGCGAAGGATTCTGGCACATGTCACACGTCCAGTTCCCGAAGAGGCGATCCATTCTGATGTGTGTACAGGCGGTGACGCACTGTGGAGGAGGGCGTCGATTTGAACGATTAACGGTTGCCATACCGGCCTGCAATGTATGGTCAACGATCTGAGGATTGACACATTTGATAGTAGTATAACACGTCGAGATCGACAGGGTAAGAGAGATCGTTGAAGTCGTTGCAAGAAGCGGAAGAAGGGAGGCCTCATAGATGTAACTTACCTGTGAAATGACGCTCATGTTGAAGAAAGCAGGATGTGGTTGCGGACGGTTTGGATGGACAAGGACGAAAAAGGATGAGGTGGGTCCGGAGTCGAGAGTAATGGAGGGATTTGACAAATGTGCGAAGGAAGTCGGATGGAAAAAGAAGTGAGTGAGTGGAATGGATGATGGTTGGTCTGGTTTGCGGCCGCGTGGTCGCAAGTGAAGACAAAGGCAGGCACGGCATCAAGGAAAGCTCTTCCCAGTCAAGTGCAACTGCCCTGTCGCCTTGAGATGAGAAGAGAAGATTGAAAGCATGTTTTCACGAGGAAGTCGCAGGCAGAGCAAATAGTGTCGAGGCCGGGTCAAGGACTTGACATGGTTTTTAGATTTACATGGTAGGGTACAAACAGTGCGACATGCGAGATGCATCGTGCCGCGAGGATACATCTGGCATAGGGCTCGAGCACTGTGGTAGCTCGATCGATGGCGACAAGAGGAGGATTAAGGGAGAGTAGCACAGTTGAGATGTAGAAGCTTTCCCCCGCCCTTGTGATAGGGTCGAGACCAGGCACGGTTGGACTCGTCGAGCGGCAGCTTGCAGAGCTCGAGCGCAGTCGAAGCTGATCACCTTTTGTATAGGTCAGCTGTACAGATCGCAACATGCATACAAAACTGGTCAGACTTGGTAGATGCCATGGTCTTTGTCGAGCAAGAAGATGGCAGTTGGCGCGGTATGTGGTTAGTGGAGAAATGACAGGCGGCAAGCGATGATGGGCATCGGCACCCCGCGAACAGGTGGAACCTCGGCCCAGGGCTCATAGATAACCCCGGAGCAGGCCGCCTGTCGCGAGCGCTTGTATCTCTGGTGTTTTTTGTTAGGCGCGACCCAGCCACTTGGTTCGACGACGACTCTTTCTTCTGTCGTACATCCGTCTCGTTATACATCAATACACAACAATGTCGTCGGTCAAGTTCGACGTCAAGGAGACCGTGGCCAGCGTCACTGGCCAGCAGGGCATCCCCAATGGAGTCGGCAGTGCCATTACCAAGAATGCTGGTGCTGGTGGCTACCTCGCTGTACGTTTTGACTGAATGCCACTGTGATGCGACCGCGACTGACCGCGGACCTTAGGCATACTTGCGTCAGCTCCAATCCAACCCTCTCCGCACCAAGATGATCACCTCGGGCTCGCTCTCTGGTGCCCAAGAGGTCCTCGCTTCCTGGATTGCAAAGGACCGCAACAAGAATGGCCACTACTTCACCTCTCGTGTGCCCAAGATGGCCCTCTACGGTGCCTTTGTCAGCGCTCCCCTTGGACACATCCTCATCAACATTCTGCAGAGCGCCTTTGCTGGCCGGACCAGCGCAAAGGCCAAGATCTTGCAGATCCTCGCCAGCAACCTGATTGTATGCAGACCCTCTCTTGCCAACATATCACATCTGTCTGACTGATCTCCCTCGCAGGTTGCACCCATCCAAAACACCATCTACCTCTCAGCCATGGCCATCATCGCAGGCGCCCGTACTTTCCACCAAGTCCGCGCTACCGTCCGTGCCGGTCTGCTGCCCGTCATGAAAGTCAGCTGGTGCACTTCTCCTCTGGCCCTCGCCTTTGCCCAGAAATTCCTCCCCCAGGAGACCTGGGTACCCTTCTTCAACATTGTTGCTTTCGTGATTGGCACATACATCAATGCACACACCAAGAAGAAGCGTCTGGCTGCCCTGAGAAAGAAGCACTACGGCGATTCTAGAAGCACCGGCCGCCCTGAAGACGAGAGACGTCCTAACTTCTAGATGTCTCGATTACGTCCCTGGTGTCGGGGAAAGGTATGGTGAGAGATGCATCCGCTCACGCCTTATCCTGACGATATGCTTTTTCTTTTCTCGCGCGATTTGTTTATGCATATATCCACCTAGCAGCTCACTGAAGTCATTTGTTTCGTACTCCCGATCTCTTTCGCAATACACAGTTCGGCCCAAGGATCGTGACTTTCACCGATCAGATTGACGTGATCGAAACCCAAGTTGATGATTGATGACAGCAGTGGATATTTTGATATTGGGCTCTCAGCAAATTTTCTTCATGAATTGGGGTTGTGGTCTAGTGGTATGACATCTTCTTAGCATTACTCTTCGAGTATTACTGAGTGGAGAAGGTTCTGGGTTCGATTCCCAGCTACTCCATTTTTGCTGTTTTGCTGCCTGCCCGGCTTCCATGTGCATATCGGATTTTGTCTTGTTCCTAGCTGTTGTTCAATGTTATAGCTCGGAAGGTGCAAGATTTTTGCGGCGTTTGCTCAACATATGGGTTGTGACATGTTTTAATGCTCATGTCAACCCTGTCACAATCGATTGCTCGAGTTCATTATGTAGACAGCGCTCCAAGTGATATACTGAAAAACAACTCGAGTAGAATCAGCAATCTGCAAAGTGCATGCATGGATTTTGGTGTGACTCGTACACAGAAGTGGACTTGACCACAGATTCTGAACAGGCAGGTGCACCGAGCCTGCGGTGTCTCCACGAGGAAGGTGTCGCGAACCTGCATCATCATCAAGATCCTTGGTCCTTCTTGCGCATGAGAAACACATCTTCTGCCAATTCACCACTGCTCAGACAACTTCTTGATTGTACAGCACAGCAACTCCACACCGCAACCATGCCGCCAAAATCACTACGCTTCGTCCGTCACGCCCAAGGAGAACACAATGCAAAAGTAGATCATTTTGTACCCTTCAACTACAACCGAACTCTAACAGCAATCCCAGCACGACGACAGTATCCCCGATGCCATCTTGACTCCTCATGGAAAGTCACAATGCCACGATCTCAGCACTTCATTTGCTCACCACGACTCTGTGGCATTGATTGTGTCTTCACCTCTGCGTCGTGCACTCCAGACTTCCGTGCATGCTTTTGCACCTGCTTTGCAAAAAGAAGGAGTCAAGGTGCTGCTGCAGCCAATGGCGCAGGAAATGAATGCTTATGCTTGTGATATTGGCACTGATAGAGAGGAACTGGAGAGACAGGTCAAGGCCGGAGAGCTCTGGGATGAGGGACTGTATGTTCCAAGCGAGAAAGTTGACTTCAATTTGGTGGAGGCGGGATGGAACTCCAAGGTATGTCTTTTTGCTGCCCTAAATGTGCGAATGCTGATGAGTTGTAGGATGGCAAATGGGCACCCGATAGAGCGACGATTCAGAAACGTGCCGCAAAGCTGCGCTCGTGGCTCTTCAACCGCAAAGAAGAGGTCGTGGTTGTCGTCTCGCATGGAGGCTTTTTGCATGCGCTGACAGAAGACTGGACTGGCTTCAACGCTTCCGCTGGTGAGTCGGCTCTCAACATTGCTGGGAAGCGGATCATCCTCACTGACATGGCCAGGTACTGGATGGCAGAATTGCGAGATCAGAGAGTTCGTGTTTACCGAAAAATCGACACAGAGTAGTGCGCATGTCGTCGAGAAGGCAGCGCTGGCTCCGAAGCCGAAAGGAGCAGAGAAGGAACCTCAGGTTGTCAAGGAGGTCGAAGATGTGGGTCTGCCGGACCAGTAGAGATTTCCGGGCGAGAGGGACGTATTGTAGCGCGATTGCTACTGAGCAATAAGAGCATGTTACGACCGTCATAATCCAGGTTGCATCGTGGCTCACTCTCTGACGGACCAGAGGCCATGGCAATACGGACATGGCAGAAGGATGAGAAAATTGCTTCACTCAACCTCCTGAATACCAGCAGCCTTCTCTCTGCCTTGCTTGTGTCCCATGAGTCTGCCCAGAATATCCTTCTCCTTCTGTTCCTTCTCCTTCTGAATCTTCTTCTGCTCCTTGTCGTCCTTGTCGTCATCCTCGCTGTCTTCGCTACTGTCTTCTGAGCTCTCATCCGAGCTCTCATCGCTGCTTTCCTCTCTCTCTTTCTTTTGCTCCATGACACCCAAACCAAGCTCCATCTCGACGTACTCGTCTCCCTCGCCTACATCTTCAAGTCTCTTGCCCTCGAGACCACCCTCTTGCGCAAGCTTCTCGAGCTCAGCATTCGCAGCGGCCATCTGAGGCAAGAAGGCTTGAAGACGCGATTGAAGGTCTGAGGTTGCAGGGCGTGCGAAAGACGGCTTTTGCTTCTTAGGACGGAGTGTGGGAATCGAGGTTGGAATGGTAGAAGAGGATTGCGAGGGTGCTGGCGACTGGGAGGGCGAGTTTTGGTCCGACATTGTGATAGGGAAGCCAAGTGTATTCCTGGTGCTACAAGAGAGTGTAAGGAGAGAAGATATGTTTTGTGAAAATGGTTGCTATGAGAAGCAGAAGAAAAATACAAAAAATTCTTGAATGAGATCATGGTTGAAAAGTGTGGGGAAGGACATGTTTGGACCCGTGCCAAGGGAAGCGTTCTCGATGGTTTGCTTCGCTCTCTTGATTCCATTTCACCCCTTTTCCTTGAAGATCCCATCATCGTCTCGAAGTTCATATTGCGGCGACGTGTATTGCGGCGTGGTATTCCCCTGACTTGAAGTTTGAGCAGATCTTTGCTGTATTATTTCTCAAATAGAGAGCTATGCTCAGCCGAATACGTCCGCGAAATTGTCTCATACATTCCAACAACGATAGGGAAAGTGATCGTTCGATCAGTAATATTATCCCTTCGTGACTCGTTATGCATACGTCAATGGTGTTATAGATTCACTGCTTAGCTGCCGTTTCGAGGCTGTCAACATTTTATCTCAGTCAAGCTCTTACGGCCGGCGCATATAATGTTCATCACTACTTCTCGGGCTTCAGGCGAGCAACTCAATCAAGCCGCGAGTCAAGCAAAGTACGCTCATCTACCAGTGGTCAGGCTCCGTGACTTGGACCCCAGCCATCTCTGACAGGTCGGCCCCAATGCCGATGTATGTACACGACTGCGTTTGAAGACCTCACCATGACAAGGATACCATGCCGCATCTGCTGGTTTCGTTTTTGCAACGGAGCTGCAGGAACGTGTGGGAGGGAGAGAACGACGTTTGATAGGTGCATCAGGCACGTTATAGATCCGCCATGTCAGGTCCGCTTGCAGCGGTTGACTGTTTGCTGGTTGGGAGTCCGTCTCATGAATCGGCCGTGAAGCACATCTCTTACCCGACACGAACGAGACTTGAAACGTGCCAGAGAGAACGAGAAAAAGCGCTGTACCGGCATAGACAAACGAAAGGGATACGAGCCTGTACCCATGGTGCTGGTGCTATCGAGGAACAAGAGTGAGATGTTCCTTTCTTCCGTGTCAGGGAGAGGATCAGCCTGTCTTTATATCATCTGTCTTACTCCGATACTCCGGCCGTTCGCCGTGCACAAACGAGGGAATTGAGATGGCCATGTCAAAGCTCTCTGAAAGATGCCTAACTGGTCCATGTGCGAGGTTCTCCCTTGGCGGCTGTCTTGACCAATCAAGAGCGTTGACATACAGATTTCGCGCAAGGATCGACAAAGGTCCGCGTTTCAGAAGTCTCCCAAGAGGGGTCATCCCACGTCTCATCCTCATCAAACGGGTTACCCTTGTGTAGAGAAAGTAGAGAACATGACCGTAGTAGGTGTGTGACGTTGATCTAGTTGCCTGGTGCAGTCCGTGTAGTGGAGGATGAACAAGGCGATCTACCCTCTGCTGTCAATCGCTACTTCCCTGTCAAAAGGTCTTGTATATCCGTCGTGCTTGGAAAAAATGCAAAAGCTGCCCTTGCCCTGCTCCTTCCCATATCGCCTTTCCGTGCCTGATTTTATTTGACAACTTCGCTTGCGAGGCAGGTCCCACCCAACCTCGTGGATACAAGATTCCACGCCCCAAAATTCTTCCTTGCAGCTTGATTTCACTTCCATCACATTACACAAAGCACACGCGACAAGACTCACCGCCATCATCAAGAGCTTGCAAAGCTTGCCTGGTGCAATCAGCGTTTTATTCTTGACAGCCTGGTGCTCTTCGACAAGCGTCTTTACAGCAACATAACCATCACAAAACTCCATCACAACATCAGCATCACACATCATGTATCGCCCATCGATGCTGTTCATCGCCTCCCTGTTCGTACTGCAGTATGCATCCGCAGTCACACTCAATGACTTTACCCCGCGCTTGAACGACCTGACTGGCACCTGTCAAACCATCTACACCTCCAACATCGATGGCTGTACTGGTCAAGACTTCCAGACCGGAGAATGCTCTTCTTCTTGCGTTTCGGCCTTGCTCTCATTGGGAACCACCGTCAGAAATGCCTGCCAAGGTCAGCACAATGATGGAAGCAATATCATTGCCGCCTTCATCAAGGGCCAAGGTGCACAAAACCTCTGCAGAAACGCCGCCAGCGTGATGCAAGCCAACACCCTCCAGCAAACCTCAGCATCATTCTCCATCGGCTCCAGCACCATGACCGTCAGCGACTTGACTCCCAGTAGAACCAGTATCATAGTCGATACATCAAGCTTGAGCACCAGTTTCGTTACCGCGCTTAGTACCGCCACCATCCAGCCACTTGCTGTCTCCAGCAGCTCGGACGATGCAGTGTTTACTGGCCTCACCTCTACCATCACCGGAACGTCTCTTGCCTTCGCCACCAGTACACCATCGTCAGTGCTCATGGCCACCGAGACCAGACTCTCATCGACTCAAGCTGCCAAGCACACCAACACCGAGGCCAGCAGTGGCGGCACTCCGTTCGATTCATCTTCTGCAGCCCACAGAGGCAGCGCTTCCTACCTGGCACTGCTGAGCGGTGTCCTCGCCTTCCTATTTCTCCACTAGTTGACGAGGGGTCTGTCCATTCCTGCTATTCTGTTGTTTCCTTGAGCCTTTTTTGTTCTGGCACTGCATGAGCGATGCATCGGCACTTATTTCTTTTGTTTCAACAATACCCATTTGACGTTTTTTGTAATGCGCAACGTTTACGTCCGCATAGATCAGTAGTAATCACAAGCATGGCTTTCAGAAAGATTCTGGCCATTATCCAATACCTCTGACAGGTTCTGTATTCCACTTCACCATGATGTGTAGCTGTGCTAGCTATCGAGTCCCACCGATCGCCAAAGGGTTATGCTTGCGCTTTGTACTGGTCAGCATGGATGTCCCGGAAGGTGATGGCAGAAATGAGACAAAACGAGAAGCGCATCTGATACGTGGGATAAGCCGCAACACTTTACCAGCCGGACCTGACGGTGTTCTCTCGGGCATGTTCAAACAAGAATTGCTAATCTAAGGCCAGCGAATGGTAGAAAAAAGACAAGAACTGCCGGCCTGTGACATCACTATTTGCTTTGAACCGGAGCTAACCTCCGCAGAGCGAGCCTCATCCCTGTCAATTGGAGAACAACAGAAGCTTAAGGTCCCTCGGAACTCTTGGAGAAATGTCTTAAGGATAGCGGAAGAATATTCAGAATGGACGTGTGTTTATGCGCGAGACTGACTTGGAGAGAAGAAAGCTTCAAAGGTCCACAAGACATGCCACCGCCCCTCCACGATCCCCTCGACACTAGTGTGATCTGTGGAACCAATTGATTAATCGCTCGGACGAACCCTAGCAAGAAACACGATTGTGTACGTCAGGCTCACCGCATGCCGTTCGTGCTTTCCCATGGATACTAAAGGCTGCCGTGCCTGCCCGTCGCGATTGTTATCTGTAATGTTTCCCCCCAAGTCGGAACTCTTCGACACACCTTACATACACCAAACCTAAAAACGCTATACCATCAACCATGGCTATTCCCGCCGTTGCCCATGGCACCCCTCAACAAGGATCTGGCAAACTCGACGATTTCGAAGTCAAAGGAGAAGCTCCATACTACGCCGAAGAAAGAAAAGGATGGAAGGGTTACATTGAGTGGGAGGTTTGTCTCCGCAACCGAAACTCGACCTTGGTAACTTGCACCCCTCTAACTCTTGGTTCAGAAATACCCAGAGAAGAAGGCACAAGCCGAGAAGATTTTGGCACAATACGACTTTCCTCCACCCCCGGAGTTCCAGCTCAAGCCTCTGCCCGAGACCAACCCTGTTCTGGAGGGTGTGAGATGGAAGCAATACCACTATGCCATGGGAGAGACCCTGAAGGACATTCCTCAGATCAGGTGTGACGATGCGAAGACGTTGAGTAGGAAGCGTAATGACTGACGAGAACAGTTGGGACTATGTCAAGAAGGAAAAGAGCGAGGACATGATTCACGTCTTGCAATTTCCTTACAACGGAGAACCTCCTAGGGTAACTTGAACCCAATCCAAAATACCACAAGCACGAGCTAATCATGCCGACCAAACCATAGGACCGCCTAGTGGAGACTGAGATTACCGACAACAAGGATCACTTTGTCCGCAACCATGGTGGCATTCCTGAAATTGACGCGGAGGAATACACTCTTGACATTGAAGGTCTGGTCAACGACCCCAAGAGACTTACCCTCGCAGATCTACAGAACGAGGACTTGTTCCCTCGCCAAAGCAACATTGTCAGTCTGCAATGCTCTGGAACCCGCCGTATCGAGCAGATCCACGAGTACCCCGGTGACGGCGATGAACTTATCAATGCACCATGGGGCGAAGGTGCTATTGGAACAGCACGCTGGACTGGTGTTAGTCTGAAGAAGATCATCAAGCACTGCGGAGGTCTCAAGGATGGCGGCAAAGACGTCCATCTTGAATTCTATGGCGCAGACACTTACTTCAAGAAGGGCAAGGTGATGAACTACGTTGTCAGTGTACCATGGAGAAAAGTCAAGGCTAATGAAGTCTTGCTCGCTTGGGAGATGAACGGCGAGCCCTTGCCCAGGATCCATGGATTCCCTCTGCGCGCTGTGGTATACGGATGTAAGTCGAACGCGTTCCACTTCTCTCTCTCTACAAATTCAAGTTTGGCTGACTGACGTGAAAACCAGACATTGGAGCCAGAAGTTGCAAATGGCTCTACAAGATCAAAGCCATCAAAGGCCCCAGTCTTGCCCCTGTCCAAGCAAAGGAATACCTCTACTACACACCCCAGGTCGGCAAGCAGAACGCAAACTACAGCAACGGATTCAGTATTCAGGACATGCCTGTGTCTTCGGCTATCATGTCCCCAGTCAACATGGACCAAATTGTCCACGATGGCAAAATCAAGCTGCGCGGCTGGGCCTACTCTGGTGGCGGTCATTGGCCCGTACGTGTCGAGGTCTCTGGTGATGGTGGCAGCATCTGGTACGAAGTTCCGTACGAGAACATGAGTAAGAAATACTACTACGCATGGAGACTGTGGGAAATGGATCTCCCGGTTGATGCAGAAGGTTGGTTGGAGCTGTGCGTGAGAACATGGGACAACGCCATGAACACCCAGCCTACCTATGTGCGATCGGCCTGGAACTGGGGCTTGCACGTTACTTCGAGTTGGTAAGTTTTTGTCTCAGATGCTGAATGAGAAGAGAATCTTCTGCTAACACAAATAACAGTCATCGTGTCAAGGTGTACAGCATCAACAAGAGCAAACCTTCTACCGCTGCTAGACTGAAGATCCTGGAAGAGAAGAATGTGCCCATCGTCCCCATCACTCACCCTATGGAGTTTGATCTCCAGACTGAGGAGGACTACCAAGAGGAGATGAGAAGGCAAGGCGGTCGCGAGCCCGAGGAGTAAGAGTTGAAAGCGGAAACCACAGTTATGCAGAGGGGGAGCTAGCTGTTGATCGAGGAGAACTACCAGGCAACAAAGTATACATATGGCGACATATGATGAAGACAGGTATTCATAATGACAAATATATCTATTGAAGGTCGACCATGTGCTGGTGCTGTATTGCCAACGACCTCTAACAACAATCTAAATCATTGAAACGCGCAGTGCAGTCTTGATCATCATATATCTGTTTTGGAAGAGTTGAATCACACATCAACGGTTGACATATAATGCTTCTTCTTCTGTTCTCCTGCAAATACCCCTCCATCTCAGTTCATACACTCGTTCATTTACACCTAACAACTGCCATGGTAAAGAATGATCCAAACCTGTGACAAGCGTTCAATGATCCACAGCTTACAGAAGCGCCGTGCTCAAGAGAAACAATCTATCTCTGCAAAGTATTCCTTCTACTCAACCCATTTGGCTGCTCACCTTTCCCCAACACCATCTTCAACGCTTGCTCCAAAGCTCTATCATCATACCTCCCACTCAAGCCATACAATCTGATTGCTTCAATGCCTGCTTTGGCCAATTCCTCTCTATCCACTTTTGGGGCTTCCTTGGTCTCTATATAGATGATGTGCGTCACATATGTCGAAAACTCGTGCGTGGAAGGTTTAGGCAGTCCTCTGCTTTCTGCGCAGGCATTGCTGATGGCGGCAATAAAGTCCATAGCAGAGAACGGGGTTGCCGAAGGACCGGTTTCGCGATCGATGCTGCTGTTTAGCAACAAGATTTTGTTGCGCATGTGGGGGGAAGCGACGGCATTGCCGATGCCGCGGAGAATGATGCTGGGGATGATTGAAGTGAACAGCGAGCCGATTGAGTATATTACTGTCGAGGAGTTGGATAGTGCGTCCAGCACTCGAGGGTTTGCGGGACAAGACATTTCCTGCCCGTAGGGGTTGATGTACCATAGTCTCTCTATGCGAGAGGGTAGATCTTCTTCTTGCAGTTTTGAAAAGTTTATCGCTGGACGGCGCAGGGAGGGGAGGGAACCGGGGAGGTTCGCGTCTTCGACGTTGTCGTGTTCTTCGGTTTCTTTGCGGAGGGTGTTGGCTGAGGGTGCAGTGGTGGGGAGAGCTGAGGAGGGTGCGAGAGGGTGGGAAATATTGTTTTGGCCTGTGATGTGGGTGCCATCGGATAAAGAGACACTGATATGGTGGGAGAAGTTGGTGTTGATGGCTGGGAGGACTGTCGTTGTTGGAGGTACGTTGCAGACGCTGCTGAGGAGGTAGATGGCTGATTCCAAGCTGCCGGAGAAGAGACGGGCTCTGTTGACATTCTTCCATCAGCGACTTTGGTCATCAGCGTGTATGCGTTCTCACACTCACCCAGTCAAAAACAAATTTCCGATACTCGCCGACGAAAAATCAAATCTCGAACTCGGTCTCATGCGTTTCACAATCTCCTGATTGACCAAGTTCAAAAAACTTCGGATCAGCTCCTTCTTTGGCGTGGAGATTTGATGCCATAGTGGATGTAGAGATTCGACTATTTCTAGCCATTCCAGACGTGCTTCCTTGGGGTTGAGAGGTAAGCGGTGGTTGAAGAGTGCTTTTATGGATGCGGCTTCAGAGTTTGGGTCGCCGTTGTCTGGGATCAGGCGGACAAGTCTACCTGTGGAGAGGAGAGAGTGTGTCAGTGGGTGGAAAGAGGAGGGTGGTGGTGGTTATGGGGAAAAGGAATGGATACGCACTGCGCAGATCGCCGATACCTTCATCATTCGTGTTAGCAACCAAGGTCACAGACATTGATGTGATGTACTTACCAGGACCGCCAAATACTCGAATCAGTTCGCTGGAACTACCACCGTTATCACTGATAGGGATGACATAGTTGAGCACACTGTTGTTGGCCTGAGCCAGGTTCGTGAAGACATCGACGAGGTGATTTGTAGCTTCAGCCAGAGTATCAGTCGAACTGATCAGAAGTTGGATAACTTGGAGTGTAAGGATTTACCTGTGCCTCCGCCAAAGATTGTTATCTGACTACACCTTGAGGATGGATTAGGAGATGGAAGCCGAAGTGACCCTGGCCAGGTGTTTCGAGGTGGTTGTTCCATGGTCGCGTGCGCAATTGTGTTTTGAATGAAGAAAGGCCGGCCGCAGAATAGGGCAGCCGATGATGGTTTTAGAAAGTATACGAAAAGGACAGGTCGCAGCGGGAGTCTCTGAGGATGTTGATGACAGGTGGTTGTTGATGTTGACTCGAGGACCGCACGTTGATGTTTCGCAGCCACCACCAAGAATGTCCGCGTGTCAATGTCTGGCGCAGCCAAAAGTATATCCAATGACTTCCAGTGGGCAGGTAAACGGGATTTGATCAGATCTTGTGTAATTGATGCGAGAGTATTAATGCGTGGAAGGCTTCTGTTGATATGCTTTTACGATGGAGGCTTGTACAGCATCTGGCGGACGGCCGGGCCGAGAATCCGATGTGTTTGTTGGAGGATGATTTCGTTAGAGTTGTTATTGCTATGGGGTCTCTGTTTGATTTACCGTAGCATTACTCCTCCAAGATGGTCAGGAACAGAAACACTCGGACTTAGACCACTCGTGAAAAAAGTGTGGTTGCTGGGCATAACATCTCAACTCCAACCACAAACATGGGCACTCTTTGGTAAGTAGATAGTTTTTGATTGTCTAACATGACGACTAAGAAAGAGGAAGGGATGCAGGCGAAGAAGTTTGGGGATGGTGGAATGTACATGACGGCAGAGGTAGCAGCTCTCTGGATATCAAGTTGTTTGGAGAAGCAGCACTCGGAGCATCAACTCGTGTGGAAAAGCAGCGATTCATGATTTAATGTTGCTTGGTGGGAACGCCGTGACCTGAAGGGGCTGAAGCAAACAGACCCTCTTCGTTCTTCTGGTAGTCGGTACCAATGTTGATGCCGCCCTCTCTCTCGGCACGTCTTCTTCTCTTCTCGAGCAATGATTCCTTGGTGTCTTGGAGGATACGGAGTTGTCTCTCTTCGACGCCCTGGAGCCAGTAGCCGAAACTTGCGCCAATGCCGCCGAACAGAGGGTATGCCCAAGCCGTGTTGCGCGTGAACATGGGACGCATCTCAATGCCGAGTTGCCAGACGCGGACGGCGATGCCTGTAAGATGTCATGAGTCTCTTGACTATATTTTGAAGTTGCTGGGCAAGGTATGCGCACCGAAACCGCCCCAGAAAAGGATCTTGGACATTGCGACTGGTGATGTGACGGGAGTTGTGTTGGTGGTGTTGATTGAACTGGGGTCGCACTGCAATTTGAGGGAGCGCCTGGCTCAACAGTACGTCGGGGGATCGGTCGGGGTTGGGGTGTAGTAGTAGTCGTGGATAGACTATGATGGACGGTATAGAACAGTCAATTGCTGACCTTCTCGTCGTGTCTGGCTGCGTCGGAAGACGCTCGTTCCTGCCGTCGAGCTCGGTCTTGGCACTCCGCCTACCTTCCGCGTCCCGCATTCCCGCATCGTCCATGACATTTATCCTCAGCTCGCAATCGTAGCGCATCGACCTCCCTCCTGCCGAGCAAACATGGCAGCGGCGACCGACGCTACTGCCGCCGCTCAGGCAGACTTGGCTCGACGCAAACCACCTCGTGTCTCGGACCTGCCTCTGTCTTCGTCCAAGCGTGCTTCAATAGACAGTCTACTGCATACCTTCAAGAAGAAAGGCCAGTTTGACGAGCTGCGCAAGAACACTTTTGCTCAATTCGATCATGGTGTATGTTCACCTCCATTTGTACCGCACTCGGATCTGTCTGACACGAACCCCCAAGCCAAAGAAAGACACCCTGGTCGACTCCATCCGCTCCTTTGTAGACGCCGAAATCGATCGCGACCCTGTCAAATATCTGACCAAGAATCCTCGCCTCGCCGCTCCTCTCCTCGAAGGTGCTGCTGCTCGTGCAGACATCTACCCAAACACCGAAGCCGACATCGACCATTTTATCCAAGACCATCTCCAAACTGCAGAACAAGCACTACGAGACATTCGCAAGTCCGAAATTGGCGAGGAAGCTGCAAACAAGGAGAAGGAAGCTGGCACTAAATCCGACCAAGTCTATGCTGAAGCATCAAAACGCCGCCACAAGGAACGCCTCGAGCGTCATGCCGAAGAAATGAAAGAACAAGCAAAGAAAGAGCGTGCTCAACGTAACAAGGCCGAGATGGAAGCTCTCATGCAGCGCCAACTGGAACTGGCCAAGGAGACGGAGCGTTTGGCCATCAGTCAGAAAAGATCAGCCGAAAGGGCAGAGGCTCGCAAGAGAGAGGAAGAAAAGAAAAAGGCTCGTCTCAAGGCTCTTGCCGAAGAGCGCGAGAAAAAGGAGAAGCTGCTTGAGGAGGAACGCAAGAAAGAAGAGGAAGAGAGAGCCAAACGCAAAAAGATTCAAGAGGAGGAAGAGGCCAAACGTCTCGAGCAGGAGGCTATGCGCATGCTGCTCGAAGAAGGTCAGGCTATGGCTTCCAAATCTGGTGCTAAGAAGCTGGACCGTGAACGCGAACGCAGCGAGAGCTTGGAGAGAAGATATGCCCGCCGAGACAGAGACCGCGACCGCGACCGCGACCGCGAACGTCGTTCGCCATCAGCAGATCGCCACTACCGACCCGCCGACCGAGACAGAAGAGAACGAGGATATGACCGCTACGAAGGCCGCCGCGAATCTACCTTGCGCGAAATTAGTGCCGAGCGCGAGGCATGGAAAGCAAAGCAACTCCGCGACAAGGACCGTCGCAGCAGATCTCCCTCTCGCGACCGCCGTCCTGCACGTCACGAGCGTTCTCGCAGTCCTTTAGGCAGAGGTGATCGTTATGTACCTTCAGATCGCCAGGACCGCGACACCCGCAGAAGGCGTTCGCGTACTCGCTCTCCTAGGGGCCAGGGCGATCGCTACGTTCCTGCCGATCGTCTTGCACAACCCGACCGTCGCACTCGCGACCGCTCGAGAGATCGATCAAGAGACAGAGAGCGTGATCGCGACGTGTGTGACAGAGACAAAGAAAGAGATCGCGACCGCGAACGCGAGCGTGGAAGAGAGAAAGACCGCGACAAGGATCGTGACAGAGACCGCGAAAAGGACCGCGATCGAGACCGAGACAGAGAGCGTGAACGTGAACGAGAGAGGGAACGCGATCGCGACAGAGACCGCGACCGCCGCCGCAGGGAAGACGACAGACCAAGGGGCGATCGTTATGTCCCCTCCGCCAGCGCTGGTGCCTCTCGCCGCGACAGCGAGAAAGCCGTCAGCAAGCGCGATCGCTCTCGCTCGAGAAGCCGCGATGCCAGGTAGAACCGCGACGAGCTTCGAGAGCTTCGAGTGGCGACGTAGCTGTCTAGATGTGATGACGAGTATGAGACGCATCTCCAGTATTAGTATTGAGGGCAGAGGGCATGGAGAGTCTATGGAGTCAAGAATGCATTCATGGTAGGAGTTTATGGCGTCGCTTTTGATGGGTTTGTAGCATTGCATGATACCCCCTGATTGCTAGTATCGTCAAGAAAGGAATCGACTTTTTCACTCATTTGCTCAGTCCGATATGCGTTTCTGTCTCCTTTTTCCCTCTCGACTTTCATTGCTCACATTTCTTCCTTCGACTTGATGCCGAACCACGGTATTTCTCGTCCAATCTGACTTTCTTTCGCCGAAGATACATGATCTGTGGTAGAGAATGATTGATAGAGGTCTGGATCGTCAGGCAGAATTCCAGATCAGTTTCAGGAACCGAACCTTGGTTATTGGCACGTGAGAGCATGCGGCCTCTGTAGTTGTATATCAAGAAGCAATATCCTACGCAGTGGGATGGCCCGCCAAGAAGAATAAAAATCCTGCGACCTTTGAGTAGCAATCTTGAATGAAGGGGCATACCGAGCAAACACGTCTGTGATCGATTCCTTCCAGAAATCCTTCCAAAAAGATCCACAGCTCATGTGAGAACATGTCGTTGCAATGTGATACCAGCAAGTCGGTCAATAGAACAACTCAATGGATAGAGAGATGGTAAGTGGATTCATGTTTTCAATGTCTACATGACAATCTCACACTTATGCGCCTGCGGCGTGATAAGGAAGAAGTTGACAGGCTTCATACTTTCATCCGTCGTCTCAGGCCCCAGTCTCGCCCCCCTACACTCACGGAAGAATTTTGCAGCCGCCAACCTCAACTCCATACGCGCGAGATGCACTCCAATGCACACCCTTGACCCAGCACCGAAGGGCGAAAACACTGCTTTAGCAAGAGGTGAAAGCTCGTTTGATGGTAGCCATCGTGTGTGGTCGAAGGTATCGGGGTTGGGGAACAGAGAAGGGTCGCGGTGCAGGGAGTAGCTTTGTGTGCCTACGATTGTGCCTGCGGGGATGAAGTGGTGGGCGAGTGTTGCGCCGCCTGCGGGTGTTAGGCGAGGGAGGGTTGCTGGTGCGGCGCCATACAAACGCAAAGTTTCTTCAATCACGGCATTGAGGATGGGCAATTTCTCCAGGGAGGCATCCGTGGGTTGAGCATCGGTGTTGTTGACTTCGTCCTCGAGAGCGGCTTGTAGGGAAGGTTGCTTGAGCACACACCAGGTTAGGTATGTGAGGGTTATGCCTGTGGTGTCTGAGCCTGCGACGATCAGGTTTCCAGCTTCTGTTTGGATATCTTCGTCGGTTAAGGTTCCATCGCCCTTTTCGGTTTCGTTGATTGCTGTGGCGAAGATGTTGGAAGTGCCGAAGTCTTGGGCTTTGCTGTTTTTGACTGCTAAGCGTCCCTGCTCGAGCAATACACTGTTGGCGTAGAAGATGTTTCTCATGGCGGCGAAAGGTAGGTGACGGCCTATCCAGAATACCAGAGGTAATTCCCAACTGATGGCAGAGCAGATGGTAGCTTTTTCAAGAGCTACGATGTAAGGTACTCTCTCACCGCTTTCGAGCATGTGGAAGGATTCGCCAAACATCAAGTGAGCAGAGACGTCTGTAGCTAGGTATGTCCACCATTTGAGTACATCTGCTGTTCCAGAGACGGCGTCTGCTTTGATGCGCGCAACAGCCAGATCAACTTTCTCGCGAACAACATCTTCCCATTGCTCGCGCAAGTGGCGCTGACTGAAGCCTTTAGCCAGTAACTTCCTTCTAGCAGCATGTTCTTTGGGGTTGGTCATGTTGAAGACACCTGGGCATTTGCCCACGCCATTGGTGTTGAGATACTCATACCAGTTGGTTTTGTTGAAGCCAGAGCCAATCTTGTGGATGTCTTTGAAACTGGCTGGGTCGTTGACGGCGATCTCATTAGGTGTGATGCGTACGATTGGACCGTATTTTTGGTGGAGTTCGTGAATGTAGTCGGCTCGGCGGCCACCGAGGACTGCTATCTTCAAGCGCCAGTTTACTAAGGTAGCGTGCCAGGGTCCTGGTATGCCACGAAGAGGGGTGAAGAAGGCTCTGTGCGCGACCTAACAGATGTTAAAAGTGTGTGTAAGCCAGCATAGAACTGACGCACCTTATAGGAGATGTATACAGCTGTGACAGCGATATAGAGCCACACCAGATTGGAGTAAGAGAGTTGTGCCATGGTCAGCGATAGCTTATGGGCTTAGTCCAGATGCTAGGAAAAGACACGACGCAGGCTTTATACAAAGTCGTGGATTTAGAAGACACAACATCTAGGCCCAGCAAGACATGATGCATGGTTTGGAGGACATGTGGGCACGATGCATGTGGAGCCGTCGGATGGCATTGCTACCGTATCCGAGGTATGATGACCTACCAAATGCCTACCTTTTGGCGAACAGGTATGCAAACGCCGTGGAACGGGTGTAGAAAGTATGAGAATACCCCGCAATGAGTGAGCTATCGAAGTAGAGCTCATGCCCACTCGACTTGATTCTCCAAGATATCTCCACGATTTGGTGATTTTGTGGCTTGTGGGGGAGCGATTGATGTGAAAATCGTGTTTCGGATTATGATCAGGAGCCTCATGTGTCCGTCGTGAGCATGGTATATATTGCACTTGGTCGACAGGGAGCGAGTGTCCCTGCAAGAATGGATAGATGATGGTTATTCGATTATGACTCCGCGTGCTGTCGGAATTCCATGGCGGACGGCTGAAGATCAGAATCAAAAAGCGTGCCAAGACAGGTCTGCTGGTGCGGCTGCGGCTGCAGGGACTTTTGGGCAAAGTGTTGGCATCATGTGCCTGAAAATAGATTGAGAAACACCAAGCAACCAGGACGAGCGTTTCGTTTCGTGCTTCCGCTTTCTGTTACCCCTCGAGACAAGCACCGTCTAGGATTCGTTTTGTTCGCCTTTCCTTCTCTCTATACCGCCACTCGTTCACCCGTACATTCACGCATACCACAACTTGCGCTCACAGACGCCGTCCACATATCATATCCGCGCGCGGCAAACAACAACGCAACAAGAGCATGGGTTTTGGCGACTTTGACACAATATGCAGGCAGGCCGCCCTGCCGCTATGCACAATGGTCGGTAGCAATGGTGTCAAGGGCACCAAAGGAATACAGCCCGCCTGCTACTCTCGCACAATCGAGGTGGCCAACACGGTCATCTTCCAGGGCGCTGCTGGCATCGCCCACATCTGCGCTCTGCTCATGACTGTCATCATGATTGTCCATGTTCGCAGCAAGTTCACCGCTGTCGGTCGCAAGGAGATCATCAGTTTCTTCTGGGGATACTTCCTGCTCACCATCGTCTCGCTACTTGTCGACTGCGGCGTCGTTCCTCCTGGCTCTGGCGCATATCCCTGGTTCGTCGCTGTGCAGAACGGCCTCGCTTCCGCCACTTGCGTTTCCCTCATGATCGCAGGATTCGTCGGTTTCCAGTTGTATGAGGATGGTACATTTCTGAGTGTCTGGCTGCTCAGAATCTGCTCGGCCACCATGTTCGCCATCACTTTCATCATCAGCATCTTGACCTTCCAAGGCTGGGCCGGTCTGGGTCCCGACAACACCGTTGGTCTTTTCGTCGTTCTCTACATATTTAGCGCCATATTCCTCGCAGTCTACGTCGTCATGCAGGTCCTGCTCGTCGTGGGAACTCTTCAAGATAGATGGCCATTGGGCCACATTGCTTTTGGCGTCTTCTTCCTCGTTGTTGGCCAGGTCCTCATCTATGCATTCGGCAAGGCTGTCTGTGAGGGAATTGCTCACTACATGGACGGCCTCGTCTTTGCTACCGTCTGTAATCTTCTTGCGGTCATGATGATCTACAAGGTAAGCATTCCAATCCGTCTTCTATCTCTACTAGTCCTGTACCAACGCTCGTGCAACAGTTTTGGGACTCTATCACCAAAGAAGATCTCGAGTTCTCGGTTGGCGCAAGAGTCAACAACTGGGATCTCAAGGCCCAACTTCTCAATGAGGAAGAGAAGAGAGCCACCATGTACATGGACAGCGAATACGATAGCTTGTATCACCAAGCCCCGCGTCAACAGTCCATGTACGGGAGCTCCAACGGCATCTAACCACATTCTTTCAGCACTGGAAACAGCACACAAAGCGTCATCTTCATCTTCATAGAAAAGCATTGCGCACGGAGTCACGAGTTTTATTCTTTTAATGATCATCAATAGGTTGGGAATTGGTAATGGACGGGTAGGAGCATATCTAGTTTAGCCCAATAATATCTACAGTCATACCCTCATTCTAACAGGGACACATAGAAGCCTCGGAAGTGCAGGCGGATATTTGCGGTCCTTTACCAATTTGACCATCTTTGGAGCGTTCTGAGCGAGTGTTCCCAACATTCTTCCCTACCTAGCTGTCTGCAATTTCTGTTTCTGACGCGTTCCGAACAAAAAGCCCTAAAACGCGATCAACTCTAGATCGTGCTTTTCCTCTCCTTAGCGTCGAACATATTCCTTTAGTAATCACAAATAATCGTGATTGCTCGGATTTCTCGGCTTCATCATCAAGCCATGGACGAGGGCTGGTCAACGATATGAATGAAAGTTCATCTCACCCTGAGCAGCGGAGGGACCACGCTGGAGGGCCGGCATCCGCGGAGCGGCCTCATCTCCATCGCACAGCATGCTTTAGCTGTCGATCATCAAGACAAAAATGTGACAGACAGAGTCCATGGTACTAACAATCCACTGAACACCAACACAGCTTCTGACAATGCTGTAGTACCCGGTGTATCTCACAGCAGAGACGATGCGAGTATCCTCAGATTTCCAATCGAGGCCGAAAACAAGGAAGTGTCAAGTAAGTCGAGTTCATCACTTGTGTGTGTTCTTGTCTCATGCAGAGCAGCAAACCAGACACAGTCGAGAAGCTTTTGCAGCGTATCCATGAGAGTCCTGTTGGCGAGCAAGTGATCGCTGCTATCCTGTCTTCGTCTCGAAATCTGCAACCTTCTGGTTCTATCTCGGATACACAAAGTGTACAGGGTTCAGCAGATCGCACACCTGAGACTAGAGATGTGTCAGTGGCATACAGCGTCACCAAATCAGAGGACAAGCGAGTGGAGTACACTCGTACGAACGGTGATTCTGTAAGCTCACTTATATCACCTCTACACATTCTCGCCGATGCCGTGGAAACCGAAAGACTGGCATCACTGCACATCCTAGATCCAGCCCCGGCTGTAGCACAGTCTGAAGAAAACCAGTCGAATGATGCAAGCAACGGGTGGCTGTCCCGCAACTCTACAGAGCGGCTGATCAAATATTTCAGTATGTTGGCCAGCTTCTGCCTACCATTTCACTACTGATGGCCTGTTCTTCTTTTCTTAGAGCCTATCTCCCTATCACAGAAAGACTGGCAAGTTTTGGCTTCTCAGCCGCTCAATGCTCCTTTGAGGCTCAGCTCTTTGACTTGCGATCCGATCAGTTCTCGTATCATAAACGACAATGATGCCGAGAGATACTTTGACTTGTAAGTCTTCGCCTGTGACCGTTCACATCGAAAGTATATGGCTGATTGGGTGATAGATTCTTCAAGATTCGGAATCCGCTTGTGTGTCTGCTGGATCCTATTCTTCATACATCAGAAAATGTCCGACCGCTATCTTTCACTCTCTTCTCCGTGGTCTGTGCACTGGGATGTGCGATATCAGACACTCAAAGAGATCGGTCGTTGTACCCTACTCTACTAGCTCTGGCGGAAAGCAACATCAAGTGGTCGATAGCGACGTCTGTTAAATCTGTGGAAACTATTCAAGCGATCTTCACCATGGAGTACTGGTCACCTGTCCATGAAACCCAGAAGGATGATCCGTATTGGTTGCACATCAGCCACGTATGAAACGTCCCTCCACTTCACGAACCTCTGCTGACCTTATGCAAAGGCAATCCTGATTGCCAGAGAATTAGGCCTCAACAAAGCAAAGTCTGTAACAGATTTAGTCTCGACCTACACTTCGTCCACAGCAAGTTCAAACTTCAAGGAACGATTCCATCGAAATATCGAGAGAACATGGCTCGCTGCATTCTTTGCCGAAAAGAGCTTTGGTATCGTCACTGGACGGGTAATGAACGTGGGTCGATCAGAGATCTCCGAAACGATATCTGAATGGTGGAAGAAACCAATGGCTTGTCCATTTGATCGAGTCATCAGTGGTGTTGTTGAGATGCGAATTCTTCTTGTGAGTATCGAAGTGCACAATCGTAGATTCGGGCGCTGATGCGACATGAAACAGATGCAATATCTCGAAGAAAGACAAAACATGGCCAAGACCAGAGACCTGGTTGAAGATTGGCAAGCACGAGGCTTCGCAGCCCTCCAGGCTCTTCGCGAACAGCGCTGCTCCCCCAGCAACTCGCAAGACGAATCTGCTTCAGCAGAATACTTGCCCATCCTCGCATACTACATGGATCACAGCATTCTGGTCTTGAACGCGAATGCTTTGCGAGATTTTGTTGCAACTAACTCTATGGAGTGTCTAGCGAACCCCTGCAAAATTTCTCGCCAGACCGTCGATGTCGCATGCAGGTCATTGACTCTTATACTGACTGACCCGGTCTTACTCCAGCATATGTATGGCACTCACAACAACCAACTCATCATGATATGTCACGCATCCAGCGAGATACTATTCGTAAGCCATCGCTGTCACTCGCCTGATCTGCAAGCATCCTAATCAACACTTGTAGGCCACAACACGCGGCTGCCTACCCCCAGAACTTATCGAAACAGCAGCTGCAAGAGTACGCGCCGTGACCAGACACATGGAAGCAATAGCCCGAGGGCTACCAACTTCGTCTGCGGCATCCCTATACACCACACTTTCCAACATCTTTTCAAAACAGTTGGATAAGTACATCTCGACTAGCCAAGCCAGTTGTGAAGTCTCGCAGGAGCCGATACCGACGGATTGGTGGAATGCACTTGGGGGCGACATGTTGGTGGATATGAGTGATTTGTTTCCCGAGCAGCTGTTTCCCGAGTTGAGTGGGTACGATGGTGGTGGGGATGGAATGATATGATCGAAGGAGATATAACAGTCGATATGATGCACAAAACTTATGCACATCTGAACATACAATATTATGCCGCCTTATGCACGGTACCTCGTAGATACCTCTTTCGGGTTCGTCTTTCCGGGCATCAGAAAACCCCCACCTTTCTCCACCTTCTACATAGATACGCCAATCTGCAATTGTAGACAAAGGCAGCATCCTTATATTGCGTGCTCAGGTAGGGTACAACTGCACTCGCTAGGGTAATCGCATCCATAATCCCTGCTCGCTGCAAAGAGTTCTAAGTAAAAGCAGCAACTTCCCCCTCTCTACCATCATCCACTCTTTCCTCTTCTTCGACAACCCGATTCTCTCTTTCACCAAGACAACAAATCAACGAAACACAAGAAAACCCGATCATCGCAAAAAAGTCCACAATGTCATTCAACCTCCACCCCCTCATCAACAACGGCATCACCGCAGGCTCCTCCTCCTTCTCCGGCGGCAAACTCTCCTGCCACTGCAAAGCCTCCCCCGTCACCGTTTCCCTAACCTCAAACATCGCCCACAATCACGCCTGCGGCTGCTCCAAGTGCTGGAAACCCTCTGGTGCCATTTTCAGCATCGTGGGCGTAGTACCTCGCTCTGCCCTCAGCGTCGCCTCCGGCGAAAGCAAACTATACATCGTCGACAAGGATGCAGTGATTCAGCGCCATGCTTGCAAAGAATGCGGTGTGCATATGTTCGGACGCATCGAGGTGGACCATGCCTTCCACGGTTTGGATTTCGTGCATGTGGAGTTGAGCAAGGAAAAGGGATGGCAGGAAGTCCAGTTTGCGGCATTCGTGAGCAGTGTCGTTGAGCAAGGCCTTGTTGCTCCCGAGGAAGCGGATAAAGTCAGGCAGCAGTTGAAGGGACTGGGATTGAGCACGTATGATGCTTTGAGTCCAGGTCTGATGGATGCCATTGCGGCGTTTGTGGCAAAGAAGAATGGAGTGTTGAGGGAGTCGAAGTTGTAAGAGGGGTACCTTGACGGCCTGCTCGACTGTCTTGGGATGATTGAACAGACTCTTGGATGGATGTTTGGGTATTGATTGGAACCAGATACATATGTTGGACAATGTGCAGTCAAATGATGAAGTAGATGAGACCCAAGAAAGAATTGCTCAAAAAGACATCTCAATACTAGTCTACATAATACTACTCTTTTCCCTCGTGCTGCAAGGTAGGAACAAAGGAGAAAAGTGTAATCAAATTTTGAAAAGCGCCAAAACACTAACATGCAAACGTTTCCATGCAATTATCCCATCCAAATCACTGCATTATATCATGCATCAATCATATATGCTGTTCTCACATGACACTACTGCTACTGCACACAACATCAGGAGCACAAGAACTCACATAGCCAGTCGTGAACACGGTGGTGGTCAATGTCTGCAAAGCAGGACATGTGGACGGACGAACAGTTATGGTGACTGCAAAGTCAGATGTCAGCAGGGATACAATGTCAACAGAATCACAGGACTTACTGGGACCAGTGTAGAACGATGATGTCGATGTCATCGGCGGAACGGCAGTGCCGGTGCGGCTGTCAGTGGCACCGCTAGGAGTGAATGTGGACGCGATACCAGAGTTCGCGGCAGAAGAAGCGTACGAAGTGCCACCTGAAGATGCTGCACTGGAAGCGAACGACAAAGCAGCACTGGATGCGGCACTGGAAGCGACAGACGAGGCGGCTGATGAGGCTGCAGATGAAGCGGCGGACGATGCTGCAAAGGAAGTCGCGAAAGAGTTTGCACTCGAAGCCGCCGATGAGAAAGCCAGAGACCCAGCAGAGGAGAAAGCAGTGGAGAAGTCTGTCGAGAAGGCAGAAGAATATGCCGACGAGTAGGCCGAGGAGAAGGCAGAAGAATACGCAGAAGAGAAGCCACTCGAGTAGGCAGATGAGTACGCAGTCGAAGAGGCAGTGGAGAATGGTGTACCAGAATAGGTCGTGTACCACGATGTCGAGAACTGAGTGTATACGGTCGAGACAGTCACGCTGATCGGTACTAGCGAGGTAGACACGATCGTAGAACTGGCTGGACAGCTTACAACACCAGGAGAGCACGATGTGATGGTAGTGATGTCAGTGCTGTAGATCGTCGAGGTCACCACGCCCACAGCGCTGGAACTGGTGGCAGATGGCAGGGACACAGTCGAGATTGTCACGCTGATGGGGACAAGCGTGGTCGAGACGATTGTCGAGCTAGATGAGACGATGGTGGTGAGACCCGTGCTATAGACCGTCGAGCTGATTACCGCAGTTTCAATGGGCGTTAGAACAATGGCAGAGCTCTCAGTGTATGTGCTTGTCACGAACGCTGGTGCAGACGATGTGCTAGTGCTAGAGGCAGCGGCACTAGAAGCAGTCGTACTCGAGAAACTGCTAACAACGCCCACGCTGATTGGCACAAGCGTAGTAGAAATCACTGTCGAACTTGCTGGACAATTTGTCACGTCTGCTGAGCACGACGTCACGGTGGTAATGTCGGTGCTGTAGATAGTGATCATCAAAGGTCCGCCAGGGTTCGTGAGTCTGGTAGCTCTGTATCCGATGGTGCCAGCAGGGAATGGAGTGGTACCCGACGAAAGATCTGCTGCGTTGTGCAAACGACACTCTAGGGTGTTTTGAATCCATGTAGCAGCCAAGCATCCAGAGACTCCACTACAGGTGTTGACACAGACGTTCAAGTTTCGAACGCTGGTGACTGTCGTAATGCCCACGGTATTGTAGTCGCTCGTACAATCAACACTATAGTTATTTGGTGGCGATTGCGAGTCCTGGAAGTAGTTACCACAGTACTGCGAATAACTAGTTGGAGTTGAGGTTGCGGTGGAAGAAACAGTTACGCTGACAGGCACCAATGAGGTCTGGACGACGGTTGAACTTGCCGGACAACTTTGAACATCTGGTGGACATGAGGTAATCGTGGTTATATCCGTGCTGTAGATGGTTGAGGTGATTGGACCGTCGTTGGCATCCTGGGCAGGGGCGCGCAAAGCGAAGAGAGTACCAGGCGAGTACCCCGTGCCAGAGACTTGTGCAAACAGCTGACAACTGCCTGAATTTAGGTTATACGCAACAGCTCGGCAGAAGTCGACACCGTCGCACTGAAGCTGACATTCGTGGAAAGCTGCTTGTTGTGCATCTGTTTGGCGCTTCTTCAAGACTGCCTTGGCGTCTTCTTCGGAATATAGACTCATCATCATGTCGTCGAACATCAGAAGTTCAGCATCTCGTTTGGAGGTGTCGGTATTGTCGCTCCGCCAGCGTTTGGAGTTGTCGGTATTGTCGCTGCTGGCGGGGACAATGACGGTACCACCAGTGACTCCAGTATCGCACTGATGGTTATATGCCTTACCATCGGGATCGGTACAGGTGACGTTATTGACGTTAGGACAGGCAGGCACCGTACAAGCGGGAGCTGGGGCCTCTTGAGACACGTAGGTGGCAGTGGCAGAATAAGTTGAGCCAGGATCAAAAGTGCTATAAGCCGAGGGGGTGATAGGGATGCGTGTCTCGGTCGTGGCAGTGGTAAGAGTGGTGGCAGTGGACAAACTGGACGTAGGGGACAGGACGGCCGTGATTGTGGAGAACGAACCACTCACGGCCGAGCTTGTCGCAGGTATCGAGCTGGATGCGGCTCCTGTACTCGATGGAGCAGTGATCGTCGCGAACGAAACACTGATGGCTGAACTTGTTGCGAGTATTGAGCTCGACCCAAGTACTGAGCTTGATACGGATAACGGACTCGATGCAGCAGTGATCGTGGAGAGTGAACCACCAGAAGCTGATCCTGTTGCAGATGACTGACTCGAGGCAGAACTACTTCCAGAGGATGATGGACTCGATATAACAGTATTTCCAGAGGATGACACGGCGGATGACGAACCAGTAGTAGACCCCGACGATGGTGGAGGACCTGTGCCAGCACGAATAAGGACACCAACGCTGATAGTGTTGGCAGCACTGCTAATGGCATTCTGTGCAGATCGCAAATAACATGTGCCTCCCAATTGCGTAGCGTCACCGGAGTAAGTGAAGAAGCTACAGCCAGCAGTGGTATCGCAAGCACTTATACAACCAAGCAGACCTTGATTGTTAGACCCCACGACGGAAATCAAGTTACCTCCAGAATCAGAACTACAGTGGATCTGGTAGACCGAATTGTTGCTACTGGTGTAATAATCGCCATCAACGGCAGGACAAGAGGGTGGGGCAGTGCTGGTCCAGTACGGCCCTGTGATGGTTGACGAGCCCGATACGGGCAGAGTACTGGAGACAGGCGTCGTGGAGCCCAGACCGGTGGCGCTGGAAGATCGAGTCGATGATACGGGCGAGGTGGGGTTGACGATTGAGGAGAAGACTGAAGATACGCTGGATGACAGGCTCGATGCTGATGAGGAGGAGACCGATGAGGCAGAAGATCCGCTTGACTGTGGAATGTTAGAAGTGGACAACTCGCCCGAAACGATGCTACTTGCTGAGGAAGGTGTGGGGGAAGTATATGTGGAAGAAAGGGACGAAGATGCAGGAGAAGGCGATGAAGGGCCAATCGATTGCGACGCGCTAGAAAGCAGTGAAGATCTGGTTCCAGTCGTCACACTCGATATGGTTCCGCTGCTCGTTGATAATGACGGGGCTGACGTCGCCAAACTCGACGATGATGTGATAGACGATAGAGCCGAAGCGATACTAGACGAAACGCTGGAAGCCGAGCTCGAGACGACGCTAGACAGGGAGCTTGCCGAAAATGAGACAACACTGGCCGACGAGCTCACTGATAGGACAGAAGAGGAACCCAGACTTGACGAAGAAGAGCTCAGGCTTGATGAGAGGGAGCTCGATACCGACGAAGAGAGACTTGATGCGGAAGAGGAGAGCGTCGAAGGACTTGATGTTGGGGAGCTCAGTGTCGGAGATGTCAGACTTGATGAAGTCAAGCTCGTGGAAGGCAATGTCGAGAGACTTAGTGTCGAGGAACTCAGAGTTGAAGAAGTCAACGTTGATGAGCTCAGAGTAGAAGAAGTCAGCGTCGAGCTCAGCGTCGAAGAATTCTGTGTCGACGAGGTCGATGTCGATGAACTGTGTGTCGAGGAACTCAGGGTCGAGGAACTCAGGCCCGATGAAGTCACAGTCGAAGAACTCGAGGTTGGTGAAGTCAGCGACGAAGAGATCAACGTTGATGAGGCCGGGGTAGAGGAACTCAGAGTAGAAGAATTCAGGGTCGAAGAGTACAATGTCGACGAGCTCAGACTTGACGAAGTCACAGTCAGGGAACTCGAGGTTGGTGAACTCAGTGTCACGGACGTCAACGTTGAAGAAGTCAGCGTCGAGGAAGTCAGCGTTGATGATGAGGGACTTGATGTGGAGAACGAAACTGATGATGTCGCTGTCGTCGCTGTCGTTACTGTCGTCGCTGTAGTAAGGGTGGTCACTGTCGTCGCTGTAGTAAGAGTGGTCACTGTTGTAGCTGTCGTGGCGGTCGTGGCTGTCGTCGGGGTTGTGGCTGTCGTGGCCGTAGTAGGAGTTGCCAGAACAGAGCTAGACGAAGACGATCCACTAGACGAAATACTGCTCAATACTGAAGATGACGAGGAAGACGAGAGCGAACTTGACACGCTGCTACTCGAGGAGGAAGAAACTGAGCTCGAAGCTGAGGATGATCCCGATAGTGAAGCGGCGATTGCACCAGCTGAACTGCTCAACAGAGAAGACGTCGACGAGGAAACGCTGCTCGATGAAGATGAAGACAGACTGCTGCTTCTCGATGAAGAGAGACTTGAACTGCTGCTAGATGATGCTGACGAACTGCTGCTAGATACTGACGAACTGCTCGAGGATGAAACGCTCGAAGACGAGCTAGAAAAGCTCGAAGAGGTAGGAGAGGATGTGGGAGTGACGCTGGACGAGGAAGTAGACGAAGAAGTGGTGCTCACCGAGGTAGAGGTCAATGTAGAGGAACTCAGTGTCGAAGAAGTCAAAGTCGAGGAAGTCAGAGATGAGGAAGTCAGAGATGAGGAAGTCGACGAGGTAGTCGACGAGGTAGTCGACGAGGTAGTCGACGAGGTAGTCGACGAGGTAGTCGACGAGGTAGTCGGTGTCGTCGCTGTTGTAGGCGCGGTAGCCGTTGTAGGCGTGGTACCTGTCGTGGGTGTTGTAGCTGTTGTGGGCGTCGTAGCGGTCGTGGGTGTGGTGGCCGTCGTAGGAGGATACTGAGAATCAAACGAACTCGAAGAACTGGAACTCGAACTAGAAGAACTAGAACTGGACGAACTAGAACTAGAAGCACTAGAGCTAGAACTGGAGGCAAAACTGGAAGCACTAGAGCTGGAACTAGAGCTAGAACTCGAACTAGAACTTCTGGAGGAACTGAGCGAGGAACTCGAACTGGAACCCACAGTGACCAGATTGTTTCGCACAGGGTTCTGCGATGCCTGAACGTAATCACCACCAGAGGAAACGTAGGTACCCACGATACGCTTGATGAAACATTGTCCTACATGATAAGTGAAGGAAGTGCAAGTCGGGAATCCGTCGCAGATAGCAAAGCACTGCTGGAAATTTTGAATATTGTTGAACACAGTGTTGGCGGCAGCCGAGAGATCGTAGCCACACATGATGAAGTAGTAAAGACCGTTGACAGTGCCGTTCTGGTAGGGATCGTAGTAATAAGTTCCATTGCTCTGAGGGCAAGTTGGAAGGACCGTGGAGACTGGGTAACCCATATAAGTTGAGCTAAGGGCTCCTCCGCTTACTGTCACGGCTGATGCGGACGTGACTGAAGTTCCCGTTGCTACGCCGGTAGTCAAAGTACCAGCTGAAGTGATGGTCGGGCTCACAGAGCTGGCCAAAGAGCTGGAAGTGGTGCTAGAGACAGAAGAGCTAGATCCAGTGCTGGAGGAACCGGTCGTGGTTGTGGTCGCACTTACAGTGCTGCTGCTGGTACTGGTAGTCGTTGTCGTAGTCGTGGTTATCGAAAGTGTGGAAGGACAGGAGATGGCACTCGGCGTTCCAGTCGAAGCATAGATCGACGATAAGTAGTCTTGACTTGGACCGGCAGGGTTGGTCCACTTGTAGAAGAAGTTCAGCGAGAAAGCAGCTGCATCGATGTAACCACCGGAACCAGATCCAAAAGAGTATTGATGAGGCCAATTTGCGAGGCGGAACTGAGTAACAAGACCGAGAAGTCCACTCGTGGAACCGAACTCCGCCTTGGTCACGTTGCCTCCGTTTGTGATGGTGGTGACGTTGTCGGTCGTCAAGTTGTTACGCGTAGCCCAGTCCTGAGTCCAATGGGGAATGGCCGGCAAACAGTATCCTCTGCGGCCACCTCCAAAGTATGGAATAGTGCCGTCACCGTCGCCGTGGAATTCGATCATAGGGGCACGTCTGGCGGGGCTACAGACAGAGTGTATCAGGTCGTTCGTCAGGATAGCGTTGGGCAAACAGACTGATGAAGAGTCATTGGTCTGTGTGTAGTATGCTCCGGAGTGAGGTGCAAACGCATTGAAAACTGTGGACATGGTTGGATCGCAAGCCAGCACGTTTGTCAGGCCACCACCGTTGCTGAAACCAGCTGCGAAGACACGGCTTGTATCGATACAGAACTGGGATGAGATATTGGCCACCAAAGTGCTGACGAAGTTGAGATCGTTGATAGTCGTATTGCCCACCCAACTTGGATCACCTTGCCATGTGGGCTGACCCGTAGAGTCCTTGATTGCTGTGGGATAGACCGCGATACCATAAGGATTGATTCTCTCGAGTGAGAAGCCAGTTCCGCTCTCTACGGCAGTTCCACTATCGCCTCTTCCGTGGAAGACCAAGATGAGTGGGGCTGCTTTGCTGGGGTCGTAGGTGGACGGCACGTGTATGTTGTAAGTGTGGACATAACCGTCGGATCCATTACCACTGAATTGCACACTGGCTCCACCAGCATTGATCTGAGAGTTCAATGGCGTACCACATCCGGTACTTCTGTACAGTCCGTTCGAGACAGGTGCCGGGTAACCCGGTGCAGTAACGTAGATTGTGGCGGTGTTGCCGGATGAAGGTCGAACGATATTGCTAAAGGTCCTTTTCAGATAACAGGCGGTCCCAACGTATGTAACTGTGGTACATGAGTTGACTTTGTCGGCGCTGCAGTACGCCATGCAAGTAGCAAAGTCGGGAACATTGTTGACTGTGTTATATGAGCCAGGCGAGCTATCAGCCGAACAATAAACGGTGTATTGTTGGCCGCAAGAGTCTGTGTAAGAAGCCGTGGCCGCACTGCCGGAACAGAGACCATTGGTACCTTGGGCGACAGCAAGAGAAGCAAGTGACAGAAGGAGCGCGGTCGCTCGTAGGGACACCATTTTGGCGACAAATACGAGTGAGAACGCGATTACGAGACCGGAAGAACGAACAGAGGGGAGAAGAAGTCATATTGATGAACGATTGTTGACATGCGCTCTGGAATGCAGTCGATCGGTACCTGCATTCCATGAGATATGAGCAGCTCGACCTACATGTAAAATCCCCTGTATCCCAATGGCCACCAAGCAAGGAATGCACGCAGCCGCTCGGTCTCGATGGCTGATCGAAATCTCGTGATAACGTCTTCGTAGGGGCGAGACTTTAAGGCGATGCGTGTTGCTGACTGTAGTGTAAGTCTCTAAGAAGGTATCGATCTTCCCTTGACGGATATGTGTCTGTCTACGCCAGCAGTCATGTATGGGAGTCGGTATTGCGATTCCATTGAAACGTTGATTGTGGGTGGCGTGTATACTTTGACAGTCAATTGCGTTCTTTCTAGTTTCTTGGACGTCGAAGACGGCGCGAGATGGACTTTGTAGATGCGACAAGGTGAGTCGAGATGAACGATGGAGCGCGTGCACAACGCGTTGGTCTGCTGTCGACTTCGCTGAGCGATATCGGAAGGAGCTTCGCTACTCATACGACCCTGTCAATATACATCAACATTTTCTGCACATCACGCACGATAAACGACAATATGGATGCTCACCTCAAAATATTCCGGTTCTTCTCTAAACTGAAATATTTCGAAGAAATACTAGGTGTGGTGTCATGACGATTAGAAGTCTACGTGAATCTTTTCAAAAAACATCAAGCATGTCTTCTTAACGCCTTGATTTGCAATGCTATACAGCGTGCGATACAAGACTGTCCATGCGCTTTTTGCATCGAAGTATTAATTCATCTCACAGCGATACCGCACAGCTGAAAGGAGACAAAAAAAGTGAACAATGACTTGAATGCGCTACAGAAAAGTGAACATTCGTCAAGGTGCAGACTCGGTCATGGCAACGATGATGCCCAGACGCAGGTACGAACAACGCAACATGGGAGGAATGTATTACCTAGTTTCTGGCCAACATCCCAAATTTCCTCGAGACTCAGGCAAGTCGTATCATTTGGGAAGTCATCTACAGCTTTGCCTTCTCAGCCCGGCTCAGGTAAAGTTTTATCTCTACGCCTTGCACCCCCACAAGCATACGCCTCAAGATCTTTCCACTGGGTGACTTTGGCACTGCCGATACAAACACAATGTTACCCGTCAACCACTTGTACCGTACAGTCTTGGCTTCCATCAACTGCTTGATCTCTTGAGCTAGGGCATGAAGCTCTGGAGTTTTGGGCCCATTTGGCGTACACTGAGCCAATAGATGTTTCGAAGAAGGCACGACATAAGCTCTAGGTAGCTCTGTTGCAAGACCGGCATCGAAGAGACCACATACAGCGGCATCGGCTACGGAAGAGCTGCCGCAGAGGATGTTCTCGAGTTCGGAAGGCGAGACCTGGAAGCCCTTGACTTTCATCACATCCTTCAAGCGATCGGTGATCCAGAGGTGACCTTTGTTGTCGATTTTGCCCACGTCACCAGTGTGGAACCAGCCTTCGCTGTCGAGAGCTTCGTCGGTGGCTGCCTTGTTATTGAGGTAGCAGGTCATGTTTGTTGGAGACCTGAGATAACCGATTAGCATCACAGCGGTGATTGAGCGGCAGTGGTAGCTTACCTGATCAAAATCTCGCCCTCGAGGCCCTTAGCTACGACCTTGGTGGGTTCGTCGACAGACACGATCTTGAGCTCAATACCGAAACACGGCATGCCAGTGTTCCCTAGCTGTGGCTGAATCACTTCCCATGTCTCTCCTACTTGGTTACACACGGACCCAGATTCTGAGAGACCGTAACCCTGCACAGAGCTGTTAGTGCAAGAATTGAAAGACACGCCGAGTTTGGCTTACCAGCTTTATCAATATACCCAACCTCCGATAAACTTGTTCGACAATCTCTGATGGTAGAGGAGCACCTCCGCTAACAGCGCCCTTGATACTCGTGACGTCGTAAGCATCCAGCATGGGCGATTTGGCAAGTATCACAGCGACTGGAGGTGCCATATGTAGGAAGGTGACGCGGAAGCGCTGTACGTTATCGAGCATAAGCTTGGGATCAAACTTTGGCATGACAAAGATGGTGGCTCCGGATGCGACCGCAAGTAGTAGGACGTTGCACAAGGCAAAGATGTGGTAGAATGGAGCAAAGCCTAGCCATCGTTGATCTCCATCGAATGCCTGGTTGATATGCCAAAGTGAGTGTACGTTGCTGACAAGGGCTTGATGCGAGAGAACAACACCCTTGGATTTGCCCGAAGTACCAGAAGACCAGAGGATGACTGCCGTTCGTTTCTGGTATTCGCCTGAGTTGAATTGAACTGGAGCCTTTAGTGGCTTTGAGGCTAGCAACGCTTTCCAGTCTTGTGAATGGTGATCCTGACCGGTAGTCTTGGTATGCGCAGAAGGGAGACCGTACTCGTCGTGAGAAGGGTCTACGATATAGATACGGTGTTTGTTGATGAGATTAGCCTTGACTTTGGGGCTCTCGGTCTCGCCGATGGCTGCATTGAGAACCTGCAGACCTTCTGGCGTTGTCACAACGACTTGAGGTTCGGCGGATTTTAGAATCCATGCGAGCTCACCAGATGTCAGTCCAGGGTTAGCCATAGTCACAGTCAGGCCTGAGGCAAGCACACCGAAGAGCAGCGGAGCAAAGGCCAGGGAATTGGGAAGATGTAGCAAGACAACTGGAGAGATTATTGGAGTATTGCTATCCGAGGAGAGAGGAGCAGTAGGGGTAGGTTGCAGGCCTAAAGCATGCAGTCCAGCTGCAATACGCAATGAATCGATTCGGACTCTATCCCAACTGACTTGGGCGGCTGTGTAATGTTGGTGAGGGTACTTGGAAGACCAGTTGCTAAGTACCTACCTGAGAGAGGATCAACAAGCAGAGGCTTGTGAGGAGCTATGTTGGGTATGACATGGTTGCGAGATTGAAGGTCGGGAGCATGTTGGGAGACAGGGCCATCCTTTCGAAGAGGATTGGAGAAGATGAAGTCGAAGATGTTGGCTTGAGGAAGAGCTGGAGGTGGAGCGCCAACGTAGGACAGTTCGAGATCAGACATGATGGCAAGAAGAACGCAGACGATGAGAGATTCAGATGGCAAGAGCTACCTACTAAAGTGGTCTACCTAATATGTTGAGATGAAGCAGGAAGGAGAGGATGACCTCGGGGGAGGCTGGGTTTAACCGGGGTAAGCTGTGGAGAATTGCCGCTCACCGCCCTGGCCCGAAAGGGGAAGGCGCCAGGGTGCAGCTGCGACAGAAGGGGGAAATTATTGATGCGCCGTGGTAGAGACTCGCGAGTCGTACGAGTAATCTCAACCAATTGAAGCCTGACTTCTACTTTCTGCACTTTGTTCGAGTGCCACAGTCTCTTCCATACCGACACGCACACAATGGCAGACAACACAGTCTACCGCGCGAGCACCTTTGCTCCCGTCAACATCGCCGTCATCAAGTAGGCCCTCCTTGACAACAACCAACATCGCATAAACAGATGACCTAACCAAGAGCAAAGATACTGGGGCAAGCGCGATGCCAAACTCAACCTTCCCACCAACAGCTCGCTGTCCGTAACGCTGTCGCAAGACGACCTCCGCACCCACACCACCGCCTCTTGCAGCAGCCAATACCCCAAGGACTCCCTCACCCTCAACGGTTCCGACCAGGACATCTCAGGTGCCCGTACACAAGCTTGTCTGGCTGAGCTGCGTACTCTGCGTCGTCAAGTCGAAGAAGCCGACTCATCACTCCCCAAGCTCTCGTCGCTGCCCCTCAAGATTGTCTCGCGCAACAACTTCCCTACTGCCGCTGGTCTGGCCTCGTCCGCCGCAGGTTTCGCTGCCTTTGTCCGCGCCATTGCCAACCTCTACGACTTGAAGTCGACACCCACGGAATTGAGCCGGATCGCAAGACAGGGTTCTGGTTCAGCATGCCGCAGTCTGTTTGGAGGTTACGTTGCATGGCAAATGGGTGAGAAGAAGGACGGTAGCGACAGTGTTGCCGTCGAGGTCGCTCCCGCAGAGCACTGGTCCGACATGCGCGCCGTCATTCTCGTCGCATCCGCCGAGAAGAAGGACGTCAGCAGCACTTCTGGCATGCAGCAAACCGTCGCAACCTCGACTCTGTTCGCCGAGCGCATCGCAAACACCGTTCCTCGCCGCATGCAAGAGATGGAAAAGGCTGTTGCCGACAAGGACTTTGCTGCGTTCGCCAGCCTCACCATGAAGGACAGCAACTCGTTCCACGCTACCTGCCTCGACACCGAGCCCCCAATCTTTTACATGAACGACACTTCGCGCGCCGCCATCCGTATGGTCGACATGATCAACTCCGAGGCTGGCAAGACCATTGCTGCATACACCTTTGATGCCGGCCCGAACGCTGTCGTCTACTACCAGGCTCACGACGAGGCCAAGGTCGCTGGCGTCTTCAAGACCGTCTTGGGTGACAAGGAGGGCTGGGAGGGCGCTCGCGGCAAGTCTGTCGAGGCTGCTAACACCCCCAAGGACTCACAAATTGCTGCCGATCGCCTGAAAGAAGGTATTAGCAGAGTCATCCTCACCTCTGTCGGGCCTGGTCCTATCAAGACCGAGGAGAGTTTGATTGACGAGAACGGCAACACCATCTAAGATGACTTCCTCTTCAACTTCTTCATCGTCATTTGATAGACATAACTTTTATTATAATCACGGGCTACTGCAAAGCTTTGCATGTCCACCAAGCGAAATGCAAGAGATACCATTTGTTTCAGTCGATATAATTCATCGTTCTTCTGCCAAAGAAGCCTTGCCTGTACCTGCTGCAAGCAACCGTCTTCCCTCTATCAGACAATTCTGCCTATATCTGCTCTGACATACACACTCTATATCACCTCATAACTTCGCACCCCCCTCAACCTCCGGATCAATATTCGTCTTGTCATGCTCACAAGTACTACACACCCTTCCCACTCTATCCCTCACCACACCCCTAATCGCCGCCTGCCGTCTCCCCACATGCACAACCTCACACTCCACAGTGACTTCCTCACCCACCTTACACGCCCTCACATACTTGACATCCAACACCCTGCTTACTCCCCCCAACATCCAAAAACCTGGTTTTGCTATCGCGGCCAAGGCGAGAGTGGTGCAGTTGTCGTAGATGAGGGAGTGAGCCGCGCCGTGTAGGTTTCCGAGGGGGTTGGAGTAGTAGGGTGGTGGAGTGAAGCTGAAGGTGACGAGGGAGGTTGTGGGGGTGGGTGTGGTTACAGAGACGAGACGCAGACCCGGTGTCGAGGGAGTGCCGTTGTAGAGGGGAGAGGTAAAGCGCTGGGGATTTCAAATGTCAGTCGATGAATCCAAAGTCTCCTGAACATTTTTTGCTTCTCCGAGTGTTTTGAGTCTTGGAGGATGTGTGTTACATAGATTTCTTTTCTTGTTTTCGATGTTGAGACGAAGTTCACACACGCTTGAAACCAATCATGTCATGTTCTAAAGGCAAGAGGACCGGAGATTACTTACGTCCTCGCCTTCATGTCCACTCTTGTGTATCTCCATCATACGCTCAACTCTCTGATACGCTGATAGATTATCCCATCCTTCGTAGCCTTTATCGGCAAACATGGTATCCGGTGTTTGCGGCATTGACGCAGTATGACAAGGATTGAAAATAAGACGAAAAGACAGACACAACTGGAAGCTCGGAACTGTCAGGCAGTGGCAGAAGATTATATATCTTGGAAGAGAAAAGAAAGGTTGTGGTGTGGTTGTCATAAGGGTCGACTTGGGTGGATGCGGAGAGGGCAGCGGCCAGAAAGAGCCTCGGCTCAAGTTTCCTACAGAGTGAATCTAGACCCTGCAACAGGTATCTCATTCGTTCCACGGTCCTTTGAGTCCACTTTGTATTCAAGGGGTAGGAGCAGTATTGGTATGCTTGCTCGTATACCATCAATCTATATCCTGACAATATCGCATCTCGCCCTATTAAACAACTGATGATCAACATCCTCGTCCCTCTCCCTCTCATCCTCAGTCAACTCCCTAGGCCCCACGATCAATCTCGCATAAGTACCCGCCGCTCTCTTCTTGCTCGCCTGCCCAGGGTTAACCACAAGCACTCCATCCACAACCTTGACAAACGGCGTCAACACACTGGGCAACACCAACAGATCCGGGCTGACCGTCAATATCTCTCCAAGCTTCATATACGCGACATCCAAACTAGCACCCACGGTCAAAGCCTTCTCATCTCTGGGAAGAGGGGGAAAGACTGGGAAGTAATGGCGTTGGGTAAGGACGTTGCGGGCTAGAGATGCTAGGGCGTCACTGTTGAGGCCGCTCACGACGCGTTGTCTTTGCATTTCGAAGAGTATGTCTTGACTGCTGATTGCTGTCATGAAGTCGTTGCAAGATACTGTCATGGGGTTCGTGACGCAGGTTGCTTGTTTGGGCAGGCCGAGCTCTTTGCGGGCAAGACGGTCTTGTGGCCAACTGATATGTTTCGACACAGCGTCGCGGACTGATGGTACTAGGATGATTGTAATGCTGGGCAAAGTTTGAGCGAGGCGATTGAGTGGTTGAGAGACGAGAGCGCGGAAAACGTCAGTCAGTGTGGCAGAAGAAGGATCGATCTTGGTGTCGGCGGGGAGAGAGAAGTCACCACTGGCAACCTTGGGGTGTTCGATGTCGATGAAAGGACCGCTGAGAATCAGGAGATCGGCCTTGGTCTCTGCAGCTTGCGAGCAGAGTTCGTGTAAGCTGTCGAAGGACAAGTCGCTGTCTGTTGTGTAAGGACCGGCTCCTATGATGATGTTTAGAGGCCGCGTCTCTGTACCGTCATCGCTTTGCAGGCGTTCGTTGTGTACGTCGATGTTAGTAGGAGCTGTGGCAGGTGGTTGTAGCGAGGATACAGGCAAAACCTCGGTGACACTGAAGTATTCTCCTGATGGGTTGTTGCCTCGAAGAGCAACGATCTTGCCGGGAAAAAAGTCGTAGCCGCCCTTCTCCATACGTAGGGGTACACGCAAGCCAGCGCCCATGCGACGACTGGTTTCCAAGACCATTGAAGCAGCGTTCATCCTCCCCTCGCTCGTGTCCGAAGCAATGCGTCCCACAGCTACGATCTGTGTCGGACTCATGGCAGCGGGGTTGCCGAATGCCGAGTATTCTAGTTGGTGTTGTTTCTGTACGACTTCGACAAACTCGTCGATGCGCTCGTCGAGAAATTCGGAGGCTTCTGAAAGCTTCATGGCCATAGGTCGATAGCCGAACTTGGCCATGTCGGTGTTGGCTTTTAGCTTAACGCGAGCCTCGGCAGGTGCTGTTGAAGGAGTGGGAGGCATCGCGATGTGGCCGTTGAGTTGTTCGACAATCTGACCAGCATTTTGACGTTCGGCGAAAGGAATAGCTCTGGCACATTGTCAGCTCTGCGTTGTTTGCAATGGACTCATGGTATCAGACCCTAGTTGAGATGGTTCAGCTGCTGTTGCACCTAGGGTTGGAGTCTTGTCACCTGCTGGCGAAGCCGTGTTGTTGAGCTTGGTTGCTTTCGCTGAGGGAGTGCCGAAGTCGTTCCTTCGCTTCATGGGTGGTCCTCGAGATGGTGTGCCTGAGACCAGTCCATCCAGACTGCGACAGAATCAGTATTGAATCGTCCAGTATCGGCGCAGGTTGACGTACACGCCGAACACATCACCAGTATTGGCATTCCTCGGAGTGCCATTGGTGCTTCTCTTGTTGGCGCTTTGCATGTGTGCCTTGCCCCTCGACTCTCTTTCCAGCGCGTCCTGAAGGTCTTTCTTGAATTCTCGGGCCGTCTTGTAGTTCATCTGGGTATCCGGGCCCATCTTCAAGCTGTAGGCTTCCCATTTGAAGAACATCTCTTGAGGGCTGAGCGAGTGAATTCGCAACGTCGACTTGAGTTCGCCCAGTACATCGCCTTCGAGTTTTGTGTTTGGTGCTGCGAAGAGCTCATTGATTTCTGCTGTCTGGTCCTCCATGGTGAGTTGTATGTATGTTGACTATACGATCGTTGGTAGAGCAAAACATTCGAGCAGCGAGCGTGTTTGAAAGACGCGTCGCACTTTCCGCGAGTCGCGTCGCCCGTCACTTCTCGGAAAGGCAAGTGTGCCGATCATCACCATCTCACCAGCCCAACCCTGACCTTCGACAAGGGACACAATGTCGCTTTCCAGACAGAGATGCAAGTATGAACATTTGCCATAAGTACTTCTTCGATCACACGGTGAACTTTTATCTGGGACGTACATCACTGAAGTGGTTCACAATATTAAGTGACTTTAAGTAGACATAAGTCTCAACCTAATCATTGATCTCTTCCATTTTCCAAGTCCCAAGACAGATTTTACATCCCGAACTTTCCCAGTGGCGAGCTCTCTAACCTCATCATACTCTCTTCATTCTCAACATCGCCCTCGAAACTGAACTCTTCCGCTTCTTCCATCTGCAGATCCAGTTCCGGTGACAGTACAGGACTCATCGCAATCTTTGGCCGAGACTTAAACACGCTAGCGTACTCTGCGTCTTGCTCAAACAATTTGTCTCTGGGCGTTGTATCACGTGTGCCACCAAGAGAGCTTCTGCTTGCCTTCATGGGCGTGGAAAATTGGGCTGCATTCGAGGGGAAGAATGCCGACTTGGGCCGCTCCTTGGTTGTAGTGCAGCGTTGAGGTGGAGGGTGTAGAGACGCCTGGTTCATGGATGCCAGAGCACGGTCAGCCAGCGAGACACGTCGGGACTGCGTGAGTGCGGCATCGGAATCCATGGACGATGTCGGAGCACCAGGGGCTGATTGAGGTAGCAATCGACTACTACTGCTACTACTGAAAGAGGCCATGGATAGGCGAGCCCGCTCGGAGAGGTCGGGGCGCTCTGGCGATCTTGAAATCGCTGGCGATGGACGAGAGACTTGCGGTGGATATTCTGGTAGCTCCGGTGATGGAGATGATCGTTGACGTTCTTCCAATGTGATTTCGTCGATCCTGTGTTCCAGCGTTATGACGGGATCCTCAGCCGAGCCATTGTGTCCGGAGTTGGCTGATCTGAGATATGCTATACCCCCTGGAGAAGCAGCATTGCTAATTGGAGTCGCCTCGCTCTTTCTTAGGGAGCTTGGGATATGGGCTTTGACATATCTTTCTCGATCTTTTTGCACACTGGGACTGGGTTCTGCAAAATCGGGTTGTCCTAAAGCAGAGCCCTGAGAACTCCTTATCGCGGAACCGGAAGGCAGACCATACTCGGTTCTCACAGACTGAGGCGTGGCCAGGGGCTGGCTGTGAGTCCGTGACAGCCAGTCGTGTGTCTCGTGTCGCTCGTTGCGGGTGCTTACTGGTGTCGAGTTCGCAGACTCAAGAAGTGGTTGTTTGAGTGGCGAGAAGAGGTCCTCCTTAGGTCCCCTTGCGCCTCCAAGGAACACTGGTATGGATGCCTGTTGTAGTATGGTGTTTGCACGCCGTACCATACCAGCTGAAGGAGGTGCTGCATGATATGAAGCTTGACCACTCCATTTCTTTGTCCTGACCACGTCAAGCAAATTCTGCTTCATGTCCTGGACAACTCGATTGTATTCCATTGAGCTTTCAGACGTGGAATGTTCCACAATGTCAGACGACGTTTGTCCAGAATCGATGTTTTTATGTTTGTTAAAGACATCTAGCCCATCGCTCTTTGCTGTAGAGTTTCGAGTAACCGAGAGAGCTGAGTCTTGGACAGAATCTGCTGGCTTGTTCGTCTCTTCGAAAACCTCCTTGTACGTCTTCCACAAACGCAAGCGATCATTCTGCTCGACAACACGAGATTGTAAAGTTGCAAGCAGAGATACGCTTTCTGAAGGAACTCGGGAAAGCGTCCCCTGTCGGATATGCTGCCACAGATCATCAAAACTCGAGTCCATGTGGGCGTCAGCAGAAGCAACCTTAGCACCCGCCAACAGCGCGTCACAGCCTTCTATGCTGCCAACCCAATTCTGACGGAGTTCGCGTCTGATCAATGTCTCGGCGTCAGCTGGCAGCATATCTGTAGTTGCTTCTTGCATTTCAAGTAGCGTAATATGACGCTGGTGGTAATCATTGGTCTTTTCATAGAGCGATGTGCGGAAATTATCGAGCGTGAGATCCAGAGTCGCCCGGCTTTGCAGAGTCTTTGCCAAAGATGCACAGTATGCCAGAGAGAGGGGGACAATAGTGCTCAGCTCGCGCTTGTCGATGTTCTTTGCGAGGGCAATACTCCTGCCAATAGACAGAGGCTGTTTACGGCGAGTCGAAAGAATCTGCTTGCGAACCACGGCCGCAGAGAACAGAAGCAAGATCTCTTCGAACTTGTCGCCTTTACAATCATCAAGCATGGTTTTGCGTAGTGTAGCTTCTCTGCCTAACACATCGTTCTTTTTCAACTCGTTCAGACATCTGAATAGTGCGGCACGCAGATTCAGAGATTGTATCGGCTCCAAAGGCGGAAAGAAGGGTTGCAATTTCTGAATTCCATGAACACAAAATCAAGCGATCATGATGAGACTTGACCTACCTCGCGAGTGGTGTCTTTATCCCAGACCCCGAACAAATGATAAAGTGACCATTCAGTGCAGGACACACGCTTCTTCTGATTCTGAAGCGCATCCTTAGTATCGAAAGTTTGTTCCGTGATATCAGGCCAGTCTTGTCTTTGGTCGAGGTTGAGAAGGCGAAGATTAGAAACAAAAAGAGATATGTTTGAAGGTGACATTGGGCGTGGCTTTGGTGGTGGTCTCGTGGCATGGCTGAGATTAGGGGTCGGCCCAGCCACCGATGCGGGTCGTGACATGGCTTTCGGACGTGATTCTCTACGGTGCTAGCCAGAGTCCATTGTCTGGATATGCACGATGCAGTCCTCCGTTTGAGGTGGCAGGTGAAAAAAGGCCAATCAACACAGGCCTGAGTAGAGTAAACATCGGTCAAGAGCGGTAACGACGCCCGAAGCCACTGCCCAATGATTCAGGCCCTGAGAGCTCTATACGAGTAGCTGCTACCCAACCTGTCCAAGCGAGTGCCTCGATGATGCTCTCTCTTGCACTTCGTTCCCTCGATTGTTCTGGATCTTGCCTCACCATTGCAAGGTCACAGGCAGGGGTGTTGTTACCGTGTCTCCCATGCTAGAGCAAGCGGGTTTCGCCGCACGGCCTGATGCATTAGCAACTTTGGCGTCTCGTCCAGGCCGATAAGGCCGCATTGAAGCAATCGCAAAGCGTCTCACTGAGAACAAAATCATCCTCACTCCATCTGTACGCGTCGACATTACTATACTAGTTCCCGGTATTCGTAGAGCACGCGTCAAAGAAACCACATTATACAGAATGGCGCCCAGCGAAGATGCCGTGGTAACCAACTCATCACCCAGTACGCTCACTCTACTGTCACATGCAATGGCTGGGGAGCATCGCTGACGTTCTGCACAGAACCGACCTCTGGCCTTCTCGCACCGCATCAAGTCTCAAAATGGACTCCCGAGACCGTCCTCTCCACCATGGCTCCGCTAGAAAAGAATTCGTCCTCGCCCGTTCCGTTCTTCCACCTACTGGAGCGTCTAAAGACAACCAAGCGTGAGGGCTGGCGCAGATTCGGCATCAACCACGGCGAATCTATCTCGGATCACATGTATCGCATGTCCATCATCACCATGCTTTGCCCTGCCTCCCTCTCGTCTCGTCTCGACGTACCACGCTGCACTAGAATGGCTCTGATCCACGACATGGCCGAAGCCCTCGTTGGCGACATTACACCAGTCGATGGCGTGCCGAAGTCAGAAAAGAACAGAAGAGAGGCTGAAACTATGGACTACATCTGCTCGACTCTGCTTGGCAAGGTTGGCGGTGGCCTTTCGGGACAGGAGATGCGCGCTGTGTGGCAAGAATATGAAGACAGCCAGACTCTTGAGAGCAAGTTCGTTCACGATGTCGACAAGATTGAGCTTCTGCTTCAGATGATGGAGTACGAGCGTTCTCATCAAGGCCGCATCGATCTCGGCGAGTTCTCATGGGTCGCCCAAAAGATCGAGTTGCCTGAAGTCAAGAGCTGGTGCAACGACTTGTTGCGCGAGAGAGAAGCTTTCTGGGCTGAGTTGAACAAGAAGCCCACAGGCAGCACCTTGAACGAGGAGCAGGAGAAGCAGCACCAACAGTATTACAGCAAGAACGGTAGCCCATCCGCTTGAGAGCAGAGTAACACGATGAGGGAGCGATTGGTTCAGGATTTCTCATACAGCGTGCATCCAGCGAGTCCAAGGCGTATCTGTGGCAGGGTTACACATGGACAGGCGTCAGGAACGCTAATGGTTTTTGTACAATTCAGCCGGCGACGGTACGTATGCATCAATTCATGAAGATCAAAGTCACTGTTTCAAGAGGATGCATAGCTCTACACGTGATCGCCTACGCCTGCCATTAGCACCTACATATACAAGGTCGCTTGCTTGCTTGGCAATGCTGTCAAGGCGGGCGGGCGCGTGAGAGCGGGCGCACCTCACGTCGTGATACGTTGACTTGTCTTCATCGCGAAAGGTGCACCTCGACTTGTCTCTGTCCTCGAGTTTGCACCTCCTGTCGACAGCCGCTTTTGCCCTGACAAGACCCCTTTGCCGAGACGAACCGTCTGCCGCTCGAAGCTTTCCTTCTCCGCATCCACGCTCATTTATCCGGGGTTGGCATGCCATGTGATGTATCACAAGAGCCACCTTCGACCACCTCTCGTCATCGCTGCATATCGTGTCTTTCGATTAGATACACCGTCGGTGCAGAGAGTCTCGAACATTAACCTCACCTCTCCAAGATTACACGTATTCCTTTCTGGCTAGGTATCACGCTCATGAGTTCATGGTCTCGTAAGTTGCCTCGGCAAAGCTAGCCACTTCCCTGCCACCATGAGATCGAAAACAAAACCCACCAACAGACCTCAACGTCGACAAGAAACGCACAAAACCAACGACCATCACGAGCGTCTTGCTGATGAGGATGATACGAGTACTCGACCTGCTAAGAGGAGAAGAGTAACCACCAAGTCGAAGGATAAGAGATACGAGTGCCCGCATGAAGGCTGCGATAAGAGTTATTCACGCGCCGAACACTTGTACAGGCATCAGCTGAACCGTAAGCTTCAACAACACCAATCCACGCGACAAGTCGCTGATGATTTGATAGACGCTCCAAAGCAGATCTTCCATTGTGATTTCAAGGGCTGTGAGCGACACTTTGTTCGCCAGGATCTTTGTGCTAGGCATCGAGAGAGACATACAAAGAAGAATTCACATCTGCATCGTCGAGACCTTTTCAAAGATGGCAAGTCCAAATCGTCCCATATTCCCGAGGTCCAGCAGGAGCTATCTCCTGAAGCTCAACCTACAACATCCACCACGAGTTCGGGTAGCTCTGAACCTCAAATCATCGAGCAACCAGCCAAGTCGAAGCCGATCGAAGCTGTCCTTGGTTTCAACTCCATGGCTTTAGATCCGCGTCTGACAGCCGAGTCTGGACCCTTCAACCCGGCTATGCCACCTGTCCCATTCTCCAGTATGGTAAGCAGTCAGTATGACAATATGTCAAATCCTGCAGGCAATTCCATGGCTTCTCGGCTGGCTACGCATCTCAGTCATACAGACGCATCACAGATTGCTCCCGAGCACTTGGAACACTCAAGAGTCATAAACGATCGAATGAACGGCGTAAGACATGAGATCAACAACGCTATCTTCGCACGACCAAACATACCTCCCACGCTCTCGGTGGACATGTATAATCCCAATGCGATGCAAAGCATGTTTACACCACTTGGGAATGCTTCTGGGGCTTATTTGCCTCAGCCTTATCCCTCGCCCTCTAGCGGAATGGGGCTGAGGTCCCCTCCAGCTTTCACAAATTTGCCGACCTTATCACAGTTCAATCAGCCATATGGCGCACCAATCCCTTCACCTGTCGGAATGAGATCTGACTCGGTGACCTCGTATCTCTCCAAAGGGTCAACGATAAACAATCACCAGCCCATTGGCTTTGCTGAGTCTACTACACTTAACCACTTACCTGCAGGTGCCATAGTACCCGTCTTCAATGAGAACTATGGGCCTTCACCATCAGATATGCCAGGCGCAGAGTTTATCAGCTGGCTGTTCGAAGGAGACCAGAATACAGTGTTTTCGCCAAACTCGCAAACCACTTTCAATTTCAGTCTGAACCCGCAGATGTCATTCGAGAACAAGCCGCAAGCCAACGGAGGAGTATATCTTGAGTCTCTAGTTCACCCGGATCCCGTTGCCAAAACGGAGCAGGATAGCGTACACCCAGAGTGTGTTCTATCCAGCCCACGCAGACGCCGGCTTCTCGATATAATCATCTCGGACTTCCGGGACAGCAGACATGCCCATGTCACAGCGCAAAGAGAGAAGACACTAAAGGGTGACCACGACGGAGATACACATGTGCTGAGTTTGCGAATGATGCAAGTCTTCTGCAGCTCGTTCTGGCTCAACATACACCCGCAGTTACCAATTCTGCACCGGCCTACATTTTCAACTGAAACTTGCCCGGACCTACTGCTCATAGCCATCATGACATTGGGTGCATCTTGCTTGGAGCCATCCTACGGTTTCGAGGTTACTCAGGCTTCGGCAGATTTGGCCTCATTTCTAGCATGGCACACACGACGGATGATCTTCGAAGACCCAGACTTCATCCCGCCGGCCAAACTTTGGATATTCCAGGCCTTGTTGCTACTGGAAATTTTCGAGAAAATGTTCTCTACGACAATCCTACACCAAAGGGCACATGTGCACCATTGCACCACGCTCACTTTGATGAGGCGAGGGAGTTCACTGGTTGGGCGTGCAGCACTGGACTTTGCCCCTTACGATGCTGATCCAACTAGGACTCCTCCCGGTCCAAACGGCAGTGTAAACACATGTGGTCGTAACACCAAGGACGAGTGGTGGAACAACTGGATTAGCAACGAGGCAACGCGTCGAACGGCTTTCGCAGCATTCATCATCGACACGACTCATGCGACAATGTTTGGTCACGCAGCAGTAATGGTCGCACATGAGATGCGAATACCTCTGCCATGTGATGAGGCTCTGTGGGCTGCTTCCTGTGGCGCTGAAGTGCGAAGCCACGAGCACAGCCTTACGCTAAGCGGCTATAGACCGATGAGCTTCCTTGAAGCGTTGAAGAAGACACTAAATAGTCAACACGTGCAGACCAACACCTTCGGTCGGGTCACTATTATGGCAGGGCTCATGTCGGTCAGCTGGCACATGCAGATGCAAGATGCGAGGGCGAGTTCAATCGGAGTTGGTAAACAAGGAAGTTGGAGTGATCAGCTGGCCTCTGCTTGCAATTTCTGGAGGCAGGATTTCGATGCTTCCTTGGTTCAGCCATCTTACAGCACACCGGTATATCTGCAAGATCGGATGTCGACCGACGTTATGGATAAAGAGAAGGTCTTTGAGTCCCGTACTGTACTTCACCACCTGGCGCGGATGGCCATGTATGTGGATATCGTCGACTGCCAAATTTTTGCGGGAGCTAAACGCTCGTTGGGACGCGTGATTACCGCCAATGATCATGCGGCAGCATCCAAAAAGTTGAGGGAGACTTGGGCTCCATCGCCTGGAGCTCGTGATTCGGTCTTCTATGCGTTGCGCTTCTTGTCGGCGGTGCTACTACCAGAAGATGACGGAACCTCTGGACTACATTCTAGTGCACAAGGACTCGCATATTCAGCTCGTGATGATAATTTGCTCAATCGGCCCTGGGTGCTCTACTTTGCCGCCCTAGTGGTGTGGACATACGGCTTCTGTTTGGACGGACCTATAGCACCACCGTTGCCTACCTACACGCTCAGGACGCACGAGATCCAATTCCGAGATCTGCGAGGGTTCCTTCGCCGCGTAGGCGGGGTCAAATCGGCCGATGATTTGCAGCACGTCAAGCACCGGAACGGGATGCTGGGATTGCTGATGCTCCTGAAAGAGATCTTCAGCAAGACCAGATGGGAACTGCTTCACGAGGCGAGCGACATGTTGGGAAATTGCATCGAGTTGCTCATGCCTGGCATCTCCAATCTCTGAGTTACCTTTTGGGATCGGATATGGACGATCCTTTTTACAGCTCTTACATCATGGTCAAGGCGTTAGACGGAAGTGGGGGGACTTGGGCTGCGATCTATGGGCTGCGATCTAGGATTTAAGCTGCTACCAGCTGCTCGGGTCACCTTGGTCGTCAGCCTCCTATATCAATGTGTATCTCCAATTGTCGATATCACTTCGTCATTCCGTGCCAATCATGACGAAGTTTTCACCGTGTAGGATGCATTTCAGCTGGCCTCGTTGCAGAACTCTGATATGTTCTGACAACCAGCGCAAAGCATGATATGGAAAATCCGTTGTGCTATGTTGATAAAGTTGTAATTGTAGCAAGAACGCAACGCTCCTGCAAGCGAAAACAGGCAAGAGTCCAAACGAACTCCTGAAAACAAGAGGATCCATTTTAGTAACAAGGCGACGCGATGTAAACAGTTGGGGTCTTTGCACCGACATCCGAGGCGCGAGTGAACGCTGCCAGGGGAAATTTGTGCTATACCGTACAATACTAATAATATGCAAGATGAATGTTCGTTGACTATGAAACCGTATGCAAAGGCCTCCTCCAAGGATCATGAAACTTGCTTTCGGAGAATTACATCGTGCACTGCCCATGCAAAGCTAACTTAGTGCAACACCCTGCACCCTTGGACGTGATGGTCATGCAGACAAGAGACTCGTGGTCTGAGTGTACGTTTGTGGATTTGCAGAATGGACAGTAACTCCGAATCAACAAAAGCCTAGATCTCACGCATGCAAACCTCGAGTCAAGCTATCTGGTCAAGTGCTCAAAGATGGAGATATTTGTGTCTGGCAGATGTAACTAACATGCGATGGCTTTTTATACGATTCAGTGCATAACCAGACTTGATGCCTCTGTTCATTATTCCGGTTATGTTCATCTCGGACATCCGTGGCAACCACATTGACATGGCGGCATCGAGACTCCACAAGACCTTTCGTCACTGATGAGAGGATGATTTGCAGAGTTTTTGGTTGTGCACAGCAACAAGATGAACAAACGGTTCCAATGGATGTTGTGGTCTATCACAAGAGCGAGGGAATGGCATATCTTAGTGTTATCAGAGCGGAGGATTATTTGTGATTCTTATCGACAAGGAGAAAAGACTAAGTTGCTATACGAGGATGCGCCACTAGAATAGAGCAAACAGAACAGACGTGCTGGGTGTGTAACAGGGTGATATGCACAAGCGGTGCAAATCTCCTCATGACACATGAGGCATACCGGTACCGTTCTCTGGCACAGACTCGATATGCAACAGAGGTGTTGCTCAAAGAAGGTCGAGCGCACTCGCCTTGTGTGTTGACATTTTGGACAACGGCTGCGGACCATTTTGAAGCCTCCGATCCACGATCGTGGGGTGGATAAGGAAAGGGAGACGCCGATCATGGAAGGTGAAATGGCTCTTTGGTGAGGGAAAGTACCTCCTGGTTGGAAAAGCCAGGTTAGAAAGACGTTTGTTCCGACAAGGACCCAAAGACCTCCCTGCATGTGGTCTTTGCATGCAACTCTCCCGTGAACAAGCAGTCACTCCACTCGGCCCGCAAAAGAGGGGTCAATTGACGAGGACCAGACCTCGGGAATCCTGGAGATGCAGCAATACCTCCAAGAGCATGGTAGCTGGGTTGAGATAGATGAATTACCAAGTGAATCGAGTTGCCGTGAATAGAAACCCTATACTACAGATGATGTCAAGTCTCCAGCTCTTGATCCTCGTGCGTCAGACAGAAACACGTTCATGACGAACATCAACAGTCCTCTTAGATTGTGGGGACGGTCATCATTTCGCGAGTCACCAGATGCCCGGTCTGGTCGCGGCACTCGGAGGAGATCGAGTCAATCGGATTCGCATTTTACAAAAAACAGGAAGCGAACTACAACGCTCAATAGGCGACGGAAGAGTGGAGGAAGGGTGCCCTCCAGGAGGTAGCAAAGAGTACTTTTGAACGCGAAAAAGAGTGAGAAACGGGCGCTTGGGAGGAAGGTCAGAAGCCCAGAAGTCTAAAGTGGTTCCAGGGGGTTGCAGGCCCTGCGGAGAGCGACCGCTTTTAGCGCGCCCTCGGAGCGGGAGCTAACCACCAGATCCTGGTCGTTATACCAGATGAAGCACAAGCGTGGGCGGGGCGGCCCACGAGTGCCGTTTGCCGGTGCTGTCAAGCTCGCAATCCAGTCGCCATCATGTGTCAACGTCTTGTTGACACCAAATCCCAAGGGGGTCGATCTCTGGGTGCGAGAAGTCCAACATCCAGACCCCCTCGAAAGTCTAAGCTCGCCGGTGCTGCAGAAATGCCAGTGTGAACGGTCAAACGGCAAACAGGATAGATGTAAGAGGGTAAGTTGCGGTGTCTCGTTGTGAGACGAATTTCGGTATAGATACTTGAGGCTTCGCCCTCTGCATCTTAGTATCCGAATCATCATCACGGCTTTTCCTTCCTTACAATCATTCCGCCACACCAAAGATCGACACGATACCAAGCCAGCCACTCGTTTCCCTTATCAATATATCATCATCCACATCCACCGTGAACTCCAGCTTCTAATTTCCATCTCATTTAACCCTGGCTGCCACCATGCATCCTCGCACATCTTCTCTCCAACAACCGCCAGCTGCCGCTATGAACTACTTCGACTTTCAGCCCAACGAGTGCTCGGTGTCGCCGGTCAAGAAGGCCAACCTCCGCTGCCTTGACGCCTTCCATGACCGTGTGCACACACCCTTCGAGGCTCCTGCCAATGCAAACATCTACGCTAAACGTGCTCTTCCTCCTCTTCCATCACCAGGAGCTCTTCCTGCTCTCCGCAACTGCTCGTCATCAGAATCCATGGCTTCATCAGGACCTGTGAGCCGACCAAGCACTGCCATGTCATGCAGACAGGACAAGTCTCTTCCTCCTCTCCCCTTCCGCCTCCAAAGATCACCTTCATTCGACTCGGATGAGTCTGGAAAGGAAAACACAGTTGTTGTGCAGCAAGTGTCAAGGCCGCGTCAACACCGTGGCTACAGCTTCCGCAGCCTTTTGAACAGACACTCCGAGGACGAGTTCCCACTGGCCTCTCCCAAGAGTGGCTACAGCGTTACTCGTGACTCTCGCACCGACTCTGTCATGGGTGACTACAGCCTCTGCCAAGTCAAGACCAACGGAACCATCTCAGCCACCAGCAGCAGACGTCCTTCAGCTCTTTCTCTTACTCACCTCAAGGCTGCTTCGAAGAAGATCAATGCCAGTGCTCCTCCAGTGCCATCTCGTCCTTCATCTCGTAAGGGCAGTACCAGCAACCACAACCAGCACCGCTGGGGCACTCTCTTCCGCACCGTCGAGGATGAGAAGGAAGATGTTGTACCCATGCCTATCACTCCTGGTATGATGCCCGACTTGAGCTTCAACCGCTGCTACTACTTCTACGCCCGCAACTGCAACGGCTACGTTCTCTCCGGCAGCTCCAGCGGTGACGCCTGTGAGAACTGCGCTCACTCCGGCTTCTTGGGCTCGCCTTGAACAATCCATGAAAAGCTTTTGCCATGAGCATCTCGCAAACAGGCAAAGCATCCATCCATCCATCATCACCCCAGGCTTTTCCGCCACTCTCCGACATGAATCTCTTACGATTAATGAAGGCAACCCGAGCAATGCTCGAAGGCACGCCGAGGCATTTACGAATGCCATTCGTTCACAGAGAAATCTTCGTGCACGAATTCAAAATCCTCATGCTGAAAGATGCATTCGAGGTACGATGTATCCAATAGAGATCATCAAAAACAGGATCAATGCATCCTCGTCCAATCCATCCATTCATTGCTTTTCCTTGTGTCTGAGACCAAAACCACGCCATGACTTGGCTTTTCTTTGATGTACTTGAGTAAATCAAGCGGAGGAACTTTCTAGACATAATCAGCATGCAGATGCATAAACCACATCCACATTCATTTCTCCTCAATCTCTTTTCTCGTATCAACTGTGAACTGTTTCAATCGGTTTGATTGCTCAAATGAACATCTCCAACAAGCTGTCTTCGTAAACAAACAAAGCCAACGAACTTCAAAACAAAGCAAACGGCTTTCCCCCTCTCTCTTTCTCAAGGATTTAAACACGGAACGGCCGCGGGTGTAACGTATAACAGCATAAACCGCCCTTTCCCTTCTCTCCCCTTACTCAACAGGAGTAGTTTTCGTGGAAAGCTCCTTCAAGCTTCTCGTCTAAGTAAACTGCTCTGCGGTAAAATGCGTGCGACAAGCGAGATGGCAATCTGCGCAATCTGGATAAGAACGAGTGCCACTATCAATGTTCGTTGGAGGAATATCCACAATCACGTCGATGGAGGGAAGTCACGTTTCTTCGTGGAAAGAAGAGCATGGAAAGCATCAGATGCTTGAGAGAGTGTAAGTGTGTGCATAAGGTAGGTCTACCTATACATGTGCAGAAGAAGCTATAACATGATTCGATCAAATCTTGTACACGCCTCGGCACTTGTGCTTTTCGTTTTTGGCAGTCGCTTCTGTTTCTTGTCGAAACATGAACAGTAAGAACGCGATAGGAGGGCGAATCGCAAAGAGCCGAACACATATGATTCAAACGTCAATAGTTGAATCTCTTTGCCGTGCAACATCTTCTCTGGGGAAGCGCAAACGAAAACGCAACCTCGGAGGTTCACAAGCTCGCAACTCTTCAATTCTGCCTTCAACAAGGATAATTCAGAAACCTTCCTTCAGCCTTTAAGGGACTTCTCGGTCAAACTCGAACAAACTATTGTCGAAAAGGTGGTAGAGCAGACGAGCGAAGCCTCTTCCTCTTCATCATCGATGGCATGCATAAGGAAGCCGCAACCCAACCCCGACCCCTGAACTTTGCTGCTTACTCCAATATACTCCACAAAACGACCACAACCTTGCTCTTGCGGAACCAGAGCAGGGAGAAGCTTTCTTCTGGAAAGAGCCTCTTCGGTTCTGGTTCACCACGCGTGCGTTCAGAGTTTATGGTATGCATGGAGATGCCAAAACTATGGCAGAAGTCTGTGGTCAAGGTCACCCACCCCTCGGTACTTGAGGATTAGAGTTTTTGGAATAGGAGATTTGAGGCAGACTTCACGGCTCGCATTGTGCACGTACAAGTCCTATCGAGAACCGAGTTGTAGATATCTAGCTTTGTGATAATCGCCATGCAACGAGTACTTTTTCACTTTCCCTATAGACTTCGATATCTTGTAGCAAAGTACACAGGTACCTTTTCATCGTCGATGATGAACAGAAGAAGTACAGTACCGCCGACGGACCCCTCGTTTCTACGCAGCAAAGTGTCAAGAATCCCACATGGCGCACGCATCGCATCGCATACAGCAATAAAAACGGACGAGCATATGTCTTTCCAATTGCGACATGCGCAAGAGCCCCAGAGGAGCACGTACGCACGCGTCAAAAGGCAAAGTGGATAGCTTGTTTGGCATATCGCAACTTCCCGCTTTCCCGGACCGCGTACTAAATCCTTCTTTCAGCTCGCCTTTGTCCAAGCCATGTTCCGCCCTCGGTCTTGCTCGCACGCAAGAGATCGCCAACGACCTTGCAACACAAACGTCACTTGCGTAGGTGTATCTATAAGTGCATTGCCCCAAAGATAGTCCGAATCCACGCATGTAAGTGGCTGTGATATTGGCGGTGGTCAAGGACCGGTCAGATACACCAGCGGCTGTTTTGACACTTGTACCATATGCCAAGATATATCCATCAGGGTGCGCCCTCTCGATGGTGTGCATGGTTAAGGCTAAGCGGCTTTTCTGGTCATCGGGGCTGTATTTTGCGATCGGCGTACGAGATCGATGGCAATGCACATCGAGTTCTTCGACTTCAGCTCTTTGTAGTCTTGACAACACGCGCTATCATACGACGACGACCAAAGTGGTGAAGTTGAGCGAGCAGCAAAAGCGCCATGTTCACCACCAGCGTACGCCAAACATCTTGCCCGAGCTCCTTTTGTCGAGTTTCCAGGCTTCTGCATTCTCGAGCCAGATGCGTTCGTGGCCGGGAACGTCGAGGGCTAGGTGATGGTACTTGAAATCGCTTTCGTCGCGGCGTTTGGTCATGTGCACGTTGACAGTGCCTGTGGCCAGCGAGCCCCCAACATGAAAGTGCATGCGCATGTGTGTTGTTCCGATGCCGTCGGTTTCAGATTTCGACCTAAGCACGCATGTCAGTTTGAATTGCTCGCCCAGTTCCTGGTCAGGAAGGCTTACGAAATGGTGTCTCTTGCAAAGCGACTGTTGCGCACTCTGTTCTCTCCCCAAGCCTCAATCTCTCCGCCCTTGCCTCTTCCTGCTAGTACCTCGATGCACTTGGGATCTGTTCGTATGCGTTCGAATGCGCGGTTGTAAACGGCGGTCTTGCTGTCGCTGCTGAAGACTTCGAGATAGAGGACTGTCGCAACGCCACCGGTCATAACCAAACCCAAGACGATGACGGCGAGGTTCGCTGATTGTTGTGTTGTACGGGCGCCCCTCTCACGCCATGATAGTTCCGACCAGGGCACACGGCCAGTATCGTTGGCAATGGTAACGCTTCTTCGCGCCGGCCCAGGAGCCGAAGTTGTAGACGAGCTCGTCGCTGTGCGGACTTGTGTGCACGCCCGTATTGATCGTAGACCGATGTGGGAGGTCGGTAGCCTTGGTAGAACTCGTAACGACTGCATTTTGCTTGTGTGAATTGGATGATTGATTTCTTGCTCCACTAACACTTTTGAGTCGTCAGAGGCACGAGAGCTTTGAGCTTGGCACGACGAAATGGTGGGGCTTCGTTCGGCGGGCCTCGGCCCGTGTTTGTTGTTCCTCCCGCTGCTTCTTACACCGACAATGTTGGTATACCATTTCTGAGTGATAGCCATGGATGCCGCTGCTTCTCTGAACCGTTTGCTTACCGTCTTGACCGAGCGCGACATCGGCCTGGGCTATGATGATTTGGCATGGTTGTTTGATTCTCCCCAAACCCGAGACTCTATGGTGTCCTGGGTTCATGAATATCTAGATCCTGCTACTCTCCTCAGTCCAGAGGAACTTGACATGTATGTTTGTCAGTGAACTGTGTTCTTAAACATACTGATAACTCCAAGGCATGCTTATATCGCCCAATCCAACTACAGAATTTCTCCTGGCCATGGACTGTCACGACCGATGCAAGAACCTGACTTTGAATCTACCATCAACTCCCTGGAAACAAGCACCGCAGCCATAGAGAGGCAGACAGCCATACTGGAAGCTCAGAGGGATACGTTACGAAAGATACAACATCTCAACAGAGAACCTACTTCCTCCACCTCTGACAACGACGAGAAGCAAGCAGCCCAAGCACGAACAAAAGCCCAACTAGATCTCGAGGCAAGCGAGCTCACCGAAGGTATCCAGCAGCGCGTCAGCGTCACAAAACGACATGCAGAATCAAGTCTGAACCTACTCAAAACTTCCTCCAAGCGACAACTAGACAAGGACGACCGCCTCCTCGATGGCCTGCAAAAAGTAATGTTCAAACTTGCACCTTTGGAGTCGAGTGAAAAGCGTCTTCCCAATTTCAATTCCCTTTCTTATGCTTTGGTCAAGCTAGAGAGCAAAATGATCAAGGACCGTACAAACAACACTTACCTCGAAGTCCTTGATGGCCTGGCTGGTAAGACCGATGGCTTTGAGCGACAAAGTAATGCGCAAGCGGCGCAAGAAGCATACGCGTTAGCCGAAGAACTCGAGAGCTTGATTACAGAAGTGGACTCGGTGCTCGAAATGACCATAAGCAGACGCTATCGAGCGCCTATCGTCAATGCTCTGAAACTCTCTGATGCCCAAGCTCAGCTCGAGCAACAGAGCTGGTTAGAATATGTACGCATGTGCCCCAGTCCCTGGCATTGAGAGCGATGAAACTGACACCAATGATCAGGTCGTAAGAACCCTAGACGAACTAGCTCAGAAGACCGAAGATCTGGCCTCTTGCACTGAAGATGCCTTGGCATACACATCTGCAATTACACAGGTCTCAGACGCCCTTGCCAAAACACTTCCACCACCAACACAGCCACCATCTGGACTCGACAGAAAGTCATCAACCAGGGGTCCTTCGCCTACCAAGTCCATGAACCCCATCTTACACCGCCAAGGAGCCAAAGATCCAGCTCTGGAGATTCTCGGACACTACGGTATCAGGCTTCCCACTGATTTCGAAATAGACCCCGAGACCGTGTTTCAATCCCTGCGATCTGCAGTTTTCGAACGTCAATCACGCCTACGAGATTTGTCAATGTCTACTGAGCTGTCCATCACTGCTCAAGTGGCCGAGTCTGTCAAGTTGGCGGACGAAGAGTTGCAGACTCTCATGAGCGCTCTTTATGCTTACTCATCCTATTCTACTGTACATCTGGAAGACACCAAGGTCAAGCAGAGATTGGAGCATCTGGATCACGACATTGAGAATCTAGGAGATGATATCAAGAGGCTTGATGTTGACCGACTGGCTAAGACGGAACAAGCAAGACTTTCAACTGCTCTTAGTGCTTCGCTCGGGTGAACTCTCGACTCTTGCCCGGCAAATTCGACTCGAAAGGTGAAGTCAGCCTTGTGTAAACCCCTTCTGCAATCGACTATACTTGACCATCCACTTGGATGTCCCGTATATGTAATCATCTACAGTATCAGGGGCGCCTGGCAAAGACCAGAGGACATCCATCCTGGACCGTTCAGTAAGCGGCCGTTTTCGTCTAGTCAACCACAGTCACTTACCATAGGGAAAAGCGTAGCAAAAACTTTGATCTCCTCTGACAACTCGGTCTCGTGATGCTTCCAATCAAGCTCCAGGGCTGCTTTACCAATCATACCTGCCATGGATAGCGGAACGTATTTTCTCGCAAGACAATCATGCGGACCTGCACCAAAGACGAGCCAATTCTTTGTCTTGGACTCGGCATCTCCAGTAATCCAGCGATCCGGGTCGAATACATCTGGACTTGGATAGACTTCAGGGTCGTGTAGAGCTGGGTAACAACTTGGTATGATCATTGAGCCCTTGGGAACAGTATAGTCTGCTGTGATCGGGAACTCCTTGGTCGCCAAGTAAGGAACGAAGATGACGGGCGGTCTGTGGCGAAGCAGCTCCTTGATGACAGCATTAGTATAGGTTAGAGACTCTAACATGGATTGATCGAATGGTTTGTTCTTGTTGCCGCCACGCGCGTCCAAGTTCTCTTGTCGCAATCTGTCGAGAACATCAGGTCGTTGAGCGAGGATTTGGAAGAGCCAGGTCGTTGCACTGCTGGATGCGTCTTGGGAAGCGAAGAGGAAGGTGAACAACGTCTCGCCAATCTCTTCATTAGTGAACTCGCGAATCAAGTTGGTTGGTCTTTCCACGCCACTCTCTCCGGCGGCGATCTTCTCGCGGTATCGGTTGGACTCCATCATGTGGAGCACCCAGTGGTCGACAGTACAAGTCGGCTTTGCACCGCTCGCCATGTTCGCCTTGCATGCTGCTGCACATTTGGCAAACTCGGCATGAACAGAATCTGCAGTCCGCTTGCCTCGCCAAACCTTAGTCCCGGGAATGTACATGGAAAATGGAACGTTGACCAGCTCCAAAGCGGCAGTGCACAAGTAATAGTCGTCTGCGATCTTCTTGACTGCATTCTGCGAGATGTAATCGCCAAAGAACGTACGACAAGAAAGTGCGCAATTGATCTCGCGGAACATGGCCATGAAAGGCAGCGGCTTGTTTCCATTTGCTTCGCTGGCAGCAACAAATTTGTCGAAGTAGTCGGCCAATACCTTCTCTTGAAGCGGTAGGTATGTGGCTAGGGCCTTGTTGGTGAAGAGAGGAGTGAGACCCCTCCTGTACTCGGCATGATCGCGGCCTTGAAGGAATACCCATGCTTTGTGGCCGATGATATCCTTCGCGACAGGCACTATGCAGGGTTCGGCGTAGGCAGGTGACTTGAAGACCTTGTGGGCCAGGTCTCGATCGGAGACGAGAACAACGAACCTGACGTACAACTATGAGTAAGAGCTGCAGAGGACGAACGGTCGTAGGATGGGACACGTACTTGTGGAACACAGAGACACAGCTGAGAGGACCACTCGCCCATTGCTTGAGGTAGGAGTCGAATTCCGGATCTAGTGCTTGGAGGAAGGGCCCAATGAGAGGAACCTTGAACATTGGACCGGCGATTGAGCCCTTTCGCTTGATGTACACGACTAGCCCACATGGTCAGTCAAATCAGTTCTGGGCTAGACAGCAATGATTACCTTGGTCATAGATGACTAGGCTGACGAGAAACAATATTAGGTACTGCCAGATAGAAGCGACCCAGGCTCCACGGAGGATCGCTGGCAGTATAACCTGTAGGTGTGGTTCATCCGATCGACAAGTAGATATGTTGCCCATCCAAGGACTCAGATTTGCGATCAATGATACAAGATTATCTGTCATGTTGGCAGCGGCAAACAGGGAGAATCGCAGTCAAGAGCAGTCGTTCCTGCCGGCCTTAAGTAGACTCACACTTATCGCAACTTCCCAACATTCTGCTGTCCACTTTGGCCAAGTGACATACGGCCCATACTATCTACTCGGAAGCACAGTCATATCTGGAGTCTCTAGCAGTTGACTAGAATGTACGAATGCATGGTTACTCGATCGGGCCTAGTCTCCTGAGCAGTCTTCGGAGTCTAGTCCTATTCTGGTCAGCCCTCCTTCTTCCAACTCATCTCGTTCCTGAATTCGCGCCATGCCGCAGCAATGGATACCGGCGAACACACGAGTCTCATGATTCGCGGCTCGGGGTTTTCAGCATCCGGCTTCGTGTCGAAGGACCGTTCAATCTTGCTCTAATCTTAACATTCAATCACCTGAGTTTTGGCCATGCCACAAACGCGCTTGGAACACTCATACTACACATTAGTTTCATCTCTCACGGAATGCGCCAGACTCTCCGTCGATCCTGCGGCGCATGTGCCAAGTCCAAAAGTAAATGTGACCTTCGCACGCCACAGTGCTCTCGGTGTGTCAAACGAAGCATTCAATGCATCTATGCAAACGAGCCTTTAACGGCGACAGTGGCCGTAGCCGAACGCCAACGTCAACAACTATCAATGCCATTGAGGATCTTTGAGATACGTAAATTCAGTTCCGTGGACCCTTTCGACTCCTATCCACCGACAAGACTACCTCGAGAACACGCTCAGCGCCTCATTCACACTTGTATGTCCCGCTTCTGCAAATTTGTATAGCATGCCGCTGATCAGCATAGTCCTCACTAAGATCGCTTTCCAATACTATCCTCTGGATACGAATACAAGCTCGAATCCGTTTCTGGTGTCCTGGTGGCCACTTGCACTAGGTGATTCAGCATTGTTCCATGTGTCGCTGCAGACCGCATGCCTCGATGAGGAATTGCTGGCCCAGAAAGGCTTCCAGAGTTCTGAGCTTCTCATGGCCGACTCTGTTGCACTACTCCGACGGAAAGTCCGCAGTCAAACGCTGGCCGTACAGGATGGAACAATGAACTCAGTCATCACCTTGGCTGCCATAGAGGTATGCCTGCTATCTGAGCATTTCCTCTCCCTCGACGGCTAACCTATGATGCACAATCAGTTTGGCAAAGGCAACGTCATGATTAGTCGAATGCATATTGATGGTGTAAAAAGGATGGTTGATACGAGAGGCGGTATCTGCAGTGTGAGGCAGACCAGTCCGCTCACTGCGAGAATGGTCAGTTGGTAAGTCGGATGTACATATATATGAAGTGTGTTTCTCACAAGTCTCAAAGGGTGTCAATGCTCCTCACAGGTGGTCCTCAATTCGAGACCCAGGATGATTACGGCACTGGACGCGGTATACCCTCCGTCCCGGAATGGTGTCTCGATCCACCTATTCGTCGACTCGATCCGTCGTACTTTTCGGATCTAATGACGGACAAAGCGGTCTGGAACGTGTTCATTCGCCTCCGCAACGTTTTTGAAAGAGCACAAGTTGTGCCGCTCTCTACTACCAAACTCCACGACCTCACATGTTTTGTGCTTCACCGACTCTTGCCTGCAAATCCTGATTTGACGACCCTTGTCGGTTCTCCGGTTACAGAGTGTATGCGCTATGGCATCACTCTTTACATGCTTGTCATTCATGGGACGACATACTATCCACATACATTCATGCTGGACCAGATCCTAAGCCGTTTCGAGACTCAGTTGGCACTATTGGAAACAGAATCTCGGGCACATGATTCAGTGTATATATGGCTCCTTACGACAGGTATGGCGGCTTCGGTTGGTACCAAGCATTATCACCTGCTCTTTGGAAGGGCAAGAGCTATTGTTGCGTCCTTACGACTATGTGGATGGGACGATGTTGCTACGCATGTCCGGAATGTGCTTTGGCTGGAGATATCGCAAGACGAACAGTCAATGCGGTCTCACTGGGACTTTATACGTTGCTGAGGCGAACCATTTACCTTCTCATCGTCTCAAGTATGTCAGAGCCTTCAGCCTCCTTCTAGATCAGAAGTCTGTTACCTCTTATACGAGCAGTTCCTCTCATCGACCTCTCCGTTATCGCCACTTTTGCTCCTCAGCTCTTACGCCGGTGAGGATCCTGGATACAGTGAGTCCAGAGCCACGGTGAAGATGAGAGGACAGATGTCTGGAAGCTCTTGGCAATCAAGCAAGACATCGTAGCGTATCGTATCCGTTTTGCTTGTTCCACACAATGCTTCAGTTTTCCTTTCAACCTAGCAACCTCAACTCTCCAAAGTAACGCCCAGACCAGATAATGACTTGACTACATCTTTGACCAGCGCCGAGTTGTACTCGCTCATGCCTCCATCTAATTTCCTCAATACAGCCACAGCATCCATCACCTCCTCCAACCCTTTCTGTTCCAAAACCTCCTCCTTCCATATCATCTTATGCAGCTCTTCAACAGAAGAAACACTTATCTTCCTCAACGCCCACTGATGACGCACCCAATGTCTATTCCAGAACCCCATAAGATTCTTGACCAATAATGACAATTTAGAAAATCTGCCATAGCATGACATATAAATTTTCAACACTTTCCTGGCTTGGACTCCATCCACCATCTCATCATTACTACCAACGCTAAAGATCCGGTCTCTAATGTATTCACAGTATCTTCTGATCTCTGCGGATAGGTGTCTGAACAATATTTCGCCTCTTACAGTTAGGGATTGCTGCTGTGTTTTTGGGCCTTTGTCAGAGAGTCTGGTGTAGTCGAATACAGCGGTGTAGATTCTGGCATATGTGTCATGATCGATGTGTAAAGCTTGTTCGTCCTTGTCGTCATCGGAGTCGGGGATTTTTACTGCTGCAGTGTAGATAGCTGAGATCTGGGTCTTGATGTATCCCAGGGTGGAGGGAGTATCCATGGGGGTCTCTCTAAGGAATGAAGGGATTGCTTCGTCTTTGCGAGTTTGCATCTTGTGGGTATAGGATATGTATAACGATGGCTATGGCTGATGATTGGGAAGTGCAGGCTTTGAGAGGTGAATCTTTGGAAGATCGTGTGTGTAGAGACGATCAGGCAGCCGTATGATGTCACGCTTCTCCCTAACGCCCTTCGTATCAGACCCTATCTTTTACCTTGGACGACCTGTCCATCTTCGTCGCTGTTACCTTGTTTTTTAAAATCTTCTAGACGTAGAGAGGTCTTGCTCCAGATGGACAGCCATAGCACATGGCGATCTTGTACCCCGAAAAGCAAATATACTATATTTGATTTTACTTGCTCGACACTATCCTATCCTATTCGTACCTAAGCAGTCACCAGCCCTGTGTTTCTGGCATAACGCCAACATCAGACAATGACTTCCTAGTATCCGTAATTAGACCTTCATCAAGCTCTTCCACTGCTCCTTCTATCCCCCTTAACTTTGTCATGGCATTCCCTAACCTTTTCACCCCATCCCATTTCACCGCGCTTCCATCTCCAACCCCCAGAACCTCCTCTTTCCATATCAATCTATGCATATCCTTCACATCAGCAACCCTCATCTTTTTCTCATACCGCTCTCTCCTCACCCAATGTCTATCCCCAAACCCGAGCAAATTACCCACCAACGACGACAACACCTCAAACGTAGCATAACACTCGACATACTTGCTCAGCACTTCCCTCGCAGCATCTCTCGTAGAAGCAACACTACCATCTCCCTCCAAACCCTCCACTCGAAAAATATCATCTCGAACGATTCGAGTGTGGGTGCGGATCTCGGCATCCAACCATGTAAACAGAGCTTTTCCTTGTCTATTCCATGCGTCCGTCTTTTGGCTTTTGCCGCCATGCCGAAATCGCATACCGATGTGTAGATTTTGAGGTACTCGGTTTGGTTCATTTGCGGGACTGTGTTGGTATCTCTTGCGGTGGTGTAGATGCTGGAGAATTGGGTTTGAATGTCTGCGAGTGTGACAGTGGGTTTGGCGGATCTTGGGTTGGCGGTGGTGGACTTGGTGGAGGCGGATTACATTTTTGTTGGAGTGAGGTGGAAGAGACGGTGTTGATGGGGGATGGTGATTGTTCAGAGATCTTCTAGGGCCTTGAGGGGGTGTGAGAGGTATGGAAGGATGCAGTGATCAGGCAGCTACCATAATGTCATGCTCCTTCTGCCTGAGACCAACTGCATACAAGCTCCGCTTATGTGCTATTCTTGGGTATCCAATTATGCTTGTGGTCCTTCCCTCGATTTTTTTCGTTTACGTACCCGAGATATTCAACAGAGGCCAGCCAACGCCAGCTAAGTCCAGAGCACCCATATCGACATCCATCAAGTTATCGTCACTCCATATGTCCAAAGCACCTTGGTCAAAACAACTGAAAGGACCTGCAGCACTCATCATTGGGAACGGCATCACCATCCCCTCATCCTCGAATCGTGAAGTCGTATCTTCATCACTGCTGGTCATGTTTTCCAACGAAGGAGCCTCGGAACCCAATAACTTCTTCTGGAACTCCGTAACGATAAAAGGCACTTCTTCCTGCTCCGTCTCTCCTTGCTTCCGCAGTGCTGCAGCTCTAGATTCCCAAGCCTTAACAACGATACGCGTAAACACTGCAAACATGGGTGTTTTGTGAAACGGGTGCGCTTCGTATTCCGGATTTGTAAATCTGACCTTGCAGCTCTCGCTCAAGGTCTTCCAGCAGAGTTCGGCCTGAGAAGCCAAAGGTTCGCGTTTGAGATGTTGCAGAATGTGTATGTAGGCAGGGAAAGGAAAGTGAAAGAATAGAAACCAAGAGTGCTTTGTTGTGTATGGGTGAGTCATTATCGTTGTGTCGCAGGAGAGCATCGTTAATGCGTGGGTGATGGCTGAGGAGCGTTGTTGCCAAGTTTGTTTTTCTAGTGGAATGGAGAAATGTTGGAAAAGCAGGTAGCGGGCTATGTGGCCTCGGGTGAGCCATATGGTCATGAATTGGTGTGGGTGATCTGGGTTGCAGTGGCGTAGAAATTCGTCTTCGATCCTCTGTTGAAGGACTTCGAGACTGCCACCGTGGTCCTTGGGATTAGCGAGAGCTTTCAACGCTGGATTTGTAAAGTCGAGGAAAAAAGAGCTGTGGCGGACTAGATCCGCCACTTTGTAGCGCAAGATGGCCATTGTCATTTCTGTAGGTCTGTCATGGCTCTGTGGCAGTGTCTCCATCTCTACCCGCAGATCAGAATCGTTGATGTTTGCGGGAACCTTGCAAGACCAAGATGGGCTTAATGTGACTGCGCGATAGTCGCCCATTTCGCAAACACGGTTGTCGAATAGGAGAAGAGCCCACCACAGCCTGCGACGCATCTCGCCCTCCAAAGGTCCGCACTTGACGTTTGAAGACTCGTTGTCTAGTCCCATACGTTGTGCGATGCGTATCGTAAGACCCAGCAGCGAAGATAAAGACCGAGGATCAGCATCTGGCCTTACAGCAACCTGCCCATGTTAGTATTTGACACGACTGAATACAGGATGCCATCTTACCAGATACAGAAACAAAGCCGTCAAACAGTCTCGATTGTCAGTCTGTAGGAATCTGCATCTGAGCAATGCCTGCTGACACCCAAATCGATACCTCTGCATAAGGACCTCTTTCTCACATCTGAATATATCCATACATCCCACTTCTGTGAGACTCATGACAGCAACACAATATACACCAAAAATCAACGCTTCCAAATTGGGCTCAATGTTTGTTAAGTCTCCCGTAGCATTGATGAGTCTTGCATTTAACGTAGGAGTGTGTGTGACCTTGAGCAACGGGTTGACATCATCCAGATAGACCTGCCAGAGTGTAAAGACCTGCACATGATCAGGAGGGTGCAAAACTTGAAGGTCGATATCCTCGATCAAAGACCCAAAAAGTAAGAAGTCGGTACTGTTCTTGAACAACTGGTCCCATGATTTCTTTCCAGCTACATCGCGAAGGTCTTCGACATCCTTGTAGTCTTCGTCATCTTCGCTTTCGTCTTTATTAGGAGACTGGTAATCGGTGATTAGTATCTCGTCCATCAGTGGAAGACTGCGATGAGGTCGTACAGTTTGACTCATGGCCAGCCAGAGGTTCCTACAGGGATTGTGTCAGCGGGACCTCATGCCAATCGGTCGGAAGCACACACTTCGCTTCGAAGGTGGGCTCTGTCTTAATCTCAGGGCTTGCTTTATCCTGCTCTAAGCTGACCGTCTCAGTCGGCTCGGCAGTTGTAGCATTTGCATGCAAAGGATCAAAGTCTATGTTGTGTTGACGAAGCAAGTCTTCTAGATGTCTGACTCGTTGCAACAATTCTGCTTCAGGGAATCGTCGTCGTCGCTGTCTTGGAACCGAGATAGGTATACATTGTACGCGACTCTTGACGCAAGCGTTGCAAGGGAATTTACGATCGCATTTTACTTTTCGTTGTTGGCACGCTGCACAAGCGAGCGGGCGTTGCGATTTGGTAGTGCTGCTGCGTGGGGGAGCCGTCGTTTGAAGAGAGTCTGGATCTGTCGCTGACATGTTGTATGAAAGAGAAAAGAAGCCTCGATACTACTCGGGTTGAATACAGATAGACATGGATGCGAAGGATTCATGATGGATGTCGTAAGTTGGAAGCCAATGAGCCGAAAGGGGAAGCCGCTCTATGCAAGGTTCCTTCCGCAGATGTAGATGTCTGGAGGATGCAACACGCAGCCGCATACAGGTATTCATAACATGCGACGATATTGCGAGCCACTTGAGCTCAGCAAATGAGCTGTCTCAACAGGAACTGTGATGATATCAGAGGCGCGTATACAAGAGAGGTGGCAGGGTGCGGTATCGGGTGCATTGGGTGGATTATGCAGTGTACAAGCCAGAAAGTCATGTGATCCAAGCTTTTTGTGCAGACGAAACTGAAGTCATTGATGGAAAGAAACAGCAGCGACGACAGACTCGACCACACACATCACAATGAGCCTTTTCCAAACCTCAAGGGCGCTCGCCTTCCGCCCCAGGGCATTTGCGACTATTCAGACCCCGATCACAGCATCATGGCGCCGCAACTACGCAACCGATCCCAAGCAGAGCGGAGGCGCTGGACCCAACATGAACCAGCAAGAGCACATCAGCGAGGAGGCAGCAAAGATCGAGAAGATTCGAGGAGGCTCAGGTCCGGACTTGGAGATGGGTACACCGGTGCAGGAGGTGCGTCAATGGCCGAGGGTGGGAAAGAGGGCATGAGACTGACAAAAAGCAGCTGCTCGAGGAAGACAAGGAAGCACAAAAGAAGGCACCCCAAGTGCTCAAGGACAGCATCAAGGCTGGCGCAACCCCTCCCAAGCCTTCGCAATCCCGCTCTTTCTCAACATATGCCCGCCGTAACCAGGGGCTGAGCGAGCACAACGACAACCCCTTCGACGATGCCATCATCGCGAACACAAACTTTGGTACGCAACAGCTCGCTGGGCCTGCCACTCCCGTTACTGTTGCCCCCGTCGGTCACAAGTTTGGTCTTCCTGCTCTGCCGCTCCCCAGCAATGCACACAAGGACTACCGCTACGATCCCGTTATTCGCCAATTCACAAACTTGATGATGCTGCACGGCAAGCTCAGTGTCGCTCAGCGCAACATGTCCATCATCCTGACGTATTTGCGCACCCAGTCTCCTCCAAACTACAGTCCTACTAGACCTCTGCTACCCGGTGCTCGTACGTTCTCCATCAAGCTATCCTTCTCATACCATTCTCTGACTCTTCAACAGCCCCACCATCCCACCTTCCTTTGAACCCTGTCCTTTATCTCACACTTGCCGTCGACAGCATCGCCCCTCTGTTGCGCATTCGCTCGCAACGCGGTGCCGCCGGTGGTGGTGTTGCCCTGCAGATCCCCGTCCCGCTTGGTCTCCGTCAACGCCGTCGTACTGCCTTTGAATGGATTTTGGACGCTGCTTCCAAGCGCAAGTCTCGCGGCAGTGGTCGCGACATGTTTGCTCTGCGCGTTGCCGAGGAGATTGTCGCCATCATCGAGGGCCGCAGCTCGGCTTGGGAGAAGCGAACAGGTATCCACAAGATTGCCACTACTGCCAGAAGTAACTTGAACTTGGGCAAGCCTGGTGGTCCTAGAAGGTAGACGGTGTCTTTACACTCCTTTTACTTGACCAACACGTGGAAATGAAAAATTACTTGTTCCTTCTCATTCTCAAAATATCACAATTCTTTACGCCAGTGTTATGCCCGGTTTCTAGGGCAGCACGTGTATCCTGTACAGTAGCCTATTTCATTTCTTGTGTCACTTTGCTCCAAACATAGAGACTACCCAGGATCAAAGCAAGTGCCTCGTAATTGAGCCTCCTCGACCAAAAACTTGAGATTTATCGACACTCTACTTTGTTCCGAAGCTTTGGAGGAATGGAAAATACCTTGTCCTTCAGTCGAGAGTGCCATGTACCTTAGCCCTATATTTCAACAACAGCATGCAGATTCCAGACACTCATACTCTGTGTTGAGATGACTCAAAAGGAGTGAGGCAATCGATGGCCTATTGAAGCATGTATAGAAGACTCGATTAAAGCTTGCTTGAACCCAAAAACAAATATCATGACATGAACATGGTTCATCTACCCTATATCCTTCCGCGTCTCTCTCTATCTTCATTTTCCAATCTCTTACCACACTTTACCGCCTTTACCAGTGCACTCGGCTTCCCAAGCACTGGGCGTGGTCGTCTGTGTAATAGTAACGGTCCAAGGAACGCTCTTCGTGGTGGTCGTCTTTGCAACTTCCCAGTGCGTAATAGTAGGTTCCACGATCTTGCCAATCAGAGTCTGCAACGCGGCAAAGTCTAGGAGAGCGCGTGTGACGGTCACTACTGCAGGTGTAGAGGTACTGTGATTTGATTAGCTTTTGGGACGTCGCAGAGGGGTGATAGAGGACGAGAGAAAAAAACGTACACTGTAGCCAACACAGTCGTGGGTATGGTAGTCGTGATGGTAGTCCATTGCGTCTGAGTCTCGGTGACGAACTCGGCAGTGTTTGTCAGTGTGGTGGTGACCACCGAAGCATCAGGTGCTCTCTTTTGCAAACCTGCTGTTTGCAGTCTTGCAGCTCTGTCCTCGACAAAGGCTTTCTTTACCTCTGCATCTTGCTCAACTCCCCTCTTGAACTTTGCCGAGTTGACTTTTTGGAAAATGGTCTTGAGAATGGTGATTTCGATTTTGGCCAAGGGGTCAGGAATCCAGTTTGGCGTGGGAGCAGCGCATGAGGGGGTGGCTTGCACAGTGGTTTGGGTGATTTGAGGCGCGTATGCTGTTTTGGTGATTGTAAACAGATCTTTGGTGGTTACTTGCACATTCAAAGGGTGAGAGTACAGCGTCGGCTTTCCAAACGCAATCAATGCTTTCTTTGTCGTCGTCTTTGCCACCAGCGTTGTGGTGATGGTGCTGGAAGTCGTGCTAACGATACTCGACACCGAAGTCTCGAGATCGGTGGCTGTGACTGTAGGAGTAATGGTTGTGGTTGAGGGAACACCGACGTCAAGCGCAAAGTCTCGTTGGTAAGCAATGGGGTCGGCATCGCCGTTGTTGGAGATGACGACTAGAGACCAATCGCCGCTGTAGAGTTTGTCTTGGGGCCAGTCGCTGCAGGTCACGGTTTCTGGGGTGTAGTCTGGAGTCAAGGGTGTATCTGTGCATTCGTATTGATCGCCGTTGGGATCTACGAGGATGTTCTGTGTACTCTTAGTCAGTATAGGCAAGTATATAGTGGGTGGATGGTCATTACGTTGGCGGTATCATTGTCACAACCCGAGAATTCTTGCACCAGAGAAAATGGCACAGTCAACTCGCTGTTTTCGAAATATGTGCCGCCACTTTGGATGTCAATGCCATAGACTTGACATTGTGCATAAGCGAGGCCAGAGCCGAGAGAGGCAGCAGCCAAGAAGAATGTCGACCGCATGTTTGAGCACAAGATACGCTTGGTCGTAGAAAGAGGTAATGATATATGAACAATCAAAAAGAGGCAATGAGCAACAAATGACAGACCTACAAGTGTATGAAACATCCACATGGCAGTCATTCACTGACTTATATATCCTCTAGTCATCCTAGAGTGATTACTATCCCAGGGCATGAAAACAGCACTTCGGAGTTCCCATCAAGGGTGAGAGTTGATCGTCATGGACTCGGAGAGCATAGGTCTTGTCCGGACAAGGCAGAGTCCCACTCTCCAAGTCTGATGTCGATTGCTCCTCAAGAAATGACCAGGATCCAAGAAGACCAAGCAGAGGTCAAAGTTTGGCGAATCGTGTTACGCAACTGCCGCATTACCATATCTGGAATCAGAGACCCATCTTATTCCCGTTGCTGCATGGAGGCAAAACAGAAAAGAGCTGTTCGAGAGCTGAAAGCAACCGTGCCTTGCATACGACCTCGGACTCGAGTACGGTGCATGCGATCTGCCATGCCTGTTGACGATTGAGGTTTGCGCTCGGCGGCTAAGAAGGACGACCCGAAGCTGAAGAGGCTCACGTAGTCATGGCACAAGGTGGAGAATCATAGTGAGATGCAGCGATCATACAAAGCACCGAGATAGCCGCGTCGTCCTAGAATCTCGATGCTAGATCTTGTTTGCCATGTGGTCTTTTCGCTATGTTCAGATACCCATCCCACAATCGAATGTTCTATCCCGAGGAGCCTGACGCTGTCGTTCACGCCAAACCACAGCATCAGTGTCAATAGTGTTTCAATGGGCTGAACGAACCATGGATAGATGATGAATGGCAAGGCTGAGATGGCATAAGTTCCCAAGCATCAGTTCGGCGGTGGTTGTGGATGACAGAGTTCGACGTAGATCTCGGACTTTTGAGCGACGATCAAATCGTTTTGGCTCCCGTGCCGTGCATGCCGTGGAGCCAGTTTGCCGAATCCACCTCTTGCATCTGCATGATGAAGTCGGTATTTGGATGCGCAGACAACAAAGGTATTCGGTGTCACCTCAGCGCTCAACGTGCATCATCTGCCGCGAATTTACAATGCAGGTCCGATGTTGTGGTACAAGTGTACATGAGACGTCTCTGATCAATAAAGCATCCATGGATGAAACTCTTGCAGATGCTATCGCGGTATTAAAGCTATGGGCATGCACGTTTTTGCATGCTCGAAAAGAAGCCGACCGAACGCCTCGCTGTAAATGATGCCTTGTCTCCAAGCTAGCCTGTGATGCAACCTTATCCTATGCCTCCTGCCTACGACCGTCTGGTCTTCCTCTTGGCGGTTCTTTCGAATGCTTCCTCCGAGGGCTCGTCTGGTGATTGGGCTCTCTTCTTGCCCTCTTTCTTTGGTGCAGCTCCGTACTTCTCAGCGAGGTTGTCCAAGAAGTTTTCACTTCTGCCCTTGTTGCGTTGCTGGATCATGGCAGCGAGAGATGACAGATCCGAGTCTCCTCCCTTGGACTTGGGTTTGGTTTTTGCCTTTGTCTTCTTGCCATGCTCCTCTGCTTCTTCAGCCTCCTCGCTAGCCTTTGCGATGCGGCGATCAATGCTCTTCTGAGTCTCTTCGGTGAACTTTGGGTGTGCAGCGACTTCTTCCTTCTCAATGGCCTCGTTGATGATTTTGCGGAAACGGTCTTCGTCAACAGCGGGATTGCTGACCATGATTTGCTGGTAGATCTTGTTCATGTCTCCCTTGTACTTAGTGTAGGCCGAGAGCAGGGCATCTCGTTCCTCGTCGCTGCCCTTGTACTCTTGGGTGAAGGAGATGATGGTATCTTCGGTGACAGCGTTGGCGAATTGAGTACGGTAGAAGTCACTCCAGTTGAAAATGTCGTCGTCGATGTCGAGGGATTTGTCTGTGCGGCCGGTGTTGTCGTAGCGAGCGCGGCGGCGCTCGTCACTCAGGACGGCGTAGGCGAGAGCAATCTCTTGAAACTTTGTGTGGGCGGCATCTTTGTCCTCGGGTTTGACCTTGTCTTGGTCGAGTTAGTGGAGAAGGGCAGTGAGAAGGAAGGGTCGACTCACCAGGATGCCACTTGAGAGCGGCCTTTCTGTAAGCAGTCTTGATCTGGTCTTGGGTCGCGGTCTTTTCGACAGCGAGCACCTCGTAGGGCTCGACGGTTGGGGGCTCGTCGAGCTCAAGGTCGTCAATGTTGGTAGGCATGATTGATCTTGGTCTTGTGGATGGTAGATCGGGTGAGAGCCAAAAGGGTAGGAACGCGTGAAGCAGGATGACGCGATGCCACGCGAGATGAATCAAAGTGGAGCCAAGCAACCGAGGCTCGAGAGTCGAGACAGCGTGCAGCTTTCTGGTATTCTGCCTCTCTCTTCTTCATTTGTTCAACAGTCAACCACTACCATGACACAACGCAGTCATCTAGACTACATGCGCCTAGCGTTAGAAGAAGCTCGCAAGTCTCCTCCGAAGCCTACCAATTATTGCGTCGGCGCCGTCCTCGTCTCGCCCTCATCACCAGAACCCATCCTCGCGACTGGCTACACCCTCGAACTACCAGGCAATACCCACGCTGAACAATGCTGTCTCGGAAAGCTTGCAAGGAGCATGAACATCTCTGAAGAACACGTTGGCTCTATTATGCCTGATGACACTGTTCTCTATACCACCATGGAGCCTTGCGACTTCCGTCTCAGTGGTAATCTTCCATGCACAGAGCGCGTCCTGTTGACGAGAAACACCTTAAGCACTGGACACAAGGGAATCCAAACAGTCTACATCGGTGTCAAGGAGCCCGAGAAGTTTGTAGGCGAGAACAAGGGCAGACGTAAGCTTGAAGATGCTGGTGTCCAGGTCATTCACATAGAAGGGCTTGAAGACGACATCTTGAAAGTCGCCACTGCCGGCCACCAACAGAAAGAGGAAGACCAATGATTAAAATGGTTATCTAGTAGTCATACACGTGTCGTATCAGGCCGTGACTCTCACGAAAAGTCTTTAGTTGCCTCTTGCTGCATCCTCCTCCTTGTTCTTGGGGACACTGATGATCTTGGGTACGGTGACCGAGTTGAGGTTGCGGAAAGCCTGTAATGAACACGGTCAGTAAAAGCCGTACAAAACAACTTGGACAGTGGAGCTGCATCGAACGATGCCTTCTCACCAGCCACGCTCGTGTCCACCAAACAAAACTCCACAGGTAGAACACCCACGCCCACGTATAATACGCCCACCACAGAGGATTCAGTAACTGGACATGACTTACGTTTGCGATGGCACCCTCAGGGAGCTTGCCGTTCCACTTGTCCTGGACCTTTGTGATCTTGCCGCCCTCGTGGAAGATGTTCACGACCGACGAGATGGTCTGCTCCATACCAATACCCTTGACCTTGTAGCGAGTCTTCATGTTCAGGCTGATGGGGTTGCCTGATGATGTGACCTCGTGCTCCAGTCTCTCAATCTCACTGAATGCTGACTGAAGACCGTACTGTGGAGAAGAGGGGTGTTAGCAAGTGAACACAAGATCTAAAGTAGTTTGTACACACCCATTGTGCCTCGTACTGCTTGCGACCCTCAGCAATGGTGATGGGGTCCTCAAAAACACCCTCATCCTTCCACAACTGAAGCTTCTCAAGACTGGGACGACCGGCGAAGAGATCAAGAACGCTTCCGACCAGGGTCTTCTGCTGCTCCTCTAGAGTAACTCCAGGAGCAGTCTTGATGTTGGTGTTTTCAATGTTGAGTCCGGAGGACATGGCTGCGGTTTGTGTCTGGTTCAAAGGTTGAGTTCTTGCGAATTGTAGGGTTGCAGGTCTGCTGAGGATGTTGGCAGTTTGTTGAATGTAGCGAGGAGTAAAAGGACGCATTTGGGGTGTGTGGTTTTGAAGAAGATGGAAAGTAGTGACAAGACAGCTTGATGATGTGCTCAATTGTTTGGATCCTTCGGTCGACAGCTGCGTGCATGAACGATGTGGTCACAGTGACTACATTTTACCTTGATGTCATGCATGCGGGGATCGATGGCGGAGATGGAGCTTGGACCATCCATGTCTCGGTTGCATTCGTTTTCTCAGGCGCTTCGCTCGAAGGAAAACCTGCATTCTGAGACCGTGTTGATTTGATACCATAAAAGATCGCAGAGAAGAAGAACTCCTGGTCATCCCAGATGACCATATCAAACCAGATGATAACATATGAACTAACCCAAATGACCAAACATTACCCCCAGATCCCCTTTTTCCATCTACAGGTATACGAAATGACAAGACAGAATTTAAAGCCCACTGTCAATTTGGGGGTAAGCCATGCTCTTAGAGTAGCTTCTCCAAGCATCACACTGTGAGTTGAAAGTGGTCTGGTCAGGCATAGCAATCGAGTTCTTTGCCTCGATGAATTGAACACCCAGGCCTTCGGAAATGTGCCATGCAATGTGGCAATGCATGAGCCAGACTCCAGGGTTGTTTGCCGGGAAGGCGATCAGCAGCCAACCGAGACCGGGAAGGATGGAAGTGTCGCGACGAGGGGGGTTGGCAAAGTTGAGGTTTGCGGTGCTGGAGTCGAAGACGCCGGCGCCTGAGCCAAGGACGAAGAAGTCGTGACTAGAGTTGAAATCAGCATTGGTCATAAGAGGATATGCGTAGGATGTGAGGACTTACCCGTGCAAGTGGATGGGGTGAGGGAGAGGAGGGTTCTGTTGGCCCATCTGGATGAGCCAATAAGTCCAGGTACCCTCGTTGGGAATCTCAATGACGGCATAGGGGTCGGGGTAGCTGGTGTTGCCCTCGAACACGTATTGCAGGGTAGGCTTGTCCCAGTTGACCATCATAGCAGTAGTGTCCAAGTGCCAGAGGGCGAAGTTCTGACCGTTTGTGGTGAGGCCGGGAGCAACCCCAGTGCTGAGGGTCTGGACTTGAGCGGCGTATTGGCTCTGGTCAACGGCCTGATTCCAGTAAGGAACAGTGTTGAGCTCAGTGCAGCCGTTGGTAGGAGGGGCCTCGTTGCTGTCGGTAGGCTCGGCGGCGGTAACTCCAGAGTATGTGAATAGAGCACGACCGTGGTTGTTGTTACCACTGAAACAATCGGTAGCGGCCTCAGCACGGAAGAAGTAGTTGCCAGGAGTCTGGTTGGCGGTGAAGATGACATCGTATCTCTGGCCAACGGCGAGCAGGAGCCAACCTTGTCCGGTCAAAGGCTGGGTGGGAATAAAATCAGCGGCGATGACGGTAAAGTTGTGGCCGTCAAGCTTGACACGAATGGCGTTGTCCACCGAGGTGTTGATCAATCGCAGGCGATGTTTCTTGCCCTTGGTAAGAGTCATCTTGGCGTAGGATCCAGCGCCTGCCTTGTTCTTTCCAAGGCCGTTAACGAGAATGTTGTCACCGTTCGGTGGCGGGGCGTTGTTCTGGAGGTTGGCAAGAGTGATTTCGTTGACGTTGTTTGCAAGGCCATAGTACCAATCGCTGACAGGGAAAGTACCAAGATCAATATCGTAGTTGGATGTGGCGGGACCGTTGATGACAATTGTGCCAGTGACACCCATACCGTACTGGGATGAGTAATGACTGTGGTACCATGAAGTACCGAATTGAGTAGCAAGGAATGTGTACTGTCTGGTCTGGCCGGGGGGGATAGGGCACTCGGTAAGACCACCAACACCATCAGCACCGACGCTGTTGAGTTGTCTGATACCGTGCCAATGGAAACTGCTGCCATTGTTCAGGAGGGAGTTCTTGACGTTGACAACAATTTTGTCTCCCCAATTGGCAGTGATGACTGGCCCGGGTAACTGGCCGTTGATGAGGTAGCACTCAATGGCTCCGTTGCCGTCTGGATTACATGTTGTGTTCGTGATCTCAAGGTTGTAAGTAACAGTCTGTCCTGTGGTGGGATGCTTCTGGTCAAAGTCTGTCTTGACGCTGTAACCACTGCTCCAGCAAGCACGGGAGTTTGGACCGTTGGTGCAAGCGGCATCAGCCACTAATGACGTGGATGAGGATGATGAGGTTGCCTTGCTAGCAGAAGAAGCCACAGAAGAAACGGATGTGGTTGAGGCTTTACTGGCCGAAGATGATGAGGTTGCACGGCGGACCATCTTCCCCATCTGATCAGCTCCCCATAAGTAGCGGCCCTCAGGTACTGCATCGGCCCATGAGACCGAAGCAAATGCCAAGAGGCAGATTCCAGTGAGCTTCTGGAAATGCATGATTGAAAATCAGAGCCAAGTTAACCAGTCGATACCCTGGAGGACTTGTCTGGAAATAGAAAGGTATGAGAACGATTGAGGTAGTTTGAGAAGTTTCAATGAGTGATGAGTGGATAGTTCGGGTTTATCAGTTGGTTCGAGCCTCGTATATATATTGGCCTCAGCCAACACACCCACTCATTGATCTCCGCATGGAGCTGGACGAGCCAACCCACAATGCTCTAGACCAAGCTTGATCATGACGAGACTAGCAGAAGTGAATATTGCATATCAGCTCGCTCTCCACATTGGCAGTGACCACGCAGAGGTCATCCGGTGAGCAGGATCGTGAGCTATACTGGACATCCCGGTGGCGCTATGTCGATTCCCGGTGATCCTAGGCGGCTGAAGCAAGGACCAAAGAGGATTGCAAGTCTCGGGAAATCTGACTTTGCTGGCGATGGTGATGTTCGGACAGGGCAAAGGACGGCATGGAAGCGAAGTGGTCTCGTTCCCTGAACGAACTTGGCATGCGACATTCTCTCCGAAAGCCTCACTGCTGTCATGTACCTTTGCATGCAGCAACATAAGTTGCAGGGGCGATCTCTATTCAGGCCTCACAGTAAAGCCCAAAGCGGCGACACATGAGGTGTGGTAAGACGAGAGTCGATTTGGCCAATGGGAAAATTCCCAGCAAGGGCCGATCTGACGCGCGGGAAGGCGCCTGGCTGAATCTAAGCTTTGACTTGGTCCATCTATAGTAAGCACGTACTCGTGTACATATAAGTTGCATACCACCCGCGTCGGACTCGGCTTTGGGGGAGGCGTCGCTTCCCACATCACCGTGACTCGACGCCGATACCGTGATCTGCTAAATCTGTTCAGTGCGCTTGAAGCTGCTGCTTGGTGATTGCTTGCATTGGCCTGAAGAGAGTGCATCTATGAAGACGCATTTTGCGCATCAGAAATTAGTAGCGTAGGAGAGAATGCTACAGCTTCTGGTTCTTTAAAGATAGCGAGGCGAGCAACCTATGTCATGCAGTTACATGAGCATATACTCAAATAACCTGCCTTGGTGACCACTGCATTGCTCATCGGATGGTACCTACTGTAAATAGATTCCGCACACCAGTACAGTACCTGTCAGCACCATGTCTTCAATGTCTAGGGCATCAATAGCTCGTACAGTCTGACACGGAAGACGCTCCCTTGCCTTGTCTGGCCTCCTCTGCTCGGGCGATGTTTTGATCCTTTGCAATGTTCAGCTCCATAGTCAAGGAAGAATCGACACGATCGTGGCATGTTTGCGACCCGAGGTGGATTTAGTGACCCAAGCTCACATGCGGGGGATCCACTTGGCATCGTGCATGGCCTTAGACAACGACACACTGTGAATAAGTCTGCCGTCCTTGAGCAAAACACACCATGCACACCGGGCGAACTCAGGTTGTGGATATCGTTCTACATGGCAAGGCCTAGCGAGCAGCTCGTTGCTGTATGTCCTCAGGGCTGAAAGAGGTTTTTGCCGAAAGATGCCGCACATGTGTGGCTTTCTCGCGGCTTAGCCTTGCCTGCATCAGGATCGGGTCTTAACGTCGACTCAGATACGATCGGGTACGGCATCCGGAGATTTTATCATCAAGAGGCACACTCACACTTTCTGCTTGTTCGTTGCACTATGCGCAGATCTTGCTCAATTCTGCTCAAGACGATCTCAATCTCATCTCTAGGATGTGCTTGTAGCTGGCCGTCCCTATAAACAACCCTCGCCATGGGTTTGTTTGACACAGATCTTTCGCCTTTCCATCTCTCGAAACGCAGTGTTTACGATAGAGCATCCTTCAGATTCAAATCCTGAGGCATTCGTAGCAAAGAAGTCTAATTCTGGCTCCCCCCAAATCCGACATTATGATGTAGGTTTGTTCGCTCGATCGGTTCAGTCGCCCACGAAGACTCGCAATGCAGCCAAAAGTGCAGCACTGTGCTATCCATGCGATTTTGTCTGTTAGAGCCGCAACGCGAGAAAGGTCCGTGTTACCCGCTGCTCTCAGGTCTCGATTTACCCAAGGTCCGGAGTCCCCGCATGAAGTCCGGCTTCTACACACGTCAAACCACCGTTTGTTGTCCCGAGCCCTACTATGCACCAATATTGACTGCCAGCAAACATCGATTTGGTCGCCTAGCCAAACGCTGTCATGTCATCGAACATACTCCTGACATGCGAAAACCCTGAAGATCGCTTCACCGCATAGAAAGTGTCACTTCACGTTCCAGAAATGGATCTTGGCTCTTGTGGTCGCTCCATCGGACTAGAAAACATATGCCAGCTCGGACGTCAGGGCTCGCGTGTGTTTACCTATCCGTACTCGTTACGCAAGGCTCTCGTCTTCCGGGAAAGCCTCTCTACCATAAATGGATATCGTTCGGATGCCGCTTTCCAATAGACACGCGTAACCTACCAAGGCCCATGGCATTGTTCTCGTCCAGCCGAGTCAAGGACAGCGGGATCGATTCCTGGTTTCCATTCCTCGGGATTCAGACTGCATCCGGTCTATGCGGCGTATTCAGCCCACTTCCAGACCAATATGGGTCTCGTCTATATCGCACTTAGCGAGCCGCGCTCGGGTCTTCCTGCTTGGCCCATATCAGGATCCAAGAGTGTTGGTCCGAACGCATCTGTTATACCTTTACCCAAAGTGGTCAAGAACGATAGCGTGATACGGAGAGCCTCTCGGGGTTCCTGGTTAGCACTCCACAAGCTAGCAGGGCGAGTGAATTCTTACATGCTCTGTTGGCACGGCGAGTCCGTCCCAGTCGGACGTTCCAGAGGATGCAGCTTTAGATTAATAGATGGTCTGCCCCCGACCTAGGTCCTCCATCAAACCATCTGACCCTCGTTTATCTCATACCTTCTCGTGTCATACAAGACTAAGTTATGTCCACCTTCAGACTCAGTGGCTTCTTGGCTACTGCTCTCTTGAGCACTCGGTCCATCGCACAGACTTGTTTGTCATACGGTGTTGACTTCCAAACCAACGGAGACTACTTCCAAAACATCAGCTCAACAGATCCGTTCACCTTCGCCTCGCTCTTCGAAGGATGTAGTAGCGATGTTGCCAACAACATTCTCGTCGATCCCAATGGAGATGAATACCAATGCACTGATACTCCTCTCCAACCCGATGATATCATTCAACTCTCGACATGTCCTATGGACAAGGATCAACTCTGGACTGGTGACTGGTCTGTCTTGGTCATCTCGAACAATGGAGATGCGGATCCCATTGCCTACGAGCGTGATTTCTACCTTAGTGTTGGTATCCCGTCCACCACAACCTACACACCTACGGTGACCATCACTTCAACAACCACACCTCTGGTCATCGTGACGGAGACATCGACTATCGTTTCGATCACCACGCTACAGGCCTCGACCACCACAGTTGCATCTGTAACCAAGGTAAGCTTATATGATCAGTATCGTGTGGTGTAAGTCATGACTAATACGTATCAAAGTCTCCTACTGTGACCATCACACCAGCTGTCTCCACAGTTGTCGTGACAAAGACTGCAACACTCAGGAAGACGGCCGTCACAGCCATCCCTGTTCTAACCACCAAGACCAAAACTGCCTCTTGCTCCATGCCCCCATCCCAAAGATGGCCCGACCCAATTTGCACCATCACACCTACTCTGGTCACCGCCGCTGCCCTGTCAACCGACGCAGTCTCAGCCACGGGCAGTGCATCCTCCACCTCTGCCACCTCTTCTTCTGCTCCCGCTCAGAAGGTCCGCCGCGGCCTCTTCGACCGCGCCGTTCCTCTCGACCGCGCCGCCAGACTCGCCGAGCGCAAGTCCAGAAGAGAGCAAAGACAAGCAAACACCAAGTTGCACAGACGTGCCCCAGACTCGGCCACCACCACCATGACTGAGACCGACACTTCCCTCTACATTACCTCAACTGCCACGTCCACCGATGTTGCCACCACCATCACCTCCACCACCGTCGCAACTTCCACTTCGACTTCTACTCCTCCTGTCGTTACCGTCAAGAGCGGCAAGACCACATTGGCTGTTGTGACTACCACGCTCAAGCAATCTACTACTACCAAGACTGTCATGACTGTTCTGACCACTACCGTCAAGACAGTGACTTCTTCGCCCAAGGTCACTATTTCGGTTACCAGCACTAATTCGCAGTCTGCTATCGCCTGCACAGCCAAGGGTGGCAGAATGACTTAGACGGGCAGTTCTCATCGTGTTTAGAATTGAGTTTTTGTGTTTTACCAGTGGATTTGAATTTGTCTCATGTCTTGTAGCAAAGGCCCTGGGGTTTCCTGCGTTGAGGTGTTGGTCTTTGGGCGGACTGGCAGGCTAAAGATCTCTTCGATGACCTTTTTTTCTAGAAGAAAGAACGCAAATGTATCTTCCTCTTTCTTTTTTTTTTGCACGGTTCGAAGATATCAGATTCCTCACTACAAATCGATGGTATTCCAAGACACGACGTCCAAAAGCGACTTCAAACATGTATTCCCCGCCCCTGCCAATGCCTGCCACAACCTCTCCCTCCCGAAACCAACAGCCGATACAGCGATACAAGCAGTGTCGTGAAACTTCCAACTTTCAACCAGGGAGCGCTCTTACCCTTCTTCCAGTCTTACTGCTTACACCCCCCTACCCCTCTCACCATCGCCTTTTACCCCTCTTCAAGCTTTCGTCAGCACTTGAACCTTCTTGCATCAAATGTAGTTGGGCGAATACAAAACGTACACGCAGCTGAACGAACCAAGCGGCTCCTTCGGACATTTTACTGGGGAGCAGAAGAGTATGTAGACAAGTAGATAAGTATCTACGTACAACTGCACAGTGCACTTTGTCAGCCCTTGTTGAAAGTCTGTTTTGTTTTGGGCTTTGGGAAGAGGAGCCGCAGATCGGGTCTTCCGAGACATTGGTATTTGATTCGGAGCGTCGGCAGCTGGGAAGTGAGCTCGATAATGGTACTGATCAATTTCTCGTAAGCAGGCACAAGGAGAACGAAAAGGCAGATGCGAAGCAAAGAAGCGGCATTTCATATCTGGGAAACCCGCAGATGGGGCATTTCACCATGGTGATCCATGAAACTCGTATCATTGAGGTAAAGCAACAAAACTCCGATGCCCAATGCCCTGGAGAAAATAGGTAGGTATCGAAGGTGGAAAAAGAGAAGCAAAAAAAGAAAAAAGCAAGAGAGAAAAAGAAGGCGCTATTCCTGCCAATACTCCTTCCCATGCTCTTGACCGTACAAGCTTGGTTTAATGGTTACGCTGGAGCTGCTTTGCCTGTTGAACAAAAGGTCAGTACAGTGTTTGCTGTCATGAAAAATCAGAGTGCGAACTCACCTTCATCATCTCAATTCTGGCCTTCAGGTTTTGTGTCACCTCGGCAGCACGTCTCCAACTCTCGACACCGCCAGTTGCACCCTCACCGCCCTGCGGCCTCGACATTGACGATCTCTGGATACCAGAATCTGAGCCCAGGCCTGCTCCATAGGCTTGCTCCATGTTGCTACCAGGTCTGCTGCCACTGCCACTGCGTTGCAGGCCAGACACCGCGGGACTAGCACGGCCGCTGCTCGAGTGGTCCAGTGACGGCGCATTCGAACTTCTGAAGCCGCTCACAGGACTTGTGATGCGTTCCAGACCGGCTGCTGCGTCCATGTGTTCCTTTGTCTCGCCACTGGGCTCTCGTGATTGAGAAGATGAGTATGACATGCCTGCGCCCGGGCGTCCGAACTGAGGTCGAGGTGGACCCATACCGCCCATGGGCGTATCGTAGTGTCTCATGCCGTTGGCACCATTGCTCTCAGAGTAGCTGCTGTTGTGCATCTGAGTGTCTTGGTTGTGATCACGTTCAACACGTCCCAGGCGAGCCACTTCACGCTTCAGTCTATCGACTTCGCGAGCGAGACCGGCTGCACGTTCCTCGGCAGCTTCAGCATCGCTTCGCGCGCGAACTAGCTGTGTCTCCTTGGCTTTGATACCCAACACATCCCGAGTGTGGTCTTCAATGAGCTGTGCGTTCTGGTTTTGGAGTTCGTGAATCTGACTGTTGAGCCTCATCTTGTCCGTTCGCAATTCACTATTCTGGGAACGAAGATATTCGGCTTCTGAGCGCAGATCTGAGAGTTCTGATCTTTCTGCCAAACTCAACACTGAAGGAGCTGCTTGGGGAGGTGGAGCGTACTCTTGAGGGGGTTCATTTGTGCTCTGATTGAATGAGTTGGTCGGCTTGCCCAGCGGTCTGGCGGCTAGACTACGGGGTGCTGCGAGTCCTGAGCGTGGTGCAGGAGCTGGTGTCGGCGGGTCGTCCAACATCTCTACATCCTCAGAAGGCACTCTTCTGGGAGAAGCAGCTGGCGGAGCCATACCAGGCTTCTTCATTCTTGATCCTGGTGCTGCAAGTCCCGACTTGAGCCCTGGTCTGCTAGTTGGGCGTGCAGCTAAGGGTGCAGCTGCTGGAGGTTCTTCCGGTGTGGCAGGTCTGACAGGTGCGGGTGCAGCCTTCTTCACGCCCGGCGCAGGACGTCTTCCGGGGACAACCTTCTTGACAGGAGCTGCGGCAGGCTTTGGGGGAGGAGCAGCCTTGGGCTTCCACTTGACCTTTACTTCTGCATTGTCACAGTACTCCTTGATCTTGTTCTTTTTGATATCGTCGATACCGTCCAGGTGAGGAAGCATGTTGCGGTCAGTCATAATCTTCCATAGCGTTCCCAAGATTTCAGCGGCTGCTTCTCTGGGTGGCGCTTGGGAGTCTGCCAGCAGAGCTTTGGCAGCATCAGACATGGTCTTGAGCTCAGCGGGTGGGGGTACCTCCCTGAGGTTCTTCAAACAGCGTACAAGCACACGAGCAGACTCGAGCTTGACTTGAGGAGTCTTGTGCTTGAAAGCTTCTAGCATCTCTTCGAGATTGTCAGTCAGACCAGTGGCAGAGACGACGGCGTCGCAAGCGGCAGCAAGAGCGTCAGTGACGGTTTGCTTCTTCTCCTTGAGACGCTCAAGCATGGGCGACATGATGGTGGAACGGTATCTCGAGAAACTCTTTTTCAGACCCTTTGCGAGCACTTCGACACAATTTGCAGCGGCAATAACACAAGCAACATTAGCATCCTTCATACTCTTTGCAAGTCCACGCATGATGTCGTCGAATGGACCCTCTTGGATGGCGGGTTGATTGGCAGCGGTGAAGAGCTCTTCAAGAGCCTCCTTACGGTCCTTCCATTTTGACGAGTTGAGACGGTCGCTGAAGTCTGCCGGCACCTTCGAAATGACATCGACCACCTCGAATTCGGGTTCCAGGTCAATCGCGCCGTCATCTTCATCGTCCTCGGCTTGTTCGGCGGGGTCGTCGCCTGCCTCCTCTGCGGCCTCTTGTGCAGCTTGTTGAGATCTAAGCAGTCTCTCTTGGGTCGGCTTGTCGTCTTTGACCTTGTCGAATAATTTATCTAGATCCGTCTGTTGGACGGGCTTGAGCTCACCCCAAAAAAGGGGCTTCATGGCTTCCTTCAGCCATCGGTAGAGTTCGACTGTGAGGTTTTGTGCCTCGGCGCGTACGTTCTTGTCTGCATGGCCGTACACCTTCGGTAGGAGTTTGATGATAGGCTTGGGCTCGACTGTCTTGCAACCGTAGGCGTGGTAGATGGCGGTGAGAGACTGCAGGGCAGCGACAATGACCTTTGGTGTTTTTGCGGCGAGGAGGGGGATGAGCTCTTCGATGACGGGGTCGGCTACGTCAAGTTCGATGTAGAGAAGGAGAGCCTCGATGGCGGCGGCTTTGGCGGCGGGACGACCTGTAACGCCCTTCTCGACAATGGGCTGGATAGTCGATGTGCGGGTGCTGTAGAGTGTATGTTAGCTTGGTTGGCAAGACAGAATGGCGTTGAAGAGGAGAGTGACGCACCGAGTACAGCCAGGCTTGCCAGCAATTTCGAGGAAGGCATTGAGCGCATTCAGGCCTTCGGCCTGTGCAGCAACGTTGGAGTCGGCGACAGCACCCTTCCATATGTTGGAGTCTGCAGTAAAGTCCTTGACGAGGGGGTCGCTCGGTTGCGCGGTCTTGAATTCTTTTGTGGCAGCTTCATAGCCTTCCTTGCGGACTTTCCAGTTCTTGTGTACGAAGCGGTCGGCCAGAGGTAGCTTGCTGAAATCTTCTTGCTCTTCGGCCATGTTGGCGGGTTGTCCGAGTGTTTAGGCGCAATGGGTAGTGGGGATAGAGAAACAATGGCTGCGAGCCGGGTGCGGAATGTGATGGCCGACGGGCGAGCAGCGACGGCAGACAGAGAGGCGCTGCGTCTTGTTGATCAGGTTTTGAATTTGGGCGAGCGTGGTGGTCTCGTCATGGGATTGTTGCAATGCTAGAAGAATATCGCTTTCTCAGGCCCGACCAAAACAAACACAACAGCCTGCCAAAGCCCAGAGCCAAATTCCGTCTGACGGCATCGGGCACCATGCGACAACAGCAAAGAGACTCGACCAATTCGCTGTCCACCTAACGACATAGCTGCACCTTCCCTATTGTCTCATTTTCTCGTCCAAGTCGCACTCGAAACTCGCACCTTCCCCTTTTCCTAAACGATTCAAGCGCTCACCGCCGCTTGTTCTGGCAACAGCTCCCCCCCACCTCCGTCACTGCTGCCAACCACTTCGATTATTGAAAGAAGTTGTTATGCGCAACCACTACAATGTCCAATCTTTTGACTCAGCGACAAGCTGAAGAGCTGTGCGTGTCCCAAGACCGCACCAAATGCTGTTGGCTGATGTGCTGATAGCCACAAGTCCTTGATCGCCTACCTCACTGCCGCCGGCTTGACAAACACGGCCGCGTCCCTCCGCGAAGAACTAAACATCGGCGACGAATTCGATGATGCTACGCGAAGGAAATATGAGGGTTTGCTGGAGAAGAAGTGGACCAGCGTAGTCCGCTTGCAAAAGAAGGTGAGCAATCACGCCAGTCGAACGCGACTTGCTGGACCAAAGCCCTGACGCTTCACCAGATAATGGACCTCGAATCACGCAACACAACCCTACAAACAGAACTCGATACTGCCACTCCTACTTCACTGTCGCGTCGCAACCACGATCCCGCCACCTGGCTACCACGATCCCCAGCCCGCCACACCCTTCAATCCCACCGTCAATCCGTCACATGTGTCGCCTTTCATCCCGTCTTCTCCTCTCTGGCCTCGGGTTCTGAAGATGCTACAATCAAGATTTGGGACTGGGAGCTGGGTGAACTCGAACGCACAATTAAAGGTCACACAAAAGGTGTCCTCGATATCGACTATGGTGGTCCGCGCGGAGGCACGCTTTTGGCCAGCTGTAGTTCCGATCTGACCATCAAGCTTTGGGACCCTAGCGACGAATACAAAAATATTCGCACTCTACCAGGCCACGACCATAGTGTATCGGCGGTGCGCTTCATCCCTTCGGGTGCGGCTGGTGCCCCATCGAGTGGAAACCTCTTGGCCAGTGCTAGTAGAGACAAGACCATCAGGATCTGGGACGTCACGACTGGGTACTGCGTCAAGACCATTCGTGGTCACGCTGATTGGGTGCGCGATGTCGCTCCCAGTTTCGATGGCCGCTGGCTCCTCTCGGTCGGAAACGACCAGACCGCTCGCTTGTGGGACACCCAATCTGGCGATGCAAAGGTCACCTTTGTCGGCCACGAGCACGTAATCGAATGTTGTACATTTGCTCCAGCAGCAGCATATTCTCATTTGGCATCGATGGCAGGCCTCAAGAAAGCTCCTCCATCAACCAGCTCCGCAGAGTTTGTCGCTACCGCTGGTCGCGACAAACTCATCAAGTTGTGGGACGCTCGAGGAACCTTGATCAAAACACTTGTCGGGCACGATAACTGGGTGCGAGCTCTGCTGTTCCATCCAGGAGGCAAATATCTCCTCAGTTGCGCGGACGACAAAACGATACGCTGCTGGGATTTGTCGCAAGAAGGTAAATGTGTCAAAACTATTGATGACGCCCATGGTCACTTCGTCAGCAGTATGCGCTGGGCGCCAGGTGTGATCAAGGATGCTGCAGCTGCCAACAACGATGCTGCTACCAACGGATCCAAAACGGGTGATGAAGCGGCCAAAGTCAGCATCCGCTGTGTCATTGCAACAGGCAGTGTCGATCTGAACGTCCGAGTCTTTGCATCATAGTCTACGTCCCAAGTCCCTATTCTCATGCATCATTGGGATGGAGTATTCGGCGCACGGAGAAGGGAATTTCTTAAAGGTGCTTTCACTGTAGATGGATTATTCCCCTGTGTCTCTTTCAGCATGAATCATGGCGTATCTCTTGCTTGTCTAACATCATCATCTTCTTCATCATCCTTCCTCTTCGTTCATACTCCTGTTACTAGGGAAGGCTGGCGTTCAATTTTCCTCCTGTCCTCACGTTCCTGAAGTCAAAGCAACCTGAATTATAGATGTTTATCACCGTTTTGTCCTTTCTATCGCTTCTCTACTCTCTCCAAAACACTTTTTATTCATCAAAGATGCATATTAGAGTTTACGAAAAAAAACCACTGGAACCTTTTTTTGCTTTTTTCCTTCATGTCTTCATATCATAGAGACAGGGTTGTGCTCCTGACATCAATTACATGCTTTGTCATCGACCTTGCTCGACCACCATGGTTAAATCGGCATATCTTATCTCCTCGCGACAATTCTATACATTAAATGCATGTTATCAATGGTCGTTCCGATTGTTTGGTCGAGTCGTGGCCCAGCATTGTACAAATTCAGCTTTGAGGAATTGCTTCCTCAGGAATACACCTAGTAATGTACCGTTTCACGCTTGTCTCTCTTGCGTAGTCGAAGTGACAGCGATAAACGAGCTCTCCGTGTCTTAGTGATATGTTCTCTCCCAAGTTCTCAGCTCTCTCAAGGTCAATACTAATTATGTGTATAGACTAGAGATCAACGTAATGGAAGGTGAAATGCACGTCGAGCGAGCTTTCATCCGAACCCCGAACGAAGGTCGAAATCGAAGGCCATCGTCAGAGCGCGGCTGAAAATAGTGAGATGACGCTACTCTTGACCCGCCTTCGCTGGGCATCCCTTAGATACGAAGTCGTGTAGCTTGTTGAATTATTGCATCTCTCCGTCCGAATCTTCAGTCTTATCTGTCTCATTCAACGTACTCCTATCGCGTGTTATTGTCGAGGCACCTCTAGCATCTTTTGAACGTCCAATTGCTGTTCCGCCTTGTACAAAGTACCCTTCGATCGATAAAAGCTTCCAAACACATATCCAAAGATGGCATCGCAGGTATCGAGTGATCCCAAGTGACCAAGGACAGCAGTATCTGACAGTCAAAGACTTCGAGTAAAGCTCCCTCCCTCTCAGCTGGCTCTGAGGCCACCACCGACCCCGCCCCCACTGGCCCTATCAAGACTCCTTTGACCGTCGCTCTGCCCGAATGCAAGCCCACTCCTCCTGCTGCTTTGACTGCCGACCAAGAGTCCAAGTACGCTTCAGTGCTTTCGACTGTCTCCACATGGACCACAATCCCGAGCAACACACTCAAGGATGCCACGAACGAGCCCATCACGGAAAACGAGCGCATGTGGTTGACCCGCGAGTGTCTCCTCCGTTACCTTCGCGCTACTAAGTGGGACGTCCCCAGCGCCCTCAAGCGTCTGCAAGGAACTCTGTCCTGGAGACGCGAATATGGTGCTGACACCTTCACCGCCGACTACATTTCTCCCGAGAACGAGACAGGTAAGCAGGTAATCATGGGCTACGACATCAATGCTCGTCCCTGTCTATACCTCAACCCTGGCAAGCAAAACACAAAGAATAGCGACCGCCAGATCCACCACTTGGCTTTCATGCTGGATAGAGTCATCGACATGATGGGTCCTGGACAAGAGACGACTGCCCTTCTCATCAACTTCAAGGGTGCTACCAGCGGCAGCACGCCCAGTGTCGGCCAGGCCAGACAGGTTCTGAACATCCTACAAAATCACAACCCAGAGAGGCTTGGCAGAGCTCTGATCTCGCAGTGTAAGCAAAGCCGCATGGTTCTATGTACAAACGCTGACACTAGATAGTGCCTTGGTACGTCAGCACCTTCTTCAAGCTCATCTCGCCCTTCATCGACCCCGTCACCAAGGAGAAGATGAAGTTCAACGAGGATCTCAAGAAATACGTTCCTACCAAACAGCTATGGAAAGACTACGGTGGCGAGCTCAACTTCGACTACGACCACAAGGCCTACTGGCCAGCTTTGAACAAGGAGTGCGACAGACGTCGGGAAGCATACAAGCAGCGCTGGGTCGAAGCTGGCAAGCAAGTCGGTGAATACGAGGAGTACCTCCGTGGCGGCCAGCAGAAGCCTCTCCGTGACATCTCAAGCAATGCAGGAAGCGCCACCGAGGAGACTCCTGACATTGCTAGCCTGAAAGTTTAAGACCGCGACACAGAAGTCTGGCTTTGCTGGCAGAGCCTCGTCAAGAGTACGGTTAGAGCAGCATATGGGCAGGCGTTATATTCGATCTCTGGATTCATCATTTCCTCGAAAGATTCATGAAAAGTACCTCTTAGAGCGCGTCACAGAAACATAGAAGTGTAAAAGGTTCCGCGGCATGTTCTTCCAAAAAGCACGCTAGAAATCACACCATTGCCATCCTTTCTCAGGCGACCAGTTCCTGTTGAATTATCTCGCTGACAGAAATCAATCACACAGGTGGTTGGCAGCGTCTCACTTCTATACTGCAGATCCTATCAAACAGTCTGATGGTTGGCATATAAGCCCCTATAACGAGGCAAATAGGGTTCGGTTGACCGCTCTGGGGCATTCTGCGGGATGCTGTTCTTCAGCCCCACCTGAAAGATGCGGACAAGCAGAAAGCCAAAGATGCGCAACAAGAAGAAGACCAAGCAAACCGATCTGTCACTCGGAGTCTGATTAGCAGCCTCACCGTATATTGGCAAATAAGACGGCAATTGAACCAAGGTAACTCTAAACCAACTATCAGCAAAGCGATGACGCGAAGCGAATGAAAAGTTGATTGTGTTGATTATGTGCCAAGGGGACATTTGCGTGTGAGGCGCCTGTTGTGGGGTTCAACTGGAGAGCGAGAGCCAACCGTCGTCATCTACCGTTTTTCGCCGCAAGTCTGGTATTTTCCTGAGCTTCCCCTTTGACTTCAATTCGCAAGCAAACGGCTGTCACACTCGCTATAGCTTGTATCGGAATTGCGACGAGAGAACAACAGATCCGCGGCCTGAAAATTGGGCTCGCAAACTTATCCGGATGACCGCAATCACGTCCTGAACTCTGATTCCTTACTAACGTGCTCGCTTGGCTTCATACTCGCCAAGGTCGGCAAGAGTCAGCGACAAGACTTTGGTTCTTGGTCAACACATCCTTGGATCTTGCTTCTTCGGTCTTTTGATACCTCGCCTTCTTGTTGTCCCTACGACTCCCTTCGTCTTTACGGCGACATACACACTCACCGACCCCCCCGATACACATCACCATAGCCTTTGGGAGCGGCGACTGGGCGCACCCGACGACCGCATGCAACTGACAACTACTCTGGCTCCCCCCGACCCCGACAACCACGATACGAGACCCTAATACACCCATCGTTTCGTTATCCCTAACTATCCTTCACACATCCAGCCACCATGGCTTGGGAACACTTGAGCGTCGACAAACCGCACTTGGTCTACATCATCCTTGGCGGTTTCACCAGTCTGTTCATGTTATGTTCGTCACTCATCAAAGAAAAACTATACATCGGCGAGGCCACCGTCGCCACCATCTGTGGTATCATCTTTGGTCCGCATGCCGCCAATCTCATCGATCCTACAACATGGGGAAACGAGGATAGAATCACCCTCGAGTTCGCCCGTATCGTCCTTGTTGTCCAATGTTTCGCTGTAGGAGTCGAACTGCCAAAGTTTTACATGGAGCGCCACTGGAGATCCGTTACCCTTCTCCTTATTCCCGTCATGACATTCGGATGGCTCATCTCCAGTCTGTTCATCTGGGCTCTGATCCCCCCACTCAACTGGCTGGACAGTCTCTGTGTTGCCGCTTGTATCACTGCTACTGATCCCGTCCTTGCTTCCTCGGTTGTTGGTAAAGGAAAGTTCGCCCAGAGAGTCCCCAAGCATTTGAGAGATCTGCTCTCTGCCGAATCCGGCTGTAACGATGGTATGGCTTTCCCATTCATCTACCTGGCCATCTACATCATTCGCTACCACCACCATCCCAACGAGGTTGCTCTCGAATGGTTCTGCGTGTCGATTCTGTACGAGTGTGTTTTCGGCGCCATCTATGGTGTCGTTGTCGGATACATTGCCCGCCATGCTGTCAGATTTGCCCACGAACGCAACTTGATTGATCGTGAATCTTTCCTGGTCTTCTACTTTGTCCTGGCTTTGTTCTGTGCTGGCTCCGGCTCTATCTTGGGTATGGACGACCTGCTTGTCGGATTCGCCTGTGGAGTCGGCTTCAGCAACGACGGTTGGTTCACAGAGAAAACAGAGGAGTCCCACGTCTCTAACGTTATTGATTTGCTTATCAACTTGGCTTTTTTCGTCTACTTTGGCACAATCATTCCCTGGGCTCAGTTCGACTCTTCGGTCATTGGTCTAAGTGCTTGGAGACTGGTCGTTCTTGCAATCCTGGTTTTGCTGTTCCGTCGCATACCTATCATGCTTGCACTGAAACCAATCATCCCGGATATCAAGACTTGGAGAGAGGCGCTTTTCGCTGGGCACTTCGGTCCTATCGGCGTAGGTGCAATCTTTGTTGCCATCCTGGCTAGAGCCGAGCTGGAAACCGAGACCACGACACCGCTTGGCGAGCTACCTGAAGCTGGATTTGAACATCTTAATATCATCGAACTCATCTGGCCCATCACAACGTTCCTGGTCATTACTTCGATTCTTGTTCACGGATCCTCGATTGCTGTCTTTACTCTCGGAAAACACATCAACACTCTCACTCTGACAATGTCATACACTCAGGCCAATGATTCCTCGTGGATGGACAGACTTCCTCGTATCCAGTCGCGTTCCAAGACTTCCATGTCTCAACAAAGAACTGATGATACGGACGAGACTCTCGAAGAGAAGGGCGAATATGGCGCTTTCCCTCCCAACTTCCTTCGTCGTCAACGCGAGGATGATACTCCTGCTCGCCCTCTGAGTCGACGCCGCTCGCGCAAGTCTCAATACGGCGCTGGTGGTCCTATCAGTCAGTCGGCTATCAGACCTCAACGCACCGACAGCGAAAAGCTTGAGGAGTCTACTTCTCGTAGCGAGTCTGATGCTTCACCAAATGCTGGAAAGGACAAACCACCATTGGGACGTGCCAAGCGCGACGATGATGAACCTGATGAGCCCGGTGAGCCCGAGGGCGAGGTGTACGAGGAAGGTGGCGAGACCGTCTATGAAGACGAAGAAGGCAATGTTCTCGCTGTCAGGAAGACTCACCCAGAGGACAACGATCAACAACGAGAAGAACGCGAACGAGAAGAACTCAAGAAGTTGATGAGCGATGAAAATATCCATCACGGTATCGCCCGTAGAAAGGACGGCCACACTGAAGGCGAAGAAGGCAACGTGATGCACGAGTTCAAGAAGGCTGGCGAGGAAGGACTGAATGCTGTTGAACATCCCCAGAAGGAGTGGCGCAAGAAGATGGCTCATCTCGGAGGTCTTCGTAAGAAGGAGGATCACGGTGACAAGCCCACAGCTAAGAAGCCTGCTACCAAGCGCGGTCCTGCTCGTGCTTACCAATTCGGCAACACCATCATTGTGGAGGACGAAGATGGCGAGGTCATCAAGAAGTACAACATTGACGAACCGCCGAAGAAATCGAAGCAGCCAAAGGAGGGAGAAACTGGCGCATCTGGTGAGGGTGGTGGTCTCGCAGGACCTACCAGACGAGGTCTTACTCGCATGGGAACCGCGCTGAGTATCACTGGTCGCAAGGCCAACAACGAGACGGAGCAATCGAATGCCAGGGAAGAGAAGAGGAGACAGAAGGCCGAGCGAGAAGCCGAGGACGATGAGCGTCTGCGTTTCACCGTTGGTGCTGGCGGTCAGAGGATGAGCAAAGCAGAGTTTGTCAGACAGATCTCAAGTCTCAACGCCAAGCAACGTGCTTCTGTCGTGGAGGAGAGTGATCTTCCCGAAGCCATCAAGAGGGAGGCAAGAGAGGCTGCAAAGAAGGGTAACGACGATGCGACCCCATCTCGCCTGCAGTCGATGCCCGATAACAGACCTGTCAACATGGGCCGCGCGGAGTCGACGAAGCTCACAGGCGAATCGCCTGCAGAGACTGGTAATTCTGGTCTGACCGACAACGCCAAGGTCAAGAGAATGCCAAGTTCTACAGACGCTCCCTCTGGACCCGAAGGCCTGACTTTGGTCGACTCGAACGATGAAGTCGTGCCTTTCCACGATGTAACCGGTGATCTTCGTCGATCAAGCGGAGCTGGCGAGACACCAGCCGAGAAACGACGCAGAGAAGCACGCGAGCGCGCCGAGCAATCACGCCAGGATACCATCGAGGAGGACAGTGAAGACGACGGCACCGAGAGAGTTCCACCCCCTCGTCCCCATCAGGACACCCGCTACGCTTCTGATGTCGAGTCCGAGACAGCCGCCGAGCGTCGCCGCAGAGAAGGCGCACTTGCAAGAGGCACAGAGAATAACCCAGAGGCCGACTACTTTAACCGCCCGCGTGATGTTCGCGTCGCCAGTGGCAGCGCACGTCCTCGCAAATCCCGCATCGACTCTGATACCGATGGTGAGACTGCTGCAGAGCGAAGACGCAGAGAAGGTGCCCTGGGGCTCACGCAGGAAGACGAAAGCGACAGCGAGGACGAAGATGATGCGCCACGCCAACCACCGACCAACATCAGATTTGCCGAGCCGCAGAAACCTCAGCAAGCTGCTACATCTTCTTCGGGCACGACCAGTCGTTTACGCTGGGGTAAGAATAGGAAAGGATGATGGATGAGATGAAGGAGGGGGAAGCGTGTGGATTTGCATCAAAATACAGGTATATCGCATATATGGTGTGTGTGGAGAGCGGTTTCTCTTTCTTCATGAGGAGGTCTGTACATATTCTACCTTTTCCCTTTTCATGTTAAGAGTGGTTTTGTGTTTCGATTCTATGCTTTTTAAGTCAGCGAGGTGTACAGGGCTTTTCCTTTTGCATGTGTTCTTTTTATAGACAGAAACATCTTGTTCTAGTCATGTCGTTCTTTCTTCATACACGACTTGTCTTTCCACGTTCCATATCTATTCGTGCATCAGTCCTGACTTTCAGGTACCTTTACCTCACAATATGACTACCATTCTTGACACCAGATGTTTTTTTATTTCCCAGGCCGAACCAAAACATATTTGCGATGTTGCGATGAACAAAAAACAAGATGCAAAAACGTACAGCAGCAGGGATTCCCACGTGGTCACCCACCGTAGTACTAATCTGCCGTTCAACTGCTTATGTATGGCAGAGCGGACGGGATGCCCAGTTTTCAGCTGACTGTGGCCGTACGTGGTTGGAGTTGATGTTATAAACAATAAGTAAGTGGTGGCAATCAAGCTATCTCGACACGAATATGGCAGCTACTGGTTGTCGTCGAAGTGACCTGAGCTGCCATGAGGAGAATGGTCAAGTTAACCGAGACGACTCTAGCTATCATCCTTTGAGTGGCAGAAGAAGCGGGAGACAATATTTCGAAAAATTCTTGCTGCTTGTGGCATGATATCGAAGCGGATGCGAAGATCGCGAGATTAAGTTTCGGTGTCGAAAGAAGTAATTCTTGCGATGTTGAAGCGCATTGGACTCGTTTCCCCTGACAGAGCAATAGAAGAAGTTTTCATAGCGTCCATGCTAAGCATGTGATAGTAGAGCGTATACGGAAATGTGAGGCGAAGTGACCGTGTGTAGAGAGGCTGAGAGCAGCAAGGGAGGCTAGGAGGTGTTTTGAAGGGGGCTCTTGCGGGACTTGGCAATCACATGCAAGCTTTCACGTGGGAATGATGATGGAATGGCGGCGGGAGAATCGTATGACAGCGACCAACCAATGGCCGCAGGTCGTCGTCGTTTCTAAAAGTCTTGCCCATAGCCTCGGGCTATTCTCTTCCCTGTCGTGTGACACCAAGACTTGCAGTTCTTTTGTAGACGACAAAACATATACATGTACAGCAGCAGGAAGCCGCACGACTTTGAACTTTGGTCTTTGACTTTACTCGGCCCAACGCTTGCCAACTCGGGGGCTGAAACCGACATAGCCCTCCTGCCTCAAACACCTGTTGACTCGACACACTCCCTCGTACATAACCCAAGGACAAGGACAGGGAAAGAGGAGGATTGCTTTCAACATGGCCGTTAATGCAAATACAGCTCAGTTCCTCGAGCTGCATCTCGACCGGCGGGCAACGTCCCCCACGCCCGGCACGTCACTACCCGAGGACGATGGCATGCGCACCCTACGAGCCAAGATGCATGAGATCCAGCATTTGGCTGCCTCGACTGAAGAGAAGGCAAGAGCAATGCACCTGCTCATGACAAAGGACTACATCACCTTGAACAACCCCGATCACCACATGCCCGATCTATTCCACCAAGGCCCGCTTTGTCACCCTGTCCGGTCGTCCGACAACCCTTACAACATCACTTCACAAGACCTCGAGCCAACCTACTGTGCAGATCACATCAACGATGAAGGCACTGGCCTGGGTTGTTCACACTACAGCAGGAATGTCAAGGTACAATGCTTCGACTGCAACCAATGGCATCCGTGTCGGCACTGTCACGACGCTTCGCCCAATCTACCCTTTCCTCATGGACTCAATCGCAAGATGACACGCAACATGCTATGCATGCTTTGCAGTACCCCTCAGCCTGCCGGTCCCACATGCACCAATTGTGGCGTTGACTCTGCCTACTACTACTGCTCAAAGTGTAAGCTGTGGGACAACGACAGCACGAAAAGCATCTATCATTGCGATGATTGTGGTATTTGTCGTCGTGGCGAAGGCCTAGGCAGGGATTACGTCCACTGCAAACGTTGCAATGTCTGCATCTCGATATCCACCAGCAGTACCCATCCTTGCGTGGAAAGAGCTACAGATTGTGATTGTCCGTTATGTCTCGACTACCTCTTTTCCTCATCACTACCGGTGGTGAGTCTGGCTTGCGGCCACTACATGCACGGAAGCTGCTACAAAGATCTCATGCACGTCACATACCGCTGTCCAGTATGCAACAAATCCGCTGTCAACATGGAACTACAATGGCGCAAACTCGACGATGAAATACGTCTACAACCCATGCCCGAAGATGAATTCGAAGATTCTGCCGCTGCAAAGGCAAACCCTACACATCGCCGCGTTCCTCGAAAAGTGTTTGTGGGCTGTAATGACTGTGGAGGAAGAGGCTGGTCCGCCTTCCACTGGTTGGGGCTCAAATGCCCCCATTGCGACGGCTACAATACATCTCAAACCGCACTTTTAGGCTCCGAAACACCAGGAGTCCGACCAGTAGTCCGTCGCCATGAGTTCGCTGGTGTGAATGCATTGCCAGCTGTCGTAACCGATGAAGAAAGAGCAGATAGCGCATACGGCTGTCCATCATCACCAGCACAAATCCCCGTTCCGCAACAAAACCTGCCAGTTCAACAGCCAACCTTTGCGCCCCACTCACCTACAGGACGCAGTTACTTCCTCCAAGCCGAATACGAAGAAAGCCTTCGCAACACCGAACGCGCATTGTCCGCCGGCGATGCATTCAGAAACTTACCCTACGATATCCTGCAACGCTTCAGCAGGAGTCTGTCACCTATGCGCTATTATCTCGAAGGACTGGACTCCGGCGCCACAGCCACAAATGGATCTCAAGATTCCACTGCCACAACAACGCAGAAAGATGAACAGCACAGCAGACGACCGCAGACTGCTCAATCGCACGAAAGCAGTTTCTGGGGCGAAGGCAACGCGGGCGTTTTCTTTGGGGATATCTCAGAGTCTGATGAGGAGGAAGAGGATGATGTGGAGGAAGACGAGGACGATGAGGAAGAGAGTGATGACGACGAGGAGGATGAGGAGGAAAGCGATGATGATGAGTTCGTGGGAAGCCAGTTTGGGGATCGAGATGCTTTCCCAGTCGAGGATGAAGATGATTTGAGGTTACCGGGGCATATCTGATGCGGCCTTCTTGCTCCTGCTGGGATTGGGAGTCATCGAAAGAGGCTGGTACTCTTTTGCGAAGATGGGATGGACGTTTTGCTTCTGTGTGGATTGTTTTCTTCAAAAGGTTCGAGGGCAAAAGAAAAAAGCATAGCGTTGTACTTTCACTTCTCGTATCATACATATTTCGTGCATCCTCTCATTCACTCTTCAATTTTTGTTGTTCTAGTGAACCTTTTTTTTGGAGGCAGCTCGTTACAGTGATACTCATCGATTAACAGTATGTACTCATGACACCTTTTACTTCTCTCTCGTCACAAGCAGCCTTCAACACTTCATCCTCATTCGCCTCCACTCTGTACAAATGCAATGCATTTCACTCACCCTCACGATGCTCGTAAATCAAATCTACGTGTTTGACAGGATGCAACAGCATACCAGGCAAACACATCCTGCCCTCCCCCTCCACCTCCTCCATCTCCCCTCCATCGCCATCGACTTTGTACCCCAACCACCTCTTCCACAGATTACCCGGAAAGCCAGCATGATAGTACCAACTCGTCCCTAGGAAATTATGCTGGCGCTCATCGCTGAAAACACTGGTTCTTGCTCCGCCAGCAGCACCGTGCAATCCATTGTTAAACACAGCGGCCAGATACGAAGTCGGCCAGCGGCGATCAATGTACACGGGATGAGGCGCGTAGACGGCTTTGAGTCCATGATGCAAAGCGCAGCTGCCGGGCCACATTTCCGAAAACATGGAGTGCCTGTGCAAAGCAGTTTCCCGATGCATGGTTTCGAGGAGGCGGTGCGAGAGGCGAGATGCAGTGATGATTGCCGTGCGGCGGGGAGGGAAGCCTGCAGAGGTGTTGTAGCCAGTCACATCCTCTGCCAAAATCCAATTGGTAGCGTGAGGATCGAAGAGCGGGTTGAAGGTTATGAAGTCTGCTGGTTCGCCTACACCCCAGGAGTAATTGTCTTTGTCTGGTGTCGTGGGGGGTTTGGGGTCGTTTTCGGCTTCGATCGAGTCGCCTTCGCCGGTTGGTGGCATGGGACCCCAGATTGAGGGGATGCGTGCTTGGGTGTTTTCGGTGCCCGAGACTTTTTCGTACATGGCTGCTTTGTGGGCTGTGCCGTGTTCGGTCTGCACACGCACCATTTGCTTGAAGTCTTCCCAAGAGCCGTGCTCGGATGGGATGTAGAATCTGCCGTTGCGCTCCCAGAGACCTTTGCGAGGTTGTTGGTCTGCCCATTTGCCGACCTTGTCGAAGAGATGGTAAAAGTGTCCGGTATAGCGGATATCCATCTCCCAGTGCCAGAAGAAGTCGTACTCGGGATGCATGTGGGCAAAGTAGGATAGAGGCATGTTTGTCGATCTGTAGGCGCCGTGGATTGGCAGACCGCGGTAGTTTGTTTCTGCTATGCCTCCGTAGATCAGACTCATCTGTCTCTCTGACCAGAGTGTGCCCATTCCTCGAAACTCTAGAGGGAGCGAATCGTTCAGGACGCGCTGATATGTAAAGTCGTCACTCCAGATGGGCATGTCGTTGTCCTTGACATGGACTAGGAAGTGTACAGTGTACTCGCCGCCAGATTGAAGCGAGAGCTCGTTGACCAAAGCACGCAAGTAGAACATGTCTTCGTCATCATACTGGTAGTCGTGCCATGTTCGAATGACAACAGCTTGTCTGGGTAGCAGTTTCTTCTCTTGCTTCTCCTCTCTCTTGGACTTCTCATCCTCAGGGCCACCAACAGCCATGTCAGTAAAGAAATGGTTGCGAGTTTTCGGCAGAGGCTTGAAACGACCCTTGTTCTTCTGGGCGCATTTCTTTTGAGCTTGAGCCCAGTTGACCTCACGGTAGTCGATCTCGGTCTTGCCGCCCCAGACTTGATCGGCACCTTCGCGATGGCCATCCATACCGGCACCACTGCCACCCCATCTCTTGCTATAGCCCAATCCGTAAGGGCCGAGCCTGCCGTAGCGATCGAAACAAACATTATCATTCATGCCGAATATCTCATAGGAGCCCATGATGGGGTCTGGGAAGCCCTTGGGCACTCCTGGATATGCCAGCAGTTGTGGTATATTGCTCTTTCTCCCTTCGTCGAGGTAGCACTCAACGATAGCATTCCGGTCGACAGGATCGAATCTTTGGCCTTGTGGCATGTCTCTCTTCTGGAAGCCCTTCTCTTCTGATGGAGCGGTCTGCTGCTCCTGGTCCTGTTGGACAGTGGGTTCTAGAGTATTGTTTTCCGGATCGGGGTACTCAGGCTTGTTGTCGGCGCGAGAAACCAGAGTGCGGATGCCACCATGGTAGCGTTTCAAGAAGGGGAAACTCTCCCAAGTGGGTGGTGGGGGCGGTGGTTTTGAGAGGCCAGATCGTAATGAAGCTTCAGATAATGCGCTCAGACGAGCCAATGTGAGACCAAGTCCGACCAAGATGAGAACAATGATCAGGGTAAAGTATCTCGTAAAGCGTCGTGGTGGTAGAGGGTACGAGGTGGCACTGCGAGGGCCGGATGCACGTCGCAACATGGGTGTCGCATTCGAGTTTGAGGCGCCGTCATCGTCCGAAAGTCGTTCCTTGTCGCCATCAACCCATCGTCCGTCCAGAGCAGTGTATCCCGGTCCCCTGTCTTTGCGCTTCGGTAGTCGGAAAGGCATCTTTCAAGCCATACGAGGATACGATTGTTCATCGGACGTCACGTAGGTATGCGCACAGACCTTGCTCGAGTCCCTCAATGTGTGATCTGCTTCAACAACGAACCGTGCAAGACCGTGTCGGTTGAGGTTCCAAAGAGCTTAGAATCACACGAACTCGTGGCAGAATCAACCTGGCAAACCCAGATTGACTTCTTGTTTAGAGTAGCGACTGCCCATAGAGTTGTTGGTCTTGGCTGCTGTTTCCGAGGGGACCCTGATGAGGACCCTGATCAAGGAGCCGTCGTCGAACTCGACCATCTTTGCATCTTGACTTTCCTACCATCACATCTCGGAAAGTATACCATGTCTCTCAGAGTATTTAACCTGAGTTCATCCATGTGCGCCGAGAAGCAAACGTCCTCGTATGCTCAGGCATGAGCTCCATCGCTGCCCGCTCTGTGCCGTCCGCTCAAGCCAATCGTAGTACCCCAGCCTTGCACGCCGACTGATCTTTGATACCAACTCCACCTCTGATACAACCATACAATCTCAACCAGCCTGCAACACGGAACCCAATATCGGACTATCTGATATATAAAGTAGGCTGCAAGTCTGCTGAACATGTGGCAGCTCACCCTTCTCCTGTCAACAGCACTACTAGCCTCATCTGCTTGGTTCACCATGCATTACCTCTACTCTTTTCCTGTCCTTTTCTCTTTCGCTTCAGTTGTGTCTGCCTCGAACGCTACTGTAGACCTGTCATGGTATGCGCCACCTTCTACCAAGGTCAGTGACCTCAAGTCTGTCATCAATGGCACCGATACTTGGGGCTTCGTGTTCAACTCGTCCAAGACTCCAGCAGGACTACCTTACTGTAAGTCAGGCACAAACTTGCCCCGTCGAATCATCGAGACATATGGCTGCTCTTCGTGTCATCGAACCGCTAGCTTGACAGCCACTCTGCAACCTCTTGCCATCCTCATGCACATATTAGGATCAGCACGTAAAGACATATGCTGCACATAGCGCACACGATATGAACCATCTTCTTGAACCTCATTTGCTGACTTCAGCAGCTACATACAACTGGTGCAATATGCCTCACGTCCGTTGTTCTGAATACCCCAACGTCGACCCGAGCTACAAGCTTCAATACGTGCATGTGATTCACCGTCACCACAAGCGCACCCCGTATGCGGCAAACACATTCCCCAGAGAGTCATATGCATGGGACTGCTCGGACGAAGGTCTTTACTATCATGCAGCGCCGTTCACTGGTTCCAATGCCAACTCCTCGGCATCTACATACTGGAGCGTCTTTACCTCTTCTTCGAATCCCTTGGCCCCGCAAGGCTTCAACGGGACGTGCCAGTTCCCTCAGCTGACCTCGGGAGGTCTGGACGACAGCCACCAGCATGGCAAAGATGTCTTTGGTGTCTACCACGATCTGCTCGGGTTCTTGCCATCAAAGTACGATTCTCGCAAGATGCAGTTCCGTGTCACAAACAACGTCATTACCAGCCAGGTCGCTAGCAACTTGATTCCTGGCATGTTTCCTTCGCTCAAAGGAGACAGTATTCCTCTTATGATCCAACCAAACTCAATCGATAGTCTGGAGCCCGCCTACACCTGCTCTTCCGCATCCTCTCTCTTCTCATCCTACGGCGCAGGCAGCACAAACGCAAACTGGACTGCCCACCTCACCGCTTCGTCCAACCTCGTCAAAGCCTTAGATGCCATATCAGGCATCTCCCCCAGCGCGACCGCCTGGCACCAATCCTACGATCACTACTTTGACAATCTCTCCGCTCGTCTCTGTCACTCGAAGCCCTTGCCCTGCAACAGCACCACCGGCACTTGCGTCACCCAAGCCCAAGCAAACCAAGTCTTTCGTCTAGGCGAATACGAATACAACTATCTCTATCGCTCCGCCGGCCCTCAGACTCTAGAGTACGCTCGCCGCAGCTACGGCATCTGGATCGCCGAACTAGCGAATCGCCTTCGCGCTGCACAAAACGGCAGCGATCCCATTATTTACCGCCACGATGTTGCCCACGATGGCAGTATCGCTCGCTTGTTGGCGTTATTGCAAATCCAGGAAATGGTATGGCCGGGCATGGGATCAGAGATTATCTTTGAACTTTACGAACAGCGTCATCAGTGGTTTGTGCGTATTCTGTGGGGTGGACGGGTGTTGAGGAGTTCGAGCCCGATGCTGGGGGATCAAGTTGATATGGTGCCGTTGAACAGTCTGTTGGCTTATTTTGATGGGTTGGTTGGTCGTGGTGCTGTTTTGGTTCCTGGGTTGTGTGCTCAGAGTTAAATGACGGATGTATCTGGGAATGAGGCTAGTGGGGTTTTCGAATACTTGGAGACGAGGCAGAGTTGTAAAAGTTTTGAGTTGCTGGTATTTGACATTGTTTTATCAATCTTAAATCTGAATGTCGGTGTGTGTCGGGGTCATATATTAGACTTGAGGAGTTGATGGAAGGGACATGCGGTACACTGATGCGACCTTTTGACGTTATTCACTGAAGAGAGGCGATGCATATGACTTCTCATAAGCAGATGAAGAAATGCGTCTTTTTTTTGCCATCACGATTGATCTACGAAACACGCTATGCAATAACAACAGACATCCCTGCACCTCTATGCCTCTTGAACCTCGACAGCCTTTTCCACCGCCAGAGTCTTCGCTCCCTCCACCGTCACAGTCTTGATCTTCTTCTCTTTGTTCTCCTCTCCTTTCCTGACATCCCCCGTAACCGCATCCCTCTGCACGTTTTCCTCTACCTTCTTCGCCTCCACAATCTTGCCCTGAGCATCCCTCTGTTTCCTCGCCCAACCAGTCTTGAACAGTTTCCCCAACTCGAAATTCGGGAACGCATGCGCTTCAGTGTTGAAAACGACTTTGTCCAGAGGCAACACATCGTCAGGCCCAAACAGCAAGTAAAAGTACTTTAGCGTTTCTGCAAGCCAGAAGGATTCCATGTTATCTCTTGCAGAAGTAGGGATGCTGTTGACATCGTTGATGGATGTGTAGCCACCTTTGTGATCGACGGCCGTGTGCTCTACAAACGATGAAAACATTTCCCAGCCCCACTCGCGGTAGATGTCGTCGTTGGTGATGCGCCACATGTAAAACAGACTTTCTACCGTTTCCGGTCGCTGGAGATTGTGCGAGTCTGCGGGTTTGATGATCAAGTCTTTCTTCCACTCTGCTTCTGCATCGCTGGAAAGTGTTTCTGGGGATGTGAGAATGCCGTCTGCCATCATGGCTGGTGGGTCGTGGGTTTCGAAATGGGTGATTTCGGCGGCGAGGCCTGTGGCGGTGACTTTGTAGGTTGCCCAGCAGGTTTCCATGAGCTGTTCTGCTAGTTCGATTTCGGTTTCTTGTTTCTTGCCCCAGGTGGAGAGTTTTCTGGCTTCGGCGAGGGTCTTGCCTTGGGTGGCTCCTAAGGCGATGGTGCCGGGCATGAAGCAGACTAGGTGGTCCATCTTGGGGGAAATAGGTTCGTGAAGTCCGTTGGGGCGCTCACCGAGAATGGTGAGGTTGGCCTTTGAGGAGTATGTGATGAGATGTTTCTGAATGCCAGCGAGAGACTGATCCCACATTTCTTGGTAGACGGGCTCTTGCTTCGAGGTTTGCAGATATTGCTTGATGAGGTATTCTGTGATGGTTAGCAGAAGCCCGGTGTACGCTGTCAGTACAACATACCGTAGTAAGAGTCACCACGACTGCCCAGTCTGATGTTGTTTCCCCTGAAGTTTCCAGTCTGAGCGTAGATGAAGATGGGCAAAAGACCGTCTTCCATGCCATTGTCGTCAACAACTTTCATGACCTTCTCAGCCTTCTCCCAGTAATGTACCTCGCCAGTCAGCTTGGCCAGGTACTTCATCTCAAGTTGCAGACTCGTAGCTTCGGCGGTCGAAGAGGCGCCACCATCATCGTGAGACGGGATTCCCTTTCCAGTATGGAGATTGACGCTCGCATACGGCACACCAGAGTTCGAGTCATATGCGCCGAGCAGACGATCGGCCAGATCAGCAGCCTTTTCCAGATACAAGTCCTCGCTGATAGAAGCACCAGTAGCGGAATGACTCGTCAAAGGAGCATAATCTGGGAAAGTAGTAGAGATGTAGTGAGCAGACAGTAGACCACCGAGCATGCGAATGGTGGTCTCGAAAGTGTTTACATCGTGATCGACGTCGTAGCTCAAAGAGGTCGAAACCCAGTCTCTAGCGTGCGAGAGTTCGGTAGTGAGGTTCATGAGCATCAGAGTGTCGAGAGCATCTACTATGATCCATCCCATACCACCATCAACCATATGACGGCCTGTCTGGGAGACAGGCTTGAACTCGTCATAGCCCCAGCCGTGTTGCTCGTATGCTGACCAACTCAGCTTGAAAGCATCTCTTACTTGTTCCCTTCGCTCTTCCCAGTTCGCAGGCTTCTTGGTCTTGAGCACACTAGGAGTCGATGTGCTAAATAGGCCTAACCAATAAAAAGTGGTGGTAAAGGCAACCAGCAAGGCAGCGAGGATGCGTTTCCTTTTGAACCACGGCAGTCTACGGGAAGAGCCTGCAAACGGCTTGTCTTTGTACATGGGCAAGGAGGGTCTCCTATCGCCGAACATTCCTCCTATTTTCTCGGCCACTCCTGCGCTGCCGGTCGAAGCATCTTGAGATTGGAAGCGTGATCGTCCGCCATCAGGGCCGGTGCGAGGCAGGGCGTAAGACATGGTTGTGGGTTGTCTACAGGAGCCAGTATGATCGGGTACAGCAAACGGATCAATCTATCGGGCGGGTCGCTGCATAGGATGCGATGCGATTGTGCGCAAGCTGGCCAGTTGGTGATATCGCTTCCAATAGAAATTGTGGCCCGCGCGTTCAATACACCTTGCCTTGGTATGGCCAGACTATCCAGACAGTGTGGAAAGAGAGCAGGGGAACAGAGGCCAAAGTGGCAAAGAATACAAAATTATTGAATAGGTGTCAAGCTGGCGCATTCACATGCAGAAGGTCCCTCGTGCCTTCCCCACACTCCGGCCCCTGAAGCCTTGGAGCAATCCCCGAAAGAGATGCATGCACCTTCTGAACATCGACCAACTCAGGCATCTGGTAGAGCATATTGATTCAGAGCTTCAGCAATGCAACAGTGATATTCAACAATGAGCTAAATAAATTCCATCCCAGCCATAAAGCTGTCATCCAAACGCCTGCAACAAGTCTTCCACCCACCTTTCATTAACATATCCAATACAGTAGACATTGCCCATATCACAGGAAGATCGGCGCACCCCGGTTGGCGCGCGCTGTGAGTTGACTCTCCTTGAACTGTTCCCATCCCTGAGGATCCTTCATCTGCAGTTGCTGCAGCTCCTCCAGATTGGCCCCCATCTTCTCCATAACTCCTTCCCATCCACCTTGATCGACCATTACCTTCAGTTCCGGTCCCGAGAGGTCGGCCATTCTTGACGCGATTTCGGCCATATGCGACCCGGGAGCCCATTCGGCGTGAGCATCTGATTCTGAAGGCTGCACAGCGATAGGTACATCAATAAGGTCTTGTCGCACTTTGTGTCCCATGCGATGGATGCGACCTTCTTCAATCGCAAGTGCTCTAGATGCCAGACTGACATCGCTGGCCTTTCTCCTCATCGGCCCAGAGCCGCCAGCGTGTATCTCGTCTTCGTCAAGGTCCGACTCGATCGCTGAAGTCTCTGTTCCAAATGTGGTAGCAGAGCTGGCCATGAAGTCATTTGAAAGCGGTCCAGATTCCGTTGACTCCAGCGAAGAAGACAGAGAAAAGTTTTGTTGGTGTGGTGGAATGTCCAGATGGAGGCGGGTTTCGGGGAACTCGTCCTCAAATCGTTCGATCATGCCGCTCAACGTCTGATCGAGGAAGAGCAGACGGCGGTAGTTCATCTCATCACCAGCAGCAAACTCCTTCGCCAACGCTGGCTTCAGGCGGTTGCGAAGCTTGCGAGCGCTGTCAAGCAGATTCCTGCTGACCTCCTTGGCCTTTCCTCGCCTCTTGTTTTCGCTTTGCGCTGGGTCGCCAATATCTCGAGGCGTCGTGGTTCCGGATAGTGAAATGCTGCCATGACGTGATTCTGCCTTGTCTTGTCCAAGGAAATACTCTAGTGCTTTGATGATACCATTGCCACCAACAATGTAATCATCGTCTGGTGCTGTTTCGTCATCGCTACCATCAGAGAGTCGGTCCCCGTCCAGATGTCCCACGAGATGGACCAGCACATCGGGGACTGGTGCTTGTCTCGCGTCCTCGACTCCATGTTGCTTGGAGAGCATGGTGGCTGCAGGAAGCAGAGAAGATGAAGCCATTGTTCTGTCCATGTTACGCAGGCAGTATGCAACGATTTGCTTGGCCAATGCTCTGACTACCTCGCTTTGGCCGGGACCAGGAACCTGGATCACAACTGTTAGAGTCGAATAAGAAGCAAATAGAACAGTATAACTTACATCGACATCAATACACACGAGCGATTTCGACACTCGTGCAGCGGCGCAGAGCGAAGCGTACAGGGCGCAAGCTTCCTCCTGGCTGTCCTCGTCAGTCGCTTGAGATAACGCAGATATTTGAGGATTCTCAAGGATGGTCAGATGAGCAAGCGAGACACCCTCTGGCAGCACCTATCACAAGTCAGCATCCATGATCGAGACTTTGATCTGACATATCTTACCTCAGCCAACGAAATTGCCTGTTTCACTGACAGACCAACATCCACGAGATGCAATCTCTTCAGATTCTCCAGCTTGGGTAGGTACTTTCTGAGCAGCTGAAGCGCACATGCATCGCCTACGAATAAACTTCTGTTATGACTGATGTCGATGAAGCGGAAGTTTTGCAGTGTCGTCAGAGTCGGTAGCAATTCCTTTAGAGAGTTCGTGTCCAGACTGCAACCAGCAAGACTCAAGCCCCAGACCGGGCAGTTGGGATTGTGTGAGAGGGCTTCGGCAAGTTTACCAAGCTTGCCCCTCAGATCATTGCTGCCCAAGTCAAGAGCTTGACATACACCTGATCGAACATAGTGCAGAACATGTTCAAAGCCTTCATCATCGAGCTTGTTGCCGGCGAACCCAAGTCTGGCAATGCCACAAGCTGTGGCACCATCGACAACTTTTCGAATTTGAGACGGCACGAGTCCACATTCTGCCATGGTGATCTCTTCAAGACGTGACCCGCCAAGTCTCCCGGAAAGTGCTTTGAACAATGTCTCTGCAGCATCGACGGATTTGCCAGTCGTCTTGGGCATCTGGCTAGGTGCCTTGATGTTGACGTCAGGCTCGCTAGGAGGTAGATCCTGAGGGAAACGCAACATCGAAACATCGAGAGCCTTGATCGATCGGCACATGTACAGAAAGATAGAGATATGCTTCCAGCCAATTCTCGAGATTCTCGGGTTGTTCTTGAGAGTGAGCTTCTCCACGATTCCACCCGTAGGTTTGGCAGGAACCTGACGAGCACCGTTTCGCCGCCTAGTAGGCTGAGGCCTCTTTGAAGCAAGCAGACCAGACAAGACGACGCGCAATCCCTCATCACTAAGGTCGGCATCTTCTAGTAACAACCGTTTCACAGGGACGATTGCAAGCCAGTCACTTAGAGTGACAAAGTCAGCCAATTGAAGACGTGACCCTGTGAGGTTGAGTTGGGTCACAGTGCCAGGATCATCGGGTGATGTGCAATCCTCTGCCATAAGTTGTTCCGTGATACGCTTGAGAATAGGCGATTCTCTCAGTTGACAACATCTTCTGTAAATTCTCACAGGATCGGTAGTCGGACGATCTTTAGGAGTCGCTGCACCCGATGGGATGGGGGTTCCATTGGTCGAAGGACCTTGCGTTGGAGAAACTTCACCGTCCAACTCACGAGGTAGTTGACCGTTGTTTTCGGCCTTCTGTCTCTTCTTCTCTTTCCGTTCCTTACGCGCATCATCCTCGAGCGATGCATCGAAGTTGTCTCCCAAGGCTGCAGCCTTGTCGTCGTTCTCCAGATCTTTCTCCGGGGGCCTAGCTGCACCAGCATTGGAGCTGCCAGAGGATGCAGCAGCGGCATCTGACTGCTCTTTGCGCTCAGTTTCTGCTTGTGGATGCTTCAGAGCCTCTCCTTCTCCACGCTCCTTGATTTTCTTGTTGACTTTCTTCTGTTTCGAAGAAGCATCTCCATCGTCGTCTCTGTATCGCGGTCCAGAGGCAATCTCGACATCGACCGAAAAGGCGACGCGTCGCAGCTTGGAAGAATCGAGTTCTGGAAGGAGGCAGCGTTCGCGATTTTGGTTGACATTCAAAACGCGGCGCGGGCACATGCCACCATTCTCACCAGCGCGAGGGGTACCGACGTTTTGAGCGCCAGAAGACAGGCGACGAGTAAGGTTCGAGAAGAAGGAGCTGTTGGAGTCTTTTGGCCTCTGAGGAACGTAGGGTTGCAGTTCTTCGGCTTCACGATTGGATGTTGGCTGTGTGGGGCTCGTGACCAGGTTCTCTCTCGCAGATTGCGCCGACGGACCAGCATTCGTGCCGTTAGCCTGAGACTTTGTGGTCTGAGGAACACTCGGAGACGGAGGAGCTTGCGAGGAGAATTTGGAGCTGATGTTTGAAATCCATGAGTTCCTGCGTGAGCCTCTAGTACCATCAGCGCCCTCTCGTTGAGAAGAAGAGCGACTGAGGATACTGGGCCGACGTGAGGCAGGCTTGGGCGCCGAGCTGGGCGAGTCAGTCGAGATCGAAGACTGCTGCTGAACTGGTGTAGTGTCTTTTGGCGGAGAAGTTGGTTTCGAGGGAAGTGGAGGCGCCTTCTTAGACTCTACGGGCGAGGACGAGCGCGAACGGGCATGCTTCGAGACGGGTGGAGGGGCGTCGTCGACGACTCCGGGAGCCCTGTGGACGACAGGTTCATGCTCAGGGTGTTCTGCTCCAGGTTGAGTATGCGTGCTGAACAAGGCAGCGTTGTTAGAGAGCGCACCTCGGTCTCTGTTTGGCTGATGCAGCCAACTGACGTCAACTCCGTGTACGGATTCCATTGGTATGCTTTGGGTGTTCGAGGCGTATGTTTCAAGCCATGCTCTTTTTCAATTCGCGATTGGGGTCGAAGTTGTCGCAAACAGTGCGACGGTATACAGCGATTGGACCGAAATAGGACGAGGAGCTTGGCCTGGGGGTGTGAAGGTATTAAAATGTGTAGCGGGCCGGTCGTCCAAGAGGTCCAGAACGGCGGGTGTGGAGGTCGGTCTTGCTCCTCTTACTCCTCACTGGTACGCGTGACTCTAGTACTACTCACGCCTTTGCTCTTCTGCTTGAAACGACTCGGTTTTGACCAGAGTCTCACCGTCTATGATCATTTGTGAAAACACTCGCCTACTCGTCGCATCATGCGTGCGTGAGGTCAGACTAATTCTGTTCAAGAGCTTCGGCTCCACGCTCTTCGGACATTTTGCTTGAGACCATAGCGCAACCGCGATTACTGGCGTGCTCCGCAAATCGGCGGACGAAACTCGATACCCACTGCTCCTGCTTTGCTTTTCTTTCGCGATAGTCATGTTCAATGACGAGGTTGGCTTCTGAGCGCCGCTACTCTATCGAGGGGCACGCGAGTTTGCCGTGTGGCATAATGGGCTGCAAATTGCTTGCATCAGCTTCGGCAACTTCGTCTTCCGAGATGCACGCTGAGCGAATGCGCCGGTAAGGAGGCTGAAGTTTGGCCGGCAGCACAACCGACCAGTCAACTTGAGAAACAGGAAGGGCATCACCTCACGTATCTAGAGAATATATCAAAGGTAGAGCGGAACAGCTTAAGACAGTATTCATCACATCACCACATATTATTCACAGGAAGAGCTGAAAGGTTTGATGACCTTGCTTTGCAGACTTTTTGATTTGAAATAAAAGCAACCACAATTGCCGTAGCACATTGTCCCACCCATGATATCCTTAAAGCAAGGCCATTGACGCCGAAAGCTCCTGTCATAAACGTGGAAGGAAACCCTCAAAACGTCACGAGTTCCCGACCATTTTTGGCGACCCCATACCCCTTTTGATGCTGATGTAAATGCATTTAAGCGGCAAGAGCCTTGATCTTCTCCTGGATCTTGGCCTCACGCTCAGCCTTGGTGAGCTTGTTGTCACGGTACTTCTTGGACTCCTCCTTCCAGAAGTCCTTGGACTTCTTCTCCTCACCCTCAACCTTCTTGAAGGGGTCCTCACGGATCTGCTTGTGGGCATCCTGGTAGAGCTCCTCAAGACCGTCGGCCTCAATGTCGTCGTCGATGTAGCCCTGGAATTGGGACTTGTAACGCTCCTCATCGTCGTCGGCAAGAGTCTCCATGTACTCAGCGACGTGACCGGCGAAGATGTACTTGCGGAGGGTCTCGGCGTCGAGCTCCTTGGTCTCAATGTCGAAACCGGGGAAACGCTTCTCGGAGTGGGGGACGTAAAGACCACCGTCGGAGGCACCCTTGAGAGCGGCGAAGACACGGGCACCGGTGGAGGTGCGGGTCAAACCGACATCAAGGTAGACCTTGAAGGGGCGGCGCTCCTCACCATCGACCTCAGCGGCCTCGGTCAGGGTGAACTCGCCATCAGCCTCCTCGACACCAGTGAAGGAGTCCTGGATGCCGAGCTTGTGGACGGCACGGCGGGCGATGAGCAGACCAGTGGCGTAAGCGGCGGCCCAGTTGGTAAGACCGTGCTCGACACCGTAGGCCTTGAGCTCGTGGGCGTAGGCAGCGACGAAGACCTTGTCACCAGTGATCTCGGAGGAGACGATCTGGCAGATGATGTCGCGGTTGGTGAAGCGAACGACCAGGCGGTACTTGGGGGCGTTGTACTTGTTCTTGGCCTGGGTGATCAAGCGCTTGCGGGCGTAGTAGTCGGTCTTTCCCGATCTTCTACGGCGGTACTTGACCTGGTAGCGCCTGGAGAGTTGTTAGCATTGCCACTCGCGCGCTCGTCAGTCAATTCAAAGGCATGCACTTACGAGAAGTAGGCGTTGTTCTTGACCAGCTTGGTCTAAAAACATCCTCGAGTCAGCAATTTGCGCTTCAGAAACTCTTCCGAAGCATCTTGCAGGGACTCTCTGCCATCAAGGCGATGGCGACAGGGCCCTCCAGGCGCACGCGGTGGTACTTACGAAAGGCATCTTGTCGGTGGTTGACGGGGTCGATGGACGTGGAAGGGCAAGAAAATCCGTGCGGCTTGATGTTAACCACACAGAATTTTAAGCGAGCACAAAAGCATGCCAAGATTTTAGGGACCAAAGTTGGCGACGCTTCTCGACCATCAAATCTCAAGAATTCCACCTTCACTTTATAATCATTGTCCACAGTCTTCAGATCATTCGAGTAATTATATCCTTGCTGTTGGAACGCTTGCAATTCCGGATATCTGAGCAACGATCAACCTGCTTGAAAATGCTACTTCAATCGTCATGACTACAGCGCCTCTGGCGGGCGTGTTGCGTGCCTAACTACTCATAAACACTGCCTGCCATCTCAGTCTAGCCGCAGTCTACAGACGTGCTGCTTTAGCATCCGAATCTCCAACTTCAGCCTTTGCCTGGTCACGCAGTATTTTTCGGAGAATCTTGCCTGACTGTTTTCATGTTAGTGCATGTCTCTCTGATCAGGTCCTCAAAGCACTTACAGGATTCTTGGGAATTGCTTCGACAAACACGACACCACCAGCCAAACGTTTGTGTCTTGCGACTTTGCTGTTCATGAATTCTTGAATGTCTTGGGCCTCGACTTTCTGGTCTGCGCGTTTTACGAGGTAGGCTCGTGGGAGCTCTTCGCCCTTTCTGCTGATTGTGAGTATCCTGACTTCTGTGTTACGCTGGAGTACATACATCGTTACTCCTACTACACCAGCATCTGCGACGGCTGGATGATCGAGAAGCAGTGCCTCTAGCTCAGCTGGTGCCACCTGGTTACCTTTGACCTTGATCAATTCCTAACGACTGGTCAGCTATGTCTCCACTACTCAATTGCAGGTGTGTTTACCTTTATACGGTCCACGATGAAGATATGGCTTTCCTCGTCGAGGTAGGCCACGTCACCGGTCTTCAACCAGCCATCTTCTGTGATAGTATCCTTTGTGGCATCTGGCTTGCCCCAGTAACCTTTCATTACGGTAGGTCCGCGTACCCAGAGCTCGCCTCGCTGACCTCTTGGAACTTCTGATCCTGACGCCACGTCCACGATCTTACCTTCGACATTGGGATTTAGTTCTCCAACAGCATTAGACGTCGATATCTTGGTCAGATCCCAACTACACGCTGAGCAAGTCACTCTGTTCGTTGTCAGTATTCGTGATTTGATCGGTGGAAAATCACTCACTCTGTCATGCCCCATCCTTGTTTCAGATTCATCGTGCCCTTGGGCCACAGCTGCTCTACTTCCTTCGATACCTCGCTTCCAAGCGGTGCTGCACCAGATCCGATATATCTGACCGAACTCAGATCACACTGTTTGGCAGCAGGGTGCTTGGCCATTGCAACAGCAATTGGGGGAACGAGATTCAAGTCTGTGATTTTGTACTTTTCCACGTAACTCAACATCTTGAGAAAGTCGAATTTTTGCATGACATATGTTGGAACTCGTCGTGAGATGGTTCCTACACAATAGTAGGTTTGACCATAGGCATGATACTGTTGGGTGTTAGTACGAGATGTAAGTATCCATTAAGGCTTGAGACACATACCATGGGCAGCATGCACAGCCATCTCTTCTCATACTCAGCAGAAGACTTTGCAACACGAACCACGCCCTCGTTATTGCTGACATAGTTCTTGTGGGTGATCATGACGCCTTTCGGTACACCAGTGGTTCCAGACGAGTAATTGAGACAAATGGTACGGTTCAGCTCTTCCTCAGAGCTCAACTCCTCCCAAGCAAAAGCACGACTCTCTGTGGCGCTGGCAAGCAGTTTGCTCCAATGTCTCACATCATCACGTCCCTTGCCAGCGTTGTCGAACGTAGCATATCCATTGTCGAAAACAAAGACCTTCTCATGGGAAAGTCCTGCAGTGTCCGCTGCCTCGATACCGGTATCCAGACTCGCCTCGGCACAGATCAAAAACTTTGCTCCCGAGTCCTGTAACTGGTATGCGAGCTCACGAGCCACGTAAGTTGGGTTAGCGCCAGTGAACACACCTCCAGCCATGATGGTACCGAGAAAGACCACGGGGAAGAAAAGTGTGTTTCCCGAGAAGAGCAACACGCGATCACCGGGCTTCAAGCCAGCTTTTTGCAGACCGGCTGCGAATCGCTTGCACCATTGTCTTAGATCCGATGCGGAGAGATGGTACCTGTCTGGTTTCTCTGCGTCGAGGAGAAGAGGTGTTTCTGGCAGAGAGGCAGAAGGTGATCCAAAGACATAAGTTGGTAGAGACACGTGAGGGATGTCGACACTCCAGCGGCTTTTCCAAGGCATTTTGAGGGATGATCACGACTTGGTGTGTTGCTAAGTGTAGACTTTTGTTCTCGGGGCACGTTAGGATAGAGTGCAGAGATTCAAAAAGAGTTGGAAGTGTTATGGAAAGAGTTCCTCGATCGCTGAACACGCTTGATCCTCCCGGTCGACACGGCACCTCTGTTCCGCTCTACTCTCCGTGTCTCCTCCCTCCAAGACGTCTACTTGCCGCGGCTCCCAAAGTCTGTCTCTCTGATGCAAGATGGACCTGTCAATCTCCACAAATTTGTGGGGTACATGCGGGGAAGACGCAATATTAACCGCCTGTTACCGATCTGGGACGCCTCGGTATTATTTTTGAGTGTCCTTCGAATCTGGATATTGCCCACAGTGGAACAGAGTAAGCATTTGTATGCCCTCAGAACTTATATCAGCTATATCAGCAAGTGTGGTCGACGTGGTGTCACGCTCAAACGGGTCAGCTCATTCAATTGTCGTGAGTGATTCAAGAATGATAGACAACCAGTTTACAAGTTCTTGGCACTTGTGACTCAATTCCCTGTCGGATCCTCTGCTGGTCGTTATGTGAAGAACCCGATATGGCATTCATCCTCATAATGAAGGAATAACATCAATGAGTGTTCATTCCCTCGAAAAAAACGACTCGACAGTTCGAATAAACAAGTCCAAGAGGGCCACCCTGTCTGATACACTTCGCTATCTTATCTCCCGAACTCGGTACACCTTCAATCTCAACCACATGCTACATCTTCCCACATACTCGATAAACTTCACGACACCCACACCTTTCATTCAACAATGTCCAAACCAGCAACTCTCCCCTCTGAGGACTCCTCATCGTCATTTTGGCACACCGAGCCCAAACTCCTTGGCCACAGAAGCACTGAGTCGCTACCTCAAAGAGTCGATGTCGTGGTGATAGGAAGTGGTATCAGTGGTGCTAGTGTGGTGCACCATATCTTCAATGACTTCGATAACGGAGAGGATGCAAATAACCCGGATGTGTTGGTGCTAGAGGCTAGAGAGGTCTGTTGGGGTGCTACTGGGAGGTAAGATTGATGATTTACTTCCTTTGCGTTTGACTCTTCACAAGTCTGGGTTATATGAAAGAATTGCCAACGATATCATGGTGATTTCATTTGACGTCGTTCCTATGCTCCATTCGTCGTCAACTCCCATGTCCACGAATATCTCTTCCCTCATCCTCACACCATCAGATAACGATCCATCATAAACTACAGTCGTTGCCTTACCACAGCTCTCTCCAAAGAGATTGCATACTCCTCGATCGCATTTCTCAATCCTCGATATCCAGACAGTGTAACTGACCACTTCGCGCCTTCAGGAACGGCGGCCACTGCCTCCCCATCCTCCACGAACACCCCCACGATCCCTCCATCTCCTCCTTCGAACACGCCAATTTCCTCGCTTTATCCCATCTCATCAGCACTCAAAACATCTCTTGCGAATGGAACGCCCAACAAGGAATCCGAGGCTTGTACTCCGACGAAGAAGTCACCCTCGCCAAAGCCGCTGTCGATGCGTTACACCACACCAATCCCGTTATGGGCAAATTATGCAGGGTAATCTCCGACCCGGACGAATTGCTCAAAGCAGGATTATCGGTTCCAAAAGCCAAAGGAGCAGTAATCTCAGATGTGGCGGCGAGATTGTGGCCCTACAAATTGGTGACGGCGATCTGGGAACGACTGTTGCAAGACGAGCGGCTGAATCTACAGACCCATACACCAGTGCTCTCCATATCCCCCTCTGATCACGGCACCTGGACCCTCCAAACCTCCCGCGGAGCCATCGACGCCGGAAAAGTGATTCTAGCCACCAACGCCTATACCTCCTACCTCGTCCCCTCCATGGCGGACCTCATCGTGCCTTGTCGGGGTCAAATGTCCGCTTTACTCCCTGGTTCTGCTTTTTCTGGCTCTTCCCGCACTCAGCGAAGTTACGGCTTCGTAGGCCCACACAAAGACGACTACTTGATCCAACGACCGGATGAAAAGGGCGCACACCTCATGTTCGGCGGCGGAAGGAGTTTTGGTCCTAGCTTGGGCATTTCTGACGACGCAGAGGTCGATGAGAATGTAGCGAGGTATTTGCGTACTGCATTGCCTCGGTTGCTTTTCTCAGCCAACGCAGAGCAGAAGGGAGAAGCAGAGTTACAAGCAACGCATCAATGGACCGGCATCATGGGTTTCTCACGCGATAACTTGCCTTGGGTGGGTGAAATTCCTGGCTCATCGGGCATCTTTGTGCTGGCGGGGTATACGGGACATGGAATGCCTAATGCGTGGTTATGTGGTAAGAGCGTGGCTGCCATGGTGTTGGCGAGCGATGTAGATGCTGCCGTGGAAAAGTGTGTGGAGCAAGGGTTACCTAGAGCCTATTTGATGACCGAGGAGAGGATGAAAAAGTCCAGAGAGTTAGATACTGTAGAGGTGCAGGATGAGGGACATGCATTCAGAGCAGAGGTTGTGGCGGAGGAAGCATAAGAGAACTAATAGACTGACTGATGAACGTTTGGTCTTTTCATCTTCGGAGCGCTGCAGCTCTCAAAAAAGGGTATATCTACATCTACATATCTTCATCTCATCTTCCTTTTCTCATGCTCATTGCGGAGGCGCATTGAAAACAAGCGATACGCTATCATCACCAGCAGTAACAATAGCCCTGCCACCACCTCCCTGAACGAAACCCATAACACCACCTCCCTCACCACCACCCCGGTGACCCTTCCACTCACCACTTAACCCGCCGTTAGCAGCAGCAGTACCGCCCCTGACATCCCATCTCCTCACCACACCATCGTTGCCACACGAAGTGAGCATCCAGTTGTTGCCACCTTGACCTGCATTCACAAACTCGACTTTGATGACTGCTTCTTCCTCGTGAGCGTCTTTGATATGGCGGCGGATGGCAAAGTTGTGCGCGACGTCGAAGAGTGCGATGCTGCCATCTACACTGCCTGCTGCGAGCAGCGTCAATGGTGGTTGTGCGAAAGACAGGGTTTCGATGCCGTCGGATTGTGCGGCCAGAGCGGCGAGAATGACTCCGGATTGTCCTGCTGCAGCGCTGGATTGACCGCCACGAGCAGCTGCTTGCTTGGAACCGCCAGCCTTGCCACGGGCACCGGCACCCTTGGAGCCTGCGGATGCGGATTGTCCAGCAGGTACGGACAGACGAGGCAGACCCACCACGCGGATCTGGCCCTCGGCACCTCCGACTGCAACGAGAGCACCGCCGGGCGAAACAGCAACACTGAACAGACCACCCTCGATGAGGAAACGCTCGTCATCGCCAGTCAAACTGACAACAGCCTGACCGGCAGGATTTGCGAGACCAGCGGCTGCGGCATCACCGAATACATCCCAGACATGCAAGCTCGCGTCCTCGGAGACGGTGCAAAGGAGCTTGCCATCAGGTGTCCACGCACCAGCTGTACACGAGGCCTGGTGGAGGTAGAAGGCTTGGACGATGGTGAGCGTGCCGTCCTGCTCGTTGAGTGTGTAGACCCAGACACTGCCGTCGTTGGCGCCGAGAGCGAATGTGTTCGGGTATGTAGGGTTAGGGCAGGCCGAAAGCCAGTTGATCTCCTCGACCTCTGCGGCTGACGCAAAGGCCTTTGCGGGCTCGGCTTGCGGTTGTTGCGGTGTTTGGTAGATGTTGAGTCTGCCGTCCAGACCAGCAGTAGCGACAAACTTGCCATCGGGCAGCGAGAAAGCGATGGCGTTGACGGAATCCGAGTGACCCTCGAGCTTGACGTAGGGTTCCTGACCATGGCGTTCGACGGGTTGAGGATTGCTCTCATACGAGGCAGGCAGGACAGGAGCTTGCGGCGGCGAGCAGTCCCAGAGGTATGCTACGTCGTCACCGCCGCCAGTCGCGACGAGTTGTGGGTGGGTGGGGTGTTGGGCGATGCAGAAGATGCTGTCCTTGTGTCCGTCGAAGTGTGCAATGCTGTCGTTTTGTAGCATAATCTCCTCCATGGCTCCTCCTTCTTCGTCGTCGGACATGGGCATGTCCTCGCCCTCGCCCTCGAACTCTTCCTCCATGTCCTCGGGGTTGAACATCTCGTCGTCGTCCTCGGGGACGTTGTCCTCCTCATGCGGTTCGTGTGCAGACATGATGTATATGTGATTGTGATGTTTCGTGTATGTGTATGTACAAGTGAGGCAAAAAGGTAATGCGACGGTGGATGGAAATGTTTTTTTGATGCTGATAAATCGAGCTCGACTTTTGCACTGTTTGCTTGGCGTGACGCAAAAGTCGACCTTTGGCCATGCATGTCATTTTCCGTCCGTCATGCTTCGATTGAGCCTAGGTCTCCAAACAAATTACATTAGAAGCAGAGACGATGCGTCTTTGATCCCCATGACTGTGCCTTGTGCCTGATGCCAGAAAACCTATACCACATTCTTCCACTTGAGTAGCCTGAGCTTTTGGGAATCTCTGGTCCAAGCCGTTGGCTAGACAGCCTTCAGACTCGCTAACTCCGGGATGCCATCAACCAACACCAATGTCAAATGCTAATTCGAGTTGCTCCGGAAACGCCCTGCTCATGCTGCCCCTGGTCCTGTCGTGATGCATAGCATAGCGATCAAATTTGCTCAGTCATCATCCATATCATCTTCGTCAGAGTCGTCAAGAGCTTCCATGGCCTCTTTGATGTATTGCGACGCCTGTTCTCCATTAGCAGTCGCTCACAAATCGTCTTTATCACATCTTACCTTTGCATCAAGATTCAGCGCAGTGGTAAATGTGCGCACACTGTCTGCTCGTCTTCCAAGTCCCTTGAAGCACTTTCCGAGCAAGAAGAAGACATTGGCCTCTTCTGGGGCCAAATTCTTCAGCACCTCGAGCTCCACAAGGGCATCCGCATAGTGCTTCAATCCCATCAATACCCGGGCTTTCTTGAATCGTGCGAGTGCAGAGTTCGGTGCTAGACTCAGCGCATGCGAGTATTGTGTTAACGCTGCTTTGGGATGGCCGAGCTTCTCCATGATCTGTCGTCGTCTGTCAGCTAGCTGTAGAGCATCATATTGGATGCCCAAGAAACTCACCACTCCTATACAGACCGCCAGCACGGGATTGCTGGGGTTGATGCCGAATGCAATGCGGTAATGTCGTTGCGCCTCTTCCCATTTGCCCATTCTTTCGTAGCACTTACCCAAGCCATACCACGCTCCAAATCCACGCCTCTCACTTCCGACTCCCTTGCGGAAGGACGCAAGTGCTGCATCAAACTCCTCGTTGGTCAAAAGTTCATGACCCATGAGTGTCCAGGCATAGCTAAATCCTGAGTCGACTTGCGTTGCGCGCTTGAAGCATGCGATGGCTTGCTCATGTTCTCTGCTCAGCGAGAATGCGTTCCCAACTGCACACCATGTCTGCGGCGAGTTGAAGGCCAGGTCCCTCAGATTATGCGCCAGGAATGCCAACTGGACTGGCTTCTTGAGTTGCCACAAGACCGTCGAATACACTTCCATATCTTCAGTCCGGGTTGGCTGAATTTTCAATATCTTGGCAAAACACACTTCCGCTGATGAGTATTCTGAGGCTTCGTAGTACGCTTTACCAAGCTGAGCGAGAACCCAGGGTGATTCTCGATGCGCTAAAGGAAGAGCCTTGAAAGCATCGACTGCTGACGATATTTGATATCGGCTAAGCAGGTAGTAAGCGGCTCCCAATGACCTGAAGGTAGCCAACAATGATTCTGTCGATGCCATCTCGACTGCTAACGTTGCTTCTAGCGCCTGTTTTTGTAGCGGAACCGGCGGAGCTGTGCTGGTACGACTTGGTGCACGAGTATCTTTGACCTCTGTAGTACTCGGCGGCATGACTTTTCGGTTTCCGCTCACAACACGACCTACTTGAGCAGGTCCTCTGCCTTTAGTCCCTGTAGCCTTGGCCTTCTTCGCCTCGTCGCGCTTGGCTGCCGTCAAGGAATTGCTGTCGGCAGGCGCCCGACTAATTGTTTTTGACCCTGTGATTTGACTAAACAATCGGTTACTCCTCCTTGGAGCAGACGTTATTGTTTCGGCATCTGGAATCTGCGCGCTGTGTCCAGATATCGTGCGTTTATGTTGCAACCTTCGGTTTTGGGCAGCGTTTGTCGCATCATCGGTGTCCACTGACTCTGAGCTAGGCTTCGTTTGGCCTCTGATTGTTGCAGCGCGGGCTTTCTGGCTGTCTTTGCCGGCGTCCAATCCTAGTCTCTGGAGCGCAGTCCTTGACCTCCGTGTTGGAGCAGCTGGTACCTCCTCTGCGCTGGCTGCCTCCTGTTGTAATTCTCCCATCTCCACATCCTCGTCCCCGGACGTGCCATTAGCTGTTGGCGTGTCCCATGATGACTGACTAGTAGGCTTAGATATGTTGTTGCCAAAGATGCCTTTTGATTTGATCCTCGGCAGCAGAAAATTACTCTGAGCTTGGGCGACGAGATCTGCGCCATTCTTCACAGGATTGAAGGGATCATTAGTAGGTGTCAGAGCATGTACGCTGTTCATGTTGCTCGCATTCGGCACTGGCGCGATAGGTATAAGTTCATCCTTGACAGTTTCTTGATTCGATATTGATGCCGAAGCACTGGAGATGGAAGAGGCGAGTTCTGTGGTCATCCTGAAGGAACTTGATACATCAATTTCGGCACCTTCCAAAGTCAGCGTTTCCAGTAGCGAGCTGGTGACAGTGAATCTTACCCATGTCGCAAAGCCCTTGGAAAACTTCCCATGTGAACGGGTTGCTCTTGTGCGCCTCGATGTAGCAATCGCCAGCTCGTCTCGAGTCGCCATGACCACGCCATAGCTTTCCGAGTAGAGTATTTACAGCTGCAGCATCTGGAATGTGCCTGGTGGAGGACTCTGTGTGTTTCCCTGTGACGTCCAAGTCAGCACATCTGTTGCGCCTAGAGTTGAAAACGAGCTGACATACCCCAATGGCTACGGCCTTGCCAAAGACTCCTAGCCTTCTCCAAAGCTGCAATGCCTTCATTGTGTTTACCAAGCTCTTGACAGACCAGGGCCAGAACATAGGCGCATCCTAGATGCCTACCATTCGCGCCAGGTTTTTGACAGCAGTCGTAGGCTGTTTTGAAGCGTCGCAAACGATAATTAGTGAGGGCCAAAAGATGCGAAGAGTCGGGATTTCGAGGATCGATTGAATTTAGTCGTTCGGCAAGAAAGTTTGCATTGTCTGGTGATTCGTTGTCCAAGTGGTAGTATATGAGCTGTTTGAGTTGTGTCGCAGCCAGAGTGGAATTATGCGACATGGTTGTAGAGAGTTGGTATGCGTGAGGCCAAGGGAAACAGGCGATTAAGTCGAGGCGTCGAGGACACAGGTGATCGGACGAATCGAAAGGATGAATGTCTGGTGAAGATACATGGACAATGCCGAAGCAGAAGCGAGAAATCGGGGTTCGTTAGGGCGAAGTGATGGAAGAATCGAGGGTGATGTCCAAGTCCACAGCGTGGCTTCCTCAGAGCAGCTTGTCCATGTGGGAAGCGAAGGTAAGGAAGGTAGGATCAAGTTCGCCTCGAGGTGTAGGGTCGGATCAAGGTGTAGCTATGGTCGTGGATGTTGCAGCTGGATGCGATGTCAAGACGCTCAAAAGCCGGTAGGTGCGAGGAAAGGATGAGGATTGTATGAGCGAATGCGCGCTGATGCTTTGTGTTTATTGATACAACCTGGCTGAGAAACCACAACTGCGTGCACGGTCCTCGTCGTCACCACCCGGCAGCCGAGCACTGACCGAGCGCGAGCTGGCAAGGGAGATCGCTCTTGCCCCGCCAGCTGCATCTGGCCAGCTCGCGTGTCTCTTGTCTTTCTTTCCACTTTCGCAGCAACCACAAAAGTATACTCCAAGCTGCGAAACATCGCCACAATGGCCAGGGTCAGCATCCAAGTACTACCATGTTCACTTCCAATTCTCTAAACAACCCGAATAGCAAGCTCTCAAAACACAGGCAGCCCGCAATGCAGCCACCCTCCAACGCACCCATCTGATCGCATTGGGTGTCCACGGCTTCCACCTTCTCTTACGCTTTATCTTTGTGCGCCGTTCGTTTTGGGCATATCTCCTCCTCTCTTTCCCTTCCCTGCTTGTCCAATTCTGGTTCGAGCGCGTCGGTCGTCCTACCTACATCGACGGTCCCAATGGCAAGGAATTGAAAAGAGCTGGAGAGGATCTCGAGGCCAAGGGTCTGACTGAGTGGATGTGGGATGTTGTATACTGGTCCTGGGGCTGCATTGTCCTGACCACTCTGGTGGGCGATTGGGCATGGTGGTTCTTCGTAAGTCACACCCGCAGCTCCCGACCTGCCTTCTATACTGACTCGCAGTCCAGGCTGTGGTCCCTCTTTACTCTGCTTGGTTGGCATACACGACCTTTACTGGTGCTCGCCAGGGCCTTATGGGAGGTGGCGCCATGCCCGCCGAGGGTGCCTCGAGCGGCGCGCAAAGCAAGCGTCAACAAAAGATGGAAAAGAGAGGCGGCCAGAAGATGCAATACAGATAATATGCATACAGTCTACACATATACAGACATGAGATCGTCTCGAAAAAAGGCTCCTTGAATGCACTTCGTTCAGATCGTGACCATTATAAACACTTTTTGTCGTCACCAGAGACGCCCGAGCTGATGAGCTGAATTTGGTGAGGATCGATTGCATCGCTTAGAAGCAGAAGACCTGGTCCTGAAGCTTGCTGACAGGTCTGGCCTTCTCGTAACCGAGACCCTCGGCGGCCTTCTTCATGGCAGCAACCATGGGAGGAGGTCCACAGATGAGCATCTTCATGTCGGATGCAGGAGCAGGGCAGTGTTGCTATGAAAACGTCAGTCACTTGATTGTCACAGTGTGGTGTATTCTTGTGTTGCGTACCTTGATCATGTCGGGAGTAACAAAGCCAACACCACCGGTCCAGCCCTCAGGGGGGTTGTTGAGGACATAGTGGACTCTGAAGCCACTGTCCTCGCGAGCCATGCTGTCAAGCTCATCCTTCATGAGAATGTCCTCGGGGTTGACGTTGGCGAAGATCAAGTCAACCTGAGTCTTGTCGCCGGAGGCACGACCGCGGAGAATAGCCTTGGAGATCTGGTACATGGGAGTGATACCGGTGCCACCAGCGATCATGGCGAAACGGCTAACCATGTTGGGCTGGTAAGCCATAGCACCCTTGGGACCCTTGACCTTGATGGTGTCACCAATCTTCATCTCAGAAAGATGTCTGCTGATGTTGCCGGTAGGGTAACTCTTGACGAGGACATCGAAGTGGCCGGAAGTAGTGTCATCGGTGATGGGAGTGTAGGAACGCAGGATCTCCTTGTCGGCGGTGATTTCAGTCTTGGGGTCCTTGACAGGTAAAGTGGCAGCCAGCGAGATGTGCTGGCCAATGGGCAGACCAAGAATCGAGTTGGCACTGGGGAGACCGAAGCGGTAGATGGCAGTGTTGTGCGACAGAACCACCTTCTCGGTCAAGGGGAATTGCTGGAAAGTGGTGGGGTCAAGGACCTTCTTGACCTCTGTATCGATTTGTCAGTACTAGCCTAGAGGCTCAGATAGCGATAAAGTGACACTCACGGTTGTTGAAGAACTGGTAGCCGGCCAGAGCAGCGGCGATTGCAATGGCAACGGGCACCAAGGTCTTGTTAACCAGAGCAGCTCCGACGATCAGGATTGCCGAAGGAGCATAGACGCCCTGAATGTACTGGGGAGCGAAAGGCCCTGTGGGCTTGTAAGTGTGCTTCGACGACATGGCGAGTGATATGTGAGTCGGGAAGAGGGAGGGAGAGACAAGATTGAGATGTGCTCAAGAACACGCGACTTTCGAAGCTTCCAAAGGCTTTGGGGCACGGCAGATCAAGGGTCGCGACCGATGGTGGGGTTGGTCCAAGATGCTGCCCGATCAGGGCATCATCTCCCTCTGTGCTACTCGAGTACTTCTCTCCCACAAGCCTGAACGGTCGTATTCCATTGTGTCTACAGCATCATGACTACAAACAACTATGCCTTTCCGCTGACGGCAATTGATCGCGAGATCCTTGCCATGAAGGATGAGGACTTTGCTCTCGTTACGTGGGAAGAACTCAAGGAAATCATCGGTAATTCTTCAGTCCTGTTGAACCATGTTTCTACTTTACCCTCTAATGAACTTCAGCTGCCAACCGTCTAGAAAAGTTGAAGCGTCGCCCTTCTGATCTTCGTCGGTATATTGCATGGTCTTCAGAGACCAAGGCCGAGTATGGCACCATTACCAATTTCGTCGTTCAAAAGCGTCTGCACTGGACTCCTTTGCCATCCTCGACTCCTGGTGATCCACCAAAGTTTGAGTTCCGTGATTCCACCCCATTCAAGGTCCAAAACGACTTCAGGATTCTCAAGAACGACTGGCCATACGGACTGGACAAAGGCATTGTGCACATCTGCGTTTGGGTAAAGACACCTATCGAGACCGACGACAGTACTGGTGATGTCACCGACCATTCTAGGCATCTGATCGAGAAATTTGTCAAGGACACCTTTGCATCTCAATTGGACACAGTGTTTGGTACAGGCAAAGGCAAAGATCACGTACTCTGGTTCAAGAACTGGGTAGCATTGCAAAGCGTCCGTGGTGTCGATCATATCCATGTCCTGGTTCGTGACGCTCCGGAAAGTATGCTGGAAGACTGGACCAAAGAGTAGGATAGCAAGACCCGGAGGCTACATCATCTCTACGGACCTTCCTTCCAACCCTTGATGTTATACACAATCAGCAGAATCATAACGTACAGACATGATAGAGCACAGCATATTGATATTTCCCGTCAACTCTACAACCAGCAGAATCTCCCGTTAGCGGACTGTCCGCTGGCAACACCAACATGGCCGAAAGATCTTACCATTACTGATAAGGGTGTCTTCTGCATGCTCACAAGTCGACTGAAGGTACCGCGATCATGGCTATGAGCGGCTTCGGGCACAGCGTGATTTTGCGACACTGCTGAGTGTATAAGACACCAAGCGCGACAATTAAACAGATGTTTTCGACCAAGTCAAACTGCAGACTACTAAAGCAATCGAGAGTGTCTGACCAGTTTCCTAGAGAAGCCATCGCTCCCGCTCCGCCTATTTGACTGAGCGATGAGGCTTCGAATCCAAGCTGAACCGCGATGAAAGCTAGAGCGGGCAGGTACATGTGTTTTCCAAATACCGGTTCACTCTGGACTTGCTCGATGCAGGTTATCTGATCTTGTCTATCACTTTGTCAAGTGCTTTGCCTCGACAGAGGGCATACTGGTAGGTCATGTCTAGGCACCCTTACCGAAATCCTGTGGCAACACAACAACTTGCTCAAATGGACTCTTACACCATGAGTCACTGTAAAATGACTGTTACAGCGCTTATATATCTACAAGGGATTGAATCTCGTTTCTGCAAACGACATTTTGATCAAGCTCCCTGAACATCGTGCTCAGGCTCGCATCAAGTCACAGAATCCACCCATCAAGCTCCAGGTTCACGCAAAATCTTGACACAACACGACCACCACTGTCATCTGTTACAGAACAACTCTGTCGTACTCAGACAAGCACAAATAATCGACCATCGAAGACAGCCATGGCATCCTCTTCGTCCATCTCAACGTGCGAGTCTGCCACATCCATCACAGGAGTTTCAGAGAAAGAACCAACAACCTTCCTATCCCTACCCATCGAACTCCGCACAAGAATCTACAAACTCTCCCTCGCCACCACATCGCCAGCCATCCTCTCACAACCGCTCATCACAAGCAACACCTGGTGCCGCCATCTCGCGCCACAAAAACCAATCTCAAGTGTCAACCTACTACGCAGCTGTCGACAAATCTATGTCGAGGCCAGTCAACACGCCTACTCCCACCGCACATTCAGCACCGCGAAACCCTGTTAACTCTGCTTCAGCAACTTGTCACTCAACGATTCAGTCGCGCTGCGAGCACTGCAGCAATTTACAATCCACAAGATCCAAGCGCTGGAGTTGAGAGTCAATGTCGATTGATCCACTAAACTGGCTTTGTGCAAGAAACTGCTCAGAACGCAGATTCAACTCCACAATACTGGAGATATGCAAAGTCTGCGTCATCTCGTCATCAAAGTGGTGTTCTTCAGACATGACTTTTCCCGGCTACAATATATGGTCTTCGCAGCCCAGTGTCCGAGCTTCGAACGCCTTTTCACTCAAGTCTATAGCTTGGTAGCTGGATCTGTGGAGGTAGACTGGCAGGTTGAGATCAATCAAGCAAAAGACATGAAGTACACTAACAAAGAAGAGCTGGAAAGGGCAGGAACGGAAGAGTTGAGGAAAAGGGCGGAGAAGTTCAAGTGTCTGCAGGGGGTGGGTGGAAATGCAAGACTGAAGAAGCCTAGAGAGGGGAAGGTGGTCCAGAATTCCTCCTCTTCTTCTTCGTCTTAGTATCAGGAATGTTTGTTCAGAAGGAGAAGCAAAAATTTCGGAATGGCATTGTTATTGTTGGTCAATTGAACCAAGGCGCTACGTGAACGCTTTCTATCGTGAAACGATCGAGCTCTTCAAAGGTCACTCAATACTTTCGGTGTCCAAATCTGATGGCAATCTCAAGTCGAGGTGCAAGCAGGTGCCGTTCGTGAGTAAGCAGAGAACTTGCATTCTAGATCCGGGTATATCAAGAACAAAAGTAAGCGGAGCAGAGTGTCAAGAACATCTCCATGCATCGTCAAAACGCCCCAAAAATGCAAACAAACCTCCCATCAATCATACCGGCACAGAGACTTGCGGGTCATCATCAACTTCCGACAAAGTCTCAGGACTGGCTTTTGAGTCTTCCCACTCATCAACCTCTGGTTGCCGCCTCATCTGCAACACACCACCCTTCCTACCGAAAAAGTCATCAGTGTGTAGGCCCCTGACATCCTCGGCTTTGATAGCTTTCATATTCTTCCCGCTCTTCTTGCTCTCTCGGATATATTCCCTCACGGGCACCATAGCTGCATCTCTGCATGCTTCCTTGATATCACTGCCGCTCATGCCTGCGCTGACTTTAACCAGAGTGTCGAGGTCAAAGTGAGGGGATAGACGAGTACATTTTAGTGTGAGCGAGAAGATGGAGCGGCGTTGGGAGGCTGAGGGGAGAGACACAGGGAACTTTTTGGGGAGGCGGCGGAGAATGGCTTCGTCAATGTCGCCAATACGATTGGTGGCGCCGAGTACGCAAATGCGTTGGGATTCGCCGAGGGAGTTTGAGGAGGTGAGGCCGTCCCATTGGGTCATGAATCTGTTGGTGAAGAGGTTAGTGGTGCTCAGTAGGTAGGACTATTGAACACTCACTCTGCCTTGACCATGCCGCTGGCTTCGTGTTCTCCGCTACGTCTTTGACCGAGGACAGCGTCAATCTCATCGATGAAAACGATGCTGGGTTGTAGTTTCCTGGCAAGACTGAAGACGGCAGACACGAGTTTGTTGCTGTCACCGTACCATTTCTCGGTCAGGGTAGAGATGTGCAGGTTGATGAAGCAAGCACCACTCTCGTGAGCCAGAGCTTTTGCGAGCATAGTCTTTCCACAACCAGGGGGACCGTAGAGCAGGACACCAGAAGGAGCAGAGAGAAGAGAGCTGGTTGCAGAGTAGAGGTGAGGCATGGTAAGAGGGTAAATGACAGCCTCGCGCAATTCCTCGATGATGTCGTCCAAGCCGCCAATATCCTCGAATGAGACGGGGATCTCCCAAGGCGCAACTACTTCCATAGCAATGGTTTGTTCGTAAGGAGTGAGAACCATATTCTCTTTGCGCTTCTCCCACTCCATTTTTTGGTCGTAGTCATCGTCATTCTCATCAAAGTCGTCGTCGGGTGAGCTGGCGAAGATGGATGATAGACGGGCAGTGGCAGCTGAAGCTTTCTTCTCCGCTTCGGATTTGGCGCCAGCTTCAGGATCCATTCGCGCCAGTAGATTTCGCATGATGAAGAAGGCCATGATGGGCTATTGCGTCTTGTCGTCAGTCATGGCTGCTTGGTGAGAATACCTATGTTGAGAGATGAACATACAGCAGCAGCCGCGATGGCTATCTCCTGAACGATGGTCACCCATCGTCTGTCTCCCGCCATTTTGCTGTGTATATTCGAACTGCCAAAGGATGTCGAAAGCGATCGAGTCCAGGTCGAAATGACTTTCACATGCGCAATTCCATCATCCGTGCACGGACTCTGATCGAGGAAGCCGTTTGTTCGACTCGGATCAATTTACGCGTGGCGCGTCTTCCGTGCTTGCCAATTCTTGTGTCTTTTGGTCTCGCACCTTCCCTTCGAACAAACACTTATATCACAAACCATACACAACATGTCTCCATCAGCAACAACAGAACTCGGCCCTGCTAGCGGTCCCGATGTCCAACTCAAGCCAGAAGAGAAACCCACACACAAGGCTCCCCGCCAACATGCCTCACACGAAGAATATCAATACCTCGACCTGATTCGTGACATTCTCGAACAAGGAGAGCACCGTCCAGACAGGTATGTGATGTGTCCACTTTGCTATCAATGCATCTCTAACATCCTTCCAGAACCGGTACCGGCACATACTCCATCTTCGCCCCTAATCAGCTCCGCTTCCGACTCTCCGACAAGGATACCGGCAAACTCATTCTACCTCTCCTCACCACAAAACGCGTCTTTCTCCGCGCCGTCATTGCTGAACTCCTCTGGTTCGTTGCCGGAAGTACCACCTCAACTCCTCTCACCGAACAAGGCATCAAAATCTGGGACGGCAATGGTTCACGCGAATACCTCGACTCAGTCGGCCTCTCACACCGCGAAGTTGGTGATCTCGGCCCTGTCTACGGCTTCCAATGGCGCCACTTTGGTGCAGAATACAAGGACGCAAAGACCGACTACACTGGACAAGGTGTAGATCAACTAGCAGAGGTCGTGCACAAGCTAAAGAACAACCCCTACGACCGCCGTATAATTCTCTCCGCCTGGAATCCCGCAGACCTCAAGAAAATGGCTCTACCACCTTGCCACATGTTTGCGCAATTCTACGTCTCGTTCCCCAAGGATGCAGCTACCAGGGCGGATGGCTCCAAGCAAGGAACCCTTCACTCTATCCTCTACCAACGATCGTGCGACATGGGTCTGGGTGTTCCGTTCAATATTGCCAGTTATGCTCTTCTCACACACATGCTGGCAAAGGTGTGTGACTTGGTCCCTGGCACCTTTACACATACCATGGGTGATGCACACGTCTACGCCGATCACGTTGATGCTCTCAAGCTTCAGATTGAGCGTGTGCCGAAAGAGTTCCCTGAGCTGGTCATCGAAAAGTCTGATGATGAGCTCTCGATCGATGGATGGAAGGTTGAAGATTTCAAGGTCATTGGATATGATCCCCACAAGGGTATTGCAATGAAGATGTCTGTATAGAGACCTCACGATCGATGCGCAATGGTATGCGAAGCTAATCTCAAGCGGGTCTGTGTTCACCGCAGAGTCAACACATTTGAAGCAAGTCTGATCGATTGTAATGAGTGTTGATATAGCGCCAAAAAAAGACTTTCACGTCGAACAAATGAATGTTGATGCATCCTCCAGAGATACCGCTGTTCAAGGACATAGACTACCACTTCTCTCGAGAGTCGCTCAAAGGCTCGCAGTGCCAACCATCCAATCCGTACCGATACCGTTCCCGATTGGACATTACATCTCACCAACGCGTTCATGCCGTGCGGCTGGACACAGCCTGGTATTAAGTGTCAGATGCGTCCAATCATCCTCGAATACGATATACGACTCACCACATGATTCTCATAGAAATATCTCGCGTACTACCAACTGGAGATACTGACAATAGTCGGGTTCTTGGAGCGGAATTCGAGAGTGCGTGCCAGGGTTTCGGAAGACGTTGAGCATGTACGTCTCAGGCTTAGGCTCATCTTTGTCGGTGAAGAAGTAGCAGTAGGTATCCTTGCAGTTGATGGTCAACTTGTATTTGAAGGGTGAATACCACTCTGCTTCGGCGAGCTTGTACCAGGTGATTGCCGTTCTTTCTCTGGACATCTTCGTCAGGCGCTCCCTCGGTACCCGATTTTCCAATCGACGCGTACGTCCTTGAAAGAGGGGCCGCTGGCTTCCGTCTCGTTGGCTTCGTCGGTTGGCTTGTCTGTGATGTCGTAGTCGGAAGCCTTGACTCTGTACTTCGCGCCACTGGAGGACTTGAGTTCCTCCCAGCCAACATTTGCGTCTGCGGGGATTGAAGAGTCGGGACGTTTGTGCTATGTAGTCTGGAATGAGTAGGAAATCCATTGTTCGGAGTTTGATAGACAAATCTTTTGTCTTGATTCTTATCGCTTTGCCTGTGCAGTTTATCTAGGACTCTCGTGTACTGAAATGTCTTTGAGAGACTTTATCCTGTCTACTGGTCTCTTACAATGGATGGTACAGCGAAGGCGCGGAATCAGGCTAGAGACTGGCGGATTACTGCTTCTTCTCAAGAGTTGGAATGCCTCTGGATAGGCACGAATTCCACAAACAGACTTCTAGCAAACACTAATGTGTAGGTGTGTACAAGAAACAAAAGACAGACAAAGGCAAACTTTCTAAACAAGAGGAAGAAAAAAAGATTTGAAAAGAAAAGGAAAAAAAAATGTTTGATTGAATGCCGTTTTGTTGGCATGCTGCTGTACTGTAGCTAATGTGTGTTACATTCCCTTTCCCAGTTTGTTTGGCTTTTTCTTTTTATTTCCGGTTATCCGCGATTTAGAACGAAATATCTTGCATTTCATCCCTTGTGTCTTGACTTTGCTGAAGCTCCAGAGGAGAGAGAGCAAAGGAGTGTAACATGACCTGTGTGATGCATGACAACGTGGTGTCATGCTTGTGTGTACCCTTGATCGAACCCAGAGCAATAATATGCCCCCCGACTTTCAAAACCCTCATTGCCGTTATCAAATGTAGTTCTGCCATTCATCTCTAACTGGCGAGGGACTGCTACGGTCGCTCGAGGGAAGAACCTCCTTCACAGGCTCTGTAGCCACAAGAACAGCCATGGCTTCCAACTGCTCAGCCACATCCTGACCACCGACTTCGTGCTTCTCAGTAGTACGATGAAGGTGGAACAGATCCCAGTATGCAGGAGAACGAAGGCCCTCGATCACAAAGTATTTCAAGCCGCCAAGGTTGGATAGAGCTCTGAGTATGCCAGACCAGTGGCGTCTCGCGACATTGCCAGCAGAACGGCAGGGACGGAAGTTCTGCATGCGCACGCTGACAAGGGTCCTGGTGAAAGCCTCAGTCTCATCCAGAGCGAGGAAGGCAGCAAAGTGTCTGACGGAGCACAAGTGACAGTTCTCTAGGACGAGCTGAGTGGTCTGTGCGAATAGGAAGCCGAAGAGCCTTTTGATGGACGATCCTAGCCTGGCCATCACGAGTTCGGTCAGGTCACAACCGTTGAGTGTTAAGGATAGGTTTGTTTGGTCGAAGGTGATTGTGTAGGGAAAGTGGAGGATCCCAGTGCGCTTGCGGTGGCAGTGGATGATTAGCTTGAGAGGAGGGCGAGTTGGGCTGAGAAGATCTTCGAGTGCATCGCGGAGATCGAAGAAGTTGTGTTGGTGCATGCTCAGCTCGAGAGTTCGAACACGACAGTTGGCCCGGATGGCAGCAATGAGAGTGTTCTCAAGAGTTTCGGTGGGATAGCGACTAACCATCGAGACCAACTCTACCATGTCAAGACTATCATGACCAGACATGGGCCTTAAGCTGCAAATGCTGATATGTACAGAGTTCTGATGTCCGAGGATATTGGCAAACACTTGCTTCATCAACTTCATGTAGGAACGTGAGTCGACGGGTGCTTCTGCACGACTCTCGGGTGCGGATGCCGAAGTCGCAGCTGGAGGCAAGAGAGGGCTCATTAGAATCGAGTCGACGTATGCGCCCAAGGTAGGGTGAGTCACAATCTCGAGCAGGGCCTCAATGCTTTTCTGAGTGAGGACATGACGGCGATTCTTAACATGAGCGATGCCGAAGGCCCTGTTCGCAGCATCGCGGAGCGGCTTGCAAACGAGACGCATGTTACCCAGGTCTGTGCTGTCCACGGAGTCGGCAATCTGACAGAGGAGCTCTGTTGGAAGAGAAAGGACAACCGCCATGATGTTCTTGGTGACGGTTGTTGAAAGGAGCGAAGGCCAATCTGAGTTTGTGGTGCTGAGATTTATGTTGATGAGAAAAGAGAAAGAGGAATGGCCAGATCAAACAGAGAATGTAGGCGCCGGTCAAGACACGAGTTGTGTTGTAGGGTACAAGCCAATGTATGAGAGTGAATGCGAGCGATGTGTCTTGAATAAATAAGCATTAGCGAAAGACAGTTTGCGCATGTTTTCCCCAACACACACCAAGAGGACCCGGTGCCGCAGTCTTCACTTTGTCAAAACCACACTGAATTTGATGTTGTCTTTCGCCTCTGGTGTGGCCTTCTCCATCATTTTGTTGCTTCATAAGAGTCGGGTCGCTCCAGTGAGCCGTCTACGTCTTCAGCAGTATCAAAGGTACCTGACTATGCATCTTGCGGCTCTCCTCGAGGGTCTAGGCAGAATTGGCCTACTTTGATGTCTTTCGTTTCTTTGTTTTTGGCCCTTCTTGGTCTTCCTTTTGTTCTTTCTGCTCCCATTCACGAAGGATCTTGATAGCCGAGTCGCCTCTTGCCTCATCGAAAGCATTGCAATCCTTGTGGTAAGGGTCTGCGCCTCGCTCAAGCAGAATATTAATGACTTCTCCAGCTTTCAAGAAGGGAGAAATGGCTGCAGAGGCGAGAGGGGTTTGGTGAAGAAGCATTGGCTCATGTCGTCCCTCATATACCTTGTTCATATCCAGGCCGATCTCATCTATCAGAAAGGTGACCATCTCAGGCCTGGCACGCCAGGCAGCGTTGTGTAAAGTTGACTCGCTGATTGGTGCACCATACTCATGTAAGAGCTTGAATGTGTCGGTGCTTCCAAATGAAGCAACATCTGCAAGCAAAGTCTCGTCGGTCTCATCGACAACAGCAGCATGGTCCAGACATCATTGAACCATTTCCTCATCACGGCAAGCGAGCTGTACCAGTTTCTTGTCGCACTCAGTGTTGACTGGCGTGTTGTACTTTCCTTTGAGTGGCTGTCGCTGGTTGATATTCCAACCTCGAGAAACGAGCACGGCAGCGCACTCGATGGGAGACGACTTGTAAGTATTCGATACGGATGCAGCGCCGATCTTGTTTATGTCAATGTGGCCTTCATCGAGAAGGTATGCTAGACGATCTGCTTTGTTGAAGACTGAAGCGTTTGCGCGAGCAGAGTCAATACAGATATTGTATGCTTCCTCTGATTCCTCGAAGGCAGCGAGTAGGGCAAGGTCCAGGTCCTCAATTGTGCCTCTGTGGTTAGCCTCAACTACTAGTTCCCACGAATATGGCATCTCTTTCTTTTCCGACGGCATGCTGTTTGGGATGGCTCCAAATAGTTATCCTGAGATGACAATTCAGAGAACCATGTTGTTTCAATTCAGAAGGAAGGTGAAGACGTGCGATGACGAAAGTGGGGTGCCGAGCTTGCATTCATCTTGCTTGCGTCAACAACCAACATCCTAGCAACCTTGACAGTAGTACATTCTACCAATTATTTGAAGATGCACATTCTCGTATGCTTTTTCGAATCGAGAGCGTGGACCCAAGGCTGACTAGACAAAGGTGACCAATGATGACGGCCCGCCGTCGAACGAATCGTCGCCTTACATCCTCGCGTTTGTAAAGACTTTGGAGGAAGCTGGACATGAAGTCTCTGTCATCCTTCCCAGCGAACAACGCTCGTGGATCGGCAAGGCTCATATTATCGGGAAAGATGTTCAAGCCACTTACTACTGGCCCGAGACTGAAGAGCACGGAACACCAAAGTCGCAAGAGTCAAAGCAAGGAAAGCCCTGGGTACTGGTCAACTCAACACCAGCCACATGCTCCCAGCTTGGACTGGCACACTGCTTCAAGGACAGGAAGCCAATTGATCTTGTCGTGTCAGGACCCAACTACGGACGCAACACGACAGCCATCTTTGCTCTGTCATCGGGTACACTGGGTGCTGCGCTCGAAGCAGCCGTCTGCGGAGCAAAGGCAATCGCCATCTCGTTTGCCTTCTTCGATCGGTTGAACGACCCCAAGATTGTCGCACAGAGTTGCAGACAAGGTGTACGAGTGATCGAATACCTGGCAAAGCAACAATGGGATGCCGGTCGCGTTTACACAATCAACGTTCCTGTCAAGGATGGCGTGGAGAAGCAGCCCGTGGTCTGGACGGAGATGTTGCAAAACCAGTGGTCATCAAGCTCTTGCTTCGACGAGACACCAGGTGTGGTCGAGGATGCAGATGCAGAGGAGACTAAGCTGAGAAAGCAAGAAAGCAGAGGTGGCGAGGAGCCCAAGCAGGGACAGGACGACAGTCGGGAAGACAGCAAATGGGAACCGAGACACTACAAGTGGGCACCCAAGTTCAAGGATGTATATGAAAGCGTGGAGCGGGCTGGACCTGGCAACGACGGCTGGGCTGTACAACAGGGCCAGACGAGTGTGACAGCACTCAAAGCCAACTTCTCTCACGTCCCAGGATACAAGGGTGAGATCAAGCTGTAGATGTGATAGAATCATGTATATACACTATATCACTTGATTGTTGAAGCATTGATTGACTAAAGGATGACGCGCATGGTGCAGACGGGGTTAGTCGGGGGTAAGAAACGGCGTCGAGACTCGAGTCTTTGGCGCATGAAATTATTGCCCTGGAGACATCACCATCGCATCAACACGACACACCATGGCCGACTTTATTGGTATGACCATCAGTGTCACTCTGCTGCAGCCTCCCGGTGCAGTTCTGATAGGTCGCGTCGCCCACGTTATTGCTGGCCAGACACTGGCTCTGGAACACGTCTTCTTCCCGCAATCTGGCAACCATGTGCCTTCCTACAACGTCCCCGCCCACCTGATCCAGGACCTACACGTCGTCGAGACCAACTTTGAGGCCAGCTCCAAGCCCACTACTCCTGCTGCCAACATCTCTGCCTCGCGCGGCGCCGCTGCTCAATTCCCTGCTCCTCTCCATATCCCTGCTCAGGAAGCACGTGTCGAGAGCCCTCTGGCCAAAAAGACTCCCTCCTTTGTCGACCCTGCCATCCTTAGCTTCACCAAGTCGCCTGCTCCAGCCCCTCGTAGCCAGCCACCGCCGCCTCCTCCAGCTCCCCAGCAGCCTTCTGCGCCTGTTACACCCAGCAAGAAAGCTCTATCCGCCGCCGCCGCCGCCGCCGCCGCCGCCGTTCCACCAACATCCACCTCTCCATCCGTCGCTCATGTCGCTGAGCCACTCGTCGCCCAAGAGCAGGACTATGCCGACGACAATGCTGCTCAATCGGCCAAGAAGACAAGACGCGGAAGAAGAGGTCCAAGAACAACAACTCAAGTCCCTCTGACTGCAGCCACAGAGGCACAAATTGTCAAGGAAACTCTGTCGCCCAATGTATCGCGCAACGGAACCGACATGACCATCACTCCCAGCACCAGCAAGAAGGGATGGCGATCGACCCCCCTACTCAAGGAAACCACATCAGCCGCATCTCTGAAGGCCAAGAAAAAGGCGAAACGTCCAGTCAATGGACAGGCAGATCAGAACGGCTGGGCTACCGAGGAAGCAACAGAAATCCACGACATGGGCGACTTTGACTTTGAAGCCAACCTGTCCAAGTTCGACAAGAGAACCGTCTTTGATCAGATCCGTAACGAGGACACGACCGCAGACGAAGATAGACTGGTTTCGCACAACAGACTCGCACGACCCGGCACATACGGAGGCAAGAACCTGCATCCCACAGAGAACGTGCTATCTCCGACACTGAAGCCCAAGCACCATGGAAGCGAACGCGAATCTTCATCAGATGCAGACACAGAGCTCAACTTTGGTAGCGGGCCCAACTCGAAGCGTGCACCTTCTCGCACATCAAACAAGCGTCCTTCTCGCATGAGCAACAGCGGCCTACCAGAAGATATTCTCCACCCCCTGGCCGCTTCGCTAGCTTCGACTGCCATCAACCGCTCCATGAGCTCCCTCAGAGGCTCTTCTGTTGTCGCTTCATCTCCCAACCCTAACCGTGCCCGCTCTCCTCAATCCATACAATCTCCTCTACATTCACTAGACCAACTCAGCCTCGCTCAACAAGCAGCAGCAGCCCCTCGACCTCATTTCAGGACGCCGAAATCGAAATACCCCTGCTCCCTCTACCACCCCGATCGCCTAAGACAAGCCGAAGCTGACGCAATCTCTAACATCGGCATCAGCGCCGACGCCATCACCGAAAACGCCGCTCGCGGAATCGCAGAAAGCGTTCTCACCAGTACACTCAAACCAGGCGCATCCCGTCGTAACTCAAAGATCAACAACCTGCCGAACTCAAATTCCAAACCCGTAGTCGTCATCCTCGCTGGCAACCATGTCACCGGCGCTCGCGCAATAGCCAGTGCACGCCATCTCTACAGCCGCGGCTTCAAAGTCCTGATTGCCGTACTCGACTTCTCAAACCCCAGTGTCTGGCACCCTCAACTCGCCAAACACATCCATTCACTGCAAGCTTTGGGCCGCAAAGCCGCTCGCATAGAAGGATGGCGCAGCACCTCTGGCCAAATCAAAAAACTCGACGGGCCTCCCGTCATCATCGTTGATGCGTTGCTGGATGGCCAACGCCACGCCGATATACGCGACGAGGACTTACGCACCGAAGCTCGCGAAATGATCGATTGGGCGAATCGCTCGCGCGCTGGCGTGCTCAGTATCAATATTCCCTCAGGCTTTGACAACGTAAACGGTGCTTCTAGCATTGTTGACGGTGAACCCCTTGCCATTCGCCCTGAAGCCGTGTTGGCGTTGGGAGTCCCGGTACTGGGGTTGCTGGAGGCAATCAGAGAGGGCGAGGGTTCCGCTTGGACGATTACGGCAATCGATACTGGTGTCAATGTCGTCCTTGGCGATCGCGAGAAGGTGCTGTTCGGAGCTGATTGGAGCGTCAATCTGAGGTTTGTGGGTGGAGAAGTGCAGGCTTAGGTTGCCTGCGATGAGAAAGAAGGGTTGCTTTGTCAGTTTGCTGCATTTGCATTCCCGCCTGTTGCATAAAAACAAAAGGAAATTGGCTGGTTTAGCTGAGTTATTGGCGTTTTTGCTTTGACTATTCGAGGACGGATGTAAAGAAGTCGGAAAGTGCACTCATGATGGAAGGAAAAGGAGGAAGGGAGATTGATTCTCGATTGTTGTTTTTGCTTGCATCGTTTTGCTCATCGCTGCGACAGCGTTCTGGTGTAACTATATATCCCAAAATTCTTAACCACATTTCAGATGCTTGTCTCCGATGAAGCGATATGAAAGGGCGATACTCAAGGAACACGGTTTCCAGGAACATCCCTCGGAGAAGGATGATCATCAAGAACATCCTTGGACGAAGCACTCTTGCCAACAGGGTCATTGAAAGACACACCGTCTCCAGCGACGCGCTCTCCACGAACATCCTTCGAAGGAGCACGACCTCCCGTGATAGGATCCTTCGCATCCGCCCTCTCGCCGTGAATATCCCTCACCTCAGCATCCCCCTCCAGAACACCTTCTGGATCTCTTCTGGGAAACTTTCTGAACAAGTCTCCAAGTCTGTCCAGGGGAGCTGCCATCAATCCCATGACCGTCTCGAAAGGACCGCCATTGTCGGGAGCGCTCGGGTGGCTTCTAGATGGTACAAAAGCCTTTGTAGTGTCGAAGCTATCGGCTAGTCTCGCGGACTCATCGGCATCCAAGTATTTTTCGAGAGTGGGCAAGTCGCCGTTTTCTTCTTCTTTGATGTGTTGGTCTAGTTCGCGCCAGAGGGCTTTGAGGGTGGGTTCGAAGTCTTCGACATCGGGGTTCAGGTTCTGGAACTTGTGCAGGAGTTCCTTGACCTATGCTTGGTTAGCAGGAACGAAAAAGAAGGCTGGCAGAGGGTATAGTAGAACTCACTGTTCTGTGTTCGCCGCGATCTTTGTCTGCCATGGCCTTGCCATCGGGACTACTCCTCGTGTCAGCTTCCTCATCACCACATCTTTTACACTAGAAGTCACTTACCAATTCTTCTCCATGGCAGGATAAACAACCAATTCCTCGGCAATACTGTGACGGGCAAGTTCCCACGTGAACTGGTTCTGCCAGCGAACCTTCTCGTCGTCGTCTTTGGCATTGAGGATGTTGTCTTTGTAGGTGCGTAGTTCATCGTGGTCGTGCTTGATGAGGTCGGAGACGCGTTGCATGATCGCGGATGACGAGGCAAAGGTGCGAGAGAATGGCATGGCGGATCGTTGGGTCAGCAGTGCCGAAGCACGAGACGTGAATCTTGAGGTTTGCATGGTGGGTGGCAGCGGCGATGAATTGTTGTTTTGGTGTTTGTTGAGGGAACAAGCAAGACGAAAGTAGAGATCAAGAGATATATATACAGCTGGCGGGAACGAGTGGAACTTCGAGCTATATGACAGACGGCAAGAGCTATGGTGAGGGGTACGCGATTTCCCATCATTGTTCGACAATGCATGGTCATCTCCACGCATTCGAGATCCAGGTACAGGAACGAAGTCCGCAAATTAACCAATCAAGCAAGACTTACTGGTAAGATACCATTGTATCATGACAAGCAGTGACACGTTTTCCCCTCATGGAGGAAGGACACCCACGACATTATGACAGAGCTTCCAACGTCCATGTTGTACAGATCCTCGTTCATGCAAGGTCAGGGCATAGGCCTACATTCGGATGCTCCGCTCGAGGCAAGGTGTTGAGAGATAAGCTGCTTACAGTATTCGTGTAGGTGCTTTCGGTATATGTAGAAAGAAGAATAGACTGTACGAGGACTTTGGTCCGGAAGAACCTCGGCAAAGACGAACGAAGCTATCAGAGTCGAAGGCATGCAACTGCCTGTTAATCAGTCATGCCGGTGTCGATAGATGGGCTACTGTATCAGCCATCTTGATCGGTGCAAATTCATCCCATTTCTGATCCACGGATACTGGGTGGGCAGTCACCGGGATGCATCGCGATCGGGCGTCGAAGGACACCACATGCAGTACGAAAATTCTTCTGGAGTCGTTTATGTCAGGAATATTCCTGCTATACATGATAGCTTGAGCGTTGAGTGCGCGAGTGAAGCGAGGCGTAAGACCTCGAAGCTCATGGCCAAAGCCTGCATCTCGATGGATACCTGAGAAGCTTCAGTCGAGAGAAACATATATTAAACCTTGATATATACAACCGACTGAGAAGATAGATATGGAGTTGTAAAGCTGACATGAAATGTATACAAAGGCTTTGAAATGGCTGACTTCCATGTCCAGCCGTCTTCTTATACGTAAAAGTTTGACAGCCTCCCACTTGGACTAGAATCGCCTGCAAACATTGATAATGTTCTGCAGCTTATCATCACTGTTCTTGAAGACTGACCCAAGCGCTGCGACGTCGTCTGCGGTCATTCCACGCCTCAGCTTAGCGACATCGCCAATGCCCTTGCCGGTGCGTTCAACTCTAGCAATCGCCCCAACACCAAGCAGCATGCCCAGGATGTTGACAACAGCGGAACTCGGGAAGAATCCGCTCTAGGCCACTTACGCTGCTCGAATTGAGCCTGATTCCATGCTCCGGCTCGCGGCGACGGAGTGAAGGCTGTCAAATAAGATGTCAGTCATTAGCACAAGTATGGTGTAGAACATTGTATGTTTGCACATACCATCCCTGTTGGTGCAGGTTGGATCATATCCAGGAAGTGAAGGATCACTACCACCATCACTCTCTCCACCAACCTCGACCCAAACAAAAGCATCGCACAGATCATCATCTGTCTCGCTAGTGGGGCGTATTCCAAACCCGGCGCCGTTCACATTACACCAGTTGCCACCATAGGTACGCAGCCCTACACGCCCATTGCGGCTAGTATCGACGATGGCGTGGTTTGGCATACCGTTGACTGCAAGCTGCGCGCCGAGAAAGTGAATATATCGCTTCTCATCCTGCGCTTTGTTGTATTGTGCATCCTTGAAATTCTCGAATTCTCCTGGAATCATGGACCATGCATTCCAATTCGAAACATTTGTTACAATACCTTTGCATGACTTCGGCTTTCCAGCTGCTTTCCAAACATCGGCAAAGACCTCCGCAGGAGTCGTGAAGGTCGCTACAGCATATGCGTCGCTAAGACAGCAGCACCAAATGCTTGTACAACCAAGGCAATCCTGAACAAGGCAGCCCAGGCTGCTTAGAAGAATAGGTGGGAGGAGAAAGCCAGGACAACCTCCAAAAACATAGCAACAGCACACAGTCCATGGGATACTAACCTCCAAGAAGTGAGAAAGGACTTGACAAGGCCAGAGACTACAAGCTCGACCTTGCTGATAACAGAACATATCGGACTCAAGAAGTACCTATTTCAGAGAAAGGTTCCTGGCTTCGGAAGCCCTGTTTGCAACTGTGGTTGGAGACACCAAACACGATGACATGTGGTTACAATATGCCCAGAGTTGATCAGGGAAGGTCAGGCATGTATCATCAGGCTGGCACAACGGATTACAAGCTGGTTTCTCCAAATCGGCCCGCTTGAACAGTTCCCAATCGCAAAAGATGTGGCAGGAGAGATTGAGGTTGAAGGAGAAAGGATAGAACTCAACCAAAATCCTCGCCTATCGAATCTCATGATCTTTAGCCGATTACGTCCGTATCATGTATTCAATATTGGGAGAGGGTTGAATCGCATTACATCTACATGAATGTAATGGCTCCATTCAATCCTGAGGCACTCGCACGCTCGGATCTTATAGATTGGATTAATCAACGCAGGTCTAGAGGTCACTTGGTGGAAATTTGATTCAAAACTAGTATAATCATTCAACATGGGCGAGAAGGGACAGTCTCGAAAGTTAAGAAGCTGGTTTTGGATGGCTTGATAAGTGCATCTTTCCACCCATTCAGTCCTTTTATCGAAGTCATTCCTTTCGTCGAAGCATTTCTTGCCAAGATGAGACTCTTTTCTTTCTTATTCTTCATCGTCCCGTATCTCGCAACAACCGCTTTTGCAGACAAAGGCGCAAAGGGGTATGAAGCTGTATGGACGTATTTGGCCTATTGTGTCGACTGGGACTATTCTCTCGCTCAGAATATCGACTTGGTGATTGGCCCATACTGCGGGACAGGAGAGAAAATGTGCACGTTTTACGAGTTCCTTGAATCAATGGATATACCGACAAGAAGAGCCGAATTGCCTGGCGGCTCGTCCTACGATGAAGTCGACTTTGACAGACTGCTCTCTAGAGAGGGGGACATGTGGTCAAAAGTCCTCCAGGCTCTTGCAGAGTTCCAAGCACTTCGGGATACGGCTTCACACGCAGCTGTTATCAATGCAATAGGGACAATCAGAGACCGTATGGCCTCGGGGTGCTAGTCGTTGCTTTGATGGGATCTATAGGCAGATTTGTTGAGCGACGACGATGTGGTCTATCATTGTTGGTTAGTCGGGTGGATCGGACCGGCCTACGGGAGGATGAGGCAAGAGAGGGAGATGTTTCCTAGCTTGAAAGTCATATTTATGGCAGGCTCGTTTTGCGATAGCTCATGTAATTACCTTGGCGCGGTTGTCAATTTTGGAATTGGATTAACCTTGGCACGGCTAATCTAATCTTCCGACGATTTGGCTTCTTCACATCTGTCGACCGTATGTACACAAGCTTTAATATATTCATCATATGGCTAATGAGCGCTAAGCGAGCCACGTTCAAGACCACATACCATGATGCTAATAAGACATGTCCCTGTGCAGATAAGACTATTCTCTAGCGGGCCGTAATTAAACCAGACACTGGAAACTACTCAAAGGAACTGGGCCTTGGCGGCATTGAGGGTTATATATGCTACAGGCAATTGCTCTGCATCTTTATGACACTCCGCGAATCGTCCTCACTTGGTCAACAGCTACAGACAAATGACCGACCCATGCTTGTGTAACGATGGTCATGGCCCGTTGAAGGTGCCTGGTTTCTCCGACGTTCCGATCGATCTTGAGCTCTGCCCTCAGAATCGGTTCACTCATGGTGCGACCGAATGGACACAATGGCCGAACCTGACCGCACGAGAACTTGCTATGCTTGCTCTTATCAACGACCTGACTGAAGAGCATGGCTGGCATGAAAAGGTATTCAACGATAATCTGATGGTAGACTGGCGTATGCAGGCACTATCGAGACCGCTTGTCAGTCCTAAGGCATGGGACTGGTGCTTAGCCGAGCTGCGGGACAAAGCTCTGTACTTCGAACAAACTGGCAACATCGTGGTCTTCAACACTGGAGCTGGAATTATCAAATCTGATGCAGTTGCGGAAAGGATTCAGACTGAGTTGAGGGATGCTACGGAGCTGCTTGAAGCGGATGAGAAAGTCTCGAGGCAGCATACCGTGCTGGATCTCGTTGATCCAAGCCTTTTCCCCTTGGTTTACGGTAGAACGCGCGTTCTGATGGACTCAGGCCGCGTGACTCTCGACAGTACCATCAACTCCTGCGGGCGAGGTGAAATAGTGCCTGAATTTCCGCCTGGCTATTTTCGTCGTCAGAGGCCCGTTCGGCGGAATCCACCATGGCCTGAGGAGGTTATCCCTACCCCGCATGCCATGGACCGCGACGATGAAAGATGGTCAGCCCGATACCAATGGCTACCTTGTGAAGTGGATTTTGTCAACGACTCGGGAACAGACGTGCGCATTACGTCTTACGTGAACAATCTACACCCGATCCGATACCGCGCATTATATGGGACAATCGCAAAACTCGTCTCCCAATCGATTGAACCATGGAATCAGATCCTCATCAAACAGAATCGTGGTCGCACCCCAATGCGGATAAGGACATACGGTCTTGAACCGGACAACGAGAGGCCTGAGTGGGCTACTCATGAAAAGCTGAGAGAGCTGGAGAGCAACCGCAGCAATACCGCATTCAAGGAAGCCGTCGATAAGATCAAAGAGTACCTTGCCTTACCTGAAAGGCTCGAGGAGAAAGAAGGAAAACAAATCTCACCGACATGGGAAACTGAGGATGGGGGCTTGTGGACAGCACTCTACAGAAAGTGGACAAGACTGAGAACCTGGCAGCATCCTGAGCCTGGCACAGCGTTTGGTTTTAACGATTGGAAGGCTGGTCGGGCGGAAAAGGCAATAATTGACATGAGGATCGTATATCCGGACTCCAACACTTGCCACAATTTCTACAAGGTTGCCTTGCAAGACAGCTTCCGCAAAAAAGGCCTCCAAGTTGTCGTCAAGATTTCATCGATCGAGTTGACACCAGAAGACTCAGCTTATGACGGTACTGATTGGCACCTCGACGGGATGCTAAACGACCACATTGTGGCTTCCGCTCTCCATGTGTTCGATATCAAGAATGTAACAGAGGCACGACTTTCATTTCGTCAACAGACCAGGATGGAACAAGGGGAATTCCACTATGAAGGATGGAAATTGGAGAGCCTAATGGATGTGTTTGCAATTCCCGGCGATTCAGAAGACATTGACGGCTCCGTCACGTGTGGTTGCCCGGCCTCTCTCCAGGATCTGGGGTCGGTCGTTGCACCTCAAGGCCGTCTGCTGGCGTGGCCGAATGTTCTCCATCATCGTATGGAGCCCATGCAGCTGCTTGATCCCACCGTGTCAGGTCACTGCAAGTTCATATCTCTACATCTAGTAGATCCTCATTATCGAATATGCTCGACAAGGAATGTACCTCCACAACGACACGACTGGTGGGTCGAAGAGGCAATTGAAGCGACTGGAGCGGCCAAGCATGGCCTCCCAGCGGAACTGATTCATCAAATTGACGCTGAAACTGAAAATTGGCCGATGGGTATTGAAGAAGCGGAGAGAGTAAGATTGGAGCGTGAGCATGAGCAGAATACTGTGGAGAGATATATCTTCAAGGAGGGTGCTCATAGATATATATTTGGTACAATCTAGAATGCGGTTCTCGATTGTTCGAGTGACTCTTGTTGGGCTTGTTACCTTTGAGCGGTAAGAAGACTCGAGAAGTCGTGGTTTCTTAGCTTCGCTGTGGCCTATTTTGCGAGCTTGTCGGCTGTCTCGTCCCCGGAGATCTCATTGCGGCTTGATACCCACTGTAGCTTGAACTGCATGTTAAGACTTTCCTGACAAGAGTGGACTGTGTTGTGGATAGTCCTTGCTAACTGCTGCATATCTACTCTCCTTGATGGCTCAGAGATGGCCTGCAGGGCTGCTTTGGAATCGCAGGCGATCGTACACTGAGCTTGTGGTGGTGGAGTGTCTGTTGCTTGCACATGTTGTTCAGCTGCGAGTTGGATACTGAATTAGATCGCGATCATCTCTGCTGCCTGGACGGAGTAGTGCTTCACTGACCTGACTCTTGCCCAAGTTCCATGCTAATATTGATTTATTGGGAGCGGTCTAGAGTTGTAGTGGCTGCACCGAAGTTGCCTTCTTTGCATGCTGCATCTGTAAAGATGACCTGACAAGGGTTCTCTGCTACCGTTTGGTCAACATTCTGTGTGCTTCCCACTCGGTCTATGGACACGTGCATTGGTTGATGTGCTGAACGGACGATTGTTATTGACCCTCGCATTGTACTCGAGCAGACAGAGGTGCTGTGACCTAGCATTCACAACAAATATACTACAACAATCAAGGTTCGGCGAAGAATCAGAACAACAAAGACAAAAGCAAGACGAAGAAGCAAACACAAAAAAGAGGAAAAATTCTGGTTCGGGTCTGCAAAGAGACGTTCAAGCACAGTGATGGCCGCCGTAAGCATGCTCGAGGAAATCGAAGACTTACTTGGCTATCATAACGGTAGTGCATGATCGTAATGCTTGCAGAGACTAACTCCACCTGGCAGTTGTTTTGAGCTTGAGCACTAATCGAGGACGCAGCTATAATCTGTATAGGCAATGATGCTCCAACACTCTTGCGGCACGTAGAAACAGGACACATTTGTCCAGCAGCAGCACCAGCTTACCATGTCTCCTTATCGGTCGGATTTTCAGAACGACATTGCAGGTACAGTGGTTTCATGCGACCATCTCTATCCCATACCAAGTTAGTATATCTCGCATTGTAATATTTTCCGTATAGGGACTCGCGACTCCGCGGCACAAAGCCCGAGCCTGTTACGTGAAGGGCACTTGTATGAGAGTCCGCGGCTCCACAGCAGAAGATGCAAGTAAAGTAGTATGTGGAAGCGATACCCAGTATTGCGGTTCTGGTGGGCGGGAACGGAGACTGCTTTATCTCTTTCTCCAGTGTGCTTCGGAGTCGACATTGCAGGAGGCAGGGTCCCATGCAAGCGATGTTCAGGGGCCACACTGGCCGTCGGGTGCGAGAGCAATGTGTATACCTGGCGTGATGAAGGATAGTCGCATGAACTCTCACGGCTCCGCTGTGAAGACCCGGGCCTGGCATATGAAGACAGTCGCATGGGGTTTGAACCCTGACATATTGATATACAGAAGCGACCAACAACTTGGTGTCGCGTTTCCCAGCCAGCGGCCGAGAACGGGGACCGCTTTATCTTCCTTTCGAAGCAGTGAAGCTACGGCGGCAGTATGCTTTGGGTTTAGAGATGTTTTCCAGCCACTCGCAGTCCTGGCATCTCATTGCAGCGATCGTGCTTCATGTTTCCTTGGTCTTGATTCGCTAAAGCCATATCGTAATTGACGGATCTTTCTTTGCAAACCATTCTCAATTTAAGCATGTGGCTGTGTTTGATAAGCCGACAAGGATCGAGGGACGACCACGGAGGGCAGTGCCGAATAGCATGGAGGAGAATTTTCTTTATAAAGGCGAAAAGGTGGATCCATAAGAATTTGCTTGGGATGTGGTTACGGAGTGATATACTTCGATTGATTGGAGGGCGTCGTCATCGGGTGTGGCGATTGACTCGTGACGATGCATGCCCGGCTTCCGGAGGATTTTGTTCCATGTGAAGCTTGGGAGAGGACAAGATAGGCTTGTTAGTCTTAATTTGGCGCTGTCAAGAGTAGAACAATGTTTCGCGAAGCGCTTTTGTGAGGGGGCGTCTCGTCTGTTGTGCTGAGTTCAAAACTTCGTGATTGACGTTAGTCCCGTCGATTATTGAGTCTTGCATGCCGAAGCCAGCTCAAAAACACCAGTAATATGGTTCCAGCCCTCCGCATAATTATAACTAAACGAGTGAAGCCAGACTTATTCAGCGGTGTTCCCGACCCACCAAGAATCATCGATACTGAGCCAACGAGACATGTTGATTCGTGACATTCGTCCATGTTCGAAGTCTGCAGGGCGACCCTGCCGATATCTTAGATGACCATTCAACGAAAGCGCGGATGTGACGAGTCGAGTCCTGGCATGTGCACTGATAACCATCAAACTTTTATAGGTAAACGTCTCTTCAAAGATCCAAGTCGGGACGATTTCTGATATAAAGCAATTTGCACTCAGATTGCAGATCTCGGGAACTGGGTTAGTCAGTCAGGAATCAAAAACGTCGGCGGTGAACTCATGGATGTGCGGACAATGGGTTGCTCGATTCAGACGTTGCAGTTGAGTTAGTAAATTCAGACAGGTTGTCTCAAGGTTGCTTCTCGCTAGAGACGATTTCGTGCACCGCTTTCGTGCACATCCAGTCTAGAATATCTTGACTCGTTCCTCTATGAGGACACTGGTGAGTAAGACTGAGCGGAATTCATCAGTCAAAGCTACTATTTGGCAATCATGCTCCCGTCAGATGTGAGCCGATCTTTCGCATAGATGTACAAGATGGAGATTGAGCCTCGACGGTGAGACATCACAGATAACGTGCTCAATAGGTGATCTCCAACATGGTTTGACAGGCGTGAATAGTGATAATGCAAGACACGAGCATAAAGGTGGGGAGTGCTCCGATGCGTTCTTCCTGCTTTATCGATTGTGCACCTTTTCAATTGCAGCTTCGATATGATAGAGCCGGCAAGTGAAACCATATCTCACATCATGCGAGTATTGACTGACCCACTGCTGTATAGCAGCAACTCTGTCTGATGTCAAGACTCTTGCCTGCATAAGTAATTAAATCATTTGAACAACTAGGTAGATGCTAGAGTGATGATCTCCGTCGATTTAGTCTTTGCAGCTAGGCCAGTCACCAGTGGGCAGCGCGAGGAATTACGCCGAATATCTCACAGCAGCAGTGACTGCACTATCGACTTTAGTCGAAGACTTGCAGAAACCTGTAGAGGTCGATCTGCAAACCAGTACACAGGCTCTCTGAGTCGCCTTGCGTTGAGGCCGCCCACCGATGGGGGCACCTTGCAGTAACATAGGCTGTCGGTTTATTGTAAATGACAGCTTGACATGTCCAAAGCGATGGATGGATGCCTGGTTCTGTCCCTATCCTGTCTATGCACTTCAGCCATTACGACTCGCCGGACCATAGACGCGACTGGCGGATCTCATGGTATGATAGTTTAACCAGACTTTCTATGACGGACGGGGTGAACGCAGCAGTCACAACCATACTTTTTGTTGTGTCAGCACTCAGGACTGCAACGCAAGGGAGTGTATGAACGTCGTTCGCCGCTAGAGATCTCAACACAAAGTTTCGAATCGTCGCAGAGGGTGAACGGGGGAGGATCCGGCACCCGAGACATTCCTAACAACGGTGGGAACTCTGGGAAGGAGCGTGCATATCCGATCTGCAAGTTTACTGATGAAGAGCTAAACAGCAAGGAACACAACTCAAGTCGACATGGTAGACGCCTGATATCGATTAAGGTTGTGCAAGCGTGACAGAATCACTTCGAATTATTTATGCCTGAACTGTTCACGCAGCGATGAATGGCAGTGTCAGATGGCATTGATCTCGAATCGACCAGTTGATACAGCTTGGCAGAGATTGTGGATGTTGATCGGCAGCGCGACAGATTAGGCCATTCAGAAGTTGTCCTGTTTTGTCCGTGCTTCAGTCGCTGCGATTTGATTAAACACCAGCGCAAAACACCCAAGCTGTCTCATCGGGATGGGTACCTAGTAGTAAGTTCTATTGATAATTGTCAAGTTTGGTGATCTGCGCACAATGTAATCTTCTGATCCTCGCTGCAGTCCGATGGTGTGATACGGCCGTAGTTCAACAGATTGTCATGCATTCGTGCTGGTGCGAGTCAACCGTGCTACGGATGTGTGATGAGCGGCAGGGCACACAGAAGTGGTCGAAGAACTGCAGTGTAGATGAAGAATGAGAACGACGTTCTCAGGTTACACTAGCTCGGCAGCAATGCGAGTTTTGCTCTGTTGTTGTGGTTCTGTTGTCAAAAAGTGTCAATCTGTGCCACTGTCTCGAAGAACATGCGCCCTCTCTTGGCAGGACCGAATTGTGGCTAGGGATCTGATACCAATTTTCTGGAAATTCCTGGAAAGCCGTAGTTCCCGACAGAGTGGACCTGCATCCACCATGGGTATCTCTCCAACCGATTAAGCAGATACTTTTCGCTCTCAAGAGCCAGGGCAATGACGACGAATGACGAAGTTGCTGCAAGAGCGACGCGGCCGTCTCTCATCATCGAGAGAAACGTCGTTGAAATAGAATTTCAGTTTGGAACTTGAGGCTTGACGTGGCGGGCGGCGTGGCGGCACTTGACAATGCAGGAACGTGAGAGTCCAACGTCAACTCCATGTACCGCACCCGGCGGCTCGGAAGCCTCTAGCAAGCAATGCCTAACGACCTATGATGACAGCTCTCCTATCGCGCCAAGATAGGCTTCTGCGGTGGACCCGCAGCGGGATCTTGAAACGTAGGCGCTTACGACGTGTCGCATCCCAGGGAAGAGCTTGACGTTGGAGAGCAGCTTCGGCAGCGCTCTCAATTGCTAAGCACTCGTGTCTTGACAGACCACAGTTCGCAGCGTCGGAGGATGTTAGGAAGGAGCCATTTACCTTGTCTTCCTCTCTAGTGTCCGAGGACTGTGGTCCGACATGCATCATGCAAGACGAGAAAAAGGTTAGGTGAGATCTGCGGCCTTGCCTCATCAATTTCCCTCAATCCACATCACTGTCGAGCGCCAGTCTAAATCAACGCGATCAACCTACGGATATCGAGAGGAAAGCTCGAGCTTTTTTGTTCTGCAGAGAGGGTGTCTTTGTCATCGGAGATGCACTGTCCGGCTGCAAGAAAAGACGATGTCGATTATGCCCTACTGCAGTCTGCAGATGCACGGGCAATCCCCAGGCTTGTTACCCTACGGGCCTGCCTGCAAAGCTTTGCCAAGGTCTCGATACAAGATGTTTCGTTGGAAGACCTGTTTGTCTCTCTTGCATGTGTCCGCCGCCGTCCCAGAGCATAACCGCTGTTTCCTCGGCTGTCTCCCAGTGCAGTTGTAACATGAAACACCAAATCGATATGAGGGGAGGGCTTGCTGTGGGCACACACTGCGGCGTGGCGCATCGGATGCGTGCTGCGGTGCCTGAGTCGTTTGACTGTGACCGCGGCTCTGATTGAAAGTAATCACCTGCAGCAAGGCCCATAAAAGAGAACATGTTGAAAGTAGACGACGGACTGTCCCGCTAAGCCGTCTGGCGATCATTCTGCTACTGCCATCTCAACCCCTGCAAAGGCCTCTAGTAAAATGCATCATCGATGGTCAGTGTATCAGTTTGTTGAACCATGCTCGCCGCACTGCGCAGAGGCCTTGCCCTTTGCCGTCCTTTCATCGGCAGACCTGAGCAAATCAAGATAACCTGCTACATCCCCGTTGATGCCGGCCTTTCCTGTTGACTCTGAGTTTTCGACTAAATTGCTAACCTGTCCAAGATCCTCGATATTCTCAACATCCGGGTGCACTCTGCCTTTTCACGTCAAATACCTTTGCTGCTCACGGCCGACCTCGATCACGGCCTGTGAGACCCACTTACTGCAGTCTCCGCATATCCTCTACCGGGTCCTTGCCTCTACACTTTCTTGTGCTACTTAACAACCACTCGATTTCTTCCTTCTGTTTGCGGAGCTACCCAAACATCTTCCTTGGATACCCGCCTTCGACATACGTTCGTTCATATATTCCATCACTTATGTTTGACGTTTAGGAAGCATACCTACCTGTTGCAATTCGCCTTTGTGGCGCTGGATATCTGTTTTCTGCATTGCCATTTACTTTTCTTAACGACCCTACGACTACACAATGCGCGGCCAGTGGCTGCTGCCTTTGGCGCTGAGCGCCTTCGGAGCTCAGGCTCTTCGCTATGATGAGAGATATGTTGACTGGAACCTGAACATGAACCAGGAAGCGGTAGATCCTATGGAGTACTTCACCATCTACGAGAACCATACATACCACCCGTCCCCGGATAATTGGCGGTTTCCATTCTACAGTTTCTTCATGGATAGATTCGTCAATGGTGATCCAAGCAATGATAATAGGTATGCTCGTCTCCTTTCTACAACAAGGACGACTGAAGCTAACAATTACTTAGCAACGGCACTGCATGGGAGCACGATATCTACGGGACTCAACTTCGTCACGGTGGTGACACTGACGGCGTGCGGGATACCCTCGACTACCTCCAAGGCATGGGTATTAAAGGTATCTACCTCGCCGGAAGTATCTTCTACAACTTCCCTTGGTCGTCAGATACATATAGTCCTCTGGTAATTTCATAGTCAACCTGCAGTACAATCACTCTGGACCGGTACTAACAACTGTATAGGACCACACATACATCGACCAACATTTCGGAACCATTGCCCAATGGAGGGAGTTGATCAACGACATTCATGCACGCGGCATGTACGTTTTGCTCGACAACACCATGGCAACCATGAGCGACGTCATCGCCTTCGAAGGGTACTTCAACAGCAGTACGCCTTGGTCGTTCAAAGAGCATACTGCTGTCTGGAAATCCGATGAACATTACTCAGACTGGGAGTTCAACAACGTGTGGCATGATGAGTGTCCCTACGAGTATCCTCGCTTCTGGGACCAAGGTGGAGCCCTCATCCAGAACGAGAACATCAGCAAGATGGTTGGTTGTATGGACAGCGAGTTTGACCAGTATGGCGATGTTGGTGCTTTTGGGCAGTACCCTGAGTGGCAAAAGCAACTATCCAAGTTCAACGGTGTCCAAGATCGTCTTCGCGACTGGCGCCCTTCAGTCCAGACCAAGCTTCAACACTTCATGTGTATGATGCTCAAGGCTCTCGACTTCGATGGATTCCGTATCGACAAAGCTATGCAGGTCACTGTTGACGGACAAGGCAACTTTTCGCACGCTATGCGCGAGTGCGCGTCGAGTCTTGGAAAGTACAACTTCTTCATTCCAGGCGAAATTGTCAACGGCAATGCAAACGGCGCTATCTATCTCGGACGTGGCAAAGAGCCTGGCATGGCCGTCGAGAACATCACCGAAGCCGCAACTACGAACTCGACTTACATTCGTGAGGAAGGATACCAAGCTTTGGATGCCGGCGCTTTCCATTACACAATCTATCGTGGCTTGATGAGATTCCTTGGACTTGATGGTAACCTGCTTGCTGCAGGTGATGCGTCTGTCAACTTTGTCGATGCTTGGCATACAATGATTCAAACCAATGACTTTGTCAACGCGAATAACGGCAAATTCGACCCTCGCCATATGTACGGTGTGTCGAATCAGGACGTCTTGAGATGGCCTGGTCTCATCAATGGCACCGAGAGACAGGTCCTGGGATCATTTGTCAACACCCTCTTGGTTCCTGGTATCTCTATGGTCTCCTGGGGCGAAGAGCAACTTTTCTATGTTCTTGACAACACTGCTGCCAACTACGTCTACGGTAGACAAGCTATGAGCTCTGCTCAAGCATGGCAGATGCATGGCTGCTACAAGGTCGGTGACGAGAACTTGAGCCACTTCCCTGTCAACAGTTCGCTCGTAGGTTGCCAGGATGATGCAGTCTCTCTAGATCACCGTGATCCGACTCACCCCATGTACAACTACCTCAAGTCGGGACACGAGATGAGAAGAAGATATCCCGTGCTGAACGACGGGTTCGACGTCCGCCAGCTATCCAACCAGACTTTTGAATACACTCTGAATGGGTCTTTCGGAGTACCCACCGAGACTGGTATCTGGAGTGTCTATCGCGGAGAATTGGAAGGCGCACAGGATCTCTCGGACGCTGGAACTTATGGCAACCAGCCCGTCTGGCTAGTCTACAGCAACTACAACGGTTCTAGAAACTACACCTTTGACTGCAGCAGTACCAACGGACAAGCAATCATCTCTCCCTATGATGCAGGCACCACTGTCAAGAACTTGTACTATCCTTTTGATGAGAGAACTCTTGAGCCCTCTCAACAGAAGCTTCACTTCAACGGATCAACAGAGTACAACGGTTGTCTGCCATGGCTCAACATGACCATGTATGGTTACGCAGCGTTCGTCCCTAAGGACATCTGGGAAGCTCCGTCTCCTTCGCTGACCAAGATGATTCTTAATGACACTTTCATCGGCCACGATTCGCGTATCCTAGTGAGCAACGAAGACAAGGAGACTTTGAGCCTGGAACTTCGTTTCTCAGCGGAGATGGATTGCGACTCTGTCCGTCAGTCAATCAACATTACATCCACCACTGGCGATGGGTCGGTAGCAGTCATTGATACCGACAGTGTTGATTGTCTTACTACCGATCTCCTGGATGAACCTCTCTTCTACGGCGCTGTGCCGTCGTTCTGGAGGTTTCGTACGAACATCACAAATGTTGCCAATGGTATCCACACAATCACAGTCAACAATGCCACTTCCGCCAGTAAGAATGCCTTCACTGGATCCAAGGACCACTTGATGTTCCGTGTTGGTCAGATCGACAACCCCATGGTCTTCCCCTTCAAGGCGAACTACAGCTCGACGCTCCTCTTCAGCAGCAACGACTTGGCAAAGCGTGCATCTGAGACATCTGGTACTAAGGAGGATGCCTTCTATGTCCAGCACAAGGCTCCTGGTGCCGACAAGTGGAGATATACCCTGACTTGGGGCGCAGAGTGGTCTGATTGGATGGACTATCAGAGCGGCAACAGCACATTGACCAAGCAAAGCTGGGCAGGTACAAAGAGACAGAAGTGGACAGGCGACCATGTCAAGGTCCAGTACTGGTCTAAGGCCACAGGCAGTAGTGATCATCTTCAAGAAGGTGACGTCTATGGATCTTCAGAGCACATGCGTCGCTTCCCACACTTCTTCGTCCACGGCTCGTTCAACGAATATGGTTATGACTCTGGCCTGGACAACAAGATGAAGCTTGTTGGCAACAGCACCTGGGAGTACGACTTCATGACCGAATGGCCGTCTCAGTTCCAACTCAATGTATGGGGCATGACTGAAGATGGTGTTCCAGACGTCTCCGCCGCCTTTGGTGATATCGACAACGATACTGTGCTTGATCGCATTGGCCCAACATCGCTTGAGATGTCAGTCGTTAACATCACCGATCATGGACCTGAATCGCCTTTCCTTGCATGGCGCATCCACTTCAGTGATGCCTCGTTCCGTTACGTTCTCATTCCCGTTGGCAACCGCTGGAGACAGCTAGCTCTGTTCATCCTTCTGGCAATTGTTCCTCCTGTTACAGCCCTCGCTGGTATCTGGGCATACCGCAAGGCCTTCTACGGAGTGAAATTCAACCAGATTGGTCTGTCAGATCCCAAGTCTTTCATTCCTGTTGCTATCAGAAACAAGTTCAGCAAGAGAGAGGCCCTTGACGAGAAAGACATAGCTATGACGTCCAGCTCCGAGACCGTTGGCGATGTTGTTGTGGACAATGGTGGATTAGTCACAGCTGGAGCCATGGTCAAGCGCAGGACTGTTCTCATCGGTACCATGGAATACGATATCTCGGATTGGAACATCAAGATCAAGATTGGAGGTCTCGGTGTTATGGCCCAGCTCATGGGTAAGAACTTGCAGCATCAGGACCTCATCTGGGTAGTACCCTGCGTTGGTGGTATCGACTACCCTGTTGATACACCCGGCGAGCCGGTCGACGTTACCATCCTTGGCAAGGTCTATGAAGTTCAAGTCCAGTACCACAAGCTTGAGAACATCACCTACATGCTCCTTGATGCGCCCGTCTTCAGAAAGCAGTCAGCAAAAGAACCCTACCCTGCGCGTATGGACGATCTCGACTCTGCCATCTACTACTCGGCCTGGAACCAATGTATTGCCGAGGCTTGTCGCCGCTTCCCCATTGATCTCTACCATATCAACGACTACCACGGAACCATTGCTCCTCTGTACCTCCTTCCTCAGACAATCCCCGTCTGCTTATCGCTTCACAACGCCGAGTTCCAAGGTCTTTGGCCAATGAGAAACGCAAAGGAGAGAGCCGAGGTATGCTCGGTCTACAACCTCTCAGAATCTGTCGTTGCCAAATATGTTCAATTCGGCGAGATCTTCAATCTGTTGCATGCTGGCGCTAGTCTTCTTCGTATCAACCAAAAGGGTTTCGGTGCTGTCGGTGTTAGTAAGAAGTACGGCAAGCGCTCTTGGGCACGCTATCCTATCTTCTGGGGTCTCGGTAGCATCGGTGCTTTGCCTAATCCTGATCCTTCAGATGTTGCTGCATGGGACAAGAAGGTGGCGAACCCCAAAGACGCTGTTATCGACGAGGTTTACGAATCTACCAGAGCCGGTCTTAGACGTCAAGCCCAGGAGTGGGCCGGACTCGAGATCAAGCCTGAAGCAGACCTATTCGTCTTCGTCGGTCGTTGGAGTATGCAAAAGGGCATTGATCTGATTGCTGATGTCTTCCCGGCTATCCTCGAGAAGAACCCCAACGTCCAGCTGCTCTGTGTTGGCCCGTGTATCGATCTGTATGGCAAATTCGCCGCTCTGAAGCTCGAGGTCATGATGAAGAAGTACCCAGGACGTGTCTACTCCAAGCCTGAATTCACCGCTCTTCCGCCCTTCATCTTCTCAGGAGCCGAGTTCGCCCTTATTCCTAGCAGAGATGAGCCTTTCGGTTTGGTCGCTGTAGAGTTTGGTCGTAAGGGTGCTCTCGGTGTTGGTTCTCGTGTCGGAGGTCTTGGACAAATGCCCGGATGGTGGTACACCATCGAGTCTCAGACTACTAAGCATCAGATGCACCAGTTCAAGATGGCTATCGATGGAGCTCTGAAGTCAAACTACGAGACGCGTGCCATCATGAGAGCGAGATCCGCCACTCAGCGATTCCCTGTCGCACAGTGGAAAGAGGACCTCGAGATCTTGCAAACAAAGTCTATCAAGATCCACAACAAGCGTGTTGAGAAGAAGCAGCGCAATGGCGGCATGTCTGTCGCCGCAACTCCTTTCGGTAGTGGCTACAACACCCCTAACATGCCTGGCTGGATGACTCCCAGCGGATGGACCACCCCTGGCGCTGGTACACCATGGGGCAGAGGCACACCCAACCCGTCTAGACCGTCCTCTCCCACTCGCCCTGGAAACACGGCAGAGTCTTCGCCAACGACATCTCGCAACAATTCGCTGTCTCTTGGCACCCGCGCAGGTCCAGGCCACGTTCAGACCAGATCTCGCAGCTTCTCCGGCTCTCGTCCTACACTTTCTCGCAGAAACTCGGCTGAAGTTGGTCAGAGCAGGAACCGCCTTTCCAGAATCGAGGACGAGGAAGTAGGAATCTCGAGCGAAGATGCACAGCAGGCTAAGGAGCAAGCACAAGCAGAGGCTCGCTTCGGCTTCCCCTTCCTGAGCCATGATCCATTCGGTGCAAACAGTTCTCAAGTATTCTCACCTGTTGGAACCCCTGGATTCGCTAGCCCTTCGGCTTCGTCAGCTTTCTTGCCTTTCCCTCCTTCATTGGGTCGCTCAGCAAATGCAGAGTCTACTCTGACTGTGGACAAGGTTATTGAGCAAAAGGAAGACAAGACACCTCAAGATTTGCTTCCATTCTTCACCGACACTACGGGCTTGTACTATCGCACCTTTGAGCGCAAACTTGATGATCTCACTGGTAAGAACTCAGAGAATGCCTTGTGCATCGAGGATTATCTGGAGAAGTCCGAGAAGCAGTGGTTCAACCGTATGCACGACGTGAAGATGGCCAAGGAGACTCCTGCGGCTACTCGTGCCAACTCTCCTACCGGCGTCGCTTTCGCAAGCAACAATATGGACCCCGAGAAGGAAAATGCCGATCAGTTCCTGCTTCCTCAGGACTACCAGGCTCCCACTGGTGTCCGTCGCTTGATGATGTACAAGATCGGCGACTGGCCCATCTACTCCTTCTTCCTTGCTCTTGGTCAGATCATCGCTGCAAACAGTTACCAGATCACTCTGCTTACTGGAGAAATTGGTGAAACTGCAAGCAAGCTGTACGTTGTTGCTTGTATCTATCTCGCCGCTTCGTTGGTGTGGTGGTTTGCATTCCGTCGTTTCGCTTTGATCTACACCTTGACACTCCCCTGGTTCTTCTATGGTCTTGCTTTCTTCCTACTGGGCATGGCTCCTTATGCAGCTACCACCTCTGGCCGTGGCTGGGTTCAAAACGTCGCTACTGGATTCTATTCTCTCGCCAGTGCTGCTGGATCATTCTTCTTCGCGCAAAACTTTGGTAGCACTGGTTCCGCACCTGTCAAGACATGGGGCTTCCGTGCTTGTATGATCCAAGGAACCCAGCAGCTATACATCGTTGGTCTATGGTACTGGGGTGATAAGCTTTCTTCACTCAGCAACAGCGGTAAGGGTGCATCCACTTTGGTCACCTACGGTACTACCATGACAGCTATTGGTGTCCCGATTGCTCTATTCCTCTGGGCTATTGGTGTTCTCCTCTGGCTTGGCTTGCCTGCATTCTACCGTCAAGCGCCTGGTGCTGTGCCTTCCTTCTACACAGCCGTCATGAGACGCAAGATTATCGTCTGGTTCTTCATCGCTGTGTTCGTGCAGAACTACTTCCTCGCTTCCATCTACGGTCGCAACTGGAAGTATCTTTGGAGCTCCCAGCACGCACCCGGTTGGGCCATTTTCCTGTTGATCCTATTCTTCTTCGTTATCGTCTGGGCTTTGCTGCTGTGGTGGTTCTCGCAATTGAGTACTACGCACTCTTGGTTCATTCCCATCTTCGCAATCGGTCTTGGCGCGCCTAGATGGTGCCAGATCTTGTGGAGTTGCAGCAACATTGGCATGTACTTGCCTTGGGCTGGCAGTCCTGTGGCCTCGGCGCTGCTGGGTCGCGGTCTGTGGTTGTGGCTTGGTGTACTTGATTCAGTCCAGGGAATTGGCTTTGGTATGATCTTGTTGCAGACGCTGACGCGCTTCCACATTACCTTCACTTTGGTCGCCGCTCAAGTCATTGGTTCTGTGGCTACCATCTTGTCGCGAGCTACTGCTCCTGACGCCACCGGTCCTGGCGATGTCTTCCCTGACTTCTCGGTCAATTGGAAGGATGGACTTGCCAGTGCAGACTTCTGGGTGTGTCTACTCTTCCAACTCGGTCTTTGTATTGGCTTCTTTGCTTTCTTCCGCAAGGAGCAACTTTCCAAGCCTTGATTTCCGCTTTTCATTTCTTTTCATCCTTGTTGTACAACTTTACTTTCTCAATTGGTGGAGCAAGATTTTCTGTTTCTGGAGTGTATTCTTGTAATATTGCTCTTCCTTCTTTGACCACATACCATAGATTCTTTATCGTTTTGTGTTTTTTTTTTCTTATTCTCTTTTGCTTCTGTCCTGGCTTGTCAAAAGCGGCATGCGAAACATCATCACTATTACTATACCCTATAGATAGCATTCCTTTGAACATTTTCTAACATTCATATCCTCATGTTTGATCTGATTTCGTGTGCAAGGTTGTTTTTTTTCGTCTTGTGCTGATAGTGTGTATTGACTTGCGATCCCAAGGCAAAAGATTGTCGGTCTCCGAAGACATTTGAAGATGAAATGCTTCACAGTGACTATCGCAAGACGGAACGCTCTCGAGATGATTAGACTCCTCTTCAGAAGTTGTCTGTTCAGCAGTCCTCATACGATAGGTTGAATACCTCTGATTCTCTCAGTGTATCCATATAGTACTGTTCTAAGACTTGGTATACAGCGGAAGATCACCGCTCGAGACAGGCGTATCGAAGCAATTGCAACCACATAGTTTATCATGCCTCTCCATCCACCGCCTGACCTTCCAAGCCATGAAGCGATCCAAGAACCTATAGAACCAACGGCCGCCTTTGTCGCATCTCACTCCACGCCGCAGATCTTGAAAGGTACATTCGCAGTATTCTAGATCAAGACCTCGATGCGTTCGAGCACCCCACGCAATCCCACCGCACAGGTTTGCGATACTCTGTTTGTCAATTGTAGAGTTGCGAGGCAGTAGGCCGCAGGTAAAGGTACAGTCTGGTTCTCCGCCTTCTTCTCCGTACTCGCTGATGCCGCAATGGAGGAGGATTATGTCGTTGAACGAGCGGGAGAGTTTGGTGGGATCGTTTCTGATGGTCTTGCACCAGAAGCCGGTGGTGCTTTGAGCAGTGTCTTTGGTGTAGAGCCATCCGTCTTTTCCAACGACAAGAGGGTTCCAGTCGTTGCAGATTTGCTCGTAAGGGGGTGGAGGACGATCAACTTCGGAGGGATCGAAAGCCATTCGCGACATGATAAACTACTCCTTGGCCAATTGTGGAACGGGGAGTTGAAAATAGGAGAGAGAGCTGGTGTGGTAGGCTGTCCGACGTATGTAATGCAGCGCAAGAGTCATGTTCTGGCTAATTGCCTCAAACAAACGTATAAAGTCTCGCGCCATGCTTGAGACTTTGTCTCTCCGTGGTGCACGTGAAGTCTAGACGGCTATGATAATGCACAAACAGATTCGCATCCATGCTGGGTCCATTGAGAGTGGTTACCTCGTCGGCTCTCAATGGTAGATGCACCAAAATCGATAGCATTTATGCATTGCGATACTGGCGGAAGCTGACCCGCTGGGAAAATCAGCACAGATCACCACGATAACTTGTTTTCCGTAGTGTGAAGATGTCAAAAGAGTGAATTAACAATAAGAGATAGTCTTATTCTGCTGACACCAGGAGCCGTCGCGAATGGATTTCTTCACCCTCTGCCACCGACCCTTGCCTTCCTCCACCTTGCCAACCTCCTCTACCTTCTCCTTCTTCTTCTTCTCGCCCCTCACGGGCCCATAGATCGACCAAAGGACTGCAAACACCCACCCAACCACCAAGAGCACCACACCCATCATCCAACCATACCAAATCGGAGCTTGACCGGCCTGGACCTCCTCCCTCACCACTTTTCTGATCATGGCTTCGACATCGGGCTAAGACATCGTAGGTTCGGGAGGAGGCTGGGTTATCGCCGGCACGGTCGAGCTGGCGGCAATGGTGCTGGTTGGAGAGTAGGTGACGGTGGTGGTGATTGTTTCGGTGGGGTTGCAGTGCTTGGCGATCCATGAGCCCGTGGTAATTTGGGTGAGGGCGAGAGAGAGAAGAAGAAGAAAGAGAGGAAGATTGGTTCTGGTGGAAGAAGGCATGGCCTGATCGATGAATTAGCATTGAACAAAGAATTGTCTCGATGTGTGGCAACGCTTACGGCGGAGCTGGTGGCAGAGGGTGAGGGCCGGCTAATGATGCTGGATGGAAGAATGTTGAACTGTAGCATCTCAATCAGCGATGATTCTTGAGGCATACCTGATGCAACTCACAATGTTGATCGATAGGAATAATCTAACGATGGGAACAGCGGTTTTCTCGATCTATGGCATCTCGGTCAGTGACATTACCCCTGAGTGGCCCTGATGCAACTCACAGTAATATTGATAATGATAGCTATCAAGTTGCTGTAGGTTGATGATGGAAGAGGAGAGGAGAGCGAGGTCCACGCGAAGCCGGTTTTGAGGCCCAGTCAGGGGTCTACCACAGGCAGCCGCGACTTGCGGCAGGAGGCTTCCGCGAACTATGACGGCAAGCTTCAAGCTCCCGACGAGCAAGCTGACCAGTTCGATGCTTGTGAAAATGCACAATGATTTGCAAATACTTCTCACGCCCGTTGAAATGGTGCTATTTGCTCTCCCTCTTTGGACATACCCTTTCCAGGTGATCACACTCTGCATTTTTATAGCGACATGCTCGGCTGAGCAGAGAGATGGGAGAGTGAATTTTGCTTCGTAGCCTTGGTTCACAGAACCTCCAGGGCTACTGACTACATCATATCTCCCAGCCCCTGAATGACGAACAACTGAGTTATAACAATGCACAATGTTTTCTTCTTCTCCATGCACGTCCAGAGAGAGCGAGAGCTGGTCTCACTGAAACGGCATGCCAAAATCGGGCAAGTTCATGTTCAAGAAGTCGCCAAACACAGCATCCATATCCATCAACTCGTCATAAGCGATATCAAAGCCGCTCAGCCCACCATCGGGCTGTGGCTGATGACCACCCAGCGAGGCAGAAGCACTGTGCTGCTGCATACCAGCTTGATCGATCTGATGATGTGGTGGTCCCGCAGGCCGCCACTCTGCAGGTCCAGCATGCGCTCGTGATGTACGATGCACCTCTGGCGACACTGTCACGGCAGCCACATGTGCCGTTTGCTCCAGTGCTTTGCGTCCCAGCATTGCCATGTTTTTCGCTGGCTGTGACCATTCGCTCAGTTGCTCGAGAGCTTGTACACAGCTGTCTATGTGCTCACGAGCAGCTGTGCGTTTAATCTGGCTGCGGGCGGAACGGAGTTGGTTGTAGAAGGTGGACACGGCGAGTGCAATGCCGTAAGGTATGAGGGGTAGCGGTACCAGGCTTCTGGGGGAGACATGACGGAGTATGGTGACGATTTGCAAGGCTGAGAGTTCCTGCCGTAGGCTTGAAGGTGTTGGAAGCAATGGTCGGGAAGTAGCGCGAGCGCGGTGGGATATGATTGCCACGCCGTGGTAGTAAATCTCCAAGGATGCTAGGCGAAGTCGTTAGTTTTGATTGTTTTGACGATGAAGGCTGTGCTGCTTACTTAGAACATTCGGATCAAGATCCCAAGCACCACATCGATCTATGATATTTTCAAAGCTCTCATAATCCTCCTCAATACCCATGATGTCTAGGGCAGCTGTAGGTTGGTAGAGGCCGATGATTCGAGTGAGTAACTGCGAGATGGCAAGCAATATCCTTGTTCCTGGTGCGGAGACTTCGTATGCTTCTTCTAATTTGAGCCCAATATCAAGATCCAAGATCTGACGCGGTCTTCCGTTCAAAGCTGCGTTGAAGTTGGAGAGGACCCACAGAGCCCAGAACAGTCGTGTCTGGCTGCTACCGTGTCCGCTGGAGCGACCTAGATGTAGTCCGATGGTCTGGCCATGATGTATCGCTTGCGATAGGTGCATAGACGCGTCTACCGTTCCTTCTGGACCCTCAGAATACAGTGACAGCAAGGCCAAGATCTGTATCAGGTTGATCTTGTTTCGCTCGCGTTCCATTTGAATCCCCCAGCGCAGAGAAGCGTATACTCTGGATGCGAATAGTCGCGGTGTGAGCGGTTCGGAGCTCTCCAAGAAACGTAAGTAGCGTCTTGCCTTGTTGTCTCGAGAAGCTACCAAGCACATCGCACTCATGACAAGCGGAGATTTCCTCTCGGTTTTCCGGAAAGTGGCTTCGTCCACTATTGGTAGTAGTGGATTCAGTCTCCCGAAGTAGATGTCGATGAGCGAATCCCGGTCTTGCGTGTTCATCATAGCTGAAGGTGGAGCTCTCTCTTCGCCACCGATCAGACCATTTGTCTCTGGAGAGTTGACATCCGCAGACTCTCTCTTGCGATGGTCATGATCGTGTCGGACATCATAGGTATGGCGTCTAGGTTCACCAACCCAAATTCCAACATCGTGTCTATCACGGTTTCCACTGCCGGGATCGTGTTCCGCTACCAGACTGGCTTCTGGATTCAGATCACCGATGAACCTCGAATTGGATGGATGGTCAAAAGGCCGTGCGTGATGTTGTCGCTCGTCACTGGAGTTTGTCGACTTTTCCAGCCCAGCAGATGGCGTATCAAGATTTTGTATTCGACCCGGCGTCGTAGAGGTAGGACGCGGATCATTGTGATGGTTCTCTGATTCTAGGCCGTGGGTGCATCGTTTCTATCATTGCTCAACTATTTCAATCACCGCGCGTGGAATATTCGAAAGGTTGATTTTTTTTACCTTTCGCTTTTTGCAGGTTTCGCATGCGCCTTGAGGAGCTTTTCTTTTACGGCTGTTTGGGTCGCCATTGATGACGAATGTATAGTCCATGGTTGGTTGCTGCTTGTGAGAGGAGTGGTTGACCGAGTCGGACGCGTACATGTGAGCTCTAAGGCCCGAGCTTTGAGCCGTTGCAAACCATCGGCCTCCAACCGTGACCCTGTCCGTTTATCACACTCCGAGTTCGACAGCAACATTTGCAGAGCTCATTCTGAACGTGATTGGGCAATAGCCGCTCATGCACGCGTATCAGCTTCGGAAAGATATAGTTACATGCGATCGAGTCAGACGAGTGATCGTCAAGGACAATGTTTCGTCAATAAGTATCCTTGTGTTATGGACAAGAAACTTGAGGTTGTGAAGCACGCCTGGATGTCCTTACTCACTCACGAAAAGGACGAGACTGCTCTCTTCTCGGTGGATTCCTTACTGACGCAGTGTCAAAAGTCGCCAGCATTGATAACTTCCAGGACATGTACTCAAGTAGAACGGTGATTAGAGGCTCAAATAAACAGCAGATCATGTCGTCAGATCCAAGCTTGCGCGACAGTTGAGGAATGTAACGCCCTCAGCGTCTTCATTCTGTGCTGCCTCTGCACTTTGAGATATCCCGCTTGCTCAGGCTTCAGATTCGAAAATTCAGCATCTCGTTCTGTTCATTCGAGGGCGGTTTAGAGCAAAGAAAAGACCCTGGTGTGCCACACCTGAATACGGCAGCATGAACTCCCGGTTGGCCCGTCCACCAGCCGCCAGATACAAAACAACAAATGACAGCTCTAGCCGCGTCCTCAAACATATAGGCCAGTCGAATAGATTGGATATGACGTGAAACGTGCAAAAACCAGGAAAGTAGGTGGACGTTGTTGTTGCGAAGGCAGAGACAAATGACTACTTATGTCGCGACTGTTATGGCCCAGTGTATCATGCGCAGTCTGTCGTGGCTAGCTCCTTGTAAGCATCATCCAACCCTCCTTCCCCTGCAGCACTGTTTTGTGCAGATCCACTCCGCCAACGCAGCAAAAACGAAAGAACGTCGCCGTTGAAATTGTTCCCTTTCTGTTTCTTTTAGCAAGTTACTATAGCTACTGGACATTGCTACACCATACACCCATGGACTCGGGTCCGCCCAACATCGACAAGCCCGCATCCGAAACTCCAAAGACGCCAGAGATGCGCAACGACAGTTTCGAAGTCAACATGCCGTCCGGCGATGTAGACTTGACTGGCAGAAAGACACGAGGCAGTATCGCCAGCGACAGCTCAGAAGACCCACTGGACTCCCTGGTCGGCAGCCCAACATTGCCGTTTCTTGCCTACGGTCGCAGGCGTAGCTCTTTCATTAGCCCCTTCCAGATCAACAAAGCTCGCTATCTCTTGAGCTTTGCTGATGCAGAAACTGCCCAGGAGTGGTGGACGTTGATGCAATCAGAGTATCCCGATACTCTGCGCGAAAGTCCCAATCTCTTCTCGTTCAAGAGCGACCGTACTCCCATCAAGGCGTGGGGGAACCCAAAGTTTGCGCATCTGAGTGACAAGTGGTCGTACCGCCAAACCGACGGGAAGGACGACAAAGTCACACACCAGCAACCGATCGCATCGCATAGACGCATCTCATCAGCTCGCACGCCTCTGATGCCCACAGTGAGCGAGGGTCATGTGTTTGGAGCACTAGAAAGACTCGATAGACTCGAGGATCCTTTTACGCCAGCTGGCGCAAACAACACGGAGTTTGCCCAGCTGAATCTGGCTTCCGATCACATTCAAAAATCCGTCAGCCAGTCAACCTTGCAGCTAGACGCATTACTCGAAGGCCAACAAGCCAGTGCCCGAGGCTTCCAAAAGCTGTCCACAACGATAGAGCGCATGACCCAGCAGATGGAAGCGCTAGCCCGCAGACAACAGGACCACGAGATAGTGCTTCGCGAACTCACAGCAGCCGCGACAGCCAACAATGCCGCCAGCGATGTCCAATACCGACATCAACAAGCTGCTGCCCTCCAATCCCTGCAATCCGTCATTGAAGAAACCTGTTCGCGTGTCCAGGAACTCTATCTCAAACCCCCTCCCACCCCAGGTCCAAACCACGAGATTCTGCATGAATTGCAAGAAGAAGTTTCACAGACTTCTACTTTGCTCAGGGACCTCTACAACCGTCCATTGCCAGAAAGCGACGGTGCCGCCCAAACAGAAAGCATCCAGAAACTCCAAAGACAGCTTTTGCAAAACACAAAAGCCATTCGCGCATTGTCAGACCGCCCAGAACCGATTCCCAACACCGAGACATTGCAAAAACTGCAGAAGGAAGCATCCCAGACCACGGCCATTCTACGCGGAATCACAGACCGCTTGGCCGCAGCAGCGAACACACCACCAGCGCCAGTATCAGCACCAAACACCGAGCTCCTCCAGCAACTCCAAAAAGACATGACCACCAGCACAACCCTCCTCCAAGCCCTCTCGAGCGAGCAAAGGACAACAAAGAAACATCTCTCAACCCTCCACTCCACCCTCGACACCACCACCCTCACCCAAAAAGCCCTGGCTACACAACTGAAACAAACCCACACCCTAGCACAAAACACCCAAACCTCCCTCTTCCACCTAACCTCTGCCCAAGAAACCAGATTCGCAGCTCTAGAAGCCAAGATGGACAGACAAACACAGCAAATGAAGAAGACCATGACAGTACAGTTTGAGAAACAGCAAGAGGCTTTCAAAGGACAGCTGGATGAGATTCTAGGGGCGGTAAATGGAAGGAATGTGGTCAGGAGTGCCGAGTGCGGGCATGGGGAGGTTTTGCCGCCGCCAAAGAAGATTGGGAGGAAGATTGTTGGTTATGTGTATGAGAAGGAGTGAGCTCTGGTAATTGTGTCTGACGATTTACGATGTTTTCGTAGTTTACCTAATCTATGTCTGTTCTACAGAATGTTCCATGTCAAGTGTCGTGAGAATTGGAGATAGAGGGAAGGATCAGGAAAGTGGTTATATCGTCTCTTGGTTCGTCTTTATTGTTTGGCTTCCAGTATGCTTTGATACAACAACAGACTCGAGCATTGTCTACCCGTGGTCGTGTGACATTAGAACTCCTTGATCTCCATGCGCTAATCGACCCAGTGTTCATGCAGTGTCCATCTTGTCATCATCGCCGTCCTTCTTCTTGTCGTCTTTTGACTCTCCGCTGCCACTAGGGTTACCGCTCTGATCGAGCAGAGGCTGGCTTTCGGAAGTCTCTGGTACGCTCTCCAGCTGTGTTTTGCCATCAGCGCCTTCTGCAGTGGTGTTCGCGCGTGCCTGACGAGCGGTCTCTTCCTCCATACTCATGCGCAGAGCCAGAGCCAGTTCCGGGTCCATTGAAGGGTCGACACCAAATTCGAAGTCACCGCCACCAGATGCCGGTGCACCGCCCTCAGCACCAGCTGAGCCACCACCCATGCCGCCGGTCTCGCCTGCCAGAATTGGTGATGCGACAATGGTGTCGGAGAGAAGGTTGGGGCCGGGTTGGACGATCTCGAGGTATGAACCATCGCCACCCTTGACGGCGTCGTTGAAGGCCTGGAGCTTTGAGACAACATGGTCGTTGAGGTCACCAAATGCAACAATATCGACGCTGACGTTGTTCTTCTTCATGCGCTTGGCCAGCTTGACGAGAGATGATTGGGATTCTTGGGCGGAGTTTAGCGGCGAGCAGGTCAGGACAATGATGCGTTGGCGTTGACTCTTGTTTTGACGGTGCTTGAGAGCGAGCTGGGAGTGATTAGCTGCATGTTGTGGGCTGTGGGATTGATACGACGTACAGAGGCGATCATGATGGCGGTGTGCAGGTGGCTCTCACCACGGATCTTTGTGCGATGCAGACCATCAAGGATCTTGGCGGGGTTTGTGGTGAGGGTAGTAAGGACTTCGGGACCGCTGGCACCCATGGTCATGAGGCCGACTGAGGATTCGGGGTTGGCTTGTGTCTTGTATTGGAAGATCAGGTTGGCGGCGTCTGCTTGGGCATCCCATCTCGAAGGTACGTAGTCGCCGTTTCTGCTGCTCTCGCTGTTGTCGACACTGGGGATACGGTCAGGACAGAGAAGTGATGAGGTGCATGACAAGCTAGACGTACACAATCATAGTTGCCTCCAAGCCCATAATGGCGGTTGTGAAGGTGGATGCGGAGGGGTGAGGAAGATGCTTCTTCGCAGAGGAGTCTAGATGTGACAGAGAAGCGGATGTGGTCGAGATGGAGTTGTCTGGAGTGAGCAGGGTTGGATGTGATGGACTGGTAGACGGTGCTTGATGGTCTCGAAGCTGCTTGCTCTCAATGACGCCGCACGCACGCCAAGCAAGAGCATCCGAAGCCGACTTTGGTGTTTGTTGATGTTCGCGACTGCCTTTCTTGACCACGACCATTTGTTCTCTGCCATACACCACCATCGCAATCAATTTGACCATCGCCCCAGACCTACGCGCACATCTATACAAGCATTTCATATCTGCCGTTCCAAGTCAGCATGACGAGTCTGGTCGCGACACCGGACGCGACAATGGCCTCTGAACGAGTTGCCCACATCACCGACGCCCAGAAACAAGCTCTGATGGACAATTTACAGCTCGAGAGTTTGTCGCCTGCATCTGATATATCACAATGGCCATCCTAATACCTCTCCAGTCGCCGACCGAGCCCGCAAATTACGCGCCCAGTATGCCCTCCAAGCCCAGGGCCTGCGCACTCGTCTGGAAATGCGCATCAACCGTATCCCTCGCAACCTCCGTAAAGCCCACATGGGCGATTTATTGGAAAAACACCTCGAAGCTCAGAAGAAGACTCAGCAGCGTCTACCCAGCCCTGCAAAGACGAAAGTCTTGAAGCGCAAGAGGTTCGCTATACGATATTCTGCTGCTACTTTCTCAAATGCTGACTGCCATGTAGTGAGGAGCCTACCATGGCCGACAAGGAAAACACTCAACCCGCTTCGGTAGCTCTTGCAAACCCAAAGAAGCGCAGCAAACCCAGCCCTGGCCCCACTGGCATTCCTACCTCTCCCAATTTGGGTCGTTACCAAAGACCTCAGCCTCTCAACACCGCCGTTCTCTCTCCCAAGTCTCCAAACACCCGTACAATCACACGCTCTCCCGTAAAGTCTCCCGCGACAAAGTCACCACCACCACTTCCCAGACCTCGCGGTGCAGCGGCTCTTCAGCCAGCCCAGCAAACCAAGAAAGGCACGCTTAAAAGACCTGCCACCGCTCCCACCACAACCGCACTGGACTCTGTAGCATCTACCGCACAATCAAACACTTCTACGCGTCGTGCTCTCCGCGCCAGCAATGCCTCGGCAGAAAGCACCAGCAGCGAAAAGACCACCATCGTCAACAAGTCTCCCGCCAAACCCAACCCTCCCAGCCGCCCACATACTGCTATGGCTCTAGCATCGCCTAAGAAGTTGCCCGTGCCTACCTCGCCCGTCAAATACAACTCGATCAGGGAGAAGCCATTGCCAGTACCCGCTGCAGCACCAACTCCCGTCGCAGGCACGATTAAAAAAGGTACCTTTAAGAGCGCAATGGCCTCGCTCACGGGAAGCAAGAGAGGGAAGAAGACAACCGCTGCCGCTGCGCTTGCTCCCAGCAGTACACCACCGCCAGCTGGTAGAGTGCTGAGAAAGCGTGCACCCTGAGACTTGACTGGTGCTCGAACGGATTGATTATGATTAATGACTTTTTGTTTCTCTCATCCCTGCTCGAGATCGGACAGGCAGGGCTTTTTGGATTATTTGTTTGAATGGGGCTTTCTATGATACTGCATCGAATACCAAGTTTACCGGTATGGACGTATTCTACAGGGGTCCATACTCACCTTTGATGTACGAGCATTCCTTGCCTGTGTTTCTGTAAACCCTTGCACAATCGACATGGTCTACTTGTAAGCAGACCCACACATGAGTTTAGCAGACGATGGCACGAGCATGATAGTCACACAGAGAAAGGGACAATCATGAAGTGGTAAACATTATAGTATTGGGCAAAGAGCGACAGCAACAAGTTCCATCACATACCCGCCCACTCAACACAGAAAGCCCTAACATCTTCCTCACCATCCACATGCTCTTTGTCCTCGGTACCTCCAATCAAAAACCCCTTCTTGACACCCGTGCCCAAACGACCACCTCCCACCAACGTCAACAGATCAAACTCTTGATCCCAATCCATGCCGTCGCACAAAAAGTGACTGTGGAAGCGCAGGGGGTCGCCAGGGTATGCTGTGTACCTGCAGCCGAACCTGATGCCTGGGGCCATGAAGTAGCCTTTGGAGTGGAGGTGTTTGAACAGAGGGTATGAGACGGGAACGGAGGGTAGAGGGAGGGTTGAAGAGGGAGCAGAGGAAGTGAGAGGAGGCGAAGAGGTTGTGGGTGTGATCTTCATGGTTGAAGCCGAAGATGAGGCGACAGATGCTTCTGAAGGAGCGATGGAAGGTGCACTAGGCGCCGGACTACCGAAGAGTGACTCTTGATCATCTTCGACGACTTTGTCGCCGGCGGCGGCAGCAGCCTCGGAGCGCTCTTTTTCAAGTTTAGCAGCGAGAGCGGCATTCTTTGCTGCCACTTTTTTCAGAGCTGCAATCTTTCTGTCATCGGCACTTTTGGTCTGCATCCTCGTTGCATCACTGCCTTGCTTTTTCAAACCACGCAGGAATTTTTCTTTTTCCTCTTTGCTCAGGCCGCCTGCGATGAAGGCTTGTCTGTGAGCAGCGGCGTCGTCGATGATGTACGCGACGCCCTTTTCCACCAACAGTCGTGCTTCCTCGGGCATGAGCTCTAGAGGAATACCACAAAAGACGTTTTGTTGAGGTGCTTGGGGCAGACCGCCGATCAAGACGCCGCTGATGTTGTGGACGCGGCGCGCATGGCTGACGGTGTTGATGTCGTAGAGCGTGTAGCGGCCGCCGACCAAAAAGATTGGGAAGGGCTCGGCTACTGATGGACTGGCCATGTTTGTAGTGAAGCTGGACTATAACCGAGACTTTCGTCAAGGCTTTGACAGACATGGTCAGCATGTGTTGCGAAACAAGTGCGAAGATGAATGAAGAGGAGGGGTTCGAGGAAGCATGTTCATAAAGAGCATAGCATTTTTCTGTCGTCAATGACCGTAGTCTCAGGGGATTGACAGATTGATTGAAAAGATGTTGTTTAATCATTGCAGAGAGAGTGTTTGGATGCGAAAGAGATGGAGCAGAAATAGACATACCTTTTGAATGTGTAGAGACTTTCACATGATGCGTGAAGAGTTGCAGAAGCTGCAGAGGGAAAGAGCTTGCAGCAAGATATACGCAGAGCCAAGGCGCTAACGAACCTCCGGGCAGCGGCAGCGCATCGGCAGAAATCGTCTTTCTCCTCCATCTTTTTTGTTTGCCAGGTAGAGAGAATTTATTTGTCTAATCGTTTTCATACAATACAATTCAAAGGAAACATGGCAGCCGACAGCAAGTCATTGACGACAAAGGTCGCCTCCGGCACCCCTTACCAACTGGACCCTTCCCAGGCCCTCCGTGCAGCCACTGCCCTGCTTAAGAAGATTGGCACCGACTCTGTTGCGCGCAAGGACAATGGCGGCAAGGCCAACCTTCTCGAGGACGCCGACGAAGACGAGGACAGCGACGAGACAGCCACCACCGTCTGGCTCAACGTCACCACCAAGAAGCACATTCTCGACCAGCGCAAGATGAAGCCCGGCAAGATCATCGTGCCCTTCCCCCTGCAGTCCGCCGCCTCGCCCTCCCTCCGCATCTGCCTGATCACCGCCGACCCCCAGCGCAAGTACAAGGACATCATCGCCAGCGATCGCTTCCCAGCCCAGCTTTCCTCGCGCATCCTCCGCGTCCTCGGCACCGAGAAGCTCAAGGCCAAATACAAGACTTACGAGTCCCGCCGCCAGCTGTTTGCCGAGTACGACATGTTCCTCGCCGACGACCGCATCATCACCCGCCTGCCCGCCCTCCTCGGCAAAGTCTTCTACGGCACCGGAGCCAAGCGCCCCATCCCCGTCTCTATCCAAGGCAAGCCCGAGAACGCCCGCGACCAAGCCGGCAACAAGCGCGCCAAACTCTCCGAAGGCGGCGACAAGCTCAAGCGCTCCGAAATCACCCCGGAGGCTCTCGCCCACGAGATCGAGCGCGCGGTCGGTGCCGCCCTCGTGCACCTCGCCCCCAGCACAAACGTCAGCATCAGAGTAGGCAAGAGCAGCATGAGCCCCGATCAAGTCGCCGCAAACCTCGCCGCCGTCATCTCCGTCCTCACCGAAAAGTACATCCCCCAGGGCTGGAGAAACATCCGCTCCCTGCACATCAAGGGCCCCAACACCGCCGCTCTGCCCATCTGGCTCGCAGACGAACTCTGGACCGACGAAAACGACGTGCTCGAATCCCTGCCCGCCCCGGTCGTCAAGGACAAGAAGAAGAGAAAGCGCGCTCTGCTCGACACTGCAGACACTTCTGCTGCAGAAAAGTCAAAGACCGAGGGCGCCAGTGACGAGACCAAGGCCAAAAAGTCAAAGACCGACAATGCTGAAAAGGCTGCCAGGAAAGCTGCTCTCAAGAAGCAAAAGGACGAGTCAAAGACTGCTATTGCAGCATAAACAAGACGTGACATCCACAGAAAAGTTGTTCTTTGTGATTGAGGGGGAGGGGAGTCTTCTTTATATCCTGGTTGTTGTTTGGCATTGCATGGCGCTTTGGGGGTGGTCTTTTCTTTTCTACTAGGGGTACATCTTACCGTCATTTTGGTTCGCAGAGGGTCATTGGCCCCCACCAAGAACTCAGTTATACATGTTCAATTTCACTCTGACTGAGTGGGACAAGAATGTCTTATACTGTATCAAAGCTTCAAAGAGGCGAAGAGCCTAATGAACGACGACTTTTAGAATCATCTTTCTCATCTTCTTGTATTGTGTCTTCTGCATACGTGCTGCACTCTGCCTCTGATTACCTGCAATTCCTGATGTCACCTTTTGTGCTAAACTTGATCCGATAGATGTGCTTCGTGGCATTTGCGTCCGTTAGGCAGGCATGGCACCAAAGGACGAGGTTTCACCGCCAGGCCCAGCGCCTGCGGCACCTGGTCCCGGACCGCCTCCGAAACCTGTCACAGCCATATCTTCCTGCTTCATCGTGCCGTTGAGCATCGGGCAAAGCCTTTAGTGTTGAGTGTCAGCAATTCTGTTTCGCAAAGTGTGAGTGCCCCGGCTTCATAGCATGAGAGCAAGGTATGAATGAAAACGCAAAAGAAAACTGTAAGCAAGTGCTGAATGGAAAAATGGTGGCGTTGAATCTCTCGTGTTGAAGTCGAGATTCGAATGGCTCAGATCTGAGCCGAGTCGGCAAAGAGCCAGTCGTTCGTCAGAGGGGTGGAAGCAGAGTCATTGCTATCGTGCTTTCTCTTCCTGCCCCTTGAACCGGTTACCTGGCCAGTCGTTTCGGACGAGGACTTTGTCTTTGCCGCTTCTTTCTTGCAGGAATCGGAGCAAAAGAAATCACTTGCTGACTTTTTGTTGGTCTTGATATGGCCCACTTGACCACAATTGGCACACTTTCGAGCTGTGCCTTCGGTGTTCTTCTTCGATCGGCCCTTGCCTTTGCCGGTAGGTGCTGAAGTCGCAGCGTCGGCACCATCAACACCGTCGCCTCCTGGAGATGCGGCAGCGGAAGGCGATGCGGCGCTGCCAATGCCCTTTGCACGTTCGCGAGCTTGTCTGCGGCCCATGTTGCGCTCGAGACGCTCGATCTCCGCCTGCATGCTGTGTGATTTGTCAGCGAACGTTGCATTAGGATGCACATAATACAATACAGTTGTTTTTGAAGCGCGTCGAAGTCCGAGTCGCCGGTCGCTTTGGTGTTCATGATGCTGCGAATACATGTTAGCATGCGTCCACCGAGTTTAGGCATATATAGTTTTGCTGCAAAGGGTGGTTTGGAGGAATTTAGGCAAACAAGATCCCTCGACACCACTTCCAGATCTGACAAATACGTACTCGATTGCTTGACTTCGTGCCAGCAGCTTGCGCTTCTTGTAGGCCGCGATGACTCTTGGGTTGGTGATGGTCTCGATTTGCTCTTCCGCGTTGCCGTACTTGTCACGCACAATTCTCTTGATCGTCATGAACTTGTTGTTCTGACTCATACTATTGCGACTGAACTGACTTGCGGATTCGTCATCTCGTCTGTTGTTTCCATAGACAGATGTTCCGATAGAGGATCGAGGTGTACCGGCTCTGAAGCTCTGTGCGGGCTCAGGCTCATCGTCGACATCAGCTTCGCCCTCCGAGTTCTCCATGTGCGACGAGAGACTCTCGTGCTGAGATTTCCATATGCGACGAATTGATTCATCGTAAGCTCTTTGTTGTTTAGCTACATTGTAGCTGTGACCTCCGTTCTCTTTGAGTCGTTTGGCATCAAGGCGTTCTTCAATACTCTCGCCTTGTGCTCTGAAACCGCCTTTCATGGAAGTCTTGATGAAGCTGAATGCTTCACCTCTACCAGACGGGTCGCCCTCACCATGCAACTGGAGCATTGCTTTGCCTTGGCAAGCATTGAGGAAGTTTTTGGTTGTGTTCCAGGGGGCAAGCTTGAGCTCAACATTGGTGCCTTCTTTGGTATCATCTTCCTCGTTCTCGTCGTCCTCTTTCTTGAGACCGAGATCCTTGAGATACTGAACGCCGACTTGCATCGAGTCAAGAACGCAGATATCCTCTGGCTTGATCCAACCACGAAGAGTTTCTGAGTCAGGAACAGAGTCACCTGCCTTGAGATGCCAGAGTTGGTTGTTCTTGTCGTATTGCATGAATTCACGCATTTTACCACGATTCTGACCGACATCACTGCCAGGCAGATGAGCCTTGACGACTTCATTAGTAAGAGGCTGCCCTCTAATAGCAGGGTCGACACTCTTCTTGAACACGCGGTAAGATATTGCGCGGAGACGACGTTTGGCCGCATCCGTAACCTTTCTTGAATGCTCGCCAGGGACTTCCACCGAGGGAAATTGCTGACCGACAGCATACAGATTCTCTATATTGCGCATGTAATACTTCTTTCCGTTCTTGTGTGTCTCATTGCAGATGACCAGGAAGTCGTTCGATTTTCCTTCATGACGGAAGACAGGTGCCCTGTAAAGACCGTTGTGTATGGTAGGTACCATTTCACCTGGGTCGACCTGACCAAAGTTTGCGAACGGACTGCGATCTTGTGGTAAGAGAACTTGTGTTTCGCCAATCTCTTCCTTTGGTCTAGAAGAGTCTTCGGCATCTTTTCTTCTGTAGTAGTTGATGAGACGATTACCCATACCAAAGTTGGAGAGCATGACAGGGTGTTCTTCGGAATATTCAAGAAGCAGCGCACTCGAGTTGTCGGCCATAGACAAGTCTTCGGATTTTGCGAAGAGAGTTGCAACATCCTTGCCGCGCATCTCCTTCCTTTTGAGTTTTTTAGGTTTGCTGAACGTAATAATCTTGTTGGGTCTCTCGCCTGAGAACAGAGGACGATGGAATGCGCGCTTCTGTTTGTCGTCCAAACTGACGCGGTAGAAGGGAAACTGCAGTTTGGTTGCGGGCAGACTGTGTTCAACAGCCATACTTCCGAGCGTACTGCGGACTTTGTGCTGGTGATTCTCCTTGAGGGCTTCATATGCTTCGTCATTGGATATATTGTACCTTTTGGTCATATCACGAGCCATAGCGGTCCTGGTTTCCCGGCGCATGTCGCCAGGAACATGACGCAATCTCTTAGGTTGAGTCGCAGGGGCATTCTCGTCTAGCAAAAGACCAGGATCGTTCATGTCGAGGGTGACGCGCTTGGCGATGTATGCAGTTGCACGCTCGGGCTCGTCAAGGGAAGGATATGTGTGTGATATGGCGACTGCAGCCTTGAGATCGAACCCAACGACCTTGAGCTTCTTTGCGGTCGGCTCCTCGAGATCAAAACCGGGAATCTTGCGCTTGGCTGCAGGAGGTGAAGTTGATTCTCGTCCCATATCGACACCGCTGTCCACAAGAGAACAGTGGCCAGGTGAGGATGCGGCGCTTGCCATGTCCCAGTCCTCGCAGAGCACTGTCAAGTCTTGCCATGAGACACCGCCAATTCGTTCGTTGGGATCGATCTCATCCAGATCAACGACGTCTTCGGTATTCTCTTGTTTGGTAGAAGTATCCTCGAGACGAATAACGCCCAGTTGTTCACCGGCTCCTTCTCTCGCATGTTTTCCCATGGTAGCAGCACCCAAGAGCCTGAAGCTCTTCTCTTGATCATGTTGAAGGTCAAGATTGAGCTTGGTTGGTTGTACGGGCTTTGGTGGCTTGACAGGGGTCTTCCAACCGTAGATGCCTCGCCTAGGAGGGAATAGTTCGGTGAACCGAGGACGCTCCTCTGGATCGTATGATGGCCAGATAGAGTAGAAGACTTCCATTTCATTTTCTGGGGCAGTTGGCGGTTCATAGGATCCTCCTCTTCTGCTTCGCTCAACTCTCTCTTGCTCCATGGCCGCGAAAAGGGCTTTCTGCCGGAGCCAGTCCTCATCTTCCTCGTCATCCTGTTCCTCGACCACCTCCGCATCTACCATTTGCTCATCTTCGATAAGATCGTCAGACATCTGAGGCAAGGCCAGGGATGTGTAAGCGCCCGGTAGAGCGATAGTTGACTTGGAGGGGAGAGTGAGACTGCCATGGCTGACAGACGGAAGCGGGTTGGCAAAGTCATTCTTCTGTGTCTGATCGAACGGTTGGGATTGATCGGGCTTGGTGTCTTGAATATCATCGCTGTCGTCTCCAAACAAGTCATCTTCGAAGCCGAAAAGGTCGTCTTGATTGTCGTCTTGTTCGACTGTGGCATCAAGGTGGGCGACAAGACCATCGGCGGGCAAGCTTTCGGTCTTTGGCTTGACGCTGGTCTCGTCTTCGGGCAGGTCGTCGTCGCTGATGTCCTCAAAGTCGATGGCGTCATCAGCCTTCTCTCCTACTTCCAGATCGCGATCGAAGTTCAAGTTGTTGTTGCTCGGATTCTCATCATTGAGGAGACGGGCGATTTCGGCATCGTCGGCCTGATCCTGGAGCTCGAATGCATCGATGGCGTGTGGCATGATGGGCGCGCTGAGTTTGTCCACAGATGGCGGGTTGAGTCGCCGAGCACTTTCCTAGAGAGCAGGACGATGCGCCATGGGTGTTGGGCGCAGGCTACCAAGTGACGAGTGGGATGTAGTCGGAAGGCGCGACGAGTGGAATAGCAATGGCGACTGAGTGGCGTACACCGTGGGTACCTAGATGACAGTCGCGAGATTTGCGTGAAGTGAGCGATGCCCTACTGGTGCTTGATGGTCGTCGTCGTCGTCGTCGTCGTGATGAGAGGGCTTCTTGTCGAGGTGACGAGTTGGTGCTTTCCTGCAACTGCCTTCGCGCGTCGGAATGCCAAGCTTTTGGAATGCCCGCTCGACACTTCCGAGACCGAAACCTGAGGCCCAAGTCGGCGGCTTCACAAGCAACAAAGCCCTAGAATTTACATCGTCACTTTGGGTCCCTCATCTCAGCCCTATGTGGTCCATCCTCTACAATACGATTCTTTGCACGCCTGACTATGCAGGCCAAGATGGTCATGGCTGCTTCTCCTGAACCGTGCCGCTGGCTCACGTCAAATACTGCTAACATGTCTCATCAGCAAAGCGTCCAGAGTCAGCTTTCTGACTGAGAGCACAAACATCTATTACATCTTCTGTGCCACACTGACATTGCAGCTGGAGCATTCCTTGGGGCAGATTCGGCGACGAGCCACGAGGCTTGCAAAGCAGCTGCACTCCGTGCCATCTTTCGTCTCATGTCTTCCCGTGCGTTCATGTACAATACGCATGTGCGGCAGCGTTGCATCTCCTCTTCGAATTCTATCTCCACTACAACGGTCTGTCGTATCTCGTTTGTCCGCCTGCACGATGCAGTAGTTGGATGCAAGATGAACGGATTTAATCTACATACCGCGTGATGATTTACAACCTGGCTTGACTTTAACCGCTTGAGGAGTACGGACCATACCAACCACTGTTCATATGCACATAGGCTTCTAACAGAGGAAACAAAAGGGCTGGGCCTTCGGCTCGCTCCTCCGCGGCCATGCTATCATCCTTGACGCATGTACTACTTGTGTACTCCTGTACTTCCATACAAGCAAAAGTAGGGCAAGCCTCGAGGCATGTAACTTGACGACCGCGAAAAAGTGCTTGCACCTACTCGTAATCACCTTGTACCAGGCTGAGACTCCGACACTCGAATTTTGAGACATGACAGGGATCGGCCGCTACGTTTTACTCAGTCCGTCAGCACCGCCCTCCCGACTAAAATCATTGTGTAATCGTGTTTTGGCAGCGACTCGCATCATAATCAAGGTCATGGACCGTTATTCAAGCACCGATGCCTTCCCTCACTGTGGCGCACTTTTATCCACCAATATCGAGGAATGTTGGCTAACTTTTGACGAGTCATCTTGTGCCCACTGGCTGATTACTGAACAGCATTTCGCATCGGTTTAACGTCAAAAAAGCCAAACTTATATCCGTTTACGAAGCTTCCAAGAAGCACTTGGAGTCTTAGACTCGCCTAGGTATTCGCGTCGTGTCAAGTGACGACTGCCGGCCCCAAGCGGCACCCGTATTTGCACTCGGTCGACGGTGACATTTCGTCGCATACGTTAACCATTCGATAGGGTTTGGCTATGGTGTGTGCGCTTGCGAGGGAACGCGACAGACCACCGTGACGCACAACGAGCAATCCACTCATGAGCGGAGCGCAGCGCGTATATGTGCTCGCCGCCAAATCAATACAACCGACCGACCCCCTTCTCGCATCACTCCGTTCTTGTCTCTACAGGTGCGAGTTGGATAGTTGCTGACTGACGTCCATATCTAACGGCTCTGCTGCCTAATATTGTTGACGGGGCCGCATTCTTCTTGTATTCGACGGTCGGGCCTCCGCGGCTCGCACAAAGCTATCACCAGCCTGCGCTATCGGCCAGCCTAGACCGACGTACGGCACAGATCTATATGGGAAAGTCTCACCAGTTTTAATTACTCGATATGTACCACTGCTTCGGCTGCGCCGCTACGGCAGTTTCCACCCTATCGACTTGAGTCTTCATTTCTTCCCTCGAGCGTCCTAGCGCAATCTATTCCAAATTTGCCTAGCAAAGTCAAAAAAGACTTGCATAATATTAATCAACTAAAACAATAACGGAGCCCCTACTTGCCCTGCGGCGCGCATCTGCTAATTAACCTATCTTTCCCCCATATACTCAGATCGAGCCTCTCGCGCTTTCTTTGCTGAGGACTATTATTACTTGGCATTAAGACATCCAGATCTCGGGTCCGAGTGAGTACTCTTTCCTCCTGTCGCACTTGCGCATCTTTGTTCCTTTGTTTTTCCCTCTTTACACTGCGGATCCTTACATGTCGATGCCTACAGACTACGCGAATCACTCGAGCTCGCTCATATTTTATCAATAACCGGTACTGTTTTGGAGGTGGAACCACACAAGGCCATGCTAGACGAGCATAGGCCTGATGCATCGCATGCCGGCAACCTTGTCGACAGTGAGCCAAGGCAGTTAGCACCATCTACTATGCTTCCGGGCCCACGCGATTCTCTTTTGCTTCCTACCGAACCATTGCAACCACGAAATCCAAGTTCATTACAGCTACCCTCGTTATCCCAACAACATCCGGCTGCTCAAGATGGAATCGTTGCCCAACTTCAATCTTCGCTGCAGTCTCAGCTCCATGTCCACAGCCAGATACTCGAGGAGCAAAGACAAGAAATCGAGAACCAGCGACACCAGATGGCACGCATGGACAGCACGATAGAGGCTCTGCGTCACGAACAGAGAACCATCTATGCCGTTGTTGACGAGATTAGACATGAATTGCGAGCACGTCCGGAACAGCAACATCCCGATAATAGTGAGGTCGATATCCTGACTCAAGAAGTTCAGAAGATTTCGGCCAAGTCGAACGAGATTGCTGGTCTTAGGATGCAGTTGGACATCCTGAGGAGCCAGGTGAGACGTCTCGAGCGTCACGGGTCTCCCGGAGCCAACAGTGCACCTTCGTCGGAGCACATGGGCCACGATCAGGTGAGCCATGCACCACCTCCGGTAGCTGGATTCGTCACAAGCACGCCTTCTGCACTGGACCAAAGACCATTGCTCTACCAGACACCAATGGAGAACCGGCTTCCTGCTCCAATCGCATCTAATATTGAACTGCCTGAACCCCGTGTTCAATCAGAGTCGCGAACACTTCCCGGTATTCGCTCGATCGATCCCAATACGCCCATCTCTTCATGGCGTCCTGCTGGCGCGATCGCTCCTCCACCCTCGGGTCCTATGGTAGGATCCTCACCACAGATTGAGGCACCAGCACCTGGTAGTGGATGGGCGGCAGTCAATGCAAGCACTGTACCGAAGCGCTTGATCTCAGAGCCGTCCTTCGAGTCAGCGACACCCGGATCGCCCAAGAGACAGCGATTGGCCCCTCTGATGCCTCGAACCTACGACCAGCAAAGCCCCGCACAGGGCTCATCGCCTTACCAATCTGTCTCTGGTGATTCACTGCCTACAGTGCCTACTTTACAATCAACACAGAATCCGTCCAACGAATCTGCTGGAAGTGTGCCTCCACAACCCAACCCTCTGCGTTTCGTCCAGTTCGCATCAGGTCTGGAATCTACACCTGAGGATCAGTGGCGCCAGGGACCCGGATCACTCATCGACAGGGGGCGAGGCAGCCCAAGAAGAGCAAGAGGAGGAAAAAGACTCGGTGGACGCAAGAGTGGAGGTGCAGATGGTGATCGCGCTACACCAGAATGGGAGGCGCGTCCTGACAGTGTACAAATACTCAACCCTTCAGAATCACATGGAGGACCGGTACAATCTGCTGAGCAGCCGAGCGAGACAACTGCTGGCATGTACCCCGACCCGCATTTCATGCCCATCACCACAACTGCCGACGTAGCCTCCTCGAACCACCCGACCAAGAAGACCCGCACCAAGCCTGTACGCAATGCAGACGGTGTCTTGATACGCAAGGACGGACGGCCCGATATGCGTAGTGTGAGCAGTGCCATGAATCTTAAAAAGGTACATGCAAAGAAAGAGGCGGAACGGGCCAACAACAAGGAGACTCCCGCTCTTTCTGAAGACACAAACCACAGATCCTATTCGGCCTCCGACCACGATGCAGGGGAAATGAGCGCTGCCAGTCCAAGCATTGATGAGCACGCTACAGATGGTGACACGAGCATTCTGGATCGTCACCAGGAGACCATGCGTAAGGTTTTCCCTCATGGCATCGAGAATACCGGCGTACAGAGCATGGCGCAACAATTCTTCCCGAAACTGGACGACACCCGCGCTGCGCCATCGGTAAAGATTGAAGCCATGGTTGAAAGCGACACCACAAAGGAAGCAAACCGGGGACACGAGGGACCCAAACCTCTGATCGATGGGGAAAGAAGCATGGTCCACCACACTGCAGGACGTGTGGATGTCGAGATGAACGACGCTAAGTAGACATGCATGCATTGCTGTTAAACGTCCCCACACGCCATAACGCCTTACGATCTGCCTGGGCAGAAATCAACATGAAAGATAGAGCTGTATTTCTGCAAACATGGGCCTCTCAGGAAGGGGAAAACAAGCAGTCGCATACGATGAAGCAGCAAATCAATTAACCACACCAATCTTTTGGAATAACACTTCTATCCGGGAGCTAGAACGAGGAACGACCGGTCCTTTGCTCCACATAACCCAGGACCTCCCATTCACTCATGGTCTTTCTCTTTTCCCATCTTACACTATTTTAAGCTATTTTACCCGTACACATATACCCACGGCGCGCTGATTTCCTCAGGCGTTGGGATCCATTTCGACAATTCAAACCAACACCTCAAAAACACTATCCATATACTTTTGGTCAATATGTGCATCATCATTGTTTCTGCTAAAGGTAGACGCCACGCTCGTGTTGCGTGTCGGTGGTGAAGGAGTCAGAAACAAGTCTCCGCTCTACCTTCCTATCTCATCTATACCCACACCGGACCGAGAGGGCGGGCGGCCTACAGTCCCAAAGCAGAGATCCCGCCAGAACACCACTCCGCTTCGCTTGAGACCCAACCAGCGACCTTGTGACCTCTTCTACTCTACATTCATGCTTTAACCTGTTTCTGCCTTTGGACCTCCCTTCACATACATGATTGTCTTTTGACTTCACATCCCCTAAGGTAAAAAGTAGCTTTGCCTTTACGTTCATGAGACAGCCAGGTTCCTTGATTTTGACTTCTCGTCTCTGCCATCATCCATCTCGTCTCTTTTTACTCTTGCATCACGTTATCGAGCTATGTGTTGCCATGGCAAGATCGAGCGAGCCGTGTAACGATATTCCCACCTTTCCATGGCAAAAGTATCTCTTTACACTCTCTTCCTGGGCACCAAAATCAACTTTCCCTACCTTAGTAGCTGCGTCCTTGTAGCCATGCAACCATGTGTCAGTAGAAGCCGACAAGGCTCAGTTCTCGTCATCTGCGCAAACCCTATTTGTCCGTCGTCCCAACTTCCCGGAGAGTAGCCGTTTGGGCAGTTTTGCGTTTCGGTGCTTTCGGTGCTCTCGGCTTTGAGCTTTGCTTTTCTATGACAGTCTAAGCCAGCAACTCCTGGAGTTTGAGGCTATATGAAGTAGGTGCTTTTGCTTGGCGTGTTCTGGTTCCCTTCTCGACTTGCAAGCTTTCGGTGCTGGCAGCAGTTTTGCCTTTTGCGGAGACTGCAGGCAAACGAGTGGGCCGACGGCGATGGCGGGTCGGCGACTGGAGGTGAGGGAACGGTTACAACTGTTCATATGTTTTGGCTTTGTCTTTGATGTCCTTCAAGCTCTCCATTCATACCTCCCGTTTGGTCTTAGCAAAAGCGTATTGATTGGCTCATACGGGAACTCTCGCCCTCCACCGTCCACCTTCCAGCTCATATCATTGGCCCAGAAGAAACCCGTTCCATCCTGCTCGACAAGCAAAATATTATCGACGCCTAAGAGATTCGAACTCTTGCTCCGCACTCCCGGACGAGCGTCGTTTCGAGCGAAGCGAGAACGACGCTCGTCCGGCACTACAAGGATAAAAAAATGGTAATTTAGTAACTGGAAGTTGAATAGATCACTATACGAGTCGTTTGCACCAGAAAAAAGTCCATGTCTAACCAAGAATTGTCAAGTTTGACCCTATTGTAACAATTCCCATAGTTTCTAGACGGAAGCCTGCCAAGTCCAAAGCTTCACAGCCCAAAATTTTGCTTTGTTACACCCAATTTGGTCACCATCCACCCATTTCTTGCTCAATCTCATCCGTTCTTCGTCCTGTGCATAATTCAATCAAAAAGGAGGTTGGACATAGTCATTCGAAGCAAAAATGATCGACGCCTGCAGGATTCGAACCTGCGCCCACGAATGGAATAGATTTCTAGTCTATCGCTATAACCACTCAGCCAAAGCGCCTGGTAGAGTTGAGTCCGAGATAGGAAAGATCTGCGGATTCGATGAGGAAGGATGAAGCGAGATCGTATAAGACCCTCAAATCAACGAGAGCACTGGAGGTAAGACGTTGAATAGCAGAGGAATTGTCACCTCGGACCTGTGAGGGTCAGTAGGGTCCTCGAACTGCGCATATGTAGACCCGGAGGGTACTTGGGTAAGGTATTTGTAACGCATGCTGCTTTGGAGATCTGTTTTACGAATCCCCAATGTTTGCTCAGAAGATATCAAGTGTTTCGCTTGATAACTTGGTAGATTCTCTGGTTCATTGCTCGTTCGAGGCCAACCTTCGTAATTGGTCATCGACGACCACAACCAGGTCTGAAAGGTGATGATGAAAGCTGTTGCCTGTCGTTTTCCACGGCAGATCTGTGGTTCTTTGCGGTGGCATGTTGATATGATTGATTCTACGAAAGAGCAGGGTCTGACTATCACCAAGACGGACTTGGCCAGATTTCGAGACAGGCTTCGCTCCTCCCCGCCCGAGGCTACCGAGTAGCAGCCACCTGTTGCCTTCCACAGCACCTGCAGCCTGACTTCCATCTCAACCTTGCCATCACGTCGCATGCAATCGATTCGACCTACACCTAACGACAATCATGACTAGACGGCGAGTATGCAAGAAGAGTACCGTGGCCGCTTGGTCACCCTTTCGCATTCGTCGCAACATGGATCACTGCATAGTTCCTCAGTAACGACCTGCAAACAGTGACCGTCGACGCTGTTGGACCAGGTCCCAAGACGCTCAATAGCACTACCTGAGGCTGGATGACTCGCCTGTGCTCTCGATATGACTTCCAACAATCAACAGTCCCATACGGCGCGAATAGTACAACGCGCAACTGCACAATCACATCCTTGATACCCGCACATTCCTCGTTCTGCCCACTGCGTCAACGCAAGGATATATAGCCTGGTGGCGAAAAATGCTTCCATCAACCAATACCAGCACAGCTGGCTCATCTTCATTGGTCTAGTGGTCATGATTTCCGCTTGTCAAGAGTAAAATCTCGTCAAGCGCGGGAGACCAGGGTTCGATTCCCTGATGGAGAGCATCATGTTTTTTTTTGTCTTCTTCGATTCTGTTGTGCACAGTATCGACGAGGAGGTTCTGATGACCTTTGCGACGATTTTCTTTTGCTGGGATCTCTGGACGTTGGTGAATTTTCGGTTGTTGATGGTAAGGTAGGTCGAGATAGTCTGGTCTCTCACTCGGTTCCATTCTTATTCCGAGTGCCCATGGCCTCCCAGCGGATTCTCGTTCGCAAGCCCATGTTTCCTAGTTGTACGATCAACATGGCGTTGATTCGACAACAAAGAACTTTGTGTTAGCTTCGGAGATTTCAAAGCGGGAAGAGGCACGATACCTTTCTTTGTGGTGGATTTCGAATCCGGATCAGAAAGACCTGTAGGAAATTGACATTGTCAGCAGACACATCTAGTTCGGGTAAGCTGACAAACCTCCTGCGGTGCTGTATTTGATAGACGGCAACACAATTTTGAGTCACGTTTCTGCATACTTAGGAGCCCAGCGTATCCGCTTCTAACCCACTCACCAAGATGTCGGACAGTCAACCTCCTTTCGACCCTCTGACCTTCAACCCACGCGACATACCCATGAAGCTCCTCGCGGAGTGGTGCCGCGATCCTCCTATGTTCCTAGACAAGCCTGGCCATCCTACTAAGTATGATGCAAAGAATCGGTTCGAGTACGTCAAAAGAATGATAGCAGTATACGTTTCCCCCTCCGTTTTGGCGCAAGGAAAAAATCCATATCCTGGACTGCGTGAGCACAGGTTTGTCCCCGAGCTACAGACGACTACACCAAAATACCGTCATGCCAGAGCATGGATGGGAGCAAATCACCTTTTGATGCACATAAGTTAGTACTTGACCTTTCATATTGTGAAGCAGAAACATGCTAATCTAGGGTTTGCATCTGCAGCACCGAATGAGTTGCAGAAGTTGGGTTGTATCAACCTGGAAACGGATGACGATCCCTTTATCGAATCATCGCCTCGTTTCCAGGTCGACACCACGGCCTTAGCGACAGCAACTACAGACAGGAGCGTCATGAACATCATCGGTAACAACGACGGAATCCATCCGATCCTTCGAAGGCGCAATTGGAAAGACACTTCAGATGCCGAGTATGAACACCTTAAGCCCGTATTGAGAATTGCAACAGAGATGATGGCCATGGACGGGTTCTTGGACCTGTGGACCGCATTAGGGCAGCCCTTGCAACGTCTTCCTCAGAATGCTATGCTCCTCAGGCAAAAAGCGGAACATCGGGTGTACTACACAGGCAGGACTACGCCCGGACAGAGAGGCCGGACGCAACAGGAGATGCTAGGGTTATGCAACTATGTGACTTTTAGTTGGGAGCATGACGACAATCTGGCTGCAGTGACTACGCCAGATGTCAACAAAAGGGGGCTTCGTCCAGGGAATTCTCGGTAAGTTGGTCGATAAGGACTTATCTCTGAGACCATTCGCTTATGCTGCGGTACTAGTAATGCTTGCGAAATTCAGATCGATTCTCACCTTCGTTATATCATCTGTCGTGGTGGAACAGAGTTCAATGTAAGATGTTGTCCCGAGTGCCTTTCGAGATAACCTACTGACTTACCTTGCAGGCCTCTTACTATAATCCCACGGCATCGAACGAGGGTTCTTATATGCGCACGCAATTTCTTCTGGCAAATACTTTAGTTCACGAATTGACACACGTTTGGTTTGTAAGTCTCGCCCCCTGAATCAGAAGGTTCAGATCTCATATCTGGGCTGTCACACCATGCCACAAGGAGCTGGTATACTCAATGACTCGCTTGAACGAGCTCATACCGTGGGAGAAAGATCGCGATGTATCAACCCATTTTACTCTTGGAATTCACGCTGATACTTGCCAGTTCAATGTGACCGACGAGTACGAAGATTTGATGCCTTTCCGTAACGACGACAGGATCTCAGAAGAGGGCTTTGCAGCCGAAACAATGATACACAAAGACGTGATCCTCGAAGATATGGAGGCCAATTTTATATTGCGAACAATGCCTTTTGGAATGCGCGCAAACCGATGGCCAGGAGTACTTGACGGGCCCGAACATGTCACGAGAGCCAGTGCGGCGAGGCATGATATCAAGTTCGACACTATGTATGCGGTTCCTATGAGTGTAAGTGTCATGAAGATGGCAGGTTGCATAACCTGGTACTGATTTGTCTTCTCCAGTACGTACACCAATTCTTCCTCGACGACTTTTGGACCAATCGTGTTGAGCGATTTGGCGATGGAGCTCTCAGCAATTACAAAGCTGTGGGCGTGAGACGGAATCTCGTCAACAGACTCAAGTTCGACCCTTCAGAGCATGGAATGATCAAACGGAAGCTAAACCCCGTCACTAGCTTATGGGAGGAAGATCCTGAGATTGACGCTGATGCCGAGTTTCCAGAAGTGCATGAGGGAATAGTTTATAAGGACAAGGTCTTGACTCTCATGGGTGAAGAGATGTCTGATTCGGATGAGGAAATGGAGGACGTCGATAAGAGCGATGACGATGACGACGACGATGATGGTGGCATAATGGTCACCTAGACGGCAAATGTGCTTCTGTAACCATTGTACAGTCCTTTGCAGAGAGAATATCTTGCTATTGGCATGCGTATTGTAAGTCAAGAGCTTCTACTTCTGCGTTCATTCTTTCGATAGCTAGGTAGGCTTTGCATGGCTTTGGGCAAGTTCAAAATTCCTGGCTTGTGCCTCTCATGACGATGGTAGCTTCCTGTTTGTCACGACCTGACTTTCTATCTTCCAACCGAGTGACAATGGTCGTCAAGCATCGGAGTGTGTTTTTGCAAAAAATCAGATTCGGCGAACAAAGAAAACAAGCTGCCATACTCGAGCTTGAGGTCACACTTTCCTTTGTGGCTGACTGCCGAATCCGGTCAACAGAGCTCTTTGAAGCCGGGTAACAAACGGATTCATTTTCATCGATGTCTTTCTGTCTGATTACCCTTCTAGCTGATTATATTAGTATCGAATACCTGCCTCATTGTCTCCCTTGCACATAATCCACACCATCTACTTCGAACCAGCCAAAATGTCGGACCCGATGGACTTTGAATGGACTATACCACAATCGCCTCCTTTTGATATATCGACTTTCGATCCGAAGACCTTGAGCGAGACATTCATCGAGACCGCCAGCCTAGACCCAGATCTATGTCTGGTCGACGCAAGGCCTGCACTCGAACATGCAACATCCAGGCGTGATTGGGTCAGAAGGGACACGGCGGTGGAGGTATCTCCTTCCGTACTCGCCCTCGGTAAGGAACCATATCCAGGGCTAAAGGTATCACACAAGGTGCCACCGGGGTACATGACCACCGTTCTCGATTACAATTACTCGCAACCTTGGTTTGGGGACCATATCGTTCTGCATTATCTCACGCCTGCAAGATTGTTGGAACTGGGTTGTATCAATACGGACACTACGCCTGTATCGAACCGATTCCGTATCGACCCCGATGTTTTGGCAAAGGCCAACAAATCTAGACTTGCTCCAAGTTACATTGGCAATCACGATGGTATTCATCCTATATTGCGACGCAGAAACTTCAATCCGACATCCGACTACGAATACGAATGTCTTAAACCCACTTTCAGAGTCGTCACCAAGCTTCTCGAGATGGAGAATGCTCTTGACCTGCTCTGGGCACTGGGTCAGCGATGTACTCAAGTACAAGGCACGAAGCTAAAGAAGGACGTCTACGTCTACTACACCGGTCAATCTACCACTCAGCAGAGGCAAGAGACAGCTCTTGAACTAGTACAGCTGGCCGAATACGTACAGTTTAGCTGGGGAGATACAGTATCTGACGGTGCTCTTGCAATAACAGAAAATATAGTTGGCAAGCCAGGTTTGAGAGGTGGCATTACGTAAGTCTTGACCAGCTTTATAGTTCAATGTGATCTCTGGCTAATATCAATGTGTACAACAGGTCCGCAGGCGAAGTTACGATCGATGACAGCTTCCGATATGCCATCGTAGACGGCAGTGCTGTGCGTGCGAATCTTTACAATCCTGCAGCAACAATTGAATCTTCCTTTTTACGTACCCAATGGTGGCTCGCAACGGCCATCTTCCACGAACTAGGCCATGTCTTCCGGTAAGCAGCGCATTTCATAGCTGTGACCCACCGAAGAATGTTCACTGATAGGACCTTGTGATCTAGGTTCAATACGAGCAGGTTGCATATAGATGTCGATCCGTTTTGCAATGATTGTCGCCTCGCAGAAGAAGGGTTTGCTTTGACAGCGGCGGTGCTTGTACGTACAGCCGAGAACACCAATTTGAACGGAAGCCAGAATAGAGCGGTTGCTCAGGTCATCTCGTATGATTCTGGATCTGTGTCAAGACAGGAAAAGAGCTGCAAGACTCTGGCTAACGGGCGAGATGGTTCATGATCCATGACTAGTTGAAATATTGCTAACCGAGTGTTCGACAACAGAAAGGTGTGATCCCGACGTCCATTGACGCAAATCTGAAGCTTGTCACGTCACCTTTCGGTATGGCGACATGGGAATGGCCAGGATTCTTTGAGACGATCGGCCTCGTTCATAGACGAACTGCACACGAAGATGGCTTCAATTACGCTAATTTCGATGTGATTAAGATGGAGGTAGGACGGCTGTCACAGCAAGATACAAACGACGCAACGCTGACAAGATTCAGTACATACGAGATTTTTTCAGCGATGAGTTCTGGGACCAATGCTATCTGAGATACGGCATGTCGAGTTTCAGAGCAGTAGGCGTACGCGATCGTGTGTTTGACGAGAACATGGCCCCGAATGGAAAGCGTGTTGCGACAATCGGGCTGGAACTAGAGGCTGAGCCATGGATGCCAGAAGTGGAGGAGGAAGGTATCGTTTACGAAGATAGAGTCCTGAATTTTGCTGGAGACAAAGTGATAGCGACCAAGCCGAAGACGGCGGAACAGCAAATGCTAGCGGATATAGCAATGAGCTGGATCCCGGAAAATCTCAAGAAGTTGAGCGCTGGCATGAAAGCCTGGATAGGGAGGAGTCCGGTCAAGAAGAAAAGCCCGATGAAGAAAAAGAAGTGACCAGAGAAATGTTGGGGAATAGTTGGTGATATGGTCCTAGCAGCACAAAAACAGCTGAATCTTACGCTCAGCGGCGAACCAGAACATTAGTGCGTCAAATCAAAAAAACAGTCATTGTTACTATGGAGATGTTGACAGTTGAGAGAAGAGAAAAGGCCTGAAGCAGGAGCAGTGACGTTGCGCGCCAAATTCGCGTTGCCTAAAATCGCGTCACCCGGGAGACATTGGCCTAACCTGTTGATCAATAAATACTCTTTCACCATATAACATATAGTTCCTCTAGATCACAGATTCTACGAGAATCGCATCCGTATCGACACACAATGGCATCGACAGCACCTCTGAAACGCAAGCGCTCCGGCGAAGATCTGACCGCAGCCAATACCAAACGAGCACTCCGCCCACGCATCCCTTCTGTAACGACATCGATACAAGTGTCAAAGACACGAGTCAAGAAGCCTCTGATCAAGCGAGTCACTCCTGTTCTTGAGATCAAGCCGGCAACTACCAGTCCCAGCACCAATCTCCTACTCCAAAAGGACAAGATTATTGAACAACTACGACTCGAACTTGCCGAGGCTAACAACAACCTCGCCAACACTCAAAAACGACTCAGCGAGCTCGAGAAGCAGCTTCTATTGTCGCCCACGCATCATCAATGATGGTAGAATGAGAGTTGACAGATATGCATGTCTTTTCCGTTCGTTCTTGCCATACTAAATTTGTCGCGGGGCGCTTCGCACCCAACCACCTCACCCCACTCTGTTCTTGCACTTAGCAACACCTGCTTTGCCCTCCTCTTTTACTTCACTCCAACCTCTCTCAACATCAACAAAGTGGGCATGTCAGCGGAAACTGCAGCCACAAAGCGCCAATATGCGGCCGTGGACATCGGCCCGGGTGACGGGTCTTCAGCTTCGGACGGCGCATCCCGCGCCGCTCCAAAACAAAAGACTACTGCTGCAACCAAAAAAGCGACTGCGAAAAAGGCACACACAGTAGACAAGCTATACAACGACAGCATCAAGAAAAATGAAGCCGCCATCAAAACTCTCGATGGCAGAGTCCTAAAGATGGGCCCCGACAGCCGCGCAATCACGACAGACTCATACGCGAAAATGTCTCTCGGACACCTGAAGCCCGTCAAAGAGCTGGACGAAATGGACGGAGGTCTAGTGCCTGCATTCAATCTGATGCTCTATGTGGCCGACGCATCCCATACCGATTGCGATGCCACTCCAAAAATGTCTGGTTACGGTGACAGCGGAGCTCCTTTTGGCCTTCTGGACATGCAACTTCTAGACCTGATTGAGAAGAGACATGCGCAATCACCGGCAACGCGACAAGATCAACTGCCTAGCGTGCTAGAGCAATGGCGAAGACCCGATTCTGGTGTATTAGTATTGGAATACGAATGGCTGATCGAACAACACGACACAGAGAGGAAAAGACAAAAGCTAGGGCGGGAACAAGACAGAAGAGAGAAGAGGCATGAAAGGAGAGTAACCGTCGATGATTGGGTTGCTGTTGCGTTACAGGAACTTGAAGAGGAGAGAGACTACCTTGAGGAAAACGGTATTACCAAGTATTTCCCCAAAAGCATTGAAAGATTGACCGAATTGATGGGGTCTGGGAATTCGACTGCCAGTGCTGCTCCTGCTGAATAAGAAAAAATGTGTTGCCCAATCCTCGATATCTCAAAAGAAAGTTCGCAAAAAGTTGATAAGAGAAGACTTTCAGCAGTAGACGATGATACAGCCTCTCACGTGTGTTTTTGATCAAACTTGCCCGACATCATCAACAAAAATGCCGACGTCTATGTGTACGAGCACATCGAATGCGAGAAACCGTCTTCACATGCGAGTCTCATCCCTCTTACTTCCTCCAACCGATGAACCGTAAAGCTCGTTGATAGTAGCAGCGTCCATCTCGACCGGATCCATCGTCAGTCCATGCTTGCCTGGCGCCCAGACCTCAGAAGGCAGAGATGATGCAGAAGATACCGTGTCACACATTTCTACGAGGTGAGGGAGCGACTTTTCATCATCGTCAAATGTGGTTGAGCTTGTTTTTCGTCGTCGGAACGAGGCCCAACACGCTCCCGCGAGGAGCAGCAATGCCGCAACGACACCAACAACTATACCGGCTATAGCTCCTGTAGACGGGCCATGACTATGGTCGGCAGTTACGGTGTTGCCATTGCCCGAAGCAGAATCATTACGGTGGAAAGCCTTCAGTTTCGACGCCCAAGTCGAATCCCAAGACGGAGCCTTGATCATGGGCGAAACCGAGGTGTCATTAGCAGAGATCGTTGCCAGAGACATGTCTGACAAATCTGGTCCAGGTGCCTGAGCAAGCATCAATTTTCCAGTCTGCCAGTTCTGAGCCATGAAAGCTCCCTGAAGGAATGCACGGCCGAGATGGAACCTGCCGTCAGGCGATTGGTATGGTGAGCATGGAAAGTACTGTGTTGAGGCGTCAACGAGTGGCCACTCCAGGGTAAGATTCAGGAGAGCAAACGGCAGATATATCGTGTTTGTAGATTCTCCTGACTGGAAGTCGAAAGAGAGATACGAGGGCGAGGTTATTATATCCTGATAAGCTGGCGCCGATGTGTTCCAAATATAGAGGCCAAGAGTCTCGTTGAAATCAACTGGAAGATGCTCCGTAACCGCATCACACGTCTCCTGGGGTAGATAGAAATATGGCACACCTGGGTTTGGATATGCTTTGATGCTGCTGGCTCCACTAATCTGCAAGAGTCTGCGCACTGGCAATTGTGAATCCTTCGGGAATGGAGAATCTCCACTGGCAACACCCAGACCAATGTCGGTCAGGTCGAACACGTCCGTGTCTGAAACTATTGGGGATGTGAGGCATCGAGACTTGTCATATCCCCCAAGGACGAGACTGCCGGGCACTGGAACTGAATTCGAAGCCGAACCGATGTGAAGACCATAGAAGGGGGCAGAAATGGCGTCTTGTATATACGCTGAGGCTAGGGTTGTGTTTAGTGAGACATTGCTACCATTCACAGAAGTGTACTCGATGTGCTGTTCCGCGCCAGAGAGCGAGAAGAATCCCGTGTTAAGCGTATACCACGCACTTTCTGAGGCGAAGTTGACGTTGATGTCTTGATCGATGGCATTGGCGATGAAGTCGAGATAGGGATTGCCATCTCCGGGACCTTCCAGTGTTATTCTATCGCTGATGTAGCTTACTTGGCCAGAGATGTTCAGAGGATGAAGAGACGAGTCCCACGTCGAGGCATCAAATGCAGTACTGTTCATCCATGACCACGAACCCTCCAATCCAGTCCATAGAGTTGATTGTGATTGTGGGCAAGCGCTACTCGGATCGGAGCAAGCATCTGAGTGAACAATCAAATTGGTTTTTGTCAACGATGGAAGTAGCGTGATATTCTTGAAATTGATAGTTAGCACTCCATCTGCAATCAACAGTTGCTACACATACTTGTTGTGGCCATGAGACTGTTTGGACCAGAGCATTCCAAGGACCTATCCGTCGTCAGTTGACCCGATCATGGAAAATCGTCTTCTTTGGGGGCCCTCACCATCAGGACCAACAGTCGTGTTGAAGTTGAGTGACCTCGGAACATTCGCAGAAGCTCCAACGAAGAATATGCCAATCAACAGGACGTGAGACATTTAGTGCTAGGAAACCTGATTGGCTGTGGATAACAGGCTGCGAAGGCAGACTGCGAAGACTGGATGAGAGCAGCCTGAGAGAGTGCTGGGAAGACCTCATCAATTATATATCATCGAGACGCAGAACCTTACACTCGAGCAACCCAGCATACTGTTTCGACCAGTGCACTGTGTGATAGGAGTCGCAGACATATTAACAGACGACTTGCGACTCTGATCGCGTCGGTGATGTTCGTCCCTCAGCGCGTCTCTAAGCGCCTGGGTTCTTGTATGTGCTATTAGCCGTCACCTCTACGCGCCGGCACTATCTGCCGATTCTGAAACAGTTGATGAACACCGAGAGACGGGAGCATGGACGATTGATGCAGTGAAAAGAACAAAACACTTCAAGAGACCGTCTTGCTTGGTGCACGGAAAGAACCTCGGGTCAACAAAGCCCGAGCGTCGCATCGCACCTTACATTTCGACCTTAGAAGTTGTGAAACAACAAGACAATGGAGCAGAAGTTCAGAGGTCGGACTGTCGTTTTATACAAAGGGAGTCTAGTATGTCTAGACTATAGAATAGGTAAATGGTATATACAAAAGATAGGAAATAGTAAAAAGGAAATAAAAAAGTGGGTGATGGAGAATAATTATTGCAGCGCCTCAAAACGTCATGTCTTTTGTAAGATCATTGAAATTCCTTACAGAAGGAAAGCGGCGAAAGCTGCGACACCAGCCAGACCAGCGGCGCCGACCTTGTTGGCGGCACCAGTGTACTGAGAAGGCGAGTAGGTAGAGGTGGCCTTGCTGCCAGAGCCGGTTCCGACCATTCCAGTTCCGGTAGGACCAACAGACATCATGGTGCTGTTGGTGATAACAAAGGGAGCGGAGGTAGGAGCGACGGGGGCAGGGGCAGAAACGGCAGGGGCCGAGTTCTCGGGGACACCGGCAGCGGGGCTGGTGTACTCGATAGGGGTCCATGCCGAAGAGATAACGCTGGTGACACTGTAGGCAGTGGGGATCACAGAAGTCTGGACGACAGTGGACTTTGCGGGGCAGTTTTCGACGCCCTCGGCGCAGCTAGTCACAGTGACGACGGCAGTGCTGTAGTAGAACATGGTCGAAGGAATGGTGACAGGGGCCGAGGTGGTCTCGGGGCTGACGGGAGACGATCCAGCGGGCGAAGAAGCAACGGGACCGGCAGGGGAAGAACCAGTGGCCGAAGAAGCAACGGGACCGGCGGGCGAAGAGCCAGCGGGCGAAGAAGCCGCAGGCACAGATGAGATACGGGACCAAACGCTGGAAACGGTGATGGCAGTAGGGAAGACAGTGGTGGAAACCATTGTGGAACGGGCTGGGCAGTTTGTAACTTCAGCGCCGCAGCTGACGACGGTAACCTGCTTGGTGCTGTAGAGAGTGACGGTCGAGGGAACGGCAACGTGACCCTCAACAGATGCGGGAGTGCTCTGGACAGGGCTGACGGGAGAAGACTGAGGGATAACGGCAGTGTGGGTCACAACGGCCGAGACGGTGCTCTTGACAGTGACCTGGGTAGTCATAACAGAGGGAGCGGTCAGGACAGTGGTCTTGCCAGAGGCGCTGACAGTCTCACCAGCGTTGCAGGTAGTGACGGTGGACTTGACGACGTCGGTAACGTAGACGGTGCTCTCGAGCGAGGTAGAAGTCTGCGAGGGGACGGCGTTGTTTCCACCAGCGGGAGCGGTGATAGTGTGAACCTTAACAGCTGTGACGGTGCTCTTAACGGTGACAGCAGTGGTCATGACGGAAGGAGCAGTCAGAACAGTGGTCTTGCCAGAAGCGCCGACAGTCTGGCCGGCAGGACAAGTTGTGATGGTAGTCTTGACGACATCAGTAACGTAAACAGTGCTCTCGGTCGAGGTAGCAACGGAAACGGCGCCAGTCTGAGCATCAGCAGTGGAAGAGCTGCCGTTGTTGTAAGGACCGGTAACGAAGGCACCACCAGTGGAAACAGCGCCGCCAGTGGACAAAGCACCACCGGTGGACAGAATGACAGATGAAGCACCGGTGGTCTGAACAGCGGAGGTGGCGTTGGTGGAAGGAACGCTGATGGTGGGCTTGAGGCTGGCGGGGATGCTGGTAACCTTGAAGTTGTCCTTGTTCTGGCAAAGCATGTACAAGTGGTTGCAGGCAGCCTTGTCAGCGGTGGTGCTGGTCAAGCAGGTGTCAAGGGTAGTGGCGCAAGAGTTGCCACACGAGGCATCCTGACGGTCGCACTCAGCAAGGGTGTTGTTACCGGCCTGGCAAGTCTTTCTTCTGCCAGCACAGTCCAGGGGCTGGTAGTCAACAAGGCTGGTAGCGAGGTTTCCGAGACAAGCGTTGTAAACACCCTGGCACTGAGCAGAGGTCGAAGAGTTAGTGCTGCTGCTGCCGCAAGAGTCGAGAAGCTGCGAGCAGGTGTTCTTGCAGTCAGCGTTCAACTTCTGGCACTCGTTGTCGGCGATCAAGGAACCAGGAGCATGGCAGGAAGTGTATCTCTCGATGCAGTTGATGTTGGCAGCGGCTTGCTCGGCCTCAACACTTGCTCCAAGGCAGTTCTCGTAGCGCTTTTGGCAACCAGGCTTGACAGATGCGTCACCGCTTGAGAGACAGACATCGTTCATGCGAGAGCACTCAGTCTTGCATACAGCAGTGGAAGCAGAGCAGTTGTTGGAAGCGTCACCAGACAGGAAGCAGGTAGTGGCGTCCTTGACACAGTCGATGGTTGAGATAGGAGAGACCTCGTAGGCTCCGAGGCATTGGTTGTAGTGGGTCGAGCAAGCAGACAGGATGCTAGAGGAGTTGCCGCCGCTAGTGCACGTGTCCATAGAACGAGAGCAGGTGGTCTTGCAGATAGCGTTCTGGGCATCACACTCAGCGTCGGTGTACTTGCCGGAAGTGTAGCAGGCCTCAGTGCGAGAGACACAGTCGACGGTGGAGGGCACAAGCTTGGAGCTGCCGAGGCATGATTCGTACTGAGAATCACAGTTGCCAACAACGCTGGGGTCACCGCTGCTTCCACAGGCAGATCTGGCTCTGGTGCATTGGTTCTTGCACTGAGCGTTCATGTCGTCGCAGAGCTGGTCGTCCTTGCCGTCGAGGTAGCACTGCTCGACATCGGCAACACAGTTGATGGTGGAGGTGGTGGAGTTGGTACCCGAGGTGCAGTCAGAGTAGAATGACAGGCAGCCTGCCTTTACGCTCTCGTCACCGCTTGCCTGGCAAGTAGTTGCGAGGTAAGAGCATTGAGACTTGCAGGTAGCGAGGTCAGAGTCTTGAGCATTGTCGCCGGTAGTGGCGTTGAGGTACGAGGATTCGCTGTTGGAGACACAGCTCGAAGTCAGAGTGGGAAGGTTCTTGGCTCCAAGACAGCTCGAGTACCAAGACAAAGCGGTGGCGTTGTGAGCAGAGTCTCCGCTTCCAGAGAGAATGTCGTAACCTCTAGCGCAGAAGTCTTTGCATTGAGCGTTGACAACCTGAGCGTCCTGGTCAGACGAGCCGTTCTGGATGGTAGCGTAGACCTCGGAAACACAGTGAACATCGCTGGTAGTGGTCTGACCGAAGAGGCAGTTCTCATATGATTGCTGGCACTGTGAGTCATCACCGCTGGTCATGCATGCATCCTTGAGGACACCACAGGTCTGTTTGCAGGTAGCAGTCTGGGCAGCAGCGGTGTTGTCGGCAGCGTTGTCGAGGTAGGTTTGCTCTCCTTGGGCGAGACAAGACGAAGCAGGGGCAGTAGCGTTGTTCGAACCCAGGCAGGCGCTGTAGCTCTGTTGGCAAGCTTGGCTGGGACCGTTCTTCTGGCACAAATCAAGGATCGCTGAGCATGCGTTCTTGCAATCGGCAATCTTGGAATCACAAGCGTTGGTCAGGTCGTGGGAGGCAGACTCGTAGCAGGGGATGACTTGGGCCAAGCAGGAGCTCTGCATGGTGCTAGTAGATCCAATACAGCTGTCGAAACGCGAGTCGCAAACATCCTTCGAGGTTGCGCTGGAGTAGCAGTTGCTTCGGCTGGTTGAGCACTTGTCAGAGCAAGTAGCAGCCTCGGACGAGCAGACATTGTCGTTTGAAAGGTTGAAGTCGTAGCAAGAAGTGTACGCGGAGACACAGTCTGTGGTAACGTTGTGTGCAACGGCGACCGTTGCAAGGCCAACGAGGGCCGGGATGAAGGATCTCATAACGAGTGTGAGCCGAAGAGTCGGCAAAAGTTAGTGTTAACGAAAGAAAGCCCGTAAGAAGAACGGGAAGAGATGTTCGAAAACAGAAAGAGGGAAGAAGACGAGGAATAGATCAGAGCTGTCAGAGTAGCAGGGACGTCGCGTATTTACATATGGGCGAGCATGATCTACAGCCAATTCGCCCAAGGAACCGTACCTGCGCTAGCATTGGACGGATCCGCGTGGAAACATAATTAGACCCGTATCCTCACACCTCTGACGCATGTACCTCAGGAATTGACTTTGGCCCAGATAGGGCCGCCGTGGGCCGAAGGCGGCCATCAAATTTACCCATGATCATGCGAAGCTCCAAAGGATTCGTCTCGCAGCGGTGGCTTATGTGGGGTGTGAAAATTTTGTCTCAACTTGAGACGTCGGCGCCTGAGTCCAGGTACTTCTTGACAACCAAAGCTCATGTCAGGAACATGCCTGTATCTTGAAATTGAGAAGTGTCCGTTGATGAACACAAATTTCATGCCCTCCATAGACCAATTCAACATGAGTCGAGTTCGACTGCATCCCACATCGTTCGCGATGTACCTGACGATCAGTTGGCGCAGGGTTCCGTCGTGCCGTGTGTAGATTGGCCTTCACGAAACCCTAACAATTTTTAGCGACGCATCGTGCCGCAAATTTGGAGTTGACCCGCACTAGCACTTGGCGCCTCGTGTTGATCGGCCGCGGATTAAGATGGAAGGAGACATAGAGTGGCCTCGAATTGGTTCTGCGTCCTTGTCAGGGATCTGGTGAATTGCGATAAACAGATGTAGAATACTTGAGTAGATGATGTCGTCGAAAGAAGACGTTGTCTCAAGCTGCACTCCACGATCGCAACTGTCCAACGAGGAGGGCACGTTGAAACGTGGAAGCAGGCGAGAGCGTTGAGCCGGCTTGGCCGAGGCGGTGACGACCGACAACGTTCTTACCAAGAAAAAACATCACACTTTTCCCAGCCTCGAGACCGCGCACTGGGTCGCGTTGAGCTGGTTATTGAAAACTCTCTGCGCTATTACTAAATAAAGAGCTTGATCGCGATGTTATACGATGTGCTTATTTGCTGGCATTATTATCTCCGCTGCGGCCAACAATCATCGGCGTCATCTCTCCCTTGCATGCTTGCTTGTCCTGTCCAACCTCATTCTACCACACTTTGGCCCATGACATCGTCGAGATCCATCGCTATCAACGAATGCACTCTGTTTGAGCTCCGCGCAGTCCTTCTCCTCAACCTCTCCACGACCTCTCCACAAGTGACTTGTCCCGCAGGGATGTGCAAGATAACCACACTCTCTAGGGTGAAGCGGTGGTAGTCTGACTGCTTCCCTTGTGCGGTTGCAGTAGGTGTCTTCCTTCCTTCAGAGAACCGCTTTCTCTCTCCATCATCTTTCTGTCCCGCGTCTCTCAATTGCCGTCTTCAGGATATCCCAGCACTCAAGGAAGGACGTCCGGATCAGCATTTGCAGAGAATAGCATTGGTTCAGGCACCTTGCCAAGGTGCTTGTTGCGACCATTCGTGTACACTACCCATTTTCTCGGCTCTCCAAGACCGATAGACTCCCATGCATCTTCATCTGCCTGGACAATAGCGGACAAGTCGAGTAATTCGGCTGAGATCTCATCGCCAGAACCACACCATTCATCAATGTGCTGGATTGAAGCTCTGCGTGGTTCGGAGTTGATGATCCGATCGATGTTGCGTGTGAGCGTACTAAGTTCGAACCTCTTCAGGCGACGGGCTCTAGCAAGCCATTGGAGTACGACGCTCCATCTCAGCTCACTCTTGATGGCGATACTCGAAAGCTTGATTGTCTCGAGCGTTGCGAAACACATGTGAAGGCAAAAGTCGAACACAATGGAGTCATAGAAGCCACCAATATGGCATTCCACCAGCGTCATGTCCTTGAGACGTAATGCCCATGGCCAATACGTCTGGCAGAACAGTCCGAAGAAAATGCTTCTAGGCCCGTGCCACATGTTGATTCCGCTCATCACCAGAGTCTCGCGCTTGAAATCGCAAACCACGCCAACGTCACTAGAATCTGGTGGCATTGCAACCTTCATGCTGAACGAAGTGAGGGTCGACACTCTAGCGACATATTGGCCGACTCCACTTGCGAACGCGAGCGCATCTAACCCCATAAGATGAGGTCTCTGAGTTCCCACCAATTCCAGGTCGAATCCACCGATCTTCAGACTAACTTCGTCACGTTCTGCGATATGGCGTAGCATCGAAAAGACTGCGTCCCTTTCTTGCGGGAAGTGGTGAGCTGTAGGTCGAGACAACAGCTCTTTCATGCCAAAGCTGGCGGGATTACGATCGGTCAGACCCAGGATAGTGGGCTTGCCGTGTACCTTGAGAGCAGACAGTGCTTTGTAGACAAACGAGTAGAAATCATCATAAGTCAAGCGCTCGTCTACAACGACCAGGAGCTCTTCTCCGATCTCCCGGAAGGGAAAGGTGGTATCGAGAATGAGTTTGTCGACAAATTTGCCGAAACAAGGGTGAGCGGTAACCTCGAGCAAGGCCTTGAGACTTCGAACGGTGATGGCATGGCGACGGCATCTAACGAAGTGATCGATGAAGCTGTCAGTCGCGGCCCCCTCAAGCTTCTTGCAAGTCGAACGAAGAGCAATGACTTCTTGAGGGCCGACAAGAGAGACAACATGTTCTAGGACCTCGACGGCGAGATCTAACATGTTTGCGTTGCGTTGGCAAATGTCGGGTGATTGGTTCGTGTACGATGCGTGCTGGCGGTGCGCAAGGGTGGAAGAGTCGGCCAGAAGCTCGTTAGCAGTAGCGCGCTGAGCTCTGATACAGCGTAGAGAAGTTTCGTTGTGGTCAGACGAAAGATCTGTCGACGCCATCGTCTCCGTGAGACGATCCATCGTAGGTTGGTGGGCACAAGACAGGCCCAAAGGCTAGATGTGCAGGACAAGGAACGACGGCGCGCTGAGCAAGGTTAGTTTGTATAGATACGCGTCATCCAGGTGCTCAAAACATACGGACTCTAGGTACTGACAGAGATCTTAGAGAGCGCTGTCGTGAGTCGAATGTTGATCGCAGAGTGTGACGAGCAGGAAGCGCGCCTAAAAAAGACGCACACGCAAGATCAGTTCGCGTATAGAAGAAAGCGATGGAAGAAGAGTGTTATGAAGGATGCAGAAAGAGGGTGATGATAGATGAACGCAGAGTGTTGCAAGAAGCATCTGTTTGATGTCGAGTCCACGCTCAATAACCTCCTATCTGTCACCTCGACGACCAGAACAACAATCAATGCTTGCCACGCTTCATGGACACCCCCCATGTCCGAATACAATCTTTGTTTCGCTGCGAGTCTGCCCACCTGCCTATTCTTCTGCATCCACAACCAATGCCTGGAACTCTTCAAGAAACCCTCTACCATACGTAGGTAACTCATCAAAACCAAACCTCTTCACCAACCCCGGCAGTTTCTTCTCACTCCCAAGGACATCCTCGAACCTCGACTTCTCATCCATAGTCTTGTATCTATCCCAATAGGTATAGGCCTCCAAGACTTTACGGTCCAGATTGACCACCCAAGCCCACTCCATGAAAACCTCATCGTTCAGAAACTCCATATCCCATAGATGGATCTTCATCTCTGGTGGCACAAGCGACAATGTCCAGTATCTTGGCTCCAGTATCGCGAGACAGCGATTCAATGGCAGGAAGAGGGACAAAGCTTTTTGTTTCGATTTGCTTGCGCTGGATTCGGCGAAGTAGGCGTTTCGTTGCTCCTCGCTGACGTTAATGATACGAGTGTCGCTGTCGTCGAGGACCTTTTGGAGATCTGCGATGTTGATAGCATCGAGGAGGAAGTAAAGGGCTGTCAGGCCTTGACCGTCTGGGTGGCCGTCCCATTGACCGTATTGGATGATCCGGTATTTGCCTCTGTAATAGACGAGGGTGAGGTTGCGAGTACCCATGCTTCTGTTCAAATTGCGTAATGGTGGAGGTAGAGATGATTGTGAGAAGTCGAGAGGGCGTCCACAGGCGTGTATATATATATCGTTATGTATTGTGATGTAATGATGCGGCACGCAAAACTGACCAGGCTGCAATCGCGTTGATCGTTACACAAGACATACCTTGTTGTCCAACCCCAAAGACGCACGATAACCCATTGGCACATATTCAGTGAGAGCTTGGATAACGATGGAATGGCTTGGAAGAAATTGGAATTGAAATCATGATTTTGATCGAGTAAATGCTAAGACCAGAATGAGCTACAGAAAATTGTGGGAATATGTGCATGATAAATGGAAAGAAAAAAGACAAGACAGCTCCAGAGCTTAAGCCTTGATGTAAGGGATACCAGTAAGCTTGTAGCCTCTCTCGCTCAGCTGTGGGGGCTGGCGAGGCTTCCATGTGTTGTGAGGGTCGGGCTTGCCGTTGCGCTGGGGCTCCAAGAAGGCCTTGATGAATGGCTGAAGAGCCATGGGCCAGTGGCTGTGACCGTGCTGCTCCTCGAACAATTCCTTCTTGCGAATCAGATCCTCCTGAGTTGCTGTCGAAACGGGGAGCATGCAGACGTAGACAACGAATCTGTCAGTGTTCTTCTTGGGCGAGGCGTTGTAGTGAGGAGTTCTTGAATCCCACAGGACAAGGTCACCGGGCTCAGCGTCAACCTTGACCCATTCGTGGCCTCTGTCAGCCAACCACTTCAGACCGGTCTCCTTGAAGAGGTACATTTCGTTGGTCCATCTGAAGTCGCGAGGCTCGTTTCTGAAAACGTTGTGGTACTCCTCGCTGACCTTGTGACCGCCCTTGAGAACCAGAAGACCACCGTCCTCGGGGCCGTTGGGCAAGAGGTTGACAAAGCCTTGAACGCAACGCAGACCGCCACGCTCAGGGTCTTGATCTTGGTGAGGCCATGCACCATTAGCGGGCAGATCCTGACGGTTGGCGAGGGAGACGTTGACGGCATCGAATGAGCAGATGAGATCGGGGTCCTGGTAGAGGTGTGCAAAGGCGTCGATAACTGCTGGCTCGGAGCGAACTCCCCATGTGAAAGATTCGTGAGTAGCACCGTATGCTTGGAGGAGACCCTTTTGGTGGATGATGGGCAGGCACTCTTCGCGGATGGTCGAAGGGTCATCACGCTTGTAGCCGAGGCCGAAGCCCTCGAGCCAATCCTTGATGTCGTCGGCGTACTTGAGAGCCTTCTCCTTCTCGAGGACTCCCTTGACTACACAGTATCCATCGCGGGCAAGGTCTAAGACAGAAAAGTCAGTACAGGTCATGGCAGAAATGCGACAAGATCAAGAACGTACCGTCACGCCAATCGCCATAGTGGACCGACTCGTCAAGGACGTTCAGAACAGGAGTGTCGTGAACAACGCAAGGAGGAATAGCGTGAATAGTCTTGGAGTCGAGCTCAGGTTCCACGTTGAACTCGCGGACGTTGGCGGTCTGGGTCATAGTAGCGGTGGCCATGTTGATGTTGACTGCTGAGAGGCCGAGATGTTGTTTGATGTTTGATGATCAGATTGAATCTGGAGAATAGAACTGTCTTTTTCTGAGACTATCTCGCTGCTCTTATTATAATCAATGGCGGTCAGGCGGTGGAGGTCCGTTGCCTTGCAGAGAGTCGCCCGAGCTCAGCCGATGTCCTCGCCGAGGGGTGCTGGGGGATCTGCTCCGCTCGGTGACTGGGGCCCCGGATTGTGGCCCGAAGGTTGGTGATCGAGAACCGTCTTGATTTCCTTTTTCTGGCGTGGAGAAAGCGAGGAGAGTTTCCAGCAATCGTGGACTTGGAAATGCCACACGCTCTAGACACGAGTAGGCTCGGCAGAGGCAGCATTGGTCACAGTAGGAAGAAGTCAACTGCACCCTCTCATGGCATTTCGACCAAGTCAGAAATGTACACAAAGGGGAAGCGTCGACTCGGACAGCGCCGAGCCGAATGCACCTTCCCCGCACTCGGAGGAGACTGCCCTCCGAGAGACTGTCCTTCTAGAGCCTCCATGGGCACGAGATTCATTACTAGCTTGTACCCTTCTCTGAGTTTAGCATGATCCTTTTTACTCGATCTTCGCTCCAGCAAGAAGAAGAAGACCAAAACATATGCTCGGGCATCGGGTCAAAGTTGTTGAGCCCCCCCACAGATGCTCATTTGCGGGGTCTAGGCACGGAGACGAGTCCTGCCTGACACAACTCCTGGCCAGCACTGTCTGAGGAGCAGCGTTCATGAATTCTGTCCATGCTGCCTGAGTACTTTCTGCTGACCTTTATGCCTACACCGAACTCACCCGCGTCCACATCCCGCAACATACAAGTCAGTGTGGGGTGTCTCAAGTCGCATACCAACGATACACGGTAAGCTAAACGACCATGGCTTGAATGCGGCCTCCCTACAGGAGGACTGGCCAGGAAGAGTAAAGTCTCTTCTCGGATTCTTCTCTGCGACACCAAGATTGAACCTTTAGGGCGGCGGGTGGCGGAGAGCCTCTCATATCCCCAGACTCTTACCATCGGACTCGCCCACAAGACTCGACGCTCTCCAGCTCAGGCCCACTACCGGCAGACGTTGGACCACAAAGATAGACCACATGCAGCACCGGGCCCGTCGCGGATACATCTACCCCATAAAGATCCCCAATTGCACTCCCCCAGAAGTTCTTTACCCCAGTATCATTTATCATCTCGACCAATCTCCATCTCTACCTTGCACTGCTTCGCTCTGATATACCTCTCTTTGTTAATCCTGAAAGCTGCCACCGACATGGACAAGTCAGCTGCTAGCCACATGGAAGTTTCGACTTTCCCGGACTCACATGTAGTCGACTCGTACGCCGTCGACGCTAAGGATGAGCAAGTCACAGTCATTGGCACAATGGGGCAGGACCCCGATCACAAACAACCAGTGCCTTGGAGAGCGTGGGCCATCGTTGCAATCTGCGCTCTGGCTACATTCCAGGTAGGGTCCACTCACCGTCAAACACAATACAGTCACTGACATGTATGGTTAGAACACATACTACGGTATCGCCCCTGCTGCAAATCAATATGCCATCGCTGGAGCTTTGGGTGGTACTGCAAGTGAAAGAATCTGGATTGTCCAAGCTGCAGCTGTTCCTGCCATCGCTTTCGGTCCCATCTTCGCAATCATCTCAGATGTCTACGGTCGCAGAAACCTTATCCTTGCCGTCTGGGTGCTTTTCGCTGTCGGCTCTATCGTATCCATGACTGCTACCGGCATGACCGCCGTCATCGCTGGCCAAGCACTCTCTGGTGTTGCTTCGGGTATCTCTGGTATCATGTTCGCTGTCGCATCCGAGGTGCTTCCCGGAGCCTACCGTGCTTATGGCCAGACCATTGTCAGTTGGGTCTCTGGTCTGTCATCGCTCATTGCTCTTCTTCCCACCGGAGCTGCGACGACTGCCGATCCCGTAAACGGCTGGAGATGGATCTTCCGCATCAAGTTCATCCTCGAGTGCCTCGTCATCATCGGCATCGCAGCTCTTTACTTCGTAAGTCGGCCTTCGTTTGCCTTTAGTACTCTGCTGACCGCATCATGCTGTAGCCTCCTCCCCGTACTGCCGCTAGCAAGCAATCACTTGGTCAGAAGCTCAAGGCTCTCGACTGGATCGGTTACATTCTTCTTCTAGGCGCTCTTGTTCCCTTCTTGATGGGCTTTGCTTGGAGCGGAGACTCCAACTATGGTTGGGCTAACAAGACTCACACCGTTGTCCCCGTTGTTGTCGGTGGTGTTCTCTTCATCGTCTGCTTGATCTATGGTACGTCCAATCCTCGTTGATGCTTTGACCTCTTCTAACCTTTTTGCTACAGAATGGAAGGGAACCAAGACTGGTTTCTTGGACCACCGCCTCTTCCAGAACGGACGCAACTTCCCCCTCTGCATGGTCCTCATCGCCGTCGAGGGATCTCTTTTCTACCTCATGAACAACATTTACCCATCGCAAGTCAATGGTATCTGGGAGCAGCCTGGCACTATCAAGGCCAACGCCTACCTCCTGCCATTCTTCATGGTCATCACCGTCGTCTCGCCCCTGCTATCCGTCTACGTTACCAAGTTCAGAGACGTCAAGTGGCCCATCTTCGTTGGCTTCCTCTCGTTCAGTGCTTCCGTCATCGGTCTTGCGCTTGCTGGTGAAAATGGAAAGCTTGGTCTTGCATTCAACGGCATCGGTGGTCTAGGCTTTGCCCCTGTTCTGATTTTGATCATGGTTTGGGTCCAGGTAAGCACCAATTTCGCGAAAGCCTGCTGAGCAACGAGCTAACAACGAGCTTGTAGAACTCGACTCCTCCCCTCTTTATCGGTACTGCTTCTGCCCTTACCATCTCCTCTCGCACACTCGGTGGTACTGTCGGTCTGGGCATCGCAAACGCTATCTACGGATCGCTCACAAACACTCAAATTCCCGAGGCTATCAGTAAGTGGCAGAACCGATCTCTCATCTTCCAATCCGTACTAACACCACCTGCGCAGTCGCTGCCGTCCTGCCTCTCGGATTCAACCCAGAACACATTGGTCAGCTCATCGGCTTCTACTTCTCTGGTCAGGGCCTTGACAAGATTCCTGGCATCAACGGACGGATCCTCGGCGCCGGCCAGGCCGCACTTCACGCGACCGAGGCTCACGCCTACAAGATTGTCTGGTTATCCTTCCTCCCAGGCTGTGTTGTTGCCGCTGCCATCTGTCTCTTTATGCGCAACTCGAGCGAGAGAATGAACTGGGTCGTCGATGCCCCTCTTGAGACCAAGGTCGATGCCCTTTCCGCCAAGGAACAGGCATTGGAGATGGATCACACTACAGTTCACATTCCCACCTTGAACGATAACATCGAGATTGAGCGAGTCGAGCACAGATGAACTGTTTCATACGTGCAAACTTCAGCACGGAGGATCCCAGCCCAGACGATCATCTTGTACATAGTGTATGAATTTATGTTTTGTTATGACTACTTTTTACTCATCCTATCCATCACATATTGTCGCGAGCCTGTCTATATTCTTGTTCCCATTGAGAACACAACTATCAAATTCAACGAACAACCAACTCAAGCGTTGGATAAAGTCCTCTCCACAAGTCAATGCCTGCTATGCACAGATTGACGCTTGAGACAGCCGTGCAGTCGCTAATGCTCGCCACATCCCAGCCCTGACACTGCTCATCTCTGTCATACTGCGACCCTACAACATTGAGAATTTTGTCTCGAGCACAACGAAAGCTTTTCGCATCTCCAGTAGCCGACCGAGCACGAACTGCTTACGATCAAATTCCTATCACGACCTCGTGACGAATTCCTTTCTCCTCACTCATGGTGCACATGACCATTCCACCGGCTCTAGGGCAAGCTATTACGATTCACAAGGTATTCAACAGCATACACCTTGAGGGTCGGCTGTTCCGAGTGGTTCAGCTAGCCGTTCACGCTAGCCGAGGTGCTGAACACGGAATACGAGCTGCACTGGACAAACAGCATGCTGTACTTTACATCCTGTACAGCATGTAGACCGCTCTATCTCGCCCAAGTTGGCTCGTTACCACAGACTACCAGAGTAGGACAGTAAATCAAACCCATATCGAGTCTGGGGCGAGGAGCTGCCATGTAAGATTCGGTGGCGTATGCAGTTGCCACGAGCGTTTGCTAGCATACTCTATTTCTCCGAGTGTCTCTCTGCGTACTTTGTTATGCTCTTGCGCTCAGGACTAAAAACTCGCCCACACTGAGCCGGGGGTGGAGGAGAAGTTGTCCACACTCTCTTCCTCCATATGTGCTGTGCTGATGTACTCAACTGCCATGCTCTTCCTGCGAAAGCCTGGAGCGACGGTCATGCTTTGAAGAGGCATGTTGGCTCGTAGACTAACGAGAGCCTAAACTTTGTCGCGTCTCGATGGACACTGAGGAGATTCATGAAGTTGCTGTGGATTCCTAACGCTATTTGCATTACCTAAGTTTGCATATCGGAGATGTGGTTGCTTCTAATTTCTAAATCGTACTTCACCAATTCCTCCTTCCTTTTGTGCATCTCGTAAGTTTGAGTGTTTCGCCGCTTATTGTCTGCAGAATCTGGCCCGTTACCTAAGTCCATACATTGCATTTGGTAAACCCTGTGCTGCCTGAAGCGAGCGAACGTACAACCTGTAACCCTGTACCTCATCTCTATTTGTAATTCTGCGCCACATGGGCTCCGTGGTGCATTTTCAGTTCTTGGACTGCTGAACGGAGTCCTGCTGCGTCCAAGTGTCCATGCCGATCTCCAGAGCAAAACCCAGCTGCTTGAGTCTGAAATGGGTCTACTAATGACATTGTGTTCGCCTCGATCGGGTAGACCTTGTTGTCTCTGCTTCCAACGATTCTTACACCACTCATGCGGCAGCTTTGCTAATTGCTGGAAGAATGTGCTTGCTGCTCCGGAGATTTGAGCCACCGTAACGTCGATCAGGTCCGTGAGTCGATGGGTCGGCGACGACTGAGATGTCGAGGAGATTTCCTTTCCTGCGGATGTTTTCGAAGACTTGCCTCATGGTTCGCTCGAAGAGACTCCACTCGATGTAGGGGCTGTGGATAGTACCATTCAGAGTGTTGATGGTGATGCTCTTGATCTGGCGCAGCAGTACGGGAGTCTTGGTGATGCTCAGGAGCGCGGATATGCTCTGCTGAGAAACCACATGGGTGCGGCGTGAGAAGAATGCCTCTACAAACCCTGGTCTGTGACTGTGGACAGTTCTTTGCAGGTCATCCTGAGGTTCGGGAGGTCGTTTTTGTTTGCAGCTGCGACAAAAAGGCACAACACCTCTGCTGGTAGATCCATCAATCTCGTGTGCTCCTTTCTCTTGCTCTTGCTCTTGCTCTTGCTCTTGCTCTTGCGGCCTATCACTTGTCAATAATGATTTTCTCCTGTGGTTGCGATATATACTTACGCGTCAGGAGGTTGCGAATTCGACCTCGTTGACTACACGGCGGATCATCTCCCGTGGAGAGACTCGTCTACCGCCTTCCTGCTGGTTCGTCATGGTGTTCTGACGTCTTGATATCGCGGTGTCGTGGTTGCTGCAGAAGTGTTGGACAAGGATGGAATTTTCGCGCCGGATGGAATATAGCAGTGACGATTGACCCACGATACCAGAGCCCTCGACGAGAAACTCACAATCACATCACCCCCTCGACACGAAACCTCCGCTCCGTCATTCACTCTTGTAGGCACCCGTCGGATACGTCACTGCAGGTAGCCAAGCTTATGCACTATGATAGACACTTCTTTATCTTTCTTCTCCTGGACATCACACGACTACTCCTGCAGATCGACAAGATGCTATCTCACCTCCTTTCTTCCGGCTCTACTCGCATTACTCCACGAAGGCTTGCCCCTACTGAAGTGATCTCTCTGACGCATCACCTAGGGATAGACCTCGCAGCATGCTGCGTGGAGACTCGATGAGGGGGACGACGTGATTTGAGAAGATTACGATTCCCCATGGTTGCTTTGTAGAAGGAAACGAACCAGAAGGATGTATTAGAGTGAGCACCTGTGCATGAGATTGACACGACCGATGAACTAGATGCTGGCCGGAGACATGCCTTGATCTTAGCTTGCTGTTGCCTCGCCTTGTTCTTCACCCCTCTCACAACAGACACTTAGTAGCATATCGAACAGTAGAAATGCACAATCGATCCAAGAACAGGGGCGTCTGCAAAGAGAGCGACCCAATGAGAGGCCCTCAACGACAACGACCTCGTCTCTCGGATCATCGAACATTTTTGCAGCTACAGATGTGAGAGACCTCGACGAAGGAGAGGTGGGTATAGAGGAGAAGAGAGACACGGGAATGTGTATGAATCCAAAGGGGAGCTGTTTGAGAAATTTTTGCATTTACATTTGGGAGTGTGCTGTGTTACTGCTTCGTGCGCGCGCCTACTCTTTTGTTGGCTCTATACGAGACAATGTCTACTGCATCTCCATGGCATCGGCGCCATCGTTCTTCGACTTGGCTGCTCTCTGCTCGTCCAACTTGCCAGCACCCTTGATAGCATCCAGACCCTTTGACGTCAAGTACAAGAAGTGGCGTTCCTTGTAGTTGTCGATCTGGTTGAAGAAGAGGTGGAATCTGGAAAGTTGTGTTAGTATTGCAGCAGTTGAAACCAAGACAATCAAAACTTACGTGTTGTCTCTCTCTTCTTCAGCGAAAATTCTTTGATAGATCTCCCTCTGCTTGAACTCCTCGAGCTCCTTCTCGTACTTGCCAAAGTCAAGCTTCTCCTTGTCGTGCTTGACAGCCTGGATATCGTTGTAGCTGTCGAAAACAGGACGCTCGAGCAATAGACCCAAACCAGGAACCTTGGGGATGCTGATCTTCTGGTCGCCCTGAGCCTCGACAATGCGTTCGATGGGAGCGCCACAGCGGATAGTCAATGCGACCATACCGACCATTTTGCGAATCTGGTGCATCATGAACGACTGACCGTGAACCTTTAGCGACAACCATTCGGTTCCGTTGATGATGATGGGCTTCGGGTTGCAGACAAAAGACTTGATGTTACGTTTGGCTGAAGGATCCTTGTATGTCTTTTGAATTGTGAAGTTGTGGTAGTTGCGAGTGCCAATGTAAGAGTCGAGAGCGGCTTGCACACGAGCGATACGCACATCAGGGATACGGTACGCGCGACGAGCAGTGTTGTAAGCAATCTTGAGCTGTTTAACAGCGGCCTCGATACGCTTCTTTTGCTCTGTAGGGATGCTTGTGCTTTCAAGAGTGGCAGGCTCATCGGGCATGGGAGTGTCTGTTGTGCCAGCAGTTTCGGCAGCATCTTCTGGCTTGGCCTCGGTATCTGCGGGTGTTGATGTGTTGACATCAGCAGTTTGCTTGACCTGCTCCTCTTGCTTGTCCTGCTGTTCTCCATCAGGATTGAAGTCGGAAGGCTCGTGAATAGCTTGTAGGACCAGTTCACGAATGTCGTCGTCGTCCAGAGCATCGACAATAGGCTTGATGTCACGCTCTTCGACAGTCTTCCAGAAGTCCTTGACCTCGGCTTGACGCGACTCGTAACCTTGACGGTCACCAACCTCGTCGGCAGCCTCCTCCAGGTTTCTGGCCATCCAGCTACTCGGGTGAGGGGGCAAGAAGGCGTGTGATGGGATCAGATACTCGTACCAGCGGCTGTCGCAGACTTGATAGCAGCTGAAACTGCCGATTGTTCTTTCAATTCCCCAGACTCTGATTTGTGGTGATAGATGCGAGTTGATCTTTTGGACAATGTCGGGGTCTTCAACAATCAACTTGAGCGAAATCATGTTTCCTGCGGCGTGGACGCCCTTGTCGGTACGGGCACATCTGACGAGTGCCGACTTCTTGGGGTCATCAGCGTTTGCCTTGGAGATGGCTCCAGCTTGGACAAAGGCCGTGAACAAATCGCCTTCAATCGTCTTTTCGGTTGTGTTGATCTGCATGCCCTTGTAGCCAGTACCACTGTATCCGATCAAGACGGCGACCTTGCGCTTGGGCTTGCGCTCTTCTGCAGCAATCTCATCTTGGGCGAAGGGTGCAGGGAGGACCGAGTTCTCAGGACGCGGCTTCTTCTTCTCTTCGTCGTTGCGGGTTCTTCGGTCTGGCTGCTCTCGTCTGAGGGAACGTTAGTCACGGGCGGGTGTATACCAATCATCAGCAATACCTACGACCACGCGTTCCTGCCCATATCTCTCTTCTTACCACCGCGACCAAATTTGAGTCCGTCGTCCTGGAATCGCTTGCGTTTGCGGTCGCTGTGGGACTCTCCTTGGGGCTCGCCACTGCTTTCGGTTGCGTTTGTGGTGGTCGCATCGTCCACAACAGGCGCCGTAGCCGGCTTGGGGTCAGTCGAGTCTGCCATGATGTTGATAATAGCATGGTAAAGGTGGTCGACATGCTCTCAATTCTCTTTGCTACAGCCTTGGCGCGTCATACTCGATCAACTTTCTCCACGTCTCCCGCTTTTGTCAGGGTCCTCCCGCTCGCAACAATTTCTACCATCTTTTTGCCTTCTATCATCAATAGCACCGACCACGTCTACAAACATACCCATCAAAGCTGGCCATATTATACATATAGCCCTCTTTGACTGTATGTAGGATCTTCGATGGGCTGCTACCATGTTCTGCTAAGTTATGCCGCTTTTTCGGCTCTGCAACTTGCTTCAGTCAGAAGATCCTCTCGATTGGTATACCCGTAATATCAATTATCATCCCTTGAGACAGATCACTGCTGTACCGACATTCAATGACATCATCAGACTGATATCGAGTCTGGAGAATTTAGAGCGTTGTAGTTGACCATGCTACATACCATGGGGAACTCTTAGGCAGGCATTTTTCAAGATTGTGTCTGCTTGTGATGTGTACGAGATATATTTCTCAAAGATTGACTTCAAAAGTATAATCTCTTCTTAGCTCAGTTGGTTTAGAGCGTCTGACTGTAATTGTTGATTGTCATCAGAAGGTCCTTTGTTCGACTCAGAGAGAGGAGAGTTTTCTTTTGCTGTGCTGTCAGGCGGTCTTCCTGCCTGGAACCTGTCTTTTGTCCCGTCTGCACTCAAATGTGCCCAATCAATTCGAATTCCAGGATGATTTGATGCAGGTACATTCATTCTTTCCAACAGCAGCCTCTGGGACAAGTTTTATCGTTCTGGCTCTCGAAACATCAGGAGACTTTGAGAGTATGAGGGGCGGCTCGGGCGCATCGTGGTTGAACCCTGAAGACGCGGCCAGACCCGCAAATCTCTCCTTGACATTCAACCTCATGCCTTCCACGCCTTCCTCCTTGCTCCCACCTGTTTCATTCGTTCTTTTGTAGATACAGAGCCAATTGCTTGTCGACTTGCTCCGGAATCGCTTTTCGATCTTGTGCTCAGCTCAGACGCCTTCGCTCTCTTTAGAACTTCAGGCCCAACACTCTTTTGCCCATCGTATCTCTGCCCCTCCAGCCGTATTGCCAATACGATATTCTAGTATTCGCAAATTTGGATCCTACTTCAGACTACCAGAACTCACTGGGATTACCCTACTTTAGATTGAGCTTGAGCACATCTCGCGAGACATCGCATATACCTGGTCGACTCAACCGCTCAATTCCAAAGCATTCAAGATGGCTCGTACCGTCGACCCCTACTTGACAGGACCGGATCTGGTCGTTTCTAAGAACCTTCTCCAAGACTTGCAAGCATTAGCAACACCTGCAGGTCAGGATCCTGCTGATGACGAAAAGGATATTAAGCATTTGCTTGCTATTAATGACCCAAAGAGCCCGGACTTCGTGCCAACTGTCTTTACAACATGGGACGACAAGGATCTCAACCCTACCATCAAAAAATACCTGGTCAAACCTTACACCAAGATTGCTATGGGAATTGTGCGTCATCCGACTGATGTTGTCTTCTTGACGCATATCATCTTGTACTTGACGGTCAATCTGGCAAGCGCCGCTTATCTCTACTACGACTTCCACTGGTATCATGGTGTGATTCACACGGTGTACACCGTTTGGTGTGCCGGTGCTTTTACTCTGCTCATGCACAACCATATTCACAATGGAGGTGTTCTCAAGAAGGAGTACGCATGGTTCGATCTGAGCTTCCCTTATCTGCTGGAGCCACTGATGGGCCACACCTGGGATTCATACTACTATCATCATGTCAAGCACCACCATGTAGAGGGCAATGGACCGGACGATCTTTCCTCGACGATTCGCTACCAGCGCGATTCACCATTCGACTTTGCATGCTACGTTGGACGGTTCCTTCTATTCGTTTGGGCTGAGCTGCCTCTTTACTTCCTCCGCAAGGGCAAGTCGAGATTGGCACTCCAGTCTTGTGTGTCAGAGATGGCCAACTATGCTTTCTTCTACTTCATGGCGGCCAAAGTCAACTTCAGCGCATCCATGTTCGTTCTGTTGTTGCCTTTCGGTATCATGCGCATTGGACTCATGGTCGGAAATTGGGGCCAGCATGCTCTTGTCGATGAGGTGGACCCTGATTCAGACTTCAGAAGCAGCATCACCCTCATCGATGTTCCCAGCAACCGCTTCTGCTTCAACGATGGCTACCACACTGCTCATCACCTTAATCCTCGCCGCCATTGGAGAGACGCTCCTGTCCACTTCCTTCAAAGCAAGGAGGCGTACAGCAGCGGTCGAGCACTTGTATTCCACAATATCGACTACTTGATGCTGACCGTCAGAGTGCTCAAGAAGCAATATCTCTACCTGGCCGAAAATTGCTTGATCCCAATTGGTGAACAAACAAAAATGTCAAAGCAAGAGCTCGCAGATATGTTGCGTACGAAGACAAAGGCTTTCACCGAGGAAGATATCAGGCAGAAGTTTGGCATCAAGGCTAGATCGGGCAGGAAGAGTGGATGGCAGAGTTGGATGGAGAAGGTTGTTGGCGGTTTGTCTGGTTCGGTCTCAGCTCCTATGAAAGAGGCCACTGAGTAGTTCACCACCTTACACAAAAGTTCTCTAAACCTCACAAGTTTTCGTTGTCGATGACCTTGCTGTCAGTGATTCTTTGCGTGCACGCGCATCGGCGTTACGTGAGGCAATGCCGTGCTCGCATAGCCTTTCCCCATGCGAACATCACGCTTCCAGATAACACCTTCTCTGATTTCTTACGATGCATCTGGACACAACTACCACACACCTTCGCCAATGCCAGGACCATTGAGCCATTGTTCACAAAGTTCAGGCTCGCTAAAACTGCTTGGTGATCTTAAAACCTTTTGAGACTCTGTCTACATACCACCAGTCTGTCTAGCTCTCGATGATAGCATGTATATTCGGCGATATCTTGACGGCTGTCCTTGTTGTTGCTATGACCGCCGTGTTGGATAGTCCGAAAAAGATAGCAGTGTTGCGGTGAACTTAATAACACGTTCACATATTCCGTGAACCAACACTTCTCTCATCGACAGTTCTCTTATTAACACTTCTCTTATCGACACTCTACCTCTTACGATCTAATTAATACATTGTGCAGTATTCGCGCTTGGTTTTGTCTACTCTGCATCTACAGCCGATCGAATTATACAATCGTGAGTGTTCCTAACTCATATTACCATGAGCCCTCTAAACTGATTTAGGCGCGGATTAGGAGGTCAGCTTTCTACAAGCCCATCGAAGCATCGAAGCGGAGCCTGAAACTAGTCAAACCGCTCGCGACATTTTGCGCAAATTTACCCAAGAAGGACAGGCATACCTTCATCAACACAGCGTCTACTCCCCGAACGATACGACCGAGCTCTCGAACAGTCGTCTCAAGAGCCATCATCCCACAACCCTCAGTGACGTCTATGTTCATGATACTACAACAGACGTATACGTCGCACCTAGCAGCCGAAACTCCAACCATACATTCCTTTCAAGTACGTCAAGTTAGACATTCGGACCTCCTTGAATGACTCCAAGTTGGACATACTCAGCGGTCCGCTCAGGCGGAGTGTACAGCAGTGGACTGGGGTGCACAAGGCGGTGGGAAGAAAGGAGACGGGTGTGTTTCAGATAAGTGGTAGATGATCTTATTTTCTGTATGTTGACTTGATTTCTGCTTTCCCTTGTACACTACCTGATGATGAGAGAGTGTGGACTATATAATCTAAGTCGTTGATGTTCTGGAATTTGAGACACTCAGCGAATAGCTTATACTGCGTAACCGCACATGGAACCCTCAAATTCAGGTACATGTTTATGGGGTTGTTCTAGAAGTCAAATTGTGAATTTGTATGCCTACGATCCAGCAAAGCATACTCTCGTTCACAGATTCAACATTGCGAGTCTCACGGTGCATAACTATAATGAAACATGGTGTTGCAGTATGCTTCATCAATCGTCGTACTCATACATTCGTCCTCGACCTATCCATGAACCCGGCACGAGCCTTGACATCCCCTTCGACCTGACCCGACCCAACCCCTGATGAGCCTTCAAGCTCTCTTCCGGTACCCCCTCCACCTCCCGTCACATAGTCGATCAATTGTCAAGGGCCATGCGCTCCCTGGCGGGGATGGTGGAAGGGAACCTGGCGCGAGCCTTTGCGTCATCCTTCTCTTGAGTGGCTGGCGAGGCCATGGACTCCGCCCTGATGCTGTCGCCTTCGACGGTGGTGTGAGCGAGAAGCAGAGACGAGATGAGAAGGAAGAGACGATACTTACTGCTGCTGCCCCTGAGGGCGCGGGTCATCTTGCTGACCAGGTCTTCGACACTAGTCTTGAGCTTCTTGAGGAAGCGTGGTGCCATTGTGGGAAGCGGCAGGGGCTTTGATGGTGATGTTGAGGAGGAAGTAGTGGGAGCTACGAGAACTTGGTGACCTCGTTGTTATGTTAGGTGCCGAGAAGGGAATGGAACAGCGTCGTAGAAGTGAAGTGAAATGCTGTGTACATACGCGGAAACTGCTACCACAACGCAAAACGCACCTTCTGCACCATGAGGACTTACCATAACACGCGTCTCCACATCGAACAAAGGTAGCTATACCAAACCTCATCAGATCTTCAATACCTTACTGATCTACCAGGCTCCCGCTCAACACTCCCTACAAACATTCAGACCTTCGCGTCTTCTCAAGCAAGCACGTACGTCGAGCATATCCAAACTTGACTGAACAGTTGCTAACCCGTATAAAGCTGATCATGGACGGTCTCTCAGCCTCTCAGCTCTTCTACATCGTCTTCCAGCGAGAACTCGCAGAAGCGATTGCTGCCATGCAGCGTCAACAAGCAGAAGACCGCATCCTGGATGCCATCACAGAGATGTTCAAAATGACCTGGATCTCTCAAGACAACCAGCAAGACCAAGAAGGAGGCTCAGGCGAGTCAGCAGAGCAGGTTCTTGATGATCTGGAGGAGGATTGGGTGCTGGTGTAGAGCCCGAGGGAGTATGGACAAAGTACCCGCGCTGCGAGCTCAGAAGTGCCCTCCTCGAAACGTAACCTTTGTCCGAAACCCTGCAGTACACCTCCGTAATCTACAATGTCTTGCCGTCTCAGAAGGAACGGACTGTCTCTCGAACACACATACAATATGAGCTTTCCCCAACCATGAGGCTCTGCACAGTCTCTTATGAAAATGCAAGGTGGACTTACTGAAAGACGGCTATCCAGTGAGAGTCGGGAGGTGTTAGTCTATCACAGCTCTCAATGGAACAAGGATGAGTCAACAATCTGTTGTTGCATTATGGTAGAAGGACCAGTTGCTGGCATGCGAGCCGGAAGTTCCGCGAGACGTTGTTGCCAAGCTGGTCAATGTCGTCATTGACAAGACCTCGAGGACGACGACGAGCATCATTTGATGTCTATCCTATCGCTCAAGAACATCAGTTACATTCTTCTCTATCGGCAGCACATTCTGAAGTACTAACACAAGCATTGGAAAGTCCACTCCACGACAAAAGAATAAAACGACCACATCCAGAGTCTGGACCCTGATCGACACCACATAAACAGATCGCCAACAGTATCAACACCAGATTTCACCATGGTCGACGGCAACAGATCAACACTGAAAGAATTCATTGCATCCATCTCGACAGTAAAAGGTGATCTCTCAACTATCACCGCACCTCCGTTTCTGCTGGCGTCACAATCGACCGTCGAGTTTACATCTTATTGGTGCGAGAGACCTCAACTATTGTGCGCTCCAGCCTCAGAGCCTGACGCTCAGAAACGTTGTTTGCTTGTCTTAAAGTGGTTTCTGGCAAGTCTAAAGCGTCAACAGTATGCAGGTCGGGACGAGAACGCGGGTGTCAAGAAGCCGTTGAATGCTTTCTTGGGTGAAGTGTTCATGGGAGCTTGGGGTGGTGATGATGGCGAAGGCAGAACAGGCTTAATTGCTGAGCAAGTCAGGTCAGTTCGACTTATTGTTGAGGAGATGGTGTGGTTGAAGAAGTGCTGATTCAAAGTCAGTCATCACCCACCAGTTACGGCCTGCTATCTATGGAACGATGAGCAAGGCGTCAGGGTATGTCTACAAAGCTGTTGAGTGCTCGCTATGACTAACTTCAAGTTTAGGCCGAAGGGTATGCATGCCAAAACATCACATTCTCAGGCACTGTCAACATCAAGCAAATTGGGCACGCGATAATCCACCTTGACAAGTGGAACGAGGATTATCTGGTTCCTCTACCTTCTGTGAAAGTCTCAGGTCTTATCACTGGAACACCATATCCGGAGCTGGTTGGAAGTTACGACATTGTCTCTTCGTCTGGCTATGTTGCCACTGTGGACTTCTCTGGAAAGCGCCTACTGGGTCTGGCTGGCAAGAAGAACGGTCTACACGCCGCAGTCTACTCCACCGAAGACAGCAGCCGCAAACATCCAATCTACACCTTGGATGGCACCTGGAATTCTGTCTTCACCATTCGCGACGAAAAGGCCAACACGGTGATTGAAGAGTTTGACACGAATGCGCACCCACCGCTCCCTACGCAAGTCCCGGATGAGTCAATGCTTGACCCTTACGAAAGCAGGAAAGCGTGGGGTCCTACTATCTCAGCCTTGAATTCTGGAAACATGCAAGCAGCCGCCGACGCAAAAAGTAAGGTCGAACAAGGTCAACGCGAGATGAGGAAGCGAGAAGAGAAGGAAAGCAAGACTTGGACACCGCTGTTCTTCCAAAAAGTACAAAGCGAACCGAGACTTGATGAGTTGAAGAGTGTAGCGCACGGAGATACAGAAGTGATTGGCACGCAAGGAATATGGCGCTGGGTCGGTAATGAGAAGGCTGAACAAATTGACAGACCCTTCCATGGAGACTTGGTGCCGTGGTTGACGTAGGTCAATCAAGTGCAAGCAAAAAGAACCAAGATAGAAGACTAGCTTGGGGGAAAAACCCAAAGTCATAATTGCGACCAACCAAGGCTGAGAGTTGAACTCACAACCCCTGGATTCTATTTACGCTAGGCTTGTATTTTTCCATCGAGTGGTGTGAAACGTGTGAGCCACAGTACCGATCTCTGTCATGAGCAGACTTCTACTGAAACATAAAGTAAGTGCTGACGAGTGAAAGTTGAGTCGGCAAGAGCTCTTCGTGGAGCAGTTGCTTCCAAAAGGCTACAGCGTATTCACTTCTCCTCCTTCCGTGAGAGCAGACTTCTTGGCAGCGTCTGTGGTCAATGTAGGTCAATTGATTGACCAGACGGAAAGGCACACTATGTGTAGCCGTGTCGCCATCAAATACGTCTTTGCCTTATCTTGGCTTGCCTTTTCATCCCAGAACGATGAACTTCAAAGACTGAATCCACTTTCTGTTTGCTGCTCATCAATTTAACTTGAAGAATGGACCGTTCGATCCAGAGTCGACAAGAAACTGCTAGAGTAAACTCAATGGACAAGGAGCGATATACGAAAGCTTGTAAGTTTGGGTCTTTCAATGCGCTCGCTCGAATTGCTCTACTCTATGCCTCAAAATCCTACAAAGCATAGCTCTCCAACTCGGCTATGCCAGATCGACTCCACGCATGAACACTGAAGATCTCCAGTAACAACCCTTCTGCCGCCCATATCTATAATAAGTTTGAAAGAATCAGGAGTATCTCAACAAACTTCAAGAATGGCTCTGAACGCCTTTCAACTGGCCAAATCAAATCTCTGCCGTGACTCGTAAAGGCACGCGGCTCACTTCGGCTCTGATAACTATTTCATGATGGAAGCTGATAGCCTAACCCAAAGCTTTCCATGTTTGCGTAGGTCTTTGTGATCCTTATTCATGTTTACATGCAGCAATCATAGCTGTCATCAGAGCAGATAGGTATATAGACTGGTCCATCCCCACATCACATCAACAGATTCCACATCTACAGCTATCCGCTTGTCAAGTTTCAATTATATATACACTGCTTCTTGTTCCACTCCAATCTTTCCGTTCAAGAGACTTGTTCAATACTGGTACAACATGCTTCTCCTCTCACATCAATTCGTACGTTATATGGAGCTGGAGTTGGCCAACCCACCCCTACTTAGGGCGAGGCTACCAAGTCACACTCAGACCGCATTTGAGTCCAATGACGATACTCTCTCTGTCTAGGAAGACTTGAGAGCCACGTCTTCGAGTCCCAAAGAACATGGAGTATCCATCACTATGGGCATCACCGACGAATACAGCGAGGAGAACTGTAAGATGCTCGGTTCCAAAAAGAGACACGTCACTACTGATAGCATTGCGGACGAGCATGGCACTGAAAACGACAGAATACTTGGTCACATAAGCTGTGAAGCAGTGAGGATGTCGTTTTCAGCTTCATGAACATAGATTGACGCTTTCGATTGCGGTGTCTTCAACTAACATTATACTGCTGCGGGTGAGAGGATGCTTCCGATCTTCGAGGCTACCGTTTTCCTCTCTGGATACTCGGTGACTGGGTAGAGCGTCCATTGATGATATTCACAAACAGGAGCATGACTCTGTGAGTCAGAAAGAAGAAGAAGACGAAAAAGTGTATATAGGAAGTTAGCACCTCGAGAGAGTAAACGGGTATGATCACGACAGAAGGCCAGGCATAGAACCTTCCGGGCCCAGGTATCGCAGCGGTGCGTCAGCAGGTCGACAACGAGACCGGACCTCGTCGTCGACGATCACGTCAACAACACGTTCAGACACGTTCAGTTGGCTGTTTGCACGCCATCATTATAAAAGCGCCTGACGCTTCGAAGCAATCCTCTCTCTTCCTCCTTCTTCTCGACGTAGACACGCGAGTACAGTCATCTCGACGCACCATCTCTCTCGCACCAGCACCGCCATAAGGAGAACAGCAAAGTAAGTATTTTCTTTCCAACTTCCATCCATCTTGTTCCATACACTCCACACACGCGAGGGTCGAGTACCCACCTGTACTTTCGTTCGATACCTCGAACTCGTACACACCTACGACACTATTTCTCGATCTAACTCTTCTCCTTCTGGTTACATCAACTGACTTTACCTCGAGATCCAGCACAGTCACAATGGCCAATTGGGGTGCACTTCCTATGGAAGTAAAGACGATGATCGTCAAAGAGTTCGCAATTCGCACCCCTGAAGAGCTCGTCGACCTCTGTGAAGCCGACAAAGAGATGAAATTCCTCACAGACGTTCATTTCGGAGCTTTCTACTTCGAAAAGATTGCCCTGTTCAACTCAGAGTATGCTGTCAAGGAGTTGATGGACATGGTCGGGAGTCCCGCCATCGGCCCCTGCATTCGCCATATCGTGCTCAGCGCCCTCCGACTCGAGCCCGACGGCTGTTTCCAATGGGTGAAGAGACTTCCAGTCAATGAGCGTCACAGCGTCGAAACTGGTACTAGTATCTACGATGACCTAACGGCTGTCTTTGCGAACCTTAAGGAGTACAAGCAACCCATCACTATTGGCATAACCGACGAGTTCAGCGACGAGAACTACAACATGCTCGGCTTCAGCAAGAAGCTGGACGGTACTGACTGTGGAGATTTCGAGACCTATAACGTCACAGCTGATGAAGTTGATGCGTTCGACACTATTACTGGTGCCGCCGAAGAAGCTGGCTGCCAGATCCAAGGTCTTGAGGTCAAGCTGTACCCACGTCGCAACTGCTCGAAGATCGAACTGGCCTGGGGCTACTACGACTTTCCGATGACACTCGCACGCTATCTCAGTCCCAACAAAAACATCAACGTGCACATCGAGACACAAATTGGCAAAAAGTCACAGAAGGCCATCAACGTCGCTTACGACAAGAAAAATCGTCGTCTGTCCATCAAGCACAGCAGAATTCCTGTAGCCTATGACACTTGGATGCTTGAATACTGGATCGAGAAGATAGACATCAAGCAAGTCCACTTTGAGGACATGAAGATTAGAGTCACAGGACTCGAGTCACTGGTCAACCCTTCACGTCGACGGTATCAACAAGATCGAATCAAACAACTGCAACTTCCTCTCCGATCACAACCTCAAGGCCGTTCTCGAGTACATCTCAACCATCACCACACTCACAGAATGCCTGATCGTCAAGCCAAAGATCTCCAGCGGCTCCAGCGTGTTCATGGGATTCTTCACAACGGACAGAATCGACGGAAGCATCAGCTTCACGGGTGACGTGGCCAAGCAAGTCACAGAAAAGCTACAGTCCTGGGAAAGCTTGGACATCCAGGTCGACGACGAAGCAGATGAAGAACCGGAGAATGAAGACAGTGATGAGGGAGAAGACACAGAGGAGGAGCAGTTTGAGGATGAGGATGACGAGGTTGAAGAAGGGTCGGAGGAGTCAGAAGAAGAGTTTGAGGAGTCAGAAGAAGAGTTTGAGGAGAAAGAAGACAGCAAAGATGGAGATTACGAAGAGAGTGGCGAGGATGACGACGAGGATGAGGATTGAACGTGCATTGACACGAGGAAAGGTTGACTATCTCATTGAGAATAGCATTTGCTAAGAGCAAGGTTTCGGAAAAATGGCATAGGAAAAGTAACGCTCAATTCAAATATCCCTTGCATGACGCTCTTTTGATCTTCCTCGATTTTGGTAACGACTGTGCATTTTGATAGCTCACTTTACTCTTAGATGCTATCGTGAAACAGAAAAGTATACGAAACTCCAGCAGATCCTTCTGCTTCAGATACCAAACCATAAAGATGTACGGTGTTATCACAGATCAGAGTAGTATTCAGAGAGACTGACGATAGCATCGACTCTCTTTGGCCATGGTTTTTCTAGAGAAATATTCGTGCATTCCTATAGTGCCTTCTCTCGCAGACTGCTGTTTGAAAGAGACGTCGACTACATGGGATTCAGCAAGACGTTCACATGACAGACAAAACAGCGGTAGAAAAGCATAGTCCTCTGAGATGTCAGAAACGCTTCTACAGAAATTGAAACGACATGGACTCTTCTTTGAACTCGACCTTGTTTTGGAGATATCTGTACATTTGGATAGTCTACGTCACTGCCATATGTGATTGTGGAACAGAAGCCGAATAAGAAAAATTGAAGTAGCTCTCAAGTGGGACTCCACCTGCCAACTGACGACTATTAGAATGCACAGGTTCCTCAACAATCAAAGTATTGCCCAAAGAGACTTGTCACATCATCGTTTCTCTCTGGACACAACTCGCAATTTCAAAACTTTGTGCATTTCTATAGATGACTTGAACATCACGGGTCGATATGGAGTCAAGGCTGTAGAACCATGTTATGCATCTCTTGAGATGTAGCGAGAATCGTGGTTGATGACTTAATACTGGTGCAATTGCATACGTTCAGTTCAAAACACGTGATGCAATACGCTCTATCTGCAAGACTGGACAAGATGACAGAACTCCACATCGCTATGCCCCGAGACATGAAGGAAACAGAGAAAAAGAAAAAAAAAGAAAAAAAAGAGAAAGACAAAACAGCAGACAGGAAATGCAGAATGTGGCCTTCTGGATCCAAAAAGAGCAGCAGAGACTCGACAGGAATCCAAGGAGACAAATATGGCATCTCTACCAATCAATAGCCCACGTCCCCGCCGTCTTCCAAAACTCCTCCAACACCTGCCTCAACGCAACATTCGGCCTCAATTCCTTGGGCGTCAAAGGCTCCCTCGTCAACGGATCCGTAGGGTTATTCTTCAGATGCTCCAACAGCGTCGCTCTCTCATAACTATGTCCAGTCCTCGTAATGACCGGATCATGCATGATTTCAAAACTAATCGTGTCGACCAGATAATCAGGGACTTCTCTAGGTTGATGGTTCTGCGGATCCGCCAATGCAAAAACAGTCTTGAGCTCGTCGAGTTTGTGTTGGTGAGACTCGAGAATTTCCTGCCGTTGTTCTTGGGCGGAGACGACGCCGATTGAGGAGGTGGAGAGGAGGGATTCGATGGAGGAGAGTTGGGTGCGTTTGGACGCTTCGAGGGATTCTTCCAGCTCGGCGAGGATGTCGCCTCTTTGGCGTCTGCGTTGTCTTTCTCTGGCGGCAAACTTCTCTTTCTTGCATTTGAGAACAAAGTCGGAGAGGGAAGGGAGAGCAGCGGTGGCTTTGTTTGCTTCGGCGGGTGGAGGATGCATGGCTTGGTTGTAGGCGGTCAGGGCTGACGACAGAGCTTCATTGGGGTGGTGCAGAGCCAGTTGTGCTTGGGCGAGGTAGAAGTAGGACTTGAAGTTGAAAGCGTTGTGCGGTGTGAGGGAGATGCTGTGCAGACAGTCGTCGATGACGCCCTGCCATCTTTGCAGTCGGATGCGGGCGAGGGCGCGGTTGGTGAACAGCAGGGGGTTGCGAGAGTATTTTGTTATGGCGGCCGTGTATTGTTCTTCGGCTGCTGCGTAGTCGCCTGCCTTGAATAGATCGTTGCCTTGGTGCTTGAGTTTCTCGGCCAGGTGTGCCATGCTGCTTGTCCAGAGGGTGTGGGTGCAGACTACCGAACGTCTATGACACCAAGCATACGCGACTAGCTGTAGAGGGAAAGTTGTCGAGTAGTTCGAATTGCTGGTCGCATCTGCATAAACATGACCCCTCGAAGGTTCTGGACGGAAGCGGTAACGATATGTCATCGCTGCTTAAATCCGAGCGCCGCTGCATGCCGCACGCGACAACGCACGGACGAATCGTCTATACCACTGACGCATTGGGCATCCTCACTCGTAATCTTTTGATTTCTCTTCCCTCACCAAAATGTGACATGTTTGCTGAACACACACTGAGTCTCACTGTGATACGATAGCAGAGTCTATAAACCCCCTTTGCCTGGTATACCTCCCATCGAAGTCATGGTAGTGCCAATCACCGTACCAAAAGCGTCACCACCCTCCCTCGTTGATTTACTTATTCACATGTAATATCGTCATTGGAAACCTTCAGAACCCACGCGTCTTCGCTGTCAACCTCTGTGACGAATGCTCAATCCACCTCGATGTCTTCGGAATCAGTCGTTTGCTCGGACATCTCGCTGTCAGCATCCGAAGTCGATCCTCTTCTCTTCTCACGCTTGAAGGTAGCAGCCTCCTCAGCAAGTAACTCCTCCACTTCGCTGTTGGTGTGAGTTACAGCAGGAGCCTCGCCCTTCATGCAACCAAAGCGAACTCTCTTCTTAGGTGTCATGAGAGGGCTGATGGCATCAAAGTTCTTCATCTTGTAGATAGAAGTATGCGAGAGATGCTTGCGCACGCTGGTCTTGAGACAGCCAAAGCGAACACGCTTCCTAGGAGGACTGGACGATGGAGATGGATGCGCGGATTCTGCAGTGTCGATATCGATGACTTGGTCGCTGAAGCTGACGCGCTGGCTTTGGATGCGCTCGGGGACTTCAATCTCGACGATGCTGACTTTGTTGTTGAAGCGGACTCCTCTGACTTTGGCCATCTGCTTGTGTGTGTCTGATGGGATGGGCGACTCGAGCGCGTCGGAGAGGTCAGAGAGGTCGATGGATGGTGACATGCTGACAGAGTGGTTGATGTGTTCGTTCGTGGTCGGTTTGCTGCGTGCGTCCTGGATGTGTTGGAGGATTGCAGGTAGGATAAGTTGTCTGCGGCGGCTGTTGCTCGGCGAACGAGCGCGCTGAAGATTGATGTTGGGTGCCATTTCCTCTGTGACTCAAAAATGTGGTGTGTGATAGCAAGCGTTGGCGCGTGGTGAGTGGTGGATCAATGTTTGAATAGCTCACACAACGAACGAAGTGACAAGAGGTAAGAAGGAAGCAGAAGCGCACATTTTATGCTTTTCCGTGAACAAACTGACAATAACAGGATGCTGCTAGTCGAGTGCGACAATAAAAAGGTAATGTCGATGTAATCAGAAGTGAAGGGTCACCAAGGCTGGCAAGTCGGCCATTGGCTGCATACCAGTCAGCCGAACAGCCTCAGCGAATCAGACATTCTTCTCGTCGATGAGATCACGTTTCGAACGGACGTAAAGATGACTGGAGCAGGAAACATCACAAGCTGAATGGGTCGCTTGCGTGCTTTTGCCTTGCCATGATTGTTACACTACCCCTGGTTTGACCTCATGGCCCCTCCCCCACGGCTGTCACCTCACGAGAAACACAGGCGTGCATCATGAAGGGGAGCATGATGGGGGAACAACTTTGTAACGGTAGGGAGAAAACGTTGAGCAGAAATTGTGCTGCGCTTGACATAGCCTATTACGATTAACCATGTCCTGTCCTACTACAGCGATTACTTACAATGTACTATACAGCATTAGTGGTTTGAGTGGACCGTCCACCAAGCACTCGTTCTCTTCACTCCCACTTCACCGAAGCGCGACACCAGCCTATTACAGCTTCAGCATCCATTGGGCCCGTTCGTTGAACTTGATCTCAGACACGGCCATCTGCTCATGCGAAACCAAGAGCTATCCAGCTCGCACCAGCAGCGTACAATGTACTATCCTCAAACGTCTTCAACGACCAACGAAACCCTTGTGTACCGACATCATGGACGTCAACAGCGACTCTCAAGTCTGCATTGCCTGCCATATCGATATAGTTCAAGGCACACAAGACCGTAGGAGCAGGCCGATGCGACTTGAACACACCCTCCTGAAACTTCACCTCCGACTTTGTTTCTGGGATCGGATTGCTCCAACTTCGGACGTCGCCTGTGTTGAAGCTGCCTGCTTGCACGTAGCGCTTGCGCTTTGGAAAGGCAATCCAGCACATCGCACCTCCATACAGAAGACTGTCCCCCCACGTATCGATGTGAGCCGTGAAGCCTTTGCGGGTGACGTTAGTCGCGTAGGCTCTTATACGGTAGTTCCGATCGCCGCTGGCCATGTCCAGTCGATTGAGCCAACAGATGATGTCGACATCGTCCTTGAATGCTTGAGGAAAGGTGAATTCCCGCGAGTTCTCTTGTTGTGCCCCCCTCTTGCTCGCTGCACCGTTTGCGGGTAAATCGTGTGTGTCGAACTGGCCAAACAGGCAGTCTTTGGCGTAGGCCTTGTGCTCGATCCACGTCGCGCTCGCCGAGTAGAGTAGCGATCTCTCGCCCCAGGTTTCCAGCGTTATACGGAACGAGTCTGTGGTTATCTTGTCGGCGACCAGGTTCGCTCTGACTGGTGCTTCACAGGAAAGGTCGAGTGATCTGAATCCTGCTGCGAGGTTTGGCGGTTCCTTGTAGTGGTTGCGTGGTAGAGAAACGATCCGTGACGTGGACTTGCAAGGCTTCGATCGTGGTCGCACTTCTTCCGTGGTGAAGATGCCAGTATCCGGCGCAGGGGTGTCAAGGTGTACCATGCTGGAGAATGTTGGTCGTTTGGAATCGCAAAAGAAGAGGTGAAATCGACAAGTTCACAGGTCGCAAAGAACAAGAAGACTTGAAACTAAAGCCCACTCGGACGACATACTGACGCCTTACCCACCACCGACCTTAATCACTAAACCCAAACCGCTGCGGTTTCAACTCCCAATGAGATCGTTGTGCATGATGGACGAGCTGTATTGGGTGATCTGCAAAAAGATCTGCTTGCTCCGGCAATACTTGCTTCTTCTCAACCTGACGTCAATTTGAGGTGGCTGGGTTCAGGATCTTGGAAATGATCGAGAGACGGGAGGGCGGCGGGACATGTACAAACACCAAGGTAGAAACAAGGCCGGTCATGTTTTGTTTCGCAGTCGAGCTGGGCTCTATCGTACCCGGTCTTCTCGTGCGATGGTATAGAGGAACAGCTGAGCTGTGGTCGCCTGGAATCTCTCAAAATCTATCTGATGTCGGGAGTGCCTCGAACGGTTGGTCTCTAGGTACATCTTTTCATCAGAAGAGCGTGTTATTTTACGATAGGTTGTATGCAAACAGTACGGCAGACTTTTGGCACGCCGAGAAGAAGGGCAATTGCAAGCAGAAGTTGGAAATCAAGAAATGAAGTCGAACGTGGAAGCAAGGTTCCCGCGAAAGCTATTATGGTATACCGTTGATCGCTCCCGAAACCCAAACCCAGAAAATGAGATCGATAATCATCATGTTACTCGTGAAAAGCATGCGCACGCAGAACCTTTGGTCACTTCTTTTACTGCTTCTTGCCGCCGAAGAAGCTTCCGACGTAGCTGCCTGCACCCTTTGCGCCCTCGGTGACCTTGCTGGCACCAGCCTGGGCACTGTCGCCCATTGCACCAGTGTAGCTGCCGCTGTCGTCCTTGCCTCCTCTCTCTGTGCGGTTGATACCCTCCTTGGAGACCTTGTCGCCGACGGGTTGTAGGAGCCCGCCCTGTCCGACTTGACCGGCTGCGAGGTTGTTTACGCCGTCCTGGAGGTTGTCGACTTGTTCGTTGCCAGTGATCTTGGTCTTGCTGAGCTGGTCTGTAGCATGTGGTTAGAACGGTAGCCTGAAGTGTAACGAGGAAGTCTAGCATACCTTTGGTAGCGTATGAGGCCTTGTTGTCCTTGGTGAAGTAGTAAAGAATATTATCCTCGACCCAAGGCATCCAGTTCTCATACTGCTGGTTGTATTGCTTCTTTGACCACTCCATTTTATTGTTGCGAAAGTATCGGTTCGATCTGGGAGATGTGTATTTGGTGATAAGATGCGATGAGGACGATTTAGCAGAGACTTGGGATGAGAAAAAGGCAGGAGTCGAGATGTTTTGTCTTGTATCACTTGAGCTCGATCACACACCCCAAGCAAGACTGATATCAGCTCTTTCACATGCTCTGCCGCTTTCCATGCACAGTGACGTGAGTTGGCACCCGTGTGGTGCGTCACGCTCAGCCACCCAGAAATGTGGGCTGGATCGCTCATTATTTCCAAGGGTCCGTTGTGGCACATGGGAAATCATGAATCGGCGACCTTTGACGTGGCACAAGATCTTGAAAGTATACTTGGTGGAAGGTAGCCATTTATTCGTGGGCTAGTTCGATGTTCTACAAGAAACACAGCCTCGCTGGCGCAAAAAAAAACACTCCAAAACCTATGTATGCATATTCATCTAGAAGAGAACAAGAAAGAGAAAAAAAAGTCGTAGAGAACCATGAATTCGTTATTCCACGATGAGGTTGCGTCTTCTCGAAAGACTGCTCGTACGGGTAGGTTCACTTCCAATGCGAGGGCTCAATGGTGAATACTGTGTCAGGCTTGCGATGCGGCGCCTCTTAGGCACGTACTGGCTCTCTTCAAGCTGCACAGCAGCACGGCGCTCCAAAATACGTCTCGCTGCCTCTGAATGGGAAGAAGTTGAACCGTATTGACTGCCATCTCCCGGGGCTGCATTTGCGCGTCGAGCTGCCAGGGTCTCTCGCAAGCCAGGAGAATGTTGTACACCACTAACGTAATCTGTTCTGCGTGTTGAGGATTGTCTCATGTGGCCCAATTCCGTCATGGCACGAGAGGGAGCGCGCGAGGGCACCTCTAGAGCAGCCTCGTCCTCAGCTTGAGAGTATCTCTGCATGCTGGTGCCGGGGCGATTATAACGAGCTGCATAATCGGTCTGATCATGACTGGGTGACAATTCCTGACCGTGGTATTGATCGTTGGTCTCGAGTGGACTAGTGCTGATCGTGTTGCCCAATCCCAGACCGAGTAAACTACTCCTCCGGCTGTCGAGACGGCTCACGGATCTAGGCGGTTCAGTCCTGAGTTGGAGATCCTGCAAGCCGATACTCGATCTACGAGCGTAACGCGACGAGGGCGTTTCGGCTTGCGTGTGAGATGGACCCAGGGAAAAAGGCTTGACAGTGGGACTAGCAAGATCAACCTTACCCTCACACAAAGCGATGCAGAGATCAGTAAGGTTCCTGCACATGCTGTCGGCCTTTCTCCTGATGTTTCTATCCGAGACAGCAGCGCCATTGGCCATGGAGGCAGCGGTCAAGGCAGTACCTTGGGTTCCATTACCGCCAGTCATAGCAGCAAGCGCCAGAGCGTCGGAAGCTGTTACCTCGAGAGATCGATAGAGCTGTGGATTGAGTACGTTCTTTGCCTTTCCGAGGGCACTGTGTAAAAGGGGATGCAGGTTAGCTGTAGATGGACCAGAGACGCTGGCATCGGTGGGCAAACTGCTTTGTTTCCGAGCATGCTTCGGCGAAGAAGATATAGTCGTTGGGGCGGTTGTTGCTGTACGAGGGCGTTCAAAGGACTGATTCGTCGGGTTTGCACTGGAAGGTGAAGGCTTCCCGCCAATCTCGAGACTACGGATACGAGACTTGAGGTCGTCGAGTTCGTCCCAGACGGTGGAAGGAGCATTGACAGAATCTACAGACTCACTCTCAGCGTTGGAGCCTTTCCGAGCGGTCGGGGCTGGGGACATGGTGGGTGTGATGAGGCCTTGGGCGAGACGATCGGAGAGACTGGACAAATTACGAGAGCTGGTCAATGGCTCATATGCTTTGCCGACACGATACATGCGACGCTGTCTTGGAGTGGCTTCGGAAATGGCAGGGCCAGTGGGACGCTTAGAGGGGAATTTGAGGATATCGGAAGAGGCATTCCACTCGCGAGCAGCAGCCTCGAAGGACGAGGAGGTGGTGGTTCCGACAGCATAGCGAGGCTTGCGCATCGAGGCACGCAGCGAGGGAGTGTGGAGGTTGATTTGATCATGGTGCTGAGGGGTGGGAGAGTGCTGGGCGCGCAACTCGGCCAGTCTTTGGGCATTGAGGCTTTCGTTTGAGGGAGCGCGTTCTCGCACGTTCAATGGCTTGCGCAGGGGTGCTGGGTGTGCATAAGCGTGGGTTGAGGTGGGTTCAGTCGAGATTGGGCATACCTTTGCCATGTGCTGGGTCGGGGCCGTCCATGGCGAGGCTCAAAAACAGATCGTCCGAGGGGTTGACCTTCTGGCGCATCCTGGAAACACTGACCCTCCTGCTTTGGCTCGCGCTGTCATGCTCGCTGGTCGACATTTCCAGACGACGTGATCATAGGAGCATTCTTGTACGCGCTCTTGAGGTTTCTGTCGAAGCTGGTGGCCTGAACTGCGTGCCGGATGTGTGTTTGTTTCGTCGCTGTTTTCCCTAGGCTTTGTGTGCAGCTTCTGCGCATCAACAAAAAGTCGCGACGCGCGCGGAGCCTTGTCGAGAAGCGGTAGCAATCGATCGGGTGCGCGACGACTAGAGCGGCAACAGGGTGCGACGGTAGTGGATAGCAGCAGCAGCGACGAGGATGGCGTGTCCAACTGTCGACTCGACTATGCCCGTGGTTTCGAAGACAGCGGGCCCACCGTCAATCAAGTACGGACGCCCTCGCGCTCCTCGTCCCGCTCCAGCCTTCTTCGCAAACCATCAACCAGCCACAGCCTACCTAGCATCGCCAACCTCGACAAGCCGTGCTCATTTTCTCCATCTATCATCTGTTGTAGTTCCGCCATAGCAACAGACATGTATTGTTCCCAGATCTCACCTCTCTCAAACACCCGTCTCGCTTAGCCTGCCCAGATGCCATCTCGTGTACTGAGCCCTGACACGCCGACAGCTGCTTTGCTGTCGCAGATGCGCATAAACCCTGCAGCAACCATCAAACCCTACAAACTGTCTAGGCACTTATCCAAACAAATCTGCCCACCGATTGCACTAGGTCAACAGCTTACCATTGGCTTTGCCATTCACACATGATGGCCATGGCAAGCTCGCAGAGCCGCGGCGACATGGCCGCAGCCTCCGTGTCGAATTAGAAATACATGTCGGTGCCGTTGACCTAACTGATACGTGGGTACGCGAGCCAGTGCATCCGTATTACAGTTGATCCTCTGCCCAATTAATGGTCCCTACACTGCCGCTCTCTGCGGCAATCGGCTCGCTCGTCATTGATGTAAATTGCAATGCGTTTCAGCACTTGGAGGTTGACGAGCTGCGAAGAAGGACTTGAACGGTTTGAAACGCGCCAACATCCACCGACCAGGTGGTGGCTAAAAATAGCACACCCTTGGCGTCCATTCCATCCGTCTCGGTCACAACCGTTTTGATCTCTCCTCTCTCTCAAGCGCGCCCAGGTCGGTTCGAGTATTGGCCAGTCTGTGTTCCTGTTGCTGTTCTCTTTGTCCCTTTCTGCTTCTCCTTTGACCGAAAGCGCTGCCCTTTGTGCCGCGATAACAACCGCTCGCGCAACAAAGTCCCGATACCACACACACCCGCGCCCAGAACACTCTTACCCTGTAGCCTGTCTTCTTTGTTCGCACCTTCCTCCTGCACCGCTCTCGCCCTCAGCATACTCGCTCGACATTCGATATTCGACCTTGACCCTGCCTGTCTCGACACTGCTGCCAACCCGACTCTCCTATCTCCCCGCGACTGCCGTTGGCCAGTACGGTTTCGCATCAAATTACAGCCCTCCGCGAGAAAGACAATAACTGCCGGCGCGTTATCCACAACAGACTCTTTTCCTTTCCACCCGCCGAACCGCTCCTGTGCGGTCCTTTAATATTACAACCCGACTCGAACAAAACAATACCCTTCTGTGCGGTCCCAGTCAAGTCTCCGACCTGTACAGATATTGGCTTTAGCGTCGTACTTTCTCTACTCTACGTCGGCCGGACTCGATCGCCCAAGACCTGGTATGTGTATCCATCGAACGCTTCCTTTGAACCCGTACAAGTGCTTCTATCTCCTGTCACAATGAGTTTCGGGCGCTACTGCACTCAATGCGGCCGCTGCATGACCCCAGAGCGGCTACAAGGCCGCCTCACATTGTGATTGGTCAACTACCCGTCTAGATTCTGTGAAGCGCCCTGCTAACATATTACTTCCGACCAACCAGCCTCTCATCCATCCTATCTTGACATACCTTCTGTCCAGGTTCACGGGTACCCAGACCGTCGACTCGCCGCTTGTTCGGACTCGCCGATTGCTTCTTCGAGAAATGGCTTTATAGTGCCAATACTGCTTCTAATAGTTTGCTCTCATTTGTCCGCTGGATCATTGCTGGCGACCTTCCTTCCTTTGTCATCCACCACCTACTTGTCGACCCTTGCCCATCTCTGTCACTTTGCAGAGTGTCTTCCCGGCGAAGGCTTCGCACTTGTTTTTGTAAGATCGCTCTTGTTGCGGACCCTGACGATCTCAATCGCAGCACATACAGACATTACATCTAACCACAATGCAGAACGTCTCACCCTAACTCATCCTCACATTGGCCACGCACATCCGTCGAATCTGCCCGTCTGATCAGCAATAAGTCTGCGTGGTATTGCGATGATTAGCAACTTCCACGGACCTGTGGGCACGACTAAACCGCTACCAGGCGGCGATGTCTCGCGAACAGGCACAACTTTACAGAAACCCTTCGACTCATATCACCAGCACAAAGAAAGTGTACCGACATCTGCATCGACCTCAGCAGATTCATCCCCTACTACAACCGCTTCCATAATCGACGATTCGTCGGCTACAGAGATGTCTCCGGGTTCCTCGCCAGAGTCACCTTTAGGAAAGCCTTACCCTTCCTCGTTCGGCATGACCAGACCGCATACTTCAGATAATGCCATGATGCATTCATCACAGCCCTTCTTCGAGCTGCAACGATCTACCACCCCTGGCCGGAAAGGAAGAAATCTGAAGAATCTTGCCGTCAACACATCGGGCGCGTTTGTCATGTCTAGAGCCGCATCCACCACATCACTTCCCATGTCATCGTCGCTTCAAAGTACGGGGAATGCTGACAGCCTTGGCCAGTCCTTCTCCAAGCCTCCCAGTCTCACCAAGAGACGTTCTAGCAAGACTCTTGGCTTGACCATCTTGACACCAGCCAACACCAAGGCGTTACCTCAAAATGGACGCGCCGCTGTACCGCCGACTCCATCGTTTGCTCGACCCAATGTGCTTCGTCACTTCCAGTCATCACCCTCTCTGCCTCTACACATATCTGAGGAGATTCGCGAGGAGCCGTCGCTAGAAGCACAACACGAACAGAAAGAGTTTGCTTTACCTCTACACATGCGCGCCCCGCTCAAGACGAACGACTCCGACCAGAACTTCGACGTGCCACAATCGAAAGAGGAAAAACCTGAAGCTTACCCCGATGGACCTATCTGTGTTTATGGTCACTACCTGGATCTCTATCTGGAGCCCACTGCTGAACAAGCTTCTCGCTACGACGTCATCCTGAACGTTGCCAGTGAAGTCAAGAACCCTTTTGATTTCGCGACTTTTCAACCTTCTGGTCCTGAACTGCGTCTTGATGGTGGTGGCGGCATACAGTACGCTCCAAAGCGCAACGTTCTGGCCCCTCAGAATGGGTTTGGCCGGGAGAATCTGAGTCCAGTCTACGAATCATCACCAACCACACCTAAGGCACCTTCATTCCTCAAACATGTTACTTCCGCACCAGGGGAGAAAAACTCAACAAAACCAGAGCCCGAGTACATTCACATTCCCTGGGAGCACAACACTGACATCGTCCCCGATCTCGTCCGCCTGGTAAAGGTCATTGATGAGCGAATCCAGCTCGGAAAACGTGTTCTGATCCACTGTCAATGTGGTGTGAGCAGATCAGCGACACTGGTTGTGGCTTATGTTCTGTACAAGAACCCTTCGATGAGCGTCCAAGAAGCATACGATGATGTGAAGAAGCGAAGTAGATGGATCGGACCAAACATGAACTTAATTATGCAGTTGCAAGAGTTCCGATCAACGTTGCAAAGGCCTCAAAGCAGGTTTGGTAATACCCGCGGTCTGAGCCCGAACTCACCCCCATTCGGTTTCACCGAGAATGGTCGCCCAGCATCCTACGATGGTAGCAGTGTGCCTGGAATCAAGTCGCCGAAGACTGCTCCTCTTCCACCGGACACAGCACAGTCGAAGCTTTTGCGTAATCCCGATCTTCTGGCTGTCAGCCCAGGTCCTTCTTCTGCGCCTTCAGGTCTTACATGGCCGTCAGACCACGACGTACCTGTGTCCAAGAAGTCGGAAGACTCTGCTCGCCATGAAGCAGCATACGTGGATCCCAATGGCCGTACAGTGCCCGTGGTACAAATCACAGAGGACCATCCCATTCTCGAACCCAAAGCCATGAAGAAGCCGAAAGACCGACCAAAATCACTGAACCTGGAATCGCACATCAGACAAGACTCTGGAAGACACATCACTCCAATGGTTTCTCCAAGAGCTACCGAGTTTGCTATGGCGCCGCTTAGACCTTCGAAAGAGGCAGACTCGGCTGATCGGTACGGATTAATGTCTCCACGCGCTTCCGAGTTCTCGCAGTCTCCCTTTGATCGCGAGTCATTGCTCGGTGCATTAGGCATGGGCCCGGCTGTGCTTCCACAACTCAGACCTCAGCGTCTTGCTCCCAGCGCGCCCAAGTCGCAGAAGAAAGTGCCGAAAAGTCTTACTTTGCGACCCAAGATCAGTGCGCCCAGCTTGAAGGAGCAATGCGAGCTACAAAGTATGCAAGCAAAGCTCGAGGCTGAGCTTACGCATGACGAGCCGGACTTTATGGATGCTTTGGCTTCACCACGCGCATTCGAATTCACCCAAAACCCCTTCGCCAACCTTCCAGGAGATTCGACTGAAGTGGAGAAGTCCACCGCTACCGCTGTCAATGGCAAAGAGGATCCGCGAAGCCCGCCACAAAAGGGAGCTTTCCCAATACAGCGAAACATCTTTGATGTGCTATAGCATAGAGTCACGGCAACCCCATCGCAATGACCTAGTCCACCTTCGTTTTCTGCATAATATTAGACATATTCAACGACGACCCGTTCTTCCCATTGTACGATGGATTGATGGTACAAAATCGTCTTTACCGCAACACAAACTTCTGGAGAAGTTTATATTTATTTGACGACTTACGGCGTTTACACTGATGGGAAAGGGAGAAGAACACGAAGATTTATTTTCTGCCTGATACTTGTTTTCTTTTGATTCTTCTCTCCCCATTCAACCACTTTCTGCATCATGCCATTGTCTTTTTCTTCTCTATACCATGCTGCGCGGATCCGATACATTCATTCGAATCCAGCCAGCGAGCGTTTGCATTTTCTCCTTTGGCCTCTTCTTCATAGCTTGGTTCGTGTCTTTCTGTCTACCCCTGGTTTGCTCTTTGATATGATAAGAATGAATACAAGAAAGATGCTGATCCTACTTTCACAATCTCCCATTTTCATGTGCATTATGATTTTGTCTCAAACGTGAGAGGATTGTAAGTGCCTGATTTTGTCCCACTGACGCCGGAAGTTCCATTTCAATTTGTAGTCGAAGTGACTCGCACCTTCTTTCCAATAGACACCTTGCCCACCCATTATCCACCTTTTGCTATCCACCTGCTCGCTCTATCCACCTTCCGAATTAGTCTAGTTCTGCGGTGGTAATTTAGTGGTGCTGACGTCGCTAGCGCACGCCACCACGTAGAGATCGGTATATCACTCTAACCCCCGTACTCCGGTATAACTTTAGTGCTAACACCACCAAAGATGAACCCTCTACTAGGATTATATATGTTCGATAGATTTCAACGTCAAAATCGTCTTAAATTGCAACTGCTAGCTAAACTAGCCAACCGTATACCACAAGAGGAGCCTAAATTTAACGAGCCTCTATTCGATATCGACACATAGTAAGACTTAAAGATCCGGCGATACCTACGCTTTAGTAGGGACGATATCTACCTTCTTGCTTAGTACTTCGAGCTTAAGAGCATGCCTCGTAGGAACCGGTATAGAAAGGACTCCGTACGCTCGCTTTACGTAACCTTAATGAGGCTCGCTTACCCTAGAAGACTGTTACAATTACAAGACCTCTTCGGTCTTAATAAGACTACTCTATCGCGAATTTATAACGATATAGTCGACTGGCTAGTACTGCGCTTCGGCTACCTGTTATACTAGCATCCGATGCTGAATTACAAGCGGTTAGATAACTATTTAGAGGCCATTAACGCGTTCGGCGGAGTAACTTAGAACCAGTATTAGGGGTTTGTTAATAGTACTTTCCGAGCTACTTATCGTCCTCTCGTAGGTTAAAGGGAGTACTATATAGGGCATAAGAAGCTCTATAGCTTTAAGTACTAAGCAATAGTCGCTCCTAACGGTCTCTACGTAGCGCTATAGGGTCCCTTTAAGGGTAAGCGTAACGACGTATATATAGGAAGACGCTCTAAATTTGAGGCTCGAATTCGTAATATCTGCTCTAGCCATTAGCGTGTTATACGACTAGTAGGAGACTCTGCTTACCAGTCGTTTAGACTATGCGTTATACCCTTTCTAGGCCGTAGAACATTAAGTATATCGTAAGCTTAGTTTAATAAGCACCTCTCATCTATCCGAATTAGCGTTAAAAACTTCTTTAGGCAGGTTATAGAGCAGTGGAAGTACCTTAGCTACCGAACTGGCCTTAGAGTTGGTTAGTCGCTAGTTACGAGCTCGTTTAAGGTAGCGGTATTGCTTAGTAATTGCTATACTTGCTTATATGGTAATATAATTAGCTCTAGGTTCGGTATTGATCCTTATACCCTCGAGGAGTATCTAGAGATAGGCCGTAGGCGAGATTAGTATAAGAGATCGATCTGCTTAGGCTCTTCGACGATATAATTAACATCCTTATGCTCGTTATTAGTTTAAGGCTTAATCCTACGCTTCTTTCGAGTTACTATAGATACTAGACTAATTAACTGATCTAGTTTAGTGTTAAACCGATCTATCTTTATGTCTAGTCTATAGACCTTTACGTATAAATCATCGATGCGTCGGCCCTAAGTTAAGTTAAGGGTACCATATAAAATTGGTAATAAGTATAATATCGATAAGGACGAGGCCATCGAGCGTTCGAGTAGTTTAAAGAACCTCTCTAAGTTACGCTCGCTACGCTCGCTCTTACGCTCTAGTATACTAATAACATTACTAGAGCGCTTATTCCGACTTCTACGCCTTTACGTAGTAGCATTTAGCTCCTCGGTATCATTGTTAACTTGCTTAGTTAACTACTAAGTGTCGTTTTGCGCCTATTAACGAGCTATACGACCTTAGCTACGCATCAAGTTGTTACGTAGAGTCGCTTGCTCGTCGGTCTCTTATAGTGTTTAAGAGGATAACTCTATACGCGCCTCTTAATCTGCCTTAGCGCTAGCAAGTACTTCGATCCACTTATCTACGGCATGATTAAGGTTAGTTTCGGTATCGTTACGACCGGTATGCTCCCCCTTTTACTTAAGGGCCTCCTTCCGATTAGTAACTAACGACCGTAGCTAAATTCGACATCTATTCGCAAAGTAGCTACGCGAGGCCGCGCGCTCGAACTTTACGCGCATACGGTCCTAAAACACCTCCTTCGTGGTCCTTATATCTAGCTATAGCTCTCCGAGCGAGGCGGCGACTTCTACGAGGATAATGTTCTTCTCTTACGTAAGCCGAGTACCGATCCGACGATTGTTCTTAGTAGCAGGCGCCTTAGCAGTAGGCTTAGTTATTCGCGCTAGCGCATACGTAGCTCGGCCTCCTCTTAATCGACTACCTCTTCCTCGGCTACCTCGAGCTCCTTTACTACGGCCTTAAACTGACGGCAACGGTAGGCCCATGCTAGCAGATAGAGCTAGCGTAGGCTTAGCAGGCGTAATCGGTGCGCTCGGTTAATCGAATATTAGACGATGGCCACGCTATGGCGACGGCGAGGTGTTGCTATTATTTAGCAAGTTGCTGTGATCTATGGTTTTGATTACATCTAACTAGTATATAGGCATACCACTACCTCGAGCCTCTAAGGCTTCTGCCGGCCACGCTAAGTCGATCTACGCCGCCATTACCACGCTAACACGTATGGAGACGACCACCTGCCTTATGCGGTAATTATCGAAGGTGTTAAAGGCTATCCAGCATCTGGATAATTGCTATCCAGCTGGGGAACTCTACTTGCCGAATACGGTAAGTTCGAGGTGGATAGAAGAGGTGGATAGCGTTTGGGCAAGGTGTCTAATTGCCGTTTTTTCCTTCCTCTCACGCCCTGTGGATGACATCTTGACAAGGTTGTGGTCCAAGCTTCCATACATATATATATCGTCATGGCAGGTAAGAAGAACAAAATATCGAAACAGCTCCTTGCCTTCCCATCAAATTCCCCTCTCCTCAGCTCTCAGCATTCCATCCAAGCAAACAAACCATGCGTTCAATCGCCGACCTCCAAAAAATCGTCGACGGCGCAACCGTTGCCAAAAGTGTCTTTGATCTCCGACCCGATTACCTCGTTCTCCTCATCGCAGTGGATGGCATTTCACCATCAGCCAGCGACTCCACCTCGAATGCCCTCCTCACTTCCGCCGAAGCCACCGCCAAATCCCGCATCACTCCGTCCTGTCCAGTCACCGAGATACCAGCCATAAAAGCCTGGCGCGAGACTTACAAGTCCTTTGGAGCCAAACCCAAAAAATACCAAAGTTCGATCGAGGCTTTGACGAGGAGGGCAGCGACCGAGCAAGGATTACCGCGTATCAACAGGTTGACAGATATCTACAATGCCATTTCAGTATCTCACAACATTTGCATCGGAGGAGAAGATTTGGATGCGTATGTGGGTGTTCCTCGCTTACTCCGCGCCACCGGCGACGAAAAATTCGAGACAAAGAATGGAGATGAGAAGCCCGAGAAGGGAGAAGTGGTGTGGTGTGATGATGCGGGAGTGACGTGTAGGAATTGGAACTGGAGACAGTGTGTCAGGACTGGGTTGAGAGATGACACGAGAGCGGCGGTGTTCATCTTGGATGCGTTGGAGCCCGTGGGGAGGAAAGAGGTGGAGGAGGCGGGTAGAGAATTGATGGAGAAGTTGAAAGAAGGGGATGAGGGGTTGGTGGTTGCGATGAGGTGTTTGGGGGTCGAGGATGGGATTTGATGGAGACAAGGGTGGAGGAGATGGTGTGTTGGGTTACTCTTGTCCGTCTTTGGAAGCAGAATATCTTGATTGCTCCTTGCATTTTCATACATGATGCAATCTCTACCTTGTACGGTTTTAACACTGACAATCGACGCCTGGTGGAAACCAGCAGACACTAAGATGAGTTTTTCTTGGTCGTGGTGATTTGCTCTCTGATCTCCTGCTCCAAGTATTCTTGATGGGAGCATTGATACCTGGATCTTTACGAAGACAGCAGGGAGGGTAGGTTGAAGGAAGTAGACAAAATCTGTGAAATTCTCATTTCTTCGTGACAAAAAGAATAATAATAGTAGAGCTATGGATAAAGTGGCGGCAGAGAGAAAGAAACCAAAGCCCCCCGAGCAAAGAGTTTCTTGAAAAGGGTCATCATGGAAAAAGACAGCATGTGAGCAAAGAAGAGCAGGAATAACAAGGAAAGCTTGAGAAAGAGAAGAGAAAGAGACCTATGCGCCATATTTCAGCCTCAGAAGTCTTCTCGAACAACATCCAAATCAACGCCAGCCCACTGCTGGAAACGTTGCTATCGTCTCAGACTACCCGCCGCTCGCGAAAACAACCCACGGCTAGGGCTTCTGGCCTCTGCGTTACCGTTTTGAGGAGCACCAAAGTTATGTGATGTGAGTGTTTGGTTGGCTGCTTGCATAGCCAGAGATTCATCACTTCCACTACGGCTGCTGGACCCTGCTGAGCGTTTGGAGGGTGAGAGAGTAACACCGCGGGTTGGTCTCGAAGATGGTTCAGATGAAGAAGTGTGGTGTTCGCTCATGCGGCGGAATAACTTTTGTGTCTTTTGTGAAAGGGCAGCTCGTACGCCTCCACTACCGCTTGACGAGGACTTGATTGGCAGCCCAGGTTGGAAAAACGGTGTCGAAGTCGCTGCTTGGATAGCTGTCGTCAGATTAGGTGTAGTCTCTGATCGTTCAATACGCTGTGGACGCAAGCTGGAAGATCCAGAAACGGAGCTGTTCCTCTGTAGCGACGCCGGCGGTGTTTGAAGTGCTGCAAGATTCGGTGTGGTTTCCGAGCGCTCCATTTGGAAACGAGTCTTTTCGTTGCTCTTCGGTAGCAGTGCCCACTCTTCCTTTTGACCTGATCGTGACAATTGTGCTACTCCTTCACGAGGCATACTTCTAGCTGGTGAGACGTTGCGACGGATCTGAAATCTAGACGGCGTTCCTTTGGGGATACTATCCCCGTCAGGATATGACGCGTCTGTTCCTGCGCTTCCCGTCCGATCGCTGTCCGACTGTTCATAGTATTCATCTTCCTCATCGGTCGAAGACAGAGACATGCTATGTCGATTAAACCACCCAGCACCATTCATTGGGTTATTTGCTTCTTTTGTGGCGTGAAGCTTGCTCATATCGGCGATGCTCGGCGTCTCAGGAGTGTGCAGCAGTGCTGCATGTTTTGAGGCATTCGCGAGATGCTTGTTTGATCTATGTTGCGAGTTTGGTTGGCCAGTCATGTACGAGTCTTGCAGAATGCTCGTGCTTGCACTGTCTGGTGTTGGAGGTAATGAAGTCGCGGCGAATGCTGCGCCCTTGAGCGAGGGTCTCCTTTTTTGATTGATCTGTGAGAGTGTGGTAGAGTAAGCTGGTCGCTGGACACGAGCAGCATCTGAGCGCGGTCGCGGTAGAGGTTTTCCTGAAGATTTTACGAATGATTGAGGTGTTTGCACTTGGATCCAGGAATTGATGTCAATGTCAGAATCATGCTTGCGACCAGCGTTCTGTGAGATGTGGTGTAGCTGGCTGTTGGGCAAGGCGAGATCAGTCTCCTGGTGTTTGCCAGCGTCTTCGCTCCTGGGGAGATCGTAGATGCTCGGGAAGCTACTCTTGCTCAAGACACTCAAGCGAGGTGAGTCAAGGGTGTCAACGTCCGACAGAGACTTGTCGACATCCTCTGTTTGCGACGTCAAAGATGCGAAACTCTTTACAGCACGCAACGACGGCTTTGGTTTCAGATAGACGCTTCGCAAAGCACGTGTGTTTGGTTTCTTGTCGTCTACAAAGGAAGGTATGCGCCTTGCAGAAGATGATTGTGTCATCGAAGACTTGTCGGATTTGGGTGGTGAGAGAATGGCTCTTGGACAAGGGGACACAGAAGAAGCACGCAACTCCGTGGAGTTCACCAAGTGGTCGTGAGGGTGTTGTTGTGAAAGTTGCGCTTGTTCAAGTCTTTCTTCCAGATCACAGATGATGGAAACAGCCTCTTGAACAGCTTCGTCCCGACGCTCCAGTTCCTTGACCAGACTGTCGTTGAGCTCGAGGAGTTTAGCATTCTCCTCGACTAGACGATTCGCATCCTCGGCGCGTGATGTCAGTAGGTTGCAGTTCTCTTGCAATTTGGCCATGCGCTCCCTGCAATGGAAGAGCTCGAGCTTCAAGTCAAAGTTGAGTTTGGAGAGTTTGTCCATGCGCTTTTCTATCTCGCGCACACCTAGGGATGCATTTGGATTCGTAGGGGTATGGGTATTGTTAGGTGTTGTTGTTAGGTTGTCGTGCCCAGTATATCTAGCCTCGTCAAGAAACAAGTCATCATCCGGAGTCGTCAATCGTGCATTTGAACCCGAGCGACGTGACCGAGTGTTGGTGTTTGCGCGACGCGCCTGCAGGCGGTCGAGGAGGTATGGAGATGCCGGGTTATTCATGTCGCGCAACTAAGATGTCGTGGTGTTGATTAGGTCAATGCAATAACAGTCATGCTCAAGTAGATATGGAAGGGCGACAGGTCCAGTCCAAAATGACAGAAGTCGGTGAAGAAGTAGTGGTGGTGGAAAAGAGAGACAGGGTTCAAGACATGCGAAGGGTGAGTGACGGCGAGTTGGAACGTGAGGGCCAGCCAGATAGAGTGATTGAGCACGATAAATTCGAGCGTTGGAATGCAGTCGTCGCTGGAGCAGCAGAGACGTTTTACGCGGCATCCAGATTGAGCTTATTTCTACACGAACAAGTCGAAGCAAACTTGCGGCTGCTTGAATGTTGAAAGGATGGTGGAAATAGTTCTTGAAAGGCGGCCAGGCACAGGAAGGGACCATCAGTTTTACAGAGCGGCCGCATGTCTATCACAATGCAGCTTTCCAGAAGGCGCACGAATGGCATAGCCGAACGAGCGCTTCAAGTTCGCGCCAACGCCCAAGTCCCCGCAGTTGGCGCCCGACAAGCTTCAACTTCCCGTTCTATTGCCTCCATGTTGGCTTCGCGTCCGCTTCATTGCATTCCTACATGCTCCTTGTGGTCGCAAAGTGTTTGAAGAACATCTATTGCATATGCTTTTGCGCATGTATGGTTTCCATCATCTTCTCAAGAACCTCGGAACTGGTCCAGGAGCTGACCACCAATCGTTCTCCTTCGGCCACCATCACTCTCTTCTACTCTGGACCCACTAGCCGTGGCAGCCTCTCCTTCCATACGTCTTCTCAGCCCCTCGAACCTCTCCCTTTCCCTCTTGCCAGCACTCAGATCTGGTATTCTCCAAGCCGCGGCCCCGGGCAGAATGTCTCTTCTGTATGCATAGCCTACTAGCCAGCCCACTGCTGCTACGATGGCAGAGCCAGGTAATTGTGATAGCGCCAGTTGGAGAGGAAGGAGGTAGGACGTCGACTTCGAAGTCAGGTTGATGGCCGAAGACGATTGAGGCGAGTCGCTTGCTGAGAGCTGGTATTTGTACATGTAGGGAATCGCAGCGTGGTACTGAGCAAGGAGTGCGAAGACGAAGGCCGTGGGTCCGGCAGGAAGATAGTTGATGTTGTAGAAAGAGAGCGGTCGGATGATGAGTATGAGAAGGAGTGGTGGAAGCAGAACGGTATAGGGCAGCGTCGACAAGAGGAATGACTGTATATTCAGATTAGTTACTAGTCACAGTGGGAGTCGATTGCTGGGCTTACTGCGAACTTGCGCGAACCCCAAAGACGCTCGATCACGCGTAGTTGGTACAGAATCATGGCCGCAAACAAGACCTCTGTCGAGTTGGTATAGACCAGCGGCCAGATCATGCATCGCCATAGCTGTCGGTAGTCGGAGATGTGTGGCTTGACCATGATGAAGAGCAGGTGCTTGGTGTCGGTGATGCTGGCCAGGAGCGATCCCACCACTACCGCCATGACCAGGTACTTGGACAGTGGTGCATTACTAAACCCGGATGCCAGCATCCTGTTGTCCTTGCTACGCGTGTTGTCTGACGAGTGTTCAAGAAGTTGAGATCAAAAGTCTACAAGATCATCTAACAAGAGGGACACCATGTCATTTCCCCACAGAACACGATCGACTCCTCGACTTCGTCCTCCTCTCCACTCTTCTGAGGTCGCACAAGATTGACAGACAAGCATGGCAAGGCACAAGATATGAAAGAATGAATGTATGATATGATGAGTAGCTATTCATGCTGGGTAATAATATTCCCCTTCAGAGACATTGGCAAAATGCCATGTTCAGGCCACCAAAAGCAAGAACTCCCCCTCTCTGAGCCCCCAGAGAATACCTAGTATGACCGATACAAAAGAAAGAGAAATCGCTGAAAACAACATGAGCAGCCCAAGTGCATCATTCATGCACATAATGCTCGGGTATCCGTCCCAAATCCCTTCATCCCATCAATGCATCGCCGGCATTCGTTGGGTTCAATCATCTTGCTTCCGCCTCGTTCATTATCCGTCATCGTCAATCCTCGTCTCCAACACTAGCCTGCTACTGCAGCTGGTTGCGCTTCTGCTGTGGCATCGACATCGTCGATCTCGCGTCCGCGTGGGTCGACCACGATTCGGTGTCCTCTCCTGCTCTCTGGTATACCATCTCGGGCTGCTCCAAAGTCCAGCACCTGCACTCAGTTAGCTTTTGTTACAACCGCTCATGCCGACCTGCACGTACCTCGATGTATGTAAGGTTGTTCCTTTGCACTGCAGCAACACACCTTCTCTCGTCGAAGCGGACCTGCCACACTCCACTAAGATCCGAGAGCAAATCACGCACACACTCACCCGTACTGATGTTAGACATTTTCAGTGTACGATCCGAGCCGCTGATGACTTTCTGGTCGTCGTGTTGGAAGCATGTAATCGCCCCTGTGTGTGCCGAGAGGATAGATTGACAGTTTCCATTGTCAGGGTCCCAGATGCGCAAGGTACTGTCCGCTGCAGCACTGACCAGACGTCCATGGCTGAGATCCAGAAGACCCACCAGAGATGTGTGACCATCAAGGTTGAACAGACAATTTCCTGTTTCAAGAGACCACACCTTGACCATGTTGTCCATTGATCCGGAAATGCATCGTCCTCTTGCATGGTCGAGAACTACGCTGTAGACTTTCTGCGTATGGCCTGTAAGGCGATGCACCATATCGCCGGTTGATATCTTCCACACTCGGACTGTAGAGTCATACGAACCACTGACAAGAGTGTCACCATGTGCTGCGATGGCACGAACTGAGTTGTGATGGCCAGTAAGCACACGCAGAGAGTAGGGGTTGTCGCTATCGTTTGCTGGAGGACCGGCTTGATGAATCTGCGGGTCGCCAGGACGAGGAAGCTTCCAAACTCTGAGAGTGGAGTCACGCGAGCCAGTGATGATCAAGGGCTCTTTTGGCATCATGATAGGCGAGCCATCGGCAGCTGTGCCAATCTTGACAGGCTTCAGGATTACCAGACAGCGAACGGTAGAGGTGTGGCCCTGGAAGGTCTGTAGACACTTGCCAGAAGGAATGTCCCAAATGCGGACAGAGCGATCCGTTGAGCCAGACACCAGTGTATCGCCTTCGTACTGCAATGCCCAGACACCGCCCTCGTGCCCCTCAAGCTTTCTTCGCAATGCACCAGTTTGCGTATCGTAGACATTGATATTGGTGTCGTCGCTACCGGTTAGAATCTTGTCCGAATCGAAGAGCAGGCAAGTGACGACATGGCGGTGGTGGGCACGGAAGGCCAGATGATGAGGCTTTGCTTCGGCGTCCATCCAACTCTTTGCGATCATGTGATGCCTTTGGTAGATGGACTTGAAAAGATGCAAGTTTGCAAGACTTGAGAGGCCGACGTCTGGTTTTGGCACCGCTTTGGCAGCAGCGCTCGCGTAAGCAATGGGACCTTGTGCTGTTTGGAAGTCGTGCATCCAAAGAGGGGAAGTGTCTTGGCGCCTGGATGCCTTCCGTTTCTGTCTCTTCTGACCGCTGGCGCTGCCTGTTGCTTTTCTCTTGGTTCTCGTAATGCGCAGCGATGCAGAAGATCCTGCATCATCGCTGCTAACTGAGGGAGCAGCCAGAGGACTCAACGGCTCCAGCTCGACGACTCTAGAAACCGAGCGGGTTGACCTTGATTGCCCCAGATCTTCCTCGTATCCATCAAGAGAAGGAGCCTGCCATGCCCATCCTTCACGTACTGCACGTTCAATCTCGCCCTCGGGCAAGTTGAAGCCGTCCCTGTCCAAGAGTTCTTTCCATGCTCTTTCATCCGAGTCAATCAGATGCCTCCACTTCTTCGATACCTGAGCCGCACGGCAAAGACTCTTGACATCCAGGAACTTTGTGATCTGCAAGCCCAGTTCCACCGGCAAGACATCGAGAGGATCGCATTTCAATGCAGGGTTGATAAGCGAAGCAACGGTCCGTAGTGTTATCTTGGTCGAACGTCTAAGCATCTGATACAAGACGTAAGACTGCATATCTTCAGGAAGAGCATCGTAAGCATCGATCATTGTCGGGACATCCATTAGTGTCAATGGAGGCTGGTTGGCTTGGTGAATATGACCTCGGTCGACGGTAGGCTCGTTGAAACTAGCAGAGGCATCGGGCTGATCGGTCATCATGCTGTCTTCGAGATCCAGCCTGGATACCTGACTGGCGTTCTCGTCGTCGGCATCACGAGTGGACAAGAGCAGCTGATGGCTGCGAGCCAAGTTTGCGGCAGCTGTGACGGGAGAGAGACTTGGGCTTGGGAGGCTGGCATCTTGTTGCGAGCCACTTAGTAGACTAGCGGGCAGCGGCCTTGGTTGTTCGAGGCGAGGATAGGGGTTGTCGACGGGTTCGAGATCACCCTCTGCGACAGGAGGAGTTGCAGTAGCAGTATCCCGGTCAAAAGAGTGACTTGGACCCGCAACTGATGCCTTTTGCTTTGCATGTTGCTCCTGCCATTCACGAGCTTTTTGTGTCAAAGAAGTTACTCGTTGCCGCTCGCGGTCGTTACCAGGGCCAGCATCGGTGTCAGGAGTTACGGGCATGGGACGGTTTGTGGAGTCTGAAGTTGAGAGATGTTGGTCATCGTCAAGTGGATATGTGATGCCAGAGCGAGTTCGTGACAGAAGCGAGCGAGGATGTCTCCTACGACGGTGCAGACTAGCTAGCTCTGCGGCCTCGGCAAGACTGGGTGGTGAAGCGGGCCTTTTGAGCTGGGGAGGTCGGAAGTCTTGAGGTCGAGTGGGCGAATGGTAGTCCTGGGACGAAGAGTGGTGGCTGCGAATGATGCCGTTGGATTGTTGTAAGCGTGCTTGCTGTTGCTTGTACTGTAGATAGCGATTAGTGGAAGTTTGGTCAGCACATATGGAGCTTATAATACCTCGTCGAGTGATGCCCGGACATTCTGAGCCTCTTGGTAGACGATGGGAATACCTCCAGCACTGAGAGAAAAGCGTTGCAGAGAAGAGGGAGTAGGGGTCGAGGCCAGGGGATATTGCTTGGGGTCACGGCTGAGCATGTCTCTAGGTGGGCGGATCAGGAGAGGAGGGAGAGTGACGGTGGTTGTTGTGGTCGTCGTCACGACCGTCTGTTGGGTGGCAGGAGCGAAAGCCACATGAGCCATGGTGGTATAGGGCGACATGTCTTGATGGTGGTCGGGCGATGCGGGAGCGGTCGTGAACGAAGCCTGGGTGCTGCGGAGCGTCGCCCTTGTGTGGTCGTGACGGGCTGGAGGTTCCATACTGTGTCGACCGACTCTGAGCGGGCGTCGAGGGCGGGCGGTATAGCCCTGGTGTCGGTGTTGGAGTTCACAGGCAGTCGGTCTCGTGCAAGCACAGGCAAGCCCCCAGAGCGTGACGACAGATCAAGGCAGCGGGGATGCAAAGGTCGCAACCACGCTCTTGTCGCTGAGACGTCGATGGGCGGATGGCCGAGTGTGTCAATATGGCATCGTCTCTCGAGAAGCAGGTAGAAGGGTCGAGTACCGTCGCCAAAAGTCTTGTATGGCCGTCGGTGTGGGTTGCTGCGTCGGTCAGGAAACACGCCGTTCGCTGCCTGAGTCGCTCGCTTTGTTCGGCTTCCCGGTGCCTGCCTGCCTCCAGTCTTTTTGCGGAGAGAAAGCGCCACCGCTGCCCTGCTCGCCAAGTCTCCATCGATATCCGCGAAGAAAACCTTGCCCAAGCCTGCATAACCCTAATTCTTTTTTTCTGCTTCGTCATGCCTTTGTCTTGTTGACTGCTTGGTTATACTGCAATCTACTATACATCGCTCATGGCTACTCGTTGACTTGCTTCCAACTTCCAACTAATGTCTACACCATTCTCTATTCTGGGGTTTGAGCTCTGTCCCTCTGGAGGCCCCAGCCATCTGCTCGTACCCGCGTAGAGTGGTTCACGATCATCACCCCGTCATTATTGCCTGGACAGCCAACAATTTCTTTCCAAATAAAACATGACAACAACACATCTCAATCGGTCCCGTTCACATTGAGTACCCTGACCATTCCTTTGAGCAAGAGGCTTCAAACGTCGTCCAGATATCAGCGATCATGTCAGAAGACGCAACAAAGAAACCATGTCACTTCGAGATGTTTGGAATGTACTACGCATTCGATCATTATTGACTTTACGTACGAAGAGCTTTGTGGTTGCCCATGACACTAGCGACTTGGAGCTGTCTTTCTTCAATCAATCCATCTCTTGAAGCTACCTTCAATCAAGTCATCTTCGTCCGAAAGAAACCACAAGAACACCGCCACAACAAGAATGATCATCATGACCACCTTATTATCCCGCAAAAACAAGACCTTTTCGATAGACAGTCTGACAAAACACTTCGGCTGTAGCGTATTCTAGACTTTTCATTCATAGAAAATGTGGCCTGATGAACAATAGTAAAAACAGACTTTTACTCGTTGTCGACAAGCATCGAGACCCAGTTGGGCTTGAGCTTGTTCTCTTCCTGGCCCTCATCAGCCTGACCAAGTCTGAAGGCTGAGCGAGGAGTGTCCGACTGCTGAGCAAGCTGGATTCTGGCGGCCAAAGGACTGCTGTCAGGGGTGCGAAGCTTCTCGGGGACCTGGCCAAAGCCATAGGTAGTGGCCTTGCCGCGGGAACCAATACGGCTAGGCGTGATGGCGAGGAGAACGCCGTGAGGAGTGGATCTACCGTAGGACGAAGTGTCCAAGGGGCTGGTAGACAGCTCATACGAACTGCGTGACTGGCTGACAGGCGTCTTGGGCTGAATGGCCTGAGTGGGAGTTGAGCTGCTGTACGACCAGGTATCGACATTGTTGACAAAGCGGTCGGTGGTGCGCATGGTTCGAGGAGTGCTGAAACCGTGGTGTGCCACGTTAGATGCAGAAGCATGCTGAGCAGCAGTAGAAGGCTTAGGAGGAGCGGCCATCTCGAAAGAGTTTCTGTAGGTGGCATCGTTGAAGATTGAACCAGACTTGTGCTGGATGATAGGCGCACCGGCATCAACGCTGGTGCCAACAGTGGCAGACGGGATCAGCACAGGAGGCTGGTTGGAGCTCTGCAAGGTGTAGCCGCTCTTGGTTTGAGCCAGAGAGTCGGACTCTTCGACGCGGGAACCATGCATCTGAGCCAGCGAGTTGAAGGGCTCGGCATGAGAGCCCTGAACGCTGTGGACATTTTGAGCTTGAACCACAGAGTTCGATCTTACGGCACGAGAGCTCTGGGCCTGAGCCTGAGTCAGAGAGTTGGATCTCTCGGCGCGAGAGGTCTGCATGCCAGTAAGAGTTCCACAGTCAGTGACGGGAATAATATTTCCGTTCAGGTCTGGTGCAGTGGTCATGGTGCCATCGGCGTAGTGGAGGACAGGCATCATCTTGAGTTCAGGCTTGCCACGGTCGCGGAAGTGCTCGGGCGCTGTAGCGGTGATCTGAAGACTGGAACTGTACTCGTTACGCTCCTGCTTAGAGGCTGAGCCTGGCACCGATGCAGGCTGGGCTCTGCTGTCAGGCTTGCCGTTCTCGAAGGCTCCTCTGCGGCCGGATCTGTAGGTACCACGACCGCGGTTACCGCCACGACCGAAGAATTTGGGGCCCATGGGAGGGACTGTGGCAATCTTGCTGTTCTCCATAGCGCGACGGAAGAACTCTGTGGTAGGAGCGGCAAGCAGGTTCTCGACGTGGGGTGCCTCGACATAGGCCTTGACGACTTCACGACCAGTTGCTTCGGTGTAGCTGACGACCGGTTAGTATTGGACAGCTGAAGGTAGAAGGGATTAACTTACTACATGCCGTTCCACATCTGAGTGATGGATCCCTGGTCGATCTTACCCTCCACGAGTGGGATGACCTCATCGTAGGCGACCAACTTGCAGTGGATCCATTGGATCATCATAGAGCCTTGAAGTTTGGTCCACTTGCCAGTCTCCTTGTCCCAGAAATCGGTCTTGATGTTGGGGTTGAAGGCCTGAAGCTCAGAAAGACCGCAAAAATGCTTGCTGGGCAGTGTTAGCAATCATGGCAGACATGATCAGAAGCAATCAAACGAACCTGCCGGGAATCGACCAGAGGAACAGTGTCTTCATGGATGGGTCCTCACGACTGTTGTGAAGATCCATGATGCGTGACATGACATTCTGGTTGGTGGCCCAGAATCCGGTCTGGTGAGACATGAGAATGTCGTCAAGGTTGGGGCACTTGATAGCAACCACTTGCGACTTTGACAAGGTTAGCTGCATAATTGTGGAGAGGTACATGGACGTCAACTTACACCGTAGGGCATGCAGTAGTGGTCGGGATTCATTCCGCTGAGAATTGAGTGCGCTCCATTAAAGGTTTCGAAAGAGCGGTGGTTGTTCTGAGCACGAAGAGGCTTGAAAGTGCGAGCTGTCTGCTTCTCGATCCAGACATGAGGAGATCCAGAAGGGCGGACATAGTCTGACTCCTTGATGGCACCAGAAGGAGAGGTGGTGACCTGCGATTTCTTGGGAGTAACGGGAGTATCAGATGAGGCAGAACCATGGGCCACAGACTTCTCGACCTGAGTGGCGGCAGCCATGACGCTTGAGTCTTGCTTGGATGGGCTCATGTCGAAGGCATTGTGCTGATGAGCAGTTTCACCACCGGCATTTTGCTGCATCTGGGCAACAGAATTGTTGGTAGTGGCTGAGGCAGTCTGCTGAGTGAAACCCGAGACGTCTGGGGCAATACCACCATTGTGGGACTGAGATTCAAGCACAGAGGCACTTGTCTTGAAGGGAAGAGAGACCGAAGCCTTCTTGCTGCTAGCAAGATCGAGAGGCTTGAACAGAGCGCCGAGGCCAGGAATCATGAAGCCCGTAGCCTGAGGAGCGAACGGCATACTTGAGAGCTTGCTGCCACAGGACATGTTTCCAGGAGTCTGGGTATGATCGAAGTCGGCAAGCTTGCCGGTGTTGTTGGCGACACTGGAAGAAGCAGACAGTGCGTTGAGAGGACCGGTCTGGTGGACAGACTCGCGAGGGTCAGAAAGGCTTGGAGTCCGTCAGTGAAAGTTGTTCCCAGTCTTCAGATCGAACATCATTCTTACCCGGTAAGATCGTGGGAGAAACCAGGACCGCCGCTCATGGCCATGGATGACACGGACATGCTTGCGCTTCTGTTGGGCTGAACTTGACCACTTGTGACTACAGAAGGTTCAGAGTTGAACAAGGCTCTGACAGAATCACTACCAAAACCGGTGTGACTGCTAGGCTGCTGGGGTAGGCGCTGCAGAGTTGTCTCGTGCACAACGCGTCTGCGCTTGTTGAAGCCCTCGACGAAGGGGTCAAGGACTGAAGGTCCGGGAAGAGAGGTTTGGTCAGACGAGGCCTCGGCATCCAAGTTGATCTGGCGCTGAATGATAGTGGTCGCGTCAATGACGCGACCCTCTTCAGACTTCGCGGCCGAAGCCACGCCAGAGGTCGACTCTGGAGCATCGAGGTGCGCCGAGCCGGCAGTGTATGGAGGCATGTTGAATGCTATTTGTATGTTAGCAAGCTTCGGGACGACCGCCGACATCAGAGGGATGTACTTTTACACAGTTTTGTTAGACTTCGATAATGAAAGCAAAATTGCGTTCGACAAGTTGTGGTGGTTTTGGTGCGAGGAGAATGGTGTGAATCAACTTTGACAATCGATAAGACGCGCTGTGGAAAGTCGTCGCGCAGTGAACGCGTCAAAAGCTCAAGATGAGCCGGAATTCAACGATGACGATAAACACAACACCCTTTCTTCTTTTGTTTCACTTGACAAGTAGAAAAGGACGAGAAATGAAATATGCTTGAGCCAGAAACACAGCTTCTAGAGACACCAGACTTGCCGCACAACCTCGAAGCCTACCTAGGTTCATTTCACGGGTGAATATTAATTCGCATTGAGATGGGCCGTACGGATCCCAGGTATCTTATATGGTGACTGTGGTTGGCTTCATGGTTCTCATGCATCGACAGGAGCATGGCGAAGCGACAGTCCAGCTATCTCGATGCTGAACGTGCAGATTCGATATCTCGATGGAAGGGAGCTCAGAGCTTTCTCCGAGGTGAACATCTTGGTGAGTGGTGCGTTTCTCTGTAGCGAGACAAGAAGTGAAGGTGAAAGTGAAGCACTGCTGTCGGACGCCATGAGGTCTGAACTGCACGGATCTCGCTACACTGCGCCCGAAGAGTTACCGTACGCGAGTTGCGCAATCGGCACGAATAACCGAAGCTTTCCGTAACACCATGCAACATCGCTCTTCCTGATTCTTATAGAAGGATGCTTTAAACACGCATGTCTACTTAGTGTCGTCAAGAATTCAAATCATCTTGTGAATATGACGTGCAACACAGAAGTAAACGCAGATGCTTGCGGACGACCTCTACCTGAATACTGAGAATGTAGCCTCCCAGACTCCGCGCGTATCACCTGCTCAATCTCAATTGGTATGGCTTTCTGACTAAGAACCCTTCTTTCAAGTAGTTTGAGTGGAAGTAGGTGTCTGGTAAAGGCTATGACACCTCAAACGAGACTTGTCCTTGTCGTGCTTGTAGATCGAGGGCAACTCCTTCGGCTTCGTGGATGGCACCTGCCTTGTCGGCCAACGTGCCTTCTGATTTTGTCCGTCTCGTTCTTGCTACCCCGCCCACCAAGATCTCTGCAACTCTGACTCTCACCTTGATTTTTCCTTCGTCGTATCTCCAATTCCCACAGTCAAAATCTAATCGCGAACATGGCGCAGGCCATGACTCAACGCCAGGCAGTGGTTACCAAGACCAGGTTGACTCAGAAGCAGAGCACCGAGACAGTTCAAGTCATGCTCTATACCTCGGTCAGTACAGCTGCCAATTCATTGTGTGCCTACCTCTCTGACAGAAATTCAGGCTAGCATGCTTTTCCGCATAAGGTGGGAATCAACCCAAGTAGCATTTCGAACCGACTGACCTGACGCACCGACCGTAGAGGAATATTCCCTCCTCTGGCTTTCGATACGGTTGAATTTGCAGAAGACGACGAGCTCTACGACTTCAAAGGTCTCATGAACAACGAACACCCTCGCCGAGCACAGCCATCCTCACCATCCAGCACTTCGACGAGATCGTCCGATACCACGAGCTTGAATGTTCCGCTGCTTAAAAGAGGTCGAAGCGTCCGTGTTGACCAGTTCCTCGATTCTCTCGTAGGTTACACGTTCGCGGAGCGTTTTCAATGCTAACTTGATTTCGGTAGAACACAGCATTTGAAGCATTGCATCGAGGAACGCTACATGCACTACGAATCCCTTTCATGGGCGATCCTGATGTTGAGTCAAACTCTCTCGAACTTTGGTCTTTTCGCATCATGTACCATAAGTCCGCTGGAGGCGAACGTGAGGTGCAAAGTCTTGAGGCTAGTCTGGGGAACGAGGAAGTGTATGATCCGAGCCTTGACATTCATGGCTCCGTCATCAGCCTGCTCCGTAGGGTGTATGATCAATGTGGAGAACTACCACAGTTGCCGGGTGAGAAGCCTCTCGATCTAGATCTTTGTAACAGTTTGGCTAACTCGAGATCAAAGATGACTGCTATATTCAGCCCAGTATATTGTACACGCAGGACGGATGGGAGCCAAAGGGCTATGTGGAAACACAATCTAAGCCATCTGTACAAGGATTTGCTGGTTGGCAACCCTACGCAGCTGATTTGGGCCTCATCGGCGGACATCATCACGAGTAAGTTACTGTCGAAAGAGGGCACTCGTAGTTTACTCACATTCCAAGTCTTTCCCTCCGGATAGCATCGCTTAAGCACGAGGATTCCAGCACTCGACGCATCTCTCAAGATCTTCGATCTCGCAAATCAGCGAATGATCAAGCAGGCCAGTCTTCCACCGGGAAGCCGTCACTCTCCGACGAACCTCACCACCTGCAATTTAGAGCATCCTCGCCTGTTCAGCGTAGAGCAACCTCTGCCGCCTCGGACATACCAGAGACACCCCAGCGTGAGACTCCGTATGACAAAGACAGAATCTCGCGTTCAGATCCTACGGCTACAGCTCCTGTCTTTCCGGAGCAACCAACACGGTCGAACGTCTCGAGTGCATCGCAGCTTGAAGAAGACATGCGGCGCAGGAGCTCGCTGGATAACATGGTAAGTTGAGCTTTGTCCAGGGCTTGTTCTAGAGCTAACCCACTGCTCAGCTCATGCCTAGCTCACAGCGCGAAGACAACATTGAGACCCAAGTCAGATTGAACCCCAGCCAGATACAGAACGAGAACGGTGCTGATGACGAGTTGGCTGATCATCTGAACGCCTACAATTTTCTTACTAGCGAAACAGCATATCGTCTGTGGGGTGTGGCCTGCGAGCTTCAGAAACAGCCTAACATTACATTTGTGAACGCGTCCATCACGAGTTGCTGCTGCCAGCTTCACGACGTGACGGAAGAGATGGTATGCTTGTAGACACCTCTGGCGGACCATGCTGACTCTCGTTGCAGATTCAGTGCAGTATTTGCAGTGTGCAACAACACTCTATCTGTCAAGGCTATCTAGAGGGTGACAATCGACAACCTCCGCAACACGTTTGTCACCTCTGTTTGTTTGGCCGCATGGTGGATAGAGCTACTCTTGCAAGACTTCGCGAGGTGGCCTTGGAGCGGAGAGCAATGGACCTGCTTCTCTTGAAAGACGTCGACAGCGCAGTGGACTTGAGTAGAAAGCTGGGTATGTAATAATAACTCCAACTTGATAGAGTGCTGACAAGGATCCCGCCTATAGACATGCAGTTTGACAAGGTCGCAAGCCTGGTCACGTCTTTGGTTTCACGAGGTCTTGTTGTGGAACAGGGCGGGCGACGTTCCACACGAAACTCGCCAGGCACGATAACCTTCCCGAAGGTGGTCAGCACACCGGAGTACATCAGTTCTCTTGCAAGGCTCTTTGATCCATACCAAGTTGTGGGACATCATGTGAGTGTGAGTGTCTTGGTCAGCGTGATAGTGATACTGACTGTGTAGTTTTCCGATGTTGCAGTGTCGGACGACTCGGCTACAGATGTAAGGAAGGCTTTGAGGGCAAGATATCCGATGCTTGCACCTCCCAGAAGAGAGACTCTTAGTGTCTCGCCAGAGCGAAAGAGAGCCATGACCGTGAATGCGAGCAAGAAGATGACTCCGGCAACGAAGAAAAGAGCAATGACCAGCCAGCCAGAAGAACTTGGTATGAACGAGCAAGCAACACCAATCCGTCGGTCATTGAGAATCAGGACGCCCACGCCTAAGATGGCTGAGGCCAAATTCGGGTTCTTCATCAACACCAAGGCTCTTCCTTCTAGGGAAAAATCAGGCATAAAGTCGAAGCGATTCAAGGGCGACTTATAAGCGCGGCTGTGACTCGCGCGAGAGATTGTTGCGGGCCAGGGACTTTGCTCTAGCTTGAGCAGCAAACACATGGACAATTTGTGTCGGAAGCATCTTACGTGGGTTCATGACTCGGAGGACAAAAGGCGAGCATATACAGAAAGCAAGGTATAGATAACTATGTGGCTTGAAGTAGCGTGTAATGAACAGCAGTGACACTTTGAGTCTGCTCCGATGACCGTGTATAGCGAAGCCTGAGCCTCCCTCCTCGTGTGCTAAAACGCTCCTCTCTCCTATCAAGGTGTAGAACACGATGCTTGCTATAGAAAGGCACAGTGACTTTTAGATCAAATATGGATCCAAAGAGAGCTTTAAAGAACACTGTATCTCGATGGACTCGGTCCGGTCCTTGAGAACATTGTGCATTTCGATGGGTAGCCGCGTTACAAACCTTTGCACACGGGGAGGTCGGAAACACACAGTATTCTTCTGATGAGAGACAAGCCCAGTGAGACACGAAAGGAACCACGAATCATATCTTGAATGCATGGTACATGTATATCTACTTAGATGAGAGCGGCGGGGCGTGCCAAGAATTTGCACATTTGATCATTTAATTGATTGAGACAGGCGATTGCGCGAGAGAGGATCACGGGCTGTGCGCTGAGGAGATTGATATTGATTTGCAGCAGATCAAAACATGGGCGGGGCATCAGCAGTTCGACGTTTTGTCATGGTTCATTGCCGGAAGTGTTGTGCATGAAAGAAAAACTAGGGGATGCAGGCCGTAAGTCGCGACAAGTTGGACGAGGAGGATGATGGAGGACAAAATTCCACAACTTTTGTGGATGCCCACGTTTCAAGGTGGAAAGTTTGTCGATGAGGAACGAATTGAATCCTTTGTCGTTCGGCGGCTCGCGCTAGACAGTCGGCCCCTGATGTTGAGGCCAGTCTCGAGCGGATTGGCGAGCGACGGACCAAAAAGCCACAGAGGTCGGGACACGGAGTGGACTTTCTGCGGACGCTAAGCAAGCTGCCGACATGGCGAGTTGCGAAGTTGCGACATGTGGGAGCAGAGAGATTGGGGCACGCATGATTCCCTGATTTCCGGGCTCGGTCTGACTGTGCGAGCAGTTGCAGGCTGCAGAAGAGTGCATCGCCCATGACCTCTTTGTCGTTGATAGCGAGCACGCGCGACCGTCAGCACCAACAGGCGCGCCCCTGACGCATCCACCATTTGATGATAGCGTACCGGCTCTGACGTCTAATCGGCAAGATCGCAAGTCTTTTTGCACCCCCGGACGAGGCTTCAACTTGGCGCTCCACCAACCTGTCGAGTGTCGACATCCACAGTCGCGTCTCTTGAGAGTTTGCACGTCGTCGGCCGTTGCGTATCGCAACCCAGGACGCTGCACGACAGAAAAGCCGTTGGCCGGTCCATCGATAAGGAGTCCTACAGGGGGAGTCTTCGTCTTGTTCATAAATCAACATGGCGTCCACGGCGCCCGCGCGCCCTCCCCGGCCTCTGTACCCCTTCCACGACCACGACATTGACAACGTCGAGCGCCGCTTCCAGGACAGCATCGGATACACACTGGCCAACGAACGAGCACCCGACTCAGCCATGGGTGCCGCAGGAACCCTCCAGATCTGGCCCAAGTTGCACATGGAGCCCTACCAGAACATGCCCGAGTTTGACAAGGCGAGATTCAACCGCCTACCCAGCAATCACACCGATCCCTTCCTCACCCAGCCTGCAAGGCCCCGTCCGACCCTGCACGCTGCCGCCAGTCAGCCCGATCTGTATTCCGCCTCGCGCAAAAATGCAATCATGACCGACGCTGCTGTGCCTCCGCCCATCCCTCAACCCCTCCAACGTAGCCACAGAGTCGATTTTTCCAGGCTCTTCTCGAGACACAAATCAAAGAACAAGGACAAGGGAAAGGAAAAGATGACGAGGCCTTCAACCAACCACGGATCCACAGCAGTTCTGCCTCTTCCACCGCCCCCACCCGTACCTGTTTCGACTCGCTCTCGCCAGGACAGCGATCTCTCGTCCGTCCGACCTGCCTCGTCGGGTACCGCTAGCCACCGCACCCAGGCCACTGCCTTTGACCGCAACGCTACCGAGAATGCAAAGATCAATGTGCGCAGGCCGCCAAAGGGAATCAAGCATTGGTTTGAAGGTCTGGACTCATCCGACGACGACCTGCCCGAAGTCGTTACTCCTGCCGAAACCATTCACCAATCTGCATTCAATCCAGCACTTGGTCCTGGAAGATCAAGAGTTGCCCCCACCTCGCGTGTCACGCCCACCTGTGAAGGCTCGTCACCAGATTACTTCCACTACCAGAACTCTGTACACCAAGCACACTCGCAAACCCAAAATCTCCAGGAACGCAGCATGCTAAATCTCTCTTCCGACGAAGACGACGACCAATCCGAACCTCCATCACCACCCAGATGGGCTGACCATTCGACCACCATGAACGGACCTGCATCTGATTCTGTGAGCTGGAACAAGACGACTGCTACGAGACAGTCGACGTTTAGCATGCAAACAACAATGACGTCTGGCTCTATTCCCATCATTCACGCTGACAACCTGGAGCTCGCGTATCGGACTCCTCTACCCCCTCTTCCTGCTCGGTACCAAAACTATCCAGATGTCAGCGCTGTTCCTGCTCCTTTGCGGAAACAAAAGTCCTATCATTTCTCGTCTCCGGGACGTACACGAGCGACGAGCATCACATCAACTGGCATGCAAAGTGCTAGCAGCGGCTCCACTACAGGTCAGTCTCACGTCATGGCTGTCACTCAGGAAGAGATGGCCTTGCTCGAGATGATGCGTCGCAAGAGAGCCGAGATGCAGACTCAATCCAGTCACCCATCTCGAAGACAGGATTCGTCCAGCCAACCTTCTCAATACGATCGCAAGAACTCTGTTATCAGAAGCACCGCTTCATCGACCTTCTCGAGAGGCAGTGCCATGAGTATTGGTCTCATGCTTGATGCGCCTGAAGGCACCGCTTTCCCTGCACCTCCGAGTAACAGGATCGTGCACGAAACACAGGACATGAACTACTTCAGCCTTGACGAGAAACGCACCAACAGGTCATCCGATATGTCAACCCCTCACTCTTACATGCTGGCGGAGCTGGAGGCACCTACCGAACAGCTGCAAGCTCTTTGCTTCCAACAACCACCCAAATCCGCGAGCTCGAGTCAAAATAAACTTGTCCCGTTTGAAAACACAGCCGATCCCTATCGTTTGGCACCAGACCTTGAGCTCTCTTCCCTCGATCTCTTGCCGCTTCCTGCCCGCACCTACTCTCCCTCCCTCGCCGGCACTTGCAGTTCGGCTATGACTCCTGAGTTCAGCACCCATGGCACGACCAACTTCAACGTCACTGGCAGCGATAGCGAGACCAGCAGCGAGGCAGACAGATACCGCAACAGTGTCAAGACCATGGACAGTGTAGACCTGGATGTCATTAGCGCCTGGAGCCGCCTGGGCGGACAATAGATCTTCCTCCTTCTCCCTCGCAATCGACTTGGATCTTCTCTTTTGTACATATGCTTCTCTTTCGGCATTTTGTCTTCTTCTTCTTTTTCTTCTTCTCATGAGATTACGATCTAAAATCTGGATATTTGGGGTCTGTCCGGGTTAGACGGAGGTTTGGCGCATACTCTTCAATCTTCTTGCTTATTATACTACATACTATTCTATGTAGATGGGTGGCTATTTTTGACGACGACTTTACTACTGTATGAAACCAAAGCTCTTGATTTGCTTACTATAATCTTATATGTATTGCTTGTCTTCGTGTGACTGATAACTGTTTGTAAGAACTCACGACATGAGGTTGGAGAATGGGATCCAAGAGATGAACCATATCAACACTCTCTTGTGATACAAATTTGATCTGTGTAGATATCGTGCACTCTTATGATTTGACTTGCTGTCCACTGATGTTGTCAACTTCATTGACATGTGAAGTCGAATGATACACAGAGTGGTGCCAATAGGAAAAAAAAAAGAGAGAGCGGGCGATCGTGCAGCAAGGCAGCCACGAAGCCGCCAGGGTCACCTACTTCAGCAACTGTAAACTTTAGTCCAAACCTCAAATAACACACCTACAAACACAACCAACCATCATGGCCGACTTTCCAGATAGCGAGCGCCCAAGCAAAAGAGCACGGCTTGATAGCTCTACAGCAAGTACTGAGTCACCGCCGAAAGATGAGTACAGTTGGGACTGGCCCGTCGACCTGAACGAGACAACTCTCGAAACCATCAGCCCTCCACCACTCTCACGCGACAAAGGCAAGGCAACTCAACAACAAAAACGACATACGATCACAGAGTCCTCGCCATTTCAATTGACCAGAATTCGCGACCTCTCAGCCTCATCCAATGTCGATACCGTCACGCTCTCGGACATTCTTGGCGATCCCATGATCAAAGAGCAATGGCAGTTCAACTTTCTTCATGATATTGACTTCATCATGAGCCATCTGGATGAAGATGTGCGCGATACGGTAGAAACCAGAATCATCCATGGCTTTCACGACAAAAACAGCCTTTCTCGTATTCATCTCGAGGCTACAGCCAACAAGTATCCTAATGTTCAGGCTCTGCATACGTGGATACCTGCCTACGGAACGCATCACTCAAAAATGATGATATTCATCAGACACGATGATACTGCTCAAGTCATCATACACACGGCCAACATGATCTCTCAGGACTGGACGAACCTCAGTCAAGCAGTGTGGCGGTCACCCCTCCTGTCTTTATCCACTACAGACAACGAGATATCCGAGGCTTCCATAGGCTCTGGTGCTCGGTTCAAGCAAGAGTTGATAAACTACCTGGAAGCTTACAAGGACAAGTATAGAGACCACACTCGACCTTTGATCAACCAACTCAAGAAGTATGACTTCTCTTCCGTCAAGGCTGCTCTCGTTGCGAGTGTGCCAGGCAAACAGCAAGTTGGCACGACCACAGTTGCCAGCAAAGTAAGCCTCTGGGGCTGGCCCGGTCTGGAGCGAGTTCTCAAAAAGGTTCCGGCAACCACACTCGCAAGCAAAGCTCAGATCAATGTCCAGATATCCTCAGTCGGTACATCATCCGAGAAGTGGCTGGAAGGTTTCTTTGATGTTCTCGGAACAACTACTGCTGGACAACAACCAAAGGCCAAGAAACCATCGACCCGGATCATTTTCCCTACAGCTGATGAGATCCGACGTTCGTTGGATGGCTATCAGTCCGGAAACTCGATTCACATGAAGCTGGATTCGGTGATGCAGAAAGCACAGCTAAAGTACATGAAACCTCTTCTGTGCACTTGGTCGGGCGATTCAAAAGAGGACCAAGATGGGGTACGCCAAGCAGGTCGTCGTCGTGCAGCGCCACACATCAAGACATTCATCAGGTTCTCCGATGACAGCTGTACCAGGATTGACTGGACTCTGGTGACATCGGCAAACCTGTCGAAGCAGGCATGGGGAGAAATGGCAAACAAGCAGGGAGATGTCAACATCAAGAGCTTTGAGATTGGCGTCCTCGTGTGTCCTGAATGGCTTGCCGATGATGGAGAAAAAGCCGCCATGATGCCTGCTTTCAAGAAGGACAAGCCGGATGCAGATGGTGTTCTGGAAGAAGTGGACAAGATCATTGGAGTCAGAATGCCCTACGACCTGCCACTTACACCCTATGGTGAGGACGAGGAGCCATGGTGTGCAGAGAGACAGCACGCGGAGCCCGACTGGAAGGGAGTCGTGTGGGGAAGCTATAACCCCAGCGTGTGATATCACTACGGCCTGTGAACGGCATTCGATTGGTTGAGAATGGCTCGATAGCTCAGTAGCTCGGTCGAGAGGCGCAAAGAGCCGTAGCCTTGGTGGGTCATGAAACAAAAACACGAGAGTACGACCAGACAACGTATGCAGATTATGATATGATATTGCTTCTCTTTACTCATGACAGAAGGGTAGGGTAGGGTAGGGTATTCTCGGACGATGACGAAAAGAGGTTCGTTTGTTTAACCGGTGTAACCGTGCTTCTTCTTGAGCGACTCGACGAGAGCGACGTACTTCTTCTGAGCGTCCGAGGGCGAGACACCCTCGTCGACGAGCTTCTGCCATGCGTTTCTCTTGGCCTTGCCCTGATGTGGGGAGATAAACGTGTCAGTCGTGTGTTTCGATTGAAAAGGACAGAACAGCTCCTGAGTGTAGAGAGTTTAGGTGTGATACCTTGAGATCGAACATGCCGGGCTTGTCAGAGGACTCGATGGGAGGGTCCTGGGTTCCTTGCTTGAAGAGTCCGTAGAGCTGTACCGCTACAGTCAGTCGTCGTGATTCTCTCATGTTGCTTTTTGCCTTTTGTCGTTACCTGGAGGAGCTCGTCGTCCGAGGGCTTGGCCTTGAGCTTGCGGCTGTCCTCGACGGCCTTCTTGAACTCTGCGGTTTGGGCGACCATGTTGATGATTATCTGTATAGGAGGTTGGGTTTGGGATAGGTGTTTGGGATGGAAGAAGGAGAGAGGCAGAAGGAGAGTGAGGGGTTTCAAGATGAATCTCGTCTCGTGGTCCACACCTCATTTGGGCACGGAAAGCTTGGCGGTGAGTGGGGGGGAGCTTCCAGCTCGAGACCCTTGTTGATGTCATTGTGACTTGTCATTTTGAGGTTGTTCCTGTTTGTGAAACACTCATTTTTTTGATTTGTTCTCATGGATGTTTCTCTGTGGTTGAATACACGTTTCTACTACAACTCATGTCCCGTCTTCTCGAGCGCACGCTTGTAGCTCTCCGTCCCTTCACACTCGGCAATCCACCTCTCCACATTCTCCCACTTTCTTCCTTTGGTCCCCAACTGCCTGGCCAGAATAAACTGCGCCGAAAACAACATCATGCAATCAGCCACTGTAACGGTATCGCCCACCAGGAATTTGGTCTTGTTTTTCGCCAGTGATGCGTCTAGGAAATCCATGTCGTTGCATACGTTTACGCTCATGCCTTGTTCGGTTTTTTCGGCCGCGGAGGGGTTGTCGGCGCCGAACCAGCGGGTGTAGAGGATGGCTAGGGCGTGGAGGGCGTAGGTTGCTTCGGCGGCGTGCAGCCAACGCAGACATTGGATGCGTGTTGCTGTGTCTTCAGGGAGCAGTTTATGCGAGGTATCGTATTTTTCACAGAGATATCTGCCCTTCTCGTCAGTAAAGCGCTAGAAAAAAAAAACAGGTGAGTCCCCTCGGGCAATTCAAACATACTCAGCTATAGCGCCGCTTTCCGTCACGATCAATTCTCCATCTTTGATCAGAGGAAATTTTCCTAGTGCGTCGCCAGAGGCGTCTTTGAAGTGCTGGGGTGCTTTTCCGTTCTCGCGGTCTGTGAATTCGAGGGTGTAGTCTAGACCCAATTCTTCGAGTTGCCAGGCTGTGCGTATGCAGCGAGAGGCTTGCAGAAAGTATAGTGTGATGTCTGGCATCGTGTTTGGGTTGGAAAAGAGTCTTGACTTTTGAAAAAAGAGTCACGAATGGCGGGGTTGGTATAGGTTGATATCCACGGCAAAGGAGCGGGGTTGCCATCAAGGTTTCCAACGGTGAGTCACTGAGGCTTTTTGTTTACGCTGCCCCTGGCCGAGGCCCTGCGGAGCTTGATGATGACATTCATTTATGATGATGTTACACACTGACTGACAAATAATGATCTTGAAGAAAGTCTTGAATTATCGTTACAGGGGCATCCCGATCTAGACGGAGAAACTATACAGGAACCTCCTTGGGCACGCTTCTCAGCTTGAAGTTTGTGTAAAACTCGCTCTGGCGAACAAACCACGCATTCCTCTTCTTCCAATCCTCACATGCCATCTCAATCTCGAACGTCCTGAGGAAGGTAGGCACCAACTTGTAGATCTCCAACAAACTAATGTTCTTGCCAATGCACGTTCTGGCGCCGGCGCCGAACTGGAACATGGTGGCCTTCATCTCCTTGAGCTTTAATGGGTCGGCCTCGATCCAGCGTTCGGGTCTGAAGGTTTCGACATCGGCACCGAAGACTTCGGGACGGCGGTGAAGCACCCAGGAGTTGCAGCCGACAATGACACCGCCGGGGATGTGCTCGCCACAAATCTCAATGCCTTGCTTGGGGGTGATGCGTTCGAGGATCAAGCCAGCGGCAGGGTGCATGCGGAATGATTCTTGGATGACAGCGTCGAGGTAAGGCAGCTTTTGACTCTCTGCCCAAGAGACCTTATTGTTTGCGCGTTGTTGGATGGCACCAGTCTCGGCCGCGTCGTCGAGCTCTTGCATCAGCTTTGCGTAGACTTGAGGGTACTTGACCAGGTGGTAGAAGACACTGCTCAAACTGATGGCGGTGGTTTCGCTTCCGGCAAACACCATACTTGTCGATGCTGCCAACACTTGGGCATCGGTCATGAATTCAGGGTGATCGTGTTGAGCTTGGTTGAACTTGGTGAGGAGATCGATACCGCGGCCAGGACGCTTCTCGACGATGCCGGTCTCGCGGACTTTTTGCATCTCGTCCTTGCGCTCGCCTGAGCGGTCCTGTGCGAATTTCGTTACGGGGAAGACTTTCTTGTTGATACCCCACTTCTCGAGTTGGAGCTTGAGAGGGTTCTTTTCGAGCAAAAGATCAAGGAAGGGCATTTGGCCAATCTGGAAAGTGTTGTCAGTGGTGCGTAATCACTGACGCAAGAACAGGGATACTCACGGGTGCAGCGTATGAGAGGAACTTGTTCAAGAACTCGATGATGCCATCGACATCCTCATCTCTCTCGATGTATCCAAGACGTTTGCTCCAGGTCAATTCGCCAATGACATCGAAAGCGTAGAACTGCAACCAGCGGGTGAAGTCGCATCTCTTAGGCTTCTCTCCACAGTAGAGCTCCTTGGTACGCTCAATGTAGACGTCGGTTGTGCTGTCAACCAGGGGCTCGTACTCGACCAGCGAGGACATGGCGAATGCACCGTTGACACATCTTCTGTACTTGGCGTGGTAGTCCTCAAAAGTGGTCGAGAACAGAGATTGCAGACGCTTGCCCTTGGAGACAGCTTGCTGGACAGGGTAAAAGTCCGACTTGGTCATGCCCTTGTTCAGACCATAGATGGTCTTGATGGCCTTGGGGTCGGCGAACGACAGAACGTTAGGGCCAAGTCTGACGATATCTCCATGCTGCTTGTGAAGAGCTACATGCGTGACTTCTGACTTCTGGGCCCGCACTTCGAAGTAGCGCCACCAGTTTGTGTAGGCTGCTAGAGGAGCGCCTGGGTATTTGTTCAGGCCTTTGTAGAATTTGTTGTTTAGGAGGTATGCGGCTGCTGACGCTGCGAGCACAATTGGCCAATATGCCACCAGAAGCGGTAATAGCTCGCCGATGATCATGATGTGTTAAACTTCAAGATGCTCGGATTGTGGAAATGGTGAAGGATAGTATGAACCCTCAGTTGAAGAGAATGAGAAGAGGTAGGGTATGGAAGAGTAATGTATTAGAGATACCTCTGTGACCTGCGAGTTGCAGCAGGCGGCTTATATGTTCTACTGCTGTTTACAGTAGTACTCGGTCAAGATACGCAGTTTCGGCATTGGGCCATTTTGCAACTGCCGTGGTGTCGCAGGAGGATACATGGACACACGAACGGCTTCCAGCTTTCCTTCTTGGCCTCGAAGCGGCAGTTGCAAAAGCACTCGGTTGCTCGGGTTTGACGCTCCTCCCCCTCGGTGTTTAGAGGGTCTGACAGGGCGCAAGAGTGCATAGTTACAACTACCGTGCTGGAGATCGGGGTTGAGACCCCAGATTCTAACTTCCCCACCATCGTTTGACAGCAAGCTCTCACGGAAGCCTTCCGCTTCTGCTGGACTTGACAACTTGTCCTGTACCTTCTAGACTTCTTCTTTCTGTCATCGAGCAGATCGTCGCTTCCTCGTTTATTGCATGCCGCTGCCATTCACTGATCAAGAACATTATTCGCAGTATCCAAGAAGCAATACATATACGGGTAATTGTGCAGCTTTACATCATCAGCGCACGTGAAGCACTGAGATTGTGACTTGCGAAGCGTCGTTTCGGCAGAAGAAATCGGCAATTCGACACTCTCGCATCTGCCGTGCATTCGCAACACCTGCTTTTTCCTCCCTTCACGGATTCTCGGCTTGAGGTCTTCGATATCGGTACTGGAAGACAGAAATGACGGCAGCTGCTGGTAAAACGGCATCTCTTCCAATGGATCCAGACAGACACGGACATCCGAACAATCCGTAGGGAGTTGTTCTCAGGTGTGAGTTTCAAAGGAGACACGTACCGGAGACAGGGAGCCGTCGGTTCTGGAGCCCACCGCAACTCGACCATCGCGGACGACTGTTTGTCTTTGCTACAACAATGTATCGTTGGGTCTGTATAGGGAGCCTGCTGATCTGAGCTATCTGAGGTACGAGGTGCGAATATAGCATCGAGGTTGAGTTGGTCAAACAGGATTAAGCTCTAAAATTGACCAAGTAACTTGTCAAGAGCTTCAAGTCCATGAACTTTCGTTGACTCTGACTCAAGTGCTTACCAGGAATGGTCGCTCTCTATCACAACGTGGAGCGACATGTAAGCTTCAGTATCACAGACTACTCTCAGGCTAGACTGGATCCGAAACGAGCTGGGAGAACAACAACTCTTGTCGGACACGGTTCTTTTCCTTGCAGAAATACACGGTATTTTGACAGCTACTCACGACATGATCTGATTCATCGCAGCCCATGGGGTCAATTTCCATTTGATAACATACAAACCAGCGGGGTGTGGGGGCGACCGCCGTGGGGTTCAATACCAGCGCCCAGGTAGGTAATCTCGTCGCAGTAAACGACCAATCTCGGGCTTCGCATTTATCCAACCAAGCGTCAGGCGGCAAGTCTGCCCTAAAATTGGTGCTGGAACCGGCATGAAGCGCGAGCCGCCACATGGATGTTATCCTTCGCTCAGACCTGAAATCAACGCCCCCTACGCGGACAAAACTTAAGCCGCATGGGAATTATTGCTTGGAAGGCTTGGTTGCGACAGACTTTGCTTGGAACGCCACATCTCCCAGCCAATATGGACTTTTGGTAAACTGATATCCAGAGACATCCAGAGACATCCAGAGACATCAAACACAACATCTTTCCAGGATCTGACTGTCAAATAACTTCTTCCCTGTCAAAATATCAATACAGCAGTACCCCGGAAGATCCGTCCATGCAAAGTCAGGAGGATCCACCGAACCAATCAAGCTGATGTACTAAGTGGGTACATCTATCTCGCTGGGACCACTTTTCTGACCATCCGCGAGCACGCTTGTGGAGAAGGCGGAGAGAATCGATTTCTTCTCCCCACAAATTTTTCATATTGAGGCCAACCGTTTCGAGTTGCTCGCCAGGGATAAAAAGGTCTGTCCCAACACCTACATTGTCCTCTCACACCCACCTCTTTCATCTCAGGTTGCGCAACGGTCAAGATGCAACACAATCCCGACTTCAAGGCCGATCTTCGCGAGCCCTCAGAGACAGATGAACATGTCACTTCAGGACAACTTGAGAAGCTTGAGACTGGTGGTCTAGCACCGTGGTCGACTCATATCGCTGGTGATGCCGCCAACCTCTCTCCTGAGCATCGCGACTACCTCTTGAAGCGTCATGGCACATTGGAACTGGACCCTATGCCTGGCTTCGGTGATGCAGATCCGTTGAATTGGAAGACCTGGAAGGTTAGATGACTCATCCTGTACAAAAGTCCGTACCATGTCTGACATATCATAGAAAACGATCAACCTGTTGCTGGTTGCTTTTCATGCGATGATGAGCACATTCACGGCTGCAGCAATCATTCCAGCTTACTTCAACATCCACGAAGACTTGGGCTGCAGTATTCAGAGAGCCTCTTATCTCACGTCTCTCCAGATTGCGATCCTGGGTGGAGCGCCATTGTTCTGGAGACCCCTCTCAATCCGTTATGGACGTCGCCCGATCTGGTTAATATCTCTCATCGGCAGTCTTGCGTGCAACATTGGATGCGCATACAGTCATAGCTATGCCAGCATGGCCGCATGCAGAGCTTTGGTCGCTTTCTTCATCAGTCCTGCTGGAGCCATTGGAAGTGGTGTCGTCAGTGAAACCTTCTTCAAGAGAGAAAGAGGTACCTATATGGGCATTTGGACTCTGATGGTGACCGTTGGTGTTCCTTTGGGAGGCTTCACCATGGGTTTCGTCGCCAACAACGTTGGTTACCGTTGGATCTACTACATCCTCGCCATCATCAATGCTGTTCAGCTCATCCTTGCCATCTTCTTCTGCCCCGAGACACGTTACTTGCGCCAGGGCGTCGAGCATCGTGGCTCTGACCTCAAGCAGGAGTACTGGAGCTTCAGACGTATCGACCCTACTCCCATGAGAGCCTGGGACTTTATTCAACCCTTGACCATGGGTCGTCACGCTACCGTCATCATCCCTGCTGCCTCGTACGCCATGGTCTTCCTGCTCACTTCCATCCTTGTCACCGTCGAGATTCCTCAGCTCTTCCAGGAGAAGTACGACTTCAACGCTCAGCAGATCGGATACCAATTCGCCAGTATCATCATTGGTGCTGTCATTGGCGAACAGCTCGGAGGTGTTCTTTCTGATTTCTGGATGAAGCGCAAGGCTCGCAAGATGCCTGCTGGCCACCGTCCTCTTCCCGAATACCGGCTATGGCTCAGTTATTCTGGATTCCTCCTCGGCATCGTCGGCTACATTGTCTTCCTCATCCAGACTGATGACACTAAGAAGTGGAACGTCACACCTCTCATCGGTGCCGCCATCGCCGCCGTCGGAAATCAGATCGTCACCACCGTTCTCATTACCTACGCTGTCGATTGCCATCAAGAAGAAGCTGCCAGTATCGGTGTCTTCATCACCTTTGTCCGCCAGATCTGGGGTTTCATCGGTCCCTTCTGGTTCCCTCAAATGTTTGAGGGCATTGGTCTTAAGGCTAGTGCAGGTGTCGGTACTGCTTTGATGATTGGTGTCAGTGTTGTCCCTGTCGCCTGGCTGCACTGGAGAGGTCGCTCAAGAAAACACATTGACGAGTAGATGACTCGTAATGGATTTTGCTAGCGATGGAGTTTTGTTTTCAACATGATTATAATAGATACGAACTGTAACGAATTGTATACCTACACAGCCCGCCTTCAACAAGGGCTGTTCTTTTTTCGCCTCTTTCATTTCGTGTGCCTTGTCCTTTGATCTGTGTGTGATATGAGTATTCTCGTCCACGGCGGTGATTATGTCTATCTAGCTGCCACTTGAGATTTGCAAAACACAACTTACACATGGTGGTATTGGGTTTTGAGATATGCACATACCCTGGTTTAAGCTGTTCACCATTCTGTTCTAGGGAAGTATATTATCCTCTCCATATGCTAAAACCTGTAGGTTCAATACTCCTGCCACGGAGATAGAGTGGGATTCTCACCATAATGATGCACAACGGTATCAGAATTTAAGGAAGTTGACTTTTTTCTTTTCCAAAACCACTGTGCATATATCTCTAGAGCTAAGTGCATCACAACACTTTGCCAGTCATGGAGAACGAATATGGATGCCAAGCCACGCACAAATTCCAGCATCACGCCAAATTTCGGAGCCCCAAAAGAATTTTCAACCACCACAACCAAAAGCGATAGTCCTAGATGATGAAGGACATCCCACATCACACAAAAAGATGATTTGATGGTCAGTACGGGGGTCGAACCCGCGACCTTGGCGTGCCGTGTATCAGAAGATATTAGCACCACGCTCTAACCAACTGAGCTAACCGACCTGTTTGATGGAGTGTACTCTCAGACTTTGTATACTTCACCTCCAGCCTGGGCGGGCCACCAGCAATGGCGATGGTCAATTACCCAGCAGAGGGCGTAGGTAGGTCGGTTACACTCAGTTGGTTAGAGCGTGGTGCTAATATCTTCTGATACACGGCACGCCAAGGTCGCCGGCAGGGCATGACAAGTCATGCCCATGTGAGTCTTTCTTGTCGAATACTGAGTGACAGACATTGCGTGCCTATAGTGTGTTCGGAAAGTCATGGATAAAATCACCTAAATCATGCATATGACCTTTTACGCACTGCAAGCTAAGCCCACGAGCGGAAGGATATCTTGATAGCTTCTTAAGATAGTATTAATCCAAGAATATATCATCGTCGTTATCGCTATTGCTGTTGGAGTGGGAGGGCAGGGTGCTACCAGTAGCAGCTTTGACTTGGTCATCTCAAGCTTATGCTGTGCTTTGTCATGACAATCGTAACAGTCTCCCATCTCCCTAACACCAAGTACTATTTTTACATACCATAGAAATGCACAAAATGTTTTCGCACTAGACTTTGACCAGGGTAATATGTGAAGATGGGCTCTCTCTTTGGTGATCATTCCGTCCAAGAGATCACCATGCGCTTCCACAAATCACATATGAGTCAAGCAAAGGGACCAAGAGATGGGTAGATGTTGTTCAGCTCAAAGATATCTCTGCATTATCTACCATGACTTTTTGTCGTCTATCTTCGTTCCCAGATGCCTGTACCATCCATGCTAATGACTTCGAGTGAAGAAAGAAAAAAAAAAAGAAAAGGGGGGAATTAAACGCCTCATAAAAAACCATGTCATAGCGCTCCCAAAAGGCATCACACCTGGTGCGCTTATTGGGAAGAACCACCAGAGATGGTGAGGACCTGGCCGTTGACCCAGCTGCCGTCACCGCTGGCGAGGAAAGCTACGACGCGGGCGACATCCTCGGGGACGGCGCAACGACCCAGAGGGCAGTGCTCGGCCATGAGGTTCTCGATCTTGTCGGCGGGCCAGTCGGGGGTACCGCCGGGGATGTAGTGCCTATTGAGAACATGTCAGTGAGACTCTTCAAGACTATGATTGACATTGCACGAGTTTGACTTACCAGGCATTGGAGGTGAACATGTCGGACTTGATACCACCGGGGGCAACACCGTTGACAGTGATACCGCGCTTACCAAAGTCGGTAGCGAAGGCCTTGATCATACCGATAACAGCCATCTTGGAGGCGTTGTAAAGGGCGTGGTCGCGGACACCAAGGAGACCAGCAGCGATGGAGGACATGAGGATCAAACGACCGTTGTCCTCAAGGTGCTTCCATGCAGCCTGACCAACGAAGAACTGGGCGCGAGCGTTCAAGTTGAAGACGTGGTCGTACTTCTCCTCGGTGATCTCCTCGGTCTTGTCCCATGACTCGGTACCACTGTTGGACATGACAATGTCAATCTTGCCAAAGTGCTTCTTGGTCTCCTGGAACAGACGCTCAATCTCGGCAACCTTGCTGACATCGGCCTGGATAGCGATGGCCTTGGCACCGCTGCCGGTGGCCTCAATCTCTCTTACGACCTCATCGGCGGAGGATTTGCTGCTCTGGTAGTTGACGACAACGCTGGCACCGCGTCTTCCGAGCTCAATGGCACAGCCACGACCGATACCACGGCCAGCACCGGTGATGAGAGCGACCTTTCCGTGGAGGGAGGCGGTGGGAACGGTGACGACTCCTTGAGAAGACATTATGTTGTGTTTGAGAGGTGATATAGAGTCGAAGATTTGATGCAACAGTGTTGTAGCGAGTGTTGAAGATAGATGTGATGTGAAAAATACAGAGACCTGCAAACCGAGGACCTACCAGGCATTAAGTATCACTTACCTTCGCTGTACTCTACTACGACAATCACTCGAAACAGTTGTTCTATCCAGACTCCCGATACCACGAGAGCCGAAGTGTTGAAAGTCGAGGTGGGGAGCCGAAATGTTTGGGAGACCGAGCACAGCGTTTTGAAGCCCGAAGCGGAGCGGACGGAGACGCGCTCTCAGGCACAGTGGACGTGAGACATGTCTTCCCACCAAAAAGTCCGACGATTGATGATGAGCATTGATCTTTCGGTTACGCCAAAATAGATGCCGTTCGGAGAATATTTGATGCAAGACGCTGATCTTGTCCGTTCGGTTTGCAGGGGCCGCAGGGTAGAGTCGGTGAGGAAACTTTTGCTGCCAGGGCCAGCCAGGTGCGGGGCTGGTTTGTGACTGTCAGCCATGAAGCCTACGAGATTCGCAGCAAACTTCTTCTATACACTTCTATTCACGATATCATTGTGAGAAATCAATATGATGGCAGACAGATTTCATTTGATCCGAGTATTGTCTTGAAGCACCTACTTCAGGTGCCGTACTCCATGTCTCTACCATTATGAACACCACGTTGGTGCAGCCCCGCTTCTACTAGCCCTTCCATCGAATGCGCTTTCCTGGACTCCGAGCAATGGTTGCCATCCCAAACATCTCCCCGGTATGCATGAACAACGAAGCGAAAACGGCCAAAGAAGCAAGAAAAGACAGAAAGGAAAGAAGAGAAGAGGAAAAGAAAAAAGGTAGAAACGCTGCCGATAAAGCTTGCGTATTCTACATGGGAATATTAAGTGCTCATTTCGTCGTGGCATCATGGTAAAAATTGCCTTCCAAAACAAACCCAGCCGAGATGGCTGAAGCTAGCAAAGGTCAGCATGCTCGTCGCTATACCAAATCAATCGAATTTGTGGAGCTTCAGAGCAAAGAAAAAACAGGCCAGCCAACAACAGAGTTGCGGAGGGCAATATGGCCTTGGGGGGTATCGTTTCGAATCGAGAACGCCAAAAGATAAGAATTGCTCGATCATAAAGATCTTGGTGTGCATTCATCACCAGCCCTTGTAACCGAGAGAGGTGGTACGTTAGTAGACAGGAAGCTTGAAGCCCTTCTTCATCTCGGTCTGGACGAAGAGAGATGCGCGCTTGAAACGGCGATCCTGGTACTTGTGGAAGACGGCATTGTGATGAACATCAGGTGCCTCGCAACATTCGACCATGACAGCCAAGAGCTGACGGATCTGTGCGTAGGTGTAGTTGGAGTAGTAGACGTGAGCCTGGGTCCACTGGCCTTTGCGCAACATGAGGCGAGCAAGACAGTGGGCGCCTGCAGCCAGGAAACTCGGAGTGCAGCCAACAAAACGTTCGTCCATGATGGTGATTTCCAGGAAGTACTTTGCCAGGGTTCTTGTCTCAAGGTCGTAGTCATCGGCCTTGCTGATGCGGCGCAGGAAACTCATGGGGCCAGGCCAGCCGAGCTCAAACGAGAGCATACTGAGCATGTATCGCTCAGCCTTGAGGATCTCATCCTGGGTGTACCCTCCATCGACCATGTAAACAACTTCCTGGACGGACGGGCAGTTGACTTCCTCATACTTTGCGGCAAGAAAGATGGCGGTGGCGCCGACGAGCTGCAGCTTTCCTAGTGAGATGACCTTGTAAGAGAGGAAACGGTCGATATAGTTGACGGCAAGGAACAGAGTCTCGGGCAAGAGGGTGAAGCGAGTGTGAACCTGGATCATCCAGTCCATGAGAACGGATCGCATCGACCATTGACACTCGTTCTGAAAATCCATATAGTGTGGATTCGGGCGCATGCGTACCTAACGGTTGTTAGCAACTCGGATTCTGACAGTAACGAGGAAATTCAACATACTTCGAGAGTGCGCATGTACTCAAAAATCTCATCACCATACTCGGCTACCATTGATGTGTCCCATTGGTCATCCTCAATATCCTCGGGAGTACGAGTGCTCTCGACGACCTGTCTGGCTTCCTCAATCTCTCTGAGTGTCTGCTCAGTATGCTTTGGGCACAACACAACCGTGGCTCCACCAGTTGTGTTGTCTGTGACACCACTTCGCGTCATTGTCTGGTTTGCTTCGTATAACTCCTCCTCGTACTCCTCGTCGTAGTCGTCGTCATTGACAGTAATCAAAGACTGGCTCAGGACAACGACCTTCTCCTCCACTTCAGGCGCAAATTGCTCCAATGCGTTGGTATCCAGGATGACTGCCTCCGGGTGGGTCAAGACTCGCGGTGGTTGGACAGATCCGACAGCAGTATCTTCCTTAGTATGAGTCTCGACTTCGTCGGTGGTTGCTGCAGATGAGGGTCTCGTCTCGCCAGCTGTAATATCGTCGACGGTAGGTGCTGCTGAGCCTCCGAGGACAGCAACACTCTTCTTTGCTTGGACTTTGCGAATGGTCGGAAGGGCAGCGGTAGGTGCAGTAGTGGTAGTGATGTTCTTGACTGCGAGAGGCTCCTGAACAGGCTTTGACACCACAAGAGGCTCGAGGTAAATGGCTGCTGCCTTGCCATTGTCATGTGTCTTCACACCATCGTCTGTCACGGGAGCAGTCCTGGTCGTGTTGCTCACGTCGGCGAAGACAGCACGCTTGGCACCAGCGCGCACAGCACCGTTCTGCATCAGGGTAGGTAGGGTGGTTGATGACTTGTTGCGCTGGTGAGTGCCCTTGGCTGTGACCGGGTGGGAGGGAAGAGCATTTTCGTCGTGGACACGCAAAGCGCGCTGGGGTCTTTGGGGCTATTTATGGTCAGCATGGGTGAAGAAATGCTTGTGAATGCAGGTTCTAGGAGCGTGTTTTTGCATGGGGAAAACAGCATGTGGATACACGTGTGTAGTGGACGTGTTGGAGATATGCAAGGGTGAAGGCAGCATATTCGTTGCAGCCAAACAAACAAAGCAGTGCAAGGTTACATCTTGAGCAAAAGATACATGGAAGGCGAGAGAATGCCTAGAAAATCGAGTATTAGTCTTACCTTTGCATCCATCTTGGGCAAGCTGAGACAAGTCGGGAGCAATGTGCGGTGTAAGGACAAGTAAGAAAGCGCGTCGCCGGCGAATCTTGAAAGTCTGCGAGATAGCCGTCGGGGCTGGCACGCGTGTGGACGAGGAGACAGCTGGAGAACAAAGAAGACGACAATTCAGCGCAGGCTCATGGCGAAGTAAGAAGGTATTCGATGGCGAGGAAGATCCTAACCTAAGATTGCTGGAGGGCCCGAATGTCAAAACATCTAAAACGGTTCCATCAACAAACAGAAGAGCTGCATAACAGGTTCGCCAAGCCGCTAGCGCCAACTCTAACCCTGTCCAATGTAAACAAGGCCTCCTCCACGTCGTCCTCCAAAGGTACAAGATGCCATTTCCCATCCCGATATATCCACAAACGATCGAATCTCCGATTCAACTGTGTTTCACAAAATCTTGTCATATGCTTGAATATCTCTGCTATATATTCGCCCCTAACCACCAACCATACTGTCAAAATCACGCGTTCCTCCTTTTGCGACTTTCCGAACGCGAGGCAACACCATCGCACGTGATCTCGAAGATAGGTCCCGGTCGAACCACTGCACCTCCATCGATTCCGACGAGGGCAAGGATGATGGAGACGATCAGAGGTAGGTCTCCCGTGTCTGACAGACAGTCTCCGGGGTCCGCTGTCATGCTCGAGCTCCAATAGAAACAGACCATGGTTGGAAAGAGTGCCAGGTTCAAGGCCCCTTCTCAAAATTGCGACAGTGTAAGGTTAACCTTCTGCTATGTGATTTGTAGCATCACTCGCTGTCGGACAGGGGAAAGGAGAGCTCTCCTGTCGATATCTACTGGTCATCCGAATGTTGGCAGAACCGTCGCGCAAATTGCGACTCATGTTAGAGACAATCTCTCTGACAGTTGCGACCTCGGCACGCTTTGCGCCGGCGCATCTGAAACCGATACTGCTAGCAGGCCCAATCTCATCGCTGGACTCCACGATTTCATTCAGACTCTAACCTCTGCTCGAGACGACTTCAACACTCTTTCTTCAAGACGACGATCGACCTCAAGTCAGCTATGACAAGGATGCGTTCTTGTAGACAACGCCTCGACCGCGGCGTAAATCAGCCTCGTCATTCCAGCGGCAATTATCGGCATGGTTGAGCCGTGGTGATGATTGACTTGCGCGCACCGCTGAGGCCACAAACCACGCACAAGACACCAAGCGCAATGTCATTCTCGTCACCCACTGATCATTGTTTTATGCAGTCGCGTTAGGCAGGTTTTCAATCTCATCGATTGTAGACGGTCTGCCTGGAAGTCTTCGTAGGCAATCTAACACAGGCCCTTTCTGAAGGTGAGGTACTAGCTCCATCGCATTGTAACTCGGGCCACATATTGTTGCTTCGGTGAGCATTCCATATGGCTTGGCGGACCTGTCGCATTCACAAGTCGGGCGTTCACGATTGAGTGGAATGATTGCACCAGTCAGCGCCTGAGGGGAAAAGCAGTGCAAAGAAACGACGCTCGTCATGGGTGGTGCGTTATCGAAGACTTGGGAAGCAGAGCAGGCAGCGCGAGCGGATCTGCAGCGCTATATGCGAGTACTATGCGCGTGTACATGGAAACGGCCTTGAGGTCGTTGTATCGGTGTACGAGTGCATTGCGCATATACGATTTGGGGGGATACTGGTATGCGCTTGCGTAGCACAGGTTGGGAGACGGACTCGGACACAAGCACGCGGTTTGACAAAGATGGCAGACAGACATGACGGAACAGGGCGGTTTGAGTGTCCGAGAGTCAGACACCGCTCTTATATGGCACCAGCGGAACTAGACGTGGGCAAGCGCAACGCCTCTCATTGGCTTCCACAAGCCGCCCACAGAGTATGCTCTGAAGGGACCTATAGACAGGCAGGGTTGTGCATGCAAAGCAGTTAGTTGAGATACGCTGTGCGGGAGCAGACCAGAGTGGGTAGATATGCCTCTCTTAGGGCAGTGCTGATAGCGGTGTCGTGATGTTGGGAACAGTCAGGATGTGGCTGAGGGGATGGATAGAAGGCCAGGGCAGCCAAACGGAAGTATATGGACACAATTCAAGTTGAGGTGGGATGCTGAGCTCAATGCGATCGCAACGATGTCGATTGTAAAAGGGAAACAAGAGGTGTTTCGCATGCTGAATTGGAGCGTGATGTGGTTAGTGGGCCGGATTCTCCGCCTGGGCTGAGGGACAAGCCAGTAGCTTTCGTTCTGCGCTGCAAGACGACTTCCCCCACCTCTGCAACCTTCTTCTTCTGTCCCAGAGCCGCTTGTCTTCTATCATCTCATCCTATCTATCCCAGTCCGCATCTTGTTGCGCTCTTCTTGTCTTTCGAGTCACCGGCCATTGCTCGCAGCAATCCCGGCTCTTCACCACCGCCCACCACTCATCGGGTGAGCGCCCGAGCCTAGCCACAACCAACGGCTATCTTGTCTACAAGACATTCGCAAGGGATCGCCTGTGTCTCTTGACTTCAGGCCGAACAGCAGCGACAGCGGTTGCGTGCTGAAAGGGCAGAAATCGGTTCGTTGACCCTCTTGACTCTCTGAGGCGGCTCCCCAGCGCTCGCCTAGTCCCAACCGCCATCAATGTCTTCGCATCGCCGTTATCCAACCCCGTGATGCACCATGCCTTCCATTCTATCCACAACAGAGGCCAACCGAGACATGAAGCGCTGACCGTATTGCTGTTCCAGCTCCTCGACGACCCTCCCACTCCCGTTGCGCCGACGGCAACGTCACCACCGCGAACTTTAGATATCCTCCCATACCTCTCTCCCAGTGCCGCCAAGTGCCTTGTCTACAACAACACGACCCATAAAAGCCATTAGAAGCCTCGATCATGGATGTCCATGACCTCTTGGCAAGAGATGGACCTCGGGCTACTGCCGCCAGCGAGGGCAGACCATCGAGCCGTCAGCACTTGACTCGACATTCCTTGCCGTCGCAAACATCTCAATACCACGACCATATGTACGATGGTGCAGCTGATGCTGCTCCGAGGACGTATGCTGACCCTCCTCGCCCCTCGCGCGCAAAACAGCAAAAGCATGTCACTTTTGAACTCCTCCTCCCCGAGGGCCACAACCGCGAGCACCGCGCTCGCCTACCCATGCGTGTCATGATCTCTCCCCATGATACCACCGACTCGATCATCACAACAGTGCGCAACTTCTACGGCCTGTACGAAGGTCCGGGTGTCAGCTTCCAGGACAAGGAAGGGCGCATCCTGATCGCAACCTTTGAGAACTTCGAGCACAACATGGTTGTCTACGTACGTATGACTGCTCCTGATCCAGCTGTAGCAGCCGCTACTAGCCAGATTCGTTCGGCGACGACATCGCCTCGCAAGCCCAAGCTGGCTGCTGCAATCGACATGCGCCCACCATCGCGCAACTCTCGTCCGGCTTCGCGCGCTGCCCCTGGCCGCAGTCTCTCTCCTCAGTCGAATCGCAGTCATCGTAGCGCGTCCAAGCCGCAATCTCGCAGCGGCTTCCGACCCAAGGACAAGGAGACCATGTATGATGACATGTATGCTGGCGACACTGATTATGACAGTGATGGCGCGCACAGCCGTCGCTCCAAGATCGAACCCCACGCCAGCGCCGAGATCAGCGTCGAGAACATTGTCGAGGGTGGCAGAAGGAAGCGGGCTAAGTTTGACAGCTCGGTATGCGCGAGGGCTCCGCTGTGGTCCCATGTTTGGTCTAACCTTGTCCCAGGAACTTCCTCTCTTCGTACCTCCTCAGGTCCCAGCGGCGAACTCCATCTCTTCCATCTCCCCTCAGCGACGCCCTGCTGCTAACGCTGACATCGTTGCCTCTCCCTTCTCGTGGTCTAATCAGCGCAACGTCACCTATCAACAGCCTCTTCCGTCACCTCAGAGCTATACTGGATACTACTACAACAACATCCAGACACCGTACAACAACACGACTTTCCGCAGTCGTCCTGTTCCAACCTTCCAGCCCCGCTCGTCGGTTGGAGGTGGCGCCATCTTGCCAACTCCTGAGCCCACCAATGCAAGCGTCATCTCGGATGAAGATGTCGCTCTGCAGCTCATGCGCCTCGGTGACGCTTCCAATTTCTCTCACGGTCGTACTTCCACTTCTACCATGGATGATGGTCTGAGTGGAAAGGCAGACGCTGCTTCTTCGGCTGGCGACGATAGCGATCTTGTTGATGATGAAGCCTCTAAGCCTCAGCAGCTCATTTCGCACGGCGACGGGCCGCGCAGAAAGAAGCAACGTGTTGCCGAAGCTCCTCTACCAAGCACTGATAGCATTCAGTCCAGTGAGGAAGAATACTCCGAGGTCGATAGCGACGTTCCCGCCTACGACGAGAATGGGGTTCACGTTGCTCGCGCCATGTCCAAGGCCAGAGGTATGCCCAATGGCAAGCCCCATGATGCTTCTGTCATTAGCTCTACCAAGTCCACCAAGAGCCGTGTCCCTGGCCCCGTCAAGTCCAAGCCAAAGTCAAACTCGACCTCTTCCTCGACCAAAATCCCAATGTCGCCAGCCTCTCTTCCATCGCACTCTCGTAAGACGTCGACTGCTTCCACCATCAACTTCCAGCATCAGCTCGGCATCGACGAGGAAGATCTGTCAACCAAACCTCGCTGCCAGAGATGCCGCAAGAGTAAGAAGGGTTGCGATCGTCAGCGACCTTGTGGACGCTGCAAGGATGCCGGTATTGGCATTGAGGGCTGTGTCAGCGAAGACGAGGGCAACGGTCGCAAAGGACGCTATGGCCGTCACATGGGTGTACCGGTCAAGAAGTCCGACCTCGGTTACGACACTTACGATACTGTACCCATCACCGCTGCTGGCGGTACTGGTGAGTTCCTCGCACCTGCCCTTCCTGACAAGAACAAGAAGAGGAAGCGTTGAGCTCATCACCCATGGTCATCTGACCAATCTCGTATGTTTTTTCTGTTTTCTTGGTTGCATAAGTCATTGTGGGCATCTTGGAGTACATGTTGGGCCTGGGGAGTTTTGTTTTCAACGACACATCCACAAGATCTCTTGGGCAAGCGAGCGTTTCTTTTACATGATCTTGAGCTGGTCGTCTCTCATTTTGCTTTACCAGTCTACATGCACAGCACGCATACACACACATCAATGCTACTCACCTTTTACATCATCTCCGTGTGACAAATCAGTCATGACAACTGTGGGAGTGCATTACTTCTTGTTGCAGAATGTAAGATTTACGATGATATATATAGGATCGGTGTTGAGAGTCAAATGTGAGAGGGCGTGAAATGACTGGGCAGGGTGGCAGCAGAGACAAAGCGAGATAGCAAAGGCTTGGTCCCGTGCGGCATCTCGTCATTGGGGCTTGTCGACCTCGACCGCCGTGACCACGCACTCATCCTGATAAACAACAAGACCTTGTCGACTCGCTCACCGCCTTGTCACGCGCTTGTTTGCTCGGAACCCCGTTCGCAGATAGTCCCCATCGCAGCACCCAACTCGAAGCGCGACGAACTCCAGCACACTCATCTCGCGCCAGGCGACCCATCCCACAACATGTCTTCGCGCAAGAAGCTCCTGAAGGTATGCTTTAGTGACGCCGAGGACTCTGTGTCGCGTGATGATCTGACAGCCAACAGGTTATTATTCTCGGCGACAGCGGTGTCGGCAAGACCAGTTTGATGAACCAATATGTACGATACCCCTCCATCGATCATCCCGAGCAGAAGGAACAAGAGCAAGGAACAACGAGACTGATGGATGTGTTACTGTCAGGTCAACAAGAAGTTCAGCGCTAGCTACAAAGCCACCATTGGCGCAGACTTTCTCACAAAAGAAGTCCTGGTCGACGACCGACTAGTCACCATGCAGGTGCGTAAACTGTTCCTTCACGAAGCCTGTGTACCCTTGTCCATCTGACGCAGTCGCTAGCTCTGGGATACCGCTGGCCAGGAGAGATTCCAATCGCTCGGTGTTGCTTTCTACCGTGGTGCCGACTGCTGCGTGCTCGTCTACGACGTCAACAACTCCAAGAGTTTCGACACCCTCGACAGCTGGAGAGATGAGTTCTTGATCCAAGCCAGCCCTATGGACCCCGAGAGTTTCCCCTTCGTAAGCCGTCCCTAGGAAAAATACTCGATCGAGACCTAGACTAATAGCCGGCAGGTCGTGCTCGGCAACAAGGTGGATGTAGAAGAGAGCAAGCGCATGGTATGTCGAAGAGGACACGAGTACGATATGACACTGGACTGACCGTGATACAAAGGTCTCATCGAAACGCGCCATGGCATTCTGCCAGTCCAAGGGTGGTATCCCATACTTCGAGACCAGTGCCAAGGAGGCCATCAACGTCGAGCAGGCTTTCGAAGGTGACCATTCTTCAGTCTGTATTGCTGTCCGATCGATGCTGACATATACCAGTGATCGCTCGCAATGCTCTCGCTCAAGAAGAAAGCGGTGATTTCAATGCAGACTACCCCGAGACAATCCCCATCAACCTCGACAACGAGCGCGATGGCTGCGCCTGCTAAACATAGCTCTCTGACATTTTTGATTTCTCGTTTCTTTTGATGCCATTCGTTGTGCTACAGGCGTTTCTATTCTGCATATGGGAGGGTCTCAAAACACTCTATGACCAGGGGCTCCGTCTCATTTCCTCGTGCACCGACTGCTCCATCTGACGGTGCCTGCGGTGTGAATATAGCACATATACCTATAATACACCACTACGTCCTATGTACAGGTCCTTGTTTGACAGTTGGTGGTGCAAAGCTGTTTCGCTGCCTCATTACATTGCGCCTTAGTGTTGTGACCAAGTTATGAGGCCATCAATCTCGGCATCGGAACTGGTTTGTGTGAGTCGCCATTCAGTACTGTTCAGGAAACATCACGAATTACTGTACTTCAAACAGAAGCGAGTACTTTCGATAGATTTGTGTCTAATCTGCAACTGTCGGCGATCGCTTTCCTACGCACGTTGCTACCAATTGGTATCGTCGTATCGAAGTCAGCCAGCCAGCCAATTTCATCATCAATTGCCCCACATTTTAAACGTCCCTCGTGCCAATGTCATCCCCGTTCCTTGCATCCGCGTCCAAGCATCTTTATTTTCCTGCATCCTACCTATTTCTTGTCTATATCTTGGCAATATAAATTCTTCTAATAGCCGTACGAGTGGAAGGAATTTTGATGCTGCGATTTCCTCTCAAGCCCACCATTTCATAATCCTAGGTATCTCCAGATGCCGTCGCCATAGTCGTAATTGCCATCACCGATCAAAACAACAAATTTGCACGACTCGCGTCCTGCTGCTGAAGTCAGGATGGATCACACCACGGTCAGAGACTTCCAGTCGCCGGACAGGGTGGCTTTCCAGGATCAAGGACCAGCAGGACGTAGCTCTATCGCCAGTCCTCGTAGCCCAGAAGTTCCGGCTGGTCGTCAGAGATTCGGGAGTGTCGCTTCGGGAGCGTCGTATTTTTCCAACGACAACGCATCTCGCCAACGACGACTTTCCAGATCAAACACAGTCAAAACTTACCATGAACCCAGTCGGCCTAACTGGCAGCCCGGCGCCGAACCTGGAATTGATACTGATGCTGAGCGAGTAAGCCCTCATCTCGAGGCTCTGCGAGCGAGATGCGACATCTTGGTTGCGGATTTTAGTGCTGAGCATATGGAATCTGTACAAACCGACAACGACTCGCTGGAAGAAGTTTTGTCCGAAAAGCGACCACCCCACTTGCCTTGCCGCTGGATCTCGGTCAACGGCTTGAGTTGGGATGTCATCAAGATACTCGGTCAACACTATGGACTGCATAGACTTGCTATCGAGGATTTGATTAATACTCGCACCCGCACGAAGTGTGACTGGTACTCTGATCATGCGTTTGTGGTGTTGACGCTGCAGAAGCTCGTTCGCATGCATTCGCATGCTGATACTGACGATTGTGATTGTTCTGATGATGAGCAGCCGATACACTATGATGAGGTTGACGAAGCGCATGAGCACCACCCAGAACGCGAACGCGTGCCTTTTTGGAAGAAGCCTTTCAAGAAGTCGAAGCGGAAGCAACAGTCTAGCCTACCACAATACCGCGACCCTGATGGACTGGACAAGATGGGAGATATGATCCGAGCACACAGTTCGACAGCAGATGGCGCACCACTAAAAAACATTAGAACACTGCATCGTTACGAGAGCATGCAGAACCCTGAGCACACTTTGTTCATGGAAAAGCATTCTGCACTGTTTGAAGAGAACCTGGTCGTCAGCGTCGAGCAGGTCTCGATGTTTTTAATGTCAAATAACACCGTGATCTCATTCTTCGAACACTCTGGCGCTGATGTCGAGGAGCCCATCCTAGAGCGTCTGAAGAGTCCAGCCACAATGCTACGCCGTAGTGCCGACTCATCTCTGGTAATGCAAGCCATTATCGATGCCATCGTCGACTTGGCCATCCCGGTCAAAGAAGCCTATAACAAAGCGCGGAAAGACCTGCAGATCGATGTCCTGACCAACCCATCGATGAGCACCTCCAAAGCCCTGCATATCTTTAGCGAGGAAATTGACATGCTTCAAAACTTGGTGAAGCCTATCGTCAATCTAGTCAACTCGCTCCGAGACCATAAGTCAGATCCTTACCCCGGAGCACCACTACCTTCGGAGCCGTCTTCACGGAAAGTCAGTGACCATCGACGGCCACAACCAAAGCGTTTGTTCACGCAATCTCCGACGACTGTAGTTATGAGTCCGCTTGCTCATGTCTACCTCGGTGACGTGTTGGATCACTGCATCACCATAATTCAATCACTCGAGCAGATGGATGCATCAGCTAACAACTTGTCATCTCTGATGTTCAACACCATTGGTAAGCTTCCTTTGCCTCTTTCTACCGCAAACCATACTGACATCTCACAGGTGCCCGCACCAACACGACCATGTCCATCATCGCCCTCGTGACCGTCTTCTTTGCACCTTTGACGTTCCTGTGCGGCTACTTTGGCATGAACTTCGAGGACTTCCCTGGCATCCACCATTCAGATGTCTATTTCTGGATCATTGCTGTTCCTACAACTATCGTGTTCATGGTGATGATCGGAGGCGGCGTTGGATACCGGACAGTGAAGACGTGGGCTGCGAGGTTCCATCTTGCCAAGGCAAGGAGAGGGAGAAAACAGAGGCAGGCGAAGCTTAGAGCTAGACAGAGGCAAAGGGCTGTGTTGCGGTAGAAGATGTGGCAAGAGCAAGTGGCCTAGTTTCGCATTTTTTTGCTGGAAATACTCTCTTGCCTGAGATTTGAACTATCTGTTCTTGTGAAAACCTTGCCTCAATTACAAAAGGCAATACCCAAGCTGGCGCTTTGCCTCGACATGGCTAAATGTTCGTGCAAACAAGTATGTCCCTAAGATATCAAGATTTATGATTGCAACGAGATGATCAGTAAGATACTCCAGTCTAAATCCAATGATAGTGCTAATGTACCATGCCAACAGAGCTAAATATAAAGGCCTAGGCGGAGTCCGATATGATGCATAACTGGTGACTCTGGCGACGGACGGTGTCCACTTGGTACCTACTGTGTGCTTCTGTTCCTGGCTCTCAGCCACGACTCGACGAGGGTACAACAAGCGGCATGAGCCGCTATCTGCACATATTGCCATATCACCGTTCTCACAGTTGGAGATTTGGTTTTGATCAATAGTTCGCGTGTGCATGAGGTTGAGAAGGTTGAGAATCCTACGTGCCACTGGCGCCCTAGGAGGTCGGGACTCGTCCGGCATGGAGCGCGCTCCGTCGCTTGATGCATAGTGATGGGAATATGTTTATCCGTGCACAACAAAGCCCACTGATCTCAGGATCAACCTTGTACGATAGTCCCATCAGGCAACACAGAATTGACCATAGCTTGTACGACAGTCCCATCAGGCATCACAGACCTGGTCCTGGTCGCGAGGAAGAACGTTAGCAAATGCATTTGCTTAGAGAAGCAGGATCGACTACAGAATTTACCATGTAAGTTGTAACGGCTGGTTCATCAATTCCCAGTCTTCGGGAGATATGATTTGATGCCTTGGGCCATCAAAGCGAGAATTGCTTAGCCTCCACTCGGTGGATGCCGGGTATACAGGCTCTGCTACCCGCATTGCAGCAAGAATATCATCCTGCATGCTCATGAGCCAGGGGTGCACCGCGCCGACGTAGTCCTTGACCGTGACAAAATCGTTCCCAAGTGACGGGCGGACTTCGAGCGTGAGACCTTGTTTACCTAGCGGGCGGTCTTCATCGCAACAGTGGATAAGGATTTCTGTGTCTGAGCGCTCATCCCAACTCCACGTGCCGTCCTCCCGCTCAGGTTCTTCTGCGAAAGGGCGTACGTCGTTGTCGAGATCGCCATAGGTAACAAACTCGCATTCGTCGTATGCTGGGTCGGCATGTTCCATATGAAATCGCTCCCATTTACGGTCCCAAAAGTCCAAGTTCACGAGGGATGCTTCGAGATACGAGACTCTTGTATCCGTGATCGATTGCGAGGCAATCTCATGCCACTCTCCAGTCTCTGGATTAAATAATGGTTGCGGAGTGCCAATGTTCTGCTGAGGCCCTCTCATGACCGAAATGGCGGACGGGAACTCGCCTCGGACCGGCCATATCAAACGTTCGAAAGCTGCTGAGAAATATGGTCTCTTGTTATCCTCGAATCTGCGCTCACTGTATGTCGGATAAGGAGGTCCGTCTTCATCTTGTTGAGTATTTCGTGTTTCTGCCATCGTGTTGAAAGAAGGTGCGAGACCAATAAGACATGGGCTTGCTGAGAATACATATGTGGAACGCTAGAGAATCACGTGAAGAGTGCCCAGTTTCCAGCTGGCTGTGGCCGTATGTGCTTGCAATGGCAATGTTTCCTGAAAAGGAGCTTAAGGCATATCAATCGAAGCATAGGAAAAACGTGGGCTGCGAATCTGTTGTAATGGCTGATGTGCCCTTGCATGACTTGGCCTCAGTCAAGTAGTGAATTGAGAAGGATTGATGAGATTAGTGCTATCATACTGGTCCCTGGAGTAAAGCCTCTGTAAGAGGTCCAGGTCCAGGTCCTGTAGCGACGCAAAGATGCGAAGATCTGTGTCGCATACTGCCTTGGAATTCGGTCAATCACCGCAAGATGATAATGAACGGCACTGTTCGAGCACTCTCCTGTGTGCTGCGGAAATTTCTCACAAGATACTCAGCTTCGGTTATTAATGGTTGTTCCACACTCGGCAGGAGATTGTACAGATAATGGAAGTGGGTCCTCGAACAACGATATCATGGAGCAATTTTTCCGTTTCGTAAAATGGTGACTTCAAAACAAGGTAGATCATTTCTAACTCGGTTATGAGCTTTCAGGGCTACTTCCTCCTTGTATCAACATGTTGGAGCAGAATCTGATATGTTTCTGTGTCGCTTGTTCGAAGTTTCAAGGAAGATGTGTAGTAATCGAGCAGGTACAAGCCAGCTTCTAGCTTTCACAAATACTAAATGTTGTCTGTCAAACTTTGGCTGGCATTCGTGGCATTGGATGAGAAACCTTTCGGAACTCGGAAAGCGGTTCCTTGCTGGGCGTAAGCCACCAAACAACCCTGAAAAGCGCCTCACGCGTGGTTGGCTTGACTTTAACCGCATGCCTGAGATCCTTCTGCAGACGTCCATCGCTCCTTTGAAGATCTCGCGTAAGCATGTAACTTCTCTACAAGTACGGCGAAATCTTCTTTGCTCCGGTTGGCTCGCCCTGAAGCCACCAGGCAACGAGGTGATGTGACATGCATGTTAGCGTAAGCATCGAATGACCTACAGGATATCAATCGCAGCGGTGTTGTATGCCATGAGGTCGAGCTCTCGTGCTCAGATCTTCCGACACCTGGCATTATCCACAGAAGGGCCGATTGCAGAGCTGGAGAAAGTCGGGAGAACTGGAGACGACAAGCGTAGAGGAAGAGATGACTGTGGGGCATGGAGACCTGTGCCATGGAGAAGAGAACTGGAAAAGGCGATCGACATGTTGAACGCAACCTCCCGGGACCACGATGTTGGTGTGACCATCCAATGAAAAGGCGAGGTGTAGAGTGAAGGGTTCCGAGTACCCATGGGCTCACGGACATTCCACAGCAGGTTAGTTACTCCGGGCGACGTGGGATGTCATGTGCGCCGATTAATTCACTTTTCGTGGTCGCGGACTTTTAGTAAAGGAAGGTAGGATGCGCGCCTTTACCAGCTTTGTTTATATTGAGATTCACCTGCTCGTCTGGTTGCGACTTTTGTTCCTCCGCGCTTCTCACACTTAACCTATCTCACAACAACAACTACTAAACAACTACTAATCAACACCTGATTTCGCCTCGCTATCGAGGGCGACTGTCAAGATCTCACAACAACAACTACTAATCAACACCTGATTTTGCCTCGCTATCGAGGGCAACCGTCGATATGGTGAAACAGATCGGTAACCCATACTTCATTGCAGCTATCGCTGTTATTGGAGGAGGATTGTTTGGCTTCGATATCTCATCCATGAGTGCCATCATCGCTACTCAGGTATGTGTGGAGACTCTTAGGGCTGACGATCTGATACTGACGCCCATTCAGCCATACAAATGCTACTTCAACCAACAGGGTCTTAATGCTGCTGGCGAGTGCCTCGGTCCTAGAGCCGATGTCCAAGGTGGAATCACAGCCGCCATGGCCGGAGGTTCCTGGCTCGCTGCTCTTTGCTCTGGCTACCTCTCAGATCGCCTCGGTCGTAAGTGTTAGCTGTCGACTTTGGTACTAAATATGATCCTAACTTGTGTTCGTATCTCACAGGCAAGATTGCCATCCAAGTCGGAGCTGTCATCTGGGTCATTGGATGCATCATCGTTGCCGCCTCTCAGAACATTGCTATGCTCATCGTTGGCCGTATAATCAACGGCTTCTGTGTCGGCATTTGCTCTGCTCAAGTCCCCGTCTACATCTCTGAAGTCTCTTTGCCTAGCATGAGAGGCCGGCTTGTTGGTCTTCAGCAATGGGCCATTACCTGGGGGTAAGTGATACATCGCAACAGTCCTTGAATGATCGCTAACATACGCTAGTATCATGATCATGTTTTACATCAGTTACGGATGCAGCTTCATCCAAGGCACTGGCGCCTTCCGTGCGCCCTGGGCTCTTCAGATGATCCCCGCCATCATGCTCTTCTTTGGCATGATGCTCCTACCTGAGTCTCCTCGTTGGTTGGCATCAAAGGACCGTTGGGAAGAGACTCGCGCAGTGCTTACACTCACTCATGGACACGGCGATCCTGACAGCCCCTTTGTTATTCGCGAGTTTGACGAAATCAGAGAGTGGATCAAAATCGAGTCCGAAGCTAACAACGCCTCTTACCTTGAGCTCTTGCGTCCTCGTATGCTCAACAGAACCATCATCGGCATCTTCATGCAAATCTGGTCTCAGCTCACCGGCATGAATGTCATGGTAAGTTACGAAAATCCGAAGAAAGTTCCGAAAAAGCCCCAGAAATACCCAGACCACCCCTTGACACCACCACCCATGTTCCTATTTCACCATCTGACTGACTCCTGATGCTTAGATGTATTACATAACATATGTATTCCAGATGGCAGGCCTGTCTGGAAACAACCTCCTCGTCTCCTCGTCCATCCAGTATGTCATCAACGTCGTTATGACCATTCCTGGACTTCTTCTGGTCGATCGTGTGGGCCGTCGCCCTCTACTTCTGGTTGGAGCTGCTTTCATGGCACTGTGGCTGTTCGCCAATGCAGGTATTCTCGGCGCGTATGGAACCTACCCTGGTCCTGGCGGCGTGGGCGGCAACACTCCCGAAGCTTCCACCGAAGTTACCGGAGCAGCTTCCAAGGCTGTCATTGCTTGCTCGTACCTCTTCGTTGCCTCTTACGCACCTACGTGGGGTCCTGTACGTATTGTGTTCTTGACTCTCGAAAAAAGTGACTAATGAGGTACTTTTTAGGTCTCCTGGATCTATCCTAGCGAAATTTTCCCAAATCGCGTCAGAGGAAAGGCCACAGCTCTTGCAACCTCTTCAAACTGGGCCATTAATTTCGCATTAAGCTACTTTGGTTTGTTACATCTAGCTGACTTTATACTAAGGAACATCTACTAAATCTTCATTAGTCCCTCCTGCTTTCATCAACATCAGATGGAAGACCTACATCGTCTTCGGCGTCTTCTGTGTTGCCATGTGGCTTCACGTTTTCTTCATGTTCCCTGAGACAGCTGGAAAGCCGCTCGAGGAAGTCACCGCTATGTTCGAGGACTCCAATGGCATTCGCTACATCGGCACTCCTGCCTGGAAGACCCGTGCATCCACCTCGGACACATCTCGCCTGGAGAGAGGACAGGACCTTGAGAAGAAGCGCAGCGAGGAAGACAAGCCCGAGACTCTTGAAGTGGCTCCCAAGGAGACTGTCTAAAGAGTGTACCAAAACGTGAGATGATACGCATTGATATCGAGGATGCAGACATAGCTCGCACAAGCAGAATGTTGCTTTGACCGCACCGAATGGAGTGCGATGTCCATACAGCATGACTTAAACACTAGTATTTACACATCACTTGCTTCCTATTGACTGCCATCGAATGTCATGAACGTGACTTTTGTAATAGGTTCAGTGATGTCCATCTCAACCTCACTCCCTCGGGTGTGCTGTTGCCTGTCGCTCCTGCCCCACTCCCACCACCACACATAGGCAGGTTCAAAGTCATCGAGATGCACAGATCTTTCTAGGTAGTAGACGAAGTCCATAGAGAGCCGGTAAAATTACGACTCTCATTGGTCACTCCTCATCTGTTCAAGGACCTATACATTTGTATAGCTACCCGCGTTGCATACCTTTGCACACGAGAGGATCATATGTTCTGTCCGCCGACAAAGCTCAGAAAAGGAAGCTTTCTCCATTGTAACATTCATTCCGCACGTGTCTTCTTGGGTAATCTCGTCAAAGTTTTGAATCGCCGAGTCAAACCACATTCTTCTGCAGCCACTCCTCCCAATCCTTCTTTGTGAAGCTGCTCGAGATGCTTGGTTCGTTGAGACCCTGCGATGAATATGAGTATGGTTACATCTCTTGTCAGGCTGCTTCACTGGTACTTACGTTGAACAAAACGGTAGGCGAGACGTGAACGCCAACCAAACGACCGGCCTTAATGAGCAACTTGAGATCATTGGTCACCTGATTGCCGGAATTCAAACTTCCATCCGGACCAGGCTTGTCAGAAATCTCCAGCTGGCTATAAATCTTGCTCTCGTCCAGACCAACACCAGCAGCAAGCTTAGCAAGTCTCTTGTAAGTCTGGTTGCGAGTCTCGTTAACGACGTTGACGTCAAAATACTCGGTTTGCTTGTCAAACAGAGCAGCGGAGAAGGGCCAGAACTTTGAGGGATCGGTACGGAGGACTGCAACGGCGGCTTCGTGGACGAGAGTGGAGGAAGGGTGCCATGGTTGGATCTGCTGGCGGAAGATGACTTGGAGGTTGTTGGAGTACTTTTGTTCGACGATGGGAGCGACGTCGTTGTAGAAGGTGTCGAATTGCTTCTTACTGAAAGGACAGACATAATCAAGGACTGGTTTTGGTGTTAGTCACGAATGCAGACCCAATTACCATGAGAGTCTCATACAAAGTTCCAGGGTATGGACACCACGGGTGCTCGAGAGAGCTTGTCCAGCAAACTTGGGTGCGAGAGCCATCTTGAGGTAGTAGTTATTTGCTAGTCGATTCTGGAAGAGCTGCTTCAAGTACTTGAAACGATGAATATTTGAGTGGATGGAATCAATGTTTATCTACCATCGTGGTTGACGAGCTTCTGTCTGACTATGACGCGAGCTTCGGAGCTGGCGGAGCTATGAGAGGAGCCTCCTCCGGCGGCATCCAGATCTCTTCACCGATCTCCAACGCTTCTGTGATTGCTTCCCTTCGATGTTTACAATCATGCTTGGTAAGACAGAAACCAATGACAAGATCCCCTGATTCAGGCTTTCCTGCTCTCCGAGATGAACATGTCTCGAGAGGGTATTGTCGTAGCTAATGGATCTCTGTTAAGAATGGCAAGAGTGAGCGGCTTGGCGTTTGTTGAATAAGGAAGCTTCATGTGTTCGCTATCATCTCACGTTCCATCGCGTCTTCCTTTGCCACACCATCTTCTACTTATGCTGAGACCAGAAAGAGATATGGAAGTTTTATGACCATGTCAATACACGCTCTTCCACAGACGGCTGTGCGCACCATACGATCTGGTCAAGCTTTGACAGATCCTGTTTCTGTGGTCAAAGAACTTATTGATAACGCCCTCGACGCGCGAGCATCTAATATCACTATCGAGATTTCGACCAACACACTCGACGTGATCCAAGTCAAAGACAATGGCCATGGAATTGCCCCCACCGATAGGCTGCTTGTGGCCAAACCTTATTGCACCAGCAAACTCAAGGATGAAAAAGACCTTGCTCTGGTAGGTTCATCCTATCTCGGCTTTCGAGGTGAAGCCTTGAGCAGTGCATTGGAGATGAGCGGTGAAATGACCATCACCACAAGGGTCGAAGGTGAAAGTATCGCAACTGCCATCAAGTTGTGCCAGACGGGCGATCCAGTGCAAGATCGTGCTACTCATCCGCCTGGAACCACAATTCGTATTGCCAACTTTCTCAAAAACCAGCCAGTCCGCAAGCAAGTTGCGCTCAAGGCCGCACCAAAGGCTTTGACGAAGATCAAGCAATTATTGCAGTCGTATGCTTTTGCCAGACCAGCTACGAGGCTGTCGTTGAAAGTCATCAAGGCAAAGAATGACAGGGACAATTGGACCTATGCACCCAAGGTTGGCGGCGGCATTGAAGACACAGCCTTCAAGGTCGTTGGCCAGCCTTGCGCCTCTCAATGTGCTTGGGCCGAGCTGGAGCATGAGGGCTTTACTGTAGAAGTCTTTCTTCCTCGCCCTGACGCACATGCTTCGAAGATCAGTGGCTTGGGTCAGTACGTCTCGGTTAATAATCGACCTCTCACTTCATCTCGAGGCATATCCAGGCAGCTTGTCAGGATCTACAAGGAAAGCCTCAAGGAATCATCATTGCTAGGAGATGCCAAGGACCCTTTCGTGTACCTGTCAATATCCTGTCCACCTGGCAGCTACGATGTCAATATTGAGCCAGCAAAAGATGATGTTCTATTTGGCGACGTCGACAAGGTTGTGGAGGCTGTCAGAAAACTGATGTTGATATCCTATCCAGAAGAAGACGTCTCAGAGAGACACGTGGTTCCTCACAAGCCTAAAAACGACGTTCGCGATCTCTTCACGACACCAGGGCCAGAAACAAGGTCAAATCGGGTTGTGCCAATGGGCAACATGTACGATCTTGATGAAGATGATCTCACCCTGTTCATGGACTCAGTAGATCAGCCCAGGGAGACCATCACTGAAGAGGAAGAGCAACCGGAGTCTATCAGAAGTGCTGCAGTGTCAAACCCACGGACAACTGCTAAGATGAACGCCTACAGCAGCAGAAAAAACAATGTCAACACTCAGCTCCTGACACCAGCCAAGCAAGCATCGAGCCTTCCTCCTGGAGCAAGTTCGCCTGCTTCCGAAAGTTATCGCCCACAACAAGACATGGCAGCATTACCAACACCTCGGCAATCATCGCCCATGTTCATCCCGTCAGAGGAGCCTGAGACTGCTGGTCTCCATCGAGTCATCGGCCCATCCAATCTTCCTCCCCCAGTACTTCACATGTCGCCAATGCGGAGCAGTGTTCAAGCCTTCGGACCACCAGCGCCATATCCCATGACTGGATCTCTTCACCAAACCGCAGAAGGTACTCCTCTGGACATGATACCGGAAGCGGCACCAAAAAGACGCAGTCCTCCCAAACAGAAGTCTCGGCAGTTCGTCAATAAACCATTCGTGTCTCCAGTTGACCCTGAGCGCGACGCATGGTTCCATTTCCCCAAATCACAGACTTCGGAGCAATTTGTCCGCAAAGGAAGATCGCAGAGACAGAGTGGAGAGAGCCTTGTTCCGCATGGGGAGCCTTACACTTCGAGTGCTACACCTCCTCCCAATAACGCAGACATTCGCGAATTTTTCGGTCGGGGACGAGAGCAGCAGTCCGCTACTCCCGCTGCCAGTGTCTCAGCAAATGTAGACATTGAGAACGTGCTACCAGAAGAAAGTCGCCGCGAGACGCAATCTAAGGGGTTCGTCAAGGCTAGTGAACTTGACCTCGCCAGCACTCAACTCGTGGAATCCACACGTCCAGCACCAGCGCCAAACCCAAGACGCCGCAGGACAACAGATGAGCGTGCTCTGCAAGAAAAGTCAGGCAATGCTAGAGCAGATGACGATGATGATAGTGCATCCGAGTACGAGGACTGCCCTCGTCGCCGTCGTACTGGAGAATCAGATCCCAAACGACTACGGCGTATCAAGTCTGGCACTTTGCCGTTGGAGACGGTGCCCATAGACTGGCAGACTCAAGGCTGGACTGCCAATCTATCAGCAACAGTTAACGACTTGACTGAGGAGTTGCAGAATGTTCAACCGGAAGGTACTTTTGTGGCTTGGAACGCACCTGCATTTGACACTGAAGCGAATCTGAAGAGAACCTTCGTGGAAGGCGATGTGCAGCATTTGACTCTTGTGCTGAGTCAGTCTTTGCTCAAACTCGAACCTGACGGTGAACTGGTTCGCGATCTGGGAGATGTGGTCAGAAATGCCATGGGCAGATGGGGTACTGTTACTAACGGTTGAGAAGACCAGAGGTTCTCTCGTTTTGCTTCGTTATACTTGGGAGTATGAGTTTCATAGATGCATATTAGCTGACGGAGGAGTTTTTGCTTTACAACACGACAAATTTGCGACGCCGAGAAGATGCGTTTGCTCGGATGGCTTTTTGCTGGTATGATACCCCTGGATGTTTTAGCTAGAAGAAGATGTTGTAGTAACATATCAACGCATATGATATACCAATATATCAATCGAAACAGGAATTGCTCACTCTCAGGTTCGAGTGTCGAAGCATTCTCCACTCTGTCATTGCATACCAACTCAAAAAATAGTATAATCGGCTCGTTATCTTACAGACATCCACGTCCTCTCTTCTATTCTTCTACGCATCCAAAGCCCTCTTAGCAGCATCCACAATCTTCTTGACCTCCTGCACACCCTTGTCAACAACCTTTTCCATCTGCGCACCCGCCTTCTTCAGGTCATCCGGTCTCGCAGACTTTGCCAACTGCATCGCCCTCAATTTCTTCTGTTGTCCTTGTCTTGCATTCCTGACTGCATTGCTGGCCACATCACCTGCTTTCTGAGCTGCATTGACGGTAGCTTTTCTGGATTCGGCGGTGGGTGGGGGGATGGGTATGGAGAGGAGCAGAGGGTTCGTGGCGTCCGGTTGGGGAGTGAGGTTTAGGTTTGCGGATTGGATGGTTGAGGTTATTGGTTTGAGGTGCTGTGGTTTTGTTGTTAGTTTTGCTCTCTTTTTTGTGCCTTTGAGGGGGGCCTCTTTTTGGTGGGAGATGGCAGAGAAACCATACCTCTTGCTCGCCAGCCACAACCTGCACAATTCTTCCTTTGGGCACCACCTGCGCTAGATCCCCCAGCTTCACGGCACCTCCCTGCTTCAACTGCACTCTCAAGCTCTCGAGCACTTGAGGATTAAATCTTCCTCCCTGTCTCAATTGCGAAAGATCATCCTTCAGTTTCGCGATGGCATCGCTGATGTCTGTTTCCAAAGCGCTGAAATCAAAGGGGTCTTCTGAGCCTGCTGCTGCTACTGATGATGGGGCTGCAGATGATGAGGACGAGGAAGAGTCGGAGCGTGAGGCTTCTCGTGCTGCTTTGCCGCCTTTTTTGTATGTGATGGGTGTATTGCTGAAGAAGCGGGTACTGGGTTTGGAGTATGCGGTGGTGGTAGCGACCAGGGTTGAAGGACTAGAGATAGCTGTTGTCAGTGTTGTGCACAGTTTGCGATCAGCAAGATGGATGGAAAGCAATACCGGAAGCTACATTGTCTTGCGACTGCGACCTCTCGCGACAGCAGGCGCGAACAAAGTAATTGTGTTGATCGTGACGCTGGCATTGTTGTGGATGGTTCCTTCTTTCCTGTCGCAACTTCGAAACCTCGAAAGGCCGAATGTGGAAAGATGCTCGTGACGTCGGCCGGCTCGGCCGCAAAGCCGAGGCACAACCCTGTCCTCGTGCCAGCTATTCAGAGACATCGTTGGATCGGCAAACGATCTACTTGTCCTGCAATTGCGAACGTGTGAGATAGCTCGAAATGGACTTGCCAATCTAATAAGCTTGCAGCTAGTGTACGGCATATATAAATCTCCAAAATCAATATCAATATCACAGGTATGCTCTTCCGAGGTCATGCCACCAAAATGCATTGCTGAAAAGCCCAATTAAAGATTGTTCTGATTGTGTAAACATAGAGGTAGCTCGGCCGTAAAGACTTGTGAGAAGAAGAAGATGATAAAAGAGACATCAAACTCATACACTCTGTGTGTGCTTCCAAAGTGCTGTTTCAAAGTGCAAAGAAAGAGACCAACACCAAATGAAGGTGACTTATCACCTTCAAGCAAGACCCGTGAATTAACGTCAAGAGAGACAAAAAGCACAAAACTCCATTATATGGAATGTGACGAGGGGGGATCTTTGTGGAAAAACACCAAATGGAAAAAGGCTCATGAACCCAGATTGTTGTGAACCAGATGGTTCAACGACAAATCGAGCACCGCCTTGGAAAAATGTCAAGTCGCTCGTGGGGAATCTTTTATGCGTGATGCAAACGCAGAAAAACAGTTTTCCCACCAAAACCTCCCAGCTTGCGCCGTGATTCATACCTTACCAATATGTCTTTGTGTAGCAGGAAAAGATAACGCCAACCCGATGCCCGGAGTGTGATGAAAGGTGGTGATGATTGTAACGCCTGGAGCGCCGCAAGTCATGAAACCAAGGATGTAGATGCCTGAAAGATGGATCCAGTGTGGGAGCGATGACTGTGAGGCTGAATGGATATGGCGAATCATCTGCCATTATGTCCGTTGATGCCGTTCTGATTGTTGCCATTGGAATAGAAGTTATTGTCGACGGAATTAGCAATGAAGCCATTCATACTGCTAAAACCTTGTTGTTGGTATGCGTACTGGCCAGAAGAGAGATTACGAGGAGACTGATGGTAGCCGTTTGTGCCCTGTTGAAGATGGCTCTGAGGGCTTATACCCCTGTACTGAGGGGGATATCCTCGACCGGCATTGTTTTGCATCGGTTGGGGTGCATGAGTTTGCTGACCATGGACGCCCGGGGGCATGAGTCCAGGAGGAGGTCCTGCTGCAGTACTGAAGCCAGGAGGAGCGCCCATACCGTTGCCATATCCAGATTGGCCGGCATGAGGGCTCATCGCGGGGTGGTTTCTGGTGTCGCTTCTGACACCCAAAGGGTTTTTCGAGAAGCTGACACGAATACCTCCCTTGTAGCTGTTGTGCAGCTGCACGCCATACAGCTCGTGAAGTGCATGCGAGGCATAAGTAATGTCCTCGTACTCGACGAAACACATGGGACCGTTTTGCTTTGTACGGAAGCACAGGCGCTTGAACCCTCTGCTTTTGGAGAACAGAGACTTCAACTCGTCCTCGCTGGTGTTGACGGGTAGATTTCCAACGTACAGAGTGTTGCAAGGAGGATTTTGGTCAGCAGGGTTAGCAGGAGGATAGTCATGCTTCAAGTTCAAATTCCTGCTCGCATAGTTTCCATTTGGTCCTACGGTCGAACCTCTAGAGGGAGTCTGCAAAGGGGGCGAGCGCACTGTTTGTGGCGAAACGTAATTGGAACTCGAAGGAGATGCCACATATTGAGAGTAAGAGCCATTTCCATTCGTAGGACTTGTGTTGGTGTCGAGAGAGAGGTTACCGAACTGAGGAGCAAAACTGCTGTAAGTCGATGGCTTGCGGCCGTTCTGGGCATAGCCAACAGGGTCTTTGAGGAGCTCGCCAGTCTCGTCATCATCGTTTCCGTCGTTGATGAGCGACTTCCCGGAGATGCGCGTCAGATCAGAGTAAGCGTTGGCGACCGGAGACTGAGGAGAGAAGAGGCCTTGAAGACGGTTGCTGCTGTCAGGAGCGGGAAAATCGTAAGCATGGGCATTGGTAGCCATGGGCGATTGCATAGGAGAATTAATCTTCTGCGAGTTCATGGCTTGTTGAGTCTGTGGACCGGTGCTCTGTTGGAAGCTGCTGGTGAAGCGAGAAGATTGACGGCTCAAGGGGTTTTCGGAGAAATTGGTGCCGTTGGAGGCACCAGAGGTGTTGTTCTGCTGTCGCAATGCCGTTCCGTCAACAGTGTTGCGTCTCGAGCCGTTGTATGCAGACTGAGAGTTGGGTACGGATTCGACAATCATGCTTGTCATTCCCTTGTCCAAGGATTTCCCATGCAAGTGTCTCTTTGCTTCATTGGCACCGGCTTCGGAGTTGAAGATGGCTAGAGCAGTGTTGAAGCCAGACTCATCCAAGCTGGTAAGATCGGATGCTTGTACGAACTTTGTTTCTTCGAGGTCAGTCGCGAAGAGGAGCAAGCTTCTGAGCGCATCTTCGTTGAAGTTGCGAGGCAGACGTCGGATTCGGATGATCCATCTGGCCTGGGATTCTGATGGCTCCGAGTTTCTGTGATTGTTGCGTTTTTCCATGGTGGGCGACAAGCCAGGCAGCTGAGAGAGGGTGTCCGGGTTTGTGAAGACAGCTAGAGATTTTGTGCCGTTGGACTGGCCTATGGGCGAGAGACTCCCGAAGTTGGGCAGAGTAGACAGCCTCGAGGTCGGAGGACTGTATCTTTTGGAACGTTGGTCGGCCATTGCCTACTTGTACAGCCGCGCATACGATATAAAAGGTCGAGTCAGTGGTGAGTCAAAGAACGTCGGCGGGGCGCGGGCGTGCTATGGCGAATGTTTGAGCGAATTAATGCGGGCAGGCCAACAATATTGCGACGAATGCGACGATATCTCAGGATGTAATGGTAGCCAGTCGAGGCAGGTATTGGATGCGACCGAGTTGCGACGAGGCTTCGAGGGGCAGGTCGAGGTCCAGAGAAGTCGCGATCCCGAGAAAGACCGAAGTGCGCTGCGCCGGTTTGCGTCTGAAGCGTGCTGCGACGGACTGGCGTTCCCGATCGAACACAACCCAGAAGAATGTGGCCGACAGAGGGTGACTTGACGTGTCGAGAGAGCGAGCGAACAACAGCGCGGCGACGGCGACGGTCGGGGAAGGATGAGAGAGATGGAGGAAGGGCTGGGAAGTGTGGAGTCAAGAGGAGAGTGCGCGCCGATAAGGCACTTCACATCCTTGCGAACACGGCAATGGCTGGGAGTAAGACTAGCAAGCCTTAGTGTACCGCCTGTCGCGCCATCATTGACACCTCGTCCATCTCAATTGGCACACAAACGCCTGCATTCTACCCCCAAAACCTGCCACAGCTTCCGCTCCCAATTACCCTTGACCTGTGCAACACGACAGACCGCATCCATCCGACTCTGTCCGCTTCGTAGCCGTCACTCGTCCAAACCGAGGCCAATACAACCGCGATTCTGCTTATGAACTCTAATTCCCGGAGGCAGCATCCCTCGAACCTTGTTCACCCTCCTCTTGGCTCTGGTTGGCCAAGCTCGCGCTCTAGGGACATGGCCAGGTGAAATCGAGCCCCGGATCTCCTATTGCAGTACATGGCACCTACCTTATGATGACCGTTCGTGCTTTGACTGTTCGACCACTCCTGGTTGGGACCTTTTGCGCGTCCATACCGAGTCTCATCCCAACACAATCGCGTCTTGTTTCAGGGGTCGAGGCAGAAAAAGTCGCAGATGTCGTCAATAGGCACGGCCCATGTTCTCCCAACCTGGTAGTGGCTGGCCGTCAGCGTGCATGAACTTTGAACTTCTACCGCCGCCAACCTGCGCAGCCTTTCGATAGATATATCTTTTGACTTCGGACTTGATAGCTGCGTGATTCTACTGACTACTTGGGTTCTCAACAGCACCAAAAGCCATCAGTTTCGTGCTCGAACCTGCGGCCCAGACGCGACCCAAGACCGTGGTTCCATACGCGAACGTTTTCTGGGGATGCAGTGGCTTCTAACACGTGCAAATCTACGATTGACATTTGAGATGTATATTTTGGCAGAGAGTTGCCAACAGACACATCGCACTCGCAGTAACACGCACCATGCAGGTCGATGTTACCACCAACATATGCACACATCCAACACTAAGCATCAAGCAGCATGGCGATTCAATATTAGATTGACCATCACTGTGCCCTGCTTGGTAAGTGGTACAAGAATGAAGCCTCCCGGACTCCCGCCTCGAGCGGACTGTAGTGTCCAGCCAGGCTTCAACCACACACATTCTGACACAAATCAACATCCTGCTGTGGAGTCTTAGGACCAAGTATCGATTATCTTCTCCTGCAGCGGCTTGTTCCGTGAGCGAAAGGTTCCATTACGAATGTATGGACCATTGATAGACAACTCGGCCAACGAGCCCTCGGCTGATTCCCAATCCCATTGGACGCTCGGGAGTAATGCAACAGCGGCTAACAGATGAATGCGCCTCGATCAAGGCTATCAACATTTCTAGATCACGTTGCGGTATGGCAAGCCAATAGAGAAGAGGCGCGTTTCATACAACAAAGCATTTGAACAAGGCTCAAGACAATCCACCACCGGTAGGCCGTGTGGCTTGAGAATGTATGCAGAGGTACTCGAGGCCAAACAGCATGCTTCAATGCTAGGTATTGTACAGAAATCATCGGAAAACTCTCCGCAGCCGAGGAATGTACTGATCCCAGTACAAGGGAGACAACGAAAAGAAGAAGACATTCATGGAAGTTGGTAGATATTCGTGATTCGTCAGCAGCTCTACTTGCTACGATCTGGCAGACTTATAATGGTCAGCTGTTGTCCAGAGAATAAATACATGCAAAAAGTGTGCCGTACCTACTCTTTCGATTCCCGGGAATCCTTTGAGTCTTCGGCAGATGATGGAGGTGCTTGGAGTGTGACTTCCAGAACATCCTTTCCTCCGTGCAGGCTGATTAGAGAGAGGACAGCCTTGCAGTTCTCGCCAGTGAGAGTGGTGGTCTTGGGAAAGAGCTTGCTATCTCTTCCTTCGGCTGCCCAACGGACCTTAATCTCGGTCACCTTTTCGGCTTCGCTCTTCTTCTTGTATTTAGCCAGGGCTTCGGCACAGTTGACAGATGACGAAGCAAGCTCCTGAATGCGATCGCTGAGATTCTTGATACCAAGTCCAGCATTAATGAGCATGATCTCGTGCCTGGACGACGAATTGCCGATAGTGAAGACGACGGGGAAATCTTCGGACATGATTGAGGATTATCGAGGTAGACGAGTTGGGTAGATTTGAGGATTCGGAGAAGGTTATAGAGCAAGAAACAGGAAAGGGAAACAAGTTATATTCTGGATGGTTGTTGTTCACGCACCTCGCATCCCTGTAACCTGTTACACCACTGACGTATTGCTGCTCATGGCTGAGCCTGCTTTCTGCAGGTCGAAGTCGGTTCCACTTTCGCATTCTCCACGCGACTTTTGGTGCACGCTCCGTGACACTCTTGCGGTGTCAAGGAAAGGGAGGGTGCGAAGAATAGTGCTACGTGACTGATTCAGAAAGAAAACCATTGTCAAGTGTCAAGATGTGGCATATTCCCGTGAGCGAGACGCTCGGCCATAGCTTTTCGACCACCCCTTTGCGTGAGATCTGCAACAGTTCATATCAAGAAGGTAGGTACAGAGCAAAGTGTGGCAGTTCTCGTTTGGACAGGCTGAGACGAGTAGCGGAGCATGTGAAAGTCGGCCTTGAACCCTTGACAGGCTCGAGCTGCAACGGTCGAGTGCCAAGCGACTCTGACGAGATGTAAACCATCGCTCGTCAACCAACTCCGCCCAGACACATCACCAAACCTCGAGTACTCGAAGTTGAGAATCACACCTGTCATTCGCAAAAGACAATCTTGTTTATCTCTATTCTTCGTCGACCAACCGCCAATTCTCTCCAGACCGCTGTCGACCCTGCACCCGACTAGCAACACACACACACGGCCAACATGGACCGAAGCCTCGACGAGATTCTCGAGGAGCGCCAGGTTTGTCAAGCCTAGCATTGACATGTAACTTGCATACTGATGTGCAACAGAGCACCCGTGGTGGCCGCCGCGGAGGACGTGGCCGTTCTGATCGCGATGGTGGCCGTGGACCCAGACGAGACTACGCCGAACGTGAGCGCGAATATCCCAGAGACGGCGTCAAAAAGGTCTGCACACTTGAGAAGGCAACGAGCTGTCTCTGCGTATGCTGACTTTGAATTCGCCCAGGTTCTCCTTCCTTCCTCGTGCTTCAGTTGAATCGGACGACATCAACCGACATGCGTCGACAAACACCAACCCGAATTTCCATCCGCTGACCGTAATTGAAATCAGTCATTTCCCAGAGAGGACGCCAGAAACATTGACCGGTTGGTTGCTGTCCATGCTGGAGAAGCTCTCTTTGCGCCATACTGATGCATACCACAGCGACTGGGTCCACGACAAGTTCGAAGACGATGACTGTTAGTTTCATGCACCCTGGCATGCCCAACCTTATTCTGATCCAACGACAGCTCGCCGTCCTGCTAGAGGCCCGCGCAACGATCGCTATGACAGAGAGCCTGCAAGAGATGCGTGCGTATCAGCCAACACTCCTTGGAAACAACACACCCTAACCTCGCCCATAGCTCCGGCTCTACCACCATCCGCGTCGAGAACATTCACTACGATATCCAGGAGCCAGACTTGAAAGTGCGTCGTTGCTATTCTCTAGTTCTACCGTATGCCTGTGCTGACCAGAAACTCTTAGGAGCTGTTTGAGGGCATCGGCCCCGTCGAGTCTCTACGCCTTCTCTACGACCGCCACGACCGCTCTCAAGGTGTCGCCTACGTCGTCTATCCCAGCTCAAACCTCGCCAACCGCGCGTTCCGCCAGTTCAACGGCCAGAACGCCATGGGCCAACCTATTTACCTCTCCATTCAAGAAGCCCGCCCCTCTCGCAATCCTTTCGACAATGTCGAAGAGCCCAAGCGCAGCTTGTTCGATCGCATCGATAACCGTCGCAGTGCTAGTCCCAATGCGCGCAACGTCGATCGCTACCTTCCCCCTGGCGGTAGAGGCCCCCGCAACTCACGCAGTCCCCCTCGTCGTGGTGGTCGTGGTGATCGCGGCGCTCCTCGTGAGACTGGACGCCGTCCTGGAGCTCGTCGCGAAAACACTGATCGTCGTGAGGGTGGCCGCGAACGTGGTGACAGACGTGGACCCGGGCCCAAGAAAGAGAACGACGGAAGACCTGTTGTGCAAGGGCGCCCAAGAAAGACTGCCGAAGAGCTTGACGCTGAGATGGACGACTACTGGGGTGGTGGCTCGGCTGCCAACGAAGGCAGTGCCGTTGCTTCTGGTCAAAACGAGCCCGGCCGTGAGCCTCAGGTTGCCACTATTGCTGGAGGACAGAACAACAACATGGGTACCACGTCGACAGCTCCGGACGACGACATTGACCTTATGGTCGAGTAAACTCGGGTCTTGATCACCGAATGACAATGACAAAATTCTCCTCTCGTTACAACAAGTCCCGCTGCAAGAGACGAGTGTGGATCAAGTATTGGAAAAAAACATGTGGAGTTTTGGCCGCTTGTATTATTTAGGGTTACATGTCAGTCACTTTCGAAGAATTACATGCGAAAAGCATTTCACGATAGATCTATCACTCTCCTAGATCCCCAATCAATGTCATGAGGTTGAAGCGTGAAGTACGAAATCCAGTGTTTTGATTGTACTTTCCAGCCACTTTGTCCTTCTTGTCATGGAACTAGTTTCTGTCGGTTCTGCGTGTGTAGCCTATTGCCAATTTGTCTGTTTGCTTTCTTTCCAGGACGCATTGCTGAATAATGCCCTGCTTTCACTTTCACCATCTCTGTGATTCTGTCAAAGCCGTCTTGTTCCTCCTTGATGGAAGTATCCTAGATCCCCCTCTTGTGACATTGGGCTAGCAATGCTTTTGCAGCGGACTCGACAATTGACGTGCTCGGGGAAAGTAATTCGTCCAAGTCGCAAGACAGTTTGACGGTCAGACCCAGAGACCTGATGATGAACAGTCATGGGTGTGACTGCTTTTGCTCTCGGTTCCATGCGATGCGCTACTGCGATCGATGCCATGTGTCTGTTCCCAACTGTGTTTATCTCCACAGACCGTAAGACTCTGTCGTGGCTTTCCACAACTTGATAGTGCCGTCCTCGCTGCCGGTAGCGTAGAGCTTGCCGTCGGGGGAGAATGCGCTCGTCCATACGGGGCCGTGGTGACCCTTGCGTGTTTCTGTTTGTCTCTTGTCAGCAAAGGTTCTGGTTTCCGTCACTTGGTCCAAACAAAGCCACTCACCAATCTCGGCACCAGAGTCGAGATCCCATACACGCACAAAGGTGTCTCTGGCACTGCCGGTCACGAAACGACGCTGACTTCCACACACAGACACACTGGCAATCTCCTGACCCAAGTTCTTGGAGTCAAGCAAAGCACCAGGACGCGCGCCGTCGAAGAAGTACACAGTGTTTCCAGCGGCGACACTCAAGGTGCCGTTTGCCGAACCATCCAGGATGCTGGAACTGAGTTCGCAAGAACCAATTGTTCCGTCGACTTCGTGTGTCGCGATTGCAGAGCGCGATCGCAAGTCCCACCAGCGCATCTTCTTGTCATCACAAGCCGTGGTCAGCACATTGGGGTTTGCGGCTGACCATACGATGCTCTTGATTGTTTGGCCGTGCTCGCCTGCACCGACTTCGTAGCACTCGTCTCCAGAGGAGGTACCGCTTGAAGCACCTGCGCGCGTGAGGTCCCAGATGCGCAACTTCTTCTCCATGCCACCGGTGGCCAGGCTGATGGGTCTGTCTTGCAGGGCGGGGAAGGCGACGGCGCGAACGATGTGGTTGTGCTGCAGAGTGTGTAGTTGCTCGCCGGTAAAAGTATCCCAGACTTTTGCGCTGAAGTCTGCCGAACCGGTTGCGGCGAGCGAGCCATCGGCCGACACGCGAGCAGACCAGACAGCACCTTTGTGGCCGACGAATGTACCGATCCAGTCACCAGTCAGGCCATCACGGAGCATTGGGTTGTTGTCTTTGCATGCCGAGATGAGGTAGTATTGCGGTTGCGAAGAAGATGCTGAGGCCGGGCTCAAGGCTGAGAAGGAGATGTGAGTGATGGGACGAGAGTGGCCGTGGCAGGTCAGAGGCACGACTTTGCTGGTTTCTAAGCGGCTCGCGGGTCAGTCGGGGTGGAGGGGAAGGCTGGACTGGTGCTGGACGCAGTACCTGTGGCCATTGGAGCGAACAGTTATGATATGGAGTATTGGAGAAGACGAAGATAGCAGCTGCTAGGTAGCAAATTGGGTCAAGGAGTACAGTAGGTAATGAGGAGCGAGGAGGAGAATCGAAGCAGTCCTTAACGAAGATTTGAAACAGCGAGCGGTTCGAAGAGGGTATATTATGCTAAAGCAAACAACAACGTAACAGCGAGGAAGCCGGAAGCAACAAGAGATGTCGGACGAAGTGAAAGGTGGAAAAAGAAGGCTCAACTTCTTGGATCTGCAAGGGGAGAGAGATGAGACGGTCGAATGTTGGTGATGCAGGACCATGTGGACCGCGGGGTTGGACACGAGAAGCTCCAAACGTTCCAGTCCAGCGAATCAACGACTCTCGAGACAACGACATATCCGAATCCAAGATTTCACCAGATCAATCGAGTCAACCATGTTCTGGACTCTGGGCTCTATCTCTGGCGCTACTGCCGTTGCCTTCGGTGCCTTTGGTGCACACGGCCTGAAGAAGAAGATCTCGGATCCATCCAAGATCGCCGCTTGGAACACTGCTGCTCACTACCAAGTAAGAACTTGATCACTTCTCACAATAAGTTACATGATTGATTCAACATCTAACACAACACAGCTTATACACTCTGGCATGATCCTTCTGACTGCTGCCGTTGCCCCCAAGAACAAGGTCGCTGCTGGGCTCTTCGCAGCAGGTATCACATGCTTCAGCGGATCCATCTATCTACTTACTCTCGATCCTCAAAGATTCAAGGCTCTCGGCCCTGTCACGCCTATCGGTGGTCTGTTCTTGATTGGAGGTTGGGCTGCTCTCGCAATTGGATCGCGTGGCAAGTTTCTTCCCAAGGCTTCTTGAGCATCCAAACTAGCTCGTGAGCTCTGAGAGGCTGCACAAGACATTGGTACAACGAACAACTCCCTGTACATAATATTCTAACTTCTCTACTCCAACACCTTTCACCATGGATGTGATGTGATGCTTGATTACTGCAAGGGAGAAGACTTTTTGTCTAGATTTCTCTAAAAATGATGAAGAAGTGCTCGCGCGCGCAAAATCCCTTCGAATTTGCCTATTGCTACATACGAATTTCAAGTGCTGCGCGCATGACGCAAGAGAAATCGTTCGAAAATTTACAGACCTCGCCGCTTACATATCCTCAGATGCGGTGGCACCAGTGATAATCTCGACCAGCTCTCCGGTAATGGCAGCCTGTCTGGTACGGTTGTACAGAATCTGGAATCTGTTGATCATGTCACCAGCGTTCTTGGAGGCGTTGTCCATGGCGTTGCGGCGAGCAGACTGCTCACAGGCGTGACCCTCGGCAAGAGCCTAACTCATGTCAGTAAAGCTGATTTTCATGATGTGTTCCAGGAAAAGAGATTGCTTACCCAGTAAAGGGAGTTGGCCAGGGAGTATTCGCGGAGGTTACCGAGGATTGAGTCGTCAACCTCAAAGGAAGAGATGTTGGCTGAAAGTCATGTTAGTCAGATGATAAGTCGACTTGAAGGTTGTGTTTGACGCACCGGAAGCCTTGATGGCGTCCTCGGAGAAAGCCTCAACAACGGTAGGCTCATACTGCTGGGCGTTGACGAACTTGTTGTACAGGATCTTGATGCTCGAGTAGTTGCCGGTAAGCGAGGTGATCTGGTCGGCAATGGCGGAGGCATCGGCAAAGGTAGGAACGTCCTTTCCGACACCAGCGAAGGAGAGGGCCATGTTCTTGGGGTTGGATCTGCTGAGCTGGGCCTTGCACTTCTCACCGAGGACGGCAAGTTCGAAAGTCTCGGGGTTGGGACCGTACTCTCTGCGGACGAAACGAGAAAGACCCGAGTGGATACCACCACAGAGACCCTTGTCGGAAGAGCAGACAACCAGAAGGGTCTTGCCCTCGGCCTCGACGGGCTTGGTCTCGGCCTCATCGAAGACCTGCTGGGAAGCCTGTCCGTAGGCGCGGGAAGCGGACATGGCACGTTGGGCGCGGGTGAGCTTGGTCGAGGCGACAATCTTCATGGTCTTGGTGATCTTCTCGATGTTGCGAATGGACTTGAGACGACCCTCAATTTCACGGAGAGTGGCGAAGTTTGCGGCATTGGGAGCCTGGGGCCTACAGAGGCACAGCGGATCAGTACAATGACCATGGGTTGCGGTCGTAGTCGCACGGGTGGGTTTGAGGGAAAAGCTGTTTCGACGGTGCTCGGGGAGGTTGAGGGGCGTACCTGAGGGCGGCAACACCAGCCCTGGCGGTGGGACGAGCGGCGCGAGACAACATGGTCAGGCTATGTGAGCGGAGAGGTGATTGAAGACGAAGTGAGATGGCGACGGCCTTCGGGATTGAACTGCGAGCTCTGCTGTCGTTGTGTCGCCCACCCGCCGTCTCCAGCGAGCGGCTTGGCGGAGAGGCACTCGGACCACGCCCGATCGCTTTGCTTCTTGCCTCTCTGGCTGCCCTCACGTGCAAAGCAAGCAGGAACCAGAGTTCTTTCCTTCCCCTTCACTCTGTCTAGATTCTGTCTCAAAAATTCCTCTCTATCCTGTCTCTCCTGCTTCTCGTGCGCCAGCTGATCCTCTGTGATCCTTCTCTTCTCTAAGAGCCATCAATTCAACTTTTCAGCATTTCACTTCCGCGTTTCCGCGTCTCGCTCAGCTCTTACTTTTCCTGGAGCAATCGTACGCGTCCTCACTGTGTCCAACCATCGAAGCTACAGGCTTTCAGCACATCGCGTTTCCTACAGTACAATACTTGGACTCGGTCCCCATCCACGTATCCTGTTCGCAAACCTTGGCCTTTCATCCCGATCGTGTTAGACTCGGAAGACGATAAGCCTCTAATCAAGGGTACGTCCATGCAGCTACCCGTCGAATTGTTTGCCTTGCGATTCTACCTCTGTTGGACTCGCCTCACTTCGACCTAATCCCACGATCCGCCTTCATTAGTCATTCCAGCTCTCGTTCTTGTCCTCGAGCAATTCACCACTTCAGCTCCCATCACCATTTACGTCATACACTTCAACTACTTACTGCTTATTGCTTCTTCTTCTCCTTCTCCTTATTTTCTTCTACTTCCCTAATTCACTTCACTACTTGCCTTCCATCACGCATCCACCATCCCAAGTCCCCACCACTTACACCCTGACAGCCAGATCCAACGAACGCGTCAAGATGGACGACACCGACACTAGCATGGGCGAGCTGAACCCTGGAGTCTCAATTCGCATGGGTCCTGTTGAAGACATGGATGTCGACTCTCCTGCCACTAACGGCAACGGTATCAAGCGCAAGTCATCTATGAACGGAAAGAGCTACAAGGACACGACCGAATCCGACGACGATGACGATGTTCCATTGGTACGCCGCATGCACAGTGACACGATCTACCAAGATCTAACTTGCCACACAGACCAAACGCAGAAGGACGTCCAAGAACAAGGCTACCTCCGATTCTGAAGACGATCAACCTCTTGCTAAGAAGACTGGGCGCAAACCCCCCAAGGTCACCGCAGAACAAATCGGCGAAGAGGACGACTCCGACGTGCCGCTCACAAAGAAACTCGCCAAAGAAAAGGCCTCCATCGAGAAGAAGGCCGAGACAACAGCCAAGGCCATCCGCGCAAAGAAGACTGTGAAGGCCGAAGAATCCGAAGACAGCGACGACGTGCCACTCAAGAAGACCAAGGCCGCCCCGAAGAAGAAGACCAACGGTGTCAAGAAGGAAGATTCCGACGACGACAAGCCTCTCAAGAAAGCACCAGCCAAGCGTGCAGCCACCAAATCGCAAAGTGCAACTCCTGCTGCTTCTGCCAAGAAGGGCAAGAAAGCTGCAAAGGAGGAAAGTCCAGAGGACAAGGAAGATCTCGAAGATGGAGAGGAAGAGTACCGCTGGTGGGAGGATACTGCCAAAGGCGATGGCACTAAGAAGTGGACCACTCTGGAACACAATGGTGTCGTATTCCCTCCCGAGTACGAGCCTCTCCCCAAGAATGTCAGGATGCGCTACGATGGCGTACCTGTGAAACTTCATCCTGAGGCTGAGGAAGTGGCCACATTCTTTGGAAGCATGCTCAACTCAACTCACAACGTTGAGAACCCGACTTTCATCAAGAACTTCTTCGGTGACTTCAAAAAATACCTCGACGATACCGGCCATGGAACAAACGACAAGGGCGAGAAAGTCAAGATCTTGAAATTCGAGAAATGTGACTTCAAGCCTATTTTCGAACATTTCGAGGCTGAGCGCGCAAAGAAGAAGGCTATGTCTAACGCAGAGAAGAAGGAACTCAAGGCTATCAAAGATAAAGCCGAGGAGCCTTACATGTACTGTCTCTGGGACGGTCGCAAGCAGAAGGTTGGCAACTTCCGTGTCGAGCCTCCTGGTCTCTTCCGTGGACGCGGCGAGCACCCCAAGACCGGTAAGGTCAAGACTCGCGTCAAGGCTAACCAGGTCGTCATCAACATCGGCAAGGAAGCTACCGTGCCTACACCTCCTGAAGGCCAGAAATGGAAGGAGATCAAACACGACAACGAAGGTACTTGGCTCGCAATGTGGCAGGAGAACGTCAACGGCAACTACAAGTACGTCATGTTGGCAGCAAACTCCGACGTCAAGGGTCAATCGGATTTCAAGAAGTTCGAGAAGGCCAGAGAGTTGAAGAAGCACATCGATAGAATTCGCAAGGACTACCAACGTGAGCTCAAGGCCGAGTTGATGGCTGACCGTCAACGCGCAACCGCCGTCTACCTCATCGATCAGTTCGCTCTTCGTGCTGGTAATGAGAAGGGCGATGACGAAGCTGACACTGTCGGTTGCTGCTCGCTGAAGTTCGAGAACATCACTCTCAAACCCCCAAACAAGGTCGTCTTCGACTTCTTGGGTAAAGACTCAATTCGCTTTTACGATGAGGTCGAGGTCGACGCGCAAGTCTTCAAGAACCTCAAAATCTTCAAGAAGGCTCCCAAGAAAGATGGCGACGAGATTTTTGACCGTCTCACTACCAGTGCATTGAACAAGCATTTGAGCAACTACATGCAAGGTCTGACCGCCAAGGTTTTCCGTACCTACAACGCTTCCTGGACAATGGCAAAGCTGCTCGAGGAAATGAAGGCAGTTGGAACACACGCAGAGAAGGTCAAAGCATACAACGACGCAAACCGCAGAGTGGCCATTCTTTGTAACCACAAGCGTACTGTCGCCGCCGGACACGCTGCTCAGATGGAGAAAGTACAGGACAAGATCGATGCTGTCAAGTACCAGCAGTGGCGCGTCAAGCAGATGATGCTGGCCCTCGACTCTAAGCTCAAGAAAAAGAAGGGCGCTGAGTGGTTTGCTCTTCCGGAGGGCCTTGACGAGGAATGGCAGAAGAAGCACCACGAAGATCTTGTTGAGCAGGAACGCCAGAAGATCACAAAGAAGTTCGAAAAGGAGAACGAGAAGCTGAAGGCTGAAGGCGAGAAGGAGATGAAGCCCAAGGAGCTTGATGAACGACTTGAAGTTGCCACTGAGTTGGAGAAGAAGCTCAAGACCGAACTCAAGACGAAGAAGGTTGAGCCTGAGGGCAAGGGACCTTCCGTCGAGAAGTACGAAGGCCAAATCGAGAAGCTCGACGCCAGAATCAACAACATGGAGCTGCAGGCCGAGGACAGAGAGAGCAACAAGGAAGTCGCTCTCGGAACTTCCAAGATCAACTACATCGATCCTCGCCTCACTGTCGTCTTCTCCAAGAAGTTTGACGTGCCCATTGAGAAGTTCTTCTCCAAGACACTGCGTGAGAAGTTCGCATGGGCCGTTGCTTCCGTCGACGAGGACTGGAAGTTCTAAGCATCTTCGTCTCATTGACAAGACGCACCGAACCATTCGACACATTGATACACGTCTCATCAATACTGACAAGACGCCCAGCAGCACAGGGCCGACCGAAGCGATGCGAAGGGTAAGACCCCAAGGTCACTGAAGACGTCTTGCACTCTGTTGCAGTCCTGCATGCTATTCACATCTGCTTTCAAGGCGACAGTGGTTTGTTTTTGAGCTGGAGCAGGGCATAGAAGGATATCTCTTTGCAGCTTTGCCACGCGATACGATGCTGCTGTAGCAGCCGTGATTTATTATTACTCTTATTCGACATCTTGCTGCAATTCAGTTTAGCACAGAAGAATCAAGTTGAGTTTTATTCCAATTTTTACCTTGCCTTCCTCTTGATGTCCCTGCGCTTTAAATCCCTCGACTCCCTGTGACAACGACTTGAAGTGTGAATGTTCAGGAGATGTTCTTCTCAATGCAACACCGGAGTAGAAGCTGAAAGCATGCGAATCACATCCTTCTTCCTTCTTGAGCTTGGTGGCACCTGTCAAATCGACGTGCTTGAAAGTGTAGATTTTTCGAAAATTAAGAGCTTCCTAAGGACCTTAGATCGCTCGAGGGAACCATCGCATGCTATTGAATCCATGTAGAGCGAGCAGGACTATTGCGAACCCCTAATTATCATGACAGCTAGCGGGCCGGAGAATAACTTGTCGTCCTTGTCTAGACTTCATAAGTTGTCCTGAGTAAGCTTCTGTGCACTTCTGATGGCTATCAGGATTGAACATGGTCATGTTTTTGTATGTTGCCTTTGCTTCTGGATCTTCGATGTTGAGAAACAAAAGATGGGTTACTTCAAGTAATGATTTCTAGATATATGATATAAGAAGTATAGACGCGTAGAATGCATAGGGAGTTTGATGGAAAGAATAGAAGATGATGCTGCAGCGCCAGATGAGAATGAAATATTCAAAGAAAACGCCGTGCTGGATGTTGTGTGAGAGTGTGCTTGCTTTGGCTTGAATGATTGCTCTGGTATATTGTTGGAAGCGAGACAGGCCGCATATCCTAAGGCCACCACTTCATGCGCTTGTAGCTCTCGATGACTGATTCGACCTCTTGTCTTGTCAACTTTTCGTGGGTGTATCTGTGACAGTGGTTAGATATATATCAGGGGAATAGAAGCGCAACAGAGTGACTTACTTGAATCCAACGGTGTGCTCGAACTTCGTGCCATCAAGGCAGAGATCAGCCTCACGCAGCAGCTCCTTCTCCATGAAGGGACTCAGAGGGCCAGAACCACCATCGAGACCAGCTTTTTCTTGTAGTTCAGCCCAAGGATCCAGAGTCTCGTCGTTGAGTTCATCCACCACAGACTCGAGATTGAAACGTGCAAAAGTGTTGATGAGGACGTTTTGAAAGCCTGTTTCGATGCCGAAGAGAGCCTTTGTGATCTCGGACATTGTGCCTTGGCTCGTGTCACCCTTGTCGACAATGTTGAAGACCGAGGCCGAGGATGAGGGACCCTTCTTGGGAGAGGGAGAGGTGGGTGTGGGCGGAGCACTGTCGGCAGCTGCACCGGGTTGTGCTTGGTTTGCTCGCCAGTCGGCAGCGGTGAAGCAAGCGCGTACGACATCATCAATGTGGACGGTGTGGGTGCGCAATTCAGGACCCCATAGCCATTTCAACTCTTTCTCGATGCCTTGGTATACGCGGGCGAGGGCCAATTGAGTGCCCATCCATTGTCCGGAGTAGGGTCCGTAGACATTGGGCAGTCTGAGGATGACGAGAGGCAGGTTTGGGATCTTGCTGAGGTCTTCTTCGGCTTGTAGCTTCCACTTTGCTTGTTTGAGCGAGGGCTTGAGTTTGTCTGTCTCTTTGCGTGGTGGGTCGCGTTTGCTGTCGTAGACGTGGCCGGTGGATAGCTCGACGTAGGCTTTGACATTGCGACGGGCGGCCTCCTTTGCGACGCTGATTGACAGCTCGTAGGAGCGCAGCTTGTAGACCTCGTCGTCTTGAGAGTGGCGGGTCTCACCACCACAGTTGAAGACATAGTCGAAGGACTGGCCGTCGGGCAGGTCGAAGACACGGCTCAGGGATTGTGGTCGTGAGGCATCGGCCTGCATGAAGTTGTCGCTGCAGGCATCTTTGTGTTCGGGGGCCAGAGAGGCCAGCTGCGGCAGTTGCTTGTCTACTATCCTCAGTGTCGAGGCGAGCGAATTGGCGTGTATGTAGTTGGTCAGGAAGCGTCCGATGTAGCCTGCGACGACCAAGACGTTAGCGAACTGGTCAGCCCTCGCAATGTGCTGGGCATCTCACCAAGGCCTCCAATGATGAGCACATTTGGTTTGGTGGCGGCCGTCGACCCCGCCGTGTCACCCATCGAGGTCGCTAAAAGGGGGGGATGAGGGCTTCGGAAAGCCTCTAGCAATACAGGGCAAGCAAATCGCCCAGAGATGTTGGTGTTTCGACTTGCAACAGAGCAATTGAGGCTCAAAATTTACCAGTAACGAATGATGAGGTCCCGCGCTTCTGGCTTCCAACGGTCCGGCAGGGCGTTGTAAGTGTACAAGGAATTGGGAAGGGGGAGAAAAGAGATCAGATCGCGGAGCTTGAGCAAAGTCGCGACCGAGTTATCTGATGGCTACAACTGCTTCTACAAAGGAACCGCCCGACTGATCACAGGCCACCTTGTGGACACCCCCGTAGAGGCTCAATTGCTGCAAATCGAAATCAGAAGTGCTTTCAGACCATGCCGAAGCTATCTTTCCCCCACACCGTTGCGCCGAAGTGCTCTTTTGTCTTTTGCTGTTCATGTCCACAGTGGGCAGAATCCATGCAGTCCCTGCATCTTGTGCCATATCGTGATCCATGATGCTGGGTTCCTCCACTCGTCTTCCCTCTCCTCTTCGAAACTGTCATCCCTCTCGCAATCTTATAGGAGCCTCAGCTCCTCAAGCTGAGGCAGACCGGTTTGCGCTCGGGCCTGAATCCATTCGGCGGGTAATCTGCTCCCGAACCAGATATCATTTTCTTGCACCGAGATTGACTTTTGCTTCGCTGGATCCCTTGACTCGACAATACCCGTCTCGGCCGCCGCCAGCTGGTCTCATTTGCTCGGGACTTCATACGGCTCCGCTATAGCCTATACGACTTTGCAAACATGACCTCTGAGCACCCATGTCTTTCCTTCCGATCTGGAAATAGCGAGACAGCTTTGTGCTGGATATAGAAGGGGTCCTTGGTAAAGTTGTAAACTTATTGTGCTTTTCAACCGAATTCAACACGGTTCCACGCTCAGGAGTCTATAACCAACTGAAACTGCTCCTTCGCCTAGTATGGATCTAGTCGTGCAGTCTTTCATTGTTTTGACTAGCCTGTGGTTCATAGGAGATGTCGAGGAAACCCACTTCGACGTCGACCCGGTTGTCGAATGTACAAACAGGTAGCGATGCTACGCTGGTGCTGGCTGGGGCTGTTACTATGGTTCCTGACCACGGTACAAGGCTTCTCATCGAGCTAGAAATATGTGGTGGTGCATTGTTGTATGTACATAATCAGTTCGTTTGCAACTGGTGAACGTTATGTTGCTAAGCTATGCCGATGCCCCTGTCCAACACGTATGTATAAGCAAAGCAAAGCAATGGTAGAGGCGCATCTTCTTCTCCGCATGACTCTCTTCTCGTGGTGGTGATTTCCCTATCCATGCATGTGTGTGAACAGGCTTACTCAATGAGCTCCTTGCAAACCAAGCAATGTACCGATTCTTCGGTCTCCTCCTCGGTTTTCTTATCAGTGATCTTGACTTTGGGCGCTTTAGAATCTGGTACCACAACCTTTACCATCGCGTTGTCGTCTTCCGCTACAGCGTCCTCGGGGCTCGTGATGTTGTTGTCCTTGTTGATAGATTTACGGCTTCGCTTCTTGCCAATGGATCCCACTGTGATTACATCTTGGTTCTTGCGTTGAATGATGTCCTGGGCCAAGCAAGATGCATGGAGCCATACTCCACAGGCTTGATTACTGCACTTAATGATGAGATGATCGGGGTGCTGTGGTCTTTTGCATGCACATATCAGACGCAACGGCTTTCAGGAGTCAGTACGAGTTCCAAGGAGGTAGGGTTAACCATATGATACTTACCGATAAGACCTCGGTGTCATAGTTGTATGTCTGTCGCCAGTAGTACTCTCCTTGGGCTGGCATTTCCGCGTCGTCGTTGGCTTCCTCCCAGTAAGTGACTTTTAATGGCCCATTCACCGTCAAGGCGTCAATAATGTCCATCTTGTTGCCGGGCACCAGCTCGAATTTGCCGTGATATGCTGGCGTGCTTTGCACCTTTTCAGGCAGTTCTTCCGGATTCTCAAGCCAAGTGCAGCGGAGGAAGACGTGATGTTCATCCACAGCTCGAACCTCGTGGACCTGGGCCTTCCAATCTCGATCGAAATCGTTTCCTGGCTTTACGAGAACGCAATCGCCGACCGAATGAGTCTGGTTCCCTACTGTGCTAATCACGGTCAGCGGGGATTGATCTTGAATTTTGGTTCCAAAGCATACAATTTCTTGTACTTGGTCATGCTCAGCCATCTTTCCATCGGTTTGATCGTCCAGCGAGCGTTCAAATAGGTCCTTCCGTCCAAGGTCAGAGGACGTTCCGTGACATCTGGAGGGTTCTTGGATCCTTTCTTGTGAGGTGGAGTGGAAACATTGAATATGGGCCCGGGTCCTTTGTCAGCTTGGTCCAGAAACCGCAGTAAATCTGCTCTTTCGGCATTGGTCAAGCGGTTTTGCGCAGGAGATTGGGACTCTGATGGGATGTTGTCTGTTAATTTCCTGCGTTTGACCGATGATGGCTCGGCGGCCGTGTCGCGTTTTCTTGTCATGGTTGATCGATAGAAGTCTAACGACAACCCTGCGCGCACATGATATTTGTACAGAATCCGAAACTGGTATACTCAGGTATGGAAACAAGATGGTGACACAGAAGGATGTCGCGTGTCGGTCGAAGACGCGTTTTGTGGTGCCCGTGCGCGTCATCCAAACCATCCGGTCAGCGAGCCACGACCATCACCGATTCTCACATGAAGCCCTCCTTCCCTTCTGGATCAAAATTGTCACGAAGCGTTGCTGGATGCTGCATCCGTATATCAGAGTAGGCGAGCGATGCGAGAGACTCGGATTCCTGAGCGTGTGGATCGCTCAAGACAACCACTTCAGTCTCTCCAGCAAACTGCTTGGATCGCCGGTCAATAATAAGGCCAAGGCGTGAGCAGCACCCATCGGACAATTTTAGTGCGCGCATCATGGAGATGCTTATTCTGTGATGGTCGATAAACATCGGTATCTGTCTCTGACCAAGACTTTTCGATAGTACAGTACCAACAGTCATGATATCTTAATTACCACTCTCTCACGTCAACACACAGAGCAAACGTCAGTCTTGTTGATATGAGATCATGTTTGCTGCCCAAGGTGAGAGCTGTGAATTTCATTCTCTCTAGTGTCACTGCCCGGCTTCCGGGAAAGTATCGTGCAACTCTGTGGTACATTCATCGAGCACACAGAGGTTGGGATAGAGTCTCTCTTTGCCCACACCGTATCCTTGCAGATCAACGAGCGCCAGGCCCCTATTCGCGAGCATTGATGTTTGAGCAGCCGCTCGCTATCCAAAAGGGCAATCGATTCTCCATAAGCCGCGAGGCCTCATAAGAGTGGCTGCGTTATTGGGCGGGCCAAGCAAGCGATGGCACATGGCGCTATTTCCGAACTTTCCAAGGCCCGTTTTGGCTCAATCAGCTGCAGCTCAAGACGGGCGCAGCTGGACACACAAATGCTGGGCTGGCAATCCAAGCAAGCACGAGAGGTTGGTCCGCGGGATAATGAATCCTGCTGAATGTCATCGGTGGCCTGCCGCCGCGGTCTTTGGAGGCGACGAGGGACGGGAGCCACAAATCCTAGAGCGAGCGAGCGAGCGAGCGGATGTTGGGGGATCTGCCCCGTCACTTCTCCGCGACTTTTTGAACCGTCCAAAATTCGTCGTCATCAACGAACGGTTTGATGTGCCAAGCTCGTTGGAACATAGACCTAACAAGATCCACTCCTACCTCTGCCCACTTTCGCCCTGTCGTCGTTCCCTCCAGCTTTCGGTCAAGACCTGTCGTTTCCCCCAACTCGGACCAGCTCTCTTTGGTATCACTGCGAGCCCCGGTTCGATCTGACAAGTTTAGCATTCGTTGTGTTGCATGCGCGATTCCGCCTGCAGCCGGTCTCTGTCTTAAAGGTCCCTTGCAGGCTTCCATCAGCTTTTGGTGTCACTGAACATTAGCCGACTGCATTCCACTTCACCTTTGCACAATGCCTCGCTCCCGAGTAATGTCGTTCATGACCCAATGGGGTACTCCGTCAAGGAGTTTCACGCCAGAGTCAAAACCACAGATGTCCGAAGACCCTTTCAGCAGTAGCAACGCTTCTAGGCCTCCCAAAATCGACACCTCCGTTGCCTCCGCTACGAACAAGGCCTTCGGTACGCCGAGCTCTCCTTCTCCCACAACTCAGCAACGTTTCCGCTCCGACTCGCGTTCAGAATTCACATCACGCCCCATGTCTATGGTCTACACCCATCAGCCCCCAATCATGGATCTCGCACAAGACACACTGCCAGAACTACAGCCGATCTTTACATTTCTCAATAGCCACTCCAACAAGCTGTATCAAGAGGGTTACTTTCTGAAGTTGCATGATCTAGACTCTCGTGAGCACACTCCGGGCAAAGTGCTGCTGAACACATAGCTGACAAATTTCGCAGGTGGACGTCCAAGTGCAGATCGAGCATGGACAGAGTGTTTCGCACAGCTGGTCGGTACAGTGCTTTCCTTATGGGATGCTGCGGCACTGGATGCTGCAGGTGAGGATGGCGAGGTCCTACCCACATTCATCAACGTTAGCGACGCTTCAATCAAGATGGTATGCAAAACTACAATCACGTCGGAAACATCTAGGTCGCTAATCACCCCGCACAGATCGAGTCGCTTCCAATGAACGGATCTGCAGGAGGTCAACTCCAGAACGTTCTGAGCATCTCTACCGCAGCCAATAACCGCTATCTCCTCCACTTCAATTCCCTCAACTCCCTCACACAATGGACCGCCGGCTTCCGCCTTGCCATGTACGAACATACAACACTACAAGAAGCCTACACCGGCTCTCTCATTGCTGGAAAGGGAAAGATGCTCAACAACATCCGCACCATCATGGAGAGAAGCAAGTTCGTGATAGACGACTGGGCACGTGTCCGATTTGGAGCAGGCACTCCCTGGAGACGCTGCTGGTGTGTCATTACACCTCCGAACGAGAAAGAATGGGCAAAGTACCAGAAGGCTTTGAAGAAGCGTGACACATACGACCGCAAGGTCGAGGTCCCCAAAGGCGATATCAAGTTCTACGAGACAAAACGCGTCACAAAGAAGACACGACCTATTGCTACCATCAAAGACGCATTTGCTGCGTACGCCATCTACCCTCAGTCAAAGCCACTCATCGACCAGTCGACACTTATCAAGCTGAACGGGCAGATTACCATTCACGGTGCAAAGGACGTAACCACAGAAGGTTTCCTCTTCGTCATGCCCGAAGTGCATCCCGCAGTCAGTGGCTTCGAAATGATGCTTCGTTGGTTGTTCCCTGTCTGGGACATCTTTGCTCTCTATGGCCGTCCTAATCGTCTGATCGCGGATTCTCTCGACCAGCGCGGGTTGATGTTTGCCATGCCTCGCGACAGAAGATACGGCTACCTGGATATTCTGGATGTCTCCGGCCTGATCCACACAAAGGGCAGTCAAACATGGACTGAACAAGACTGGAGAAGAGAATTGAAGAAATTGACATCGCACCGTATGAATTCGGCCGACGACACGCCTCCACAAGCAAGGGGAAGACGTAACACGCTTTCACTCAATCATGGGACGGTCCGCTTTGGGAACGACAGCTCCACAGATACTTCGCCATCACCAGGCAGAGGCTCTCCAGGACCGAGAGATGGGTCGATTCAGTTTGGTCCTCCGCGTCGTGTTGAAACAACGCCCATGAGCTTGGGCAGTCCGGGCCGTGGGCACCATCGTTCGGCCTCTGACGCGCTCGGATACAAGCGGTTTCAAACCGAAAACCCGTCTCGACTTTCTTACGAGGCAACCGGCGACCTTCACGATAGAGCACCCGAACCGCCAATTCACAGGGCTCCCCTGCCGGAAAAGAAGATCCCCACGGTACTTGAGCGTGTGCCATCGGAGGACACGACGCACGAGCAAGAAGCACGTCTTGAGCCAGCCTTCGAGGAGCTAAAAATACGCGCGGGCTCCCCTCCAACGGGCCCTGTGGCGTCGCCGCCGAAGCTGATGCACGGGCCCAACGCTAGGCCCACTAACCTCAACCTGACACCTGAATTGCGAAGGGCCAACTCGGCCATGGATGCCGCAACACTGCACCAGCTTGCAGAGGCCAGTAAGGCCGGTGCTACACCATACAACGAAAAGGAGCAATTCGACTTCTCTGAAGCTCCACGAGAGGTACCTAGTGCTGCCAACCGGACTCAAAGATCGCCTGCTGACCCCTCGTTTCGCAATGAAGAGGTAAATCTTGCTCCAGGACCGACACATCAACCATCGAGTACCCACCGACTACCCCCCATCCCTGCATCTCCCTACAACCGTCCTGCTCAACCTGTTGCAGCTCCTGTCAGGCCTGACCAAAAAGATTTCCCTCCTCCTCCTGTGCCGCCACATAGCAACCTTTCACCAGCTATCCCCGCTCGAAATCTTGCAAGTCCTCCATTAGCCATGGCCGCTCCGATCAGCAGGAAGCCTGTTCCCACATCACCTGAACCTCAGCATGCGAATCCTCTACCACAAAGTCCTACCTTGTCTCACGTCTCGAGCAACGGGAGTCTACAAGACGAAATCATGCAGCAAGCTCTTCTGGAGCAAATGCTTCAGCAGTCGCCAGAATCACTGCATCGAGTCATCAGCCCTACCGTCAGCATCCCGGACGACGACTCAGTCGACTATTCTAGTGTGAAGAGTATGTCACCGCCAAAGAGAAAACCCTTTGAGAGAAGCCGGACAGGCCGCCTCAAGACGGTTGGCAATCCCGAACACGAGCCTCAAGCACGAAGCCGCTTCGATATGGAAGCCGGTGTGCCCATCAACTTCGGCCCGACTTTGACTTACAAACCAAACGCTCGACCCTCTACAGCTAGTAATACATCTGTCGAAGCACAAGAGGATCCCGAGCTCGTTCAGCGCCCGTCCTCACGCCTTACACAGATGGATAGCAAGCGAGGTTCTTTCCTCGAACCACGTAAACCAGTAAATGGAGACGGGAATCAAGACAGACGTCGAAGTGTCGCATGGCAACCAGCCGCCGTAACTGCAGCTGCTGAGTCTGTTGACCAAGGCCTCACCGCTGAACAATGGGTGCAATACCGGGCCTCTCTTGCTGCAGCTCCGTTGACTCAATCACGAGCCACGCCTGTTTTTGGACACCAAAGACATAACTCGAGTGCGAACCGTCCAACCAAAACACCTCCGCTCAGTCGCCCGGCATCTAGACTCAGCCGTACATTATCTGGAGACTGGACGCAACAGCTGGAGCGCATGTCTCTCAGTCGAACTCCTTCGGGTGATTGGAGCCAGCAAGCAAACCGCATGTCATCTAGCAAGACCCCACCACCTCTTAGCAGGACTCCGTCCGGTGATTGGAGTAAACAAGTCCCGTCCCGTCCACACTCTCGTAACGCTGGAGCGTTCTTGAACCCTCCCAGCCCCGGCAGAACATTGCAGCTTCAGGGTTCAGCATTGTCGGCTCATGAGCAGATGCAAGTCGCCCGAATGACAGGTAGTTCGATGATCAACCTGAGTGAAAGGGACAAGCGCAAGGACCTCAACGATCTGGATGCCCCAGGATTGGTTGGCGCCATGGCAGTTCGCGAACGCCAACGAAACATTAAAAGAGAAGGACTTCGGAACAATGCAGTGCAGCAAGCGGTCGCGGCTCGTCAGCAGCAGCAGTTGCAGGATGAGTACAACGCTCAGATGAGAGCACAGATCGAGGCGCAAGAATATGCCCAACAGCAGGCGGAGCTTCATGCTCAACAAATTGCCCACCAGCAGGCCCAGTACTATGCACAGCAGCATGCTCAGCAACAGGCCCAGCAGGCTCAAATTCAGCAGCAGATCGCTCTGCAGCAGGCACAGCAGTATCAGCTCCAGCTGCAGCTGCAGCAGCAACAAGTTCAAGCAAACTATCCCTACGCTGGTGGGCCTGGCACAGCTCAACAGAGGTCTTCACAGTACCTGTCGCACATGAGTCAGGCTGGAGGTTGGAGCAACGCAGGCCCGCCTCAACCCCAGCCGGGTTACGCACAATCATATTTTGGCCAGGGCGATGGACAGTACAGACAACAACAGAGAAGGTATTAGCATCGAGGTCAGAGGCTCAGCATAAGCGGTTTGGACTGGGTAGGTGGATTAGTTGGTTCAATGCATGGCATTTGGGCGGCGTATTGTATACATGTTTAAATTAAGCACTTGTTATGTCAAGGTGCGTTGGTTTACTGATGATTGTTTCTCCTGTGAAATACAGTGCAGTATGTTCTCCCTGTGATGTATATACACATTCAGCGTTGTGTCAAATTTCAAGAACATATGGTCTCTGCTACGAGGACAGACTGGTCTTGTGCTTTGAGGTATTGTGATCGGTCGTCCATGCTTTTCGCTCGGCCATGGTGGAATCAATACAGGACACTTCCATGTGGCTATATACCGATAGAAGCACACAAATAGTACTGACCTAGCACACAGATATAATGACCTCGTTTTGATCATCCGTCTTGAATATTTGAAGCTGCTAGACGCGGTGAAATTGACAGAGTGATATACTAAAACTCCAAACAGGGTGACTGCGGAAGCATGTAGAGAGCCGTGCGCAAACGTATCCCCGCGTTCTGAATTTTAAGGTTTCCTCTCTCAAGTCTTTTCACTCGTCCCACTTTCACTGTGTGTTCCACGCACGCGACATGAACAGAGATCCGAACCCTTCTCTATTAGTAATAGAATCCTAGTCCATCTTCGCCCGTGGAAGCAACATGGTCTCTCTTGTACAGGCGCCGAGCATGCCGCCAACCCTTCCGCAAAAGAGTCTGAAAAGAGACGCCTCGCATCTGTCGTCACCAGCGCCAGAGTCGAGCCAGAGCAAAAAGCTGCGAGTGGCGTTCGACGACAGGGTCGACGTCCGCATCATGGACGACTGGACGGCCAAGCCGTTGGACCTGGTCAAGGACGAAGTTAGAAGTGCACTTGAGGGCCATCTCAGGAACGGTGCCGACAAGGATGATGGCGCATATGAACAGCTCAGGATGATCTTCCTCAGCGCCCAGCCCTCGCGATCACATGACAGCGGGCCAGTCTCGTCGCATACCGAAGCACCCAGCACCGCTACGCTCAAGAAGTACCTGGTCGCCCTGAGTGGACGTGTGAGCGATCTCAAGGCATGTGGCAAGCTCGTACACGCTGTTCTCGACGTAAACTGGCTCGGCAGAGACGATGCATTTGTTGCCCTCTATGTACGCTTTCTCGGTACTCTAGGAAGTGCTGTTCCTGGCTTCCTCAGGACTGTGCTCGACCGTATCGTGGGACACTTTGTCGAGGGTAAGCTTGCTTGCCTCTGGCTATCGTGCGCCCGTTTGCTGACATGTGCCCAGTTCCATCATCCCTAGGCCGCATCCCCAACGAGCCTTACGTTTCCAGACAGCAGATGCTCGTTCGTGTACACAACGCTCTTCGGTACCTGCTACGCCTCATTCCGTCCGCCAACAGCGGCTTGGCCGAGTCCCTCCGCGGCCAGTTCCCGAATCACAGAACAGCCACCCGTCAAGGCTACATCTCGTTCGTCAAGAACTCCCTCAAGACCATCGAGTACGCTCCCGAACTCAAAGCCGAGATCCAGACCCTTATCACCGAGCGCTTGGTCAAGATCGACGTCGAGGTACAGGAAGAGTTGGATGATCTGGAAGACGAGGTCGATGAGGGCCGTGTGCTTGGGCTTTCTGGTCTGCCAGGTGCAAAAGAGGATGCAGTTGACTCGGGCGACGAGAGTGATGCCGACTCGGACTCTTCTAGCGAGATCAGCATGACACCCGAGGAAACCCAACTCCGGGCTCTGCGTGACACCGTCGCCAAACTCGATTCGGTGCTAGATCTCTTGTTCTCTCATTACACTCCCACGTTTGCCAGTGGCAAGATGTACGAGGTCAACGATGCCTTTGAGCATCTGATCTCGCAGTTCTCCACCTTTGTCCTGCCTACATATCGCTCGCGCCACACTCAGTTCCTCGTCTTTCATTTTGCTCAGATGTCTCAGGGCTATGCAGAGCGTTTCGCTGGCGTTCTCATTCGTCTAGCTACTGGTCGTAGCTCTGCGTCAAACGGCTCCTTGTCTGCTGCTGCCTACCTAGCCAGCTTTATTGCTCGCGGTGCCCGCGTGAACAAGACTCTGATTCGTTCTATCTTCACAAGACTTGGCAACCATCTCGACACATTGCGTCGCAACTACGAATCAGCATGCGAAGGGCCCAATCTCAGCCGTTACGGAACCTTTTACGCAATCGCTCAAGCTATGCTTTACATCTTCTGCTTCAGGTGGAGGGACTTCATCATGACCCCTGACGATGCGGACGTCGACGACTACGACATCTTTGAGGAGGGCGAGCCAGAATGGCTCCCTGGCATCAAGGAGTGCTTGACCCAGGCCATCTACTCCAAGCTCAACCCTCTGAAAGTTTGCGCACCTGCGATTGTTCACCAATTCGGTGCCATTGCCAATCATCTTCGCTTCATGTACGTTATCCCTTTGCTGGAAACCAACAAACGTCTGCGATTGTCCTCCTTCCGCTCTCTGGCCGCACCTGCCAGCAGAGACATGGGTGCTGCAAGAAGAGAAAATACTCTCAGCCACCAGAGTGGTGAATCCCACCATCAGCTGGATGCCTTCTTCCCATTCGACCCTTACCAGTTGCCCAAGAGCAAGAAGTGGCTGGAAGGTGATTACATGGTGTGGAAGGGTGTACCTGGTATGCAAGACGATGATGACGATGACGAGAGCAGCGATGAGGATGAGGATGAAGATGAGTTCGGAGAAATTGGTGATGATCCGGAGTACGAGAGCGAGTAAAGCTCCTACAGGTGTGAACGGTCGATGGCACGATATGATTGATTTAGCGAGGAGTTCTGGTTTGGCATGTGCATGTTGCTCTGTTATGCATGTGCTGGTTGTGTTTTCGGCGTATCTCAAAGCGTGGATGAATGGTTCACAAGGCGTTCTCAGCTTAGTTCAGATTCGACAAGGAAGAGCAGAGCAGTATTCTGAGACTAGATGACAATACAATACATTCTTGAATCAATCCAAAATTCCCAGTAAAATGGCATCAACGTGTTGCTTGTTTCTCCATCCTAAACGCCTTTCATATCATTCTGTCCGTTGAATTTGTTCGTCACCCGTATCGGATGGTTGCTTGGTTGGATCGTGTCTTCGTCAGATGTTTGTTGTCTCCCTTTGTCTAGATACCCAGAGGGTTCTTAGCACTACCCTTGCCAGCGTTGCGTTGCTGGCTACCAGGAGGGAGCTTTCCTCCAGGCATCAGAGTCTTGCTCGACCCAGCACCACTCAAGCCGAGGGGATTTCCACCAGTAGGCACGCGAGGACCTCCCGCGTGAGAGGCATCTTTGATGTTGTTGCCATATCCTGCAACACCCTGGCCCCAGTAGCGTGTTGTGTTGGTGATACTGCGATATCTGTTAGTACACTTTCCAAGTTGTGATACAAGAGTTGTCGAAGAAATCTTTACCTGTTGCCGATGCCTTGACCGACGTTGTTAACGCCATTGCCTACGCCGTAGACAATGTTACCAGCCACCTTTCCCGCGCCGGCGACGTAGCCTTGGACTTGCTTGCTAAGCCAGTTGTCACCCATTTTGTTTGATGTTGTTCTCGTGGAAATGTAGATGACCAAATGGGACGTCTTGAGGTTCAGAGAAGTACAGACCATGGGGTTCGATCGATGATATATGTGGACGCGGCTCAGAATAATGCCTGTCCAGATTCTAGAATCGTCAGACCAAGGTTCGTGTTTTGCTCCGCCAGGTGGCTGACACGATGCCTACGTCACAGAATCTGATAAGACGTCGTTATCTTAGCGCCATCCGAAGCACGCTAGCGTCAGGGCTCGAAGTGGCTGCTTGCCGGCTGATCGACCACTCTTTTGACAGGGCTCACTTTCAGTGTCAACCAGCGACCGCGTATTCGACCTGGTCAGAAAGTCTTACCCATATCCTAACCTTTTCAGCAAAGAACACAGAGAGCTACCACTGTCAGCAGCAACCAACGATCTAAACTCCCTGCCTCTGGAAAGGAGTAGGCTGCAGAGGCGGATCATGCATCCTGGCGCACCCGCGCTGCATTGAAGTATTATCAAAAGCAGACTGGATCACAAAGCAACGATCTCTCGACACAACGCCTTGACTGGAAGTGTCAGGACAAGTTGACAGTGGGCCAGAAGTGCATCTCCGGCACTTTCTCGACAATAGCGCACTGTCTGGCCCTTACAAGAAAACACCCCTGGAGGTCTTAGGACAGTGCACCTAGGATCGATCCAAACATGAACTCTAATCATCTGGACCCATTCGCTGCGGTTGGCGCTGGCACAAAGCACAAGCAGATCCAAGATGCCAAAGACATGTACCAAGTAGTCGTGGACCGCGCAGCAAGAACAAACACTGCCGTGCCTGACTATGAGTTCCTGGAACTCATCGGAAAGGGGTCCTTTGGTAGAGTGTATAAATGGTGAGGTTCCAGAGGTAGTGGATAATGCGTGGCTTTCACTGACACAATCCAGTAAAAACGGTGCTACACAGGAGATTGTAGCCGTAAAGATCATTGATGTCGACGATCTGGATTACAAGCTGGATCTTGACCAAAAGGATGAAGCGATCGAGGACTTCCGGAAAGAGGTCAAGACATTGAAACTTCTTAGAGACAGCCAGGCGAAGAACATCAACTACATCCAGGAGGCATTCGACTTGCATTCTCAACTGTGGATTGTCAGCGATTATTGTCCAGGTGGTAGTGTGCACACGCTCATGAAAGCCACCTCAGGTCCCGGGCTTGAGGAGGAATACATCATTCCGATTGCTCGCGAACTGGCTGTGGCGCTCAAATACGTACATGATGCGGGAGTCATCCACAGAGACGTCAAGTGCGGAAACGTTCTGATATCCGAGTCAGGCCAGGTCCAGCTTTGTGACTTTGGTGTGGCAGCTATCATTGAGACTGAGGCGTCAAAACGTTCGACCATCATAGGAACGCCGTTCTGGATGCCCCCAGAGATGCACTCCATGGACATGGCAGTCCAACAAGGTTATGGAACTGAGGTTGATTGTTGGGCGTATGGCTGTACTGTGTACGAGATGGCCACAGGAATGCCACCGAACCACAAGTTTCATCCATCGATGTTGAGGACTGTGTTGAAAGCCGCACCGCGGTTGCAGGAGGGTGACTACTCACAAGGTCTGCGGGATTTCATCGCGTTTTGTCTGGAAGAGAAGCCGCAACACCGCCCCACCATGAAGGCCATCCTTGATCATCCATTCATCTCAGACTCAACCGTCGAATATCCTACCCTCAAAGTCCGCGAAATGGTCGATCGTTACTATCAGTGGGAGAGACGCGGCGGTCAAAGAGCGTCACTCTTCAATCCAATGGGAGCTGCCGCACCCCAGCCTTCAGAGCAACGCGACGACTACGACGATTGGAACTTCTCAACCTCCGCTGACTTCGAAGACGACTTTGCTAAGCGCTACAGTCAACTTGGAATCGCAGAGACCGACTTTGCAGCCACAGCAAACGGCACTGAAGAAGTCATGCCTGCGCTGAACAACGTTACCGTGCCTCACCCCAGAAATCCTTTCCACGAAGCGCAGGAAGAGGCCAGAGCAAAGCGCGGAGAGCGCTCCATGGGACGTCTCTTCAACACCAACGCAGACCCTTACGACTACAACACACTCATGGAAGACGAAGAACTGCCCATGTCAGATCTTCCACTCCGCAACCTGTCCAGCGATCGTTCGGCCAATAGGGAGACCTTGATCGACTTGGACATGGGCGCCTCGGGCCTAGACGTACAGCCGACCTTCAACTTCGACTTTAGCGATGTGCCTACCCTCAAAGCAGCAAGACCCAACCGCCTATCATCGGCCATGCCTGATGACGACGACGATCAGAACGACTTCTACGACGGTCCAGACCAGGACACGCGCAGAGCCACCAAAGACTGGCAGTTCCCTCTCAAGTTGATGCCCGCAGACAATCCTAGCCGTCGTACACAGGACTGGACCTTTGCCATGGCGCAACCTCCAGCAGCCGCAGATCGCAAGACTCAAGATTGGTCGTTTGCAACCGCGCAACCCGCAACCGACCGCAAGACTGCAGACTGGTCCTTCGCTACAGCACAGCCCGCCACTGATCGCAGAACACAAGACTGGGAATTTGCTGAGATCGCAGAGCCTCTTACAGCAGAGCCAGACCGCAGAACTGCAGACTGGACATTTGCGACCGCCGAGCCAGTCTTCAACGAACCAGATGCTGGACCAGACTTCTCCTTCCCTCCCATCAAGGACGACACAGACGTTGCTCCTGGTTTCAGGCCCAACTTGACTCGCACAGCTACTGAACCAATCGGTCATTTCAGAGACTTTCTACATCCTCCTGCAGAAGCAGCCACCCAAGACGACTTGGACATACCAAGCGTTCGCGAATCCAGACCCATCATTGATCTTGACCTGGGTATGACATTCGAGCCCAAGTTTGATCTCGAGAGCGCCGTGAACCACCATTCACAACGCCCAAGCATAACGACATCGTCTCCTGTCATAAGTGCAGCAGGCTCAACTGAAACGTCACGCAATCCCTTCTTCTTAGATGAAGTTGAGCAACCTAGCGGCGATGAAGTCAAGCGCTCCTCCCACCGCCAGTCACGTTCCGAACCACAACTCCTGGCGTCGAGTAACCGTCACTCAGGCGTGATACATTCACGGGCACCAAGCAACGTGTCTCTGCTTCGCCACTCAAGAGACAGAGGATACTCTTACTCCTCTACGGCTTCTTCAGACGTTCCAGGTGGAAGCTGGCCAAAGGAGTACAACCGCAGGATGGAGGCACACACAAGACAACAGCTTATGAATGATCTGCACAGCTCTGCAGTCGCGTCACAGTCTCGCAACAGCTGGGCTCGTTTTGCTGCAGCCGACTCTTTCGACGACACTGATATCGAGAAGCGTACACCCCTTCCTGGCGTTCGTGTACCAGGCCTCGACGAAGCCGACTTCCCACTCGCATCAGGATCGAAGCCCTCATCACGCATTGATGCCTTCAACGTCGACACTGACCGGGACGACAGCACGTACGGCGATCTGACTATGCCTCGCAACAGGGCTCGCGCAGACACAGGAGGCACGACAAGCACTGGCACAGGCTATGATTCATCCAGAGACGAACCATACATGTCGTCTGTACGCAGCAGTCGCTTGTTGAACGAGTTCCCACACTTGTCAGCACCTGACCCAGAAGCAATGATGGACGGTGCTGACCCAGAGCTTGTGTGCCAAGAGATGGACAGATTGTTCGCTGATCTCGCAGGAGGTCTTAGTCTGGCAGCTGAGATGTTCGAGAGACGCGATAAAGACATGACGCGTGGAAGAGAATATGGAGATGATTACGACGGACAGGCTAGGGGAAATGGTAGTGAAGTGGAGTGACTAATGGGAAATGGAGTGGGTCGAAGGACAAGTACTCGAATGGCGGATTGCTACAACAAAGATACCCTCACAGCTTGTACGATAATTAGACGATAGCTTTGTAAAACAGTGTTTACTCTTGCAGCACCTTTCCAGCAGGTAGAATAGTGTTCGAGTGTGATGGAGTTAAGCACGGAGATATATGGAATCGCGGAAAATGTCGGTCCTTAGCGTGCACCACCCCAGGTTTTGTCGTGCCAAGCGAGAGAGTATGATGAGGCTTGAGGCCTGCGAACAGAGGGTCTCTGTTTTCTACGCATTCTATTGTTCCCATAGTGCCTCGAGTATGAGCAGACAGCCCTCGAAGCCTTGACGAAACTCGCGCGAAGCCTTAGCCACCGAGACGTCCCTCTACGGACCAGCAAGCACGTTGCCCACCCGGCGCGCGCATACGACATCATCAGATGAATCCAGCGCATAGAGACGGCTGGCCGCCCAGAGAAGAGCATACTCCACTGCATCGCACTTTCGCGTACGTCGATAGATGTCGAGACGAGGTTTGGACGAGTACTGACGGCGTGTCACAGGCCGAATCCACCGCCTGCCCATCCTGGTGCAGCTCCTTCCCCACGCACAGGCGCTCTGCCTCCTCCATCAGGTACACCAGCCTTCGACTTGGTCATGCACCATATGCTCACACCCGGAACAGGTCCCTTTGCTCCTTTCCAGCAGGCTTCTCACAACATCCTGAATCCACCTTCGCCTCGCCATCAAGCACAAGCGGCCTTCCCTCTCGCTCGCGACATGGCAGATCATCGAGACAACATCCACATCAAAGAAGAGCAGGACGCTGTGCGTCGCGATCAACAACGCGAAAGACAACATATGGACCAACTACCCCCTCATCAAGCCCAGAGAGGGCCGATACATCTGCACCAGCCTGTCGCTGTGCCACCCAATGCCGTTCATGGCCCCAATGGCCTGCTGGCAAATGCTGCTGGTGGCCATGGCCAGATTCCAAATGCTGTCTTTAGCGGCGGTCCCGTACAACCTGCTACTCAATCGCAGGCTATGCTTGTGCCCATGCAGCCTGGTGCCGCTCAGCCTGCGAATGTCGGCCAGGGCCAGCAGCCCATTTTGAACGTACGTCCGCTCTCTCCTTCCCATATCCCTCACACCACTGATCGTCGACAGGATGCATTGAGCTACCTCGACCAGGTCAAGGTGCAATTTGTCGACCACCCGGACGTTTATAACAGATTCTTGGATATCATGAAGGACTTCAAAAGTGGAGCGTATGTGTCGGTCTCCACATCCGACTCTTCTGAGGTGCTGACTCGATACAGTATTGATACCCCCGGCGTCATCGAACGTGTCTCGACCCTGTTCGCGGGTAACCCCGAGCTTATTCAGGGCTTCAACACTTTCTTGCCTCCAGGCTATAGAATTGAATGCGGCACGGGCGACGACCCGAACGCCATCCGAGTAACGACTCCTATGGGAACAACCGTCCAGGCTATGCCGGCACCTCGACCTCTTTCGCCGCGCACCGCTGCTCCGACCCAAGATGGGAACAACCAAGAAGGACCCTTCTTCGCTGCCGTCAACAGACAGGCCAACGGCAATTGGACGCCCCAAGCAGCCGGTCACTCTCACGTTATCCACAGTCCCAGCGGTCGTCCAGTAGGTACCGCGCCTTTTACTTCGCAGATGGGTCCACAGCAGGCCGCCGCTATTGCCGAGGCTCAAGCTCGTGAGCAACAGGCTTTGAGTCTTCAACAGGAACAGCGTGTCTCGCAGTTGCAGAATGCCGTCTCTGCTGCCGCTGGTGACAACCTTGCCAGAGCTGGAATCATGTCTCCTGGTGCAGGGGCCGCTGCGCTTGCTCAGGGAGAGATGGTGATCGGTCCAGATGGACAGCCTATGGGCAACGAAAAAGTGAGACCACAGGTCGAGTTCAACCATGCCATCAGTTATGTCAACAAGATCAAGGTTCGTGCAGCGCATCACGCTCGTCGTAGACTTGTCAAGGACATCTTGCTTACATTTTCTTAGAATCGTTTCCAGCAACAGCCAGACATTTACAAGCAATTTTTGGAGATCCTGCAGACTTACCAGCGCGAGTCAAAGCCCATTCAAGACGTCTACGCCCAGGTAACGAGGCTTTTCAACTCGGCACCAGACCTTCTGGAAGATTTCAAACAGTTCCTCCCGGAATCTGCCGCGCACGCGAAGGCTGCAGCTGCTGCCAGAGCGCAGCAACAAGAAGAGTCTGTCATGCTTAGTAACGTACGTGGTGATCCGTTCTACCAGGCCCCACAACCGCACCAGACTCCCAGAGCCGAACATCGCCTTCCTCCAGTCGGAAACTTTGCGCCTACTCCAACTGTCAACAAGGACAACAAGAGAAAGCGCGGTGACAGGCAAGGAACCGTCACCAACGTCGGTCCTGAGACGAATGGTCTTGCAAAGGCCCCAGCCTACGGTCAGATGGCCAGTGGCACCAAACGCGCTAAGCAGACACACGCCGGCAGACAAGCCATGGCATCAGATCTCCCTCCCACTTCACCGACTCTGGTTCCTGCACTCCCCGAGCCTCTGCCACCAACTCAGAGTACTCTCGCGACGGCCGACGAGATGAGCTTCTTCGACCGCGCCAAGAAGGCCATTGGTAACAAGGCTGCCATGAACGAGTTCCTGAAGCTCTGCAACCTTTTCTCTCAGGATCTCATTGACCGTGTCACCTTGGTTCAAAAGGCTCGTGGCTTTATCGGTAGCAATCCGGATCTCTTCCAATGGTTCCAGATGTGGGTTGGTTACAACAATGACGACGTGACTATCGAGAATAAGCCCAGAGCTCCTCAAGGCAGAATCTCGTTGAGCAACTGCAGAGGACTTGGACCTAGTTACCGTCTCCTACCCAAGCGGGAGCGACTGAAGCCCTGCCGTGGACGTGATGAGCTCTGTAACGAGGTGTTGAACGACGATTGGGCCTCGCATCCTACATGGGCCTCTGAGGACTCCGGTTTCATCGCCCACAGGAAGAACGTCCACGAGGAAGGACTCCACAAGATCGAGGAAGAACGTCACGACTATGACTTCAATATCGAAGCTTGCTCGCGTACGATCCAGCTTCTCGAGCCCATTGCACAGCAAATCCTTCGCATGAACAACCGTGAAAAGGAAGCTCTTGAGATCCCTCCTGGACTTGGCGGCCAGAGCGAGACCATTCACAAGCGTATTATTATGAAGCTTTATGGACGTGAAAAGGGCCATATGGTTGTTCAGTCGCTCCACGCACAGCCCTACAAGGTTATTCCTGTGCTGCTCAACAGACTAAAGCAAAAGCTCGAGGAGTGGAAGCAAGCACAGCGCGAGTGGGAGAAAGTCTGGCGCGACCAGACACAGAAGATGTTCTGGAAGAGTTTGGATCACCAAGCTGTCAACGCCAAACAGGCTGACAAGCGTCAATTCCAGACCAAGACTCTTCTGGGCGAGGTCCATACCAGATACGAAGAGACGAAGAGGCAACGCCTGGCTGGACAAAATCCGCGCAACCAACCACAGATGACCTTCAAGTTCGAAGACACGAGCGTCATCATCGACGCATCGCATCTGGTTCTCTTGTATGCCGAGCAGATGCACTCTACCGAGTTCCCAAGATTGACTTCTTTCATCCGAGAGTTCATCCCTCTCTTCTTCGGTCTAGACCAAGAGTGGTTTGCCAATCAGATCAGAGCTAAATTTGGTGATACTCCTCACATGGACGTTGGTGAGGATGCAATCTCGGCCTTCGACGATCCCATCAACGCAAGGCCCCGCAAGCCAACAACCAAGAAGGGCGATCTTCTGCGTGGTGTCCTTGAACGTGGCCGCAAGAACCGCAAGGATGATGGCAGCAACACTCCCCTTAGCCGAGCATCAACACCCGACAATGCGTCCAACGTAGACGAAGAGATGAGCGATACTGCCAACGTGGTTGACGATCTAAAGTCCGACATCGCTTTGGATACCTGGGCATCCCATCCTCTAGCGGGTAATGTCCACAAGGACAAGGAGCTATATCTCAACCAGATGTACTCGCGCACCAGATTTAATCTGTACGGCAATGCAACCATCTACTGCTTCATCCGGGTCTTCGTATTCTTGTACGAGCGCCTGAACAACATCAAGCAGGCTGAAGCTGATGCACACATCACCGTCGATCGTGCAATGGCCCCCAAGCCAGCCACTGAGCTTGGCATAGTAGACAAGCTCCCTACAGACTTCTTCACCAACGTCAGCGAAGGTTCCAATTTCTATCGTCAGATTCTCGGCATGTTCGAGGATCTAATCAAGGGAGATATTGATATGGCGCACATCGAAGAGACATTACGAAGATACTACCTGCAATGCGGATGGCAGCTCTACTCTTTCGATAAGCTTCTCGGTGCCTTGGTACGTTTCGCTATCGGCATGCTTGGAAGCGAAAGTGGCAAGGACAAGAGCTGGGATATCCTTCAGCTGTTCCGCAAGGATAGAGCAAAGGATGAGACCTCCTTCCAGGACGAGATGAACTACAGAAAGCAGACCGAAAAGTACACCAAGGATCTTGACATCTACGGAATCTCATACGTAAGGAATACATCGACCTTTCTGCACGGGCATATACTAACGAGCATGCAGGACCAAGCAATATCCGAGGTGCAGATCAGGCTTTACAAGAAGGACGATCCTACTTTCGACACCACTTCGATGCTGCAGGAGGACCTCTGGCGCGTCTATGTGACCAACTTCCTCAAGCTTGCGCCAACGCCTGATGTTCCCGCAACTAGACGCCGACCAGTGATGCACAGAAACTTGCGCCAGATCAATGTCGACCCCAACACGATGAACAGCGAGGAGCGTTCGGATGAGTACCGCAGACTTTTCGACTCTTCTATCTCATCGGAAGGTCTCGAGTTCCGTGTGGCAGTCGAGTTCTACCGCATGTACTTCGTCAAGAATACCGAGGAGTATGCATACCAGCCAGCTGCGATTCGAAGTGGAGGCAAGGAAGGCGTCGATGAGGCAGACTCAACAGCCCGCTACCGCAGCGACCATAGCCAGGACACATTTGTCATCAACAATGCGGCTATGAAGGGGCTCAGCAAGGAAGACGTCGAGGGCAAGAACTCTGGCTTCGGTGCTCTGGTCAGAGAAGGTGGCGTCACAGTTTCGTCTGGGTCTGTTGATGAGGACGAAGAGATGGAAGACTAGATCTTCTTGGTTTATTGAAACGATGCCTTGAAGTCTTTCTCTGGCCGGCGGTACAGGGACAGGCGTTAGCATGGTGTGAACTGTCTACATCTTGAGCATATTTTCAGCGTCTCGGAAAGGCATGGGAAATTCGTCTGGCTCAGAGGAGCCAAATGTCGCAGAGGGCAGGAGTCTGGCGTGGAGGAGGTACATCTGGCAGACTTCGAGTTACGAGAAGAAGGTGGTGCATCATGATTCTTCTTTTTCCTTTATGCAGTAATGTAAATGTATACGGTTTTCTACATTCAAGCTCGTCACCTGATTCTTCAGTGATCGATCGTTGTGCATCAAAAGAGGTCGTAACCAGGGAGGACATCAAGGAGAGGATGGCAAGTTCCGAAAGGGCGGGGAAATTTTCCAACATTGAACATCACGGCGTAGCAGCGTCGAGTGCCGCCTCTCGATTCAGCACATCTCCTCGACCACCTCTCACACCACAACGTCGACAATGGCTCCACGTGTCGGAGCTAGGACGGCCAATGTTGCTGCGCCTCAAAAATGTCTCAGAACGAGTAGCAATGCCCGCCAGTCGGTAGCAAGCCAGCGCGACTTTTCTCAATCATCAGGCCAACAATTCCACGCAACATGCAAGAACGACACACGTCTTCGCCGCAACATGTTCTCCTGGCTCAACGGTCCTGGTCGCGTGTTCCGCGAACCTCTTCCCGGCTCGACCAACTACCTGGGTGCATACGACCGAAGTGGAAACCTGAGGCGCTTGATGAGAGACGGCGAAGAGGAGGAGCAAGAAGGCAAGGTTGATCTTTCAAAGCTCAGCGCAGAGGAAAAGGCCAAGTACAACCAAGAGAAGGAGGCAAAGGCAGCGGAGGACCGAAACAAGCTTCCAAAAGAGAATGCAGCCGACCTCCGACCATACCCTCTAAACAACGATTTCCGCAGTCAGTCGGTCTTGAGTGAGGAACTACGCACAGAAATCTACAAGAAGATTGTCGATGAGAAGGTTGATCTGGCCACTGTCAGTGCTCTGTATGGTGTCGACATGCGTAGAGTGGCTGCAGTTGTTCGTCTGAAGACGGTTGAGAACAACTGGGTAGCAGAGGTATGTCGTGCTCCTTCTTCCGCCATTCCCACCCTTCTATTCCATTCAATGATGAGACATACAAAAATTCGATTAGTCTTTATGACACCCACATGGATACAACGCCTATTTACTCTGACTTTCATATTCATAACCAAAGCATTCACCAAAGCAAGTCCGGAATAAGTGCTGACAAGCAAAACAGGGCAAGAAGCTGGCCACACCATACCACGACGCAATTCTACAGATGGTGCCACAAACACACTTCAACCGCAAGCTCCTCGAGGACCCCAAGAAGGTCTTCTCCCACGAATCGATCAACGATCTTCCTGTACACCCCTACACACGCACTCAAATCTTCTATCCGACATCCGAATCCCGCCAATTCACACGTGCCGATGCAGCAAAGGTCTTTTCACCCACCCTTCTGCCAGCCGATGAGCGGATACCTCTGTCCGAGTTGATCGACATTGAGAAGGACGCAGTCAACAACATGCCGCGCGAGCAGCGTACAGCACGTATCCGCGAGCGCACCGAAAAGAAGATGCGCGCAAAGGCGGAGAAGGAACTCAAGAAGCAAGAGTGGGAGGCTAGAAACGTCAAGGTGGTCAGCAACCAACGCTGGAACTTCCGCTTCGAGAGCATCAGTGTCGAGGAGGCTGGCAAGGATGGTCGCGGCAGACGTGGTGTTGGTTGGAGATATGGTAACCCTCACCACGACCGTGAGAAGGGCGAGATCAAGTTGCCTACGAGCGTCGAGTAGATGTGGGCTTCGAGGTTGTGGAAGCTGTATGAGTATTGTAATATATACATATCTAGACGATGAGGTTCCGAGACTCGTCGCATTGTGCATTGTACTGTACATTTGTAGCATCAACATGTCTCACACGACGTGTCATATGACAAGAAGAAGTCAAACAGCATGTGCCAAACAAACGCGTCCACGAGGGCAGTCACAAGATACGCAGATTCGGAAAGCGTAAAATAAAATGCGAAACAGCATAGCAACTCTCCAACAAGAAGGCAGCTTCGGACCAATACGCACCTTCCTCGGCTGGCTTCATCCCCTGACAACTAAGTCCTATCCTATTCACTTATTCGATTTCCTGTCAACACAATGACCCTCCTGGGCTACTTCGGGGCGGCGCTAACGTCAATCCTCGTGTCGATACCGACGCTGCACCTGCTGGCATCCGCGACGCACGCGCCGGTGCTGTCCTTTGCAGCCCGCAGCATTGCGTCCTTCAGCGCCCTCATCTTTTGCGCTTGCTATGGCGTTGCTGCCTCTATCGTGCTGCGTCTGGTTGGCTATGGCGGTTTGAGCCAGTGGACCACTGCGCGCGCTTTCAAGTGGACTATGTGGCTGCTTACTGGTGTCGAGTTTGTGATTACCGACAAGCATGCGAGTCTCAAGGTGCGGCCTGGGATTATTGTTGGAAACCACCAGACGTGAGTTCTTTCTGTCTCTGCTCTCTACAGAGATACTGATATGTGTACAGCGAACTCGACGTCCTCATGCTCGGCTGCGTCTTTCCTCCTTACACGTCTGTGACCGCAAAGTCCTCTCTCAAATACGTTCCTTTCCTCGGCCAATTCATGGCTCTCTCCAAAACTGTCTTTATCAACCGCACTTCGCGCACCGCAGCCCTGGCCGCTTTCTCCCAAGCTGCCGAAACCATGCATGCTGAACAACAATCCGTCTTCATTTTCCCCGAGGGAACTCGCTCTTACGCAAACACACCCACACTATTGCCGTTCAAGAAGGGGGCGTTCCATCTTGCTGTGCAGGCGCAGGTGCCTATCGTGCCGGTGGTGGTTGCAAACTACAGCAATGTGTTGGATGTGAAGAGGAAGATATTCAACAGTGGAAAGATCCCGGTGTCGGTGTTGAAGCCCGTGGAGACAAAGGGGTTGACAAAAGATGATGTGGATGCCTTGGTCGAGAGGGTGCAGAAGGACATGGCAGAGGAGTTGGTGAGGATCACACAGGTGGCTGAGAAGAAGGGTGTTGCTGGTGCCGATGCTACATCGAAAGCTACAAAGAGCGAGGGACGTTGATCTGTTCTTGCATCTGCAGGCTTCGAATGAACAAAGCATGCAAAGGACAACGAAGCCTCGATGCTCTGTCGAGTCGCTTCACTTCAAGCACGACATACAATGCATGGCCGGAGAAGGAACGATATACCTTTTTTACATGGTCGATAACGGAAATCGTTCCAATGCAATTCGTAAGATCTTGCTTGTAAAAGACCAAAGAACTATCCATCAGCTGCGTTCACACCCTATGTATATATAGCCGATAATGGAATCCATTTCAATGCCATTGGCAAGATCTTGCTTCTGAAATATCGAAAAGCTTACTCTAGAAGCGTAAAGAGATCGCAGATATCTATACCGTGCTCTCCTACACTGTTTTTTGTATTGTATTCTATAATCTAAAACAAAAAAGCATAGAAATATTGGAGGTAGTAATTAGTCCAGAAGTAATGGTTCTTTTCTAAGATTTGTATCAGGTTTTACTAAAACCAAAGATTGATTTTACATGCACAAAGGCCGGATTTGAAATGACAAAAAGATATCAAAGATGAGTACTATAGTTTTGAAATTGAATTAATAACTATTTCCTTTCTCTGCAAGAAGTTCGAATGTAGATAAAGGGATTTTGATGAAGAATTCGTAATGATTCCATAGTTAATAATTATTATATAACTTATGTCAAGTAAATTAGTTTAGAAAGATGATAACATAAAATCGTTAGAGAGAACTATTATGTTACCTTTCATTTCTAGTTTGTATGTTGTCATTAGTTTAAAGACATCTATTAAGTTTTTTCCTTTAACTTACAGAAACACGATGATAAATCTGATAGCAGATTCTACGTCTTTTCCGCTTTACAACTTTTGATTTGTATGATAGTTGATTAATCTATATGATAGTGAATTGATTACAACTCTTTGATGGTTCCAAGTGTAGCGAGCCAATTAGATCTATAAAGAGACCTTCGAGAGCCATCATCGTGTAGATACTTCGGATTGATTCATGAGTGTGAGTCGTCTGACATGCCAGTCATCTCTAGAGTACAGAGCTATCTTGAGATGCTTGCACTTTGCATCTCTGCTCGTTTAATACTCCTTTAACTTGACCTTTTCGTCATTCCCAAATCTGTTGGTAATGCCTTCGTTTTCTGCAGTCGCGGACCCAGTGCATACTGTACGCCAGTATTCTCACGAAGATAAGAGATGTAGATTCTGTGCTTACGCATAAGGCTCAGGGAGGTCTCCTCGATTTGCAACCAGTTTTTGCATCATGGCCAGCTGCGACTGAACCAAGACCCTTCATTGTCATCGAATGCATGTCCTAGGTAGACAGATCGAGAGGGCCTCTTGAATCTCATCGTTGTACTTGTGGGAGTGAAGCGTGTCCATGAAACCAAGTGTGAACGGGCTGTTGATCGCACCTTCTCATAACGTGGTATGTCGCCATCGGCTTGCTTGTGTCTGGTCTCGAGGTTGTTTCGAATATCCTCGAGATCTCCAGAATTTTGAAGTGGTAAAAATGATCATTGTCCTGAATAATTCCGTCGTCGTGTTTGAAAGTGAGAAAGCATGTGGAGTGAGAGCTCTGAATGCAAGTGAGTACAGTTTCATTCGCACCTGGCACAGAGTGAAGTCGACATTTCATGTAGGCTCAGAGCGATGGTCTCACTATAAAAAGGCACAGGGGTTTCTAAACCAATGGCTTATCCCAAAGAGAGTCGATACGATGATTCGTTTCGATGGAAATACCCCTGTTTCTTTAGGCCACTATGCATTTTTATAGCTTCTTATCTACACCTTTGGTGCCGAGGAGAGCGAAGAAGTCGGGAGCATAAACCGTCATAGACTGAGCTCCACTCCATTGTGAGAGAATCTGGCTACCGAGGCCAATGTGAATCAATACGCGTTGTTGAACATATGAGGCATTTCGCGCAAAAGTCCAAAAGCACCTTGGCCCATAGTAGCTTCCTGCTCCTCGTGCAGTTGGTTCTCAATGTCACTTTGATGAAAACCAAGAATCCGATGCGACACGTATGGTTAGACAAACCATGATGATCCTTTTCATTTCTCTCGATTCCCACACCAGACGTGTAATAAAAGCGTCAATATTCTTCCTGCCCATATCATCATCTAAACCTCTGTATCCGTTTGTGGTGAGGCAGGCTCGTCAGCCTCATCTGCTGCGACTGGTGCTGCATTGGCCTCTGCTTCCTCAGTCTCAACACCATCAGTCTCCTCTTCTTGCTCCTCAACTTCTGCCTCTGCCTCCTCTTCATCACCAACATCGATCAAATCGTGGCTTTTGCTGCCTCCGTTCTTCTCGAGCTGGAGATATGAGTCCCACTCGGGGAAGAGGTCTGCATCGCCTTCGCCATCGGTTGGAGGTACACCCAATAGTCTGGCAACCTTGGCCTTGCCATTCGACTCGAGTCCTTGCTTCCAAAGTTTGGCGATCTCGGGCGCCCGGCTGGGCAGGTAGGTTTGAGTGAAGAGGACGGCTTCGGCGGTGCGGTCGGTGCGGATCAGGAGGTCGATACATGCGTTCAAGTCACCGACTTGCCAAAGGCAGCTGAAAGCGACGTTACGAGCACCGGCGTCGTCGGCCTGCTGAGCCAGTCTCCTCAGGCCAGCCTCGTTGCAACTTGAAGTGTAGAGTAGGAGCAGACTGCCCATGTCCTTGGCGTGGGTGAAACATTCCTCTGCCAGACGCATGTTCCAGGCTGTGAGTGCGGCATCACCGACAGTCTTCCACTTATGTTCGACATCGGCTTCACGAGCAAGCTCGAGAGCGATATCCAACTGGTTCAAGCCGAGTGCAAGTTCGAAACGGTGCTCAGAGTCCGTGGCAACTTCCAAAGCTTGCTCCTTGTAACCTTGACCTTCGAGGAAGCGAGCAATCTTCGATTTCTGGTCCTCGGGGATGTCGGGGAGCATTTCGTTGGCAGCATCGAGATCACCGCGCAACACGAGTGTTTGGTACTCGATGACGGATAGCGAAAGAGCGAATGAGACAATCTGGACGTCCTTGTCGGCGACGTAGACACGGCCGTCGCGGGGAATGTAACCAAGAACGTAGTGAGGAGAATCGAAGTGCGAGATGGTGTAGGTTTGGTCACCAACGAGGTAGTTCAAACGGTTAGTGCTGTTAGTGTAGACGAAGCAGTCCCCGACCCATTGACCAGTACGGACACTAGACGTTATGTTAGTATTATCTCAATTTGAAGGTTGATTCACGACGACATACCTCTCGTTGACATCAGTGACGACCTCGAAGGCGGCTTCGACGCCGTCCTCGTCAGCCTCACCTGCTTGGAGAGCAGCTTGGTACTCCTCGCGAGAGAAGCGGAGGACGTAGAATGTGTCTTCGCAAGCAAGAGTGACAAGCTCGCCGCTTTCCGACCAGTAGACCTGACAATGGTGTTAGCTTCCAGCAATAGCCATACATTCACGATAACTCACGTTCTTGGGGTCAACTTCAATTCTGCGGACAAGTTGACCTGACTCCCAGTCAAAGAAGCCAATACCGCCCTGTCCCTTGACACCAAGAAGAACACCGCCGCTGAGACCCTCTGCCTGGAAACCAATATCGAGAACTGCCTTCTCCTTGAAGTTGCGGAAAGTCTTGACCGACATGGATGACTCGCGGATGGCATAATCCTTGTCATTCTCCTTTGATCCCCAAGCAAAGTCAAGAGCCGAGCCAAAAGCCTGGTTTCTCAAGGCAAGAGCGGTGTAGATGATGTATTCGCCGTCACCGCAAACAGCGACGAAACGACCGTTGGGAGAGTGAATAAGAGTTTGGGGGTAGATTTCGGTAGAGCCAAGATCCTTGGAAGGAAGGGTAAGAGGTGAGCCATCTGTCAGAGATTTGTCTCCGCCCTTGATGACAGCAGTGAGAATATCGTTGTGACGGGCCCAGATAATCTTTCCAGAGTTGTCCATGGATACAGCGGGTTCCTCGCGACCCATCTTGACAACAACAGCACCATCGTCGAAACCCATAGCGATGCCCTGACGGCCGCGCTGGTAGCTGACACACCATGCTCGTTCCAGACCATAGTTGAGGGATTGTTCGAGACGGTATGTGTTGGCGTGCCAGATCTTGACGGTGCCGTCTTCGGAACCGGAGATGATGACGGGCAATTCAGGGTGGTAGCATGCAAAAGAAACGTTGCTGGTGTGGCCCTCGAGAGTTGCGATCAGAGCCTTGGTGGTGTAGTCCCAAATCTTGACAGTGCGGTCGTCGGATGTAGTGAGCAAGTAAGGCTTGTCGGATTGAGGGTAGTAGTCAACGTGGTTCACACCTTTGGTGTCGTGTGCATCGAGAGTGTAGTTTGCGGTGCTTGAGCCCAGACTCCAGATCTTGACAGTGCGGTCCAAACAAGCCGAAGCAAAGGTGTTTGTGTCCTTGGGGTTGATGGCCAGACCCATAACGTAGTGGCTGTGGCCCTCGAAGATCTGAACACACTTCCATCCTCTCTCCCAATCCCAAAGCTTGATTGTCATATCATCCGAGGCGGTCAGAACAAAGGGCTGTGTGGGGTGGACGACTATGGCGCGGATGTAGTCGGGGTGTGCTTCGAACGAGGTAATCTTCTCGGAGGTGTTGTAGTTGTAGACGCGTAATTGGAAGTCATCGGAACCGCAGACAATCCAGTTCTTGCGCGCAATGAAGCGGCCAGCCCGTACGGGTACGTCGGTGAGTTCGAATGTCTTGACGATGGCTTGTGTCTCGTATGACCAGATGTATACATGGCCTGCAACTCGGGTCAGATTTGGCGCATGGCAATGGCTAGTGAGGGAGCATACCGCTGTAGAGAGTTGTGAGGATCTACGGTCCGTTAGTCAACAGTGTCTCGAGGCTTTGGTTTGAGAACTTACCCATGGCTCTGTGGGATGGAAGTCAATGCCCTTCACCCGTTCAGAGCGGGCAAAGAGCTGTCTCTGTATGTCAAGATGCGTGTGAGCCGAGTCCATTATGGTGGTGTTGAGTGTTGGCTCGTTGTTCTAACCTTCACGTCCAGGCGCATTCTGGCCACTGGTCCAGCTTATGCAAGGGGTGATGCTTGATCTGTCCCGGGTAGTTCCTGGCTCTTGTATCGCTATGTCCCTAACAATTGCGAGGCGACGATAGAAAGCAATGGCGAGATACGATTCAATCTTGTTGCTGTTGGTAGCTGGAGCTGTAAACTTGTCCACTCCCTAACTCCACCATCCAAGCACGGACCACCAACCCCTGCTTTCTGGGTTGCGACTGCTCCTCGAAGCCTGTTTCCACTTTATACCAACTCACTTCTCGAGTGTATAATGAGTCGACTGATGCTTGGACACACACTGGAACACGATTACACAATTACGAGAGAATGTTGTATGACTTCCGGCAGATTTGTACAGCAGCACGGAACAACATTGTGATTAGCTTTGATGAATGACCAAAGAACAAATGATCCTTTTCTATTATCTCGACGAGGGAGGACACGTCTAATGCCTCTGCTCGGCCTCATGGCTCATCGACATGCGATTGGGCGTGGTAGGTCTGCTCGTTCTGTTGCCGAATGCAATGTTTTCCCTCAGCGCAATATACTCGCTATCCGCGTAACCCAACGCTCCATGAATTTCTGTGCTTTTGAGACCGCGGATTCTCTTAATCTCCGCTGCAGAGTAGTTGACCAGCGCTCTGCCAACCTCAAACGGCGCAGGATCTTCTTTCTCATACTCGAATGATCCTCTTGACTTGCGCTGTACCACCACTATCCGCACTGCTTCTTGCTGTGCAAAATTGCCCTCGACTTCCACCACGCCTGCTGGCAATAGACCAGCTTTGTCGGCCAGTGCTCTGTGCGCGCCTTTGTCAATATACACCGTTCCGTGTGGTGCGAGACCGTACAGTAACCAGAAGTATCGGTCTCTGATAGGATGGAGATCGGGGATGAAGCGAGTGTGTAATGGAGGCAGCGATGGCGCATCGAGTCTGGGTGATACGGCGCCGTTCGTGCCTGATACCTCTTTCACAACGGCTTTCTTGGCGAGCGAAGAGTCTTCGAGGGTCAAGTTGCTTGTCGAGTTACTCAAAGATTCTGTGCCCTCGATTGAACTTTGTCGCGACGATCGTTTGGCCGCAAGCTCCTCTGCCTTTTTCGATTCGGCATGTGTGACAATCTTGGCAATGTTTCCAGGCTTGTCCGAGCGAGTGATAATGGTTGTCACACCTGCAGAGGTTGCTAATCGAGCGGCGGTGATCTTGGTAGCCATACCACCGGTGCCTACAGACGATCCAGCGCTTGAGACGTCGGCGACAAGATCTCCAATGTCTTCGACGACTTCAATAGCTTTGGCGTTAGGGTTCGAGCGAGGGTTGCTGTCGTACAGACAATCCACGTCTGTCATGAGGAACAGGTAGTCGGCCTGGACCATAGCAGCGGTGATGGCAGAAAGTGTGTCGTTGTCACCAAATTTGATCTCAGCAACTGACAGGGTGTCGTTCTCGTTGACGATAGGGATGACACCCATGTGGATCAGCTCGATGAAAGTGTTCTGCGCGTTGAGGTATTGAGTTCGATCGGCAATGTCGTTTCTTGTGAGCAGAATCTGAGCGATTGGCTGCCTTCTGTGCATGAACAACTGATCCCACAGACTCATGAGCTTGCACTGTCCGATGGCAGCCAGGGCTTGGACCTGAGGAAGGTGTTTCGGTCTGCGTTCCATGTCCATGTGGCCCAGAGCGACGCCAATGGCGCCGGAGGAGACAATGACTACGCGATGTCCATCTTTTTGTAGTTTGCAGGCGGTTTCGACGATGGTAGAGAGAATTGAAAGGAGGGGTTCGTGGCTCTTTTCGTCAACGATTGACGAAGTGCCTGGATGCGAGAGTCAGCATTGAGTCGCGAGTATGATTGAGAATGAGGATACCAAGCTTGATGACGATAGTCAAGTGTTTCTTCATGGTGCAGGCTCTTCTGTGCAGAAGCAACCGCAAGTGTGCAATTTCACATGTCTGGTATAGAGTCGAGTGACGAGTGAATCATCATTTGTAGGGCGGGAAAACAAAGGCGGGGCGGCTGCCGGTGACGCGCGAGGCTCGACCAATCGCAATCCATGTCTATTCTGAGGCCTCAGCTCCGCGACCTCGACAAGCACGAATTCATTCAATCTGCACAACCATACTCGAATCACACATCGGAACCATGTCGTCGCAAAGCAATACAAACTCATTACCGGAGACGACAACGGCAAAGTCGCCGGCCGCGCCCACGTCGGATCAGGACTTCTACACCTGGTCCACCTTTTTCAACATTCTGACTGGAGGCGCAACGCCGCAAGAAAGAGAGGCCTACTTCGACATCAAAGACACAATCAACGAAGACCGCGACATCGCTCGCGCAGAAAAGGATCGCAAATGGTTACTGGAATATTCGCCTATAGTACGCTTTATGCGCCACAACATCAACCTGCTGGGCCATGACTTGAATGAGACAAATATGCGTGTTAAGCGCTGCACTACACAACAGAGCGGTGGCTTTGACCCTGACTATGGCATCTTGTTGTGCGCCAATAAGTTCAGGAACAGAGGTCACATGGAAGACACCATGGCACACGAAATGGTCCACGCGTACGATCATTTGAGGTTCAAGCTGGATCCTCTGGACCTCAGACATGCCGCTTGTATGGAGGTATGCTCACTAAAATCCTGCATTCGAGGCTTCATCTAACCATGCCTCTAGATCCGCGCATCCACCTTGTCTGGAGAATGCCGCTTCGGTCGCGAGTTCTTTACTCGTGGACAGTGGAACATCACACAACAGCTTCAAGAGTGCGTACGAAGGAGAGCCACCTTGTCAGTGGCCAACAGACCAAGCTGCAAGGACAACGCACACGCTGCTCGAGTTGTCGATGAGGTCTGGGACAGCTGTTTCAACGATACCCGACCCTTTGACGAGATCTACAAGTAATCTGCTCCTGATCTTGTAGCTTTGACACTTCTCCTCTCTCTCCTTATTGCATAGCATTGGCGTTGATACCCGAGTCCCGATATGTACCAGCTTCAAAGGAGGTAGCTATGATTTACCGAAACGAAGAGATCAAGCATTGTCGCGTTCATTGAGTCGGAAAGTCGTTGTGAAAAAGAGACGATTGTCTCAACTCGATTCTGAAAAGGCTGCTTCTCGCACATGGGAAAAACTTGAAAATGCACCAACCGGCGGAACTGCAACTATGCGTAATCCAGAACTCCCTTCCTGCCATGCATCACGCCTTATAGGCGGGCCCGTGAACGCCTATACCAAATCAAAGTCCTGGATATCCTAGAGAAAATGCAACCTACCTTGAACTCCTTTGGTCGTAACTATGCCACTCATCCTTGGTCTCATTCGCTTGGTCGTTGTTTGTTGCTGCTGGCAGAGGTTCTGTTATAAGCTCTCTCGCCCTTGACACAGTGCTTGATGATCCAAGGATGTTGCTCCACCTCGTGCAATGGAATTCTCTTCTCCGGGTCAAGGACAAGCAACTGCAATCCTGTCAGTATTTTGGTCTTCAAAAGCGCAACTTTGTCATCAACGTACCTTCTTGATCAAGTCTTTTGCTTCGGCGCTCACAAATGGGGGAATCGTCATTTCTCCACGAGCAATACGCTTTTGTGTCATTGAGGGAGTGTCCTCAAAGGGCGCCTCTCCCACCAAGAACTCGTATGTCAAGACTCCCAAACTCCACAAGTCGACCTTCTCGTTGTACCAGTTCTCGTCCTTGCCGGGCTTCAACATCTCCGGGGGCAGGTAGTCGAGGGTTCCGCACATTGTGTTTCTCCTGTTGTTGGGAGCGTGTACCGACCAGCCAAAGTCACTAATCTTGATTTCGCCGTGAATTCCGACCAGAATGTTTTCGGGCTTGATGTCGCGGTGAATGACGTGCTTCTTATGCAGGTATTTGAGAGCAGCGCACATCTGTGCAACGTATGAGGCGGCCTTCCACTCTGGGAAGCGTTGTTCGCGGCGCAAGTGCTTGTAGAGCTCACCCTTGCCGGCGAACTCGAGGATCAGGAAGATGCGCTTGCTGTCGTGGAAGTGACCGAAAAGACGGAGAATGTTGGGGTGGGCAAGATTCGACTGAATTTCGATCTCTCGGCGGACTTGCTTCTCGACCTTTCCTTGCTGAAGCTCGATCTTGTGTAGGACCTTGAGCGCGCAGACGAAGCCACTAGAGCGCTCCCGCGCCAGGTAAACTCTTCCGAACTTGCCCTTGCCGAGAGGCTTTCCAATCTCAAACATGCCGAGGTGGAACTGTCTGGGCGTCGAGGGTTGTTGAGGGATGGAGGATAGCATAGACTGGGGGTCTGAGCGGCGTGGTTCTGAATCGGACGACCTTTGTGCTGCCTGGGATGGAAGAGTGATTTTGGCGATTGTGGCGGCTGTGTTGGCGCCATTGGCAGAGTATAGCGAGTTCTTTGCGGCGTTGGCGGGCAGCTTCTGCAACGGAAGCTTTAGTCGGTTGGCTGCGGCGGCGGCGCCCAAGCTCGAGATTGATATTGATCCCTGCGTTTGGTGTCAGTCACAGTTGCTGGCATCTTGTGGCTGTCAAGGTTGTACCTTTGATTTGTGTGAGTTTTGGTCGTGGTTTTCATCGTTGACCGAGATGCCCTCGAAGCGGGACTCGAGTGACTGAACATCCATGGTTGTAGGCGAAGCGGTGGGTGTTCAGATTATTGCTGTATGGACAGATTGTGATCGATGTAGGTCAAGGTCGGGCGGTTGATGGTCGGTGGATGATGGTCTTCAGAAAAGGAATCAAGTTTATTGTTGACAAAACAACAAAGATGGCGGCGCCCGGCAACCGACGCCAAGCACTGACCTCCAGAAACCGCCGCTGCCTGCATGGCTGCATCACTCGCATCGGGATTCGATGAGAGAGAGCTTTTGCCAGATCAGATAAATTTGTTTCGTCGACACAACAAGTGCTCTGCGTCTTGGTTGATCTGATCAGAAAACCATGGCTTCCAACGGAGAACGATTAGACACTCAGGGTGCTGAGACTATTGTGTCACGCAACAAGCAATGGAGAATCAGTACCCGCAAGAGACCTATCCTCAAGGCCGGTCCCATCGATGCTATGAATGAGAAACTTGGTATCCCCGTACCTGAGATGATCTTTGGTGACAATCTCGTGGCTATCGAGCATGTTCCCTCTGGCTGGGCCATCGACTTCAACGCTTTCGATGCTCTTGATCGCGTCTCCAAGACTGCCGATGGCATGTTGCAGGTTGCCTACTCCAAAGAGTGGCAGAAAGACCGGTATGTGCTGCTTGACTCCAGTAACAATGTCAAATGCAATAATGCTGACCTTGTCCGGACTTTCCAGCCAACATCATCACGAAGGCATCAAAGAAGTCGTCAAGCCATTCGACTGGTCTTACAGCACAGACTTCAAAGGCCATACTCACTGTCCAGATCCTGCCATCGTCTGGCAGCCAACTGATCAGTCCAAGAATCCTATCAGAACAGACCTTCTCTCCCGTCCGGATCCCATACTGTTCTACGACGATGTAATCTTCTACGAAGATGAGTTGGCCGATAACGGCATCGCCATCTTCAGCTGCAAGATCCGTGTCATGGCCGAACGTCTTCTCCTCTTGTGTAGATTCTTCCTACGACTGGATGGGGTCATTGTGCGCATCAGAGACACGCGTATCTACATCGAGTTGGCTTCCAATACCGTTATCCGACAGTACACCGCCAAGGAGGAATCATACGATGTCGTCCAATCCAAGCTGCAGGTGCACAGAGAGAATGTCCCGGAGGTCCTGCGTGATGCCAATCGCATCGCCCCTCTTCTTCGGACTGTTGAGGATACCATGGACAGAGTCACCATTCCTTGAATCCGGAAAAAGCATCCCTCATAGCTCTCCAGTCTCAGCGACGACTGAATCGGTCTGGCCATGCCTTTGCCTTCTTCTCCGCGGGCAACTGTCCGAACAGGGGTATTCCGACAAAGGATTCCCGCTCCATCTTCCAAGACTCAAGCGCTGGATAGTACCTGGTACACAACGCCTCGACGGCTGAGGCGCATCCTGGATCTGCAGGCTGCTGCCCTCTACGCACAGGTCTCCGATCGGGTCGAATCGTTGCTTCTCGAGACGGAGAACCAGCCTCTATTTCAGGTCATGCCGAATCGACACGACTTGCTCCGAGGAGGGAAATATTCCCTATTAAACCCCGCCTTCCGTTCGGGATATTTCGTGAGCATCTGTCTTGTATAACGGCACGAATCGGTACGATGGTGTCACGCTATCGAGTGGATGCTTGTGGATCCTCTCTGGCGAGTCGCTGGGGATTTGACGTGCTGGAGGCCTCCAAACCTTGTCGTTATGCAATTTCGAATGCAGGCGCAGCCAGACTAAGCGCGCGGAGGACCCCACAATATCACAATCCTTCCAAGCATCATGTATATTCCACCCCCCAACCCATCTCTCAAATATTGCAGATGCATACCTACCTGTGTTCTTGTCTTCGCGATTTCCGAGAATCCCCGTGTTATCGAAGTATCGTAGTACCTCACAAGCCAAAAACAAGAGAAGCAAGCAAGCCAAGAAAGCCTTCGCGAGCTTCTGAGTGATTTAGGCCAGGGCGGTTGGACGTTGAACAGTCTTCTTTTGCCAAGAGACGGAGCCAATCCTGCTGCAACATTGCTTACCGATACCAAGAAAAGTGGCGTCCCGACTCCATCTGATGACCATTGTCTGCGCCCTGTTGCATTGACCATTCAAACAATACGAAGCGTTTGAGGAGTGGTGTCACCAACACGCGTGAAGCTACATGCCAGCACGTCTGGTCGAAGTCAGAACCCTGGGAGATACGCCTTCAGGCAGTCTACACGAGTGCGAGTATCTCTTTTGGCCCATCGATTAGCAAGTGCTACAATCAATGACCTAGACATCGTTAGTTCAAAGCTTCGAGGAAAATATGGACGAGCCGCCGTGCGAGTTGTTTTGCTGTTCGGCATGCCGAAGATTCAGTGTTGCCGTGTCGGCAAAAAGAACACCTACCAGGTTTCAGGAGCATACAATAAATTCATATGCACCGTCTGCCAAGGAACTCCTGTCCGAAATCTCCACTCTTCACACCCCTCCGTGCCCACAAACCGGCTGCTATTAACTTGGGGTTTTCTGGCATCGGAGACAGTGCAGCCAGGGCTATGTCTAGGCAGTCTTTCAATGGTCATCGTCTCAACTTCTGGCGATGGAATTTGAGGGACAGGCCTGTTGTAACATGGCGCGACCAAAAAAGCATGCGTCCAGATGAATCATGAGAACTTTGAGAAGCCCCCGTGTGCTTGTTACCGAAGCACGCTTCATAGCACGCTTCATTCGGTACACGCACAGGCCATCGGTCTCGGGCTAGAGTCTAGGACCCATAGCTGTCCCCAGACTCTCCGCAATGATAGGCATGCCCCAGAAAGAAGCAAAACAAGAAACTCTGTGCTGCTCCTCGAAGGTCGTTAGTGTCTGTACAAGACACGGTTGACGGGAGCTGGACCAGTCCTTTGCTGCGGTGAGTATCTACAGATCAAAGGCTCCATACTACGTCTGACGGCAAGTCACGGCTGCAGAGCATCGAGCCGACCGCCTGGACTTCTCGCCGAACGTTGCGTATTTGCAGTCGGTCAGCACCGAAACCTAGAAGGGACGAGCGAAAGAGCGCCACGTGCCTTGGCAGTAGCCCATGCCGGACTTGGCAGCCATGGCGGATCGGCTGCACACCCCACGCGACTGGGGTCTGGGGATAAGTTTTTCTCCAGATCAATCGATTGTGGTTGCGGAGTCGCCTGGAACGGTCAGACCGTTCGCCAATGGGCGGCAATGAAATGATAGTGGGTACACTGGGGGCACAGAGGTCAAGATGGTATAAAGCAAGGCAGGTCTGCTACCAGTTCTTCACCATCCCACTCCTCTCATCACCTTTCTTCCTCCACTTCTTCTATCACCTATCAGTTCGCCAACATGGGTGCTGGAGGCAAGCCTGTCAACATCTTCACGTTCAAGAAGAACGGAAACGAACCCCCAGAGGTCCTCAACTGGAAGCTATGGTTCGCTGTTCTCTCGTTTGGTATCATGGGTGCTGCCCGTGGTATCGATGAGGGTCTTATCTCCGGAACCTTCGCTACCAAGCACTTCCAACATGCTCTTGGCCTCAACAAGCTCGACACAGTAGACCTTGCTCAGGTCAAGGCGAATGTCAGTGCGATGGTTCAGATCGGCTCGGTTGGCGGTGCCCTCTTGGCTTTCGTCCTCGCCGACCGCATCGGTCGTCTCTGGGCTACTCGCCAGCTCTGTCTTGTATGGATGCTCGGTATCGTTATCTTTATGACTAGCACCGTCGGTGGTGGCCGTCTTGGTCAGGTCTACGCTGGACGATTCATCGCCGGTCTGGGTATTGGTCAGACTACCGTCATTGCTCCTGTCTACATCTCGGAAATCGCACCCAAGTCGGTTCGTGGTCTCTGTACCTGCGTTTTCTCCGGTTCGGTCTACATCGGCATCATGCTCGCATACTTCGCCTCATGGGGCAGCTCGCTTCACATCCCCAAGACCTCGCCCAACTCATGGGAAGTCCCTACTTCAATCCACTTGATGTTTGCCGGCATCATCTTCATCTTGTCGTTCTTCAATTACGAGTCACCCCGTTACCTCATCAAGGCTGGCCAGCGCGAACATGCAGTAGCCAACCTTGCTCGTGTCCGTGGTCTGCCTGCTGATCACGAGGTTGTACAAGCCGAAATCGCTGATATTGAGAACCAATTGCACGAGGAGCAGGAAGCTACTATGGGCCAAGGTGCTTTTGGACTTTTGCGCGAAATGTTCCTCATGCCAAACAATGCATACCGTCTTTACATCGGCCTCGGCAGCCAGGTACTCTCACAATGGAGTGGAGCTCAGTCTATGACGGTTTATGCTCCCGACTTCTTCGCTCTCCTCGGAACCAAAGGTCAAAACGAGAAACTTTTTGCCACCGCAATCTTTGGTGTCGTTAAGTTCGTTGCAGCCATTGCTTGTGCTCTCTTCCTGGTCGATTGGATTGGTCGCAAGCGTTCTTTGAGCATCGGTATCGCTTGTCAAGCTTTGTCGATGGCTTACGTTGCCGCTTTCCTTACCGCTGTCCCCGGAATTGAGGAGAAGGGCTTTGAGTTCACCAAGAGCCAGAAGGCCGCTTCCACTGTTGCACTGGTGATGATTTACCTCAGCGGTTTTGGTTGGGCCATGGGTTGGAACTCTATGCAATACCTCCTTAACGCTGAGATCTACCCTCTCCGCATCAGAGCCATGTCCTCCTCGCTGGTCATGTGCTTCCACTTCGTCAACCAGTACGGCAACTCGCGTGCCGTTCCTCTCATGCTCCTCGACCACAAGGAGGGTGGTCTCGGCCCCGCTGGTACCTTCTGGCTCTTCACCGCCATCACCCTCATCGGCGGTGTCTGGGCTTGGTTCACCATCCCCGAGACAGCTGGCAGATCCCTCGAGGGTATCGACAGGCTGTTCGAGCTTCCCTGGTACAAGATTGGTCGTTACGGTGCCAAGGAGGCCGAGCTCACCGACCAGTACGAGGCCGACAAGATCGACGAGAAGAAGGCCAACGTCCAGGTCATCGAGCGCGTTGTCTAAAGAATCATTGCATTTGGGATCGATCTGGTCAGATCTGGTTTTCTATAGGACTCGACATGCTGTTTTGCAAAGCCTCTGTCTTGCTACGAATTTGTATATACCTCGTGTTACGACACACTCATGAACATTTTATTTTCTATCCAAACTTCAATCTTCATGTCCTCACCATGTGCATGTAAGGAGCCGGCTTAGAATGGATGTTTTTTATCCGCCAGCTACTACCCTGATCCTCGAAGCTGCTGTACATTCGGATAGTTGCCAGTATGACACGGCTTTGCACGTGCGGACGTGTGCCTTTCTTTCTCGACGTTGTGATTCGGTGTCCTGTAGATCGATACATCGATGTCGCGACCATTTACATCGGTCCACTGTGGTCCGAGGTGCCCTGCACACCTTCAACCTTAATTCCCAAAGTATGTACTCCAGTACTTTGATCCAGACCCCGCACTCGAGTAGCTATGTCCTTGGATTGTTTACAGCTCCAGTCTCAAGTTCAACTAGGGTATTCATCGCATTAGTGATCGGACTCTACGATGACTAATTCAACATCAAATCTCTCATGTCTTCTCTATGGACCTCATGATGCTAGGTTTGAAGACAGGCAAGTGCCTATCATCAGCGACCCTTACGATGTTATTGTAAGGATTGCTTATGTTGGTGTTTGTGGCAGCGATGTGAGTCAATTCTCTACCTTTGCAAAGGCGCAAGACATGATCTTAAGAATGCAATGCTACAGTAAAGACGCCTAAACTAACATTGTCATCAGGTCCACTTCTGGCACTACGGCGGAGTCGGTCTAAAAGTATCCACAGACAATCCTCTGACAATGGGTCACGAAGCGTCCGGGGTGGTCCACAGCATTGGCTCAGCAGTGACAGCACTCTCACCCAATGACAAAGTCTGCATAGAACCAGGCATACCCTGCTCCCGCTGTAAATCTTGCAAATCTGGTCGTTACAATCTCTGCCCTGATATGGCTTTTGCAGCTTCCCCTGGTCCTGGTCCTGCTACCCATGGTTGTCTGTGTGCTTACTACAAACTTACTGAACGGTTTGTGTATAAGTTGCCAGAAAGCGTGAGCTTGAAAGAGGGTGTACTTGTGGAACCAATGGCTGTGGCGGTACATTCAATCAAATTGGCAGCGGTCAAGCCTGGACACAAAGTCGTAGTCTTTGGTGCTGGGCCTGTGGGCATCTTGTGTGCTGCTGTGGCTCGTCAGTTTGGCGCTGTGGAAGTCATCTCAGTGGACATGAATGCGGCGAGACTGGAGTTCGTCAAGGAGTTTGCTGCTACTGGAGGCTTCACACCAGATACGACAGCAGATGGTGCAACCAATGCTGCAGCTATCGTCGACCGGTTCCAACTTGACCGAGGAGCTGATGTGGTCATCGAAGCATCAGGTGCCGAACCTTGCGTTCAGATGGGCATCCATGTGCTGGCACCCGGAGGCACATATGTGCAGACAGGCTGTGGGAAGCCAAATGTCACGGTGCCATTGACAGAGCTTGGCCAGAAAGAAGCAGTGGTCAAAGGATGCTTCAGGTATGGAGCCGGTGACTATGAATTAGCAATCGGGTTCTTGAGGGATGGCAAGATTGATGTTAAGAAATTGATCTCAAGAACGGTTGCGTTTAAGGAGGCACCGGATGCTTGGGAGAGCGTGGGAAGGGGTGAAGGTATCAAGACACTCATCCGTGGTGTACAAGATTAGATGTTGATCGTCGGTTGGATCAATCGTAGTGGCTTTGGAGAAGCTGCCGTAATTCTTGAACGATGCTTACTTACCTGTTCACAGATGAGGCGACATACTCTTATATCCCGTCACACCATACTTCTGGTCATACAAGTGATGCCTTCCGATGCTGATGCGAGGTCATTGGTTGTTGGGAACAATTGTTTCACGCCGAACCGTTCCGAGCCGTGACGAAACGCAACCAAAATTTCACAAAACTTTTTCTCTGTTTTGTTCATCCTTTGTTCTTGCACACTACTGCGACGTACCTAACATGTGCTCTGCCGGAAGTTCAGACAACGGCTTGTTCTTTAAGAAGAGAACAAGACACTCTGAGAGCATGCGCAGCCATCCTGCACTTCCTCGAGCGCAATGCGAGAGAGATGGACCAGGCGACTGGCGTGGGATTCATCAGCAGAAGGTGGGGACGGGCACGGAAGAGTGTTAGTCTGTATAAAATCACTTCCTCATATACAAAAGCCTTAATGGTCTAGTGGTATGATTCCTGCTTTGGGTTTATCCGAAACTGCAGGAGGTCCCCGATTCGATCTCGGGTTGAGGCCTTTTCTTTTGCACTTTCTGAACAATTATTGGTAGATGTTATGCTCTTGCTAGATAGAGTGAGGAGAAGAGAACGCTTTGAAGTATCATTTTGGACGGTTCTAGGGGGTGAGATGATGCTTGCTTTTGGACGTGACGTGAGCTGGTTGCCTGAGGCATAGACGGCTTATGCCGCTCATCAAGCAGATGGGATCCGTGCGCGCGTGTAGCAACAACGTCAGAAGGTCGAGGGCAAAGGGCGACGACAAGCTGAAATAGACTCCAACCACATAATACACGATGCTGTTGAGGTATTTGAGCGCGGCCGCTCTGGCCCTGCAATCTGCAAACGCTTTCAAGGACGCCTCGCCCTTCGTTCTTTACTCGACCAGCCAGTACGATTGACCGCTAGCCACCAACTGATCATGAACGCATGCTGATAGACATAGACTGGACGCGAAGGACGCCAACGTGAACGTTATCAGCGCGCAGAGTCTGCAACAGAATGTCGAACACCAGATCAAGGGCTGCCCAACCGACAAATGGCTCGTCGTGTCGCAGCCTGGCCTCACTACTGATGACCTGACCGTCTCCAAATCCACACCCCACCTGCGCCGCCGCCTTGCTGGCAAGGACAACCGCGTGAAGTCTGTCTTCGCCGCAAAGAACGTTGTGGGACACGTCGATGCCATGGTCATGGTATCCTCGATCAACCGCGAGTGCAGCACCAGATCCACCATGCTTCTGGACGGCGAGAGTATGTGCTTTTGCTCTCTGATCGCGCATAACAAATACTGACCATGACACAGAGGGAGAGATTCCTAGCTACTCTTCCGACGCTTACGACGCCATTCATGTCCAATTCCCTGCCCTACCTACCGCCCACGACGACCGTGAATCTGCCCTGCTCAAGGCCGACTCGTACTTGAACTCGCTGCTCGCAACCATCGACTCCTACACCGTCCTCTATGCCACTCTCGACAACCTCTCTCCTCCTCAGGTTCAGCACCCTGAGCAGTACGTCATGGACGAGCCCTACCCATCGAACATGCACACCGACCTGAAGCGCGATCTCAACTCCCACATTGCCCGCGCCAGCAACGCCTCAAACCCCCAGGCCAACCTGCCTCTGTTTGAGAAGTACCAATTCCTCTCACCTGGTACGTTATATCATCTCAAGTTCCACCTGGTAGCATCTCGAGCTAACATTTTCCTACAGGAATCTTCATGGGCGGTGTTGTCAGCATCCTCCTCTTTTCCATCCTCTACGTCGGTATCAGCGCCATCGCCGGCCTTGAGGTCTCCTACATGGCCTTCAGCAAGGAGATGGGTCCCGCTGCTCAGAAGAAGCAGCAGCAGTAAAAAGATGTGTTGATCAAAGTAGAGAGATACCACCATTGTACTTTCGCGCCCGTTTTTTTCATAACATTCATGTAAATGCGATACACTCAATCCTACTTTTCAGGAGTACTTTTTACGGTATATAGCATGTCTCTTTCGGTCTTGCCGAGAATATTATACTCTCTTGCCGTTGACATCGCTCTATCTGGTAGTGTAGCTGTAGTTTGTAAGGTACTTGTCATATTCTACTCGCGGATATCCTCTTTCACAGTAGGTTAGTTCTGATAGTTCTGCAGTGCCTTTCTGGAGCCCGTATACCTTTATAGTTCTTTATTGGACTGATTACATGAATTCGAATCATCAAGACAGGGTCTTACCGCCAACCATCTTTTTGCAGTCAATATCATCACTTCGATCACTAGAATTGTTAGCATTGTATTCTATACGATGTCGTGAATCTCTTTCGGCGAGCTGAAACACCATAAAGTATCGCGTGTGTCGAGACAAGTCAAGTGATCAGATGCCCGATCGGATTATTGCGAGCTGCGCTATATCGTCCAACGGAGGAGAAGGCGCAATGTTGGGTACATTCAACACCTCGTTTGCACGTACTCAGCAGTGCGTTGCACGGTAGCACCTATCTCCTAATAAAGCTTCGAAAGCATCGAATCTCGTATGGTTAGGACTATCGTGGAGGAAGACACAGTCGAATTTGAGGTGAAATTTTGATGATTCATGGTTTAAATATATACAGGCTGACTAGTGTGTTGTTGATCATCAAGGTGGTCATCTGTATTGCAACTCGGTCAGCGTCTTGTAAGAATATACTTGACGATATGCTTGTTAGAGAAGAGGAAGGAGTGCAGTTTTCAGATCAAAAATAATTCTCAACAATAGTCTTCAGACAGGGATAACTGTTTGATAATATGTCTCATCATTGCAAAGGGAATGAGGGGTGGATATTGTGATAGGAGATTCAAAAGAAGGGAAACGTACGTTGGATGGGCAAGGAAGAGCGCAGTGTACACGAGACAAAGACACACATTCACAAGATTAGAGTGGGGAGAGTTTTTGACGAAAGAAGCCGGTGGATTTGCTTTTGCGGCCTATGGAAGAAAGCGCCCTTTTGCTGGATGAAGTAGCAAATCCGTCCCCGAGGGGGGTTCCTTGAACCCTCAACCGAAGTTCGACACGTGAAAAACTCCCATAGAAAAGCAGAACCAGCGTTAAAACCGACGGGGATATCTTTTCTTTTTTCTTGTTGTCGTCGTCAAAAAATTGACCTCAAACCATCCGGACAAATGCGTGAGTCGTCATGATCGAATTTAGTCGGTACCACCAACAGCGCGGGCTGATAAGTAAAGTTAGTAGGAGTCGAAGGGTGAGTGTGAGGGACGATCAAAACGCACTGTAGACGATGCACTTGGAGTGGCTGACGACCTTCTTGATCTGGCCCTGCTCCTCAAGCTCGGCGAGCGAACGACGGGCGAGAGAACCGTTGATCTTCAGTCTGTCGACAAGGGTGGCGACGGTGACGAGGCGGTAGGACTGAACCTCCTTCTGGAGACGGTCCGAGGTGGCCTTGTCGAGGATGACGGCGTGCTGGGCCTTGTCCTTGACTGTAAGTGCAGCATGTCAGCGAAACTGTTCCTTCTTGCGGCTCCGTGGCGCGGTGTTCGGGATATGCGGATTCGAAGTTTGGGGGTTATGAAAAGTGCGTCGCTTCGTGATGCGATGGGTTATGATGATGAGGAATTCGTGATTTCGATGATTCTCTGGGATGTGGGTGTTGTGCGCGTGGATTGGATAGAGGAGGCGTGCGTACCCTTGCCCTTGGACCACTTCTTCTTTTGCTTCTTGGCTCCGGTTGCTGCGGGTGCCTTTACATGGTCTGTCAGTATCTGTCGTAGTAGCACATGTCGTCTATGGGGGCCGTACCATTTTGTCGGATGTGGGTGGTTAGAGGGTTGGATCGCTGGAAGTCGCTTCTGAATATCAGTCCTTGTGCGCGCAGCTTTTCGAATGTGGGCCGTCACGTGCGTCGACCTGGTCTGTGCCCCTGCCCTCCTCCGAGTCGTTTTGCAACCAACACATCTTGTTCCCTAGGCAGGAGCAACTCACTTTTATCTTGCGCAAGTCGCTCTTTCTTGTTCTGTTTAGATGCTCTTGCCAATGCTTGCACCACTGCAGTAGGACCAGTAAGTAAGCACTCGGTGTGCTGTGAGTCGCAATCTACCAATCAATCTATATCTCTGGCTTGGCATCCTAGCTCTGCTCCCATCGCTTGTTCTTCAAAACAACCACCTCTGTCGAGTCTGGGTTTAGTTTGTACTCATCTTGGAGGATTCTTGTGAGACTCTGTATTTCCGCCTATACACGCGTTACCTGCACCTTTGCATCATTTCCCAAATTTGTGGCTGGTGCTCATTGCGTCTGGCGCCTAACCGCTGCCTCAGCCTTAGCACTGCCATTGACCTGCCTCTTCCTCTATCTCTTACAAGCCTCTACGTCCCTCCACTCTACAACCATCTTCGCCCACGCTCGTTTCTCTGAAAACTACACCGGACCGCTCGCCACTCGCAATCTTGATTGTTTTCCGTACTGTTCACGAAACAACTTCCTGTCGCTCTTCTCTCTCCTACTTCTTCGTGCTGCGATACAGCTGGACGCTGGAATCCGAACAACTCTCTGACCGCGTGTCGCATACATCCCCACACCGACAGCCTTGATAGTAGTACTCGCCTGGCCATATCGGACCTCAACCCGTGCGGTCTCGCACTCTACCAAGATGCGCTACACAACTTTGAGTGCCAACGAGTCCGACAGTGTTCGAGTAGGTGAAAGAGACGGTCGGAACGTGTTAGTCAGGTACTGACTATGCTCAGTGGTACTGGCGGACCACAGCTATATGTGCTTCGTGCTTGATACTGGGAGGGTAGGTTGTAGACATGATACAGTCTATGGATGTCGGCTGACCGGCTAACTCTATAGATTCCTCGTGGTACCTTCGATATTTGACTCACAACCGCAATTGCGAATATCCAAAACGATCTTGAGTGGTTTCGGCATCAGCCTTCTGGCTCTTGGATTCTCTCTCGCAGCACTCACATGCTTCTGCAGTCGCAGCTGGGCCTTTTGTGCTGAGCATGTCTTTATACCCTGCATATTTGCTTGTCTTATCGGCTTCTTGAACGTACCGTATTGCTTCGTCATCAGCACTCGTTTTCAATGGAATGTAACAGCCATGGTCACAACGATCGGAGCAGCCACGGCAGCATTTATCTTTACGGTTCTCTACTTCTTCGCTCGCCGCCGGCTCACACAGTCACGACCCAAGCGAAACACAAATTCCGATAACATCAATCTATTGAGACGACCTAGCAATGCCAGTGCCTCAGGATCATATCATACGCAGAGCTACTTCGCCAATCACTTCGCAAACATGTACCCAGCTGCACGCACGCCGCCGGCTATGGTTGCTGTAACTCCTCCAGATGAATTACCTGCAGATGACCATGGATTGAATGATCACGAAATGCAAAGACGACGGATGTCAGATTTGCTGCACAAGCCTGAGCCTCAGATCTCTCCAGCCACGAGTCCTTTCAATCGCATAGACTTCGAGATAGACGAGACAGAGACGCCGATCAATGGTTACTATGCTCCCGCCGGCGCTCATGGCCCCATGGTGCGCTCACTAGGTGACCCATCCTGGCACGCGCGCAATGCAAGCTGGGTTACGAGTGATTCACGACGCAATTCTTCTCGCGAAGATCGACGTCGTGAGATCGAGATGGGGAGATGAGCATGATCCCACTCACTCACGTCAAAAACTCAACTGCTGTTCATACATTCGCCTGGTTGGAGTCGTCGCTGATGAAGCGTCGCATGGTTTACCTACCCACGTAGTATTTGATCCTCCTATTCATTCACATTCCACGACATCACAGCCAGGTGCAAGGCGTCTTCTGATTGGTTCATATCACTGGGACTTGGTTTTATTGTTAGGGTAGGAGAAATATTGTCTTTTTAATGTAACAGTAATGATATGTTCGAACGACTCTTTCAACGTACGAGTATTCCTTTGTCGGTGCTCATAGCTCCTACAAGCCTACAAAGACGCCATTATTCAGCTCGGCATTATGTTCTTTAGACAAAGAGGGACAATGCATTGTTTCTTATATGTATTTATACATCCTCCTAGGTGTCTACAGAAAGACAGAGCACCGGAGCAACCGACAACACACAGTAAGTAGAGACAGGTCTCACATTTCACTCACAGCGATTCAGCAAAACAATTCACAATGTGTTGGGGTTTACAGCTCATCTCTGTTTGTCGTTTGTGCAGGACTCGTACTCCTTCCCCCGAAATCCAATGGCAAGGCTGCCATCTCGAGCTCCCTGAAGGTCAGTCTTATCCACTCTGTGCCGAGCCAACGATCACAACGGAGCTCAAGCACTTCGATTGCCAGGCTTGTCTGACAGAAGCAGACGACGGCCACAATCCCGATGATCTATACCCGGAGCCTCCACATCATTCTGGTTTTCCTCTCCCTAAAGCTCAGGTCCATCTTTCCCAAGCACGACTTCCAGCACCAACCGCCTACGAGACGATTCAAACCATTGAAAATCGTGCGGGACCTATTAACGAGCTGCCTAGTTATACTGACTCCATGAACGATTCACCTAGTGCTCCCCATTATGCCTTGGGACTAGTGCGAGCAGAGAGGGCTAACATCACGTCTAGGGTTCATGCAATCACAGCAAGCCGCCTTGAGGAATTCCGACCTGTCGCTATCAGACGCCGTCAAGAGATCCACAACTTCCGAAGCAGTGTTACAAACCTCGATAGCTCAATAGCAAACTTGCTAACCGTTGCCGAAAACACAATCGATTCAATTCTGTCCGAGCGAGAGGAATCAGTCTCTCGGGTGAATACTCTGCATGAACGTCTTCAGTCCGTCGAAAGAGAGATCAATTTCCAGGGACCGCACTATCCTAGCCCTCCAGAGATGGCTCTGCTCTTGCAACAACAACAATCCATCATCAGGGAACTCGAAGAAAGGTATATACAAAACTACACGATCCCAAGCGCTGAACAATGGGATTTGAGATTTCAGGCGTTGCAAGATTGTATCCTTGAGGAACATCGCAGGAGTCTGGAAGCTAGACTTGCAGTGATGCGTTTGTAGGAGTTCAACATTACCGCCAGCACAATCGCGCTCTGACCCTTATATGGATAGTTCGTGTTGTCTTCAATATGTCATCGATATGAGCTGGTCTCGTGTGTGCTTATCTTTTCAGTTTGTCAGTTTTGCTCTAATACTTGAGAGAATCAATCATCTTTTTTAATCATCATCTATACCACTCCTTTTCATGCCTATTTGTTCGTGAGACCAACCCTGCAATACTTGGGGTCATTGCGCCTTGCGATATAGGCTTGTCTTGACACGAGTATATCCTCAGTCCGGTAGCACAATCTCTACTACATGTGGAATTCCTCAACCTGGGTCTGCCCAACATACAAGCAAATGTCATTTCTTCCAGCAAGAAACCGGAGACACAAAGACTGCTTCTTGGGAACACTCGCATTCAACATTTCCTTGGTGTTAGCCCCCAGACTAACGGCTCGTCTGGCAATGCATTTTCGAATGCAGAGTCAAACGTGAGTGTTTAAGTCGTAACACCACTCAGCCGATTGTCGCAGTGAAACGCAAAAACCGAGACGAGTATATATGAGGAAAAAAGCGAAGGAGAAATCTGTGAGATGGAATATGTTTCGATTAGTGCTCAGGACAGAGGTATCTGACAAGGGAAGGCAAGAGAGTAGGACAAGATACTTGGCCAAAGTTCTTCTTCATTGACCTAGCCGTCAAGTCGTGCAATGTGTCATGTGTAGCACCCTCATTGCTCCTTGTTCTTACCACCTGTTCTTTGTCCGAGAAGCTCTCGTTCTTACAGAATCAAGCCATCATTGTTATCTCCACTTGATCCTTTGTCTTTGACAACAAGGAGAGACAGAGGGTTCAACAATACACCCACGTGTCAGAAACATACATAACCAGGATGATCAACTTGACTATCTTGAATCCATCAAGCAACTCACTCACACAAAACAGCTTACAGACCCCACGTACTCTTACATCTAAACCGTTCACACAGCACAAAATATGGGCAATCGCGGTTACCCTAAGCCTCCACCTCCTAAGTGCCGCTGGTGCGGTAGAACTTGCTACTGGTCTGCTCTCGTTGGCTGGTGCTGCTCCAACTGCGCTTGAAAACTCGACACAGAGAGGTAACTACTTGTAAGGAGGTGGGAGGTAGGTATTGGCATTGGTAATGCTGGAGTCCTGGTAGGTTATCTGTTTCTTATCCTTAGATACATAGTAAGTTGCTTGAGCTCTTCATCAATACATCTTTTCATTCTGCTTGTAAGCTATCTCTTCTGTCCATTGACTTGACCAAATTGTGCATGGGACTCACTTTGAGACTTACTAATACCTTGTGATACTCTAGCCTGCATCTACTTATCTGGACTAGGTGATCATAGAGATCGAGCAAGATCTAGACAATGAAGGATCGACGCCATCTTTCGAAGCAAGAAGGAGCGATTGAACAAGCCGACAGATAAATCCGGGTAAGATTCATTCGAGTTGAGATGGGCGGGAACTGATAAGCGCGGTTGTGATCAACTCAGATCCATGCGAGATACGAGGGAAGGAACCTCGTAGCTTAGCACAGTGAGAGCAAGACAGTCAGCCACCCAAAAAGCGGTAACAATACTCACGAGTCGCGACCTCAAGCCATAAGGCCTGCTTACGAGTATAACCAAGCAACCTCGTAAGCAGACGATATCACCAAAGTCATGGGCCTCGATTCAACAGAGCCACGATATCGCGCGAGTCAATATTTTCACCACGAACCGAGGAACACCAACATCCGAAGCGATATCGAATGAACCGTTCTAGAACACCATCAACAAGACCATCCTCTGCTTTCTTCCGAAAAAGAGCCATCTGAAGGCATCTCAATCTCACAACAATCGGCGATGAGATGTCATGCCATGCACCGACCTTGCAATGCGAACCCAGAACCAGACCCTTGATTGGTCATGGTGCCCTGAGCCCTCCCGGCCCAGAAGCACGCAGTTGACATGAAACGTACCTGCACAACACCACCCAAACAATCTGCCGCCGGCTTATGAGGCTGTCAAACGGGCGCATCTCCGTTGTGTGACACATGGCCAGGGCCGAGATAAAAATGGCTTGCATGTGGCACGCGTTCCAGACCGAGCCTGGCCCTAGACCTTTGTTTGTTGCATGAATGATGAGGGTGTGACGCTGCTGCTGATGAACATGTGGTAGCTGCTGTCCGTTTCCCCGAGATAGGCGATATGCAGGATATATGTCGGATAGAAAACGATACCAGCGAGATGCGAGAAAAGTCCAGAGTGTTGGCAAGGGAGTAAATAAAAAGACGTTGTTGAGAAGCGTGGTGGGAAGGCGGAGAGAAGTTCGAGGCCTTTGAAGTTCAGTGGCACGTCATTGGTCTCTTTGTCTCGACCAGTCGGAAGATTTCTAGATTGACCTCCAATCGCAACGTCGTGTCTAGTCTCTACTGTAGCCCTCAGACAACTGTTGCATGAGGATACTTTCATGGCAAACATGTACTGCTCGAGATAGGTAGATCTGGAAAGGTCTAAATTAGATGTTTACTCTAGCTAAGAAAAAAAAGATGTACCAACATCTTCATCCATCTAAGTAAATGGCTAGAAGGGAAAGATGAAACCGAACGTCGTAGGTATTTTCCGTGATCCTTGAAACACTCATCTCTTCCAAGACATTGTCATGAACCCAATAAGCACCGGGTAATACTCCATTCCATGATCCCACAATTGTCATGAGCTTTTCCGCTCAAGACTCCATAACGCCTCGCTACTTCAAAAAAGTAACCCAATAAGAATATTGACGCATAAGAAGAGGATTGTAACCAAAGGGAAACAATAGAAAAAGAAAACAAATAAAAGGTATTGTAGAGGCAAAAGAGGGAAATCACTCTCCACCTTCAACTTCACTTCCGCTGCGAGCGCAGTATTCTAGAATCAGACGTTGGAGGTCCATGAGCTTGAATGGCTTTGTCATGAACCCCTTCATACCGACCTTGGCAGCCCGCTCAAGGGCTCCGTCGGTCACGTCCGCCGTCACGGCCAGAACGGTCGGTGTACCGCCACAAACGCCGTTCTTGCCATGGCTCATGGCGAGGATTTTTTCGGTGGCTTCGTAACCGTCCATGAAGGGCATCCAGAGGTCCATGAGCACAACGTCAACTGTTGGGTTCTTTGACATCAGTCGCACGGCCTCGGCACCGTCATATGCTTCGATCACCGTCTTGTAGCCAAACTTGTTGAGCATGCTAACAAGAAGCTTGCGGTTGATTTTATTATCCTCTGCTACGAGGAAATTCAAGGGATATTTGACAGCCAAGTTGCGGTCGATACTGTTGAGGCTGGCCGATGACTTGCGTCCAGCAGTGCTTGATTGCTTCTGCGGGAACGACGGCACGGAGAAGGAGTGGGTGTGTTTGAGTACTGGAGGACTCCTGACAGCAGGTGCTGCAGATGATTCACCAGTAGCAGGCTTCTCGTCCGGAGAGGGTAGGTCCTTGTTGGAGTTGTCGCTTCGAGTGCGAGTATGCGATGTACTGAAGTTAGGCATGGGAGAGGGGCGACCGTCAGAATCTACTGAGTTTGAATGGCGCACTCTGTTGTGTGATGGTGTGCCGAATGGCGATGGAGGTCGAGTGGTAGTGTCACCAGCTCTGAGAGGAATTCTCATCTCAAACTCCGTGCCTCGCTTGGGTCCAGTAGTGTCTGCGCGTATGCAGAAAAGATCTCCTCCAAGCTTTCGCGCTAGACCTTTGGCCACCAAAAGACCGAGACCAAGTCCTTCACTTTGACGAGTGAGAGAAGGATCTTCTTGTGAGAATGGCTGAAAAAGACGTGGAAGGAAAGCTGCAGGAATGCCAGGGCCAGTGTCAGTACACTTGATGACGATGTATCTGAGTTTCGGGCTTAGCTTTGCTGTGAGGGTGATGTTTCCTTGCTGTGTGAATTTGGTAGCGTTCAGGAAAACGCATGAGATGAGCTTGGCAAGGTCTTTCTCATCGGCGAGTATTGTTTCGGGCACGGCAGAGTCCACAGACCACTCAATGAGTTTCGTCCTAGGCTCACCCTTTGCTGATCTCGTACACACTTCGATGATCTCGCCGAGATATGTTTCTTGAGCGATAGCAGAATCAGGTCTCCCTCCAACCTTCAAGCCCTCGTTCACAACATATTGCAGAACCCTGCGGAGATTTGTGTGTCTGACACCAGGAGCGATGGCGCGATCACCCTGTAGAGCAGCAATCATAGGCCGAGGGCTCATAGGCATCGTTTGTTGGGCAGCGCTTGCTGGGAGATCTTCAGCTTCTTGAAGGCCTGAATTGATGCCTTCGGTAGGAGAGGCTTTTGCTGCACGAGCAGAAAGAGTTGCCTGAACTTTCGTCGGGCTTCCTTCCGGTTCACTCCTGGGCTCCTCCCGACGGCGCTTGTTAGGTCTCGAGATGGGCAAATCACTTCCGGCAACAAGAATCTCGGGATGGGAAGCGTGGTTCATGTCAGGGAAACCGTCCATGTGTTCTTCGTCTATGGGAGGTCCCGTGGGGATGCCTAGGTTCATGTCGTAGGCATGTACGACGTTGTCAGCAGCCTCAACAGCACGGCGCGAGGAATCTGGCGAACGATGAGCACATAGACCATGGTTGAAGAAAGGATCCCAAACTTACCTTGGACTGTCTCAATGTTCTCCTTTAGTGTTTCGAAGACTCTACGAACATCTGCATTTGTCTGGCCTTCAGCGGCTTCTTGGACAGTGGCGTACATGACATCAAGCATACCAACCACACCTTGCATTGGTGTCCTTAGTTCATGGGACAGGCTCTTTGCGTATGGCTGTAAAGATTGGGCAGCGGTGATGATTTCATGCGGAATGACACGCGGCAAATCTCTGTTGGCTTCTGCTTTGTCTTTGAACTCGGTGCCTTCAAGCAAGCGTTCCAAAATTTGGTCCTCCAGAGCATGCATAAACATTTCGATAAAAGCCCACGAAACTTTCCTTTTTGCGGCGCCCTCGACAGACCAGATGACGCCAAAGTGGGCAAAACACTTGCCGTCAGCAAAGAGAGGGACGCCAATGTAAGCTTCGGCAGAGACAGGCAACTTGTTCGGGTTGTTGGCGAACATTTCGCTGACTTTTTCGGGAACGACAAAGACCTTGTCATGACGCATGTAGGAACATGGACAGCCGTAGGCGTGGTATTTGAAGCCTTTGTCGACGCCCTGCAGACCCTTGCCGTCATTGTAGTACCAAGCACTTGCCATCAGACAAGAGCCAGGCTCTCCGATAGGAGGCATCTCGATGGCCGAGTCTTGTTCGTCGACCAGAATACGTTTGGCGATGAAAGAGAGCTGTGCTCCTAGGATTTCGGCCATGCGCTCAGAAACAAAGGACCAGAAGTCGTCGTTGTTGCACAACCGTAGCTTGGCCTTGAGTATAACCAGCTCTTCCAAAATGTTACTCTCGACGCTCGAGGGATACAGGCGCTCCATGCCGGGACCGAAGTTTGGATCACTGTCGTGGACAACGACATTTGGGGGCAGCGGCTGGCCCAAACAGATGGACTTTCGCGTTATGAAGTCGGGCTCCATGGCGGGGGTCCGCGTGGCGGTCCAGCTCAGGAAGAGGTTGTGCGTTCGTAACGAAGGTGTAGCAGTGGAGCGTGTGTGCTGTCTGGTGTAGTGTGGTAGCGGGTGTCGGTGGTGGGCGATATGGGCGATGGGATGGAAGGAGGGTCGGTCGGATCGGTGGTGGTGTCGAAGAAGGCGTCGGGTGCAAAGTCGGAATCAGAGTCAGATTCAGCTGTTGAGCAGCGGTTTGCTAAGCACGATAGGTCCAGCACAGATGCACCGATGCTTGGACAGCGGACAGAATCAAGTCCGAGAGTTCTCAGGGAACGCCGGAACGGCCGCCTAGTCGTACGCAAACCGTCCAAGTCGCGAGCGTGTGTGCCTTTCTCCACTCTAGACATTCTAGACCACCGACGGCCGTCTAGCGTCCAGGGCTTGTCTTGGCCGCTCACCGAACGTCATCCTGGCTTCTGGCTGCAATATCGCCTATCTGTCTGCTCTAAAGGTCGACAGATGCATCGAATCAGGCTTGTCCAGATGCTTTGGTCCCCGACTCGCTGAAGAGAGACCTGTCTTGACATGCACATCCATGTTCTCCAGCTCTCCCCATCATATCCTTGGCTCCACCGCGCATCAAAGCTTATCCGCCAACACCATTGGCTCGCCGTTTTGCGCGACAAAAGAGTCCAAGAGCTACACACAACCAAGATCCGCCGTGCCGGACACCCGACGTCATGCCCATTGGTGGATCGTTTCAGCATCTTTACCAGACGCCGTCAAGCCCACACGCTCCCTTCACTCAAGCCCCAAAGCAGATCCAAGTATACGCAAGCGAACATGAGGAATATCTGCATGTGAGAACAGCATCTGGACCATGTGGGTTTCCCACGTTCTCTGCACCTTCCTGCTCCTTGATGTCCCTTCTCCCGAGAATTGTGATGCCGAACAACTGCGGCAACGCTTTCAATTCTGCACATCCACCCTGTCTTCAAAGAGGTCGGTAGATCTTGCGACCATGTCGATCACCGTAGATCTTTTATCTGCTTGCGTGTAATTTCACGCGACCGACCTTTCTGGCCAGCATCTGACTTTGCTCCACACGGCCGAAGGAATAACACTCGAACATGACCGCTAATTACACGTACGTCCAGCCGTCTGCTTCCATAATCAATCATCATCACAAAGCTGTTGTCACAGAAGGAAGCCATGTAGCACTGCAGTATTGTACATGGTCTTGGCGTCCGCAGTCAAGTCCGAGCAATCCTGCTGATCCTGTAGTCGCAGGCTCACAGCAAATTTCGCAACAATTATCTGAAGCCCAGTCTTGAGACTCCCCCATCGTCCCTTATCTCTCTCCTTATTTTCTACATGCTCCCTCCAGCCACGTTTAAGGGGCTATCAAATTCTCCAACACAGCCTTCACGAGATCGTCGATCTGTATCGCGCTCAGGCCGAGACGTTGCGAGTCGCAATAGAGTGGGTAGGTTAGTCAGCGCCGCCTTTAGCACTCCCCACGTCTTCTGAACACTACCGTATCATGTTGCAGCTCTCAGATGGATAGACATATGTTGTTCATTCATCTCTGACACGCTATTCATGACTGGTTTCCTTCTCAACATTGCTTCCAGTCGTCTGCATTGCCAATACGAGCAAGTCGAATGTGAGCTGCTCAGCATGATCCTCAACTTGCCAAACTTGCATTTGACGAGTTGGGTTAGCTCTGTTCGGCGGACCCGTTCTCCATGAACTGCGCGCGCATCTGCTTCCGGACCGCCGTTGCGATGCCAAGTTTTGATCTCAGTCAACAAGGAGATGGTGCATTTGTGAACTTATGAAGATTTTAGGGCAGTCGGCTATTTTGTTGATCATGAAAGGGCACTCTTGCTCGCAGAGATTGACGCATCGAACCACTCGAGGGACTACGCTCCACATCATCGCGCTCTCCAGCCGGACGGTGCGAGATGTTCGCACCGCGGCCGCACTTTCGTGTCTCTGCAAGGGGTCACTCACTTACTCGGACGTAACCTCTCACGTTGCATCGAACCTGAACCTCTTAGACGGGCCGCTTTTCTCTGACTCTCGATACAAATTTCCGGACCTGGCACAGGCGTTGGATGTCATTCATGCTGCTCAACTCAAGCAGTCTCACTGAGACGAGCATTGGCTGATGCATCAGTATCCAAATGAGAATGCTCACAATACGTTCAGCCCGAGCAGAGAAAACAATGTCGTATTCGCACGAATCAGAGCATCTGCGGATCACTGAACGTGCTATAAATGTCAACAACGTTTTCAGGTAGCCATGCGCACTCAGGTGCGCCACATCCTTAAAGCTTCCAATGGCGCACAACATAGAAGCCAGCCGCTGTCCCCATGACCAGAGACATCATCGCAACGGCCAAGGTCTCGTCGTCCCTGCCGACGATGACACCAACTACTGCATTGGACTTCAAGATTACTGAAGTATACTGATGCCGCGGACGTCTATGATCGATTTAGAGCATTTGACTTTCTCCTATTCCATTCCGCAATCAGTCAGCAAATCCCATGTGCCTCCGCACAGTAGTGTTGACAAACTTTCCACACTTACGTTATATGAAAACACGCTCGTCGGATCTGATTGAACGTGCTTTCGATATACAAACCAATAATCCCGAGACAGAATCCCCAATCCCAAACGCCTTATGAATTCGAGCCACACACCGAGCCAATACTTGCAAGGTAAAGTCAAAAAATAAGCCAAACACTTCGCAACGACCATCTCTACAGGAACCAGGAGGCTGGATCACAAAGAACGAAACCAAAGATGAGCGGACATGACATCTTTCTCCCGAGGAGCATCGTACAAGTACGTTTCAATACGCAGACGACGTTGTGCTTTTCCATTGAGGCTCAAGCTGATACCGTTACACTTGTGAGAATAACTAACCATTGAACCACAACGGTAGAAGAAGCCTCACAACCTAAACCGAGCAACGCAAGAATGCACTCTTTCCGCCCGGGCAAATAGAACCTCTTTAGGCAGGAGAGATCATTTCAAGAGTATTTCCGATCTTAGAATCGCGTCTTGAAGCTTCTGTATAACATAAAAGGTAGTTATCAAGACCACGGCTTAGATGTTCTAATCCAGTTTTGATACCTGTGGCGGTATTGGATGCTGATTTGCGTCTCGCTGCTTGGAGGAAAATGAGATGCATTTGTGAATTTCGAGTTCTTCGATGCAGGTTCCTTCCTCTTCCCTAATATCCAGGATCGAGCCCTCTATCGATATGCCGAATCTCAGCTACCGGTAGATCCATCGTGAATGCGGTGGCTGCGCTGCTGGTGGGTACGTCTGTGTTGCAAGCTCGGGAACCAGAGCTCTCCGGTATGGATATTTGAGGAAGCAGCAGTATTGCTTTTGGCAGCAACGGCGATATAGACGGCGTTGCGTACTAGGAAGACGACGACTGTCTACCTCTTGCCTCCCCTGCCACCTCTACCACCGCCTCTACCGCGACCTGCCTTACCTCCTCTTCCTCCTCTTCCACTGCTCTTCGGCCCAGTGATACCATCCACATCTCTCTTGCTCAACCTCAACGTGCCACCACTGAATTTGCCCACACTCGGGTTTCCAATACCTCTCTCCCTCCTATCACCACCCCCAAAGCCACCTCCCTTACCATCAGTCCCCTCTCTTCTGACCCTTTCAAGCACAATACCATTCTCCTTGGCCTCCCTCCTCCTCTCAAACTCTTTACTCTCCTTCTTCTTCTGAATACCCACCCGTTGATGTTTAGGCATATTCTTCTGTGCAAAAATCGAAGTCTTGGAGCCGAGTTCGAGGAGTCGCAGATCGGTGGCTTTGTGTCGGTTTTTGCCAGAGGGATCAGTAGAGAGGGATGTTGCGTCTAGCAGATGAGATTCTTTGAGCAGGCGTTGCAGGGCGAGATCGTCTTTGAGGTTTTCTTGTTCTGTGGTGCCGCCTTCGGTGTCTTCGTCTTTCTTTTTCGAGGGTTGTTTGGTTGTTGTGCTTGGTGAGTCTGTGGAGGTGGGTGGTTTGGAGGACTGTGTTGGCGCGTGTCTTAGCAAACGAGTTCTGGTGAGCGAGACCTGGGTGGGACAGGAGATAGCAAATTACCATGAATGCTTTCAATGCAGCTTTGTCTGCTCGTTCGCGCGAGAAATTGGACATGTTGTGCTCGACCACTTCGACCTCGTCTTCGTCGTCCTCGTCCTCTTCTGATAGGCCATCCCAGTCCTCATCCTCGTCCTCGTCTAGTTCCTCCTCTTCATCTTCGACTTCTTCGGGCTTGTCCTCTTCGATCGCTTTGAATCGCTTCTCGAATGCGCGACGAAATGCCTCGTTCAGCGCTTCTCTGTCTTCTGCATCGGATTCTGGTTCTGGCGCCGCAGGTGGTGTTGGGGCTGATTTCGCGAGGGTGGCTTTCTTGGACGGAAGTGTTGTTTTAGATGTTACTGCGCGCTTGCGCTTTCCTAATGCGAGCGACATGTTTGTGTGAATCGTGATATATGTAGTGGAAAGAACAAAGAAAAAGAAAAGTAGAATGGTTCAATCGGATAAAGCGAGCGTCTCGGAGGAGCCAAGGCTTCTCTCCGCTCCACACTTCATGTTATTTCTTTCAATTAATTAAATACCATTCACCATTCCTCTGTTGATCCTTGTCCTGTTCTGCAACCAAGCCTCTGGACTCCCCGAAGAAGCATTGCAACTCACTAATCTCTATCTCATCTCATGCCTGGTCATGTGCTTCCTTCGTTGTGGCTCCAAGCAAGGTGATGTTTCTGCGAGTCTTCGAACACTTTCAACCCTCTGGCGGGGGAAGAATTGGTGGGTTGTTAGGCACAATAACCATTCCCGTCTCTTTGTGAAAGGTCGTGATATCGAAGCTGTAACTCTGTCAGCAAGGCTTGCGGACACAAGTTGAGCTGCACTTACACCGAACTCAGCTTGTAGCCTACCTTCTTGGCTGTTGACTGCTGCTTGAACCCCCATGACTCAAGGTATGGCATCACCCACTCCCTGCTCTTCTCGTTCTCCGAATGCATGAGGTTGACGAAGATGCGTGACACGAGACGTTGTGTACCAATCCCAAGCTTTTCATCTATGTCATAGCCACCACGCTCAATGTAGTATTGGTCCAACAGTCCAAGGAGCTTGTCCATGAGACACTTGCTAACTCCCTTGCGCTTGCACTTGCGGTTGGCACTCACGAAAACGCTCACTTCAACAGCGAAACGCAAAGCTGTTCTTGCGCCGCCAAATTCATCAGCGTAAGCAAATCCGAGAACTGTATCAACAGCAGGTCGGTCTGCATGGCGTCTCTTACCACCATAGCCTCTAGGTGAGCAGGCGACAAGGAACGGCAAGTGACCGTCTCGTGCGCTTTGCCATCGACCCTTCATGTCGATGATGCTGATGGGCTCCAACTCCGGAGTGCATACGCTATTTTGGACATAGTAGTTGTAGATGTCGGTGATTTGAGGAATGTCGCCGAGCGTGGCCATACGGAGGAACATGTTGAGTACAGGCTTGATGGCGTTGTCAATCATTGGTTCGGGCTGGACGAAAGACGGTTCCTTGGGCGTGTCGTCAGAGTATTGCTTTCCATCTTTCGGACCAGCCTTTCTTCCGAAGCGGGTCATCATGAAAGCGTGAGGACTTTGTAGGTACTGGTTGGCCCAACCCTGGCTGCCACGATCATTCTTTCGCGCCTCTGTGTCTTGTGGTGTATCCTTAATGGTGTCGCAACCCTTGTGGTCTGGTTGGGTTGGGGGCATCTGGACTGCTGAATTGGTGGTCAAATAGAGATCCCAGAACGGTCTGCAGCTACCAAAATCAGAGTCGTCTTGAGGCTTGGGCTCCCCGCTGAGCTGTTGTTGCCAGAAAGATTGTAGATTTTGACCGGGCTCGAAGATCTGAGGGATCCAAGAGCGAGGGACCAGTTCGGCCATGAGAGTTTGATCGTACTTCGGCGGCAGGAAGTAGAGATGGCCGCTAGCAGCATGCGACTTGCCGACGTTGAAGGAGAAATTGGTGTTCACTTTCGTGGTTGAAGTTGCACCAAATGGCCTAGATTCTACGGTGATTTTGCTCGCCCATTGTCGTATGGTCCCTTGGAGATCGAGGTTCTTGTAGACAGGACGATCGTCCCAAATAGGTGGTGCAGCGTGTTCGCCTTCCCAAGAATAGAAAAGGTGTGGATCGAGTTTGTCGCCGTAATCGAATCGTGGTCCATCTGGGGGAGGAGGCAGGGCGACGCCTTCGGTCATTTTCTTGAGTTCCTTGTCGCTGATCCATGCTGACTTCTTCTTCGGAGCCATGTCTGTGTGTTTGAAAGAATGTCGAAGATGAACGGTCGAGGTTGTACCAAGTTAAGAAGTTGAAGCTGTGTGCGTCGGTCGCGGCTGCCTGCATTCGGTGAAGTGAACGACGACATTCAAGAAGTGACGGAGTGGTCGAATCCCCCCTCACCGATTGCTCCTATCAAACATTTACGAACACTTGTGTGTCCCTTCGAACATAACATGTTTCTCGGTCCTGCTTCATGAGAATCTTTGACTTTTTCCAATCAACAACCACTTCTACCAATCCTTGTTCCTATCCACGACCGATGGACCGATGAGTACCTTGGCAGAAGACATTGCGGAAAGTAAAGACAGAACACAACATTTCCCTGGCCTCACTTCCAGGCGTGATGGTCGTGATTGCAACTTGACACGAAATTGGCAGCCACGTGACTCGCTCTTGATCTTCCAAGTCAGTATTTTACTCTTCTTCCTTTTCTAAATCTCAGCACCATCTGGAGCTGATTTCGCTGTCGTCATGCTGTCAATACTCCGGAAAGCGCGTCTCAAGGACAAGGAGATGCGAATTCTGATGCTGTGCGTGGGACAAGCATGACGTGACTGCAGATGATTGACTGTCACATAGCGGACTCGACAACAGCGGTAAAACCTCGATAGTCAAGAATATCATGGGCGAGGACATCAATACAGTCTCTCCCACTCTCGGCTTCATCATCAAAACAATCGACTACGATGGGTGAGGTTGCCTGGCCATCCTGAAGCAAAGACGTGGAGCTGACAGCTGAGGTAAACAGATACAAGCTGAACATCTGTAAGGGAGCCCAGAATTGGACGCGAGGTGCGGGATGCCGATAGCGAAACTTACACGGGAGACAGGGGACGTCGGCGGACAGAAGACGCTTCGGACATACTGGAAAAACTATTTTGAGAAGACAGACACGCTCATATGGGTCGTGGACGGCACAGACCGAGAACGAATTGACGATTGCAGACAAGAACTGGAGGGGCTTCTTCTGCAAGAGGTACAGGCTTCAGCACGATCAGACCAAGTGGAGACTGACCAGAACGGCAGCGATTGATGGGAGCCAGTCTGCTTGTTTTCAAGAACAAGAGCGATGTTGCAGGATGCATGAGCTCGGAGGAGATACGCAAGGTTTGTGGTTCCCTCGCCAGCCGCAGCGGGGTCCCAATGTTTATCAAGCACGATACTGACTCGGTCAATCCACGTAGGCCTTGCGACTCGACACGATTCACACGCACAGGTGGAACATTATGGAGTGCAGTGCATTGACTGGATTGAACCTTCAGGAAGGCCTCAAATGGGTAGTGCAAGATGCCAAGGATCGGCTCTTTTTGTACTGAGGCGTAGGGCCAGAGTGTTTCGAATCTTCTATAGGGGAGAGCGAAGATGATCGGGGACAGATCGGGCATGAACAGACCCCTAATGGAAAGCAAGAGATAGGGTGAACAATCAAAATAATATATGACCTGTTACCAAGATGGCCTGCAGGGAAGTTGACGGAGGTGTTTCAGGGCTGGATTGGCAGCGATTGGCTGAGGCGGTCAAAGGTGGCATGGCGCGGTTGCGAGTGCGGCCGGGACGTTTTGGTGGGTTTGGGGGAACAGACGGGTACACAAATAAATGTCAACAAGACGAGGCCACTGTTTGGTCGTTGGTTGACTGTTGAACCCTCTTCCTTCGTGCCAAAGCCGCCAGACGCTCCCCAATCGCTAGTTGATTCATTGATCGATTGCACCGTATGGATTAGATACCATCATTACCTAGACCCCTACAAACACGACGCACCATACGCCATGGACGACACGCCGGATCTCGACACCAATGCCTTCCTTGAGAGCGTGCGCGAACTCAAGGAGAAGAGACAAAGGGAAGACAATGAGCGCCAGGAGCAGTTAGAAGCGCAGATCGCAAGTTCACGGCTCGCTCGCAAGTTGGGTATGTCACACGAGCCTCCTCAACCACCACAACAACCCGAACCTCGACTGACAGACAGACGCAGAGAGCGAGCGAGGCATGCCGTCACCAATAATGTCACCGTCGACGAGTCCGCACAAGGCATCGCCCAGCAGCGCCGTACCCTCGCGCGCCAGCACTCTTTCGCGCCCACCCCGCAGTCGGCCCATGTCTGTTGACATGGGCTCGCCCACCAGGGCCTCGTCCGTCAGGCCCATGAGCATGATGTCAATCCCTGAGAAGGGCACTCCCCTGCCCTCTCGCGACTCACAGCGCTTTGCTGCGCCAGACAGGCCAGACAGCGCCGATGGTCTCAACCGTACCATGTCCAGCGCCCAAAGCCGTCTAGATAGACCCAGCTCGCCGACCAAGGGCATGGGTGGCTTCGTGCAGAGCGCCATGCTCAAGCGCAATGACAGTGTCAACAAGAGATGGAGTGTCACAGCCGGTCCCTCAACACTGGCCCGGAACGATTCGTCCGCTAGTTTCCGCAGCGCCGCCAATGCCGACGACGCCCCTTCTCGTCCTTCTTCGAGCCATAGCACTATCAGCAACCTAAATATCGCCCCTGAGTCAGAAGCCAAGGAGGAGAAGCCTGAGAGGTCCATCACAACCAGGCATTCACGCTCGAGATCGGTGGCTTCCTTCTCAGGCCAGGAGCCCATCCCTGAAGGTCTTATGTCTCCTCCGCTTAGCCCCAACAAGAGATGGAGTCGCAGTCCCACCAAAGCTAGCTGGCTTGAGAGCGCTCTTACTCGCCCAGATTCTCCCAAGCCGCTTGCATCACCACAATCGAACCAGCCTAGTTGGATGGCCGACCTTGCCAAAGCAAAGCAGCAGCGTGGTACTGCTGAGATGTCACCGTCGCAGGAGAACCTCGATGCAGCAAAGGCCCAAGACACGCCGACTTTCGGTCAGGGCTTATTGAAGAGGTCGTCTATGAGAAACACTCCAACACACTCTCCCAGCGCATCTAGGAACGTCACACCTCCGACCAAGGCCAAGCCTATCTCACTCATCGGCAAATCTGCTCTGCCAGAGCCCACCACTCCCTCGCTCGATCTAACACCTAAAGTCGCCGAAAAGACGGTGATGGAAAAGCAAGAGCCGGTCAAGGAGGCACCCAAGAAAGAAGAGACTAAGAAACCCCCTATCAGTGATGAGAAGTCATTGGAAAGCAGCAGTCTGAATAAACCCAAGGAGGCTATATCGAGCAAGCAAGAGCCCTGCAAGCCGATATCCTCAAAGCCCAGTGCACTATCATCTAGGTTAACAGAGAAAGAGCCGATCAGACCAGCCACTCTGAAGCCTAGTGCACTTTCAGCAGTACCTACACTGCCACCTAAGCATCAAGCTTCGAACTCCATCAACTCGACCGCTTCAGCGTCGCCAAAATTCCCTGCTCTTAAAACCCCAGAGCTGAGGTCTGGGGAGTTCAAGTCGCCAGAGCTTAAGCAAGAGACTACACCAAAGACCGACTTCCGTTCAGGGTTGAAGTCGCGAAGTGGCACCATTGGCGCGCAGTCGGAGCAAGAGCCCGAGTTCAAGGCTCTGTTTGGCAAGCTCAAGAAAGCCCAGACTGACAAATACGTGGCACCTGACGAATTGAAAAACAACATCCTTCGCGGCAAGGCAGGCCTGTCTCTCAGCGCTGGTCCTCAAAAGTCGGAGCGACGCGACGAATTGAAGGAAAGTTTGTTGAAGAAGAAAGAAGAGATGAACAAGGCCGCTGCCGAGAAACTTGCACCAGAACCGAAAATCTCCCCTGCACCTTCGTCTGTGCCAGAAGCGATTTCCATCAGGAAGCAGCTTGGCCGATCCAACAGCTCACTCAACGTTCCAGCTCCCGCTAAATCACACCGCGACATTACACCCGAGGCTCTATCTTTCCATAAGAACCTTAGAGGCAAGCCCAAGGCTCCCGTTCCTGAGAAGAGAAGTAGCGTCACTGAGAAAGAAGAACCAAAGCGTGCTTCTGTCGAAGCAAAGCCATCGACCTTTGTGATTGATGAGAAGCCCGTGGATCAAGCCCCGATTCCGACCAAGATCGAGGACACATCTGAACCGGAAACAAAAGAGCTTCCCGAGCCAGAGAAAAGTGAGCTCATCAAGTCAGCAAACAAGGAGCTTCCTAAACCAGTACTGCAGGAGTCATCTAAGCCCCAGGTGCAAACAAGACCTATGTCGAACAAGATTGCCGACAGGTTCAACCCAGCTCTTGCTGGGCTATTAGCACGTGGCCCACCGAGTGCATCAAACACACCGCCACCAGGAAGTCCCTTTTCTCCTCCCACAATCACTCGCGTTTCTTCTGCCCAGAATGAGCCGAGCGAGGGAACTCAGCTCACACATATGACCAAGAGTCGTGCTAAGGGGCCAAAGAGACGTAAGCCGAAGTCGAGTGCACCGGAGAACATGGCCACGGCGGCAACACCTGAAACTGAAAAGCGCATATCTTCGATTGCAACTGTATCTGAAAAGCGAATCTCTTCCATCGCGTCTGGACCCGAGAAGCGTGTTTCGTCGGTCCACTCGGCCAAGTCAATCGACTTGCCATCACCAAGCTCGCCGGTGACTAAGACTCCTGTGCAACCTCGACCCAAGTCTGCAGCTGTAAGGGCTGCATCGATCAATCTCTCCAAACCAACAGCTGTCGAAGCAGAGAAGCCAAAGACTCCTACGCCGACGAAATCGATGACGTTCCCTCCTGTTCGATCAGACAAGCCAGAGACTCCTGTATCAGCGAGATCATCGCTTGAAGTGGCGGCATCTGCTGGTGCAGAGAAATCTAAGCCCATCACACCTGCAAAGCCAGCACTACGCACTCCGTCATTGACAGTCACAGAGAAGCTGGAGACACCCGCCCCTTTCAAACTGCCTCTCCGCACATCCTCGGCTAGTTCACCAGTGACAACAAAGCCTCTGTCGAACCCCACCTCTCCACCATCCGCGTCTCGTCAACCTTCTGGTTTCAGCCGACCACCCTCTGGAAAGGCGCTCCCTGGCATGACTACGGCCGTCTCAAGATCTCAGGACAAGCCCTTGCCACCGTTGAACTCGACTGAGGCGGATAAGGAAAACCAGAGTTTCTCATCGGTAAAGGGCGCTGCTTCTATGTGGGGCAAACCTGTACAGCAGACTACGCCACAGAAGCGTGCTCCTATCGAATTACCCACCAGGAAGGACGAAGAGGCCGCAATGTTATCTGCGGGACTACTCTCGAGCTCACCACTAAGATACAATGCCTCGCCAAAGCTGGGACTTGGTATCACCAAGAACATCATCGATCAGCCCAAGCAAAACGGTGGTCACGAGCAAGTACAGTCACCAAGTGCAAGTGCCCCGCCAAAACCAGCAAAGAGCTCAAGAGTTGTCAGTGGTCAACTGAGTGCCAAAGGTGAGTCTTAGAACTAGTACTTCCAGCGTGTGAGCATAAAGAAAAAGAACTTCGATTCACGTCCATATTTGATTTTATCATGCTGTCCAAATTCTGATTGCTTCTAAGCAGTTTGAGCACCTTGTACCTTGCGATCCATACCAGAGCCCGCGGGACGGACATAGAGCTGACTTGTACCTGGATACTCGATAGACCTACCTCACTTACCCAACATGCTTGATCTTCCAGCTGGATGGGAACTGGCCAACTTCTTCGGCGACGTGCCCCAGTCAAACAACCGCTTGCAGCTGAACACAGATACGCAAACGGTGCTGGGTTCCCGCTCTGGAGAGTCCGACAAGATCAAAACTCTGCGCAACTCGATCCACGAAATAAAGTCTGACGGCACTCTGATCCCTCTACCAGCACAACAGGAGCACATCTTGTACGAAAACTCCATGTACATATGTACGCATATCTTCTACACTGCCAATATGACGAGGATGGCCGAAGTGTACCTCTGGTGTGGTGATCGCATTGCCGAGTCCACGATTCAGGAGACCCAGGTTCATGCCAAACGCATCGCTAGAGAGGCCGGAGCTGGTCAAAAGTGAGAATCTCCATATCTCCCAAGTCGGCATTCAGCTAACTGTGCATCTAGGTCAACACAGTTGTATATTATCGACCAAGCTCGCGAACCAGCGAACTTCTTCCAAGCGCTTGGTGGCATCGTCATCACACGTCGTGGTTCACGCGCAGAAAGCTTGAAAGAGCCTTATATGCTTTGTGGTCGCCCACACATGGGCCACATTGCCTTTGATGAAGTTGACCGCAGCAAAAGCAGCCTGTGCTCTGAGTATCCGTATATCATCGCCCGACCTATCACACTCCAGGAGACGAAGATTTGGTTGTGGAAAGGAAGCGGTTGCGGTGCTACTGCTATCGGAAGCACTCGTCTAATATCTATGGATCTTAACCCTGGCGGTGGCTTTGCGGAAGTTGACGAGGGCAAAGAGACGGCCGAGTTCCTTGCAGAGATCCACGATTCTGGCAAGACAACTGTTTGTCAGTCTCCGGCACTCTGGCAAGGAAAATGTGGTAATTGGGAACACTCTTCAGTGCGCCTTTTCAGAATTGAAGCGAAAGAGAAGCCCAAGCAAACGGTGACCTCCTTGTTCACTGGCTACTTCACCCGCCGCCCCTCCTGGAGCGCGCCCAAATCTCCAAATACAGATCGACCCAACAGCGGTGGCGCTGGCAAATTAGCCAATGCCGAGTTCGAGGCATCGATCTCGGAAATCGCGCCTTTCACTCAAGACGATTTGGAACCTGAGGGCTGTTACGTTCTCGATGCCAATTCTGAGATTCTGGTTCTACCCGGACCCTTGCTCTCGAAACAGAGTTTGTGGCAACATGCTTTCACTCAAGCATGTTTGTTCGCACATGATTATGCTATTTTGTCCGCTAGTCTCGAGGACAGACCTGCCATTCCCAAGTCGAAGGTTGTTTTGGGCGGTCTGCCTAGAGAAATCAAGGTGAAGTTTAGACGTTGGGAAGAACGAAGAGGGCTTTGGGGATCTGGCAGTTTGATGTCTGGAAGGGTGACTGGTGAGGAGGGAGGTATGATTGATGTAAGAGATGTCCTTGGTGTTTGTTGCGAAGCTTGATTTTTACGTTCGAACATACATGCGAAGGTGTCAGGATCGGGAATGCACATCTTGGATCATGCGGCATGATGTGTGGGGGTAGAGGGAGTTCTTTCCTTCCTGGATGCATTGGGTGGAGGCAGGTTTTCGGTTTAGTCTTTTTTCATCAGCTTGTCCTTGAATTCTTCAAGCATCAATTGCGCTTTCCCTCGTGTTCGAGTTGTCCATACTTCGGTCCAAGGCTTGGTGCTCTGTACAGAGAAGGCATGACGACGGCAAGCCCTGATCACACCTTTCTCTGTCCCTCCCACTTTTTCCAACTCAGATCTCACATCGGCCACCTCCAGCACTACACCGCGATACATCCTCAGACCATGCCTCGAACTTCGATATACTCCTACGAAACACCATCGCACCCAACCCAACCTCATTGCAATCATAAGAACACAATCCAAGCAGGACACCACCCACAACCCACGCATCCATCAAACCACAGCGCTCTCTATCAGCGACAGTTCAATCACGCGACACCTTTACTCCAGAATCCTTACGGGGACTGTCGAGACCCGAGTACCATGCGTCTCAAAGACTACCCTCTTCTGAGGCTTCGTGCCCATATGCATGGTTGCTTCTTGGACGTGTGTGTCAGAGGGGCGGTTGTAGAAGCGGGTTGGCTGGTCAAAATATGAAGACTTGCGTTTGGGATGTTGAGGGCGGGAGGTGCTGTTCTGTTCGGCTGCGTCGTTATCGTTGTGTTGAAGTTGGGGGTCGGATGTATCCTAGACGATAGGATGCCTTCGTTCGATGATCGACATACTTGATAACTGCCTGCTGGCTTCTTACCCAGGCTGCAGCACTGCATGGTGCTTACAGACAGCATGAACACAGCACCCGAAAGACGAATGCTCTATATCAAGCCTTGACTTGGAACGGAAAGTGGTTCATGCTCGAGCAATGGTCATAACAGGGGTGCTTTGGATCGCCAGGAAGTTGTGTGAAAGAAGAGGTCATATTTCTCATTAACAAAGCAGTCATTACAAGGGCCGCATCTCATGCCTGAGAAGGGCCACGATTATCATCCTCTTCCCTAGCAACATCCCAAGTACTCGTGTAGTCTCCACTCTCGGCCCGAACCTTCGAGATGATGATGACTGGCACAGTACTAGAGTTTTTAGCAGGCACCGGAGGTTCATGATTATCCAATCTCTTATCCTGGTCATCCATCATGGTGTCCATGACCGTATCCTCGATATCAGGAATCACAAGATCCATGCGAGGAACGGGACGTGCTGCAGGAGCCGTTGTCGGACGAGAAGCGGGCTCTTTTTCGTCTAGCTCTGCTTTCTCGACATCTCTAATATGATGATGGTTTTTGTGGCTGGAGGCTGAGATGTGAGAGCCTATTGAAGTCCACTGTGTCAAACGGTGCAGTAGAGATGTTAAGGAAGTCATGGAGGCGGAGAACCAGGGCTTCAGTGCCGGTGCGCAGGAAGCGAAGATCCCAAGTCCGCACTCTAAAAGTTCGAAGAGCAGGATTCTTCCCAGACCATCTGATTCATTGTCAGTTTCTTTTGTCTCGAGTCAACTTGATGTTTAGACAAGGTTTCTGCTTACAGCTCATGTTGGTCTTGTGGGTCCAATAGGCTATGTAGGGAAGACGGCAAATCGTCATTGCTGCTGCCAGAACACCCAAGCCTAGGACGAACCACGCCACAATCACATTCCTTGTGCTCATGACCGTCTGCCATAAGATGATACCTGGAATAATAGCGCATGCAAAGTCTGCAACAATGGTGGTCACCGCGAAGGAATAGCCGACAGTCAACACCACGGCTCCAGGTAGACAGTATCCAGGAGTACCAGGGTGATGCCAATGCGTCCAGATGGCTGGATAAGGGACACAGTAGCAGAAAGATCCGATGAACATGATAAGCGAAGAGCAGCTGACGATGATCAAGATCCAGTGTAGTGCTTTTCTGATCTTTGGTGATGTCGACAGACGGAGGAATGTGTAGCAGACGCTGCACTTGATCAAGCAAGTTGCTAGTGTGTAGATTGGCTTGTACATTGCGAAAGTCTGTTGTTCGTGTTAGTTTCTATTTCCCGTGCCTCCATTGCTTGTCTAGTGGGTGTGTGAAGCATACCTGAACACCTTTGATCTGATTTTCGGGACTCAGAACCTTGTCAGGCATACCGAGGCCATACATGAATCCCCATAGCGTCACGGCACAAGCTCCAAGATGGAAGATCAATGCCGCAATGATGAGCCAGTCATCGATCTTGAATGCACGTCGTGTGATTCGAACATAGCAACGCAGAGGAACTACAATGAGTGGCAATATGATCATGGCGATTGTGACGGCGAAGATAGATATGGATTTGTCGTGCCACTCCATCGTTGCAAGATATCGACCATCAACTGAATGTTCTAAAAGCTTTGCGTGCCAGTGTGTTTAGAACCCAAGGCCTGGTAGTAGTCGTGAGGTCGTACGGCAGAGGGTGGTGGCAAGCAAAGGTAATGTAGTAGTGCCGCGTGCCTGGGGAAGGGACTCGGACCCTTATACCTACCAACTCACACCTTAGTTTTGACAGTCAGGATGAGTGGGTCGTGGCCGTTTTTTGCCATCGTCCGGCTTTACGATGATTCTCTTCTTCACCGTTTGCCTGCTACAGTACTTTATGTTTCCGCAACCCCGCAATGTGTCTCACTCGCGTTCTTCTATGCGACCGACTTCTGTTATCGGAAATCGCATGTCTACTCTCTCAGTGTGGAGCTTCGGTGGCTGTGAATATTTGCAGTTTTTTCCAGAGGGTAAAGGGTCGAGCACCCAAGCCATCAACGGTGTTTTTGTACTCACACTCACGGAACGAGTGTTTACCTCAGCCGTGTTCGGCACGTGGTGACATGACGATAGCATATGTCTTCAGATGTCTCGGACGATCATGTTTAATCATCATCAACTCAAGTTTTGTGATGGGCGATCTTATAGGAAATGAAACCCTTTCTTCTGCGAGTATTCGAGAATCGAGGAGCCGGAGCAGAAGTCAGTTGAAAGTTTTCCATCAGTTGGGAGGGGGATGCCTCCCCGTTGGTGATAAGTATAACGTTTTTATTGCTGTCTAAATGTTCGATTTAAGCTTTTGCATGTCAACTACTTACTACCTCGCAGGGTAAATGGAATGCTTGGTGGATAGAATGGCTTGAGAAGTGAAGGCTCTATAAGCGACCGAGAGATTCCGTGGACTTCATCCCTGAATCTAGAAGGGAGTCATTTGAGCTGATATTCGACCCGTTGGACGATGTTTCGTCTTCGGCTCCAGTTCACGTGAACTCTGACATTCGCTGGGAGTCGACAGAGCACACGTGGTAGATCTCATGGGAGCAGGCAAATAGTGGTGCTTGTATTCAATCGCTGCGCATGCAGCAACGCGTGTCGTTGATTCATGTCGCTCGGACGGTTCATTGGTGTGCGATACCGCGAGAACGTTCGTCGGATTTCCAGGCTGTCGTTCAGTGATCGATTCGGGTACAGCACACGGGGACCCAGCAAATCAAAAGGAATAGCGACGGTCGACCTCAGCTCAGGCAGACAATGATTCAACGCGCGTTGGCGTTGGATTTTGATGTCGAAGCTAGGCGGTGGTCCAAGCGTTGCCAGCTTTCACAGCGCCAAGCTATATCTTTACTACCCAAAACTCGCCATACACATCCAATTTAACCACTAAACAACCTCCTGCACATGGGACAAGCAAAAGGGAGTATCCAACGATGTCAAAGATGCAAAACGAATCGACGCCTGCAGGACTCGAACCTGCGCTCCCGAAGGAAATAGATTTCTAGTCTATCGCTATAACCACTCAGCCAAAGCGCCTGATAAAGATTCTGCCAGGCTATACTAAACACAACCTCCACTCAAGGAGGAAGAAGGCGTGACGAGCATCAGATCATATTCTCATGAACCTCTGACTTATAGCATTGGGAGGATCAAATTGTTCGTCATAAGTAGCTGCTGATTGCCAGGAGAAAGAGAGAGTGTCGATGTTCATAAACATGATCCACAGAGCGGATGTTACATGGAATCGGTGGAATTTCGGCTCCATGCCATGCCATGCCACTACTTCTAGCTAACATGCCATTCCATGTCAATTATCTAGTGGAATGATGCCAATGCTAACCCCATCGTCGTCATCACAGTGACCCTGTCCTTCTAATGTGTCACCCTATCTTTCTTAATCCTCCTGGTCCTCCTAGTCCTCCTAGTTCTCCTTATCGTCCTCCTCTTCTTCGTTAATAGGTAGATTAACCTCCTCGAGGCAGAGGTTCTTCTACTAGTTCTTAAGACACTTAATATAGCTAAGATTAGTAGTAGAGAGACATACTCGGTCCTACGATAGCGTCCTTCTATAGCCACTAAATACCCTCTCTAACTTAGCAGACATTAGATTAATTAAGAGGATATTAATAGCTATCTAAGTAAGGTTTAGGTAGTTAAGTTACTACGTCGGTTTAAGCTACTACTATATAGCATTATTAATAAGCACTAGCATGCTCTTAGTAAAGTAGACGAACTCCTTAGGTATATAAACTAAGCTTATATGCCTTAAAGAAGCCTTCTATTAAGTAAGCTTATTTAGCTCCTCCTCTTTTAATAATGACACTACTTATATAGCCTTAGTCTTATTCTTATACTTATCATTCTATAGAGCACGTATAGTAGCGATAGCTAGTATTCGCCATAACGGAGGCCACTACTTATTAATATAGGCTTTACGATAAGTTAGATAGAGGAGGAGCGTAGCGGCATAGGTAGGGGTATAGCTATTAATAGCTTACCATTTATTAAGTGTAAATCGGCTAGTATATATAGCGGCGGCAAGCACTAGATTTAGAGTAGTATACTTAGTTATAGACTTCTTATAATGCTTACGTAAGAAGTCTATAGAAATTAGTACTTAATTAAGTGTAGCATTATTACCTTTATATAACTTTGTTACCTCCTATAGTAGTTCTATAAACTTAACGAGCTGCTTAAGAAATAGCTAGTAACGCCGCTAGAGGGTGGTTTACTCTATATGCTCGTAAGCATACTAAATCGTACGTATAGCTAATCGGCATTAAAGCCCTCGCTTAATTATAGATAGCTAGCTATTCTACCTTATGGTATTATTAAGCATAGTAGATATACTAGTAGCTGCCTTAAACTTATAACGACGGCGAGCTAACTTTATAATCTACTTAAAGAACTAACGGAGGTAGTTAACGGCTTCGTAATTAGTAAGGCTAGTATCTTAACTAAGTATTAAGATCGCTTCTAAGGGGTCTTAACTTTAGGCTAGCGTAGTAGTAATAGCTTCTTTTAAGCTTACTAATATAAGTGCTTAACTAGTAAGGTTAATCTAATAGCTAAAATAACGAGTTCGATACTATATAGGGTCCTAATTAATAGAAAGGCGCTTACTAAATAGAGTAGTAAGGTGGCTTATTATAGTGTTATTATAGGTAGCGTTATTAGAAGTAATATATCTAACTTTCTACTTAATGCTATATTCGATAATAGTCTTAAAGAAGAGAGAGGTATACTAAGTACTAGCATGGCTAGACGGTAGCTTATAGAGAGTAAGTAGTGCCTTACTTAGCTTACTATCTAACATAATAAATCGAGCTATAATACTAAGCAGCTTATAGCTACTATAGTTAGCTATCTAAGTATTATAGGTAAAGTAGATTAAGGATTAAGATGTTATAAGAAGGCCTTTAAGCTACTCTTAATAGAAGTTATACTCCTTCTTAACGTGTTTAGTAACGGTATATTAAGTCTTAATTAGGAGCTTAGACGCGCTAGGAAGCACCTCGTCGAGTAGAGTATAAAGCTTATTATTGCTAGCGATATAGAAGGGGATATTACTTAAGGTAATTAAGTTAATTAGACGTCTATTTAAGCGAGCTTTATCGATATTAGTAATAGTACGAGACTAAGAGGGTATTACTCTTACTATAATCCTTAGAAGTGTACTAGTTACCTACCTCTAGCTATATTTATTTATTAAGTGCGATCTAATGTTATCGTAGTTAGTAGTAGAGTAGTTACGAAGATAGTCTTTATTACTATAGAAGTAGTACTAGATCTTCTTCTTACGCTTACGGTCGAGCTTACTATAACGGTAAGCTCTAGTATAAGACTAGAGCTCTTTAGAGTTGCTACGGGTAGAAGTAGCCCTCCGACGAGGTTATATTAGTGTTATATTAGACTTATTAATAATATTACTTAAGGTAGATAGTATTAGTCGCTATCGCTTTAAAGGAGGAAGTAATAGCTAATTAATATTAGAGGCGCTAGCGTTAGACTTAACGCTACTGCCTTTAACGAAGATACTATATATGCGATTTACTAAGCCTTAGACTAGAAGGAAGGCCCTCTCTTTTAGAGTGTTAGAGGCGAATTTAGAGAGAGTGCTCTATATAGAGGTGCGTAGTAGCTAGCCCTAAGGAGTTCGAGAGTTTAATTAGCTTTACGACTATATATTAGTAGGTAAATACATAATATAAAGGTCGAGTTAAGTATGGTATAGTGTGCTAACTAAGATAGGAAAACAGCTAGGAGCTTAGCTCTAATGTTTAGCAAGAAGTGGTTAGAAGAGTAGTAGTTAGAGTGTTAAATATATAAATTAGGAGTAATTAATACGCGTCGAAAAGGACGCGTAAGAGATCGCGTGGCTAGAGCCTTAGTCGACTAATTAAAGCGCTAGATCTAATCTCCGAGATAAGATCTAGCTAATTAGAGGCCTTAAATATGCTACTAATCGAAACACGCGTAATAGTAAGCTTTTCCATGAAATCTGCTATGCCTAAGCGCTATACGCGCCAACTTCGAGCTTGCTACCTATCTAACCATCGACATTAGCTATATTAAGAGGTGGAATAGTGGAATATTCTACCAGAATCGGCGATTCTATTCTATGCCAACTAGGTAGAATATTCTACCGAAAATCAGTGGCATATGCCAATATTCTACTTATTCCATGCCATGTAACATCCACACTAATGATCCAAGCTTTCTCAATGTATGGTGGATGACCCTGGTACACATTTTCGGGAGTAGACAATGCAAGACCAGGTACTTTAAACCAGTTATAGACCCTCATTGTTGATGGTAAAGTACGTCTGGAACGTACTCCTCAATTTTTGTGCATCACATCTGGCTGTGTGATCATGTAGCAGCGAGAAATGGTTGAGCGATCAAAGCTGTACATTTTACCACGCTGCTGGACCGTCAGCTTGTGGAATATGCTGACAACGAGAACAGACATCTCAAGACTTGCCCGATGACGATATAGAGCGGGTCTCTCTGTGTAGTGGCATCCCAGAAATACGTCTAAATCGCCAATACTCGACGGACACGTGATGTGTCCAAGGACAAGTTATGCGTAACCCTGTTCCTCTATCGAAACTGCAGAAGAGGGGGCCGAGAACCAACGCAAATACGCAACGAAGGCAACAGCAAGAGAGGACAAGAGAAGCGTGTGCTTACATAGAAGACTAGTAGAAACCAAGCAGGAAATAATCTATTGACCATGTCCAGGCACAATAAGTCCAAACTGGCAGAAGAGAATAGAGACATTCTCGCGTGAGAACGGAATATGAGGATGAAAGCATAATCGCTTCCCGAGTCGAGTATGATTTATATTGTCTCGTGTTGCTGTATAGCATATGCGTGAAGAGTCTCAACCTTTGAGAGTCCTCGAGAACCAGACCTAACACCATCGCTAAAAAGACTGCAAAGAAAGCATAGAAAGAGAGCCAGACTTTTGGCTCGATTGACACTGGAGAAGCAATCACTCCTCATTATCTTCGTCATCAACCTCCATGCCAAAGTTTCTGCGCTTCATGGCAAGTTCACTCTCCAAACTTTGCAGCTTATTGAGGTTACGCTGTCTGAGCATGGGGTTCATGGAGCGCTCGACGTTAGCGCGCGCGTTCGCAACCTCCTTCTCCAGGTCCTCGATCTCTTCGCGTACTTGAGCTTGTACCGCCTGTTCTGCGACCGCTTCTTCGTCGATGGTGTCGGGTCCTTCATCTTCGTCCTCGTCAGACTCTTCAGAATCGTCGTCTTCGTCGCTCGATGCCTCTCGAGCTGCCGCAGGAGTCTCGGCTGAAGCTGCTGGCGTTGGTGCTTCGGTTTCTGGTTCTGCTTCGGCCATGGTGGTTTGCACGGCGCTCAACTCGGCGGCCGCATCGGCAGGTGGTAATGGTGGCGCATCTGCCATATCTTCGTCGAACAGAGCAGCACCCAGCATGCCTTCCAGATCCTCGTCGTCTTCCTCTTCTTGCATAGGCTCCGCAGTATAGGCTTGACCATAAGCGTCTTCAGTCGTTGTTCTATAATCGAGTGGATCTTCATCATCATAGTAATCCATATCTTGGTCTCCTGGCGCTGCGGAATCAGGGGCGTCGTTGTCGACAATGTCGTAGGTGACTTTACCTCCTGTCTTCTCAACCAGTTCATCGGCTTTGATAAGACGTTCGACTTCATCGTCAACATGTTCGACAGACTTGTAGCTGGCTCGTTGTCTGAAGCGCCTCTTACGGACCCAGTGCATTGGCGGTGTCAAGCCGTGTGCATATGCGAACGTGTTCTTATCCACCTCGCGTGGCAGCGGGGCGTACTTTGCCGTCGTCTCACCTTCAGTGGGACCCAGGACTAGTAGCATCTGGCAGATATCGGCGACCTTCCACCATCCACGTTTGTCCCAACTCTTCATTCCCTCGATGATACACGGCAGATCGACCATGACAGCGGCGTAGTTCGTCTTGTTGACAGTCACGATGGCGCGACGCAGGTCCTTGTCCAGAAACTTGATATTAACATAAGCTCCGCCTTGTTCTGCCTTCTCGCCCAGGGTTTTGTTTATGATGGCTTCACGCAAGTAGTCGCAGTCCGGACCAGGGGCCATGCGCAGTACCCATTGTTGCTCGACGGCTGGATCGTCTTCTGCATCACTCGCTTCTGAATCGTAGCCAACACCCACAGGTCGCTTGGGTACGTATTTCCTCGAGACAATGGAAATTGACTTGGGTCCCAAGCTTTGCTTTCTTGCGTTCAGCTTGAGGCGTGTCGGGGTCGAAGAGGCCGAGTCTTGTCCGCCGGCACTACCACCACCTAGTTTGATGGAGAATTTCTTCTTGGGAGCGACCTGAGTGTTGATGGTGGGGCGTTTGGGCGCAGGCGAGATGTCGTCTTGAGCGGAGCGTTTCTTGGTAGCATCGTCTGTAGGCTGTTTGGGCTTCTTGATCTTCTTTGGAAGTACAGATGCTGTTGACTGAGCTGGACGTGGTGGCTGGGAGGGGGTAGCCTCGTTCTGAGGGGTCGGTGGTTGCGAGTTCTTGATCTTGAATTTGAAACCGCCGCCAGTGCTGGGAGTTGCGACAGCAGGTGTGGGCGGCGCTGATGGCGGCGCATTAGGATCGGCCGGCTTGGCCGATAGCTTTAGTTTCATAGAGGCCGGCGCGCACCTCTGGCGGGTTGCGACGCTAACAGTGAAAGTGAAAAAGGCGAGTGGAGTGCTGGTGGATGTTGCGACAATGACGAAGACGGGAAGGTACGAGTACGCTGCCCGAGGAAAGAGCAAGCGCCAAGACAAAGTCGTGGTGGTAAGGCAGGCAGTTGCGACTTGCATGTGAAAGAAGGCTTGTGGAAGCTCTCCATCACCAAAACATCAACTTCCTGTTCTCTCCCACCGGCATACCGACAACATGTCGGCGACACAGCAACTACATACGTCGCTACTGCGTGCGCCCATACTACACATTCTGCGCGCCCAGGGCTTCCACTCGACCCGACCATCCGTTCTGGACACTCTTGTCGACATCACCGAGCGCTACCTCATTCTACTTGCCGTAACCACCAGAGATCATGCTGTACTCAACCACAACGATCCCATCCCGACTATAACCGATGTACGTCTGGCTCTGACCGAATGCGGAACCCTCACTCCCGTCCTCACAGCTGCCGAACAAGACTGGCTAGAAAAGTTCAGACGACCCTTAGAGGACTTCGATCATCTCAAACACGGCGACATCAGAAGAGAAGGAGAGTTACGCCGACGCGACGAACAAGATACTCAAGATGTTCGCGACTTCATAAAATGGATTGTTGGCGACCAGAACCGTGAGATCCGTCGCATCGCTGGTGTCTTGCCCGAGTCTGGCCCTGGAGGCACCGTAAACGGCGAGGACTATTTGACGGTCCTGAAGAAGAAGCACAGCAAGACGGGAGAGGAGTCACGGTTCCAAGGCACCGTGCTGGGAAAGCCAGCCGAGGACAGGCCTATCAAGATCGAAGGTGGCCCGGTCGAGACTCTGACCGAGTGGAATAACCTCATGCACGATCACTCTGAACACCAATTACCGACCACAAGAGATGCCGCCGAAAGCCCACACGAAGCCGAAATCGACGAACAGCAGTTGTTGATGGACGTATCTTGAGAGGCCGTAACTGTTTGTGGTCTACAAAATTCAACAACGATCTCACCTCCTGCCATTCAATTGGGCCCTATCTGTCCAACGCAACCTCCTCCTCCATACGCGTAGCTGAGAAAAGCGGCCAAAGTGTCCAGGGTCAGTGTTATGCATGAGTTCCTGACACATCAACCATAACGCCCATATCACAGCTGCTATGGTTCGCCTCAAGGAAGATGTGCAGACTCAGAGGAAGGATATGGGCAAACACGCAACGCAACGCGATGAACAAGGAGGAGTTGCTAGCTCAGCTAAGAGACAGCATTATTATCATAGACTGGTTCAGTCACACCATGCCGGACAAGGTGTCAGATAGCAAGCCGGGAAGCAGAGAGCAGAACCAGGTACCGAATGAAAAAAACTTGCACTAGCTCCTCGGGTCATCGAAACGATGTTGTGTCTCTTATTGTGATGATGAAGGTGCTTTTGGCTGAGGCGCTGGAAAAGAACCAGGTTCTCAGCTCTTCACTTCCACGCCGGTGACCAACATTAGCGTGTCATACTGACGGGTGGCGAGATAATTCCATATTGTTTACAAAAGACAGAAGAACCTAAGCATATCAAATCTCAAAAAGTTGTAGAGTAAGCAAACGCGCGCCAAGACTCGAACAAAAGCGCCATCATACATAGGGCTGCAGAATGCCCGAGCAACTAAAATTCCCGTTCATCACTCACTTTGCTGCAACTTCACATCAGCCGGAGAATGTTTTTATAGTGACGTTTTGGAGAAAGAAGTTTTGAGAATTATTATGACTTCTGTGCTGGACGACTATTTGACCATAACACTGCCTCAATACTTGACTTGAAGAAACGAAAATTTGCTAGGGCGTCAAATCGTCCCCTTCCATCACAAAGATGTATATCATCGTAAGTTTCGATCTCTCTTATCACAAGATTCCAGAAGTAAACGACAGAAGGAGCAAGAAAATGACAAAAGGTCAATCTACCGGGAGAACCGCCACTGACAAAACACCTACCAAAAAAAACAGGTCACAATCGCCGACTTGATCCAAATCTCACCCCAAGACTTTGAAAAGCGCAGCGCGCAAGCAATCGAAGACAACATCAACGCCAAATACGCCGACAAAGTCATCCACCGCATCGGCCTCTGCGTAGCCCTCTACGACATCCTCAGCACCTCCGAAGGCCTCATCGGTCACGGCACCGGCATCGTAAACGTCAATGTCGATTTCCGCATGATCGTGTTTCGTCCTTTCAAAGGTGAAATCTGCATGGGAAAGATTTTGTCGTCATCAGACATGGGAATTCGCATCACGATGGGCTTTTTTGATGATATCTTTGTGCCTGCGCCGGGCATGGTATTTGATCCGGCAAAGTATATCAAGACGGAGGAGGGAGATTGGGTTTGGGTGTGGGAGTCTGCGCCGGAGAGTCTGTTGTATTTTGATGTCAACGAGATGGTGAGGTTCCGCGTCGAGGCCGAAACGTGGACGGATTTGTCACCCGAGAAGCAACCTGCACCTGGCGAGGAGGTCGAGGTTTACAGACGCTCGCCATACGAAATCACCGTAAGTGCCTGGAAGAGTTTGTTGTCTCTAACAGAAGGCATGCTAATTCATCTGCAGGCGTCTATGCAACTCAGTGGTCTGGGCCCAGCACTATGGTGGGCAGAACCTGACGAGGAGCCGATCGAAGACGAAGAAGAAGTGGACGGTGGAGCAGAAGAGATGAACGGCGATATTGTCGATGAGATGGATGAGGGAGCTTAGTACAATTCCTCCATACCAACTCGTCCGCTTGTCAACAAGAAAGAAGAGCCAGAGCCAGAGCCAGAGCCAGAGCCAGAGCAAGAAGCGGCCCCAGTCGACCTTAGCCCAAAGAAACTGACCCGCAGAAGTGGCAGAACAAAAGGCTAGACGAAGTTCTCACTACTGAAGACTATAAGGATGGTGGAATATTACAAGCAACGCGAGTATGAAGATATGGGTATTCTGGCGTTAGACACAGACCCATGAGACTGGTAATCATTTGTACATACGGCCACGAAGGGTGCCGTTATCACAAGACAATCAACTAGACGTAGGAACGGGAGAAGGCACAAACAAACTATCAAAACGCTCTTCAATGGTAATAGGAACTATTCAGCGCGCGAAACGTGATGCAAGGTATCTATGGATGGAACTCTTCTGCTCTTTCTTATTTGAGCCCCAGTCTGACCTTCAGTACCCCTTCCCAAGCGTCCAAAGCACTTGCCTCAGCCTTGGTAGCGAATGCTCTGATGCCTTGACTCAAGAACTGAGCCTCAGCCATGGCATCACCAGTTTTTCCTTCACGCAATGCCTGCACCATGTCTCTGCCGTCAATCTTCGCTTTTTGTTCACGTGCGAGTGTTTGAAGAGCTGCGAAGTGCTTCGCTACAGCATCACGAATGCGCTCGACAGGTTGAGGTGGCAGGCGATTGCCCTGGCGCTTCTTCTTCTCTACCTCAGTAGCGACGTTACAGAAGAAGGCGGCGCTGCGAATGAAGTCGAGTAGCAAGAAGTAGGGCTGCAAGGTGTAGCTCGATGGCGGCAAGCCGGAGGCTTTCTGCTTTCCAAGAACGTCTGATGTAGATAGCTCTTGGATGGATGTGGCCAGACGATCCAGCAGACCAGCATCGGCCTTGGTCTCGTTGGTGCCGAGGAGCGACTTTGTGGCTTGAAGCAGCTGTGCCCAAGGCTTTGCAAGAGACTTTTCTGTTGGAGTGAGCTCGTTGCTACCTGCCTCTGCAAATTTCGCGGCTTCCTCTTCTGTGACATTGCTCGGCCTGGAGCAAACCGTGGGTCTGTTGGAAAGCAAAGCCCATACATCTTCGCTGACGATAGCTTGCGAGAGCCAGTTGACGTTAGGAACCTTGCCTCCGCTGTGTAGCCTACGCTCAGGTGTGCTTTCGGTTCCCACACCGTCGAAGTTGAATGTCTCCGCGTAGTCTCTGCTATCTTTGAGGTTCTGAGTCCAGTACTCCAGAACGCTTGGGCGGATGTCTGGAGTGCGAGGGTGGAAGGGGTTATCTGTGAGACGAGCCATTCTGCATTGCTCAAGAATAAGCATGCGTCTGGTAAAACTGTGCTCGAGAGTGTCGCGTAACTCTTGCAGTTCAAAAACAAGGTCGCATTGTCCCTGTTTCATGAGCGAGGACTGGGAGTGTGCTAGTTTCTTGTCCGTAGCGAAGAACATGTCCAAGGCATTATCGATAATTTCGTAAGGATCAATTGAAGTCTCGCCTCTCTGGTCGAGTGCGAAAGGGTGGTTGACAGATACTCTTGTCAGGAGTGAGTGGGCCATTGTCTCTTGTTGGATCTCTCTGACGCGTAGGCTGGCGTATTGTTTCATAGCCAGAGAATGAAGGCCAAGTTCAGTCTCGAGGTATACGAGCAAGACTTTACCAGGATGTGCGTCCTCAGTAACAGGACCAGTTTCGAGAAGATATGCTGCTTGGAAAAGGTATGTGATGTCCTGCTCGAGCTCATAAAGTCGGATGAGTGCTGCAACAGCCAGATAGCAAGCATCTGACAGCCGCAATTTGCTCTGAGAGCTAGTTTCCATGAGTCGGATACACTCGCAAGCGAAGTTTTTAATGACTTCTGTCTCCGGCTTAGCAGTTCCGATCGTGATACGGTATCTGAACTTCAGCGAGTTGATTTCGGACGTGAGCAGATCAGAAGCCTGTTTATCATCTGTTAGTGGATTTCATGCCAATCAAACGACAAGACTATCCTACCTTCACCGAGTTCTTCGAATCGGGGTCTGATAGCTTTAGTGATGACCCCGAAACATGTTTAAGGAAATCTTTCTGGGATTCAGATGATAGAGCATCCACATATTCCTTGATGTCGCCATAGCAGAATGGATACGACTGCCACTCGGTGAAAAAGTCGTTTGCAGACTTCGATATCGTCTGCGATTTGGCGTCTGCATCTGTCTCTGCTTCCGAGAGAACGGTAGCCTGTAGTCTAGCCAGCATCTGTAGACGTTTGATTCTCCAATCATCCTTTTCGCTGACCGCAGGTACGGCATCTTCTTTTCCGAGCTTGGAGGTAGCTCTCACAAGACCATCCCAGACAGCCCAGTCGTCTCTGACCCTACTACTCGTCAGTGGTTGATTATTCTGTCAATCGTCTCGACATACCTCAATGCACCTTCCACGGAGCTCTCATTAAGTAGAGAAGAACACAGATCGAAAAGCTCTTGCCAACGAGACTCTGCGATGTACAGTTGAATCTTTTCTCTGGTGAATGGCCAGTCATTCATAATCTGCTTGGCCAGTTTGTCGTCTTGCTTGTCCTTGAAGGAGTCCAAAACTTCAATCATATCTTTCTTTTGACCCTGTCTTCGGTAAAGATTCATCATAAGTCTCAATTGTGCAAAATCCTCAGCTGGTAGCGTCTTCAGAGTTCGGAAGGCCAGAATGCGGTTCATGCCAGCAACTTTCTCATCCTTGTCAGCCTCACTGAGTAGTTGTTGGATAGCGATATGAGCGAGTTTGTAGCGCTTGTTGGTAGGATCAGCCTTCTTCATAGCGATCAATGCCTGTGTGATAATCAGTATCGGGTGAGCTGGGAGGCTGCGAATCACCTTACAATAGCAGCATCTTGCCATCTCTGCTCGCTCACTGCAATCGTGAATCTTTTCTGATTGATAGCAATCACACCGTTCTTGCCCGCTGCATTCGTCGCATTGGCCCACAACTTGCCAGCACGCGGACCGTTGCTCAGAGGGCGTGGGTAATCATCCAACACGGCCATCGTCGCCAACTCATCGATGTCTGATATGAGAGTGAGATCAACAATAGGAGGATTTCTACTGCACAGCTGATCAAGAATTTGATTGCCTTCATCAAGCTGCATCATGCTGAAAAGAAAATTTGCCTTGAAGTACAAAAGCTGATTGTTGGCGGGTGCCTTTTTCAAAAGCTTGTTGCATTTGCTCAAGCCATCTTTGTATCTTCCAGTTGCGAGGTAGTCCTCCAATTCCCTTGCGGCGGCCATGGCGATTGTATGAGGTCCTGCCAAAATTCTGTAGGCGTGTGAAAATGCGTGTCTAGAAAGGATAACAATGAATGTAGATAGGAGAATTAGAAGCCAAGACATACATGTCAGATCTGTACAAATGTTGTTTGACTGATCAAATATTCATATGGTCAAGACTTTGAGAAGGAGAAGCGACCAGTATGACTGCAGAAGTTGGCGATTCAACTTGCCGACGGTTCACACGAGGTCTGTGCGCGAAAGAGCAGGGTCACCTATGATCGGACTTGAGACTTTGGCAACAATAATGTTTATGCATATCAGACACATGATGCGACAACTACAGATTCTATAAAACTCTTGGACTATTCAACATGGTTGACGAGGTTGTCCCCAGCCTTCTGAATCCAGCGAGTCGTACACTTCCTCAATGAGCTCAAGTTTTGGGCTAACAGAGAGAGCAGCACCCTTCGGTCCCGGGTTATCGAACATGGGCACCACACGCGTGATCTTATGACCAACTTCCAAGATAGTCCCGCCCACCATTGCCTCGTCTTCGACTAGAGTCAACATAGCCTCAGCAACATCCTCCGGGGTTGCCCACAGGTCTTTCGCCTCATCAAAATACTTCATCTTGTCAGGATTGTCCGTCCATAGAGGTGTCTTGATGATGCCTGGGGCACACGCGTTGACGCGAATACCATGTTTCTCGTCCAAGAAAGCTAAAGAACGCGTGAAACCAATAATAGCGTGCTTAGCCGCGTGGTATAGAGGCACCATCGGCGAAGCTCCCTGACCAGCGACGCTACTAATCATGACTATGCGCTTAGGGTTCTGAGGAGATGCCTTGGCTTGGTGTGATAGAAACGCCGAGATTGCAAGTTGCGAAGTTCTGATCGGATGGGTGAGACTGATGTCAAGGGACGCGTAGCGATCGCCATCAATGCTATCCTTGGATTCTGGGGACCCCGGTGGATGCCAGAAATTTGAGAAACGAGGTTCAAAGACACCTGCACCTGGGCACACAACATCGGTACCACCAAACTCGTCTTCAGCCGCTCGGAACATCCGCGAGAGCTGAGCCCAGTTGGTAACATCTGTCTTCTGGAAGAAAGCTCGAGGCTGGTCCGTAGATCTCTGAGAATACTTGTCGGTTATGGCTTTGGCCTCCGGACGCAGTCCAAGATCGGCGAAGACGACATTACAGCCTCGGGATAGCAGCAATGAAGCGAAACAAAGGTTGATACCTGCTTGGTTGTGAGAAGACTTGACATGTATCTGGATGATAGGACTGCATACCAGACCCCGCTCCAGTGACAATTGCAGTCTTGCCTTTTACAAGGAAGGGCGCCAGGCTTGAAGCCATTTCGGATTCCTCAGTAAAAGGAACAAATTACAGCACTCTGGGTTCAAGCGTAGTGAGAGGACCTACTGAAGACTTGGTCAATCGATATTACCACGGCAAGCAACGGCGAGGGGTAGCTCGGAGGGCGGGGTCAAACACGAGCGACGATCTCGCATCGGAAGCACCTCTTCGAGTTGTTGTTCCGCCGAGTCGTAACTTATCACATCCGATCTTCACTGTTGTTAGGCTTGAATGGCAATCAAGTGGTAATCGTGAATTGTGCCACTGAGGAAGATCGGAGAAAGATGACAGTCAAAAGTCAGCCTACCTAGCAATCGATCTGCCAGCGACAAATAACACTCCCCGGCGAGTCCAGATATACGGATGAGGTTTTTATGGAAGGAGAGAGTAGCAAATTTTGATAATGAGTCGAGTGGGTATCCTTTTGGTGCTGTGGTCTTGTCGTCTACCACCATCTTCCCTGCTTCCTCTTTTCCTCCTTCATCTCTGCCATCTATAGAAAGTCAGCAAAAGGACAGATCATCTCGTTCGGAATTCCAGTCGTACCCATTGCTTCTTGCACTCGCGATATGCTCTAATCAAAGATTAGTCGGAGGACCAGAATATCAATTGTGAGATTAGATGATCATACTCAAAGTAGTCTGAACACAATGACTTATCGCCACCATTTCTTCGCAGACACCTCAAACTTCTATCGGCGGCTTCTTGACAAGGATCAAAGTATTCGCTGTATGATTTGCTGTGAAGCGAATGCTAGGTCAGTTTTTCGAGGGTGGTAATGGAAGAGAAGGTAAACAATCTCATACCTGTTGTACTTTGCGCCACCCTTCTCCCAAGCCTTCTTGTTCTCGTCCTCGTGAGCCATTGTGATTTGATTCTGCAGAAGATGTTCAGAGTAATCGTGTCGATGGTGTGTTGCCACGAGGGTAGGGTCTCAAAGATGGAAGAAGTCTGTGCTTTTCGGCAGATCTTGCCGTTTTGTAATATCTACTATCATCTATACATACCTATAAATCACGACCTTGATCACCACGGCACTCGTTCACAATGGATGCCTTTGAAGTGGACAGGAACAGGATGTCGTAGTCTGGGCTCGTGTCTGGCATAATATGCTTTCTTGTGCGGTCATAATTGGACTCGTCACGAATCGGTATCATTTCTTTGACGCTTTTACTTCTTTTTGGGGGCGGCATTGCCTCGTCTCCTTTCCCAAACCATTACATATGCTTCCTTTGTACTGAGCAGCTCAGCTTCCACTCTTCCAACCCACAAATCTTGCATCTCGACCCAGCGATCGGTATCAGCATTGCCGCCTTCTTCCCTGCCCCTATCCAACAGCTGTACACGCCAGACCTTCTTCTCGGCTTCTCCCTCGACACTATCGTCTCGCACACGGACGCCTTCATGAGTTATGTTGGCTACCAGGTCGTATATAATGGGCTCTGAGGGCGAGTGAAGTGACGGGTTAGGCTCGACATAGGGTGACATGTCTAGTGAGCGAGGAGAGAAGGTGACAATGGTCGGATTGCGTTGTGTTTGGAGGAATTTGTTGGGAGCGAAACGTTTGACGTGCATGAGCAGATACGGCGGTAGTGGATGTAAGAGACGATAGCGGAGGCGTGTGTTGAGGCGTTCCTGAGCACGAATACCGTCGTATTTGCCCAAGATATTCGTAAGACTGACTTGAGGGATACTGTTCTCGTTTCTGTCGTCCTGGAACAATGGTGCGGCCGGGAGATCCAGAGTGAGCATCATGAAAGGCGTTACTACGCTCTGAATAGCGGCATCTTCGAAGCGCAAACGGTCTTGCGCATCGGCGCGAGCGGTGATAGATTGCGATTCGACGCGCAACTGGCCTTGAAAGATTTTCTGTACAATACTGCTGCGAGGTTTTGAGCGGCTTCCACCTAGGCCTGTGTGTAGGTTATTGAGGAACCAGGAAAGGAAGTCCGCTGGGTCGGCTTGTTCTGTCAAGGAGAATTTCTTGTTGGATCGTTGTGAGATTTCCTGCAATAGCTCGTGAGGAGAGACGTGTGCCTTGAAGGAGCGCGGGTTCCAGATTTTGCGCAATAGAGTGCCGAAGCGCTGGACAAGCTGCGGTCGGTCGTGCAAGTCTTCGAGCATGAAATAGTTGCGGAGCGGAGGGACGTGAGCGAGGGCATGGCAGGCGACGTTGAAGTAGTCGTTGGCTTTGATGTTGTTCATGCCGACATAGCCTGGCGTGTACTTCTTGCCTTGAAGGTCCCATGCGTGCAGTCGCACCTTGTCGAGTTTTGTGACATGGTCTTTGGTGTACTTGGGATCGACGACAAACTTGACATCTTCCAAACTCTTATGCTTGACCTCATAGCCATCGGGCAGGACGTAGACCTGCTTAGTGTGCATGTTGATGAAGACATGGTGGCCGATGTCGAGAGCGTGGAAGTAGGCTTGGGATTTCGGACCTCGACCTTGGTAGTATGTGCCGCACACCAGGCAAGCGTAGACGTTGATATTCGATAGCGTGACACTGCATAACTTCTCGAAGTCAAAGTCCAGCACGCCGCGGTTGATGGTGTCGAGATATAGGTCTGAATAACCTTCAGCCGGGGCTTTCTGTCGCGTCGGGCCTGAGACAGCGGGTTGGTCGTCTTGATCTGCATCTAGCTCGGCCTCCTCCAGGGCTTCATCATCTTGCGCAGCAGCTTCAGCTATGCCATCGGTATGTCCATTGGTTGGTCGCGTGGTGAGAGTGGCAGGCGCATCTTGGTCGACAACATCCTCGACTCTGGCGCGTTTGGAGAAAGGAGAAGCAGTAGACTGTTCCAGAGGCTCGTCTGCCGGGCGCTTGCTCATGCTGAATATGCACAGTGATAATAATCAAGTTCGGAGGTGCTGTTTGGTCGCCGCAAGCTCTCTCTGATTGACGCCAAGGCCGGAGCATGACAGACAGCGGAGTCGAACTTGGGAATTTGTGAGGAAGCAACAACCAAGAGCCAACATTTTGTCCCTTCCTCATTCACATATCCCACGCACATCGCAACGATGGTCTGTTTCTGTTCCTCCCTCGATCAATTACTTTATTACTGACCTTCTCCAGTCGTACAACAACCCCACGCAAATCTTCGCCGACGATGTCACAGAGGAAAAGGGCGAGAATGCCCGTCTGTCGGCCTTTGTTGGCGCTATCGCTGTAGGAGACCTCGTCAAGACCACTCTGGGCCCCAAGGGAATGGACAAGATCCTGCAATCAGGCTCTACCGGTCAGATCATGGTTACCAACGACGGTGCCACCATCCTCAAGTCAATAGCCCTCGACAACGCTGCCGCAAAGGTCCTTGTCAACATCTCAAAGGTCCAGGACGACGAGATCGGTGACGGTACCACCTCTGTCACTGTTCTCGCCGCGGAGCTGCTGCGTGAGGCCGAGAAGCTCGTCGACCAGAAGATCCACCCCCAGACCATCATCGAAGGTTACCGCATCGCTTCCCAGGCCGCCCTGACCGCCCTCGCAAAGACCGCCGTCGACAACAGCGCAAACCCCGAAGCTTTCCGCAAAGATCTCGTCGCCATTGCAAGCACCACTCTCAGTTCAAAGGTCCTCTCACAAGAGCGTGAATACTTTGCCAACTTGGCCGTAGACGCCGTCCTGCGCATGAAGGGTTCCACCGACCTCTCCCACATTCAGATCATCAAGAAGGCCGGCGGCAAGCTGTCCGACTCATACCTCGACTCTGGCTTCATCCTCGACAAGAAGTTCGGTGTCAACCAGCCCAAGCGCCTCGAAAACGCAAACATCTTGGTCGCAAACACCGCCATGGACACGGACAAGGTCAAGATTTTCGGTGCCCGTGTCAAAGTCGACTCGACTGGCAAGTTGGCAGAATTGGAGAAGGCTGAGCGCGAGAAGATGAAGCAAAAGGTCGACCGTATCAAGTCGCACGGCATCAACTGCTTCGTCAATCGTCAACTCATCTACAACTGGCCCGAGCAGCTCTTCAGCGATGCCGGCATCTGCAGTATCGAGCATGCCGACTTTGATGGTGTTGAGCGTCTCGCTCTTGTTACTGGTGCCGAGATCACTTCTACTTTCGATCACCCCGAGCTCGTCAAGCTGGGCCACTGTGATCTGATTGAGGAGGTTATCATTGGTGAGGACACTTTGATCCGCTTCTCAGGAGTTGCTGCAGGTAAGGCCTGCACAGTTGTCCTGCGTGGTGCCACCGAGCAAATGCTCGACGAGGCAGAGCGCTCCCTCCACGACGCTCTTGCCGTCCTCTCTCAAACCGTCAAGTTCCCCAAGACCACTCTCGGCGGCGGTTGTGCCGAGATGAACATGGCCAAGGCCGTTGACCAGGCCGCCCAAAATGTCGCTGGCAAGAAGGCCATTGCCGTCGACAGCTTCGCCAAGGCTTTACGACAGCTGCCTACCATCCTCGCCGACAACGCCGGTCTGGACTCTGCCGAGCTGGTCAGCCGTCTCAAGAATGCAGTCTACAGCGGTATGACCAACTCAGGTCTCGACTTGCTGACCCCTGGCGGCGGTATCACAGATATGCGCGAGTTGGGTGTTGTTGAGGCCTACAAGCTCAAGCATGCTGTTGTGAGCAGTGCCAGTGAGGCTGCTGAGCTCTTGTTGCGTGTGGACAACATCATTCGCGCCGCCCCGAGGAGGAGAGAGCGTATGTAAATCGTTAAAAAGTTCAGATACCCGACGAGTAAAAGAAAGTCTTTCGGAAACCCTTCAAATCGTATCGCTCCGTCTTCTTTCAACATTCCCGGTGTGTTCGTTGAGGTTCTTTGCCATTAACAGCGTGGTATTCAAGGGCTGATCAGGGACCAAGTGTGAGTGCAGTTTTCCACACTGTACGTACCAAGTAAGCATAACTCATATTCAATACACTTATAGATAAATTCTGCTTCCTACAACATCGCTCTCAGTTCAGTAGCCTGGCCTCTATCCAATCCCAAATGCTCCACCACCATGCCCAAATGATCAAAGCCCCAATACTTCTCCGTCACGCCTTCCCTGTTGGTAGCCACAAACCACGGCAAGCCAAACGCACCCTCCTTGAACGCCAGATCGGTATTCGCCGTCAACTTTGCCTTTGCCTCTGACTTTGTATGCTGTGTTTAATTGTCATCAGCAACAGTCATCCCATCGACAATCGGGATCAAGGAGAAAGACATACCTGATTAACAACACTCTTGGCTCCCTCATCACCCAGCACCTCGGCAAGTACGGATTCAAACACAGCAGGCTCAGCGATGGCTTTTGTATCTACCCACATTGCTTTGTAGAGTGCTGCAATCGAGGGCGCTAGTTTATCCGGCTGAGAAACTTCTACCACGGCCAATGCTCTCATGACATGCAGAGTAAATGGAGGAAAACCCTTGGGCATCTCCTTCGCCATGGGGATGTTGGCGTATTTGGACCAGCGTTTTCGGTCTGATTCAATGTATCCTGCTTTGTCTGATTTTTCCATCTTGTCAGTCCATTGCGATCGTTTGCGAGTAGAGCATCTGTGTGTGTGTGTGTGGTGGTTTCCAACGTACTCGTGATGGAAATTGGAGGTCGATTGTCGCATGCTTTCATTACGCCACCCAGGAAGATTGGGATGTAGGTGATGTCTACTTGTTTGAAGGCTGGTGATTTTTGCAGAACGTAGAAGGCCATGTATGCGAATGGACTGACTATGTCCACAAAGAGGGTGAGTTTTGGTCTTGGAGACATTGTGGCGTAGAGTGGGACTCTTGCAAGTGCTTTTGGTAAGGAAAAATAGAATATAGATCTTGGAGTCGTGGGATACGGGAGAGTTGAAGTATGGGTTCGAAGTGTCGTTCCAATTGCTATGCAGGTAATGGGTTGTCCTCGGATGGAGGTTACTTTACTCGCTTTCCATGAGCCGAGGTGCGGGGGTGGGTGGTTGTTGTTTCCCAAGAGCAATGGGAATAACATGGGAATGCCTGATCAGACATCAACTTTCGATCCATGTCATCGATTCCACAGAACAATCTGACTTGTAAGACACTATGGATCAACATCGCACGAAGCATTGTCAACGAGATGCATACAAGGAAAAACAATTGCTATTCAAGATGTCTACAGTATATTGCTCATCCCCTACCGATAGCCTTTCAGATCAGCTAACATTGTTGCTGGAAGTGAAACCTATGGCTTCTTTTAGGCGCTAGGCGCTAGGAGATTTGTAGATGTTGAGAGTGGCAGATCCACCGCACATCTTGGAGCTGTCTCCCTTGCAAGGCATGTTACAGTTGGAGTCGTCAGGCAACTTCTTGGCTCCGTTGATGAGCTGGATAGCGTTACCGCACCTGTCGTGTATTAGTCGAAAGTCAGAGCGATGTAAGAAAAATTGAGAGCACTCACCAACACTCCTGGCCGTACTCGACACCAGCAAACTTGAGACCACGGGCCTTGCAGAAAGACTGGCACGCGGGAGGGGTCATGTTGTTGATGTCAGTGTAGTAGGTCGAGTTCAGGGCACGGTTGTAGTTGGTGGCCTCGCTGTAACAGCCTACGTAAGTCCAGTTAGGGTTGGCAATAGGCTTGATAGTGGTGGAGCAGTTGGGCTGGGTTGGCAGAGACTCGCCGACAATCCCACAAAGCTGTCCAGAGAACTGCTGGGTGAGGAGCAGGTCTTGAGGCGAGCACGAGGAAGCGACGCAGCAGGCAATGTCGTTCATAAACTCAGGGTGGCTGCAAATGCATTGAGGGTTGCCGTCGCACTCGGCAGGAAGACTTTGGGCGCATCTTTGCTGTATGCATGTCAGATCACCTGTACATCGTCTTGAACGAAGATTTAATTACTGCGCAGGCAGGAACTTGAGCGACGTCAATGCTGAGAGCCTGACTCAGACTCACAGGAACAGTTGTCCTGCTCACTGGAGTCGAGGCAGCAGCGGCACCCAGACAGGAGATAAGAGCTGTAAAGCCCAGGAAAAGAGTAGAGGTTTGCTTCATGTTGACTTGATCGATTAGTTTGTAATGTCAAGTTGAGCAGACCTGCATAGGAGCGGACGAAGCAGGTCAAAGTATTATAAGATGGGATCTACTCGGCACCCGTATGACAAAAGTGGGTTGATTGTCGATGAAAGAAATGTCGGTTGGCGTCGACTCAATAAGTCTTCCGCTTGTGGCTCGACAGACGAGGTAAGGTGGTTCATTGTTCGGAGATGCCGCATTCAGAAGCTCGACTTCGGCAGGCATTACCACAAGCAAGCCCACCCATCTATGACAGCATTTGCTCGACTTGGATCCCATGACCCTGAGGAAATGCAATACAGGTAGCACCCACCAAGCAGACTCAACCCGACCAGTGATTGGTGTGGGGATGAACAAAGGGTTGGCATCGATTTCTGTGGAACATTCTGGTCGGAATGTAAGCTACCCTACATAGTCGACTGGCGAGGAATGTGATTCAGATCATTGATAATTTGCTTCCCAGACGCAGATAGTGCATTTAAGAGGACATGTCGTGGATTGACTTTGAAACTCTTGGTATCCGCGTTGACGTTGCTGTCGTCAAAGGAAGATAATCATCGGTAGAGCCACAACAGCAGCTGAATGATCGAGGCGGTACGGCTTGTCTTTGTGTCGGGAAAGCTGATCGTATAATCTCGATGGTTCGTTCCCACTGCTGCAAGTAGCGTTTTCTTCTTCAAAGCCCTCAAAGCTTCTTGGTTGGCCATCTTCATCCTCGCTTTCATTTCGGGTAGCCATTAAAGTGTTTCACCAGGAAAATGTACTGCAGCTACACCCATTCTGCACATAACCATATATCCATATATGAATGCGTTTTATAATTAGAAAATATGTACATACCAAGAATGACGATGGACGTGAGTTTGCGGGTAGCCTTAACCTCAGAAGTTGGATCTGTTGTATGCCAGCCACGTCTTCCACGGCTGTCGCCAGTCGGTCACTCTGAGCTTCGGGGCAAAGACGTCAAAGTCGTGCTTTTGCAACCTCTCGAGCCACAGACTTGTGGGGACAGCAGAAAGGTAGACGGGGAAAGCCTGCTGGATCTCTTGTGCAGACGTTGAAGTCTGAGGAGAAGCGTAATTCATGTGTTCCTCCTCGTGGCCATGCTCAAAGTCGTGGCCTGCGTCCTGACCAGCTCGCAGGTTCTTTACCATCTCTCTTGCAGTGATGAGGTGGTCGCTAGCCCTTGTCGCGACTTCGAAGACAGCATCCCTCAGACCGGGAGCCTCGGCACCTTCGCGAAGCACTTGTTCTTCTCGCACGCCGTGACTTGCCATGACGTCTAGGGGCAGCATGACAGAGCCTTGTCTAGTGGCACCGACCTGGCCAGCCATGCCTCCTTGATTCGAGTGATGGTTCGCCGGAGGCGGAAAAGCTAGCAAGGGTAAGCCTCTCAAGATAGTGGCGATTCCGGTTGCCTTTCCGATATGTGAAGCGACGTGATCTGCGGAGAGGGAGGCCATTGGCATGGCTTGAAGGGTCAAGTACATCAGTGTCGAGTATGTGTTCTCGGCATATGACTCGATAGCGGCCAGGTCAGGGTAGGGTGGATTCGTCAGGTACTGCTCTCTGGTGGATATGATTCTGTTGAACCAGCTCTTGCTGAACTTTGATTTGCCATTGGTCCTCCTCTGCAAGTCCTCAGCGGCATGGGCGAGCAAGATGGCGATGGGCTGTTTCGGAGGAGTTCCAGCCAGTGCTTTGCCTACGGCGTCTCGCTGGAATTGGAGGCGCATCGAACCAATGGTGGGAGTACTCGTGGTATCGGCAGTCCTAGCGACTTCTATATTGAAAGCGCGAATGGCGAGGTAGGCGTCTCGGGTTTTGGGGGCCATGTATGAGTGTAGAAGGAACGAGGGAGTGTCGTATTTTCTGCAGTACTATTAGATCAGGTACACGAGAACTGGCAAAACTGGTGCACACCTGAGAAGATCCAGACAGTAGGCTCTCGCTGAGCCCACCTCTGCCTCGGACGACACTGTCGCAGCAGGTTGCTGTGCCTCGGTGGCATACGTCCTCCGGAATCGACATTGCTGTCTGCCGAGCGTACCTCGCAGCGTACGATATGCTGTGTGGCTCTTCATGGGTGTTTAGATTGCAAAGTAGAAGGAAGGCGAGATACAGCTTCGAGTCTGTCGCAACATTTCTAAACCATGACGGCGAATACGGAGTTATCATGACGATTGAACGCCGAATAGAGCTTAGATTTGCACAATATTCACAATATCGAAGCCGGCTTGCATCAAGTTTCACAAATTAATTGGACGCGTCCCTCAACGCGTCTTCCTGCTTCGCTCCTTCCGCAGAGAGGCGTTGCGACACACCCATCGTGTCCTTCCTCATACGTGACACACAGAAGCTTGTGACAATCCGAGATGAGCATATCGCAAATGGACGAGCGACCAAACAAGAAGAGACGTTTCTTCGCCGACAGAGCCCCGTCTCAAGATGCTTCTTTCGCCTCCGATCCCTCTGGCCCAGACGAAATCAGTGCACTTCCCAAGAACGATCAAGATGCCACCAATACTACACAATCCGGACAAGACTCGACTACATCCACTTCCAACTACTTCGATCCGTCTCTGTTCCAAGCCTTCGTAGGCAACGATGCCCCCGACACTACCATCAATGCCCTCCAACGCATATGCGCCAACGATGTCGAGCGAGCAGTCAACATGTATCTGGATGGCTCATGGCAGAACCACCCTCTAATCTCCAGTGTCCCCACAACTGCCTCACATCTTAGTCGACTAAAAGTCAAGGACACACCACCCGCCTCTGCACGAACGATTGACCTACCGAAGGTCGATTTGTCCGCTATGCCCACAAAAAGATACATTGGTGCCTTGGGAGTTGTTGGCTGGACTACCCGTAGTGGTACTGGAATCATCACGTCTGGAGAGACTGTCAAGATTGAAAGAGCTAGACCGTCACAGCAGAAGGTTGGCAAGGGAGGCAAGTCGCGTGCCTCCACTCGTCAAGACGTTATTGTTCGTTTTACCAATGCCAAAGAAGAAGAGGTTGGCCGCTTAGAGCAGGACTCTGCCGCCTGGATTTCGACTCTGATGGACCAAAATATATGCCATTTCGAAGGTCATTGTATCTTCGCACCCGATCGTGTCCGTACCAACGACACTGTCTATCTTCAGTTGCGATGCTTTTTTCTCAAATCGTGCTTCTCCGCCGGAAACTTCATCAAGCCATTGGACAATAACAGGGAAACTGGCTTATATGAAGCTAAGGAAACTCGAGATGAAAAAGACCTCAGACTACGCCAGATTGGCCTGGTGAAATTGTTCTCAGAAGTCAACCTCCATCCATCACGCGCCAACTCCGCGACCGAAAAGCATAAGAGAGAAGGCATTTTGCGTGCTGCCGAGATACCTGAGCAGACCGAGCAAAGTACTGCCAAACCAGCAAAATCCTCTGATCCGGCCCCTTCATCCCCTCCCTCTGATGATGCTGAAGATGGCCAAGAATTGGAGCAAGACCAACTTGACAGCCTCTACAGGAAAGCACAATCCTTCGACTTCAACACACCTGTCATGCAACCTGCCGAAACGTTCGTCATGGATCTACGGAAGTATCAGAAACAAGCCTTGCACTGGATGGTGGGCAAGGAGAGAGATCAAAAGTCTGATAACAAAGAAGTGTCGATGCATCCGCTCTGGGAAGAATACACATGGCCAACGAAAGATGCAGACGATGCACCAGTACCTCAAGTTGAGGACCAGCCAAGCTTTTATGTGAACCCTTACTCCGGTGAACTGTCATTAGATTTCCCTGTTCAAGAGCAGAACTGCCTCGGAGGTATTCTGGCTGACGAAATGGGACTTGGCAAGACGATCGAGATGCTCAGTCTTGTACACACGCACACTTCAGAATTTGGCTTGCAAGGCTCTAAGATGTCAACGGTTATGGACCTGCCACGGTCGCCTAAAAGCTCTCCTCTGGTCGCTCGAGCGCCGTGTACCACCTTGGTTGTTGCTCCCATGTCGCTGCTAGCGCAGTGGCAAAGTGAAGCAGAGAAGGCTTCGAAGCCCGGGACGCTCAAGACTTTGGTCTACTATGGCTCAGACAAGAACGTTAACTTGAAGACATTGTGCTGTGAAGCCAATGCGGCATCCGCACCAAATGTCATCATCACTAGTTACGGCACTGTGCTGTCAGAGTACAATCAAGTGGTTGCTGCCGGTGGTGACAGAGGATCAAGCGGCGGGTTGTTCTCCATCGAGTACTTCCGTGTCATTCTTGATGAGGCTCACATGATCAAGAATCGGCAATCAAAAACTGCTCGCGCTTGCTATGAGATTGCTGCAGAACACCGCTGGACATTGACAGGTACGCCAATTGTCAACCGTCTGGAAGACCTTTTCAGTCTCGTACGTTTCCTTCGTGTCGAGCCTTGGAGCAATTTCTCCTTCTGGAAGACATTTATCACTGTTCCTTTCGAGTCCAAGGACTATGTAAGGGCACTTGATGTCGTCCAGACTGTACTCGAACCCCTCGTCCTGAGACGTACAAAGGACATGAAGACGCCAGATGGAGAAGCGCTGGTGCCGTTGCCCCCACGGACTATCGACATCCAAAAAATTGAGCTCTCAAAGGTAGAACGTGATCTATATGATCACATTTTCGCTCGAGCTAAGAGGACGTTCGCTGCTAATGTCGAAGCTGGAACACTAATGAAATCATACACTACAATCTTTGCACAAATTTTACGACTTCGACAGTCATGTTGTCACCCAACTCTGGTGCGCAGCAAAGGCATCGCTGCAGATGAAGATGACGCTGAGGCAGCAGCGGACATCGCCAACGGTCTTGCTGATGATATGGATTTGCAATCTTTGATCCAACGCTTCGAGTCTGAGGCCGAAGAGGAGGATGCCAGCCGATTTGGTGCTAATGTGCTCAAGCAAATCCAAGCGGAGTCGAACCACGAGTGTCCGATTTGTTTCGAAGAGCCTATGGAAGAGCAATCTGTCACGGGCTGCTGGCACAGTGCTTGCAAAAAGTGTCTTCTGGAATTGATCGAGAATGCAACCAACAAGAACGAGCTGCCACTGTGCTTCAACTGTCGTGAGCCCATCAACGCACGCGACATCTTTGAAGTCATCAGACACGACGATGAAGACGAACAAGAAGCTGGCGTGGCCAAAGACAAATCACAGAACAGCTTCGAGGACATTTACACAGCGACTCAGCCCAGCGATTCGGTTGACTCCCAACAACGACTCCCTCGCGTCTCCCTGCGCCGCGTCAACACTCTCTCCTCTGCCAAAATTGGTGCTCTCTTGACACATCTGAAGCGCATCAAAAAGGCTTCTGCAGCTACAAAATCAGTCATCTTCTCTCAATTCACCTCTTTCCTCGACATCCTCGAACCCGCTCTCGACGGCGCCTCAATCCCCTACCTCCGCTTTGACGGCAGCATGGCCCAGAAAGCCCGCGCTGCTGTTTTGACCGAATTCGCCAACCGCACAAAGGGTTGCGTGCTCTTGCTCTCCCTCAAAGCAGGCGGTGTAGGTTTGAACTTGACGTGTGCGAGCAATGTCTTTATGATGGATCCTTGGTGGAGCTGGGCTGTCGAGTCACAGGCTATTGACCGCGTGCACCGCATGGGCCAAACCCAAGAGGTCAAGATCGTGAGGTTTGTGGTTGATCAGAGTATAGAGGAAAAGATGCTCAGAGTGCAAGACCGCAAGAAGTTTATTGCTAGTTCGCTGGGTATGATGAATGAGGATCAGAAGAAGTTACAGAGGATTGAGGACATCAAGGAATTGTTGAGCTAAAGAGGCTTCATGATACAGACCGAGTCTTCTGGTTTCCGACTTTCAAATGGGGTGCACTTGCTCTGGGATCACAAGAGCGTTCTGGGGGCGTTCACAACATTTTGTAGATATGCATTTTCAAAGCGTGTAGAGATTAGACTTTGATTGCTTTTCTTCATGTCTGCTCTCTGCTTCGCTTCTGGCTTAAGTACTATTTGTTGTGGGCATCATGTTTTCCTTCCTTGGACACTGCCGAATGTGTATGCTCCGACGGTGTCTAAGACGAGCAACATTTGACCGACGGTTTCCAAGCCTCAATTCGGTCACTCTTGCTTGAATATTAGGTGATGAGCACATAGCCACGTGTCGGGGTCTTCAAGTTCCAGATTATCGTAAAATCCGACCAAGATAATGGGGTGTTCTGGTTCCCTAACTGATTGTTTCGATGATAGAGCTTTGGTCGCGGACTTTCCAAAAGTCGTCTGCCGGTGTGTGTTTGGGGTCGCCGTTGCAATGTTGACGCCGCTGATCAAATATCAAAGAAAGAGGCGTCAAACTTGCTCTCGCCGCCTTCGTCCCCAGCACTTCCAGAAAAGTCGCCCATGTCAAACTCCGTGAAGTTCATAATATCGTCAAAGGTGTCGTCTCTGTTGCCCATGTCGGGCTGCTCTTGCGCATTCGGCTTGGCGTCAACCTTGGGAGCACTGCCAAAGTCACCAGCACCTGCAGCGTCAAAGATGTCAAAGTCCGCAGATATCGATTGGAGGTTTGAGTCTGTGCCTCCATTGCCGCCGCCCGAATTTGCATAGCTTTCGAGGCCTGGAAGTAGGGACGATATGCCGTCTGTGTCTTGCATGTCTGTGTCGGCGGGGCCGAAGTTGGTCAGGTTGGCAAAGTCGAAGTCGTCGTTACTATCGTTGAAGGATGCTGGTTTGATAGGCTCTTCGTTGGGAATAGTCATTGTTCTGACTGGAGGTGGGGTTGGGTCTTTGGCAGGAGGGTTTGCGGGAACCGTTTCCTCTGCTTGGGGTGGAGGTGGTGAAGGAACAGGTATATTCTTTGGACTTGTACGGGATGTGGTGCCCACAGTGCCCACGCTACCTGGATCGTTGAACAGAGATTCGAAATCAAAGTTGCTGTATGTGCCGGTATTCTCATCGCCAGGGTGACCTGCGGCTTGATGGTCCTGTCCAGGGATGTCGAGGTGCAGAGGCGAGGTTGATTTGACCGCTTGCTCCCCTTCAGGAAGTGAGTCCACTTCCTTGGGTGGCGATGGTTTGGCATGCTCAACTGGCGACTCGCCCATGACAATATCGTCATCCAGATTAATCGCTGTTGTGTTGTCCATGCCGTCTGGAGGGTTCACTGTGGTAGTGGCTCCAGGTCTCGATCGGACTCCCCGCTGCGACCGGTATACAGCAAGGTCACGCCGCATGACAGCGCGTGCCAGAGCCTGATAACATTATCAGTGCCTGTTTGTTGATCGGCGTGATAAGATGGAGCACAGAACGTTGTGACGCAGAATTTCAAAAGACGAGCAATAACATGGACTTGAAATATATTGAATCACAATCATGACAACTTACCAGTTCGCCTTCCAACTGATCAAGCGCATCGTGGAAGTTGTTGTTTGCACCGGCAATGACTTGTTTTAGTCTCAGGGGGTTGTTGATCTGGCCATGGTTTCTCGCGTTATTGGCAAAGAGACGACCTGTGTGTTCCAGCTGCTCGCGGGATTATCAATTAGCACGACTTGCAATGGTATTGCGAGCAGCGATGATATACGCACGACAAGATTGACCTGCGCCTCGAGTTGGTCCAGCGGCGATCTGACGGGCTGGGCACGATCCATGTCGAAATTATGGCGTGACACGTGCCGGAGTGGCAAGGCTCAGGTTCACAACGAGGGGGCACAGAGAGGAGCAGACGATGTTGGATGTCAAAAGATGGCTGCACGTCTCTCAGCACGCAGCAGCAGCGGTCGGCGAACGACGTTCACGGCAGGCAGGCAAGGGAGCAGGTCCGGGCAGGGCAGTAATTAACCTTGTTCCGCAAGTGCACGCAAAACGTCAAAAACTGCCAACTCTGCAACAAAGATTCGGCGGCTGTGTTTTAGGGACCCTGGCGCGGGCGCTAACTACTAGTAGGATTAGATATGGTTGTGTGGAGCCACGACCTTTGGAGCTCCCACTCATCCTGCTCGGCTCTTCGTCTTGTCTCCTTCCCATCTCTTTCCTAGCTGCTGTCACGTCGCTTGTCCCGTTTCCCTACACCTTTTTCCTTTGCCTTGACCCGCACATTTCGGTGTTTTGTTCAGCGTTTGAGAAACTTGTTTTCCTTTTGGCCAAATCTCTGACTTTTTTCCTTGTCCTGAGTCCTCCATCTCCGTCTGCCAGCCCGCCCGTCCACCAAGACTCCAACTGTACCCTTGCAGCTCGAGTTCATTCGACAGAGTCCTTTCCACCTCGTACTAGTTGACCTGTACGACAAAAGACATCCGTCTGAGCATCAGTCCGACCCCACCAACGACCAGCTTCTGCAGCAACCAACACACGCGCTTGTCCAAGCTTCAACCCCGGCCTTTGTTCCATCAATTGTCTCGGCCTGTTCCACCCGCAATCCAGTCCGACTCGCTCTATCTCGCGCGTCAAGAAAAATGTCCGACAACCAGAACCAGATGCAGATGCCCGCTGCCCCCTCGGCCGGCGGTGCCCCTGGCCAGTACCCCCCGCTCAACATCCCTCAGAGCACCATCGAGGCCAACGCCATGACTGATGCCATGAACAACAATGGCAATGGTCTGAACTCGCCTGGCAGCGCCGGCGGTCCCCGCCGTGCCGCTCCTGAGCCAAACAAGAGAGCTCTCTACGTTGGTGGTCTTGACCCCAGAGTCACAGAGGAAGTGCTCAAGCAAATCTTCGAGACCACCGGACACGTTCAGAGTGTTAAGATCATCCCTGATAAGAACGTGAGTCTCGATTGTCCCTCTTTGTATCTCATATCTGGTCGTGACCGCTGTTTCTGCCTTCACTTTCAACAATCATGGTTGCCTGGGCTGCATGCGCATGCATCTGCCTGCATCATGCAGATTCACGTGTTGTTTGCGCTGGCTGCGCTGCTCACTCCCATTTCTGCCACCACTCTTCGTTGCACCAAAAACCACCATCCACTGACAACACATTTCCCTAGTTCCAGTCAAAAGGATTCAACTACGGCTTCGTTGAGTACGACGATCCCCTCGCCGCCGAAAGAGCAATGCAGACTCTCAATGGAAGACGTGTCCACCAGTCGGTAAGCACATGGTCACTTGCGCAACCAAGTGAACCCTCGCTAACATATGCTGTCAGGAAATCCGCGTGAACTGGGCCTATCAGTCCAACACCACTAGCAAGGAAGACACTTCTGGCCATTTCCACATCTTTGTCGGCGATCTCTCCAATGAAGTGAACGACGAGGTCCTCCTCCAGGCCTTCTCCGCCTTTGGCAGCGTTTCCGAGGCCCGTGTCATGTGGGACATGAAGACCGGCCGCTCTCGTGGCTATGGCTTCGTTGCTTTCCGTGATCGCGCCGAGGCCGAGAAGGCTCTCAGCTCCATGGACGGCGAGTGGCTGGGCTCTCGTGCTATCCGTTGCAACTGGGCCAACCAGAAGGGTCAGCCTTCGTTTGCCCAGCAGCAGGTCATGGCCCAGATGGGTATTACCCCTCCCGGTCCCTTCGGCCAGCACCACCAGTTCCCTACTCAGGGCGTCCAGTCCTACGACACCATCCTTGCCCAGACTCCCCAATGGCAGACCACCTGCTACGTCGGCAACCTTACTCCCTACACCACCCAGAACGACCTTGTTCCTCTGTTCCAGAACTTTGGCTATGTCACCGAGACTCGCTTCCAGTCTGACCGTGGCTTCGCTTTCGTCAAGATGGACTCTCACGAGAATGCTGCCATGGCCATCTGCCAGCTCAACGGCTACAATGTCAACGGCCGTCCTCTCAAGTGCAGCGTAAGTTTCTTTTGTGCTTTTTGTAAGAATCGTTGCTAATCGTCGCACACAGTGGGGCAAGGACCGTCCTCCTACCACCAACTTCGAAGGTTTCTCGCCTGCCGCCGCTGCCGCTGCTGCTGTTGGCGGTAACGCTGGTTACCCTCCCACTCCCCAGGGCTTTGGCTTCCCTCAGTACGGTGCAGCCGCTCCCATGTCTCCTCAAGGTACGATCAAGTTGAATTGTCATATCATCCTAGCTCCTAACATTCCTTTAGGTCCTAGCCCTGGTGGCTTCCAACAGCCTGCTGCTCAGTTCGCTGGTGCCAATATGGCCGCCTACGGCCAGATGCCTCAGAACGGCGGTGGCTTCGGTCGTGGCAACTACATGGGTGGACCTCAAGGTGGTGCCTTCAACAACTACGGCGGTTACCAAGCTTAGAAGGCTTGTACCCCGATTACGTCGACCACTGCTCAGCAAAAGGTAACAGCGCTGCGTGGCGGAGATGGCAGACTCAACCAGAAACCGAGATACGCCGACGACTGAAACATCGACGACATTGGCTCAAGTGAGTAGCCGTCGACACGAACATTTCCTTGTCAGTCCTGTCGTTGGATAGGAAGTCCCTTTTTCCAATTCTGTCATTCGTCACTCGATGTTTTCAGCTCTTTATACCCTCGCAACTTCGTGCACACAGCATGGGGTTCGTCAAAGTTGTGCTTTTACTTTGCATGTGGGGAGCGGTTCTGTTTTGTTGCTCTTCAAGAAAAATCAAGCATCTCGTTTCAATTTCATGGATACAGACAATGCGCAGAACGAGGCACACGGAAGAATGGACGGAGACATTTGGAGGATTCGAAACAAGGAAGCATTTATGTAGCTCTCTGCCTTTTTCTCCGTTTCTCATCTTCCTTTTCTCTTCTCCTTCCTCTCTTGGTAAATCTTTCGATGAACATGTCTTTTCCTATGTTAGTTTCTGTGGAAACCGATGCAAATTTCGTCCCATTTTCTCGAAGCTCTATACCCATCTTTTGAATATGTTTTTTTCTGTCTCTATCGTCTGCTCTAGAAAAGCGGATTGGTACATAGTTTGCAAGCAATGCAGAATGCAGATATCGACGGACTCTCATGTACTTGAAGAATCATCTGGCTTGAATAGCAAAGACACGATCAAACATGCAGAGTGTTGGTGAAAGGGGCAGACACATGAAGCGGTAGCCTAGAAGCATGGGGTAGGTAGCGGTAAACGCCGGGCGCGTCGAGCAAAGTTTACGCGTAGCCGACTCCGATGGCGACAAAAGTGGTTTACGTTCGAGCAGACGTGGGAGTGGTTGAAATCGTCGCCCTGATCCTATTAGCGCTGGTCGTGGTGTACTGCATGCTGGGAGGAGGTTATAGCGCTACGGGATTGCTGCGCGGGTGGATTGGAAGAAGGTCAATCGCCAGAGCTGCTGCTGCTACTGCCCACCAGAGGCAACAACTCGAAGCACACGCACACGCACAAGCACAAGTACGAGCACATTCCGTCGCCATTGCCAGGTCGCACCCGATCCCACGCTCCTTTGCCTCGCACGACGACCCTCTGCACTCTCGCAACATGCTGAGTGCTGCAGTCAACAAGCACAACGCCTCGACTGCTGCTCCTAGGCCTGTCGACCAGCTCTTCTCTTCTAGCCCTCCGATCCACCAGCAATCCCAGAAATCCTCCATCTTGTCTGCCACCTCCAGAAATCCCAGGTCCCTCAACGGTATCAAGCGTACACACAGCGGCCTCGCAAAGACCTTTGGCAACACTGCCTCGTTCGACGATGAGCAGAGCCAGCCTGTGGTATGCGCCGTCCCTGAAGTCACCAACAGCGAATACTTTGATGCCGACGATTTCGACGATGACTTTGACCTTGATGATTTGATTGTCGAAGAGCCCAAGTTCAAGCGGCCCGCCCCAAAAACCGATATCTCCAAGACCCAGAACACCATCTCATATCCCTCTCTTCCCAAATTCACCGCTCCGCAACACACTGCTTTTCATCCAACCCTTCCGAGACGCCAGGTCCGCGATTCCAAAACTCCCGATGATTCGGGCTACGCTACTGCACCTCCGTCCCAAGAACACATACCTCAAGAAGACTATGGAAGTAGTGCTCCATTGCCCTGGTCTTCCTCGCCTACCGAACACTTGAATCCTTCGCTCAATGCTTCCTCGCTTCGCCGCTTTGCCTACAACACCAACAATGGTCCTGCCGCTCCTCGAGCACAACCGACATCTGCTCCTGTCAAGATCGAGTCCGTCAAGACTGAGCCGGGAGCTGCTTCCAAGCGTAGAACGATACCGTGGCTAAAGCAAGAGACGTCACAACCAGAACAAGACCTCCACTCTATACCCCCCTCGAAAAGACGCGTCGTCGATGCAACTCCTGTTCAAACATCCAAAAAGAGTGCTCTTCCATGGAACACAACCGCAAGCGCTATCAAGGAACAGAAGACCAATCTTCGCGAGATCAATAAGAAGAAGTCAAAGACCAACGAGCCCTCCGACGAGGTTATCCAGAAAGCAAAAGTCAAGAGTCGCAAGAACGCCGTCGCTCGTGTCTTCCTCAGTGACGAACAACAACATGTTCTCGAGTTGATCTCTGAGAAGAAGAAGGCTGTTTTCTTCACTGGTGCCGCTGGTACTGGTAAATCCGTCCTTCTGCGTGAGATCATCGCAACCTTGCGCAAGAAGTATCTTCGTGAGCCTGACCGAGTTGCCGTCACAGCTTCCACTGGCCTTGCTGCGTGTAACATTGGTGGTGTCACCTTGCACAGTTTTGCTGGTATTGGCTTGGGCAAAGAAGATGTTCCTGAACTGGTAAAAAAGATCAAGCGCAACCAGAAGGCGAAGCACAGGTGGATGCGCACAAAAGTTTTGGTCGTCGACGAGATCTCAATGGTTGACGGTGATCTGTTCGACAAGCTCGAAGCTATCGCTCGGCAGATCAGAAACAACGGACGACCCTTTGGCGGTATCCAACTCGTCATTACTGGCGACTTCTTCCAACTCCCCCCGGTGCCGGATAGTGGCAAGATTGCCAAATTTGCATTTGACGCAGCCACATGGTCGACAAGCATCGAGTACACGATCGGACTGCATCATGTCTTCCGTCAGAAAGATCCTATATTTGCAAACATGCTCAACGAGATGAGAGAGGGACGCATGAGCCCGGAAAGCATCAAAACATTCCATACGCTTAGCAGGCCCTTGGAATCAGAGAGTTCCATCGACGCCACCGAGCTCTTCCCAACCAGAAACGAGGTCGAGAATGCCAATCACAGCAAGATGAGCCAGCTTGTTGGCGAGATCAGAACCTTTGACGCACGAGACGGAGGCAGTATTACTGACAAGGCTTTCCGCGACAAGCTACTTGCCAACTGCATGGCTCCCGAGACTGTGACACTCAAAAAGGGTGCCCAGGTCATGCTCATCAAGAATATCGATGAAAGTTTGGTCAACGGTTCTCTGGGAAAGATCATTGGATTCATGAACGAGATGCAGTTTGACTCTTATAATAACAATGAAGAGGCTTTCATGGCTACTCAAGGTGGAACACTCAAGGATGAGGACGCTGTCCGCGACAAGAAGAAGACTGCCCGTGAACGGCTCCTGGAAAACATGCTCGGGAACACTTCCCAAATCTACCCAGTGGTTCGCTTTACACTGGCAGACGGCACGACTCGAGACCTGCTATGTCAACGCGAGACCTGGAAGATTGAGCTTCCAGATGGAGAGGTTCAAGCCTCGCGCTCGCAGATTCCACTCATCCTCGCTTGGGCACTGAGTATTCATAAAGCTCAAGGCCAGACACTGGACAGAGTTAAAGTAGATCTCGGCAAGGTTTTCGAGAAAGGACAGGCATATGTTGCACTCTCGCGTGCAACCAGCATGCAAGGTCTGCAGGTGTTGCGCTTCGACCCACGTAAAGTCGTCGCTCATGAGAAGGTTCGCACATTCTATCAAAACCTTTCCCGGGTGGAAGGTTTAGAGCAGAGCAAACCAAAGGTTGAAAGGGGTAAAAATGCCAGTCGTGGCAATGGTGTTACTGCTAGCGAGTATGAACGTGGTTTCTCTGATGGAAGGCTGTAGATATGGTTTCACGGTTGCTTGTATTTCTTTTGTCTCGGATGCCTGTGTCAGGCTGGTCGGCAGGCGCTTTTGGGGCCCATGAGTGGCATCACCGATACCCTATTCTCATTTTATGTGTGTATCTTACATCGAACATTATACCAATCGATACTTTGTTCTCCTCTTCGCATTACCCACTCTGTAGGCCGTGGGCAGAAGCGTGTAGCCTGGACATCTCGCTCTGCTGGAAGACACAGGTCCGAGTATTTGCATGACCTGAATCAAGTCCGAGGCCCTTTGTTGGTGATCCCTGGTGATAATTGTCGCGTCTTGCGCGTCCTAGCTACGTCATCGTCTCTTCTACCTACCTTTCGAACAGATAAACATTTTGGCCTGGCATTTCTACCTATTTTCTCTTCCCTATCGACCTTTAGAATGCATCATATCAAAGAGGCTTTCGAGCATCTGAAAGCTAGAAACGGTCCTGGCCAACAGCCTCCCCACCAGGATCATCAAGGTGGTGGGTTCCCGGGCAGCCAGGTCCAGCAACCCACCCAACCTCAACAACCCCTGCCTCCACAGGTACCTCCGGGTCATCACAAGCACAGCCCACTGTCCGGAACGACTCAAGGCGCGATCGATGTATTCATGGCTTCCAAGCAGCCGAACGGCGAGATCGGCGGCATAGGATATTGGCAGACGGCCAACGGCTACACGTGCATTGCTCTGAGAGATGCTTGGTCTGGAAGCAATCGCAATGCCACACTGCTCCGTGACCGACTATCGACAGTAGAGAGCCATCACAAGCATTTCATCAATGAATTCAATGACGATACCCTGTGGTGGGGTAACTGTCTACTCGATGCTTATATGACCAACCCGGATCCTTACTACCTCGAGAATGCTCGCAAAATCTGGCAGCATGTCAAACGTAGTATGTTGTTGCCAGGTCAAGCCAAGGTGAGAGATATGGACATGGCTGGCGCGGTCATGTGGACCACTCGGCAAAACGAAGAACAAGTCAACGCTATCACTACCGGTCTCTTCTCTGAGCTCTCTGCTCGCCTGGCTTTACTCCAGAAGCCAAGTCGGGAGACTGCAGAAATGCTCGATGTGGCTGAGAAGAGTTTCGCTTGGATTGAACGCTGCCGTTACCGCTCGAATGAGTGCATTGTGCTCGACACGATCAAGCTGAGGTCGCAAGAATGCGTCGACTGGACATTCACCTACTGCACCGGACAGGCTATAGCTGCAGCCACTGCAATCTTCGCAGCATTCAGCTTTGGTCATCAGAGCACGCATAGCAACAAGTCGCCACACGAGTACCTCTCGCTAGCATGTGCCATGGCGCGTAAAGCAATCTGTCGTAATGGTTGGGTTGAGCAAGACGGTACATTGACCGAACATGGCGCTTATGGAAAAGGCAACCACGAGCCGTGGAAGAACGATGATGCCGTTGGCTTCAAGTCTGTCTTGCTGCGCAGTCTGGCCAAGCTGCTCAAAGTCCTACGTGACACCAACCAAGAGCCAGATCTGCAGCGTCAGTTGACCGAGTTCATAAAGAAACAATTCGACAGTCTGCAGCAGCGCAACACGAACGGGAACCATCAATATGGTCCATGGTGGGCAGGACCTATGGAGATGCCGACGAGCCATAGTCAGATGGCAGCGCTGGATGTTATGGCGGCTATTCATCTTGCTCAGCAATGAACTGATAGACCTATATATTATGCACGCAATACAAAACGAAGCGCTGCTGTGTCCGTAGCGAGGAGATGTAACACTGATGATGAGCAAAAAGAAATCTCCTCTCTCTGAGTCGAACAAAGGACCTTCTGATGACAATTAACCAATTACAGTCAGACGCTCTAAACCAACTGAGCTAAGAAGAGATTGATGGAAGCACGCCTATCTTGTGGAAATATAGCCCAACAAATGTCTGCCACGACCTGGGCACATGACCTACCACGCGACACTCACGCTCGAGCTTCAACTGCAACGAAATTATGCCCATTGAGCACACTCCATCGGCAAGAAATGTGATAGCTCATGTGACGACAGCAGTCTATTACTTTTTCTGCATGGAATGCTTCTCATCCCATTGCAATCTTTCTTTCTTACCATTCATATCTCACGATATGTGTGGGTTGAGCTGGCTCGTGCTGTTTCGAGCTTCGAAGATGTTTGGAATTCTGGATTGCGACGTGGCATCACGATTACTGCTACATCATGATTAGCCTGCATTGAGTTCCAGTCTGAGAAAACCCACAAAGTGCTGCTGCTTAACCGCAGTCGCTTTAGAGGGTGGAAAAACGTATGTTGGATCAAGCGTTCAGTCGAGGGCCACGTCGACGGGGTTACCCTGTTCCTCAACCATGCAGCATCATCGGCTACCTACCACGTATTTTGTGATTCATATTCGACGGGAGCAAAAAAACTTCCATCAAAAGGGGTTGTGGTCTAGTGGTATGACATCTTCTTAGCATTGCTCTTCGAGCATTACTGAGTGGAGAAGGTTCTGGGTTCGATTCCCAGCTACTCCATTTTTTGCCGGCGATGTGGCCATGGGCCGCCAGTGCTTGTGCAGAGCAGGTGAATTCTTGTGCCGTCCTTTGGAAGTCTGTGTTTTGTAAACAGTAAGAGCCGACTGACTTTGCCGGCGTCGTCACCAACCGTGAAAGTGCCGTGTGTCTCTTGACTCGCTTGTCTTACCCAGGTATATGGCCTTTTGATTGATCGCTATCAGATGATGTCTAGTCCAGCATATGAACGAAGAAACTGTCGCTTCCGAAGCGAGATCATTATCATATACTTCCCAACGCCGCAGCCACGAGTATCGCTATGTAATATTGGACAAGACCACACTGCTGGGTGTTTGGCCTGTTTGTCACCGCCATCACATGCATATAGAGACTTGATGTGTCAGCCTGTTCGCTCTTTCCTCGTCGAACAGTCGGTAGATGGCTTGCCTTCGATCGAACATGTCACGCACGTCGTGGAGTGTGCTCGCAAGAGTTCCACGTGGAGAGCACTGACCCGCTCGCTCGCAGACCTTCGAGTCGTGAAATCGTGCAGGTTCCTGGAGACCGACTCATACAAATTTTGAGGAAAAATAGGAGTGCCACGACACACACCAGTCTCGAGAGACTTGCAATGACTGATCCGAGCCTTTGGCATCCAATTGTTGACAGTTCTCAGACCGAGACAGCTCTCGAACGAAAAACATCGGTGATCCGCATGGCCACCTAGCTCGAGAGATCGACAGGGCTTGATTGTCGGATTAGCGGATAGCCGTTGGCGACACACACACTCGAGTCAACAAAAAGCTTCCGACCTGACTCGGAAGCTCATTCTCCAAAGTGACAGACGCAAATCAAAAGGGTCCTCGAGCCGTCTCCCTCGAGCGGACAAGAGGTTCTATTTCGAAGAAGTCAGATGCTCGAGCATCCTCCGCATTGTCACGGAACAGATTCAATGTTGAGTGGAAAGCTATCCCTAAGCGTCGCAACCCATGCAGAACATCTGGAGATGTCTTACTAAGGCAGCTTCAAGGCTCTTACGTTTCATGCTATGATGGAGCCGTTGAAGACGTTCGAGATCGAGCTTAATCTCACCGGCCTGATGCCGCACCACGAACGATGATGCGCCATCATGGTACTCTAAGCTTCGTATATAACCCTGATGCCTCCTCCACAACGATGGATGTGTTTGAGTATCCATCTTTCTTTTCCCTTTGCGATCTACCTCTTTCCCACAGCCTCATACACAATGTCTGCTCCCAAGACTTCCCGCGCATGGGTTCTGGCCAACCCGCCCACCGACATGCCTGACGAGAACACCTTCAAGCTTGTCGAGCAGAACCTTGATGAGCTCAAGGACGGTGAGGTCTTGGTCAAGACCACTTACCTCTCCAACGACCCCGCCCAGCGTGGCTGGATCGAGAAGGATGTCATCGCGTGAGTACAGGTAGCGAATACAAATGATCAAAAACCCTCAGCTGACACGCTACTTAAGTGACCGCATGTACTTCCCTCCCGTCGAGGTCAACGCCCCCATGTCTTCCTTTGGTCTCGCCACTGTCATCGAGTCCAAGGCTGCCGACTTTCCCAAGGGCACCATCGTCAACTGCCTGACCAACTGGCGCGAGTACGCCGTCATCGACACCACCCTCGGTGCCCCCTACGTTACCAAGGTCGAGGGCCTCTCCGGCATCTCAGAGACCCACACTCTCGGTGCCCTTGGTCTCACTGGTGTCACCGCCTACCACGGTCTCGAGAACGTCAACACCACCAAGGACGACGTCGTCGTTGTCTCCGGTGCCGCCGGCGCCACTGGCAGCATGGTCGTCCAAATCGCCAAGAAGCTCATTGGTTGCAAGCGTGTCATCGGTATCGCCGGCACAGCAGACAAGTGCAAGTGGGTCGAAAGCCTAGGCGCCGACGTCTGCATCAACTACAAGGACGCAGATTTCAAGCAGCAACTCATCAAGCACACCGAAGGCTACGTCGACGTCTACTTTGACAATGTCGGCGGCGAGATTCTCGATTTGATGTTCACCCGCGTCAAGCGCTTCGGTCGTATTTCCGTCTGTGGTGCTATTTCAGAGTACAACAGCAGCTCGCCCCCTGGCTTCAAGAACTGGTTCGAGGTCATCTCCAACCGCATGACCATCAAGGGTTTGATTGTCCTCGATGCTGGTGCCCGTTGGCCTGAGATGGTCAAGGAGCTTACCGAGGCTACTGTGTCGGGCAAGATCCAGGTTGGTGATGCCAACGAGACCATCGTACCTACCGCTTTCGAGGACATCCCCAAGACTTGGCTCAAGTTGTTCGAGGGTGCCAACACTGGCAAGCTCCTCACTCAAATCGTCTAGAGCGTCTTGTTTTCCTCAACAAAAAGCATTTGCAGGAGTTGTCCTTTTCTCATGTCATGCATGACCTTATCAAGATACCACAAAATCCATGTTCCAATAGTCTCAAGAACCATTTCCAGTCACACCCGGCCCAGATCGTGCTTGGCCTTCGCTGATAGTTGATGATCAGCTTCTACATCACGTACATGGACCGATGAAGACATACATGTCACAATCACATATTCAAAATTGAGAAGAGAAAATTTGAAAGCAGCAAAATGTTTTGATTCTTTGAATCTGATCCAACAGACTTTCTGACCTTCCTCTCTCCAGTCACGTCAATAGAAAACACACTGGTAGCTAATCAGCGCCATCTATCTTTGCAACAAAAGATCCTCAAGCCATAGCTACGAAAGTCTATGGAAAAATCGACTATCTCTACACAAGCAACAGCAAATGTGATCAAAAAAATCCAAACACCTGATCCGCTATCCTCCTTGAGTTTTACCACATATAAAAGTTATCATCAAAGATGGGAGTAAAATAACACAGACAGATGCTTGCCCAAGGCATCGTCTGCGTTAAACACTCCATGTCTTTGCCATATAGTAAGGTTGGGAAACCGTTAATGACAACGGAAAAAACCCATCAGACTATTTTTGTTATCCCTTTTTGTTTTCTTTCAGTGTCGTTGCTGCGAAAACGATTCACTACCCCCTTTGTGATTTGCTGTTGCGGTTGAGATAGTCGAGTGGTGGTGAAACCAATCATCGAGACTGGTTGTCTCGCTCGGTGCCTTGGTGGAGGTGGGGAGCGTTGAGTGGTGGTTGGTCTTCATACTTCTGATTGTTGGTGATGTCCTGGTCCATAGATGGGTGGTCCTTGTTGTGGAGGTGTTCCGAGTCCGAGTTGGTTGGTTGATGGTGTGGCTTTCCTCTTCTGCTTGGACGATGGCGACGGACGCGACTCTGTGTTGTTCGTCTCAACATGGTGCAGCCCATTTGACGCAGATACACTGCAGACTGTGCACTCTTCGATCCTGTCCGTCAAAACAGTTCTTGACCGGGCGCGACTAGTTCTGTCAGTGATGGCGTTGAACACCGATAGACGGTGGTTGCACGTCGCATAAGTGGCATTAGCTGTTAGGGGTGAAGGTCCCATTGACAGGTGCTTTGAATATGGCGTTGCGGTATGAGGCGCAGCAAATCGAGTGACGGTGAAATGGCTCGTCAAAGTCCAATAATACAGTTTAACGATTTGTCAGTCGCTCTCACAGTTTGGTTTTGGTGTTGCGCTAAATGTTCGTCGATACGCGGACTCAATCATTGTTAAGTCGATGACGCTGTAAAGAACGTGTGTAGCGAACGCAGCACTCAAGCATTAGGCTTCAAACTTCTGATGATGAGGTGCTGTAAAATAGGCGACAGCGGCCTGGACGACAATGCTAGAGCCTTTTCATCATGGGTGATCAGTCCATAATAGGGTGCAGCAGTTTGAAGTTGTCTTCGGTGCTTCTGCAGAAGCTTTGGTTTGCAAGAGTTTTGAGGATTGCATTGTTGATGAGTTTGAGTTGGTTGGGCTGTCTTGTCGTTCTGGAGATGTGGTCGATGTTGTCGGCTACTCATGTGTTTGAAAGTCAGGTTGCTTGTTGACTGAAGTGTGACGAGACTGGTTTGCCGAGGCTTTGACACTGTGGCGAGTTCGAAGTCGACGTAGAGAGAGTTTTTGGCGAACATGAGTTGAGTATGGTGAAGACTGTACAACCCGATGGCTGTCGCGTTGAAGTGTTTTGAAGTGACCACGCTGGTTTCGGCTTCTCTTCATAAGTTTCAGGCTCAAGGTTCTGTGGAAGAAGTGGGTGCTTCGATTGGTTCTGGTGCTCGATCTTGTAGTTGAGTAACCGTGACTTGTTGGTTGCTTGATGAGGTTGCCTTGGTGATGATGACCGAGTATCAGAGATGAGAGACGACAAGCCCTTGTTTTTGTCGGTCGTTCTTCGACTTTTTGGTTATCGATTGTGGTCTCGATTGTGATTGTGATTGTTTCCTGGCTTGGTGAATGACGAGTAGATGACTTGAAAAGTCGATGGTTTGGTTGACGTAGTGACGTGACTGTTCGTGATGACAGATGACGTCTGGCAGCTTGGAGCTGGCTTGTTGTTTGGACGATTGGCTGTGGTTGCAGCTGTGCTCTTTTCCCAGTGGAAGAAGAATGACGATGGGAAGCAGAAGTGGAACCAGGGACCAGTAGCTTGGTAGCTAAGAAGTTCAGTCATGATCGTAGTACTTGAGACATATGATGTGTTGCAGCAACAGCATGATAGACAAAGTAGATGGAGGACGAGTCATGATGAAGTTGTTGTGGCTCTGTAGAAGAGGCTTGATGAAGTGAAACCAGAAAGGTGGTTTAATGGTGTGACTCTACAGAAGAGGCTTGAGATCCATAGTGGTAATGAGTGGTGTAAACCGATAAAGAGACAGAGTAGAAGTATGAAGACCAAAGTCTCGATGGAATTTTGATGAAAGAGAGAATGTTTTAAGGGCTACTGGACGAGTTCTTATATGGCCTTGAGGGTGGCCAGTATTACTAAGCAACTGCCGCGCGGAAACATGCTCGTTTCTTGTCGCTGAGCAAGTTGCTGTATTTTCATAGGCAGCAGAGGCAGCAAAGCGTGTTTCCGTCAGCTATCCTACGTAAATTAACTCACTCAGTGGAGGATTCGCGGACAGCTTGGTGGTTCGGCAGGAAAACATCGAACATTCCAGATATCCATTGCACGTAATACGGATCAGCAGAGGTTCGATGGTGACTTGATTGTTCTCAAATGTACGAGATGGTCTCTCAGAGTGTTTCGATGGAAGGTCAGAGAATGCCCGACGAGAATGTTTGACGAGAGGCGCCCGACGCTATCCAGACCTGACCGACATGACTTACTTGCCCTCCATACCTAGTGAAGTCTTCTTGCTGGAAACATATAGAGAGGTGGAGGGACGACGACAGCAATCATACCAGCAATGGTGGTCGGAGGTTTGGACGATCCTACCTCTTCTGGCATGTGAAGAAGCGGATTGAGAAGGTGCAGCCGCCTCGGCTTGATTAGCCTCGGCATTTTCGGTATCTGTATGCCGCGTCCTCTCGGCCATCGACTTTGTTTGGAGAGGCGAGCATCCGAGCAAGATAGAAAGCAGCAGTGTAGGTCGACCATCTAGATTTCTTCAAGTCTCCAGCGCAAGGATCCTTGTACAAACACAACTTTCGAAATGTCACAGACGAATCTCGACAACCTCAGCCGCCTTGTCGCAAGCAGAGCAGACCGTCTCATAGACCGCCTCGTCCGCGTCCTCTCCACACCAGCAGGGAGGGATAAGACACTCTGCACCCTCCAGTACCTGCTCATCGTCGTCTACACCCAACTCTCGCGTCTACAAGGCCTACGATACCGTCGCTTCCTCCTCTCCGTGACCCGCAAAGTCGGTGCCGTCCTTCTGCCCGGAGAAACCGTCGTCGCAACACTCTCACCACCCGAAGACAACCTCAGCCATGTCATCAAAGGCAGTAAGGCCCTGTCAGAGTTGATCAGCGATTTCAGATGCTTCTCCCGCGTCGTCGAGTCGTTGGATCTATACACCTGGGCCAAGGGCACATGGAACAGTCCTCCCGAGGATGGTCTTGTCAAAGCTGCCGTATGGGGCCAAATCTGGACCATCACCGCATACCAATGGTACGAGAACGTGGCTTACCTGGCCTCAAAAGGTGTGCTGCGCGGTGAGAGGTTCGACACCAAACACCAGAACAAGTGGTGGGTGTGGAGCTCACGTTACTGGATGGCCTACATTGCACTAGAAGCTGTGCGACTAGCTCGTGTGTGGCAGCTGCGCCCAGCAGTTGCGTCGTCAGGAGAGGGTGTTGAGAAAAAGGCAGACACATCGGAAGCGGAGGCTTTGTGGAAGAGGCAGATGACTGTCAATATGGCTTGGGCTCCAGTTTCCTACCACTATAGCTTGGAGGCTGGTGCTTTGAGCAGTGACTGGCTCGGTGTTCTCGGTCTCATCGCTGGTGCTACGGGTTTCCGCAATCTGTGGCGTCAAGCAGGTGCAGCATGAATGTATTGATGAACGGCATTACGCCCTGAAAAATAAATTGTGCTATTTGCAGCTGATGGATGTGCGGCTTTGTATAGACTCCTTGTTCCAAAATCTACTCGTATCCACTGCCCGGTCTACGTGTACAGTCCTTTGTCGTGGCAGGAAAAGCCTATATCCTAAGTTACGACCTCCGTTGCCCTGGCTTTGAACTCCACCCTGATCCAATATTCATCATGCATTAAACGTCCTCTTTCTCCAATAAAGGCAGCTTCTCATCCACCACCCTCGCTTCTTCACTCTCTAAACCCCAGTACAAGCAGTCCCAGCAGAACCCAACCAGAGCCACAGTTCCAGCTCCAGGCAAGACTCCAGTAGCTGCCCAGAAGCACAGTTGCGACCAAGCACTTCCATCAAAAATGCCCGCCCCAAGACCATACTTGACAACCACCGAAGCACCGAGCATGCCTCCCAGTGCCACTCTGGCAATGCTAAGGGCGCGGTCATCTTGCCTGAGGCACAACAAGATGCTGAAGCCATGTAGACATTTGAAGAGCGAGAACAAGCCCATAGGCACGAGGACAAGACCATCGTACAGGTAGCGACAGAGCGAGGCTGGTATCACTTTGCCCGCGATGGAAATGTCGATGTTGAGGTAGTACCAAGATATCGTGACCAGCATGTTGAGGACGAGACAGAAGAGCAACGTGCCAGGCCCAGGTTTCTTGAAGTTGAGGCGTGACCGCGGTTCGACATCCTCAACTCGTTCTTCGATTTGATGCAGTAATGGTGTTGTAGTGTATGTGTGGACGAGCGCCATAGTAGCTGTGTACTCCCCGTTGACCGTTGATGTCGTTATCGGCTGTAAACCGTTGGACAGACTGATAGTCTTTCCACCGTCCATACCCTCAATCGATAATAAGATTAGGAGCACCGTTGTGAAGAAACAGATCTGGAGAGAGAAAGCGAAAGCCCTTGACTGCCTAGCTATGCCAGCAAATTAATGATGAGAGTATCCAGATTCGATTCCTTCGTGGGATGCGATCGAGTATGTAGCATGAGCACAGCTTGGCTGGAAATTGCGTGATAGACAAGCGTGGATTGCGTGCTGTGTGTCGAGCTCAAGACGCAGATTGGCTGCAGAGAGGAAGTCACCAGCGAAAGAAGATCGGAAAAAGGCTCACGGTAACCAAGACTTGATATGTATGCTTTGAAGAGGAAAAAAGAAAGGACCTACCAGTGCTCGTGGTCGGACTAGCCCGAGTCAATATTCCTCGCGAAAAGAGGAAGTCGCAGCTGAGGAAGGTCATGGTTCCGCTGCGCGTTCCTTCGGGCGCGGGACCCAACCTAAGCCACAAGAAAACCGAATATTGGTTTATGCTCGATCGAGGCGCCTTGGATCCTTCAAAGCAATATGCGATCATCTCGAAGCTAATTTGAGAGCCTCAGATACGGAAGGAGTACGGCAAGTAAAGCTCGCCTGAGCAGTTGGAGTGGAGGAAAATATCTTGTCGTGGTGCTTTGACTGTTCTGTGGAGGAGCGAGACCCTCGCTCATCACCGAGAAAGCACAGTGCACATTCTACTTTTAGTGCTCTACAGATGGGCTTGGATTTTTGCAATCTCGCTATAACCAAATTGCCGTGACAGTCGTTGAAGGACGAGATATTTAGTGGAGAGCCTCGACATTTGGGTCTCCGATAACCGGTTGACCGCGCGCGAACACGTCTGCAGCGACAGGTCGCCAAGAAATGAATATGTGAATGTGAATGAGAACCTAGTCGTACTGCCAACTCTACAACTATCTGCTAGGATGGACATTGACCATCGGCAGAGGCTTGGCTACTCCATCCTCGTTCGTCTCGGGCGTGCCTGTACCTTGAGGTGTGCCGATGCCAGAGAAAGGCGTAATCGCACCCGACGGGGCCACAGGGTGCTTCAAGTCTTCAGGGCTGTCAGGAACGATCTGAGCTGGAACTCCGGAGACGTGAATACGTCTGGCTTCGTTGTTGTATGATGCAGGAACGATCTGATGTACAACATGTTAGCAAGCTTGAATTGCTCGAAAGTATGTTAGAGCATACCTCAATAATCTCGTCGCGAGGGAACTGCAGTTTGGGAATGTCGCGTGCACCACAAGCCATCAGATAACCGTAAAGCACTCTCAGGACGCTCTCATGGGCGACAATCAGAAGGTCGTTTTGCTCACGCTCCAGCTCCAAGATGATGGGTTCCAGGCGCACTGCTAGATCGTGGTAAGACTGCGACTAAGTCAGTATTGTTCACAAGTAACAGAAGCAAAGGTTTGTTCCTACCTCCGCACGAGGATAACGATGATGGTATGGGTCAAGCTCATGCTTGCGCACCTCCTCAGGATATTGGTCTCGGATCTTAGCCTCGGACATCTTCTCACACACGCCGGGATTGAGTTGACTCATTTGAGGGCGTTGCTTCACACAGTATCCCAGACTTCCGAGATAGTGGGACGTCTCAACTGTGCGTCGTCTGGTAGACGTCCAGATTGTCAAAGGCTTCAACGGAATATCAGGACCGCCTCTCTCGATGAGCTGTTTACGTTCGTCCTCTCTATGGTTGATGAGGGCATCGCTCATTTTCTTTGAGTAGGCAACACCATCCTCGGAAAGCGAAGCGTCAGCTTTGTAAGAGTCCTCGTCTCTCGTGGTACCAGCCCTAGCGAAATACACCGATCTGTGCTTGGTATGAAGGTTCAGAAGGTAGAAGACGATGCGCTGAGAAAGATAGTTGAAAGCACAGTTATTGACGACAACTCGTTCTCCAGCGTTGATCATTTTCACGTAATGCAGCTCGGCCTCCTCCATGGACTCGAAATGAGGGATGCGGGCGTTGATTCTGGCCAGGTAGTCTTTGACAGCGTCCTTATCGGACCAGCCTTGGTAGTCAGGAGACGAGATCTTGACGCTGCGGACGTTCTCCTCGATGATCTTCTCATCTGTGCAGTGCGATTCAATAAAGAGTGTCTGTACGTTGTTCTTGGAGAACTCCTTGGCGAGAGAAATGCGTCCAGCAGCAGAAGGATTGACAGCATCGTAGATAGCAATCTGACCGTTCTCGTGCTCGAGGAAATTGTAAATGTCCTCTCTGCACTTTCGGAGAATCTTCTGACGGAGTAGAACGGAGGAAGGCGAAGCATTGATGAAGAAGTAGTCATCGGGAACATCTTTACCCTCACCCATTGTCGCTCTCCTGTAGTCACCAAGATGGAATATACGGGTCTTCACACCAAGCCATCGTAGGTATCTTGCCAGAGCAACCGAGGTGTGGGTCTTGCCACGAGCGGGCAATCCAACCGTAGCAATAACCATCCTACCGGAGTGGAACAAGCGACCAGACTCAGTGCTGTAGAGCTGAGCAGGAGCCATACTCTCCTTTTCGGGCAGGTCATGAATTGCATCAACGAAAGTGCTTGATCTGCGCTTCCAGTTTGGTGAACTAGCCATCACATCGGCAGTACTAATCCAAAGTCTCGTCTTAGTGGATGTACAGGTAGATTCATGGTTATGGAAGACTACAAAAGGATAGACCAGAGCCATGTTTGCAACTGATCCAAAAATGGAGAAAACATGAAGAGACGTACAGAAGAGTATCCATGGTTAAAAGAAGGGCAGTGGAATGCCGGCAAAATCCAAAGGTGGTGTATGGATAAATCGGTAGTCGTTTCTGGAGACTGACGCGCGAGAACAGGTGAGCGATGAGACAAGCAGCTGATCTTGGCGGTATGCGAGGTGGTGTTCCGCACAAGGCGAGGTATAGAGCAAAGCAGAGAGCAAAGAACCGGAAGCAGAAGGCAGAAGGAATAATGCGACGATTAGCAAGAACGGTATCGAGCTACTTGGGAGTGTAGATAAGAGGCAGAGGGCGGAATGGTGGTTGAGCTTGTTCGGAGGTCATCGTCCAATCACGCCGCTCGGCCCAAATTTTTGGCATCGACGTCGGTCGCGCAGAAGCAGACACAAGCGCTCAAGTCATCATCACCGCACCATTCTTTGAGAGAATTGTCGCGCCGCCATTTGCATCCAAGCCGTGTCAGAGTCGACCCGTCGCTCAGAATCTCAGTAGAGTCCCGTCCTCGCCGCCCTCCACCGCCGGCGCCCCAAGACTCGTCCACTCGCCCTCGTTGCAAAAGTCTACATCATGACGTCGCTTCCCATCACCACCACCCCCTACCCTCCTGTGGCGCCTGTCGCTCCTGTCGCCGAGAAGAAGTCTGGTGCTCTGTCTGCCGTCTCCAACAATGCTCTGGCTTCGGCGCTGAAGGACACATACTCGGCTTTCCAGGCACGAAGAGAGGCCCTGGGCCTCACCAACCCCGGCACCGTCGAGAACGTCGCAAAGGAGGTCCAGCGTGATGTCTTCCTCAACAACCTGTCCTTCTCCGGTCTGCGCGCCGACCTCACAAAGGCTTTCAGTGTCTCGCCGCTGTTCCAGGTCTCGCACGCCTTCTCCCAGGGCTCCCAGCAAATACCTCCTTACGCTTTCCTCGCCCTCTACGGCACCAACAAGGTATCTACGTCTTCTGCTCACCTGCAGAGCACTCCAGTGTTAACACGTCTAGATCTTCTGCCAAGGTAACCTTGACAGCGACCTTTCCCTCTCTGCCCGCTTCAACTACCGATGGACTCCTCGCTGGGTCACAAAGACCACCACTCAGATCCAGGCCGCTTCCATGTCTGGTCCCGGAGGTGCCCAGTTCTCCCTCGAGAATGACTACGTTGGCAACGACTTCACTGCTCAGATCAAGGCCATGAACCCTTCCATCCTCGATGGCCCTCTTACTGGTATTTTCATCGGTAGCTACCTTCAGAGCATCACTCCCAGACTCGCCCTTGGTCTCGAGGCTGTCTACCAGAGACCCGCTGCCCAGATGGGCCCTGAGGCCATGATCAGCTACGCTGCCAAGTACAAGGGCGAGGACTGGATTGCCAGTGCTCAGCTCATGCCTTCCGGCGGTGTCCAGGGTTCTTACTGGAGAAGACTTTCCGCTCAGCTCGAGACCGGTGTCGATCTCAACTTGCAATTTGCTGGTAACCCCATGATGGGTGGCATGAGAAAGGAGGGTGTTGCCACTCTCGGTGCCAAGTACGACTTCAGAGCTAGCAGCTTCAGAGCCCAGGTCGACACTGCTGGTAAGCTTGGTGTTTTGCTTGAGAAGAGAATTGTTCCCATGGTCCAGATCACTTTTGCCGGTGAGCTCGACCACGTCAAGGTAAGCACACTGCACCTCACACTCCTTTTCCAGATCACTAACCTTTTCTACTAGAACGCCGCCAAGGTCGGTCTTGCTGTCTCTATCGAGGCTGCTGAGGAAGAGGTCATGGCCCAACAAGAGAGCGCCATGTCCGCCGGCCCCGTCACTCCTCCTTTCTAGACATCTCGCAGTGCAATCTCCCCTGCTTTGCCGTGTACATTATCAAATTTGACCCTTCATCGAATGTCTTTGTCGTTGTCAATAGCTGGCCTTTTATTTCCCGGCATCTGTAGGATGCAGATGTTGCCTGTTTTGGCATGAAAATGTCGATGGATGCTGCATTGTTGTCGTTTGCGAAGGAAAGAGGAACAAAAGGCTCTTGGACCAGACATGAAAAAGGCGGAGTCCACGATCAAATATGCATTTCTTGTATTCTATGCTCTTTACAATTGGCATCTTTGTGCATATCTCCAGTGTTGACAACGTTTCCCTATCTCGCTTCCCGTCGTGCATCGAGATTGTGTCTCGGTTTTCAGCGGCACTGGGAAGGGACAAGCCGAGCTAATGCTCGATGAGGTGTAACATAACTTTTGCACGGCAAAGTATGAAAAGTGACACTCTCGCATGACTGACTTGTCAGATCTCGATCTCGTCTACGCCCCTGGCAACTGATACAACGCCTCGTAGCTAGTTAGCTGCTTCGCCCAAAGACGGTGAAGGAAAGTGGTCCGCAATCTCGATCATTCTGATGTAAAGCTCCACCTGTTCATGAGGTCCAGCCTTTTTCACATGTTTGATAAACAAGCAGCTCGTGTGCGCGTTTCATTTGAGTGAGTGCAGAGCTCTCGTCTGACGTCACTGCTTGTGTGACGTTCACCCCGCTCACAAGGCAGCAGCCACCGAGTGGCCAGCTCGACCCCCTCACCTCGGCCTAAGAGGCTGAGCCCCACGTTAAATCGCTCATCGGGGCTATTAGTGAGAAGAGGCGTACGCAAACAGTGGTGTCAGGTGGCTCCTACACGTGGAATAACAAGGAAGTAGCGTACTGTGGCTGAATGAAGTGAGAGTAAATCGTCACCCGTAGAAGTGCTTGGACGTGATTGGAGCAAGGTGGAGAGGGCAGGAGCGTCCAAGTGAGAGCTGGCCGGAGTGAGGAAAGCGCGTACGTCATATGCAAACAGAGCTCCTACAGAGCTACCTTCCCACCACTACTTAAGAAGCTCTTCTTACGCTCTCCTTCCAACCTTTCTTCTTCCATCAACAACTCATCAAAACATCTTCTCTTTCAAACCAAACCAACCAACCACCAACCACATTCAAAATGTCTGCTCCCAACGCCAACAAGCCTAACGAGGGTATCGTCGGTCAGATCGGCAACTCTCTCAACAACGCTGCCCAGTACGTCTCCGAGACTGTCCAGGGTACCTCCGCCACTGCCTCCAAGGAGGCCAACAAGGAGCAGGCCAAGGGCAACACCGCCGATGACTCCATCTCCGGCCGTGTCTCCGGTGCCATGGGCGCTGCCTCCGACAAGCTCGACGAGAAGAAGCACGAGGGCTCCGCCGAGGCCAACAAGCGCTCCATCTAAGCGTCTTGCATCCAGCAACCTCACCAATCCATCAATTCGATAAAGTCGTCTTCACTCTGATGGCTTTCGACACGACGGCATGACACGACAACTTCTCTAGCTCCCCTGATCGGGTTGAGCTCAAGTTCTTTGCACGAGGGATTCACTTTTACTACGACACCTGCGAATGGCAAGCCATCAGAGCTTCGCTTCAAATGGTCTTCACGATGTATCAATTATACCCCGAATATGAAAACACCCTCAAACATCACTTCTTCCTTCTACCGTGCTATCATTGTGACTGCTTTCCCGTCGTGACTTTTCATTTCTTGCCCTTCGCATCGCTGTGCTGAATAGCCAGATATGCCATCTTCGCTGAGCTTGTTTAAGCTCGATATTACGCCTCCGTGCCCCTCACTAATTTGATGCGGCTGACGGCACGGACCAGTCCTATCATGATCGACGACCTACTTCTCAACAGAGCCGCAACGACAGGCGCTTACCGGCGCGACGATGACAGTACACCTAGAATCACGACTGTTGCGAGCGACAGCCTCCCATACACGTCCACTCAAGATATTCTGTCGTGCCCAAAACAGCTCATACCGCACGAGCTGAGCGACATGCACAGAAAACCAAATGATCGACGGTGATCAACATCCCAATTCCGGAAACCGCACGAAAGAAAAGCCAACCTCACCTCCCCCAGGCAATCCATGACGGAGACAGTACCATGTAAACCAAACGTCCGCATAACAAAAAGGGTTCGAAGCCCTCCTTGTGAATCTTGCAATCCATATCTTGTTTCTCAATACTCAACTATATTCTGACCCTGTTTAACCTCACATCTTTTGACGGTGCAAAGAATTGATTGAACGAAACAACAACGACATCATGCATTTCACAAAGACCATCGCAGCAGCTTTTGCTTTGACAGCGGCTGTATCAGCATTGCCGCTGCAGAAAAGACAGGATAATGCAGCAATCGGCAACCCAAACAGTGTGTTTCTCCTTCGCCATCCCTTCTACCCATTGCCAACCGCATCGCTCGTAGCGATTGCCACTTACCTTCTTCCCTCCTCTCTGTACCTCGATCAAGACATGGAAATCAAGCTGACGCATATCTCAGATATCCTGGATGACCTCCTAACAAACATCCAAGGAGGACTCCGCGGCGGTTTGGACTTCCTCTCCATCCCCAGTGGCAGTGGAGCTAAGAAGGCAAAACGTGCCGACTCTGGAGCTGCCAGTAAGTGGTTTCCTCCATACTTGTCTCTGTAAAGGAGTTTGATATGCTGACGCGAAGAAACATAGATCCATTAGTTGATCTGGGAGAGAATGTCGAGGGTGGAGTCGAGGGATTCTTGGATTTCCTGGGTACTTCTTCTGATTGAGCAAAGTGTCGGTCGTGACGAAGCAGGAAGATATTTGGGAGCTTCTGATGGATATTCTTTGTACATATAGGTAGTATGGGGTGTGATGGTAATGACATTTCTATTCACTTGATAGCTTAAAAAGAGTTGTGATGTGAAAAAGATGTGTCGCTGCTGGTAACACCCTGTTCGATCGATGATAGTCAGTCAGTATCCTTTCGGTGCCGCGGGCATGGAAATCAATCTTTCAGCATGCGAGTTGTACCTAGAGACTGAGCCTATATGACCTTCGTGTTGCCACGGGTCAATCATTGATCGTTGGTGGCTGGTGGTTGAAGAATAATCATACACGAAAAGCACTTCAAGACGCTTGACCACACTAACAAACCACGATTGGAAAACACCATGTACCACGTAAAGACCCGATGGAGATTGAAATGTAACAGAAATGTATTCGTAGAAGACAGAATATGTATGACCCCCAAAGATAAGTGATAGAAAAAAGCCATCCAAACAAGCACACCAGAAAAGACATGGGTCTAGAATTTGTCTCTCGGTGGCTCCCCCAGAATCTCAACCATTGATTAGGTACAGAAAGAAGTAAAAGAATTGATACGAAAAAGTTTGGCGTGAAGAAGAGATGATGTCGTGTCGTTTATCGCGTTTTGTGTGTCTGTGTGTGTGTGTGTTCAAGATCGAAAAGTTCAAGAACATGTTTACAGGAAAGCGACAGCGGCACCGAAGGCGGCGAGACCGTAACCGGCAGCGACAACGTTGGCACCAGCAGCACCGGTGTAGATTGCGGGCATGCTGGAAGTGGCAGAACCACCGGTGGCCATGGATGTGGCAGGCTTGGTCAGAGTGCAGGGGCAGTTGGTGACGGTGATGGTGGTGGCCGACTTGACGGTGTAGACGTTGTTGGCAATGGTGGTGGTGTAGACGCCGCCGGAGGTAGGGGCGGGGCAGACAGTGGTCAGGCTGTAGAGATATACTGGTCAGCAAACAGAGATTTTGTCGAAGGTATTCGAGATCAGACGTACGCAGTGACGACCTCAGTGGTGTAGACGGTGCCGTTCATAGGAACAGTGCCGTTGATGTAGGCAGCAGAGGCCGAAGCAGCGAGAGCGATGACACCGAAGGACTTCATTTTGATTGATTTGAGGTTGGTTGGTTGGATGGAGTTGGTCTTTGAGAAAAGCGAGTGTAGAAGAGTTGGAAAAGACTGTGAATTGGTTGGATGATGGAGAAGAGAGAATGGAGTACAAAGGACGAGTATTATATATCTGGATGTGCTGCTTCTGAGTTTGGTAGGATCTAGGTCGTCGGTAAGGAATGCAGTCCTGATGGCAGTGCGTGTACAAGGAAATGAGATGGCTGTCGTTCGTGATAACAAAACGATCGTTCAGCCGGTGGTGTCTCCAACGGTCATTTATCTTGTTGCTGAGTATGGAAAAGCTTTACTGAGTCGTTGAACTCTTGGAGATTGTAAGGCTGTATGGAAGAAGGAGAATCTCGTGTTGACTCGCTCTGATGCTGGCATTATGATCGTAGCATGGATCCAAGATTGGAACCTACAAGCGGAGATAGACGACGAGGCGTGGTATCGAGCAGCAGCATGATAGACGATGAACAGCCAGTCTGTCTCATGCGTGTTCCTAGAAGTAGCCGGCCGGAGCGGTGTTATAAAGTTCAACGTTCGAGGTTGAGAGACTGCCCGACACCGGCTATCAGTGCAGTATCACGTACGAACCACTGCACCACGGGTTCCAGAATTCAGGGCTTACATTGTGCCTCTCCTGTAGGCGCTAGATGCAAGGAGTCTGTGTTCGAGAAGGTAAAGGCGAACAAACGGTTCCTCGGAAGTTGAGATACCCCCTGGGGAAGGGGCAAGCGGAGAATACGAGAGTTGCCTGCCCGACTAGGCTTCAAAACAAACAATATTCGTAAACACAACCTCAGATCTCGGCATGTGAAGTCGCAATTCCGACTTTTGTCACTGTTTGTAATTTGGAAATGGCGGAGGGAGGGTTTGATTGAATATCGAAAGCCTGAGTCTCCTTTGCATATTGGCTTTCCCGATATATTGGACATCCCCTGATGCCGTTGTTATACGAGCACGTGTATAAATGCTGCTTGTCCCTCCGGAATGGTTTCCTACTTCTCTTGATGCTTCCAGACGCTGTCACATCACAACAACGCACTCTCTGTCCGACGAAGACGGCCTTCTCGATAGAACCTTACATTATCTCTTGGTGGTCCCTGGTTCCGATGAACTGTAGTCGGACAGTGACTCAGTTACCACTGTCAAATGCACACTCCCCAAGGACAGCGACTCAACATCTCAATCTAGGACACCGAAGGTCTTCTTCTGCAGGTCGGATCTCCTCCTGTCGCGATTATGCCTGCCAGTCTAGAATCGTCGGTCACCAAGGCAGTAAAATGTCGGTCAAGACATGTGGTGAGTACCAAGTCAGAGCTGTGGTATACAAGCATATATACAGGCCATGAATCCAAGGCGCATAACAGAAAACGATGGGCGATGTCATGGACAAATACCCCAGGAAACTCCAGACCCCTTGCATGAGAAAGTGATATCTATCTTGATCGTACAACTCCGTGAATAACCTCAAGGCATCAAAACGTGGTGGACTTTTCTGTGACTGGGATGGATGGATCAACAAGCAAGATCATTGAGTTGTTACATTTAAAGGATTTGGTGTCTGGACAGAAGGATTAGCCAAGGATCAAATGAGATGCTAGAAGCGGGGATGAATACTTTTGGAACAGGTTCTCGAGAGTGATTGCACTTAGGTCGGCATCATCGGAGATCTCGTCGACGACAGGTACGAGACCTGCGAATTTGTCGCCACCACGATATGCCAGGACAGCGGGGACACCGGCAGGCTCCATCTCAGCATCAAGGTAGTGCATCTTGACAAAGCGTGTTGTCTTGTGCTTGCGAGCCAGTTGGCGCATGCAGTCCTCGACCATGTAACTGACTTCGGACGAGTCGTCGTAGATGAAGACGACAACGACTGTGTTGGAAGGACTGCGGTCCACAGCATCCAAGTAGCCTTCGCCGTCGACCGTCACAAGGCCACCGTAGGTTGCGCGACTACGGGGTTGTCCGATACTGTTGCTCGCCTGGCGTCCATTCGAAGACAACTGGTTCAACCTCTTTTGTCGCCACTCAGCCATGAATTCGTCCTCGCTTTCAACGTCACTTCCACTCTGACTTCCTTTGCTCCTGCCGTCCAGACTCAGCCTGGCGACATTCGGTGTGTATGCGTAGTTTTGTGTAGCAGCTTTTGGTGATGAGTTGCGTTCTCTGCGGGCGGCTTCGAATGCTTGGGCATCGGCGATGACACCTTTGGGTCCTGTGTTGGAATATGACTTGTTTCGCGGGACATGGTCTCTTGAGGGTAGGTTGGGCAGGGCCGAGGGTTCGTCATCATAGTCGGAGAGGAGGTCGTCGTTTTCTGACGGAATCGACTCGTTATCATCTTCTGGGTGGTGGGTGCGGCGTGACTTGTCGCGGAAAAGCTCGTTGTATTCGTCTTGTGCTGTGGTCATGATTGCGGTTTCTGAGGTGTGTTGATTGTGCTTGTTATAGAAGCGGCCGGTCGAAAGTCTGTCGTGTTGCTCTCGAAGGTGACGATGGAGGATGGACCGTGCTGGCTCAGGGTCTATCAAGGGTCTATCGTCGAGTGATGAGTGCAGTGACGAGTGCGTGTCTGCGTATATAGGTGCAAGATCGGGGTGGACAGAGTCGAAATTGAGGAGAACAAGAGTATTGGCAACTTGGTTTGATTTAGAAGAGTGTTCTTGGAGCAGAAGATATATCTCTGTGATGCTGCATAGGCGTTTTGGATTTCAGGGGGCAGCCCACCGCTCACAGAACATGTCAAAGATTCAGGATCTTCTCGAACCACACTCAAACAAGGCCTTCTGCACTGGAAGCACTCTCTCGATGCGCAGAAAGCCACTCATTCTGTTGACCATACTGCAACGCATCCTCCGCTTCACATCTTTCGGCTGTCCCATGACGGATCCACATGGACCGAGCACTTTAATATCAAACCAGCACAGGCCAGCATCAAAGCTAGAAGCATGTGAAACACCCACTTGTCACCCATTTCTCCCCAAAGTCCTTGCTCATCTGCACACCCTACACGTCGGCACATCTTACTTTCCAAACCTGACTGTGAGAGTTTTGCTTCAATCACGTTTCGATCCCACAACATCTATGTCCACGTTTCAGCTCAAGACACCAATTACAAGACAGTCTTGGTTATAAGTATCCTGCCTTGCTCACTGCATATTGCCCGTCGAGTTTGAACAAGGAAGAAGGGAATTATTTCTGGTATCTGCTCAAGTGGTTCGAAAGGGAAAAGTACACTACGAAGAATGCACGCGTGGATCAACTCCACGCATTTACATGCCCCACGACGAGGAAACAGTCGCTATAAAACAACAAAGGGAATGCGAGAACGAAAAACGCGCGACGTGTGCTTGGTTGAAAGGATGACGATGAAGAGCAGAGAGGTTCCGTCGCAGCACTTTTTCTCCTTTTTAGCTCCATGCGCACCAACTCTCTGCCATTGACCCAAAGTCCGGAATGGAAGAGAAATCGACGACCGGGGGGACCTGCTGGGTATGACGCCTGAGAAAGACAATGAAAGAATTAAACATCAAATAACCACCCCGACCCAGGCAAAGGCTTGTGTCGCGCACATTTGAGTACACAAGACCTCCATTATGAAACTTGTACGATTCAAGAAGATGGCAAGAACAAGGGAACGAAGGTTGTCCTCCTTCAATTCCATGGTCCTTGGAAAAAAGACTCTGCTCCTGCAGAGTATGAAGTGAAATTGGGCCACGGTGTTGCGGTCAAGGCGTAGTCTGCATGGCACATGCCCTTCGGTGGATTCGTTTGTCCGTTTTTCTGATGTGGGTTGCATGTTCCGTTCGTAGGACAGAGACACGGGGTGGCGACATGGATAGAAAATTATGAGGTTGTAAGGATCCGGTTCGAGGTAATATCATTATGCCCAGATGCGAAGCTGCACAGGAATGTTAGCAAGAATAGACAAGTTTTGCAGTCAGAAGTGCTTACCATCGAGTCCCAAGAACCTGTGCAAAGCGAAAGAGCATCGTTGCTGACACCCAAGCAGCTGACACGGTTGTCGTGACCTTGCAGAGTACCGACTCTCTCACCACGGAGAGTATCCCAGACCTGCCAAAAGTCAGTATATTGCAAGGGTCATTGGAAACGATCAAGGCATACCTTGCACTCAAAGTCATCGTAACCAGCAAACAAAAGTCTTCCGGAGACCGAGAAGGCCACGGATGTGATACCGCAGACGGGCTCGCCAATCTAAAAAGGTGGGGTCAGTTTTGTCAGTCTTCAGCATGTTTTTGTGAAAACGTACGGTATAGCTCTGCAATTCTCTGTCGGCGCGGATATCGAAAAGACGGCAAGAAGCATCGTCGGAACCTGTACCGAAAGCGTTTCCGTTGGGGAAGAACTGAATGGCGTTGATGTCCGAATCGTGGGCGGCGAAGGTCTGAACACACTTCTGCTGTCTAATGTCCCAGAGCTTTGCGAAGGCGTCGCAGGCACCGGAAACAAATTGATTGTTATCGAGAGGGTTGACGCTCAAGCTCATGACATCGCCGAGATGGTCGGCGAATTCTTGCAGCTTCTGGCCAGTCTCAATATCCCAGAGCACACAGGTCATGTCACCGGAAGACGTCAGGATGCGGCGGTCGTTGATGAAGCGACAGCACGAGAGGTATCCAGAATGACCAGACAGTTCTCTGGCAACACGAGTGGGGCCGTCGCGGGCGGAGAGGTTGTAAATGGAACAGATGTTGTCCAGACCACCACAAGCGACGTAGTTGCCGCTGGGAGCATAGGCACAAGTCATGACCCACGAGGATCTGAGAGGGATGGCGTGGACCTTGTTTGTGCTGTAGGCGTCCCAGATGATGAGCTTACCGTCTTGAGAAGCCGAGACGAGATGCCTTCGGTCAGTAGACCAGTGCATGGCGTAGATCTTTGCGAGATGGCCCTTGAGGGTACGCTTGGTCTTCATCTGGAGGCGGGGAAGAGCCTCTGTGCGTTGGCGAGCGACATCGCGAACTGTGGCAGAGGATTAGAAAAGGCGAGGATGGAGAGTTGACAGTAAACTTACGCGTTGTGTCGGCGAGCTCATCCTTCTTCTTCTTTATGCGGTCCTTGAGGGCTTCTGCATCTCGGCGAGCGATTGAGATCTTCTGCTGGATGGATTCTGCGCTTCCGTCGGCCATGGCTGTATGATTTTATATGCGAACGGGGAGACGCGGCTGGGAGACTGGTGATGAGTGACGCGGTCGTGTCGAGAGTCACAAGCGAAGCTAGGATAATCCGACGGCGACGTGGATAGCTGAGGCAGCGGCGACTGGAGAGTGGTGACGGCTTGTGCAGAAAGTGCGGAGCTCACGAAAAGGGAGGGCGAGCGGCAGCGACAAGAGCCGGCGGTGCGAGGTGCAGGTCAGCAATCGGGCGCTGGCTTGGAGAGCGTGTTTGGTTGGTCGGCAGGGTCAGATCGGCACAGGTGGAAACACGTCGGACAGGCGCTCTCGACCAGAAGACAGAAGGCGAGGTCGACGGGGATGAGATGGGCGAGGTGAATGGCAGGGATCAATCGATATGGCGATTGGAGTTGGGAGAGGCTGCACAATGCACTGGGGGGAGATGAGAGGTGTCGGCGTGTCGGAGAGAGAGAGAGACGTGTGTCGGCCGTGCGCTGGGCAGAGCGACTAACAACCTTCGGCAAACGGCCAAGAACGGGAGCACACTGGCGCTGGGTGGAGCTGCAATCTGAGAGCACCCAACTCTAAAATGTTGCTCTTCATCAAACTGCTGGCCTCACGTCTGCGCCTGTCCGCTTCCATGTAGATTGTTCATTTCTGTCCAGTGACCCGACTTCTATCTCTGCTCTGGTCTGTTACTTCTGTTCAATTCTATGACTCTAGCCCTGTGCCCAGATTGCCTTGCAAGACATGCCCGTTTCTCTCTTCTCTTGACCTCTGCTTTCTATGCTGCCGTTGGCTTCATTTTGCAACGGCCGGCTTGCTGCTCCTAGGCGTGAGCATTATTGGCTTAGCTCCCGAGTCTCGCCCACCATCAGAGTCCAGCTAAAACTCGACGCCCTGCTGCTTCGGATTAGCTGAGCCTCGACGTGGCTACTCGCCGTTGCCACTTGACCCGCAACCAACATCTTCCACGGTCATCTGGAAATGGAGATGCATGAGCTGCTTCCATTGCACTGCACGGTAAGAGCAATAGTACACCTGCTTCGTTGGACGTTGTGGCCCTTTGACCAATATGATGCACATACCGTTCATAGTCTCGTCTGTCCTCCTTGTTTTCCCCCATGATTTGGTCCTGCCTCCTCCCCGTTATCCCATGACTCGCTAAACATCGATGCTATGCCTATCCTCGCAAAGCGTCAATCTTCTTGTATAGCCTAATTGTTGATAGGCTTGTCCTCTGCACACAATCGACTCGGAAGACTCCTACAGTGAGCTGAAAGCACCTGCACAAGCAAGAAATGTACATGCAATCTCCTTTGATCGCCTCCTCGGCTGTTCCTCTGCCCTTGACTCAGATCCATCCCGTGTTCCGAGTTGAGAGCATTCATAGAGTAGACATGTAATTGAATCAAACGTCACAACAAGATCTGAACGACCGCCGATGTCATGGATCATTAGAGAACAGGGGGAACTGCGTTCGAGAAGTCGTACACAGCCAATATAGCTGCTATATTTGTCCCTGTCTGCTCCTGTATGCCGCCGTACGCAAGGGAGCACGGGGAACTTGGCGAGACCTTGCAGTCACGGCATATCACTTGACTAGGGCACAGCCTCGTAGGACTGCATCTGGACATATTCGAGGTACACGGGTCGAAAAGATGACTACAACATGCAAGGAACATAAATGTCGGTCATGCAATATACTGCAAGGCAAAGTGGCACCAATACTTCGTCAACATCAACACAGTGATTTCGTTAGGACGACAAGAAATAGCTTTTGACTTTTTTCGTTGATCTGCGAGCAGAGGACGAGCTTCATTCCATGTCCGATAGTAAGAGCCATTGAACCCATGTAAGATTGCGTTGCAAGCACCACCCGAGACTCCTGCCATGATCAACTCATCCTCCTTCGCTTTTTGACGTGCGACGACGACGGACCCAACAATTGGAGCGCTGCATTTAGCGGTGCTGTGGCAAGGTGTTAGCCTCCGACAGGTGATGACTCCAGAGCGCATGTCGGTTGCGGGTCTGGCACGGAAATGCGTGGGGTTGTGAATGCGTACCTTGATGAAACCAATGTCGGTGGACTTCTCACGGAAGCACTGACGGCAGATGTTCAGGCCGTACTTGCGGATGAGACCGGCGGTGTGGGTGCAAACGCGGCTGTAGAGGTAAAAACCGTCAGCCAGATGTCCTCTTGGTTGTGATCCCCTCGCTCGTGTGCGCGCACGACACCAATTTGTTCCTCCTCCTTCATTCGAGCGCTCCTCGAGCATGCGGTGGAGATCGTAGGGTAAAAACGCACCATTCTCTGCTGCCCTTGCCGTAGGTGCGAGGACGCGAGTACCAGACAGATTCGTGAGACATGGTTGCGGTGGATGGGTTGCCGTAAAAGGTCCTGTAGACGAGAAAAAGGCGCTTGTTAGATGGAGTCCTTCTGCGATTGCGATGCGGGCGAAGAGAGATACACACTTGAAGTCGTACGGTTTGCTGGTTGTCGTCGCTGGGTTGAAAGGAGCGTCTGAATTTTGGATTTCTACTGGGAAGGTGCGATTCTTCGCTTCGCCTTGGCGCGCTAGCCGCTCTTGGTCACATGCGATCCGGGGTTGTTTACTCACTCCACGTTCACATCTCATGACCTTTGACAATATATGAACATCAGCATCTCGACAACAGGAATACAAATCTCATCATGGTGAGCTGGAGAAGTGTCCCATTACGGATATACAAATTCTCATCCATCGATTCTAGACCAAAGACTCATCGCATACCTATATCCACCTCCATCGCAGCCACCATGCAGATCTTCTAGAAGACTTCAATCGAACTCATCTTCCGCACGAAGAGATCTACGTGCCACCCCAGCATCAGCCTCTAAATCCTGATGACGAAGATGATGTTGTCCCTGAGCAGCATGCTGCATTTGGAATTCAAAGAGCCACGCAGCGCCAGCAAGAACCTGCTTGGCGTGATCTCGGTCTGGACAGGATCTTGAACGAAGGTCCACCAAAGACTAAACGCCAGAACGAGCAGCTATCAAAAGTCCGTCTCTTACGATGAGCACCTTCCTGACTTGAAGTCTTCTTGCGATATGATCATCGCTGGCAACACTCGATAATGAACAACGAGAAGACCAGCCCTTTCGTGCCGAGCATAGTCAGCCCTTCAATCGGCGCCTTCCCATCTCTCCAGACTTCTCTCAGGAGCACCCCATAGCTGGAGCCAAGCATTTCAGGCCGATGCGGAAACTCTCTGTCAATGATCAAGTACAAAATTTGGGTCATGATTCGTATAAATGTTGACAGCTGCAGTAGCATTGGGGGCACAATCCACGAACATCGGACAAAGGACAAAGAGTCGATGATTGGGGCTTTTGTGTCTTTACCGACCTTGCTTCCTGTCTGTTGGTACATTCTACTAGATGGACGTGTTGCACCCTGTAATATGCTCAAGTGTTTCGAAGAAATCATAACTATGTTCTGATGTCCTCAGCATATTCAACAGAACTTATTGCTCTCTTACCATTATTACGTGTGAATACCCAGCTAAAATACACGATCCATGCCTACAAGCCTCAGATCTCTTCACGATGTGTACAGCCTTCTCGTAAGTTTTCCCTCTTCATCACCAAAATCGTCTCAACCATATCAATCCTTCTTCGCAGGGTGGGCGATCAATGTAAACAGTGCAGCCAACAACTTGATGCCAGCAGCAAGCCACAGCACACTCTGCAAACCACCCTGACTGCGCATAAGCCACCCACTGATAACAGCACCTCCAAACAACAACACCACAGCGGCAGCCCTTCTATTCCTCTTGACGTTGTGCAAAGCAAACAACTTGGCGTCACCCATCAAATCACAATAAGTACTCGTCAACACGTTGACCGGCAACTCGTTGTAGCCCAACAAGCGACTAGTGGCAATCTGCATTCCAGATTGGAAACCGAGAGGCGGGAATAAGCTGACAATCAGAATGTTGTTGATGACACCAGCTTTGTGCTCGTCATCGGGGTATCCAGGGCGATTGTGAGGGACAAGATTTGCGCTGACGATGGCGGCAGAGATGACAATAAGAAGGGCCTGGATGAGGAGGATGGTGCCGAGCCAGAGACGGTTGTTAGAGATGCCCTTGGGTGATACGAGCGTAGTGCTACGGAAGGTGAGGAAGGCGCCGATGAGGAAGGAGGCTAGAGAGACAAGAGTAGTTGTCCAGGCGTGAGGGTTATCCGGTAGACCAGCAGTCGAGAGACCCAGGATAACAGTGTTTCCTGCAAACGATGTTAGATGAAGCTGACAGGACAAAAAGGGGTATGAGAGTAGGAGGAGCAGGATACAGTCAGAGTCAAGTGAATCTACTGTTTGGAGACGTTGCTCTCCCTTGAAACTGGCAGTTTGTATCTTGCTTGTGTATAGAGGAACAAATTCGAAGAACCTACCAGTTTGCATTCCCACAAAAACACCCCAGTTGGCGAATGACGCCGCATCGACCAGACCCGTCACGAATGAGTGCACCAGCAAGACGGCATCTCCATATTCCTTGTCAACGGGTCCCAAGATCCGTCGTCGCGAAAAGTAGCCAGGCTTTCCGACGTTCAAAACCTCAGGAGACGCCTTGGGCGGCGGTGAAACATCGTCGGCGACCGCTTTTGATTCTTGCGGCATTGCGGCAAGGGTTTGGTAGACTGAAAGATGGAGAGCAGAGGTGGGGATTGATGTTGGAAAAGATGACTCTTCCTGAGACGGGACGCGGCAGCAGCTGTATACCGGGATACACGCGATAAGTGATAGGTTGCGATATGTACTGTGATTTTTCTTTTGTTTCTCTGCAGTCGGAGATGGCTTGTTGTGCCTTATCTATTCTCCTTGCCGAGACTGTTGTCCTCTTACTCAGTCACTATGACTGTACACGCAAGCCTGCCTAGAAAATTCCCTTTCTGCTCTATTCTCTGCGTCGACTTTTTGGCCGCGCCGGCTTTCTGGCAAATTTATTGGTGGCAGAGGGGCAGTTTCTTATTTGGCTCATCAAGGTTGGGGCCCACTTTCTTCCGCTTTCGGGCTGGTTTCTTTGCACCATGGCTTGGGAGAATCGTCTTTCTGTCAACGAGGCGCGTCACGCAATCCTACTGAGCTATGGCGAGGACGACAAAAGGCTTTTCCTTACTCGAATAGACATCGAAGCGTCGCAATGCGATGCTGGGCATTTGGTAAGAGATACAAAAGGGATCTTCTTTGCTTGATGCTCAAAAGCTTATCTCGCTGCAACCCGGTGCCGCGATCTGCATCTCCAATCGACCCCGATCTCGCTGTTGGAGTCAATCTCACATGCCTATTTCGTGTTGGGGTCAAAGAGATAGGTAGGTCAACAGACGTCGGACTCCGGCATACGCGAGTGCTCTACACATTCTCTATCTATGCAAGGAGCTCTCCTCCAATTCGGCCAATTCTTTGTTGATCTTCGCCATGTCCCAAGCCCAAAGGTTGGTCTTCTTTCGCCATTTGTCGAGATTGCCAGGATGATCTTCAGGGTGTGCATGTCCTTCACCAGCGATGCACCAATATTCTCGATCCTCCTCCATTCTTGATGCTTCGAAAAGTCTATCATTGGCTTCACCAAGGAAAGAAATCTGGTGTGCCCATTCAATTTCAGAATGATAGTTATACCAGACCTGGAGGTTCTGGCATTGCCGTGGCTGGTGACGGCCCCAGACATCAAAGAGTCTAATCTCCCTTGCTCGAATGTGGGCTTCTTCTTCATCTGGCACAGCATATTCTGCAGTCCGCCGTGTCACAATCTTCAGGACCCTAGCGATGAACTGCCATGGTGGTGGCTCGACATTTGACCACTTGCCAGCATTGGTGGCAATCAGATAGTCCCACTCCCCATCCCCTATCCATCCAAAGGCAGTGTTGAGGACATCGGTCAGTTGCCGAAAACTGGTGACAGCAGGTACTCGTAATGTACGTGTCACACCCGGCTTGCCATTGACAGCATTGACAGTAGCTCCGTTGGGTCCTCGCAATACCATCTTGACCTGGATTAGAAATCCCTTCTTCACCTTTGCTGGCTTCATCCTCTTGGTAGAGTGTATGATTGCGCGGTGAATCTCATGCTCATCACACGAAGAAGCATAACCATCCGATGCGACTTCCTCCATGATCGGCGGGACAGCGGGCGACGGAGGTCTGAAGGAACGTTCCTCGTTGTTCAAGTCTTGTTCGATCGCCCGTGTCTCGTCGGCATCGCTGTCATAAAAGTCGCGCCTTAAGCGCTCCGCTCGTCTGAGCTTGCGATCACGCACGGCAACGCAGGCATTTCTTGTGCGATCAGATCTTCGTAGTTCGCTTGCGCCTGTGATATGCGATCAACAGCTCGTGGAAGGGAGCGGGCAAGGCTAGGTGGCCTAGTAGAAGCCATGGGACCATCAGCATTGTCAGAGACTCCCGATGGTCCCGCGTTAGATAGAACCTGGTCTGCAGAATCAGCAGTCATAGAATTGGCTTCTCGGTCAATTGCAAAAGGAAGAACTTCCAGTGCTGGAAACGCTTCGAAGAATCTATCGGACTGTATCTGCCATTCTGGACGATACCTTAGTATTGCTTGATCCATCGCCACACTGAGAAATTGCCTGTCGACTACGAGAACGTCGGCCTGGCTGATCCTGACAATCTTGCCACCTCTTCGACGGACTTCATGCTTAACAAGACGTGACTCGCCTTTCTCGTAGTTGACCGCGAACTTGATTTTGGCGAGCTCACCCCTTCTAACTTGAGGTGTTCCCCAAGATCTAGCGTATTCCCTACGTAGAGCGTGGTTGATCTGAGGCAGAATATCAACCACAGACGACTCGTCTTTCACAAAGATCTCAGTCTCTTGTACTCCATTTGCTCTCGGAACGTGCCTAACAAGGTTGGGTGGTTCATTGAAAGGCCACTGGTCCGAATGATCATTGCCAGTTATGTGTGATATGTCTTCGGCTGGAGCTGGCATCTCCGGTTGGCTTTGTATTGAACCGCCAATCGTCTCTTCTAGAGGACCGGCCGTTGTCCTCGGCTCATTAATTATAGCCGACCCACGCTGATCTTCTTGGACCGGACTTTCTTCCCAACGACCGTTTGCAGGCATCTCCTGAACCATCCGGATCAGTCCTTGTTCGTCCAGAGGAGCAATTTGAAAGCGACCAAGTATCGTGAGCTTGTTCTTGGTAACACCATGGCCTAATACAGAGTACGTCGTATGCTCGTTAGGGACGAGGACGACCTGACCACCATGCCTCTCAACAAGTCTTTGAGCGTCGGGTCTGGACAAATTTGGAAGTTCTCCAGAGAACACGAAGATGCAGCCACTTAGGCAGTTCTCAGCCCCTCGAAGTTGATCTGTGTCCACAGAAGTCGATGGCATAGTGGTTGTCTCACTCGGCGTGGCTCCTGTATCAGCGACTCGCCTTTTCTTCAATGGAGGACCCTGTCTAGCATTGTCGGAGACCACGGAAGGACTGGTTGGCTGTTGTATAGTGCGTGGTAGCGTCGTAGTTGATCGTACTGTCGACCTAGCTGCCAGTGCGTTCATATCAATCTCTCGCGGGTCTAAGCCTTGAGAAACGATCTGTCTCGAAGACGGAAGCTGTTATGAGCATCACCAATCACGTTTGACGAGCTTTGGTAGCTGATAGTGGGAATCGCTGCCGTACCACTTTGCTCAGGAGTCGCCGGGTGACTTCGGTCTGACGGTGTTGTGGGAAGATATGCTGAAGGGCGAAGCTTCGTCGTAGTAATAGACGAAAGCGAACTGTCGTGGTAGTTTCCCATTTTATCTGGCCAACCAAAGGCATTTACTGCACTTTTGAAAGCCTCAGAAAGAGGATCCTGGCCATCAGACGCTGGTGCGCTAGGTCTGATGGCTTTCCAAGACCCAAAACCGGTCATGATATATCACCTCGAATATTAACACCGTAAATCTTGCGAAGAGTTGGAGGAATATTCGAGCATTAGATGAAATGGTCTGGCAGAAGGCTGCAGCATGACGCGCCTTGAAGCGCGCGCTTCTCGAGCTTTGGCCTTGGGCCCTCTTTGTGCTTCACCACCACCACCACCACCGCCGCCACCAGACACCACCTTTTCTCATTTTCGCTTTGCCGCAAAACAACACGAGGTTGCACACGAACACGAGATCAACAACGAGCTGTTACGATAGATTGTAGACACGAGATCTCAGCGAAGTATGCATATCGATGACCCTGCAGAGGTAGCACGATGGAATCACAAATCGTCATTCCTACTTCATCACCATGATGGCAGAACGTGGCGGTTGTCTGCGAAAAATCTCCGTCAGCACCTCATTGGAGCATTAACCACACTTGCCCTCGGTATCGGGGCATCTACAAGTTGAAAGTGATTTCATGACTTTCTGCTCTCTGTATCGAAGCAGTTATATAGCCCAGGTATATATACACGTCGTAGGTCGCTGTCAGCATATCTCATCCAAGTTACATTTATACCTCAAATTAAACCTCACAAAAGGCAAAAATCATGCAACACGTACTTCAAACCGCATTGAGCTCTGGCTTCTCAGCCACCGAGGGCTTTCACTCGGATACGCCTAATAAGGTCGACCCCTCGTTCGATGGCATGGCTGCAGTTCTACCCCAGTCATTTGTCCCCAAAACCTCGACACGCATCACATTGAAGGGTAAGAAAGATGATGTTCAGATTCCATGGATGTCTATCGGAGCCTGGGCATGGGGAGACAAGGCGACATGGCACTGGGACCCAAAAGAGCGCGAAGGCCTGAACGAGGCCTGGAAGTACCTCGTTGACAACGATCTTACCTGTAGGTGGCAGTCCAACATGCAGCGATAAGTATAAGTTCTAATAAGATTGCTCGTAGACATTGATACGGCTCAAGCTTACGGCTCTGGCGAGAGTGAGAGGATCTGTGGTGAGCTTGTCAGGGACATGCCTCGCGACCGCTTTGTCATGCAAACCAAATACTACGTTGTCCCCGACAACTTCAAGAACATATTCACGCCGGCATCTGCACCATACAAAATGCTCAAGGAGTCACTGGAGCGCATGAAGTTGGACTTCATCGATGTCTACATGGTACATGGACACATTCACGCTGGCAGCATCAAGCAGGTTGCCAAGTCGCTGGCTCAATGCGTGGACGAGGGACTTTGCAAGGTGATTGCTGTCGCCAACTACAACCAAGAAGACATGTTGGAGATGAAGCAAGAGCTGGCACAGTACGATGTGCCTCTCGAGATGAACCAGTGCGAGTTCCATGTGATGCGTCGTCTTCCGGAAACCGAGGGCATGCTAAAAACGTGCCGCGAGAACGGCATTCAATTCCAGTCATACTCGTCACTGGCACAAGGACGCTTGACCGGCAAGTGGACACCCGAAAAGGAGCCACCAAAGACATACCGCTTCAGCTCGTACCCCATCAAGGATATCCAAGACACGCTCGACGTTGTTAAGACGATTGCAGAGAAGCGGGGTGTCAGCATGGCTGCTGTTGCGCTCAACTACAACATCAGCAAAGGCGTCAACCCAGTGGTTGGCATCAGGAACCTCGAGCAGGCCAAGAGCAATATCCAAGCATTCGGGTGGAGACTGACAGACGAAGATATACAAGAGATGGACAGTGTTAGTATTGAGGGCAAGCACACCAAGCTCTGGCAGCAGGGTTAGGCAGTCTCGTTCTGATAGCAGGAGTCGCGGCAGACGTGTATCACGGACCCAAGCAGTGTAACATCAGATAGAAATGCAATAATGACAATCACATGCAAATGACGATTCATACGAGAGGGAAGCGTTTGACGATGAAACACTGGGTGGTGGGGAAGGGTGGAGAGTGTCGGATCGGGCCCTTTCGCGTGCCGACCGAACACCGCCACATACGCCACGAGTCAACCACGACGACGACGACGACACGAGACTCGAGCAAAAACATTCTTGCATCGTGGAGTAGAGTCAACGTTGTCGACATGTGCTGAGTGTCGGATCATGTCTCCCCCGTCACGAGATTTCTACCGGAAGCGCAAGAGCTGGGCGCGGCGGATTGAACGCTGTTGCTGCGGAGCGCTGGCCTACTTCCCTCTGCTCTTCGTCTATGGCCTGTTGTCGTGGGCTGCCTGGGTCCAGATAAGCATCGGCTTCTGGCCCAACCAAGGGAAATGGACAGGCAAGCACCGAAGCCTCGCCTCGACTCTCGACTCTGCTAACAAGCCACTCCAGGCAAGACATCGTCCTTGGTCGGTCTCATCCTCTACTCGCTCGCCGTCTCGTGTTATACAATCGCTGTCTTCAAGGACCCTGGATCTCCTACAAACTCTCCAGCCACCGGTGGCTACGCATCGCTCCCTACTCATGAATCCGCGACCCCGTCACCGCTCACGGCCAAGTCGTCGGGCAAACCACGCTACTGCAAGAAGTGCAACTCGATCAAACCAGACCGCACCCACCACTGCAGCTCCTGCAACCGATGTGTCCTCAAGATGGACCACCACTGTCCCTGGCTAGCCACCTGTGTCGGCATGTACAACTACAAGGCCTTCCTGCTCTTCCTGTCCTACACATCGATTTTCTGCTGGCTCTGTTTTGCGACTGCTACCGAATTCGTCTGGCGCGATATTTTCGACGAGACAAAGATTGAAGAAGGACTGTGGATCGTCAATGTCATCTTGCTTGCCGTGTTGGGAGGCATCATTGGTCTCGTCCTGACTGGTTTCACCTCCTGGCACATCTACTTAGCTACTACCGGCAAGACAACCATCGAAAGTCTGGAAAAGACACGCTACTTCAGTCCCTTGAAAAAGAGCATGGAACGCCAAATACACAATCACGAGAGACACTACATGCATCATGACCCCTCCGACGAGCCAACGCTAGGCGAGCAGCTCAAGGAGATACATGCAAACGCCGTACCCGGCGTTACCAGGCCTGAAGAAGGCGACGAGCCACGCATCCCAACTCCCTTGCCGACACAAAACTCCTCGTTCGAGTCCCCTGCCTCGGACAGCCTACGCCGTAACTACGCAAGTCTAGAAGCGGACCGCGAGCGAGAGCGTTACGCCGAGTATCTAGATGAGCAAGACAGCGACAAACTACCTCATGCTTTCGATCTTGGTTGGCGACGGAATTTATTGCAGCTTTTCGGTCACAGCCCGTATCTATGGTTCCTTCCCGTTTGCAATACCGAAGGAGACGGCTGGAGGTGGGAAGTTAGCGCGCACTGGATAGCCTGTCGTGACGAAGTGGCTCGCGACCGCCAATTACGAGAAGAGTCGGAACATCGCTCATGGCGAGACTATCAGGCCCAACGCTCACAGTGGGGCGGTGCATACGGTGCAGGAAGATACTTTGGTGGCCCTGCTGCCGCGCAGCAACAACAAGAGCCGCCGCAGCCGCAGCCGCATCTCCAACCCACGTGGACAGATGAACAAGAAGACGATGATGACGGCAGATATCTGACTACCACCAATGGTGTTACTCGCATACCTCTTGCCGGTCGCCGTTCTCCTTCAAAAGCAGCACAAATCCTAGGTCAATATCAAACAGCGAACGCACCTGCAGCTTTCACACGCCGCAAGACGGATCCTGATGACATTGACGATTACGACACTAGTAGCGATGAAGAGAGCTCGCGACCAGCCAGTCGACCACTTCCGCCTAATACGCAAAACTGGAATGATATTCCAGATGACTTTCTGACGTCTGCCACTGCGAAGCCGAAGAGGGACAGAAGTGGAAACAGGACAAAGGGCGATTGACCATAGCATTTCAGATTTCCTTTTTGCATACATTCCGATGATGTCTCCCAGCTTTTCTTGGAATAATCATATTCGAGTCTTTGTTTTGGGCGTTGCATTCGAGCGTAAATGTTGTATATCAATCATCAAACACCAGGAAATTCTCTGTACTAGATCTAATCGCCTACCTTTGCCTACCGACACCAATTATGGCATATCACTTTCTCTTGACGAGCGTGCCGAGTGAATGAGGAATGGTATCATATGGACCTTCGCCTTCCGCCGCTGCCAACGAGACTTTTTGCCAATCGCCAGCTTCACGAAGCCAATCATCGGTAGGTCTGGTAATATCACAGCCACCGAAGAAAGTCGGCCAGATCAAATTGACAAAAGCTAGGAGGGAAAGAGAGTCAGTGACAGACAACAAACGATATGAAACGACATTGTACTTACGCTGCCAATAACCAACAAAGTCGTTGGAATACTTTGTCTTGACATGCTCATAAACCACCCACGTTCCTCCCTTTTTCAAATACGGATACAAACTCTTGATAATATCATTCGGACCGGGACAACTACACAACGTCTGAATTGTAACGATGGTATCCACGGACTCTTTCTTCAAACCCACTGATCCCAAATCCTGCGCTCCCACAGGCAGAATCTCATAAATGCCTTTCAAGCCCGCCTCTTCCACTTTTCTGCGCAACGCAGCATGATGTTCAAGGTTCGGCTCCACACCGTAGATTTTTGTGATTTTGTGGGCAGTGGCGGAGTAGAGGCGTACCCATTGTCCGCTGCCGGGTCCGATGTCGAGGACGATGCCTGAGGCGTGGGAGCGGACTAGAGGGGAGACGATAGCGTCGAGTTGAGGGCGAGGCAAGTTGCTGAACCAAGACCAGAAGTATCCGAACCAGGCGTGTTGGAAGGAAGACCAGGAAAGTAGTTTTGAGGGCGATGAGCTGAGGAGACGGAACATCGTTATGGGGATGTAGGAGGCTGAGTAGGCGAGGAGGACGAGGGGCATGAGAAGGGTTGTTTGAGGTGGAAGACCCATTTTTGAGGGGGGATTGTTCTGTTTTCTTCGCTTAGGTTCAAGTGTGCTGCGAAAGCTCCAGAGAGAAAGACGATAAAGGTTTGATAGAGCATTTATATATACTACGAGAAATCCTACGGGTAAAATAATGCGGCATCAGTGGTGGGGCAGGCCCTGGCGGGGACTTGTTCAAGAGACCGAACGTTGCGAACTTCGGCGACTCTGGCTATAATGACTGGAGTGATATAGTATGGAGAACCATTGCTTGACTTTCACCATACAAACACGAATGATACAAGAGGAAGTTGCATAGCGGAAAGAAGATGAAGTCTGAAACAAAGAGTCAAAGCACCACACGAGGCGGAGTGTGCGGGACGAGACCGCAATCACAGTTCAACCTCACATGACAGCTCATCCAATCGCACGGGCGCTTAGCGAAACTACAAAACAGACGACAAAGGAGGGAGACCGAACAAGAAGGGATACAAACATAAGAAAGTACAAGTTCGTGGTTGCCAGAAAACAGGACCGACATTGTTTTCTTTGTTACACCTTCCTTTCTTGCTGGAAGCAACCAAGCAGACGCCCAGCCCTGTCGTCGATACGAGCCTTGCATCTTCCCGTCAATCGCAAACTTTCTGGTCTCCTTGCTTATACACGGCGATCGACCTGCTGTTGACGCCAAAGCCTTGCGTTCATCCAGCTTTCTGTGTCTGCACTCGCTGGTAAGTTATATGCATTCCTGGCCTTTTTACCCCCTTTCTGGATGCGCGTCGACCGAGACCAACATAACTCATCCGCAACACATCCTGAGAAACATTAGATATTCACTCGAGAGCAAACCTAACACCAAACACAGAAAAAAGAAAGTAATAAGATCAGACTCACAGAAAGAAATCAGGAGTCATGTCAGGGTTTCAAAACCTCGGTGCCATAGCAGACAATGCAGTACCAGCACCAACAGCATCAGAAATACCAACACCAGCTCGCGGCAAAGAAATGCGCGCAAACCTCTTGAACAAGCTCCGTGCACCGCCTCTTGTACATGCCTGGGACTTCTGGCACGATCGTCAAGACCGCGTTGCCACAACTACTTCATCAGCATCAGCATCCACATCCACAACCTCTCCATCAACCACAACCTCTCCCACCACTTCCCCTGCTACAGGAACCCCCTCATCAACAAACTACGAAGACAGACTGGTACACCTGGCCGCAATCTCCGACGTTCGCACCTTCTGGAATGTCTTCAACAACTTCGACGTCTCAGCCTTGCCTTTACGCGATTCCGTCCATCTCTTCCACAAAAACGTGAAGCCCCTCTGGGAAGACCCCCGCAACTTACACGGCGGCTGTTGGACCTTTCGCGTGCACAAGGACCGCGCCCCGGCATTCTGGGAGAAGATTGCTTTGCTGGCTGTGGGCGAAAAGCTGCAGGCTGCAGTCGAGAGCGACAGACAGCAGTTCAGGGATGATATCTGTGGTGTGAGTTTGAGTGTGAGATTTACGAGTGTGTTGGTGCAGGTCTGGAATAGGGATGCGGGTCATGAGGAGGGTATCAAGAGGCTGTTGGAGACCGTGTTTGCGAACTTGGAGCCAGACTTGATGCCGAGGGAGAATGGTTACTACTACAAGCCGCATCATGAGCATGCTGCTTTCACGGGAGGTCAGGCTGATGCTCCAAAAGCAACCTCGAGGCAGGCCCAGGTGTGAGCCAAGCAGGTGTTTTTGATGGGAGTGGAGAGGTGGGACAGAACTGCATGAGAGCAGTTCACACGGAATATCACAAGAGCGCAAGACACAGATTACCAAGGAATGAAGACAAAGATGACATGTATGCTCTACAGAAAAGCGAGAAAAAGATGAACTAAGGTAGCAGAAACCACGCTATGCGCACTGCAAGATATCTCCGAGAAAGTCAAACAAAACACAATCCCAAATAAACAATACTTTCCCAAAAACACAAATCGCACAGAGAGCTTGGTATTCTGGGTCCAAAGCAAAAAGTGAAAAGAAAAGCAGAAAGAGAAAAAAAAAGCAAAGGAAACAACAGATTAGACAAGGCGGGCCAGCCGACAGTGCGAGGCGTAGAGGGGGTATTAAGGAAGGAAAGGAGTATTACCAAGCCCGAACCCGCCACCAGAACCGTTGCCGGCAAACCCAAGGAAGACCATGACTACCGCACGCTTTTGAAGCATCTTGCTGCGAAAGACATAACGCGGCTAAAGGAGATAGGAAAGTGCAAGCAAAAGGAAAACGCAAAAAGTTGAGAGGAGATCATCCGTCTCGGGTATGAGACGGATCGGTAACAGAGGCGTGAGATGTGGTCGGAGAAGGGGTCGTGAAAAGTGTGTTGCAGTATCAGTAGGCCGCTACTGCAAGATTGTGAGAGGTCATGGTGGGAGCAGAATGCGCCTGTTCTTGAGCGAGCATAGCTTCCTCATAACCAGAAAGTGCCTGAGCGTGGAGCTTGAATGATTCGCCCATGAGTTTAGTGATGCCCCAGACGACTACTTCGTCAATCATGCTGCCCCAGATGCGGGCAACCATCGAGCTGAGCTTGCCGTACATCTCGACCGAGTCATCGTCGAAGAGGTTGCGAAGCTTCTCGTACATGGCTATCTCATCGGCGTTGGGGGCCTCGTCGTCGTGCTCAACGCGCCAGAGCCAGAGAGTCAAGATGACCATGAGGTCGAGTCCACACAGCGGGTGTTCGATGCTCCAGTTGGTGGCCGAGGTGCGAGCAACCCACCGAATGCCATGTATAGCAGCGACTTCGACACAATCGAAACAGGCTTGGATAACCTTGAGCATCTCAGGCGAGCGCTTGACCTTGTCTCTTGCGTTGGTCATGGCAGCAGCAACTTCGTAAGGATCGTGATAGCGAAGAGCCTCTTGGACCGACTTGAGATCCACCATGAGTCTAGCAGTCGTGTTGCGATAAACAGCCATGGCATTGAAGATGAGAGGATGTCCACGGTGAGGTGCACTGAGCTGAACCACAACAGTCTCGGGCTCACAGATCTCGAGAGACTTCTCCCACGACTCCAAGGCCAGGCGAAGCTTGTATTCGGTCACGACGTCCTGCAGAGCCTCGGGGCATCTCTTATGATACCAAACTTCGAGGAAGAGAGCGTTGATCATGACGCGAGTCGCAAAAGCACTGTAACGAGCAGGCTCGCCCTGGAAGAGGTTGCAATGAGATTCCTGGAATGTGATGATATTCGTAGTCTTCATGCTTTCGTGCCAGATAGCACTCTGATTCACGTCGAGGGCCCACAGAGTTTCCGACGAAGGCAGCTCCAAAGTGTCGAACTCGTTGAAACTGATGGCAGGCGTGTGGTTGTAGGTCATGGTTAGCAGGCCAAAGAAGATATAGACAGCGTAGTAGGTGCGGCGACAGCTCTCATCTTCGATCCACTCTTGATGGCTGGGCTGCGCGCCCTGACGAGCCTCGGTGCGCAGCTTGAGCTCGTATCTGTTACCGGCGACCATGTTGGCGACAAGACTCTTGACCGAGCAGGCCCATTCAAGGCCCTTCGGATCACCACTCCAGCTGGCGAATATCATGTTGAGCAGAGTGGCTTGCATAGCCCAGATGGGACACTTGCGAGAGCTGAAGTTCTCTTTGTTGACAAGGAACTGGTTGATCAGGAGCTTGGAGCCAATGTGAAGCATGTACGCAGAATCTTGCTCGAAGGCGTAGAGGGCGCCGACTGAGAGGACCGACAAGAGCAGAGGTGCCGAGACGTGCGCTGGGTTGAACGACGACGGATGCAAGAATGGCAGGTGATGATGGAACAAGTTGAAGTATGTCGACAGGTAACGGTTCAAGTCGTCGCCGAGAGGCAGACGGAATGTGTCGAGCAGAGCACCCTCGCTATCACAGTGCTTGATGTTGTTGAGGATGCTGGCAATCTGATCCTCGGATTCGACCTGAGGCGGCTTGGGCATCGTGCAGACCTGGGGAGGGCCGGGCGAGCGACGGTAGTCGACTGGAGATACGGGTCCCATCATCGAAGTGAACGGAGACAGGGCACCAGGTGTTCCGAGTGCTGAGAGCGATGGATTGCCGAATTGCTGCTCCATGAGCGGAGGCAACTGGTTGTGAATACCCATAGCACCAGTAGAGGATTGAGGCGCGCGATGGTCGTGACCAGTTGCGGTGCTTTGAGACGACATTGAATGCGACTTGGCCATGGGATGAGGCATCATGGTTTCCATCGTGTCCCAGTGGGTTTGTGAGTGCATCTGAGGAAGCGTCATGGAACTGGCCTGCGAGTACGAGGGCTCGGCCAGGATAGGCTCGGGCATGGATCCCTGGGTGGACATCGCAGCCTTCTGTTGAAAGTTGGTCATCAGCATAGCGGCCTCTTCGACTCCAAAAAGACCGTCGTCAGCACTCATTTGCTCGATGGTTGCTTGCTCCATGCCCATGGGAAGCTTGGGTGACACGACTTCTGGCGACTGCTTCGACGCGTTGCTTCTGCGCTTAGTGTCGCTCTGCAGCGGCACACCTCCATCCTTTGCGTGTACAGTACGGTCGTGGCGTAAAAGCAGGTCGCGACGCACAAATGTGCTACGGCACTTGAGGCATTTGAAAGGGCGTTCCTTGGTATCTAAAAGAACAAAATCAGTGTCTGGCAAGGTCAAGGGCACATGTGCAGTGGCGGAAAGGGCCAACTTACGCGATCTTTCGTGTCTGCTGCGGTGCTCACTTCTGCTGAAGGCGCGATTGCAGAACTGGCACTTGTATTTCTTTTCGGGTGCTGAGGCTGACGACTTGCGGCTGATGGTAGGCGAGGCCGAGCCGGCGGCCGGGAGAAGAGTGGTGGACGATGAGGCAGCAGGCATGGCGGAGGTAGAGGCGGAGGGAGTCGGGGTCAAGGAAAAGATGTGGTGGCGAGGTGAAGATGTTGAATGCTTCGGGCTATGTCCAGACAACAGAGGCCGACCGGTGCGTAGGGATTAAGTCTTGATGAACTGGGGCTGATTTGAATGATTACGTTGCATGGGCGATATTATGCTGCTCATTGAACGGTGGATTGCGACGAAGCCCTTTCAGACGTCTCGACGCAGGATACAAGATAGTGAAGCCAGCCAAAAAGTGGCGGGTGGGGGAGTTGGGAGGGGGTTTGGAGGGGCACGAGGCAAGAGCGAAGAAATCAGTATGATGTGAGAAGGAAGGAACGAGGGGAAAGAACTCAAAAGTGGAAAGAACGAAAAGAGGCGCGAGTGCTGCCAGTTTACGTCCCTAACGACGCGGGGCACCTCACAACCCTGGCGCTGGATCCGTACCGTGTCCGAGCGCTGTCATAAACTACCTAGGAGCTAATCATCACGCCTGTGGCTGATATCCTGTTTGGATTGTTGCAAGTCGCAGCTTGCTTGTCGCCCGTGGCAGCTTGTCTGTCATTCCTTCGACTGCCTAAGCCCTTTCCTGCCATTTGCCCTGTGCTCTCGCCTCCAGCGAGTCTATCCGACCATTTCAGCCCAGTCGCCAGCACGTTGACAGCGAAACGAAACGTTGTTCAGCGCCTTCTCGTCATGACTGGTCGCTGTACGCACGCGACTTCCGTCAAATCACCACCTCTCGTTTGCCAGAGAGCACAAGAGTCTATCCCGTCTCCGTCTGATGTCTCGACTAATTAGCGATGCCTCTACATTAACTGGACACTCTCATTCTCCTTTGTGCTTCTGCCAGACCGCCAGTCTTGCCACATCGCCGTCGACTGCACCTTTCTCCGGGTCCAGTCTCAAGACAACCATCATGCGCACTCAATTTCCATGCACATTCGAGCCACTGCGAGTCTGTGCAAGGCGCCACGTTATGCATGTAGCCGGACGCCGATGTATCTTCTATTTCTAATCCAGCCCCCTTATCATCTCATTCTGCCGACTGGCCAACGAAGAGACTGATCCCTTTGTCGACTCGGAAAGCAGAGCTTCGAACATCGTCATGATCTTTGCATTGCTTCATGTGTCGTGTTTGGACGATCTTCAAGCTGCATGAGCCTCTCCGTTTTTGGTCCCGACCAAATTACTTGTTCCTGGCATCGCTGCATCTTGCAGAATTATCGATGGTCTAAGTCGAACTAAGGCATAGGAACTTCGATCCGGCAGCTATCTTGGGTGCCAGCGAACTTTCCAAATCCCAACTTTTTGGGACGAATCTGATCATCATGTTTTGCTTTTTCTGACTATTTCTGGTCTGTAACCACATCGAAGCTCGGATTTATTCTCGAAACACTTTTCTGCCGATCCGACCGCTTGTCTATCAATCTTCATACACTGCTACAGCTTCAGAAGGTTCTTCCAGCACGTGGTGTCTATTACCCGGCATGAGCGTGTGCTCGTCTACCATCGTGAAGGAAAACGGAGGGGACGACGAGAAGCTGCGGGTCGGGCCATCTGGCATAGCCCCACTTCGCTCCCAGCGGATGCTGTCTTCCGTTTGCACGCCGGTGGTCACCCCTCGCTCGCCGCGAACCGGATGCTTAGCGCGTCAACTCTTGAATTTCCTTGAACCTCGACGACATTTTTTGATCAGAGATTTCAGTCGCAAAAGATCGCACCGAGTCAGATGGTCAACGGAAAAGACACGTCAAGAGGCAATCTATTTGCCAAACGAATCTGGGCAATATTTCTCGTCTCTGGACTCGAAAGGGGGCTGGACACGACATCATTGATAAGTATACCACTGCTGTTTCAATTTAAGTCTTGGGCGGAAGCCATTCTCTAAGCCTGCGGCAGTCCCCCAGCGTTGGGAGCTGGGACATTGCTCCAATTTTTATGAGCCTTGTCATCTATCTCGACCGGGGTATTGGTCCAGAGACGGGCTCCAGGGGAAGCGTAGGCTCATGAACTGGGCTTGAACATAGCCCGGCATCAACGAAGCTTGTTCAACTCGCGACGCGTATCTGATTGATGATTTGTCCCTCTGAGGGCACCATCTGACCTTGCGACGGGTGGTTGATTGAACTCGGCATAGACACAAATTGTCAGGGTTGCCGCTTGAGATGGTGGTGCGGGTAGCCACTTCTGATCGCTCACCTCCGGCAGTGATCGATCAGTCCAGCGTGGTTTGCCCTTCGCAACGCATTGAAGAGACGTTGACAAAGGGATGGACGTTGAGCTGACGCAACTGCAAGACTGTTCTTCAGCCTCTTGGGCTCGATCCCAAAAGAAGACGCGGTGCCACGACCATCGCGTAAGGACTATATTCCGCAACGCGGGCTGTGTTGGCACTGCGCGTCGAGTTTACATTAGGTTATCTCGAAGACATATCAATGTCGCGTTGTTTTCCAAGCTATCAAGCTAGTGATTTCTTCCAGCGCCGTCTGGAACAAACAGACAATAGGTTTTGTATAACCAGTCCTACGAGAATTGTTTTTGGTTGGCGTGATCGCACAAGGCTCTCAGAGACGCGACACATCTCACGTTGACTGCTCTAGCCGCTCTCCTCTGTACTACCCACATGAGGTGAGAATTCTAGGCAAACAACATCACATGAAAGCCCGAGATGCACTACGGACGACCCGGGTCTGGGTTACATGATGGTACTTAGGGTCGTAATCTCAAGTATGCCGGTATTTAAAGTAAGTTTCCTCATCTGGACATATACCGCCAATATTCTCCGCAACCTCAGGTCTGTTACGATGCACCTCGTGTTAGGTAACGGAGAAATGCGAGCAGACATAAATGACGTGGCGGCGAGTTGGAAAGCAGGGCCGCAAAGACTACTGCACTGTTGACAGGATGATTGACAGCGGAAGGACTAGTTGCAGCAAAGATGGGCGTTTGTTCGAAGGGCAGATCGGCGACACCCACTCGGCGATTTGATACATCAAGCAAGGGCAGTGTGGTACAAGATCAATGGCGTACTTGAGCAGTGAAAATGTACGCGATTATTGTCACAAGGTAGAGTCGACTTTGTTCGTACTCGAGGTGATCTTACTCGCTAAGTACAGGCGCTTTCCTGACTGCAGTCCAGTCTTGCGACGGAACATCGGGCATTGTGTGCCGAAGGCGTTGTGCTGTGCGATGCCACTCTAGCCGCAGTGCATGACAAGTTCATGATTGGACATGGCGTTACAGAGAAGGGCAGGAGATGCAGGATACTGGTGGGCAGGATGCATGGGGCGCGTCGAGGGCCACGTGAGCTTCGATGGCAGTGCATCACAAGATGTTCTGCGCAAAGGAAGAGGGGGATCGTTATTCAATAACGAGAATGTAGATAACAGAAGTACCCCATCCAACAAGAGCTGAGTCTGGCACGGATCTAGGCAATACAAGATCGAACAATCAATGGTAGGCAAAGACTCGTTGTTGTCAAAGTGAGCGTCAAAGAACGAAATGTTCAACAGGAGAGGTGCTTGCCTTTTCTCTGACACCTCATCACAGTCGGCTCCCGCTGCTCTGTTATAGATGTGCCTGTATCGCGAAGATAGGTAGGATTGAACAAAGTAGAAAGCCACGAGCGTTAAGGAGTAGCCAGTCGTTGACTTGCGATGCGTGCGAAACGCGAGAGTGGACAACAGAGACGAGATAGACATGAGCGAAGACGGCAACAAGGCTCGGCGGAACCGAGACCAGAGCTGATGGTCGCGAGTGTCAGGGCAGAATAGGCAGGCTGGGTTACAGACAGTGTTTGGTTGTTGTCATTCCATGTTTCATTCCTCCTGGGAGCTGGGGAGAGGTTGGTAGCGGTACATGTCAGCACGTCTGGACGTTGGCGTCAGAACAGGGACGAGGGCGCATATCGGTGTAGCCAAAACATGAGGCCCAAAGCGTACAAGGGCAGCTGAGTCGTCGACGGTTGGATGTGCATCTCGACGCAGCCTTCACTGTGCTCTCACACCGCCCACGACCATCGCCCGTTCTGACTGCAGTCACTCTTTGCGCCCACGTCGCCTTCGACCCCGTCATTGCGCCTTGACTCGGGGCGGCCGCTTTTCCTTCACTCGAGAGTCTCAGAGTCTCACCCTTCGACCCCTCGTAGCGTCCCCCGGCCTCGACCGAATTCACTCGGCGCTGATCTCCACGACACAACAGGGCCGTGGCCGTAACACACGCCTCGGCGCCGACATCCTCCCCGAATCTCAAGCTTCAATCCTCTAGCCAGCGACACCGAGGTCCCGCAGATCGCGAGACGCCCGAGGGCGTGTTCACTCGGTGAATGTCAACATGAATGGCCTCGCATCCTCCCCAATGGGCACCATGTATGTGCGCGCTCTCTACGACTACGACGCCGACGATCGCACCAGTCTGAGCTTCCGGCAAGGCGACATCATCCAGGTCATCACCCAACTCGAGAGCGGCTGGTGGGATGGCATAATCCGCGGCGTGCGAGGATGGTTTCCCAGCAACTACTGCGAGCTCATTGCCCAGCCCAACGATGTCGCTGCTCAGCCTGCCCGCATGTCGGATGCTCACACTCAACCTCATGCACGCAACCATCTCGACGACGTGGCCCCCGAGTCTTCCTACCGTCACGCCGACCCTGCCCAGGATAGTCAGGAGGAGGCTGCTTTCTGGATACCACAGGCCACACCCGACGGCCGACTCTTCTACTTCAACACTCTGACTGGCGTCAGTACAATGGAACTGCCACTGGAGAACCCCACACAACATGCCGAAACAGGCCCCCACGATCGCTACCATGTGCTTCAACACGACCAGTCCCGTCCTCCACCCGAGATGCTTGCACGTGGCTACGAGCGTGCCGAATCTGAAGCTGACTACGAATCTGCGAGCGAGGCCGACATGACGCGCTCCAGGACGTCTTTGGTGAGTGTCGTATGCAATTGAAACAAAGAAGGCTCCTCTAACGTCCACCCCTTTCCAGCGCAATCGAGGCTCGTATGTCTCAAACGCCCTCTCTCCTGCAACTTCGTCCGAGTCGCTCAGGAACACGTCCCCGCTCACTAGATCGCGAACCGATGTCGCCAACATGTCCACCTCGAGTTACGCCAACAACTCCAACGGCACCGCTATGACCTCCTTCATCAACAGCCCTGTTACACCCGCCCAGAAAGACGATCTGGTCATCTCACGTCGCTGCTTCGACGACTCTCAGACGGTTCTTCTTACCTGGAATACATTGGTTGAGGACATGCGCCGAGCTGTCCAGCGTTACCGCGAGTCGATTGACAATAGCCACAAGAGCGAGTTTGTGAGAAGAGCAGAGGATATCTCGGATCACCTTCGTCTTCTGCTTGCCGCAGGATCCGGCACTACCGACAACCACTCTGGCAATCCCTCGATCATTTCGACAAACAAAGCCTTGTATCCTCATTTTAGGGAAATGATGTCGAGCTTCTCCAAGCTGGTTTTGTCTTCCCATTTCGCCGCCGCAGACTTCACTACCCCGGACTCGTACTCCAAGTGCTTGCAAGAAGCCGAGGGCTTGTTGCACGGCGTCTATGGTTATGTTGAAGTTGCGCGCCAGCAACGAGGTGAAGAGATCCCTCGTCTCACGCCTGGCTTTGTGTCAGGTATTCGTTCGGGTGGAAGTTGGCAGAATAATGGTCTGGTTCTTGGTGATCCTTCTGCTGCATCGCAGCCTTTCCTACAGCAAGACACAGACACCGTTATCGAACCGAACGCCCACCTTGACCAGACTCTACTTGAACGAATGGACGACATGAGAAAGAACATTTCTATCAGCGTCCGCCGGATGGACAAACACCTAGCCTTCAGTGACAAATTGGTCACCCCCAAGAAACACAAGAAGGTGAGTCAAGCCATCTCTGAAGATGCTTGTCGAGTCGTTGAAGCCTGTCGGCCATATTCTGCCGCTGTCGAGAGTATCAATCTGGCACCGCTTGGATCTACCTTCAGAAATCCTCAAATCATCGATTTCAGCACGCAGAAGCAGAAGTTTTACGACAACTCCTCAGAGCTGGTGGTCGCTTGCCAGACCGTGGCCAGTCCTCTAAGTGACGAGTGGTCTGATCACAGAGGCAGTTCGCTCGAGGAGCGCATAACTCATGTCAAACTTGTTGCGCGTGAGCTTGATATGTCTTCCAGCCAGTTGCAATTTTCTCTGCAATTATTAGCGGAAATGATGCCTCAGGATTCAATTGCGACGCCGAGCGAACATAGTCGCAACAGCGAAAGCACCTACGTTGAGGAACCTCGTGGAGGGTCAACTCTCAGGGGTAAGCCTAACGACCTGGGCCCAGCAAAGAGCTTCGTAGAAAGCCCCGAGCCGACTGTCGAGACGCCACGTCTTGCAGACAACTCGAAACTCAAGCGCTTCTTTGGCGAAGTACCTGCAACGATACAGCAGGAGGATGTCCCAGACTTCCTCAAACTTGACCATGAAGGTGAAATTGCTTACGACACTAAGTTGGTTCCTGCTCAGTTGCGTGGCGGTACCTTGACTGGTCTTGTTGAACAACTGACACGGCACGATCGTTTGGACTCGCCATTCAACAACACATTCCTACTGACATACCGATCTTTCACATCTGCTAGCGAGCTGTTCGAAATCTTGGTCAAGCGATGGAACGTGCAACCACCCTACGGTCTAAATCCTCACGATCTCGAGACGTGGGTCAATAAGAAGCAAAAGCCTATCAGGTTCCGTGTCGTCAACATCTTGAAGAGTTGGTTTGACAACTACTGGATGGAAGAGAACAGTGAGGCGAACCAACAACTCATGCACAGAGTCTACTCCTTCGCCAAGGAAACAGTTGCCTCTGGCAGCACACCCGGTGCCGGTCCTCTGATGACAGCCATTGAGCAGAGAATGCGTGGACAGGACGCTCCTGGCAAACGCTTGGTGCTGACACTAAACTCCGAAAGGACGCCTACACCGATTATTCCGAAGAACATCAAGAAGCTGAAGTTCCTTGATATCGATGCTCTGGAATTCGCTAGACAGCTCACCATCATTGAGTGTAGACTGTACTGCAAGATCAAGGCAACTGAGTGCTTGAACAAGACGTGGCAAAAGAAGCTTCAACCCAATGAGCCCGATCCTGCTGCTAATGTCAAGGCTTTGATTCTGCACTCTAACCAGCTGACCAACTGGGTTGCTCAGATGATCCTGACTCAAGCTGATGTCAAGAGACGTGTGATTGTTATTAAGCATTTCGTGGCAGTCGCAGATGTAAGTTTGTGCTCTTTAGGTCTGGAGATCTTCGAAGCTGACACTTTGTAGAAATGTCGTCAACTCAACAATTATTCGACTCTCACATCGATCATTTCAGCACTGGGCACAGCACCTATTCATCGTCTGGGTCGCACATGGGCTCAGGTTAATCAAAAGACCCAAGCAACTCTAGAGGTTATGAGGAAGTTGATGGGAAGTACGAAGAACTTCTCAGACTACAGGGAAACATTGCACAAGGCCAACCCCCCATGCATCCCATTCTTTGGTACGTTGAGCACTGTTGACCATCTGGACTACTACTGACGTGATATCAGGTGTTTACCTAACCGATCTTACCTTCATCGAGGATGGTATCCCAGGAGTCATCAAGAAGACCAACCTCATCAATTTCGCCAAGCGCAGCAAGACTGCAGAGGTCATTCGCGATATTCAACAGTACCAGAATGTGCCTTATCCATTGCAGCCTGTCCCGGAGCTTCAGGAGTACATCCTCACGAACATGCAAACAGCAGGCGATGTGCATGAGATGTACGACCGCAGTTTAGCAGTCGAGCCGAGAGAGAGGGAGGATGAGAAGATTGCCCGGTAAGCTATGCTGCCAATTTTTGAGACGAGCAGACGAGCATAGTGCTGAGTCGAAACAGATTACTTTCCGAATCGGGCTTCCTGTGAGCTGTCGAAGCCCACCATGCTATGTTCCGAGGGACAGACGCATTGATCTCATCGTCGAATACTATTACCGAGTTTTTCACTCATCATTACCACGCACACTAAGAGATGGTGCCGTGCACCGGTAAGATCTGATCAAGCAACATAATATGACTCAAGGAGCTACAGACATTCGAAGACTGCATGTGGGAGAATGTACATGCATGTATGTCAAATCTCCAGAATCACCGCCGTCTAGCCGCAGTCAACAGCAGCAAGGCAGACGGAAATCTCAGAAGACTGTTCTGGAAAGTGGTTGGACATCAAAAGGCAAGAGGGTGTTTTTCTGGCGTTAGCGCGTTCGAGGATCTGGCCGGAGCAAGCCAGATATGGGCAATGGGTTACGGACGAATCTCGTCTTCTGTTTTATTCTTCGTTTTCAGTGGCATATGGTGTGTTGACAGGTCTCAGAGACAGCAAGGCAGATGAGAGAAGGAGAAAGAAGGGAGATCAAATGGTATCGAGATGATTCTTTGCTGCACTGAAATGCGGTCAAACGGCTATGTAATGCATTGATCGATTAGGTCCGTACGAACGCCTCCCTTCACTTTCAATCTCTGGACCAATTGTTTTCTGTTGCGTATAGCTTGGTTACACAGTTGCAAGCTGAGACATGCAAGTTTCCTGCATGCCGGATCGGCAGTACAACATACGACCCTTTCTCCCAGCTATCCGTTCAACAATGAACAGCTACGGCAGCCAAGTGTCGCAAACGTAATTTGGATCAGCCACTAGAGGGGTGACAGCACCGAAAGACGCTTTGGAGGGGTGGCTGTCAGAATACGTAGGTTGCTCTTCAGCGTCATCTTTGCCTTTTGTGAGGTTGTGCAAAGGCTTCGAGAATCATGGAGCTGGCAGGAAAGTACATACGACTGAGCCGTCGTCACAGCACTACAAATCGTCACTTCCTCCCGATTTCTACTTGGACACACGACCTATGTTCCATCTGCTTTTCACGTCTATCTTCACGACAGTCATCTCTATACACATCCGTCTCTTTCCTACGCTTTGATTGCACCCAAACTTTGGAACTATTCCAGCCATGGGAACTATGTGTGTCGCCTTGATCGTTGCTTTGTTCTTCGCCAGCCTTTTTGGCCATTGCTACGGAACGCGTGAGTAACCAGATTCGCAAATATGGCTTGACGTTGTAGTGGTCACCGATAGTGAATACTGTCCTTATCTCTCCTACCCCTTGTTATATCTGTCTCTCCCCTCTGCAAAATCTAGCATTGAACTGCATGAAGTGTTTGCAGCTGACGGTACTTCCATCGAGAGCCCATAAAGCTCGCGGTTTCTTCGGAAAGCAGTCAACATTGCAAAGCTTTGTGTCTCTTGATAGCTTCTTCTATGCATGCAGCATTTTCCGAGAGGTCTTCTTAGCTTGAAGATTGCTGACTTGCTACCTCCCAGAACAACAGTGCCAACCACCCACCCCGTATGAAGTAGTTCAGGAATCTCAGCTGACCCTCGTGCTCATCAGAGATCAACCATCGCCGCTGCGAGTGTGGCTACACGGTCAACTCTACTAACAGCTCGAGCCCCTTTGCCTTATTCACAGATTTCCTAGAGACCGACTTCTTACACCTATACACTCTGCCTGACAGTATTGATGTACCCGCCTCAGAAGCTGTGGGATGGGCCGTACAAGCGTACAATATTACGCCATCAGGGGCTAGGGGACCCTATGGCAAGGCCGCTGAGATCGAAAATGTCGTCTTGAATCCGCTACATTCACGTCAAGACTGGACAGGGGAAGGAAAGCTAGGGGGCGCGCCTGGGCTACAGATTTGGGTCAGGGGTCAAGAAGATCTGCTGGGGCCCATGGGCGAGCAGATGGTACGTTCAGGAGAAATCGACAGTCTGCGCCGAGATATGCGTTATGGAAGCTTCAGGGTTGGAATGAAGATGAGTGATGTTCCTGGCACCTGTGCTGCCTTCTTCTGGGTGAGTGTTCATGTTGGAACCATTTGGAATATGCTTCTGACACGAGTCACAGTATCGTAACGACTCACAGGAGATAGACATGGAATACCTGAGCCGTCAGAGCAATGGTTCATCGCCAATCAATCTGGTCATTCAGTCGCCTGCCTCGGCAGAAGCAAACTACAATGCCATCAACACGACCACTTTCCGCGTTCAAGATCTACCTTTCAACCCTAGCACTGGTTACCACGAGTATCGCTTCGACTGGACACCAGAGCGGATCGTCTTCTTCGCCGATGGTCAGCTGCTGCAAGAGTTTGAGAACACTTTCAATGGCGATGCCCCTGACGCCCCTAGGACCCTGATGCTCAATCACTGGTCTACAGGCAACCCTGGATGGAGTGGAGGCCCACCAGCCCAGGATGCTGTTCTTACGCTGAGCTACGTCAAGGCCTACTTCAACTCGAGCAATGCAACAAGAGAAGATGAGTGGCGTGGCGTCTGTGCAGGAGACAGTTGGCAGGGGCGAACATGTCAGATACCCGACTTCCCCTCTCAAGGCATCGATCCGCAAAACACTGTGGATTCCGGCAAGACCAGTTTCTTCATGTATGAGAGTGGGAATGTCAATCAGACGCTGTATCCTGCGGCAAGCAGTGCCCCTGGCCTTTATACGCCTGGAGTCTTTGGCTGGAAAGCTGGATTTATCTTCTCCCTGTTTCTGCTTTAGATAGCTATCGAAATGCACAGTGCTTAGCAAAAGCCAGCTGTATCCATTGAGAGACGCCGTTTGTTCATGTCTCCGTGGCCACACCTCAAGTTTAGACATCTTTGTGCATTATGATAGCGATTGTAGGGGTTGCCTAGTGGAAGCGAGAGACCTGCCGAGTCCTTCCGACAAGAATTCATCATTCCCAAAAGTACTCAGCGATGCATTTCCATATCTAGTATGCAGTAGGAGAGTGGGGGATCTCGACATCAGAGCAGTGGTGCTTCCACGGTTTGTATGTGTCTATCGCTTGGCTCCTGACGAGATTGATTGAGGCGAGCTCGACAATGGTGGCGAAATGATTAGAATGGTGACGAATGATTTAGCATTGTGGCGGCCGGGAAAGCGAGAACGAATGGTTAGTGAAAGCCTATGTTCAAAACACGCTTTCGTTTTGCGACAGAAACTGTGACAATGAGAAGGCGCGGAACAGGAAGAAGCACAGAAAGTTTGGCTTTTGTATGTTCGAGAGCCAAAAACCTACAACTCTGGGCTCACGTTGCTCATGGCAGCCTTGGTTGAACCCCTACAGATCTAGAGATGAAAGGCTTCGAGTCTGGCCAGAGTGACAAGTCATGAACTTGCGTAGCGCTGTGGTTGCTCCTGCCGGGTACTTGTGAAGTTATGGAGGTACGGACTTTGGCGTCTAAGATACTGTTAGAAGCGTCCAGCAACATGAGAATATTTAAATCATGAATCCCTCTGGCGAGAGACAGGCTACGGGAATGTATAAGACTGCATGGGGGCAAACACGCAGCCCATGAGGACACAGAGAAAAGCAATGAACGGAACGGGTTGAACGTAGTTTTGGTATATTGGCATCAAAGGACAAAAAAAAAAGGAAAAGGACATTTCTATATGCGTGTGTTGCGGTGTATTGATTGTACGCCGTTCCTTGTTCTCAAAACGATCGACGGTGTATGATTAGGTTGTTGTATGAGTGATCCAAGCTCGTGTGCACGAAGGTATTGAACGATCGGGGGACTTGTCGCGCAAGCCAGAAAAGGCATAGGCGGGAAAGGAAATCAGAACTCCAGTATGTTATGCAAAAGGCGGTAGGAAGTACAGAGTGGTTCGGAGATGCAGAGACGCGTGTTGGAAAAGGTACTCGTGGGAGGCGGAGAGGAGGTGTCTAGGCGAGGGTGGCCACGCGTTGGAAGGTGTGGCCCGATGACACAAGAGCTGAGTCGTGGACGTGGGCACGACAGGTGTCGAGGATTGACCGAGCACGGGTACGTGTCGCGATCGACGCACGTGAGGGCGAGATAAGGCAAGCAGCATGACGTGTGTTGATTACAGCAGGACAAGACCCATACCAGCGGCAACACCAGCCAGACCCAAGGCGGCAGTGAACAGCGAGCCCTTGGGCATGAGCTGGGCACCAGCACCGGTTGCGGCCTTTGCGACACCAATGACTCCAGTGTGTGTGCCCAAGCCGATGTTTCCAGAGACGGCCGTGGCCATTTGTCCAGGGGCCGACTCGAAGGTCTGGGTGTAGAAGAATTGCGACCAGATCTCTGTGCTCTGGGCCGAGTCCCAGTGGTCGGCCATCCAGTAGACTTCGGTGATGGGCACTTGTCCTGCTGCTTTTGTGGCCAACAGGTTGGGGTCCTGACGGAGTCTGGGGTTTTGTCAGGATTGGGTCCAAGTGAAAGAACAGAGAATGCTTACTCTAGTACTACATTCGAAGCGTCGTTGTTCCAGGCATCACCAGGAGCTACTGTCTGTGTGGGCAAAGATGCGGTGCTGTGGCTCTCGGGCGCAGCCGTGACTACTGCTGTGTCCTGGATCTGTTGTTGGGGTGCAGCGAGAGCCAACAGCGGTGCTGCAGCCAGAGTGATGAATGTCGAGACGCGCATCTTGTGGTCGTGAATCCTGCTGGCGAGTCTAGCTGAGGATATGAAGAGGTGTGTGTGTGTGTGTGTGTGTTTGTAAAGAGGGCCGCGAAAGAGATAATATCCAACAAGGCCAAAAGACGGTGCCAAGGAGAAGCAGAGGGTGGCTTAGGACCGTTGTTTTGATTTCTATATCGATTCCGGATGTAAAACGGCGTTTGCTGCAATCAATGTCTCGCCCCGGTTATCTTTTTGATTAACGATTGTGTGGAGCGTGTTTGTGTGCAGAGGAGAGGGGAGGGAAAGAAGAGGAATGCGCAGGGCTGATGAGCAAAAAGCCCGAGAGAGAGGCGCAGAAAACCAAGGATGGCGCTATGTCTGGGACCGGGGTGGGCTGGATGGGGTTGGGATACGGTCCAGCAATCACAATCTGTTTTGCGCGTCCCTGCCCATGGCCGTGCCGGCCTGCCTGTCTGGCCACCTTTTGCCGTCCACGGAATTCTCCTACTCTTCCTGCAGCTTCCCTCTATATGTCACCCTCTGCATGCCCATCAATGCCGTGCAGCCTCTTCTTTGTGCTCGCCGGTTCCTGTATCAAAGGCTGTCGACCATGTTTCAAAAACTCTCTCTACCTTGCCTGACTCGGCTGCCATCTACCCAAATTCTACTAAACTTCGTCTAAAAGTTGTTTAAGCTTCCTTGGCTTTATTTAGTCGTTGCCGCGGTCGGACTGCTATCGGCCCTGTCATGAAACACTTCTGTTCTGTTCACCTCTCCAACCTCATACACATCTACAACAACCTATTGCTAGAGCTTTGGTCCTTGTGAAGATTGCAACTCGATCATGTGCAGATGGAGGCAGAACTTGCCAAGGCGCAGTCCATCTCTACATCCCTGTCGACTTGGTGGCTTTGCCCTGTCAAAGCCGCATGAGCCTCCGGACAACCATGTTCCGAACTTTGCCCCAACATGTGCCGAACTTGTGCAGCTCGTACAATACCATCTGCGGCTCATCTCCGTAGCAGCGAAAAACATCAAGAGGGATTCTGTGTTTGCACCAACGGACCTCGACTCCTTCGAAGATAAACAGCACCGACAAGCAATCTCACCCTCTCCTTTACCCCCTGTACAACGCCTGTCTATAATTACTATCAGAACTCTACCAAGCTTCCATCTCGTACTGTTATACCCGTTTAACTGCCATTCGTCATACTCTCAACGTCGCACTTAACATTCATGCATAATCTGCCGTGCTTTGTACTTGAGTACTTTTTGACCCGAGCATGTGGAGCCGCTCCCGCGATTAGGTCTTGTTGGAAACCAGACCGCTGTCTTTTGTCCACTTCACCGACGTACCACTTCTCATTCTTCAATGCTCGCCAGTACTCGTAGCCTCAGTACTACCGTCGCCAGAGAAAATTCGATCGCAGGCAAGACAAGTAGATCATACGACTCATTCGTTTCATCTCTTCGTTCTGTATCTTACCTAGAGAGTGTCTTCTAAATAGAAAAACATATGTTGATTTGGTGTTCCCAATCGGCCATATGGACCGACCATTGGCTCCCTTCAAGCAAATGCATTCACCACAGTGGAAAAACAAAGCACATGTGAAAACTTATCAGGAAGTACGATCAGGTTGACCAGCAAACAGCATCGTGGGCTAGCCGCTATTTTTCTGGATTCGTTCCAGCATATTTTGAAGAATCACGAGCTATACAGGCGAGCTCTCGGCGAGGTCTCGAGACCTGCAACTCTGTCTCAACATGGAAATAACTTGAAGCAACATGTCTTGAGAACCGGCACAAGACATGCTGCAGCAACAATAAGAGATAAATCAAGCTTGTCGATACAAGTCACTTGTGAAGACCGGGTTGGTGTCTTGGATCAAGTGTGAAAGAGTGTCAGGCGCTCCGACGTCCAACACCGAGACAGCGGATGGCATTGTTTATCAATATCGAACTTTCCGAATCTCTACTTCCAAAGTAACAACAAACATTGTAGCACATCAGCCACTCAATCAGCCCGCCTATACAGACATGTACAAGCTAGTAAGTTTTGCAGAGAACTACAGTCATTGCACATACTGACATCTGGAACACAGTTCATATCCGTCGCCCTGGCCGCTGGCTCGAGTGTTGCTATGCCTTACTCCATTGAGTTCCCTAGCATCACCCTTGACATCCATCCTACATTCTCGCCTGCAGTCGTCAACAACACAATGAACCCCACCACCTCCTTCTCCAACCAAACCACAAGCATGACACTCGCCATTCATCCAACTCTATCTCCATCAACCACCTCAGGGAACAACTGCACGAACAGCAGCCTCGGCGCTTGCGGTCCTGGAATCGGTTCCTGCCCCTCTGGCCTCTGTTGCAGGTATGACAACCATCCTTGTTCTGCCCCATATTGGTTCCCGACTGATCAAGGCTTTAGTGGATACGGTTACTGCGGCTCAAACTCCAGCTACTGTGGCACAAACTGCATGCCAAACTTCGGTGTCTGCGGTTTCAATGCTTCTCAGCCAAGCTACAGTTTCTCCTACGCCCCTCTCAGTACCTCTGCTCCCTTGGACGACGGTACCGGTGCTGCTGGCATCATTACTGGTGATCTCGCCCAGTCTGTCTCTCCAACGACCACGTTCAGCTATGCTCTCGAGAGCACTGAGAGCGTGATGAGCTCTGCTCTGCCAACCATGACCGAGATCTCATTCGAGCCGCTGAGCACTACTTGCACGGCTGTCAAATCGACTTTGGCTACTGGGAGCTATCAAGATGCTTCTGTGACTACGGTTACTGTGTTGAAAACGATCAAATGCTGAGGGAAGTCGGGTTCTACCAAACTGCACCATCGAGGACAAGTGCAACGGGACCGAAGGCATTGTGATTGACGAATGCCTCAAAGTTGTGGATCTGATGGATCGAGGTTGTATAGCGTTATTGGTTTGCGGTAGCTGCTTTAGTGTTTTTGTGTTCAATTCAGGTTGAACATGGCCTCTTGGGTCATTGGAATGAAAGATTGATCTTTGTATGCCTACGTCTCGTCTCGTTTCGTTGTTCGTTCTCTAGGCCTGTGTCGATCACGCATTTTCATGTCGGCCAATGTCTTGACGGCTGAATAGTCGGTGCAAGATCTGGATTGTGACTAACATGTTTCTCTCGTGCTCAAGACTCTCCCACATGGAGTCGTCGAGTAGTGTATGAACTATCGAAAGGCATGAACATCTACGCATACAACGCCATAACCAGAGAAAGCTGAGGAAGAAACTAATCTCAATGGATAACACACTGTGTGTTCAGACTACTGTGCATCTCGACAGCTCAAGTGCCAGGAGTAGCACACGTAGAAGCTGCCGAATGTGGTTGTTGCACGGTATATGACCTTTAAGCTTCTTTCTGGCTCCACATATTCTATCTTGCTCAAATATCAACTGGTGGCTCAATCTCAGTCATTGGATGCGGAAACAATGGGATGAGGAGTCATACTCTCGTTCGAGTATCGAATGGAGTATCTCCTGTTGGTTCCTCCGTCCATCTCAAGAACATCCATCAGCCATCCATGGACGGCACAGACGACGCCGTCATGTATGGATCATGTTACGCCTTGGTTACCATACTACTCACCTGGCTTGATGTCATCGGCGTGCCCACATTCAACTTCGACATGGTCGCTCACTGGATCAGCAGTCTAGTTTTCTCCACCTCATGTCTTGTTCTGATGGCACTTCCAGGGGCACGCCTTATCGGGCACTCTGCATGGTTAGCCAGCGTATATGCAGGTCGGCAGCCCGCTTTGCCTGGGTGCTGAATGATCAGCGACGAGGAAGACTAGGTCTAGGAGCTAGAATTCAAGGAGTCAAAGGGTGAATGCATATAACTATCCAAATGCATAGTGTCTCTAGAAACATTGGCATCACCATGGAAACACGTTACGATAACCTCTCTCCTTGGACCTCACTCTTTCTCGAAAAGCATTGTGCACTTCCACAGTAAAGCTTACTAACCCTCTATAGATGAGAGAGACCTCGGGTCCTCTGGAAATAGCTACGCGTTCCGTGCCTGTCCTCTGTCTTTCAAACTACGCTTTGATCTCTTTTTGCACAAAAGCGAAACACCAAGCACCTTTGAGACGTGAGATAGGGTCTGCATTTGGAGTTTTTGTTATTGCATTGACTTAGCCATCGTTCTCGGAAGCTATATATTCGGTTTCGGCCAATCAAGTATAAACATTAAAAAGCAAGTCTGAGCGTTGAGCCTTTTAGAACCATAGCATGCGAGCCTACGAGTGAGAAATAATATCAGTCATGACCAGCGTCAAGCAAGCATCGAACTAGCCCATTTGTATGAAGCCATCGAAGCCAGGACTGTGCAGCCGAGCTTCTGCAATATCACCTTCCACACGAGGCCAGTCGCCAGCAGTCCGCAAAGCAAGATTGAGATCGAAAGCTGGGTCGAACCAGCGCTCTCTACGGGTTAATTTGCGTTGTCCGCCCTCCAATGCACTACGAGCAGCTCGAGTCGTTCGAGATCGTTTGCTTCCGGCACCACCGCCGCCTGTCGATCCTTGACTGCTACCCTGTAGCATGCCCCTGCGTGCTTCTAAAGCGAGGTCAAAAGCGGCAATGCTGCGGACATACGGTGCGACATCTGTGACTACGGTTTTGAGCGGGCCATCGAATACTGAGTAGGCCAAACTGGGTGGACCGGGAGTAGGAGTGGTCATCATAGTGGCTATTGTATCGAAGGCATTCGAGATATCTGCGCGAGTAAGGGGAGATGACTTGTTGCTTGGAGAGTGTGTTTCAACCACCCGCCCTACAACACTTGACGCGGGAGGGCTCACCAGATCGGAGAAGACGCTGCGTACAAGGCGCGAACTAGCCACTGCTAGCTGGGTGTCGAGGTTACTGTAGTCGACAACTTCCGGTGTCTGGAGGAGTGCCATGCCGTTGATATAGCTCGCGCGAGTCTTTGGTAGTAGCTCGGGCTGGGCGGCATCTGTTTTATGGTATTCTCTACCAGGCAGACCAATTTGGCAGGAGACGTCCATGTCACTAATGCTGTCAGAAAAGTCCGAATATTGCTTCAACGCAGCTATTTGCGACTGAGGATTTGTCTGTTCCGAGGCTGAAGCTGTGCTTGTGACGCCAGTAAACAACTCTTCACGCGGGTCGACGTTCCAGCGCTCCCAAGTCTCCTTGAGCAGTTCATCATTCTGTGAACCTTCCAAGGAGGATGTTGACTCATGGGCAACAAATCCCATACCTGCTTGATAGGTCTTCTCACTGAACACTCTGATGGGCTGACCATGTTCATCGAGACCACTACCAGCTGGCCACCTAGGAAAGATCCAGCTTAGTCCACCTCGAGGGTCACCAACTCCCATTTGACACCACAGTTGCAACTCGGCAATACTCGCGCGTAGATCATGATGCTTCGCATTGTAAAGTGTCGACACTGCGTTCCGGTATAGCAGATGGCCCTCTTGAGCCGCCATCAAAAGCATGTAGTCTATGGCGATGTCTGCAGGTGGAGTAGACAGTCGAAGAAACGCTTGACATGTGATGGCTTGAAGAGGTACGAGATCTTCATCGTTGCAGGTCATGATGACAGGACGTTTCGAATTCTCGAGCAGAGTGAAGATAGTGGTCCAGAAGTTCTTGTCTTCCTCGAACATGATATCGACTTCCTCAAGTAGGATCAGTGATTGTTTCTGTCCTCGTGATGGCTTCGAAGACGATAAGACTTTTTGTACTTGTTCGACACTGACTTTTGGTTTGCTCTCCTTCTTTGGTTGGGCGGCTGATTTCGGTTTGGATGTGAAGAAAGATTTCATGGTACCTTGCCTGCCAGATTCGAGGTCTTTGTTAAAGGCGTCAGAGAGACGGCCAGCGTCTTCGTCAGCAGACGTGTTGCCAGTATCGAGAGATCGATTCTGCACCAAGTGGTTCTCTACCATATCTCCAATTCTGTCGAGCACGTCTTTACCGCTTCTACGTGAACCGGGGTTAATCTCGAATATCTCGAAGCCCAATTCTTTCGCTACAGCATGAATCATGGCAGTTTTTCCACAGCCAGGTGGGCCGCTGACGATGACTGCATTGGCAATTTTTGAGCGGTTGGACTGGATTTTGAAATCAGTGTTTCGTACTAGAGACGGAATTTGTCCTGGACGCAACAGCGAGGGGTCATCCAGTCCCATGAGTTCGTCTGGATCATTGTAGATATCGTCGTCGTTAACGATGAAATCATCTAATCCAGCGGCCTTCTTGCGGCGTTTCTTCTTCGGACCTTTTTCGCGATTCGATTTGTCGTTCTTGGGTAGTTGTGACCCAGCTGTCTCAACTGTGTTGACGGTGAGGGCCTTCATCCACTCTCTCAGATACGTCGCCTCCCTCCCTAAATGCAAGACCTGACTTGCACACTGAGGCGCGTATTTCTGAGCCCAGGCCTGCACTTCTGACCGTCCATGGTCATACGATGTGAGCACTGATGGTAGTCCAAGGTAGAGACTTTCGCATGCTGGATGAACAAAATTGCGAGGATACCCAGGTACAGATTGAAGTTCATCCGTGGGCGGTCGAGCATGGAGTTGGCTGCTGATCCAGTTTTGAGCACGTAAACCAGGAACGAGATGGCGAGACGGAACACGTAGCGAAGATGGAGGATCGTAAAAGCCATCAGATCTCGGCATGTCTTTTTGACGAAAGTCAAGATCGCCCTCAACACGAGTCAGACTACTCTCGGAAGGATCTAGAAGTGGTATCTTGTACTTCATCTTGCGTGTGGAGCGAGGCACAACAGTGGAAGTATCTTTCAGCGGTCGACTCGTGTGGTAGTAAAAGTCTCCACGAATATGGGCATGGCCTTTCGGCGGGAAGGGAGCTTCAACCATGCCTGGCTGCTTGATGATGTTTCTGTCCTTGTTGGCACCGAATTGAGGGAAATCGGATGGATTGTCCATATTTTTCGAACCATTTCCTCGAGCTTGTGCCCGTAGTTTGCCAGGAGTCACAGCAGAAGGTCTACGTGGGCTGAGAATGTGGCTGACCTTGGGATCCCCTGGACCTTTTTTGACGGAAGCGGCGGAAGTTGAAATGGCGTGTTTTGGTTTTCCGGAAAAGAAAGGGTGTGCGGGTTTGGAGGGATCGACCTTTGTGGCCTTGGGCTTGGGTGGCGGAGCCATCGGAGCAGGTTTCGATAGTTTGAAGGTCTCGGATCCATCCATTATACGTGTAATCTGATGTCCCAATGTATGATTGGCAGTATAATGCATCACTACTAGTAGCTTCTGCTTCTCTTTCTTGGGTCTTCCTCGCTTTGTGGGCTTCTTGACTTGAGCGTCTTCCTTAACTGGCAACGGTTTGGACGAAGGAGAAATGAGAGTACCGCCAGTGCTCAGCTTCAACATTTTCTTGGGTGGAGTGCTTGTCGGTATGTTCGTATGGATCGCATTAGGCTCAAGATGATTCTCCGTGTCCTGGTTTAGCTCGATTGGTTGACTATTTCCAGGATGTGACGAAGGAAGAGACGTTGGGCTGGAAGGCTGAGGCAGCATATCTTCGGAGCCACGATCAGGCAGAACGAAATGGTCGGTAAGGCTCAACTTGCGTCGCTTACGACTGGCCGACTCGGCAGACTCGGGAACCGTCGTAGTGTCTGGCTTCTGCTTCGCTTTCCTGAGACGAGTCTTTCTGCCATTGCTTGTGTCTGATGGTGTTGGAAGTTCGGGCTGCGAAGAAGCAGGTTCTGCTCCAGGCGAGGCATCACCAATCGACAAAGTGGATCCGACGTCTGGCGTTGGTATGGAAGCGGACGCTGAGCAAGTGAGCAGGTGACACCAAGATCGGGGATAGTGCATAGATACCTTGAGGCTTCACAAAGAAAGGATGTAAGCTTTTGTTCTGGCCATCATTCATGATGCCGAGAGCCATGGGAAGAGAGGGTGTTGTTTGGCGACAATTCAGTCTCGAACAAGTCTCGCTCTCGCTCTCGATGGAAGACGCGTCGTGACGCTATAAACGGGAAGGCGCGCCTCGCGAGCGCTGTTTCCCATTTCGGACTTTACCATGCTACGTCCGAGGGTCGCGCCTGTCTGCCAAGGATCCCGAACTTTTTCTGAAGCAGGAAGCAAAAGAGGCAGGAACACCATCTCGTCGCCTACAGAAATTGTTCACGCTACACTGTACAAATGGCCGACCGAGCTGCTATCGAGGCTCCCTTTACCCTCGCCTCTCTGCCAAAGCCCTTCGATCCCACTGCTGGTACTACCTTCGCCGCTCCGGTATTTGGACTCCGCGGTCAAAAATGGAGAAAGCGTCCTGAAATTGTCGCAAGTGTCGACGGAGACAGCATCACCATCTACAATGTATCTATAGCTCGGCAGATTGGTTTCAAATCGAAAAAGTACTGACTGGTGTCTCTAGGTGCGTAATCCGCGCTTGGTAACATCGTATGCTCTTCCTCCTCAGACCCGTCTGCTATGCGCGCCATGCTCCATCTACCGCAAGATCACTGGTCGCAAAGCTGCTCAGAGAGTCACATATGCTGTACTTGGTCACACTACTGGAAAGAAGACAGAAGTCATCTGCTTTACCGAGGATACCATTGCCGATTCGACCGATCTCTCTGCCGATCAGCAAGTCAAGACAAGCTACCAACTGCCCACGTCGACGAGCACCGTCTTTGCTATCAATGCCCTCGCTTCCCACTCGGACAATGAGACTCTTGGTCTTGCTCTGGACATTGCTATTACCTACGTCGACGGAAGCGTCGAGTGCATCGCTGGCGACCTTCAGCAGAAGAGATGGGACGCAGATGCCGCTCGTACTATCGTTATGGCTGAGTCGGACGCCACCCCAACATCTGTCAAGGTCGAATATGCCACCGTCACTGATGTGACCTCAGCAAGAAAGGGTCTGCTCAAAGGCAGAGAGGATGCTCTAGCATTGGTTGGAGGTGCTATCAGCCTCGACAACTCGTCCGACCTGAACGTGCCCCTGCTCGCTCTGGTGACTGTCGACGATCAGAACACTCGCCGCTTCAATCTGTTTTCCCTGCCATCAAGGTCAAAGGACATGATCACCAGCGCCCACCAAGGCCTTCGTTACTTGTTCAGCTACGAGCTCCCTGGGACCCCTTCTGCTGACAAGGCTACTTTCTCTTTGCAGTCCTCGGCTGGAAAGTTACATCAACTACTCTCTGGTGTCATCACTACATACGATCTTTCAGGCACTGTTCCTCGTCTTCTTTCTGTTCTTACTCCTCATACTCAAGCCCACCAAAGCTTTGTTCGCATCTCGGCCGCACTGGTTCTTGCTGCCGAATCCTCCTCGTGCGCCATCTATGACACCAAATACAGTTCTTTACAGGCTGCTCTGTCCCTTGAATCTGACCCTCTTGAGTCAGCTGGCGACAAGAGAAAGAGGACCGACGGCGCTACTGAAGGCTCTCTTGACTTTGTTACCTTCTTCTCAGACCTTGGTCTTGCTGTTGCAATTTCTGGAAACGCTCTCGTCGGCCTGCAGATCAACCTTTCCGCCACCGCTTACAAGAAGTCGAAAGCTAACACCAGTCTCCTGATCAACTCCCTCGGCAAAGGAGCCAAGAAGGCACTTGTCGCTGCGCCTAACTCTGAAGCATCCTCGCAAGAGTGGGAAAGCTGGAAAGAGACAGTTGACTCACTCGTCGAGTCTGATGTAGCAGCCCTCGAGCGCTTCCTTGCCGCTGAGCTCGAAGTGACTTCCACTCCCAAAACTCAGAAGTCGACAGCCCAGGACTCCGGGGACCAGGATGCGGAAGACAACAGGATGTGGCCTGTAAGAGACTCTCGATTCCTGGTTCAAAAGACCGAGAGGCGCAAAGCCGTCTACCTACTCAGCAAAATGTTCGCCTGGAATGAGTCCACTAGCGAGGACCAGAGCTCCATCTCGATGAACTTCTTTGCCGCAAACATTTTCAGGTGGCTGGCTGTCACTGGATACGTGTCTGCCATGGCAGTCGAGAGAGCTTTGCGCGAAACCGGCACTATTCAGTCCACGGCCCAGAGGGTTCGTTCTGGTGACATTATGAGGGCAGTCAATGAGCTTGACCCAGAGATGCATGTGATGCACGAATGGCTGAGCTGGCCTGTCTACCTGGAAATCGAAGAGGTCATCGTGGCTTTGGCTTCACTTGTGAAGTCCCTGCAAGGTCCGAGCCCTGCCGCAGTGGCCAAGCTTATCACTAGCAAGAGCGAAGAACCCGGCAACGAGCTCGAGACTACAATCCAGGCCGAAACCGATGCTGCAGAAGCCGATCTCGAGTTTGCGCTGTCTGCTCTGGACACTGGTCTCAGCGTCCGAAGCGCCTCTTTCCGCACCGTTTTCACCCGCCTCCATTCGTTCCCTTCGCGTAGTATCGTTGAGAGGCTCCGCACTCACCTTGCGCCCCGCGAGGTTGTGTTCTTTATCCAAATTCTCCGCATTGAGCTTGCAGACGGTGGCTGGACCTCAAAGTACACCGAAGATGAGATTGCTCCCAGGCCTGAGGACGCAGGATCACCCAGCGACCACTCAATTGCTATCATCAGCAACCTTCTCAACTGTGCCATCGACGCCATTGGCACATCTGGCTGGCTTGTAGGACTCAGTGGAGACCCAGACCTTCAAACCGATAACATGCTGGAAACACTCGTCGCCGAGACCAGCGCTGCCCTAGAGACTTGCATCGAGGCATGCAGCTTTGGGGTCTTCTTGAATGACTTTGAGCGGTTCAGCAACACGATTCGTGCTTCGCAGAAACAGACGACAATCAAGAAGGTGGATCCCATCAAGACGCCTGGATTCGAAGAGACTCCTCTTGCCGTCGATCCCATCCTTCCTCTTGGTTACAAGGCCCAGGGACCTGCCGACAAGATGCGTATGACAAGCACTGGCCAGGTCGAGAAGAGCAGGGGTCTGCGTGGTAAGGAGCTGTCGATGCGTGTCGGCAAATACTCGCTGGACAGAATCGTTGTCTAAGGGCTACGTGGAGGACGTTGTGTACATGGAAGACATCTGAATGTAATTACTTAGCGAGGAGTCACAGGACAGGAAAAATCATTGTTTTCGTATGCATCCATTTATCCACTGACTTGCAGCTTTCTATATCACCATCCACAAGATTCCATGATGTCATTGCTTACCACTCGAGCCTGGCAAGCACGGTCATAAAAGTAGACGACTTCTCTCAAAACACTCTGCCAACACGTGAAATCACAGTTCAAAAGAAACATAAAATCAAACACCATGGGTCTTCCACAGCAACCAGTACAACCGGCGGATGACGCAGCTGCAAGCAGCAGTGTTCCGACACAGGCGGGCGACCTGCCACCCGCAGCGCTCGAGTTAGCCGGCAAACTGTTCGACTTTGCGCGACAAGGCAAGACTGAGGAATTGGGGCAGTATATCAGCGCGTGAGTCGGTCAAGATATGCGTGTTTCGCGTGTTGGTCCCGATCGGGTCTGCGTTCTATCAATTGTGATATGGCCAGCATCAGTGACGGATCAAATCTCGAAGCATGATTTCGGTATCATAGCATCCAAGCTAACGATGCTTACTGCAGTGGCATCCCGCCCAATCTCACAAATCACAAAGGCGACACATTGCTCATGCTAGCAGCTTATCACGGTCATGCAGAAACGACGAAAATGCTGCTGGATAAGGGTGCAGACCCGAATGTATTGAACGACAGAGGTCAGAGTCCGATCGCCGGCGCTGTGTTCAAAGGCTCGGATGAAGTGGTCAAGCTATTGTTTGAGAGGAGGGCAGATGTATATGCAGGACAGCCCAATGCTGTAGACAGCGCGCACATGTTCAGGAAGGAGGACTATCTCACTCTATTTGGTGTGGAGCAGCAATAAACACCCAACAGGATTTTGGCTTTCAGTCACAGCTTTTGGTTGCAGCAGTCAAACGTCAAGGAAGAGCGATAGTTGAGCTTGTGCTTTCATGTGTTGATTGAGCACGAAAGCTAATCCTTCTGCAAAGCTGTGGAGACAAGCAATATTTATCTTCCGGCACTTGCAAATTGGACGAACCAGAGCGAGCACGAGCGAGCAATCATGTGAATGGCGACAAAAGGGTCCCCGAGGCGTTGGCAGCCAACGCCTGCATCGATAGCGGCATCTCGCAGCACCAATACTCAGCAGTACCACATCGGTTGCAGGGTATCCCACGAGCCAGCTTAGCTCCTACGAGCCTTGTCATCTCCGCCGGATTCAAGATGATCATCGAAATGATAATAAACAAAGGATGAGATTAGAGAGAATCGATGTGGCCTCGCTGTCGGAAGAGAGAGCACGCAGAAAGATCGAGGTAGATCCGAAAAAATGGCATGTGAAAGAGACGGGTCATGCCAAGGCCACGGGACGAGGAGGAGCATGTGATATTTCGTTGTGACGCGAAAGATGATGAGTTTCATCGACCGTCGACGTCCTTCCCATACGACCATTGCCAATGACCCGCCGTTTGCTGCCTCAGTCACATCTCAATCGCCCTCGAATCCGCTCAATCGAGTTTTGCTAGTTGCTGCTGCTGCCAGAGTCGTCGGCGACTTGCGCAGGAGCTCGGTCTCGACGTCAGTGCAACAATGGAATCGCAACGCCAAGCGCCCGGATACGCCTACGACCAACATGCCGACAACCTCAAACTGCCCTCGGTGCCAACTCAAGACCTTCACATGAACCATGCTCCTACCGACATTACTCTGCCCGATCTGAAGTCTGTCCTCGCCGACCTTCCTTCAAAGACGGTCCATCCCAATGTCTTGCTCAATGCCGCCGCCGTCAGGGACGTCGACTCGCAAGTGAACATGCCTCGCACCAGCATTGAATCCGACGCTGCCAGCAACATGAGCATTGACGACGCAACTCAACGCTCCACAAGTGTGTCAATGGACGACCCAGATGTCCGTCTTGCCGCCGAGGCTCTCTCTGGTCTTGGAAACCCTGGTGTGTATGCCCAATCACGCCCTGCCTGTCACGTCGACTGATATCCCAGACTTTGCTCCCTCCCCCAAGACTCGTCCATCAGCCTCCAACCACAGTCCTGCAAGTGTCTCAGCTTCGTCAAACAGAGACCTCGAACCACTGCTGGATCTTCTGGTCGACGCCCATCCTTGGGTTGGAAATACTGTCAACGGTAGTTTGTCTGCTTACAATGCGACCAAGAACTTCTCGCCCCGTATCGTCAGATATGGAGTCCATCTCGTCGAGCGTAACGTTGGCTCTCCTGTCGCTAGTACTGTCAGTAACCTCGGTAGACGTACTGGTGTCGAAGGGGGCATTAGACGATACCTCGATAGTCGAAGACCCAGTTCTCCAGCCACGGATTCTGCCCACGGAAGCAAACGTCGACGAGTAGCCTCGGACAACATGGACCTTGACCGTGTAGACCCGACCCTTCAGGACTCACAGGAATATTTACCTGCGTATCAAGCCAACAAACCGCCTTCGTATAGGGAGGAGGTCAGCCCCCACGGATCAGAGAGAAGTCGAGCTGTCGAAAGACCTCCTAACAATCGAAGCTGGTCAACCAAGATCTTCATCTCGACCTCTGCTCTCGGTGTTGCACTCAGCGATTCATCCTTGCGAAGCCTTCAGTACTGCGTCAAGCTTCTCTCCGGAGCTACTGAGCATGTTGAGAGCGTCATGAATGCGCTCAAGATTGTTCTACACGAGTACGACCAATCGCACGAGACATCACAACAAGAGCGAGCCAGACAAGAGAAGGAAAGAGAGGCCGGTATCGTCATTGAGATCAGAAGCGGCAACGAGCATGACCAATCGACAGAAATGCTCGCGAGACGCATCAAATCGCTTTGTGATGACATCTGGCACACCATCCAGACCGTGGTCAACTCCGTTTCGACATACGCCGGAGGTGCCCTCCCCGAAAACGCCCGCAACATCGTAAAGGGGCAGTTGTTGTCCATCCCTCAAAGATGGCGCCATGCTACACAGTCAGCTGAAGCAGCTTCTCCGTCTCAATCGGCCACTAAAGCCGACGGCGGCGAAGACGGTAAAGCAGTTGAGGGTGCAGACGAGAACACTCGTAAAGCAGCCCACCGCATGATTGCCTTTGCAACCGAAGGCATCGACATGATGGCACAAGTCAACAGCGTCGTCGGCATCACGCTGCAGAGCGCTGAAAGCTGGCTGCAAAGCCTTGGTAGAAACGTCCGCGAGGAAGAGATGATGGATGCCGACGATCCGAGGGAAGCCACAGCCGAGTAAAAGCAAAAGAAAACAACACAAATCATAAATCATGAAAAGCTACGAAAACCATTCTTGAGTGTTGAGGCGCACAGGGCACAGTTCATCCTGCTACAAGGATGAACACAATGTTTGAGTCTGAATATGGTGTATGGACTGGAGTTCTCACTAGTCGTCTCGGGAGCAGGGACAGGGAGTTTACGATGGTCAAGGAGGCTCACAGAACGGTTTTTTTTTTTCCTTTCTTTCTTTTTTCCTTCCTTTCTGTCACTCTCGTTCCAAAAGAAAACGAAAAAGCGTTGTATCGTTATCGTTTTTTTTTTCTTTTTGCTTCTTTGGGTTACCTTTTGGGAGACTCTCGAGGGTTGTATATATCAGATTTTATGCATGCTGTCTTCTTCTTCTTTGACTTCACGTTTTACATTTGCCCTCGCATGTGAAATTGCCGTCTTTTCGCAGTGATCTAAAGCGAATAGTAAAAGCAATGGCATAGCATGCCGAAACATGGCAAAATTCGAAGGATCCAAGAAGCCGAGCTTGTGTCAAAGGGTGTCATCGAACGCGGGTCACCAATGATCGAAACATCTGTTGAGCAAGTATAACACCTTGATTGAAACCTCAAACGAACGCTGTGACAGATGTGTGCAAGGATGGTCTTGAATCAAGTAGCTAGCAGATTTGTGGCAAAGAAAAGGGGGGTATGTACAACAAAGCTCGAAAAAAGAAGAAAAGACAACCAACATTCGTATCAACTTTCTAATCGCCAATCACGCTCTCAGCATCAGCATCAGCATCAGCATCAGCAGCGACTTCCTCTTGATTACCTCCTTCCTCATGCTCATCATTGTTGACATCGGCCATTTCATCATCCTCTTGGATTTCCCTCTCACGCACAACGTCTTCGTCTTCTGCTTCCTCGTCATCGTCATCCTCCACAACAACCTCTGCACTCTTCTGCTGTTGTGCAGGTGCCTTGGTCTTCGCCTGCTGAGCGCCAGTCTTTGCAACAGTGGCAGCTCTGCCCTTTGCCTTCTTGCCCTTCCCCTGCGCAGCATCCAAGTGCTCAAGCACGAGTTTAAAGTTGTGTCCCAAGCGCGTTTTGTTGCGTTCGAGCCTCTGCTTGACGACCTCCACATTGACCATGCGTCCCAGAACAGCCAGAACAAGCTTCGATGCCAGTTCGCAGAGTCGTTGTTCAGCAAGCAATGAATTCTGGAGTTTGGCAACGCGTTTGGCTTGGGAAGATTGGGTCTGTTGTTCATCGCCTCCTTCTGCATCTTCGTCCTCTTCTGCTTCGTCCGAGTCTTCGGGGTCGGCGTCAATAGGGTCGGCGGGCTCGTCATCGTCGTCATCATCAGAGTCTTGGGTGGCGGCTTGTGAGTTCTCGGCTTCGACTTCAACGTGTTTGCCGCTGGCTTTTGCGAAAGTGGCTTCGACGGCGCCAAAGACGCGGAGGATGCGCTTCTGAAGTACGGCGTCCATTTCCAGAGCGAGCACGAGGTATTCGTCGCCATTTTTGTCTGTTGTGACTTGGCGGAGGATGGCCATCACGGTGTGTGCGTCGAGGAGCATGCCCGAGACCAGAGGGCTGAGCTCGTCGTTCACGGGTCGTGTTTTCAATACTGAACCCAGAGCGCTGACGTAGGCATCGCGTCTTACGGCAAGATTCTCGAGCTCGATATCGGGTAGAGCGACTGTTTGTAGTGACTTGATGAAGGCGGGTATCCTCCACATGAAGTAGAAGCAGACTGTGCGCGAGGCGTGCATGGCAAGAGCATCATCAAGAGCAGCAGTCTCCGGGTCCGAGCCTTTTGGCGAAGCAGCACGATTGATGAGAGCAATAAGCGAGTCGATAGGTGGAGAAGGTTCCGATAGGTTAGTGCGTGCGTTAGCTGGTGCAGAAGGTTGAGTTTCAAGGCATTCGACAGGATTGGAGATGCTGGACAGTTTCTCGAGACGCAGCACTGTCTTGGAAACAGCATCGAGAACGGTAGTAGACAACAGTCCACGTGTTTCGAGGTCCTTGTCGTGCGTGAGTGTGTTGAATGTGCTGATGGTATCTTCCCAGAGAGTATCTATTCTCTCGTCAGGAACGTCTCCAAGCTCATGATAGCTCTTTGCGCGCAACAAGGCTCGACTGGCTTCTGCCAGTACCTCCTCATTACTATGAGACAGGAACTGCTTGTTGAAGTCATTCAGCAGTGTCGCATATGTTGAAGAATCTTGTCTGAAATCCTGGAAGGCTTCCAGGCTTAGGACACGGCCCAGGCGGAGTGTGCTTGCGGCAGTCTGCGGCGATTCTCCGAACTTCTTAAGCAATCGAGGAATCATGTTCGCGAGGTGGCGTGCTGCTTGCTCCTGCATTTCTTCAATGTCCTCCTTTTGCTTCTTGGTTTTCTTCGCTTTCTTGTCGGCGTGCGCTTCCACAAGAGATGAGACGGCTTGTTTGACAGAAGAGTTTAGAACTTCAAGAAGGATGACTTCCTCATTCTCCTTGAGCCTCAGCTCTTGTTTGAGTTGTGCCTCGCCGCTAGCTGCATCCCCATTCTGGTCGGCGACAGAAGTGTCGTACAGAAGATAGCCAGCTAGCTTTTCCCATTTACGAACCTCTTCAATCTGGTCGTGGAGCGTGTCTGCAGCAATCATGAAGCGGGTGTCTGCTGAACCAGCGTGCAGCAGATATCCGCCCTGACCAGGACCTCTTTCGACACTCGGTGGTAGGGGGCCATCTGCTGAGTCGTACGAGTCCAATCCCTCTGCGAGGCACTTGAGCTTGATCCACTCATGGCACGGGCTATCGTACGAGTCGTTCTCTTCTCCAAGGATTTCGTCCAACGTCTCCTGACCACCGAGTGTGTCGACCTTTGCTTCGTAGGCGTCGTTAATGCTTTCGGCGAAGAAGCCTACTACCGATTTTCTCACTCGCGGCTCAGCGTCGAAGATGAGTCGTCCAATCTTGTCGATATCGTCGGGCTCGAGCAGACCAGCCTTCCTCAGGTTGTCGAGCAGTTCTATAGCGGCGGCTCGTACACTCGGTTCGGCATCTTTCGTGGCAATCTCGACCATGCGGCTTCTGAAGCGCTCGGTGAAAGCCTTGAGACCGCCGAGTTTGTTCTTGTCGGCGTAAAAACGATGCAGCTGCTTGACTACTTCGAGACGAGTCGAGTGATTCGTGTCTGAAAGCAACCATCCGAGGTATCTTAGGTGTTTGCCATTGAAGAATTGATCTGGGTAGGCGATCATCCAGTCTCCGATGGCTCTTGCACAATCTACGCGAATGTGAGGATCAACATCCCTGTAGCGGTGAATGAAGACGGTCTCGAACCAGTCTTTTACTGTGTTGTCGAGGATCTCCTGGTTTGCCTTCGCTTGTTTTGAATAGTTCTGCAGCTCGCTGACTCGTGTTTTGTTCGCGTTCTTGCCCTTTTTCTGGGTCTCACTGTGGCGGAGGGCTTTCGAAGCCTCTTCAGCCAGCTCACTACCGACCTCGCAGAGAGCGGATATGACGGCTAGAGAGACGACGGTCGCGGTGTGTCTGAAAGGTCTGTTCTGGGCTGCTGACATGGTGCCGAGCCATACTTGTATGTTCTCGATGAGTTCAATGTTTGAGAAAAGGACGTTGGTGGTGTGTATGGCCTTGATCAGAGTGTAGAAGAAGCCTGTCACCGAGTCTTTGAAGGCGGCAGTGCCCTTGCCCTTTGCGATGATGGGGTATTCGGACAGATTTTGCTATAGAGCGGTCAGTGGGTGTCGCGTGATAGGGCAGGGCCAACATACTGCCTGGAATTCGTCTTGCAAGTCGCCGAGCCTGTTGGCACAATTGTCGGGGTCCTCAATGTCTTCACTCGAAACTTCCAGTTCGCAGCCGGCCGATCTCAAGACGAAGTTGACCAGATCTGCCACAGCACCGGATTCGTGTTCGTTGAATGCTGTGAGCCATTCTTCGGCAGCTTCTTCCAGCGTCTTGCCTCGTGCGAACACCTGGGCTGTATGTCAAAGTCAGACTTCGTGTGCGTAACATGCGTGTATGTGCCTGAACCGACCGTAAAGACCTCCTACTTGTTCTGCAACAGCCTCGTCCACGCCCTTGGCTTTCTTCGAGCGACTCTTCTTGCCAGCTGCTCTGACAGGTAACGAGACCGAGGTGCCATTCGTTTTTGAGCGCTTCGCAGCGGGTTTCTTTGGTGCGGCGGCCTTTGTCTTGCGAGCTTTGGCTTTCTGCTCCTTGAGCTCTTCCTCGCCAGGCTCGCTCTCCTCCTCCTCCACTTCATCAGAGTCCTCGTCCTCGTCAAGCTGGTCGTCATCTGCGGCATCACGCTTGCGCTTGGAAGCAGGTGCTTCTTCAATGTAAAGTTCGGGCTTGCGCGAGACGCGTCCCGAGCGACGAGAGCGGCGCTCGTTGGAGGCATTCGGAGCCTCTTCATGGGCTTCTGATAGTGGAGACGACATGGCGCAACAGTGTTTGGGCGCGTCGGGATATCGAGTTTGCGACCAGGCGTAGTATGGTGGTCGTACGCGTCGCTAAGATAGAAATGAGGGATTGGAGGCTGAGGGCAACTAGATCATCTAATACGTTAAAGGCCGTGTCCTAAGCAATGCAATACACGCAACACAATCGCCAAAGGGGTTGCAATTATCTGGGCTTGACTCGAATGGAAGATGGTGATGATCCCAGCTTCCAAGTTCACGCGTTCGCGACGGGAGAAAGCTATGACCGGGGCCGAGGCCGAGAAACGCCACAGCCCGGCCAATATTTGCAGTATTATATACTAACAAGATTTTCAACGACACATATCAAGTCGCAGTGGTTTAGTGGTAAAATTCGTGCTTGCCATGCACGAGCCCCGTGTTCGATTCACGGCTGCGACATTGTTTTTGTCTGAGAGAGGTATATCATCCAATATCTTTTGCTTCTAGAGCACCTTGTCAAAGCCTACTGACGATGGTGCGCGCCCACACAAGTTGGGAGAGACACCAATCTCTGTTTCACACCTACTTCCTACCCGCTCCCCAGATTGCAGTCAGCACCTTCTTCTTCTTCTTTCTGTGACGCGTTCGCATAATTGGTGTGTTACGTGGTGGCTGGGAGGTGAGAGACCGGCCGGATATACTCGGCTTTAGAAACAAAGCAGGGTCGTATCACATGCAAGCAATTTTGAGGTTGGCGATGATGTTGTGGCCGCACCAACAGCTCTTCTTTTATTTGAACTGCCTGAAAAGGTTTCTACCATGTTTGCTTGAGGGTTTGCCGATTTACCTGGACCAAATAAAGCCTCGTTATCTCGATATATACCAATATACGTTTCATCAATGACTTCGTCAGGAACTCACACTCAGATACTCGTGAGAAACAGTCAGCTGAAGAGATCACCAAAAAAGTCGAACAGTAAAAGCAGTATAAACAAGAGAAACACCCGCCCTTACAAACTTCGAATAGAATACACAGCAAGGTCAATGGTAGGATATTGTGTTTTTGTCAGGATTAGCTAGAGCATCCTGTGCCATCTATCTGTGCAGCTCAGAATGCCTTTTCTCAGGCTCATTATACCTCGAACGTACTGCCTCTCGGATATCTGCGTCCGGAGAACTCTTCAGACTACCGCGAGTCTTTCTTCTTACTCAAGGAACTCGATCATGACCGAACCATTCTTGAGCCCAGCCTCCTCAATCGTCTGATCCAACGCCTCGATCAGGTTGCGGCCCATGAAGACAAGCTCAAAGTCGACACCTTGCTTGCCCTCGACGGGCGATGCTTTGAGCCACTCGTACATACGGCGTACTTCTTCTTGCAGTCCAAAGCGTCTGATCTGTCTTCCACCAGAGTATCTGAACTGGATACGAGTCGACGATGCCGGATCTGTAGGCTCAGTGTGAGGCTTGTCGGATGCGATTTGAGCGAAGGGACCAGCTTGCGACGCTGAGGGTTCTGTCTCTGCATTCTCGATCGGGACTCCTGTGTCGGCGATATCCATAGCATCGGGATCGACAGCTGTGTTGTTGCCCTTGCTTGACTCTGCCTTGGTAAGGGCGTCTGGATCATCGTCCTTGACTGTTGCGCCACCTTGTTGCAAGCTGTTTTGCATGGCCATCTCCAGCATTTCCTCCTCGCTCATTCTGTCAACATCCTTGGACTTTTTCTCGGGCTTGCGGGTAGCCACCGGGTTCTTCGCGAACGCTTTCAGACTGTAGCGGTCCAGGAACTCATGCAAGTCCATGAGAAAGTCGGCGGGTTTCGGAACGGGAGCACCTGACCAAACCTTGACTTGCTCGCCAGTTCGGGGGTCAACGATGGCGACGTGTGGGTATGCGTCATCGCTGTCTCTGTTCTGGAAATAGTACTGCACATACTGGTTGCCGCGCGGGTCGTCCTTGGAGTACTGCAAGAAGATGAAGTTCTCCTGGACAGTCTCCTTGATTTGTGAGTTCTTCCAGATATCGCGGTTGAGGACCTGGCAATCGAAAATTGATGGGTCTTGAACGTTGACGATTATCCACTTCTCGTCCTCTTTTCCTTCGTCGCGGGCATCTTGGAACGACAGAGGCGAGATGAGGTCGGTGGGCGGTCTGAAGAGTTCGGCGAGTAGAGTTGACTTGGACGATTGTTCTGATGCACCACCAGTAGCACGGGCGAGATTGCGACGGTGAGCTTCGGGATCGGAAGGAGTTGCGAAGCCGTTGGCATCATCCCATACCGAGACTTGGTTGAAGATACCGGGTCGTGTGTTGGCTAACAGCAGGTTAGCAGACTGGCTGGTTGTCGCAAATGAAATGACTGACCTCTTCTCTGACGTGCCATCATCTGCTCCTGGACGGCAGCGTCGACATCATCCCCATCATCACCAACCCATGTGGAACCAGGGCCGACAAGGGTCTCGGTAGTTCTGGCCATGGGTGCTCTGACTTGCTCTTCACCACCGGCGGTTCCATAAGCCTCCTGCTGTAAGCGTCTTGCCATAGCCTCGTCGTCCTCATAGGCAGGTTCATCGTCATCGGAGTCTATCGTCACAACGCCGTTGTTGTCTTGGTTGTAGCGGCGTGATGCTGGTTGGGCAGGTTGGGCAGGCTGCTGGGGGAAGGTGGCACCCATGTCGATGCCGCCATTGTCGAAGTAGAGTTGAACGGCTTGCTCGAGGTTGTTTTCGGTCAAGGTAAGGTACTGGCGTGCGCGTTCGGGGGTGGCTTCGGTGAAGGCCGTGAAGTTGGCGATCAGCTCGTCGTCCATGATTGCTTGGTGTTGATGGTTTGAGGTTGCCACCAGTCGCTGAGGTTTATCTAGAGTGGAGGTTCGAGTCGAAGGTATTGAAAGGCGACGAAAGGGGAAGTGACGACGTTGATGGCTAGTTCTGAAAGCGAAGGCGGCGGGATGTTCTTGTCGACAAGATGGAAGTGATTCGAATTCACTTGTTGTAAAGTCCGAGATCCGATCTGGAACATCGTCATTCCTGCACAAGCTTGCACAACTATGCACGATGATGCAGGCAAGAGCGACCGAGCTTTCTTGCAGTCGACACGACCGTCGACCTCCGACTCTTCCACATCCCTTCCTGAAGCCTTCTTGATGCCAACCTCGTCTTGACTTCATCTACACGTCCACTCCAACCATGCCGCCTCAGCAAGGTTACATCTCGCGTCAGTTCGAAGCTCTCGAAGATGGCGCCAAAACCCCCATGGCCATCTGTCGCCACTGCAACGATAAGAAGGTGGCAAGAAACATAGTCGCCCGTAAAGTCGCTCATCTCGCCGCCTGTGAATCCTACTACACCTATCTCCAAGCCCTACTCGATGATGACTCTTCCAACGCTGGCGAGAAGGAGCTGAGACAGATTCCAGACGAGCTCAAGACAAAGATTGAGCAGCGTACTGAGCAGCCTCTGATCACAAAGACGAGCCATGCTGCTGCTGAGGTCGCCAACCAAGAAGTTCGCAAGACCGACCTTGATGAAACTCTCATGCAGGCTATTTTCCATGGCAGCTTGCCCTTTGACGCTTTCGAGCACAACAAACATCCACACATTCTGCGTCTCTGTCAAATGATTATGCCGGATTTCATTCCCCCTTCGCGTGCCCGTGTTGCCCAGACCATGGCTGACATGTCCGTTCGACCTGTCATGCCGACTCCGCACACCCAGACTACTGAGCAGTTCTTCACACCCCGTACAGATCCTGCTGAAAGACTCTACGCTCAGGAGGAGTCCGCTCGCGCTGCACTCTCGTCTCGCATCGTCAATGACTTGCTCTCTCGCGCGACTCCACAATCTACCCCTGGCTCAAAGCGTCCCTTCGATCTCGTCTGAGTAAGGTTTCCTTCTTTCAGATCACAGCATGGTCTTTGTCTTCGCCCACAGCAGGCAAGAGTTACATCTTTCACGAACCTCAAGCAAAAGAACTAGGCCCGTAGACCAGAGAAACCCACACCAGCGACCTCGGAGGAAGAGGAGTTTACAAGGTGTTGTCGATTCAGGGTTTACTTTTCAAGCAGCAATGGGACTCTCAACCACTGCCTGGGGGAAAGGACTAACGGTGGTTGTGGTGGTAGAGTAGGCTTCTCCTGGGGCTCGAACCCAGGTACCGCTCCGCCAGCGATTAAGGACTTACTAAATCGGCCATGGAACACGCTGGCAGTGGTTGCTGCTTAAGAGGAGGGAATCTTTGCTGCATATATGCCTTTGCTTCGGCTCACTTGGCCTTCACTTGAAAAGAGCGAGTGACGCATCGAATCCAGATATCAAATACAAACACCTTTCACCCCCTCGACTCTGCTGCATTGCTTCTTGCGTCTCTATTTGTGACAGATGATATATACACGTCCACTTTGCGCGTAGATCTACAATCGTGTCTTCTGATATCCGCTTGGCTACGCATCTACGATCCCTCAGATACAAAACTCTCGTGATTGGTGTTGAAGGTTTCTCTCCAAGAGATATAGGAAGCAGCACATTGTGAACAGAGACAGAAATTAACCAGATCATACACACCCAGCGTCAAGATCAACTCACAGACACCACAAATGTATTCAAAGTAAAGGTTGAGCTTTCGAGTACTATAGTAAGAGACTTTCTATCTATCTACTCTCAACCAAATTACCGCCTCCTTCATGACACTACGACTGAGACAATGCAGACGTGGCAGGTGGTTCCGTCTCCTCTTCGATGTACTTTGGCTTGCAAGACCAGTGCTCGGGGTGGCTTTCGCAGTACTCAGGGTGGCAGTACTCGTATTGCCAGTTGGAGGCTTTACAGAACAAGCTGCAAGGGAGTGTTTCTGGGTATTCGTCGCAGTAGTATGGCACGTCGCCGGCTTGATCTGAGAGAGTTACGATGTGGTCGGGGCGCTTGTCAGGCAGCGGAGCGGTGATGGCGAGGCTGGCGACCATGGCGAGCAAGAGGCCAGTGTAAAGAGTGCCGGAGGTCTTCATGTTGTTGAATTTGATGATGTCAAATCTGATGTTGTTAAGGTAACTTGGTATTTGATGTGTTCAAAGCTGGAAAGTGGAGGTAGAAGATTTGGCAGGAGGTTTGATTAGTTTGATAGAGAAAGCAGGGAGAAAGGGTAGGCACGTCCCTTTTATGTGTTCACGACCGGCCTTTCCTTGTCATGATGTTACTCATTACAGGTTACTCATTAGACTTTGTGACTGGATCATCTCTGCAAACCACCTCAAAACGTACTCTCAGGCGCGCTGCTCTCCTTTCCGGTCAAAGACCACGGCGCACGCGACTCCAAGTACTCCATCACTACAATGTTACTATTCAATACCATCAACATGCCTTCCCTCGTCGAGAACATCAACAACAAGATCAACAAGAAGGTCGAGAGAGCTCACGACAAATTCGACCACATTGCTCGGCATTATGGCCCTCGGACATGGCGCAAAGGGTCACACCAGAAAGCGCTTCAAGTTTTCGGTTCCTGAGCCGCCAGCTTGCTCTCCTCTTCAGAAATTTGATATGAACTTACGGGAGGCAAGCTTTCGCGAAGCTTTCATGCCACGTGCTGGACCTCCTATCAAAATGCACAGTAACTTCAGCGAAGTCGCAGGTGTCCAATGAAAGTTGCTCCGTGATCAGCTCTCAATGAATCAGTCGAGTATCTAGAGATAACTGTGCATTTTTATAGTGTCATGCGACATGTATGTTGTCGAGAGAGAGGGAGTTACAAGCTCTCCGCAAAGATTCATGCGACTGTAAAAGCCTATCAGAATGCACAGTTCCTTCAGCGAAGTCGCAAGCATCCACTGAGAGTCGCTTCGTGATCGACTCTCAATGGATCAGTCGAGTGTTTGCAAGGAACTGTGCATATTGATTGTAGCATGCGACCTTTGTGTTTCCGAGAGAGTGGCGCGAGAGTTGTATAGGAGGCTCCGGATATGCTTTCGCCAAGCTTCATATGACGCGTGAGAGTCTATTGCAATTCACAGTTCTTTCGGAGAACAGTCCGCATCCAATGAGAGTCCTCATATCACCGGCTCTTCTTGGACCTCTCCGACATCTGGAAAGAACTCTGCATTGCGATAGGATCATGCGACATGTGTGTTGTGGAGAGAGAGTGACTCGAGAGTTTTTTCCACGGGCGACCGTCTATCGCAATGCACAGTTACTTCGGTAGATAGCCAGCATCCACGGAGAGTCGCTCTGGGACAGGCTCTCCATGGACCTGCCTAACATCCGGAAGGAACTGTGCATTGCGATAGGAACGGTATCGGCCTGTATGTGGTGGAGAGATTGGTGCGACAGCTATAAGCTTCGGCACACGGCGCTGTGTGCCAGTCGGAGCGACAAGATGTCGGATTGTCTGATGCGACTCGGGTGCGCTCCAGGCAGCCGTGATAGGTTTGGGTTCCGTGACTTGTTCGTCGTGGGTATTCAGCACATGTCGATCATGAGGTTGTATGTTCGAATTCTCGCGCGACGCTTCACGCGACGCATTGGAGTCTGTCGCAACGCACAGTCTTCTTCCGTGACCAGCAAGTGTCCACTGAGAATTATGATATTGTCTGCTCTCTTCGGACATGTCCAATGACTGGAGAGCTTTCTCAATGCCAATGGCTCCAGGCCGATATGTTCGTGGATGTGAGAGTGGTGCGTGAAAATGTTTCGCGAGAACGGAGCGCTTTAAGCTTTGTATAAGCTTCGTCGGAATCGCTGACATGTCGGAGTTTCATGTGCCAGCGATATTCGGACGAAAACACATCAACTTCTGTGGCAAATTGCCTTTCGTCGCAGGCCGACTGGGATGCTCACAAGACACCATGGTGCGGTAATTACCAGACAGCGAGTGTAGATCCCTCCTGAGAATTCCGAGTGTCATACAGCGATGATCGGAAGAAAACACATCGGCTCCTGTGACAAACTGCCTTTCGTTGCAGGCCGACTCGGACGCTCACAGCCCATCATGGTGCGATATCTTCCAGGCTCCAGTTGTAGATCTTTTCTGGGAGTTTCGAGTGCAATCCAGCGATGACCGGAGGAAGTTGTGGATAGGCTCGAGCGAGACCGCAGCGGACATGGGACTTTGATTCTATAGTGTCAGCTCTGTCAAAAGCACGAGATACCAACTTCTCCAATTTCTCCCAGTATGCAAAGGTATGTCATGCGGGAAGCTATGAAAATGCGCAGTTCCGTCAGCAAAAAGGGAGTATCCAGTGAGAGTCGTATTATCCAGGTCGCCGACCATCTAGCAAATGGTGTGCATCTTAATGGCTACAATAGTCGTGAGGGGAGGGTGAGAGGTGCAGCAGAGGAATATGTCCATAAAGAATAAAAGCTGAGATTAAATGCTTCTAAGTGGGCATTAGCCTGCTTCCTGAAACTCTTGTTCGTTCTCGCAGATGGCCGCTGACAGCACTTTGCATACTCAGAAGCTGTAAGTTGAATCGCGACTCGCGAGCTGAAGTTCGAGTAAGCTCACTGCAAGCATGTCTCCTCGTGGGAAGGCATGTAGTCGGCGCTCTGCAACCCCGACCCTGCCGAGAGGCGTGGAAGGTCCAATAGAAGAAGTTTAAACGGACTTCTTGCCATTTCATCCGACCGGGGCGCCTTGACCGATAGCATCGAGTAATGCTGCCTCAAGGTTTGGACGCCGGACAGGGTCTTGACTGTATGCTCTGACAAACACTTCGCCCTGATTCAGTATAACAAAGTTTTGTGCCCTTCAAGCACGTTGTCGAAAAGATCAACAACGAAGGTCACACGAGCTGGAGTCCTGGAGTCGAGTCGTGGACTATCGCTATCTTACGGCCGAATGTACTCCACACACCGGACGACAGTCCATGTACGAGCGACCCCTGTGATAACAAGGCCTTTAGATCAGCAAAGGCCAGATGTCGGCACGGTTGCAAGAAAGCAAAGATAGCAGACAAGCGTTTTCGCAAAGACAAAACAAAACTCTCGAGAAAGCAAAGATCGACTGAGACGCTGGGCTGTGACTTTCTGAACCGACAATTGCGAATAACGCGGCCCCAATCGCGTTCATTGACACTACCCACCGTCTCCAGGTTCCGCGACTCGAGTGTTGCATGCCTAGGCCACATCAACAGTGAGTCAGCGACACAACCAAGCAGCGAAGTCGGGAATCGAAAAGCTCGAACGCTTCGGAGTGTTGCCCATGCAGTTTCCCAGAGCAAACAATGACTCGGCACCCTTTCGGACAAAACATGGAGTGTCGCTGGGCAAAGCACGTGGGGACAACAACGAGTGAGGCAGTGACATGCTATACCCGAGCAAAGTCATAACCGAACATGACAGCACAGCGAACACGAACGCGCAATATCAAAGTCCCGCTATTCGTAATATCCATTTATTGACCAACGAGCCGTTTGGGTCGGGTGTTCTCGACTCTCCGCGTGGACTTCTCAAGAAAGGGTTGAACGCGAACCATAAGAAGGGGAGATTTGGATCGCATGCGAAAGAAAGCACGAGCGCGCATGTGCGACGTGAGCCTTTTTCTGAGTGACTTTGTCTGTGCTTGTAGACAAGACACGAAAGTGCGAATAACGACGACTTGCCTGAACATCTACATTCATGGGCGTGTGAAAAGCTACGGGCGTTATACAGGCGGTCACTTAGCTGGGGGTCTTGTCGAAGCATACCAATCAACTGGTTGATGAAAGTGATTTTGCGTGTAACAAATGCATTGCGCGTTTGACACAAATATTCTCATGACAGATCTTAGCGTGGAACGAAGCTTTTTGGCGGGCTTTGATGTCTATCAACGTATGCGTTGAGGAGAAAGTATTTGGGAACGGAGTCGTGGAGAGTTGAAGATATGTATAAATTGTATATGTTCGTTCATTATGCCGTATATTGTCTTGTCGTAAATATCATAAATAAAAGAGAAACACCATGCTTCAAATGCTGAGCCAAGATCGGGCATAACCATGCGACCACCGTGCATGTATAAAACAAGAAAGGAGATTGAAGAGGAAAGAAATGGCGCAGCCAAGCACCGGCTGTTCCTTTCTCCCAACCTCTGACAGAAAAAAAAATCCCACGACGCCGAGACAACCGTTCTCGGGTACACCTTACCATGCTATGACCATTCGCTTGCCGAGCGACCAACGACGAGGATAGCAAAAGCTATTCCCCAAAACAATAAAACAGAAAAAAAGAGATAAGACGATCGTTATATGAGAGAGTGTGTGAGGATGGCGTAAGATGACTCCACGTTGGAACGCGCGTGACCAGAGCGAAGCTCTTTCGAGAAAAGATGATCGAGGTCGTGAGGCTTCTCCAGATCGATTCGAACGACCGTTTGCCGGAAATGTCGCGCTCTAGAGGGCCGAGATGGAGTCGAACTCAACAGACTGGCGAAGTGACGGGAGGCGGGATGATCCAGGGTCTTGAAAGTGGGTTCGCGCAGTTGTTGTTACTCGATGATTACTCGATAGAAACTGGCACCCAGCGACGAGGAATCTTTCTAGTGGTGATTCTGGACCCACCAACGGAAACAATCTCGTCTTCATCGTCGTCGTCGGAAAAGCCATTGTTGCGAGTGACAGGCTGCTTGCGTGGTGGTAGCCAGATTTTGGCACGTCCGCTGGCGCCCTCTTCGAACTTGCCGCCACGTCTCATGTTCATCTCGAGCACTATGACACGGAGGAAGTCGCTGTTTTCGCGAGGTTCGCGTTGCCTGGACGGCATGGGTGCGTGCCCAGACATGGCACGGCCGGCTTCCGAACGAGCATCTGGTGTGCCGGTGCTCGAATTGCGGCGCGAGCGGCGTGGGGAAGATGAAGCGCGCTTGTTGTAAGTTTGCATCTGGATCATGGGAGCTTCGAGAATTTCGTTGTCAGGCGAGTCCAGAGACGAAAGAGCCTTTTGCCAGTGGTGCTGTTGTTCTTCAAAGGGAACCGGAGCCGAACGAGGGTTCAGGTACTGGCGATGTGACTTGGAGGGAGTCGAGGTAAAGGGGTTAGGTCTAAGCTCGGAGCTCATTCTTGGGAAGAGATAAGGGTGTTGCCAGAGCGAAGCATCAGAGAAAGAGTCGTCGTCCAAGTTCAAGTTCAGTGACGAGAATGAAGAAGTCACGCGAGACTTGATGGCCTGGAGCGATGAACTCAGGTTGGAACGGAAACCACCAGACTTTCGTTGCTTGCGTTCCTTTGAGCATGGTGAGTGGATGAAGATGAGATCCTCGTCGAACTCCAGAGTCGACAGACCAAGCGGGTGGTCAACACTGCAGTCTTGGATCTCGGGGGTGTAGAGAGTCTTCTCCTTGCGATAACTGCCCATGCTAGACTTGCGGCTTCGGATAGAGTCAGGAGTGGCGGGATTGCTGACGGACAAGACTGATGCCTCGTCATCCAGAGAGGGGATCGAGTCACACGAAGTTGACCTTGAAGAATACATGTGGTCGTAGTCGTCTTCGTCGGCTGATCCAAGAAGCATGTCCAGCGAGGCGCAACTGTAGCTGGACTTGGTCGAGTCGTCCTTTTTCCATTCCTGGATGAGTTCGTCGATGGACATGTCGCGAATGGGGCTCTTCTTGCGTCTCATCTGGGGCCTGGGAGGAGGGATGGCAGTCACGGCCAGGAGGGCAGCGACGGCCGGAGGCAGGGCATCGGGTCGGTGTTTCGTGTCCGAGTTCCTCGATGTTCTGGACGATTTGCTACTGGCTCTGGATGTTCTAACGTTTTTTGGTTCTCTGGGGCTCCGTCGACTTGGGATCTCGACGGGTCTCGATGGCAGCAGTGTTGAAGGCATGGCGGGCGTGAGGATCCAGGGTGTGTGTGATGGTGGGAGGCTACAAGGGGAAGCAGCGTCGGACAGTGGGGGCGAAGTTGAGAGGAAGGTGGACTTTGTCGAAGAGCGTCTTTGTGGCGGAGAAGAGGAGTTGGGCGGTGATGAAGAGTACTTGAAAGAGCGTGGAACAAGCATCGTGAAGAGTCAGAGTCAGAGCGCGATGCTAGCGGCGGCAATGCGGATGACGTTGATTCTTATTATCAAATCGGCCGAGAGGTTTGCGCACTGTTCAGTCGCGCGCCGGCAGGGTCCAAGTGGCCTTAATCTCAAAAGACGCGAGTTGGGCTTCGACGATCCCGGGTTGCGAGAGCAAGCAAATAGAGAAAAGGCACGCGAGATGAAGACGGCGTTTGTTTCACCAACAACGAGGAGCGACACAGCATAGATAGGGCGTCCGGGACGGCGTGGGGTGCAGCAAGCCTTGCTGATAGATAAGGATGAATCGACATGTCGGATGCCTAATGAAGCCTCCCATCCGTTACCTGCCTCGTGTCGCGTGAAAGGCGAGGGCCTGTCTGACTTCTAACGGCCTGACGACGTCCAGCCGAGCCTTTTGCGACGGCCTCGTGGGATTCTGATGATCGCTTTCTCTGTTGTTTTCTTCTTTCCAACTCCTCCAAAACTTGCGATGCGATGTGCTTGCTTTCTCGATGCCAACATCCATCATAGCCATGTCATCTCGAGCCTTGCACACTGCTGTAGCAAGCGGAAGAGGCGTTCATTCCCGACAACGCTGAGTGTTTTCCTGCCTAAAAGATACTAGCCTCCCGGGCATACGGTTTGACTCAACACACTTTGGCTTAGAGAACTGCTTGGACGGCGAGACGCTGGGGTTTTCTAGAAGACGAAGAAGCGCCGGCCGCCCAGGCTCTTTGCTGCCCTTTCCAAGCAAAGCCATCGCGGCGTTGCGCGAATTCTCTGTGTCAAGCGACAGCTCTAGCCACCCAAAACCTCGCCAAAAGTTGATACAGGGTCGCTCGTATTCAGCGATCGGGTAGCTGCACCTTGTCTTCAAGCCGATCATCCGCGAAGAAGAAGCAAAAGCACGGCCATGTCAGAAGTACCCCGGACATTCCCCGACCACCACGCGACCATTTGGCGCTACTCGTCTGCCCTCGACCCTCATTGGTTCAAGATAAGCAACTCCCAGAACACACAATCAAGTCCCCAGACAGGGGGAATCACTGCGTTTGTTGTCTTGGGCTGCATATTCAGACGGTCACACGAGGGACCCTGAGACGCATCAACATGATACGTCGTTGTTCTGTCACATCATCTTCGAGAAGACTGTCGAACGCAACCCATATTCATGACCTATCTCGACGGAGCTGATCGACGCTTCAGAATAATCATTTTTACACTTTCAGGATCTTGTCACCAGATAGGCAGGCGAATGCGATGCTTCAATCATGGTGATCGGGTAAATTCCAACGTCCGTATCCCAATACCATATCGAGCACGCCAAGTGTTTGTGCTCCGTCATCTGAGCCGCCGTCGAGATTGCATCGACAGCCCGAGTGTTGTGTGTCGGACCAACGAGAGTTTGGATAAGAGCTTTTTGATGCCAAACCAGCATGTAACTGCAAGACATCAAAGCATGACACACCCGTGTTGGATGGTGGTAAATTGCTACCATGATGGACGGCACGAGGGCTCGGACTCTTGATCCGAGAGCGACTCGCAGCAGCACTGTTTTCCATTCAGACTGTTCTGGCTGACCGCTTTAATGTTCTGCTGCCTGGCCTGACCTGATACCCTGCTAACTTGCAAAACGTTGGGCGGTCTTGGAGCTCAATCTTGCCATATGAGGCGGTGAATTATCCAGTATTGGTGCCCCTTCTGTGAAATAACATATGGCACGTGTCGACTGATTCCACCTTCCTAGATGGGCTATGAACACCGAAACTCATATTCAACAACGCCTTTACCTTCCATCCGACTTCACTCCTTCCTGTTCAGACTCAATGGGATTCTATCGTTGTGGAGAAGCCTCATCGTACCTGCCTATTACTACTGTTGAAACATGGCCCGACACATCCTGTCGCTTGATCCGCTGCGCAACCAAACGGTCGGACGACATGTGATAATATCGACAAGTCCAGAGCCGGCCCTCGCCAAACGACATGAATCAGCAGTCAGATCTACACGAGTATAACTCTACAACCTCCAGCGACAACGTAGTCGCTTCATACGCGCGTGCGTCTGTGATTGACGCCTCTATCATATACGGTAGGGCGCGACAGACGCGAGAGGAGCATGCAGGGGCGTACCACGAATGCTCAACCGACATCTGCCATGGACCTCCTCTCGCTTGTCGGTCATGAGCTTCCTTTACTGTTTTGTAGTCTGCATGACCACTTTCCTGCTCGACGCCACTGTGACTAGACGTTTCTGTGCCCCCTTTGTGGTGCAGGCGATGGTTTTCATATCTTTCTTCGAGCCACGTAGAGCACTGCAACTTCTGGTCACAACAGGTATGGGATATGATAGCTTGTTCGCCGATGACAATGAATTTTCCCGTAGTAGTTGATATTCGCTCTGGATGTGAGGTGTGTTACCAAGCATCGAAGACTTGAGTTCTTGTGAGCTGGTCAAAATTTGTTCATCAGGCTCTAACAACGTCATTACCACAGTTACAAGTATACAATCTTTCAATCCGATACTATGTCACTCTAGAAACAGCGTTCATTTGTACTTGACTTCATCAGACTCAAGCTAGCGTGGTTGTCGTGGCCGCCGGGAAGAAGCCAGGGTTGTACGCTCGACGACCCGATAGCGCACGGACCTCCCACGCGTCATCGGTATAACCTTGCAGACGACATTTGCACTTTGCTCACTCGTACGTCGAGTAGTATTGACATGGCACTCAGTATGAGTCAGGAACTTACATGTGCTCCATCAATGACAAGAATATCGCTTGGGTTCTCCAAGCAAGGACCACGACGAAGCCTGGTAATGGGACCACCGTGCGATAGTGGTTGTGTCATGGTTACGCGCTCTCGAGTAGAGTAGACCGAGCCATAAGTAAGTAGATTAGAACCACTCCTCTCGTATTCTCTACCTGCATTTCACACCACTATTGCAAAAACCATGACCCTCAAGAATATCGCCTTGTTCGGCGCCAATGGCCAAATCGGCAGCTCAGTCCTCAAAGCTCTAGCGGAATGCAAGACCCAAGACTTCAACATCCTAGCCATCATAGCCCCAGACTCACCATCACCGGACTCGGCCTCAAGCAAAAATGTCACAGTCAAAGAAATGGATCTTCTCCACACCTCTCGTCAAGAAATGGCCGAGGTCCTTCAAGGCATCGATGCCGTCGTCAGTGCCCTGAACGGCCCAGTACTTAACGCTCAGATCTCCATCCAAGATGGCGCAGCAGACGCAGGAGTCAAGCGCTTCATTCCCTCAGAGTACGGCATGCACCATATCTACCGCAAGCCCAACGATCCACAGGGTTACATGCATCCACTCTGGGATGCTAAGAACAGACTCAACGAACGCGCTATCCTCCACCCTGCCATCAAAGAAGGCAAAATGTCATATACCATGATTGGCTGCGGCGACTTTTACAACCAAGACCGCGAAAAGGTGTGGTGTCCGTGGACGCAAAAGGATGTAGAGGAATACACTCTACATGTCATTGGCGATCCAGATGCCAAAGCCGACTACACCCATATCGAAGATTTTGGAAGATACGTGACTGCTTGTTTGTGCTCGCCTGAGAAGTCGGAAAACCAGCATCTCAATTTCCCTTCTGATCATGTTTCGCATACAGAGATTAAGCAGTTGTTGGAAAAGTACTCGGGCAAGAAAGTCAAGCTGGATATCATGGGTGAGGAGAAGATGCATGAGGTTCTCGCTGATCCAGAGTCAGCGCCGAAGGAGTTGCAGAATCAGAGTTCTTTCCCCGTCGATTTTTGGTTCTTGGTCAAGGGTATGCAGGGTAGTGGGCGGTTCTGGCGTCCGAGGGGGATGAATCACAATGATCTGTTCCCAGAAATTAAACCTACGGTAAGCTCATGGCTGTTGAACCCCTCGCCATATCAAAATTTGACTGACACAATCTGCAGACTTTTGAGATGTACTTCAAGCAACGCTTCTAGAAGAGCACATGCTCGGAAAGTAGCAGCAAACACCAAATGAAAGTGGACGATACGAACATTAATATACAAGAAGTGCTAATGCCGATGCTCTTACTTCTCTCCCGTCTTCCTTCGTGTCGTTCTCCCAATGAGGTCCAATCCACTCCAACCGAAGCCCGCTGCTTCCACATACACGTTACTTTCTCACGTCGGTACCTAAAGAAAATGTTGACACTCGCATGACTTGGACCACTCTCTCTGATGCTCAAATCAACACCTGCACAACCCTCATCTCCAGCACTATCGTTGTCTATACAGTATATCGCGAAGACTGACGATGTATCCAGCGCTGCTGAGCGCGATTTGTCTCTACTTCAGGTCTCGACAGCGCACAGCTGTAGTAACCAACACTATAACTCAGTGCAACTCACCGCCAATGATGGACTATGTTGATTTTCTCCATCTCTGAGCAGCCAAAGATCGTGAGTTGCTGGGTCTTTTGTCTGGATCGAAGCACCAAGCAAGTTTTCAAGTCAACGTCTGGAATGCTGTATGCGATATATGTATCACAATCGGAGCATAGTTCGATCGCGAAAGCCCCAAGCTGTTCAATTCACATGAGAGAGGCGTGCATTCCCGAAACGCCATAAACATCAATCACACAGTGCACCAGAAAACGGACCAGAAAGTGGAGCTTTTTTGGAAAATATTGTTGTAAGACTCGCCTTTGTGCGCGTGTCAGTTGTGTTGCTTTCAACAAATCCAGAAACAGATTCGAAGTTTTGTCTTTGCATCCAATAGCTATCGAGCACAAGAAGGAACACGGCCTTAGCTCTTTCCTTCATTCGGATGTGAGAACAGAATTGAGGAACAAGATTCTGAATACACTTGGGCTGGCAGGGAGACCACAGCGTACAGAGGCAATGACTGATAACCGTGTTTCACAGGCATACTGAACGGTTGAAGAGGAGAAGATAGTGACATGGAAAACAAATCAACTAGAGGAATAGAAATGAGATGAGTGAGTGGACTCAGAGTTTGGCGAATGGGGCCAATACTTTGTGGAGGGTGATGGACGAGAGACCAAAACCGGCTGAGATGATTCCAACCACGGCAGGCGCTCTTCGAACGGGAGTGACGAGGGACAAAACGAGCTACAAGGCGGTAAGCCAGTCAGCTGCAGTTGAACCACCGCAGTGTGTTGAAGAGGCGTAATAATGATCAACATAATCATCATGCAGATGCAGATAAGATATCCTTTTTGGAGATTGTCATTAAATATCTTGCTAAACTTTCCTGGTCTGCTCATAATAATCAAAATGGCTCTCCCGCAAGCCCAATCGTCCTTTTAATCCAATTCCACGATATCGTTGTTCTTCTTGGCCTTATCGAACATCTTCAGAAGAGACTTGATAGTCTTCTTCTTGGATATTTCCTCGACCTTTCCGATGTTCATGATCTTTTCCTCTTTGATCTCCTTCATACGATCGTCAACGGTTCCCTCTGCTGTGAGGTTAACGATGGTCGTTTCTTCTACTTGACCGATGCGGTAAATTCTGCCGCGCGCTTGCCCCTCGGTGGCTTCGTTCCAGTAGTGATCGTAGTTGATGAGGTATCTGTAGTCAGGTCAGCACAGATTTCATGTATCAAGTGAGAAGAACTTACTTCGCATTCATCAAGTTCAGGCCGGTTCCTCCGACTCCACTTGTAGCAAGCATAATGAATGTTTCAGGCTCCAGCTTGAACCGACTTACACTATCGTTTCTTTCCGCATTCGACATCTCTGATGTCAAGGCTGTGAAGTTCCAGTCTTCTTCCTCGAAAGTAGCTGCTAGAAGCTTGTGAGATTCCTTGTATGTGGTAAGAACGAGAACCTTTGCTTGTGGATCTCCTGTTAGAGGATCTCTCCATTTTCTGACAAGGTCAACGACCGCAGACGATTTGGTCGAAGGAATGGCTTTGCCGCTATCATTCAGCCATTTGGGTTTGTCGTCCTTCGCATCCTGAGCCGCATCAGTGAGCTCACCCAACGGGAGCTTGCAAAGCTCACATACCGCGTCAGCACGACCACGTTCTGCGGCAATATGCATTATTTCAGTAAGACATCCTTCGCAATAGGCATGATGACAGACCGCCCACCGGATATATTTGGTTCTTTTCTTGCAGATTGTGCAAGTGGTACTTCTCTGCAGCTTAAGCAAAGCTGCGATGTAGTCGTCCGCAAAAGGATCGCGGACGGGTGGACGGTTTATCTCCCTACAGATGGCCCTCATGTCATCATCTGTAAGATGCTTGAAAGTGCTGGGGCGAAGCACAAGGACATGGCCTGTCATCTGCCTGAGCACCATGAACAGCCCAGCGACGAACTTGTATGTCTTCTCGCCGTCAGGTCCAGGGTCGGGATTCCTTTCAGCACCGGGCGCCGAGTCCGGCTCGACATATCTTGACGCCTCTAGCGCAAGCTCCTTTAGACGGTCGTATACGACTGAGTATATCGCGCGTTCTGGTACCGATAAGTGTCTGGAGTGCTCAGAGGTGACCGAATCCGGTATGATGGTCAAAGGGTAACCGAACAGTTCATCCTCGTATGTCCACGATCTCATGGTTTCGTGTAAGAGAGTCGCTACCCACTCGTGATTGATCTTCTTGTCAGCCTTCGCATTCGTGCTTTTCTTGCGCCTCTTATATTTCTTTGCCTTCTTATCACCCTGGTCTTTCGGCTCTTTCTTGTCTTTCTTGAGAATCACATCATCGTCAGAATTCTCGACGCCTTTGTAAAGTGTCTTGAAACCTTTGAATGTCAATTTGAAGACTGTGGGATGTCGAACAAAGTCGAGGACTGAATACAAATCCGTGGGATCGTTAAACATTGGCGTTCCTGTGAGTATCCAGCGATACTTGCTCAGAAGCTTGTGGCATGCAGTCGAACTGATGGTGTCGACGTTGCGAATAGTGTGTCCCTCATCAAGGTAGACTGCCCGGAATTTGAATCGGAATATTGCTGGGAGCTTGGGTCGAACGGATTTGTTGAAGAATTTCTCCTTATCCTTGTCAGATGCATCAGCCAGTTCCTTGGGGTATCTAACATTCTTGAAGGCACTGCAAAGTTCCGGGTATGTGACAATGACCAGATCAGCCCCCTCAAATATCAGCATCTGAGCCTCAGAACTGGACTCGGTACTGTATGAGATGATAGCGCCAAGCCCGAGCATGCCGTCCGAAGATGGTTGTATTGTGTGCTTCCGAGCCTCAATGATCCACTGGTCTTTCAGTGATTTGGGCACGACCACGAGGTTTGTTCTTGACTCTTTGGAGCGAGCTGGTAATTTTCCATGAACCATACTTGTCAATGTGCACAAAGTCTTGCCGAGTCCCATTTTGTCGGCCAGGATACCTCCCTTGGGACCTCTCTTGCTGGTTTCTTGTTCATTCATCCAGCCGGCATGGATGACCTGATGGTGTTTGATAGGTGTTTTCATGCCCTCAACCATCCATAGATCTCCCTCTAGGTATTTGATGCTGCCTGGTGGAAACTGTCTGATCGCGTGCAGCATTCTCGCGCTGTCTTGGATTGCTGCTTGCTTCTTATCTTCCGGTGCGGCTTCAATAAGTCGCCTAAGAGATTGCTTGGTTGTCTCGTTCATTGCCGGATGTCTCGGAGTTTTCGGTAGATCCCCCTGATTCTCGTCTCGCTTTCTTTTGAACCCGGCCAAAGCGTTAGTCGGCTCAGACCTCTCGTCGTGGCTTAGTTCATCTTGTTGCACGAATATAGGGGAAGAGGGCACTTCGCTGCTTTTGGAGCCATCCAGAGTTTCCTCGGCTCCAGGATCTTCAGGCTGCTGCTGATTTGCTTTTGCTAGTTCGTATTGCTCCTGTATTTGTCTGAAAGCTGCCTCTTCCCCGGGCGCACTTGAGCCGTTCCAAGACTCGAAGACATCTCTCGCCAGACTGTAGAAGAATTCCGCATCCTCAAAAGGCTGTTCTCCAGCTTGCCGACGGGCGTCGTCAGCCTGCAACTGTTTGGCGAAAACAAGTTGTTGCTGGTGCAGAGCATCGTCAGTTTCTGGGCTGATGTCCATCCCGATGGAGTCGCTGATGTGCCGAGCTGATGACAGAGAAAGGTCGTATGAAGTAGTAGAGAATAGATGTAGATGGTAAAGGGAGATGAAGGGAAGAAATTGTTCTTGACAGAGAAGGAAGTAGAGAATTGACTGGTAGAGGTGGGTATCGATAAGAAGGGGAAGGATATGTTTCTGAGATGTGATTTTTGCTCAGCAAAAGCAGTGAAGCAAAAGTGCGCAGTTGCGAAAAGGGTAGGAGAAGTAGTCGTCAACCGGAAGGTTGAGAGAAAAATTGTGAGTCTCGCGAATAAGCAAGCGGGGAGTGATCTTTCTGGAGTGGTCGTATCGACGGGCATGAAAGAGGAAACCTTCTATCGTCGGAGGTGTTGAGAGCAAAGGCTGTTGATGGATGGTAAAGGACTTGAAGTTGTATGAGAGGTGGAGAAAGCAAGAGGGAAAGGGAGGAAGTGTGGTGTAAGTAGTGTCCATAAGAGAGGCAGTGAAGTGTACATACCAAGTGAGAAACACTCAGCAGGAAGGTGAGAGATTTGAGGGGTGGGTGAAGATGGGATGTGAAGTAGTCGTCGTTTTGTGGCAGTTTGAGAAGAAGACAAAAGTGACCGAAGGATGGACAGATGAAAGAGTCAGTAGAAGAAGCAGACGTAGAGGCCTAGAGTGAAGAAGTGTGACAGATCTGGGAAGGCACAGAATCGAAATAGGTACCCTCGGAGATCGTGGAAAGGCAAGCTTCGCGACCTCGATGACTTCTTGAAGAGATGTCACCTCCCTCGGACCGTGAATGTGAGAATTTTAGGTCAAACTTGAGATATAGGAAGGAGGGTCAAAGTTGTGGAAGCGACAGAATTCTTGAGGAGGAAGGCGAATTACTTATGCGGAGGAAGCATGTGTCGAGAAGAAGAGAAGGCTTGTTCGTCGCTGCCGTTCGAGCATGCAGTTGCTCATCTGCTCTGGTTGCAGGATCGGCCGCGTTTTTCGACCAGCATGACCTTCTCGACACCGTAATGTGACAAGCTCATCTCAATCGAGCACCGAACAGCTTTTCAGCATTGCCATGATATAATCCGTCCTTCTCCGTCGTGTTCAAGAAGTCTGCCTCCCCTATTTCGTCCGCGAATCCCGTGTACACTTGCACTGGAGCGCCAGTGATATATGGAAAATCGGTACCCAAAACCAATTTGTCTGTTCCGATCCCGTATGCCAATAGACCTTTGACTTGGTAAGGAAAAGTCGGTCCAGCAGTGTCCCACCACAACCTCTGCTTGAAAACTTCCAACTGTGCAGCAAAAGCCGCAGGAGAAAGACGAGAAAGCATCCTGCTGATGATAGAAGGGAAACTGCCACCAGCATGTGGGACAATGAAATTGAGCTTCGAGAAAGTGGAAAGAGTTGACGCCAGTGTGAGATCCATGAACGTTCTTGCAGACTCGAAGTAGAGTTCCACCAAGCCGTCAGGGTAGACCGTCGGATTGGCGATGATCAAGCCATTGCCGTTCGGTATTCTCAAACATGGCTCGTTGGGATGAACGAAGATGATCTCACTGGCGTTGGCGATCGTAGAATTGTTGAGAGAGGCGAAGAAAGGCTGGAATTGCGCGTTTCCAAGATAGTATCCTTCATGATTGGATAGGAGACCTACACCGACGGCGCCCAGGTCGTCGAGTGCATACCGGACTTCCGTAATGGCCGCATCGATATAAGGTAGCGGTGTGACGGCAAAGAAATCGAAATGTGAGGGGTAAGTGCGAGATAGAGCGGCCAGATATTCGTTCAGTAGCCTTGCCAGCGCGGTCGCCTTTACTTCATCGTTTACATAGACAGTAGTGCCTGGTGCTGAGATGGAGAGGACGCTTTTGCGAATGCCGACCGCTTGCATCACGTTGAATTGTGTTTCTAAAGTCCATTCCGGAGTTGGGCTTTGGCCTGTCGTAGGGACGAGTGCGCGGTACCATGCTGGCACTACGTGAGCTGCATAACAAATCAATGGCAAGACTCAGAGACCAATTACAGCTTGACTTACCGTGCACATCGATCCTCGACGCATTGCTGAAGGGGGTTAGTGCAATTGGCGTATAGGCACTTTCGATCGAGTCGAGCGCAGCAGCCACGAAAGGTAGAACTCCCAGGTCAATGCCATCTGCTTTTGCCGCTGCATAAATGGAAGTACTTCTTGATGTATTGGAAAACGGAGGATTTTGCGCAAGAACAGCCACCAGAAGTATCGAGAACCAGGTCAAGAGTGCCAACATGATTTGTCTCTGACAAAATGGACCATGAATACCTTGTAAAAGACAAGAGAGAGTTCCGGGTTCAAAGACAGGTAGCATGGCCTGAGTTTATACTGCCGGGAAAAACGCGAATCTATATCGGTAAGCAATGAGCGAAGTGGCTGCAGATTGCTGGGGTGCTCGATGCGCTATTTGGGATAATTCTTAAGCGAGCATGCCGCTTACTGCATGTTCCTTGATACCGACTGACGATTGATTTGGCCTAGATACACTATACAAAGTTGTCAGTGGTGTCGTGTTCTGTTCTCCGGTCAATTCGATTGCTCGGTTCCATAACATCATTGTCCTGATTGGGACGCTCGAAACAGACGGGACTGAAATTGAACAAGGTGCGTTTCGCGTGTAATACAATCTCGTGTCCAGAGCAGCATGTTAGTCGGACAAGAACGCCTCTCGATATATATCGACTCCAGTATTAGAACAAAACCTGCCCTAGTTCTTTTTCTCGACCTCAGACTTGACTTCAGCCTCGACCTGAGCCTCCTTGTGCTTGCCCCAAGTCCAGACGTCCCAGATTTGATCGAGGATGATATCACTGAGTCCTTTGCCCTCAGCAAGAGCCTTCTGATCTTCTTGGGCTCTGCGTGCTCTCCAGCCCTCGGGCTTCTCGTCTCCGTAGTAGACCTGTTCAAGGATATTTTGCTTGTTCTGCTGAGCAGCTTCCACACCAGAATTGTCACCAGCAGCTCTTGCCTCGCGTTGCAGCTTCAATTGACGCTGGAACTCGCGAGCCTTGTCGGTAGGTAGTGTTGTGTCGCCCTTTGGTCGCATTTCCTCGGCCTTGGAGCCTCCAATAACTCTCCAGATGCTCTGGCCTTGCGATTCGCGGTATAGGTAGTTTGCGGAGAAGCCAGTCATACCGACCAGAGAAATAGTGTAGAAGTCCAGTTTGCGCGGTGGTAGGGCGGCGAGAGCTGGACAGACTACGAGACATGCGATGGCGGCGCGGTGCAGCGTGACCTTGTAGCGTTCGGTTTCGTCGACAGTGGGCTGTCGCGTGGGTTCTTGAGGATGTGACATGATGTGTTTTGATGTGTTATCGATCGTGTGCTTCGTAAGGAATATTTTGGTGTGGTTGACGGTGCTAGAGAATGGCGATGGAAATTTGGAGGGCTCGAAATTCCATGGTCACCTCGGTCTCGATGCATGACGCGCTGCGGCCGGCCGCTCGCTGTCACACAGCGCATCCAAGGCCGCCTACAACTCTGGCCAGACACGTCTCTCTCGACTCTTGCGCCTTATCTCCACTCTGTCATTCCTTTCTTCAGAACACCGTAAATCTCCTATAAGAAAGAAGTCAGAGCAACATGCCAACAAAGAGTTTATTGCTTGTATTCATCCACGGTTTCAAGGGAGGAGACCACACGTTTGATGGTAAACAAACTCCCACTACTAGTCGTCAACTTGTTACTCAATAGATATGGTAGGCTTCCCGGATCACTTCAGAACCCTCGTACAGAATGCCCTGCCGAAAATAAATATTCTGTCCATCGTGTATCCCAAATTCGAGACCCAAGGCGACTTGTCCGAATGCGTCGCCAAGTTTCACGGATGGTTGCTCGACAAGTGCATCGATCTGGAAGTCGCCAATGGTACACCATCACCAACTATTGACCCTTCGGTGAGAGTCGTTCTTGTTGGTCACTCGATGGGCGGCATTGTAGCGGCAGAGACCTTGCTAAGCATTGCTCGCGATCAACCCGTTCCCTCGAGTCGCACATTCCCAACCACCCAAGATGACTCGGGACTCGGCAACCAGACCACATCAAATCCGACCTCTAAGAACGACAGTACAGTCAACTTGGAAGTGCCAGAATCACAACAGAGGTCTTCATCTGCGCCTCCTCAAGAGAAGCCCCCAGTGCCATCTGAGGATACCGACCCTGCCAAGGCTCCAGAGTTCTTGTTCCCTTACATTCAGGCTGTACTTGCTTTCGACACTCCCTATCTAGGTATACATCCTGGTGTTGTAGCTCATGGCGCGGAAGAGCAATACAATACAGCATCTGCCGCCATGAACGCTTACAGCCAAGCCTCTCAGTTCTTTGGCCTTGGAAAGTCATCCAATGCGCGAGCTCCTCCTACAAAGGTTCCCGCAGGTGCTCTTCCACCACCAGAGGCCGGCAATTGGGGCAAATGGGGCAAGTATGCCATGTTTGCAGGTGGAGCCGCGGCCTTGGCAGCAGCAGGTGGTGCAGTATGGCAGAATCGTGAGCACATATCCAAAGGCTGGGCTTGGGCAGGCGGCCATCTCGAGTTTGTAGGCTGCCTAGCCCGCGGCGCTGATTTGACCAAGCGTATCGAAGGTGTAGCTGCCCTCAGTGCCTCTCACAAGATCGGTTTCGCCGACTTCTACACCTGCCTCGACACGCACAAGCAAGGCAAAACATACTACTCGGAGCAACTGCTTGGCGAAGAGAGAACCTTCTGCGTAGTGCCCAAAGAGGCCAAAGAACCACGAGGTGAATCACCGCTCAAGAAGCGCAAGACTACCAATGTTGTGGACAAGAAGCTGAAAAGTAAAGGCACCTGGATCAAGTGCATCAACGAAAAAGCGAGCAACGAAATCGCCGCACACGTTGCCATGTTTACGCCAAAAGACAACCCCGACTACTACGCCATGACCGATAGAGCAAAGGTTGTCTTGGTAAAGGCAGTGGATATGGAGTGGTATGAGTCTTCTTCACCAACCCCTGAATCGACTCCCGAACCCGAGAAGCAGAACCAGTCGGGTGCCGAACCTACGCAGGCGTGATGTTCCGTAGCGACAGACTTTGTATTGTTAGACATAGATACCCATACAGCACGAGCAAGATGCAGTCTTTGACAAACCGAAATGCTAACTCCGTTGACTTTGTTGACTCAAGTCTCGCGCGAACAATGAGTGAGATGACGCAGCGCGCGTTGTCATTCGGAACTTTGAGACAGCCCCTCGATTTCCATGTCGCAACGGCAGCATTTCTTTCTCTCTCTCCTTTGATTCACAGACCATATTCTGATTCTACACCTAAACAATGCTACGGTCGAAACAAATTGGATATTCAACATAAATACACACAGCATGCCCGTAGCTCCAGGACCTAGCCGGCGATTCGTCTTTCTCCTCATCGCCGTGTCGGCCTTCCTCGGATTCACATTCGTATACTCTTTCCGCTCTCAAGAAGTCGGTGTACGGCATCCGCTAGCAGGAGGCAGAGCTGGGACACCAGTAGAAGCTGTCCAAGCACGTATCAACATAGATGAGTCGACTCTTTCTGGACATGTGATTGCCCCCAAGCTCGGCAACGAGACCGCAAAGTACGTCGCAGTGGCCAGCCGCTCTGCTGTCACTTTCTGGCAGTCACCAGTTGACTGACATACTACAACAGAGCCGAACTTGGTCGTGCAGCATGGAAGCTCTTCCACACGACATTTGCCCGCTTCCCTGACAAACCAACCGCCGAAGAGAGTTCCGCCTTGAACGCATACATCCACTTGTTCCAGCGATTATATCCTTGGTATGATGCCTGTCACCACATTACAAGACTCTAGCTGACACACAAGTCGCAGCGGCGAATGTGCCGGCCACTTCCGAACGATCCTCGACAAGTTCCCTCCGCAAGTCACATCACGATCAGCTGCAGCAGCTTGGGGTTGCCACGTCCACAATGAGGTCAACAAGTCGCTGAAGAAAGAGATATTTGATTGCTCCAACATTGGTGACTTCTACGACTGTGGTTGTGCAGACGGAGAGGCACCGGAAGGAGGCGACAGGAAAGAAGTCACCCAGGCGAGGAAGAAGTTTGATCCTCCGGAAGATGTTCCTCTGAAGCTGGAAGAAGATGGGTGAGTCGCATCCATCCCTTGAACATATCGACCCATGCTGACAGAGCGTTTTCAAGATGGGGCCGAGGAGGATGATTTAAGACACCTTCTCCTGAAACATTCGACTAGACATCTACCAACAATCCCTAATCTATCAGCACTATTGGTACGCTCCAATCCATGCCCATGCCCAAGTCTCTTCTTGTTGCCCTTCTTTTGATACCCCATATTACGCACGGGCGAGAAGCCGATCGCCGAACGAGCCGCATCGCGCTAGTCTCCGCATACCAAAATAAATAGAAATCAACTTTTTGCTCAAAAAATTGCCAGAACCCTCGTCTCATCTCGCAAACACTCGCTTCATTATTTATCGCCTGAAACCGCTCCAGGATTTGTCAAGACTGTCGCTGATCAGATTCGGAATACTGCGTAGAGCCGCCACTCCTTTGCGACACAGCATAATTTCACCAACCGCGCGCTAACTCAACATGGTTTCCTTTTCGTGCGAGGTACGCGTTGAAAGCATGGAAACATATGCATCAGTCCTGATACTAATTCGTCGCTTAGGGATGCGGTGACATTCTCACCAAGAAGAAGCTCGACCCTCACGCCAACCAGTGCTGGGGCGCATCATTCACCTGCATCGACTGCATGGTCCACTTCCAAGGCACCGATTACCGTGCGCATACCAGCTGTATGTCTGAGGCTCAGAAATACCAAGGCCACCTCTACAGAGGCGAGAAGAAGGGCAAGGGTCAAAATCAGAACCAGAAGAAGCAGGATCAGGCTCTTGTACAGACAAAGGCACCCGAACCCACCACTACCGATGTCGCCAAAACCAATGCCCCGCCAAAGGCTCCTTCTCCTCCTCCATCTGGTGCTGAGTTGCCTCCCGGTGTGAACGTCTTTGATTACATGGACACCACTCCCGCAAAGATCGAATCCGCACCCTTCGTTACACCAGCCTCAAAGCGCGACCGTGATGACAAGAGCAAGAGTGACAAGAAGCGCAAGAGAGATGAAGATATGGCAGAACCCACTCCCGCATTGCACACTGGTCTCACAGGTGGTTTGAACAGAATGCTGTCCGGCCCCGACTTTGGCGAGGATGGTGCTGCTGCCAGTCCTTTGAGCCCCAAGAAGCGTAGCAAGAAGGACAAGTCAGAGAAGGAATCAAAGAAGGCATCGTCAGTCAAGAGCTCGTCCAAAAAAACAACATCTTCAGACGCGCGCGAAGACAAGCAGCTCGTCACCAAACGCTCACCAGCAGAGCTGTTCTTGAGCTTTGTTGACAAGGGCCCCGAAAGCGACAGCGGCTTGAGCATCAACAAAGCTCTCAAGCGCTACCACCGTGAGCGTCAAGCACAGGGTAAGAAGGATGATGGCGACAAGGACCTCTGGAAGGATCTTCGCATCAGGAAGAACGAGAGAGGAGAGTTTGTTCTCTTTATTTGATTGGATCATGGATTTGGAGCGAGCGACATGTAGTATACCAATATTCGATTATCAAGGTTTGGAGGCTGGCAGCCAGTGACAGAATTCACAGTCGACAAGCGGGGTGACTGCCCAATCTTCCTTCATCCTCCAGCACATCTCACATTCTGCACACCATGACCGCACGCCATTCGCAAGTACCTCTTGCCATGCGCTGTTCTTGGCTGCGAGTGAAAAAGCTTCTTGCGGGCCACCATGCAATCTGAGACGTCTGTCACAGCGTATGACTGACCAGGGCGCTTAGCTACTCGTCGACCCAATGAGGGCGCGCAGCGCATAGCAGAAGTCCCGAGCCCGCGCGTTACAAGAGCCTTCGATTGGCAACTTGCAAGATCACTTTAACGCAACGGGGACTAGACAGGGCGGTAGCATCCATGCCAGAAATAACCTTAGTCAAGGCGATTCGTGCGGCGACCCTTGCGGCTTACGCGCCGCCTTTGTCTTTTGTGTTGAGTAGAGCTCTTGTTTCGTCCAGTCTTGTTGCTTTTCAGGTAAGCATACAAAATCGGCTTATATACTCTCTTTCTTTCTGGCTCTCTTGTGCTTTCATAGTCATATTTTCACCCGTCCAGCTGGGAATTCATATCTACAACTGTCCTTGTTCTTTAGTCAAGTCACTCGCTTTGTTCGTTTCTTTCCTTGCCTCTTCAATATGGCGGCTCGGAGTATCTCTGCCCCCTCGGTCATCGAGACCAAGACGAATGATGATAAACGACCCAAGAGACCGACTCTGCAGACCCCTCTATCAGCCTCATATCCATCTGAAGTCAAGAGTCCTTTTCCAGGTACACCAAGCTTCATCAAGAGAGAAGAGAACATCAAGACTCCCGTCACCCCTCCGGTGGCCTATCTAGACTTCTTGAAGTCAATGTCGACCGGTCTGGCCAGTCCAATTATTACAGGGACCAGCTCAAAGTTCCACTTCGGCGACAAAGTGCCCAGCGAAGTCATCGAGGAGACAGAGGAGAAGTCTCCAGATGCCACGCCTGAGACAGTGAAACCGATACTCTCCCGCACCAACTCCACCAGCTCCGAGTCTTCTGTCACATCTGTGGTTTCCAGCTCGACCGAGTCTGTGCATTCAGTGTCTAGCACAATCTCAGAAACCAAACGCAAGGTCAAACCACAGTCGCCCCGAGTCATTATACCGCCTTCTCCATTTGCAAAACCTCGATCTGCAAAGCTTCCTAGGAGTATCCAGGTACCTCCTTCGCCCATGTCACCAGCCAATCTGCGATCTCCGATGAGTGCTCGTACTCACCACGAGCCTCACAGTGCATCTGCGCTGAGCGGAACACCGTGGAGCGCTGAGTACTCACCAACAGAAGCTGAAGGTAGTACGACCAGCAAGATGAGTGTTCGACAAGTGGTTACAAGGACAGTTACCTACTCACGAACCCCACTCGATCCAGCACCAAAGGGCAAGAGGAGGAAGATTGAAGAGTGAGGAAGAAACTTCGACACTCTCAAACGCGAGGCTATCAACGGCTGGTATCAGATTCAAACCCGCCTAGATACTGGACACGTACCAGAAGCTCTCTCGACTCCACACATACACACAACACACTCTTTATCGCCCAAGGTTGAGCGATGGCAAGGAAGAACGCAGGACCGTTCCCATTGACGAAAGTGATGGCCGCATGGCAAACAAAAGCAAGCATACAGCGGGTCTGGATCAGACTCGTGGAGAGACTTGCTCGAAACGAATACGGCGCTTATGTGTTGAGTGGTATAGGGTTCAGGGGCGAGGTGGAAAATGTAAAGAACATCGACACGGGAGAATGCTCTGACATTACGGCCATGATCTCTATATCCGTTCTTAGTAGAATTGCAAGTTAATATTCTTAACCATGTCAAGTTTTGGGTGAGTGCCTGAGGCAGCAAGGTGTTCTTCATCGGAGGCTGATGTGCCGACACAGCATGTGAAGAAGGCCGGGGGAAGCCTCGGTTGTTTGATTGACAGCTTGTCCGCAAGCCGAAGCCGCTTGTGGTCCCTGGCCGATCGCACCTGCCATCTTGCTCTCGTCTTGCATGAAGTCAAGTCAACCTTGTAGTCGAGTCTGCCATGTCTCTACCACTGTCTAAAAGCTCAAAGAGCGCGACCCAGGCTGAAATAGTCCTGCAACCGCAGCTCAAGAGCTGTCTGGTCAATCTCCCATCTTCGCTGGTCTCTGTACTGGTCAATGCCAACACAGTAACTATTTCCAGACAAACGAACAAGAAGCCAAACTGACGCGTGTAGGTAGCTCAAAATGTAGTTGTCGAGCTCAGCTTTCGTCAGCCAACATCACCCACCGACAAACCGAACGCATCCTCGTCGCAACCACGCTCGATATATCTAGGATGGACCGGCATGCAGAGCCAGACCAGATTGGCTCCTATAGTGTCAAGGAACGGAATACAAGGGACAAGAGGAAATGCCACCAGACAAGATCAAGACGTCGCTGCTGTCGAGCTGGATTCCACCCTGGCAAGAGTCCTAGGCATCACCAATGGCCTGAAGGTGGCTGTCAACCTCCACATCGATCCTCCGCAAGCCCACACCGTCAACATTGAGCCCCTCACCCCGACCGATTGGGACATCATTGAGCTGCATGCCCGCTTCCTCGAGATGAACTTCCTGTCTCAAGTTCGCGCTCTTCCCAATCCTGCCTTCTCTGAGGCTCAGCGCCATCCACTGACTCTGCACCTTACCCCAACATCTACCGCAAACATTCTGGTCACAACTCTCAGCCCTGCACCGTCATCGAATCAAGCCTTTGTAAAGATCTCGCCCGATGCCGAAGTTATCGTTGCGCCAAAGACTCGCCAGCCTCGAAGCTCCGATCGCTCGAGCAGAAGTGTCGCTAGCACAAGCAGAAAGAGCGTGGGAGGAAGAAGTAATGCCAGTACTGTACGGCACCCAGCCACACGCGACGAGCTACCAACACGCCCGCCACTTTTCCTCCGAGGCGTCGATCGCGCCATAGCTGCCGAGTACTTTGACGAGGAGGAGGCTGGAGATGCCGATAAGGGTCTACGGATCTGGCTGGATAATGACCATTTGCTCTCCAAGAGTCTGAAAGGCGTCACTTGGGTCTCAGTCTCGGTCGTCCGACCTGCCAGCTTGGAAGAGCCTGTCAATCCCCAAAAACAGGCTATGGACTCCGAAAAGGCCGCTTCAAAGATTGTCGCACGACTTTCCGGTTGGAGTGATGCTCCGGACAGCCAACATGCTGCGTTGTCTTCAATGCTTTGTGCAGCCATGGGATCTCCCGGACTGGTTGGAGGTATAGTCAGGATCGAAGCTGCTCCTCCACAGCTACCCAAGACCACTTCGGCCATGAAGAAAGAGTCAAAAGAAAAGGAGTCCGTGGTTAAGAACTTGCGTATCTTTCCTTTTGGCACTGCTCAATCGAATATCTTGAAGTTCGGTGGTGAATCTACTGCTGAGAAAGAGGCAGCCGTACGGAAGTTGAAAGCTATCTTTGATGATAGTCACGATGGATCTGGTCTGCTCGAAGGCCCTTTGACAGACGGGATGCTTCTGCCTGCAGAAGCCGACAAGAACAAAGACCATGCCTGGCCGGGTGGTATCCTACGATTCGACCCTTCGCCAACTAGTACAGAAGAGCATCCGATAAAGAAGTCTGCAGATTGGCTTATCGGCGCTGAGCGCAAATTGACGATAGAGGTCCAGCCAGAGATTGCAAAACCATCAGACTTGACGCGAGGGAACATTGGCCATGACATGCCAGAATCACCACCAGAGATGGTCGGCATCGATGTCCTGACGGCTGAGCTTGAAAGACACCTTTCGCACTCATCATCTATACTGCTCACCGGAGGCTTAGGCTCAGGAAAGACCTCCCTGGCACATCTTCTTGCCAACAGACTCCGGAAAGAGCGTCTATATCACATCACATACTTTTCCTGCCGGACGCTCGTCACAGATGAGACACGTGTATCCACCATCAAAGAAAATTTACAGAGAATTTTTGGTGCGGGAGCGTGGGGTGCAAGACTCGGCGGTCGCGCTTTAGTTGTCTTGGACGACATTGACAAACTGTGTCCTGCGGAGACGGAACTCCAGGTCGGAAACGATAACGGTCGTAGCAGGCAGGTCAGCGAGCTTTTATGCTCTATCGCAAGACAGCACTGTTCTCGAGATACTGGTGTTGTGCTATTGGCAACTGCTCAAGCGAAAGAGTCTGTCAACAATGTTGTTATCGGTGGACATGTTGTACGTGATATCTTGACATTGAAAGCACCAAACAAGGATGGTAGACGCAAAGTTCTCGAGCTTCTGGTGGGTCAAGAAGATACTCAGCAGCCAAAGCACTCAAGGTCTCAGAGTGATGGTGCCGCTTGGATGGGTGGTTCAGAAGCAGGGGATCAAGCGGACGGTTTGAAAGGTTTCGAGGTGGATCCTTCCATTGACTTTTTGGATGTCGCTGGACAAACCGATGGCTACATGCCAGGAGATTTGACGTCTCTTGTCTCGAGAGCGCAGAACGAAGCCTTGATCCGAAGCGTATCGGAGGATGCAGAGAATCCGCATGTCTCATTGACCAGGGACGACTTCACAGCCGCACTCAAAGGCTTCACTCCAGCATCTCTTCGTGGTGTCACTCTACAAACATCTACCACCACTTGGTCTTCGATTGGTGGTCTGCAAGAAACCAGACAGACTCTGTTGGAGACTTTGCAATATCCAACGACATACGCACCTATCTTTGCGCAATGTCCATTACGCCTTCGATCCGGTCTGCTACTGTACGGCTATCCAGGATGCGGAAAGACATTACTCGCATCTGCTGTAGCAGGAGAGTGTGGTCTCAACTTCATCTCGGTCAAGGGACCCGAGATTCTCAACAAGTATATTGGTGCTTCCGAAAAAAGTGTTCGCGATTTGTTCGACAGAGCAGAGGCTGCACGTCCTTGCGTACTCTTCTTCGATGAGTTTGACAGTATCGCGCCGAAGAGAGGTCACGATAGCACGGGCGTTACTGATCGTGTTGTCAATCAACTGCTCACACAGATGGATGGTGCAGAAGGTCTATCAGGTGTATATGTCCTCGCTGCCACCAGTCGACCAGATCTGATTGATCCCGCTCTTCTTCGTCCTGGTCGTTTGGACAAGAGTCTGCTATGCGACATGCCAAACACAGACGATCGTCTCGACATCCTGCGCGCCGTGACTGGCAACCTCAGAATCGATGCTAGCATTCTGGACGAATCTAATCATAACCAAAGCCTGCAAGAGATAGCGCGACAAACACAAGGATACTCGGGCGCAGACTTGCAAGCAGTCATGTACAATGCGCATCTCGAAGCCATCCACGATGTCCTCGGTCCCACCGAAGAACTCGGCAACGACAAATCTTCATCGTCACGCTCAAAGTCCAAATACAAAGATTTTACTTACTTTCGCTACGGCGATGAGAGTCTAGGAAAAGATATCTCTGCAAACCCAACACCACAATCTTTGGCCGAACGAGCAAACATCGCTACCAAACTCGCTGCGTTGGAAACTGCACGTAAACGTTCAAAGGCAACCAACTCTGCAGCTGCTGATGCAAACACTAATGGTGTCAAAGAGGAAGCTGCGGGAACACAGGAACCAATGATTTTGTGGAGACATGTGGTGAAGAGTCTAGAGCAGACCAGGCCTTCGATCTCAAAGGCTGATCAGAGGAGGTTGAGCACGATATACAGAGAGTTTGTCGTAGGCAGGAATGGCGAGATGGCTGACGGAGAAGCTGGGACCGAGATTGGCGGGCGCTCGACCTTGATGTAGAAAAAGAGAGATCATTGACATCTGTATGAACGAACCTTCATCTCGACCACCTTTACCCCAACATAGGCGAATCCTTTCCTCTGACAACACCCTCCCTCTCCTCAATCCTCATCCACATATCCGTAAAATAGCTGATGCCACCTTTGATAAAATGCTTGCCTGGCCTCTGCTCGTCCACAAACGTAGGCTTGAACCTCCTAAAGATCTGCAAAGGTCCCTTGTACAACTCCATGTTTGCAATTTCTTTGCCCAGACATCCTCGTGCTCCATATCCAAATCCTAGACTGTATTTGGTGAACGATTTGGACTTTTCGGGGTCTTCGAGCCAGCGTTCAGGGCGGAAGGTATCGGCGTCGGGACCGTAAAGTGAGGTGTCGCGGTGGATGATGTAGGGGTTACATGATACCTCTGCACCAGCGGGGATGTGCTTTCCAAAAAGCTCCAGACCGCCACTACTGACGATACGAGGGAATATATTTGGTGCCGAGGGGGTGAGGCGCATGGATTCTTTTATGCAAGCCATATAGTAAGGTAGATGCTCCACTACTTCTGTGTATTGTGGCATGGCTGAGATCAGACCGAGGGAGGTGGCGGTGTCGAGTTCGTGCATGAGGGTTTTGTAGACGGGAGGGTGGGTGAGTACGTCGATGATTAGGGCTTGGAAGGCTGTGCCTGTGGTGTCTGCGCCTGCGAGCAGTACGAGGAGGATTTCGGCTTTTATGTAGTCGTGGTCTAGAGGTTGACCTTTTTCGTCGCGGGCGTCGATGAAGCTGTTTTTTGGGTTTCTGCGGTTAGTGGTTACCTGCTGTGTGGGAAGGGGGTTGAGGGTCTGATTGACTTACGTCTGCAACAGATCAATCCTTCCGTTCGTCTTTCCTTCTTCGATATCAGTTCTCCTCTGCTCAATCAACTGATCTCTGAACCTCATGAGTGTTCCAATACCACTCTGCTGCTCTGGTCTGGCAACTAGATACTTGTCTCCCAAAGCAGTTCTCTTGATCCACTCGGTAAAAGGATACAATCTAGCCATGAGTCCAAAGGGTACTAGACCTTCATGTAAACCTTGTATCAAGCCTGCAACATCAGAGCCAGACTTGATGAAGCCAAAGGGAGCGCCAAAGCCAACTTCAGAAATCACATCGTATGCCATGAAAACCGCCCAAGGTGCGAAGTCCACAACGGCGCCGGGTTTTGCAAAGCGAGTGCTGAGTTCGTCGATCCAGTCGTTGATGCGTAAATCAATCAGTGGTTCCATTTTCTTGATGTTGGAGAAGCTGTATCGCTTTGTTAAAAATGACAACTTCATCCAGACTGACAGAGGGAGAAAGCCGTACCTATAGGATCCAGCAGCTATTTTCCTGAATCTTGCATGTGTTTTTGAATCTTGCATGTTGAATAGACTCTCGACAGTGCCGAAACTGCCAGTTACATAGTGTCGACTTTTGTCTGCGTAGCGATGGTAGATGTCCGGTAATCTGGTAGCATCGCTGACTAGTAGGAGCGTAGGCGTGACTCTGATGATAGGACCTTGGAGATGTCAGAAGTCGGATAAAAGTGCAGTGGTGACCTCAATGATCTACCATATTTCTTGTGAAGCTCCATACAGATCATGGGCTCATCTTCTTTGAAGTTGTGATATCTGTACACCACGGTGAATTTCTTTGGATGTGTGAAGATGGTGATCCACTTACGCGATCCATAGTCTTGTCACACTGCCCCAGAACGGACCAGGAAACTTGGACAGAGGGTGAAAGTATCTGTAGTATACGATCTGGTACAACACACGAGCGACAAAGTATCCCGAGACAGCTAAGATCAGATTGCGAAAGCCGAGGTAGGAGAGAGTAGCAGAGCTACTACTTTGCACTGAAATATCCATGGATGAGGGGGCAAGTGACAGAGAAAAGAGAAAAGCAGACACCAAGTTGTCTCTTGAGCAAGAGGATGGTTGCAGATATATTGGAAGTCATTGGACCCAGCACTTCACTGGCTTACGAAACCAGTCCAAAGACTTGAAGAGCCAAGCAGGCTCCAACAGCACTCCATCCAGTACATGGGGTCATGTCTGGAGAATTCCCAAACTCGTCTCGCTAACATGATTTGCCCAGCAAGCGACAGTAAGAGTATGAAGGGTCCTTGGGTGGTACCTCGGAAGGGGTCTGCAAGGCAGAGCAACCTTAGTGGCTCCGTCGGACTCACATACGAGTATGCATTGGCGTGTGTCTTGTTAGCCCCGCTCTTACTGCAGGATTCATATATCCATGAAGTTTGGATGGCGAGCTATTGGTATTGACGATCCGAAGAGATAGCGATTGACATGATTGCCAGACACCTAGCAAAGTTAGTCGGACTTGGCCAAGAGTTGTTCCAAACCCACTGAAGGTGATCAAGACTCGGCTCAACATACCGAGCAAGGTCATATGAGACACTGCGGGACTGGTACATTGATTTCCGAATGACGAATGAACATGTAAGGCCCGTCCCGTCGAAACGCCGATTCTCATCCCTTATCTGTGCTTTGCTGAATATGCTGGACAGTGACCGTGTTACAAAGCGATAATTAGCTGAGGTCAAACGAAAACGGAAGCCTCGACTCGGAGCGGTGAAGGCTCACGTGATTGCTATAAGCTGAGTGCCACGAAGGAAGCAGCTACCCGTATATTAGTCTGCATAGATTGATGTTTAATACAGTGGGGCTGACTCGCGTGTGCGTATGACAATCAGCTGGATGAACAACCAGTTGGTAAAGGAGCCGAGAATGAATATCTCAAGAGTTGTTTGTAGAGCGTGGTGTGCTACAATCTGTTGTTTCTCTGAACAGTATGCCAGATACCATTCTTTCAACACTACTGCAATACAACAGGACCGCCCCCAATCCAGAGCGCAAATACAGAAGTGTGACGAAACCAGATGCGAACAAACACTCTGCCCGATTGTGTCCTTCGTGAACTTTGTAACAGTACAGCCTGTTCATGAGAGCTCCTTCTGATCCTTGTGGGAGCCAAGAGAGTTTCTTTCCTCAAAAACACTCCGAGATTCTCCTTCAACGTGGACATGCCTCGTAACACCAATCCTATTCGGTGGGTGTAAAGCTGCCTCTTCGCTCGACACACTAGCGTTGTCCGGGTTGATAGTCGTCTGGAAACGACCTTTTGACATGCCCAGATCCCAATCAATGGTATCGAGGGCTACATGGTTACTCCCGGCAGTACCGCCCATCCTGTGGAAGCCGCTGCTGCCTGCTTTGACGTGTATAGATCGCGATGGATATTGGTTGGAGTCGTAAGAGCCGCCCAGCAGCTTCGGTGCGTACTTTTTGGCTATCGCTTTGAATGCGGGAATCGAGGCGGTCAGGATTCCAACGTTAGTTTCGATCACACTCCAGTACATGGGGCCTGAAATGGTCCAGGTCGAATCCTTGGAGAAGAGCATGCCCGGAATGTATGTGATTCGGATTATGGACGACACACATGTACTAGCAATGTCAGTGTCTGTGATGAAGTGAAGGTGTGAGGAAGTAACCTACAATAACCCCAATCCGAGCATGATACCGAGACCAAATTTCTGCCTCCCAGGGATTTGCAGCTTGCGAACCAAGCGGAAAGGCAGAATATAGGTTAACAGGTCCGTCAAGATCGTCAACGCCGCGTTCGTCAAGTAGAAGGCCGTTATGTTCACACATTTGGCAGTCTTGTGGAGCTCTATCGTGTATGCCGCAGCGACCGGTGTACATTGGAAGATACACGTCAGAACGTTGGCGGTGGCCTGGCAGACAACGATTGCCATTAGAACTTGCGCGAGCCGTTTGAGCTGGGTGTCACCGAGTCGAAGGTAGAATGCGAGGATCGATGACTTTAGGAAGCCTAGACATGCGTTGTAGAAAATGGATGACAGCCAAACGGTCTGGAAGACAATGGGTTAGCTATCAATGAGCGCTTTCAGTGCAGTCATGTACGCGTACCTTGATATAGTGCTCCAGGTTATGTGTGCCCCTTTTCATGACTTCCTCCATGTGCGAGCCCATGCCATGTTGAACCGCAATGACTGTGGCGACAATGAATCCCCATGACAAAAGAGCCGCTATACAAATCAAAACTGCTTCCATTTAGCTTACGAAGTAAAGACTGATGGAGCGAACTCACTGTCATCCAGACCTATCTTCCCAAGTACAACGATCCGAGCGAAAAGACGCAACGCCATGGCAAAGATACTGAGAGCACCAAATATCACCGAGATGGTGATGATGGTCTGGCCCTGTGAATCGGACATGTTGGCAGCGTCCTTTCCTGCTAATGCAATGCTCGAGAGCTGTGGAAGTCAGGACAGGTCGCGCGTGAGCGAAGACGCAACACTCGACGATGACAGGTACAAGGAACGGATTGGTAGAAGTGATGTACTTCAGGGGAGAGAACTAAGGCAAGACACAGACTCAAGGCTTTTCTCAGCTCTTGGGTCAGGACGTTAGCAGTGCAGTAGTCACGATCTGAGCAGGACTCGCACAGATAAGAAGAATCTCGATCAGCTGCTCCCCGGCCACAACACACCTGTAAGTTTGCACATCATGCAGAACTAGGTGGCATTTGAGGGGTTCGAGAGTTTACTCGAGTCGGAGGCGCATTGAGCTTTCTTTGTCTGGCGACGAGCGGAGGTATCATAAACGGAGCTGGTGGCCGAGCATGAACGTGAAATCGTAGATCATGTACCCACAACAGAAAGCGTGTTAAAGCCTGCTTTTGCCCAGAGGCCAGTAGAGCCGAGTACTAGGACAATATGCAGGGCTAATAAGACTAGTCTCAATCTCCGACAGAAGACTCAAGAAGACTTGCCTCTCTACCATTGTGTCGGGCCGTAGAATGAGTGTCTAATTTTTCGGGCTCCAAGTTACGAAGGATGGTCGACATTGGGTTTTGAGCTCATCATGGCTGACGAGGAAAGTGTTCGACAAGATACTCTGGGCATGTGACATCTTACGACAACTTTTGGTCCTCGCGACAACGGTCCGTGGCTCGAAGGATTTCGCGGAGGAAGATGGTGGCCTTGGTTGGAAAACGACGCGAAATGTCAAGGTGTCTCAAACCCTTGTTGCGAACACATGGTCTGCGTTTCCCGTTCCGTACCCGCCATGCTCCAACCTCATTCTCGAAGCGACAACTGAAAGGAGGGACTCACGCTCAGACCGTGATGTGTTCGAGTAAAGCCACCACGGAGCTACCATCAGATGCACCTTAGCGTTCTGACTTGTATGATACTGGTCATTGGAACAGGGGCTCAGAGGCTTCAGCCCCGAAAAGCTCAGAGGATAACCTGCATGCATAGTTGCGCGGACGTGAGGACATATGCACAAGCAAGAAACGATTAGCTGTCGCAGTTGTATATGCAGCCCCCGTTTCCACTGATCGGGCTGAACAGAAGAAAGAAACACCAGTTGCAGGGTGACTAAGTGATGATACGCGGCATTGCAGTTACTGCGGCTCTTCCAAGATTCTCACGACCATGTTTTCGTCCTGGCAAGCAGGTAATGAATGGGCATCGTTCCATTTCTGCGTCAGGTGCGCAACGACATTGACTCTTTTCTCCCATTCAACCGTTTTTTACACAACGTATTCTGCATCTCTTCTTCCCAGTATCTAAGAAGCCTCTGAATAGTAAAGAGAAGTCTCTCGATATTCAAAATCGACTGAAACGTCAAGTCTTCGGAGGAGGAGGATCCACAATTTGCTGCGGTGTGGATGAGGAAGGATGCATGGTGGAGAAGCTCGAAGATGTTGCGTTGCATCTCGAAGAGTACTCCTGATATAGGAGACGTCCGAGTAGAGAGCTTGCGAGTAATGCCCTGATCCATTGGTTGCAGGTTATCGAGAGGCGAAATTTGCTGTACATTGGAGGCTGGAGGGGTTTGCGGAAAGGCGGAAGATGTGTGTTGGGAGGAGTATATAGAGGTGCAACACATGTGTGTGGTCTGATTGAAGGTCGTATGTCATGCTTAAGGTTCAACCTTAGTGGCTGGGTGAGCTGTTTACTCTATGAATACATCAACAGAGTGAAAACATTCTTGAGTTGAATTTCACAGCCGCGTTAGCTCTTCTCCATGGGTCGTATAACAAGCCTCACATATGTGTTCGACAAAGGCCTGGGAGCATCAGAGAGTGGTTGGATAATATAACATGTCATTTCCTGCTGGCCCAAAAAAAAACAAAGAACTATAGCTAAAAGTACAGACCCACCGAATATGCAGACGAAAGTGGAGAAGATAGAAACAGAGGCTTTTGGTGACCTTTTTGTACAGATATCCCCTTCGGACATATTCCAGGGTGCCTCGACAGTCGCGTCAATCTTCAATAGCCTGATCGAAGCGGCGACTTGAGTCGAGGCGGTTGCCGTTTGGCATGGTGTAGAACCATGATGGCGAAGTTTTGTCAAATTTACTCGATAATGCGAGTGATGATACCAGTGGCGACGGTACGACCACCCTCACGGATGTTGAAGCGCTGACCTTGCTCGACGGCGAGAGGCTTGTGGAGAGAGCAGACCATCTCGACGTTGTCACCAGGCATGACCATCTTGGAATCGGCATCCTCGGTGCCTTCGGGCCAGTCGATAGCAGCGGCCTCATCAGCAGTACGGATGAAGATCTGGGGACGGTAGTTTCCGTGGAAACCAGTGTGACGACCACCCTCCTCCTTGGTCAGGACGTACATGGAGACGAGGAACTTCTTGTGGGAAGTGACGGTGCCGGGCTTGACAACGACCATACCACGGGTGACATCCTCACGCTTGATACCACGGAGCAGAAGACCAGAGTTGTCACCAGCGCGGGACTCGTCGCAAGACTTCTTGAAGGTCTCAATGTCGGTAACCTTGGTCTTGATGGGGACCTTGTTCTTGCCGACAAGCTCGATTTCGGTATCCTTCTTCAGGAGACCACGCTCGACACGACCAGACACGACGGTACCACGGCCAGGGATAGAGAAGACATCCTCAACGGACATGAGGAAAGGCTTCTCGAGATCTCTCTGGGGGGTGGGGATCCACTCGTCAACGGCGTTCATCAGGGCATCGATACGCTCAACACCGATGTCGGGCTTGCGGGACTCAAGAGCACACAGAGCAGAGCCCATGATGATAGGAGTGTCGTCGCCCTCGAAGCCGTAGCTGCTGAGGAGCTCACGCATCTCCATCTCGACAAGTTCAAGCATCTCGGGGTCCTCGATGGCGTCGACCTTGTTGACAAAGACGACAATCTTCTGGATACCGACCTGGCGGGCGAGGAGCAAGTGCTCTCTGGTCTGGGGCATCTGACCGTCGGAAGCGGCGACAACGATGATGGCACCGTCCATGGAAGCAGCACCAGTAATCATATTCTTGATGTAATCGGCGTGACCAGGGCAGTCGACGTGAGCATAGTGGCGGTTGTCGGTTTGGTACTCGATGTGAGCAGTGGAGATGGTGATACCACGCTTGCGCTCCTCGGGGGCCTTGTCGATCGAGGCGTAGTCGAGGAAGTTGGCGAAGCCCTTCTCGGCCTGGCGCTTGGTGATGGCGGCAGTGAGGGTGGTCTTGCCGTGATCGACGTGACCAATGGTACCTGAGACATGTCAGTGGGAGATAAGCGGTACAGAGGGCGGCGGCGATGGACCAATGTTGACGTGAGGCTTGTTGCGCTCGAAAGCAGTGGCGTAGTTTCTCATGTAGGCACCTCCGCGAGGGCCCCATGCGGCCTGGACGGGGTTGGCGGCGCCATTGCTACGGAGAGCAGCGCGGCTGGTACGCAGGAAGGCACTGGCAAACGAAGACATGATGCTGTTCAGCGAGTGGATTGGACAAGACGACGGAGCGAGTGCGGCGAATCGTGCCTTCCTAGATGGAACCGCGCCGGGAGCTCAACTTTTTCTGTTTGCTCTGTTTGCAAAGAATTTGTGTCGGGCGCTTTCGTGCCTTCCTCGAATCGCAGGTCGACTATTGCAAAGCACGCCGCCAACATCGCCAATCCAGCCCAGGGCTCCTTCTGTTTTGCATTCCGGCCTGTCTGTCGCCTTCCTTCCTTTTGTCGGACTCTGGTATCCTCCTCTGATCGTTTCGTCTCGGTCGCGCCTCTTGCCCGCAACTTCCGGCTTGCTCTTTACCGAGGCTCTGAAGCTTGCTCTACGCATTCCATGCCCGCTTAAGACACCCGTCTTCCCCCTTCTTCTCTCAACATGCTGCTCCGACCAACCTGTGCCCGAACTGCTCAACCGCTGAGCTGGATCTCGCGGACTCGTCCCACTGCCATCATGCCTCTCCGCGCCCGCATCAACAACTCCTCCTTCTCCGATATGGCTGCGAAACCTGACGACGAGCCTAACGATGTCCTTTTCAGCTCACACTATGGTGTTCGCACCATCGAACTCAACCGTCCCAAGAAGCTCAATTCTCTGAATGGCTCCATGGCCAACAAGATTCTACCACGTCTCAAGGAATGGGAAAAGTCACAACTCGCAAATGTCATCGTCCTCAAGGGTGCCGGCAGAGCTCTCTGTGCTGGTGGTGATGTTGCCGCGCTGGCCAAGGACAACCAGACTGGTCCTGAAGGTCAACAACGCTCAAAGGACTACTTTGCCCTCGAATACAAGCTCGACTACACCATTGCGACCTACCCTAAGCCTTACGTCGCTTTCATGGACGGCATCACCATGGGTGGCGGCGTCGGCCTCAGTGTCCACGCTCCTTTCCGTATTGCTACCGAAAACACCGTCTTCGCCATGCCCGAAACCACCATCGGCTTCTTCCCTGATGTTGGCGCCAGTTTCTTCTTGCCTCGCATGGACGGTGCTCTGGGCACATACCTCGCCCTCACCTCTGAACAGCTCAAGGGTGTCAATGCCTTCCTGTCGGGAATTGCTACTCACTATCTCCACAGCAGTTCGCTTCCTGATTTGGAGGCCCGTCTTGCAGAGCTCAACTTTGGCGACGAGCTGTCATACAACGCTCGCTTGGATATCATCAACAGCACCATTGAAGAATTCACCACTGGCATGCCCCACGACGCACCGCCGCATTTCTCGACCAATGTTCGCATCGCTATCGATTATTGTTTCCAGGAGGTTCACAACATTGACCAGATCATGGAAGCATTGCGAGATTCGGAGGAAAATTCACCTCCTGAGGTTCAAAAATGGGCTGCAAAGACCCGTGAGACCATTGCACAGCGCAGTCCTACTAGCATCAAGGTCGCTCTCTCTCAGTTGAAGAGAGGCGCACAATGGAACATTGCTCAAACCTTCCAGAACGAGCACAATATTGCTTCCAAGTTCATGGAGCACCCCGACTTTGTTGAGGGTGTCTCGGCACGCCTGATCCGCAAGCCTGCAGAGAAGCCTCAATGGTCAAAGACCAGCTTTGATGAAATTTCAGAGTCCGAGGTCAACTCCTTCTTTGCCGATGAGCTCACGCTCGAACTCCCTAGCTCTGGTGAAGACACGCACTACATTGACTACCCTCATGCTTGGACCGGACTGCCGCGGGAAGCCGAGATTGAAGCTCTCTCCAAGAGCAACCCAAGGTTTGACATGGAAGGTGTCGTCAACCACTTTATCAGAACGCGACGCGGCAAGATGGGTATCAGAGAAAAGGTCGAGGAAGTGCTCAACAGGAGGACAACCCCGGCCGACAACAAGGCAGGTTTCACGTGGAACTGATGATATGACCACTTTTCTATTGTATAAGTTCTGTAAAAACACATATTCCCAACCTCAGTTTCTACCTTTGATGATGTTCCTGTCATGTTCAATACCACGCGACTAGCCGTGCGCTAGAGCTGGTGGTTCTCATGCTCCTCCCGTGCCAGTCTAAAGCGGCATCTTCACTATGAAATGGCACAAAGGCTACCCGAGTTGATCTTTGTCCCAGGAGAGCTGAGACTCTGTTGATTCTCGATGGGCACTTCTGACAAGGACTGTGCACTATACGCGTTTACGAATTCTGCACGGGGACGAGCTCCCTGAACAATACTCTGAGATTGCAGCTTGACAATTGTCGAGAACTCAACCATTCCATCCACCAAATAGACGGATGATACGGAGCAGATGGCTAGCGCGCATCACTTCTTGTATGAGGCATCGGCAATAATCGAGTAAAAAGAGGAGGCTGAAAAATGCCCCAGGAAAATGCACACGTCATGCTGCAGGGACTTGCAGATCGCGCGCTTGATCGTACAGATCGTCTTGTCACCAACATTTCTTTATGAGCTGTGTTTCTCCCTGAATTTATCTAATATTGTCGCGTGCTTTTTCAACGAGCCGTGTAAAGATGAGTCCCCGACAGAATAGACAGGATGAGCGAGAGCCTTTGCTTCAAAACGGTCATGTCGATGGTGGAGAAGGCGGAGATAGTCGCGAGGTCATCTCGTTCTCAAAGAACGATGCCGGTAATCCAAGAGAGTGGCCCAGGAGGAAGAAGATGACCAACGTTGCTATTATCGCCTTGATGGCCAGTGAGTGATTTCCATGCTCACATTACTAGAATCTTGGAACTGACAAGATACATAGTTCTTTCGCCTCTGGCATCATCCATGTTCAGTCCTGGTATTCGACAGATAGCCGATGATCTCAACACGACCAAGGATGCTGTTATCGGCTGTACTACTGGATTCGTGATCATGCTTGGTATCGGACCTCTCATTCTGGCTCCTCTCTCGGAAACCTTTGGAAGAAGAAAGGTCTATATCTACTGTTACACTGCATTCTCCATTCTTCAGATTCCGGCTGCGCTTGCTCCTAATATCGCCACCTTGCTCGCTGTCAGAACCATCTCAGGTTTCTTCGGTGCTGTGGCCATCGCGAATGGTATGTCAAGTCTTGGCCCTTTTATTATCATGACATTCATGCTAACATATCGTAGGCGGTGGAACTATTAGTGGTCGGTTGAGCTTGTCCTGTTTGTTGAGACGTTGATGCTAACACCTTCTCAGACATGTTTGTACCAGAAGAGAGAGCCGGTGTTTTCGGGTATGTACACTTCCCTCCTTTCCACTTTCACATACCACATTCATGGTAAAACTTATACTAAATTCTTCTAAGTTGGTATCTTCTGGGACCACTACTCGGTCCTACACTTGGGCCGCTCTTTGGAGGTATCATTGTGCAGCGTGCAGGCTGGCGCTGGATCTTCTGGACTACCACAATAATCTGCTTCCTCAACACCATAGTCGGCTACTTTTTCCTGTACGAGTCCTACGCACCCGTCCTACTCAGTCGCAGAAAGGCCAGCATGGAGTCTGAGGAAGGAGCGATCGGCAAATACCGCTATGAAGGGGAAGACGACAGACCCCTCAAAAACAAGTTGGCTCACTCCCTAAAGAGGCCCTTCAAAATTATTACCCAACCTATCGTCCTTATCATGAGCGCCTACCAAGCCCTGATTTTTGGGACAACCTATAGCATCTATACCAACATGCAAGCCATCTTTGAAGGCGATTATGGCTTCACAACCGAACAAGTCGGTCTCCTATACCTCGGACCCGGCCTCGGATTCCTAACTTCAGTCTGGTTCCTCGTACCACAAATCGATCGCGTATACAAGGCTCTTGGCAAACGCAACAACTGCGATCCGGTCCCTGAATACCGTCTGCCTTTGGCAAACATCGGCGCTGTCCTGATTCCTGTATCTCTGTTCTGCTTTTTCTGGGCAGTGGAGAAACACGCACACTGGGCTCTCGCCATCACTGCTACATACTTCTACGGTGCAGGGCAAGTGATGATCTTGAACTGTACGCAGAATTACTACATTGATTCGTTTGAGAAGTATGCTGCTTCTGCTATCGCTGCTGGTGCGGTGTTTAGGAGTCTGTTCGGTGGCATCGTGCCTTTAGTCGCACCTTCTTTGTTCAAGGCGCTGGGATATGGTTGGGGTGGCAGTGTGTTTGGGTTCCTTGCGCTTGCTATTGCCCCTGCGCCTCTTTTGTTCTACAGGTATGGCCAAGCGATTAGAGAGAAGTTTAAGATTGAGCTGTGATCGGAGATCAGTAATCTTGATTCGAACGTAAAAAGACATGTCAGAAGAGTTGAGCAATTGCAAAAGATGTTGTTACAAAAAGCGAATCTGCTCCTCCCATGGGCAGAGACGTGGCACGCGGATAAGTTTGGAAACGCATAGTTCCTTGAGTAGATAGAAAGCATCCACTGAGCGCCGTGGTTTTCTTGGCTCTCGCTAGCTGGACTACTATCCAGAAGATGCTGTGCATTTTGATGGTTACGGCTACGCCTGTATGTGCTCAAGTCTTTATTATCACGCCCCCTCCCACGAACGTGTAGAACGACGTCCTCGCTATAGATAGGCATGATAGTTTCGTAAATCAAGGATGTCACCAACAAGAGTTTAGCACAAATCTTATCTCCATGGACACTGTGGCACTTGTCGAAGCTATTATGCATTGCCATTGCAGCTACATGCGTTGGAACCCCAGCACACAGGGGGGCCATTCACAAAAAGACGAATGCACTGGAAAGTAGAGATGGTTTTGAGCAGCCTCAAATTTTCTAAGATATACTGTAGTTGTGTAAAGTGTAAAGGAAAAGCAAAAACTTTGTAGTCGAATGGTTTTTTTGGTGCAGCAAAGATCAGAGAAGACCAAGACCAACCAAATGCTTATGATCAGTCGAAAGCCCCAAGAGCAAACTGCAAACTTCCACTCCGTCTCTTTTCTTTCTCATCCATCACCTTTTCTCTTGGTTTGCTGTGTCCGTCTCTTCTTGATCTCTCGATCACCTTCTCTCCTCCAATGGCAAGCGTTCCCAGAGACTTTCTTCTTGCTCCATCGCTTAATCGATCTCGATGCGCTCCATACCGGTAGATTCAACAAGAATACCACGGCTCTGTCTGAAGAAAGCCGTGCCCTGGACCACATGCACGTCAACTACATGGCCCCAGACGTTGACCACCTGAACGGGCTTGGGCTGACCCGACAAGCACGACAGTCCCATGTTGTGGATGATAGGAGCAGTGAAGCACTGAGGCAGAGTTCCAGTGATGCGAACTTTCTCCACAAAGCCTCTGAGGTAGTTGAAGCTGCGCATGCAGCTGTAGACGACATTGTCTGGGTAGTACTCTTCGGCAGCCAGGATCAAGCGCTTGGAGCGAGGTTCGGCGAAGTGCAGGTGAAGCGACTGCAACTTGTTTCTGCGGCGGCGCTTGAGCACGGCCGCGATGGTGGGAAGCATGGCCAGGTGGTTGTGATCAGTGAACGACAATTTCAAATGGCGGATCTTTCTGAAGATGTGGAGGCCGAAGAAGTCGTCGAGCTTGAGGAATGTGCAGTTGACCATGGGGAAGAGGCCACTGATCTCAAAGGGCTTGGAGTAGATGATTTCCGAGGCTTCGGACTCGATCTGCTTGTTCAAGAGGAAAATGTTGGGAGTGGTCAGATCGTCGAAGGTAGGGTCTTCGTTGCTGGGATGGGTTAGCTTGCTGTTCTGAAGTCATGTCGTGTATACTTACAATGCAAGCTGCTTAGTAGCACGTCTGAGAGCACGAGAACCATCGTTGTGGTCGGCAGCATAACCATAGATCTTCTGGCGAACATCAAGAGGAAGTCTGAGGAAACCAACAGCTGGACCCTTCATGGAGCGGATAGCCTCCTGCTTCACCTCCTCAGACCATTCGAGGGAGATGGAGACTTGCTTGATGTTGTGGAGCTCCTTGATAGAGCTGAGCAAGTTTTGAGACCAAGTCTTGATGCCACAGGCCTTGTCCTTGACATTGAGGCAGTCCTTGAGATGGATTGACAGGTAATCTGAAGTGTAGTCCAGAGTGAAAGACTTGAGCGAGTGACCGGATCTGAGGATGGTAGCGAGCTCGACAACGGTATAGCAAAGACCTCTGAAGCAGTCGTGGGGAGGTGGGTTGAGGTGACGAGTCCCGGCGTCCGAGATGTTGATGTAACGAAGGTTGTGGAGTAGCTCAGGTGCGATGAGGTCTTGAACATGAGCCTTGAAGACACCAAATGACAAGTTGAGAGGAGTCTTGTACAGGATTGGAAGAGCTTCCTCGGTGATATCCTTGCTGACCAAAAGAATAGATGGGCAGACCTTCTCAACCTCGGGAGCAGGCTTTTGGGTGTCAGATGTGGTGCACAAAAGTTCCAGATAGTCACCGCAGTACTTGTCGATTGATTCGAGTGACAAAGCATGCTCGTAGACCATAAAGCGAAGTTCCTTGGGCAAGTCGCGGAAGCGGAAGGGAACATCGACAGGGTCTGCGATGGGGTTGAGTGTCAACGACGAAGCGAAGTCGACACCGAACTCAGGGGAACAGCATTCGAAGAGAGACATGACGACCGAAAGATCTTGACCAGCAAGACAACGGAAGATGACAACGAAGAAAGGATAGCGTAAGCAAGAACCAGAACCCGAACCAGCGGGATATTATAAAACAACAAAGATGAGTAGAAGGAGAAGAAGTAAAGCGTTGACGCGAATCTGAGAAGGAAAAAGGTGTTTCTCTACAACCTTTTTTATTACCCCGGCGTCAATAGCCAAGCTATCCATTGTGCCAGTGAATAGTAAGCTCTTTTCGAAGGCGCATTCAACCCTTATTGTGCTCTTTAAATCAATAAGGCAGCTTGCTATTGAGATGAACAACCAACAAGTGGTGAGGGTGGAGTTTGCCACAATGGTGAGAATTGAGATGAATAGGTTTCTACCTACTCACTATAGAACGAAGTTTGGAGCTAAACTGTAGTCAGATCAATACGCATAGCCTATCGAGGTAAGGCCGGTGGAAGCCGGCCGAGAAGACAGCGAAGATGCTGTCGGCAAGGTACTGCATGTAGGTCTTTGTGCTCTCCCTGTAGCAGTATATCAATCCTCGGCACCCAAATGGCAATGCTCCGTGTTGCGCGTGTTCCTGCTACTTGTCTCCATTAGCAACATTCCAGCTGCGTTTGTGAGAGCTGAAATGTTCTTCCATGTCTCTCTGATTCTCACCGGACGGCTTCCCAAACCATGGTCAGTTGATCGAAACCACTGGCAAGCCTCGACAATTGACTCTAGACGCTACGTTTAGGCTGCGGGTCTTCATGGCTCGTCTCTTCGTTTCTTCGTTTCTCGACATCTTCTCCTGGTCCATTTGCGAGTATGTTCAGGCGGAAATGTCTTGCAGAAGGCCCAGCGCTCCATGCATGTGCGACTATGCTTCGGATTGGATGCATAGTCGAAATGTCTCTTACCGTCGACAACAACCCAGCAACAGACGATCGAGTGTTTTCACTCCATGTTCATGTATACCAGACCTACCGCACTGGAACGCTGCGTGGAGCTTGTGCTAATCAGGGTGGTTATAAGCCTATATTCGCGCACCTTGTCGTATTTGAGCCTTGGAGTCCACGTGGTTGATTGATCGTCCGGTTCGATTCGGCTCCAAGTGACATGGCAAATGTCCTGCGGCGCATCCATCAGAGAGATTATTAGGCGATCATCTGTATGTTGGCCTCGATGCAAATGGTCTGGGGGTTTGGTTGGTAAAATCCATCCGGTACCGAAATCAGGGGGCTTTCCAAGTAGCAAGAGCGTCAGATTTGACGTACAAGGGTCGTTCACGATTGCAACGTCAGCATGTCGTTTCTCGCGAATGTATCGTCCTGGCTTGTCATTGAGTAGACTAATGCCTCGATGGTCCTGAGTAGCGACAATCCAGCGAAGACTGGTGTTAAGAGAGCGAAGGCCGTCGGCTCGTTTACTTTTACAAGGGTCTCGATTCATGTCGAGATGTCGACTTCGAAGATCTAGGATGACCCTTGAGCATGTCGTAGAGCTTACAGCCGGAGGTCATAATGGTTGGTTGCCTACGGTTGCCTTCCAGAACCCCACCTCCAAGCCTGTGGCTTGCCCTTCCCCGCAAGCCACCCAGAAGGTCGGCTGGGGCCCGCAAAGGATCAACGCCGCGTCGGTGCGAACAGCGATCCTCGGAGGAACATGGCGGGGTTGTCAAGAGCATCAGATGGTGGTGTTATTTTGTGGTTCCCGTTGGAGGGGGCAGGACACGAGAGATGGGTCGGTGCAGAAGTACTTCTTATAACCTGTTTCCCCTCTCCTCCTGCTGATTCTCCTTCCTTGATCGCTCCCAAGTAACAACTCTTCTCTTGTGTCAACATGTCTGGGACCTCGACGTACAACCCCGCTGCCAAACACTTCATCAATGATCCCAATCATTTGGTCCTCACAGCTCTGAGATCAATCACTCTTGCCAACCCTTCGGTTGCCCTGGATGCAGAGAACAAGATCGTCTTCCGCCGTGGAGATGCTGGTCACTACAAGGCTTCTCAGGTCTCAATTGTTTCTGGTGGAGGTGCGGGACATGAACCGTCCTTTGCAGCCTTGGTCGGACCTGGTATCTTGTCTGGAGCTGTCTCTGGAACCATCTTTGCCTCGCCCTCGGCAGAGCAGGTCAGAAGATGTCTTCTGAGTCGTATCGACACAGCAAAAGGGGTTCTGGTCGTCGTCTTGAGCTACACAGGTGACATCTTGAACTTTGGAATGGCAGTCGAGGTATACTTCTCTAGCCCATGGGTAGGAGAAACATGACTGACACAGTTTCTAGAAAGCCAGAGCGACAGGAGTCGATATCGAGATGCTCGTTGTAGGCGACGACGCTGGTGTGCCCAGATCGAAGGGTGGTAAGGTCGGTAGAAGAGGCATTGCAGGGACAGTCCTTGTGCAAAAGATCGCTGGAGCACTAGCCGCTACTGGGTATGTCACACCTCTCCATGTGCGAAGTCTTGTCATCCAGACAGCTATGGAAATGCACAAATCCATGGTACAAAGGGAGCATCCACGGAGAGTCGTGAAGACGTCGGCTCTCTGTGGACTCCGTTCCTTACTGTAAAGCACTGTGCATTTTGATGGCTTCAGCTCCCCCTGTGTGTTAAATCTGAATACGACGAAGAGGGCTAATACTGGTTGATAGAGCACCTCTCAAAGACGTACACCATGTCGCCAAGTTGGCTGCTGACAACGTCGTATCCATTGGATCTTCTCTCTCACACGTTCACGTTCCTGGTCGCAAGGTCGCCGAAGCTGGCGAAGACGAGCTCACTTTCGAGGAGGTCGAGATTGGAATGGGTGAGCTATACAAGCACATTTTGAGCATTACCAGTGCTGACTGTCTCTGTCAGGTATCCACAACGAAGCAGGCTCCGAAAGAACGAAAGCAGATCTCCCCGACTTGGTCGAACAGATGCTAGCACACATGCTTGACGAGGAAGACAAGGAACGTGGTTTCCTCAAAGTCTCCAGCGAAGATGAGACAGTGGTCTTGATCAACAACCTCGGTGGTGTCAGTGTACTTGAGATGGGTGGTATCGCCACCGAGGTTTTGGACCAGCTCAAGAAGCACTACAGCATCAGGCCCGTCAGAGTGCTTGTTGGCACTTTCATGACCAGTCTGAACGGCATTGGCTTCAGCATTTCCTTGCTCAAGCTGCAGGACACTGGCTTAGACAAGTCTATGTTGCAATTACTTGACGCTCCTTCAGAAGTCACTGGCTGGTCTACGCCGGTCAGCACTTCAACCTGGGAGAACAAGTCAAATGCAGCAGATCGTAGGAAGACTGCCATAGTTGACGGCCAGCAAGAGATATCTAGCAACCTCACACGTATGTCAATCCGCCCCACTCGAGATCTCGGAACGCATACTGACGTTCTTCTAGTTGATAATGGAGAGGCCAAGAGAGTGCTTAGGGCTGGTTTGGAGCGGGTGATTGCCGCTGAGCCAGATGTCACCCACTACGACACTATCGTCGGTAAGTCAGATCTCATGGTGTAATTGCCTCCTACATTCTGGAACACACACTGATCAGACTATCGCTTCAGGTGATGGTGATTGCGGTATAGGTCTCAAGCGTGGTGCAGAATCGGTGCTCCAGCTCATTGACTCTAAGCTTGACACAACGGACGCCGCCATATTCCTGGGTCGTATCATCTCAGTAATTGAGACGTCAATGGACGGAACCAGTGGAGCCATCTACGCCATTTTCTTGAACGCTTTAGCTGCTGGTCTGCTATCTCAGTCGCCAGAATCTGGAAAGAAAGAGGTAACCACCGAGGTTTGGGCCAAGGCGGCTAAGCAGGCTCTGGAAGGTCTTGGAAAATACACGCCGGCCAGACCTGGTGACAGAACTCTAGTAGACGCCTTGGAGCCTTTCATCGAGCAGCTGGTAGCTACGAACGATCTGAAGAAGGCGGCCCAGGCAGCCAAGAAAGGATCAGATGCAACTAAGGGAATGAAGGCCAGTCTCGGAAGATCTGTGTATGTTGGCAATGAGGGCTTCAAAGAAGTACCCGACCCTGGCGCCTATGGCCTTGCGGAGCTCTTGACTGGTCTTGCTGAGGCTTGAGCACACGAAATCTTTGGAGTTTGTACATAATCTGTAATCCTGTCATGCGCACACAAGAGTTGTCCATTCCAAGGCCCGACAGAATTTATTTTCTGCATGGAGTACATCGTTGAGAGATATCTGATCACTTCCCACGACGTCAGAAAGATTTTGTTCCAGAAGTTAGGCGGTCTTCTTCCATATGTCTGCGATAAGATTACCTAGTAAGTTATGCGCACGGGTAAGACGCATTGACCGCTTATGCGGGTGATGTGCTGGGCTTGTGCAGTAGTCAGCATCGCTCCTTCCGCATCTGCGAACCCAGGATACAATCAGTGACTCTTTCCACGTTCGGACATGAGTATATAAAGTCGTTCAAGTCCTCGATGATCGGTAGGGAGTGAGAAATAACGTCTTCGCATTCTTGAGCAAGTGACGTTGACGGCATACCTCTGAATTGCTATTTGGCTGCTCGGACCTCTTCTCAAACGCGCGCGTGTCACGCTCGTAAATCTGTCTCGTCTTCGATATCGCCAATCTTGCAACCAACCTCCCTTGTCTGAGATCATAGCGATCTTGTAATTGCGTCTTTGCTTCTTCGCGTCCGTTTCAATTCCTTCCTTCGACATTCCGACATTTGAACACGCTCATCGCTCCTTCTCGTCGTCTCGTCTCTCTCCCTAGCATGCTGTAACCCGCGAGACTCTCTGTCGACTTCCGTCACCCACAACCTTTCAATCTCGCCTCCTACACACCATGTCGTCTCCGGCATCCTTCGCTATGGACGTAGACGCGTCACAATCACCAGGAAATCCCTTCCTCGATATCCCGACGCGTCCTATGAGAGGTAATTCAATGGAGATCTGATGGTATTGACTCTCGCTGATAGTCTCGCAGTCAAGGTTCTGTACACGTTCGACAACGAGAACAAGACGAATTGCCTCGCTCGCTTTCCCGACATCCTTCACGTCCCCACGGTACCCATCGACGAAAACACACAGATTGGTGTCATCGAATTACGCACATGTATCCGCGCCATCGTTTCGGCCAGTCCGGAACTCGTGTCGCGTCTCACCCAAGGCGACTTCACCATCTATGCCTACGACTACTCCGAGTATGAGACGCCGCTGGTGGGCCAAGGAATGCTATCGTCCGTGCTTGCCGCCGCCTCGCCCACCCCTACTGCCCCTGCATACCAGTCCAAGACGATGATCACTGGTCGCGTCTGCAAGAACATCATGGGCCTTTTTTCGAATGGCGTCAAAGAGACGTTAGAAGTTAAACTGAGGCTGGTCCCGGTACCCAAGCCCGTCCAGAGTGACTTCCTCAAGAGCATGGAGATGTACCGAAACATCAACCCCGCCATGTCTGCAGGCTTCGACCCTAACGCCTGGTCCGCTTCCTTCTCACAGACTGGTCTGTCTCTCGGAGCTCCCTTTGAAGAAGGCATGACGCCTACACAGACAAGGCCAGACACAGCAGATCACGACATGATGTCTCTCCAACGTCCGCGACAAGGCTCTAATGCTAGCTTCAATGGCCAACAATCCTTCTCGGGCCCAACGCCGTCATACAGTGGACCTCCAAGTCGAGTCAATAGCCCCTCCATGAACCAATCCGGACCTCAGCCATACCCAACCGAGAACATACCCAGGCCCTCGTCAAGGATGTCCGTACAAAGTGACATGCACCACGAACGTCGAGGATCCATGGCTGGACAGGAGCAGTATCAAGAAGAGGGCCCAGCAAGAAAAAGAGTAAAGGTGACACAGGCTGACTGGCGTGGAAAGTCTGCCTTTGGTGGCTCATCGGATTCGTTGCGCGTCACGGCCAGTACTGCTGCATCTATTCGTGTACACAAGCCTGTTGCCATGCGCCCGGGTATGATGGGCAACTCGCTGGAACCGCCACCCAGAGTCCCGACGCCGGTCCCACAGATCAGCTTGTCTGGTTCTCGTCCTAACCCTGGAAGTATCCTTCGCCGTGAATCGTCCCTTGCCAGAGCACAGACCTACAACTCTCCATACGACCCAACCCCCAACTGTCTCGCCCCTGATTCGACCATGAGCTCACCCGAGGATGCTGTGATTGATCACAACGGCATCACTCCTACTGACTTCCCATCATCGCCACCTCTTCTTCCTGAGCCTTCTAGTCCAGGGCTACCATCATTCTCCAGGCCAGCTGATTCTGGATATATGAGCTCTGCGTTTGAGTGCCACGACGATGACGAAGACCGGTCAGTGTGTGACGAAGATATGCAGATCGCTGCACAATACAGGCCTAGGACACAGGCGCCTCCTTCAGGAGGAATTTCTTTTATCGAGCAAACTCCCGGACCTCCGGAGTTGTTGCCTACAAGAATGCAGATGTCACACACCGGTGTGATGGATGAGGCAGCCGCAGCTCAAGCAGAAATATCGCGCAAGAAGGCTCGCAATGCTGTATTGGCTCAAGCCTCGCGCAGAAACTCTGTCGCGTTGCCACCCAAACCACAGTCACAAGCAAACAAGCCAAGTATGGCTAGATCTGCGTCGATGATTGTCAGATCTGACGCAGCTTCGCCTGCTCCTACTGAAGCCAAAGCACCTCGCAGTGGTTCTGGAGCACAGAGGAAGAAGAACATTCAGGATAAACTTCAGAAGTCTATCGAGAATGGTGAGATGCCTCCTTTCTGCGGTCACTGTGGTGCTATCGAAACGCCAACCTGGCGTCATCTTTTTGTAAAGACGGTGCAGGGTTGTCCAGAAGACATGGATCCTGCAGAGACCGAAACCGTGACTATCGGTGTGGAGGTGCTCACCCGAGATCCTGACACCCAAAAATCTACCAAGTATCGTATCATCAAGTCGATGCGTAAGACGAAGGAATCACAAGATGCAACAGTGGGCTTTGACACTATGCAAGTGTGCAATCGTAAGTTGAGCGGTTCTACAGATTGTGATCACGCACTGACAGGACTAGCTTGCGGCCTCTGGTTCAACAAATTTAGAGTCATGAGACCTTCTGACAAATGGGTCAAGAAGCAAGCGATCAAGAGCAAGAAGCAACAGCGCAAGGCTATGCCACCCGCTGGTCCATCAGAACCACAGTCTGATTACTTCGTTGATCAGCCTTCAACATTGTACACTGATGCTGTTCAGCCTGAAGACGACAGTAACAGCCGATCTAGCGAAGAGCGAACTCGTGAGGAGACTATTCCACCCGTCAACCGCCCCAGAGCAAGCAGCGTTCAGCCTCAGCCCAAGCGTAGTGAGAGTGAAAAGCAGTGGACCGGTCCCGAGTTGGATGCTGCATTGCATCGCGCTATTCAGAGTAGTCCCGCTCGCTTTGTTGGCTCGCAAGAAAGTCCAATCGAAGTCGAGGCAGAAGAGACTCCCAAACCGACCCGTCGCTTGCTATTCCCGTCTCCACGTGAGAGAAATGGTCAGATGAAGACACTTGACGACCTGGCTCTCCCGGGTGCGAAGCCTCCATCCAGCACCATAATCGAGATGGCGTTTGTCGAGGAGCCCAACAAAGAGAACTGCCCACCCCAGGATCAAGAGGACGACGACCTTGCACATTTGTTCGAATGTTCGCCCAACGTGTTCAAGACGCCTCGCAAGACTCCCGAGCAGAACGCCACTTTCGAAGACACTCTTCTTAAGACACCTACGCCCTCGCGCTCTTCGCTTCGCACTGTAGCGCGCAACACACGCACTCCTAGCGGCAATCAAGGCTCGACATTCTTGCCCACCTTTAGCTCGGCTGAGGCTAAGAATCTCTTCCCGATAACTCCGTCAAGGTGGGCCAATTTGTCATCGCCGTCTAGAGGTCAGATGACACCTTTCACTCGCCAACTAACACAACTGCTGAGCGATGCCCACCATGAGGCGCCGTTCCTCAGCCCTGGTCGTCAGTTTGACTTCTCGGATGCCATGCCGACCTTCATGACGCCTGGAAGATCTCTCGACTTCAACTTCGACGACTTTGATATCTTGAATGTCGATGTTGGCGCCGCTGTGACTAGCAACCCTAGTGACACTGCCATTGCGGCAATTACAAACGCAACCACCGCCCTGCATGCGTCAACATCTGTGGACGTCCCTACCGAGCAGGCAAACACCACCACTACTACTACCACATGATGAGCTTATGACATTTTCTACTGTACGAACATTGGGACTGGAGGAGGAAAGGAATACATGGATGGCACGGTTAGGTATACCATAGGTACATCGGATTTGCAGTGTAACAATAGGAAGCATAAGGAGTATTGCTAGGTGCAGGAACACCACGCCAAGAATGGAGGGTAGTATAGAAGTATCGTAACAGAACACAATTCCGCGCAACTGCGCACGTTCATCCCTTGATCAGTATCTCTCTTTCCTCGTGGAGTGTGCCTTGTATCTTGCTTCTTTCTCCAAAGCGGCCGAGACTGGAATACTTGGTGAACTCTGGCCTACGACCAGGGTCGCCCCATATGCAAAGCGTTTCGACAATGATTAGAGCATAGCTCGGCAGCAACATGTCTTATGTATACTATCTTCGTACCTGCAGACTCTCAGATCTACCGAGCTCCCAGTGTAATGTTTTCACCGTGCTGTATGTCATGGTCGTTGGAATATTGTCAGAATTCACTCTTTTGCGTTGCTGTAGCAAAGCCTCACCCGAAGTCACTGTGCTCCCACTCAAGCATATTGTTAGCATTGGAAAGAATACCTAACTTGATCAGTCGAAGCTGAAGCACATTCGGTGTCGCATAGCCCGTACCGCATAGCCAATCTCCCCCTGATGCATGACCTCCGTGGCCTGCGTGTCGTGACCGAATCATCTCACCTTGATTCTTGTCCTAGGGCTACATGAGTAGGCTGTTTATATGTTCTGTGCAGAAAATGCTCCATCAAATGGGGTTGTGGTCTAGTGGTATGACATCTTCTTAGCATTGCTCCTCTGAGCATTACTGAGTGGAGAAGGTTCTGGGTTCGATTCCCAGCTACTCCATTTTTGCCTTTTTGTACAATTTATTTTTGCACGAGAGCAGACATGTAGTCTTTTGGTCTAGATTGGAGGATGCCCTGAACGTTTTTCTGTTTTGTCCGATTATGGGAATATACGAGCGGCAATAAGGGTTACACTCCTACTACCACCGTGCCTATCAGCCAGATACACAAGACCTTCCACCTCCCCACCTCGGTCCCTCTAATCGCAGCATTGAGGATCAATATCGTACCGCAAGTGCCCGCTTCGGTGGTAGGCAGATTCGGCCCGTGCGCATATAGAGTTGAGCAATACTGTTGTCCTCCACCTCCGCCTTGACCTTCTTGTCCCTGTTGTCCTGCACCCCCTCCCTGCCACTGCCCTTGACCCGATCCTTGACCCCACCCTTGATTCCCTTGACCATAGGATCCAGCATAGACAGTAGTGACTTCAGGTGCTGCCGCTACTGCATAGGGATGCGTTTGTGTCGTGTAAACCGTAGAAGTCTGAGTCGTAGGCTGTTGATTCCAAGTCGTGGAATGTTGTTGAGGTTGTGCTGCTGCTGCTGCTGCTGCTGCTGCTCCTCCAGCGACAACAGGGCTGCAAGTCTGACCCCAGGGACAGCAACCGATGGAGTTGTCGGAGGCGCGGGCGCAGTAGGTGGATGGATTGCAACAACTGGGTTTCCTCGATTTTAGCCACGAATATCCATGTATAGGTAGTTTGAAGGAGAAAGGAAAAGAAGCAGAGGAAAGGAAGGAGAGGGGGGATAGCGAAAAACGTACTAGCCGGGTTCGCTGATGGCGGTACACGCTATAGGCGCCCATGAGGGACATGTAGCGACTGCTGCGGCAGATAGGTCTTGAGGTTGAGAAGGTAAGCAATAAGCATTTGTCCAGGTGCCTTGATCTCTAGTGTCTAGGTCTTGAAGAGAAGGTTGTGATGCGGTCACTTCTAAAGCAACGCTAAGAAGTAGTGTCGCATACACAGATGCTGATGACAGTCTTGAGAACATTGTAGATGACTTTTCGATCTGATTGAGAGTAGATGTTGTAAAAGAGAAAATTTATACATTACAGCCAGCTTGGGGATGGAAAATGTGAGAAGCACAGAATGGAGGATGAGCGAGAGTGGGAAGTGTTTTGTACTTAGCCTTGACAAGGCGGGATGTTTGATGGATTGCAATGGACATGTCGCTGCATCTCGCCGACCACGATCCTGATGCAATGCGATGCAGCAGCCTTGCCCGGGTCATGCATGTTTGCATGCAACAAAACAAGGATGGGATCAAAGTCCGGTGAATCCCGTGGTTTAGCCGTGTGCCTCGGCTTGCATCTCGAGTGCATCGGTACCAACATATCAAGTCTGGTAGGATATGCAACTACCCTCAGACATCACCTTGTCAACAAGCCTCAAGAGCAGAGTTCTTACGCTAGCGAAAAAGAGCAGAAAAGAGTATCGATATACCAGACAATGGCGCAGATAGCGGAGTTGAAAACGCGACGTCTTCAAGATTACGGCTTCCATCTCGAGTACCGAACGAGATGGTAGGTTTATCGTGAGGTACTTTTGACGAAAGATGCATTCTGACGGCGCGTTCATACAGGAGCGACAACGACATGTACGACCACATGAACAACAGCGTGTATTACTTCCTGTACGTCTTTCTGCCTGCCAACAAGCAAAGGATACTCACAATCTGATGCGCCACAGCTTCGACAGCATCGTCAACACATACCTCATGACGCATTGCAAACTAGACCCACCGACATCGCCTCTGATCGGGCTGGTTGTACATTCGCACTGTGATTACCTAGCTCCTGTAGGATTTCCCGCTCTGATAGATCTCGGACTACGAGTCAAGAAGCTCGGGAAGAGCAGTGTTACTTACGAGATTGGCGTTTTTGAGAGGGGTGTCGAGGAAGTAAAAGCTGTGGGCGAATTTGTGCATGTGTTTGTGGATCGAGAGAGTAGGAGGCCGAGAGCAGAGGGCATGACTGCGACTATGAAGGAGCAGTTGGGGTCTCTGGCAGACAGCAAGGCCAAGCTATAATCGACTCTCAAGGGCATTGAGGAGTCAGATGATAGTCATGGCCTACGGCCCACTCTCCCGTCAACAGACACGCTGAGTCGAAGCCATGAAAATGCACAGTTCTTTCTGGATTCTAGCAAAGGACACAGAGAGCCGATAACGTCACACATCCCAATGGATGCTCCCGATCTATGAAAAAGACTGTGCATTTCTATAGCACGTAAGCAGTTCATGTTGGGAGTGGGGACATCACCTGTAGTAGTAACGTTGGGTATCATTAATTGTTTGCGCCTCTCGAGCGTCTTTGGCCCAGCTAATTAGCACCAGTCAATTGCAGAAAGTAATTCTGTCGAGTACGTACATCCACTGAGAGCATCAGTCCTCATCTTCAGCCTCTTGCTTGCGGATCTGTTCTTCTATTCGTCTCTTCTCGGCGTTTTTCAGTCTTATCATGGTGAGCTCCTCTAAACTGGGGCTCGAAACGGAAGGAGCAACGGGCGAATTCTTGGCACTGCTGAAAGACGCGAAGGAAGGAACCTTGCGCAGACCTCCTGCTTCCTTGAGTGGCGTTATGGGTGAATTCAGACCTGGTATCTCGTGCATGGGCCGTGATGCTGACTTCGGCATTTCTGTGCTTGGTGAGGTGGAGGTTGGTGTTGATGGGCGTTGGAGAAGTTCGGGCTCCTTGTTCGACGCCCAGTAAACCGAGTCCAGGGGTTTGAAATCGGGCTCTGACTGTCGCTTCTTGTTGAAGTCTGAAACAGCGGCATGGGCTCCCACCACCGACTCGTAGACGATGAGAGCAGTTGCGACAAGGCTCTTTGACGTGCTCTCCCCCAGACGTTTCTTCTTCTCCTTGAGCATTGCCACATCTTGAATCTTGCCAAAAGCGGTGAATATGGTCGTAAGACGTTCCTTGTCGATGGCTGCTCCGTCGCCTTCTTTTGGCCATACGACCTTGATGGAGCGATCGATATCGGCGACACCAGTAGCGCCTTGGGTAGGTTGTGTCTGTGGGGATTGGTATCCGTTCCTTTCGCGATCAAGGCGCTCCTCCTCTTCAAGTCGCTCGCGGTTCAGTTGGGCCTGCCTTTCGAGTCGTCGGCGTTTACCATCGGCAGCCAGACGCTGGATTTCGCGTTGTAATTTGTCGCCTTCTTCGTCTTCTTGGTGCTTCCTCTTCAGGCTGGCGTTCTCACGGTTTTCTAGATCCTCCTTCATCTGGCGGCGCCTGCCTTCAAATGCCTGATGTCGCTCCTCCTTCTCTTGTTTGGCGCGGCGGGCATTGTCGTAGATAGCCTTGTATTCAGGACTTGATAGTACATCGTTGGCGATTTGTAGAAGATGGAACTTCTCGACTATATCCGGTTTGTCGGCGTTCTTGTCGGGATGGTATTTGAGGGCGGTGCGGCGGTAGGCGCGGCGGATGTCTGATTCGCTCGAGTTTTCGAATGTGATGCCTAGCAGATCATAGTAGTCGACGGCAGTAGACTTTGCAGCCTCGATCAAGTCGTCGTCGCCAGGCATGTTGATGTGATGTATGCGGATGTATGTGTGATAGTGCAGAAGAAAGACAGCATTCTTTGGCAGATCAGTAAAGTTGTGCACAGGCCAAGCGTCGGGGAGCTCGCAGTGACGCACATCGCGACATTCACAGCCACCAAGACACAGACACGTCGACAGCCTCAGACTCAGCCTCAGCGACCCTTCCTATACCCTGGACAATATTCTTCAACACTCTCACTACTCCCGCTCTGTAGCCGCGGGCCTCTCTCGATCGGATCGAGGTTTGCTCACTCCCTGTACCGCACAGGAACCCACGCCTTTACTCGGCCACCTCCATCACCCGGACATGCTGCAAGACACCGGCCAAGATGCAATCAGAGAAAATGCAGCTAGTAGACTGGCTGGATGACTTGTGTGTCCGCTTCATTATCAACCTGCCTCAGGAAGAGCTCGAAAGCGTTGCGCGCATCTGCTTCCAGGTCGAGGAGGCCCAGTGGTTCTATGAGGATTTCATCCGTCCCACTGACCCCTCCCTTCCCTCACTCAACCTGAGGGACTTTTGTCTTCGCATCTTCCAACACTGTCCGCTGCTCTCCACCTTCTCCGACTCCCAACACACGGCCGCCTACCAAGAGTTCCTCGCCTACAAGACCCGCGTGCCCGTCAGAGGTGCCATCCTACTCAACCATGACATGGACCAGGTAGTCCTCGTCAAGGGCTGGAAGAAGAGTGCCACATGGAGTTTTCCTCGCGGAAAGATCAACAAAGACGAGCCAGATCTCGACTGTGCCATTCGTGAAGTCTGGGAAGAGACGGGCTACGACATTGCTGCTGCTGGTTTGGCCAACGACGACCAGAAATATATTGACGTGACCATGCGAGAACAGCATTTACGAATGTTTGTCTTCCGTGGTGTCCCTCTCGACACCTACTTCGAACCAAAGACTCGCAAGGAGATCAGCGTCCGTCTCAACCTTGTGTCCTGATAACATTCAAACATGCTGACGCTTGTAGAAAATCGCTTGGTACCGCTTGACTGATCTGCCGTCATACACCCACAAGAAGCATAACAATCGCGTCATCTCCCATCAGCACGATGGCAACGCTGACCAGGGCACTGTAAGCGCCAATAAGTTATATATGGTTGCTCCCTTCTTGCCTCCGTTGAAGAAGTGGATTAATCAGCAGAAAAAACGCGACGCTGCTCGTCAAGCTCAGGTCGAGCCTGTTGTCGAAGAACCTTTGGCTGTCTCTTCCGATTCGCCTGCTGCAGAAGTCCCTGCTGCAAATGCCGCCTTTGAGCTCAAACGTTTGTTGAGTGTCAACGTGCCAGGTCAGGACTCGCCCCAGACAGCTGGTGGCGAAGGACACCAGGCGAATGCACTGCTTGCTATGCTGCGTGGAAATGTCTCTGCTGGTGGGCTGGCTCCTCCAACAGAGACCGATCTACCACCAGCAACCCCATTAGACCAGGTCACACATACTCCTCCAGAACCTGGGACACCGCACTATCAGCATCACCAGCCCTCGCCTGCCGTCAGACAGCAACCTCCTCCAGGCTTCCCCTTCCCCTCACCTGCTCATCAGCGCAATGTGTCCCTCCACCCACCAGGCTTCTTCGGTCAAAATGCTCACGAGAACCTACAACGCATCGTACCAGACATGTCACACATGTCACAGCAGCCTCCACATGCTGCCCGCCATATCCATCCTCAGGGCCCGCATCCGTCTATGCAACAGCAGCTGTTCCCTGGTGGTCATCCTGCGCCTATTGCTCATGGGCCAGTCGCTCCATCAGCCTCCCAATTGCCTGCCCCAAGGCTCAACAACCATGCTATGAACTTGCTGAGTGCTTTCAAAGCACCGTCACAGTCACCTATCGGTCACAGTGCCATGCCATTTGGCAACAGCGCCATGGGTTTCCCTAGTCCTAACCAGAGTTTTATGCAGGCCCAGCAGCAACAGCCTTCGGGAGACGTACAGCAACCACGTAGACGATCCGTGCACCAGAATGCCCTACTGGGTCTGTTCACATCTCCTGACCCTCCAAGAGCGACTCCGGTCTCCCAGCCTCCTCAAACAAACATTCCATTCCAAGCTGCACAGTCTCCTGCTTCAAACGCACCGACTCCAACGTTACCAACACCTCAGCAAAGGAATGCAAGTCTGGCGATGCTGACGAGGACCTTACCCAAGGCTAAACCAACTCCTTCGCCTGTAAACGCCAATGTTGATATGTTCCCGGCTAAGCATCTCGTACAAGAAGTTCAAGCGGCGCAAAACAGAGCTGCACCAGAGGCTGCGAGTAAGACGTTCGCACCTGATGCTCCACGCGCTCCAGTATCTATCCTCCCAAGGCCCGGGTCTGCGGCTACTAGAGGTTCACCTGCACCTCCGCCTTCCGAGTCGGTCCAAACTCCACACAAACTACGACGAGGCAACAAGAGCGACTCACCAGCCAGCTTCACCATTCTGCAGCGACCTTCGCCCCGAGCTGATCATAATGGATCGCCCGAGATGTCTCAGATCAGACAGCCGCCGCCTCCCAAGCAGTCTACACCAAAACAAGCAGCATTGAAGAAGTCTGTTACAAAGCAAGCACAAGAAGCACCTAAGCAGTTCCAGCCACAGATTCTGCAGAGGCCAAAGGCGGACCAATCTATTCCGGGTGTGGAACAGCCTTTGGCAAATGCTGGTGAGCAACGCAACGCGCTCCTCGCCTTGTTCGCAAAGCAAACCCTTGGTCCTCCTCAAGGTGAAAGCAGATCTGGATCAGCCATGTCAAACAACTCAGGAGCGCCTCTTCCGACAGACCCATCACTCTTCCGATCACGATTGACCAGCACTTCTTCGGCGTTGAGCAATGGTGGAGACAATGATGGACTCAGATCGCCATCTACTCCGGTGGAAGCTAAAGGATTTCTACTCGACTATCTTAATGGCGTGGTGAAGAGTGAGAAGAACAAGGGTCCTAAGAGGGGTCCTGTTTGATCATGGAAATGCACAAGACTCATAGGACACAATTTATCATAAGACAATCATTCCAAGAAGCATTCTCTACCTGCCAGCTTTTGTGCCATCTATCAGAATCGTGTGTGTTCAGCCATCACGTTCAACTAGCCGCGGGGTCAAGTGTGACAAACTTTGGCATACAGCGGGCCAAAAAAGTTGGATGATGTCAGCGAGACTCATCTTCAATCGTCTTGAAGCTCCCACACATCTCTCCACCACTCTTGCAACACAACAAAGTCATTTACGCCAACCATGGCCGTCGCAACCCCCAGACAACCATTCGTCTGTCTACGCCGCCTCCCCAAAACCAACCGCTGCACGTACTCGACCACAACAGCAACACGAACACCACCACCACCACCACCACCCACGCCTCCACCCTCGGGCGCCGCAAAACTATCCACTCGCCGCCTAATCTCCCTCCACGGACCCGACGCTCCGAAATTTCTGCAGGGCATCTTGACCAACAATGTCAATGCCACCTCCTACTCGCCCTTTTTCGCTGCTTTCCTGACCGCGCAAGGGAAAGTGCTGCACGATGTATTTGTGTATCCGACTTTAGGTTCTACCTTTCACACTGAGAGCAACAAAAGCGAGGATCAAGGATACCTGGTTGAAGTTGATGCGGAGCAAGTGACAACACTGCTCAGGCATCTAAAACGACATAAACTACGTTCGAAATTCGCACTGAGAGTGTTGGAAGAGGGCGAATTGGACATCTGGGCTGCATGGCGCGAAGGCCAAAAGTGGACCTCCCATCCCTCGCCCACCGGCTCAAACATCGATGCCGAGGGCAACATCACCGCCGTAGACACACGCGCAACAGGAATGGGACAACGGATTCTGTTACCGTCTACAAAATCCCTGGAAGCACATGCTGCAATGCAAGGATTGCAAGAGTCTGGACTGGAAGCCTATACCATACGACGGTATATACGCGGTGTACCCGAAGGCCAAGCCGAAATCCCTCGCGATGATGTGCTGCCCATGAATGCAAATTTCGACATCATGGGCGGTATAGATTTCAAAAAGGGATGTTATGTCGGTCAAGAACTTACGATTCGGACTCATCATACCGGTGTCGTGAGGAGACGTGTTTTGCCTGTGTCTCTCTACCCTGCTATCTCTGCGCCACCAGAGAAAATTGCTTATGATACAGAGGCAGGGGTGGTTTCGCCAGCAGCTGGGACGGAAATCAAGATACAGGGAAAGAGAGGTAAACCTGGCAGATGGATCAGTGGAGTGGGAAATGTGGGGTTGGCCATGTGTAGATTGGAATTGATGACGGATTTGCAGGTCACGGGTGAGCCCAGTACGTTCAGTGCCGAGGATAGATTTGTTGTTGGTGGTGGTGAAGAGGAAGGTCTGGGAGTCAAGGCTTTCGTGCCCGATTGGATGAGAAGTAAGATCCGGGCGCCCAAGTTGCAGAGGAGAGTTGAGTAGAAGAGCAAGCTCTACAAACATGAACAATACCAAAATCAAGCGATGTCAACTATGAAAAATTGCATCTTCGACCTCCAACTGATCTCCCCGTACCCTGCTCACTTGCAGTCCCTCAGTATATCCTCTGCAGCCTTTTCAGCCAACGCATATATCAAACTAGTCGGATTCCCATTGACCTCCACAGGCACCACACTAGCATCCACAACCCTGAGTCCCTTTGTCCCATACACTCTAAACTCCTCATCCACCACACCACCCCACTCCCTCTTTCTCATTCCCGCTGAACCCACTGCGTGCCACACCGGTGCCAGGATAGCTTGGAACACTGCGGTTGTTTGGGGCAGAGAGGCGTTTGCAGGGAGGAGAGAGTAGCCAGGAGATAACTCGATGGTGTTGGGGCTGAGGGTGGCGGCAACGAGGGGGGAAGCCAGGACACGGCGGAGGAGGGAAAAGAGACGTTGTTGGACTAGGAGGTCCCAGGGGAGTTGGAGGAAGTTGGGGTTGATGAGGGGCTTGGAGGGATCGGAGGGATCGGAGGATGACTGTCGCACACAACATCAGTATTTTTCCTTCATCGCAAAATTGCCTGGAAGGGAAAGCAAAAGGGGAGAAGAAAAAAAGAGTAGACTTACATGGACGTTTCCTGTTGATAGAGGTAGAGTGACCCAACAATTACCCCCAAAGATGCCAAATGTCAATGCTCCAATCGCAACTTTCTTGTCGAAAAACAAACTTGCTCTGGTTAGAAGAATTTGCTCTTGTGCTTGCACAGAGATGGCCCCATTACTTGCTTCCGAGAGCGTGCGAGCATAAGCAGGGATATCGGCATAGAGTTGAGCAGCTACGGTATCCAGGTCGGAGCCGAACAGTTCGGCGGCTGTTACGGAAGCGGAAAGGGGTTTGGCGTTGTAGGAGGCAACGAAGGAGGTCGGTGTGAAGTTTGCATTGTAGACTGCGTTGACGAGCCATTGGTCTTGGAGGTGTGCTCCTACGCCTGGGAGAGGGACTTTGGGGGCTATAGAGAGGTTGCGGAGGATACTGTGCAGTCAAGTATAGTCAGTGACCTGTTTTGAGCTCGTGTCAAAGGACGTGACGATAAGAGAGAATACTCACGATGGGTTTCCAATGCCGCTTCGCTCGAGCAGACCAGGGGTTCTGTATGTACCGGCTGAAAGGATGACTTCTTGCTTGGAGCGAAGAAGTTGTTTCCTTCCAGAAGGCAAGATCACATTGACTCCCTTGGCCACAACTGCACTTTTGGGTCCGTGATGACTCTTTCCGCTATCCAAGTTGATATCCAGAGCAGTAGTGTTAGTGAAAGCATGTAAATTCGGTCGACCAATGACAGGCAAATAGTAGGATCTAGCCGAGTCCTGTCTGATTTGCAGCACAGTATCTTTCTCGATAGGAAACAAGCCAAGTCCAGTGTTGTTGCCGGAATTTGGATCCGCGTTCCATGAGAAGCCTAGAGATTGCCAGGTTGTGTTCAAGGCCTGTCCAAACACTCCTGGGGCTAGATCGTTCCCCCAGCCGAGTTTGACAGGACCAATGAAGCCGTGTACACTGGATTCGTAGGAGGCTTCGGCGATGGCGCGTGGGCGTGGATCGGTAGGGAGCTGGAAGTGCTCGCTCTTCTTGAAGTAAGGCAGTAGACTATCCCATGAAAATCCAGTGTTTCCCAATACCGACCAAGAGTCGATCTCGTCAGCGGTTGGACGGAGGTATACCATACCTAAACCAAAGTCAAAAAATACTCGACAATGGGCTAGCAATATCATACCGTTGATAGTACTTGTGCCTCCAACGTCTCTACCGGCGTGATAAGTCAATACCGAATTGTTGGCGTACGCCTGTGGGATAGTCGTGTAATTCCAGTCAAGCTCAGTTCCCCAAGCAAGCCCAGCAGGGCTGGGAATAAGAACTCGAGAGTCATTGAAGACAGTAGGACCGGCCTCGATCAACGCAACCGAGACGGACGGGCTTGCTGACAAGCGATTGGCAAGCACACAACCGGCCGTTCCACCACCCACGATAATGTAATCGTACTCGAAAGCGTTTAATGGAGTTGCATGAGCTGCGACGGTGAGAACAGACAGGTGTAGGAACCGAGAAAAGGTCATGGTGGACGATAAGAGATGGCTCGATCAGATGTTCAAAACAGCAGACTGCTCAGAACATATACCTATGTATGCATGGTTGTCTGCAGACCGAAGTGCAGGGATGCGATCCTTCTCTGCAGATGTGTAGTGCGAACCGGTGTGATGCCCAATCATGGTAGAATGTGCTCACCAAGGCTGCATGTTCTAACTTACAAGTAACAAGCACACCATCAGACATTCTTATCGATATCATACATCAAATTTTTAGCGAAGGGACTACATTCCACCTGCATCCTGCCCTGCAGCTGGAGCTCCATGCAGCAGTTCTCGGTTTCGTGTAACCCAGTAGCCACAGTCATGAAAGACCGAGTTGAGGGATTTCTGCCATGAACCGAGACTCCGAGAAATATGGTCGGTTAGAAGGGTTGTGATAGCTGTGCAGATGGTGTCGAATAGTGCAGGAGGCTGTACGGTAGATCGCTCGGTTGCGAATGTGTGATGAGGGGTCATCGCAAGGATCATGAACCAGCCGCCTTTCAAACCCCCGGAACAAAACACGGTCTTCCAGATCGAACAGTCTATAGATATGTCGATAGTTGAAGCATCTGTGATAGCACGACAGCTTGGGAAACACATATGTGGGTTCAACGATGCCCAACGTTGAGCTTCAAGGCAGTGTATTAGCAGTACTTAGAGCCCATGCTGCTCAGCCATTCCATATCGCAGACAGACCGCCAATAAACAAATAGGCCACAACTATTGTCAAGGTTCGAACATCAGAAGAATTGGTGTGGTTGAGTCAAGAAGCAGTTGATTCAGAAAACCCGCGCCAAGCTGGGACCGAGGGACGACGGCGTGCACTTCCTTGGGACCGCGTGGCCAAACAATAATTAATGTGCCTGGACCGGACACCTCAAACGTAGATGTAGAAACATTGAGTCCCAGTGGAGGCTCCTCATCGCTGTCCATTGCTAAAACAACCTGTTCCACTTTCATTCTTGGTTTCGTCTGCCTACAGCACGCGAAGGAATCGCGTCTAGTCAAGCGCCTGTCAGGCAACCTGCGAGGCTGCATCTCTGATTCAGTGGCACCGAACAGGGGCTTCAAGAGCATTTTCCATCCTCTGGACAACCAAACAGGACATTCTTTCACACTCAGATTATTGTCACATCATTCTAACACGATGGGGGAGCAAGAGGGTAATACCAGCATAGCGGCACGTATTGCCGCTCTCAAGTTGGATCATGTAGGTCGCCAAGCAGGCCTTCCAACGACAGCAAAGAAGAGACCAGATCTTCCATCGAGACAACAGACAACCAACGTACCTCCCATTGGAGTACACGTATCTGCGGCCGATGCAGGTCACGATATTGGAAACCAACCATTGGCAGGTGAGATTAATGGGGTGGATCAGCGTACGCCTCCAACAATACCAAATCGACCAGCCAGAAATGCTGCTCCCAAGTTGCCACCAAGACAGCCATCTGGACCATCACCACAGTTGCCACCTAGAAGACCTTCGGAAACGCCTTCGAATACCTCTGCGAGACCAGATATCAATCGGAAGCAATCAAGCGAATCTGTTTTGTCAAGCAGATCCTCTGTCTCTACAGCATCTGCCCGGACTGGTATGAGCTCAGCGACGAGCAACTCTGGGTCACTCTTTACGATCCGCGCACCTTCTTTCGATGCCTCAACTTTGCCCCCCTTGCCTCCTAAGCGGGCGCCTAGCCTTCCAGAACGTGGTCCTGTTTTGCAGCAGAGCAAGTCTTCGCCGAATGTGTTGCCTGCCGTACAGGAGCCCGCCAGACCGCAGTTGCCCTCTAGACCAGCGCTACCTTCGAGGAACCCGTCTTCCTCGCCGAGCGTAACAAATCAAGGAAGCATCAAGACTGCAGCTGCTAAGAAATCTGCGTTGACGATGGGGTTCAATTCTGCTTCCAAAACACCTGCTATTCCAACTGCACGACCTGAATCTACACCGCCGCCAGTTCCTGCTTCGTCTAGACCGGATCTTTCAAAGTTGCTGGCATCGAAACCAAACAGTGCTGCCAGCGGAACCACAAACGGCGTAACAGCATCAGCAGCACCAGCCGTAACAGGCCAAGCATCGTGTCTAAAGTGTCGAGACTTTTCAGCAGTCGATGCACACGCCGCACGCTTCCCACGACAGTCGATCCCATCGCAAGATTTAGGCTGGCTTGCTCAATCACTCACATCTCCCTTCCCATTATTGACCGATAAAGCTCGGGCAATCTTTGTGTGGCTGCATCACAATATCGACTACAACACTCACGCACTCTATACCAATACCGTCAAAGGATCAACTCCGGCATCTACATTGGCCACTGGTCTTGCAGTTTGTGAGGGATATGCTGGTCTGTTCACTGCACTTGCCTCGAAAGCTGGAATGGAAAGTATGGTTGTTGGTGGTCATGGCAAAGGCCTTGGTTTTCAGCCTGTGACCCCCGGAGCCCCGTTACCTGCCGAAGACGCATCTGGCCATGCCTGGAATGTGGTCAAGATTGACAATGGCCATTGGAAATTGATCGATCCTTGCTGGGGCGCGGGTCATGCTACTGGATGGGGCAGCCCTTACCAGCGAGAGTTCCATCCTGTACATTTTGTCGGCAGTAATGAGGAGTTTGGCCGCAGCCATTTCCCAAGCGACAAGAACCGGTTCTACAGGAGCGATGGCAGACACACAATTACATGGGCAGAGTATCTGCTGGGTGACACGAATGGCCAACCCCAGGTACAGACATTTGGAAACATGACGACGGATGAAGGCATTGACGATCACTCGGTCTCGCCTAGAATCAAGCAAATCTCAGTCAGTGATCCACAGCCCTACGTGCGCTTCCAGTTCAACAAAGTGTGCCAGCACTGGGACAACGAGCGAAACGGAAAGGGCAAGCACTACCTGTACCTGATCTTTTTGCCTGAATGCAATGGCAGGCCAGCGCGTGAGGTTCCTTTGCAGACCAATGGGTATTTCTGGTGGGTCGACATACAACCTAGCGAGCTCGGAGCACCTGGTCAGGAAGTCAAGCTCGGAACAGTGACGAATTGGAGAGGTCGTGATGGCAGAGGAATGGTTGCGAGCGACTACCACAAGACGGGCGGGTTTTCAGGAGCATATGCGTTTGGTGCCGTATGGCAGCTTGTTTGATCAGCACTTGTTTCGATAGATACCCCAAAATTCATTTCAGTTTCTGTCTTTCTGTCTTTCGGCACGAATATACGTGGTGAGGCGTGTGATGAAGTTTGCAAAGAAACCAGAATGTGTGTTTTATTGGATACGATCGTAGTTGTATGTCAACTGTTGGTTGCGTGTGAGACGTGATGTCCAGCTTGTAGATTCAGTACTGAAGAAGAATCATCGCTCGTCCATCGCTCATTCTCATGTCGAGTCTCATCGTGGAGATTGTCGTGTTGTTCCTCGTCGTTACGTGGGTGATTGGCTTAGAATGACTATTGTGTTTGGGGCGAGATCAAAACTACCGAGTCTCCTGTGGATGTTGTGTGAGTTGGATTGAACCTGTCGCGAAGGGCGCGTGGGGCTTGATACCTCTAACGAAAAGCATTTCTGACTGCTTCTTGAGTGTCTGGTACGAGCGTTAGCAAGCAGGTACGAACAGCGAGATGTGGTGTATCCTACCCTCACGCTCTCAGACTCGTCATCATCGTCAATAACGTAGATGGTCTCTTCGACTTCTCCGAGAACCAGGTTGCAATGGCTGTCGTATGCCTGTCCAGATGTGTCAATACACGGATATGCGCACAAGCAGAAGGGACGATGCGCATACGTGAAGTCTGCCCTGCAATTCGCGGTCACCACGCAGCTTGACAAAGACAATCTCGTTGAGTGAAAGGCGCACAAGATCCAGTGGCTCGTTCACCGGGTTGGCGGTGCTGTCTTCAACATCGGCCATTTGCGCATCAAGGTTGTGTTGTTTTTGGTGCTTTGGATCGGACTGGCTTCTGACGACAGTCAGGTCGCGAAGCTGCTGCTCAGGTTCCGCTGGTCTTGGCACAAAGTTCCGCCGCCGCCCTTGCGTGAGATCCACCGGGGAAGGTTCGACCCGCACTGCTAGCTCCACAATGGCGCGAAACGGGCGAGCAGCGAGGGCATCGCTCGCCAGCCTGCTCTCTTCTTTCGAGCCCGCTCGTTTGTCCTTTGCTCCTTCCTCTCACATATTCACAAAGCACTGCCTTCCTTTCCGTGCTGAAAACAAGACGCTGTCGACACCATGTGAAAGCCACAACTCTGGACAGTCTTGTAGCTCCACAAGTCTCAAGTATATTATCCGAAGATCTCATTCTCGAGATGCCTCTGCTGTTTCAAGCGGAGTGTCGTTCCAACTCGAAAACCAAGATTTTGTTCACAAGCCCAAGATTGTCGACGACTTTCATGAGGACATTCAGAGCTCACTGTCACGCAAAGACTATCGTGGTTTAATCAACGTGTTTCGTTCTGCAGGTGACAGCAATCTCGACTTTATCCGGAGCCTCCCAGAGAACACATTCACTGAGATCTTGGCTCAGTTGCAGCCAAAGAATGACCTGGCTAAAGCGATCGTGCCATACTCTCGACTCAGCCATGCCATGGTACAGCAGTTGCACTCGCCCACTGCCTACGACTTGATCAGAGACCATCTCTTAGACGCCGTTCAAATTCTCGACCGTCGCAAAAGATCTGGCAAAACTCTGAGTGTTCGTGATTACAGCATCATCCTTAGCTTCGCTCGCTGGACAGGCCTCAGAGATGTCGCAGATACATTCTGGAAGTCGATGCAAAATGATGGTATCGTGCCGGATCTCACCTGCTACAACAACTATCTGGGTGCTATTGTCTCGAACCTCCGCCACGATCCTAATGTCAGACATGCCCGACGGATGACTACCTTCAGAACCGAAACGCGAGCTAAGCCGAATCCTCGCACAAGATATGCAGCGTATCGTTTTGGTACTGGGGGTATCAAAGAAGACGTAATGGAGCTTCATCGAGAGATGCTGAAGGTCGATATTGTGCCCAACGAGGAGACCTTTCGTCTTCTCATCCTGGGTGTCGGTCGAGAAGGAGACCTCGATGCTGTCAAGAAGCTCTTGAGGCAAGTATGGGGGATCGCCGTTGACGCTATCGTAAATGGCGTGAAAGAGACGAATGCAGGACATGAGCTTGCTATCTCGCCGACGTCTCCTCTCTACCCAACTTCGTTCTTGGTCTATGCCGTCGCACACGTTTTCGGTATCAACAACGCGCTCCCAACAGCTCTGCGACTCGTGGACCATATATCGCAGACCTACAAGGTTGAAGTCTTCGACTATGTGTGGCATGAGTTGCTTGAATGGACATTCGTACTGTCTGCACCTCGTCAATTGTCTAGAGGAGAGCAAGCCGTCTTACCGAAAGACAGCGTACAGAAGCTGTGGGAGGTCATGCGGAACGAACCGTACAACGTACGCCCCACAATGGACATGTACAACAAGCTGATCAAGAGCCTTTTCTATCAACAGAGAACTCAAGACGTGTGGCACTATATGTGTGAAGCATTGCCGCTGTACAAGGCGATGCGCACAGAGACTCGCACACTGAACAAGGCATTGCACAGAGTGCTCAAACTTTCTCAGCCAGTCGGAACGCTACAACAAAAGTACAATCGCAGCAGGCTCAACGAGAAGTGGGCGCGTCTGTTGCTCAGGCGCTGGGTGCGTCTTCTGCTGGCGAGCATGCGCTCATGGCGTAGAGTCGATAAAGATCTTGCCTGGAGCACTAGACTGATACCTAACATCGTTCTCGAGTGGAAGGAGTTCATGCCCAGCAATGTGTGGTACGACATTGCGGCAGGCAGGGTGAGCATAAAGTTTCGAAGGAACGAGGAAAAGGAAGTCTATCAGGGAAATATCATGAACGCGATGGATACGAACGACAGGATTGCAAGCAAGCACAAGCACCAGTCAACACAAGATGGTAATCGCTACGTGCTGACACGCAGGCAGCAGAGAGCGGCTCCTGCGCGTGAGAGTGTAGCTGTGGACGAACAGAGTGAGGTTGAAGAAATTTTAGCAGATGAACAAGATTTCAAGACTGATCTGGAGTGAAACTAGGCAGAGAGGATCGGGTTTCTAACGACAGTATGATTATGCATGACATGGAGAAATTCAGCTAGGAGTTCAGAGAAACAGCATGGTTAGCCAGACATAGCTATACGATATATGATTAATGAGTTGGAAGACGGAGAGTTATGGTCACTTAAGATATAGAGTCGTGACAACTGCTCTGGATCAGGTGGTCTGGTACAACCTTGATGTGGGGTGGTGTCTTGGATGTGGTGGCTGTGAAGCGAAGGTGGGTCCGAGGGTCGAGGGTGGTCGAGGCTCGCAGACGCTCCTTCTGTTGCTGCACTCCATGCGACAATGGACATGGAGCCTGCCTAGAACAAGATATACACGCATATAGGTGTCCTGGAGATAGAGATTCTCGAGGGCTACGTTATGAGCCACAGACGGCTGGACAAAAAGGCGAGGGCAAGTGGTGGGAAAGTCAGAGTCTAAAAGAGGATGGTGGTGCGCGGCAGTGACGTGTGATGGATAGAACGGCCACACTCTTCGAGACGCTCATTGTTTCCCAAGTCGTTCAATGTTGGCGCCGCGCCGCGACAATCAATTGCTCTGTCTTCCTTCTTCCTACCCAGAGGAATATGTACTCATGACTTGCTATGAAGGAGCACACCTAACGACCATCTCGCCTAATTTCTACACTCGACCGATATGCCGGACCATGACGATCACTTCGACAGTGTTCGAAGGAGACACTCTGCTCACCACGATCGAGACGACATCGACATAATCCACGCTCGCCACGATGCACTTCCAAACGATCGCCCACAATCCAGCCCTTCGACATCTGGCACCGACATTCCTACCCATGCCCGCGAGTCCAGTGAGCGACCATCTCGAGTGAGCTTCTCGTTGCAAGAGCAGAGGACTTCGCCGCGTGGGAAGAAGAGGAAGAGCGATGAGGACACAAGGCCAGATCTCTCCGTGGACACCAATGCTGCTGCTGCGCATTCGCCCGTCTCCTCGCTATCGGCTATACCGTCTTCGTCGAGCAATTCTCGTCCCAACATGTCGCCCATGTCACCTCAAGCACGAGCACGAGGCTATTCGCTCCGCAGCTCGCTGTTTCAGCGCAACATGCATGATCGCTCTGCCAATCTTCCCGTCACGGCTTCCTCTATAATCGAGTTGGATTCAATAAGCCCATCCGCTCATACTCCAACCACTCCTCGCTCGGGAAAGAAGAGTATGGATACTGTAGTTGAAGTCGCTCAGATGCATGACGACGACCACGACCTGGAAGAACAAGACCCTAAGCGTGCGTCTTTTGTTCGGCGCCAGGGTGTTCAGGGCATAGGAGCCTTGCCACACTATCAGTCGTGGATACAACAGCATACTTCTCGCAATCACACCTGGCGATCCATGAAGGCTGGATATCACAAGGCTCGGAAGTTCGTCCTGCGCATTCAGGAAATGCCGCCGACAAAAGACGGTAGACACATCGACCTGGACGCTTCTCGAAAGGCTACTCTACTTGATGAACGGACTGGCAAGGTCTATATTACAAACTACATCCGTTCCAGCCGATACACTGCTTGGAACTTTGTGCCTCGCCAGTTGTTTGCACAGTTCTCTAAGCTCGCTAATTTCTATTTCCTTTGTGTTTCTATTTTACAAATGATACCCGGTCTTAGTACCACTGGAAGTAAGTAACTATTCAAAACCCTGTACTGTTGCGGTCTATAACCTCATCACAGCGTACACCACGATTATTCCCTTATTGTTTTTCGTTGCCCTTTCTATGGGCAAGGAAGGCTACGACGATCTGCGTCGTTATCGCTTGGACAAAGCAGAGAACAACCGCGAAGCCTCTGTCCTCCACGCATATCGCTCAACAACTACGTCTGACTCTCAAGTCGAAGAGGGTAATGCCAATACCGACGGTCCAACTCACTGGGCACAGACGAAGTGGCAAAATCTCCAGGTTGGCGACATCATCAAACTCGAAAGAGATGAATCTATCCCTGCGGATCTGGTTCTGCTGAGTTCGAAAGGCGCCAATGGTATCGCATACATTGAAACAATGGCCTTGGACGGAGAAACCAACCTCAAGAGCAAGCAGGCTCCAACAAATCTGGCCAAGCATTGTGATATGCCAGAAAAGATTGCTACTTGCAACGCACATTTCGTCGTTGAAGATCCCAACATCGATCTATACAACTTCGAAGGCAAAGTAACCTTGAAAGGCGAGACAGCACCCTTGAGCAACAACGAGATCATCTACCGAGGCAGTGTCCTGAGGAACACCCCTGAGGCTTATGGTATGGTCATTTACAGCGGTGAGGAGTGCAAGATCCGCATGAACTCCAACAAGAATCCTCGTATCAAGGCTCCTGCTCTGCAGGCAATCGTCAACAAGGTCGTGATTGTCATTGTTATCTTTGTCATTCTCTTGGCAATCTTCAACACTGTGGCATATCAAGTCTGGAGGAGCGGAACCGAGGCCGACTCATGGTATCTTATCAACGCGAGGGTCGCTTTCTTCCCAGTGTTGACCAGCTTTATCATCATGTTTAATACCATGATTCCCCTCTCGCTCTATGTATCCATGGAGATTGTTAAAGTTTGGCAGATGCTTCTACTCAACGACATCGACATGTATGATGAAGCAACGAACACACCTTTCGAGGCGCGGACATCTACCATCAATGAAGAACTGGGCCAGGTCAGCTACGTATTTTCTGATAAAACTGGAACTTTGACGGACAATATGATGAAGTTTCGCAAACTCAGTGTTGCCGGTACGGCCTGGCTGCACGATGTCGATCTACAGGACAAGCAAGACGACTCTGAGATGCTCATCCACAAGAAGAGAAATCACAAGAGCAAGGGCAAAAAGCCGATCCGCAAGTCGACCACCTCCATCATGACAACCACGCCCAAGTTTGATGGCGGAGACGACCAGATTGAGTTTAGCGAACCTGGTCGTAAGTCGACTTCACAATGGACTTCTTCTGCAAGACCCGGCAAGGCTCAGCCCGAGCTTAGTACCAAGACGATGATTCGTTACATACAACGAAAGCCATTCACACTTTTCGCGAAGAAAGCTCGTATGCTTCTGCTGTCTATGGCGTTGTGTCATACTTGCCTGCCCGAGACACAAGACGATGGCGAGATTGACTTCCAAGCATCTTCGCCTGACGAGTTGGCTCTAGTCAGAGCAGCACAAGAGCTTGGATACCTGGCCATGAACCGTGAATCTGCGCTCCTGACCATCAAGACCTATCCCAATGGCATCAATCGAGAGCCTGTTCTCGAACAGTACGAGGTCTTGGACGTCATCGAATTCTCCAGCCAGCGCAAGCGTATGTCTGTCACTGTTCGATTCCCCGATGGACGTGTTTGTGTCATTTGTAAGGGAGCCGATACCATTGTTATGCAACGTCTTAAATTGGCATCTCTGGCCAACCAAAAGATGGTAGAGATCGAAAAGCGAACTAGTATGCGCAAGAGCTTGGAAGCACAGGAAGCTATTCGTCGCAGGAGCGAACAGCATGAACGTTCAAGCATTACGAGACCGAGCTTTTCAATGTCAATCGGCCGACCTAGCATCGGTGGTATACCACGCACCAGCATAGGCACTGCCAAGTTGCAGCCCATCCGTGACGAGCTTGACGTCTGGCTGAGGGAACGCGAGAGTGAGGTTAATGTGTCGAATGACGAGGAGACTAGTGTGCATTATTACTCTCCACGACCTTCAACGCACGTGCACAGCCGACAATCGCTTGCTCTCTCTGAAGCTCGCAGCTCGTTGCAATACGACGACATCGATCAGGACGAGCTTGTTGAAGAATCGCTTGTCACGGACGAAGCTACTGTTCTTGAGCGCTGCTTCCAACACATCAACGATTTTGCTACAGAGGGACTTCGCACACTGCTGTATGGATACAGGTTTCTCGATGAGCCAGAGTACCTGGGATGGAAAAAGGTGTACCACAACGCCACAACGAGTCTTGTAAATCGTCAAGAGATGATCGAGGACGCAGGCGAGATTATTGAGAGAGATCTTGATCTTGGTGGTGCTACTGCCATTGAAGACAAACTTCAAAAGGGTGTACCGGAAGCCATTGACAAGCTCAGACGTGCCAATATCAAGATGTGGATGTTGACTGGAGACAAGAGGGAGACGGCCATCAACATTGGGCACTCTTGTCGTCTAATCAAGGACTACTCGGCTGTCACAATCCTGGATCATGAAACCGGACAGGTCGAGCAGCGTATTGCCGCCACTATACTCGACATCAACAATAGTAAGGTGGCGCATTCAGTTGTAGTCATCGATGGCCAGACATTAGCTCTGATCGAGGATGACGAGTACCTGCGTACGCTCTTCTACGAGCTTGCAGTTCTTGCAGATTCTGTCATCTGTTGTCGTGCCTCTCCCAGTCAAAAAGCAGGACTCGTGTCAGCCGTGCGAAGAAGAGTCAAGAACAGTATCACATTGGCCATAGGAGACGGTGCGAATGATATTGCCATGATTCAAGAAGCACACGTCGGCATCGGTATCACCGGAAAAGAAGGCCTACAAGCAGCTCGCACTTCGGATTATTCTATTGCTCAATTCCGCTTCCTCGTCAAGCTGCTTTTGGTTCACGGACGCTGGAACTATATTCGCATCTGCAAATACACTGTTGGCACTTTCTGGAAAGAGTTCTTGTTCTATTTGACACAGGCGCTGTTCCAGCGTTGGGCCGGCTATACTGGCACTTCGCTGTACGAGTCTTGGTCACTTAGTATGTTCAATACCTTATTCACCAGTCTTCCGGTCATCTTCCTGGGCGTTTTCGAAAAAGATCTCTTACCTCAGACATTGATAGCAGTGCCTGAACTGTACACCAAAGGCCAACGCAATGGAGGGTTCAACTTCAAAATCTTCCTAGCATGGATCTTTATGGCGTCGAGTGAGGCGGTGATGGTCTTTTTCCTTATGCTTGGACTCTACGCTCAGGCTACCTTTACCAAAGATCAAGGACTATATGCGATAGGATCGCTGACATTCACCGCATGCATTATTCTCATCTCGATGAAATTGCAAGTCATTGAGATTCACAACAAATCTATCACAGCCGTGATTGCCTGTGTGCTTTCCATCGGCGGCTGGTTCCTATGGATGATCATCCTCGCTTCCATTTACAACGACAATGTTACCTACAATGTCCGCGACAGCTTCTTCGTCCGCTTCGGTGATAATCTGCTCTGGTGGCTGACACTTTTGCTCATCATCGTCGCGACCATGTGGTTCGAATTTGGCATCCACAGCTTCAAATCAGCGTACTTTGCTACTGATGTCGATTTGTTCCAACTCTACGAGCGCGATTTGAGTATCCGTAAGAGATTTGAAGAAGCCGCTGCGATGGAGTTGCAGGCTGGCTGGAGACGTGGAGACAAAAAGTCGAGCGTTGAGTTGGAGCGTGAGGAGCAGGCACAGGCGATGAGGGAGAATGAAATTGTGGACTTGTTGACTAGACCAAGGGTAATGGAGGAAGGAAGCTTGGGTAAGGGAGATGTGAGGTTGGCGGAACAGAGGGTGATTGGTGGGGATGAGGTGACAAGATCTTCGTCCGATGTTCACGAGATGTTGTCGAAGAGATTTGGATCTGTGCAGTGAGGGTGGATGGGGTGTAGATAAGAAGTGATGATGATCATCTATGGTTCTTGCATATCGTCATATCTATCTATAGCATTTTGTTCCTTGCTCTGGCAACGGAGATTCAACGATTTATTCTTTATTATCTGCAAGCAAGATAAGATATGGAAATCAGGTGTTGTACAAAGCTACATTTGTTGCGGGAATAGCAATGCATGAACGTTGATCGCTGCTGCTTCAAGTCATGGGCTGGGAGAAAATGGTTCGTTCGAGTCGGGTTGGCGTACACAAAAAGAAACATCGCTTGCAGCACCTTTCTCACCTTTATTGCTCGCGTGATTGGCACAGCAGGGCCGTGCTCGGCATGTTCGGCATGCAATCGCAGATGGGCGACCTCGATGCCAAGCTCGAGCGCGCTGTTGTACATGTGCACCTCATCGAGTTGCATGAAAACTGGGGGAGAGGATGGAACGAGGGGAGGGGAGGGGAAAAGTGACGGTGTAAGCATGGAAAGCAGGCAGGCAGGCAGGCAGACGTTTCTGGGTTGGGCGTCATGTCGTTGTTTGGCTGGGAGACGGTTGAAAGGCGGACAACAGCCGCTGACTCTGGGTGGTTCATGTCTTTGAAAGCTGGATTTCTAATAAGGATGGCTTGGGTTGAGACAGCAGACAGACAGGCTGCTGGGCGCGGACAAGTAGGGCAGGATTAGGAGATCAGCATTTCCGTGAGTTCTTGCCTAGCCGGACGCCGCATGTGGCAAAGGAAGGCAGCAAATAAGCTCACGCACTGGTCATGCTTTGCAATGGCAAGTGCGTGGAAAAGGCACTTTTGACACGCAACGGAGACGACAAGAAAGCAGAGATGACGAAAAGCCGGTGGTGATGGCATGTAGCGCAGCACAGCAACAGGGAGATTGTAGGCGGAGAAGGGACGAAATTGGGAGACTCGAGACTCCCTTGTCCGCAAATTAAGATGGGTGCAGGACGCGGCTTGGCCCTGGCCGCTGCCGAGCGTCACCTCTGTCTCGCTCTCGCTGGTCGCTCGCTGCTGGCTGCCACTCTTTCAACGGGTACGGCTCTCGACTCCTATCGAGTTTTCCCTCCCCTTCCACTCCCATCTCCATCATCCGTCATCAACAATCTCATCTCCATCGCCGCATGTTACGAACGACACGACTTTAGCCTTGCATTGTATACTCTTGCAGTTCTTAGCCCCATTTCATCTCTCCGCCCACGCCGACTCGACTCCCGACACTCAATTCGCCCGAGGCCATTCCCCGCTGCACGCCTTCGAGTCCGCTAATCACCGCGAACTCCCTTGCACGTCGTCTCATCTCTCCGTACAGTCATCCGCCATACGATACTGTCTCATCAACACTCCGCGGATACCTGAGGCGTCCCTCGAAGACGAGCGGCTTGTTCTTGGCGTTGGGTTTCGACGCCGCCTGTGACTCGAACTGAAGCCGACTGGAATTGCATGGCTGGTGTTTGGTCTTATTGATTCGTTGCATTGCCGGTGTTGTGTGTAGCTCTGGTGAGTCTTGCCATCATCATGGTCCGCCAATAATCAGCCGCTGACGCCTCGGTCACAGTCTTTGTTGTTGCCATCTCCTTTACGACTTCCTCATCATGCGCGAGGCCAACTTCAGCATCCCGGGCGCGAACAAAGCCTCGGTCGGCATCACGCCTGCCCTGTATGACCGTCGCGCTCTCGACTGCACATCCACCCTCCCTTTGATCAACTCACTCAACAATCTCACCTACCTTACTACGTCATCCGCACGCATCCGCGACATCCTCACTGTAGACGGCGGCGTTGAACGCCTGGTCTGCATCTTGAAAGAAGGCAGGAGCAAAGATGCTATGGAAAGTTGGAAATGGAATCTGGCTTTCCAGTGTGTTTTCAACATCGGTGTCAGAGGCTCTGAAGCCGTACGAACTCGCGTTGTCGAAGCCGATATGGTACCCGTGGTAGCCACTCTGCTCGACAACTACATTCGCGCCATGGAGAAGTTGAAGAAGAGAGCCGACGAGGACGCAAGACGTACTCCGGCCAACTTCAACCCTTTCCCCAACCTTCAAAGCCCTTCCCGCTCAAGCCGCTCTCCTTACCAGTCTAGATCAGATCGCACACCTCGAAGATCAGTACCACCGCCGATCGACGTTTCTGCTACCGACGACCAGCCCATGGTCGACTCGCAGCAGCCGCCACTACGCAATACCAGACTCGACTTTGGTCGCCACACTCCGATGCACGACATCCGTCCGCAGTCGTCGCCGCAGATCCGCTCCGAGCAGGCATCACGCCAAACGTTGCGTCCAGTCCGGGATGCTGATCGCCTACCATCGATGCTGCCCAACTTGAACGCAGAGTTGAGCTCACAACCACAGTCACCGACCACCCCGAGCGCGACGGCTCCGACTAGTCCTCGCTCGGCTGCTAGCCTTGGACGTAGAAGACCATCGATCCGTCATCAGCTATCTATTTCTGGCAACTGGGAAGATGAGCAAAGTGACGATGCTGTTCAGGACATTTCGGATACAGCTGAGACGTCACCTGAGCCAATGGTCGACATTCAAACCGATATTTCCATGCAGGATATCGTCAACGATGAAACCATGCTCGAAGGAAGCGTAACGCCTGTGGCTCTGGGTGTGCCGACTGTTGATGTATCAGATTCGGACGCTTTCATCAGTCACGCCTCAGTGCAGGATGGCAGCATCAACAACCAAACCCCAACACAAGCTCAACCCGGATTCGCACCTCCCCAGCAACTTCCTTCCGTCGATATTGTTAACGCCACCCCACCAGCACTCATGGCTCCGCGTGCTGGTGTCCCCTTCGTCTCGGCTCCCGCGCCCCTTGCCGCCGCCCTTCCTCGTGATGAAGATGTCATCATGTCTCTTCAACTGCTCGCGTATGTTTCAAAATACTGCAACCTCCGTTCATACTTCCAGGCCTCACACCTCGTACCCCGCCTCAATATTGATGCCGAATTAAGCACGCTGGACGCCGACTACGATCCATCAATCCCCTTCACCGGTCCTTCTCAAGAGGAGCTTGAAGAGGCATGGGACAACGAATTCGTCGAACAGCCCGCTTACAACATTTTCCCTCTGATCGAGAAGTTTACTGTGCGTTGCTCGAGCTCTCGGCAATCTCTGCTACCAACGTCGGCACAGCAGAGCGAAACAATGCAATATTGGGCAGGAGTGGTTATGCGCAATCTCTGCCGCAAAGACGAAAGCCGTGGCGGTATTCGCCAATGTGCATACTGGAAGTGTGGCAAGTGGGAAGAGTACACGCGGCAATTTGCTAAATGCAGACGTTGCCGACGCACCAAGTACTGCAGCAAAGAGTGCCAAAAGGGTGCTTGGGGCAGTCATCGATTTTGGTGTGTGGCAGCTGAAGAGGGCAAAGAAGGAGAAAACTCCCGGCATCACCACCATCACACACACTCGCATTCACACCAGCGATCTCATCAACACTCGCAGGGCGAAGGATCAGCGACGGCAGCGGCAGCAGGAGCAGCTACAACACGAGGCGAAGCATCACGCTCTCGAACACATCATTCTTGATTACGAAACTGGATTTACACGGCATATGTTCTTTGACAGCTTTTCCCTCGGCAACGATATCCTTTTAGGCCGAATAGAGAGAGCTTAGGTAGTTTATGGGAGAGATTGAGCAGCACTCTGCGGCATATGGGCAATAGAGCCTTTGTGCCTAGATTTAACGAAACATTGCGCAGGCGTTGTGGAGGAATTTTAGTGATACTCTCTCGGGCAGGCGTTTTGATGTTTTATATCCTGACAAGGGAGAAGCACCGGTTACTGAGCAGTAGCACATTGAATATTATTTTGCTTGGTCCAAGATTCGTAACTCGTGTAGGCGTGTAGAGTGTCGAGTACAAAGAGCAGAGGAACAAAGACGAATCAAGTGGGTCCGGAGGTTTAGCGCGTCGGGTTGTAATTCAAGAAAGACAGCACGGGCGTTGAGGTTGAAGATTGGATTGCCAGTGTCGGGACCAGATAAGGAAGGAAGCAAGTGCGCTGGGCGTGACACATAATTGACACTTTGTATTCGGTTGTTGGATGTGACATGGCTCTACGCCTGACCACAAGTCCTAATATCACCCAAGACGGTGGATGGTGGCCCTCTACAGCCAACGCAGCGCACGCAACTTAAGACTGCGACTTCGGCAATGACAGGCCGCGTTGAAGTCGTCACCAACGACGATGATGCGCGAAGACCGCTGCTGTCGCGACTCCCCCAGCACGATACCAGCGACATAGACCTGGACATGACGACTCTCGACACACGGTCTGGTCATGAGAAGTGGCGGCGCCTCGTTGGTCTGCTACTGCTGTTCACGACCGTCGTCTTGTGGACCGCCTCCAACTTTATGGCCTCCGTATGCGCACAATTCCTTGTTTTGCTTGTCGCAACGAGAACTAACAAGACTTGCAGACACTGTTCGCCGACAACACCTACTCAAAGCCCTATCTTGTCACTTACGTTAACACCGCCTGCTTCATCATACCGCTCTTACCCATCGTTGTGCGACGCCTGTACCTGAGCGGCTCCCTCAAGACTCCGAGATACGCTGCTGTGCCCCAGGACCACGATGAAGATGTATACACACAAGAACACACCAGCGACTCTGCCTCACAGAAGCTGATTCCTATCAACGATGCTCAGGCTATAGTCCCCTTGTCTTTGGGCGAGACCGCCCGTCTGAGTCTGGAGTTTTGCATTCTCTGGTTCATGGCCAATTACTTCGTCGCTGCTTGTCTGGAGCACACCACCGTTGCATCGTCCACCATTCTTACCTCGACGAGCAGCATCTTTACACTACTCCTGGGATGCGCTGTCAATGTCGAGATCTTTACTCTGCGCAAACTCTTTGGCGTACTGGCTTCTTTGCTTGGTGTAGTTCTGATCTCTTCTGTCGACCTCTTTGGCAACAACGACAATGGCCGCGGCTCGTTTCCTCACAAGGATGCACGTCAGGTTGCTCTGGGTGATGCAATGGCTTTGCTGTCTGCTGTCTTGTACGGTGTCTATGCCGTGCTCATGAAGAAGCGCATAGGCGACGAGCGCAGAATCAGCATGCCGGTTTTCTTTGGCCTCGTCGGTCTCTTCAACGTCCTGCTCCTATGGCCTGGATTTTTGGTCTTGCACTTTACTGGTGTCGAGCCCTTTGAGCTGCCCCCGACTTCGAGAGTTACGACGATTATTCTCGTATGTTTTTTACTCTCCTCTGCCGCAATAACAGAGTTTTCATGCTAATCATAAATCCAGGTCAATTCGTTCAGCTCATTGCTCTCTGATATCGCATGGGCTTATGCTGTGCTACTCACTTCGCCCATTGTCGTCACAGTAGGCCTCTCGACCACCATCCCGCTGTCTCTGATCGGACAGCTTCTCATCAACAACCAAACCTCGCCTGCTATTTACTGGTTAGGCGCTTTTGTTGTCGTCTTGTCATTTGCATTTGTCAATCACGAAGAAGCTCAAGACGAGGCTGCCCAAGATCAAAGGATCCTAGAGGAGTCTGCGAGCATTAGAGGGGTGCAACAGCACGAGGAAGCCTGAGGAAGAGGGGCTTTTTTGCATTGGGAGGGTATGGTCAAGGCGAATTGACTTTAGCGTCCATATAGATTGGACCGGGTGGGGGAGTTATATTTCCATTTGCCATACGAATATCACGACTTTTTATCGTTCTCTTGTGTTTTGCTTGTGATGGTCTGCTTTTGCTTGAAACTTGCACAGAATGGCTGCAAGTCCAGTCATCACGGGCAACGGTTCCGCTCCTCACCTTCTTCGGCTTTGGATTTTCCAACGTCACCTCGTGCACTTTTGATGTGGGGTGATGTGGGGTCGAGTCTCTCCATCTATTGCCGGTGACATGTTTTGGAGGACATCAACCCTTTTTTCCGATTGTTTATCTGTTTGTTCTCTTGACTTTCTCTTACATACTCAAGAGTTCTTCTTATTAAAAGTCTTCGTTTGAACTGCGGCTTTTGTGTTTTCTGTGTGCAATTGAAAGCCTCCACCATGTCACGATTCGAAGTACCGGATATAGGGAAACACTTGCAGGGCAAGGTTGTTGTATTAACTGGTATGTCAATGCCAATTGCCACCTCCTTACTCTTCCCTTACTACTTCTCCTCTATCACATACTAATCACAACTTCTACAAAACAGGAGGAGCCCTAGGCATCGGCTCCGAACTCGTCCGCCTCCTGCACTCCTCCGGCAGCCACGTCTTCTTCGGCGACGTCCTGATCGCCCAAGGAGATGCTTTGGCTGCAGAGCTACAAGCATCGTCAACAGAAGGCCAACAGGTCAAATTCTTGTATACGAACGTCCAGGATCATCTTGCGAACCTGGGGCTTTTTGACCTGGCGTTGAAGACTTGCGGCAGAGTCGATCATGCGGCTTCCGTGGCGGGGATCAACAGGGAGGAAAACATTGTCGATGACAAGTTGACGCTGGAGAGTGTGAGGAAGGTGAGTTGTTTTTTTTTGGTGTTTTCTCCTTGCCGTTTGTTGGTGATTTAAGATGGAGATGAGGGGATGAAGATGCACTGATGGTGGGATTTCAAAACAGGAACCTGATATCGATGACTCGTTGGATGTGAATCTCAGAGCACCGATTCTGTTTTCTCGCATTGCAAGTGTGTATTTGCGTCAAGGACAACTACCGAGTCAGAATGGAGACGGCACAACAACAGCAGAGGGAGGAGGAACAGCAGCAGCAGCAGCGAACAAATCACTCACGCTTGTATCTTCTGTAGCTGGCTTTACCGAAGCTCCTGGTCTTGCTGTGTATTCGGCGGGTAAACACGGCGTCTACGGATTGATGCGGGCATTGCGAAAGTATGTTTTTGGCCTCTTCCTTCCTTTCCTTTCCCTTCCTTCCCTCTCTCCCTCATACTCACCACCAAAACAATAGAGTCCTCATCAAACCACCCCACTCAATCCGCACAAACGCAATCTGCCCCTGGATGACCGAAACCCGCATGGTAACCGGCATCGACGAGGACTGGAAGCACGCAGGGCTGCCCCGCAACAAAGCAATCGATGTAGCTCGCATCATCGCCGGAGTGATGGTTGACAAACAATTGAATGGGGAAGCATTATACGTTGAAGGAGGAAGAGCCTGGGGGATCGAAGAGGGCATTGAGAGGACGCAGAGCCAGTGGATGGGTGAGAAGCAGAGTAGGGATTTCATGAGGGGGCAGGAGGTTTTGGGGACGGGGGAGAATTGGTGATGGGGATGGGATGAGTGTGGGAGGTGTATGGATTCTTTCTTTCGACGGGAGTTGATCCTTGTATTTCCAAAACATGAATGATATCGCATAATGTGACCCACTGCTCTGTACTTTCTCGACGATCGGTATATCCTCTCCGTCATACCTGCTATCAAGATCGTAGACGCTGCGATCGAGAACGCGCATCTACGCCAATGTGGTAGTAGCATCCGACTTGTTTTCAGTTAACGCCGAGCACCGTGTACCTAGTAAAGGCAATCAGGCCAACGAAACTCCCGCTATCCTCCGACTTCTCTTTGGTGACTCCTGTGATCTTTTGATGGTTCAAGGTTCGTACAAGCTACCTTCCAGAGGTCACGAGAAGTGATGGAAAAAGTCGATCAACATCCTTGCTTTTCCTTCGCTACCTTTGATATACCGATGTACTACACACATCCAACCACCTCACCCATCATAATACCTCTTTGTTATCGTGATTGGGTGTACGTGTTGATATATCAGCCGGGCAGCCCTCTATGCTTTGCGTCGATGGGCCTGTTTCATCGCAGAGAGCATAGGGATAGAGCTGATGCTTTTTCCATGACTGCGCTGTCTACGGAGTATCAGTGATGGTTCTGGGGTGTTTTGTGCCAGAAAGCCACATGCGCGGGATCGCGCTGTCTCCAGTCGTGCGCAACATGAAACAAAACGGAGCGACCAGGGAAGAGATCCGAGAGAGAAAAAAGTGCTTTTTGCAATGTAAAACGCTAGCTACCTGGCATATCTGAATCCCAAGACACGCAGTCAGACTCAACCCCTTTTCCTAGGAGCAGCAGCAGCAGGAGCAGCAGGCGGAGGACCAGTCTTGATAACATTCAATAAATCCTTGAGACCTTCAGGCTTGACCGACTGAGCAGAAACAAGACCAGCTGCTTCATCGAGGACATTCTTGGGGTCTGCATCACCGACCATGTCGATGTTTGTAGCGAGCCATTGCTGGAAGGGGGCGGCGACGAAGAAGCCATCGGCGGTGAACCATCGCATGAAGGGAGCGGAGATTTCCTTGTCGACGGGCGGGATGGTGTTGAGCGAGGATGGGTGGTATGTGACGTTGAGTTTGTAGGTGGGGTCGAACTTGTCTGCGCGGGTCGAGATTGTGATCTGAGTTGTGACATGGTCAGCTGGTGGAACTTGACCTATCGAGCAGTGGGACAGCGACTCACCTTGCGGCCCTTCCAAGCACCGACGTATACGAGGCCCTTTTCAACCTGCCAGATCCAGTAGGTAAAGGCGCCGTTCAGGAGAAAGTAGGCGACGACGGCGAAGGTGGTGAATCGTTTTGTAGCTTCGAAGCCATACTTGTAGTCGAGAGCAAAGGTAATGGCAGCGATTATGACGGCAGTGTATCCGAGAGCGAGCTTGACGTCGGTGTACCAGTGGGATTGGCGGAACTTGAGGCCGTTCAGGTAGTTTTGCAGAGCATCGTCGGTTGTGTTCTTGCAGTCTGAGGAGAGGGTCAGCTTTGGGCAAGTTGGTCGGTGGAAATAGAGAGATACCGGAAACATTATAAGGCGATATTCTGGATTCGTCTGCCATGATTGTGGTGTTGTTTAACAGGAAAGTTGTTTGTGGATGACAGAGTTGAAGATGAAGCGTGGCCGGAGCTCCAAACGCGTGTGGAGAGACGCTCACGCTTCAACAAGTGACGGCGACTCGTCGTCCAAGCACTCGACAAGACCAACACCACACCTCCGCTACCATGTCGCCCGTCATGGCCGAGCCCATCGTGCAGACCATCTACAGGGATCCTGCTCTGTTCTACTGGATCCTGCTGCCCATCACCGTCGTCATGGTGAGTGTCGATTGCACCTCTCCCACCCTGCACAACCACCCAGCTAACACCTCCACCCAGGTCCTTACTGGCATCCTGCGACACTACCTCTCCACTCTCCTACAATCCGCACCCAAGCCGCAAGCCATCAATCTGGTGCGCCAACAGCGGTCGCTCATGCGCGGCGTCAACCTCCGCAACAACTACAACCAGCTCTCCCCGTCCTCGTTCGCTGCCCGCAAGGCATACATGGTCCAAGCCTACAAGGACGGCTCCTTCCTCGCCGAGCCCGAGATGCGCGGTCAGCCCAAGGGAAATCCCATGGCCGACCCTGCCGCCATGGAAGGCATGATGGGCATGATGAAGGGCCAGGTCGCCATGATGGTGCCTCAGAGTTTGATCATGGGCTGGATCAACGCCTTCTTCTCGGGCTATGTCATCATGAAGCTTCCTTTCCCTCTGACCCCTCAGTTCAAGTCTATGCTGCAGTCGGGTGTTGGTACCAGAGATCTCGACGTCCGATGGGTTTCGAGTTTGTCTTGGTACTTCCTGACTCTGTTCGGTCTGCAACCCGTCTACAACTTCATCCTTGGTAGCAACAACGGTGCGTCCCTTTGTTCTCGTCTAGCATGTCCACATGACTGACAAATTCGCAGCCGCCAGTCAGGTCACGCAGCAAATGGCCCAGGCTCAGATGGGTGCCAACCCCATGGGTGGCCAGGATCCTGACAAGGACTTCCTGAACGAGGCAGAGAACCTCGAGGTCCTCGAGCATCACTGCATTCTTGACGGCGTCGAGGACAGGCTGCTGTCCAGTCTAGCTTAGATTTGTACAAACTATCATAATCTCTAGCCTCACAATATCAGGACTACATAAATGCACTATGGTTGGTGATATCACTTTCTCTCTGGAAGCGTCTTGCAATCATATGCCTGCCATGTGATAATCCTGGTGCACAAGTGGTGTACTTAACCATGATGCCTTGCAGCAAAGCCAATATTCGATGCAGTAGCTTCTGCCTCGTCCTCTGACGATGCACTGAAACCACCCCACCCATCAAACTCGTCCGACAGCTTGACTGCAGCCTTGAGGAAATACTCGTCTTCATCTCCCCATGTTTTGGCGGCTTCTTGCATCGAGCGACAGGCTAGAAAAGATGGTTAGCTCAAGACAAGAGGTGCATCTTCTTTTGTGCTGCGTACCTTTGACAAAGTGAGCATCTTGAGCCCACTTGCCGTTCACAGCTCGATCGGCTACCCACTTCCAGTCTCTTCCTGCCAGATTAACGTTCGAGATTCTGCTCTTGTCAACAGCTGGACGAAGTTGACCGATGTAAGCACTAAGCAAAAACAGCCACCATTGCCTGAGCAGAGGAACGTGGTATGTAGCACGAATCAGGGGAGCAACAACGCGCACGGCGTGAGAGCTGGTAAGGATGTGTACGAGGAAGAAGTCGAACTTGTGTTTCCTTTCGTGTGAACCGACGAGCAAGGCAACAGCGGCACGTTGGGCGGCCTCGAACTGGGCCTTGGGATCCGTAACAGTCCAGCTGTTCCAGTATTCCAGCAGGATGACCTCCTTCTCCTTGTCCTCTGTCAGAGGAGCGTAGTTGTCTTCTCCAGGCTTCTGGAAGAAGGAATCGAGACGAGAATCTTGATGCACCTTCTGGATAACTTGGAATGGATCTTGCGAGGACCACGGCGATGGTTTGGTGTACGAGGGATCGTCAAGATAGATATGCTGATGGTTGTAAAATGAGGCGACTAGAGCTAGCGACTCGATTGCGACGGTAGGAGAAGCGAGCTCGAGGGCGAAACCGAGATGGATGAGAGGGTGTGCGACTACAAGCAGGTCAGAGAAGCACTTGATCCAAATGGCACAGCAACTTACGGCCGGCAATCAAATTGTTGATCAGCGGTTGCTTGCCAGAGTACAAGAAGTCGTCAAGCAGCTCTCGCCAATCGTAACCGAACTGGACGAGTTGGTCTTCGAAAAAGTCTATCCATGCACGCTGGTACCTGCAGTGTCGCATCAGCTGCTATAGTGTTGGATGTGGTTGGAGCTTGCATACTCTCTTCTTCCCAGATAGTCGCGCCAGTCATGTCTTGATATTTCCGAGGGCGAGTCTTCCCATGGCTCGAGGTCCTTGGACTCTTTCTCATAGATGTCCATTAGTTGGTCGACGTTGGCACCGAGGAAGTAGGCGGTACCCAGAATCTAGACATGGCCTCAGCATGGTCTGGAATGGCAGATGGACAGGAAGGAGAGTTATACGTGGGGCGCATGGTTGTGGAATTCGAGGTGGTGGTAGATGATGGAGTGGTTGATGTGATTGGCCTTGATCAGGTGCTTGAGTGTTCGGGCACGTTTCTCTGGAGTTTCTTCAATGTCGATGGACTCGACGGGCGGCAAGTTGAGTTTGAGAGCAGATGCATAGCCACCAGACAGGAGATTTGAGAAGAAGTTGGAGCGGAAGGAAAACATGCTTGCTGCCACAGAAGAGTCGTCAAGCACAAGCAACGAAAGTCGAAAGCATCAAGGCAGTCGCGTCATGCCATTTCGGCTGGACCCTGTCTGCCCCGCTTCACCATCATCGAACAGGTACTCGAGTGCCATCACCTCATCCATCCTTTAGCAGTCATTCCTCCACGCGGGTCAAGTATTTTATGCAGAGCGGTGCTAGCAATCAGGAGTGAAGCAATACACAGGAGAGGTTAAGATAGAGGAGCAGAAGAGGTGAAATCGAAAGGGACCTGGCTGCTCGGGGAGCGGAGAAGCGACAGCCGCGAGCCATCATGGTACCACATCTAAAGAATCGATCAAGATCATCTAAGAGGCAACCAACATTTCGGTACGCATGAAGCATACAGTCTTCTATAGACTCACATCCTGGCAGTCTTGTTTCTGGTGATATCTCGGACAGACACTAAAAATGCATGGTAGTAAAACAATTCAATACTTTGTCTGGCTGAGCACCCTGAACTGTCTTGGCTTTGCGACTTTGAGAAAGCGACTCAACACATTCCATCCAGGTCGTCATTGACGACACTCGTTACCGCTTCTCTTTGACGCCATCGTCAATTGTTTGTCAGGCAGCCTCGATAGTGCATCGGCGCCCATGACTATTCCATGAGTGCAGCAACACGCCTCGGAGCGACAGTAGCCCCTACGACTCAACTTCAGTGCCCCCTACCACGACCATGTCCAATCATGGCAGAGTCGGTTTCCACCGCCCACCTCCGGCCGATGTCAGTGACGATTCGGCAAGCGATTCAGACAACGAAGACCTGATGCGCGAAACACGTACATCGACCGACATCAGACAGCTGGACAGAAAGATCCTAGAAACAGAGGAAGAGGCAGAGGAACTTTTGACAAATAAAGAAAAAGACAGAAGACTCCAGGGTCTGTTTGCACGTAAGGATGGTCCATCGAGCGGCGTGAAGCTCACCAAGAGAGAGCGCAGAAGATACCAGCGTGAGGCCCAGCGCAAGGGGAAGAAACATCCCAAGGAAGAGGAGGAGAGTGAACTCATGTACGACATGGAAGAGGGCCACAAGGATAGCTCGGACTCGGCTGCTTCATCAGACATCGACAGGCTGCGGTTGAAAGAGTTACCACAGCCTGTCCAGGGTCGTAGCTCACGGCTCTGGAAGCTCACAGCTATCCACATTGTCATCGTCATCGCCTTTGTTGGCCTTTTACTAGGTGCTTACAAGGCATCTCGCACCCACAAATCCGAGGTCCGCCCTCAATCGGATACTCTCACCAATGGCAGCTCAATATTTGCACCAACAACCATCCTTATCTCGCTTGACGGTTTCCGCGCCGACTTCCTCCACCGTAACATTACACCTTCTTTGAGTGCATTTGTTCAAACTGGCGTTTCACCAGAATACATGTCGCCGAGTTTCCCCTCCGTTACCTTCCCTAACCACTTCACCCTTGTCACCGGCTTATATCCTGAAGCCCACGGTGTCGTCGGTAATAGCTTCTGGGACCCTGAGTTGAAAGAAGACTTCTTCTACACCGATCCTGCCAGAAGCATGCAGCCCAAGTGGTGGAATGGAGAGCCCATCTGGGTCACTGCCGAAGAGCAAGACGTTCGCGCCGCAATCCACATGTGGCCTGGATCCGAAGCTCACATTGGCATCGAGCCTACCTTTGTCGACAAATACAAAGGCCATGAGCTACTTGCCAACAAGGTCGATCGCATACTCGGTCTTCTTGACCTTCCCGGTCCGTTTGACAAAGGCGCAAGCTCTGATGCCCCAAGACCGCAATTGATCGCCGCCTACGTGCCGGACGTCGATCGCGATGGTCATCTCTATGGTCCCAACAGTACTGAGATTAGATCCACTATCTCTAGTGTCGATACCATGTTGGGTCAGCTTTTCTCGGGATTAGAGCAGCGAAATCTGACAGACATTGTCAACATTGTCATAGTTTCTGACCACGGTATGGCTACGACATCGACTTCTCGTTTAGTTCAGCTCGACGACATCATCGACATGTCTGTTATAGAACGTACCGACGGATGGCCGCTATACGGTCTTCGTCCAAAAGATGAGTCAGATATCGAGCCTCTCTACAATAAGCTTAAGCAAGAAGCGGCAAGTATGAGCGGTTTCGATGTTTATCTGAGAGATCGCGACATGCCTGAGCGTTACCACTTTTCACAGAACGACCGTATCGCGCCTCTTTGGGTGATACCTTGGACTGGATGGGCCATCGTGGTCAAAGAAGAGTTCAATGTCGAAGAGGCGAAGAAAAGTGGCCAAGTCTATCATCCTCGAGGCGTACATGGATACGACCATGAACATCCACTGATGCGTGCAATCTTCGTGGCCAGGGGCCCCGCCTTCCCTCATACCCCGGGCAGCAAAGTGGACGTCTTCCAAAACATCGAGGTCTACAACCTTGTATGTGATTCGGTAGGAGTTGTGCCCAAGCCGAACAACGGAACTCTGCGTCTACCACTCAAGCCTATCGGATTGCACGATTTTATGCCGCCTAGTGATATGCCAGAAGATATGCCAGAAGACCCTCCCTCCAGTGAAAGTAGCGATCAGCCGACTTCGATCGCACAAACCACAGCGTCGAATGGGACCTCGACCGAAGTTGTGGAAACAACCTCATTACTGACGCAAGTTTCACGACCAATGATTATTGCCACAGACGCGCCTGTCCCTACCCGACCAGTCATTCATGATGACGTGAGCCAGGAAGACGAAGACAACAATGGCAAAGACACGAACTTATGGTGGGATTGGGTCATGGGAAAACTCGATGGCGCCAAAGACTGGGCGACTGGGTTATATGATACAGTATCCGACAAGATCTCGGGCGCTGCAACGGAATCAGGAAACAACGAATGATCCGGTAACCTCTCTCAAAAGAACTTACTATCCAGGCTGCTGCCTTCAAATGGCCACTTTACTCGCTCTCTCTTTCCTACGTGGACGGAATTTGTTTCGCATGATGAAGCTTCTGGTACATCGAGCTTCTACTACACGCTCGGAAAAAGCACACGCACCACACCACACTACGTGACAGAAGCTGGGTCCCAACATGCTCTGTGGTTATACTGCCAGCGCACCCTCTCTCATCGTAGATTCTGCGAGTATGTACGTTGACCTGATCACCGGATAATTACCACGTGCGTCCCACGTTCTACGCACGCAATCTTGCTCTTGTGCCTGGTCCCTCCCGTAAAAGAATGAACTCTATCTTTCGCAATTCTTGAAACAATACCCAGGCTCGGGGAGCAGAAGATGCATACGTTTTGCTAAGCCATAATCTCAGGTATAAAGCCCCTGTGTTTCCCGGACTCTATCTTCTCTCTTTTGTCTCTTGTAGTTCCAGCAGAAGTGTCGTTATCATACCGCCTTTCAGCTTATCGACTCAAGAACACCAGTCTACTGTACCAGAATCTTGATTCTCTTACTACATTTCGCCACACTTCAACATGGCTTCTCATAACATCATCACCTTTGGTCTCGAGTACGAGCTGAAGCTCCGTCTCACCAAGAGCCAAATACAGGAAGAGCTTTCGAGCGACTCCATCAGCAAAAACATCCAGGTCGTCACAGACCCAGGTCAAGTCAGACTCATCCATGTCGGACCACAGTACCTGCAAAACAGCTATCTCAACTTCGCTTTTCGCGACAGCCAACCTCGTCCTCAGAGAACAACTCTGGTCAACAAAACCACTGGAGAAGAGTGTGAATACCGCGGCTACTCTACGGAGGCCCTTAAAATCATGCAGAAGCGACTCCAAACCATCCCTGGCTACCAAACAACTAGCATCTACCAAGGAAAAGGGAAGCAATCAGACTTCTCATCAGCACGTCTCAATCTCACTCACGACGAAAGTCTGAACGGCCTCACCAAAACTGCCAAGATTGCCACTGGCCTCTGCACACCTTCCGAAGCAGATACCACCGACTTTGTCGGTACAGAAATTGTCACAGCGCCCCACACATCACCTGAAGAGGCTTGTGACGAGGTGCAAAAGATTTCTGCAGCTCTTCGCAGCGACGGTCTCGACTATCACATCGATGATGAATGTGCTATGCATATTCATGTCGGCAAACAAGACGGCTCGCCCTTCAACATCAAAGCCCTCCAACACCTCGCGTATCTGGTATTGATCTACGAGCATGAATTTGCTCGCTGGTTTTACCCTTCACGACGCGGTAACAATTTCGAGACAAAGTCAAACCGTCTGGAGTTCGCCACCGAGTGCCCATCACCAGAACCTCAACATGCATATCTTTGCGACGAAGCCGGAAACATCACCGAAGGATCTGTCGAAGCAGTATGGAATTATCAACCTCTCTCAGATATCCGTAAGGCTATCTTTGATGATGTTGACTCCGCCGACGATCCATTCAGAGCTTTCGTCAAGTTGATGGGAGACAAAGGTCACATTGTCAACTTCTCATACAGCGCACGAGACATCACCAACAACCAACCGGCAGCAACTGTAGAGTTCCGTCAACACCAGGGGACTCTAAATGGCGACGACGTTCTTCATTGGGCTCGTCACTGTACAGCCCTCGTCGCTCTTGCCCAGAAATATGCCGACAACAACACACAACACCCAATCACCACCTGGGAGGATAACATCGATATTGAACATCTTTGGAGGGAGATGAAGTTGCCTGAATCAACAAGACACTTTTATCGTCAACGTATCCAGGAGTTTGATGAGCGTTGGCCCGACGTTTACCAGACTCCTCTTTGCGAGCCCGACATGGTTTTCGATGACAATGTTGACTTCTCTGGCGAAGAATCTGAGGACTCGGAACCAAGCATGACGGAAGAAGAAGATGTACAGGAGAAGTGTTAGAATTGTTACTTTAAGAGGTGCACTAGCTCGAGGACGACAATTGTACGGAGGACTTTGTGAGCATGTGATTTTCTTGTATCTCTTTTCCCACTGGGCATTGCTTTCGCTAGTGGGTTTTTAACGAGGCAAGATACCGTGCTAGGAGATTGGATTGGATACTCTGTATGTTGCGAGGTTGCATTGTTGGTTGCATATGTAAAGTCCTTACGATGTCCAGGAATTGGTGGTTCCGGATATCAAGAAAAGAAAGCATTTCCTCTCCACTCGTCTTCGTGCCTTCCTTTCTCAAATGTGACGTGTCTCTTTGCTCTGGCTCCACCGGTACAGTCGATAAACAACTATAGTCCTCCCTGACACGACGTAACTGCAGAGAACTTGCACCAAACGAAGAATTAGCATTACTCGTCGTCGAGTACTCGAGTATGGTTGAGGACACAACATGAAGTCGATGATGGCTGGAGTTCTCAGTATTTGGTTAGCGCCGCCATGTCGGCTCCTCCAGCAGGGAGCAAGTTACGGTTATGTGCTTGCGCCATCACCATCCCAAACGCCATGTGGTGCAGAGTGGGAAAACGAGTCAAGACTTTTGTCGATCTCGCTGATCGTGGATCGGAATTCAACAACCGATGCGAGGACAAGGGACGTGACTTGCTCGGTGGAAGTCACTGGCTGCACGGCACAACAGCAGGAGTTACAAGAGACGTATCGCATTGCGCAGATTTGTATAGAAGTCACTTTAAGGGGTAGAGTACTCCAGTAGATAAACTTGTTCGTCAAGATGAGACGGTTACTGTCCTCTCGTGAGAGATCTACTGTCAAAATCTATTGGGCACCATCTCGGTGGTCGGTGTTTGGTGGAGAACAAGTCCTTGCTCGTGTTCAAACTCGAAAGCCCCAGTCACGATCATGACGACACAAGGCTCCCTCACAAGACAGGCGCATGACCAGATTCGCATGCAGCAAGGACAGTAGGACGAGGTGTATTTTCCCAGCCACCTCCCCGCCGTCTTCTGTATGTCCGAACCATGAATGGAGGTGCTTTGTCGCGGTGTTGAGGTGATGCCGAGACTTGTGCACACGCATCGACAGTGGGTCTCCTTTGCACGGTTCCTGAGAGAGGGACCGACTACTTACTCCGCTTTCACATTCTTCCAGGGTTACTCATCGATGGCAATGGTTCGGACCATGGCCAAGTCCACAGTGGGACACCCGGTCCAACTGCGCACCGAAGAAAGAATGACGACCTCACATCCGATGATTGGCTCACCGAGCTCATGGCGACGGCGTTTCCTTTCGCGCGCCTGTTCCTGGCGCTTGCATGAGGCAAAGCAAAGCCAAACGCACAACAACCCTTCTAGCCAGGTCGAAACACACGGGTACCTGATTCTAGAGACAGGTGCCTGGGATAGGCGCATCGTGGCTCCAACCTTTTTTGCGTTCTTCAGGCTCTCGGTGGCCCTTAACCGCATGTCTTTGACCAACTTTCTAACCGTGTCTCCACATCCGAACATCAACCCAGCATGGTCCACCCCTGCGCACCGGACGGGCCGTGACCCACAATCAACCAACACACGGGATTGCCGCCGAGAGAAGTCCAAGTCAACCGCAGAGTCCACAACGCACGGCGGCTGCAGCTGCCAGAAGGTAAATCTTCTTCTTTTTGCACTTTTGGCCGTTCTCATTCGTCGCTACTCGCCCCGTCGTTGACACGTCGTGGATGGTGGGCTCGTACGCCGATTCGACGAGAGAGCGAAGCCATGAAAAACTTTGGGCAAGAGATTCCAGCGTGTGCAGCACGTCCATTATACGCGCGCATGTATATAATGTTGAAGGTCTCTCTCCCAATTGTGCTCTTTCCTGTCATCCATCAGTCTTTACTTTCCTCTCTCTCTCTCAATCACTCTCTTTACGCCAGGTTCCTGTGGAATCGGCAGACACTCCTTACGGTTTCTATACCATCACCTCAGCACCCTTGTATACTCGTTTAGCCAGTTGATCTCGGCATTTCACTCCCTTTGTCTATATCTTTCACCACGAAGAAAAGCATCAGACAACATGCAGTTCTCTGTCTCCACCATTCTGAGCGTTCTCGCTGCCACTGCAGCTGCTCTGCCCACTGAGAAGGTCCTCCAGAAGAGAGGCACTATCTCTGCCACTCCTCACGTTGAGTTCTCCTCCAGCGTTGGCGTTCTCGGATGCAAGATCAATACCAACAGAGTTGCCTACTGGCCTATGAGCGTTGGCTGTGACAACATGTGTGTCAAGGTCAGCCACCAAGGCCGTTCTCTCCACCTTCTCCGCGTCGACCAGTCTGGAGGTGCCTACGACATGAGCTACGATGCATGGAACACTCTTGTCACCGGCAAGAACGCCACAGTTGATCCTACCATGGGCGGCGGTGTCGACATGGAGTACGAGAGCGTCGACATGGACGAATGCTCGCACCTTCTCCACGACTCTGACGGCAAGCTTGCATTCTCCGCTGCCAACAGCATGAACTTCATCGCTTCCTGCATCAGCGAGCCCAACAGCTGGGTCGCCAAGAACTACGGTCTCTGGAACATTCTCAACCCCGTCTGCACCATTGGTGTCGACGAGCAGTGCACCCTGGACTTGAGCGTCAGCAACCAGCCTTCATGCGGAAACAGCATCCTCGGCATCAACACTCCTCTGACAACCCAAAATGTCACCAACATCGCCTACGGCACTGGCGCTCGTGTTGCCGCCGTCTAAGCCATGCCTAGTCGACCGAAATCTTGAAGATCTCACGACTCTTGGAGCACAGTCACCAACAACAACCATTCACTTCCTGTCACTCATTCAACCAACCATTCTTTTCCAATTCTCCTGTCTCGAAGACAGCGGCATTTTTTCTTCCTTTCTTTCAACCAGTTGTGCCCCCTCGAAAGTGCCTGCATGCAGGCCGCGCAATCTTGGAACATTGTTTTGTATTGGGGCTTTTTTTTTCACGGTTTCATGCCGGATTCTTTAAGACACGATTTTGAGATGCTTTATGACTTTTACAAAAGAGAGAGACAGAAAAATTCAAGAACTTCTTACCACATCTTTGGCCATCCTTTGGTCTTTTGTGATTTTCAATCGTCGTCGTGGTTTTGTGAACGCACATCAGTGCACGGGCATAATTATGCAAGCCTTTGACGAGTCAGCATCACTATGCAAACCTCGAAGGCAACTCGATGTCAACAGCTGTTTTCGCATGTGCGAAGCTGTCGTGGCTGCTTGAAGACATGACAAGGTAGGTAGGGCCGACCAACACGACGGCATCCGTGAATTTGTTCTCAGCTGTCTCGAAGCTTACCTTTTGTCATTCTCATTGATTCCAATGCGAGATATCAGTCCCAGCAACGACAACATCACGGTCTCGGTAGCAGATGGTTAGGACGCACAGTAACCAAGAGGACTCTATTTTGCGATCATCAATCGTTCACAATTTCTTGAACGCATCGCAATCCTTAGGAGACCAACTAGGTATAGACCATCAAAGGCTCGAGACGATGGGCTTGGCCCAACGAAGAGATTAGTACCGACAGTGCGACTTGCGAGTTCGTGGACCTACCTCGTCATCCGCTTCCGTCCAGCCATCCCGTTCGATGGGTCTTTGTATACTAACAGTAATCCAAAACTCGAAGGTCATCGCGAAGGCTGAAGCGTACGCAGGGATAAAACTCCAGCCCGCACACTATTTTTGGCTGTAAGAATGTCAGATCCGACATTCGACACTGAGTATCACGTTGCACCATATCCGTCGACATCCAACAGAATCAGCACACCACCATACTCCAACGTCTTCGAAACCCGCTCACGACGGACTTGAATGTCGACTGTTGTTCCTGGTAGCAAAGTAATGCCTGACCAGGCCACGAATATCTTGACACTACGGCCAAACATCGACGGTCGATGATGTACTCCCTTGTTGGTAGAACCAACTGCGACAAGCAACACGCAATACGATTGCGACGACATTCCGTCTTTACTCGAGAGCAATGCTCAGTAGTAGGGTCAAGACTTAGCAGATCCCAGTATATATACCGAAGTAATGGCAGCGCTCTTTCGAAAGCATCAACTCTCAGCCTCAAACCCAACGCATCTCAAGCCACCAGCTTCATCTTCTATACCATCACAAGTTGGAATTAGACACTCGAAGGAAATAAGAACGAAAATGCACTTCTCCACTGCAACCAAGATCCTGGCCCTCGCTGCCGTCATCAGCACCGCCGCAGCAAGATCTACCACCAAATACCGCCGCCAGGCCGCCGACGTATGCATGGTCGACTCCGTGACCAACAACCCCTCCCAAGCCGATGCCAAAGCAGCCATCGACCAGTGGAACATCGACGTCAATACTGTCAACGCCTTCCTCAACAACGCCAGTGCACTTGCCCACGGCATGGAAATTCAAAACGCCACCATGCAAACCCTCCTCTTCGCCCAAGACGAGCCTTGTCAACTCAAGACCTTGATTAGCAACAGCGACTTCGTCGGCGGAGGCACCGATGCCTTTAACTGCGCAGTCATGGACCTGATGACTGTGTTCGACACGCACGTGCTTCAGAATCTGAGGTCTATCATCATGATGCCCAGTGATAGCGATGTGATCACTCATGCTATCAATGACATCAATACCTTCAGGTGCTGCAATGTTTTACCTGATGCGAATATCATCTGGCTGGACTCTGCTACTGACAATGGTATTTCCAACGAGGTCAATTTCACTCCTGCAAAGGAGGATGCTTGCGCCAATATCGATTGCGCTACTGTGTCTACTGCTGCCAACTGTACTTCTCTCAACAATGGAAACAATCCATTGAAGTAGGGGACAAGGATTCGAGGAGGACGGTATATCCACTGTCTTTTCCACCAAGTTACGCGACATGGGCATCGAAGGGGACACTGATGTGTTCTTGTCAACACTCCTTCTAGTGTGGGTATGGAGTCATGGGATAGTCTTTTCATCATCTATCAGTAGCATCATAAAACCAGCCACTCGTTTCCAAGAATCGATCTTTGGGTCTCACCTGCTCCTGATAGTGTTTATTGACTGAGAAGCGATTATCGCAGATGTGTAGTGCTTGCTGTCCAACACTTTTTCTCGGAAAGAAGGTAATATCTCCAAAGGGACAGGCACGAATATGATGGACGCTCCTTCTCAAACCTAGTCTCTATTTTCCACTCCAATGCATGCTCAAGTAAAAAGCAATACTGCCTTGCATGTGTGCAAAAGTCGAATGTTGTTCTGTCTCCGTGATACCACGCTTCCATAGAGTGATTGAAGAGGAACACCGAGATGTCAGTCCATACATGACACGGAGCAAGTCGAAAGCATATTCAAGTGGACATTGTTGTTTTCGTGAATAAAATGCGTCATGAATTCATGTTGTCTATACAAAACATATCCATCTCAAAAGGCGAGATTGTAGCAAAAGCCTTTTCCTATCGGCTTTTTCTTTTTTTTTTATCTCCACAGTCAAATGTACATTTTTATAGCGAGTGGAGCGCTCTCCCAGCATCAAACAAGAGCCCATAAGTTACCGCAAACGAGTATCTCCAGCAGATTCTATGACACCTGGAGTGCATCAAAGATGTCGGCAATCTGGGTTGTGTTGTAGCCAACAGCAAGAGCGCACTGCAGCAAGATTCTAGCCTTCTGAGGGTCGAGGTCACCGCTAGCGATGGACCACTCATCGTCTTCGGGAGAGACGAAGCCGTTCATGGTTCTGGTAGAGAAGACCATAGGAATGCCAGTCTCGTTGTAGACGGCTTGAGCAACCTTCCTGCCTGCTGTGGTCCAGCCGCCGGCACCGGTGCCAGCGAACACGATGGCTTCGGCACCTGAATCGACGGAAGCACGGATGAGTTCTGGGTTGCTGTCTTGGTGGCCGTAGAGGATATCGACGTGAGGCAGAGATGTGAGGTTCAAGGGTGCAAGGTCGAAGAAGGGTTTGCCAGGGGGTGTTGCAGCAGAGTAGTAGAACTGAGGAACCGAGTTCAGGAAGAATCCGAGGTGGCCTTGTTCCATTGCCTTGAATGTCTCCAATGAGTTTGCGTTGTTCTTGACCACGTAGAAGGCGCTGTCGATACGATCGTTAAGTGTCACCATGGTACCGCGACCCTCGGCTTCGGGGGTGACGGCCAGTGTAACAGCCTGGTACAGGTTGAGAGGACCATCGGCAGAGAGGACGGTGGAAGGACGCATAGCACCGACGACCACGACGGGCTTCTTAGATTCAACAGTGAGGTCCAAGAAGAAGGCAGTCTCCTCAAGGGTATCGGTACCATGAGTCACTAGAGCACCGGTCGAGGTGTTCTTGGAGAGTTCGGCTGTGATTTGGCGGTTGAGTTCCAAAAGGATAGTGGCGTTGATATTGCCAGAGTCGACATTGCTGACTTGTACGCCGTTGATATTTGAGACGTTGACCAACTCAGGCACAGCATCGATCAGAGTTTGGATGGCAACAGCTCCGGCAGTGTAGCCGGTTGTTTGGACTCCCGAACCAGCGGAGCCAGCAATAGTACCACCTGTGAAATGTTATGATCGATAATACTATCATGGAGAACCATGGACATACCAGTGGCGAAGATGGTAACATTGCCTAGACTGGCATTGAAACTCGGTGCTGACGCGCGAACCTCGAGTTGTGGGATGGTAGGCAGAGCAGCAGCATGGCTGAGAGAGCCCAACGCAGCAAGAAGGGATAGAGATGTGAACATGCTGTCGAACAGCAGAATATCTTTCTATGAGAACGAGAGTAGAAAGGTGATAGAGCGAGAGAGAGAGAGAGAGAGAGAGGAGAATGAAAGTGTAATGGAGACTGCTTCTGATCAAGGAATCACGACAAACTCGTGGTATATATACCTTTGAGTCTGAGGCTTTTACTGCCAATGATACTAACCGGAAAGCATGCTCGAAGACAGAGACGGTCCACTATCGGAGAAGTTTTTGCACATTGTCGCTCTATCGTACTCGATTGTGACTCGATCGCAGCAAGCAGCTCGGCTTAGCGAGTGAGTCTGGCATGTTCGAGTTTTGGAGGGGTAATAGTTATCGGGCACGGTTTGCGGACGAGATTCTGTTACCCCTTCCAAACTACCAAAGTGGATAGAACGCACGCCTATCACGATACCAGTCGAGTTGGGATCTTGGCTTCGACCCCAGCGGCCTTGGGGTCGACTAGGCACCCCAGATCCCGGGTCGTAGGTGTCGTAAAACAGCGACATCGCTTCCGAAAGCTGCCGATTGTGGACGGTGTGAAGAGTGTTGATAAGGACATATGGAAGGGTTGAGTGGACAAGGAAGGTCAAGGCGTGGTATGGCTGAAGAGCAGAGGTCCAAGACGACCCGCACGACCAATAGCAACTTAGCCGGCCGAGAGATAGGCTTGCATCGCGGGGCCGTGGTGGAGAAAAAGCACAATGTTGGCTGATGATAAGGTGCGATAAAGATTTGAGGCGGATGTGACATTTCCCGAGAGACAGATGCTACCGTGACAGTCCATCGCACTTGCTTCAGTTGTCATTCTAGCTGAAAGATTTGCACGACATGGCCACAACTGCACACATGATGGAGATTGAAAAAAAAAGACGTGAGTTTCATGAGGCGATTCATTGCGGCCTACGGATATATTGAAGCACTGTATGCCAGTGCCAGACAACAATGAATCCATTCCCAAACTTTTGTTGACCGTAGCATCTTCGTGTACATGTCCCGCTTACTTGAGGGGAATGAAACGGGAAGAGTGGGTAGCACCAATACCGGGGCGACCGTGCTTGACGGGCTTGCTGGAGGGCTGTTAGGAGGCTGGTCGTGGTTGACGGCTTAGACGGAGCAACTTACTATGAGATGGAGAATTCACCAAGGTAGTGACCGACCATCTCGGCCTTGACTTCGACCTGGTTGAACTCCTTACCGGAGTAGACACCGACGACGGAACCGATCATCTCGGGGACGATGATCATGTCACGGAGGTGGGTCTTGACGAGGTCGGGCTTCTCGTTGGGCTTGGCCTCCTGCTTTGCCTTGCGGAGCTTCTTGATCAGACCCATGGGCTTGCGCTTGAGACCACGGTTGAAGCGTCTGCGGGCACGGGCGTGGACGACATCGCGGAGCTGCTCGGAGGAGAGGTCGAGGAGCTGGTCAAGGTCGATACCACGGTAGGTGAACTTCTTGAAGGATCTCTTGGCCTTGAGGGCTGTTGCGACGACTCAGTCAGTCCATGTTTCCATCTTCCTGCACCCCTTTCGTGGCCTGTCCACAGGGTTTTGTTCCATTGCGCGGTGTCGCGAAGGGGTGCGGTGCGTTTAGAGTCATCTCATACCGGCAGCCTCCTCGGCGTTCTGTGGAAAAGCAAGTCAGCATTTGTTCGAGAGAGCGGTCTTCTGTAGAGGCGGGCAGACGTACGTATTCAGAGTCGGCCATTGTGTCGTGTGTCGGTGGTCGAAGTTGTCGGACGCAAGCTGATTTCGAAAGGGCGCTGGCAAATTCGAACAAAATCGAGCGAGTGCACTTCGCGTGGGGGTCTGTGCTCCGGTCATGTGACCCTTGTGCTGCGCCGGCGCTGCGTGACAATTTATTCGCATGAGTACCTTGATAACAGCCATTTGTAGATGAAAGCTGCCCAGTCATGCTTTAAAGAAGGGCGTTGGTATTTCACTTGTAGATCGCATGTCTGATTACTATGACTGACGCAGAATTGGTTCAATAATTGCTCTCAGGGTTCAAAACATCATATCACGCGCTCATATTTCACATGCGAACATAAAATCGGAGATGATGTTCATGGAGGAAATGTAATGTTCTCCATTCGGGGCCCTGGCAACAAATAAAGCATTCAGAGTATGGCCGTGCCTTTTGCGGCTGTAGCGTAGAGACCTTTTCCCATGCGCCCGACTGTTCCCACAAACAGATGCACCCTTCCGCGCCAGTTGTTTTCAACAAAGGTTGCGAGACGCTTAGTCGAAGAGACCGAAGCCCATGTCGTCGTCGGACTCCTCCTTCTCCTCGGCCTTCTCCTCGGCGGGAGCGGCCTCGGCGGCAGCACCGGCGGCGGGAGCACCACCAGCAGCGGCGGCACCAGCACCACCGGAGGGAACGGAGGCGAGCTTGGCGGAACCCTCGGAGATCAGCTGGAGATGGTGTTAGTATTGCGCTTGCGGTGAAGAATTTGCCGATCGGCGGGTGTATGCGTACCTCCTGGATGTTCTTGCCAGAGAGCTCAGAGATGAGCTTCTCAAGACGGTCACCCTCGGCGTCAACACCGACGGAGGAGAGGACGGACTTGATGTCCTCGGCAGAGGGCTGCTCGTTGCCGGCGAGGTTGAGGAGGAGGTAGGCTGCGAGGTACTTCATTTTGAGATTTCTGGATGCGCGCAAATCTTCAGTTAGCGGGTGTTCGGCGGGTTGCGATGCGGAAAACGATGGCTGTTGTAGTCGTCGATATTCAGGCAGAAGAGAGAGCAATACTCACGGTGAGGTAACAGAGAATCAATCACTTTTAACCGCGGTGCCGGAGACTGAGACTTTACTGTTCGTTCGTGAGAGTCGAGGATGGCTCAGAGGAGTACGGCGTGCGAAAAAGGAAGCCGCGATGTGGACATGCCAAGCCGTCTTAGCGCAGCTCGCGCACAGACCACTCCAGTGTACGCACGCGGCCTGGCTGGAGTTGACTGGCATATAAGAGTCGGCGACGGTCACACTTCCACTTCACTATCATCTTCCTGTCGCCTCTCGTCCGCCCGCACCACCATCATTCTACGACTCTCCGCCGCTGGCTGTGATCCTCACAGCATGCCTGGATCTGGTCTGACGACAATCTGCTATCGATAAAGACTTCTGTAGCCATGAGCGTGAGTCTCCCGTTTGCACGCCCGGTCGCATGTCGCCCTGCTCAACCTGGCTGACGCGACCATCAGCTCCTCAACTCCATCCTCTCGTCCATCAACGGCGATCAGCCCGCTCCTCGCCGTTCACAACCACTCCCATCTTCTGCTAGATCAAATCCGCCATCGCGCAACTCGACTCCCCAGCAAGCGCCACCCAAAAGGAAAGCCGACGATACCACTAGCGACTTCAAGCCAAAGATTGCGAGAACCGATACCAACACTTCAAGATTTGAACAAAATGCCTCTCTAGCCCCGCCTCCGTCACGCAGCACTACCTCTTCCCCAGCCCAGAGACCTGCCGTCCCGCCACCCAAGGCTGCCATTCCATATCGCGGTAGTGGTCCCTCCGCCAAAGTACAGCCAGCTGTGAAACCTATCTCAACTCAATCTGCACCTCTGCGACCACCTCAAGCTTCGACTACACCGGTAGTGGCCTCTGCTCCTGCCAAAGGCGGTTATCTGGCTGTCTTGGAACGCGCAAAGCAAAATGCCGAAGCAACCAAACTAGCTGGCCAGATCAAACATAAACCTGTCGAGAAGCTCACCAAAAAGGACCGTCAACGTCTTGTCGAAGAAGCTCGTGCTGCGCAAAAGGGCAAACCTCTGCCAAATAAGGATGCAAAGATTGGTCTCAAAGCTAGGGGAAAGAGTGCCGAACCTTTGCTCGACTCAAAGGCTGGTGTACCGATCAAGGACAGGAAGAAGCCTGTCGAGGTAGCATACAAAGGCACAATGCGTCCAAACGCCCCTGCCGCTCCTGTCTACCGTGGTACTATGGGAGGTCCCGGCGGTGCTGCTGCACGCAAACCACTCCCCAAGGCTCCTGCATCCAGCCGGTCTGGCTACGGCGCTGGTCGTCGCTACGCTTCATATTCTGATGAGGAAGAAGAAGATGAAGATGATGAGCCAGAAGACGACTACGAATCAGGCTCCGATATGGAGGCTGGCGTCGACGAGATGTACGAGGAAGAAGAGACATCCGCACGCATTGCGAAACGTGAGGATGCCATAGCTTTGGCCGAGGAGAACGAACTCAAGCGTCAGAAACTCGAACGTAAACGCAAGCTCGAAGCACTCGCTTCCAAGCAGAAAGGGCGCACTTACTAAACAGTCGACACACTCTCGATCTATACATATCTTGCTTGATATTATTCCTCTTTCACAAACTGGTTTGGAGTACACTGGACCCATTGGAGGCGTTTCTATAATTTTTTTGCTTTTGTTCTTTGCGGTCTGGAAGCGAATGGGAATGCATTGGGCCGGACTCTTAGCATATTGCTACGAATTGCATGATATTTCACCAGGGTGTCTGCGGGCACCCATCCCACACATTTCATTCTTCGTTCCTCGTGCCCTGCTTGACTCTGAGAAGCTTGTCACTTCAACAGATCGCTAATGAATAGGGTATCTTCCAAATGCCAACCCGTATCGATCAAATATCAGCTCGTGCTTTGAAGTTGTAAGATCTGCTTACCACAATCTAATCCATCGTGCCAGCTAGAATGATATCGTCTACTCAACGGCTTGCGACTCTGCCACCCCTCCAGGCGTATACATATACACGGGCTGAACATGCGAAATGCAAATAGTCACACTCCGCAACTATGGCCTAGATACTTGACTTGTTACTGTGTGTCCTTATTCATCTGGGTGGATATGGTTTCATCAAGGAAAGCCAGATGTCATCATGTTCATCAAGGCATATTTGCATAAATCGCCATCCATGACCAGTACTAGACACGCTCTCCTCCCGCGACTCATAAAGGCCGTATATAGAAAAGTTTGATTTCTTTGATGTCAAGTTTTGGTATTGGGCTGTCAGAGTTATTCAATACGCCGAAGTCTACTCCGAAGGCGCCGAGCAAAACAGGGCGTCTGCTGAACGGCGCCCTGTCAAAGATCGATTGCTCATCTAACCAATCCCAAATTTTTTCTGTGTAGTCAGAAAGTTTATTGTAGCCTGCAGGAACAATTTCGCCATTCTTGGTACCTGCCTAAAGAAAAAAAGTTATCGTGCTACATCCCTTCGTTACAAATCCATCTTTCCAGAATCCCCTTTCCCGGACAAAGGAAGCGAAACTACCTATTTCTTACGCAGGCGAAGGATTGCGTGATTCGACAACATAACAACGCCCTAGAGTCCAAGGAGAGAATAAGACTTTGTTGAATCTTTCACTTTTCGCCTCCTTCATCTACTTCGACACTCTCGATTCTCTACGAGATCTTTCATACAATCAATATGCAGCCCTCGGAACATGGACAACACGGCTTCGGCACGCTCGCCGTACACGCCGGATCGCCGCATGACCCTACTACTGGTGCTGTGATCGAATCTGTAAGTGATATCTCATAAGTACAAGTCTATCTACATGCACATAGACGATCATCGTCTCTTGAGTTTCGAATAATTCAAGACCGAGTTCATAATGGATATGGAGAGCGATGAGGTCATGTGCGTTAGGAGGACGCCAGGCTGTACAAAGACAGTAGAAATTGGAATATGCCTAACTAACATAATTATCAGATCTCTCTCTCGACAACATATGCTCAAACTGCCGTTGGTCAGCCCGTCGGCGCATACGAGTACACTCGCAGCTCAAACCCCAACCGTGACAACTTCGAGAACTGCATCGCAGCCTTGGAGAAGGCAAAGTACGCTCTGGCATTCAGCTCTGGTTCTGCCACCACAGCCATCATCCTCCAGTCTCTGGCTGCTGGCTCTCACGTTGTCAGTGTATCTGACGTGTACGGCGGAACTCACCGTTACTTCACAAAGGTAGCCAAGGCTCACGGTGTTCATGTCACGTTTACCCCTAGCATCGAGTTGGATGTCGAGGCTTTGATCAAGCCCGAGACCAAGCTCGTTTGGATCGAGACACCTTCAAACCCTACTCTTTCTCTGGTCGACATTTCAGCCGTGGCCGAGATTGCTCACAAGCACGGCATTCTCGTGGTTGTCGACAACACATTCATGAGCCCTTACATCCAGAACCCCCTCGAGCACGGCGCAGATATTGTCGTTCACAGTGTGACCAAGTACATCAACGGCCACAGTGATGTTCTCATGGGTGTCGCAGCCTTCAACAGCGATGACCTCAAGGAGCGTCTCGGATTCCTCCAGAACGCCATCGGTGCCGTTCCTGGCGCCTTTGACTGTTGGCTCGCTCACCGTGGTGTCAAGACCCTGCATCTCCGTGCTCGTGAGGCCAGCCGCAACGGCAAGATGGTCGCAGAAGCATTGGCTGCATCTCCTCTTGTCCGCGCTGTCAACTACCCCGGTCTCGACTCGCATCCCCAGCGCAAGATCGCTCTCAAGCAGCACAGAGATGGTCTTGGTGGTGGCATGCTTTCTTTCCGCATCCAAGGCGGCAAGTCTGCTGCTGAGCGTTTCTGCGCAGCAACCAAGATCTTCACTCTGGCCGAGAGTCTGGGTGGTGTTGAGAGTTTGGTCGAGCTGCCTGCTAGCATGACGCATATGGGCATTCCCAAGGAGCAGAGAGAGGCCGCTGGTGTGTTTGACGATTTGGTCAGAATCAGCTGTGGTGTTGAGGAGGGTGAGGATTTGGTCAAAGATGTCATGGCAGCCCTGAAGAAGGTGTCGGGAGAGACCAACGGTGTCAATGGTAATGGCCACGCTTAGATATAGAGTATCATAGCATCTTTGATTGTACAATTGGGCAGCGAATGTTGAACATATACCCTGTAAATACGAGCAAGACATGGCTGGTTGCTGCAAGAACGACATGTCTTGACTTCCAAACAATCTTGTATGCCTTTGGCAGGAGAGCAAGGTAGTGGGTGCTTACTCGAGACTGGTCGACAAGTCTGAAGCGTGAACGGAGGCAAGAACTCGAAAGCCCAGACGTGCAGATGAGTGGAAGGAAGCAGCGTTTCGGCAGATGGATCCCGCACGCGAGTCCTCGTGTTCGACCTCACTCCTCGGTACCTTCCACGGTACTTGATTCCATTGCTTTTACACTCACGTCTGCTCACATATCGCTCTTGCTCCAATTTCATTCACTGCTATGATGCATGTTGCAAATGCAGGACCTACGAGCGATCGTGTCGCGTGAGCTCTTGACCCTGCAAGGCTCCTACGACCGTTCAGTCGCTGCCTACTTCGCAAGTATGAAACCAACAAACCATCAGGACAGCTGCGTATGTTGAGGCTCAGCATGTCAGAGAACGATGATCACCCGCCGCTCAGGACGGAGACGGCAGTTTCAAGGGTCGGTCGGCAGCGCTTGTCGGCTTGTCGCGTCCGACCTCGCGAACGCCGTCGTCACAATGCCAATCCTTGTTTCGCCGTGGGTCCAGTAATTCAGAATCGATCATCATGTCAAGGCAGGTCACCCAGTAGCTCCTATCTCCTTTTCCTTTCTTGCACCGGTTCAATACCACGTCTACCTAACCTCTCTCCCCTTCAATCACCACAGTCATGGCCAGCCGTCAATTCGTCGACCCAGTTCAACTCCTCCGAATCACTCCTCTCATCGCCGCGACTTTGACCCTCGACCACGCCTTTGACAGCAACCTTTTCCTCTCGGCGCTCAACCAGCCTGAAACACGCTCCAAGAGCAATGCCGCACTCTCCACCTACTTCCCTGTCGTGTCACACGCTGGCTTCTACCGCCGCTTGACTTCAGTCTCTTTGACCTTTGTTGCTTCCGTTGCCAATCTCTACACTCGTGGCAGTCCGGCACGAGCCTGGTACCGTGCTGGAGCTGTATTCGCGGTCGCACATTTCATCTTCTTGCCCTTCATGCTCACGTCCAAGGAAGCCATTCGTACCAACCACCCTGCAAGAGACGCGAATATTGCTTTGGATGAGTGGCTGTGGTTCAACAGACTGAGAGGGATGACTGTTGATCTGGCTGCCTTTGTTACTCTGGGTGTCGCTGTTGTCAAGAGTTTGGGCCATTGAACGTGGTTCTGCGTCAATGCAGACTGGAGGCTGCACATCGCGGTCACTAATAAACAACGTCACGTTTGAGACAGGCATGATAGCTCCGTGCCCACTCGAGCATGCCGGTTCGACTGTGTCTCTACATCGGCCATCTCCACAGCTCTGCTCCGTGTCGACAAGTCAACCGTTGCAGACCGAGGAGGCTTGCTCGATGGCTTGATGTATGCGGACTAAGATGCTAGCGGAGGTCCGATTTCAGACGCATGGAGGAAGGGCAACAGGAAATTGTCGAAGCTTGAGACGCCATGTCTGTGACTAAAAAAGGCATGGACTATGTCCTGAATAAAATGCTATGTAAAATAGTTGGGGTATCATAGTGACGATACACTATCGTCAAAGAAATCAAAAGCAGTCCTGTCCTCCCGCAGCAACAAAAGAAACCACTATATACACTCCGACCCGCCAGCGACGGCGAGCCTGATAGTCCGAGGTGATTCGAGTCTAGTAGCGACCCCAAACCTTAGTGTTGAGACCCATGTTGTTTGTGGGTTTACGCAAAGGTGCCTCATCGCTATCCGAAGTATGCCTCCTCGAGTCAAAGTGCTCGCCTTGACCATCAGTCTTCTGAGATCGCTCAGAAGGTGCACTCTCAACTTCGACTGTGATCTCATTGTGTCTGTGCACAACAAAGCCATTGGCGATGTCCTCTGACTCTTGATCACGGTCGTGATCGTGTCTCTGCTCTTCCTCTTCCATGATGCCAAAGTGGCTGTGCATGGCTTCTGGCGTTTCTGGTCTGACGTGGCCGAGCTCCACGTCTTGAGGTGAGGCGGGAGTTTTTATCACAGAGGCTCTTTTGCTCTGGCTGGTTGTTGTGTTGAAGGTGTAGCCCTTGGCGTTCATGGTGCCGGTTGAGCTCTCTGGGTTGTTGAAGCGAATGGGGCCGTTGTCCTGGCCTCGAGCAACAATGGCGATGAGTTCGGCCATGGAGAGCTCGATTTTGAGTTTGACAATGTATGCTAGAGGGTGGAACTGTGAATAGGTTAGCAGGTATACGTCAAGGTGGAGATTCAAGAGAAATACTGACCATGAGATATACCAGAGGATTCTTCAACGACAGCATGCCAATGATCAAGCAATCCATTGCTAAACTGAGAATGATCATGTAATTATTAAACGTCACAAGCGGCGAGTACTTGACAAGTCCAGGCTTGATAAGTTGCTTTTTCACGATTTTGATGAAGAACCAGTTCAGCCCTGCGTCGACGATGAGAATGATGACCTTTTCGATGCGGTCCTAAGGTAAAGGTACAGTTAGCATGTTTCTTAGGTAAAGGTAGTAAATGCACAGACGAAAGTCAAAAAACCATCTGATGGTTTTTGACCTGTACTATCTGTACCCTTGCCTTACGTACCCAAACGACGTTGAGTTTCTCGTATGTCTCATTCACTCCCAGTTTGGCCGGGATCCAGATGCAGAAAACACTGGCGTTTAGACACAAGACACCGATTGTGACACCGATCTTGAGATGTCTTGCACGCTTGCGGTTTACCATCAAGATTGATACGCGGTTGATGATGATCTGGAAAAGACAATGTACTTGGATCACCCAGAAGGACAGGATGGCGAACAAGGAGTAAACACTGTTCCTGTCAGTCTTGGAACCCGACCAGACCTATGGTAACTTACTTCAGAGGCAATGGGCCCTGCAAGACAAGCCAGCATACAATGCTGAGCCCTAAACTTGATGCGATTTCTGCCCAAACCATCCAGATATATGGATGGTTAAGATGTCCGTTTCGCCGCTTCCACATGTGTCTGGTTTGCTTCATGGCAGTCCATGTCGTCAAGAAGCCAAAGCCAAGTGTGAATCCCCAGGTGATTGATATGATTGACAAGTCCGTTTCGCTAGATACCTGAGCTCTTTTTTCGATGAGATCCCTAACAACCAGGAGAGACGACATGACAGGCAATGTGCAAGCCCTAAAAGTGTAAGGAACGTATATGGTCAGTCGGCAATGAATGAACGACCCAAGCGGCCGGGACTTTCTACGGTTTTGAAATATCCCGGCACTCTCATCCTGGGGGCGACAAGTAAGGTGAGGAAGGACGATCGCTGTGTAGGACGTGCTCGGAGAGTTCGAGCATTGACTCGCATTCCCTACAACACGACTCATTGTGTTGTTGGCTCATACACCTGTGATTTACAAGACCGATTTCAGGTATTGCAACATCATGCTCGCATACGAGAACTCTGATGCATGGTCGTCCCAGGCTTCAGGTTATCGGTTTCCGAATATGCCGGTACTTATATGCAGTCTCCAATTACATCTTACAGGAGTCCGGGAATATCGTCAGGGCCTAAGAGCACGACATCGAAGTTCGAGTAATGACCATGTTGTAAATCTGTAGATTGCTGGATGATGTGCGCCGCATTGCGTGGATATGCAAGGGTATGCTCCAGCACCAGGCCCTTTTTCTGACACTGATGCCAATGACTCGACGGTGCTGCTCACATCTCAGCGTATCAAGTGACTCTTGTTGAAACACTGTGCGGGTGGCTCAACGGGCTGATGCAGGTTCGGAGGCTGTGAACAGAGAGAAGGGAAGATCTCTCCAGGTGATCGTCCGGCCCTAAGCAGATCTGACACGTGCGTCGGAGATCTGTGCTTCTTGCAGCCTCAGCCCTGACCATCTTGTTCCCCATCTTGTTTTTGCGGACCTCCAGCGTCAATCAGCAAGTCTACTGTGTTTCGAACCACTATCCCAGCTCCCTCTTGCCACCTGACTCATCGTCAGCGTCTTTCGTCTTCTCGAGGAGGTTGGCGTCTGAAGGATTCTGAAATCTTTTCGAAGCTACAGTATCGCTACGACTCGCTTTTCGCTGATAAACTTTCAACAAGAAAAAAATACATAGTGACGCCGAGTAAGGACCAGGTCCACCGCCGCGGACATAGAATAAGATAGGGTATGGGCACGGTGAACAGATCTCAATTCCCCCGTTCGGCCCTCTAAAAGTCGTGATTCGCAAGCCTTCTCCCCACAGTCTGCCTAGGTAAGTCATGAATAGAGCATTTACCTGGATTGGCAAGCATCACAAGATTGGTGATCTTGAATCGATAACGCCAAAGAGCACGATGGTGTCCCCACTGCAACCAACACTGGTTACGCTTGACAGTAGATGATCGAGAACTCGAAGCACTAGGATGCTCTTGTTCTACTCGTCGCCATCTACGAGCCTGCATCAAATGACCATCAGTGTTCGTCTACAATGTTCTTTGCCAGCCCCGCATTATTTCTCCCAGCTCGGACCGACTGATTGTGCTTCGGGAACTAGCAATTATCACTACCTCTAAATCTCGTGGCGCCAGTCTGGCTGGTGGGTACGACAACTCAATTGCTCGCTGTCTTGTCTACCTGCTTCCAAAAAAAAAAACACCGGCGCTCGACGGCAAGTCAAGGCCATTGACGGTAACCGCATCTTGAGACGAGAGTCCAAATTACGGTTGACCCTAGCCTTTCCCAGCAAATTCCGCAAGGTTGAGGGTACGAATGCTTTCTCGAGCACGAGAACTTTCTCTGCATGAAAGCAACCAAACATCAGCACCTGAGGGCAGAACCTTTACTGTGGCTCGACTTGACACATTTGGCACAATCATAACTCTTTCCCAAGCTTCGATGCATGCGAACAATAGTTCCATCGACCAGCCACAAGGACCATGGACATAAACTACACCAGCCACCGTTCAGGTCTTTGCAATCTGGATTCGTCCAACTCACCGACCCTGATCGACAAGACTACTTGGATCATTCTAATGGCTCTGCCCAGGACCACTGACTTGACACATGACTCAACGGCTTCACCCAATCTCGGACTTGTCTTCCGACGCAGGTGGTTGGCACATCTGAGAGGAATGTCGCTGAGCATGGCCTTGGCAATCGTGTTCTGTATTCACATGTCACTGGCATCGATTCGTGCGATAGCTTGTCTGTGTGGTTCATCGAGCGGCGTCATCTTACCAGAGACCGAAAGTGTCCCGCAACGAGTTCGGGGCAGCAAGAGATGGTTCCGGCACATTGGTAGTAACAACGATAATGAAATATCCTTAGGATTTCTCCTTCCAGCCTGCAGACTCTTGGTTGACCCCATTCGCAGAGATGGCCTTCGCTGTGGCCACCGCGAACGCGACACCTACTCTCTTCGTCTGAATCTTCGCCTCTGAACCTATCTCGGCCAACTGTTCATCGGACTTGCCATCTGTGTCGCCGTCCCATTCCATTGTGCACACTAGCACACCCTTAATTCTTGGTTCGGGATTGTCGACATCGATGAAGATGCTCTTGTGCAAAGGTCTGCATGAGAGACACGGTCCTTCTCCTCCATGTCTCCTCTCGCCCCTCTGATCGGCAGCCACATAAGCTAGGAATTTCTTCCTAAGCTTGTCTTTCTCTCCAAGGTACATTGATCCAGTCAAAGAATAGATTTCGACATCGGCGTGGCCAAAAGGTGCATCCTCGTGTGCATCATCTAGCATGCCTAGTACAGGCAAAGCATGGCTCCAACCTGTGGAGAAGATAGCGAAGCGCGGTGAGTTGTTCTTCCACGCTCCGGTATCGTCCTTTCGATGCTCCTTGTAATTCTCGTTGATGTTCGGGTCGTTTTGAGGCACACGGACGTCGTGTTCAGCGCACATGTCTCCGAACCATTCATCGCCGAATATGAGGCTGGTGAGACGCGACTCCAGTTCTGTGATAGGCAGATAGATAGATCCTATGTACCATGTGTGGTTGTTTTGGTCGACGTGGATGAGCAGTGCTTCTTGGTCGTTCTTGTTGAATACGAGAATGCCATGAGGATAAATTCTTGACCAGTCATCAGGCTCCGATTGCTCAATCAGCCATCGATCAAGAGAATCGAAGTGGTGCTCAATGCAGTCTTGGACACTTGCAAAGGGTGTCAAGATAGGCTGGAGGAACTCATGGTAGTCTTCCACCTGTCCCTCACCCAATACATCGATTGCATACGATCTCGTGAGAGAATCGCAAATTGGACCAAGTAATGCGGTCGACAGCTCCGACGAAGAGAGAAAGTACACTGGCACTCGAGACCAATCGTCGCAGCGTATGTTGTTGAGCACGCCAATTGCGATCGGAGGTAGATGAACCGGTGGGCCTGAGGTCATGACTGATAGATGTGGTACGTCGTGTCAGCACGAGCAGAACGACTTGATGTAGATGTCCAAAACTGTTGAAGCAGGAGATCTGTATCGCGCGTCATAGTGAAATGTTGGTGCTGTTGCCTGAGTCGCGAAGGAGACGAAGGATTTGGACGTGGTTGATACGCGACGGCGTCGGAGTTCTTTGCGGTATCCACATGTGAGCAGGGTCGTCCCCCAGACATGGCTTCTGGGAGATAAATTTGATTCGACACTGCCCTCAGTACTGTATATCATGATTCTGATCCATCTGTATATCATATTGACACTTCTTATCCTTGGTATCGACGGAAGGGAGCGCTGGCTCAAATGATTGTGCATGCATCCCGTATTTCCAAGAATGCCAATGCAAAGCCAATAATTCAGAGATCAACCACAGCGTTTGACCAGTTCACATTGGACTCAACACGCACAAAGATTGTAGCGATATAGTCTGGAGGTTCATTTCATTTCGTAATACATGCTAGGAGGACCTTTGGTGTCGACTCTTCAGGCATCAAGCCATGTCTTCCATCAAGTCAACGTCACTCCCAGTTGAAGGGTAGGTCCCACAAGACAGACGCCAGCGATGTCCCATGCCCAATTCGTACATTCTATCACCCCTTACCCCTACTTGGTCATTCCCTCATCACTTCCCTCGGAAGAGGTAGTAGTTTCAGCCTCACTGGGAGCGGACTCCATTGACATGGTCTTTTCCAGGGCGTAGTCGCTTGCTGTGGCACCATGAACATTCTCTTTGAACATGGGCTCAGCCTCGACGACTTCGAACTTGGAAGTCATAGCATCAAGGAGCTGAGCGGATGCATTGCTGCGGCGACGAGGCTTGCTGGGGCGGTAGAAGTCGTCCATGTCCTCGAGCTCTTCTCCGTGGCGGCCCCTGAGGACATGAGTAAGGACTCTGATGGGAATAACTTGAGAATACTCACCAGTTGCCTTTGCCGTTGCCAGACTTCTTAACTCTATTGGGATCGTTGTTGGCATTGAAGCCGGATTTGGCAAAGTAACGGGGAAGGTGTTCTTCAGGGAGAGCAGTGCCATTGGCGAGGCCAACGTGGTCACGGTCATTGAGCTTGTGAGAACGGGTCACTACGGGCAGAAGTCGTCAACATCTGAAAGAGGTCGCGTGCAATGCCAAAGACTTCGAGCCAGATAGTGAATGCGGTCCGACAAAGCAGGACTTACTGGTTGTAAACAGGGATGTTTGACGAGTCTGAGGATGTGTGGAGATGGATTGGTTGGTGACTGAAGTGATACAGATGTTTGTTGTGGTACCTGAGATCAGGCAGGTGGAAAGAGGAAGGAGAGAAGCTGAGGTTGGATGCAAGCAAAGCTTAATATAAGGGACCGAAGAGCTGTACAGTTACAATGCTCGCGTGACAGCTCTCCTCGGAGCCGCGAAGCTTCTTGTCGTTAAAAGGGTCAACAACTGCCGACCAAGATCATTTTGAACCACATCGGTGTTACACGACTATCGAGACCTCTGCAAGGTCAATGATATTCTCTTGTCTTGTGGATCCGCTGCCTCCTGAACTGTGAGTGTTTCTAGACGATTCCGCCTGTGAGGCCCGAGAAAGAGCGATACTCACGCCATCACGATACTTGATGGTGAGCAATGCAGATCGGGTGCGGGGATCAAAGGAGCTATGGCCGAATACTTGTGCAAGTCACAGAGATTGTACATGCATTCCTTCAGCTCGTGAAACTGGTGGACAGATATGTTTCAACAACGATAGAGAGCCCAAGTTCGACGTGAGTCTTGTTGCCCCTCATCTCATATCACAACGCAGTGCCGGACAGAGTATCATCTTCGTGTCAGTGTCTCGTGCTGTCTTCCCACATCGTCACCAGACCCATGAACGTTGCGTGGGCCCGTGCGGTTGACCCCAGATCTGCGGGGGAAGCGTGGGAATATTGATAGTTTATGAAACAGCTGTATAACTCTCCGGCATAACATGTTTGTGAGTCGTGTGTCGCTGTCAGTAGGCGTCGCACGCGGATGATCCGAGCAAAGCACTCGTCCTGGGCCATTGCATTTGCATGGTTGGTTATGTTAGTCGACTCAGACATTGAAACATTGAGACATTGGGCAGGAGGGAAAACATGGCACAATATAATGCCACGGATGTCGGTAATGCCATGGTCTGAAGACGCGATTCGCAGAAGCCAATTGGAATGCGAAGAGCTCTCCTCCTGTCCGAAGCACGCGTGGCATGAGCAGAGTCAAGTTGTTGCTCAAGTGCATCAGCTAGACAATAGACAGAGGAGAGCAGATTTGGAAAAGTGAAAGTGGAATCTGCAGAAGGCGCGCTCCAGGCGTTGGTCGCGGCCAAGCTCGCAGCTCTTCCCGAACCATCATCATCAAAACACGTCAAGATTTATTTCATCCATATCCAACCAACCTTCCACTCATTCATAACGGCCGGCCATGTCCATGACGACGACGACAGACGGCGGCGACAGCATGCGCCGCAGCGCTGTGCGCAATCCCAAGCGACGACCTCGAATCACCGAAGGCTCAAACAGCCCGAACGGTCGCCAGCCCAAGAGGAGCAAATTGAACAAACACGTCGATGCACCACAAACCCTCGACACGACCGAGTCTCTTCGCAGTGGTCTTAGTGCGCTCGCTGTCCAGACCTCGGCCTCGTTCTCGCGCACAGGGGACGCCGGAACGCGCCACAAGAGACCGCTAAAGCACGACAACAGCACTCTCTTGGTAATCCGTCCTAACATTGACTCGGTCGGAATCAATTGCTGACCGCAAGACAGGCGCAAACAGACCAATACAGCGTGCGCCATCTTCCCAGCACACCAGACATTCTGCGCAACAGCGCCAGCGGTACACATCATTCGTCCAACCACCCACCCTCCATCTTGTCTGACCACAACTCAGACTATCGTGCCTCCATCCTCTCATCACCGACCCTCGCTCTAGCTGTCACCCGTGAACGCGCATACATCTGGGACTACACTTCGCCGACCCCTGTGGCCCACCCCAAGACATTTGATGTGCCTCGACCAGCTCGTTCTACCGATCCCCTCCCACTTGCCGCCCTTGTCACATCTCCCACGCGAGACGTCGGCCTGTTAGTGATATCTGCTGTCACCGGCAATGTCACATACTGGCAAAACATCAACACAGCCGAGTCATTGACTCTGTTCAATCAACAAAACACAGCTGTCAGTGGAAATATTGGTTCTCTTTCTAGTGGAGAATCTGTCATTCGCCTCGACTCGGCCGATCATGCTGGATTCATAGTCACCCTGAGCTCTGGCCGTATTGCTCAGATGAGCTTAATCGACGACCAAGGAAAACCGAAGATCTCAGCACATTTCTTACGCTCAACCGAGGCAGCCAATAGTGGTGGTCTGTTTGGCAGTCTCAAGAACGTCCTTGGTGTTGGTCCGTGGAAACGTGATATCGTCTCGGTTCGCACTCGCCCGCTCCCTGCTAGACGCGAGATCCAGGCAGTCGCCGCTACCGAGACTGGCCAAGTCTACACCTGGCACCTCGCTTGGTCTGGTCAGCCCACGTTCAGAGGGGCTTTCGATTTCCGTCAGTTTTTGCAAAACGAGTTGGCTATGTCCTTGGGCGAGAATAACATCAGTCTGCTCGACATGGTCATTACTCCTGCTTGTTCGGCTGCAGATGCCAAGCTGCAGATGATTCTGTTTGTTCAGGCTGGCCCTGCCTCATCTCCATCGTACGCCATGGCTCAAGTGACGATGGAGAGCGAAGATGGCGCTCGTCTAGATGGCATCATCCGAATCAACACCGTGTCGCCTGACTCACCCGCCACGTCACGTCCACGACTGCTCTTGCCCAATCCTGGACACACTGCTTTCATTGTCTTCGAACACGAGGTTATAGTCGCTTCTCTCAAGGGTTCCTTCCAAGATGCTATTCGACTACGCGCGGATAAGCACGTCACAATAGAAGGGGCTTGCGAGGAAGATCTAATCGACTCAAAAGGCACCTCTTCGTGTGCTGTATTCATCAAGGGCCATGGCCTCGCTCGTATATCTGCCACACCGACGGACGCAGCCCACCCCTCGACAAAGACGAAAATCGAGCAGGCCATCTTCTACGGAACCATGTCTGACAATGTCCTTGACTTTTCGCGCAGACCACACGATCGCTACGACATAGAAGAGACTGAAGCAGCTGCACTATCCATTAGTGGTGAGATTCTGCGCTCAACTTCGCACTTCATTCCACCTCTTACCTCATCTATGGAGGCACATCTTCAGAATCGCATCAAAGCCATCCGTGCTTTGATCCTCCACCTCCGCAGCGACTATCCTCCTGTATCAAGGCCGACATCATGGAAGCTTCTGCTCGATGCAGAGAAGCTAGCCGCCGCTCAAGCCATCTGGGTAGCCTGTGAGGAGCGCTCGTCCAAGTCCACTCTGCTACCTCTCGTTGTTCAGGCTTATTACAGATTGCAATTCAAGCAGCGGTCTGTCGACGCCAGCGCTGACCCAATGAGATCTTGGTTCGTTGACGAAGTCGCCAACATCGACAAACTGCGTAATCTCGTTCTGTTATTGATCAACAACGTCCACGAGGATGGCAAGTCCAAGAACATAATGCAGCTCATCAGCGAAGCCAACGACATTCTCTTCAGTCTCTACGACGCCGTGTTCAGTTTCCGCACCGACAACGCCGAGGTCTATGGTATGGATCTGACTTTGTTCAGCGACGGCGTATTGGAAGAAGGCTACGAGGAACTCACAGAACCGTGGACTTCGCAGTTCGATGTACTCAAGTCGGTGAACAGATTCATCGACATCTCTCGCGAACATGCGGTCAAATCCTTTGGCGAGGACGCCAGGACTTCGGATGTGGCGACTGTTGACAAAGTCGTCAGCGAGAATGTTCGTATGGTCAATGTGCTTTGCCTCTGCTACAGAGAGCGCATCGCTTACACCAGAGTGCACAATGAAGAGAACAGCCCTAGCTATTCCATCAGCCTCGGAAAGATTTTTGAACAGGCTCGGGCACACCACTTGCGCTCTCTTAACAAGATCGGCGAGTCTGCTGCTGGTATCAGTATCGCTGAGAAGTACGGAGACATGCAAACGCTGGTGCAGCTGGTCATCGAGGAATCTCAGTTCATGTCCAACATCTTGAACGATCCTGGCACTGTTTCTCAAGATAGGACTGAGACGCGAGCCAACATGGACAAATTGCAAAGCAGGGTAGAAGGTTACTTCAAGACGTTCGGTGAGCAGTGGGCAAATGCTTTCTTCGACAACCACCTTTCAAGCCATCGCAGCTACGGGTTATTAAAGGAAGCGGAAGACTTTAGAGAGCCTCTAACACGCTATCTCAGAGCTGAGAAGGTTCGAGGTCGGTTGTCCTGGATCAACGATGTACTCCGTGAGAACGACTTCCAGGAGGCCTCGACGACCTTGACAACCTTGGCGGAAGAGAAAGAGATCAAATTCTGGAACAAGAAAATCGAGCTCTCGCTCGCAAAGCTGACATCAATGGCCGCCACGGAGGGACAGAGCGGCAAAGGAAACCTGGAACGACTCGATGGTGACCTGACGGTGGTCAACACACAAGAAGCCATCAAACAGCACCTGCAATACATTCTGTATGCCGCAGTCGATATCGAGGCAGAGGTCCAAATAGCATGCGATACGTATGCGGCATACCTCCAGCTCAAGACTCCAGCACTGTATGGCCTGCTCGAAGCGTCATTTATGCATATGCTTAGGAATGAAGCTTTGTCAGTGGAGGAGCTGATTGACATTTTGACTCTCATGGACACGAAGGAAAGCGAAGATTCCGAGGTCAACATCGTGGGCAAGCAGTTCCTGATGGCGTTGCAAGTGCTAGAAGCTGGCAAGAGCAGAATGGAGGAAGCTCGATTCGAGACAAACCTCCGTATGATCTGGAAAAGATGCTACCTGCAAGACGACTGGGAATTCATCAACAACACGAAGAAGCGAACGGACAAGCTGATCTCGAGGCACATCAGAGATACATTTGCGTGCCAAACCATGATGCGTGGGCTAGAATTCTGTAAGTCTGAGAGAATCCAAGACAAGTCTCGGGCTGACAGTTTTGAAATAGCATTGTTCCACCCAGGCTCAGGCATCCGCATGATGGCACCCAGCGAGACACTGGGGGCAGGATGCACGGCAGGAGAGCTACAAAGCAGGTTCCCCGGCGAAGAGCTTCGTGACCCGATCATGCATGACAATCTGATCCAAGACAGGCAGTTGCAGGAGCTGATCGGAAAATGTAATGCTGATCGTTGGCATGCTGTGTGCGTAGAAGAAGCCAAGAAGAAGCTGGAGGAGGAAGTAGCGGCGAGTGTACAGGAAGAGGCAGCTGCGCAGCAACTGAAACAGACGTTGGAGGAAGCGGAGAAGGACGGTGCCGAGACGAAGGCGGACACGGACGCACAAATGGAGGGAGGCGAGTCAGAGCAGCAGACTGCAGATGACGGCGATGTAGAAATGGCGTAGTTTCTGTCTAGTCAAATGATAAGGCATGACCCAGCATAAGGTATCAAAGCAGGCAGGAGTTTTGGGAATTGGACGAGTTGATAGGAGCACAAGCGAAATTTGAGACGGGAAGTCTAGAGGGATGGTGCGGCAAACAGATAGATTGGGCGCGTTGCGAGCGTCGTATGCGACTTCGCCGTGACGAGATATGGGAGGCACAAACAGTGAGAGCAGCAGGAGTGATATTTGATCTGGACCTGCGTGCTGTTCGAGCTGTCAAGCAAGGGATGGGCGATGGTGGAGTGGAAGAGTGGGTGGTTCCTTCGTGTGTTAAGGTCTAGGCTTCCGGCGCTTGCATGTCTAGGTCGCGGCTAGTGCAAAGTTACAGGGCGCGGGCGACTCAGCCGAAGTCTTGCCAGGAGTGGCAGGACTCAAGGCCCGACAACAACACCCTTGACCTACCTTGGAGGCCTATTGATTGATTGCATTATCCATCCACACCGCATCCCCTCGCTCTGCCCGTCCGTGAGCCCTCTCTCCAAGGTCCGGTGCGCCTGTCCTCTGTTGTTACTGTCGCTGTCACCCACCCGTGTCGACCGAGTCCTGCCTGCCCGTTCCGTCGTCGTTGAAGGCTGTTGTCTCTCACCCCCGTGCCCCGTCGAACACCCAACCTCCCTCTTTTACAAAGCCTCAATCAACTCCCCGATCGACAAAACCTCCGTCGGCGTCCTTTGCGCCCGCACACGCCGCCTGCAAATATTTCTCCAGCTCCCAATCGACACGTTCACCTTCCGGCTGCCATCACCGCGAGCTCTTCCGCGACTTGACACGCCCGACACGTCCGTGACAAGACAAACAACATGTCGTCTTCATCATCCAACGTCGTCGGCGTGCATTACCGCGTCGGCAAGAAGATCGGCGAGGGTTCTTTCGGTGTCATCTTCGAGGGCACCAATCTGTTGAACAACACCCAGGTCGCCATTAAATTCGTGCGTCTCCATAACAACATGTTCCCCCTCCACCGACTAGTCCTGACCCCAATAGGAACCGCGTAAGAGCGATGCTCCCCAGCTTCGTGACGAGTACCGCACATACAAGATCCTTGTAGGATGCCGTGAGTCTTGATCCTGCTGATAGCCACTCTTTGCTCCTTTCTAACTCGTGTGTGCAGCTGGTATCCCTAACGTTTACTACTTCGGTCAGGAGGGCCTGCACAACATCCTCGTCATCGACCTGCTGGGTCCCTCTCTCGAAGACCTGTTCGATCACTGCAACCGTCGCTTCTCTACCAAGACTGTCGTCATGGTCGCCAAGCAGATGCTGTCGCGCGTGCAGACCATCCACGAGAAGAACCTGATCTACCGTGACATCAAGCCCGACAACTTCCTCATCGGCCGCCCCGGCACCAAAGCTGCCAACGTTATCCACGTCGTCGACTTCGGCATGGCCAAGCAATACCGTGACCCAAAGACAAAGCAACACATTCCCTACCGTGAGCGCAAGTCGCTCAGCGGAACCGCCCGTTACATGTCCATCAACACCCACTTGGGTCGCGAACAGAGTCGTAGAGACGATCTTGAGGCTCTGGGCCACGTCTTTATGTACTTCCTCCGTGGCGGTCTGCCTTGGCAGGGTCTGAAGGCTGCTACCAACAAGCAAAAATACGAGAAGATTGGCGAGAAGAAACAGACGACCGCTATTAAGGATCTTTGCGAGGGCTTCCCTGGTAAGCAGCGAACGACATGTCATCATCTTACTGTTGCTAACACGTTTCACAGAGGAGTTCAACAAGTATCTGTCGTACGTCCGTAACCTTGGCTTCGAGGACACACCCGATTACGACTACCTGCGCGATCTGTTTACTCAGGCACTCAAGAATAGCGGCGAGGTCGAGGACGGCGAGTACGACTGGATGAAGCTCAACAATGGTAAGGGCTGGGAGGCTATGAAGCAACACCCCAGTCAAGCACACCTGCATGCCCACCACAACAACGTCGCCAACACGTCCGCTCGCGATGTCCATGCCAACCGTGCCAGCAAAACTCCTATTCCACCAGGCCGTCTCGAACAGGAGCTCCCCAAGCCCGGCGCCGTCAGATCTCCGGCTCAAGCACAGCGCCAGTCCGGCACCAACCGCCACTACAGCCAAGATTACGCCCAGAAGAGAACCAGCCAAGGTGGTGACCTTGCTCCGCCAGAGGGGTCTACTGCTGCCCAATTCGCCAACAGCTCTGGTAACCTCCCTGGCCGTCTGCAAAACACCCAACCCGGCAGGCAAAGTACCACTCAACCCTCGGCTCAGGCACAGCGTGTTCAGCAACAACAACAACAGCCCGAGCAGAAGCCTTCAGGAATGTCAAAGTTCTTCAAGGTTCTGTGCTGCGGCTAGACGCCCAAACCCTCCGATTGATGCTTCATGTCATCTCGTCAATCCTCCTCCTTATCATCCAACACTCTCCTCCCCCAACTTCTCTTCTGTGTCTTTCGTCTCTCTACTCTCTCTGCCGCCTCTACGAATTCTACGCAGCGCTACGGGAAAGTCAAAAGAAGAGAAAGGACACTGGACAAGGATTGTCTGCACTACTCTGTCTGATTGCTATGCTCGGACGTCAAGGCTGCAGAAATAACCTTCCTTGTGTCTCTTTGCTTTACTGTTATACATTCCATACATAATACTTACACCGACCCGGGGACCTTTTTGAGCAACAAAAAATTGGGAACGTCTTTCTTCAGGGAGGGGCGCTTTCGCTCTTGTTTTCGATACTTTTGTTTTTATCAAAAAAAGAAAAGCTTGCATCCTTGCGCATTTCTTCTTCGTTTTATTGTTCGCATCCCCCAGCCGCTCACTCCCCTTTCGACCATTTTCAGCATATGCCTCCAACATTACTATTCTCAACTCTGAACGAACAGATTGGGTGGGACATGCGTGGAAGCGAAACGAAGTCGACTTTGGGTCTGAGCATCGCAGGAGTTCAAAAAACAAACCGGTTTCAACCAGTGTTAAGGAGCGGAGGAAGCGGAGGAGAAATGTAGGAAAGAACGGACAGTTTGTGTTTAGGAAATGGATCTCTATTCCCTTTTTTTGTTTTTTTTTCTTCTTGTTCGGGATGTTTTTTTTTTTTGAAGGCAAGCATTGTTTTTCCGATCCAGCTCTTTCCTTGTCGTCGTCGTCGTTGTTGTTGTTTGTTTTTCTCGGATGTGTTCTTCTTGCTACCAAAGGCAGGCGTTGGTGTAAAGAAAGGGAAAGCGATTCTTCTTTTTTTTTTCCTCTCTCTCTTTTGCTACGTTATTGTTTGCATAACTTGATCTCTTTTGTTGCTATCACTTGCTTCCTCTGTCTGGTTTTCTCCTCTGTTTGTTGTAGCGTAAAATCCTTTTTCCTCTGTATATAAGAAAAAAAAAACACCCCCTTTTCAAGTCTTTTGGTTTCGTGGTTACTGGTGCCTCTCCGCAGTGTGAACAGAACGAATTGCTTGATTGACCTTTGCAATTCCTTTGGCAAAGATCTCGCGGGGTTGTCCCTTTCTGTAGCTTGTGCCATCCATGTCCATGTCCATGTCGCAGTTGAGTTGTTGGTTCATCTTTTGTTTGATGAACCGATACTCGGCTAGCATGATTGTATTTGACTACCGTTTACATCTGTTTTGCGAGGGAAGCACATAGAAAAGGAAATCACGTATAGAAGTAAAGCAGAAGACGTCGAGTCTATCGAGAAAGGAAGGTGCGACTGATCGTAAGAGTGAATATCGAACTGTTGATTAAACATGTTTTGCTGTTGAAAAGCTTGCAATAGCTGTATATCAGGTACGCACGCTCTTGCCCGATTGGCTCATCATCTCGGGTCCCATTACAACTGCTCAAGCAAGCGGTGTTCTCCTTCGTGAGAATAAAGCGATGCTTTGTAACCCATATCGCCGTCAACGCCTGATCGAACAGAACCAATCCCTTCTTACCACAAAGCACCATCGTTGTCGAAACGAACAAGCTCCTTACCAGAGTCCTCAACATCCTTCTTAGCCTTCATGCGCATGTAGAAGATGGGACAATCTCTGCTGGAGCAAATGACCTCGTTGTGCATACTGCCTTGACACCTCTGACACTGCGTCCAGAGACGAGCAAAGCGGACTTCGAGTTCGGCAACTTTGCTCAGAGTCTTTTGATACAGCTCGCCGAGACGATCACGGTCGTTCTCGCAAACAGCGCCGTGCATCTCGTTCTTGCCGGTCAAGGGTTTCTTGCAGCCCATACATGTCTCGGTCTTCTTGGCAAACTTCATCAAGCCACCCATGGTTGGAGCAGCAACACTGATCGATCGGGTGTGCTCGCCGGTGAGAAGTTGGCCCGCCTTCTTCTCACCTAGAATGGGCTCGAAGATACGACCGAGAGGCTTGGCGAGCTGGTTGTCGAGGTAGTATCTGGTATCGATGGGCAAGTTGTTCTCCAAAACGAAGATGGGATCCTCGGACTTTTCGTAGTTCTTCGCGCCAGCAGCACCCTTGACCATGACATATGCGACACGATCACCAAGCGCGGGAGCAGAACCAGCGTCGCGCTTCTTCATGCGCTCGGCGAGCTCGACGTGAGCCTGTTTGGCAGCATAGTCGTTTTTAGTCAACGCTTTGGTGATTACCAAGTTGGACATGTCTACTTTGTTCTGCAACAGTTCGGCGATGGTTTCCTTGACGAAACTGTGGAGTGTTAGCAGAGAACCGGATTAGTAATGCTCGGTAATGACTTACTCTTGGGCACCTTGGACATCGCGGTCGATCAGCAGCATACGCAAACTAGTCTCGATGACTGTTTGTACGAGGCGACAGTTGTCTCTGCGAACGGTCTCGATACCTTTGCTGTCCATCTTGTCCCACTTGTTGGGATTTGTCCAGTACAAACCGGCGTAACGCTTCTTGTTGATCAGAAGATATGGGAAGTAGACCTTCTCGAATTCCAGCTTAATAGGCTTGATGAATCTGGAGGAGACATAGGTTGCCGCTTCTTCGCCCAACTCCATGGCTTTTGCAAGATCGGTGGGACCAAACTTGACCATGACCGAATCGGTATCACCGTAGATGACCTCGGCATCATGACTGTAGCCGTTGGCGATGGTGTATCGTTTCTGAACCTCATCTCTGGTCTTTTCAATCATCTCACGACCATAAGAAGTCGTACTTGAAGCGATGGCCAGACAGGGTAGTTTTCCAACTGTAGCACCCGTGATACCGTAGACACTGTTTGCACTGATCTTCAAGGCCAGTTGTCTACCATTCAAGACAGCTTTCTTGAATGGATCTTTCTCAACAGCCAACTCTTTTCTGGCTCGCTTTCTGGCACCCAGCAATTCTTCTAAAATCTGTGTGAGAAGACCCTTGCGCACCTTGGCTGTGCAGAACATATCGCCATTTGGTGTGACAATGTAGTCTTCGTCTTTCTTGAAATTCAACTTGTCGACGGCGTTCTTGTTCAGTAATGTTGTGTAGCACAGATTGTGGGCCTGCATGATACTTGGATACAGTGAAGCGAAATCGAGGGTGGCGATGGGCACATCGTAATAGCCTCTGGTAGGTTCAATGACTGTAGCACCTTCGTACTGTTCTTCTGTTCCTTCGCTGCGAAGGTTGGGAATGACAAGTTGCTGCTCCAAAGCTTTTCGGAAAAGTTGACTGATGAACTTCACTTGCTGGCCACGCGAGAGAAGGTAGTTGAACGGCACACCTGTGACTCTGGCCATCTCCGTGTAGTTGACGAGACACATGAGTTTTTCCATGAGACGTTGTGGAAGATAGGCATCCTTCAAACAATAAACTGCCAGTCTCCGTCGTGACTCTGGAGTGCCGTTGAAGAGCTCAGTGATCATGGTGTGATGTACGTCTTCCTTCTGCTCGTTCAGAAAGTGTGCACACACCGAGTTCAATGTGTAACTTCTGAGTTGATGGTCTCTCTGGATTAGTTGAAGAAGATCGAGCTGCAGACGGCCGTTGGTGTTGGTCGCCTTGGTGTCTCTGTTACCCATCTGCTTGCTGGAGAAGTTGGTGTCTTTGGCGACAGACTGCACATTTCGCAGCCTAGACCAGAATGGGAACTTTCCGACCTTGAGGTGCTTCGCTCTGTCCAGTAAATATGGGAAATCGAAATTCGAGATATTGTAACCAATGATGACATCTGGATCTACCTTCTCCAGGAAGTCTCGCCAGGCCATCAACATCTTGTCTTCGTCTGCGAACTCGAAGATTTGAGTGTTGACAATTAGACTGCATGTATCTAAGCAGAAGACATTGCGCACGAATGGCTTTTCTTCACCATATCTTGTGACGACGTTCGCGATCTGGATGACGGGATCCACATTGGCCTCTGGGAAGATACCCTTGCGACCAGCGCACTCGATATCGAACGACAGAGTTCTGAGAGGAGCCATCTTGGCCCAATCGCCTTCGGCAGGGTGGGCAATGAGATCTCTGTAGTGGCAGAAGGCTTCAATCTGGCAGTTAGAGTGCCTGTCGCGCGCGGGTATCAAGGTGTATTTGGATGCTGGAGTTTCGACCCAGGACATTCCCGAGACCTGGTTTTGTCAGTGATGGAAGCTTGCAGGTATATGGATGGGCAGACGTACCTTGGTATCAATCATGAAGCGAAGTACATATTGAATACTGTCAAAGGTAAGGACTCCGCCCTCGGCACCTCTCCAGAAGCCTTTGTAGTTGGCACTTCCACTCTCGATGGACGTCCTGAGCTTGTTGATGAACTTGGGATCGGTGACGGTGATTTTGAGGTATGCGCTTTTCTGGTTGCCTTGGAAGCCGTACAAGTTCTCGCGCATAACCATCTGGACTGAGTAGATGGCAGGTTGGTGCTGGGCGAGGTGGGTCTCGAGGTAAGCTTTGTAGGACTCGCAGTCAGCCGGTGCGAAGGAGTTAGGGGCAGCTACGTAAAGATAGTGCATGAAGTCGGTGACGTGTAGGAGGACTGAGTGGCCTTTCTCAGTGACACCAAACAGCTTGACACATGTCTTTCCTCCATGGAGGGTGCCTTCCTCAGCATCGATCTGCTGGAAACACAAGCTGTCCCTCATTTCGTCAAAGTCGTCCAGACTCGGTCGGGCCCATTGTTGGTCTTTCTCGGCATTGTGTTGCTTGAGGTCATCAAGATCTTGTGTCAACTTCTCGAGGACCTCCTCTTCAAACTGGCTCTTGACCTGACTGGAGCCGGGGCCGCCTGGTGTCTTGAAGTTCTTGGATTGGCCATTGAGCTTCCTGCGCTTCGAAGGGCTGTCGGTTTGGATATTCTGGCGAGACGATGGTGCATCGACAAGCACACGCTTGCTTGGCTGGACGTCTTTCACTTTCGCGGCAGGCATGTTGTTGGTTATGACTGTCGTTGTGGTGGATGGGCAGGCAAATCATGGCAGAGCGACGCGTGACGGACAACCTCCCCGCGTTCGATCAGGAAGTCGCGTTTGATCAATCTCCGCCCGATTGGGCTGATGCTGACCGATGCTGAAGTTTCCTTGATCACACCGCGCTTCACTCCAATTCCTTTTGTTTCAGACATACTGACATACATATCCTTGTCGTAAAACACTTGTGTCGATAATTCAAGTCATCCGTTTGTGCTCATGCTAAAGCTCTAGACACCGATCTAATAAAAAGAAAAAAGAACCATCACAAAAGAAATCTATCATTATTAAAGCAAGCCTGTGTCTTCTATCGCCAAGCCTACTCGACAACTCCGCTACCCTCCTCCTCACACGCTCAATCGCTGGTATGTATTTTGAGCCACGAGCTTCTCTTCCTCTGTTTGCTCAAAGGAGCGACGGTTCTTCAGCTTCTTGACAGCTCTGAGGAGTCTGCCGGGATGTACAATGACGAATGCCCACATCAGGCCCGCCATCAATGCCGAGTCGAAGATGTAGAGATATACCTCTGAATGTCCAGTCGGACCATCTGGGCCCTCGATGTATTCGGCGACGCGGAAGATATTCCTGACAAGTACCAGAACACTTGTCGCGTATAGAATGCGTAAATGCCTGATCCAATGCACGGTGTGGTGAACCGAGATGGCAGTCGGACGGGCATTTATACGTCGGTGAAAGACAAGAGCCACAATGAGGAAATACGCGAAGATGACCAGCTGGAGAACCAAGCCGATGATCGTAACCGTACGCCCAGTCTTCTGCATGGACAACGAGGTTGTACATTGCATGCCAATACCACCCATCTGAACAATAAAACAGATAATGTCGAAAATGACGAATATCTTCGACAGCCAGCGGGGACGAATTAGAGTATGGTCTTCGTCTGAGTCAAGAGCAACGATGATCCTGCCAAGTGACATGTACATCGTCGCAGCGAGGAAGATTGGTGCCGGCGTCAGCAACAAGGCCTGTAGCACATACGCCTTGAAGTTGTTTTGGTCGCTATGACCCCAGAAACGACCGTATAGGCCGCCGACTTCCATGATGCCACCAATAATCATCGGGATGAAGAAACATTGGCGTAGCTTTGGAAGATAGAATATGTGACCGACAGTCGCTACACCAAAGATTCCCATAAAGGCACCAGCAGCCGCTGCGCTGGGTTGATATGCATATAGAATAAGATTATTCGGATCGATATTGCCCGGAGCGAGAGCCATGTCTTTCGGGTGATCGAGGTTGAGCTGGGAGAAAGCAAAGTCCTAATATTTCGATGGGTCTGAAGAAATGTGGTGAAGCGCAGTTGTATGGTTGAGCCAGAGGATGATGATGAAGTGATGGTGTAGGGTCATGAGAAGGGATTTGTACTCTTAAATATGCTCCTGCATCCTCACCGTGTACCATACGGACTGGTAGCGGCTGTGCAAGCGATCATCACATTGGCGACCAATGAACAACTGAAACAGTTCTCGCGGTATGCGCAATCGCAACCAGAATAGCATGAACTGTTGTGGAAAGGCTCAAAGTGCGTATTCGAGCCCGTATGGTACAAGGGCTCTCAACAGGCACCTGAGGCTCAACGCGCGGCTGCGACTGCCGAGATTAGGACGCCCTGCCTTCGTCAGCCTCCCAGCTTGACATCATCATGTACAGATGTTTTGGAGAAAACACAGTTTCCTGATGCTTATACTTTGATCCAATCACAGCAAGAATTGCGATGCATAGTTTTCGGTATCTTAAGCCCTACTGTTACTAAGACGGGGTTCTGCTATTCTTAATCTATGCTAGAGGGGGCGGTAAAACCATGGGCGTTGCTATTACTTTCTTTGCTTGTCTCTGCCCTGATCTTCGAACGAACATTTCCTCTTCGCAAAACTTTGACCTTGGCAGGGACTGTATACACACATCCAGACATGCACAATGAGAGGCGGGCCTATTGGAGAGCGGCAAAGACGGACGCACAAGAAGAGCCGCGCGGGATGCGACAATTGTAAGAAACGGCACTATAAGGTCTCGTCACCTCGGTCGCTGCGTTGGTCATAGCTAATTGGAAGATAGTGTGACGAAGGGAAGCCTTCATGTGGTGGATGCATCAAGAGGAAAGTCGAATGCAGCTTCGCTATAGCTCAGAGCCCCGGTTCGGATGTATCTGTCAACACTAAGGTGTTCAATGCTATCTCACATAATATAACCGACCACAATGGAGACCCAGTGTCACCATTGCCTATGGCAGACTTTGAACTATATCACCAGGGCTTGACACGTACCCGGTTCACCATCACACCAGACGACACTCCGGACAAGGAAACATCCGACCTCGCTCTTCGGTTCCACTATCTGATGCACTCCCAGCTGGCCTTAGCAGCGCTACATCTCTATTCCGAGCAGCCTGACCGATTAGAGTTACTGTCTAGAGCAGCTGCTCATCAACACGCTGCGTTATCTCAAGTGCGGCCTCACATCATCGACGCGACGGCTGAACACAGTGAAGCAATTTTAGAATTCGCCGCCGCCACTTCGATATTTGCGCTTGCCGAGCCTGCTTACGACCCACGAGGTCTTGGGATAGTCCGTGATCCAGTCGATGAACTGCTCAACTCTTTTTACCTCGGCAGAGGCATCAAAACCATCCTTATGCAACGGTGGGACGTGCTTCAGCACAAGGACTCTATCAAAAAGGTTGCCGTTCTTCCAGACTACACCGCACTCAAAACTACGCTAGATGACCACTATCCTGGATACCCGATCTTAAGGGACGTCATTACTCAGAATTGTCAAGGCGATGAAGCAGCTTCTTGCTTGGAAGCTGCTCAAAACCTGTTCTGGTACATGGCCATCATGGAGACGCACCAACAAGCTGTTCCAGGACCAATGTATATCCAGATGTGGCCTTTACACGTCAGTACACTTTTTCTCAGCATGCTTGCGGACCGAATCCCGATGGCTCTCGTGGTCTTGGGCTACTATGCTGCGCTCATGAGATTAAGATCAAATACATGGTGGCTGGAAAGATGGCCCTCGGCCATCCTCCAACACGTTACCTCCATTCTGGACCCTGCACTGGCTATTCACCTTGATTGGCCCAGGCACAAGATTTTCCAATTGGATCAGGCATTCCCATCGCCTGTGGAATTGGCCGCCACCTGATGAAGTCATCGAGAGCTCTTTCTATCTCACCAGAGGCTTTGCTTTGGTATCTGAGTACCTTAGCACGTACCATTATGTTCGATACTACAGAAATAATGGCGAACAAAGGTGTCGCCCAGTCGCAGGTCAGCAGTATGCAACCAGTGCATCATTTAGTGGACACAAGCACACCCTGCCCTCGAGTCGCTCGCCGCTTGCGCTATGCAAAACTTCATAACGTGGGCTTCACGACGTTTGGGTGTTGCTGAGCGATTCATACCACCTTGTAGCCATCAAGTCGTATCACATCTCAATTGTAGGAGTGGTACCGAGTAGATCCTGTGAGATCCTCTTGCAGCTTTCGGAATATAGATGTGCTGGGGCTTTCCTGGTGATAAGGTTAACCGGATTCTAACTGGAGGAGTCCTGTGTGAGACGAGTCCATCAAATGGATGCCCCGATGGCGTAACACGATAGTTCATGCTGCACTCGTACGCTTGAAGAGCTGGCAGTCCTGGTGGTCCAAGGACGAGACAATCATTCGGACATATCCCGACAATCCCATCAGTCAATTACCATGTTGCACCGTCCACATGTCACGCAATTGAAGGCGCCGACAGCTTAACGCACATCCACAGAAGTCGACATGAACGACATATGTATCACTTTAGCGGTGAACAGGCATTAGTCGTTGAGCCGACGAGTCGCTTGACAGGCCCAGACAACTTCGCTTCGAACGGGCCGCCGGGCGTTCGAGTGTTTACACAGTGACGTAGACATGAAGGTGCCGCAAGTCGCTAATTGACCATTGTATCGCTTGGACTGTACTGGCAATTGGTTTTGTGCTTCACCATGATTTCACGATGGCCTTCTTGGCGACTTGTGGCTGGTGATCCACACGTTGTTTGGAGAGTCGGCAAGCCCTATCCGCTCTCGAGTGAACAGATCGGCCAGATGATCGGTTTCTGGAAGGCTTGGGGTACCTGGAGAGTGTACGCTCTGACGGCAAAGTCAGCCTTGAGGCTGCGTAATGGATGTATGGGTGCGACAGCAGGGTTAAATTAGAGGGACAAGATCAACGATGGCAGCCTCTCCGACATGGTCGACTGCCGGCAGGAGAATGATGGGAGAATGTTCTAGCGTCGCCTTGATCGCAAAAAGGTGGAAGTTAGTACCAAGCGTTTGGGCTTCTCTATTCGGCACATGCGTATCTTGACTTCAGCACAAGGAGTACTGGTCAGAAGCACAGCAGGCGCTATTCTAGAGCTGACAACGATTCATGTAGAAGAATACACATGAGTGAATCCTCAATTGATTGATATTTGGCATCCTACAGGTCTACAGGTCGTTGTGTCTATGACCCAGCAGCGTAGAGTCAGTAATGCGGACTCGTAACAGGTCACCAAATAAGAAAAGCTAGTGGGCTTGGTAGACCTTGTCGGAGAGCGTGGTGTTTCATCTTCCGGGGGAAAGCCAATTTTCGAGATGCGAAACCAGCTTTCGAGACGGGATGACATATCGAGACACAGCAGACGCTTGTGATTTAGCCCAGTAGCTGAATCATGCAACAAACCAGATCGAAAAGTATACCTCGAGGTACCTTTTTTGATCTTTTGAGACTTGAGAGAACATTCGAAGGTACAAGAAGCGACGCCGCGGGTAGTGAAGCAAAAATAGAAAGCCTATCAGAATCTCGTGTCCACGAATCGTCTCGAGCCAGTTCACCAATGGCAAAGACAAGCCAGCTTTTTGTATCACGATATCAATATGCAGTCAAGCATGCGAAGCTCTTGTACCACATAAGGTTGGCTTGGTATATTGGGGACTAAGTTGATATTCGGATTAATATATTGTTGCACGTAGATCCAGCGACCCTGGCGGTCAAGGATGTTATCTCGAGGGTTCAGCCGGGGACCCGGACGATAAAGCTCCGATGTCTCTGCGGCTCGCCACGCTAGTGTTTTGCCCCGACCGTTGGCATCCTCGAGCTCCCTCAGTGGGTCCGACGTTGAGGGCTCGTGCATACTGGCGGCGGGTGTTCCTGAATGGTGCCTGCGTTTTCTTCAAGGATCGTCAAGCCACGAGAACAGGGGTCAGGGGGCCAAGACAAAACACTTGCCGATCAGGTCAGCGAGCCAGTGTCCGAAAGAGCACCAACACCAGCCGGCAAAGCACGGCGCTCCATGACGTGACGTCGATTCAGTGTGCAGAGAGAAGGGGACCGCGAGGCAGAGCTAAGACGAGACTGGTGATACGGCCGATAAGCAATCGAGGCATCGATCACGATAGAGAGATAGCGAAACGTTGACGCAGCATACAAGAAGTCAGACTGACTAACTGATATGGACTGCATGTAGGCGTTGTGTCTAGACGGCTGTTGCGACGAACATGCCTGTAGATGCAGACTCAGTATGCCTGTCTGTTCTTAAGGAGGTGCTCTGGTTGTGGTCTTTTTTTGGGATACAGGCCTAGTTGTGCCGTAGACGCGGTCGAGAGCAGCCAAAGTAGAAGGAAGTGGGGTGCTGCTCGCAGACTAGTAGGGCACGGAATCGTGGGCACAAGTTGGTCGCCAAGGTAGCGAGGTGCTGCCCGAGTCGCGGAGGGGATAAGTTAACCCACGGCACGATGCATCATTGGTTGCATGCAGGGCAAGCAGTCTCGCGACGTCTGCGAATGGTATTGCGAGAAAGACGGAGGAGGATGACGGATGGCGGCGGCAACAGCAGCTATGTACAGGCGGGTGGATCGGAGGACGAGTTTGAGTGCCTGAAGCCTGCGACGCACGTTTGGCTTCGGCAGGGCAGACACACTACTCTACACTCTTGATAAGTGGCGATAGCAACAGCTGGACGCGCGGGTGTGAGAGGTCGACAACAACAGAGATCCAACGATTATGACGGCACACAAGGAGCATGACTTGCGCATCGGTCGGTCGAATGCAACAAGTCAGAAAACAGACGAGCATGCCGTGGAGGTCGCAGCCCGAAGCGGCATGGTCTTGGTGGGTCGTGCGTGCCTCGTGCGTTTCAAACGTGATTCGCGCGGTTTGGGGCCTTTTGGCGCCTGTGCTTGTGCTTGACTTTGCTCCGACTCGTCGAGGAAGCCGTCAGTCTCAAAGGGGGGAGGGCACGCTCTTTCCTCGTGTGTGTTTCGCTTGCCCAAAGCACCTTCGTCTTTATCCTCACCTTTCCCTTTGCAACATCTCGCTTTTCCCTTTCTATTGCTCCTGTGCGCTGCTCCATCACTCCCTTAACGCTGCGGCCTAATTCTCTCCTTCTTTTTGCTTCTTAGCTCTGTTGCCCGCTGCTTTGGCCAGTCTCGACAGACCGTCACTCCTTCCGGCTGTCAACTCCTTCGTCTTTCTTCCAACAACAGCCTCCTTGCTTCTTTCCTAATCCGACTCTTTGACCCTCGTGCTTGACCCTCAGCTGTTGCTCTCGGCATTGTCTCGATTGAGCACACGGATTGACACGCAGACAAAGACTTCCGAACAAGACCCAGCCTCGGCCTGAACCGCCTGCTTCTTTGACATTGCCCAGCTGCATCTGCCATTGGCGGCCTATAATCGACTCTGTCCACAAATTCATCCTTTAGCCTTATATAATCACCAACTCAATTTACCATGGACTCCAAGGACATGGGCTCAATGGACTCGACGTCGCCCGGCACTCCCTCGCCCGCGACTCCCCTGACTGCAAACGGCTCTTCCTCAAGGAGGCCGCCGCGCAAGAGCACCCTCACCCAACAACAAAAGAACCAGAAGAGACAACGCGCTACCCAGGATCAGCTCATCACTCTGGAAATAGAGTTCAACAAGAACCCCACCCCTACTGCCGCTGTCCGTGAAAGGATTGCAGACGAGATCAACATGACCGAGAGATCAGTCCAGATCTGGTTCCAGAACAGGTAAATCTTCCGCTAGAGCGACAATCCGTCCAGCGACTAACACCATAAAAGACGCGCTAAGATCAAGAACATCGCGAGAAAGAGCATCGAAAACGGCGAAGACTGCGAGAGCATCCCCGAATCAATGCGCCGCCATCTTGCCATGCAAGCACTCGAGTCTGGCAAAGGATTCTTCCCCAATCTGATGGGTCCTGGTGGCAACGGATACGCATACACTCCTGGCACCATGAGCCTCAACGCCGAAGCAGGTTCCGGAAAAGTTGGTATGTTTTAGGATCCAATCTCGTGCCCGTGGCTACCACTAACTTCTTCAGTTATCCAACACTTTGCATGCCGCTCGCTCTCGATCGGATCCTGGCGCAGAGTCGGCCAGAGTCAAATGGACCTGATCATCTTCTACTCGCCTGAAAAAGCTTGTGTCACATACTACATCAACAACGATTCAGCTGGCTACAAGATCGAATACCCATTCGCTTGGATCAAGAACATCAACCTTGTTCAAGGCGAGGTCACAACTGCCGCAGAGGGCGCTTCGCAAAGGCTAGGCGCACTGGTGGTCGAGTTGGTTCGTCCTCCTAAGTTCTACATGGACAGCTCGGGTAGCGGTGGCTTCTACGAATGTGGTGATTTCACCGAGGACCAGCAAGCTAGCAAAGTCATGGTTCACCAGCTTGGTGGCCCCTCCAAGGCTCTCAGCGGTCAATTGGCCAAGCTCGTGTCTCTGGACTCTTTCCAGAACCGTCACACTATGCTCGACCCCACACACTTTGCCATGGCTGCTGCTTCGGCTCCCGTCTCACCTGTCAACTTCAGACCTGCTAGTCAGCCCAACCACTTGGTACACCCTCATTCGGGCGTCTTCCAGGATTCTGCCATGGGTCTCATGGGTCCTCCTGCCCCTCGTGGTCACAAGAGACAACGCAGTCGTTCCGTACCTGCTGCTATTGATCTCTCCCTGCTCAGAAATAACCCTATGCCTTCATTCCTCATCCAGCACGAGTCTAACGCTCCTGCTCAGCCTCTGCAGGACAATGCCATCTTCGCTCCCCAGCCTCAACATCACCACGGATTCTCCACAGGCATGGGCCCTAACAGCCTCAGCATTGATACTTCTGCTGGTTATGGCATGGACTTCAGACAGTTTGCCGGTCCTATGTCTGCTACTACCCTTAATTCTCCTAGCGACTTCGGCACTCCTGGATTCTTCAATCCCGGTCCTACCAGTGACATGATGGCTCACTCCAACCTCAACACCCCTTACTCCGGCTCATTCCTCTCTGTTGACCCATCTGCTATGATTGGCACAAGCAACACACCAGTTTCTTGCCTTAGTGGAGGCGATCCTGTTATTGCAGATCAATCGCCGCCACTCAACGGTCTTGGCCGCAGTCAGTCAGACGACATCTTCAGCACACCCGGAGGTGACAACGGCTTGAACGACGATGCCCTTTGCCTCTCATCCGATGTGTATAACAAGTCCATTGGTATGAGCTTCCACAGCCCTCTGCCTGACGAGCACATGGGTTTCGACTCGTCACTCTCAGACGCTCACTACGACTACAACTCGCCAATTCCTGCAAACAAGATGAACCTGCCTTTCCGCATGCCCAACGAGACACCTATGCACCAACAGTCGCCTAATCTAGCGCAGATGGCCATGCATCAAGACTCTGCCATTGCCTTCCAGTCGCCTACTCACATGGGTCATGGTGACCACGGTCACAACCTTTACCAGACCCCTAAGGTCAACGGTACTGGCATGTTCCAGGACAACAAGATGTACCAATCGCCCGCTCAGATGCACGACTCAAACTTCTCGACACCCGCTCACCACCACGCGCATCTCCAAACCCATGATGTTTACCACAGCCCGAGCTTGGGTGCTAATGATCATCATAATCAACACAACGAGGAAATCGATATGTCCAGTTTCGTGCAGTACGGTACTATCGACCCCGCCAGCCTGTAAAGGCAGATGTCTCTTGAACTGCAGCCTGCTGGCGGGACTGAGCATTACACTCTGCAAGGCGCAAGAAAGGCAACAAAAGCAACAGCCACAGACCGGCTACGAACGACATGAGCGAGTGAAAAGCTCAAGGCTTTCACTACTGGTGTCTGGCCGCATAATCTTTGATTCAGTTTATCTCTTTATCTTCGCAGTTTTCTTGAGTTAGGCCATTTGGACCAGGTGGAAATATTCTTGATTTGGTCGGGGAGTTGTCCTTCATCTTTCGCTTTTCTTCGATTCTTGTTATACCCCAGATGATACTTCTTCCTTGTTCTTCTTTTCCTGTTTATTTCATGGTTTGCGTTGCTTCCAAAGCATCGCTCTTCCAAACTCAGCTTTTCCAACACTTTTTCCCACTCTATCTTCGTTTCTTTCTTTTTCAACGCATTGAATTCGATGGAATCTCGATCACACTTCTCATTCTGGTTTCTAAAGCATCGCTGGCATATCGATCTCGATCTCGACAGCTGTTGGACCGCTCGATTCGAGCGGATGGAAGCAAACGCTCGCCGCGCCCCTTGAAAGGGGGCGGAAGAAGACGTTATGCACATCCGTTACGACACTCGGGTGGCCTTGGTTTTCGAGGTTGAGAATCCCGATGACGCTTCTTTCTTCTATTTGTTTCTTTGTTTTGTTTCCTTGTTTATCTTTTTCCTTTGTTTGAGTGTTGCCGGATAGGGAAGAGGTGGTCTAGCCAAGTCGGCGATTTTCTTGGTCAGGCGTTCTCATGTACTCGTAGTCTTTCTAGCAAACACCCAGAGATATTGGACCCTCTCCTCCACGGTAAAGGCTGGGTCCCTCCGTAGAGTCGAGGTGTTGTCAATAATCCCAGAAGTCTCAAAACATTTGTTCAATCGTAGAGCCATGCCCTCGGTTCTTCCTCAATAGTGTCTTCGCCGCGGTTCTCGCTCTCGCGTTTACCAAGGCGGTCCTCGGATGTCCATTGCGAGAAAGGGGGAGCAGTCTCTATAAACGGGTTTGCGGGTAAGGTGGGCTCTGTGCGCGATTCCGATCCCGTGGTAGGGTGGAGTTTCAGGGGTATAACGGGTGTGCGTGCGAAAAAGAATGGATGGAGCATAAACCGTCTACCGGCATTTCTGTGGCTTTTTGAGTCTTTTGACACTAGTCTGATTAAGAACCGTGGATCTGGATTTGATAAAGTGTGCATCTTTCATCGGAGTGCATGGTTTTGGGAGGTTGGGAAGTGTGCATGATAGACGGTCGTTGGACTATGGCACGGGATGAGGTACATTGAAGAGGTATCTTTGTCTTTTGTTCGTTGATGGTAGATACAGAGGATTTGTGAGCGTCACCTTGAGGTCTGGTCGTACTTGCCCGGCTTGATTGTAGTTCTGTTCAACTTGTCTCTCCGTTTCATGTTGGATCAAATAGGCTTACTACAGCATATTTCTCTAGTCAAACAATTATTGCTCTCCTACATATGTTCCTCTGATGTCGAAGCAGAAGACTCTCATGTATAGATGAGCCGTGGGTAAACAGTGTTAGTGTTGATTGTATTTGTTTTGACCCTTGCTGGTCTCAGCGGCCAGATGTCCTTGCGATTAATCTGGAATCTCATACATGTCGAACAAAAGCGGCGATGAGCTCTTAGGTTAGGGTATGGATGTGTCTCGAAGAAACGGAGCAATGTGGCTGATATCACCATGTCCGTTGGAACATATAATATGAATGCCGAATGCGACGCGATGTTGTAGAGAATGCAAGTAGGATTTGCGTGTGCTGTCTGTTTCCTCTCTGCTACACAAATCTTAGTCGTTTCTATGTTACCGATGACGAGGCTGCTGATGTGGTTTTTTGATGTCTAACAGGCACTACGTCCATGGCCATATGCATACGCAGAAACGGGGTAGGTTTCTCCCTTTCGTTGCCAATCGCAGGCTGACATCATAAAACATCAATATACCATCAATAATGTGCCTCTGTGGAGTTCCTAATACGCCTTACAGTTCAGGTCCCCACCCGTAGTGCATGGCAGACCAAAAGAAATACACATTCCCATGACAGTACACTCATGTTCGGCTTTCTCCGAGGAACCGATGATGTGAGTAGACAGCTAGATCACAAGGACGACAGAGAAGAACATCAATATGCTGCATCCTCTTGCAATCAAAACACCAAAACACAACCAGAATCTCCGTCCTCACGGATCGAACCCTCACTCTTTACCACGCGTAAACAAAACTTCTTGGGGCTATTGCCCCCTACTCCCGACTTCGAAAGAAGCAGGCGGTCTCCCACTCAGCCAAACTCACGGTTTGGTCTTATGAGTTGGATGTGATAGGGGAAACTTTCATAGTATATAGAGGTAGGCGAGTGAAGCGCGTTGCTTTGCGTATTCTTGTCTGCCTGTTGAGTGTTTAGTCGTGGTTTCAGTTCAATGGGTGGCTGGCTGTATGAGTGGACATGAATGAAATCGATGTTATCTATCACTTCCCAGTGGTACTTTCCCTTTTAGATTGCGCTTTCATACAACTTGTACCTGATTAATTCTAATCTTCGTCTTCGGCGAACCAGCTTGTCTTGACTCTCATAGCTCGTACATCTAGCTATGGAGTGCACAGGAAGATCGATAGAGAGGAACATCTTTCTACATCCTAACGCGCGGTCTGAGCATGTCCAAAGACCATACATCTATATAGCTCGAGTAAGGAGCAAGAATCTACATCCAAAAAAACAAAAAGAACAAACCCAGCGGTTAGTGTCGGAGTCGAACCGACTACCTGATTGTGCACCCCGATGCAAGCTCTCCGTCGCCCCAAGTAGCTAGCTTGGAGTAGCCTACTTGCTTGGGGCTCTGGCGCGGTCCAGCTGATATACTATCCCACCGCTGGGCTGTAAGTAGATATCTCTTATTGGTGTAAGTAGTGTAGAGTAGAAGTGAAGTGAGGTTTGCAATGAATCAGCGTGAGCATTATGCTATTCAGGAGTAAGTGAATGCTGTCTTCTTAGTCTCTGGCAGTAGAATGAGAAGAGGGTCGATCGAGTCTTGCTGGTACTGCTGATGGAGATGATTGTCGGTTCTTGTCTGCACTCGACCATTACAGATTTGTCACTGGGGAGCTTTATCATAGCAGCACCGGATTTTCTTCCGTTGATTGCATACTCAGTCTCTATACTCCGCGACCACACCACTCGGTCCGGAAGTCATCGAATGCTGCACTTCACTATAGAGCCATAGCATTGCTCTGTCAAAGACAGACACACTGTGGTAGCAAGTCTTTCTTCTCACTACTTCTTATTCGCTTGTTGTGCGCTTTGCTACAAGCTGACAGCAACGAACACAAACCAAGATCTTACAACAAAAACTCAGCATTACAGATCCTAGCTTGAGGCATAACAGAACGAGGAGAGGAGGGGAAAACAAAAAACCACTCACAATACACCCTTCCACCTTTTTAACCTACCGCCGACTATCGAAACTCGCGAGACAACCAGGGGCACAAGCTCGAAAATTCGAAACAGAACGCTGCAGCTCTTTCAACAATCATAAGGAAGAACCCTTGCCCACTTCACACTCAACACAAACCGCAAGTCGCATCAGCCTCACAGCAAGAAGAACAAATAAACCATGAATGCCGCCGGAACGATCTGTCTCGCTCTGTTCTTGACCATCTTTGGCGTGGTGTTCTTCTGGTACGTCTGGATCAGAACTTTTGAGTGGGAACTTGCTTTCTGGTACCGCGCGGTCTTGAGACAACGCGTGGAAAACGCAGTCGAAGCCGTGGCTGAGGATGTCGAGATGGCAGGAAGTGCTGCTGGTGGAAGCAAGGCTCCTAGCAACAAGTCTGGTGGTAAGGAAGGAGGCGAGGGCGGAAGCAAGAGTCCCAGCAAGCATGGAAGCAAGAAGTCTGGCGAAGAAGGTGGTAGCAAGGCAGCTAGCAAGAAGTCGGGAAGTAAAAGTGGTGGAGAGAAGCAAACATAACAGCAGACCGGGAAGTAGAGCTTGAGCTTTACAGCGTGCGGCGAGAGGAAGACTGGAGGGAGACTGGAGGACAGGAAAGAAGGGACAGGAGAAAAGAGAGCTCTATCTTCTTCGATGCAGAGAACTTTCTGGCGAAAATAATGAACAACAACGGAAATGGCAACCCAGACCTTTGGATCTAAGAACGCATCTGCCTGTCGCGTGTCTGCAAGGCAACCACATCATCTCGTGACGTGTTTGCATGGCACAAAGTAATGCCGAGCAATGGTGTATCGTGTTCAGATCTCCGCTTAGATCTTGCCATTGCCGACCTTGATCTGTCTGGGATTCTGTCCTGCCACCATCTCGATGCCCTCCAGAACGTGGGCGTACACACCAGGGGGTCTACCCATCTTGACCTTTGCACCACCAACTTCCCTCAGGTGAATGCCTTCTCCACCTTCAGCCTCCCAATTGAACTTCCTGAATTCGCAGTTCTCATAGCCAGTTCCCTTGGAACCATCGAAAGAGGCCCAGTCGGCAGTGAAGAAGTGCAAGAAAGCGCCATGAGTGACCAGGATAACGGCCTCAGAAGGGTGAGCATACAAAGTTGCTCGAAGGGCGGCAGCACGTGCAGTGACGGCTTCGAGAGAAGCTGCGTACGGTCCAGCCTTCGAATTCCAGCCGTCTTCGACCAGACTCCAGTCCATTCTCTCGATACCAAAGCCTAGATTCTCACCATCTAGCCAATGTGCGATCTTCTGCTTGAGTTCTGCTTGCGGATAACCGATATCACAGGGCTGGTTGGCGATCTCTTGTGCGAAGGGCACGAGCAGGAACTTGACGTCAGGTCTCTCTCTCAGTACATCACCGAAGCCGAGACATGCAGTTTGGATTGTGCGGATAAGAGGGGAAGCCATGATCGTGAGAGAAGTGGATAGAGAAGATTTGGGGAAGGTGTTGCTGAGGTTTGTGCATTGTGTGCGGCCGAGATCTGTGACGTTTGGATCACGTAGATGATGTTGGTTCTGAGAGATCATCAGTTGGCGAGGAAGGACCAAAAGATGAAAGCTGCATTACATTGACGTTGTGATGGCCCTGAGCATGGCGCACGACGTAGATTGCTGGTGCCATGATTGAATCTGGTCTTGTATGTTTCTCTTGTATGTTGTTTGGTTGCCTTTGGGAAACGAGATTGTCAAGAACCAGAATGCCGGGTCTAATGGCCCAGAAGATGTCTCTCGGTATGGTGGGACAAAACTTTGAGCGATCGGAAAGAAGAAAGAAGATAAAGGATCTTTTTCATGCAAAGGAGTCATAGAGCAAGAGCAAACGCCGACCACGACACGAGGTCGATTTGGTTCGGCTCACTTTCCCCAAGCTTCATATTCGGCGGCTGACTTGCCTGATTGAGCATGCTGCGGATCACCAGAAACAGTCAAGCACCATAACACTTCAAGGCAGGCGTGACTGACCTCTGTCTACAAGGTTGTTCGTGATACAAAGCAAAGCCAGCGATGAGAAAGAGGATGGTATAGAGTGGTGTTGGCAAACCTGGACAAGAGAGAGCAATCGAAGGCCTGGAACGACAGGACTTGGCAGTGACGTAGGTGATTGCCGAAGATTGACCACCAGTTGGGCGGAGGTTCGAGGCAGGTGCGACACGCAGCTTCCCCAGACAGACATTCAGAGCAGCTACCAGTCGACGGTGATCCTTCCTGACCCTCTCGCCCTCCCCCAGACCTAGACTGAGAACCTTGTCGCAATGTGGGACGACGAGGATAACAACCCGTACGGCTCGTTCAACAGACGCGACTCGGAGGCCTCCGACGCTCCCGGTACACGACCGTGATCCTCTCCCACCACCTTGTACACGCCGTCTAACTGTCGCATCAGCCTTCCGTCAAGCCCCTTCGACACCACCCTCGGGTTCGAGCAGTCCGCAACCCTCCACACCTGAATACCACCGCCCAGAGTCGACCTACCACGACGAGCCCTTCGACCACGACCAAGAAGACAGCGACCACCACGATGACGACGACGAGGACCTGTCGCAGTCGCGCAGGATCGAACCCAAGAAGGGCGGTTACCACAGTCGTATCGAGCAGATCCTCTACGAGAACCCCGACCTTGACATCCAGATTGTCCACGCCGGCAAGAACACTGAGGGCGGAGGCAGCTACATAACCTACACCATTAGAACTGGAGTATGCCTTCCAGAAGCCCGAGTGCTCCACAATCGCTGACGCTTACAGGATATCGAAGTGCGAAGACGATACAGCGAATTTGCGTCGCTGAGAGCGACCCTTGTCGCCCTGCACCCGACTCTCATCATTCCGCCAATCCCCGAGAAGCACTCCATCACCGATTACGCCTCCAAACCCACAAAGGCGAAAGAGGATCTAGGCATCATTGAGCTACGCCAGCGTATGTTGACCACCTTCCTCAACCGCTGCCGCCGCATGCAAGATGTTCGCGACGACAATGTCTGGTGGCGCTTCCTCGATCCTAATGCTAGCTGGAACGAGGTCCTCCACTCTCATCCTGTCGTAAACATTCCCAAGAACAACCTCAAGGCTCCTCCACTCGATCCTGCCAACCCTTCTCCTGGTCACAACTTCCTGCCTGTTCCCTCATCCTCTGCCAAACTACGTTCGTCTGGTAACGCTTCTGCGTCCGGTACCCCTAGCTCTCCACCCATGCAGCAACCTTCTGTTGCCGCTCACTCGTCGCCTGGTCCTCAAGTCTTCGGTCGCTTCCCACCCGATTCACAAAACTTGTCCGAAGAGGACCTTGATCCCTACTTTGTCCAATTCGAGAACTCATCGCGCGAGCTCGAAACTTTGCTACAGGGTTCCATGGAGAAAGTCAATCAGCGGACCCTCCAGCACCTTTACAAGCTTGGAGACGATCTCATGGAGCTGGGTGGTCGTTATAACGCTTTCTCCCTTTCTGAACAATCTGCCGAAGTCGCTGCTGCTATTGAGAAGGTCGGCCAGGCTTGCGACTTCACATACATCCAGACCCGTGATTTGTCCAGCGGCTTGTCTGCTCAGTTCGCTGAGCCTATGCGTGAGAGCGCCCAATTCGCCGGAATCGTCAAGGGTGTACTGCGATACAGAGTGCTGAAGCGTGTTCAACAAGAGATGACTCGTGAGGAGCTCGACAGAAAGAGAACATCTCTCGATTCTTTGGAAAGGAGCGAGGCCGAAGCCAAGCGTATTGAGCAATACTTCAACAACTCCGGGTCTTCGCCACCTCAACGCAGTATGAGCACTGGCAGCAACGCTGCTAGACGCAATCCAGCCAGAGATCAACTGCCTAGGCGCGCAGAAGACGATACGGCAAGCATCGACTCAGACTTCCCTCCTACCATGGGCAGCGCCCCGAGCGCCGCACAAGGCTCCCCTCACCAGGATCAATCTACCAGCCCTACGCAGCATAAGAGAGGCGCTAGTGGCAATTTTGTGACCAACAAGATCTTCGGGCGACTCACTCATGCTTACCACAATGTTGTTGATACTGACCCAGAACGGGTGAGGCGGGATCAGATTGGCAAGACGAAGGAAAGCTTGACACAGGTAACATCAGTCTCCGCTATGGTTGGAACAATATGCTAATAATCACGGTAGCTTGAGCAAGCTCTGGAGGTCTCTGAAAAGGACGTCAAGGATGCAAGTGGTGCTGTACTCAAGGATCTGAAACGCTTCCAAAGCGACAAGGAAGAGGATCTGAGGAAATACATGGTATGCCTTCCTTCAACCCCGCTCATCACATTAAACCGACTAACACATGTTCTAGCTGGCCTTTGCACGTTGTCATATCCAATGGGCACAACGCAGTCTGGAGACCTGGGAAGAAGCGAGGGTGGAAGTCAACAAGATTCCAGTATTGGAACCGAGGTAGAACACCTGCCTTGTTGTTGTCCAAAACCCAGTCACTTGTCTATGTAAGGTATGCAGATTCGCATAGAATCGTTAATGTCTTTTTCGATGCATCTTGCCCTGCCAATTCGATGTGAGACCGTTGCTTATAGTTTTGAACATCGTTGTACGACCTCTTCTTTCCGACAGAGAACTTCTCGGGTAAAACGTATCTGGAAATATATGCAAAGAAGCAAAAGAAAAATTCAAGCAAAGATAAGAACATACGGAAGCAAGATAGAGAACTATAGGAAAACATCCACTCTTGTCACTAATTGCTGATACTCAAACTCAACCTTGCTGTTCCAGAACTTCTTGAGCAGTCTGCACCCACAAAACGTTGACTCCATACTGCTTCCCGTTCTTCACAAACGATTGCAGTCTCGATTTGATAGCACTTGCTTGAATCGGCATCTCCACACCTCTCTTGATCAACACCAACACAAGCTGAGCAGCATACAAGATCTGCATGCCCAACACAAACACCTCCGCCTTTCTGCTCCAACCAAGCGGGGCATCAGGCATCTTCTCAGCTTCTGAAATCAATACGTCAAGGCCATCGGTGACCCATGTGCAGAGATTCATGAGGATGCGGAACGAGAAAGCAGAGGGATGCAGTCGAGCAGCGACAGAAGACCAAACACGTGCTTCTCTGCTTTCGTCAATGAAGAGATTGTGCTTTTCTTGTGCGAAGAGGGAGGAACCCGATTGAGATTTTGTGCTGAGCGCTTGGTTGACTGAATCTGGGAAGGAAGTGGTGACGGCGTTTCCAGTGGCTCTGCCGATGGCTGTCGTGGCTGCTGAGTTGCTGCTTCCGAATGCGGATGAGATGAACTCTGCTACTGCTTGGTTGGCGGCTAGCGGTGCCAGATCGGCTTGTTTCTTCGAGCTGCCTGTGTTGATTATTCTAGTGGCAACCGGAGCGACTAGTGTTCTGATCTCGACATCGTCGTCGTTGCAGAGGTCATAGACAGCTAGACAAAATTCGAGATATAGATTGCGAGCATCGCTAGAGCTGAGTTTTTCCAAAGATCTCTGGCTGAGCTGCTGTGCTGCTATCGCTGCGGCATATCTGGTGTCGAACGGCTGTAAAACTATTAGTGGAAATTCCGCGGTTCTGAGACAGTTCAAAACTTACATTCGAGGCACGCAGGGCAGAACGGACTTGTGAGACCCACGTCTCGAAATTCAGAGTAAGCTCGTTGTCTCCTGGCGAGCCATCTTGCACTCGGAAGTTGAGCAGTGCTCCCTGCAATATGAGCCGTTTGTCACCGAAAAGTGGCGTTGCGGCACTTGAGGGAAGATAAGACTGCTTCAGATCAGTGGAGAAGATCTTCTTGATCTCATCTCCAGCGCCTTGGGACAACAAGGTGACAAGGACCTCCTGAGCAGCGTCTTGGACCTCGATATTCACGGTATCGTTGAACAACAGGTTGGCAGAGACGTTGACTAGAAGCTCTGTTGTCTGTGTGGCATAGACCGAATCCGTAGATCCGATCCTGGCAGCTTCGCGTAGTGCAGTCGTGCAAGCATCAGAATCCCGACTCGCTAGTAACGCAAAGATGTCTAACCTCGCCCGCAAGTCCGCGGCCGATCTATCCTTCGAGAGTCCGCTGAACAGAGCGTACTCATAGATTAGCGAAAGCGCCAGAGATTGTCGTAGGAACGAGCAAGCTGCGAAATGATCCTGGGGTAAATCTAGGATGATTTTAATATCCTCAACGGTAGCCCATCTTGTGCCTGGTACTCCATGATGTCAGAATATACTTGGTCAAAGACAAGAGAGAACTTACCGAATAGATGACGCTGCTTTTGAATGGCTGAGTAGAAGAAAGCGTTTTGTACGTCCACAAATGCAGCTTGTGTGAGCGGACATACATTGTCGTAGAGGAGATCATCAATCCGCGATTGTATGGCATTCATCAGCGTGTGCATATCTGTAACGGTTAGTGGCTTGTAAACCGAACAACTCCCGCCTCACTTACCTTCTGTGCTAAAGTTCTTGCCTTGCCTTTCAACAAGATATCTTGCTGTAAGCAGATTGCCGTGTACCTCATTCTGACTACGTGCTTTATGTCGGACCAATCTTGCGATGCAACTCACTCGATCTTTGGCAGACACCAGAGTGGAATATGTCTTGGCTGCTTTGTCGCGAACCAGCCATTGCCGGCTTGACGCAAGTCGTAGGACCGAATATTGAATTCTTTCAGACATACTCGAAGGTGGCTGTACGCGTTGGAGCAGCTGCAAAGCAGGGAACACCACCTCGGCCTTGACTTGATCGACGTCGACATCAGTTGCCAACAGCTGAAGGACAACCTGCATCAAGCTTGTGATTGCCTCATCCGAGAGCCGGCTCTGGGTATACGTATCCTCATCTGAGAATGCATCATTGGTGCCAATCAGTCTATCCATCAGAGCACGGAATAGCATCAATCCGGAGTTTCGGACAGCCCATCTATCATAGAAGTTAGCGTGGTATTCAGTCTGCGTTTCCACATCTCAACATACGTATCCGAAGACAAACATCTAGCAGCAAGACTGAGTGCTTGTGGCACATAAGCCTCTGATCGCTCGCCTAACTTCGAGTTCTTGAATATGTCCTTTATACAATTCAGAGCATGAACCTGAGAAAGACCGCCAGCACTTTCTGCAGCTGGATCAACTGGTCTCGTGCCTTCGGTCGTGAGCTCTGACATAGCTCTGCTGAATAGGTGACCTTTGGTATCTGCAACGACAATGCCAATCATCAAAGAAGGCAATCCTGCTGAGCGGCGAGTGTTGATCGCAGTCTGATTCTGGATGCAAAGGATCGCACGCTACTAGATATCAGCCAAAAAGCATAGATGCACGCCAGTAGAGATTTTTTACCTTGTACCAGTCCTCAAGCGTTTGACTGAGAGTTTCTGCGCCACTATTGGAGCGCATACAGCAGATAACAAAAGTTTGAGCGACCGTCGAGAAAGCACCACGATGACGCAGTTCTGCAAGCTCTGTGAATGTGAGATCACCTAGCTGGCGAAGTTGTTGAGGTGAGAGAAGCGTCTGGTCGCCGGAAGTTACAGGGCAGCTTTTCACGATTGCCCGCAATAGCAGACTGCTTTAATCAGCGCCAGGTCACACCTAGTCGGCAACATGAAATTTACCTAGACTCTTTGAGGGCTCGCCATGAGTAACTCAGAACGTCTTTTGTACCGGTTTCCTCCTCCTCGAGTTCCTCGGCAGCAATACCTTCGGTGGTGTCGTTACATAGCGTGTCATGTACACACTTCCAGAGAGCCTCGAAAACATTGCAGAGTCGGGTGTAGGACTTTGACAGGTGGGACAATGCGACAGGATCGGAAGACATTGTCTGATAGAAGTCGGACTTTTCGATAATGTATCTGTTCAATATTAGTATACAACAAAGTGGACGGTGAATAATCGAGTTTACCTCAAGCCGATGAAGAAGCCGTGCAAAGGGTGGTTGCTGACCGCTTCATTGATATCTACATTTGCAACCTCGATTGTCTGTTCGACAGTAAGGAGAAGGTGCTCCAGAATCCCACATTTGGAAGACCACCATTGCTCGCGATCGCTGATAAGATGCGAGCATTGGCTAAACAAGATGCTGTAAAGATGTGCAACTCCATCTGCGTGGTCAGCACGTCCACTGAGAACCAGCCTCTGCTCAGCTTGTGCCAGAATCTTTACCGCCAAAGGTGTTTCTCCAGTAACAGTCTGCTGTTGTGAGCCCGAGCCCATAAGACTCATAATCTCAGCAGCGGCGGATCTGACATCGTCGAAAGCGTCCAGTAGTAGATCGATCAACAGATCGGTCATCTCATGGTCAACTACATCCAGTGTGAAAGGCCACGCCGCCGCAGCGCTTGTAGGTTTCCCATGCAGAAAGCCGGAAAATCGTGCATCTACTCCAGATCTGACAACTATGGAAATACATCTGAGTGCTGATATATGTCTCTGGTAGCTAGCCGTCGGTCGCAATTCGGCCTTGAGGAACGAGACGTACCATTCGATCAAGGATCTATGGGCTGCAATTAGCTCAGAAGACTCAGTGGATGTCGATAGAGAATTGACGGCTTCTTTCGCTTTGTTCTTCTTCGTCTTATTTGGTGGCTTGGTCAAAGACGCTGTTGCAGCCTTGATGCGATCCATAAGATGTCTGATCAAACTGAAAAGTTCACTCCGGAATCCGGCGTCTGCGTCTGCATGTAGAAAAGGTAGCCCTTTTTGTAGAGCAGCCATCACTCCGATAGGCAATGGCTGAGTGGTCGTTGTGGAAGTGGTAAGCATGGCGAGACCGGCGATTCTTACCGCATCAGACGTGCGTAATAACAGATCTCCGAGGAGAACATCTGGAATACACAGAACTTCATTGTCGAAGAACAACTTGACACTTTTGACACTTCCAGAGTCCGCAATCTTGACCAAACCAAGTTTGCTTCCTACAGATAGCGCACAAAATAGTACTTCCTCGCACTGTAATGTGGGCAGTGGTGATGAGTTCTCTGACGATTGGTCTCCCCCGAGAATACTTTGTATACCTAGTTGGCCTAGGAAAGCGTTGAAACTTTGTTTGTCTTGCTGAAAGATCTCAGGAAAAACATAGAGACGGAAGATCTCGAGAGACCTCGGCTTTTGCTTGAGGATATCCAAAACAGTAGAAGACCACAAAGAAGCGTGGTAGGTACCGAACGCCGTTGGCGAAGGCGTTTGGCTTATGATTTCCGCCTTCTGGATTATCAGAGCTGCCAAAGAACCAGCAGATGAAGCAAAATCTTCATAGGGCGCGAGACGTAAGACGACAGTAAGCACGTCCTGAACCGAGGAAGAGACAGATTGGCTTCGTTTCTCGATCGATGCATCGCCAAAGACGCTGCACAGATCATTCACAGAGACGACGTTTTTGGAAAGCCAGTGAGCCAGGGCTTGCATGGCAGGTCTGGTAGGAGCATTCTCTGATGGCGTAGCAATATGTTGGACAAGAAGTTTTAGTAACCTTGTCTTTTCGGGTTCGCATATAGACTTATCCTGACACTTGATCAAGGCGGAGGTCAAGGACGTAAGCAATAGACGTGACGGCTTGACGTTAAGAGCATGGTGCTGATCGAGATAGGTCCAGAAAGCCTGGAACCAGAATTGTTCATTCTGCCAGAGAGCAAGGACGAAAATTTGTTCTTCTGACTGTGCACATTTCTCAATCAGGTTGGAGAGTAGATTGCATGCAGCAGTCCTGTGTTGATTGGTGATGTCTGTTCGCAAAGTCGAAAAGACTTGATGGAAAAGATTGAGGACCCTTTGTTGCGTCAGCTTCAATTGTATCGAAACGAAAAATGAACAGCAGAAGAAGGAAGGTATGATCGCATTCTCAGTTACCTCGTTATTTCCTCTTGCAGAATATGCTGATCGATTTGACGAGGGACGAGATTCGCACCATTTAATGTAACTTGGCGAATCTCATGTTCAGATAGAGGAGCAGCCATTAGCTACTTTAGCGCTTCTGAATTGAGAAAGGTTGTAGGCCGGCAGCTTATAGGTATCGATCAAGAGCTATTTAGCTCGAATGCTTGACCATTTTCTTCGCAGCTGTTTTCTGGGCAGCAGCGATGATGTTTTTGGGAGCGACATCGGGCAAAAAAGCAGGAAGTGGCCAATCAAAGGACATGCAAATTGATTGCGGGGACTGACTCGCGCACTTGGGGGAAAGTTGATCTGGAGAGCTGCTGGAATATCACTCGACCGTCGCCGCCTCGTCGTGTTTTCTGTCCAAGCATTGAACTCAGCAGCTGACAGTCATGTTGTCGTCGCGTATTGGAACAAAAGCCGCGAGGTCGTCATGGGCCTCGCGGGCACAACTGCGCGTAGCGTGAGTCGCACGCCAGATCAAGCCTCGCCCAGCCAACAATAAACTGACACGCCTGTCATAGCCCTTCTGTCGCCCAGACCCTCTCGTCGAGACAATATGCCACCGGTCCTGGCCAAGACAAGATCTTCCAACACATCAAGCTGGACAAGGATGCCCTCAACAAGACCAGTGCCATCATCACCCAGCCCAAGGCCCACGGTGCCTCGCAGGCCATGCTGTACGCCACTGGCTTCACCGACGAGGACATGAACAAGGCCCAGGTCGGTATCTCGTCTGTCTGGTACTCGGGCAATCCCTGCAACATGCACCTGATGGACCTCAGCCACAAGGTCAACGAGGGAGTCCAAAGAGCTGGACTCAAGGGTATGCAGTTCAACACCATTGGTGTCAGTGACGGCATGTCCAACGGTACCACCGGTATGCGCTACTCGCTGCAGTCTCGCGACATCATCGCAGACTCTGTCGAGACCGTCATGGGCGGCCAGTGGTACGATGCCAACATCTCCCTCCCTGGTTGCGACAAGAACATGCCCGGTGTCATCATGGCCATGGGAAGAGTCAACAGACCCTCCATCATGGTTTACGGAGGTACCATCGCTGCTGGATGCGGCAAGATGACCGACGAGAGACTCGACATCATCTCCGCTTTCCAGGCTTACGGCCAATTCATCACTGGCGAGATCAACGAGGATGAGCGCAAAGACATCATCAAGCACGCCTGCCCTGGTGGTGGCGCTTGTGGTGGCATGTACACTGCCAACACCATGGCTTCCGTCATCGAGGCCATGGGTATGTCCCTTCCTGGTTCTTCATCCAACCCTGCCATGTCCAAGGCTAAGCAGCTCGAATGTTTGGCCGCTGGTGGTGCTATCAAGAACCTCCTCAAGGAGGACATCCGCCCCTCCGACATCATGACCCGCAAGGCTTTCGAGAACGCCATGACCGTCGTCAACATCACCGGTGGTTCTACCAACGCCGTTCTCCACTTGATCGCCATGGCTCACTCCGTTGGCATCACCCTTACCCCTGATGATATGCAAGCCGTCAGTGACCGCACTCCTCTGCTTGCCGACCTCAAGCCTTCCGGCAAGTACGTCATGGCTGATCTCTATGACATTGGTGGTACTCCCGCCATCCTCAAGTTCCTCCTGAAGGAAGGCGCCATTGATGGCAGTGGCATGACCGTCACCGGTAAGACTATGGCTGAGAACCTCGAGAATGTTCGAGACATGCCCGAGAGTCAGAAGATCATCCGTCCCTTCAGCAACCCCATCAAGAAGACTGGTCACATCCAGATCCTCTACGGCAAGATCGCCCCTGGCGGCAGTGTCGCCAAGATCACTGGAAAGGAGGGTACTCAATTCACCGGCAAGGCCAGAGTCTTCGACGGCGAGGATGGTCTGATCGAGGCCATTGAGGGTGGCTCGTTCAAGAAGGGCGAGAAGACTGTTATTGTCATCCGTTACGAGGGCCCCAAGGGTGGTCCCGGTATGGTTGAGATGTTGAGACCTTCTTCTGCTATCATGGGTGCCGGTCTTGGTAACGATGTTGCCATGCTGACTGACGGACGCTTCAGCGGTGGTAGTCACGGTTTCCTCATCGGTCACATCGTCCCTGAAGCTCAGGACGGTGGTCCCATCGCTCTCATCAAGGACGGTGACACCATCACCATCGATGCTGAGAAGAGAGTTATCGACACTGATGTCAGCGAGGAGGAGATGCAGCAAAGAAAGCTTAGCTGGAAGGCACCCCCTCTCAAGTACCAGAAGGGTACCCTTTACAAGTACGCCAAGATCGTCCAGGATGCCAGCCATGGTTGCATCACGGATGCATGAACGAAACGCTGATGTACCATACTGCACATTTGTAATTGCATAGCTGCTGGTTTTCTTCTTCGGGGACTTGGAATTTCGGCGTTGATAGAGGTAGGGGGGAGATTCAGGTATTGTACAGCTTCATACCATGTCAGAAAAAAGTTCATCCTGTCTTCATATCTCTCTCGCACAGTCTCTCTAAAGTTTCCTCCCCATAATTCTGTTTCTTACCAAATGTCTTGACATAGAAAAGAAACAGTCTTGGTGCTTGATGGCTCTTGCATGCTCCAACTTCATCTTCCCCGCACTTGGCAGTCCTGAAGCCAGTCTGCACTTCCACTCCTGTATTTTCTCTCTTTCATCTCTTCCATCTCTATCATCAACCTCTTCTCAGCCCTCAATGTTCGATATGTAGCCTAACTGTTACCACTATCATTGGCAGTTTGGATGCCTGGACTCCGCAGCTTTGTCTAGCTGTCTTTACGTTTCTGACAGCATCTTGGACCACAAAGGATATCTGCCCCCCGGACTATCCTGGCCCTATGCTGTCCCAATATCATACCTTCTTGGAACCCATGCAGACTGATCATGTCTAGTAGTTGAGCTCATGGAAGAACCTAAGACACGTCATACCAAGAACAGTTGATGATCGCTCTTCGGACTGCTAGTTGCTGCCACTGTGGACCGGCTACTCTCTCCCTTTGGTCAGTGGAACATGTTTCGATGACAAGGAATATTTTGCTCGCATCTAGTTCGGCCACTTTTGACTCGAGACTGGGATCTGGCCATACAGCTACACCGCTGCCAAGGCCCAATGATGTGGACCAGGAGAGGTGCACACGCAGGACGAAGGACAACCACGTCGCCAGCGTAACGTCGAAAGGAACATGACTGGTGCCCTGAAGATCGATCATGGCACTCTTGGTCTGCTTGTCGTCGACAGTGGAAGTTAAATCGAAGACTCCGCCATGCCGCCAAGATAATCAAAGCACTAGGAGGGTTGATAAACCACGGAATTTGTTTATCCCATGTAGTGGTCCGTTGGCGCAATGATTTACCATCCGCGTCATGTACTGGTTCGATCCCAGGCGAGGCCGCTATGTCTGAACATTTCGCCTTAACAACCGACCCGTGCCTCGCTCGGAGCGAAATAAAGGCGGTTGGTGAGACGGAGTGGGAGGTCCTTTTTTTTTGTCTATCCTGTTGCGGTGATTGGCCTTGTCACTACATCCTATATCAATTCTTATCGTCGTGGTTTAGAGTCCTATTTTGTCGTTCTGGATCCACTCCTGGTATCAGTGTTCAGAAACGATTTGCAGGACTGAATATCTGCAGTTCACAATTCACAGCCGCGCCGTTGTTTACCACAAACACGCGCATCCATGATTTCAGCGTTTCACTTCTTCCACATCGAAAACGTTGTCTGCCTTCCACAACTTTTCATACACGATCTTCACGTCTTCATCACCATTCCTGTCTGGTTGTTGCTCTACATTCTAGCATCAACGATCGAAAGCGACTTCTCGAAAGAGACGCCTCGAAAGAGACGCCTCGAAAGAGACGCCTCGACATAACGTCGTGCGCTCCTTGTTTACTTCTCCTTGACCTGCGCACCGCAATGTCAGGAAACACACCACCTACGATCTACCCTCCCGGCGCTATGTCCATGCCTCGCCCTACCATGACTCCTCCTGGTGCCCCTCTCAACGCTCCTCCCGGCGCTCCTCCACAGTCGACTCTAGCCTATGGCGCATCTCTCAACAACCTGCTACAAGCGCTCATCCCTCAAGGACCTCCCGTAATCCGACGCCCGATGTTCGCCGCAGCATCACGCCAGGCCCCTCTCCCCGCCGGATATCCAGCTCCCGTCTTCGTCGACCCTATGTTGGCTCACATCAAGCACATGACAGATACGTTCCACGCCGCCGCTACGAACGATCCTAACTTTTACAAGATCTACTGCGACGTGCGAAATGCTGAAAGTCCATACTCCGCCTTCCCAACTCTGGCTTTCTTCCTCAGACTCCATCTCCAGGTCAGCTGGATTGATCTTCTCGAGCGCCACAACCGTCAGAACGAGGTCGAAGGAGACACGACCCGTCTGATTAGTGAACGTAAAGAGCTTATTGGATGGCTCGTCAAGCGTGACCAGACTCTCAAACCTCGCGCCGGTCGTTACCTTGCCGGTCAGCTGGCTAGATTCGCGACCCTAGACTTTGACCCCAGCCAAGTCACCCCACTCATCGCCCTCCTCGACCACCTTTACGTCCATGAAAACAGACTCTTCTTCGGACCCAACAACATTCGCGCCCCTGCCAGAAACGAGTACCGCATCCAAGTGGTTACCTACCTGGACTACGAGGGCGGTGAGGCTAAGATTGTTGAGGATGTCAACATTTCTCAGAGAATTAGCGTGTTCGAGCTACACGACATGCTGTCCACGCTCACCCGAAACATACAGGCTGCTCAATTTGACTACAACTATGGCTTCCAGAGTGGTGGCTACCATGGCCACTGGGTGTATTGGGCCAATGAGACTGGAGACCCGTATGGATGGGCTCGCGCACTGGAATGTGAGGCTCAGTTGGAGGAAATGAAGGACTTTCTAGATGAAGGCCTAAAAATCATCATCAAGCACGTAAGCCACTCATTCACTACCCTTCCTTCACATAGTATTTAGTTGTCTACTTCTTTCACCCTTGCCCCTGATTTGCGACATCTCTTCGGATCATCCCAACATAGTAACAACATGCTGACTTTTGATGGTATACAGACCAAGCAGATCGAGGTGGAAGAGAACCTGCAGGTGGCAGATGCGCTGGGTTTGGGGCTGGACCGCCCCTTCGAGTGGTGTATCCCCTTGCCACCGGGGTACACCTCCGTCATCATGGGAGAATATCCCAACAGCAAGGTGTTCTCCCTGCTGAGCGGAGGCTCGGCAGAAGGCGGTCCAGCTCCTGCGGTGGAGCACACGAGGGGCGAGCGTTCGGTGCTGGCTCACCAGCACCAAGTCTGGCTGCGCAAGCAGAAACAGAAGAACCAGAAGGCTCGTGCCTTCGAGATCAGAAGCAAGAAGGCCTGAGTTTGTTGATTGGTGACAGGTGGCTAAATAGGGTCGAGAGATAATGAGAGGAAGCACCATGTATAGAGTATAAAAGAGTACAACCCATGTTTCAAAGACAAACCCCCTTTCTTAACCACTATAAGAAGGCACAACAATATGTTTGTTCTGTTGTATGTCCAGTGAGAGCTCGATGTTTGCAGTACTTCAATGGATGCAGCTCTGAATCGATCTACTTTGTGAGTTTCTATAGCTGTGACAGTCTCGAGTGTGTGTCAAGGAGATGCATGACGAGACAATAAAGAATGCAGGCATCCATCTCCAAAGTAGTTTAGCATGCTAAACAAGCAATAACATTGCAGAAGGATAACTACAATTCGAGGCGTATCCAATGAGAAGATTGCATCGAAGGTATCTCAATGAAATCGTCTCAGCAGCGATATGCTTTGTGCATTTCTATAGCTACTTCCGAAGCAACGGTCATAATTCGAGAAAGAAAGAGCAATAGGAAGGACGAGATGTCGTCTGCAAAAGTCCGGGGTCGATACTTCTGGATATTCTGCCAGAGTGAGTGGCCCGGGCGTCACTCGAAGTCGAGTCACCGCCTTTGCAGTCCCGCGTTCCGAGTAACAAGTTTAGTTTGCGACTGCTCTAAAGCGCGGTTCTTGGTTCATCGCGCTTTCTCTCTGCATTCACAGCCCATACGCAACTTCCACTCTTCTCACGCCTTTGCGCATTCACCGCGAACACACGACCTTCATCTCAACCCGCGACAACTCACACAACACACAGCAAAACATGTCCGACTACGGCGACGACGGCGGCGGTGACTTTGGCGCCGGCGAGTACGTCCCAACTCTTTCTACGCCCTCAAGTCCCTATCACTAATGCTGTTGTCACAGGGAGTACGATGACAACATGCTGGAAGACTACGACCAAGTCGAAGACCTCATCGACAACGACAACGACGCCCCCGGCGGCACCGAGGACCCCGAGAACAACGCCAACATAGTCACATCCGGCGATCCCAATTCCATCGCACGCGCAAATGCCAACTTGGGAGTCAAGGGCTTGAAGGAGAAGAGGATTGATAATGACAAGAGAACTACTACGCCGTACATGACCAAATACGAGAGAGCTAGAGTGCTGGGAACGAGGGCACTGCAGATCAGGTGAGTCGCGGAGAACAGAAGGAAGCCAAGAGCAGGACTCGAGAGACCCGTGGTGGAGGAGCAATGGAAGCTATACGGCAAAAGAGGGATCGAAAGGATACGAGAAAGAATTGGGCTGACGAGAATCACAGCATGAATGCCCCTGTTCTGGTCGACGTCGAGGGTGAGACGGATCCCCTGCAAATCGCCATCAAGGAGTTGCGCGAAAAGAAGATTCCTCTGGTTGTGCGCAGATACCTGCCCGATGGCTGGTACGAGGACTGGACCTGTGAGGAGCTTCTCTGAGCTATTCGTCTGCTCTTCTGCCACCGATCGAACACCTCCCTACGCACCTTTGCACCGAGTTCCCACACCACACATCCGACCCGCGAAACAGAACGCAGCAGAAGCCTTTGAGCGTCCATGGAGCAATCTATCGGACATACGTCTGCCATCATTCTGGAGTCGATCCGTCCTGCAATACCCGTAAATCGACTTCCGCACCGTGTGTCTCTATTTCCGCGCCATCTGTTCTTACGACCAGCCTTCCGGGTCACGTGAACAATCCTAGGCAGCTTTCAAAGCGGCAAGCGAATCGTTGTTCCGTCATTTTTCTTTTGCATTCGAGCGGGAGAAAACAAATACAAGGGCAAGGGCAAGAAATGTTTTTGGAAAAGCGACTGGGCACCATTATGCAAACAAACGAATCAGAAAAAACATATGCATCAAACTCAACCATCGTTCCAATCTGCTCTTGCAACTGTTTTTATATATGCTGATATCCAGACGCTGATTTGATAAGCTTTACTTTTGGTTCCCTGGAATCTACCTTTTGTCTCTCTCCCCAAGATGGACCAGAAAGTATACAGAAATTCATTAGCATGTGCGTACGAAGGAGACATGACAACAAATACCCAACTTTGCAAACCGCGAGCGAACTTTTCAGTCCTGCTGCAAATACTGCAACAAAGTCAGAGAATGTCATGGAGAAACTGTCTAAGGTGGTCTATAGAAGCAATCTACTCTTCATCCTCCTCCTCTGACCCGTCTTCCTCGCTGCCATCTTCACTGCCATCTTCTTCCTCGTCATCATCATCTTCCTCATCCTCATCTTCAACACCTTCGATATCCTCGAGTCCGTAGTCGTCTTCAAAGTCTGACAGTGCCTTGACTTCAGGCTTGAATCCTGCATCCGTGAAAGCCTTGACGAGGTTCTGTGCAAAACGTTAGTAATGTGTTTCTTTGTGGTTTGTGAGGGGTAAACATACCTCTTCCATGATAGTAGCACAGGTAACCACCAGATTGGTAGTCTCGGGGTTGAAGATGGGCATGATGAGTCTCTTGAGCACATTCTTGATTTCTTCCTCACTGACCCTTCTGACCTTCTCCAGCATCTCGTCATTCCAGTTCTTGGGGATGCCTCTGATGACTTGGTTGACGAACGACAAGTTGGCTGCACTGCCCATCGTGGGTTGCTCATCTGCGAATCCCATGATGATGCTACTGACGGCACCCTCAAGAGCAAACTTGTCAAAGGGAGTGGTGCCAGTGGCGTAGTTCTCGACTTCGGTCTTGGCGGCGAGGAAGGCCTTGAAGGTGTCGGGTGAGCGGTAGATACGCAAAGTCAGAAGACCGACGTCGACGGAGCGAGAGAAGCCAGTGCCGTACGCGAGACCAGTGCCGCGGACTGCTGCCCACAGAGGGCCCTCGACGGCATCGAGATACGATTGAGCGACCATGAGAGCGGGCAGGTCGGGATGAGACCAACTATCCGGACCGCGGGTGGTGAGCAAAGCGTATGAAGAGTCAATGGTCGAGAGGGGAAGAATGTAAGCTGTGTTACCAGGCTTCTTTGAGATCTCGCTGAGCTTGGACTTGCGAGAGTCAAGAGGTTGGAGAGGAGAGTTGTCGTTGTGGTTGCTGAGCAGGGCTTTCCAAGCTGAAACAGGATTCGAAAGGGTTTGAATGTTTGCGGCGACATAGACTCTGAAGTTGGAAGGCTTGTGAAGAGTGTCGATGCAGGTCTGCAGGCGAGAGATCACGAAGTCAGGGTTCGTTGCCAGGTGCTTCTTCAGGCGCTTGAGGTAGACAGACTTGACGAGAGTATTTCTGGAACGGCTGCTGGAGTCTCTGGTAAGGTGAATCATCGAATCGACTGCAGTGGCCATGTCCATGCCGCTACGCTTCTCGTCGGGGATATCAGCGAGCATCTTGACAATGGAAGTTTGCAGTCTCTCCTTATCCAAGACGGAGCTGAACAGGGTGGTGCGGAGCCAATCGATCATAGCAGAGTACTTTTCAGCTTCGACCTGGAAAGTAATCTGAAGAAGCTCGCCGTTACCAGGACCTGAACTGATGTCGTAGTCGACAGTATCCTTTTCGAGCTCAGTGACAACGTCTTCAAACTCGATACGCTTTCCATCGCGGGTGACAGGAGTCATGAAGAAGTTCGACAGGTACAATGCGAGCAGAGGCTTGAGCTCAGTAGGTAGCGAGCCAGTGCACATGACCAGCTTTGTGCGGACAAAGTTCGACGGAATGTGCTCGAAGTGGATGAAGAGGGGAATGTCAGAATCGTCCTTGTCGACGATTTGCTGGATCTCGTTGTCGAGCTTGCCCATCTGTCTGGCTCTGCCAGCTCTAGCAGTGGTAGTCGGAATGAAGTGGATGGACGATGTTCCGGGTACTGGGAACTGTGAGAGCACTTCATCAGGGATAGGCTTGTCGTTCTCAGCTTTGGCTTGCTCCAGCTTCACGGCCAACTCTTTGAGTCCTTTCTCGCCCAGCTTTTCCTTCTGTGCCTTGACTCTAGCCTTCTCATCGGTCTTGAGCTTCTTGGACAACTCTTTGGAAGGAACACCGAGGATTGACACGTGATGGGCATCTGCGAACCATGTCGACAAGTAGTCTCGCCATTGCTGGTCTGACCAACCTTCGAGAACATCCAGGTCCTTCAAGGTTTCCAACTCGCGAAGATCTGTGCCATCTCTGTTGCCGAACAAATGATCCTCGATGATAGGTGTTGCAAAGAAGTCTCCGGTACTTTCGCACTTGAACTTCATTTGTCTGCGGTAACGACTGAGACAATCCTTCATGTAGCCCATATCGAGGCTCTTGGAAGCAGTCTCCTTGAGAACTTCGAACAACCGCTTCTCGGCGTCGGCGAGTTTCTTGGTCTCGACGGCGCTCAGGTTGAACCAGAAAGCGATGTCAGGTCGCACATCAGTGGAGTAGTAGATCATGCTGCACAACTGTTCCTTTTCGACCAGAGTGTTTTCGAGAACGGAGACCGAAGAGCCACACAGGTAGATGAGCATGATGCCGAGTGCAGATGCCTGTAGATGATCGTTACAGTCCGGACCAAGGAAGCCTATCAAGACCTCACCCATAGACTCGTCATCCTCGGGAAACTTGACAGTGTCCACGATTGTCTTCTTAAGAGGCGGTGTACGCTTCGACTCAACCCAGGGACGTTGAAAAGGCGTCTCAGGCGAAGGGATATCGTCCATGATTGTGCTCTCAAACTCATCAAGGATTTGTAGGAGCTCGGGTTGGTCGATTTCACCGATGAGCACAAGGGACAAGTTCTTGGGCTGGTACATTTCACGGTGGAACTCTCTGATGCGGTCAGCCGTGAGAACACGGAGCTGTTCCATCATGCCGCCCGTCTCGTATCTGAAGCCATCACCTTCGGGATATCTAGAAAGCATTAGCTCCCATACAACTGTCTCGACCTAGTAATACTCACATCAGACGTCTCGCCTGCAGTTCCATGAGTTCTCCCTGTTGGTTCTGAACGCCCTGCATCTCGGAGTAGACAACACCGGCATCGTGGCCTGTGCCGTCGACATGAAAGACCTCGGTGTAACAGCCAGCGTCAGTCAGAGTGGGCACGAGTACGTGCTCAAGGTAGACGGGAAGAATTTGGGCAAAGCCTTCCCAGCCAGCGGTCTCGAGTGTGTAGGCGGTGTGGTCAGTGGCGGTCCAAGCATTTGTGTTGGAGTAAGCACGAGTGGCGAGTTTGTCCAGAACACCCTTGTAGCGATAGTTCTTGGAACCCATGAAGCAGAGATGCTCAAGGGTATGCGGCGAACCAGAGTCATCGCGAATCTCTGTGGCTAACGTGAAATAACCATAGACCTTGGGACCCTTCTGATCGACAACAACGACACGCATTCCAGTGCGTTCGGATTCATACTGTGCAATACCGATAGGGGCATAGTCGAGCTTGAACTTTTGGATGGGTTTGAAATGGGACTGAATCTTGGCGGCAGGCATGGTGTGGTGGTTGGAGCAGCACGAAGCCGCAGAGGTGAACTGGTGAGACTTTGGAGGAACGGCAGTCTTTGTAACGAGCCGGCAGAAAAGATTGAAGGCCAGAGGTGCAAACGAGAAAGTAGGCTTGCAGAATTGTGTAATTCCTAGAAGGATGCAAACGAGATGTTCAAGATTGCTACCAACAGGCTCGCCTCCAACATCTCTGTCTTGCAGAACGTGTGGTCTTGGAGGCATCCACTCTCACCACGCTAGACAGCGGGCCGAGCCGCGCGTAGTGACAGGCTGGAGCTTTCTTGTTGCATCAACGTCAGAGGAATCATGACAGAGTTGCGACAATGTCTAACAACCATCAGCTCAAGCAGGCCATCGTCGACAGTGTCGAGCATGGCACTTACCCGGAGCCCGACGTCTCGTCTGCCGAAGTCTCATCAACCCTCCTTCCCGCCCTGCTAGCCGATCTTCAAAAGGCGCGGGATGAAGTCAAGGTACGCTGTCACCGACACTTGATCTGTAGCTTGGATCTGATGGATTGTGAATAGACAGATATCCGTAGTCTGAGCAAAGAGGTTGCGCCCGACGTCGACGGATGGATCGCTCAAGCCAAAAAGCTTCAAGCCGACATTGAAAGATCAAAGGCAACGGCCAGGGACATTGTTGCTCAAGCCGAAGCTGGCAAGGCCCTGAAAGAGAAGACACACGATACTGGAAACAAAGTCCAACTGCTTGAGAAAGAAGTCGCTTTCAACCAATCTCTGACCACGACCCTGGAGCTGATCAAGTCGTCCTGTCGCATACTTGACCAGGCTGACCAAGCGTACACCAACGACCATTTACGCGCCGCTCTCGACCACATCAAACAATGCGACAACTCTATAACTGCTCTCTCTGCCGTTCAGGATACAAGAGCTGTCGGGCTGTTGCAAACACGCAGTTCACGCTTCAAGGCCGCTTTCCTGGACAGAACAATAGAACTTGCTCAGTCCCTCTTACATTGTGATATCACCAATCGCACTGTGACGATCAAGGATAACATCTCAGACTCGCCATCTGTCGACCTGGCGTTGGTTGTAGACATACTCCGATATCTCGGAGGTCTAGACATCTACATCAGACGATTGAAGCGCGACATCGAATTTGCCCTTGTCAACCCACGTCTGTCTACGAAATCAGGCCAGCACACTGTCTTCCAGGTCAAAGATGGTTGTATCAGCGTCTCGAACACGAGCTCCAAGCCCGACACTATCGCTACCCTGGACGATATCTGGATAATCTTGGACTTCTTCTCTACCCATCTACCGAAATCTGTTTGCGAGCCCTTGTCGCAGAAGTTGTTGCCCTCTCTGTTCGAGACACTCACATTTACTTGGCTCGACCAATCTGTTCCTGTACAAATCGAGCAGATGCCCGTCTTTCAACAAATCCTAGATCGCGTGTCCAAACTTGCCGAGCAAATCGACTCTCTCAACTGGTCAAGCACTGCTCTACTGAAGGACTGGGTGCAGAACGCTCCTAGGACGTGGCTGTCAAAACGTAGGGAAACAGCGCTCGGGGCAGCGAGAAGTCTGCTCTTCTCTAGTCTCAGGGACAGGAGAACCGTCGAGAGAGTTGAGACGCAGACCGTGTCAAAAGGCGATGCTATCATGGGTGGCACCGATGTCGACGAAGCAGACGATGCATGGGCCGCTGATTGGGAGGAAGATACGCCAGAGACACAGGAAGCCGACGCCAAGAAACCCGAGCCTACAACGAATGATGACGAGGATGACGATGCCAGCGCATGGGATATGGATGAGGATATTGCATATGTTCCGGCCGGATCGTCTGCACCTGCAGCCAATGGAGAGAACCAGGAAGATGACGCAGCAGACGCTTGGGGTTGGGGTGATGACGAGCAAACCACAGACGATACATCGAAGCCGGACTCTCCAGCGAAAGCCGTCAAGGCTCAGAAGACAAGTCAGACGACATCATCTGGCGAAAGAGAACTGACGCTCAGGGAGACGTACACGGTGACGGCAGTGCCGGATGGAATGCTCGACATTGTCATGCAAGTTGTGTCGGATGCCGAAACTTTGACAGACCCCAGCTATTCTGGATCTCCCATAGGACCAGCAGCCTCGGCGTTATATACCTTGCCGACGTTTGTGCTCGCCATATATCGGGCTACAGCATCCACAGCTTACGGCAAATTGGACTCGGGCAACATGCTGATCTACAACGATGCTTCTCGACTGGCTGATCAAATCCGGACTTTTATCAACAAGCAAGCCGAAAAGGATGCGAATTCAGCACTACCGGCTCATTTGAGACCATCATCACGACTTAGACTGGATAATGACATCAAGGCGTTGGAAACATTTGCAAAGAGAGCATACAGTGCCGAGATGGAGTCGCAACGTACGATTATTCGTGACATGCTCGATGGAGCTCAGGGCTTCTCCAACTGCAATGCGGAACCATTCACGAGCGCATGCGAGAGTGCTGTCAGCATTACTGAAGGACGGCTGCGCGACGTACACAAGCAGTGGACACGGATCTTGTCACGATCCGCCTTGTTGCAGTCTTCTGCGTCGCTGCTCAGCACGGCGATCGGCAAGATGATCATGGAGATTGAAGAGATTCAAGACATTGGCGAAGAAGAGTCCAAGAAGCTTCGGCAGCTTTGCGATGAGATGTCGAAAGTCAAGGATCTGTTCATGCAGGAGCATGAGGGCGGAGAGGCAACGGACATGACAGGCATCTACTGCCCGAACTGGTTCAAGTTCCAATACCTAGGCGAGTTGCTGGAGAGTTCACTGGCGGACATCAAGTATTTGTGGACCGAGGGCGAGTTGAGACTCGAGTTTGAGGCGGATGAGGTGACTGATTTGATTGAGGCTCTGTTTGCGGACAGCGATTACAGACGCAAGGCGATTGCAGATATCCGGAGGAGCTAGATGGATTGGTGGTGCAACCCCCAAGAGTCATGCAAAGGCGGGAGGAGCCAAAGGATGAGACATGGGTATCTAGTCCATCAGACATTACCGTTTGAAAGAAAGTGAAGCCTTTTGTCAAGTTGTATGCAGACTGTATCATGTCAGAGCTGCAAAATGGAAGTTGATGGTACTGGGGTGTGTGGAGGTGAAATGACCGAATCACGACACACAAGCCCTGGGGCGGCAGGGGACCGGGCGGAGATGAGAATGCCACGGCCATGGCCATGCATTGACGACGACAACGAGGCGCCTAGTCTCTGGCCATCTGTTCAGTATAACCAGTCATAGACTATAGTCGGCTTGGCCTAGCAACGACGACGACGACGACATCAGCGACGACACACGACAACGAGCCGGTGGCCCAACGTCCGCAGACGCCCGTTCCAGCCTCGTCAGGCCCAGCATTAATTATCCAGAACAGTCGCCAACCCTCGAGCGCCGCACAAGAGACGGGATTCGGATGTTCGACGGAACTGCTTTGTACAGCACAGCGCATAGACAGTCGACGGGCGTGTTGCGTGACAAGCAAGCGCATTCGTCAAACGTATGCGTATGCCACCCGCCGCGAGAGCCCAAGCCGAGCTCCACCACCAGAAGACCAAACTCGCAAACTCGTATAGCGAGCTTCTCGAGTAAGACTTGCCCTGAACCTTGTCTTGCTGGTAGACGACAACTCACTCGACACAACAGCGAATTCAGCAGCAGCGACCTCCGTGCTGTTGGCAACTACACCGTCGGTCGCCTGATAGGCAAGGGCTCGTTCGGAAAGGTCTACCTCGCCTCGCACAAACTCATCAGCGGTTCAAAGGTCTGCCTCTCTCCCGCCCACATCGTCACCACCACTGACCTCTCCAGGTCGTCCTCAAATCGGCCAAGAAGGATGACGCCAACCTCGCTCGCGAGATCCACCACCACCGACAGTTCCTCCACCCACACATCGCACGTCTCTACGAAGTCATCGTCACCGAATCGCTGGTATGGCTAGTCTTGGAATGGTGTCCCGGCGATGAGCTGTACAACCACCTCCACGAACATGGTCGCATGCAGGAAGAGCAGGTCCAGAAGATCTTCACCCAACTAGTTGGCGCAGTCTCCTACGTCCACTCAAAGTCATGCGTCCACCGCGATCTCAAACTCGAGAACATCCTGCTCGACAAGCACGGCAACGTCAAATTGGTCGACTTCGGCTTCACCCGCGAGTACCAGGGCACCACGAGCTACCTGCAGACCTGGTGCGGTACCGTGTGCTACAGCGCCCCGGAGATGCTTAAAGGTGAGAAATATGCCGGCGAAAAGGTCGACGTCTGGAGTCTGGGCATCATTCTGTACGCTCTGCTCTGCGGAGAATTGCCCTTTGACGAAGACGACGAAAACGAAACAAAACAGCGCATCCTCAAGGAGGACCCCAAGTACCCAGACTACGTCCCCGAAGGTGCCACTGACCTTCTTTCGAAACTGCTGTCGCGCCGCCCTCTTCTGCGACCACCTCTGGCCGATGTTCTTCGTCACGCCTGGCTGCAAGGACACGCCCCTCAACAACAGGAGATTCTCAAAGTCTTGCAACCTCCGCCATTCAGTACCGAAGTTGAAAAGGCGACATTACAACGGATGCGAAGCGCTGGCGTCAACATCGACCACGTCATCGAGAATGTGCTGGGACAAAGATGCGATCCGCTAGCTGGCTGGTGGGGTCTGCTGCTCGAGAAAGAGGAGCGGAAAGAGAGAAGGCGATTACGGAAACGAAAAGAAAGGGAAGCAGAAGCGAGGAGTTTGAGAAGGTTGAGCGCATCCAGCAGTCGCCTCTTGAATGCGCCCAGCCTGAGAGAGATCACAGAGGAAGAGCAAGCGCGACTGAGTATCGTCTCACCCAAGACTAGAGGCCGGGGTGTGAGTAGATCCAGCGCTGCACCTCCTGATCTTCCCAGAGTCACCGAAGGCAAAACGCCCGAACCCGAAGATCGACCACCACCTCCTGTGGAAAAGGACCACCGCCGTCGTTCGCCTTCCATCACTTCCTCGAGCTGTGGTCCTGCTCTGCCGCCGAAGGATGTGCCCAGACGACCGCGTGCTGCTAGTAGAACCAGCTCTCAACTGCTCCAAGTTATACACACCAAGAACGATCTGCTGGCCCCGCCGCCATTCCATCAAAAACTACGGAAACGTCCCTTCAAAGATCAACTCGCCCATCTCAAATCCTGGTTCAAGGCCAGCAGTGGAAAATCGCAGAAGAAGGACAGCCAAGAACAGATTGAGACACAACTTGCGACTGCTCGTAAAGTTTCAATGCCTTCAAGTCAACGAAGAGGATCTGCTAACGACCTCATGACGGACCCGCGGAAGAGCCCGCGCCCAGACATGCCCACGCGAACCACATACCCCGTCCGTCCACGTATATCCACCGCCTCATCCTATGGCTCTGCAACATCTCGGACCCATGGTGGAAACAGGCCATCACTCTCGCCAGCGCCAGTTACACCACGCTCCTCCATCTATCGTCGCAGCTCTGGTTTGCGTGGCAGAAAATCGACTTCTTCATCCGTCTCATCCGTGCGCAGCATCCATGGACACCATCATTCCCTCTCTCGCGCATCCACTACATCCTCGAACTCTGTGGCCTCTCCCTCTCTCAGCACACATTCACGCGCCATCTCAAGGTCACCACACACTAGCGGCAGTGTCGTGATCCTACCTCCATCCACACCCACTTCTGTCACAGGCACTTTCCCATCTGGCATAAGAGTGGCCAGACATCCTCCTCCTGGTAACCTTGGTTCTCTACCTACGCTCTCCGCACAAGCTATGAACTCACCCATGAGCTACACCTTCGGCCCTGCGTCTCCAGGCATGCACCCGGTCTTTGCAAAAAAGAAACGCAGCGTCTTCAAGGGACCGAGCTTGGGCAATACACCCGGCGCACGAGGCAGAGGCTCCAGTCACAACAGCTCTGGAGAAAACAGTCGTGGCACCAGTGCTCAAGGGCGTCGCAGCAATGAGATCACCATTACTGAAGAAGACGAGGAGGAAGAAGAGCAGCAAGAAGAACCAAAAGACTTTTTCGGAAAAGTCACTCTGCATGACCAGGGCATGAGATTGGTCGAGGAAGACGAAGAGGAAGATTTGGAAGTCGAAGAAGTAGAGAGTTTCTCTCCCATCGAAGAAGGCGACACCACTGCTTTCATCATTGAAGAGGAAGAAGAAGACGAGGAAGATCCTGATGCTGATGTCACTGTTATACCCAATCTAGGAGAGGACGAGACCGGAGCTGAAGAAGTCAATCCTCTTTCAACGGAGATGAGTCGGGATGCGAAAACCATTGCTGAAGATGTTTTGAGTAGAAGGGTTGTCGAGGGAGAAGAATCGCATGGGGACACAAGTCAAGGGTTGGGCATTAGTGGCGCTGTGGGTTAGAGATGCATCATGTCTTTGATTTTGTTTTTGAGCAATAAACGTCACGGAAGTGTTTTTGGGTATGCCATAGCAAGGGCAACTGTAACTGTAGTAATAAGAATGATCACCAAGAGTCAGTAAGAGAGTTGAAAATTCGCTCGGTGGAAGAAAGGGTGAAATGGACTGCGGGTGCTGTTCGGTGACGATGACTGTGTTTCGAATTTGCTGTGTCTCCTCTGGATGACATCGAGCTAGAGCAGTCTGAGATGATGCTTAGTAGTATACTATATAGGTGTTAACATACAAGGGAGATGTCTTTCACTTCGCTTCTAGGGTCCTGATCCGAGTTCGAAAACTACCTCAAACTCTCGCACGAAGAGATGCTAAGTAATTCACCGGTAAACAGCAGTCACCGCAGCTCTGTGAGAAAGGGTCTTTTCCATGAACCCACCTCACCCTCCCAGTCTCTTCTGTCGCCTTCGCCCATTCCTCCTTCCCATCAGCATAAGCAATTTCGTCACATCAAGCATCATGGCAAAGAGAAACCGCAAACAAACCTCGAAGCAGCAACAAATCATCGCAAAGAACAACCCCAACAAAGACGAAAACACCAACACCGAGGCCAATAACACACAAATTGGGATACTGAACACGAGACAAACCATCGGCGAACCCTTATTCTTCTTCAGAGACGACGAAGTTCCCTACGGCTTTCTCTGTCAATGGTACCGATGCCGATATACAGATCCGGATTCGGGCCTCGAGTTCAGCAGTGCAGAACAATGGATGATGTGGAACAAGGCCCAGCTCGCAGGTGACGAGGTCTCCGCCAAAGCAATCATGTCGACGACTTCGCCTCGCAGACAAAAACAACTCGGCCGTGATGTTTCCAACTTTGATGTGCAAGCTTGGGATAGAATCAAGCTGCAAGTGGTGGAAAAAGGCAATTACCTGAAGTTTACACAGGGGAAGAATTTGGTGTCGATGAAGATGGACAATGAAGGAGAGCCAGTGTCTCTCAAGGGTTTGTTGCTTGCCACGGAAGAGCGAGAGTTGGTGGAGGCGTCTCCGTTTGATAGGGTTTGGGGTATTGGGTTTGATGCACAGCAAGCCTTGGTGACTCCACGGCAGAAATGGGGGCAGAGTCTGTTAGGGACTGCGTTGATGAATGTTAGGGAGAATATCAGAAGAGAAGAAGAGGGTGAAAGGAGCCAGGGTGATAAGAAGACGTGACGTGAAGCTATCCCTGGATGTCATGGTCTGTCGTATGGCAGCTGTGTAAATGCATAAGTTCCCTTGAAAAACAGCACGACTTTTGGTGAAAGTCGTAATCTCATCAGCCCTATGTAGTTGGACTCGACTCAGTTTCGCAAACCATCGTGCATTGTCGCAGCTTGTAAACGTCGCTGTGTTTCTGCAAAGAGAAGTCGACGGCTGAGGCAGGCACGATTGATGCGTGGTGCAAGGCTGTTGGGTAGAACTTCAAGTCTATCCGTGAAAGCAAATCAGATGCCATTATGGCAATGTGCCATTGTGGTCACGCAATTCAACGTCGCAGCAATCGTGTCGAAAAGCGGTTAACCAATACCTTCCACTTCGCGAGATTGTTGGTCAGCTTATACCTGTTGATCGTGTGGTGTTGCATTGAGAATCGATTCGGTGATTACTCCAAAGGAAACAACTTGCTTGTATTGACCATGTGACGTTGAACAAGTCGTGTGGCTATGCTTGAAGCCGAACACACAAATCAAAGGTCTCAGCCAGTGACTGACCTACAGCGATGCTTTTGAGACTTCTTTGCATGTTGTGCGTCCTTCGATGCAGCTGCTGTCCTGCAGCCGGCTGAGCACGAGCCAGCCGCAGAGAGTCAGAAGAAAGCTTGGTCCATCTAATCCTTCGTCGAGTCCCGAGTCTTTCCAACTCGGCCGCTGAACACAACAGATCAACACGCGAAGGATTCAATACCGCTTCTATTGGTCGTACTCAGAGAACCTTCACCTGAGTATTGAATTGTACTACGCGGTCAATCACCTTGTGCAAAGCTCGGGAGCCAAGCGATTTGTATCAACAGCCACGGTCAAGAATGGTTTTTCTAGAACTGACTGGTTGAAGGATGCAACCTCGAAATGCCGTTGGCAACCGCGAATTCACCCGAGTTCAACATGGGAATAATCACCACTCGCGTGCCTAGCTTGTCTAAAATCTGGACAGTGAAGAGGGTCCCTTGGTCGATCTCTTCGGTTCTGAGTCGTCAGTGTCAGAAAATTGTGTCACGCATATTCCTCTAGGCTCTTCCTATCAATTGTCGACACCGTTCGGGCTGCCAGCGGCCAAAAATCTCCTGTCTCTCTGTGGTTTCTTTTACACCCGGTGGCGCCGCCGACGACTTTAAAGATAGTGGCTTGCAGCTGCAGACCTTAGCCTTTTCTACGTAAATAAGGGACGGTGACACGGCTGGAGGTGCATTTCGTTTTTCCCTGTACAACATTTTTGCGACTCGCGGCTGTCACATTCGCAGAAGATTGAAAAATATACATTTCTGCTGTCCATCTCTTCTTGTTTTCGTACCACAGAATCTTTTCGGACCTTGCAGCTGAGGAGCCGGTAAATCATGGAAGACGCCAAAGGGATCATCCCTAATGCTCGACAATATTCGTCGCCCTCAGGCTCTGCGGCCGAGGTTGGTCATAACTACGACCAGCCTAGGTCATGGTCCACACGCTTCGTCGACAGCTTCAAGCGCGACCCAAACGCACACGCTACACCCCCAGGAACAGTCGGCGCAGATGGAAAAGTATTTGATGTCGAACATGCGAACGCCGCGACCGCCGACTCTGGCCTGTCTAGACATTTGAAGGGCCGTCATCTGCAGATGATCGCAATTGGTGGATCAATCGGTACTGGTCTTTTCGTCGGATCTGGATCGGCTCTTGCGAATGGAGGTCCTGCTTCTCTGATCATTGCTTACGGTATCATTGGATTCATGCTTTACACTACCGTTCACGCTCTGGGAGAAATGGCTGTGCTTTTCCCGATCGCTGGTTCCTTCAGTGCATACTCGACGCGTTTCTTGGACCCAGCATGGGGCTTCGCTATGGGTTGGAACTATGCTTTGCAATGGCTGGTTGTGCTTCCTCTGGAGATTGTTGCTGCTACCATCACCATTCAGTTCTGGAACGACAAGATCGATCCTAACGCTTGGGTTGCCATCTTCTTGTTTGTTATCATCGGCATCAATCTTTTCGGTGTAAAGGGCTATGGCGAGGCCGAGTTCGTCTTCTCCATTCTCAAGGTCATCGCCGTCGTTGGTTTCATCATTCTTGGCGTCATCATCAACGTTGGTGGTGGTCCTGAAGGCGGTTATATCGGTGGAAAGTATTGGCACGATCCCGGACCGTTCAATCACGGTTTCAAGGGTCTTTGCAGTGTGTTTGTTACAGCTGCATTTGCCTTTGCTGGAACTGAGCTGGTTGGTCTTGCTGCTGCCGAAACAGCCAACCCTCGCAAGTCTCTCCCCACTGCCGTCAAGCAAGTCTTCTGGAGAATTTTCCTGTTCTACTTGGTCTCTTTGACTCTCGTTGGCCTTCTGGTTCCCTACAACGACCCGCGTCTGATCAACGGTACCAGCAGTGTTGACGCTAAGGCCAGTCCTTTCGTCATTGCCATCAGAAATGCCGGTATCGACGGTCTGCCTTCTGTCATGAACGCCGTCATCTTGGTCGCTGTCCTCTCAGTCGGCAACTCTTCCATCTACGGTTCATCGCGTACTCTTGCAGCTCTCGCCGACCAGGGTCAAGCTCCCAAGATTCTCGGATACATTGATCGCAAGGGCCGTCCCATTGTCTCGATCGCCATTTCCTCGCTCATCGGTTTCCTCGCCTTCCTCGCTGGCTCTGACAAGCAAACCGATGCTTTCAACTGGATGCTGGCACTCTCTGGTCTCAGTTCCATTTTTACATGGCTCAGTATCTGTCTTGCTCACATCCGCTTTCGCAAGGCGTGGAGAGTCCAAGGCCACACTCTGGACGAGCTGGCTTTCGTATCGCAACCTGGCCTCATTGGCTCATGGATTGGTCTGGTGCTCAACATCGTCGTCCTCATCGCGCAGTTCTGGACTGGCTTTGCACCCATCGGATATGCCGAAATGTCGACCAGCGATTTGATCATCAACTTCTTCGAGGTCTATCTTGCTGCACCTGTTGTCGTTATTTTCTACGTTCCTTACAAGCTTTGGTACCGTACGCCGTTTGTTCGCTCCCACAATATGGATCTGCACACTGGTATCAGAGAGCTGAACATTGCTGAGCTGGTTGCTGAGGAGAGAGCTGAGCAGGCTCAGTGGCCGGCGTGGAAGAAGGTGTACAAGTGGTTGTGCTAGACGCTTCAAGGTCCTGCGTTTAGTGTAAATATGCATTGTCTGTGGTTTTTTTTTTTTTTTCCTAGCATCAGCAGGGGGATATGAACAAAAAGGATACAGCGTATAATCTTTCCCTAATATGCTGTGTTGTTATGAACTAATAGATTTAGAATACCAATTTCGTTACCTGTCACTCCGGTTTACGATCACCTCTGCTGTCTTTGACGTGAGATCAAACCCTGAATTCTCTAGTAACTGTTTTGCGTGCGTGTTGGATATCTCGACTGAAAGGTTGGAACATGGTTGTCCTGAGCGATTCACATGTGACTGAGCTGCCCGCAAAAGGCTTCGATGCAGCGTCGTCATTTGACAAACACCGTCTCTTCTCTTCCTTGCAATCCCCACCTATATACAAACATGAGCGGCGCACTAGGTCTAGGAGGCTACTCGAGTAGCGAAGATGAAGACGAGAATATCGCGCCAATCTCCAAGGCAAATCAGGTAACATCGCGTCCTAGACACTTGGGCGCGCGCAAAAAAACCAAGGTCGGGTAGCTGCTAATCGAAGTCGCCATGCTAGGCCGTCGCGAACAAGACGATTGGCGAGGCTTTGCCGGAAGTCGTTTCGTGTATGTGTATATTGTGCATTTGGTTGTTTTACAAGCTTCTGACTATTCTTGCAGCTAACTCTCGACATGCGGCTCCCGCCATGATTGTCGAGTCGACTACCGAACCGCCACGACAACCTTCTCCGACACCCGTCTCAGCACAACAGCCTGCGCCTGCTCCAATGGGACCAGCTCTTGGTCCCATGGCTGGCCCATCTGCGGGACCTTCGCCCATGCTAGAGCCCCGTGCTCCCACGAACCCGACAGAAGACGAGGATGCCTCCGCTCCACCATCGCCCTACACAGCCAACCGTCTGATACTCAGAAACCTCACCATGCCACCCGTGCCGAACTTCGACATTCCACCATCGCCTCCGGGCTCTCCGCCACCAGACACAACGAACAAGTTTGCGAGATTTCTCGATTTGAAGAAGAAAGGAACACATTTCAATCAACGACTGTACCACTCGTCGGCATTGCGCAATCCTGGTCTTTTGCCAAAGTTACTCGACTTTGCTGGCATCAGTCAGGAGGATCAATACGCCACTCCATGGTCACAGGGAGCGGTTGCGACGAAATTTCCCGATTGGGCGTATGGCGACAAGTTGGTTGCTGCGCATGAGAAGATTGCAAAGAAGAAGGAACAGGACAAGGCCAGGACCCCAAGAGAAGCAGTGGACTTTGTGCCGGCAAGACAGGAAGCAGCGGGTGCTTCGACATCGGGAAGAGTGGAGAGGAGAACACAAGGCAGAAGAGGGCTAGGCTTCGACAACGAGAGAAGGCGATCTCGTTCGCCCAGATGAAAAGACAGAGTCAAAAGGATCACAGACCCCAATACTTTTCAAATCTCATCTTGACGCCTTCCCAGGTGTTGAGCTTGGGGCGGACGTCGAGGAAAAAGTTTAGGGATTTGCCGGGCTTGCCCTCGTTCTTGCCGGCGTAAAAGTCTATGACATAGTCGATGTGGGTGCCGCAGCGGTCGACGATCCAGTCGTGTCGGTCAAAGGGCTTGGAGTAGCCCAGGATGGAGTTGAAGCGTGCTCGGGGGGTCAGTTCCTTGGACTGGCCCATGAAGGAAACGAGACGAGGACCACCACATCTGTTGGAGAGGTTAGCTCGAGCATACAGGGGTTGGCTCGTGCAGATAGACTCACGCCTCAGAACCTCTGCCCTTTTCCCAGGCCTTGATCTCCTTCCAAGCTTGCTCGTTGACAGCGTTGTGAATGGGTACAATGGTGCGCATGTCGGCGGCTTCGGGGTCGTAGTTCTTGCGCTTCATGGCGTTGAAGAACATTTCCTCGGACGGGTAGACCCAGTTGCCACTCTTCTCATCGACACCAGACTCTTGCTCGTTGTTGGCAGGACTGTGTGTGTTGACGGCGGCATCGTGGCCTTCTGCTGAGACGGCGCGGGGAATGGTCGAAATCTCGCGGAAAGTGTCGAGAGCACTGCGCTGGGCCGGTGACATGATGCTCCTGGGAATGGCAGCTAGCCATGTGCCATGGTCGAGTGAATAGCGGGTCTGAATAGGAATCTGGCTGAGGTCGATATCGTTGGGTATTGACGGCGTGGGAGTTGCTTGAGGCGGCGGAGGTGCTGGAGGATCCTGGGACTTGACCTTCTTGGCCTGGTCTAGCCATGCCTGGCGAGTTTCATGGTCGACTGGACAGGCAGTGGCGTCGACACTTGCTGCAGACATGTTGGGCGTGTTTGTGGATGGCGAGTGGATTGTCACATGCCGAAACAAAAAGTAGTTTCCATGACCGGATGCCGGGGACGGGAGCGCCAAGGTTCCGATCCGTCCAAGCTCCATCGGGCGCGTCACTCGCTGCAGACTCGCAGCAGCTGGCAATAGCATACAATCAGCACATCAACCATCTATCTCTCATCAGACCCGCCTTGTCTCTCTCGAAGTCTCTCATCCGCCATTGACCTCGTCTCCCGAACCTCACGTATCTCTCCTCTTCACAATGAACCACTTTCCTCACGGCTGGGGCAGAGTAAGCTCATTCTCTCGCCCGTACACCTGCCGCTCCCATACTGATTGCCTGCGAAGCCCAGAGATGATGTTTACGGCGCTTACGACTACTCTCACTTCGGCCCCCAAGATCACTCGGGTCCCATCCAACATACTCAGTCGCCCATCGTTACCGGTACTTCGGTCATCGGTCTCAAGTACAAGGACGGTGTTGTCATCGCCGCCGACAACCTAGGTACATAATCTCCATCTCAGCTACTACCCGGACCCTCACCTCTGACACTCTCTCAGCTTCATACGGATCCCTTGCCCGCTTCACCGATGTCAAGCGTCTGCGCGTCTTCAACAAGCAGTCTATCGTCGGCTTTGGTGGCGATGTTTCCGACATGCAGTACCTCGACCGCCTCCTCGGCACCCTAAGCATCAACGAGAACTACCAATCTTCCGACGACGTCACCGCCCTCTCGGCACAGAACCTCCACACATACCTCAGCAAAGTCATGTACAAGCGCCGTTCCGACTTCAACCCCCTGTGGAACGCCCTTCTCGTTGCTGGTCTCGATGACAAGAAGAAGCCCTTCCTGGCCAGCGTTGATCTTCTCGGTACCACCTTCAGCGCCCCGACACTTGCCACCGGTTTCGGTGCTCACCTCGCACAACCCATTCTTCGCCGCGCAGTCCCCGACGAGGAGGCAGCAGCCAAGTTGACCAAGGAAGAGGCTATCGAGACTATCAAGCAGTGTATGAAGGTTCTCTTCTACCGCGACGCAAGGAGTATGGACCAATACAGCATTGCTGTCATCGACAATCAATCAGGTGTTGACCTTAAGGAGGCTGAGAAGCTCGAGGCCCAGAGCTGGGCATTTGCAGAGGGCATTAGAGGCTACGGCACTCAAACAGCATAGATGATGGACTTAAATTCGGCATCACGACATGAATGGCGTTTTCTCTTTTGAGCAGAAGGGGGTTTTAGGCTTTGCACACCATCAATGTATATTACCAATCAAGCGGACTTTTTGCACTTTTAACGTGCGATAACCCTCAACACTTCCCTTTCGGTCTCACCCGGCACAGTTCTACTTAAGGAAGGTACACTTTCGTGGCAGATGTTCATCCACGACCAAGGCCGAACTTCTGCCACCACAACCGCTTCTCTCCCCGACCTGCGAGTCATTTCATGTTTCATGTGCGAACACCTGTTACAGACCTGCCATCCTTTGCAATAAACCGCCTTCTCGAACCTCCAGATGATGTTGCCGCCATTGAATCATCAAGATTGCGCAAAAGCTGTTTCTGGCTGAGACCATCTGTCGTCGCTCATGCAACCCATTGCGCTGGACGACAATTCTATGTCATGACCACAGCACATGCGACACGCGCTACAACTGTCTTCTTCCAAGGACCAGGCTAAGATTGTTCTGCCCTGGACTCTAGTCGTTGGTCCTGTGAGACCTGTTTCCAGGTTCTTTGGCAAGTGCCAGTTTCAGGTACTTGCGATGACGCCCCCAGCACTTCGTCGATGCTCGAGAGATAACATTCGGTGACTCGTGTCGACCTTCTTCCCATACGGCTTTTCCGCCACAGTTGGTAGGCCTTATTCTTCTTTACCTATTGGTAGACTTTGTTGCACGATGACACTCGGCGGCCGAGTTGACACACGCCTGAATTATTCACCAAGGGTCTTTTCCTTCTGTCTAGGCTATGTCCAGTAGGCAAATGACCTATTCTCTTACAGAGACAACGTTTTCTTTCTTCCATATATCTCATTCAACCACACCTCGACCTATCTTCTTCCATCCCCTTGCCGTGATCCAGACACGATAGGAAAACTTGACGAACACACTATGAGCGATCCGAGTACGACACCGGCAAGGATGCCACCACCGGGTGTGACGAGCAATTTCATCAACCCTGTCAACACTGGATACCAACAGACGATATGCAATGTACTGTGTTCTATCTTTGTCGCCATATTTGTGGGTACGAGGATATACACGCGCATCAAACTGGTCAAATGCGTCAGTTGGGACGATTGTAAGTGTCTAGGGCCTCGAACTTCCAGAGACTTGCCTTTGCAAAGAGAAGCTTGCTGATGACCAGAGCAGATCTTATCATACTGGCAGCACTTGTGTTCTACGCCGAAGTGGGATGTTTCCAATACATTGTTCAAGTAGGCTTGGTGCGTTTAGATGTTTCGATTCCTGATGTTCGTCCTTGCTGATACACCTACCAGGGGAGACATCTATGGGACGTCAGCGCCGAACGATTCTCACCAACTTTCCTGGAGGTCTGGACGTTTGGTGCCATGATCTATTCTGTCTGCATGTTGCTCACCAAGATGTCCATCTTGATGTTGTATCGAAGACTGTTTCCTATCGACAATTTCAGGTATCTCTGGTGGATGTGCGTGTTTTGTACCATGGGATATGGTTTGGGTGCTATTTTCTCGAGTCTATTTGCTTGTGTGCCTGTTAGGGCTCAGTGGTGAGTTGCTGTGGTTGTGACCAAGTGTGAAGGGGAGAGATATGCTGACTAGCATTCGTGAATATAGGGATCTGACAATATCTGCTTCGAGGTGTATCAACAAGCAGGCCTTCTATATCGGCAATGGCGTGATGAATATCATCAGTAAGTTCTACAGGTGTCTCTTACTTGTCGTTAGCAAGGACTAATCATGCATGCTCCACCAGCGGATCTGATGATCCTTGCTCTTCCTATACCTATTGTTTGGAGATTGACTCTTGAACTGAGACAGAAAATCATTCTCAGTGTTGTCTTCACGCTAGGCTCGATGTATGTGTTTACCCTTTTCTTCCTGACCACCTTATCACTGTTCAACCAACCTGACATATTCTCCCAACAGCTCCTGTGTCATCAGTCTGGTGCGTCTCCTCAGCATCGTGACATGGATCCGCGTAGGGAATAGTGACATAACCTACACCCTCCAACCCATCGTAGCCTGGTCGTACGTATTCTTCACCTCCTCTTCCCACCTCCAACTGCACCAACTAACCTGATCCAAAACACAGCGAAATCGAACTGGCAGCCTGCATCATCTGCGCCAACGCCCCCTGCCTGCGCCCCTTCTTCACCACTCACCTCCCCTTCCTCTCCCTCTCCACCCGCGCCTCCGCCTCCACAAACGACAAGACCAATCCCGCGGGAGGCAACAACAACAACAACTTCCCCACCACAATCGGCGGCAAGCGCTCCCGAGCTATTTCGCCATACCCCTACGACGACACCGAAGGCATCTTCGACGGCACCCAAGACATTGAACTCGACGCCTACGATATCGAGATGCAGAAAGGCAGTGGCGGTTCTGAGACCACCAGTCCTCCTGACTATGCGACTCATGCGAAAAAACACTCGTTTGCTAAACATGGGTATAAACCTTCTACTGGAAACGTCACCATTGTTTCGGTGTCGTTGCAGAAGACAGGGAGCAGAAATGCAAGCAGAAAAAGCAGTTTTTCTTCTACTTTCGAGGAGAGTGGGTTGGGGAAGAGTGTTAGTAGACAGCAGAGTCTGAAGAGCATTGGAGAAGAGAGGAGGGGAAGAAGGGGCACAGTCGGGCAGAGGGGGAGGGGTGATGGGGATGAAGGGGGTATTGTGGTGCAGACGACTTATCATGTTCAATCTGCCAAGGAAGATCTTTGAAGTGCTTGTAATATCCGTTCAATGTCAGTTTTAATGATAAAGATTTGTGCTTTCTGGAAAAAAAAGCTTGATGTGAATGGGTGGTCTCTTTTGCTTCGAGTGGTTTCAAGCCGGAGGGAGCTCAACAATGAATGTTGTATTGTCTGTTTGATGCCGTTTTGATGATAAGAACTGTACTTTCTGATAAACGTCTGGTTTCTTGACGTGGACCGATGGTTTTGCTGCAGGCATGTCAAAGGATGAAAAGGTCAAAATGCCAGCTTTTGAATTTCGTAATATCTAATTCGTAAATCTTATGTCCGCAATAGACACATCTAGCTGGTGCCAGTGCAACCAACAAAGTCGTTTCCGGAAGCTCCGGTGTGGGTAACAGTGCCAGCCCATTGGCCTTTGGTGTTGAAGATGACTCTGTCAGCACCGGGAGAGCCACCGGTAAAGACACCGCTGGTCCTAGAAACGTCATGTCAATATCAGTACTACGCAGATATGGTGACGTGCAACTGACTTCAAGGGGAACTCCTCATAAGGACCAGAAACGGGGAAGTCGAAGCCTTCGTAGTTGTTGTATTTGTGGGGGTAGTCATTGCTACCGTAGGTGCGGCCGGCTTGGTAATCGCCATAGCCAGCGTTGACGGCAGAACGGACTTGAGAGGCGCTGTATGAGGTGCTGCCACAGGTGGTTGCTTGTTGGCGGGCTTCGAGGTCGGTGGGGAGGGCGATAGAGGAAGCTGCGAACAGCACGGCAGAGGCGAAGATGGACTTGAAGAGCATGTTGCTTGTATATTTTTTGTGTCGAGTATGAAGAGAACGTATGCTTGGGAAGGTGTATTTGGGGGAGCGAAAGTGTTATTTGGTTCTCGAAGCGAATGGAGAGTCGTGATGGAGTTGAACGTCTCTGGTCGAGAGAGCAAGCTGATATTTGACTTCCTACGTGTTGGTGATAGTCTGATGGACCGACTCTCCTGGACATCCAGACGTCCGAGAGTCATGCACCTCGTTCTTACTGTCTTATCTTCCATTGGCGAGTCCTCGAGGGCAGGAAAGTAACTTCCATCTTAGCGAGGTCTTGTGCTGCAAGAGGTAGACGATAGTCCGTAGCGGTCGTTGTGCAGCGACCTGAGCTCTGCAATTCCCTCCAATCGCTGGTTTCAGTCGGACATTCCATGCATGCAGCAGTGCACATCAAACCGGGAGATGTCAATAGCGGTAAGAGTTAGCACAAAGTGTCGTGCATATATGCCTTCCTACTTGAGTAAAACGCCCTGAATATCTGTCTTGTTATAGCCGAGGCTACACACGACAGTGGAGAGCAGCCAAACAGCCAATAATCTGCTGATAAGAAAACACGTCTTGGAAGGACACAAGCCAGGCTTCGGCCGATAGAAGTTGATGATTGGGAGAGGAGGTCGTGACTTCTCCGCCTTCTTCATGATCGACAAGGCACGAGCCGTCTTGTGTTATCCTTGGCGCGCGGGAGGTCTTCTCTCACCGTCGGACGTCGCCTTTTGTGTTGGTCTCCTTCTTGATCTGTCAGCCAATGATAAGGACCATGTGAGGATGCATGTTGTTTGTGCCTCGAAGCGGTCGGCAGTAAGCTTTGAAGATCATATGAGTTCGTTCAAGCTTTGAAGCCCAAGAACGGGGCAGGAACACGAGGGTTCCATGCCTGCCTTCTCGAAATGTTCCGCAAGTCATGATTCGTCATAGGTAGGTACGAGGGCATCAAGGCATCGGAAGCTGCGGGTAACAGACACATCTTCTCTTCTCTGCTCACTTTCATGCTGTCACGCTTCTCGAGACCTCTCACTACGATCCGACGTCTTGCTCCTTCTCAACGACAGGACTCTTCCTTCCGCCTTTTGACCAAAAGCATGGACATCTCACCTACAGTAACCGAGTTTGAGGAATACAAAATCCTCTTGTCGCATCTGGACAATCCAGAAAAGACGGATGCCACGTTCGAACGCCTCCAAACATGCGCAAAATCAACGCTCCCTGACCACGACAAGCTCGAAGCACACCTAGGCAAACTGTGGAACAGCTTTCTCCATCTTGCCTCTCAGCAATCTCACTCCTCAAATGACCAAGACTCGCTCGTCAAGCTACTCCAGACCCTGGACACCGAAGCACCTTCTATCAAGGACGCAAATGGAAAAGAGGTCGAGGTTGATGGCCATGCGGTCTATAACGACCTCCCCCTCTTCGGTCAACAAGCACGCGAATGCTGGAACTTCCCGGACGACAAAGAGGTGGACACCAAGACCAGGGATACGTGGATCAACGTCAATGCATTCGTCGCTCGCTTGACCGCTGCAGCCGTCAACCCACACGGTGGTGAGAGGCAAGGTTACAACGCACTCGACTATTCGCTCTACGGTGTCTGGAGCTTAAGAAGTGCGCTCGAGGAGGACCTGTCAAACTTGCCCGCCAAGACCACCAGCGATGCTTCTATTGGTGCTGCTGCGGTGTGGATGCTCTATGCTGGTCCTACACTCAAGGGTCTCTCGGACAGTGACAAGACTTACAGCGGCAAGGTTGCAAGGTCTGGATTCAAGTACAAGGATCGTGAATGGAGAGGTTATACGAAGGACAGGTGGGAAGCGTGGACGAAAGAGCTCACTCAGGCTGAAGCTCTGGTGCAGGACGATAGCATCAAGGAACTTGTGGAAAGAGCGACAAAAGCCATGAAGCAATAGATAGACACCATAGAATAGCTCTGAGCCATCGATGCATTATCAATCGGAATTCTGAATCAAGCAAGATTGGCTCACTTATACGGTGCAGGTAGAAGTGAGCCGACCGTAAATGTGAGCCACTTTTTGACGAGGAAACGATTGTTTACAGATCCTTGTGACTTACCGACTACAGGGCTCATGGTCATATGGTTGAACGGCATTTCTCTCATGTCTCTGCATCAATATGTTTCGTTTCGCACATAAGTTCATCTGTATGTAAATGGTTCAGATCCAGGGTGGTTCAAATCCACTCCAGCGTGCTCAACACCTCGTTCTCAACAATGAAGGTATTCCGAGAACGGACATCCCGATGGTATCGCAATCAACTTCCGAAGCCATCATTCTCAACAGCGACTTCTTGCTGTAGGCAACAATGATCAAATGAAACATGTCAAGCGGTTTGACTTCTGTCTTTCTACATGACATGGTATCATTGAGCACTACAACAATCAAGCTCTTTACAGAAGTGGTTCGTAAACTGTATTCAATAATTGCATACCTGAATATCAGGTAGCATATTTCTAACAAATCAACTACACAATAAATCATGAAAATCACTGCCGGCAGCAACAAACAAAACTGAAAGCTCGTCGACTTCAGGGCCTATCCTGTAGAGTTGCCCTGCTCGTGTCGTCGCAGACTTCACTACACGTGTCGGGCCTCGACAGCTCAAAGGGCCATGGTCACCCAAGTGTCGACGCACCAGCAACATACGCCATGTTGTAGTAATCGCACGTTGACTGCTGTCTCGCCGATGTCTGAGACTCTTCCAGCACGTGTACCATTCTCCTGCTCCTCTGATCTCCGGAGTAGAGAGTACTAGCGCGATAAATAATGACGATACAAAGTTTGGCCTCGAAACGGGCCATTGCTGTCAATCGATCCAAGGTGTTTAGAAGTGGTCCCATCCGATACACCGGGTACTTGGATCGGTTCGAGAAGTCTGAGGTTCTGGACAGTGAACAGCAAGAGTATTTATGAACCCTTGTGGCTCTCGAATCCAGGTTCATGATTCTTACGCTCAAGCTTCGTCGAAGTTGTTCAGTAGGAAGTCGAGCTGATCCACCTCCAGATGATCGTTGGTATGTTTCATGCGGTGGATATACTGGATCTTCCCGTCGACCCAGATCAACTCGCCGCCATTCTGACTCTTCTTTCCAGCAGAGATACTTTTCGTTTTGGCGGCAAGACCAAGACTGATCAAGATTGCTTTGATGATGGATGTGGTCGAATATTTCTTGACGTATTGTGGCACTTCGGGGGCTGCTGTCTCGTTCACGGAGAGTCCAAGAGTGGAATATGTCAATCGGGACGGGTCCGCATACACATCAAATGGACAGTTTGTCATCTTCATGTAGTTTTGAATGAGGATTGGGTCGCCGCAGCCGATGATTGTGAGGGTGGTTGGTGGGTCCATCTGTGCCAGCTTCTCCGGCGGCATTTCGTTGGCTAGAGCTTTGACGTATCCGAAGCAGTTCTACGTCTGATGTCAGCATTTGTTTCTTCGTCTCCCGCAAGAGTGTAGTTTGCCTACTGGACAGAAGAAATGGCGAATGAAGACGATAATATTTCTAGTGCTTCCATTCGACCGGACAAGATCTGCGAATGGTGTCCTGACTCTTGTCCGATCCATCAACTCAAGCTTGTAAAGTGCCTCCAGCTCGTCCTCGGATGGTAGAGGGTCCTTCTCTTCGATAGTACCAAGGCCCTTGGGCGGTGGTACAAAGTTGTCTGGGCCGCATATGCCAAAAATCTCCGAGAGATTGGACCCTCGTCTTCCGATCGTTACGAGACTCTCCGCGGAAGCCCTGAAAGCTGATGACAATCTGAAGACTTTGACATTTTTCCACTCCGTAATGTTGAAGATGCTCATGATGACCGTAGGTTGTATGGATTGGTGAAATGGACAGGCGCTGGACTCAAAAATTGTAAAAGCGAACTGGAGGAGGTAAATACAATGCCGAAGCGGCTTCTATCTGCGGGGACTATCGAGGTCTAGAAGCGCTGATGCCGGTAGGTTATAGCCACACTTGGCGATACAAACGGCGGACTGAACGGTCGTACTCTAGATCCGGATCATAAATTACTGATGCATATGCCGAATATGTCACTTAGTAAGCTGCCAATCTTACTTGTGAGCTCAAAGTGCTCGAGATGTACTAAATAGGTAACTCTACAAGCACATCTTATTGGTATCCCCACTATTATGGAAGGGTCATACTGAGCAGACTACTGATATTCCAACGTGATTGGGATTTATATAGACATCTGCGAGCCGTCTGCTCTCGCTTGATCTGCAAAGAAGGCAAGAAGAGTCTCTAGTCTTTCACGTTTTGCCACAACGATTTGACTGCCACCGATTACACAATTAATTAGACTCTTACGAGACGACAGTACTGGAGATGTTCTATGCTCTTCTCACAACGGTTCGAGACGTGTCAGGACAGATAAGATGGATGCGGTAAGGAGAGAGGACTCAGCCGATATTTACAAGAGTTGCAAAATCTTCTCTCGGAGGTGTTGATGAACGATGACCTTCTCTCGTCGAGCACAGCACAATTAAGACATATATGCTAGCTCTGGGGGAAAAAAAGAAAAAAAAGAAAAAAAAAAAAAAAAGAAGTGCATTGCTAAGTGGAACATCCTTCTGAGAAAATTGACGACTCAATGGTTGGTCACGGATGGCTGTTTCATTTGTTCCTGTCTCTTCTTTCGGTCAACTGAACTATAGCACACCAGCTGCTCTGACTCAAGATCGTCGCGTTGTGAAGTGGCTCACGCAGGACTCGTCCCGGATCTCAGAGATCAAAATTGATGACTTCTTGACGCGATACTGAGCCATCGTGGCCAAAAGACAATGTAGATGGAAGGAGCAAAAAGGCTGCAAAACGTACAGCAGCAGGGATTCCCACGTGGTCACCCACCGTAGTACTAATCTGCCGTTCAACTGCTTATGTATGGCAGAGCGGACGGGATGCCCAGTTTTCAGCTGACTGTGGCCGTACGTGCCAAAAGTTCAATCTCAATCGAATATAATTATACCAATCATACATGTCCGCAGATCGTTCACCTTTCTTGCTATCGCGATGCCGCTCTTGCCATCCTCAACCACAACTGCCGGCAGCTTCACGACAAAAGCCGCACGAAAAAGCCCGCACAACCACCAAATATCTACCATCCCGTCCTGCACGATAGACACCGGGTTGTCGCTGTCATCAGCAACTTCTCTTTGAACATGAAGGAAAGGGAGAATGATTGGAAATCTTTGCGACTGCTTCTAAATCCTCTCGTACATCGTAGCACCTTTCAAAACGCCGACACTTCCAGACGCTGCACACGCTCATCGGTGTTACAATCTGGCGATACTTGTACAAGCTCGCTTGCTCGGTTGCTCAGTCTGGATCAAGTCGAGCCGAAACATTTGACACGCATGTTTCTCGCCTTCTCTTGCTGTGCTCTGCAAAGCCTCATGTCGATCAACGTTGCCGTTGTAGGATTCATTATTAACGAAGTCCAGAACAGCAGCAATGCCATCCTGTTCCTGAACTGTCATACCTAGAAGAGTTACGATGTACGAAGTTTCGTCGTCCTCAAGGTACGTACCAAAACTAGTGACACGTGTATGAGGTGTGGCATACTCGTCGCTCTGCGCCAGATGATATTCAGGGTCCCAAAGGCTGTCGACTAGAACTATCTTTGACCAGCCCTGCACAGAATCTACACATGTTCCTCCCGCAGTGCATTCGATCCTGAAAGCATTCTCATCGGTTGGGCTGATATCATTGCAACGTCTCGGTTCCGCATTCTCTACGATGTCAAGACATATCTAGTGTCAAATAGGATATTTCATGACCACAACTCCGTACTGGACATATGCACCACTGACGAGACATACTAGTCTGTATATATTGTCCGGCTCTCGCCTTCATCGGCTCGACCCTACCGTCGAAGCTTACAGTTGGGGACGAAGGATCCCACGCGAGTCTGCACCGAGACTTCTGGTCCAACTGAGCACATGGAAAGATCCACTTGCTCGCGTCGCACGAACTGGACCGGATCTACAAGGAATATTTTCACGTTCGAGAGCTGGCCTCAAGTCCAGAGGCTCACATTTTATATTAAAACCCTTGGAGATGCTCGAGTCGCGTTTACCGAGCAATATTACCCCAAGGACAGGACAGGACTCATACCACGGTATGTACTTCGGAGTATGCGTATGTAGGGTACAACTCGATTGTGGTTATGTTCTGCGTGCCCAATAACGCCACCAGTCGATGTCTCTAAACTGAGCTGAAGAGGCTGTATACTGGAAGTCCCATGAACCATCCAAGGGGTGTCGGCAGACCCGCCTGCCGCAAAGAGCTTCTGCTGTGTGTGAACGGGTGATAAAGCATAGCCAATGCACGGATTGACGGTGCGGTCCGTTGTCACATTCAATCATGAACGCCCCAATTCATCATCAAGTCACGTCAGACCACAAAGCATGTGATATGCAAGGCTAGAAACCATTCAGGTGTGAGCATGACAGGCAAATGGTAGCAATTGTGAAGACAAGCGTAATGCCTGCAAAGGAGTTCAAGGACCGGCGCGATTAACCGAATAGCATGTTCTCTTTGACGAGCACCCATAAGGGCAATGCAAGCGACCGAAGCATCCGCAACGTTTCCGATATTGGGCATTGAGAAACAATCGTGCTCGAGACCCGGCAACGAATCATATCAAAAGAGCTGGTCCCAACGGTACCTACTCGACAAAAGCACGATTCAGTCTGAGGCTCCGGACCTCTGTCCATAAGTTTAGGCGAACGTCCTTGTTCTCATTCGAATCCGTCTGCGACGTTGGAACGGTTCTCAATAATGACGTGAAAATTTAAGCTCCAGAGTCGCTGTGATGCCGGCGGCGGGCGGAGGGGCGGTGATCTTCTCGGTCCGTCCTTTAAATTGCCAAGCTTTCTCTCCCACAGTCTCCGCACGTGAGGAACATGAGCTCTCCTCTTGTCCTTCTTGGCGGCGACAACCTTAGTCTTCCTCTGTCGAACAGCATGCAATCTTGTTGTCTCAATGCTCGCAGCAAGAGAGAGAGACCTCACAGAGTCGATGTCAAGGAACGCTTGTCACTATGATGACTACGGCTAACCATACTCGCCGTTAAGACTTTCGATCATAGTGAGAGATCAAGCAAAATCGCCACATTGGAGCGTTGGAAAGCCATTGGCCATGAGGCGCTCTCGGAGCCCTGACCAAAACATATGCACAAGCATCTCCCTCGGAGCGCCTCACCTTGTTCTTCAGCTGAGAACACTTATGCTTATATCCATCTCTGAAATCACAAAGGCAAGGGTCACTGCCTTTATATCACTTTGAAAAGCTGCACCATCTCGAATTGCTTTCAAGTCGTTGCTGCACTTTTCTGCGCTGCTGAGCGTTGACTCCGATTTCTGTGATGTAGGGCGAGAAGCATAGTTTCACTTGCTATGCAGATCTCCCGGCGCTGGCCATACTCCCTCGCATGCTTTTCCCTCACGTTGCGGATGTAGGCGAGCCGTTGAACGACACCCGACACCGTGGCATACAAGCCACTAGTACCATACCGTTACACTAACCACTATACACACACGTGAGATGTCCGCGGCATCAGAAGACGTCAGGCACATCGTTCTCCATCCTCGGCAGAACTTACAAGCAGGAGATATACTATGCAATGACCAGCAATCTACCTACCGGAACAAGCCCCCGTTGCGTGTGTAGGCTCGGTCCAGATTGGCCATACCATCTCGTTCAATCACCGGCAGTCGTTTGTGGTCCATTCATATCGTGCCCCTCATTCATCCTGTCCAAGTGATGGGGATGGGGATGGGTGATCGTCTCGATCTGGAGCACTATATTGATTCGTTTGTCTCTGCAAGGTGAGTCCCGCCCACATGGTTCGGTAAAAGGCCTGGAGGGGTCCCTGCTTACAAGCGCCTGGCTATTTGTCTGAGTCGCTACGCCGTTGAAATTGACAGACACAATCGCGTGTTATGTCCAACGGTGGCATGCTTGAAAGTCATGGATATCGTCCCTTTTCTAACACAGTCCACATCAAGGTTGTCAAGTGTAAGCGGACCGACGGACGGGTACCTCTCCTTTCGGAACGGTTTCAGTATCTGGAGCGCGGTCAGCATCCTACAAGGAACTCTATGGGGGGACTCTCTACAACACCGCTGAAACTTGACTATCGATCTTTCTTTTCACTAGAGTCCATCCATCGCCAAACCCTTCCCGAGAAGTTCTGGCGGGGCCCAATCCGTTGACCTATATCGAAAACTCATTCTGTCTCTCTACGGCACACTCAGTATAAGTATCTCGAGAGATCTTCGTTGTCCCACTTTCTCATCAGCATCTCATTTCTTGTGCACCGGGCAACGAAGATCCTGGCGGTTTTCTATCATCTCAAATCCTTGGCTCGCGAATAATTCTCCTCTTCATTCGTTACAATATCTAATCATAATCGTCTAATACAACTTTAATCATCTTTGGATACAACACCCTACACCATGTCACGCAACAACAGCTTCTCGACAATGCAACGCAACGACAGCTTCGATCTGTGAGTGTTGTTCTTCTCCTCAGGCTCTTCTCTCATGCTAATACATTATAGTACCCTAGCTCACCATGACCATGTGGTCTGCGTCGTTGGAGTTGGCTATGTTGGCGAGCATCTTCTCAGATCCTTTGGTACCTGCTATCAGTCCATTGGCTTCGACATCTCAGTCCAGCGTCTCGCACAACTGCAGCCTATCTTTGGCCACATGCCCAATGTCACCCTCACCAATGACGAGTCCTACTTGGACAGAGCTACCGCCTACCTTATCTCAGTCCCTACTCTTCTCAAGGCTGACAACACTGTTGATTTGAGCCATCTGATCAGCGCTTTGGCCATGGTTCTGAAGCATGTACAGCCTGGTAACACCATCGTCATTGAGAGCAGTGTCCAGGTCGGCACCACTCGCCAGATCCTTGGCCCCTACCAAAACATTCTCCACTGCGGCATGTCTCCCGAACGTGTTGACCCCGGTCGCACCTTCCCCACTGCCCAGCAGATCCCCAAGATCATCTCCGCACTCACTCCTGCATCCAACTCAGTCATCCACAAGCTGTACGCTCGTGTCTTCGAGCAAGTGGTACCCGTCAGCAAGCCCGAAGTGGCTGAGATGACCAAGTTGTTCGAGAACTGCTACCGCATGGTCAATATTGCATACGTCAATGAGATGTCCGATGCTGCACGTGCTCACGGCATTGACCCCAACGAGATGATTGATGCCGCCGCGACAAAACCCTACGGCTACCAGGCGTTCCGTCCCGGTCTTGGTGTTGGTGGTCACTGCATCCCTGTCAACCCTTTCTACCTCTTCTCCAACAACCCCAACCTGCCTGTCCTCAAGCGCGCTACAAAGCTCATGCGCAACCGCCCTGCCGCTCTTGCAAAGAAGCTCCACCGCCGCTGCGCCGCTCGTGCTGCTTGCCCTACTGGTCCTCGTATCCTCGTCGTCGGCATTGGCTTCAAGCCCGGCCAGAGTGTCCTCAGCTACTCTCCCGGCCTTGCCTTTGCGACTGAGTTGCAACGCCTTGGTTGCTCGCGCCTAGTCTTCCACGACCCTCTTGTTGAACAAGCTCAGGTGCCATGGCTAGAGAAGCTCGACCACGCCGGATTCCACCCCGGTCGTTTGGACCTCGAGTTCGATGCCGTGGCTGTCTGCACAAGACAACATGGCGTTGACTTCACCGTCCTCGACAAGCTGCGCCACTGCAGAGTCAAGACCTTTGACACTGCATAGACATATGGCTGATGCATCTTTCCTCTTCTGCATTACTTCACTTCATCTCGCTTAATATCCTCTTTCACGGGTCGCGTACCGTCTTTCTCGGTCTTTTACGAGTTCAGGCCTTATACGCTAATTATTCTCTCTGTTTTTCTATTCTTTGCTCAGCATCTTTAGCGATCATATTTTTTGTTCCTTGGTCCAGAATTGGCTACCATCATCTGTCTCAGATACTATTAGATTTAGAACATCTTACCTATACCCAAAAGTCAATCAGATCTTCTTTCTCAGAAAAGCATGCTGTCCTTCCTCTTCCATTTTCTTACCTTTTCTCGAACCATTCTAGAAATGAACATCTCTCGCAACAAATCGATTTCTCCATGGACAACAATCAAACCTCATTTAGTATAATTGACCATAGGACGTTAAACAATGTTCAAACAAGGTTCCGCGAAGCCCTAAACTATATCTTGCGTATTCACAGTCAACCGTGCGTGCCTTTCTCTCCCCAAACTCAAACCAGATTTCGCCAGATTCAACTTTTGACTCTCAAGTCTCCACTCACTCATGACTTTTACGCTTTGAGATAAATTCAACATGCTTTCCGATCTCGTATTCCAGCTTCACAAGTTCCACCAGTTCCAAACACGTTTGAAGAGCCTGATTTCCCCCTTCCTTACGACTTACGAAGGCGATTACCTTTCCTCTGCACGAGGGTCTTGGTAACCGTTGAAAGGGCTTGGCCTTGGTCTAACCTGAAGTTCTTGTTTAGGCAGTTGTATCTCTGATTGACAAACTGGGAGGCGGCAGTGTCTGCATAGGAGATTGGGTTTGGAGCTATACAAAGTGTGATGTCAAATCATTTCACCTCCTTGCTGTCCCTCCAATCGACCAATTTCATCCTTAGTTTTCCTTGCCAGCGGCGCTGGAAGTGAGTTCCTGCGAAAGTCTCTGACTCTTTGAGTTATGCGTCTCGTGGGTAGCTTTCTGGCTCATTTCCCACGTGTACGTGATGCAGAAGTCTCTTCAGCATTCTTTTCGCTCACTATCTACATGGCAATTGGTTTCTATACAGGAGATGGCCCACGGCTCTTCGCGGATCCGAGCTTCAGCATGAGATGCATCTACGTTTGCTGTGGGGATGGCCAATCTCGTGGAAAACTGCATGCCATCGTCAATACTTTCCAGAAGGGACCTCTATGCGAGAAGACCTGCAAGTATCGCCGACACCTGCCCTTGCGAAATTCTGCGATCGCGAGTTTTCCCCCATGCAAAGACGTTTTATCCGGTTTCTTGAAATACTGCTTGATTCTTCCGCACGTATCGTACACACGTATACCGCTGCCAGAATGACCTATGTCCCAACGCGGACTGCGACCCGGTTACGCTTTCTGTGTACACTGCAGTTGCAAGATCTGGCGACGAGAAGGATGCATCGAATACGAGGTGTTCTCTTTCTGGAAGCGGGAGATCAACGAATTCGGACTTCGAGAAGAAAGACCTCTTGACCATCGTAGACTTCTCGCTTCTTGTTCTCCTCCAGCAAGACACGTTTCGAGCCTCTTCATTAGTATGGAACAATTCACGAGGCTGGCAAGACCGATTCAGACCCCGACTTTCTCCTCGACTGCGATCGATCCCGAGGGATGTCCTGCACGATACAAACGACATGTTGAGTCGCCTGACGCTGCTGGATATGGAGCAAACTGCCAGATGTCCGGGTCAGTACGGCAGAGTCTCGCGGTTCTATGCCCACCAACGTTGAGGCGCCTGAGAGAGGCAGAGTGTGGCAGCGGGCACTCTCGTTTATCGTTCGGAACCCCTTTGGTAGGTTACGGTGACAGCTGTCTGGCTGTCGCTGACCTCTGGTCGATGGCTTTCGATGGATCAACCTTGAACGAAAAGCATGACGTTGGCTTCAGGCGTCTCATGGCGAGCAGCACCCTTCCTGATAAGAAGACGGATACTTGCAGGAGCATGAGAGCAGTGTTGGGTATCGCCGATAGTAGATGCGATGCCACGAGGAACAAGTGCCTTTGAACGGATGCTGGTCCTTGACAGAGTTCAGGAACTCATTGATACTTCCCTGTCTCTGCTTACGTGGATGTCAGAGGCTCTGTCGCATATCTGCTTATCCCGAGGCACTACGCTCGGCGCGAGGAAGAATACAATCGTCAATGCCTTGCGGCCTGTTGGTCGTAATGACCGCCAGTCTTGTGGTCGGTTGGTTGATGATTGCAAAGGTGAGCAAATGTTGATATGTGAAGTACATCGAGCTATGTGATCCTCGGCTTGGCCATTCATATGGTAATCCACTCGAGTAAATTTCTGTAGCACATTGTAATGTGCACTCGGTGTAGTAGGATGTGTTTGGTTCTAGTATTGTGGTGGCCTCAGGCAGAAACACGATCAGGGTGACACCATAAGCATCATTCTTATGTCTCACAACTCCAATTACACAAGCATTTTACAATATTCCTGGTCAACATAACCACGTCCTATATCTACCGGTATCTATCAGACCTGGAGGGTTGATTTGATGGACCACGATTCGTAGTCGTCGGCGAAAACGAGCTTTCGTGGAATCTCATGGCGTGCATCTGAAAATGGCCAGAAACACGCACAACTACCATCATTGGGACCCCGATTCTTTGTATCAAACCGAAAACATGGCAGCCGGTGGGAAAGACATTGAGGGTCATCGGTACACACAAAAATATCATTGCCACAAATATCTGAACCGAATACTCAATGGTCATGGAGTGATATTGATACCAAGTTCTACGACAAGAGCTTGGCAAGTCGATGTATGCTTGCACCCTTGTATAGGACTGCGACGCTTGGAGATCCTTTGTGACATGATCGACTCGTTCCGTCGAATCCTTTTTATACTCGACGAGGTTGCCTCGATTTCCGCAAACGGACAAACAAAGAACCGGCCTCTATAAATTTGGATATCGTAAGGCTAGTTATGCTAAAGCTTCATCTATATCGCCTTAGACCTTACCCACTTCTGGTACAGTGTGTGTTCGAAATGGTCGTGCTAGGAGTTAGCCATGCCTAAAGCCTGGGACCTTGAACTCGACCTCACTGCCATTATTGACCGCCATATAAGCTGTTTCCAGCCAGCCTACTGCCTGAGTCATTGTCGCTAGCTATATTGACTCAACTTTGCCACGTCATTACCAAGTAGCTTCGGTGGTGTAGTGGTAACATACTAGCCTTCCAATCATTGAATTGAGAGCTTGTGCCCGGGGTTCGATTCCCCGTCGTAGCAGTCTAATCAGCTGTTGAGGAGCTTCGTTTTGATTCCAGGTCATAGGAATAATTTCGATTCTTTTCGCACGAGGCTTCAATAATCTCTTTGTTCTTGTTCCATCGGAGTTCTACCTACAGCCCTGCTTCGTAGCTACAGTAATTCAGGGCTCCTTTGTCGTCGGATCAATGAATGCCGGTCGTTCCAGAGACTCGAGGCTAAGGGCCCCATTCCTCTCGGAGCTTTCAAGCTTTCAAATCACTAGTGAATTGGATGAGTAATTGTGTAAAATGGTCACAACAATGAATTGCCCGCCACAATTTACTTGACAATGAAGCCGAAGGACATTGCACGTAGAAAGCAAGATACTCTCGGGATCGACCGGGGACCAAGATGGTGGGCAGGTGTGCGACACAAGGCTGGGGAAGTGAAGGATCTGGGATGCGTGATACGTCACCAGCGATGACGCTCCAAGTGTCTGGGTGAGCTCAACTTTCTCCTGAGAGCTCGACAGACTCAATTCCACGCTGCCATCTAGCAGTTTTTTATTGCTGTCCAGTCATACACGGAAAATGTCTCTGAACGCAGAGCCCGCCGATCCTCAGGAGCGCCAGGAACACCACCTTCCACCCAAGTCATTCGCCGACGCAGCTCACGAAGCTCTCGACCAAAATGGCCACGACTCTATCAACGAAGAATCCATCAAAGAAACTCCTCCGACGCGGAAGCTCTCAAGAAAGGGCAGCATCGAACCTCGTCCACTTCAGGAAATGCTAGACGAGGAGGAGAAACAGCCATCACTTCCATCAACGCCAATTCAACCTCGCCGTACCCGTTCTACCAAGCAGCAGGAGAAGTCATGGGCAGACATGGCCGAAGACGGTGTCAACACCGCAGCACACCCTGTCATCGATCTCCACCCTGGCGAGGGCCATGAGGCTCATGCAAACGGCGAGGAGTTCACAGGACAAGGTCGCAGCGAGTCGCCTAAGAGCCCCGCCCAGCTCCATCGCCCTCACAAGCGCACTTCTTCCCTGAGATCCAACAAGTCTAACAGTCCCATGATGACCGTCTCGGAAGGTTTCAATGGCATGCAGCAGAAGCTTGTATACGAAAAGTTCGAGAGTCCTGATGGCAAGCAATTGACCAGCGTGAAGCCTGACGACTCATACGAGGAAGCTCTAAGGATAGATGAGAAGGAAGCCCCCAAGAAGAAAGAACAACCAAAGGCATCTAAAGATGAGCTTGTCAGTGGAAGAAGAGCTGGAGCAGGCTGGGAGACTTCGGCGTATGTCATGACAAGCATCCCCCTCCACTTGCCATGCTAACACATATCTCAGCATAAGATGGGCGCCGCTCAACGTTCCTCTCCAGCGTCGCCTACAGACAGCCATGGTCCTTGTCCACACCTTGAGTATCGCTATGTTCCTTGCCGCTTTCTTCATCCTGTGCGCCATTCCTGTGCTTTGGCCTCTACTGCTGCCTTACCTCCTCTACGTCCTCTTCTCCAAGGCTGGTACCTCTGGCTCTCTCAAGTACCGCTCCGAGTGGCTGCGAAGACTCCCGGTCTGGTCTCTGTTCGCATCATACTTCCCTGCTCGTCTGCACCGTTCACAAGAGCTACCTGCCACTCGCAAGTACGTCTTTGGCTACCATCCGCACGGAATTATCAGCCACGGTGCTTTTGTCGCCTTTGCGACCGAGGCTCTTGGCTTCGCGCAGTTGTTCCCAGGAATCACCAACACTCTCTTGACTCTCGACTCGAACTTCCGTATCCCGCTGTATCGCGATTACGCTCTGCGCCTTGGTCTGGCTTCGGTCTCGCGTGAAAGTTGTGAGAACATCCTTTCCAAGGGTGGTCCTAACGGTGAGGGCATGGGCCGTGCTATCACGATCGTCGTTGGTGGTGCTCGCGAATCACTCGATGCTCAGCCTAACAGCCTGCGACTCGTACTCGCTCGTCGCAAGGGCTTCGTCAAGCTCGCCATCCGGACTGGTGCTGATCTCGTTCCTGTACTTGCATTTGGCGAGAACGAACTGTACGAGCAGTTTGACCCGCAAGCACATCCCACGATCCACAAATTCCAACTACTGGTCAAGAAGGCTTTGGGCTTCACGATCCCGCTCTTCCACGCACGTGGTGTCTTCAACTACGATGTTGGCATGATGCCTTACAGGCGTCCACTCAACATCGTCGCTGGCCGACCAATCATGGTGCGCAAACAGGAGCGTCCTGATTCCAACTATGTCGATGAGATTCACGCACAATACGTGGATGAGCTCAAGCGTATCTGGGACGAGTGGAAGGATGTTTTCGCCAAGCACCGTGACGGTGACCTCGAGATTGTCGAGTAATCTTTCTTCCTTGTCATGACTTTTTCGATGCACGCTTCTGGTGCACTAATGCTTGTAGGGAGGCTTGATGTGATTCATATCGATGTTGTATTCTAGATCTCAGCTTCATTAGCTCTCTCAACGATTTATGCTCAACTCGGGCTCTCTCCTTCGCAGTTTCCTTCTCTCGTAACCGCCTCTTTTCTCACACAGAAGCAAAAGCTGAATGTTACGGTAGTAGCTCAAACACCCGGTCGCACCTTCCATGCTGCTGATGCTCAAGGTAATCTTTTGTCACGCTATGTATCATCTTCGCAATCAGTTATCGCAACAATGACTGATCAAAAATCATCATCTACCATCTCAGCCATGGCGGATAGCCTCGTGCCAAATCACGATCGATCCTAAATTCGAACTACAACCTGGGATACACTTCGCCAGCCATGAGCATACGGTCACCGTCGAAGCAAATGCATAACTTGGCGAGACGCTATCGATGTTGTTGTTTGGCTGACATTTGAGGCTTTGTAACGATAACTTGCTCAAATTAAGCCATCGCCTATACTTATCTTCAGCTCCGACCGGACATTTTCTTGTATGACTGTGGTTAGAAGCGAGTGACCAGTCATCCATGTCGCCATATTGCTCGACTGTCAGGGACTTCCTCTTTCTCATCGGCTTCCAGTATCCACGTTGCCCATCATGAAGATATGGTCCCTGGTGAAAGACTTCGCCAACAGGCTGGATCTCCAAGGACTCTCGATCCCCAGGAACAAAAAGCAATGTCAACATCTAATCGAAGAGAGGAAAAACGAACTCCAACGACGAAAAAAGCGAAAAATATTCCCCTTCCTCGATCTACCCCTCGAACTCCGCCTACAAGTCTACAGATACGCAATCTCAAACAAACAACACAACATCACCTGCCACAAATGGCGGAACGGTGGTCGTGTGTTGCCTTCCCTATTCCACACCCATCCCCAGATAACTCAAGAGATCTATCAGTTTTGTTTCATCAATGCTGTCATCAATGTCTGGGTTCCAAAACGGCCTGACCAGCAGAGCAACCAAAGTGGCCGATGGCTGAGGATCACCCCCCTTGTTAAGGAGCTTGGTTATCTCTTTCATGCTTGTTGGGTAGTCTCGAAAATGCTGGTTGCCAACAATGCAGTAGAGGGTTTCCGTCGCATGGAAGATAGGAGAGGACTGGTTGTCAGAGTCAGGGTCAGATGCTTGGGCTGTACGAAAGGGTGTAAGGGGTTGAGAGGGGACCCGGTTTGTTTGACGAGTTATCGCTTTGCAAATAGCGATTCTTGGGAGTTTAACAAGGCCTTGACGCTGATGAGGGGTGATATATTGTTTGAGTTCTGCTGAGATGGGGAGATGGCTTGGAGCAGTTCCATGTTTTCGCGTTTGAGCAGGGCTTCATGTCTGAAATCCTGTACGATAGACATAGCCCAAAGTGTCTTGGAAGTCTCGGATGCTTCATGTCGTCCTCGCCTGCGCCTTGTAATATATAACCTCGCCAATCAAACTGAGACCGTACAAGGATGACTCAAGGAGAACAGGAACCACGAACTGAAGTCCAGAGTGTAGCGAAAATGGAAACCAAAGTTCAAGTAAGAAGCAAAGTTTCCGTCATCGTATCCAGCGCATCAACAATAGTTGTTGTATGCCTCAAATCGAACAACACAACGTGAAGGTCGTAAGTGAGGGTCACACGCCAAAGCATTCACCACGCATCTCGACAGACCGCTCGACAGAGACACGCAACCTCTGGAGCCTCGGTGAAGCCTCACTGTAACTAATTCAAACCTCGACCAAAAAATTGGATAGACACAGAATCAAATCCGCCGCGTCAAATAGAGCATCCCTGTGGTCTCAAAAGTGCAAAAAGACGTGTCGTGACCGAGAGTCGAACTCGGCGCTGAAGCTTGGAAGGCTACAATGTTACCGATACACCACCACGACTTTTGATGATGTCATCGCGATCAAACACAGCCATAAAACATCATGAGATGGACGAGAGCACATCCTGACCGCTCATGCGCACATATACTTCGAGTCCGAGTGCGTAATGAGCCATTTGAATGAAGGGAAAATGGTTGCGCAAAATCAAGGTCTTAGGATCAAAGTGGATGTCTGGATGCAGACAAAGCCTCGAAATAGTTAGGCTCGCTTTGAACTATTCAAGATGTGCAAAAATTGGTCTTTTCTTTTCAATAGTAGTGAAATGAGGACTAGTGACATATTGATTAAGACAAAGAGTGACAATGCCAGTCACATGTGTGTAATAAAATTACAATATCCAGACCAGGAAATGTACTCTGAAACTTAGTCCGCCAGCGTGCTACTCAAATACAGGCGGGTCTGCAATAGCCAGAGCTTCCACGAGCCCTCATTCTCAATCCGTCTCCGTCTCGTTTCAATTCCACTAGAACCCGCGACAAAATGGGGGGTTAGCCAAATGAGATGTGAAGCGAAAAAGAAGAAAGATCGAGGGGAGAGGAGAACGGGATTATTGATCTTGCGCGGTTGTCTCGTCGGATACCAACAATGGAGTATATGTTGGTTGACGCCTGATAGTGTATCTGCCTCACGCTTTGAGGGGGGTTTATAGAGATGTTCATGAGAGGGAGGAGGAAAGAGGGACAAGGACAGAAAAAGTCTATCGAAGTTTTGATGGGTATAAAGTGATCTCTCACATTCGCGACAAGAAGAAGGATTTGAACAAGACAAACGTCGCAACGTATTGGGTTCCGCAAATGAATGCGTTGTTTTCTTCCTTTTCCTTTAATGCTTCACACCATTCACAGGCTGTGGAGGTTGTCGTGCCTTGCCATTTGCACCATGGGCCAAGTCGCCTGTGGGCGGTGGCGGAGGAGGTGGTGGCACTGGGCCGTATGTGCGAGGTCGTTGGTCCACAGCTTCGTCCTCGGTATCATCATCGTACTCGGCCTCGACACTGCCCTCCTCATCCTCGTCGTATTCGTCGTACTCGGAGTCTGTCTCGGCCAGGTCGTCTTCCTCGTCTTCTTCGTCCGGGTGGTGGGCCGGGTTTGGTGCTCCAGGGGCGGCGTTGACCATATCTGCGCGTCCGTAGCCGTTGGTCTGCATGGCGCGACAGAGCTTCTTCAGCTTCTCGTTCTCCTTGTGTAAGCGATCAATGGTTTGCTGTGAATGAGTGCGTTCCTCGGCCATTTGGAAGATGTTCTTGTTGGTGGCCTCTTGCTTGCGTGTCAACTGCATGTTCTCCTTCTCCAAGCGCTTGGACTTTTTGCTCATCTCTTCCATCTCTTTGCGGAAGGTAAGGAACAGATCATTGCTGTTGTTAAGGGTGTCTTCGACCTGCTAATGCGGTCAGTGAGTGAGATGGCACTGCCTAAGTTGGAAAGAGGGAGGGAAGTGGGTCGTTGGGGGCGGTCTGATCTGGACTGGCGGCAATAGAGAGGGGCGGGGGCTCTCTACTACAGAGGAAGAAGGACATGGACGAGTGCAGCATGTTTGGAAAAAGGTCTCACCTGCTTAAACTTCTCCACATAAATATTCAGCTGACTGCGCAGTTCGTTCTCTGTTTGGGAAAAGGTAGATACCTGACGGGTCAACTGGTGCGACTTGTTCAATTCTGCATCCTGTTGCTTGCGGAGTCGTTCTTGTTGGGCGAGATGGAACTGGATTTCAAGCTCCTTGCTGCGGAGGAGTGAGTGGAACTGGATTTCACGCATTTCGTACTGTTCGACAAAGGATTTGAACTTTTCTCGGAAGCTACGCAGAGTGTCAGTCAAGTGAAGAACCAAGTGAAGCTCAGAGCGGGGGATGATGGGCGTACAGCTTGTCTTCCTCCATCTCGCCGGTGGGTCGATCCGGAAGTTTGCGATCGCTTATAACTTGCTCAACATCGTCCACCATTCGTTCTAGCCGACGATGAAGCTCTTCGTTCTTGTCTGCTGCACTTTCTTTGAGTTCGCGGAGATCCTCCTAGTCGACAATCAATACGCCGCATCACGCTGACAGTTCCCAGCAGTTGCGCACCTTGAGTTTCTTGTTTTCCTTGGTCAGCTCGCGACTGAGCTTCTCCAGCTTCTCCTTCATAGAGTTTGCCTTTGTGAGCTCTGATCGCTGGGTGTCCTTGTCTTTTTGTAGTTGGTCGCCTCGCTTTTTTGCCTTGATGTGCTCTCGTTCGGTTCTCTTCATTTCAGCCAGGAGTTCTGAGTATTTTCGTTGAACCGTTTCGATCTTGGATATCGGACCATCCATGGACTGAAGGAGATTTTGAAGATCGCGGTTGGCCTTTTTGACTTCCCGATCTGTTACGGTCAGTATACATGGATGCGATAGATGATAGCAATCGTTCACACACCAATCTCGGCATCCTCTTCGGCCCTGCCGGTAGCATCTTGTTCTAGCTGAGCAATCTTGGCCTGGAGCTGTTTGTGTGCGTCATTTGTATCGGCGGCACCTTTCTTGGGCTTGGTCTTCTTGTTTGCAGAGGCATTGTTCGGAGGCGGCGGTGGGGCGGCGGGTAAGGGAGCATCATCGCGGTGTTCGTGGACAGAGGCAGGCGAAGCGCGTGAGCTGTGGGGTTGGTGTTGTGAGGCGACTTGGGCCATGGCTCAGTCGTCGAACGAATATTCTAAATGTCTAGTGGAGGAGGTCGGGATCGCCCTTGCATCGGGGGCAGTTCTGCGCAAGGAGCAAGTCCAAGTTGGCGCACTGAGACAGGCGGGCACAGCGAAGATCCGGGTGTGCCTGTCTCGGTGGGGCGACAAAGGGGAATGAAAAGAGAGATCCAAGTGGCGACCAGCGGGTCGAAATAGCGATAGAATGGAGGGTAGCGATAGCGTGGGTATATCCAAATGGGTAGGAGGGGTCTACGACAGGCCTGCTACTACGGATGCCAGGCGGGCAAGCAGACAGGGTATACAGATAGGTCGGACAAGTGTCGTAAGCGAAGCGGACGGAGCAAGGAATAGTGTCGGGATGGTAAGCACTCGTTCACAGAGGTATGTCGTGTGCCGGTCGGACTATCAGACTCGGCCTCGTCGCTGTGCAAAGAGGCAGGTGCGAACGGAAGAACCAGCCCGTTCACCCACCTGGTCCGTGCCTGCCTCTTTGGTCATGGTCATGTTCGCCTTCTTTCTTGACCACGAATTCCAAGTCTGTAAGATCAGAAGCGCTGATCCACTCGAACATGTTGCGCGGAGTCAACAGGCTAGCTACAAGGCCGAGTCGCCTTGCTCACACCAACCTACCAGCTTTGCGACGAGCTTATGCTTCCGTAACCGACTTGTCCAACTATCCCAAGCCCGGCGATCAATTACATGGCTTCACCTTGAAGCGTGCCAAACACGTCCCGGAGCTCGAACTTACTGCTCTACAGTTCACCCATGAGCGTACCGGCGCCGACTACCTACACATTGCCCGAGACGACCAGAACAATGTCTTCTCCATCGGCTTCAAGACGAATCCTCCAGATGCCACCGGTGTCCCTCATATCTTGGAACACACCACTCTCTGCGGAAGTCAGAAGTTTCCTGTTCGCGATCCCTTCTTCAAGATGCTGCCGCGATCTCTCTCCAACTTCATGAACGCCTTTACCTCGTCCGACCATACCACCTACCCTTTTGCCACGACCAATGCACAAGATTTCAAGAACCTTATGGGCGTCTACCTCGATGCTACCCTTCACCCTCTTCTTCAAGAGCACGACTTTACCCAGGAAGGATGGCGTCTTGGTCCCGAGAACCCTCAGGCTGAGAACCCCTCTTCAGACGACATCATCTTCAAGGGTGTTGTATACAATGAGATGAAGGGTCAAATGTCCGATTCGCAATACCTCTACTACATCCGCTTCCATGAGAACCTGTTCCCTGCTCTCAACAACTCTGGTGGCGATCCTCAAAAGATGACCGATTTGACTTACCAACAACTCAAGAAGTTCCACGCCGACCACTACCATCCCAGCAATGCAAAGGTCTTGACTTATGGAAACCTGCCTCTTAATGACCACCTTCAATCCATCGGCAAGGAGCTCGACAGCTTCTCACGAATTTCTATCGACTCGGACATCAAGGTTCCTGAAAGCCTCGATGACGGTCCTCGCTCTGTCACCGTCAAGGGCCCTCTGGATCCTTTGAACCCCGCCGACTCTCAATTCAAGACTTCTGTCACTTGGCTCATGGGAAACACTGCCAACGTCCTTGAGAACTTCTCGCTCTCCATCATCTCCTCATTGTTGATGGATGGTTATGGCTCACCCCTCTACCGCGACCTGATTGAGGCTGGCCTCGGTCCCGACTTCTCACCAAACACTGGCTTTGATGGTTCTGGCAAGCGTGGCGTCTTCTCGGTCGGTCTCAATGGCGTCAAGCAAGAAAACGTTCCTAAGGTCAAGGAAGCCGTCATGGAGACTTTGCGCCAAGTCAGAGAGAAGGGCTTCGACCAGTCCAAGGTTGATGGTATTCTGCATCAGCTCGAGCTTAGCCTGAAGCACAAGACTGCCAACTTCGGCATGTCGATCATCCAGCGTCTCAAGCCTGGTTGGTTCAACGGAGTTGATGTCTTTGACGCTCTAGCGTGGCAACAGACCGTTGATACCTTCAAGTCTGAATGTGCCAAGGGAGATTACCTCGAGAGTTTGTTGGAAAAGTATCTGTTGAACGACAACACTTTGACATTCACCATGGAGCCTTCCGCCACCTATGGCGAGGATCTTCTCGCAGAGGAAGCGCAAAGACTGGCATCGAAGAAAGCCGAGGCCGAGAAGATCTACGGCTCGAAGCAGGAGGCTTACGATCAGCTGAAGAAGAGAGAGCTTGAACTTGTCGAACAACAGATGCAGGAGCAAGACCTGAGCTGTCTGCCGTCTGTCCACGTCAAGGACATTCCTCGAACCAAGCCAATGACCGAGACTCGCCAGGACTCTCTCGACAAGGTCAAGATCCAGTGGAGGGAGGCTCCTACAAATGGTCTGACTTACTTCCGGGCTCTCAGCATATTCAAGGACCTGCCAACAGAGCTACGCACCTTCATCCCTCTTTTCTGTGACGCCTTGATGCGCATTGGTAGCAAGACCAAGTCGATGGAAGAGATCGAGGATCTGATCAAGCTCAAGACTGGTGGCGTCTCGTTCGGTTACCACGCATGTACTTCTCCTACTAACACCAAGGCCTGCGAAGAGGGCTTGAGTCTATCAGGATTCGCACTTGACCAGAACGTCCCCGCCATGTATGACCTGATCCGAACAATCATCCTGGAGACAGACTTCGACGGACCTAAGGCCAAAGCTTCTCTTCGCGAGTTGGTCCAGAGCGCTGCCAGTGGTGGTGTCGATACCATCGCCGAGTCAGGTCACGCTTATGCCAGGCGTGTCGCTGAGGCTGGCATCAGCCCTCACGGAAACCTGCTCGAGCAGACTGGAGGTATCAGTCAGATCAAGCACATGGTGTCCCTCGCATCACGACCCGAGATTGGTGACGATATCGTCCAGCCTCTGAAGGCCATCCAACAGCTCGTTGCAGCAAATGTGTCCAGCATGAGAGTTGCCATCACTTGCGGGGCCGAGTCAACCAGCATCAACGAAGCAGCTCTCCAGGGCTTCCTCCGCAGCACGTTCTCATCGTCGTCTGAGCTTTCATCTCAGTCGCAATCAAGCCAGACATTGACCCGCACTGCCAAGTCGTTCTTCTCTCTCCCTTACCAAGTTTACTACTCGGGTCTCGCCTTGCCTACTGTTCCCTACACGGATGCATCCGGCGCACCGTTGGCAGTTCTCGCACAACTGCTCACACACAAGCACCTGCATCGTGAGATCCGCGAGCGTGGTGGAGCATACGGAGGTGGAGCCTACTCTCGCGCATTGGATGGTGTGTTTGGATTCTATTCTTACCGCGATCCCAACCCTGAAAACACCATCAAGGTGTTGGACAATGTTGGAAAGTGGGCAGTGGAGAGAAAGTGGACTGATCGTGATCTTGAAGACGCTAAGCTGTCGGTGTTCCAAGCACTCGACGCACCCAGAAGCGTGAGTGAGGAAGGCATGACCAGGTTCGTCAGCGGAGTGACTCCAGACATGGAGCAGACACGCCGACAGCAGCTTTTGGATGTCACACAGGAGCAGGTGCGCGACGCAGCGGAACGCTTCTTGGTAGACGGCATGTCCAACAGCAGCATGGCTGTTCTCGGAGCTCGCAAGAGCTTTGTGGATGAGGCACAAGGTTGGAAGGTGCAGGAGATTGGGCTGGGCGGCTCTGCCCCGACTGAAGTCGAATCTGAGGCAGAAGTTGCCGCAGCGGCAGCGTAAAAAGTTGAAAAAGTTGGATTTGTCGCCATATACCCATTGTAAATAGACCACTCCTCTCTGTATATTAGATGTATGATAATCACGACCAAAGTTGAGATCATCCTGTCCAAATTGGAAAATGAAATTGAACACGCGTGAAAAGGGAAGCTGCGACGCGTCTCCTCGAACGCGGCTGCCAGCTCTCTTGGACAATCTTGCGGTCATCACTTTGTTGCAATACATTGCATTGCGACATGGCGCCTTCGAATTCTGTGGATGCGCTATTACAATCTCCCTCGTGCGTTTATGAAGGCTACGTTTGACCGAAGACGAAAGCTGACTGATCTCGCAGAAATGAGGAATACCAGACTCTGGAGCGCACGCCATCGTCGTACAACCCCCTCCGATCCTTCCATCTAGCCAAAGGTCAACAGAAGCATTACCAACAACAATATGCCGACATGTACTTTGCTCGTCTGGCTGTCCTCAAGCCTGCCGTAGAACGTGTTGCCAGTGAAGCGTGGGATGGTTTCGAGGTCAGCGTCCTGAGCAGACCGGTAGCAAGAGAATGCTAAAAGGATACCAATAGATTGGCGGAGATGAGGTGCACAAAGTCGATCGTGTGCTCGACGTCCGACAAGGCGAGTTGGTCTGGGTCGCCGGCACCGTCTACATGGAAATGCCTCTCAAGCCCAACATTCTCGACGACATCTCGAAACATGTAAAGTTCTTCCAGAAGGACCAATTGCTATGCCCATACTGACTTGTTCTGAAGCACTGGATTGCCGCACCGCCCCCTCGGCTGAAGTTCACGTCTGGAGAAAGCGATCAAATCATGCTCGAAGACGAATCTGGTCGACTACGCTTGACGGGCAGTTTCCTTAGCTCGTGTTTACTGGTGACGGGCTGCATCGTGGCGGTCATGGGAACAGAGAACGCTAATGGCGACTTCGAAGTCATCGATCTCAAGCTGCCTGAGCTTGCACCACAGCCCGAGCGATGGTCATTACGCGAGAGCGACGCCGCAAGCAAGAAGAAGGCTGAAAAGAAGGAGAAGGCTGGCAAGATTGCTATCGTCTCGACGTTGGGTGTCAGTGGTAATTCTGGCGACACAATGGCTCTGGACTTGCTTGTCGAATACCTTCTCGGAGAGTCGGCCTCACCAACCGAGCAAGACAAAATATCGAGCATATCACGACTCTTGATTGCTGGCAACTCTCTGTCTGCAGCGAATCCCATACCTGGTGGAGAAGAGGCAGCAAAGAAGCCATCCGCTGTCAAAAAGTATGGTTACGACGCTTCTGCTTACAACCCTGCTCCAACCGATCGTCTGGACTCTCTATTGGAGTCATTGCTACCCTCAATACCTATCACCATGATTCCAGGCGAGCAGGACCCTACACATACATCACTACCTCAGCAACCTATGCACTCTGCCCTCTTCCCGAGAAGCAGAGCCTACATGGCAGCACCAAACTCTGAAGACTCGGCCTGGTTCGATGCTGTCACAAATCCTTGGGAGGGCGATGTGGATGGTTGGAGAATCCTTGCCACCGGTGGCCAGCCGATCGATGATGTTTTCAAATACGTCGAAGGTGACGATCGAATGGAGATGATGGAAGCTACGTTACGCTGGAGGCTGAGCGCGCCCACTGCCCCAGATACGTTGTGTAAGTTTTCAAACGCACTGCTGAACAAAACATGGGACTAACAATTGCAGGGTGCTATCCATTCCAAGATAAAGATCGCTTTGTCATCGAAGCGACTCCTCACGTCTACATTGTAGGCAACCAGCCTCGTTTCGAGTCCACCGTCGTAGAAGGACCCGACGGTCAGAGCTGTCGAATAATCTCGGTACCACGTTTCAAGGATACCAGTGAACTGCTTTTGCTGGACATGGAGTCACTTGAAGTCGAGGTCATCAAGTTTGGTGTTTATCAGACTTGAAATAAACCACTATCTACCATCATAACACAACGTTCTCATCGCATGCCACGAGTTTTGGAGCAGCTCCACGCCTCACAGTCGACTCAATCCAATGGTCGCGACATCATGTTAGCTGATAAAGAGCGTGTCTGCGAGAGTGCTCAGTCGACGGACGAAGAAGGAACCATCGGCCTATGGCTTCTGCATCGCAGACATTCAGTCTAGCTCTCATATACATGGTGCTCGTCTCAGCAAGTCAGCTTAACAAGGAAGGCACGATTACTAGTATCACGACATGAGTATCCAACATTCACCACATTCCCTAATGCTCCATATGTGTATGTATGATCGACCTGACGAGTGACCGCCATGCATGTACTGTATCTTTGTATTCTCGTACGCCATCTTCTAGTCATGACAGACAACGTTGATGCTAGTCAGCAGCGATATGCGAAAGACAGAAACGGCAGTATGCAAAGGCAGGAACGACCGAACAGAAAAAAAGCGAGATTCGATCAAGAGAACACGGGTGGGGGTCAAGTGACCAGGAGCCATCATACACGTTACAATGACAAAGACTACCGCTCAAACGCGCTTGGTTGGTACATGTGTGTGGTTCTTTGCTATGCTACTATAACTACCAAAAAAAAGGCGGGTCGCCTGCCCTTAATTTTTCTTGTTTCTGTTTGAATTCTTCCTCCACCTGGACCACTTTTGTCCAAAAGATGCCTGCCATCTGTTGTTGTTCCATCATCCTTGACCCTCAAGGTCTTTCACAGATTGCAGGAAAAGAAAACTCCTCCCAAACATGCATTTCATGTAACACACCCTGTGTGTGAAGAAAGTTGCGCCCAGTAGTTGCTCTCCATGTTTCGTCAAAGTTATCAAAAACGCCATAGAACTGGTCGCATGTGGCCTCTTTTCATTTCCGAGGCCTGCGGTGGGGGGTATTGTTGCTGTAAGACAAAGATGCTGTTTCGTTAGTAAAAGTAGAAAAACCATTCCGGATGATTTTTTCAAAAAGTCGTGGCTTGCTGATCCACACATCTACCGGAGATGTGGGAGAGGAAGCGGGTCAATGTTTGTGCAAGAAGGAGGCCAACCGAGATATGAATTGAGACGTTTAGTCCTCGTACTCCTCGTCCTCGTCTTCATCGTCACAGTCGCGTGCTGAGGAACCACCCTTGCGGTAGTAGGCAACAGTGGCACCAAAGACGTTTCTGTTGTCTGCGTCGAGGGCAGCGGCAACACCATTGTCCAAGGTGATCATGTTGACAGAAGCCTTGGTGGTGACAGCGTACATGTTAAGGTTGTTGTTGCTACCCTCAAGACCGATCATGTTCTGCTGGCAGTTGTTCGTGGCGACACAGTCTTGGCTGTAGTTCTCGAAGAACGAGTACAGACCGAGACCGTGGATGAACACGTTGGTGCTGTCGACGACGCGAAGACCCCAAGACTTGTAGCATGGTGCTGAGGGGTTCTGGGTGGAACAGATCGAGAAGGTGGGGTCCGAGGGGCGCTGAGGCACGAAGGGAGCAGGTGCCTTGGGGTTGGACTGGAAGTAAGGTGTCTCGGATTGGATCATACCCATGAAGACGTTCTTTGCGTTGCGGATCTCGTAGTTGTAAAAGATGTTGTGCTCCGAAGAGGTACCGTAGAGCCAGACAGGGCCTTGAGACTCGATGTAGACACCACGACCGTTGTAGATGTCGATTTGGTTGTGATCGGGAAGGTCAAGCTCGTGATCGGCGACCCAGAACCAGGTGTTCTCGAGGTAAACACCCGAAGACTTGGTACCGGCCCAGAAAAGCATGTAAGCACCTTCACAACCGGTTCTGACAGCGGTGGACGAGGGGTTCTTGGAGCACTTGTCGCTCTGCAAGCCCGTGCCTGCACTTCCACCAATACGAACGTGAGCATCCCAGATACCCGACGCACCTTGGGCTGAAGCCATGTTCCACTTGAGCATGATCGCACCAGGAGCAGGGCCCTTGGTCTCGAAGATAAGATCGGTGATCTCGACAGCACCGGACTGGCCGGCTATGCCGATGTCAAAGACGGGTTGAGGGTTGGAAGGGTCACTGAAGAAGCTGCCAGTAGCCATGATTAGGGGCCAGATCTCACCAGTCATCTTGATCTTGTTGGGAACACTGATAGTCTTGCTGACGACATAGGCGCCGTGGTCGAAGTAAAGGATCTGGTTGGCGTTGACACCGGCCATGGCCTTCTGAATAGCAGCAGTGTCATCGGTGACACCATCACCCTTGGCACCAAAGGTCTTGACGCTGATGAAAGCGCTGGCAGGCAAGTTCTCGTACTGGGGCTTGGAGCGTTCGAAGAACTTGCCAGAACCGTCGAGGAGGGCAGCGGGCTTGGAAGGAGCAGCGAGAGCACCCTGGACACGAGAGCCAGAAGTACCGGCGTATTGACGTCCCTCGCCCCATGATGCAACGACCTTGCCACCCGCGAGGATAGAGCTACCATCAGCAGCGGCGACGGCGGTGGTCGAACCAGAGAAATCAACATTGTCGATGATGAGAGTACCCGCAGTGGCAGGAGCGCTGTTGGCCGTGAACGAGGTCTTGACACCAATGGGGGTGTTTGTGAGCTTGGAGTCCATCAGGATGACAGAGCCAATCAGGATGTTGGTAGAGCCACCGTTAGAGATGTCGAGACCGACAGCGCAGTTGTTGATCGAGACCGACTTCAGAGTCCATGCCCAGTTCCAGTTCATGAAGATGGCAGTGTTGCAGTTGTTGAAGGTCCAGTTGCGCGAGGTGAACTGCTGGTTGCCCAAAAAGGCTCCGTAGTTACCGCCGTTGAAGACCAGATCGCTCATGAAACCACCAGAACCATTGTCCATGAAGATACCGACTTGCTTGGAGCCGGCTCCGGGTATCATGTTGAAGACAATGTTCTGGAGGGAGGTTGCTTGGGCGACCTGCCAGTGAATACCTGCACCGACCGTCTGAGGCATGCCAGTCAAATCAATCTTGAAGTTGCGGACTTGACGGAAGAAGTTGTTTTGGTTGGTGAACATGTTGGCACCACTACTATCGTAGGGGTCAGAATCCAGAACAGCCATGCCTTGGAAGCCAGCAGTGGCCTTCAGGACGGGTAGGTTGAGCGCGTCTCCGACGAGCTGAGTGTAGTACAACATGACAATGGGTTGAGAGATCATGTATGTACCAGGAGGAAAGTAGACGAGAGCAGGCTTGACTGTGCTGCTGTCACAGCCCCAACCGCAACGACTGCCGGCAGAAATTGCTGCGTTGATAGCTGCTGTGTCGTCTGTTGAGCCATCACCTTTGGCGCCGTAGTCCATCACATTGCGATAGACGGCGTAAGATGAGTCGGTACCGAATGCCACGGATCCTTGTCTCTTGATATTTGCTAGCCAGTAGTTTGAAGACGTGGCCCTCTTGACCGATGAGACGGGAGAGGCCAATGCCTGTGATGGCGATAGCACCAAGAGCAAGGTGACCAAGGCGGTCACGGCGCTGATCAGCGAGAGCGGACTGATTGCGCGCATGTTTGTGGTGATAAGAAAGATGATGGGTTGTTCGAAGTTTGAGAAAGGAGGAGAGCTTGAAGGGTGTAAAAGACTAAGTTGTTGTATCAGTGCCTGCACCGAGAAGTGTCTGGAAGGTTGTTGCTGATGCTGTCGATGTGGGAAAGTGTGAAAGCGATAGGCGATTTTCCAAAACAATGGAGCGAATGGAGAGCTTTTGAAGCGCAAACAATGTCCAAGACCCGAGTCTTCTGACTTTCAAAGTCTTGAATCAATAGCACCTGACAGCGACAATGACAAAGATGTATTGTTGTCGAGCGAGATACTTGAATTGATCAAGTGAACAGAGATTCGGCCGAAAGAAACAAGAAACAAAGAATGACAGAAGCTTGGTGAAGAAAAGGGAAGGCGCGTGACAGGCAACGAGGCAGAGCGAAGGTAGGTACCCAGCCCTTTTTGAATATAGTGGATGGAGGGGGGAATGAAAGGGACTCACCTTGCAGCAGTATTGGGTCTTGGAGTGTGTAAGAACCCTTTCCCTCGCGTGTTTCAGCTTGGGTATGATTGAAGCTCTGCTCCTTTGCTGAGTGGATGGAATATGCGCGCCCTTTGCACTTTATAGATGTGTTATTTGGCACCGTTGCAAGTGCCGCAACAACCATATCCGGATCTTGATTACTCTAAACTCTAGAATTCACAGCATTCACCACGCTTGCTGGTGCTAGCCCGCTACGCTCTCGCCCGGAATGTTGTAGCTGTAGTAGCACGATGGCGGCGGGGCTCAACGCGCCAGAACGCGGCAGCGATTGGCAATGCACCAGGGTATGGTCAAGGGTCTGTGGCTCTACTCCAACGGCAAGGGGGCGTCGTCTTAGAAACAGCAGTCTACAGCAGTCGAGTGGTGAGCAAAGGGTAGTGCGTCAACGTCTTTTGTCCGAGTAGAGCAATGACGAGATGCTGTTGGCTGGCCTCCCGCAGTTGGCAATTTGCTGAAACGGCAGGTGCTTCGGCCACGCGCCCGTTGTTTCTCGACGTTCACACGTGCTTGTGCTCTCATCACCTGGGAAGCCGCAGATACACTGTCGGCTTGGATGAAACGGGAATTGCACTCGTCCATGCTGACTTGCATCTCGCCGCCTACGGAAGAGACGGAAGGCCCGTAGCGCTGCTCTCATTCTGCTGCTACATGTACCAGGTAGCTATTGGCAGACACCGCTCGATGCGACACTAAATTGCAACCAGCAAAGACACTTCTAGATCAGCATCCTCACAAGCATACCGAAAACGCCACGCCTCCAGCTACACATCAGCTTCTGTGAGCTCGTGCGTGGTGCTCGTGCAACCATGTCTTTGACCGACGACCTCCGTTCGTGCTACGTGGACTTCGCTCAGCCTCATAGCAGATCTGCCGACCATACGCCATGTCCTAGCGACGACCACTACATCCAAAATGAGACGCACGGTCACAAGAACGCTTTCGCTACTTGGCTGCCGAGATCGATTCTCGTCGCTCAATAACTCGTCACTTCATCTCGTACTGAATCAGAAAGAGATGGAAGCAAACAACCCATCACTCTAAAGCCCACGCGGGTCTTGTCTGAGAAGTCTCCAGCCCATGTTGGCCACAACAAGATTATACTGGAACCACTCTCCCCTCGACTATACCCTCACCACACCAGGACGCTCCGCTGCGACTGTCCAACACGCAAATTCTTTGGTGTCAAGCAGTGGATCAGGGTCTGTTTGACGTCGCTGCATCTGTCTAGGCTATACTAGCCGTGTTTCGCCCCTGGCGATCGCATCTGTGCATGTGTCGCAAACCTTGAGCTCCGGGACAAGAGAAGCGTCTAGATCTAGATGTTCCCCCTGATAGGATTACTGTCAAGCAAGCCCATATGATTGAACAAGGCGAGCAAGATTTGAGGTCGAGCAAATCTCGGCCTATGCTGCTTACAGTCGAGTGGCTTTGATAGCGAAAAACTGCTGCAGTAGTTGCTGTAGTCCACTTGCTACAACCGACATGTGTCTGAGGTTCATGTTGACACAGGCTGGGTGTGTGCATCTCTAGCTATGAGAAGATGTCCCAAATACTCTGCTCCGACAGCCGGCATGCATTGGATCACGGTAAGTCAAGGCACTCTGGCAGAGACAGCACAATCATACGCCTCGCTATCGCACAGTGAAACAAGATTTGCATATTGAAGTCCAAGTCATGTCTGTTCCATATGCTTCGGACAGCTCGGTCTGCGTGGTAACGTCCAAGGCTTCGCACAGACAACCTGTCGTACTTGTCAGTATAGCCACGGGTAAAGCTCTGGCAGGGCCACGTACCTCGCCTTCTGTATACGCCCAGAGATATATCCCGCAGCCGATGAGATAGTACATCGCCGGGTTGGTCCCTTGGTACAATAACACAGCTGTCAAGCTCGATAGTGGTAATAGCAGTATCCTGAGCTCTAGCGATCGATGTATTGCAGTCCCGGCGAGGAACTCGAGCGGCCACTCCCAGGCCAGATTTATGAAACCGAAGATGAGGTTTATGGTTTGTAGTATAGGTACAGGCTTGACGGAGGGGTCAAAGTTCTTTGTCAGGAAGTCGAAGAAGAATTTGGGCCAGAAGAAGCCATGGAGACTGGCGGCGATGTGATCTGTGGTTTCACTCAGAGTCAGCCTGGGTCTTCGCTAACGAGTGTAGGCATGCACAAGGGAGAGGAATGGAAGCTTACAGATTGCTGCTGTCATGACGATAAGACGGGCTAAGTGATTCTTGATGAGCTTTCCCATGCTGTGTCGACCAGCAATAGAACGTGAAACTCTGGTATGTTGAGTTGAATCTTCTTGTTACCGGTGGAATGGTGACACAGGGGTCGAAGCCGACATGATTCAGATTCAGTGCAATCAGGGAGTGACGGGGAAATGGAAGTCCAGTCCTTCGTATACTATCAAGCGACCTTGTTGCTGGGAGGTGATGAGATGGGTGGACGGTGGGTCGCGAATATAGAGAGACGGCAGTAGTGACTACAGCACAAGCAAGACAAGGGAACGAAGAGATGCAGGTGATATTGGGCGGGAGTGGCTTAACAAGAAGCGGGATCCATGTCTTTTTCTCGCTTCTGCTTGAAGAGAGAAAACGAACGCGAAGGAGCAGATGGGATTTAGAGCCTAGAACAGCTGAAGTCGGTTTCTTGGCTTCTTGGTTTTACGTGAGGTGGGTGGTTGGAGGTGTCTCGTGAGGCTTCTCATGAATGCGAAGCGCCGAAGATGTTGTCGAATCAGACGACTTTTCATCTTTAACAAACATCCCTTGGGCAAGAGATCGACGGCATGTTTGCGTCTTTGCATGAATCTGGTCGGTTTCGACCTGGCCATAATAATCTTCGCTCCTGTCATCCAGATGCTGAAGTCATCGTATGTGCCAACTCTTCCATGCGACCCGGAGCAGCCCTATCGTCCAAATTCTTGTCAATATATGATCCATGACATCGAAGCGAACAATCGCTAGGGGTCGAGATGTACACTCTCAGAAGCCTGTACGCGAAGGGCGACGCAGCGTGCAGAAGTGCCAGCGGTTACGCATCCAATCAACGCGCCTCAGCTCCCTATTTAGGCATGCGCCCAGGCTTCTGTCCTCCGACCACTCACCACCACGACACATGGAATTTTCAAGGCCAGCCACTAGGTTTTGTGATTGAGCTGTAAGCCCTGCAGAGAGTATGCAGGTCCATGTCATCAAGATGAATGCCGGGCGGTTATGCAGTAGAGCTGCGTGACAGGACGAATTGACTTGATCAACCGAGGTTTGCTTTCCTGTCTGATGTCGTCCTTGTCTATTCACAATCACATCGTAAATTTGCTCATAGCTCTTGGATGATCGCGAAAGAAAGTTCTGGACTTGCCGATGGTATCGCACAAATCTGCTGCTATCGAGTTGGACGTCTTGCTCGAAGCCTCTCAGTAAACTGATCGAGCCGACTTCTCACAATGCCTGAACATGCTGAAGAAAGAACATGGAGATCATTGGTAACTCCCAGGAAGCTGAGCTTCTACTTGGCGTTCCACGGTTCTCACGTTGCACTGTTCATCATAGGATGGTATGTCGCCAATGTTCTTTCTACTGGTATGCAAGCTGATGTTCATCAGGTGGAAACAACAGACCAGCAAGGCACTGGCACCTCTCAACCTACTGACGTTCTCGGTGTGGATATCAAGAGGCGCGGGGCTGGTTCTCAGCGTGGATGTCACTTTGATCATGCTGCCCATGTGTAGGAACATTCTACGAGTTTTCCGACCCAAGATCAAATGGCTGCCTCTAGACGAATCGCGATGGTTTCACAGACAGGTTGCCTACTCACTACTCTTTTGGACAATAGTACATACTACAGGCCATTACGTCAACTTCTTCAATATCGAGCGGATGCAGCTTCGCAAACAAGCAGCTGTTCAAGTCCACTATACCCAAGCTGGTGGAGTGACAGGCCATATCATGCTTTTATGCATGCTTCTGATTTATACCACAGCGCATCAGAAGATCCGTCAACAGTCCTACGAGACGTTTTGGTACACGCATCATCTGTTTGTACCTTTTCTTCTGGCCATGTACAGTCATGCTACTGGATGCTTTGTTCGAGACACTGTCGAGCCCGTTTCGCCTTTTGCTGGAAAACATTTCTGGAACCACTGTCTCGGATACCAAGGCTGGCGATGGGAGCTGATCGGTGGCGGTCTGTATCTGTTTGAGAGGATATACCGAGAGATTCGCGCTCGCAGGCCGACGGAGATCATCAAAGTCGTCAAACATCCGTATGGTAAGCAAATTGAGTCGGGGACCGTGCTCATCGCGGTATACTGATTTCGCAACAGATGCAGTGGAGATCCAATTTCGCAAGCCTAGCATGCAGTACAAAGCCGGACAGTGGCTGTTTCTGAACTGTCCAGAGATATCAAAAAACCAATGGCATCCTTTCACCATCACGTCCTGCCCCTTCGATCCTTATGTCAGCGTCCATGTCCGCCAAGTAGGAGACTTCACTAGATCTCTTGCAAATGCGCTAGGTGCTGGACAGGAACAAGCAGCCTTGTACGGAGAACTGGATCCTATGGGAATGTATGAGGTAGCATTACAGCAAGGACAGCAGATGCCAACACTTCGTGTTGACGGACCTTATGGCGCACCGGCTGAGGATGTGTTCGACCATGAGATTGCCATTCTCGTAGGCACTGGTATTGGCGTCACGCCCTGGGCTTCGATCCTCAAGAACATTTGGCACATGCGGCTATCACCAAACCCGCCCAAACGACTGAAGCGAGTCGAATTTATTTGGGTGTGCAAAACAACGACATCTTTCGAGTGGTTCCAGGCCCTGTTGTCCTCTCTGGAGATGCAGTCACTATCCATGTCTTCACCGGTGGATGTAATCAAGCCGCCAGAGGAGACAGACGAGTTTCTGAAGATTCACACATATCTGACGCAGAAGATGGATGTGGACCAGGCCAACAATATTGTGTTGAACAGCGTTGGCACGACGAAAGATCCGCTGACAGAACTCAACTCGAGGACAAACTTTGGCAGACCAGATTTCCACCGACTGCTAGGTGCTATGAGGCACTCGATTGAGAACGGAACGTATATCAGAGGGCTGGAGTCTAGGAGAGCCGAGGTTGGAGTGTATTTCTGTGGACCAAACATGGCGGCGAGAGGTATACGAAGGGCATGCGAGGACGAGTCTAGTCACGATGTCAAGTTCCGGTTTTGGAAAGAGTATTTCTAGCGTGTGTCGCTCGACTGTTGTACATTCGTTTCGTTCATACAATGTTCTTTTGGAGAGGTGATTTTGGGTATCGGAGATATGGTACAGCAGCGCTGCTCCTGAGCGCATCACGGGAAGAGTCTTATAGCTTCCTCCTTTTAACTGTGTCTCTTGCTCCAATGTGTGCGCGCGTGCTCGGATCGAAGAGGGTGGCGGGTAGGTGATTCGCCTCGAGGAGTTCGAAAGGTTGTAAAGGTGTCGTTGTTGGTTCGGGGTCGTCACCAAGGCATTTTACATGCCACCGAAGCCGCCAACGCCGCCCTGCTTGCCGGCGGCCTCTCCCTGCATCTTCTCCGAGACCTTGATGTTGACCTCGAAGAACTTGCCAACGCAACGGTCGAGGCAGACGGACTCGCCCTTGTTGAGGTCACCCTCGCGGTAGGTGTTGGGAATGCACTTCTTGGTGCAGGTCTCGACAAGACTGCAAAGCTTGTTAGCACGCGACGTCGGTGTGACAGTAGACTGCTGAGTAGTGTATACCGGTTGTACATGTCCGAGACCATGTCAATTTCGGCCTCAGCAGCGGCAATCTTCTCTGCAGAAGAGGGCTGGGGGCGACCACCACCGAACAGGAAAGACATTTTGATATGAGTTGAATGGGTTGGGATTGAGTGAGGGAGCGAAAAGTGTATGAATTGACAGTTCGAATTGCACGTTGCGCATCATCCATCATCGTCAGAAAGTTGCACGCCGGACCTGCTGAGCTTGGGCCACATGAACGCACATGGCTGGAGCTTCCGATTTCTTCTGCAACCAGCTTCTTCCAACCGCTTGTTCCTTCCTCTCTCTTTCCCTTTACACCACACAATATGCTGTGACAAATGGTAAGTCCTACCCTGCTTCTCTGCGCCTTCCTACTTCACATTCCATGATGAGCAAAATTTGTAAAGAACCGTTGCGAATGACTCCTTCGGGGGGTTGATTTCACAAACATACCGATTATCCTGATCTCTATTCCACATCTCACACTGCATATCGTCTACAACCTCTCAATCCTGAGACTAACAGTCTTCTCACAGATGCCAAGGTCTGCCGAAGTCTACCGCTTCTTGCGGCCCGTTCTCCACCAGAATGACTTGCGTTCAGCATTGAAACCTTTGTATGCTCGCTCCTTCTCCGCCTACACCAGGCTAGCCTCGAAGAAATCCGTCAAGGACTCTCCGACCGGCGATTACGAGAAACGCATCGCTCAGCTGCAGGCCAACAAATCGTTGCAAGACTGCTGGCCACGTCTGCCACAGCGTCATGATGTTGCTAGAATATCCGTGAACGATTTGAAAAAGAGCTGTGCAACTTTAGATAATGGTGCTACCAAGCTTGACGATAAACACATCGTCTCTGGCAGAGTCCGCTCTGTGCGCACTGCCGGCTCCAAGCTGGTCTTTATCGACATAGAACAAGATGATCGTGTCGCCCAAGCAATCTGTAATTTCTCCCACCTCGATCAGAACGGCGTGCCTCGTGAGCAGTTCAATGCTTTCAAGCGCGTCGTTCGCCGAGGTGATTGGTATACCTTTGTTGGTCATCCACACAAGGCACAAGGTGGGGAGGAGAGTATTCTTGCGACTGAGCTTCCACAGCTCATGTCACCGTCGCTCCATCAGATTCCTGCTCAACTCGATGATGCCGAGACACGCGCGCGTAGACCCCATGTCGACATGCTGGTTCATCGTCAAGCCGTGCAGACACTCAAGATTAGATCTGCCATCGAGCGTGGCATTTCAACCTTCTTCGACAACCAAGGCTACTCCAAAGTTAGCACGCCTCTGCTGACTGCAGGTGCTGGTGGCGCAGTAGCCCGACCCTTCGAGACTGTCGCTACAGAAATGCTGGACACAACCCTCAACCTTCGCATAGCCCCAGAACTGTGGTTGAAGCGGTTGGTTGTTGGCGGCCTAGGCAAGGTCTACGAAATTGGACCAGCCTTTCGCAATGAGGGCGTAGATGCAACACACAATCCTGAGTTTACCATCTGCGAATCTTACATGCCGTTCGCTGATCTGGATCATCTCATGAAGATGACCGAGGACCTGTTGGCTGGGCTGCATGAAGAATTGTGCAAGTTGGGTGAAGAGAATTTCAAGCACCTTGGTGACACTGCTGTCAACTTTGACACAACCGAGGCTCACCTCTTCCAAGGACCTTTTCCACGTCTCCCCTTCATACCTACTATCGAGAAAGAGATGGGGAAGCAATTGCCAGACCTCGGCAACGACAATGCAACACAACAGATACTGGACCTCTTTACTGAGATGAACATTGCGATCCCTGCCAGACCAACACTTCCACGCCTCTTGGATGACCTGGCCGGCCAATATATTGAGCCTCTCTGTATCAGCCCGACCTTCATTACCGAGCACCCTGCTGTCATGTCGCCGCTTTCGAAATCATACATCTGCCCTAAAACCTCTCAACTTATCTCGGCTCGTGCAGAACTCTTTATTCGAGGCAACGAGTACGCTAACATGTACGAAGAGGAGAACTCGCCTTTTGCTCAACGCGAGAAATTCGTAGAGCAGCTCAAATACCGCGAAGTCGATGGTGAAGGTGATGGCAGAGCAGAGGTAGATGAGAGCTACCTCGAGGCTCTTGAGTGGGGACTGCCTCCTACCGGAGGTTGGGGTATGGGTATTGATCGTCTGGTCATGCTTTTCACCGGTCAAAAACGCATCGGAGACGTCTTGCCTTTTGGCACTTTGAGGAATGTTGTCGGTCTTGCTACGAGGCAGACGTGACATCTATATGTATATACATCGCTGCTGCTTTCATGATATCCCCGCTTCTTCACGTCAATCCTGTCTTCTCTCCTTTCGCCATTTACGCTTGTCTGAGAAGTCGATCTGTGCTGTTCTTCTGGTATTGACGGTCTCCAAGTTCCCTTGACGCGACGTCGCCCCTGATCCCTGACCACCTTCCACCATTCGCCTTAAACATACAAGGCAACGCATTATCCAACACATCATCGGCGAATAGCAACTTCTCAAACACAAGCAGAAACAGCCTCTCCAGACTTGACACTTGGTTGCATCATCTCGAACCATGGTTGAGCCGACTGCTTTGGGCACGACTGCCGAGCCCCCTCTCATGCGCACGCAGCGCTGCACGAGCGCAACTGCATCAGCAATGCAGCATTATACCGAATAAACCTGCACGAGCTGCGCCGTTCGACAGTCTCACCGCATCTTCTATTGGCGGTCTTCACGTCACCAACAACAATCGGATGCGCTTTTGGGCAGACGAATCTACACCGCCCCAGACTCGGTTTTCGTCTTTGAGTAACGGCAGTTGTATGTTGCTTAGGCACCAGCTCTATATTCTCGAAAGGCTGAGCGATAGGACGAGGACTAGCTAAATACGTGACCATTTGGTGCCAAGGATGGACTCGAGGCTGCACACAGAAGGTCCATGCGGATCATGACGCCTCGAAGCCTCGGTAGTTTGTACCTTTTTTTCAAGATTCTCTCAAGTAATTCTCCGCAGCGCGCGGAGGCCGACCGCTCGCGAAACCCCTATGAGGCGGTTCAAGCACTCACGCGCGTAATCAAGGCTAAGAAGGCTGTTGGCAGAAGGAAGCAGAGACCAGAAATACCATCATCCTCTGCAAAAGATAATGTCTTATTAAGTTACACGCCTTTTCCTCGCCTCTTCTTTCTGCTTCATTGGCATGTCTTGTTCTCCCGATCAAAGGCTTCACCAAGGATAATCTTTACACGACATCATTCATCAGCCAGCATGTTTGCGTGGTTGACGGGTACTGGCACCACCCCTCCCGCCTTCCTCGAGATTCGAAGTTCCAAATTTCTGATCATCAGTACCGTCGCCGCTGCGGTGTTTACTGATGTCTTCCTGTACGGTATCATCGTGCCTGTACTGCCATTTGCTCTGAGTGGCCGTGCTGGCATCCCGGAGGATAATGTTCAGTCCATGATATCGGTGCTCTTGGCAGTTTATGGCGGCGCTTTACTCATCGGAGCACCCATATGTGGGTGGGTAGCTGATCGGTTCGACTCGCGTCGGTGGAGTTTTATGGTTGGCCTGCTGGCGTTGGCTGGGTCGACAATATTCTTGGTTGTTGGAAACAGTCTTGCTCTCATCGTTGTTGGCCGTATCCTTCAAGGTCTCTCGGCAGCGGTTGTTTGGGTTGTTGGCCTGGCATTGCTGCAAGACACTGTCGGCTCTGAGTCGATCGGGGAAGCAATGGGGTTCGTTGGCATTGCGATGTCTCTGGCCTATCTACTAGGACCCCTTTTGGGAGGAGTCGTCTTCACAGAAGCCGGATATTATGCCGTCTTCGCAATGGCTTTCGCACTCTTGGGCATCGATGCAATTCTCCGGCTGTTGATGATAGAAAGATCAGTTGCTGCAAAATGGAGGAAAGAAGCACCTCAAGTAATCACTAATACCGAACACAAAGGCGACACAAACGATCACAAAGCTGACCCGGGGTATCACGCACCCGAAATCGAGACGCCTGCCGTGACACACGAACGACGCAAGGTCCCTAGAGTCTTCTCACTACTCGCGTCGTACAGACTTGATGCCGCTTTGTTCGGTTGCTTCATCTCCGCCGCGCTACTTACTTCCTTCGACTCGATCTTGCCCTTGTACGTCAACGAACTCTGGGGCTGGGATTCTATTGGTGCTGGATTGATTTTCTTGGCTGTCACGATTCCATCTTTTACTGGACCTTTTGTTGGAAAGTATGCAGACAAGCATGGAGTTAGATGGCTAGCGACGACTGGCTTCATCATTACTGGTCCGTGTTTCATTCTGATGCGTCTTGTCAACCACGAAGGCATTCGTCAGAAGGTTCTTCTCTGTGCACTTCTCGCTTTGATCGGTCTTGGAGTCACTCTTTCCCTTACACCATTGATGGCAGAAGTCTCGTACGCAGTCGATGCACAAGGAGCCAAACGACCAGCCGGCTTCTTCGGCAAGAACGGTGCTTTTGCTCAGGCGTATGGATTGTTCAATATGGCCTATGCAGGTGGCACTATGATCGGACCTCTACTTGCGGGACTGGTCAAGCAAAGAGCCGGATGGGGTACTGCAACACTAGTACTCGGGTGCGTCTCGTTTGTCTGCGTCATCCCGACGGTCATCTGGTGTGGGGGATCTATTTTCAAGTTGAGGAAGAGACAGAAGGCAGGCAAGGTAGCGAAGACGGAAGGGCCCAGGAAGACAAGTCCGATTTCGAGTACGAGCGCGAGCAGCGAGGTCAATGTTTGATGCTGTGGATATTTCGGTCATCTGTTCATTTGTATATTTGTATATAATGTGTTGTCAATCAATCAATAGCATACCAAGCCGACCGGACCTGATGCTTCCTGCTCATTGGACTGAACTCCAGGTCCTGGCGCAACTTCCTCATCGACGATGATTCTACGTGAAGATCTCCTGGCTGAAGTCGCAATGGTTTGGAAATTGAATAGAAGCCATATGGAGCAAGGTCATGGTTGGTGTTTCTGATTTGTTGGCAACAAAGGCAAGTATTGGTCTCGGCCAGGGTTCTACCTAAAACAATGCCCTGTAAGACATAACGCTGGCGACAGCGTCTACTCTGGACAGATTAACCTCTTTATACATTAACGTAGGTACGGGCCAGTCATATCTCTGGATCCGACGGTTGTAAGCTCACTGTAATGGTCTTTACCTCTGATTTCAATATTCGAAGGCTCGTGAATCAAAAATAGCCGCTCAACTACACCAGGCACACTGAGCATTCTTCTACATGCCGGTTGAATTATCCTTCCAAGCCACTGTAGCTAGACGAACATGCCTCTGCTTCCCTACTATCCTTCCTCCAAGGCTCGATGCGAGTCATGGAGATATTGATCCTGATATTCCCACCCAAGTATTGCGCGATCAATTGAATGGGATATTATATTGGAAAGTCAGCTACCCCACATCCAGCTTCGAGATCTAACCAATTTCGGGATTCTCTTCAGGCGCTTTGGCGGAGTGGTTAACGCGATGCCCTGCTAAGGCATTTCCTTCGGGAGCAAGAGTTCGAATCTCTTAGGCGTCGATCGTTTTTGCCTTCATAAGTTTCTAGGCATACTCTTTTGCTTGTCCAACGCGCAAAAAGAAGAAAGGAAGAATTCGGGTAGGGATTGGTTGTTTGGTGGTTCAAATGGATATGCCTGCATAATTTTGTGCCATTCAAGCTTCAGCGTCGTGAAGCTTGGCGGAAGTGGTCGTGCAATTCGTGTTACGAAGAAAGCGTGGCCTTTGTCAAGCAGAACATGAGACGAGTTTGAGTTCAATATGGAATTCCTTAGCTGATGAGAAGGATGCATGATTTGGAAGTGTATGGCAGTGCGAGTATTGCTTATTGCTCTCAAGGGTCAAGTCTCCTTCTGAGCCTTATCTACCCGCCTATACAAGATATCACTTCTCATGGTATACTTTACACCTTGGACTACATCGTCACCCGAATGCCACAGGTTTCTATGCTGGAAGATCAAAACTCGACCTGTCTTGGGCAGAACTTCGTATCTCTGCATCATGTTATGAGAATGGAAAGTGGTCGCGCCACCCTGTACCTGGTCGTCTCCAGCATCGCTGATTCCACCATTGCCATTCAGGTACAGATGGAATGTGAAGAATGACCTTTCACTTCCGTCGGGAGTTTGATAAACACCGTCTTCGTGTACTGGCAACTGTCAGGTCACAGACTCGTCTCGATCGCAGCTGAAAACAAACCTCGAAAGTATTCTCCACCTTGATACCTCAGAAATCTCATCCTCTCATTCAGCCTAGTTGCCTCCCAAACTTGTCCTTTCATAACAGCACTTCCAGCAGTGAGGTCGGAGTGTCCGTCTAGTCTTGCGATCTCCAGAACATACATCTTGACTCTATCCCATATCTTCCGAGAGACATCAGAAGAGTCCCAGATCAGACGCCCACACTTGCGCTAATCATCTTCTTGCCTTTGGCGTCCGTTACCAATCTGTATCATGGCTCTTTGCCACGGATTGCTTGCCTCTGCTGCTGAGAGAAGAGTGGCACATTCGGACGAGGTAAGAACATCGTCAATGATGTAAGCTTGTAGTTCGGCATATCCTGTCAATGGTGTGTCTGCAAAGTTGATGCGCGTTCCTTTGACATTGGACACTGGCGCCGAAAGGAAGCCCGTAGGAAGAGATGACATTGTTGCTGTCTATATATATCAAGGATGTCGAGGAGACTTAAGGCAACTTTGTACCCAAGTCTCAAATATCGCTGCCTTGAATACCCAGACTGCTGCCTTGGACGTATCGACAAAGGCATTTGTCTCCACACGATAGTACTCTTCAGCTCGACGGCTTCTGGCGCAAGGCGAGATTCAGGACATGTCGTTGGCGCATGTACGCCAATCGCCAAGTCTCGCAGGCACAAGGTTGCTTATCGCGTGACCAGGTTTCATGGGCTTATCTCAGATTACAAAGCCTGTCGAGACGGCACTCTTGAGGAGCTCGAGAGTACTCTCTAACCATCACGAGTCGACATGGGCCGAGAGGGGACCCAGGTGGCAGTGCTTTTGTCGCAGTCGAAGGCTCGAAGGCAGGTGGTGTTTGTTGACGTCGATCAGTCTGCGCTTGCCAGCCGTCTCTTCTGGGCCAGCCTCTCCAGAATCCCAACTGTCCGAACCTCCTGGACTCGACCTTCATGCTCGAACATGTGTCCTCTACCTATCATCTGGGCTAGAGAGAAGATTCCGATCGACTTCAGTCACGTAGGTACTCGTGTCCGCTGACGATGGATAAGCCGAGCTCCAAGTGTGTGAATGTGCAGCATCAGCGTACCCACTGCGACAATCCTACCAATCCACCGCGACAAACCCATCCAGCGCCATCACCCACCCGCAACCATACCCACGCGACCATTCTCGAGTCAACACCCATACATCATAGCTCCCTGGAAGCTCCGACTTCACTTGGCATTACTTTTGAGCGTGCCAACAACATGGCCAAACGTCGTCGCACAAATGGATACACAAAAGAGTCGGACATATTCTCGGTCTATATATCAGCCGTTCTCAACCGACGCACCGTATAGGGTGCTCCATTTGTGCAGCCATCGTCTGCCACTATGAACAAGAGCAGTGAAACACTCCCCTCGAGAGCCTCACCACTCCGAACGAGTCGCCACGACTTTTCAGGTCCCTGCGACACACCGTCTCTGTCTTGACAAGCGCCACGCTTGAATCTCTTGTATCGCGTGCCTCTCTCTGCCTTTCCGGAAGAACGGCTTGATCATCCTATCCCAGCTTGGACTCGTCTGAATACCGCGCCCGGACTGCACAGGTGCTTTACACAGGATCTCTTTCCCTCCTTCTGACATGCTATCCAGCAGTACTGGTCTTGCGAGATCGGCAAAGCGACTTGGGAACTTTCAAATCTCGACGATCCCTAGCGTGTAGACATGCTGCTGCAATTTCCTGTCAAGCTTGAAGCTTCATCAGCGCGCCCTCGCAATCCTGGAAGTCGTTTGACACTACTACGTAACAGTCCTCCTGGTCTTCTAGGGCGCACGAATGACAGGTATGACACAGTGGTGGCACTCGCCGAGGTCTGAGCTGCAAGCCTGCCTGCCTGCCTGTGCGCGCTGTGCCTCCTCGGAACCCGCTCAATCCCGTACAAAACGGCAATCCTGTCCGAATCCTGTTACTCTATGGAGTCCGAATCCTGCTCCCCGCCACGCTTCGCTATCTCTCCTATCTATCCAGCACTGGCAAACCCATTCACGAGACTCGAAATAGGTGCTTTGAGTCCATGACCAACAGTCAAACAGTCTCAGCTTGCACAAATTAATACTTTAGCCAAACAGTGCGGCGCAATTAACCTTGCGGTTCCGTTGCTTAGCAAAAGCCAGCCGCTCAGCCAGCCGATTCGGCAAAAATTTCGAGTTGGGTCTGTGCATCTCGGTCCATCAACAAACTGCATCACTCTCAGCTTCCATCGCTGTCGCAACAGATGGTAATTATCATCGCAAATACGGACGATAAACAGCACTATGGAAGCCGATCACTTCTTCCACTAGTATATCAGCCCCAGATAGTACCCCAGTCCGAATCAATGTGTCAACGTACGGAGCGTGGAGGGATCAAGTTGCCATGAAAGGTAAAGGACATGAGTCGTTCCCTGAATGACGAGCGCCAAGACGGAGGAAGCATCCAAAGCACGCCGCCGTCACGCGATGCCCACTCGGATGCTTGTCTCACTCGCCCTTGTAATTGGTCAAGCATCTCAACGATTGGTTCAAGTCCATCAAAAACCTCTCTTCTTGGCGATCCACAGCGTCAGTTGTTCGGTAGTAGTTGGAGATAGCGACGTCGTCGTATTGCCGCATGGGCGAAAAAAAGCGATTACCCTGCGATCCGCCGCATAAGAACGCTGCTGTACCCTGTCTCAACCAGTGGTTCTTTCTTTTTTTCTAATCATCTCTACCTCTATTTCGACTACCTTCGAAGAGTATCTTGGAAATAATCAAGAAAAGCTCATACTCCCACAACATCCAAGCATCGTCCACTGTTGCTACGTGGTGACAAGACTCATCCTCGCCTCTGTACGACTCATACCCACGCGACTCTGAAGACTCACAATCTTCTCCCGAGCAACTACAACAAAGTCTTTACCTCCTCGCATCTCTATCGACTCGAAATTACAACTCCCTCGCGACTCGACAACCTAACTCAACTTTGAAACTCATCCCCTGCGCCATCACATACCGAAGTGAAACATTAACGAAGCTACTGCCCGTGCATTGCTTGCAACTGACCTCGCAAACTATCTGAGTGCCCAAGCGACTTTGTACATAACTCGAAGATTCCTTGCGACTCCAACAACCACAGCAACAATCAACCCCTCAGCAACAACCTTCGCTCGTAGGCTTGTATCTACTTACATTAGCCAATATGGACTACTTCAAGAGAACCTTCTTGGGTAAAGACGAGAGAGACTTCATGCATGCTGTCGTGCCACTACATTCGGAGCGACACATGTCTGAAGTCAAGACTGCTGATGGCGCTTCTATTGGTGAGAAGTCAACAGTCAGCCAGAACTCGGGCAGATCAACAACCACCCTCGAATCTCTCCGGGCCGAGATTGACTCCGATGTCGATTCTGAAGGTCACAACACTGCTTATGATCGTGCGTATCTTCGAGACTGCTTCATACCGTGAACATAGTCTTCTTCATTTAATTCTCCAGTGTACCCAATGTGCTAACGATTAACAGGCAAATCAAAAGTCATCAACAAGGCTATTCAAGATATGGGTATGGGCAAATACCAATGGCAGCTTTTCACCCTTTGTGGTTTCGGTTGGATGGCAGACAACCTCTGGCTTCAAGGTGTCGCTCTGACCCTTGACCCCATCGCCGCCGAGTTTGGTGTCGACACAAATGCCGTTCGCTACACTACTCTCGCCCTCTTCGTCGGTCTTTGTATCGGAGCCAGTTTCTGGGGTATCATCTCGGACATCATCGGTCGTCGCTATGCCTTCAACATGACTCTGTTCATTGCTGGTACCTTTGGTCTCGCCGCTGGTGGCGCCAACAGCTGGATCGCTGTATGCGCTCTCTACTCCTGCATCGGCCTGGGTGTCGGTGGTAACCTTCCTGTCGACGGTGCCCTCTTCCTCGAGTTCCTGCCTGGCGAGTCGAACTACCTTCTCACACTGCTTTCGATCTGGTGGCCAGTCGGTCAGCTGATCTCTTCCCTTCTGGCCTGGGCTTACATCCCCAACTTCTCCTGTGCTGCCGGCACTGCTGTGTGCACTAAGGCTGACAACTGGGGCTGGCGCTACTTCATCCTGACTCTTGGCGCCATCACTTTCTGCATGTTCATCCTCAGATTCTTCCTCTTCAACCTTTTCGAGTCTCCCAAATTCCTGCTGTCTCGTGGCCGCCAGGCCGAAGCCGTTCACGTTGTCCAAGGAATTGCTGCCCACAACAAGACCACTACATGGTTGACCGAAGAGATTCTTAATCAGATTGGTGGCGACCCTGATGTTACCGAAGACGCCAAGCTCAGCACTGTCGAGATTGTCAAGCGTGCTGCCGGAAAGTTCTCTACTCAGCGCATTGCTCCTCTCTTCAGCGGCTGGAAGCTGGGTACCACCACTTGCCTCATTTGGTTTGCATGGACTGCCATCGGCATGGGCTACCCGCTGTTCAACGCCTTCCTTCCTCAATACCTTGCAAACAGCGGTGGTGGTGGTTCCAACTCTGTCTCGACCACCTACCGCAACTACGCCATCACCTCGATTGTTGGTGTTCCCGGTTCCTTCCTCGGCTGCTACACTGTCAACCTAAAGTACATTGGTCGCAAGGGAACGATGGCCATCGCGACTGCCATTTCAGGCATGTTCCTGTTCCTCTTCACCACCAGCACGAACTCTGGTACCCAGCTCGCCTTCTCTTCGCTCGAAGCCTTCTTCCAAAACATCATGTACGGTGTCAACTCTTCCACTTTTGATGCTCTTGATACTAACTTCGCAACAGGTACGGTGTCCTTTACGCCTACACGCCTGAGGTGTTTCCAGCTCCCAATAGAGGCACTGGCACTGGCATATCAAGCTTCTTCAACCGTCTCGCCGGTCTCTGCGCACCCATTGTTGCTGTCAACGCAGCTGGCGCCAACCCCAATGCTCCTATCTACGCATCAGGTGGTTTGTTCTTTGCTGCCTTTGTCGCTCTTGTCCTGCTACCAATCGAGACGAGAGGAAAGGCTACTTTGTAAAAAGGACAAAGTTTTTGTTTTTACGAGAAAAGGCCCAGGTGGCTTTGTCATGCCAGCATTATTATACCCCCCTTCAAATGTTGATGTAGATATCAATCAAGTTTTACGTTTCAAATTATTTCAATAGTATGGGTTCGTCAGTCGTGAAGTGATGTCGATATACTGTTTTGACGGAAGCAGTAGCAAACCATCACTAAGTTGTTTTCATGGTTTACCTACATTGCAAGAAGATTATATTGATGAGGAAGTGGAAGGCATGACCTTGAGCAAGCATAGGAGAAGACTCCGGTCAAGGGCTGAAGCTTTGGCCATAATTAACGGGATGACGTTCTCGATGCTCTGTTGCAACGACCATCTCGTTGCCATCTTAGTTTAAGCTCTCTCATCATTCCTTCCTTAGCAATCCTTTTTCTCTAGACCAGTCAGAGAGGAGAACAATACCAACTTGCCGCGACCTCATTACAAAAAGTCTCAACTTCTCTGGAACCAAAATAACCACTGGAACATCAACACTTCTACTCTACCCTCCGTCAATAAGATATTCCAGGACCATGGACGACTCCTGGCAAGAAACAGCCTTCACCTCCCGCCACATGCACAACCGCCAATCCCGGAACAACGGCACCTCCAAATCAGGCGGCAGCGGAAGATCCAAAAGAAACGCCTTCGACGTCCGCAAAACCTTTGGCAGCTACCAAATCAAATGTCCGGCGTGGTTTAAGCTGCATAATGAGATGCAAACAGAAGGAAATCAGGATGCAGTGTTGGAGTTGTATAGATTGACGGAATGTGGGAGGGATGTGGTGGGGGAAATGTCGTTGCCGGGTTGCATCAGGGCTGCGGTGTTGTTGGCGGCTAGTAGGAAGAGTCTGCAGGGGACTTTGGAAGGGCTGGAGCCGGTGAAGGATGTGCAGAAGGAAAAGGGTGAGCAAAATGATGGAAACCAAGAACAGAAGGATGATGAGGATAGCGATGAAGAGGAAGAGCATGAGTCGGAAGAAGAACCCGATCGCTTCGAAACCTTCGAAAAGAACAGTTTCAGAGAGCCAAAGTTTTGGTTAAGGTGGAATGGCAAACTCGAAACGCCGGCGGTGGAAGAGGAAAAGGCAGAGTCAGGACTTGGGTATATCATTTTCCCGAGTAATGATTGTCGCAAGTTCAAAGGGACGTTGAACTGTGCTTCGCTCGAGTGGAAAGATGTTGCGTTTTCTGGCCACAAGATTGCTCCGAGGTCTGAGTCTGATATACCAGTCGCATGGGGTCTGGATCAAGTACCAATGTGAGGAAACGAGAACAGATACAAAAGAAGATGACAGTTGGAAGCATGAAGCCGATATTTTTCTCGTCAAGACGAGAGCGTAAACTCTACTCTGTTATTCATGTTCGTGACTATGTATGCTCGCTTCAATGAACTGTTCTTCCTGACAATCCATAAGCCGATGATGAAACGACTCCTTGATCCTTGTCCCGCAGGACGCTGTGTGCAAGACTTGTCTGCTCCATGGCTATCCGGGCTCCCCCTCTGCCATATCGAGCTGTTTGTGTTTTGCGACTACCCAAGATGGTCCTTCCAAGGTCAGTCCGCCAAGGTCTCCTCGACCTACACTGTCTTCCACCCCACATGTCAAGGGCGTGGCGTCATGATCGAGATATGAAAATACCTCGCAAATTCATGATCTTGTTCGTAACTTGAAGGCCAAGCTCAACCAATGCGTACGTGTAGATCACCTCGCTAGGCCCATCTACATCTCGTTCGCTACACTCAAACTCTAGTCCTCGCAGACAGAATAGAGTTTATTCAAGCCCATACATCCCGTCAATTCATAAATAGTGAGCCGCTCTAATCATAACGTTGTTTTGTGTAAGAATGCATGGTGTGGTGTGTGTTGTGAAGTTTGTATCACTTCCACAGAGTCTGATCTCGGATGTTGAACCTCTAGAAAGAGACCAGCTTCTGACCGCCTCCAGTGAAGAAACCACGGACATTCTTCTGAACAGTAGCGAACTTGGCGTATCCACAGCTCTCACTCTCCAAGTGGTTGAACAAGGCAGCGAGCGTGGGGAAGCGCTTACCACCACACTTGCCGCTCTTGTTGGGACAGTGGTAAAGAGGGGCCTGGTGGGTAGGGCTGCGGATGTGCTGCTCAAGGGCTCTGGGAGTGATGAACTCGCGGTGGCAGATGTAGCACTCATAACCGAAACCGTTGTAAGCGTGATTAGGGTTCCAGGTCGAGTTGATGGTATTGGCGTCGTGCCATTCGAGCAAGCGTTCAGTGATGACGCCGTTGGGATCACGCTGGCTGAGAATGCGGTGGATGACGCTGCTGGAGAGGTTCTTGGCCTTGGGGCAGGACGAGGACTCAAGATGGTGAGAGACGCCGCTAGCAGTGACGAAGGCGGCCTGGCAGAATGGACAAGAGATGGAGGTGCCCTGGTGGACACGGCTTCTCATGTGCTGAGCCAGGTTGTTGGCGTTCTGGAAGTAGCGGTCGCAATCGGAGCAGTGGAGGTGCTTGTAGTGTCCCTCATCGTCCTGGTGGTCATCACGAGCCTCCTCGGAGCGAAAGGCAAGGTTGCAAGTCTCGCAGTCGTAGGGATAAGACCAGTGGTTCTTGGCTCTCATGTGGTCATTGGCGGCTCGCGCGGTTCTGAAACGCATGCTGCAAGTATCACATTCGTGAGGCCACTGCTAGTGATCCAGAGCATCCATGTGCTGGGTACAAGCCTTCCAGGAGTTGAAGCAGCGAGTGCAGGAATCACACTCAAAGCTGCTCATGGTGTCCTGGAGCTTGAGATTGAGAGAGTCGATGTAACTGGATTGGGCAATGCGAGTATGGGAGCTGTGTAGCTATTAGTTTGCGGTGTAGAGGAGAGGAGAGAGAGGACGAGAGGGCTATCAAAACCCTGTCACAAACGGACGAAAGAGCTTATCGGCAAACTGACATGGGTCTACTGGTGTTTGATCTTCCCGGCTGCAATATACCGCCTTGGCGTCAGGCGTTCAACTAAGGGATACATGTGAATCATACTTACGCGCTGCTTCCAACATGCTGCAAACAGCTTCCGCTAAGTCGGCGGAATCGGCATCGATGCATTGAATGAAGGCGGTTTGCGCTCATCAATTACAGCCGTGAGAGCTTCCAGAGCTAGTGCTACGCGACAACACTGGAGCGGCTGCTTCCAAGGATAGAGTGACAAGAACCTGCATATCAGGCCGTTACCCTCATATTGGTGTTGCATGACAAAGATGTTCTGGCGGAAGGAAGATGCGTCAAAAGGTCAAGCTGGAGCTTTGACCACAACGCAGGTCTCGTCCTTTGGTCCCACTTTCCTTCCAACGACATGTCCTGTCTCCTGCATTCGACCGATCAACTGTACCTTTGAACACGTCCAAGCTGAGCACAATCGTTCTGTGCGCTCGAGCATGTAATTTGCTCAGCTGTAACAAGGCACGAGATTCTCGAGAGATACGGTAATGCCCCCTCCGTGTGCAAAGGGTCGTAACATGCAAGCTATAAAAATGCACAATATTCTCGATCACTGGATCATATCCATTGAGATACCGTGGTTTCCAGGTTCTCTTTGGATATATCCCTGGTCTAGATATCTACTGTGCCTTTTGATAGTGAGCATTGCGCTCCATATCTTGGTGGGAGAGGAGTGCTGGAGATTGGGAGTTACAAACCCTGGCACATAGAGAGGGTCTAGTGAAGAATGAGCTCTAATACTCTCTCTGGGTACATCTCTTGTATCAGAACGGCGTACATCTTTATGATATGGTAAGTTGGCGACTCAAAATCAAATTTTTCGAATGGACATAGCACGGTAATAGGGCACAGTATTCTTGGAGTCAAACCAGGAAAGAAAAAGTGGATGATGTGAGATATCTCCCGCTTGATAATGAGCTGTTATACCCATCTGCTACTTATCGTCCACCCGTCGGTCAGAGAGAAAGGCCAAAGTGCAGAAAGCGTAGGTACCGCTCAATGTAAGTCGTGGGTGTTTGAGCCTGACGATGCAAACGCCCATCTCCTAGTCGTCATGTCAGAACATCGTGCGTTTCGACATAGAACTGGAAAGAAAACATACGTCTTTTCCTAGTTCAGTAAATTCGAGAAGTCTCGTCATCGTGGTCCACGTCAAGTCGCTGATCGTGTATGGAGAGATATCCTGTTCTTCGAGCGCACCTCTTCTGATCGTCGGGTCAACAACCGTCACTTCTCACAAGACTCTCGGGTTGAGCTTACACTTCTTGTTCTCCTTCAGCAAAGGATGGGTGTTGACGGTACCCTTCTTGGCCTCAAGACCATCGGTCTTCATCCAGAAGGGAGGCTTAGCAATCTCGACTCTCATCTGAGAGGTCTCGACGTCCTTGACGGCCAGGTCGTCGGCCGCGTGGCGAGCAGTCTCGGCTTCGTGCTTGTAGGTCTCTTCATAGCTCATCTTGGGCTTGGATTCAGAGGAACTTCCAGAGGCACATGGGTGCTTCTTCTCGGGCTGGCTGTCAGCGGCCATCGTGACGGTTGATGGTGTGTTGTTGTGCGTGTCGTCGTATAGAAGTGGACGGGTTGAAAGATGATGAGAGCCTGGTGCGCCTGTGTGATGTTGTGGTGGTGAAAGAAGAATCCGGAGCTGTCAAGAAGAACAGCCAGGTCGTCGACGATAAACGAACGAGGCAGACAGCCAGGCGGAAGCAGTTAGAACCTTCCGTGGGTTGATTGATGACTACCACGAGGGAGACTTGCATTCTGTGATGTCTCCATGGTCTCTTTCTTTCTGTCGTTGATATCGACCGCTCAATTGTTGAGGGTTGGCACGACTCCATCGACGTGTGCTGTATGCCTACTACGGGATACACAGGCACACAGACCTTGTCTGGGAACCTGTTATCTTCCTACCGTATTCGAGGCCCTCATACATTGATGGATGCCTTTTGTTTGTTGACGGAGTACTCGCACAAAGCTTCCTTCTACCAGAAGGGCTCCAAACGAGCAATATAGAAAGTAGCAAATGTGTCGATGACCATTCTGTTGCTGTGTCAGACGATCGGATACATTGCTCTCTTAGTCGTCTTACCGTTACCCTTGAGATTGTGTCCTCCACCATGGATCAATGGGAGTCCACTGAGTAGCAAGGAGAGGTAAGGCAGGGATCCTGAATGTGCTCATCGAATGATCAGTTCTGCTTCTTCATGAAAACCGGACATTTGACTGCAGGACCCATGTTACTACTGTTCTTGCAGCTGTGTGCTACGCCGTCACACCACGGGGCGCTGCCATTGCTCTTGCATGCACACATGCCAACTCAAATCTTGTAGGGATAAATGACTACCGGCGGGATGGCCGGCGGGTAACGATGAGCGTCCCTCCATCAGGCAGTGAGACGCGCATCGCTGGATACTTGGCCTAACGGAGACTTTCATTGAGAGCCTTCTTTTCGTGAATCAGCGAATCGTATGTGAAGTACTTGTTAGAGGTGTGTAGGCATCTGCGTTATGAGCAGGAAAGACCGGCGGTAAGTAGCCTGTTGGAGCCCGAGTAGACAGACAGCTCGGCTTCACGGTATGTATAAGCACTATGTGTCGGTTAGGAACAGTTCGAGTTTCAGTGATGATCATATGTATTTCCTGATTCTACGAAGAAGCTGTCAATACACAAGAAGCAAGGAAAGAACAAATGTACATGAAAAACAATAAAGACAAAACTGCAAGAACGCCAACTCCTTCCTTATTTTTTTGGGGTCACGACCTCTTGCGGCGAGATCGTGGGGATGCCGTACAACTCTCAAGGTGCTTACTCTTGACGTTTTCATGGGCAGGCGTTGACGGACTACCCATGGACGATTCGGACAAGGGCGATGGTTTGGCCTCAGCATCACCACCGACGGCCAAGCGGCGCTGGTTCTTTTCCTGCTTGACCTTCTTCTTGAGGCTGGTGGGAGCCTTGGTTGGTAGGCGTGTCGTGTCTCGAGAGAGCGGACCAGACATAGTCGTGTAATGGGGATAGCAAGCTAGGCAGTACAGGCGTCTAAGCATCACCGCCGACGCTCTTGCGACCCTTCTTCTTCTCCTTCTTGTCCTTCTTCGCGCTGGCGGGGACCTCAGCGGGGGTGGAAGCAGGGACTTCGTCCTCCTTGGCCTTGCGACCGCGCTTCTTCTTGGGCTCCTCAACGACGGCTTCGGCGTCGGTGGTCTTGCTCTTGCGCTTGTTGGAACCGTTGACAGCGGTGAAAGCACCCTTCTTGACAGGGCTGGAGGCGGGGAGGGGAGGGGATGAGGCTGGGGGAGCGGCCTTCTTGCGACCACCCTTGAGGGCAGACTTGGGAGTCTTGACAGGAGGAGGGGTGGGCTCCTTCTCTTCCTCGGAAGAGGTGCTGTCGTCATCGGAGTCGTCGGACTCGGCGCCAGCGGCAGCAGAGGCAGGCTCTACAGCCTCGACGTCTTCCTCATCAGCATCGGGGCTGTCTGCGGCAATGGGTGCGCCATTGGCCTTGAACTCGGCGAGCTCCTTGTTGTAGACATCACGCGAGGCGATGTAGGCGTCCTTGTACTTCTATTGTCGGGGTCAGCGATTGCGCAAGTTTAGGAAAGACTGGAATTGACGTACCTGCTTGACCTCATCGGGCAACTGGTGCCATCTCTTGGTACCCTCGGACGAGATCTCGCCTCTCTTCTGCTCAGGACCGAGCTCGGAGTGGATCTTCTCGCGGTTCTCACCCAGCCACAGAAGGTAGGCGGTGAGGGGACGCTTGGGCTGGTTGGGGTCTCTGGGCTCGGCCTTCTTTCTCTGCTTCTTCTCGGGAGCAGCAGGAGGACCACCACCAATGGTGACGAGTTCACCAGCCTGGAGGAATGCGCCGAGGTTCATCATGCTGGGGTCGAGGTCGACGGTGCCACCGAGCCATGCATTGGAGTGATCAATGTAGGCGGCAGTGGCATTCTGAAGGGCCTTCTGGAGAGCGACCCATGAAGTGACAAGCTGTTGTTGCTGTCAGTGTCGAGTCTTTGAATGTTTGTGTGGTTGCGACGCGCCTCGAGACGCGTCTGTCGCAACATGACACAATTGCGCCCAACATGCGACACGCTCGATGTTGATATAGATCGAGTCGCAAAGATGGGCGCATCATGAATTCGACGTGACATTGAGGAAAAACGTACCGCGTCGCGAGTGCGAGTGAATTCGGGCTTGTTGACCGTGATTTGCATGACATCTGCCACGAGCTGAGGCGTGACCTCGGGTTTGGCTGACTTCGCGCGAGGCATTGTCGCGTATATGCGTGAGTTGGATACAAGAAATAGAAATATGAGTTGGAACAAAAAATTCGAAAGAGGAAGGAAGGAGGAAGGGAAAGAGGTGGAGGAAGCTGTCAAGCGCGCGTGCGAAGGGCGATCAAGCGTGACTTTTGTTTGGGGATTAACCGTCTTTTGACCAGCATTGGCCAACTTTGCTTAAACCCAGCCTTCTTGACCATCACACCCCTGTTCATTCTGCCATTACTCAACTCGTCCTGCTTGCCCAAAGAAACTTCAAATGGTATCATCGCAACTTTAACTGACCCTATCCTGAACGCCATACCTTCGTGCAACATCTTCCAGGTGATTTCTCGAATCAAACACGTCTTGTTCAGACATACTGAGGAGGTCCTTGCGGTGCCTTGTACTGCTGAGGTGGGGCTCCGTACGGTTGCTGTGGTTGCATTGGAATAGATGACTGTGGATTGTTCATCATCTGCTGTACATCTGGTCGATGCCTGGTATCGTCAGTAGTCTACCCTTAACCATGGTCATGAGAACATACATGATGTCTTGATAGAAGTGACAGATATGACATCCGACCTCATGGTGTGGCTTGAGACTAAATGGTATGATCGGCTGGCAAGACGTGTTAAAAACTGCAAAATAATGCGATGCGTTATTGGAAGACACTCACAACGAAGCACAAGGTAAACCACTCCCATCTCTTATACACCTTTGCACTAAAATTGCCACAATTCTGCGTACTCGTTAGTCGTTGGTGGAGATGTTTGTTGTCGCAACGCTATAACACACCTGACATTGCGCTTGGATGTTCTCGTAGCCTTGCAGCAGCGAGTTGAAGGTGTGAGTTCCACAGGTGAAGAAGAAGGCCATGTTGTGTTGACGTTATTCGCTCGTCCGTTGATATCAGTGAGAGAAAGTAGAGCAAAGGTCGATGTTGCTCGTGTTACATAGGTAGGTTAATTATTGGATTGCGTCGCACGCCTGTTTCGTCGTCATCACATGCTCGCTGAGCCATTCTTGGTGGCCAAGCGCCCAGGAAATCGTAGAGCTAAAACATGTCTGTCCCTATACTCGTCCTTTCACTAGGATACACTTCTATAATACCAAAAAGACATGGGTTTCTCTACAAATGTCTTCATGTGCAAAGCCATGAAGCACCCAAATGGTCCGCCGACCCTCGGCCAGTTCAAACAAAAGACGCTTTGACTTTGACCAAAATGCGGCTTGCAGCGGCGGTTGCTTCTTCCAAGATCTTCTCTCCCCACAAGCCACTGCCGACCAAGACCGACAACTCTTTTTTCTGTGAAGCCGCGTCTCGTGCTATCATCATACAACAAACCAATGTCAGCCTCGCTTCCTGGTAACCGCGCCCTGCCGGCATCCCAGTATGATCTGGACACGTACTGGGGTCGTGTTAGACATGCTGCCAACCTGTCTGATCCTAGGTGAGTAATTGACGTGTATTTTCATTATCTGCGTTCTCCTTTATCACCATCTGCTATATCGATGTTCGCATGAGACGCTTCAAAGCTGTTTTGGCTATTCAATAGATCAAGTTTTAATGATAGAAACTCATTTCGAATTCAAGCCACTGATTATTTTCAACCAACAGAACATTGTTCACCTCTGCTGCCAGTCTCGAACAAGCAAAAGATCTAGTCACTTCATACAAGCAGGGCAAGATTCAATCGATGACACCCGACCTTTGGACAGCAAAGAAGGTCATTGATGCCACACTTCACCCTGGTATGTTTGCATATCTCATCAACTCTGCTAAACACGACTAACGAGGCATGAAGATACTGGCGAGAAGGTCCTCCTCCCTTTCCGCATGTCCGCCTACATCTTCTCCAACCTTGTCGTAACAGCCGGCATGCTCTCTCCCGGTCTCAGCACCACCGGAACTCTGGGCTGGCAAATCGCCAACCAGTCTCTCAACGTCGCCATCAACTCCTCTAACGCCAATAAATCAATCCCGCTCTCCACCTCAACAATGGTGCAATCCTATTTCCTCGCTGTAGGAGCCAGTTGCGGTGTCGCTTTGGGTCTGAACTCGATTGTTCCTCGCCTAAAGCGTGTGAGCCCAAACACCAAGATGTTATTGGGACGCTTGGTGCCATTCGCTGCTGTGGCTAGTGCAGGTGTGTTGAACGTGTTCCTGATGAGGGGAGAGGAAATTCGCAAGGGTATCGATGTCTTCCCCACCGAGACCGAGGCGCAGAAACTCAAGCGTGAGGAGGCCGGTCAACCTTTGCAATCGCTTGGAAAGTCAAAGAAGGCCGCTACGCTTGCTGTGGGTGAGACTGCTGTTTCAAGAGTCATTAATGCCACGCCTATCATGGTGTTGCCTCCTCTTTTGTTGGTTCGTCTGCAAAAGACTCAGTGGTTGCAGCAAAGGCCGAGAATGGTTACGCCCGTCAACTTGGGTTTGATCTTCGCTACCAGTATTTTCGCTCTGCCTTTGGCTTTGGCCATCTTCCCCCAGAGACAGGCTGTCAAGGCTAACACTTTGGAGGCTGAGTTCCATGGCCGTGCTGGTGATGATGGCTGTGTTGAGTTCAACAGAGGAATCTAAAGGAGAAGAATTCAAGTCCTTTGTTCCAGCTTCATAACAATCTGGGCTGGAGTATGTCGGGGTGATTTGCCTATACTGGTTGAGGATAGATAGACTTTGTTCGATTAGTTGAGCTGTATACCAGTTTCATTGTTTAATCTCGGCTCTTTTCTTGTGTCTGTTTTTGTTCTAACCAAAAGTCATGTCTGTGAAGCCGCACGACGCTTTGACCGTCGATTTGGGTCTGCGAGTCGTTCATTCGCCCATCTATCGTCCCAGGTCTCGAATTCGAATCTTCCTGTGCGCGTCGAGCACTTTTGATTCCGATTTTCTTTTCCCAAAAGCAAAAAGGGAAAAAATTCCCCCGCAAACTGAGCCCGACCAAACATCAGGCCAAGATCAACCCGATGTCCAATCAAGATGGAAGCAGCACCAAAAGATGCGCCTCGATCAGGGCTACAACCCTGTGGTCTCAAAAGTGCAAAAACGACGGACTAGGGACTCGAACTGCGATGTTTGTTAATATGACATAGGATGGATGTTTGACGACGGATTGAACTTGCCCCTAAACCTTCAGTGCGATTTGAATTCGGTGGACCGAAAACTGACGCGCTACCATTGCGCCAGCCCGCCGGAGGATGCTGGAAAGGTCGTATTCGAACTTATATAAATTTATGGATCTTGAGGCCATATTTTTATATTTTTGATCTTTAGAGTCAACCAGACACGCCACAGCAAAGTCCGCCTACAGGCAGCATCTACTCGACGAGGGCTATCTAACGGTCCAACTCTGGTTGAGATTCGTTCATAGGGCGGGTCACAATCGCCTTCGGAAGGTTTTGACTAACCCGACATGCAAAGTGACAATTTTGCAAGAACGGAGCCAGTTGGTTCGTCCGCATCCCGGGAGGCACTTGCTGGCGCATCAAGCATCCTATAGTGAGCTGCGGGAGCCATGCGCGTGCATAGGTGCATCAGTACTGACGAGAACATCGCAGAGAGGGCGCAGATGCGCAGACAATTTTGAAGCCTTAGGGCTTGGAAGAAAAAACCGGATCCGGGCTACAGCACGATCGTTTGGAATGTTCTTTCATTGAAGCTAGCCCAAGAGAATTCTAGTTGTTGGATACACCTCGAAATCGACGCCGCAATTCGAGACAAATTCTCTTTCAGAGACGTGTGATTATATTCCTCACAGCTACACTTGGTTGTAAACACTATAATCTAATCTATGTTCAAGAATGTGAGACTGTGAGCGTGCGCTGCACTGCGTCCAGTGAAGCTCGCTATGGGAGTTTAGCTTTCGACAAGAATCCCAGTTCACTTGACCAAGATCCGACGCATCGACATGAAACTTCTCGACAATGGCTACGAAGGGTCTGAGATCACACTGATATCAGTAGATAGTTGACCCGACATCAATCTCCTCAGTTATAGGCATGCTTCACTTAAGAGCAGGGTCATACTGGAAACAATGGGGTGACCCTGGCCACGAAGTGGTTGCTAGTAGCAGATGTCCATTCGTTCACTGAGAACGCGGATTAATAATTACACTTGCTCATAATCACCTGCACATTGACCGAGGGAACAAGAAAGAGGAGAAAAGAACACATGTCTTGATGATGATGATTAGAATGTCTATTCCAGACACAATGCCCGGAGATAATGGCCTTTATATTGGTGCGAGAGTGGCACGCTTGCCTCGCTCGTCTTGACACACTATGTCTTCCAAGATCGCACGTTGATCGTGCCGGTAGCTCCAGACTTTAGGTGGTTGGCAGCACGAGCGGTGTCTGCCCACCTATTCGAGTCGGCTGTTTCAACGCTGGCGGTATTTGCTGCTCCCAGTGTCCCTGCGGATGCCATGCATGGGCATCTGGTGACCTGCAGTCAGAGCTTGGACCGGCCTACTCTGGCCTGTATCTGCGCTGTAGAGCTCAACCTGGACTCGTCGGCCAGCACATTGGCAGGTGTCGATTGTGTTTTTAGACTCGATTTCCTTCTCGTCTCACTTCTTTGATGACTTCTTGTCCTTCTTGGTTTTCTTCTCTTTCTTCTTGTCGTCCTTTGCAGAGTCTCCTGAGGCAGGTTCGGTTGCAGGGGTTGTCGTGCCGCTTCGTCGGGCTTCCTTTGCCTCGAGATTCTTGGTTAGCCGTTGGGAGAAGTAATGTTCTAATGAGACACCCTTCGCTGCGGCGCGTTCTTCGTATTGTTTGCGCTTGTCCTCAGGTAGACCGTCCAGAGATTTGTCCTTCTTGCTCTTGCTCTTCTTGGTGGTTGCAGCGTCGGAGGTATCTTCGTCGGTGGCTGCAGACTTCTTCGCTTTCTTCGCAGCACGGCGGGCTTTCTTTTCGTCGTCGGAAGAGGATTCGGATGCAGATTTTGATCGCTTCTTCTCTTTCTTGTCCTTCTTCGCCTTCTTCTTTTCCGTCTTGCCCTCATCCTCATCATCCTCGGCCTTTCTCTTCACACCCACAGCAGGACCAGCAGCAGATGCTAACGCAGCAATTTTGGGGTCAACCACGCCTATCGTACCAGCGACACCCTCTCCCTGCACGAATCGACCATACAAGCCACCCCTCTTGATGCCATGATCCTTGACATTCGCCAGTATACTCTTCTTGCCGGTTCCGAAATCTTTCAAACTGCTGTCGAAGGCTTTGAGCCACCACTGCCCTTGAATCACATCGGCTTTGTTGATTCCTATGCCTAGCACGTCGACTTTTTTGCTGACGAGGAGGGGTTTGCGGAGGCCCTTGTTGTTCGAGTCGAGCGAGTGGCCGAGGCCGCGCCAGCCTTGCTTCTTGAGGAGGCCTTCTGCGTCCATGGTGTGCTGATCTCTGTCGTCCGGAAAATAGCGGGGGTTCCGGGCGTCCAGGAAAAGATGTGTTTATTTATTTGCTCGCAAAGATGGACGGGCGAGAAAAGCAGCGTCGGGGATTCTTTTTCTGCCGCTCACGAGTCGGGGAACTTTTGGCTTGACCGCCTGCGCGCGGGCCGAGCCCTGACACGCTTTTCTGTCGCGTGCTTTCCATGTCATGACCTCTTGCCTTTCCTCCGACGGATCAACTTCTCTGACCATGTAGCCTCACTCGAGTACAGGACAGGCAGGCTGCGGACAGTGGTTTCCATTGCAATCTCTACTCTAGGACACGTTTGTGTCTTGTCATGAACCAGGTCAAGCTGTCTGCGCCGTTTTTTGTCCTTAATCCTCTGAATAATCCCGTTAGAGACTTTACCATCATCTCTCTGGTCCGCCCTTCGGGCGCCATCAGCCTTGCCAGGTATTGCTGACTGACGCAGTCGTAACACCACAGCTTGCAGGGACGGTATAAGTATGATTCCTGCACGATCAAAACATGTCAGCATATGTACTTCCCACGACACAATCGGGCCACTTACGGATCATTCTCATAAGTCACGCTTCCATCCGAGTTCACCTTGATAAACTTGTAGCTGAAAGCTTGACCCGCGGGAAGATTGACAGTTCCAGACCTATGACTCATTAGCAACCGCCATACTATCTTCTGAATGCAAGAGTTCCTACCACACTGGATTGCTGGAGGTGTATCCTGCCGAAGACAAGGTGACAGCGTTTGCTGTATTCCAAGATCCGAGTTGCGAGATTGAGCCTGCGAGTTTGATCGTTTGACCATATTGAGTAGTCACTTTATCGGTAAAGGTTACAGCGACAGCTGTGGGTGTGCTGCAGCCACCGGCGACCGTCGACGTCTTGATAGTCGTTGGCGAGGCAGATGTAGAGCTCGAACCACTACAAAGACCACTACCAGTGAGTTTTGTAGTAGGGTACAAGACTCGCGGTGCACCCGCATTGATGCTGATAGCGATGTTACCACTAGAGTCTATAGTGTAGGAAGTGCAGGACAGAATATCGGTGACGGATTGGCCAGCCGTGAAGCCACTCGCTGATGATGAAAGCGTGAACGAACTGCTTCCAGAAGAACCTTTGTTGGTGAAGATACCAATGACTTGGGATCCTGTGGTGCCCTTCCTCATAACGATGGTCGAGGCATCGGAATACACTGGGTAGGCCTTGTATGTGACGTAACCCGTATCTTGCTTGATCGCCTGCTTCCTTATCTTGTTGATGGTAGCTATGAAGGGGTACAACTGCGAAGACGTTGGGTATCCGGACAGCCAGAGCGCTTCTCTGTTGTTGGGCACACTGCCGCCAGAGAAATGCTGTTCTTGGCCTTGGTAGATGATCGGGACGCCATCTGCTAGCATCGTGAATGCTATGGCGTTCTTTGCAAGTGCGTAGTCGGAAGTCAATGAAGGGAAGCGTGCGAGGTCATGGTTCTCTATGAATGACCCGAGCAACGTAGTATCTTTGCACGTCGACTTCAAGGTGTTGATGCCGTTATAGAGGTTGCTGATGCTGCCAGATGTGGACTGGAAGGCTTGTGTAATCCAGTAGTATCTATCGAATGGTTAGTGTCTTTCCTGCATCCTGAGCAAAAGCGTGCACATACGATGGGAAGTTGAGCATGCCGTCCATGTAGTTCTGGTAATCACAGAAGTACGTCGGGTCACCATCGAAGATTTCCCCAACCTGGTATACTCCGGCAGCCTGTTCGAACCCAGGATAGAAAGACTTCTCGACAGACTTGGCAGAGTCAATTCGAAGACCATCGACTGGAAGCTGTTAGCAATGGCCTACTTTTCGGTATCTGTGACGCACTAGTGTAGTTTGACACGAGCTGTGTTATCCATGAATTCCAGATAGCACGTACGTTGGAATCTTCGGTCCTCAAATCTGGCAGAGACACGGTGTTGTCACCAGCCCAGCACGTTTCGACACTGTTCTGGTCGTTGTAGTCAATGAGACAAAATGGATGGTAGTATGACTGTTTGTTGAAGGGATTGTATTGGGAGTAGTCGACACAGGTACCGCAACCATTGTATGCCATGTGATTTGTGACAATGTCAACCATCAGATACTGGAATGTGTAAGTATAGCTGTCGATAGTCGCTTAAAAGGATATCTTACCATGCCACGATCATGAAGAGCCTTGGAGAGCGACACCAGGTCGGCAGCAGAGCCAAAGTTAGTGTTGACTTGATAGATGTCTTGTGCCCAGTATCCATGGTAAGAGTCTCCATCGGCGCCTGAACTACGAATGTTCTTAACGACGGGACTAATCCAGATCTGCGACGCACATTAGAGCTGATGCAACATACAATTGGGCGCATAAATACGAACCGCAGTGAAGCCCATCTGCTGAATGTAGTCCAGCTTCTTGATGATACCCTGCCATGTGCCGCCACAATATTTGTTGACATCGCAAGAAGCAGTGGTCGAACCATCAGTCCTTGCAAAACGATCAGCAAGGACCTGATAAATTGATTGGCTTCTCCATTGCGCTGGAGTCAGGCAATGCACCAATCCGACCAGGTAGAAGAGACCGAACAACAATCGAGACAAATAGCTGGCTGCCATCGTTCCAAACTGTGATGGCCCGAGATTGCGAGACTGAGTATAATATCGTTGGGAAAATGGCGTGTTGTGGCCATATTCTTATATTGCTGATCATAGCTACGGTACATTGACATTACGAGTAGACTCGAGCAGATCTTCTCCTTGAAGAGTGATGTATACCTTGATACCATTGACCGGTGAGGCTAGCAGCATAGAGCGGATTCATACTTTCTTGTTCGTTGTCGTTGGTCTCTCGATTCCGTTGTTCGTGAGCCCACTTGTGTTGCTCGGACCCCGAAACAGGAAGTTCGGACATGAGTTCAGGTGACAAGGAACAAGCTATGTGGATGTAGTACAGGCCATAGTCACGCACCGGTGGTGCGAGTGGCTTGCTTTACCGATCGGCTCATTCAAGTACTGAGGCTCAGGCACAGAACGGTTTCGCTTCGAGAAGAAGGCTGTCTAGCGTGAGACGAAGGGGCCGTTATTGTATGCAGCATTCGGCGCGAATGCCATGTGGTATGAGGGGAGAAGGGCTTGATCCAGAGATTGATTAGCAAGTCGTTGAAGAACTAACTTCTGACCCCTCGTTTCCCCGGCTTCCACTCGTTTCGTGGCTGGTTTTGGTATACGGCGATGGGGTACACCGGTATAAGCACAGACGTGACAGGTCAAACTTCTCGGTTGGCACCCGAATAAGCAGGTCGAAATCTCTGATTTTTTGGCGAGGCTGCAGATCGTCCAGTGTTGGTGGTCTTTAAAGTTTCAGTGATGTTCGTTCTAGACATGTAAAATCATCGTGCACAACACACTCCGGTGGATTCCTCGACAGGAAAACTCGGCTGAATGACAACAAGGTTGATGTTGTTGGCCGACCTCTCACGGGGATACTGACTGCTCGTGCTCAACAAACGATGAAATGCTATAAGCGAGAAGTATCGCACCTTCCTCATACAGCGCGTCGTCGAGCAAGCGAAGTAGATGCTTTTGCTTATACTGTACTACTGGTAGCAAGCTACACCATGACCTCTGGGCGAATCAGGGCTTACGCACGAGAGCCTTGTTCAAGACTCGTTAGTCGAGTAGGCATGCGTTACTTGAATTTAGGGAGGAGCAGAGAAGGAAAGGAGCGAGCGTGATGTTGTCGCATGACAAGTTTGTGATTTCAGGGGGTGCCACGGGTAACCGCCACGCCATGTGGTCTATATTTGATGGTCTACATTGCATGAAAGCGTCGATGATTGGCAATATGCGTTGGTAATCACCGCGTGAAGTGCAGAGAGAAAGGGCAGAGCCTGCAAGTTCCCGAGGGCCTGCGTGCGGGAAGCGGGTGTGGGGTGTGGGGATCGGAAACAAGCTCGCGTCGTTTTCTCCTAGCCTCGGCACAAAACCTTGCTTCATGTGACAACAATCTCATCACAACCCAATGCAATCCAAAGCTCAACTCAGCAAGGTCCTGTTCTCCGCTCGGTTCAATCTCCGCCGCGCTTCGGATGAAGATGAAAATGGATCGACTGGTGACATTCGCTCACCCACTGCAGCCTTACCGTATTACGCCACTCTGGACATGCACAGACAGATAGCTCAAGAAGAAGCTTCAACAGAGTCCAAGTCTATTGTTTCCATGCCGTACTCTCGCTTCGGTCTGCAGGAACGGCCCGAATATGTCGTTCTAGCAGATGTCAGGACCGTCTGGAGCACTTCCAGCAAGCAGTGTCAGTAAAGATATATAAACCAACCTTCTGCCAGGACAAGAATATCATCAACAGCACTATTCTCTCCATCATGCGTTTCCTTTCCACTCTTCCCGTGCTCCTTGGAGCTGCCTTTGCTCTCCCCTCGCCCGAGAACATCCAGGAGCGTGCTACAGGTTCTCTCGCTTCCTGGCTGTCGTCTGAGAACACTGTTGCTCTGCAGGGTGTTCTTAACAACATTGGTGCCAGCGGCTCCAAGGCTTCTGGTGCTAGTGCAGGTGTTGTGATTGCTTCTCCTTCGAAGTCGGACCCTAACTGTGAGCAACTTCTACCTTTCTGTTTGAACCATCTCTGACCCCCTTCCAGACTTCTACACCTGGACCCGTGACTCGGCTCTCACATTCAAGGCACTTGTAGACCAATTTATCGCTGGCAACAAGTCTCTGGAACCCCTCATCCAGCAGTACATCAGTGCTCAGGCCAACTTGCAGACTGTCAACAATCCCAGCGGCGGCCTTTGCTCCGGAGGTCTTGCCGAGCCCAAATTCGAAGTGAACCTTACACCTTTCACTGGTGCTTGGGGTAGACCTCAGCGTGATGGCCCTGCTCTCCGTGCTACCGCTCTGATTGCTTATTCTCGCTACTTGATTGTGAGTCGTGGATCGCTCAATATATTATGACATGCTTATTCTCCTTGCAGGCCAACGGCAACACCACCACCGTCAACAACATCATCTGGCCTGTCGTTCAGAATGATTTGTCTTATGTGACCCAGTACTGGAACCAGACCGGGTTCGATCTCTGGGAGGAGATCAACAGCTCTTCCTTCTTCACCACCGCTGTCCAGTACCGTGCTCTGGTCGAGGGTAACAATCTTGCCACTCAGCTTGGCAAGTCTTGCCCCAACTGTGTCTCTCAGGCTCCTCTTGTCCTTTGCTTCCTTCAATCTTACTGGACTGGGTCCTATGCTCTTTCCAACACTGGAGGTGGTAGATCCGGCAAAGACGCAAACTCAATCCTGGCCAGTATCCACGTCTTCGATCCTGCTGCCTCCTGCGATTCGACCACTTTCCAGCCCTGCAGTGACAAGGCCCTCGCCAACCACAAGGTCGTCACTGATTCGTTCCGCTCCATCTACAACGTCAACCAGGGCATTGCTCAAGGCTCTGGTGTTGCTGTTGGCAGATACCCCGAGGACTCTTACTACAATGGCAACCCCTGGTGAGTCAATTGCTTTCTGCACAGCAAATCCTAGCCGAGCTGACGTTTTGCAGGTACCTCAACACTTTTGCTGCTGCTGAGCAACTCTATGACGCCGTCTACCAGTGGAAGAAGATTGGCTCAATTTCGATTACTTCAATCTCCCTCCCCTTCTTCAAGGATGTTTACTCTTCTGCTGCTGTCGGCACATACGCATCTTCGACTACTACTTTCACTTCGATTGTCAACGCTGTTCAGACCTACGCTGACAGCTACATGTCTATTGCTGTATGTTTCGTATATGCTCTTACGGATCTGAACGGCTACTGATTGTACTCTCCAGCAAAAATATACGCCTTCCAGCGGAGCTCTTTCTGAGCAGTACAACCGTGCCGATGGTACTCCCCTGTCAGCTGTCGACCTGACCTGGTCTTACGCTGCCTTCCTGACTGCCTATAACGCCCGTGCCAACGTCCTCCCTGCCTCCTGGGGCGCCGCCTCTGTAAGTCTTTCACTCGACGTTCAATATTATACATCGCTGACGAATCTCCCCAGGCCAAATTGCCCAGCTCCTGCTCCAGCGGCTCGGCCACCGGCCCTTGCGCCGCAGCCACAAACACCAACTGGGGCAACCCCGGCTCGCCCTCCAAGACCACCACCGGCGGCTCCTGCACAACGCCCACCGCCATCGCCGTAACCTTCAACGAGCAAAAGACCACCGTCTACGGCGAGAACATCTTCATCGTCGGCAGCATCCCTGCTCTGGGCAACTGGAACACGGCCAACGCAGTTGCCTTGTCTGCTTCCGGATACACCAGCTCCAACCCCAAGTGGACTGTTACCATCAGCTTCGCTCCTGGAACCAGCTTCCAGTACAAGTACATCAAGAAGGCTCAGGATGGAAGCGTGACTTACGAGAGCGATCCCAACCGCAGCTACACTGTTAATGGCAACTGTGCTGGTACTGCTACTGAGAATGATAGCTGGAGATAGAAGGCCGCTTCTTCTCTCTAGCAGGTGAGTGGTCTCCTCTTGTCTGCCAAATATGCAGCATTGTTGGAGCTTCTTACTCCAAAGGATTGCTAAACAGTATGCAAAGATCAAGATGGATATGACTCAATGCAAGGCACAGAGTGTTTGAGAGGCGTGGTGATGTTAGGACAACGGAAAAGCTTGAAAATCATCGCACGTCTGTTCTGGACAATTGAATACAAAGAGGATAGAAATGGGTGTCATTTGAGTTGTCCACTCTTGGTGGTTGTGCAGCCATGGGTATCAATGTTTGTGCTGTCGGCGAATCGAATCCTCCCTCTTCCTCTCTGGCTTAATCAGTTCTCTTTTCCACTTTCAACTTCCTGCTGGGTCTGTTCAGCGGTGCAGATCCTGACTTCTCTTCCTGTCCAGTCTTCTGTTCACTGCTCCCAGCACAACTTTGAGAATGCCATCCGCAGAGAGATGCTCTCCGTCCGCACCCTTGAAAGGCACCGTGTCAACCATATCCCTCAACTCCATGCCCGCAATCTCTGCCAACTCGTCATCGAGAGCCCTTAGATGAGCACGTGCACCCTCATCCCTACCAACCTGGAAGAATTGGATACCGATTTGCCAAGCAGGAGCATCAAGTTTATCGAGCTTCTTCGCACAACTGATAAGGGGAGCCTCCACGTCATCGCTTGGCTCGCCATCAGTGATGACGATAAGATTTAGTGGCTTCACTGCTTCAGGACCTTGTTGCTCACACCGGCGAATGTACGGTCTGAGGATAGAATCCAGACGTTGGCCAGTAGGTGTACCGCCCCTGGGTCTCACACTAGAAAAGATTTCGCGGACGGTGGCTGCCGAAGTGACGTTTTTGTGATATTGGTTTTCAGGGTTGTTGAGGAAGAGGATGTCGATTCCGTCGGCGTCGTGAGAAACGCAGATGGGAGTGATTGATTCAAGCGCTTCTTGGGTTTCGCGCCAGCGGCTGCCTGCCATGGAACCCGAGTCGTCGATGAGGAAGATCGTGTCGAAGGTGCTGAGGAAGGCGTAGGGGTCATCGGCTGTTTGGCTCTGAGGTGATGATATTGCGATGGAAGGGACTGGTGCGGCGTTGGAGACCGGTGAGTAGGCTGGTGGTGCAGTGCCTTGGTCCAAGGGAGTTGGAGCTGGAGCTGGAGCTTGTGCTGAGTACTGGCTCTTCATAGTGCCTGTCCTTGAGGGCGCGTTGTATGGGTCTTGGATTGTGGTGGGATATGGGCGCGAATTTTGCTGGGAGCCTCCTCCACTGCTGGACGAGACCTTGCGTTTGATGCTGCCTAGGATATTACGCATGTCGTCTGTTATGATGATATGTGGTTGTTGATGGTTGTGGAAGGTAGCGAAAGTGTGTGGGTTGGAAGAGAGTGGAAGTGTCTTATGGAGGAGAAGGACCAAGACGTGTGGGTCTTGCGGTGTAGTCGACTCAGCTGAGGGCAGTCACAAGAGTCAGGCAATAAGACGGATATGCGGATTAGGTTTGGATCACTCGAGATGGTTGTTTGTCTTGGTCTTTGACATTGGTTATATCTTGCTCACCTTTCACTTGGCCTCAAAGCTACAAGCGAGGCTTCAGCATAGCCGCGCGCTTTGTTACTTATATTGCAGTCCGCTTCCAGGCATTTCGCAGTCTCTCATTTCAATTGCTGTTTTACAAGAAGAGAAGGAGCGATGGAGTGTTGGCAGTCAGTTGAGGCTTGCGAAAACGATGTGGAAGGCGCAGCGAGCACTGCGGCCAAGGCGCAGCCCTCGAGGATGCCGTCTTGGGCCGGCTCAGCCCAGGGGCTTTCCGAGACATTGCCGGTCAGGCATCAAGGCAGGACTTGTGGGGGAGCTTCCGATGCGACCGCGACTCTTGCATGTGACACTGCGACACGAAGATTGATGCGACTTTCAATGCAATGGACCGATATGATACTGCCCGACGGAGACAGACTCGTCCTGGCAGATCGGCATTAGGATACTGGCTACCGCTGGTAGTCACCGTGACGATTGCGACTGCTGGTCTAGCCGCCTGGATCTGGAGCGAACGCCAACATGACAACGATGATGATGATGATGATAACGACCGACAAGGTGATACAGAAGACGACACATACGACCACCCTCTAGACTACCCCGAGGATATACCACAAACACGAGAGCAAGCGCCCGGCTCTGGTGGTCAAGGCTTCCTGTCGCGTGTGGCTGGTCGCACTCCATCACCTCAGCGCTTCTTCGACAATGCTGGCCAGCGTATACGATCTGCCGTAGGGCTATCTGGCTCAAGTGCTGCAGGAAAACAGGAAGAGCGAGGCGATCCGGCCTTCTCGGACAACGAACACTGGAACGAAGAAGCAGAAACCAAACGCTCCCAGAGGGCCACCTCGTCGAGTCATGCCGCCAACAAGCCAAAGAGAACCGTGGTTGTCGTCTTGAACGGAGAAGAGCAAGAAGATGCTCATATGCATGGTGCTGAGCATGCTGTGAGTTTTGTCAGATTTGGCCAGCATAACATCCCGCTGATACAACCCAGTCCATCCTCTCCCACCTCCCTGACCATATCGATCCGGCTCTTACGAACCTCTTCGTACTAATCTACGCCCCCGATTTGACTTCTCTACCTGACCTTCCCGTTTCTACATCCGCCTCAACGACCCTCTCATCCTCATACGCCTCAGTCTCATACCCTGCTTCGTCCCCTAAGTCGCTCTTCGATTCGCTTTGGCAAAAGTCCTTGTCTCTGGTAGACAAGCCTTCCCAGGTCATGCCCTTCTCGACCCCTACAGGCTACATCCACATTCTGCGCCACCTTTCTCCTTCTTTGGTCTACCTACCCGATAGTCTTACCCTCTCTGGTCATAATGGTGAACACGTCCAACAACTCAAAGGCTGGGTTGGTCAAACAATCCTCGTGGTCGGTGACGATGGAGCCGGTGGTTTGATCGACACCGAAACAGACACTGAAGACGAAGCATCACGAAGAGACATGGCTGGAGAAGGGAACCGCAACAAATGGTGGGAGACCTCAGATCTCATCGGTCTGGGGAAGGATGTTGAAGTCGTCGATATTGGACGCATGGGTGAGGATTGGTCGAGAAGAGTTGGTTGACTGTTAGCTGTATAGTTCAAAGAAGCCTGTCTTGCCAGTTTTCGACATACTTTTGAGTCTGGGTTCTGGCTTTCCTTTTAGAACCAACAAAGTCACCGACTTGGAATACTTTAGTGACCATTTGATTGTCTTTTCACGATTATTACTTTGCATTTGTATAGCTACTTACTCACGCACACTACAGCCAAGAACACACTCTTTAGCAGCAGAATCATACTCCTCAAAACAGAAACACTACAGCTCATACCAACTTTTCCAAATACACAAGCGCCGCACCCAGACTGTCTCAGGAACAATGAACAGTTTACAATGAGAGAGAGGTTCAAGGGTAATGAAGGGAATCGTATTAAACGTATGAAAGCTTTTGATGCCAAATGAGAGCGTATCTATCTAGTCCTCCTCTCCATGGTCTGTACTGGCGAAACTGGCTCCAGACAAACTGGGAGTCTCCTCCTTGGGTGTCTGCGGGACCTTATCCTTCTTCTTGCCCACACCAAAGACACTGCTCCAAGACCTCACACTGCCCTTGCCCTTTTCACTTTCCATACTCTTGCTCATGAGTTCCTCGTCTTCGACATCCAGGAGTTGGCTCGACTCGCGTTTGCTCCTTTCAGTGGTAGAGCGAGAAAAGGTCGGGAACTGGAATTTGCCGCTGCTGTGCTTGCGAGTGAGCTTCGACATGAGAGATGAACCTTTATTAGAGGTAATCGAAGTCGATGGGGCAGAGTCGGAGGCCGTGTGGCTGATACTACGGTCAAGGCTATCGCGAGAGTCGGAGAGGACTGATGAAGCTGTGTTGATGGAGTACGCGTCTCTAGATTGGCGACCAAGCTCTGGTGAAGACTCGAGTTCGAGGTTCAAATGCAGAGGCTGGTGGGGTGCTTTGGAAGGAGAAGTGAGTGGAGTGGCACCAATCAAGTTGATCTTATCGTCATCTTCTTCATCATCTTCAACGTCGGAGGATGTCGAGCTGGGACGTGAGAAGAGCGATCGGAAGTCTTTGGCCGCTGGGTTGAGCTTGGGATCAGGAATGTTGCGCTTAAGCATGTGAGCGGGCTTCGTGCCAATCGGAGCCAAATTTGCTGTGGACTGCGGTGGACTGAAGGCATAGGAGCTGTTGTTATCAATTCCATCGTCGAGCATGTCATAAGACAGACTACCACCAGATTGTCCATGCTGGATTGAAGGACGTCTTGACGGCTGTCTGGAACCCCACATGTTGTGTGTTACCGCCGGAGCAGCCATCCAATCAGAGCTGAGTGGACTGCTCCTTTGGTTGAAAGGCTCGTTTGATGACCAAAGACCCCACGAAGAACTGTCTTGAGAAGGTCTAGGCAGCTCATTGGAGTGAACAGAGATAGGACGTGGAGACGATCTGCCATCGTCTTTACCCAAATTGCTCAAGACGTTAGATCTTTCATTGAGAGCAGCGGCTCTGTCCTGTCCCAGGATTGCAGCCCAGCCGTCCGTCTTGGAGCCGAACATGTTGAAAGGCCTTCTGCGCACAGCGATATGTTTTTGAGAGGGCAAGCTGTCGGAGCCCGTACTTTTGGTGTGACCAGTGGTCCTACCCAGATTTATACCAAAGAAATTTCCAGAATGGCTGCTGTTCCTACGGCGTCCTGATCCGGGCATCTCTTCCCCATCCTCATTACGTGGTAACGATTGACTCTGCGACTTGCTCAGAGAGCCCAAAGCTGGTCCTTGCTCGGACAATGTCTTGCCGCGCTGACGATTGAGTTTATCTAAACCAAGAATCTGACCGAAACGACTTCCACTGGTGTGAGGAGCACTACCACTTGCTGCCCGGCCAGACGTGCTAGATCTGATGGATCGGCGGTCGCTGTCCAAAGCGACGTCAGGAGAGTTGTACATAAGATTGCTGGCACTAGCACGTGGACTAGCAAACAGACTAGGTGATCTACTCCTGGCAGAGTTTGGACTCGTCGGACCTTGAGGTGGATCGAACGGCCTCGAGGCGCCCAGACCGGGCAAGGCACCCAAGCCTGGAAGAGCACCAAGACCAGGCAACATATGATTTGAAGGCTGTATACCCTCGGATCCTGTATCATCGTCGTCCTTTGTATGAATATGAGCAGCAGGACCAAGGAAACGATCGGGTGGATCTTCGTCAGAGTTACTGAGCAGTCCCGCAGGCAAAAGTTCAGCACCTGCACTCGGACTCATAGGAGCGCCTCCAGTCAGCCTATCAATTTCTGCAGGAGAGAAATCGCCCATTGGACGATCCAATGTCATGCCATTATTGATATTGAAGAAGGAAGATGCCGAGGTGGTGAAGCTTGGAGAAATAGTTGTCGGACCAGAAGTCGCCAGGGCACTGCCGAATGCAGGAGCAGTGGAAGAAGCGAAGGGAGAAGCGTTTGAATTGTTTGCAGGAGGCCGGCTCGGAGGACGTCTTTGACGCAAACTGCTAGCACGTGAAATAGGTTGGTCGAAGATGGGAGGCACAGCAGACGCCATTTGAGTCAATTCGGACTGACGCTGTTTGACCATGGCGAGTTGTTGGTAGGCGCTGTCAAAGTAGCGGCGTGCGGCGTCCATGTTTTGGTGAGCAATGACATACTGTTCCTCCAGGCCTCGCAGCTTGTCAGCCCACATACGGTCTTCCTCGGCCTCCTGGGCAGCAAGAGCGTTGTCATGATCGTTGGGCTCGGATCCGCTGGGTGAGTTTGTCGAGTCTCTCTCGAGTTTCTTAATTTGACCACCGACTTCCTTGTTCTCGTCCTCCATGGTTTTGAGTGTCTGCAGTTCTTGTGCCTGCTTGTCCATCAGTTCGACCTTTTCGCGCTCCGTGTCCTCGAGTAGTGTTTTCTTCTGGTCTGCGATGCTGATCATGTCGTGCTCCATCTGCGCCATCTCCTGCTGCCATCTCGCAGCGTCATCCTTGAGCTTCTGTCTTTCGTTCTGTTTCTGCTGTAGAGCCTTTTCCTGGGCATTTTTCTTGTTCTGTGCAGCTTGGTTGTTTCGTTCCAGAGCGTTGACCTGTTTGCGAAGATCCCTGCTGGTGTCATCTTTTTCTTTCAACTCACTTCGCAGTTCATCGCGTTCCTTGACCAGACTGGCTTTTGCCGCAATGGCTTCCTGTTCCTCGTCTTGAATTTGCTTGTCAATCTCAGCCGTTTCACGGCCAATCTCATCCAGCTTCTCGGTCAGGGCTTGCTGATTGTCTCCTGGACCGTCTTGATCATTGGCTTCGTCGAAAGAGGAAAGTTGAGTGTCCAAACCAGGCAGGGGCGACGGGCGTCTGCCGAAAAGACTTTTCTTGGCTTGAAGCGGACCGTTGCTAGTCTCGCGGACAAGAGGAGGCGGTGTGGCAGGGACAGTCGAAACATCTGGTGGAAAGACGTGCAGCGGACGTATGACTGGACCGGAAGGGGAGGGCAGGGAACCATTGGGGGCGTCAAAGAAGTCTTGAGATTCGGCGGATTTTGTACAGAGGCGGATGGGGCTGCTGGCGGCGCGAAAGTCGACAGCGTTGACGGTAATGATGCGCACAATGTACAGCTGGCCGGGACGTAGATTGGAAATCACGATGGACGTGTTGGAGTGAGAGACGTGGGCGATTATTGATCCGTTGAGTTGGATTTCATAGCGATGGTTGGATTTGCGCTCGTCTGCAGGCTTCCAGTGCAGGACGAAGCCGTCGGCTTTGATGCCAGCGAGGTCGACATGAGGGTCCTGGGGAATCTCGCAGCCCAAGAGACCAACGAGTTCGTCTAAAGGTTTGTGGATAACAAGATAGGCGCGGTATGTGAGCCTGCAGAAGTCAGCACGTGCGTGGGACAGATGACGATGATGAAGACACGGAGGGCAGGAGCCAAGGGACACGAAGACAGGGAAGGAGAGGAGCGGACAAGGGCACGAGAGATCTAACCAGACAAGAGCGGCACCCACACACAGAGTGTTGAAGGTGGTGCTGAAGAGCAGATATGCGTTGTTCAGCAACATGAGCAGGCGCATGGCTGAGGGAGGAAGGAGAAGGCGGTGGAGCACTTGGGCTTCTTGCAAAAGCCGTGTGTCGCCGCTGCCGCTGCCGCTGCCCAGAAAGCCTGATCAAGAGGGAGAAAAGGTCCAAGTCTGCTCGGTCGCGTCCAAATCAATGCCCGCTTCCATGTATATACTCTATAGTCGCACAGAAAACGATAGAGAGGTCATGCACGCTGTATATCCCGGACGCTCAAGTAGAACCGGTACAAGCCTTTGGCTGCTCTCTGTACATGTTGCTTGGCGGGGACGAGGTTAGGTAGAAGATCGGGTCGACACGCGGCGGCCCGAGGTTCCTCTAGAGAGCTTGCGTGCAGACAGACCACCAAGACCCACGACAATATCACATGCAAACTAGATAGCAAGGCACCCAGGTAGAAATCTCTATCACATGCTGGGTATCTCTGCGTCAGGCCTTGAGCACAGATCCGCGCCCAAGCAAATTATACTAGAAACTTGTACGAGTGCTCCAAAAGCAAGAGTGACTCCGCGTTTCCCGCATCAGCTGGCCTGTCTGCTGCTCTCGGGCCCGAGTTGGTGCTTTGTTCCTTGTACTTCGTCTGCCTAACTCTTAACCACTCGCTCTCCACATGCCCCTAGCCCCAGCTTGACAGCTCGTCCACCTGTCGGCGCCATGCAGTACGTGCGGTCCCTGTCGGGCTCCGTGTCCAAGACGTGGAACTCGATCAACCCAGCCACTCTCAGCGGCGCGATCGACGTCATTGTCGTCGAGCAGGAAGACGGCTCTCTTGCCTGCTCGCCCTTCCACGTCCGCTTTGGCAAATTCTCCCTCCTGAGGCCATCCGAGAAGAAGGTCGAGTTCACCGTCAACAATGAGCGTCGCGACTTCCCCATGAAACTGGGAGAGGGGGGTGAGGCCTTCTTTGTCTTTGAGACTTCGTCCAGCGTGCCCGAAGCTCTTCAGACATCTCCCTTGGTCTCACCCGCCTCAAGTCCCGAATTCACCTCCACCCAAGCAATCTCTCTGGCCGAGCCCGATTCCTTCGACCTGAACTCGCTGTCTGCCACCCTCCCCACGACCCCCACGTACAACAGGAGGGAGCACGCCAAATCTGTTGCTGCGATCAACTTCAACCCTCACCACTCCGATGAAAGACGTGCTCAAAGCGACAACGGCCACCCCATGTCTCAAGACGACCATACCGCTACCGACCTACCCAAACCTCTCCCCGCCCACCTCCATCGCTCTGCCACCGCCGATGCCGTTCCCGCTGCGAAGGCCGCCATCGATGCCTCAATGAAAGCAAGCGACCCCTTGACGTTACCCTTCCAATCCGAGTCGACTCGTTCGCGAACGGAACGCTCCACAAGTCCGCCGCCCGTCTCTGGCGAGGAAGCCGTCACAAGAGCCATCAATCTCTCCAAAAAACTATGGGGTTCCAACATCCCTTCCCAAGTCACCGACAAAGGTGACATCATGCTGGACATGACGGGTTATAAGAGCAGTGAAGATGAAGGCCTGCGCGCTGAAGTCCTGGCTAGAAAGATTCTGTCCGAAGAACTCGAAGGAAATTATGACATTGGCTCGTTGATCGGTGCTGATGAGAAGGGCAACTTGTGGATCTACAGCAGTGAGGAAGCAAAGGAACAAGCCAACAGGAAAGTCGCTCAAGGCCTAAACGTTCTAAATGCTGCTGCCTTTACCTCGACCGACGCTTTGTCAGACCCTGGATACCACTCGGATGATTCCCGTAGCGAAACGTTCAGCGGTTCGCATTTGCGACGAGACTCTGACAGCGCTCTAGGCATGTCATCTGGTCCTGCGTCTCCTCAAGCAGTCGGCGACCCCAATCGCAACTACGCAAAGACGCTCCGTCTGAGTAGCGATCAACTGAAGTCTCTAGATCTGAAGCCAGGGCCTAATCCTATGAGCTTCAGTGTCAACCGTGCTACCTGTACTGCTGTCATTTACCGCTGGCGATGGGATGTACCTATTGTTATTTCAGACATTGACGGCACAATCACAAAATCCGACGCTCTGGGCCACGTCCTCAACATGATTGGTCGCGACTGGACTCATCTTGGTGTAGCCAAGCTGTTCACTGAGATCTCGGCCAATGGATATAACATAATGTATCTCACCTCCCGCGGAGTAGGCCAGGCCGATACGACGAGAAATTATCTCGCCAATGTAGTCCAAGACGGAGGATTTAAGCTACCAAGGGGTCCGACGATCATGAGTCCTGATCGAACTATCGCCGCTTTGAGACGCGAAGTCTATCTTCGAAAGCCTGAAGTCTTCAAGATGGCTTGTCTGCGCGATATCATGGCCTTGTTTACTGGACTAGGAGGTAGCAACAACGCAGATAAAGCAGGACCCACGACCTCGGCCGAGAGTAGCAATGGCCTAGTTGGAAAGTCAAGCGGCAAGGGTGGCTCACCATTCTACGCAGGCTTTGGAAACCGTCTAACAGATGCGCTGTCATATCGCTCTGTCAACATCCCCAGCACAAGGATCTTCACCATCAACTCTAATGCAGAAGTCTCGCTAGATCTGCTATCACTGAACACATACAAGACGGGCTACGTAAGCATGCGCGAAATTGTGGATCATTACTTCCCACCCGTGGGACTACTCGTCAAAGGCGGCGGCGAAGAGTTTACCGACTTTAACTACTGGCGCGAGAAACCGCTCGAACTTGCCGACTTCTCTGCTTCCGAGAGCGACGATGATCCTAGTGACGGAGAGTCAATACGAGGAGGCCTGCGAGGAAACAATAGGTCTCGTGCCAACACCCGGCGATTCAGTGAGGATGACGGTGATATGGGCGACAGTTATATCTCGGAGGCTCGGCGTAGCATTGAAGACGATGATGAGGATAACCCCGCCATGTACCACTCTATTCTCGAATCCGTAGAGGGTGGTTACAGAGACGAGGAAGAAGACGAGGAGGACGGCGACTATGAGGACGATGAAGAGAGTAATCAAGATGACGAGGAAGAGATCGAGGAGAGAGATCTTCCCGTCCGATTGGCGTCTGCATCTAGAGCTTCGACGGCATAGTCGGACCAGCAGATTTTGGAAAACACCTTTTCTTGTTTGTCTATCTAGACGCATTGGTCCTAATTCATTGTACAACAGTCTCATCTTCGTAATATTATGCTAGATCACTTTCTGCACTGTGTAAGTATGTATCAATTCGAGAGTCAAATTCTCGTCGTATCCGATTTTGCTACGACAGGTCGACAAATCACTCTTAGTGGATACATCATTTTGGTTAGAAGACTGTGCATTAGTATAACGAGTGTCTGCGTGACACATCTTTGCACACGGGAAGGCAAGAGAAGGCCTTATGGGCATGATCCCGGGAAGGACAGGGTCATCGCGAATGTCGAGCTGGTAACTCTGTTGAAAAATCCAGGTCTGATAGGATGTGAAAATTGTCACTACGAACGCCATGATCGGTTCACAAGGGAAAGCAGCATGCCAATGTGTCGTCTAGACGATAGTAAAGGGTTTGTATATGAATCGGACATCCTAGGTAACAGATAAACGACGATTGCCAGTAAACTTCTGCCCGCTGGGTTTCTCTTCTGCCAGCCAATCCAAAACCTGCTGTGCAGACTGGTCAGGCGGGAACACGGGATACCACACTTTGACAATCTTTCCATCTATGATAGCAAGAGTGATTCTCTTTGTCAGTTTCTTGCCTTGCCAATCGATGGTTGGCAGACTCAGGGCCTCGACAAAGTCCAAGTCCTCATCACTGAGCAACTCGTAGGGCAAGTTCAATCTTGTCTTTGCTTCTTGTTGGTAGGAGGTTGATTGCGTACTCAAACCAAAGATCTTGTTTACGCCTGCCGTCATAAACTCCCGCTGTGCGTCTCTGAATGAACATGCCTGAGGAGTGCAGCCTCGGGCTCCTGGGATGGAGTTCCATTCGTCTGGGATTGTTTCTCCGGGTGCGCCGGTGCGAGGGTAGCAGAAGACGATCACTAGACCTTGTAGGGAGGAGACTTTTATTCGTGTGTCATTTGTGGCTGGGAGAGAGAGAGGTGGCATTTTCATGCCTGGGAGGTGATTGCAAGCTCCATCGTCAGTTGGCACTGGTATATCGGAGGGGAAAGTCGTGTCTCGAAGCCGAGTCAGTTTTTACATCATCTTTCACAACAGATTGTATACGACTCACGAGCCATGACGGATCGATTGATAGTGGTTCTGTATACTGAATCGACAGGTATAGATAACCTGATGTGTTTCTCGACCTTGATGTACAGAGCCGAGGTCAAGGATCGCGCTACGGCCATAGCTTCTAGTTCACGAAGAGGCTGAGGCTTGTTTGGCGGGGCAATCTGATGATGACGAGAAGATCGAGCTTGATGATGCTGAAATGCAGCGAATCACCAATCAAGACGGCCTGCATGACCGCGTCCGCCCGATCGATTGCGGTCAAGACATCTGCACTTTCTCACGGTTCTTCGGTTTCTCCTCTCTTCTCTCTCCCATATCCAGCCTATGCTTTCATTACGACCTTTCTTGACGACCGCATCTGCTCAGTTTCGTCAAATTTCACGACCCTCATCACTCAAAATCACAATTGGAATCAACACAGCTTCTTTCTCGACTACGTTACGCGCCATGGCTACCGAATACAAGCTCAAGGGGCTTACCAGCATTGACCTGAAGAATGGTCAGAAGCAAGAAGTCGAGGTCGACGGCATTGAGGGTGGAAAGATCCTGCTGGCCAAGGTCAAGGACCAGGTTCACGCCATGAGTGCCAACTGCACTCACTACGGTGCTCCTTTGGTCAAGGGTGTTCTCACAGGCGAGGGCAGAATCACCTGCCCATGGCACGGAGGTATGTCGAACCACTCGCACCTCTTGACTCGTGAAGTTCATACTGACACAATCTCACAGCCTGCTTCAAGGTCTCTACTGGTGACGTCGAAGATGCCCCAGCACTTGACCCTCTGGCCAAGTTCGAGGTCTTTGAGCGTGACGGTGCCGTCTACATCAAGGGCGAGGAGAAGACGATCAAGGCCAACAGACGCCAGCTCAACATCAAGTGCCGCAGCGTAAAAGACAAGGATCACGTCGTTGTCATTGGAAGCGGAAGTGGTGCTCTCGGTGCCATCGAAGGCCTCCGTGGTGGCGGCTACCAGGGCAAGATCACCGTCGTCTCCCGCGAGAACGCCCAACCTCTCGACCGTACCAAGCTCTCCAAAGCTCTCATCACAGACCAGTCCAAGATCGAGTGGCGTTCAATGGAATTCTACAAGGAGGCCTCAGTCGAGTTCACCTGGGGCAACGTCACCAAGGTCGACTTCAACAACCGTTCCGTCGAGACTGACGATGGCAAGAAGGTCAACTACACCAAACTCATCATGGCTTCCGGTGGTACTCCCAAGTGGCTGCCCATGGATGGCCTGAAGGGTGACCTCGAGAACGTCTTTGTTCTTCGCGCCCTTCCCCACGCTCAGGGCATCATGAAGGCTGCTGGTGAGGATGGCGGCAAGAAGGTCGTAGTCGTCGGTAGTTCCTTCATCGGCATGGAGGTCGGCAACTGCCTCGCTAGCATGAAGCACGATGTCACTATCGTCGGTATGGAGGAAGAGCCAATGATGACCGTCATGGGCAAGGAGCTCGGAAAGACTTTCAGAGGCCTGCTCGAAAAGAACGGTGTCAAGTTCAAGCTCAGCGCAGAGGTCGAAGGTGCTAAGCCTTCCGAGTCCGACTCGAAGAAGGTCGGCTCAGTACAGCTCAAGGACGGCACCAACCTTCCTGCAGACCTTGTCATCGAGGGTGTTGGTGTCAGACCCTCGACCGACTACCTCCAGGACGTAAAGGAGATCAAGCTCAACAAGGATGGCTCAGTCAACGTCAACGAGTCATTCCAGGTTGAGGGTCTCAAGGACGTGTTCGCCATTGGTGACATTGCCACTTACCCCTACCACGGACCTGGAGGCAACGGCAAGCCCGTTCGCATCGAGCATTGGGACGTTGCTCAGAACGCTGGTCGTTCGGTCGCCGGCACGATCAATGACCCCTCAGCACCTCCCAAGTCATTCATCCCCGTCTTCTGGTCTGCTCTCGGTGCTCAGCTGAGATACTGCGGCAACACACCCAATGGCTACGACGACGTCATCATCCAAGGCGAGACAGACGCACAGAAGGGCCCCAGCTTTGTCGCATACTACCACAAGGGAGAAGAGATTGTTGCCGTTGCCTCCATGATGAAGGATCCTTACATGACGCAAAGTGCTGAGCTGATGAGACGCAAGAAGATGCCCAGCAAGAGCGAGATCCTGAAGGGCGTGGATATCTTGGGGGTAGGAATTCCTTCGGAAATCAAGATCTAACTTAGAGCAAGCCCTATCATATCTATACGGTGACACGGTCCATCGCGCGCGTAGAAACGCGACATGTAACGCCAAGATGAAATAAATAGTCACTTTCTTAGCAATGTTAATAATGAAACGTGAAGAGTTTTCCTTTCTCCTGTTTGACACTGCTACAGTGACTCGACTTGCAGAGGCTCATGGAGGCTCACGGAGGATCGAGTAGGATTCAATAGTCGGTACGCTTTGAACAGATGCAAGATGAGGTCGAAGATGACAGTAACGGCGTTGGAAAGTGCTGGCCGTTGAGGATAACTGGCTTGCCTCGGAAGCTGTCGCAAACGGAAAGGCCCGAAGCAGACAGGATGGTTTTGTACCTGAAGCTAAAGACGATCTGGGCGATATTATTGGGTGGCTGAGAGGGCCGTGTGGACGTGCAGTGGTTACAAATGCACGATGCCGCCCTCCCCCACACCATCATCTCACTTGAATGGAAGCCTGCGTGAGTGATCGAGACATCAAAACAATGAAGACGCGCTCCGTCGGGAGCCCTCGACCAGCACACTTTTACAACAGCGACAGCGCATGCACGACGGGTTGGGCCCAAATCTCATGACTGGGTGTTGCGGGCATATTAGGCTTGGACTCTCTTTGATTGCGCATCATGGACGCCAACGGCCATCAGCGGTTTGAGGATACATGTCGCGAGCACGAGGACACGAGCGACTCTCTCCCTTGCATTCCAACCATGTGCTGCTGTGGGAACGACGACTGCGCATTCCAGCAGCAAAACAACGACGCCTTTGCTTCATTGGACGAGAATCTGCGCAAAGCCGGGCGGCTGGGCAAGGTCAGTGTTTCCTGCGTCGCGCCTGCGTAAGGCAGTTCGCAATCTCCAATTCTTGCTGTATTTTTGTGTTTGCTTGCTTGCCTTCTGATCCCGCCCTACCCTACCCTACCCAGCGCTTCCTTCGGACCTCTTTGCGCAAACCGTTTCCCCACTCAATCTCCTTTGCTATGGCAGTTCAAGCCATCGTACACCGTCGATTAGTCCAAAATACACACACATGCTCTGAGATATAACCAAGCCTGCGTCGGGTCCTCCCCACCCTGCATGCCTGTTGTCTTGTTGTGTTTTGGCATATCCACCAACTCTATTGCATCACGTCAACACGGCCACCATGTCGCTGACCTGGTCATTACAGGCACTCTTAGTCCGCCATGAAGCCTACGTGGCCGAGGCTGAGGAGCAAAAGGCTCGTATGGATATTGAGATCACCCGTATGATCGAGGAAAAGAAGGAACTCGAAGTCAACAACTCTACCCTGATCGAAGAGAATCGCAACCTACTTGATCAACTCGAAGGCCTCAACAATGTTGCCGTCGAGTCGGACGCCCACACTCAGTCACTCACCGCAACACTACAACAAACTCAAGCCGAACTACATCGACTAAACACACTTGCCGCCCGCACCGAAAGACTCGAACGAGAAGTCGAGGAATATGAACAGGAACAGGCCATTCTCCACGCATCCCTCTCCTACAAGACAGAGTCTGAAAAGTCAGCGACTCTGCGATGGCAGGAGGCAGAAAGGAAGCTGGCTGCCATGGAGAACCAACTAGAAAGGATCGAGCGTGAAGCCAGAGACGACAAGGAAAGACATGTCGAGATTGTTGGGCGCATGGAAAGGCAACGAGTGGTCGAGAAGGAACTGGAGACTGCGGCTGGCCGACTCAAGGGTGCTGCAGCTGCCAAGACAGCAAAGCATGGTAGCACCGTCGTCTCGCACTTCGTCAAGGATATCCTTCAGGACAATGTCAATCTGCAAGCTGGAATCGCCGAGCTGCGTGAAATGCTCGACAACTCAAACGAACAGGTCGAGGTTCTGAGAGATCAGCTCGCCCAGTACACACCTACAGAAATGGCTTCCGACGTCGAACCAACCACACCGTCGACACGTCCGTCCAACTTGGAAAAGGAAATCAACCGGGCTAGTCTGCAGCAGGAAGTTCATGTCCATCACCACTACCACGCCCCTGCCGAACACTCAAGGAAACCAAGCGTGACGCTACGCCGACCCAAGAAGAAGCGTGTCTCACTCGCTTCTGGTCTTTTCACTCCTTCCACAGGCTCGCGTACACCTCGTTCATCAATATCTGCAGCAAGCCCGTATACCCCCTCATCGACCGTTGCCATTCTGTCGCAAACGGCCGCAAGTATCCCCCATCGAAACGTTAATCGTTGGTCTATGCAGTCTCACATGACCGGAAGCTCCATGCTCAGTTCGCCTCAATCCATTTATCCGCCATCATCAATATGGGACCGCGACGACTCTCTCCTAGACTCGTCTCGACCAACTACGCCTGATAGTGAGGCACCGACCTCGCCATACTTCATCCACCAATCCAAAAGGTCCTCGTCAGGGTCCTATTTTCGTGCCTTACCACAACCGGCCTTTCGTGACGGCGCTTCAGATCGCCTTGAGGATTATGGTCAATCGCCCTACGGCTTTCCTTCTGAAGGCCAAGGATGGGCTGATGATCAAGTACTTGCAGGAGATCATGGTGCAATTCCTGAAGAAGACGAAGGGCATAATCTGGATCCTTCTGTGCCATCAGCTGACGAGGGTCGTGCTCATATGCCTTCGTTCATTGACGACACTGAGATCTCGACTTATACAAGGCCAACAATCATGGACGAGAGCATTTACTCACGCCCTCGGCATCGCCGGGCTGCTTCGCATGAATCGCTAATATCCGTGTCTGGCATGGATATTCACACCCTCCAATCTCGTCCGTCACAGCTGTTGACAGCACAGAGTTCGAGATCTTTCTCATCACAAGCCTCGGTCACAGCCACCCTCTCCTTGGCGCATGCTGCTAGACCTGCATTAACGTCACGAACGTCAAGCAATAGTCGCAGTATATTGGAAGGAGTGGCGGCTGAACACAAGGCTCTTAGTACGCCGCCAAAGGGTCTTGGCCAAAGAGTAGGCGGATGGGTGTTTGGCAAGTGGGGATCTACCCCGACGCCTACAGTCACCGTGTCTGCACCGATGGACCACATCAGAGTTGACAAGAAGCGCTTGTCCATGACAGCTAGTAAGCTACGACCACCAGGCATCAACCAAGCCGGGCCCATCTTCGGATTCGGGCCAGAGCCACAACTTCCTCGCGAACCAGTCCTCAAGACACTGAACGAGGAGGAACTGTGGGAATGCTTGAACGAATGATCCCCGCTACCACGTTTCAAGTCTTTACGCACTTACTTGATCCTTTCACTTCTTCCTTGACGGCTGTATCCACATGTCTGTCCCACCATCTTACCTCTAATCCCTTTATTCTCCTTTGTACAGCGGACATTACCAGGGTGGACACGTTTTCTTATGTCATTACCATCGATACCCCATTTACGTTCTCAACTCTGGATATAGAGTTTCTTCCACCTATCTTGAAAAATAGGTTTGGGTGGTTTAGCCACAATATAATTGCATATGCTGTTCGCTTCTTGCTTCCATCGACTCCGCACTTGTTTTCATCCGCCCTTTTTGCCTAAGTGACTTTGTTCAAGCTTGTTGTGCGAATGCTTGGTATCGCTTGATTTATGCTTCGTGAAGGTGGCTCGAGAGTATATTGCTCGTTTCAAGGGCATGTACGTCCGTAGTCTACTATACTGCATGCTCCAGGCGTTCGATTGATGGCGCTACGTTCATTCCGGGAGATGTGCACTCCCGCTGCCAGTAACGACATCTCGCGCGAGCCCGGACGAGTTCTCTATTATGCTCAAGGCATGGCAAAAGTCCACACAGTTGTCAGGATGTTCACCCATCGAGGCTCAAGTTCGACGTCTCATCTCACGAAATGGCGTCCGAGGCACGGACCAATCGCTTCTTTAATCCTCTTTTCTGTCAACCTCAAACAACTTAACCACATGCCAAGGCATCGCTTCTCGCAACGAAACATCGCTTGTCCAGCTACAGAAATCAGCATGGGCACATTCAATGTAAGTGCATCCGACTGGAAATGGATCTCGCAGGCGAGGTGATAAGTCCAGAAGGCAAGCTCAGATTGCAAGAGTATGGATATATAAGCGGTAAGGTCTATCATATGGAATCGATTCTTTTCTCCATTACCTTCAATCCACACTTTCTCTACTCTACAGCAGGCTCTGGCAGTCTCGTTTTTATCGACAAGTTCTTTATCCTTGATTGCTACCAGCAACAAAGTCATTCGCTAAGACCTTTCTTCTTCTTCTTCCGACCACACTACAAGATGTATATCTCTACCGCTACTCTCTCTTCCATCGTCCTTGCGGCATCCCTGGCCTCTGCTGGCCCTGCTCACATCAAGAGAGCCGATGCCTACGCCCAGTGCGGCGGCCAAGGCTTCACCGGATCTTCCACCTGTGTCACCGGCTACCACTGTGCCGAGTCCAACCCCTACTACTCCCAGTGCATTCCCGGAGCTGGTTCTTCCGCTCCCGTTGTGACCTCCGCTGCTGCCAGCGCTGTCCAGACCACCGCTGCTTCCGCCAAAGCCCCCGTCTCAACCAGCAACAAGGCCAGCTCTGCCCAGCCCTCTGACAGCTTGAACAAGCTCTTCCAGGCCAAGGGCAAGAAGTACTTCGGTACTGCCGCTGACCAGGGCACCCTCAGTAACGCCCAGACTGCCGCCATTGTCAAGGCCGACTTTGGTCAGGTTACTCCTGAGAACAGCATGAAGTGGGATGCCACCGAGTCTACCCAGGGCAAATTCAACTTCGCAGGAGGCGATTACCTCGTGAACTTCGCTAGTCAGAACGGTGATCTCGTCCGCGGTCACACTCTGGTCTGGTACTCTCAGCTGCCCCAATGGGTCCAGAACATCAACGACAAGACCACTCTCACCAACGTCATGAAGAACCACATCACTCAGGTCATGACCCACTTCAAGGGCAAGATCTACGCCTGGGACGTCGTCAACGAGGCCTTCAACGAGGATGGCACTCTCCGCAACAACGTCTTCTACAAGGTTCTCGGTGAGGACTACATCCGCATCGCCTTCGAGACTGCTCGCGCCGCCGACCCCAACGCCAAGCTCTACATCAACGACTACAACCTCGACTCTGCCACCTACGCAAAGACCACCGGTTTCATCTCCCACGTCAAGAAGTGGATCGCCGCCGGCATCCCCATCGACGGTGTCGGTTCCCAGACCCATCTCGGCAAGAGTGGCTCCTTCAACAACCCCGACAACGTGCCCGCTGCCTTCAAGGCCGTCTGCGCCGCTGCCCCTGAGTGTGCCATGACCGAGCTTGATCTTGCCGGTTCCGATCCTACTAGCTACGTTAAGGTTGTCAATGCTTGCGTCAACACCAAGAACTGTGTTGGTATCACAGAGTGGGGTGTTTCCGACAGCCAGTCTTGGAGGAAGAGTGACAGTCCTTTGCTCTTCGATGGCAGCTTCCAGAAGAAGGCTGCTTACACTGCCATTGTCAACGCCCTCAAGTAAGCGTTGACTCTTGGATATTGATGGTTGAGCGTTTTTACTTCGATTCTGGATGATGGGTTTGATGTGGATGTTGGATTCTATTTAGGATCAATTTGAGGATGAGATAGCGACGTTATTGACAAGTGTGTGGGTTCTCGTGGAACATATGCTTCTTGTCCATGTCGGTTCTTGTGATGTTGTGTTGTGAATCTGATACTATGTATCTCGGAAGCGAAGTCCTGCTTCAAGTCTGCTCCAGTGTCAAAGAGGACCTTCTGGTCGATCCGCCAGCAGTGCTCATGGATGCGATGCGGAAAAAACGATATGCAGAGGAGGGATGCGTGGATGCGCGGAGGTGCAGATGCGCGGAAGCGTGGATGGATATGAAGCAGTATGACTTCTTGTGCCAATGAGCGAGGGAAGCGTACATGGTGGTTCCAGGAGGCAATAAGGGCCGCAACACGCGAAGGCGAATTTACGATTCCTTTGGTGCGTGTTTCGGGGCGCGTCCGGGAAATCCAAAGGTAGTAGTTGTACGCGCAAACGCAGCCGGCACGCTGGAACATAGGAAGCTATACAACCTACCTTAGTGACCGACACCAACGATAGCACATATCCAACTTCAGACATGAGCGACCCACAGATCAACGGCACCGCGAGCGTCACCGCAAAGTGGCCTGCTGAACTGGATAGAGCCATCGACCTATACCGAGCAGAAAAGTTCCAAGAGTGCATCGCACACACGAGAACTGTGTGTCGAGACAACGCCCCACTCCACCCTCGCCTACGTTACCGCATCCTTCTAGCATCCTGCCTAGACGACTGGCACGAAGCAGAGGACATGCGCTTCCACGCCGAAAACACATACAACTCCTGGTGCCTTTACAACCCTGTCAGCAGCTTCCCAGGCGCCGGCCAAGTGCGAAGCGACTTGCGCAACAATCTCGATCAACTCGCCGACTACTTTAAAGCCTTCAGACCCAAAGACTGGAAGCAAACCCAACGCTTCCGGAACAACATCGAAGCCGCCGAGGCCGAAGAAGAGTACGCAGCCGAGCTAGCAGAGGAACAAGAAGAGGAGGCACCTACTACTAGCGAGGAAGAAGAGGAAGAGATCATTGCATCTAGCGAGGAAGAGGACGCTGCTGCCGCTGCCGAGAGAGAGGAAGAGGATACTGCTGCCGGTGCCGACGAGGGCAAGACTGTTTTTGCTGCTGATGGAGAGCAAGACGCTACTGCTGCTATCACTACCCAAGCTGGAGAGGATGCCGTTATTGGTGCAGAGAGAGAAGAGGAGATCGCTGCTGCCGTCGCCCAAGCTGGAGTCGGAAATACTCAAGCCGAGTCGGTAGAACGAACTGACCTTCCCCCTGTCGTCGGCAATGGCTCCAACATCAGAAACACAAGGAGAAGCAGGTCGACTCGGATCCCAGCCCCATGACCGCCGCATCAACCCGATCCCCACGCGCTTCCAAAGCTCCAGACCGTTATCATTGAGGGAGTTCAGTGTGTCACAGCAGCGACTTTCAATAAATTGAAAATTGACTGGCCGACTGGCTGATTGATTGATCTCATGCAGAACACGTCTCCCACCGGAATTGCCTATCTCCACCTCCAGTTTTGCTCGGCTTCCCCGACGTTCAGCCGCATGCTCTCCTTCTCACGTTATGGAGTGAGACCTCGTCTTTCTTTGATTATCTCAAGCTGTGGTACATGTTACATAGAGCTTGTTGTCCATTGATTCTATTCGCTTTCTCATTGCGTGCCTTCGTGGAAACTCAAATTCCGGATGCAAGCGGGTGTGGATAAACAATCTTGAACAATGTGGTCTTGTGTGGTAAACCTGACATACACGATACGCCAGGTATGAACATCGGTTCCTGCTTCTAATCTGCTCTGGTGTCAAGGACATGCTTGGTGGCTCGGAGTGGGAGTAAAGGAGTATGCAGCGTGTGTAGCTCTAAAGATGCACAGTATTTTCCAGAGACGGGACAGTGTCGACGGAGATCCGATATGCTATCAACAAGCATATGGAACTTACTTAAACTTCGATCTTTAGTTATCAATCAGCCCTAACCTTTAAGGCCACTATATCCTTAGAATAAGCACATAAGAACAGCTAAATACAACTAAGGTCGTCATCGAAAATAAGAAAAAGTGGTGTTAACAACAGCTGCCAGGGGACGGGCCGATTTGACATTGCCGCACGGATCGAAAGCGGTCCGAAATCTTGGTCAACCTTGTCAAAGTGACAAACCCAGCACCTTCTCTACAGAACATTGTACAGAAATCAAGGTAAGGCCAGTGCGATCAACTGGCTGTTGCTCGATGTGCCTAAGGTAATCACTGTAAACAAGAGCTCTTGCTCGAAAGCCCTGAACAAGTATAAGTCGGCTTCCTCGCTGTCTCTCAGTAGCTCCTTCCATTCCATTGCATTCTATTTCATTGTCGTCCAGTGCTTCCAAAACATCCTGCAAGCATGTTGGGCCAACTCACCACCCTCGCTCTTGTGTCCACTGCTTTTGCCATCCCCAATACTCTTCCCGTATCACGATCTCGCTATGACTACGTTATCGTCGGCGGAGGAACCAGTGGCCTTGTCATTGCCAACCGCTTAAGCGAGGACCCTACCATTTCTGTCGCTGTCATTGAGGCCGGCGATCAGGTCTTCAACAACACGAATGTCACCAGCGCTACAGGATATGGCAAGGCCTTTGGCACACAAATCGACTGGGCATATGAAAGCGAAGCTCAAGTCTACGCCGGAAACAAGACTCAAATCCTGAGGGCCGGCAAAGCTTTGGGAGGCACCAGTACGATCAATGGTAAGCAACAGACACCCCTTTATACTTCAATCCCAGTTGTGGATGAACAAGGACTGACATGATTTGACTTCAAGGTATGACTTACATGCGCGCTGAGAGCAGTCAAATCGACAGCTGGAAGAAGGTCGGCAACAATGTCTCCTGGGACTCATTGATGCCATACTACAAGAAGAGCGAATACTTTGAGTACCCCACTGGAGCTCAGGTTTCCATGGGTGCATCCTACTCGCCTGAATTCCACGGCACAGAAGGTCCACTCTCTGTCAGCTGGCCCACTGAAATGGTCGGCAACAACTTCTCGTCCACGCTGAATGCTACTTTCAAGGCCATGGATCTGCCATGGAACGGAGATGCCAATAGTGGATCCATGCGCGGATACAACGTTTTCCCCAAGACCTTCGATCGCTCCTTGGATGTGCGCGAGGATGCTGCTCGTGCTTACTACTATCCTTTCGCCACGAGACCTAACCTTGATATCTTCCTCAACTCGTTCGCTCAACGTCTGACGTGGTCTGACGACAACTCTTCTATCCCCTTCGCAAATGGTGTTGTCTTTACCGACAAGTCAGGTGCTGAGCAGACTCTCTTGGCCACCAGGGAAGTCGTCTTGTCTGCTGGATCTCTGAGATCGCCATTGTTGCTCGAGCTGTCCGGTATCGGCAATCCCAGCGTGCTTGAGAACCTTGGTATTGAGGTCAAAGTCAACTCTCCTTTTGTCGGCGAGAACCTCCAAGACCAAACCACTGTCGATACGAACTACAATGCCAATACCAACTTCACTGGCGCTGGTGGTTTCATCGGCTACTTCAACGCTACCGACGTTTGGGGAAACAACACTGCAGCATTCAGCAAGACCATCAAGGCATCTCTCGAGCAGTATGCGAACCGCACCGCTGACGCTTCTGGTGGTATTACCGACCGCGAGACTCTTCTGAAGCTTTTCAAGATCCAACACGAGCTCATCTTCGAAGACGAGGTGGTTATCTCCGAGATTATCGTCAACCCACCCTCTGCTAGCAGCGGTCTGATCGAGTACTGGGGTCTTATGCCCTTCTCTCGTGGCAACATCCACATCAAATCTGCCAACTCATCTGCCCCTGCTGCCATCAACCCCAACTTCTTCATGCTCGATTATGATATCAAGCAGCAGATCGCCACTGCCAGAACCGCCAGGAAGATTGCCATGACCGCTCCAATGAGTAACATCCTCACATCCGAGACCACTCCTAGCTTTGACGTGGTACCTCTCAACGCTACTGATGAGGCCTGGGATTCCTGGCTCAGGTCGGCCTATAGATCCAACTACCACTACATCTCAACTGCTGCCATGATGTCCAAGGAGCTGGGTGGTGTAGTCGATGACAACCATCTCGTCTACGGAACTGCCAACGTTCGCGTGGTTGATGCCTCTGTGATCCCCTTCCAGGTTTCTGGTCATTTGGCATCTACGCTTTATGCTCTTGCTGAGAGAGCCGCCGATCTCATCAAAGCTAGCCACTAGTAGCTTCAATACTCAGACATTATGGTTACTCTCTCTGTATCTGTAAGCGAGGACTACTCGTATGGTGTTTCACTTCTGTCCAAAAGTTGATTTTAGCATTTAATATTGCATAGCCAGGTAAATCGTTGTAGATGTACAATATAGATACAAATTTTAAATTCATGTTCTCACAACTCTCATCTCGTATGCACCCAGCTCTGTCTGTGAACATGAGCATTTATTATGATCGTCCTTTCAGGACTTGACTCAACCTAGTTGAGACGACACTGCAACATGGTATGTTGACTCCATCGATGTGCACGCTTGTTTTGGTATACTGTATATATTTTAGTCTGACAAAAATTGCTTCCATCAACCAATACCAGCACAGCTGGCTCATCTTCATTGGTCTAGTGGTCATGATTTCCGCTTGTCAAGAGTAAAATCTCGTCAAGCGCGGGAGACCAGGGTTCGATTCCCTGATGGAGAGCACATCCTTTTGTCTTTTTGTTAGGAGCCAGCATAATCAATTTGCGGTGTGCTTGTTGCTGGGATATTGTTTTGGGATGCCTTGTTGTTTGGAACAGAGATATGGCCGTGAAAGACTTGGTATCAAGCAGGCGGACGCATGTGCAAGGACATGGGCGGTGACGTGTGTGGGGAAGCAGCAAATGGACGACGAGCACTTGGCAAGCCAAAACGAGATTATTGTTGCAAGGTTCGTTCCTTGTACCCTCGACCAGCATTCATTCTAGCAAAACCAAACAATGGCTGCTCCAGTGAAGAAGCGAGGTCCGACCGTGCTGGTGTGTTGCATCTCCCTCGTTTCGTCAAATGCCACCCACTAATCATGTCTCGTCAGGTCACGGACGCGCGCGAACAGCAGCCTCAGCGACCGGCTCCTCTACCTCGTACTGCCACGACCAAACTCATATCTGTCGACAACGTTTTGCAGTTCTCCTCGGACATTCCCTCCGCCCAAAGACGTGGTCCTCCTGGCGGCTTCAGACCCGCACAACATACGCGCACTCCCAGCGGCCGACATCCTCTGGAGCCGAAGTTAGCAGGTCGCTCTCTCGCCATTCCCGTCGGAGGCCCTCACATCCCAGCCCGAAGCTCCAAAGTCAGCGAGAAGCTCGTTCTGCTGCCCGAGACCAGCGAAAAGACTCCATCAGAGGAGGACGAAGACGAAGATGATGCCCCACCCTCAGATGAACAGATCCGCCGCCGAAAATCTCCCAGGAACGGTGACAAGAGTTATGCCGAGCGCCTGTCAAAAGCAAGTCGCGCAGACAAACTGGCCAGAGTGACGGCTTACTGCACTGCTCAGAGCTACCGTCTACGTGCCACAGCAGACTTTGTACGAGAACAACACGGCGCCCGCACGAAACTCTACGACGATTGTCTGTATGCTGTATACCAGCTTCCTCTTCTCGGTGGTAGCGATGGCTACCGCATCCGCAGTAGTCCTGTCTTGAAGAACCCTGGAGGTAGAAGCATCCTGGACGAGCAGATTGAAGCCAACGAGCGCCGCGATCACCGAGAAGGCTGGATGGAGGAGAGCGATGAGTACACGGTCCACGGTAATGCCCGCGACCATGAAGAACCAAACTTCCGCCGTCACAGCCACTCGAGCGATCTCTCAAGTGGAGGACACGGCACTATTGCTGATGCTTTATCTGTCGCCGAACTCTATGTCTTCAGCTACGGTGTTGCCGTCTTTTGGAATTTTACTGCCCATCAAGAGAAGGATATTCTGGCCGACTTGACTTTCAGCAGCTCCTCGAACATCCCTACAAAGCTTAGCAGTACTTCTACACCTACCTTAACTAACACCTTGGGCCTGGTGTCACGCCCACTCAGCGAAGCCGACTTTGAGACTGAAGACTTCCACTTCGAATACAACGATGAGATTGACAAGCCGCGCATATTCAACGATATGATCACACTACGTACAAACGATCATATGATCAAGTTGGCCATGAGCCATGCCATCTCACAATCAACCAAGCTCAGCTACTTCGAAGAACGAATGCAACGCACCATGTCAGAGGCCCAATACGTCCCTCGCAAACTAGCTCTCGAAGGACAGCTCGGTATGAGTCGAAGTCAGGTTGTCAGTCTTGTCGGCAAACTCTTCCAAGGTCGTGTCGACGTCAACCTCAGCTCGAATATGCTCGACACGCCGAACTTCTTCTGGGACAGCGAACCCACGTTGTTACCCCTCTACGCCGCCGTCCGCGAGTACCTCGAGATCAAACCACGCATTCAAGTCCTGAACGAACGATGCAAAGTCTTTTTAGATCTAGCCGAGATCCTCTCTGACGCCATTGCCGATACGAAGATGACCAAAATCACATGGATTGTTATTGTCTTGATTGTAATATCAATTCTGGTCACATGCTCAGAAGTCATTCTGAGATTCGCCATTCTGAGCAAGGGTGAGGGGCAAGGCGCTGCAAGCCCGAGTCCGAGAGAGCTTTGAGCATTGTGCATCACGACAAGGCGTTGGCTGGGTTAATGAGGAAACGGAGAATAGGCGTTGAAGACTGTACATAATGGACTGCTCTATCGTAGTGGCGATGGTGGCGTACAATGGGTTGGTTTGCGTGTTTGTATCAAGGTTTAATACCACTTTTGTTTCTCTTCTGCAGGCCGACATTCTCGATGTTCGTGCTGAATCCTCTCACTTGCACCACGCTCTTACGACAACACACAGGCGGCCGACTTTGGTCAGGTCACTCCTAAGAGCAGCATGAAGTGGGATGCCACCGAGTCTACCCAAGGGAAATTTAACTACGCCGGAGGCGATCGAGTTCCCGGCCAGAACGGCGATCTCGTCCGCGGTCACACTTTAGTCTGGTACTCTTAGTTGCCTTGATGGGTCCAGAACATCAACGATAAGATCACCCTTACTAACGTTATAAGGAACCTATCAAAATGCACAGTTCTTTATAGACATTAGCAAAGTCCATAGTGAGCTGATGATCCTACGACTCTCAGTGGATGCTTTCTATCTGCTGGAATGACTGTGCATTTCTATAGCTGTCTGCGTGAGGCGTCTTTGCGCATGGGAAGGTCATACTCTGGACTGATTTACAAAAGCAGTTGCGGAACAAGACAACACTTTCAAACATCTTCCTGCGTTAATTGCGACCTCCCACAACACTTGGACTTTCACTTTGTGTGCTTCACTTCAACACGCTAACTCAGAAACTGGACAACAATCTTTCTTCTTTCGTTTAGCCACGCACATCACTGGTCAAAAAGATCCCACTCCTCGAGACTGCATCATGTCTGCGCCTGCAGATGTTCCCATCAAGTTAGAGCACCGGCCAGTCTTTGGTTTTCTGCCTTACCAACTTCCTGAAGACAACACATCGGCTCACCAATCCTTTCCCTTTCTGCCTGGTTACAGGCACATCTCTTTTGAAGAACGGCGCCTCGAAGACATGGAGTCACCACCTCCGCCCATGGCCACTGGGAAGTTTGGAATGTTTACCGCAAGTGCTCTCAGATGTCTTAAAACAGCTTTCAATGGCCGAAAAGAATTCACAAGCCGTGATGTCGACCTTGTCGAGTAGGTAGCCATCATCTCAAAGTGATAATTCTGTCTAACCGCGTTTAGGCCATTGCTCCCTCTCGCCACAATTCGCGTCCCTTGGAAGGATCATAATCCCGCAGTTTTTGGCATCCACAAAAACATTCTTGAACACTGCAGCCTCTTCTTCAAAGTCCTGTTTGCTCGAGATGTCGAATCTCCTGGGTCTCCCATCGTACAGTGCGAGCACGCAATGACTCGAGTGACCGAATTGGAAGCATCCGTTGTTGCATTCAGGATCTACGCAGAGTGGGTCTATTCAGGTCTAATTCGAACGAAAGACTTGAAGCTCGACGGACGCGAGGGAGACGAAACAGCTTTTCACAACATTGGACAAGCGTACATACTTGGTGAGAGACTGCAAGACTACGGATTCAGAATGCAATCGTCGACTTCCTTGTGGAGACGATCATCATACAACGCAAGATTGATCTTACTCTGCCCACGCTCATCTTCGACAAGACTTCTGTGACCTCACCTCTGAGGAGACTCCTGGTTGATCTCTATGTCCTGTATGGGCACAAAGATTGGATGAAGCTGGACGGGTCCAGTGAGAGCATCTCTGCCACCTTTCTTTCGGATCTGTCAACCGCGTTCCTCGCACGCAATAGCCATGACAGCTCGCCTACTACCAATGAATCAATTCCCAACGGCTGTCGATACCACGAGCATCCGGAAGGGACGCTTTGTCCGTTGACCAAAAGCCACCCTCGAGAAGTTGTTGAGCAAAAGCGATGAGGAGAAGAAAGTCCATATGGGACGCTGTGTTTGAGGTGTTGTGTCTGTCAGGGGTTGGTACCTTGCTAAGAGAAGAACAGGATAGGTAGCGTGCATGAAAGTCTCTGATTTTCGCTTTATTGAAGGTAAATAGAGGCGCCTGTCGCACTGGCTTCTACCCGCCTGCCATAGCTACTGTGTACTGCCGAAGATGCTTGAGGCCATACGCTTCTTCTAGGAGCAAGGGGAGGAGGAAGAACAGACTCCGTCTCCATGCCTTCCGCATACTCGCTAACTCTCCCAACGATATCGTAATCTCCCAGACCTCCAGGCAAATCGTACTCCGTTACTTCCAAGTACATAACCGGTAACGTAGTATCCACACCCATTCTCCTGGCGACCCTTTGCATGATGGTAGTAAGCCCCCTGCGGTACGACTCCCAACAAGCTTGATTTCTCCAACCCTCTCTGAGAAGTACAGCATAGACGGCAAGATAGATCCCAGCAGCACAGAGAGGAATCAACAACGGCACCGGTTTTCTCGAAACACCATAAGCCTCGGTCATCTCATCGGCAAAAGCGTCATCGGCTTCGCGCAAAAAGTGATCGAGATGACCATGCTTGCGAGCATTCTTGCGAAAGCGTCGAAGTGTCGATCGAGAGATGGTGTGTACTTGCGAGGCCGTGTTGGATGACAGCAGTCCCCGTCTTGCATCACCATGATGTGCTTGAGCATCGAGTTGTTCACGTAACCAGTCGCGGTACGAAGAGGAGTACTCTCGTCTCGAATCTGTGTTGCGTTCTTCTGCCTGTTGGCTAAGTGAAGGAGGCATCGTGGACGATTTATGAGAGATGCGTGTCGAACGGAGAGTTTTCGATGCAAGAACAAATGCAGCAAATCACGGCAGAGGGGTGACATTTTTTTTGTAGCATCATTAGGAGTCATACAGACTAGGTAGCAGAGCAAGAGTCAGAGGCCTACGGCATCAACGAAATTCAACTCTAATGCCCTCAATGCAGATTCCACAATGTGCGATGGGTTTTTTGCTGACAGGGAGGGTGGATGAGTCAAGCATCAACGTGTATAGAGGTTGTTTGAGTCTCTTCCTTGGCGCCTTATGTAGATAAGGCAGCAACTGCCACAACCAACTCATTCATACCATGATAAACTGTAATGAGCAGCCATGCCTCGGATGTACCCTCAATGGCGATACCTCATTGGAAAATCAACGAAGACTAACATGACCAGCTGGTTGATCAGCGACAGACCGTATTGCACGTCCTCGATCTCATTGATAATCACGACTACCTACATCTGGTATGTGACTTCTTTTTCAGATGCATCTGTTTTCATTTCTTCATGATACTGTTCTGCCCCAATGCTGACTGTGCAATGCAATTCTTCCAACTCAAGACGCGAAAGCCAATAAAGCTTACCATCTGCGACCTTCGTAGCCGTTGCCATCATCACGACGACCACCGCCATGGTGTCTACGTTCTTGGCCATCATCGCCAGGGAAGCCACCAGGCATCTCGTCCTCGTCACGACGACCGTAGCCCTGTTCCTGACGGCCAAAGCCCTGTTCTTGACGACCATAGCCTTGTTCCTGACGACCATAACTGTTGTTTTCCTCACGTCCGTACTCCTGTCTTCCGCCGCCATACTCTTGTCTGCCAAAGCCTTCATCGCGTCTTTCGTTGCGGCCACCGAAGTTATCACTGCCGTATCCAGGGCGATCTTGACCGTAGCTGGGGCGGTCATCTTGGCGCTGTTGGTGCTGAGCATGGTAGGAGGCGCCAGGGAAGCCTCCGCTGTTGTCGGGACGGGAGTAGGATGGCTGCTGCTCTTCGCTCTCGTAGTCGTTGTGGTGGTTCGAGCCGTGCTTTCTGTGCGAGCGGCGCTCGTCGTCATCGTCGTCGTCGTTGTCATGTCTTCTGCCATGGTGCTTTTTTTCGGTCTGGTAGTATTCTCCAGCAGCACCAACGCTCTGCTGTTGAACTTCACTCTCCCAGCGACCGTCGGGTCGCTCGTGACGACGCTCACTACGTTGCTCATAGCCACCGCCTTGAGTAGGACGAACCTCGGTGGTCTGTTGGTAGCCATATCCAGAGTTGCCCTCTTGATCGTAACGGTTGTACTCGGTCTTGTGACCGCCGCTAGGATACTGAGTAGTCTTGTACTCTGCCTGTGCAGTATGCTCTTGACCATATGGTCTCGAAGATGGACGCTCTCCAGTCTGCATATAGCTCTGGGAGTAGGACCCGTCTTGGTTGTGACTTGATTGCTGGTAGGTCTGAGTCTCACCCTGAGATTGGAAGGCGCCGCTCAAGAGGCTGCCGCCAACACTGCCCACAAGACCACCGAGGAGGCCGCCAAGAGCACCACCACCAACTGCCTCACCAACAAAGTTTCCAGCTTGCTGCTCAAAAGCGCTAGTAGGGCGGCTGCTGGGACGACCGTAGTTCCCAGGGCTGTTATGCTGTTGGTTACCGCTGACAAAGTCGCTGACACTCTCCATGACTGCTGCGTGCGCAGCTGCAGCTTGAGCGTTGTTGTGCTGCTTCTGCTGGAAAAGAGGCTTGCAACAGCCATGGCCAGAATCCTGCACACCCTCTTTATGATTTTCGCCGTGCTGAACTCCGTTCCTACTGAGCTGACGACGAAGACCGTCACGCTCGTGCTCCGACTTCTCCTGCCACCACTGCTCAACAACGCCGAACATGATATGACGTCCGTCAGCGGCACCATCATTGCCAACCTGACGCAAGGCAGGGTGATGGAAGACACCGTTGATAATTCGATCAAGAGTCCTGGCAATATCGACGTTCTCGTTGTCCCAGCATTGGACGATTTGAGGGACAACCCATTTGAGTACAGCGCAACCAATCTTGCCAGCAGGCTCGTTGAGGATGTTGGAGAAGTGGTCCTTGGAGAGCATCGAGTGGGTGGGATCGGATGAGTTGTCATCGTGGAAGACAATCAACTGCTTATCACGACTGCTCTGAATGACTTCGGAAGAACCAGTGGCGAGCTCCTCCTTGACCTGGCTGATGATGGGCAGGACGAAAGGAGCGAGTAGCGAGAAGACAAAGATGTTGAGCTGCTCAGTGAGCTGTTCGAGAAGATCGGGCAAGATGGGGATCTTTTCGATGGTCTCGTTGATGCTCATCATGAGCTCGTCGTGGAACTGGAGGATGGGGTAGATCTGGTTCTGAACGTCCTGGAGCTGCTGGGCCCACTCTTCGGGCTGTTTAGGCGAGAGCTTCATGTTGCCCATCTGAGCGGCAGCAGCGTTGCTCTGCAGCTCATCAACCTTGCCGGCTTGGTCCTTGCCGCCGAGGAGGCCAGAAGGAAGAGCCTTGAGGAGCTTCTTGAGCAGACTGGTGTTCTGGTTCTGCGAACCATTGATGACACCCTCCAACTCTTGAATCTCGGATTGAGTAGCCTTGTCATCCAATTCGCCCATGACGGAATGGAGGAAGTCGACACCACCAAAGGTACCAGTCACAATAGGATAGACCTGGTGGCGAGCGCCTTGAACACGGACTTGGGTGTTGCGACCTACATGAGGGAAGATGTCGCGCTCGCCCAGCTCGATGAGAGCAAGTTCGGTGTAGTTGGAGTGGGCAGAGTAGTCTTCGAGACAATGGCATGCGGTACCGAGGAGGCGCAGGGCCTCGTAAAACTCCTTCTTGTCTCTGCTTCTGTTGAAGGATCTACCGAGATCGATGCAGCGGCCGAACAGATTGCGCACCAGCTGGGCAGACGTGGTAATGCCAAGGTCTTCCGAGGCAATGTAGTTCTTCAGGCCGGTTCTCTCATCGATGCTCAGTTCTCTCTGTTCGTCAACTGGGGCACGCAGTCTGCGGTCGTACTGGCGGGCGTCTTCGTTGTCGGCGTAATCCTTAGGGTTGTCTATGTGCTCCTGAAGGTAGAGTTAGCGGGCATCTGTAGAAATCTGGGAGCAGCGTCAGCTTACCTCAGGGCGGTAGCAACCCAGTCTCTCGGTAGTGACCTCGAACTCGCCGGTGCCATAGCCAAAGGTGAGGAAACCAAGGACCCACAGCAGGATGCGGATGGCCTCAGCCGAGACGTGCTTGGTGGTGCCAACATCGACAGCCTGCGAGTAGTCGCGGAGCCAGTTGCCAAAGTAGACACGCTTTACGTCAATCTTGCTGAACTTGGCACCTTTGGCGTAGGCGTAGGAGCTGACGAGGGTGAGAAGGGTGTCTTCGATGTCTCCATGGCGGAAGTTGACACCCTCGACGTTGGACACAGAGGCAATGTTGCCTGCACCGAAAGCATGAGCCGGGCGTGCATGCAGTAGGAAGAGCAGGAAGACGGCGGTCACAGCAAAGGTGCTGCTAGATGCTGAGAAGATGGCCATGCTTGACGATGTCCAGTATGTGAATGGTATAGCAGCAGGACATGTTGTCGGTGAAGGGGTCAATCGAGAGCTCTTGCCAAGGGCCAGCCAAGACGTTTCAAGCAGGCCAAGCACACAGCCACCGTGTCATGTCTGTGTGCTGCATCGAATTGCTTAGCTGAAGGTTGTGTCCATTGTGGAGTCCGAGTCGAGGATCCTCACGCGAGCAAACACTCTTGCTGTGAGTTTCGTGTCCTGCAACAGCTGCAGCAGCATATCAAACAATAGGTACCTTAGGTGTAGAACGGCAGCCCCTCATGTCAGAATCCTCGCAACCCCGCCAGGGTCCAAGCTCCACAGAAAAGAATGCCGTGCCCTCTTCTTGTCGGTCCCTGTCCGTCATTCCATCACGACTCACAAGACTCCCCAAGGTAGACTGCCAACCGTTTGGTCGAGGACATCATGGTCTTCGAAGGGTAAGACGTCAAACACGTGTCTGGCTGATTAGTAAACAGCTCGACAGCTCATCATCGTTGAGCTATATCGGCTTACGCACACATAATATGGCATTCACCGTCTCTCATTCAACACTTTGTTTGATATTCGACATGATCCGCCTCGCTTACATGCCGCTTTGGAAGAGTGTCCGAACGAGCCTGAGCATCCCCTGCGAACCATGACTGCCGGCAGCCTGCAGGAAGGAGCCACCAGCAATGCAATCACTCTAACTTACTTTGTTCGGCCCTGACGATCCTTCCACTCGCGGAACGCCTCCACCCGTCTCTCTTCTTGAGCGAGTCTTCGCATCCAAGTCCAACATCCACTCAGCTCCTGCCTTAACGTTGTCCTGCAAATGTCCATCCCGGAGAACAGTACCAATGCCTTTGTCCATCTCAATCGTTCGTTTGTAGTCCAGCGTCCATTGATGTCCGTCGTCCGTCGAGTCTCTGCCTTGCTGCTAAGTTCCATAGTCCAGGGATCCACCTTCAAATTGACAGCCCCAATCATGTGCCGAATTTGAACAAGCCTGCGCCCTTGTTCGTTCATGGTACTCCTCGAACATGGCTCGATTAATCCTTGATCACCTGTCTGAATCCTTCGAGCTCCACCGCTCGGCCAGCTAGGTAACAATTGGGATTAGAGCTAAATGGTAATCTCCACAGAACTTGAGCTCCAGCAGGCCTCGAGTCCTGCCTGATAACATGCTTGGATCTCGTTCGCGGACCAAGGACGGTCTGCCTGTCCTCTGTACGCTAACAATCAGATGATGACTCGCAGATACTCACTACAGGCGCCGGTCTTGGTCTTCTGATCAGAACGCTCTACGCCCGTATAACCTCCAATCAAGCAATTGGAAACTTATCCCGTTGGCAAAGCAGCCTCCACTATACCTATTATCGCTTGATCTCCCGGCCATGGGGGCTTCAATCATTCTATCCTACACAATCGATCAGCAGTCGCTTATATAGTATCTGGAAATCGGCTTCTACTGCTCGTCTAGTCCTCATCGCTTGTCTCTGCAAATCACTCAGCAAGTTGTTCATACGGCCGACCGGACCCCATTACTCAATGTCACCTTCTTCATTTGATACGAGGATACGGATCTCCAGGTGAGCAACCTAGGAAGATCTTCTAGCGGGGTCTCCGTATACAACATTCAACGCTGTCGTTTCATGCACGTGGGCGGCTTAACTGTTGGGTGAAGCCTCAAGAACGGTAGGTGTCAGCCGCAAACTCAATGGTGGAAAGTCGGAGTCAGGGTCATGATTAGTATCGGATTCTAGGCGCTTCTAGTATTAACAGTACTATCCATATACATGGTTCTTGTATCGACAGCCCAGTGGATAATTGTGGGTTGCATCTCAGCTAGCGCTCCAAAGACAACGTTCCCAATGAACAGCGATTAGACCTTCATTCCTGTTAAACGCAACCAAGAGGCATGGAGTATGTTGATGATCGAATTGATGATGCTCCAGTGCTATGCAGCGATGGACGCTGTCGTTGTAGATCTACTCAGGACACACACACAAGCACAAAGTCAAAAAACAAGGTTGAAGATGCCAAAGTCTCACGAATCATCGTGGTGGGCGGTCAATCAATCAGAACTCGTGCGGAACCTCAGGCTACCCGCTGCTCCCTGAGCCTTGACCTCAAACCCAGTCGTTTGGACGGGAAGTGACCCACAAGCCGGCGACTCGGGGTCTTTGCGCCACACCACGCTAAAGTAGGGAATCATGCGGATGGCTGATTTTCTTACGCACAACGATTCTGGACGTCTTCTCCTGACTCGACATAGTCTTTCCACATCGGCGGCCTTCGTCCAGAGCGAGAGATACTTGACGTGAAAGCTTTGCCAAAGTGTTGAGGAAGATGCATAACAAGCATCGTAAAGTCATTCGAGAACTGTCGAGTTTTCGGCTGCTGCGACGTTGATCCTTATTAAGGCGTGCAACACAATATATATCATCAGAAACGCCCTCCAGGTCAAGGCCCCTGCACGCACAAGAAAAGCCGGGATGCAGGGGAAGCGACTCGTGAGAGTCACTTTGTGTATTGCGCTTTGATCCGCAGCCCAGCTCGCAACTGAAACAGGAACGTCCTCCCCAAAAAGAAATGGGATTGGCGACTAATATCGCAGATCTGTCTTCGTTCAGTCGGCAGTCGGCTGCAATCCACGGGTTGGGGTCAGGAACAAGGACTCGGGGAATTGACAAATTCATTCATGACTCCACCTCTCGTCTTCTGTTGCTGTCATTGTCTTTTCTCTTCTCGAGAGTCGAGTCGACTTTCAGATCACTGCCACCTGCATCTAGCTTGCGAGCCACGACTCGGTCTGCATCAAGTATCTTGGTAGCTTGGTAGCTAGTCCGCGTTCATCTACGCCTTCAACGCCATCAGCTGGAGTGACACAACCGTCTTGATCCTTCTCAGAAAAGCAACGTCGCAGCCTACTCGAATCTAGGCAAACTTCGGGTGCCGGCAAGGGGTAGTTAACGGTGTCCGACCCGGAAATGCTCTTCGAGTCTAACTCTCTTTAACTTTTCGAGCTCTCCTGATCTCCACACCTCTTGCTTCGCGCCTGCGAGTCACCTTTACATACTTATTGTTCTCCTCCAACGGACCACTGTTTCAACTTGCCAGGCGCTCCACGTCCAGATCACGAAGGCGTCTCTATTTCGCTGTATCACCACCACCAATCCCGCGTGGACCTCTACTCGAAACATTGCTCTGATTCATCACCATGTCGCAAGATACTGGACCACGCCTAGCGGCGACGGTGATCGTTCTATCCATTATGGCCTACCCTTTACTGGCATTACGAGTCTACATTAGGCTGAGCACACGAGCATGGGGTGCTGACGACTGGTCTATGCTGTTCGCAGCCATACCATTCACTGCTCTGACGATAGCATGTCTGGGTGGTGCTTTCAACGGCATTGGTGGACATGAAGCTGAGCTGGGCGAGAAACAGGTCTCGATCGGCCTTCATGTAAGTTGCAATCAGTCGTGGCATACGATACATAGTGAGCTGACCGTCGCTAGTGGTTCTTCTTCTTCGAAGTCTTCTACTGCATTGCAATTGTGCCAATCAAGCTTAGTATCTCCTTGATGGAAATCCGAATTGCGAGCAGTAAGAAAAGCTTCATCATTGCGCTATGGGTCACCTCCGGCATGTTCATCGTCATGAACATCATCTCTCTTTTCGTTATCATCTTCCACTGCAACCCGATCTCCTGGGCATGGGATACAACAACTCCTGGAGGACATTGCAACTCCGCAACTGTGCTTACCAACATCTACTATGCCGATACTGCCGTCAACATTTTCACCGATTGGTTCTGCGCATTGCTGTAAGTTATCGTAGGCTGTTGTACATCTCATCTTATCACTGACATCCGTCTGCTAGGCCTGTTCCTCTGTTGTGGTCAATTCAGCTCAATCGCAACTCCAAGGTCTCGGTCGTCTTCCTCTTGAGCTTGGGTGTTCTCGCCAGTCTTTCAGCCTGCATTCGACTCAAGTACACCGTCAACCTGAACAACTCCACAGACTACATTCACGGTGTTGGCGACATTGTCATCTGGGGTTACGCCGAAAATGGTATCGGTATGGTTGTTGGCTGCTTGAGTACCTTGCGTCCATTGTTCCGCCGTGTCTTCCAGCTCGGCAGCTCGGCACCGGATGCTTCCTCCAAGATGAACGGAACCCGCTCGAAGAACGGCCGCCGCAACTACCTTAACTGCGAGTCTGGCTACGAGCTTCCTGAGGGTGCGCGTCCCACCGACAGAGATGTCATCGTCAAAGGAGGCACCGTCAAGGAGAACAGCATCCGTGACTCTGACTCTGAGGAGCACATTCTTTCAGACTACCCTGGCATCAAGATGACGAGGAGTGTCTTGCAAGAGACGAGTTTTGCTACAACATCCCACTCTGGAACCAGCCCGTAAACAACAATGGAACGACTGCGCAACTGGAAAAGATGCAAGCATAATGACAGGATTTATGGGGAGAGGCTGGGACCGTCTCATAATGAGCACATATATTCTTTCTTTTGTTATCGTATTCTATACTAGCCCTTATACCCATTTTTCTTTCTTGTCGCTATGTAATAATCTGTATGTAGAGGCCTCGACTAGATGCGAGGAAGTTGTACATAAAGAGTCAAGAAGGAAGCACCAATGCATCCCGCAATTACCAATGTTCACGATCACTGCTCTTGTGCCTTATCCAACCACATCCGATACCACTCCAGAAAGCACTTGTCGTGTGGTCAAGCAACTGCCGAGATTTGGGGTTGCCACAGTCCTTCGAGATCTCCCTCGTGTCTCGCAACTCTCTGACCATGATCTCCAACTCTATCGTAGTTGCATCATCATCGTCACTATCTCGCCAATAGACTTTCTCTCTGAATCTGCTTTCTAGGTCAGACAAAAGGCACAGAGTCATGTTCTTTTTTTTTTCTTGAAGCCATCGCGCCGCCGGCCTTTTTCTGTGTGTCTCAGGAACAAACTTTTCGCTCCTCTCCATCCTTTTTTTTTGAGTTTCTCACTCTACCACGATTTGCATTTAGGCATAAATATAAAGATCAACAGCACGAGAAACTCAAATTCCACTGTTCGCATGTCTGCGCCGGAACAGCCTTCGGAGTTTCGACTTTCGAAACATTGGGCGTAAAGTCTAAAGCTGGAGCGCACAAGAGCAACGTCGTGGGGCGTCTGGTCAACGTCGTAGTATCAGTAATCATCTTCGATGATCATGGATGGTAAATGACGGGGTGTGACTTTTCTGCTTTGAACAGTATTTGCTATATGATTTTAAAGACGGGACGAGTGGATACACGGAGGTATTTGAAATGTTGGTACAGTCAGGTCGGCATGTTGAAGCTTGGTTATGAGGGTTGGTATAGTTCTCGCTGTCTATCCTCTTCATGTGCAAGAGCAATGTCGCATAGGTAGCCGTCAAAATGCATAATGGTCTCAAGCAACGGCAAGCATTCACTCGAAGTCATGGTCCCTACGGCTCTCCATGGATGCCTCTGCAGTCCGGGAAGGACTGGACATTTTCGTAGCGCGGATGTCCGCTCTCAGATCCTTATGGGGTGAGGGTGGAGAGAGCAGGGAATGACCCCTTACTTCTCTCTCGTAGACGTGTACTTCTCTCCCATACGGCTACATGATATAGCTATAGAAGAAGTGCACAGTCATTTCATCCGCACTGTAGGGAAATGCTTGGATGCAAGAATCAAGGCGGCTTGAGAGAAGTTGCTCACATCGTGTTGCAGGCCTTCGAGTCTTTGGCAGGCTCGGCGTTGGGCACTCGATCGCCCTTTCCACTGGTCCACTCTTTGACGTCGTGAAAGTCCATGATCTTCCCCTCACCACCATGTCTATCTTGAACTGCAGGAACATGGTCAGTAACGCTTGAAACAATGACACAGACCGTAAACAGCAACTTACTGGCTTGCCAATCCCTCCCAACCGCCTGCTCAGGTCGCCATCTCAACCCCTTCTGCAGCCTTTCCTCCATCACACCTTCCATCCGGTCGACGATCAACTGTCCTACCACGGGCATCATCATGAACCCCATGCCCGAGCCACCGGCCGCAACTACCAAGCCGTTCTTCCCTTTCGGCCTGTCAATCAGAAACTGGCGGTCCACGGTATCCGCATCCCAGCAGATTCTCGCAAAACTAAAGTCGCGGTCCGCGATCTGAGGCATTGCTTCTTGCAAAAACTTACGCATGCGCGTTTCGCTCTCTACTGGAATCTGATGGCGAGCGAAAGGTTGCGAGTGTGTAGTTCCTTCGGTGTAACCAGGAGTAGCGGTCTTCACCATGTTGATGTATCCTGGATGCTCATCACAAAACTTGAGCTCTCGCTTCTCGGCGTCTGGCTCTACGAAGAATCCGCGTTCGGGGTTATACAGCACAGGTAGGTTCTTGAAGATTGCTGCTTCTTCGACGGACAGGGGTATATGGGCCAATGTCCATGCGGTGGGTCGAAGCTGCTGCTCAAAGTCGAAAAGGAGGTCGCCGCTCGCTCCTGCGCAGAGAATGGTCTGGTCGGCACGATGGGAGGTACCATCTGCTGTTTGAGCGCCCGTTATGGTGTCCTTGGAGTCCGAGTAGAGGAGCGATGTTACTCGTCCAGCAGAGTCGCCCGTGACAAACTTGACTCCCAACCGTGAGGCCTCTTCGAACGCGGAAACCATGGCACCTCGAGCAAACACCCAGCCAGCGCCATGGTCTTTCCAAAAACCTCTCCATCCAGGAAAGTCACCTTGCAGCACGCCTTCCGGCATGGTCTTCTTGAAATCTCCAGGTGAATCCAGAAAGACCCAGTCGCTCTCTGTCCCCTTAGTGTATCCTTTGACATGCTCATAAACGGCGTCTGATATGGCACTGAAGATGATGCCAGTGGGATGATAGAACGACTTGAACACCTCGTCTTCTTTCCAGTACTTTGTCGTGATCTGGTGCATTCGGTTCCAGACGTATTGTTCTTCGGTATCAGTCTCCGAGGGCTCGCCTTCCTCCATGATCTTGTTGACATCGTTGCCAGCTGAGATGGGCGAAGGAATCGGATGAGCTTCCAAGACAGTCACATTCTTGTATCCACGGCGAGCGAGGTGAAGTGCGGTAGAACAGCCCCATGTGCCACCTCCTATAATCAGGATACTGCTGTCTTTTGGTAGTGGTTCCATGATTGCCACCTGTAAAGTCACTCAAGTCTTGTGGAACTGTTGAAGTCGCAGACACAAGGGATTGACGCGCTTTTCTATGCAGATGCCTCACAGCTCCCGTCTCGGGCTCTCAATGTCCATGTACCCACCTCTGTCGCGTAATCACGCGAGACGACAGCTTCGCTGCTAGATTCTGACACTCACAAACTGGTGAGAGGCGCTTTGCAGATGCCTTTCTCGATACCGAGTTGCTTGTTCAGGACAAGCCTCGCAGGCTTTGCGAGAGTCGAGGAAGGTCCAGGCGTGAGTATGTTCGCAACATGATCATGCCATGTCGCACGGATTAGCAACAGCACGACACATCTGTCAGCAACAACTGTAAGTAGCACTCGCTGGCTCGCGAATTTGGATACAATTGTGCTTTTTCAGAACGAGGACGATTCTCAAGCGTTAGCAGGAGGAGAGATCTGAGAATTATAGGCTCAACACATAGTCAATTCATCGAAGTTCCAGTGAGCCTGATTTCGTCAGGAGGTGTCCATGGACTTGCGTGGGTTGCAGAGCACCTTCGAGAATCCGAATCTTAAAAATGGATAGGTGTCATTATCTCATTACATAGCACCACGAGGCATGTCAAAATGATACAGTACATGATGTATATACCATGGAGCTATTCTACAAGCTACTTCGGTAAAAAGGAGTAGATGTCGGCGCCAGGAAGCACAAAGTTGATGATAGATAATAGTTGAGGGCACCACCCTGGCCCTTTCCAGTAATACTTGCATGAGAGAGGCGAGCAGTGATAAATAGCATATTGAAGGAGGTGGACGTGATAGATATGGAGGATCAAAACAAGGTACTCGTACTGCCATTTTTCGTCTGTCTAGGCCGTCGTAGAGTCTGCCACCGAAGGCATTCGCTACGTAAACCACACCAGCCGATGGTAGAAGAGAGTGATATTCAAGCATCTGGGTTGTAGATGTGGCATCGCCAGCATGTCTCGAAGCTGCTCAGACGACGAAGCTTGTGTTGCCATAACATGACTCTTTCTCCCAGCAAGTCGGCGATATTACGAGCGGCTCCTCCTGCAACGAAATTGCGAGGCATCAGAAGCTGTCGCGTCGGGATGCTGAGCAGATAGTAGACGAAGACTGGCGCGCACTCCGGTCCTCATCCTGGCAAGGGAACAGGTGAGTACCTGGCTAGTGACGGCAGTGAAGATGGCGAGTAGGGTAGGCTCAGGAGTCTGTCGCGTTGGAAACTTGTTGGTGTCGCTGCTCGAAAGGCACAACCTGAATCTCACAAAAGACTGCTTGCGCAGATATCATTGTCAGTAGGCATATCTACCTGCTAAGGTGATCAAGCACTCGTGTCTGATCTCTCTTCGAGACGGTGCGACCATTCTGCTCATTCACTAACAATGACGAGTTCTGCAGAGCCCACCAACCTTCCAGCGCAGCTGCCAACCCACAGCCTTGGCATGCAGCTCAAGCTGCCCAAAGCTCCCCTGCTTAGTCATCCAAGCTAGCGTCGTACGCAGCTATAAAATCCGCCTGCACCTCAGACTCCTTCTTCCTTTCTTCATACTTACCTTGCTTGGACACTGGCGATCATGAAGGCCGGGTGTCTGGAGGAACTTCGTGCATTGCACAGCGCGCAGAAGTACCTCCAACCATCTCCTTCGGGGGCTGGTCGAGTGGAATTTTTTATTTCTTCACATACTTTGTGCTTTGTCACATTGTCACACACTTTTCATTGATGCACTGGCTTTGCTGCTGGTGGTTGAAGAAGAGAACACCAATCGCATGATGGATGAGTTGTAATTTCAATACGGCCACGGGCCTGTCTGACATAGCACGCATGAGCAGTTGAATCAAGTAAGGGTGTGTCGCAAGGCTGCGAGCAGAACGATGGCACCTGGTCAGGATGTTTCGAAGGTCGCGCGCTCACAAGATGTCCTTCACGTAACCTCAAACTCAAAGTTAGCACTCATCAACCGCACTTGCTTGTGACTCCATGATTGGGAATTCATCGCAACCAAAGATGCTGCTGCCCGTGATCATCTTTCTGAGCGCTGTCTAGTCGGCACACAGGTGCGCACTCGTGCCAGCGTCACCCAGTAGCGTCATCACATACCTGATTAGCCGTGGAAACTCGGTAGATCGCATGCTGTCTTATGGGGTGTACTCGGAAAGAGGAGACGCAGAACCGTCCGTTCACTTGGTCTGTGAGAGATCGTCCATAACATGGTCGACCTTTGCTGCTCCGGAGTCCAGCAGGACTTGTGCTGTGGACAACATCACTTACTGACTACTGAAATATTACGTGCATAATTATACGTTGATTCGTAATCACAGTTCACAGCAATAGAAATTGACACAGAGGAATGAGTCTCAAAGTCTTCATATTCGTACAGAACAATCAATCGTGCTATCCTAGTGTGGTATCAAGTTGGAAAAAAGTCAAAACGCCAACCCATGCCATATCTCGTAAGAAGTGACTACCCATGCTCACATGGCGTAGACGAAAGCACCAACACCGGCAGCGATCATCCACATGCCAGCAGCCTCGGGAACTCTCATTGCGGCTGCAGCGCCGGTGCTAGAACCAGAGCCAGAGCCAGACGAGCCCGAGCCGGACGAATCGCCGTCACTGGGAAGAGTGCCGTTGATGATAAGAGTGTTGGTACCGTTGACCATGGCCACACGAGCGACAGTCGAGTTGATGTCTGAGGAGGAGCCATTGCCGACGATTGAGGCGAGGTAGGAATCATCTGCCTGCTCGTCGCAACCACACTCAGAGTTCTGAGCGCAGACGCACTGGACAGGCAAGGTGGAATTTGTAGAATTGGTGTAGGTCTGGTTCTGAGCAGCCTCGGTGCGGTTGTGGAAGTAGTATGGGTGGGCGTAGGGGTAGGCATATGCGCCGGCGCCGTAGAGAGCGTATGCTCCGATGCCAAGGGCAGCACCTCCGAGGACGAAGGGTGCGATACCAGCGGGCGAGCGGCCGCCAGCTCTGTAGGCAGTGGTCGCACCGCCAGCGTAGTAGTTGCCTCCAGCACCGTACGAAGGTCTCACGCTTGTCCCGCCTGATGTGCTGCCGGAGCCTCGGCTGCCTGACGAAGACGAGCCTGAGGAGCCAGACGATCCTGAGCCGGATGAAGACGAGCCTGACGACGACGAGCCAGAACGACCACCGCCAGAGCTGCCACCGCCTCCTCTTCCACCACCACCACCTCCCTTGCGCTTCTCAAGCGTGTTGCTTGCTTCGGGTGATGTGGCGATGTCGTAACTCGAGCGCACGATGAGCGAGTTTGCTTCTTCGGGGATGACGGCTGCATTGACCGCGCTGCCAACGCTGAGCGCCGAGATGATGACATTCGAGAACTTCATGTCGTTGTGTTTATGTTGTGATGAATGTAGAGTATCGAGTCGGAATCGATTCGAAATCGATTGTGTTTAGGTCGAGGATAAGTGTGAAACTTGTATGAATGCTCAAAGTGGAGAGGGGTCAATGGGTAAAAACGTAGTTGTTGGAAAACCAGGAGATTGGTCCTACGTCTGACGGCACGGCGACGCCATTATAACCAATACAAAACCAACAGTTCCAAGCCTTTAGCCCCGTATTATCCGTCGCCGCACCAAAGTCACATTAGGTCATCGAGGCGCTTCCAAAACGATTGGAGTGTGGTTCTTCGTTCCTAAGCCTTGGATCCTTCGAGTGCCTTCACACAAGCTGCGCCTTGTCTCGTCTTGACATCACGGCAGGGGCGATGCATCGAGAGTTGGCAGGGTCTGTCCGGCGGAGGCTTGGCAAGATCTCCTCCGCGGCTCGAGTCAATCTGCACTCCTTCGTTATCCCCGCCACTCGCGAGCCGCCATTCTTGCAAAGAGCGACATCATCACTCACGTGCTGCCCAAGCATGCGGTCATTTATCGAGGAATGCCTTCAACGTCCAAGTCCGAAATCCTTCCCAGACTCGAGAGATCCTTCTCAGACGCGGTCAGATTCGCAAATTACCTCTGCCTTTCCCTCTGCCTCAAACCTTCAGGCATCGGGCCACCCATGCTAAGCCTTCGCCGTGCCTTGTTGTGTTTGATCCAGGCACCCTTGGGTCTGCGGTATGGAGACGCAGAGTCACAGAACTCAGAACATATTCGTTTTGGGTCCCACAGTTTTCATCAATTGGTTGCGTGGCCCAATGGCAAGGCGCTTGACTACGAATCAAGAGATTCCAGGTTCGACCCCTGGCGTGATCATTTTGCTGCTCATTTGATCAATAGGGAAGTCCTTCTTTTGGCGCCTCTTAGTATTCCATGATCCGTCTTGCTGTGAGTGGTGAAAATCTTGACTTGGAAAGAAGGATTTGGGAGGAAGCTTCGATCGCGCGTGACTTCCATTTTTATCGACTTTGACGAGATACAGACGGCGTGATCAACCCTGACTCTTCTGCTCGAATGCATCTCAAAATTCTCCCGGTATGCTCAGGTATGCAACGCCATGTCAAAATGCATGGTAGTTTCGGAGGGAGTTGGAGAAAACTTTTGCCAATTCCTGTGTGATTCTCCTGTCCAGAAAGCTGTACCATCCTGGTTTGGAACATCTCGGAGGCACCTAGTCCTCACCTGCCCTCAGCCTGATGTCTATTGAGACGTCCTGATTGACGTTCTGCACTTGTCCGGAGGATCTGACAACCATCGTCGACTCTGTCCACTATACCCTTGAATGCAACCTTGCATATGCCTCGATATTGACATACCCCGCAATGCAACCACAAACATTGGACCGCGCTCGACTTCTTGTCCGCTCACACTCATGCCTGCTTCACGTTTCGCTTCGTTGGCATTGCACAAGCTGACATCACAATCCATGCTCGCATCGATGTGCTTAGCGACCCCTGCCCTGACCCCTCAGTTGTATACAGCGGGGGTCCTTCGATCTAACATCTGATTGAGTACTTAAACATGACAACACTTCTCACCCCGATGCGATCATTTCTCACGGTCCCCGAAGCCCAGAATGAGAGCTTCCAAGATTTTCTCAGCTTTGCTGTCGGTTGTTTCGGTCAAGCATGCCCTGGCCCAAAATTACACCAATGCCTCGACAAGTGCTGTACCAAGTTCCACTACTGTCAACGGCACTGCTGTTGCCAATCCCAGTGCCTTTGTGACCGATCTGCAGTTGTCTGTCGAAGGTAAAACTACCACTGCCGTCCGAATATGGAAGCAGATCTTAGTTGATATCTTGCAGATCTTTGGAACTTCTTCGTCGGACCAGTTGATGTCGCAGATATAACCACTACCGTCCAAGCCACCCCTGTTCCATCGAGCTCTTTGATTCCTCCGCCTTATATCGGAAACTACGCATTTCCTCCCGGCCGCCAGGTTCCGTTGGTCACAAAGAATGAATCATGGAATTTTCCAAAGAACTTCCATCTCGGTGTTGCGGGTGCTGCATTCCAGATTGAAGGCGCTGCGAAAGCTGACGGAAAAGGACCATCAACCTGGGATGTGAACATGCACCGCGTCCCCAATTTTGTCGCCGACAATAGCACAGGCGATATTACAGATAACAACTACTACCTGTACAAGCAGGGTAAGCTTGACTGGGCATCCTGGCACTTGGGTATGAGATACTGACTCTGTCGTTACAAGACATTGCACGTCTGGCAGCCATCGGTATCAATGCATATTCTTTCTCTATCGCCTGGACGCGCCTCTTTCCTTTCGGCTCAGGGCCAGTCAACGAGCTCGGTATAGCTCACTACAACGATGTCATCGACACCTGTCTCCAATACAATATTACGCCAATGGCGACCCTATACCACTGGGACATGCCTGCTCTCTTACAGAACAAGTATGGTGGTTGGCTTGGTGAGCAAGTCGTTGGAGACTTTACTGAGTATGCTCGAGTAGCATATAGTCGCTTCGGTGACAGGGTCAAGCATTGGTTTACGATTAACGAACCGATTGTGATCTGCACGCAACAACATCCGATGCCTGACGGCTACTGGCGAAACTTTTCCATTCCAAAGATCGAGCAACAGTTCGTATGTGGCCGAAATATCTTGCTTGCGCATGCGCAGGCCTACCGACTGGGCAAGCCAATCATACCAGACAGCTCGATTACGTTCAAGCACAATGGAGGATACAAGATACCCTTGACCAACAGTTCTGCTGACGCGGAAGCCGTACAACGAGCATGGGATTTCAATGAAGGTGTAAGTTGTTGAATGAACTCCTTGGCAGAGCCATCTCACTAATGCGAAAGACAGTGGTTTGCAGATCCAGTCTACCTTACTGGAGATTGGCCTTCGACTGTCAACGATCATGTCTCGTCCTTCCTGCCTCCTTTCACATCTCAAGAAAAGAATCTCATCCGTGGATCCGCAGACTTTTTCGCTCACGATGCCTATACAGCCCAATTCTACATGGCTCCTGATGAAGGCATCGAATCCTGCATCTCGAACTCCAGCAACCCTCTCTATCCGACATGCGCTAACAGCACGTATACCTACGGACCGGCTCAGGGCAACTGGGTCATTGGTCCCGCAGCCGACCCCCACTCTCCATGGCTTCACCGCGCAACCGACTGGTTCCCAGCCTTCATGTCCTACATCAACACCACCTGGCCAACTCCAGCAATCCAAGTCACTGAATTCGGTTTCGCAGAGCCTTTTGAAAGCTCCAAGACACTGCTTCAAGATATCCTTTGGGATCCAATCCGGACCTCGTATTTCCATGACTACATGGAGGCTATCCTCATCTCATTGAGCGAAGGTATCAACATCACTGGAGCACTGGCTTGGAGCTTCGTAGACAATCTGGAGTGGAACCAGGGAAAAAGTGTTAGGTTTGGCATGCAATATGTCAACTTCACAGATCCTGCGCTCGAGAGACATTACAAGGCTAGTTTTTTCGAGTACACCAACATGTACAAGACGTACAGTATGTGAAGCAATAGACGAGCTTCTTGACTGGCGAAGCGAAGTCACAAGTGCTGGGGGAAACAAACTAGCAATTCTTTGTGTCTCTATACAAATCTTCGTTCACTGCTCCGTCCCTGATCCTCGGTACAAGGAAAGAATGGCCCGACGAGAGGAAAGCGCGAACAAACATTGCGGGAGCAGGAACGGTCAACGCGTCGCAGGAAGGAGGGATATAATATAGCTGGCGAATACAAGAAGCCGTGGAGAGACACATGTTTAAGCAGTTTCAGTTTCAGTGTCTTGTGTATGCACAATTCAATATGATATTGAAAGGAGAAGAGTAGGAGATCAAAGAACAAAAAAAGATTGGCAATTTGTCTTCCCGCTCCCTGACCAGCTCTACTTTTCTTCGTAAACCTCGTATCATCCATTCTTTCTTTCCAAAGATCCTCTTTGTCCGTATGATCCAACCTCAATCAAGCAGTCAACGCCGAACTGCAACCCAGGATGCCCATACCGACAAATGCAAAGATCATGCAGAGGCCTCGGTTATGCGTAAGCTCCAGACTCTCGCCGAAAAGTTGCAGAGCAACAGAAGTCATGATACCAGCCGTTACAGCAAACATGGCACCGTAAAAGTTCTCGCTGATGGCGACATTCTTGGAGCCAGCAATCTTGAAGATGGCAGCGGCAACGCCAGCACCAAGAGGTTGAGAAGCACCGCCGAGAAGAGAAGCCCAGAACATTGCTTTGGCGCGATTGTTGATGGCGAGATAGAGGGGCAGAGCAAGGACAAAGCCGTCAGTAATATTGTGAATAAACAAGGCCAAGAAGACGGAAAAGCCAAGTTTGGGGTTTGCGTGGTTAGTAGCGAACGTAATGAAGCCTTCAGGGAGTTTGTGGAGAGCAATGGCAATGGAAGTCTGGAGACCGATGGATGCGAATACGTTGGTAGGGACATGGTGATGGTGATGCTGCTGGTCTCCACCTTGTTGCTGGGTACTGGCCATTGAGGCATGAGACTTGGTGTGGTGAAGCGATTGTGCATCGTCCTCCTCCTCAATCACGGCGTCAGCACCCAAGCTAGGCATACCGCTTGATCTTTTGGGCTGTAGAGCTGTATCTGATGCCGTGCGATTCTGGTGTGCAGGGCGGGATGGAACCTCTTCTCTGATACCTTCAAGTAGGGGAGTCTGTTCAGAGGCGATCGATTCGCCGCGCAGGAGCTGCTGACGGATGATAGAGCGAGTGCTTGCCTGCCTTGTCTGCATATTCTTGAAACAATCCGCACCGCATGGTTCGCTGAAGCCGTGACAGGGACCATCACAATCACAGGACGGCTTAGATCTCGAAGCAATGGAGGAAAGTGTTTGACTCAAACGGGTTTGCAATGAAGGTCGTCTCGAGAGGCTCTTGCCAGGAGGCAGTTGGGCAGCACCATTTTCATCAGCGGCAGCAGAGGTGGTTTTGCGTGTCGCAATCTTTGGTCGCTGGATGTGAACGTGTTCACCATGCTGCTTGATGGTAGAATTTGATCCACCGTGAGAACGGTCGTGGGAAGGAGGATGAGCCTGCTCGTGGCGTACTTGTCCGTCTTCCTCGGATGGCTCCTTGGTGGCCGATTCTTCATCATGCGAGTGTTCGCAATCTACAACATGAGATGGCATGAACAGATGAGCAAGCCGACTGATGACTTGAATGCCCAAAGCACCTCCAAGAAAACAGCCTATCAGTGTCCAAGCAGCCGCTTTGGGTGACATTCCACCCTTCTGCAGAGAACTTTTTGCCGAGGGCATCATGCTAAAAAGTGCAGAGAAAAGCATGACACCGAAACTCAAACTGAGCGATGACGATAAGAATATATCGCTATCCTGTATCCTAAAGTTGCGCTTGCTAGGGAATTTCCTGATGATTATATCGACGCAGATGATCGAAGCCCCGATGATGCATGCTGCCGTCACAGTCAGTTGACGTGCAAATAGCAGGCGAACAAGTCTGAAAACTCACCTGCACCACTGACACTTGCCATGACCCATCCGCGTTCATCGTTTGAGAGACCCATGTTCAAGTTTGCCTAAGAATGCCGATGTGGGGATGACGAGGCGGAGATGGATCAATTGCAGACGATGAAGGAGTCGGCTGTTTCTGGCCTTGCAAGGACGTTGCGTCTCAAAGAAACTGCTTTGTGCCTTGTCACCTACCCAAAGCGAATGTGACAGATGTCCTACGCGACTGATGGATATTGATGTCGATTGTCTGCCGACAATGAATAATGTGAGGCCTCGGAAACAAATGAGCAGGTATCGTCTAGAAGGCTCTGTTGAGATCGCGACTCGAAGGCGCGGGCCGAGCGCACCGTTTTCTCACTCGATGATGCCAAGACACCTTGATGGTCCCTCTGACGCGCTCTTTATCTCATTGGCCACAGCCCTCTTTTTTTCTATCATGTCGGTGAGCAGAATATCATTGTTTCATCACCCCTGCGACCTACGAAGATGATCACTCCTCGGATTCATCCCTTGCACCGGAGAGTCAGCTTTGCCGAGACGGACAGTTGCATAGATCGTCGTCGCCAAGAGTAGAAGTGTAAATTTGTTAGGTATATACATATGAACGGCTCCCTGAACCTTTTTACTCCAATGGTACGATGCAATTCTTCTCAACCCATTTGGCGAGTTTCACAGTCGGGATGTCAACCGCACGCATGAATACATCTGCCACCCAAATAGTACTCGTGATGTTGATAATCGCCGCGAGAACGAAGCCAATCTCTTTGGTCATATATGTGTCATCCCCAATAGCGCACCAGAAAAAATCCATGGAAGCATAGCCAATGGTGTGAGTAACAGGACCGTGCATGAGGTAAAGCGAGAAGGAGATCTTTCCAAGATACTGAACAGGACCGTTGGTGAAAAGGCGCCGAAGAAGTGCAGAGTTCGAAGTTGACCATACGAGCAGTACCGCCGCCCAGCCAACCCAGTACCGCTGTTTGTGCGAGACCCAGGAAGGAACCAGAGAATATAGTGTGGCCCAGCCAGGGGCATGTTCGACATGCATTTGTGGTTGTCCTCCGAGATATATGCCGACCAGAAAGACGAGAATATACAACACTGTCCACAGTCGCTGGCGTCCTGAGGTTGCTGAGAGAGTGACTAGAGGAAGGACAGATTTTGTTGCGGCCAGCGCTTGTCTGCGGAAATCCAGCTCGGCAAGGAGGAAGCCAGAATAAAAGAGAATCATCTCCCAGCGATCTTTTTGATGACACCAAATGATAAGTGCGACCAGCGACAATATCCTAAGCATAGGCTTCAGACGCGCGAGTCCAAGTTGTGTCAAGTACAACACGAGCGAAGAGCGGAATTCCATGCTAAACGAAACACAATCAGCTTTTTTTTCTGGTGGTCTGTGAAAACATGGCGAGCCTACGGGATGGTCCAAAGATGCTTATCGATATCAATGTCAGTGTCTTTTGTTCCAAAGGACCAAGGATGTAAGAAGATCCACATCATATGAGCCCAGTCCGTCATTTGGTGCCACAGCGACTCGTATCGTGCCAGATGGAATTCGCGGACCTGGGTGAGACGCTTTTCGTCGTATGCGATGTCGCGAGTAGCGTCATATGCACCCAATCGCACCAAGAGTACTATCATCAAAGTCGAGACAAAACAAGGCAGATAGAGGCGAAAAGCTCTGCGAAAGGTTGCCGAAGAAAGTGTGTGTAATAAGTCCTTCCAACTCTTGCTCCGCATAAGCTTCACAGGTTTGTACGACAATGCATAGCCAGATACCACGTAGAAGATGGACACCATGGCGGGTCCTGTATAGAAAAAGCGGACGAAAGGGAGCTTGAGGAACTCGCGATGCTCATCAGGCTTGCCAGTGCCGCCATATGCGGTAAGCACATCGTGGCTCGAGTAGGAGAAGTGGTAGAAGAAGACAAAGAGGGCGGCTAACCCGCGCATACCATCGAGGTAGCCGGAGGGATGAAGGCGTTCGGATTTGACTAGCTCTGGGTAGAGTCCATGTTGGACGAAAGTCGGTAATAGAAAGAAAAGACAGCGTTTGACCGAAGGTAATAGGTTGGTCCACTGTGATTTCTGGATACCCGAGAGGTTGATGTGGACTGTTGGTGATGGGTTGCTCGACTCGACTTCGACCGGTCGTGTCTTTGCTTCATCCTCGAAATCCTCGAGGAGATGTGACTCCTCTGGCACGTCCTTTTCGTGGAATGTGTGCCCCTCAGCCATGTTGCAGACTGTCGGAGGTGGATGAAGGAAAACAGAAAAGGCAGGAGACTTCAGGACTTGCGAAGACTTTGGAGGGCTGTTTCATCCCTTCACAAGCACGTTCTTTGCTCATCAACCCAAGCCATCTTAGCACATGAAGAAGCCGTAGTTTCGGGACTGCGGAATCGTCATTCTGCACATATTATTGCAGGGTCCCGAGCTGCAAGATGCCGTTTTGCGCAAGTCCCGCTGTGGCGCTCTGCGGCTCCGCGGCTCGTGCATTCTCTCTAGGGCCAAGCAATGGACAGTATCCATCTTGTAGCATGAATGCATGAGCGACGCTGATCGCGCCCGTGATGGGTGTTGTGCTAAACATTCTGGTATACAGACGAAACAAAGATGTTGATTGCTAGAGAGTGACTCAGCTCAGAGTGCAACAAGGTTTAATACAAGAAACGCGCGGCTCAAATAAAACAACATGGCATTTGGTTTCTCCGGCCGTCGTCCGCACATCTCAATCGATTTGCGGTCTGAAGGTGAAACACATGGGTCTTGCTCGGCCGTCGGACGCGCAAGTATTGTGGAGTCGAAATTGTCCCTTCATGAACCCTGGTTTGGTCACAGCGGCGAAACATGGTTTCCTCACTCGAATAATACAAGATATATATTCGACGAAATTGACTTGAGCTTCATCAACCAATCATCTGTCGCAGTGGTTTAGTGGTAAAATTCGTGCTTGCCATGCACGAGCCCCGTGTTCGATTCACGGCTGCGACATCATTTTGTCTGTTGAACTCTCGTTTCGCAAACCCACTCCGACGCTGTGCTGCGAACCTGCCTGCATTTTTGCCGTTTTGCACTGGATCGAGAGCTGGCGAGGAAGTCCTAGACTTCGCTTGGGGCAGTGATGGATGGTGGATACCTTTTCAGTCCACCACCCCCAGCCATCTGAGCTTCAAGGAAACTGTGCGACCGACGCACCTTGTGTGTTCGAGAGGCAACTGCTTCCTCTGCAAATGTGTCTGGCTCACTTGTAAGCCTACGGCTCGAGCTCTGTACTCAAGAGGTTCTTTGACTGGAACGTACCTGTCGTGAGCTGGTCTCGATACATACATTGATCAACAAGAGCTATAGGCGCGATGCACTCGTCCCTGCCTGGACTAGAGCGAGACAGAGATACTCCAGGGGTCTCCAGTATTGCAAAGAACTCGCCTTGCCCGAACGTATGAGGGGGTGACAGTGGCATGTATGGACTCAATCGAGCATACACGACAGCGATGTGTAGCAATAATATGACATATATGGCGAACTCGGAGCGAGTTCAGCAGTTGGACTGCGATGGTGTGTCGACAGACTTGACCGGGGCCGAAGTGAACATTGGCAGCATGCGCGTAAACGGCACGCACCAAACAAACAGCGCGTCCTCTTCCAACTCGCTTGTTCTTCAGTTGAGCGCGACCAAACCACCTGCAACCATCAACAAGCATGGCAGCAGCATCACCAGCCGCGACCATGTCACAGGAGCATCTCACCAAAGTGATTGACATACACGACAGTCATGGCACTGGGCACAGAGAGAGTCTTTGGCCGAAGCGCGCGCAGAACAGAAGAGATTGGATGCTATCATGGCTGCAGCTGCCGCAGAAGAGGCTTTGGCTAACCCCAGCCCCCACCCGGATTCCATCAGAGACGACGACGACGACCACAACGGAGGAGAAGAACACACTTACCCTGTGCAACGCCCGAATAAACCCGAGCCCGACGTCCCAGAAGATTCAGAAAGATCCCCCATCGTTCAGCACATCAAGTATCTAGAGCAGTACCCCATCGCCCAGTTCTGCTCCATCGCTGGAGTAGATTGCGAAGTCGCCCAAAAGTACCTCGACATGGCTGGAGGCGAGTTCAAGAGAGCCCTCGACCTATACCACGACTCTCAGAACGACTGCAAGGGTGTCTTACTCGCTCGCTTCGTCACCAAGACCAAGGCTACCCTCGATGAAGCCAAATACTGTCTGAAGTATTGCAAGAAAGACTACGAAAAAGCCTTGCGCTTCTATGCAGCAACACAGAAACACTCCATCCAGAGTGTGAAGAGCATCTTCAAGCATGATGAAGAACAGCGCGAACACTTGAGAAAGGCCATTCAATCAGAGAATGCCAAGGGAGTGCCTCACTCGGCATTGTTCACGCTGCGCTGCGCAACCGAGAAGTCCGCCCTTGCTTCAACCAACTTGCCCAATGATCAGCTTGTCCGTCTTTGGATCACCCGTATCCCTGGCGTCATTACCGCTTACTACGATGCCAAAGCAACCGTGTCTTCAATCACATACACCGACATCCGTCCTCAGATCCGCAGATGGGAAGGTGAGAATCAAGAGACACTGGTCAAGCTGTCTGCACTTCTCGAGGACCTCAAAGACACCGTTCGCAAGAATCAAAAGATGATACTGAGTGTGGTCGCCAAAGACAAGTTGGAGGTTCGCAAGGCAAGCAGTGTGGAATACGACGTCCTGTCTACCTACCATAAGATCCATTGGTTGCATCATACTAGAGAAGACGATGACGATGACGATGACGAAGACGGCGGCACTCCAAGCTCTGACGACGTATCTGAAGAGTATGAAGACGAAGATGAAGATGAAGATGAAGAATCTGAAGAGGAATCGGAGGCAGGCAGCTCGGTCACAAGCTCTGACTGGGGAGAGGAAGGCAGTGGCGAAGGACCCAGCGAAGGCGCTAGCGGTGATATTGACAAGGGAAATGATGGAGGCAAGGATATCGAGTGTGATGACGGCGAGAACATGAAGGAGTGATTTCTCCATGTGAGATTGACCCAAGGTTTCCCGTCTGTATTATAAGCATCGGGTGTACGCACGACTGGGTGAATCAGGATAGCGAGTGGATAGACTACCTAGCGTGACGAACACCAAATCACTGTACCATTCACCAAGCGTGTCACGCCTTTCTAGAAGACTTTCAAGCCAACGAAGTCGGCTCCCAGACTCTGTACACCCTTCTCACCGCCCACGTTGCCAATCACAACCTCATTATCACCTTCTTTCCAGCCATGCACCAAGACACCCAAGACTGCACTATCGCCCCAGCCTTTCATAGAAGAATACAGCTCACTACTCCTTCCACTCAATGGCACCTCGAGTCTAGTGGTCTGGTTGTTGACGCTGATGGTGATATTGCGAGCGTTACGGCCTTCGCCCCAGCTCGTGCTGATGGCAACGTCGTTGTTGATGTATGTGAGCTCCACGTATCTAGACCCAACGACATTGGCGGTGGCGGGGATGATGAGGGAAGCCGAATTGTTTGGTGACAAATCACCAATCTTCACACCGAGAGGAGCGCATAGGCCGGGAACACAGGTGATATGGCTAGCATTACCAGGGCCAGAGATGGCGAAGGCGGTATTCGGGTAGAATTCGCCTACGGGAGGTGTGATGGTTATGAATGATATAGGGTTGGCAATTGACACGGTGAGGGTGTTATTGTTTCCTGCGAGCAGAGCGACGGGTACAATGATGCTGGATTGGCCTGCATCGACTTGATGGGAAGCTCTTCGGTTGTTGACCTTCAGGTCGCAAGGCGTAGGCGCCGGACTGCTGAAATGTATAGTCATCTCGTAAGCATTGCTTGTCGTCAGCCCGTACACGTTTTCGATGGTGATATCTCCACTGCGACTGCTATCATATTAGCATGGCCACCGTGCAGCAAGCAAAGGAAAACAGACACATACCCATCGAAATGATAGACACCGACTGGAACAGTGTCACCTAGCTCGAGCAACAGAGTACCGTGTGCCTCGATACTTGCTTTGTAGCTAGTCATAACATTCTTCCTCGTCTCATTGGTCCAGGCATCCTTGACCCACCCAGCACTCTGCAATCCTACATTAGGCAGATCAAAAGTCGCATCGATAGAGTGGTTGTTCCAGTTCACGATTGCGGCGACGGTGCGATTACCGCTCAAAGGTCCAGACCAGACATCGTAGCCCTCATCGCTATATCGGCGTGTCAGATTTGCAGAAACACCGAGAGCATCTTGGTTGAACCCAATGACATTCTCATTCTTCATAATGGCCAACGATGACGCCGACACCGATGTTAAAGTATCGTTCAAAGCGCAACCAATCGTCAGCGGACTCTTCAAGATGCTCCAAAGTGCAAAATGTGTTTGCTCCTCAGCGTGAGTGAAGATGTTGTTGCCAACCTCCAGCATGTCAAGGTCCAGCCATCTACCAGGCCCAGCATAATCAGTTTGAGGAACAACTTGATTGACGATACGGAAAATGGTCCTCCAGTTTGGGATGATGTCGTTGGTAACTCTCCAGGTGTTTCCCAGCTCGGGTGCCCATGCAGAAGGGAAATCAACACCCCAGTCACAAATCTGGAAGAGTAAGTTTTTGCCTGTCGCGTCCAGTGCGTTTCGCATGTTGACGTAGTTTTGGTGGGGAGAGGTCAGAGGCTCATAGTCCACGTTGGGGAAACCCTTTTCGGCAGATGACCAGCAGTTGTCGTACTTGAGCAAGTCGGCACCCCAAGATACAAAGGTCTCTGCGTCGATATTTTCGTGACCCAGACTCCCTGTTTGATTGACTCCACCGGTCATACACATTTGTATGCCTCCGTCGCTGTAGACACCAAAGCCAAGGCCTAGGGCGTGAATGTACTGGCCTAGTGCGGGAAAGCCAGCGGGGAACAGTGTCTCATTCCAGGTCAACTTGTTTTCGGCTGTACGATGAGGAATGGTCCAACCGCAGTCGGTGGTCACGTATGTATAGCCCAGGTCTGCAAGCCCGAGAGTCACCAAAGCTTCGGCATTGGAGTGGATGATGCTCTGATTAGGAGCACAGTTGTAGTGGTTGTAGCTATTCCATCCCATAGGAGGTGTTAGTGCTAGTCCATTTGCTAGTCTCTTGTGTATGGTAGGAGATGCAAGTGTCAAGGAAGGTAGGGCGAGAAGAGCGACTGATAGCAACATCTTGGACAGCCTTAGAGCCGATGTATCCCAGCCATGATGGTTCTCATGTTGATTTATATACAGTGTCAGCGACGACTGATTCAATTCGCTTCGGTTAATAGCAGGATACTCTCATGCATGCCCCGCATGTAGATGTAGTGTCTGGAGATCATCTTTGGGGATCCGCGGTGGGGTAGACCTAGAGTCGCCTTCCTTGCTGCTTTATCAACCGTAACAGCACATACGGACATGTTCTCGTGTGCCATGGTCCGGTTGAAATCGTATTCGAGAGCTGAGCCGCTGCAGAGTTACATTGGCATCGTCATGACGAAGGATTATGGCTCTTCGCAAAGTGACGTTGCGGGAGCAATGGCTTGGGCTCGATCGACACAACATTACTGCTATCACCAAATACTCAGTAGCGGATCATACAGTCTTACTCCTCCAGAAGCAAATTCCTCCCAAAGATTGTGATGCCTGACATGCGAGAATTGAAGGAAAGCAAAGGATCGCGTCTCGGAGAACTCTTTCCCGCCAAGACTCCGATCTCGACACATTCTCCTTTCCGCTACCTGAGTAGGCAACCGCAACTCTTGCAGCTGCATCAACAACAAATCAGTCACAGCAATGGCATCTACAGAAGATTCGAGAGTCGTCAACATCGGCACACGCCGCTCGCAACTGGCCATCGCTCAGGTCGACATGATTGTCAAACACCTCCAAACCTTCGCACCTGGTCCTGAATACAAATCCCAAGTGGTCAGCACAATGGCCGATGAGAACCAAGTAAAGTCATTTCAAGAGTTCAACGCCAAAAGTATCTGGACCGAGGAATTAGAGAAGCTCTTGATGGAAAAGAAACTTGATGTCATCGTTCATTGCTTGAAAGGTAGGTTGATGAACATGATGAGTCCTACTGAGACTGTTCAACTTTGAGCATCAGAGTTTTGATATGTGTATGGCAGACGTACCCACAACATTGCCCGAGTCTTGTATTCTGGGTGTCATCTGCGAACGCGAAGATCCTCGCGACGTGATGGTGATGAAGGAGAATGCACAGTACAAGTCTTTACAGTCACTTCCATCTGGCTCCATCGTTGGTACTTCGTCAGTTCGCAGAAAGGCTCAGATTATGCGTCACTATCCTCATCTTATATGCGAGGACGTCAGAGGTAACCTCAACACCAGACTACGGAAGTTGGATGCTGAGGAGAGCCCGTATGCCTGTCTGATCCTCGCAGCTGCGGGCTTGAAGCGCATTGATCTCGGCTACCGCATCACACAGTATTTGGGCCCGGAAGATGGCATGTTGTATGCTCCTGGCCAGGGTGCGTTGGCTCTAGAAGTCAGAGAGGGCGACGAACAGACACTCCAGCTATTGAGTTCGCTGTCTCACAAAACGACGACATTGGCGTGTTCTGCTGAGAAGAGCCTATTAAAGACCTTGGAGGGCGGCTGCTCAGCACCCGTTGGTGTACACACTGACTGGGAAGGTGATCTGTTGACTCTGCATTCCACCGTCACCAGTCTCGACGGCAAGCAGATGGTGGAGATGAGCAGAAAGCAGGTGGTAACCACTACAACCGAGGCCGATGCTCTCGGAAAGGATCTGGCGGATAGCATGATCTCAGAAGGCGCAAACACCATCTTGGAAGAAATCAGAGCTGGTCTCAGATGATTTGAATGGAAATTGACATTTTAATCCTGTACATAGTACCTACCCAAACACGCATCTCGCCTCACTTCAATCGCTCAATCCTGCGCCCTTTACTCCTAGTTCTTCTCCAGGGCACAGTACTTGGATAAATCTGGCGACACGACAAGGCTCATCGGAAATGTAGGCTTGGAGTCCTTTGGCGAGTACTTTCTGGAAAAGAAGGTCAACAAACGTGATTCGCAACGGTGCAACAAGATTTGCAGCAACTCACCCAAGACCTACAGGTCCAATAGCCATATGCTGACCTCTACCGTTGAAGTCTGCACGTTGTGAACGAGTGACTCTGTGCTCAGCCTCCGATTGTATGGCCGCAGCCAGTATTCCACGTCCTCTCAGACGACCCGCATACACCTGCAACAGAACAGGCAACAACAGAACATCCCTTGCACAGTACTCCTCGATAGCCTTGTCAAGAGGTCTGTGATTGAAGACCTCATAACTACCGCCTTTCTTTGGATCAAACATGTCGTGTCCGAGTTCCTTGCTGGCCTGCCACTCGCGGATCTGTTGGCGGTTCAGCCAGCTGTCTTCAGTTATGCTTTTCGCCAGTCCTTTGAGGAAGCGGCCCGGTCTTGGTCGAGTGCCGAACTCGAGGAGTTGGACGTCGACGACACAACTCAGCTTGACGCCGTAGTGGGCGTACAGAGCGTCCGAGTCGTTGCGCAGGTCGAAGAACACTTTTGGGTACTTGGATGACTCTAGGATATCTTTGAGACTGGTGCCAGTGCTGCTTTTGGTCGAGAATATAAGCTTGTCGAGGACGTGGATGTCGAGTAGGTGTACCGTTGGACTCGGAGGCACCAAGATCTGGAGAATTGAGATGGTGCCATAGCGGCCTAGACTGACTCCTTCGAGGTCGAGGAATAGGAATGGGTGGTCGAGGCTTGACGCCTCGATTTCTTGGATCAAGTTGCGCACGCCTTGTTCGGTATCGACGAGTTGAACGGACATGTTTGATGGTTCTGGTGTTGATCACAAAAGAGTGAGAAGAATGTTTGCTGCCGTGAAAGTCCATTACCTCGAGCATATTTAAGCCATGTTCTGTCTGAGTTGTAAGACCAAAGATACCACTTATGGTACCAAGAGATACGTATGGAAACAAAGGTTATGGTAAGCCTGTCTTGGTACATAGTGTCTTGTTGTGCCTGTCTAAGACTAGGCTGTCTCTAGGCATAATTTCAACTTGTCTCAGGCGACCTCGAGACAGACTTGAGCAGCAAAGCAGTCTGATTTGATTCTTCGAGAAGATGGTCGGAGTTGAGAGTATCGACACAAACTTCTCAGGAATCGCGCAGGGTGCTGGAAGGCAAAGCGTTGTATACTTTTATGGTGTATCGTCTATCGTAGCTCTTTTCTCATAAAGACAGCATTCCACCATAGGGTCTCGCCCTGCTTGTCCTTGCTTGTGTATCTTGGAGCCTCTTTGTATTTCTTGTAGCCCTTTCTCTCGTACCAAGGCATGTTATTCTGTGGCACAGGCCTCGGTTCTCCTGCATCTCTCTCCAGCTGGCCCATGCCGTCAGGGCCTTCAACACCACCAACGCAATAGCGCGGACTCAGAGTGTTGACGGTGATAGCAGTGATGTTTTCCAGGCCAAAGGGCGGGATACGAGCAAGGCGTTCGCACTCATCCATGGCGAAGGCACCCAGGCCAGTTCGGTGGAAGGCAGGCAGCACAAACAGACTGGTTATGGTGATGATGCCCTTTTCAGTGTCGGCGAGGGTGGTATCGGGGATATTGTCAGGCTCGGTGATGTCGACCTTGTCCAACGAAACGTGACCGACTGGCTGGTAAGTCTCGCCATCACGCGTCAAGGTGGGAATGTTCCGCGAGGCATCGGGTGCTAGGCAGATCCAGAAGAAGCTCCGAGAGCCTGCTTGAATGGCGGCGGCCCACTTGGGAATCTTGTCGCTGTTCCATCCACAGATGATGCGTTGATGATAGAGGATCTGCCGTTCTTGTTCGATCTTCAAGTCGATTGGAATGAGCGATGCAGACGGCAGCTGGCGGTGCTGGACGGTCGCTGGACCGGAAGGTGCGTTCGTCGTCATGGCGGCTGTTGATCTGACAAAGTCAGGAGTTCCTGCATTCTGTCGGGAATGTAGGAAGTCACCAAAGATGACTCGAACTTGTCAAGTGCACCCACCTGCTTGTTCGGGACGCCGACCGTGGCCGCCCTTCTTTCGACGCCGCCTTGGCATTGGCCATACAGCAACTTTCATTCTGCTTCTTGCAATCTACCTCATCGTCTGCTATGTTGACTATAATTCATGATTCCAGACTAGAATTTTGTATCAATAATCCAAATGCTTGCCTCTGTTTTTAGATCCTGTAACATCTCATGAAGCCGTCGCGACTGAAAGACCTCAAGGTCCTGTCTTGCTCCACGAATCGCACAACACCAACACTCCGTTCTGTCCCAGAGCCCTCGGGTCTCTGCAATCGCCACTTGGTGTTTGCAACCCGGTCCCAGATCTCGATAGTCCCATCGCCTGCACGAGCGATCAGCAACCTTCCCTCATCTGCCCATTGAACCTCCGACACAGCAGCAAAACTTTCCATCAGCCAATCCTCGACCTTGAGTTTGAAGCTGCTGATGTGCTTGTCCTCGAACGGCTCCCAGATCCATACATGGTTCTCCTCGCCTACCACTGCCACCTCTCCTCTGCCTGACCACGCAGCGAACCGGACCCAGCGCTTCAGCTGTTCATCCTCCAACCGATTGACCTGCTGTGCTGTCTCGGCAGAATAAACAGCTACGAACGTCTCACTGCTGCTATCCTCCCTAGCCATACCACAAAGCAGAACATGTCTTGAATCCGGTGACCACGCTCCACTCCAGCATTGGCCTCCTGTTGGTCCAATCACATGCTTACACTCGCCTGTCGACACACTGAAGATCCTGAAAGTGCCGTCCCAAGCTGCAGTAGCGATGTACTGACTATCTGGACTGAATGCCGTCCACATGATGGCATCCTCATGGCCACTCAGAACGTACTTTTGACATTTGTTGACCACATCGTACACTATGATCTTTGGGAGGTCGGCTGCTGGACGGGGACCAGATTGCGTGGACTCGTTCTGAATAGTGTAAAGAAATAGTCGACCGTCCATGCTGAATGGACTGGAGTTGAAGCCATTAGTACGTCCCTTGACGTGAGAAAGGTCTCTCGATTCGATGCCAGCCCTCAGCTTCTTCAGTACATCGCTGTAGCCTTCGCGAACCGTCTCGAGGAGAGAAGACGTCGACGAAGCGCCAAAGGAGTTGCTCAACTCGGCCACTACAGGATCCAGAGACTTCTGTAGGAGACCTTCCACGTCGATCACATCAAGCTTTTGAGTGATTTGGCCATGCTGATCGAGTTCCAAGAAGAACACGACAGACTCCGATCTGTCCCTGTCGCAGCTCTCGATGACCAGAGTATACCCTCCGGATTCGAGCAAAACCGGGCTGAACATAAGCTTGACGCAAGTAGATACCAATCCATTAAACTGCATGCATTTTTCTTTGGTCTCGAGATCGATCACGCCAACAGATGAGCCGTTCGAGCCAGCGATGAATCGTCCGTCATGGCTCGGAGCAAAGAATTTGACCCCATCTGCTTTCTGGTCGTCGAAAAAGCGTAGTTCAACCTTATCGTCCTCGTCGTCCCAGAAGCGGTGTGCTGGCTTGCCATCACTAGTAGGTGCCGCCCAAGATGCTGGTACACCATCGATATCAAAGTCTTTCTCCACCTCATACACGTATTCTGCGAGAAACTTTTGCTTGTTCATGTGACGAGACATGATTCTTAGATGTGGAATTATGAAGAAGACAGTTCGTTTGCGAATATTTAAATATGTCTACGAGTTTAGGCACCGACTGAATGTGAGTCAACCTACTGCGGTAACTTATCGAAGGGAGGCAATGGCGTCAGGCTGCAACGAATAGGGTTTTGTTGGCATCAATCCTTCCGCGGGCGATATTGATGGCAACATCTTTGGACTTTTAGTCATGAAGATCCCCCAACTGCCACTCCTGTTGATCCATACTCTGCGTGTGCAAAGGGTCATCATGAGTTTTTAGCTGTGACAGTGTACAATACTTTTGAAGAACAGGACAGTAACCATTGAGACAGGACATTGTGTCGGCTCTCATCGGACCCGTCTCCGGTTCGACAAGTATTGTGCAGTTCTATAGCTAGAACGTTGCTTTGGACCTTCGCGGGAAAAGTGTTGGATGAGGACGGAGGCATATGATGATTAAGAAGATGTGAATTGATATGTTTCGTTTTAGGTATTAAAATCTCGCTAATATGCCTTGCACAAGAAAAGAAAAATTCGACTTCATATCCTTCGTTACAAATGAATAAAGATGACAACAAGAGCAGGAACTCAGACTGGTGATGAGGGATGTGAACAAGTCACTGACAACTCCCGTTCGATCTGAATATCTCTGCTCATGACCACACGCCCATTTTGGATGTATGCCTGCTTGATAGCCGGTTGGGGGAGCTGATGACGGTCGTGTCGCACCAGAGACCTCAGACTCGATCGTTTTTCCAGCCTGGTTCCGCTGTCGGTACGAGAGACGTCCGACATGGCCGAAGGAGCTCTGGAGTGTCTGGATGTTTCCTGGACGCTAGAGAGAGCTTTCTTGGCTTTGCGGTCGCGCTCTATTGTCCGTAGTTCTGTTTCATCTGCGTTGCCTACGATTGTCGTGACATAGCCTAGTTGAACTCCATATGGATTGATTTTATCCTCGAAGCTCATACGTGAAACGTATGTACGCGGTGACGTGATTGGTTTGCCTCTATGTGTGGTGGGTAGCATAGTATGCTGCTTGCTAGGGAAGCAGTGCCGGAACAGAGGGCGAAGAGTCGCTAGGGAGGCCGCAACGATGCCCAGTCCTGGCTCAACTATGCTCCAACACGCGATAGAAACAGAATGCTCCAAGAAGGTCGGCCGTGCCTCAATACCAGGAATATATGCCAGACGGATCAATGAGGCGATGCTTGCCAGAGAGCCAAGACCAAGCAGACATCCTGCAGATATTTTTGTGGATTTAGGGATAGCTGCACTCCAGATTACCGTCACCGGGAGCAGTGAGAAGAGCCAGTCTGTCAAAGCGTTCATGCCACCAGCGGCGTAGTATCTATTGGAATTAGAGACATCCAGGTGATCTTGATATCTGCAAGGACTTACAAGGGCTGTAGTATAGTGTCCGACATGCACGCTTTCCTGGCTTCTTGCATGAAGAAGTCGGCCGGATTACCGCATTGAAAAACAATGATGAAGGTGAAAGCCAGGCCATAAGTGGTGTAGATCCCTGTCGCGATGTATATGACCTTCCGTTGCCAGGAGAAATTCTCAGGTATGATTCGAAGGAAGAAGATAGCGAGGGCGAGCTTGAGAACGACTGTTGTAACAATGTAAAGAGACATGAAGCCCATGATGAGCTAGGCCGCTGGTCAGTAAGTGGCCAATTATACCAGACTGTATGCATATTGCTTACACCGAAGATTGTGTCAATCAGCCCGAGTTGTGCCTCAAGCCCGTTTAATAACGCTGTGCTTGCAGCATCACTCTTTTGGATGTTCTCGATGGCGATGAGACACGAACAACAAGCCGTGAACACGCATAACGCGAGAAGAATGAAAAAATCGTCCCAATGGAATGATCGTAGAACAACGGCTCTTGCGTACACACGCATGCTCACAGCGAACCAGGCCAGCACAAGAAAAGCGACCGAGACTTGGAACATAGGCAACAAGGTGTGTTTAAGCACCAGCATCCTGGATATGTCGGCGACGTCCATCTCGGTGACACCTAGTGAGGCAGCTATTTTGGCTGTGATGGCCTCACTTGATTCCGACATGGATATCAACGATGGGGGTTTTGGCGTAGAAAGACAGTGAGGGGCCCTCGAGGTTATCAGCAGCACCGGTCCGGAAGTTTTTAGCGGTTCATGCGTGAACGTTGACGACGACGGGATAGAGTGGACTTAGTGAGGGGGACCAGACAATCCTGCGTCTAGGCAATGAAAAGGGGGTGAAAAGAAGGCAAGTCACAATTGGCACGCAGGAGCGATGCAAAAGGAATCGAAAGGAATGTAGGTTAGACGTTCAGCGTGGATTGAGGACCAAAAGAGCAGCGACGAGGCAGAGCGACGACGGAAGAAGAAAGAACACCGGCCTACTCAATCTCTGTCTACGATGCAGGCGATCTGATGGACGAAGCATCTTGATAGATTAAACACGACCATTTCGTGTCAGAGCACTTCTGCTTGATCTGCTTCAGGGTATACTAGATCAAGCAGGGTTGAATACTTCTCTTGAATCGCCGCTACCCCTTTGATCCCGTGCGTCGGTCACACTCGGAGCGTCCCCGCCATGACGCCTTGGCCGGTCTGCCGGTTTGAGCAGTAGAGCAACAGCGTACTTGCGCTATCTCTGTTCTTTGCTCGACGTGCATAAACTGGCGGCGATGGCGCGCATAAGGCCACAGACGGCGGCCACGCGATCCAGCAACGGCCAACGATACCATTGATACTTCTCTCAACCAGGAGGTCCACTGCGCACATGGCGAGACTCGTCTCTGCCACAAACTCGCTTACACGCTCGATACCGTAGCATGACGCGTTTGCGGACACTACCAGAACGGGATGAATCTGCTTCAGAGGCTTTGTATAGAGCAGGGTCGACGCCCGATAATCTATCCCGATTCCTGGTACGGAGTAAAGTGTAGGAAGAAGAGCAGAAGAAAAATCCGAGCCCTTCAAATTTCCAACGCGCCGACGATGAAACGCGCCGTAGTCTGGGGTAGAAAGATTTCTCTCTTACACATGGCACACACTCCTCGGTCATACCAATCAACAGGCGCCAGAGACTCTTCCGAGGACTGGCGTACCTAGACAAGAGTATGATGGCGTATATCGGTACAGACTCTGTGGCTATGAATGAGGTAGGAGGCTCCAAAGATACTCTTTTCAAGAGCTATCCGTCAGCCGCATCTTATCGATCAATATTCAGGTTGTGGGTCTAATCAACGATTTTACAGTTGGTACAGGCGGCCTGACAACATCTCATGATGTCGACATTAAATGCATCGGCTGCAGCATGTAAAATTCTTTGTCGCATCTTTGATGTCGTCCTCTTCCTGGTTCCGACCATCACACCGTCTCTAGTGACGACTACACAGCCCTCGGAACAAGTCTCAATCCAACACATGGTCACAGCAGTATAGATGAACCGCATGATCAATGCATTTCGGTAGATTGCTAAGGCCACTAACGCTCCCCCATATTCGCACGAGTATGCCAGCGACACCGGCCGGCCTTACCCATCTCTCGACCGCACCGTCGTCTTGTCACCGTCTCCAGCAATTTCCTTCAACTTGCACCGCCGACCCCTGTAGCAGGTAGGATAACATCACGTTGATATGCTGCTCACAACCGCCGATAGATGGCCGCCATCATACGTCTCCAGACCTGACTCGACGTACACGGTCGGTCATTAAGCCGCAACTTGCTAAGATATCCATTAGCAGGTAAGGACGACTAGATGGAAAACAAACCAGGATCTCTTGAGGCATCGAGTCTTCAAGGCATATACTCATATTTCGTGAATCATCAAGTGTCTTGGTATTGATGTGCTAACAACGGCAGTGTCCGTCTTACTTTCAAACTTGAATACCTGTCGTCGTTGGTTCAGATAGCTTATATCCGCCCATTATTTGCACAGGCTTCAATGCAGATCCCAAGTTACAAGACAACTGCCAAGTTGTGTCAACACTCTACGTGGTCCATTCCGCGTCAAACTGCCAATTAGCGCCTACAATCCTGAAAATTTACCGCCAAGGACACGATCGTGGACGAGCCTCAAACACAAGCTCTGCGATTCCGCCACTGAAGAGGTTTTATAACAACCAAGTATAGTAGTGTCCAGGTAGCCGGTGGAGTCCAACCATCCTTACAATCTTGAATGCGTCTCGCACAAACACGAGAGCGTTGCATGTCCTATGGCAGTGCTCTTCAGTGGATTCTAGGGCCGTTCGACCACCACCAACGGCACCGGGACGATTCCCTTCGCTGGTAACCTATATCGTTGGGTGGGCCCAAAAGCCGGTATTGGTAAACAGCATAGATTTGGTACCTTGATTACGGTCGAGCATGGCTGGGTTTCGAGAAAAGAAGTCCGCATCTTGCTTAAGCTAACTGCATACCAACATGCATATAGAGTCTCTTCGCGCTTCGAGTAAGGTGACTTATGCGTATGGTTGGTGTCAAAGCTGCAACAACCTTGTCAGTGTTCCAGCCAGCCTCAATTGCCTCACACCATGCATCTTGCTCGTCAATTGGCACCATACTGCTGGAAACAAGTGATCTGTTGTCGGATTTTACCATGAATAGACAACCCTCGCTGATGGTCGCAACCGATAGTTCCATCCGATATGTTGATAATTTTGTCTTGTGGAGGATGGAACCTCTGGCCAGCTTGCCCTCACACGAGAAAAGATCGAGATCTCGTATCACTGCAGCTGTCATAGATTGGGACTTCGTTAAACACAGCAAAAACAGGGAAACAGTGTTTCTTACCGATGCTTCGATCATAGATATCTGCTATGCTGGGAACCTCGCAAAGGCTCTCAACTGCGCATACTCATGATGATGTTGAGATCTTGAGATGTTGGATGGTTGATTGGCTTGGAGTCTGTGTTGGGACTCATGGTGGTGGCAGGTGTCTGTATGGCATCGTTCGCCACGTTCGAGTTGCTAACTCATGAGTTTCTTGAAATTCAAGTAAATCGAATTCTCTTGAGATTGTATTGGTTTACTCCCGCCCATTGCCAGAAGTGTGTCATGCAGCCATTGTAAGATGTACAGGTCTTCCGGTGAGTCTGGAGTGTTCATTGAGATTCACCGATTCATCAGCTTCTTTTCTGGAATGGTTCGCCATCCAGAAAGCAATACGCATTCTGATGGCTTTCATACTTCAGTGCTTTCTCTATCCTGCACTCCCAAGAAGGTGAATACTATAGGTAGGCATGAAATCTCTTTGGCCCTGAGATAGAGCCAGAGAGAGCTGAAAATGGACTGCTTCTCCATGATACCATCTCGTCTCGAATCCGTTGTGAAATTTGATGGTTACACGCGTGGCATGCTTCAGGTCATGGAGAGTTCGTCAGCAAGCCGTGCTGAGGCGATAGCGGGGTACACTCGGAAACCATTCCCCGACCCCACCTCAATCGTCCTTGCCCTAGCCGTACCTAGCCATGACTAGCCGTACTTTCCACCTTTGTTCAGGAACTGGCATCCGAACCTGCGTCTCGATCGACACAGTCTTGCAAGAGGCAGACGAATCTTGACGTCCCTTTCTCATGTCGTTGGCAACCCTATCGTAGTTGATCGAATACAACACCTCACACGAAGAGGTCAACCAAAAGCCGACAAAAGCATCAAGGAAACGACCATTCTCTGAATGCCACCTTACGATACACACACCATTTCATCCAAGTTTTGCTTGAGCATGCTGTTATGACACTGAGGAACAATTGAGCACAGTATACCGTCATGGGAGACACAGGAAAGAATAGCAACAAGGCGGTTAGAAAGAACGCCTCCAATGCATGCAAGGGTTGCCGGGAGAGCAAAACCAAGGTGCGTGATACCGAGCATCTGACCTAGATCACTGGCCGCATGGTTGACACATGACAGTGCGATAACCAACAGCCATGCAGCGGTTGCACAAAGAAGGGCAAAGAATGTGTCTACGACTCTCGAGACGACAAAAGACGGTAAGAGTCATAATCTCCAAGAAGTACCTGTCGGCATTTCTCAATCGACATTGTTCTTTCTTGATCACATGGACCAAAGCTGACTCTGGTCAGAGTCCAGCTCCGCACTGCAGTCCATATTCTTCAGCGACGTGTGCAGCAGCTCAGCAAAGTCATCGTCGAGGCTGGCAAAGAGGTTCCGCCGCTGAATCACGATGACGAGGAATTCCTGGAACGTGTTCTGGGCACTCTCGGCCTCTCTGATGTTCCACCGTACGAGTCCTCAGCCGTCAACATTAGCAAAACACCCAGCCATCTAGCCACGAAACAACAGACTTTCACACCCGAAACGTCACATTCACCATCAGTAGGGCCTCCCATTCTGGCCGAAGTTGCTACCTCGTCTCCAAGCGTCGTTCCGGACGCTACCTCTGCAGATGTTCAACTCCAGAGGCCAGGTTTCAACGACGTTGCCAGGATAATGGCTAGTATGCATGACACGGCAACGACACACCTTCCGAGCACCAATACGAGTAACAACATGATTCCGGGCTCGGATCACATATCGCCAGATTGGCCATTCCCAACCTTGGATAATATGCTCAACTTTGATCTCTTCGACCCTGGCGATCTTTCCTTGCATTTCTTGACCGAGCCACCATCAGATATACCACCAACACTCCAACCCGAGCCTGCCCCTACCCTTCAGATTGAACAGATACCACGTCGACAAGAAGATAGCATCTCTAATTTGGGAGATGAAGAGAACACCGAGTTGGTTGACCAACTCTCTGCTCGTCTAGGATCTCTCCGCTTGGCCCCTGATGGCAAATTAAGGTACTTTGGCACCGCATCAAATCTCCATCTGATGGACAATCAGAGCAAGTCGAGTGAAAATTTCATGCTCCGCACGCCGTCTCGAGTCAACGTCCAAAGTCTTCTCGAAGTCGCCGATCTGAGTCAAGTGGTAGATACGCAGCTTGAGGGCCACCTTCTACGACTATTTTTCACATGGCACAATCCCAGCAGTTATATCGTGGACGAAGAGGTTTTCTATATGGCTAGGCAGAGCTGGTTTAATACTGGTGTGCAGAACAGTTACTATAATGATGTGCTAAAGGACGCGATGTAAGTCCATGCTGATGCACATGAACAGGATGAAGATACTAACGAGAGGTGTTCAGGTGTGCGATCGGTGCTTCTTTTGGAAGCCATTCCAATTTGTCGCTCATAACTTATCCCAGGTCTATGCCCCAATTCTTCTCGGACCGAGCGAAAATACTGCTGGATTCTCATTTGGATAGTCCGTGTGTGGCGACTGCCCAGGCACTCACGATATTAGCCAGCTACGAAGAGTCATGCCAAAACATCGCCCGAGGCTGGCTGTTTGGAGGAATGGCGATGAGGGTAGCTTTTGACCTCGGTCTGCACATTGATAGTACAGGATACGTGGCTCAAGGTATATTGACAGTGGCCGAAGCTCGTGCAAGACAAGTGGCTTTCTGGGGCTGCTATCTCTCGAATCTACTTTGGAGCTTCCACCTCGGTCGTCCTTTCTCACTAGACGACAGCGAGGTGACTGTTCCAAAGCCCGATCCCAACATTCCGGCAGCAAATCCCATCTGGCAGCCCTACTCTGTTCCTTCGCTTCAGTTGACCTCTGGCGCCATGCAACACACCTCTCTACCAGATATCACGCCCCAGATCTTCCATCACTGGCTCTTCCTTTGCCAAAATATTGCCGTCGTGGGACATGCACTTTACTCCCACAGGTCAATATCGAAACCGGCACTCCAAGAACTCTGTGAGGAATGCACAGACGATTTGTTCCACTGGAAGGAATCTTTGCCTCCACATCTCCAAATCGATACTTCGGATACCGAAACAATCAGACTACCACAGTTACTCATGCTGCACATGGAGTACCATCATCTGCAGATATTCTTGCACAGACCATGGACAAGTGGACAACTACAGCCTTCGCCCTCACAAGGAGCTGGTGTGCACCATGCCCGTCATATCTGCGCCACATCTGCAACAGAAATCACACGTTTACTTCGCATCTACGAGACACAGTATTCGTTCCGCTTCATCAATGTCGAAATCATACGTATACTCTCTTCTGCAGCGCTGATTTTGATCTTTGCAACCGTACCGTTACCGCACAGAGAAATCGATGTCGAGATGACTGGATATTTGAATACTTGTTTCAGAGCTCTAGAAGACTTGGGTGGAAGGTACGACTCGGCCAAGGAGACGCGATCTACGCTACTGGCTATACAGAGAAGATGGAATGATCTGTATGGTAGAAATACAGGACAGAAGAGGGGTCCTACCATGCGAGGCTCAACGGGACAGGGCAAGAAGGTCAGAGCTGCTCCGTTGTAGTATGTCATTACCACGGAGCTGCATTGTATACAAACGGACCTTGAGACAATGCGTGCAAGTACACAACGCTTTCCGAAGTACGAAAATATTCATGGACAGAGATTGTCTCAAAGGTGTTCCCATGGCCACATTTATATCCATCAGGACATTGTGCAATCAGAAAGTTGTATGAGGTTCACATTGTATTCTAAGCAAGTAGAATTAGTCCAGAGCTTGTTGTACAACACCGATTTGAACCTCGTCACCTCATCAGGCTGTAGATCTCCTTGCATCGTATCTTGACCACCTCTTTCGTATCTATTCGGTATGTTTCCACCGCTCCTCGCCATGGATGTAGCTACAAGAGCCGAGTCATAGCAATCAACAATCACCTATGCCTTCCCATAGATTCTTGCACTCGCTGATGTCTTTCCACAGTTCTTCACGCTTGATGAAACCACAATTTTCGCTTTCAAGATGTGCAATCAGCTCAGTAAAGGAAGACATGAACTTTGCACTGCAGCCCCCAGCCGTATTTGGGCAACGGTACAGGTGTGTTTCGATCGCGACACCGGATATCTGTAGAACCATGGTTTCATTGGGATCTTGTTGGCGTTGATAACGGTGGATGCTACTGCAGTTTAAATCGGGGCGTTGTGGACAGGATGATGTTTCCAGATGTCCAGCGACTTGCCAGACGGCGTCGAAACCGATATGACAGAATGGACAGCTGAGGACTTTAGGTCTCAGGACAGGTTTTGTGTCCTGGGATTTGATCTCGCTCAACGAGAAAGTCGAGTTCTCGACGATGCTTCCAGGGTCGTCTATAGCGGGACCGGGTGTATTGGCTCGAGACGAGGTGGCCGAAACGTAGACTGATGATGCGGGACGGCGAGGATTGTCGGTTTGAGTAGATTGGTCACGGTACATGACTGATGAGATCTCTCCGTCGCCATTGTTGGTGGGCCTGCAGCCAGCTCGGTAGTCAGCAAATCGCAGTTCCTCAAATGAGAAGGTCTGGTAAGAGCGCATGCTGGTGATTGACTGGTAATGCAACATTATCGAGAGAGTGTCCTTCTCGATAAAAGCTTTGAAAGGAATACAAGTTGTGCATGGCTTTGTAAGTTGAGTTTCGGCCAGCAAGCTGCTCATGGGCTGAGTAGCAACCACAGCTGGAGGAAGAGCAGCTGGCGAAGCGGCCACAACAGGTTGAGAGGCGGGAACTGAGCTGACAGCAGGCATAGGGGCTGGGTTGATGGGATCAGCGCGTATGTGAATTGATGAGTTCATGTGCTGGAACAGATCGATTGCTTTCTGGAAGTGGCGCTCGCAGCTGGTACAGTAAGGCAACGCATGGTGGTTGAGAGCATCCATGTGCTGCTCTGCCGCATGCTTGTTCACGAAGCGTCTCTCACAAGTCTCGCAAGTGTCAGTATACCAGTGACTCAGGGCTGTCATGTGCTGGTTGCAGCCAGCCTGTGTGGTGAACGTGCGATCGCACTTGTCGCATTCAAATTCATCCTCGTCGTCCCAATGATCTAGAGCATCCATGTGTTGCCTGGCTGCGTTCCAAGAGCCGAAACAGCGGTCGCATGTCTCACAAGCGTAGCTCATAGTGATGTTGACGTATTGGCAATGGCAAAAGTGCCCAGAGGATGCGCCTTGCGCAGGAGGAGGTCGCAGTGGTTGATAGAGAGATGTGCTGCGCGGAGAAAAAGGACAGGAGAGGAGGATCAGCGACGTCGAAATTGAAGTGATCGCAGTCGCTCGTAGAGTTGAACCTTGGCGAGTGAGATGGAAGTCGTGAAATCGCACCTTCCCTGAGAACGCGTCGTTGGATGAGCCATTACCGCACGAGACTTACGAGAATGTATCTTGCGTCTAGGTATTAGACCTCATATCAGACCCATCTGGTTCACCTCAAGTCGTAACATATGTAGCTGCCCATACATCGGTTGGAAAAGCAAGTAAAACATCAAGAAAATTCAGTAATACATTATGAACAGCTATATACATACAGACTAGACATACGCAATGTCCGCAAACAACATTTTGAAGCTGTCATATCCACACGTTGGCTCGAGGATTTACGCCGTCCAAATTTACCACTTCCAAGATCCAGCAGGAGGGCCGAAGATCTCGTCACCAGTGACCACCTTTCTGGCGTTGGCGGTACCGCCGGTACCATCCAAAGTGTTACCGACAATGGTAGTACCCCAGTAGTCAGGCATGGTCTTGCCTGGGAGCTGGACGCAGAAGAAGAGAATGATGGCGCAGAGCGCAAGACCAACGTCCCAGGCGGCAGAAGTGATGTAGTTGTACTCCATCCACCAGCCACGGTATCTGTTACGGATGAACTTGTTAAACGCCCACCCCACAAGGGCCCAAGAAAGCTGGTGAAGATTAGCACAAGTTTTAAATCGTCACAAGGATTTGTGAGGAACTTACGATGTTCATAGCCGAGTAGGGAGGAACATAACTAAAACAGGCAAAGATCAAAGGCATGGAGATCTTGCGAATCAACGATACTCTAGGGAAGACGCGAGCGAGCCCGTAAACCATGATGGGAGCCATGAAACCGGCAACCCAGAAGTATTGAAGGCCCTGGTAAATAGCACCAGAAGAGAATATGTGCTTGGGTCCAATGGCGCCCCAGATCACGGATGCGTTGTAGAAGGTCTTGATGGAAGCGCATGTGAAATCTCCTGATGCAGCCTTGGTGCAAACATTCTTGATAGCACCCATGGCCCACTCAACAGTAGCGAGCTGGCAGAGACAAGACCAAACAGTGGCCACAAGTTGAGCCATGAACATGGTTCGCTGAGGCACATGCATGTAGTGACCAAGCTTCAGATCCTGACAGAAATAGAGTGCCTGAGTCATGACGATGTATCCAAAAGTCTTGAACATCATCATCGCGATGGGGTGGCCGGGCTGAATGTAACCAATGATGAATTCGGTGAAAACATTGAGACCGAGTTGGATGTTGGTGAAAGCCTGAATCATACCAATGGGAATCGTGAAGACCGTCGCAATGACGAGCGAAAGAATGACAGAATACCACTCCATCTTGGTAGGGTATGCGAGTGCCGACACGAAGGCAAATGCGGTCATGATAGCCAACAGAGCAAGGTACCACCAAGTGGGCACAAGCCTGTACTTGCGCATAATCTTCATGTGTACATCATCAAGCTCTCCCTTGGAGGACTTCAAGCGGCGCCAGATCTCGGGACCATGGAAGAGATATGTGTGGCTGACAAGGGCAGCGATACTAGCGAAACTCATACCATAGGTGAGGGCGAAGGCAGTAGAAAGCATCAGAGGCGAGTATGCCTCGTACTTGACGGGATCAACAACATGCTCAGGCGTGAGAATTCTGGAGATGTTGTAGGTAGCTCCCGTGTTGTCGAAGATACCGTTCTGAGAGATGGGCAGATATTCACCGTACCAGACGTTGCTGTATTGCAGAGCAGGCACGACGATCCAACCGAAGAAGATAATACCAACACCAGTGTTGGCGAGCGCGTGCCATGGAGCAAGTAAAGGACTATTATAGAAAGAATTGATCTGAGCCCAGTCAAGAGTGAAACCGGTGAAGGGGAAGCCCAAGGAGACACCAGTCTGCTGACCGAAGAGCTGGTTGACAATGACGTTGTTGGGCTTGGCCCAAGTGACCCAGGCAAAGTAGCTGAAGGCAGGGATGATGAAGTCAGGGAACCAGGACCATACGAACATGACAACCATCATGATCATGAACCACTTGTAACGACTGACGGACCAGCCGTTAGTAGTCGAGGGGTCAGCCTTGCTATGGTCGTGCAAGGCGTACATGAAACCCACGTTGACCAAAGCACCAGGCCAGATCATAGCGGCGGGCTCGACAAGGAATTTTCGGACGGATCCAGCGAGACCAAAGCCCAGACACTGAGTAGACAAGGCAAATAGAGTGTTAAAACCCCATCCGAACTGGCTGGTGTTGAAGTGGTAGAACCTAAAAGCAAAAATTTGGTTAGCATGATCTGACAACGTTAAAAAGCCATTCTTTTACGCACTTCTTAAGCGTTACGACGGTGTCGACCTAGAGGGCACAATTAGCATGGTTCAGTAGAAGAAAAGGTGTGGTGTTGATGCAACAAGTCAGCTTGACCTGAGGGTCAAGTTTTGCTCGTTGAATCCGCACTTTCAGCCCACTCACAAAGTATCCCGCGCCACCTCCGAACGAAGCATTGGCCATGGCAACAATGATAACATGTTCCTTGACGTTGAAGGGGCCTGGGTTGAGGTTGAACCTCACTCCGAAAAGCCCAATCTCCTTGTTAGGCAGAGACTTCGCCATAGCGACACCGATAGGATAGGAGATAAGTTGTACGACGTAAGGACCGATGGAGATGTTGGGATAGCGCAGCAGGAACAGAGCGTTGAGTGACGAGCATACTGTGGTCATGACAAGACCAATAGTCCATGCTCTGAAAGTGTTTGCAGGCACATCCTCGTCGTAGTTTCTCACGACAGCGCGGACCTTTGAGAATGTCAGCTTTGGCAGTCTGGCTAGAGAGGGAGTCATTTACCTCAGGATAGGGCGAGTCTTCGATCATGGCGCCAACCAATTGTGCCTCTCCCTTCAAGTCATGAGCACCAGTAGCGGCATCGACCATCTCAATGGCTTCATCGGACTAAGGAGAATTAGTACGCTTGTCTTTCGGTGTTAGTTCTGCGTACGCACCATGTTGGGATCCCACATATGGTCTCTCTTAAAGGCCTTGAGGCGGCGGTTGGCCTCTACCTCAGTGATGTCGCGAACATCACCCACGATGACCTCTTCCGCGACTCCATGGTCGGGACCGAGTTTGCTGCTGCTGCCAGCATCCTTGGTCTGACTGTCAAGTCTGGAGATCTCATTGACCGTGATAGGCTCTTCTTGATTGGTGTTCGACCTTTTGAAGCCGAACCTCTTACCAATGCCTTTGGACGACATCTTTACAGTATTGAGCTGCGACTCAGGGAGATGTTTGTTGACTACAGAACGTGGAAAAGCAGAGGGGGATTGACTCGTTATAACTTAGCTTTCCCTCCGTCTGAACACGAGATAAGGTCGACCAATGGAAGCCAGTACTCCTTCTAGATATGACCGAGAAGCGAAGACTACAACTGTTTAGGGGAGAAATGGCCGAGGTGAACCATGTAGCCACAACTCAATCTTGATACGCCATGAACATGCTTTTGTACGGTTAGTCGGTAGCCTCCACAGAACGAACTTCGTTGCATGTGCAATGTCGCACGCGACCCGACAAAATCATGGTTGGAGGAGTGACTAGTGGGGTAAATCATAGCACTAGTCCTCGCGAAAGCATTTCAAAGTGTGCTTGAGCCACTAGACGCCGGCGAGACCTGTTCGACACCTTCTTGATTGGGAATGACTTTTTATCTTATCAAGGTCACAAGCCTTCCCACGGGCACTTGGCATATCAAGGTTCAGGGTCTAAGACGCTGTGTGAGAGCTTGAAGGGGCTTGACCCTCGTTGGCATCGATCTTGGTGATGCTTGGTGGTATGCTTGAGTCGTGACCCAGTCGCGGTCGAGAAATAATATCGCATCGGACAATTTGCGCTCTCGCGCAACTCTTGTCGAGGTCAAGCAATACCAACGAAGCACACCCATATGTTCGGGCATTGGTGGCCGGCAGCGTGGTTCAGATAGACTCAATTGATCCTTTGACGGTGGTAATTACGTACCGGGTTCTAGACAGACCATCTGAGGTGGAAATAGGCGAGGTGGCGTCTGCGAGTTGTCTCAAGGCTCGTAATCCTATTCCCCGGCGTCGCGATAGGACATAAGATCTCCGCTTGCGATAGATATGTGTGCTAGTTTCTCGAAGGATCAGTTGGTTGATCTGCTAAGATATCACGATGGCTGATTCCAACAATAACAATTATGTGATAATCTCCGAGATCAACTCATCACCACCCCATTGTCAAAGACTGGACGCTCAAAAATTCTGTCAATTTCCGTGACACGGGCTGGTCAACGTTCTGGCCTCTCGGTAAGGTGCGCAGATCGCCGGCAATGCGGAGAGCAATTTGCGGGGTATACAGTACGGCACGAGAAGACAGATCTCATGGATCCGCGGACTTGTCCCGGGTAGCTTGCGAGTATCCGTACATCCTGATACAACACGGGGGCATACAATCGTTTCGAGGATCAGCTTCGCATTTCCCGCGCTCCTGCAATGCAAAATGCGTAGTGTCGGCTTGCGGGTTCGTCTGACGCCGACACGACTAACCTCGAAGTAGCTTAATCAATTCCTAAGGCGGTTAGTACTATCACGTGAAAGCGGGCATCAAGCTGCTTCTATATTAGTCCTTGGCATGGCGGGGGGTGCCGTAGGTCGACCAATCGCAGTTAGAATTGTGAAAGCAGCGCGGAACGCGAAGCTGATCCTCAAAACGATTGTACAATAATTTCGAAAGGGTTGTACAGCTGAGGTATCACAACTTTAAGCAAGTGTGCTTCCTGAAACGGCAGGTCATAAGCCTATCACTCGTTGCACTTCCTGCCAGATTCGAAGAAGCGGCCGAAGTAGCACAACACTAGCACGGAACGGCAGCCGCGGCGCCCCTTCTTGTGTCTATCTTGAATGTTCCAACGGTTGACGGTGTAGAGGATCCAGTGCTGCAGACAACGGGTCGAACGAATCAAAATAGAACACTCTTTTTGTTTTGGTTCGTAGGGCATCCCCATGTGCTGAATCTTATCACTCCTACTCCTATTCCCACTCTGCTCTCAGGACGAAACACAGGCAGAACTAGAAGCTATCACAATGCACAGTATTGTCCAGACTGTAGCAAAGTCCACACAGAGCTCATGATTTATCGACTCTTTTTGGATGCTCTCTGTTCACTTCTAGCACTATGAATTCCTTACCGCTGACGGCGATCGGGTTCTTCCAAAGGCCGAGATCAATAGCCGACGTTGATTGTCTAACCCTGTCTCACAAGAAAGCATGATCTTCTTCACGGCGACGTTAGCATGAGGTCTGCGCGAGATCATCGAGTGGACGTAAGGTGTGCAGTACACAAAAAGCGTAATCTTTGGAGTGTAAAGCATTAGTGTCAGTGATGATATTTTGTCTATCCACCTGCTCCTATACATCTAGAAGCAACATATAATTTTCCAAGAAGTTTCGACTATGTCCAAAAAGCTGGAGCCGTGATCCGACCAATGTATCACGCTTATTCGTTGATTCTATGCTGCCACACCTCCTGCTCTGCTCTAGCGCTGTATGTACTAGCACCCAGAATTGCCTGCATCTGCTTGACCCCGGTGAAGAGAATCTGTCTGGCGACGAACCAACGGATACCCTCGTGGCAAGGAGGGCTGGTCAAACTGCCCTGGTAGGTCCAGAACTCGTTGAAATGCAACACACTCGATAATGCAAGATCAAGGTCCATCTCAATCTCTTGCTCGTACTCGGCACCGGTCTCATTGAAGCCGATCATGGGAGGTAGCTGGCTGAAGAAAGCAGCATCGCTATTGCCGGGGTCAAGGCGGAAGGCAAGGACAGCTTTTTCGTGGCCTCCAGCATCGGCATGGACGAAGTGCATTTCTGCTTTGCTGCGGTCACCACCGACGGAGTGGTCGGCGGGTGCGTGAATATGCCAGCCGACTAGATAGACGGTCTCGTTGTCATAGCTGAACGAAGGATTGGAGGTCAAATTATTGCGATCGAGTCTGAATCCCGGGCCATAACCCCAATTCCTAAACCATCCGGTCGTGTTTCCAGTATAGTTGTGAAAGGTTGGAAGGTGGTTGAGGGAGAGACCGTTACTCAATGACAAAGCGATGGGCGACTGTTGTGTTCCGGTCTGACAGAGCTGATACATAGGGTCAAGCTTCCCCCAGTTAAAGCTCGCTTCATAAGCCCAAACAGGGTTCTCAATGGTCTGATTCGCTGCTTGTCTCTTGTGAAGGTGTGATTCGTGAGGACAAGCCAAGGTGGCCGGCAACAAGGCCGCAAGAGCGATCAGTGATTTGAACAGCATGGTGACGATGAGATGCGGAGACAGAGATGCGGAGTGAGATGGGTTTGATAATACTCAGCAGCAGGACATCTACCAGGTTTTATAACATGCTGGTTGGTACTAGCTATCACTGCCAATGTGTTCCGACTTGACCCTACGCGTCTGACCTCGGACGAAACCAAGCCTCATAGACTAACCATCACCATCGGCGACATTTTAGACAGTGCTCAACTCAGCCAAGAGACATGATTTGACTCTCGACCTGCTTGGAAACGACACACCAAGCACGGCAGGAAGTGCAAAGTGCTGAAGCACGCGTCGCGGGGTGAGGGGAGTCGCTGCTGCGGTCGGCTTGGCAAGCGTCCAACAGCCTTGGTATACAGCCGCGGAAGTCGACCACTTGGCAGGGCGGATTCTCGACTGTCAAACTCAAAAAACACCCATGTCGGCAGAGACTGGCTGTGCATACCTCTTGCATTTGACCAGCCACCACCAATATGATACTAAAGGCGGGCTTGGCTGACCAGATCTCACGTTTCTGCTGCATATCCGGCTTGGACAAGGTCAGAGATTCGAAAATTACCTTGCGGATTGATCTTCTGGGGTTGACATCGGCTTCCTTGTCTGTTTCAATCACTTTAGGGCATCAGGCGTGCCGGCTTCATCTGTTAGGTTCTTCCTCAACCCGATGAGTGCCCAGAACACTGCCACTGCCAGGGACTGACGACGGTGACGGAACAACTCTTGACAGTCCCCAGATCATTTTTCGGAGGACCAAGGCCTGCTCGATCTTCAGTTGCTTTCCAAAGTATGTGAATACCTCTGCCACATAATTCTTGATCTCGGGTGTCGATGTCGAACTTGTGCCTGCGACAAATAAAGGCCACAGCACGCCATAGCCAGACAGAGCACGCATGATAGGCAGATCGCTAGAGGCGGCCTCGGGTACGAAGTAACGATCCGGACGTTTGAAGCCCACCCAAGGCAGGTTTACGTCCTTCTTGGAGATGTACTGCGACATTGCAGCCAGTATTTCGGTCTGACATTGTCGCATGATGGTTTCTGCACGGGCTCTTACAGATCGATGTGCATCCGTGTCGTCCCCTATCGATTGAAGCACGACTTCGTTTAGCATGACCCGACTGGAACGATAAGACGTCCATATATAGTTCGTCGCCTGGTCAGTGTACCGTAGTTCAAAGCCAGGCAAGCCAGAATCAGCAGAATGTTGGGGCACAAAGTGCGTGACGATTTCGGGTTGCCAGTTTGGTGGCAGATTAGAGAATGCTTCTATGAGCTTAGTGTCCAGCTCAGCCGCACGAGATATGATCTCCTCGGATGATACGATCAGACAAGTAGTGACGGCGTGTCTGAAATCTGCACACTGTAAATTTATGCGTTGGTAGCGTACTGCAGGATTCTCTGGCTCGTAGAGATATTCGAAGACCTTTGCCTGGAGATCATATATGAAAGGAGGGGTAGCCAGATTCCGGAGAAGGCATATCACATTGATCGTGGTGATAACATGCAGAGTTAAGACCCGACCACTCGTTCTTTGCACACCATCGAGGCCACGAAGACTGAGAAGAGCGGTCGAACCATTCACATGCTGTTCCCATGCATCCAGAGTGCGCGTGACACCGCCCGTAAGGGTTTCGTAATTCGTGAGGATGGAGATGGCGAGCAATGTTTCGTCACGCTTGACCTGGAGCGGGTCTCGCAGGGCGAGGTTTGTGAGATTCAAAGCGGTAGCATACTGACGCTGCGAAGCCATGAGAAGACGCTTGTCCGAGTGGTGCTTGGACAAGTTGGCAATGCCGAAAGCTTTGATGCTGGCAATGAGATGTGTATTCTTGGGTTCGTAAATACAAGCATAATAGTTGTCGTTCATAACACAGTGCCTGAAGAAGAAAGCGAAAGAGACGTCGTCACTGTCCATAGGCAGAGGAGATACAGGGCCAGATATTGCTAGAGATGGACGAGCAGCTGGTGAAGTCTCCTCCCACTCAGATGGGTTAACTGATTCAGGGTGCAAGGAGGACTCAATAGCGTCGACCGTCTGTGGACTTTGCGTCTTGGGGTGTAAACCACGAGCTTTGGAGATGACTTCGGCACTCTGATCGCAAATCCTCAAACCATCTTGTTGAGGATATCCGGGACACTGGCGATGCGCATTCGTACATCTGCCGCAACCTCCAGGTCGGAGATCGCACTTCTTCCGCCGTTTGCGACACTCGTCACATCCATTAGAAGGTCTCCCCCTGAAGGGCATCGGTGCTGATGGAAGCAGCAGCGCAAAGCATGCCGGGAGAGGAAATAGAGCGAACCAACATGGCTGAGTACAAAAAGCTCATGCTTACAAGGATCCACGTGTCAAGGTGAATCCTTCGGCCAACCAACAACGCCATGCCCGATTCGGAATACAGCGCGCTCCTCTGACGCTCCGCAGCGACGTCTGCGTGGTCCAATCCATTTGATTCGTAGGGAATATTGCGATTTCCCTTCTGTAGGATCCGCTCAGCTTGACTTGATGCTTGTTTCGGACTGCTCGCCATGGCGATGCTTGTGTTGCTTGCACGGCAGCGACTAACCTCAACTTGGAAGCCTGCGCGCGCCGAAAGCACTGCCTCGAGACATGAATGAGTATACAATGGAAGATTCGAAAATGCATAAGAGCCCTGCTCCTTCTCCTCTGAATGCTGATATCATTCACACATCGATCGGCCATTCCATCTTCCACTCATATATCTATCATTGACGTATCTGAGAAAACATTCATCATCCATCATGTTGACCTACCGCAACGACGTCTTCATCGCCGTCCTAGCCTTCTACATCTGCACGGCAGTCTTCTCAGCAATCCGACTCATCCAACATGGACTCAAGAAAACAGCTAGCGAGCGCCTTCTTCTCGTATTCAGTATCGGTAGAATTCTTTGTGCTGGGTTTCAGCTAGCGACCATCGACTACCCTACAAACACATCCATCTGGGCAGGATACGTCACGACCTTCTCAATCTGCGTGTCCCTGTTGTTGTCAGCCTCGCTCGTACTCCTTCGGAGACTTGCACAACGCGCAGGCACCGATTTCCCTCAGATTCGTGGTCGCGACTCGATGAGATTCTGCCAACTTCTGATTACCATCGGTCTCATCCTCGGAATCGTAGGCGGCATCAGAGCCGATAACAGCTGGGGCTCGACGGGTTCATACCAGCCCGACAGCATTCAGAAAGCCAGTATCGGCATCTTCATTGCCTCGTGGGCACTGGTGGTCTTCATGACCATCCACACACTCGGCAAAGCACATGGCGCATCCTCCTACACACAAAAGATTGCTGTTGGAGTTTTCGCAATCAGCTTGCCTTTACTGGCTGTACGCATTGCTTACTCTGCTGTCTCCATCTTCGCCCATCCCGCGTCCTTCAGCTCCATCAATGGTAGCGTGACTATCATGCTGTGCATGGCATTGATCGAAGAGGCTATCGTCGTCTTGATGTACGAGGTACTGGGCTTCGTTACGCTCGAGATGGAATGCAGAGAACCATCGGTCAGCAGCGAGTTTGACCAGCTCTCCACAGCAGAGACTGGTGTTTATGTTAAGAAGTGATGATGAGCAGGTTTTGGTTATCTGGCACTCCGATTTCTTTCACGCGTTATTGCGATGGTGTTCATGATTTTAATCAACATGATTCGGGCTTTTGCCGACATTCGACTTGGTCTCAATGTGTTCATAGACGGTTACGTTCAATTTAACCACTGCTTTCCCATTCATTTGCACACTTTATCATGACATGACTCGAGCACTGTGCTTCTGCCAGAACTTTCCTTGGCTTACCTCAGGCCATCCGCCCCTCGACGACCACGGAGAGAAATCCTCTCGGAGCGCTTCCATGGCCGCGCTCATATCTGATCAGCGACTGTGCATTCTTCCAGAAGACTGCATGTCATGACGCCGATACCCAGGAAGCATAGTATAAGAACGCACGACTGATGCCAACTTGAGCCATCTACTATCCATCCACATTCATGTCATATCGGACAACTCCTGTCAAGATCAGTCTTACACAGGCGACATAATCTCCTCTCAACAAGAGATCATCGCTCTTCAGAGTACTCTCAGTCCAGATCCCTCTCATGTAAATGGTGTTTTTATTGTTGTGATAGCTAGCTCATCTTTTGGCGAGGGTGCCGCATCTTGCGGACACTATGGCTAGACTCTTTGCATAATCACTAGACCTCACTTGTATAGAACTCTGCTACCTGTGCCTTCGTCCCAAGCCGACACCGTCGAAAAAGTGCGTATCAGAAAGAACGGTCATTTTCTATAGTCGAATCATGCTAATCATACCTTTGTTCGAAGATTTCACTCCTTCGATACTAGCCAATCTGGCTCGGGGTTTGACACTCTACGCGATCGCCACGTAGTCCGGAAAACAATGTTCTTGTCGGGTTTTGTGCATTGCTTGCGAAAAGAGAATATGTATCAAAATGAGGAGGACACGACTCGCTCAAATACAGAGTCTACTCCCATAACAACTTCATCACAACACCCTTCCAGCCCTTTCGCACTGGCTCAGGGGTCTCGGGGTTATCTCTAATCTCATCCAGAGCAGCTCTGATAGGAATGTCTCCGAGAGCCACAAACTTCGTGCCCTTGTAAAACTTCCACCCGAGATAGGCGACTAGGATCAGAGGAATATCCCTGGGCACGTGTCAGTATATCGCTAGATCTGTGACAGGAGGTAGACTTACAGGTATGATGACACAAACGAACTTGCAGACCATCCGCCTTTAGTAAACACAGAAAAGCCATTGGTCAACAAGATAAGCAGGCATGCTGCCAGTGCAACAACAGAGCTATAGGCTGTTTTCTCATCGTCAGCAGTATGTTCTGGTCGAAACAACAGTGCACACTTACGGGTCCACTTGTTGTGCCAAGGCAACTCCGTCCTTGCGATTCCCTGCTTCTTCATCGCAGCCAGCAGCCTCAGGTGGTTGGTCAAAACGCACGACCAAGAAATCAGGACACCACAGCCCACCAAGTCCACAAACCAATAGAAGACAGTCAGGGCTCCAGAAGACAGACTCATGAAAGCCAAAAACATGAAGACCGTCTGCAAGAGCACACACATGTACGGTACACCCCACGCAGTGGTACGCAAGAAGATAGCAGGAGCCTGTTTCTTGAGCGCCAAAGAGTAGAGGACACGGGTTCCAGCCAGAAGTGCCTGATTCGAAGATGACCAGGCAGAGGTAATGACCACGGCATTTACAATGGATGGGATAGCCTTGATGCCGGCAGCAGAGGCAGCAATGACAAAGGGACTTTGAGCTGCAGTACCGCTCTCATCTTGGAGACGCTCATCATCGCTAGAAACCAACATACCCACAATCAAGACCGTAGCGACGTAAAAAAGCGAAACGCGTGCAAACACACGTTTACACGCCTTCGGAATGTTCTGGCGAGGGTTCCTGGTCTCAGCTGCAGCCATGGCAATAGATTCCACTCCAGCAAAAGAGAAGACCGCGTTGATCATGACGGACCAGAAACCGAGAAAGTTGCCCCAGGCTCCAGTAGCGACATGTTCGACGAAGGGGCCTGGTCGTTTCCAGTATCTGAAGCCGATGCGCGAGACTCCAGGTACACCGCCCAGATCGATGCAGAGGCCCAGAATCACCAGGCCCACCACAAGCGCAATTTTGAGAAGTGCGAAAAAGAATTCAACCTCGCCATAGATACCGACAAACGCAATGCCGACCACAAAAGTCAGGACAATGAAGATGACGATCCACAGAGACGGATTGATATCAGTCCAGTACTCGAAAAGCACACAGATGGCCGAAATTTCCGAAGGAATGGAAAGCAGGTTTCCATATACGATATTATATCCCACTGCAAAGCCCAATGCAGGATCAATAAGGAACTCGGCATGTCTGACGAAACTTCCAGTGACAGGGAGCAGAGCCGTGACTTCTCCGAGAGCGAACTGAACAGCACAAACGATGAGACCGACAAAAGCATAGCCGAGCAAAGCACCGAGAGGTCCACCAGTCTGCAGAGAAGACCCGAGTCCAAGAAACAGTCCAGTACCAATTGCGCCTACAACTGTGTCAGATGGTAATATGTCGATAATGGTGAAGCAAAAAGTTACCAGCAAGCGCAATCATCTGGATGTGCCTCTGACCCAATCCACGCCTTAGGTCCCTCTCTTCATTCTCGGTGACAAAATCTCCATGTTGCACGTTTTCATGCAGGCCGTAGGCGCCCACAGTCGCAGTCTTGCCCGGCGCATCTTGAACACCAGCGATAGACATCTTTGCGAAATCGGCTTTTGAAGGTGTGCCACGGTCAAGAAGTCACAGCGCTCAGCGAAATCAGAGGCGAAAAGGAAGCTGTTCGACGTTCAACATATTCGTTCAAACTCTCCATCCATTCTTTTCTTCGCCATGGAGGAGGATGATCGCGTGCTTGAAAAGCTTAATCGCGCCACCCATCTAGATAAGCTCTGTTCGTCTTGGGACATGTTAACCGAGCTTTGACACCAAACATTTACAAAATAATGCCTGTATACAAAGAGTTGCGCCTAAAATGTCGGGGGCTTCCAGAAGACGTGTAATCGATTCTAGTAGGCGCGCACAGAACGCCAACTCATGGCCTACCAAGGGAGCAGGCACTACGAAAACACGTACCCAAAATTAAGCAACATAGTGAAGAGTAGTCACAGCAGTACTCAGAAGCAGATAAGAAGTGATCCTTTGGTAATCCAGATCTATAAGGGAGCAATGAGAAAGGACAAAGGAGATGAAGAAGAGTGGTAAGCTATGTGATGAATGAGACAAGTACGAAAACAAAAAGACGTCTCAGATGACTAACAAGCCACTGGCATGCCGCAGAACAACAAGTCAAAACAAAATTACGAGATTTATGATGGACCAAGGTCGGAGCCTACTCTCCACGTCGCGGACGGTTCGAGGCAGGCAAAGGCTCAGCGGTCAGGTGTTGGTTGCTCATAGTTGCACCATTAGTGTGAGTGTGTCGCAATGAGCCCATGACATGTCGTCCTGTGCTTCTAGACAAAGATCCAACGTCGTGTTTACCTATCTCGTGTTAGACGATGCTCAAGTGAGAAGTAGAGTAAAGAAGACTTACCATCGCAGCACGCCCTCACATTCTCAAGCCCATTGTGGTTGTGCTCGTGTCCCGAAAGCATATTGCCCAGATCCTCCGTGCTATCCTCAACCACACTTGCATCGTATATCGTCGCTTCAAGAGGTCGGCGAGTGCTCATTGCACTCTTGCTTCGCTTACTAGAGAAGCTGCCACGCATACTCCCACCTGGACTCTTGAACAAGCCACCCATGATGCCCATACGTCCTTGAGATCCGTCCGGGCCAGGGGTCTGTGCACCTCTTCGTTGAGATGCAGCTGCAGATTGTCGGTTGGCGAGTGACGGTACCTCGGAAGCGTGAGGGCGATGCGGTGATGAGTTGCGAGTTGTCCTGCTGTTATAACTGCTAAGACTCATACGAGTGCGTACGGTGTTACGACTCTGGCTTCGCATTGTCGGGTTGAACTCATCAACCATATCCTGAGTCATCTCCTCATTCTCACGCTCAGATCCGGTACGGAGCAACAGGTAGGAGAGCGCATTGAACCAAGTCTCATGTCTTTGAGCAGTGGGAGCTGTGAACACAATCTCACGACCAGGGGTTACTATCACCAAACTCTTCCTATGCAAGCCGGGTGGGTACGCATTGTCGTCTGAGATAACGCGGACAGCTTCGATAGCAACGCTCTTCGCCTTTGACTGTTGCTTGCCAAGTGTGGAAGGATCGTGCTCGCTCCAGTAGAGTGTTCTAGTATAAGGGTGAACCCAGAAGAACCTTCTGTGTCTGGAAGCACTAATCTCAGAACGACCAGCCTTGCGTGTGTACTTCCAGAGATACTCTCCAATCATGGTCTGAGTGATAGCTTGGATCATGCGAGGATCAGTGGCAGGCAACATGTCTTCGGGATACAGTACGCCTCTGCCAGGTTGGATGCGCTCGTCAACCTCAGAAACAAAGCTCGAAATTGAACTGGCGCGAGTGGTAGGCGACATGGGGTCTGGGCGTCCAGCAGGGATTGGTGCAAGAGCGCGGTTGACAGTGCCGCGTCCGGACTGAACAGATTTGCTGATGCTTGGTGTGCGCGAACGGAGTGATGGAGGAGGTTTGTTGAGTGAGCCAGTAGGAATTGGCGGTGGAGGCATGGCAGCTTGCAGGTTTTTTGCTTCCGCAGCCGCAGCGATACGTTGTGTGTGGTCCAGCGGAAGGGGAGGTTGCGAGGTATGGTTCTTGTGCATGCTACCAGCGCTTGCAGGACGACGAGGAGCTTTGGTGTTGGCAACTTCAGCCACGTATGGTGTCTCTGAAGCTCTTCTTGGGCTGTCAGGTCTAAGAGGTGTGCCTTCGTCAATGTTAACAGCAGGAATCATCAACGGGGTCTTGCGGCGCATCATCTTGTCGATTTCGTCCGATGAGACCATGGTCTGTGTTCCCATCTCGGAAGTGGGAATGCGCTTCATGACAGGTCTTTCACCATTGTTCGACATGCTACGCTGACTAGTGCCAACATTATTGGAAACCTCGGCGAAAGGTTGTCTGAACTGGCTATCCTGCTCGATCTGGGGCGTAGCGTCGTTCTCGTCTGCGAACACTAGTGTCGGCTCTGCATGGTTGCCACCCTTTGCACCGCCGAACAGTCGGGGTTCTTGAGCCAACGGTCCGTCTCTACTACTAGTACGAGGAGGGAATTGGGTTCCGGAAGCAAGGAAGGCAGCACCAGGACGAACGCCATCAGTGCCTGGAATGTTCTTCGAATCTTCAGAAAGAGCCCCGCGATCATCCATGAAGAACACGTCGTCACCCTTCAAGCCGTTCGTGGGGGGAGAGAACGAGTATTCATCCACTTGTGGCTCCCAATGTTGACTGCGGACGGTAGAGAAAGTAAGCGCATCTCTCCTCGGCTCGACTTCCTGGTCTAATTGTGGCATGCTGGGAGTGCGTGGCTCAGTGTGGGATGTCATGAACGACGAGAACTCCAGTGAGGGAGTCTGCACAGGTACCGGCGAAGAAGGCACAATAGGCTCCGACGACATTGACCCGAAAGGAGACATAGCAAATGACGGAAGTTCTTTCGCTACTGGTAAAGGCACAATAGGCTCTGTATGCGAAACAGGACCGGTGGAGACAGAGAAGACTTCGGGCTTCTTCTCCTCGACCAGCGGCGCGATTGGCTCGGTGTGTGTCGCCGGGTATCGCGAGATAGAGAATTTCTCGAGCTCGGTGACAGTAGGAGCCACCGTGACAGGCTCAGTGTGATGAGCAGAGAAGGTTGACATGGAGAGCTTCTCAACCTCCTTGACAGAGATGAAAGCGGCCACTGGTTCGGTGTGAGAAGATGAGAAGGATGTCATGGCGAATTGTGGAAGCTCTTTAGGCACAGGCACTGCAGCGACAGGTTCTGTGTGAGTGCTCGAGAAGGTTGCAATGCTCAAGGGCTGTGCCTTGGGTTGTGCAGGAGTCACAGGTGCAAGGTCTTGAGAAACAATACTTGCGAATTCCTTCTTAGCCTCGGGCAATGCGACAGCCTTGGATCTGAACTGTTCCACGGGTAATCTGGGAGTCGTCGATTCCGAAACTGGCTCGCTCTTGACGAATTGACCGGGCATATTTGATGGCACCTCAGAAGGTACCTGTACAGTGTCCTCTTCGATCTCTCTGGGTGCCTCGTCGAGTGCTTTCGTCTGGTTATCTTGGGAAGTCGAACGGCCAAGTGCAAATCCAGCCACGCCAGCAATGGCAGAACCGACAGCACCTGCAGCAGCACCAACGATGGACTTGGACTCTGGCTCCCAAGGCTCTGTCATCATAGCAGAGTCAACCATCTTCGGCCTTGAGACTTCGGTAATGATGGGGGCTTCTGCAAGGATGGGCTTCTTGACGGTTTCAGGACTCATGGGAGCAGACTCAACGCCGGCATCAGTCGACGTTTCTTCGCCGCTGTCGCTATCGTTACTCAAACCATCAAGCTCAGCACTGAGGCTCTGGCCGAATTGAATAGGAGTCCTCTGACTGGCTTGACTGGCAGGACTGTCGTCGCTAGCGAAGATGGCGCTATTGCGAGCAGATCCATTGTTCGAGCGACGACCCTTGCTCAGGCGTAGCTTGTACTTGGGTTGCTGGCCCTGAATAGGCGTCTTGACGTCCTCAAACTCGTCGGCAGAAGTAGAGGCTGTTGACATGAAAGACAGGCGGTTCTCGGCTTTGTTGGTCGCATATGGACCAGGTCGGGAAACAGGTCGAGACGAGGAACCTTGGCTCTTGATAGGGCTGAACTCGGTCTCGGTCAAGTCATCGCTGCTGTCGCCATTGATTGTCTCGGCACCGGTCTGGAAAGCACCTTCAGTCTCTGTGTTGGTGTTGTGATCGTCCTCATTGGCTGTCTCGAAAGCGTCAGTTGTGCCTCGTTCATCGGCGGTCTCGAAGGCGTCGGTAGTGTCGGCACTCTCAGGCTTTCCAAAGGCACCAGCAGTTCTGCCGAAGTTGAAGTTTCCGAATGGAACAATGCCTGGTGCAATTTTGCCGGACGCAATCTTGCGAGTCGCAGAGTTGCTAGGACTTTCGATCAGAGACTGATCCTCCCACTCATCATCATCCATGATGATCTCGTGCTTAGCAGATCTTGCGGCTCCCAGCTTGTCAGCGCGAGCGCCCTTATTGAACTTGATACCGCTGTCGTCGGAACGGCGCTTCTTGTTCACAGATGGGCCAACGCCTCCATCAGCACGCTTGTTGTCCAGCTCGTCTCTAGCATCTTGCAACAATCGCTTCAGCTCGAACTTCTCCGTCTTTTCACGATGGATGTTGTTCTTCAGGTTCTGAATCATACGGTGGGCGTGGGTAAGCGAGGACTTGAGGGTTTCGGTTTCGAGCATGCCGTGTCTTGGAGTGGCTTTGACGGGCGAGTTCTGCGGCGAGACATCAGGAGTTGCAACTTCGGAATCGCCGTTGTCGCGGCCGAGCGAGCGCTGGCTATCTTGAGGCTGGCTGTCGGCGTTCCATCGCGCAGCTACGGCCTTTGCCAGCTGGGTGTTCTGTGAAGTCAACTCGTCGACCTTCTTGAGTAAGGCATCGCGGGCTGTCTGATGGCCTGTGGCATCGCGGCGCAAGGTGAAGAGCTCGGCCTCGTGGTGCTTCTTGGCGGATTCGTGGTCATCGCTGAGTTTGCCATGGGCAGCTTTGAGGTCCTCCAGGTCACGCTGTGCTGTGTCCTTCTCGGCTTGGACGAACTTGAGCTGCTGCGACAGACGCTGCTCTTTGTCGGTCGCCTCTTTCAATTGCGCTGTCAAGTCTTGCATCTGAGTCTCAAGATTCCAATTCTCATCCTTGCACTTCTGTTCGCTCTCATCCAACATGCGCAAGCGGTGCATCAGACTGGAGATGTCCGTCTCGAGCTGTTCCTTCTCGGTCGTAGCATCCTTGAGCGCATTCTCCTTTTCAGCCAAGACGGCCTGTAATTGTCTGACCTGGGCAAGAAGAGAGGTACTGATCTCGGTAGCGAACTCGATGTCATGGACGCGATTGGTAGGTTGGTTGCGCTGTCGCCGCGAGCCCTCGGTGGGGTTGCGCTTGACGGGCGAAGGTCGAGCATCGGAAACGAAGAGAGCAGGACTCGGTGGGGCAGCGCTGAAATCTGTTGACACGATGCGCGACTTGGGCAGGAAGGCACGCGCCGAGTCCTTGCCAACCTCGGTGTAGTCCTTCTCCAGCTGATCCAGCTTTTTCTGCAGCTCGGGAGTGATGTCCTCGGATGCGCCCTCCTCGACCTCCTTCAGACGGGCGGCCAAGTCCTTGCGCTGCTGCAACAATGTGGTGCCAAGTTTCGAGGCATCCTGAATGCGGCGCTCCGTGTCCTTGAGATGGGCCTCGAGCGCACGCTTGGCCTGAGCTGGAGAGCTGGAGTTGTACAGAGAGAAGACTTGATTGTCGAAGGAAGCGTAGCGGTGCGGACTCGGTTGAGTGGCATTGGGATTGACGAAAGGGTCGTCGCCGTTGGACGACAGATTGGCGGTCGTGGCCATGTTGACCTAGGCAGGCGTGCGACAGGGTCGCGCGACGCGAGAATCGAACAAGATTAGTATAGTCGAAGAAGAGGATTAGTGAATGGGCTGCATCAGAGGCTTGAGATATGATAAGTTATGCGGGATGTTGTTGTTGTGGGCTGGCGCCGACAAACACTGGGCCGCCGTTGAAAGGTTGTTTTCGAGTTGCGGGCCCTCGTGGTAAAATGACAAAGTAAAGAAGAAGCAGAAGAAGAGAAAAGGATGTTCGAACTTGATTGACCTTGGAAGCAGAGACACGTCTGTTGGACAGCGGCTGCTCGCTCCTTGACAGCTGTCGGCAAAGAGAGACAACTCGCTGGACGAAACAAACACCCCAAGACAGCGACGGGAAGGGAGAGGGGGGAATGCAACCGAAGTCCATGCCGAGATCTGGAAATGCTCCGGATCCAAAGCCTGCTGCCTTTGATTGGCTACCTGATCCAAGCTCTTGTGCTATTGCGACCCCCAGTCCATGGCCCTCACAACATCCTCCTTCTCAGCTCATCACCAAAAGCTTCAGCATCCTTCAAGGCTCACAGTCGTATCGATGACCCGGGTAGGAACGGATTGCCTCTCAGCTTGACTTCGAGAAAGCCACAATTCCCACAGAGTGAGTACCTAGCAAGCATATTAATCTAGGTACCGTCCAGATAGCGAGCGTCACGACTCGTGCACAAGATGCAGCCAAGCACGTCTCTCCGCGCTGCTAATTACTCGGACAACCACATGAACCACAACACAGTGTTTGCCTCTGGCTCAAGTCTTGAAACACTTGCATGCCTTTTTGTCGTTGATCGTTTGCGGCTCGGCCCAGTCCTGCACCTGTCCACCACTTTCTGATACACGGGCCGTCTATCTGTTCCTCTGTTCATAGCTAACGATAGTCTGCTACATTCCAGCGCTGACGTATTGCTTGCGTCTGGAACTTCGACAAAAAGTATTTCGATTTCGCCAACCTGCTCGTGTCTCCATCGTCTGGATACCGACTTAGGTCACATTTCAGAAAGTGTCGACTGGAACATTCTTTCGACCCGACACGCGCTGGAACAAACATGTCTTTCCTCATCTCAGACTTTCACCTTAGCCATGTCCTGTCTTCACCCACCGCAATTCTCTTCTCTGGTACCTTGTTGAACCAAGCGTATGCTATTCTGGTCAACTTCCCTAGACCCAGCAATGGCTTTGCATATCCTGGCCATTTTGCTGCTCTTGCCGGCTTCAGCGGTGCCAGTACCCTGCTCTCGTCAATCCTGTTATTGCCAACGCCGAACACAAGCCCTCTACAAGCGATCGGCAACACACTGATGGCCATGAGCGTTTCACTTTTCAGTTGGACAGCTTACACCACGCAACGAGGACGACTTGCAGCCATCTTTGGTGGCAAGACACCCGACTTCATAATTGATTTCGGCCCATTTGCACACGTCCGCCACCCTGCCTACACCGCCTATCTCTTGGGCTGGACTGGAGTTTTGGCTGCGCTTGCAGGCAGAAATGATGCTGGTTGGAGAGTGCCAGCTTTGGCTGTATGTCTTGTAGGTATTGTAGGCGTGTATACCGCCGGCGCGAAGATGGAGGAGCAGCAGATGCTTTCGGGTGAGGAAAATGAAGGAAAAGTCGATCTCGGCAAGAAATACAAGGAGTACATGGGTAGAGTCAGATATCGATTCCTTCCTGGTCTGATCTGAAGTATGGATATCTTTATGTTGAAGTATAGGGGATTCTGCCCGCGATGTGTTTACGATATGATGTATAGACGTTCAACTTGAGGCGTCAATGCTGCATCCCGGGCAGGCACCAATGCTTGACTGAATTCAAGGAGCGCTGCCAAGTATCAAGAGCTCAGAAACGTGGCAGTCGCATGACAGTAGCTCCTGCCTTGGTACCACCAAATCGCAACATGTTCAGAAAGACAAAGTGACTTGGACATCAAAACAAGCCATCCGGCCAACCAGAATCGGTGACCAGATACTTTGAGCCCATCGTCCGAAAGCCACAAGGCTAGAATCCTGCTGGTCAGCATACTGTACCACCTCAAGACCCCGCGCGAGCTAAACCAGCAACAAGGCCAGGCAACACCAGCAACCGAATTCATCGCATTCCTCCCCCATCTCAGCAGTCATCGCGCCAGTGCCCTTCACTCTCAAATGTCCTCAGCTTCCCTTCGCATCACCAAAGCAGGAGACTCAACCTGATCGAAGCGTAGACAAACCGCGACAATGATCTCGGCTGGTCTTGTCATCTTCCTCGTCATTGTCGGCTGTGCCGCCGTCTGCCTCTGCTGTTACGCCCTCTTCACCCTGTCCTTCGGCAAGCGATCTGAACCCGTCGATCGCAGCAGACCTGCAGCTGTTCAAGAAGAATATATGCGTGAAGTGCGACAGAAGAACAGAGATATCATGTGGGCCATGAGCAGCCAGAGGGTTCGCTACGACCCAAGCTATGCCTAAAACTCCACTGCCCCTGCGACTCCATCAACAACACACATCAACATCATGTCGATATCTCCGCTGTACCGTCTCGACAGCTTCTCCACGCGACAACCTCATGTTCGCGACCTCATCATATGATCCATCGCTTTCTTATTTCCGATGCCGTTGTTACCGGTCCACGTCAGACTCGAGTATGGCAGTCCTGATATCATGGTCGACTTTGAGCCGCGTCGTCGTGGTAGAGAATTATCTTTCAGCACGGCATTGATAGCGTCCGCGCGACATAATGGTCGGATGCCGGTCACATGTTGGATCCGGTTCGTTGGTGGCATGTATTCCCCTCTAGGCCACCTTGGCCAGTGCCACGACAACGGCCTTGTACAGCAGAAAATGTTATACAGAATTCGTTCCGTTAGCACATCGCTCCAGGCGTCACCTGTACCTATAACACTATTCCGACAAGCTGAGAGAGGAATATAGTGGACTTTATGTATGATCAAGCAGCAGGATGGAGTTTAGAAAAAGACAAGTTTGGGCTGATGAAACAAGGAGACGCGTCAAAGCTGACGCTCACATGCCAGCCACTCGCACCACTCCACATCCACCCAGTCACACCCTGCCGATTTTCCGCTCGCGCCAAATTCTGATCAACTCTGTTCATATCATCGCAAACGTTTGATCAACATGTGCGACGCGTCGTCTCGGTTATGTTGTCACGTAAGAGACTGTCAAGCATCCTTCTTCCATCTGGAAGACTTCATTTTCAGGTAGTCAAAGGGTTCGCGCAGCAAACGAATGCGGAAGCCGTTGCGAGTGCTGCAGCTCCCAAAGTTTGACAATAACGTCTCCCGAGAGCCACAGCCCTGGCGCTTGATTGGCGGTATACGAGGTCGATTTTACTTACACGATGATACGACGACGACCAGAAACTTCTGTTTCGCGAACCCGTCACGCCTCAGCCTCAATCATTGCCTGTTTCGGTATGGATGTGTCGGCCTTGTTCTTGCTTCAGCTTGCGAGCCAGTTGTCTGCTCCCCTGTAGCGTTGCATGTCGTGAGCTTACGCAACACATCCTACATGAAGTAAATACCCAGGGTAGGTCTCATCTTTGTCTGCCTCCTGCTTCCTTCCTTGCTGCCTGTCTACCAATACAATTAGAACATCCATCACCTTACGCGCTCGCTCCATCTGACCACTCGCTATACATCCACAACCAGCATACACCAGTAATCTCAAGAACTGTTCTGTCACCTTCCATCCTAGAATCACCATGGCTCTCGGTGCTGGAGCTACCATCGCCCTCGTCATCGTCGGCTGTGGCGCATTTGTCTGCTGTCTCGGAGCAATAGGCTGGTTCTATCGTCGAGAAGACCCGAACGAGCGGGGCACAAACTATGGCTGGCGACCTAGCAACGACCAAGGCGACTACATGAGGGAAATCAGACAAAAGAACCATAAGGGCTTGTTTCATGTCGCAAGGTATCATGACAGGGCTTCGAGTTCGCAAGGCTCTCAATCACACTACTCGAGATCGCATTATACTAGCGCGAGTAGAAGCGAGGCTATGAGTGCTGTTTGATCGATCTAGACCAGCTCACTTTATATTTTGTAGGTGTATTCAGATGTGCTTATGATTTGAGATAGTGGCTAATGGTCAGGATAGAATCTCTTGAAACTCCGCCCATGCGTGTCTGCTCTTTGATTGAATTCAAGATAACACCACCTTCGCATACCTCGACTTTCGCCCTGAAAAACATTTCGATATCACTTCCATCCAAGACTCACAAGCACTGCATCGCCACACATCTCATACTGGATATGGTTGATACCCATCGTTGAAATGACGTCCAGTGCCACATCCACACCCACCTACCCACCATCAAAAAATTCCAGCCTCACCTGTCCTTGTTCTTTCTCTTTCCATTTGTCATACGCATATACCCCGATCTTCAGATTCGCTCTGGATTCTTGTTATGGATTTCTATTTTCATTTTTCTGCTACAAGATGGCTTCATCTGTCGGCCCGCAGAAGACTGACGAGTCATTATTCGTTGTATCCTTACTCTACCTGTATCTTGTATAGATCAGTCTGATACTCCATCCATCTGACCTCAATAGTTCGCGTCGGTGTCACTGTGCTGTGCTTGGTTTCATGTGCACCGATTGATATTGTTACAAGAGGCAACTGCAACCGAACTGCGGCGGAGACGACCGGGAATCCGCTTCCAGCGCAAGCCGCGTCGAGTTGTCTCTCTATTTTGTAGACTCATCCATCGATGAACTATGATCATGGAACATCCAGCAAACACCTTCCCACAAGAGATATGGGCGGAGATAATGAGATACTGTCCACAAGAGACGCTGGTCGTCCTCTCTCGCCTCTCGTCTCTATTGTGTACAGAAGCCCGTAAGTTGTTGCTTCGGACAGTCGTGTCAAAACACCATACCAATCGCCTACACGAGCCGATGGGGATCATCCACCGACCATGGTCATTCTACGACTTTTTGCAAAGAGATCGTGTGGACTGGAGACGAATGATGAAGTCCATCAGACTGAACTGGATGAGCGAATACGTCAACAAAGACGGCAATAGTGCACTTGTCGGGAGAGAAAAGTCTATTGAGGATCATCTCATTTTCAAGACTGCATTGTTGCTGTGTGAATGTACTCGATTGTCCGAGTTTCATCTCGGTGCAAGGTCACTCGCAGTGGTCACCACCATGCTCAAACACGGATCTTTGCCTGTAACATCTCTCGACTTTGCACTGCCTCATCGATATCTGTGGGAGGATATCTATGCAGTGTTCAATATACCCACACTGGCAACGTTGGTGATACGGAATCTACTCAGCCCAGATCGACCTTCTTTCCGGTTTCCGCCACGTATACCCGATGAATTGCATCACAAACATGGCACCTCGAATGTACAAGAACTGAGTCTTTTGGATTGTGGACCTCTCACTCTTTCTATATCACCCTTGTTCCAATGGCCAAAGAACCCGAGGAAGCTCAACTATGCACCCATGCGTTCAAAATGCGAGCCCTACTGGCGTACGATTTTGCGACGAACGGGAGATATCTCAGACGCAGTAGACCTATCCGTCTCCGTCCTTTTGCCACTGAAATCAACACTGCAGGAACTCCACTTCGATCTAGGATTAGACAGACACTGGATCCTCCCATTCCAAACCGGCCATCTCTTCCAACCCTTCACATCGCTGAAACATCTTACTGCTCCAATCGAGTTAGTCATGCATTCACGAGGACTCTCTCGCTCAAGGACTGGCAAACCATTTTACACTAATCTGCCTCATAGCTTGGAGACACTGGAACTCAAGTTTACGATATTGACGTCTTGGCACTCGAGACCTGCTCGCTCGGATTTGGATGCTGATGCTTGCTTGATGACTGATCCTGCGCATCAGCTGTTTGATGAGTTGTCGGTTCTGGCGATGCAGAAGGGAGAGTGGTTGTCTGGCCTCAGGCAGGTTACACTGACAGGCGATGGGGATAGACCATTCTTGGTCAAGTGTAAGCATGCTGAGTATGCATTGGAGGATCTGGAGCATAGCGGTGTGCACGTTGTTCAGGGTAACTGGTATCGAGAGTCAGAGGAAGCTTGGATCTGAGATGACTGCATCACATAAGCCTTTGACCTTCGACACAGTTGTCATTGTTGAGAAGCACTTAAGCTTGTACGTCATCTATAGTAGATACTCCCATGTACTGGAACGATATGTCGTGTCATCACAAACTAAGACGATCGTCATTAGTCACACTTCTCAGACCATAGCGCCGCACGAGTAGATGAAAGTGACGGAAGCAATCTAGAATACGCGTGATAGCACAGTTGCATACTGAGGTATCGTGAGTAACTTGTGCAGTCGTTTCTAAACATGTCTTTGATTCCGTATGACAAGTGACTGCAGCTAGCTATTTGTCTTCTGTAGCAGCAAGATTGAAGGCCTTAAGATTGAGCCCCTTGCTCATAACGCCTAGGAAATCTTCTTTTCCGTGTGATTTGCTCCCCTGAAGCCCAGTAACCTTTCCTTCCTCATGTGCAACTTTAGCTAGCGTTTTCCCTTTAGGCCAGTGTAAGATGGGATCCGCCGCTAGTGATGATGTCGGACGTTCTTATGACCACGACCGATCACTCCATGCTCGTAGCGTCATGCAGTACCGCTTCCACGTGTCGAATCCTTGAAGGCTCATTGTGGTATGACTGATAAATTGTAGATTGCTGCCAAGCTAGGAGTTACTCCACTCCTAGTGATTGGAGGGGGAAGTGATGTGCTGTTCGTCTTGAGCCGCAATACCCCCTACCAACGGACGATGAGAGGTGTCCAGAGTACCCATGATTGGATGCTTGACCATCCACATATTGAGGGGCCATAGAGTCACAATCTTCTGTTTCTGGAGCCATATGGTCCACTTGAATTTGTCGAGCTCCTCCGGTGCAAAGTGATGTGTGATGTAGTAGCACATCAGTGGCAGAGCCGAGCGCCTAACGACAAAAGTTGCGGTTCTGTAGACCACAAAGACAGCCTTAGTGGCCTTGTACCAGCGCAATTGCTTGTGGTTGAGGACGAGTGTGGAGAAGGCAGCAGGATCTTTGATGACGGATGCGTTGTCCAGGGTTTTGTCGAGGATGCAGTTGCCGAGTGTACCTTGTCCGAGCACCACAGTTCGAAGGAGTTGGTTAGATGCTAGATCGTGGAGAGTTTTGTCGACTTGGGCGATATTCTTTAACGAGCTTGTTGGACACTCTCTTAGGACAAGGAGCCAGATCTCTGAAGGCAAGACTTCGTAGGACGGCTTTTCGGATTCATCATGGATGGCTGGTTTGATTTCGGTCAAGGTGTTTGTATCCATGATCGTGGAGGATTGCTCTGGCACTGCTGCTTGGTAGGATGCTTGGAATGCATATCCTTGGGGTGGAACCGCGGCCCGGTGTCTTGCTCCAGAGAGTGCCTCGATAGCATCCATGATCAACGCGGATCGAACAGAGCGAACGTGGATCTGTAGTGAGACGTTGAAGCGATGCTGACGTGCAGGTGTGGACATCTGATGGCGTTCACTAAGCCGACAAGTGGTTGGTAGGTAGCCAGCAGAGTTTGATGGATCTGTGCGACTTAAGAACTAAGATTGCAAAAGATATACCGTGCTGAGTGAAGGAACTCAAACTGTAGCGTGAATTTCACATCGTCCTCAGAAATTGAATGGTCGATTGACTTGGCTGTAGATGGGGATCCGATGAGTAATAATAGGCGGTCGAGCATATGTTCTCATGTGACCATGCAAATAGTACAGCTGTCGCTGCTTAGATGTATTTACTGGTGTAGATGGCGGTGTTGCTTCGATGCGTGTGGCTCGCGACAAAGTTAGTTCGCACCTTGCCACGTTGTGTGGCAGATACATAGCCAAAATCCAATAGAAACTTGCTCAAACATGGGTCACGCCTTCCGACATTTGTACTTCGTTGTCAACCCGAAGTCGATATCTACCTACCTCCACTCATGGCCTTGAAGCGAGCCTCTGCTGCCCTGGCTCTTCTTTCTCGTTCAAGCTTCATGCGCATCTCAGGAGTCATACCCCTAGCCTCTTCTTCTCTCTTTTCCTGTGCCGTCTTCTCTGGTAGAACCTGTGCCAGTGTCTTGCCTTTGCCATATTTCTTCTCTTTGCCCTGCTCTTCTCTGACCTTGTCTTCGTTCCGCAGTCGCTCGGTTTCAGTCTTTCGTCGTTGCTGTTCTGCTGCATCTTCTGCTGCCTTTTCCTCTTTATCGCGCTGCACTCGAGCGTCATAATCGGCTTTAGAAAGTGCTGCAGGAACGCCTGCCGAGTCCCAGTCACATGCACTCTCTCCCAGCTCCGAACGGGCCAGACGGAAAGAGTCACGGGTATTTCGATCGCCTGCAATCTCGAAAGCAGTTTTTCCTTCTGCCGACTTGACAGTAGGGTCGGCCTTTGCTTTTAGAAGTAACGACGATACGAGGGCGGGAGCATTCAGGGAGGCGGCGAAATGCAAAGGAGTGGGAGCGTGATGGTTTTGCGGGGTGTCCGAAGGGAAGAAGGTGAAATTGGGCGAAAGGTTGTTGGACGTGATGTATGAGACGAGTGCAGGTGCTTTCGTTCGTCGAATGAGAGCTTGTAGCTGGGTGGTATGAAGCATGGCCTCCTCTTCCTCTTTGCTAGGCTTGACGACTTTTGGCGTGGCTGGTTTGGCGGCAGCTTTTGCTTCGGCAGCATGGCGAGCAGCCTCCTCCTCCTGTGCCTTCCTTGCAATGGCAACTTCGTCGATGGTGGATACCTTCACCCTGGTGAGCTCGACAAAGGATCGCATCAGCTCGGCTTGAGTTGCGCGACGGGTAGCGAAGGGGAAACCTCTAATTCTCTGATCTCTTGACGTCAAGACCTGGTTTTCGTATGGACCGAAAAGCGTACGACGATTGGTGGTTCCAGTGGCACGGACGAAGACCAGCTCACTGCTGTCGATCCAAGCCTTCCAGTCTTGCAGAAGTTGTCGGACCTCGGCGATCAAAGCTGCTTCGTTATAGCGACGGATACCAGCACCAGCAGAGTGAGCAGCGCCCTTGGCACTGTCGTTGGCGGACTGAGAACCACCCTGCTTGCGACGGGTTGTGTAGCGATGGAATGTCTTGTGTGCGAGTACAGTGGCAGTACGATCCTCGACGCCAGCCTTCTTGGTCATCTTGGGTGTCAGGGACACGACCATAGCGGCAAAATGGCCACCACCGATCATGCACAGGAAGTAATGTGGACCGGCTGCGGAGGTATCTGGTTGGAGAGAACGAGGCAGGGGGACACCTCCGGACTCTTCAGTAGGAGCCGAGGTGGGTTGAGTTGGCGGAGGCTTTGGAGAGAGTTGCTTGTCCTTGATGGTCTGTAGAATGGTGGCCGCATCACCGACCTGTGCGGCAGCAGGAAGGAGGGTTCTGTAGACTCCGAGAGCGACGTTTGAGGGTAGTTTGGATGATGAGAACCATAGCAGCGGCGGTTTGCCTGCGCCAACCTTGGTCTTGGTGGTGGTAAATTCGTCGAAGTCAGGGTCGGCAATGTTTGCCTGCTTCTTGAGCAACGCACTCAAGGTCGAGTCTTTCTTGCCATCGTCGTCGCTGCTGGCTGAATCGTCGCTGTCACTGCCGGAGATACTCTCGTCCAAATCTCCAACAAGCTTCTCAAAGTCGTTCTCTCCCACGGGTTTCAGGCCGCGCATCTTCTGCTTCATGTTGTAACCGTGCAGATCACTGCGCACATGGCTCCTCTGCTCTTGCACACTCGGGAACGACAGCCCACATAGCCCACACGACGTTGCTGACGACGGTGCGCCATCTTCGTTTTCGCTTCTCTTGCTGTTATCACCGGCTAGTGGGTCGGTCTCATCGGGTACGGCAATGGCAGCATTGTTCTGTGCCCTGAGTTCGAGTGTCGAGAGAAGTTCTTGGGGGAGGTCGAACACTGTGTCCAAGTTAGTATGCTGCGTATGAGCCTCCTGATCCAGAACCTACCATATAACGGGCGCTGCAATAGGGGCTCAGTGTTCTGCGACATGTTGCGACAATGATTGCGTGTGTTAGGACAAAGATGGATGATGCTGTGTCGGAAAGTCGTTTCGCGATTGCGTCGACGTCATCGCTACTTTTCGTCTAATGTCACTTCAGCAACCCTGACTCTCACCTTGCCTAATCGCCATCACTCAAGCCTTTGCTTGCACCGTACGGTGGAGCAAGAGGATTACTTCTATATAAATGGGCAGATTAAAATTTGTGTAAACTTTGCAGCGATTTCTGCTATCTTCACGGTAACACACCATGATACAAATGATGAGGACAAGAATCGGGATCAGTGTGTCAACCCAAATCATTCTGTGCAGCAAGTGAGAGAAGCTGCGCGCTTATCGAGTGTCAACATTTCCACTTCTTATAATCTTGTACGAACATCTGTAGGACTATGTTTGCTGTAAAAAGACATAAAGGTCTCTGATTCAGAGCGGTGTCCAAGGAGAGCCCAGAGTATACCGCTTCCCAGCCGATGCTATCTTATCTCCCAAAAGTTTTGTGCATTTCTATAGGTACACGTGCCACGTCCCCCTGCGCGCGGGAAGATAGCAGCACAGGTATCCAGGGGTTAGCTACCTTAGCTCACCACAGTTCAATGTCCAGCACCAGTCTCGGAACCCCAGTGAAGTTGACTGGCATAGTGTAACTGATGTTCCAGTACTCGAAGTCGTTGATGACTTTGTCCTGCCCGCCGTATGCTCCTGCAAAACTGACTCCATATGATGCATTCGCATTGGTTGTGACACTGATATTCCCGCCTTGGATGTCAGCCCAGCTAGTAACATCTCGCTTGTTGGCAAAGGTCGAGACAATGAAGCTGAAAATCGAAGAGCTGTTGCCGTACGGGTAGCTCAACTCGAGACGATTGGGAGAGACGATAGTCGTGGTTGCGTTTTCGCTAGCGTGGAGCTGTACCCAATGTTAGCATCAGAGTCATCAAGAACAAATAGAGGTGACTTACGGTGATGAAACCGATACCAGCACCAGTATTCCACTGGATCACGGCAGGATTGAATGTACTCGGATTGATCGCTGGTCCACCTATCACATTCTCGTCAAATGTTTCAGCACCGATGCTAATGTTTGGGGCCAGCCAAGTAGTGATGTTTCGAGGATAGTCATCGAAAGGGGGCGAAAATGTAGACGAGCTGAAGACGTGCTCTCCGCGGAAGTCTTTCAAAGCTGCCACGACATCTTCAGGGATCAAAGACGACTGGAGTTCTCCAAGGATGGCAAAGAGAGGTCCATAAGCAAAGTCTGCACTGTGTGACATGACTTGAGGACAAGAGATGAGAGAAGACTTGTCTTTTCCCATGATGATCCAAAACCATAGAGCCATCAGACTGAAGTACCTGTTCATATCGAAGCCATATGACCGATCCCAAGGGCCTGCCATGTTTTTGAGATGAGGGTGCCAGAGTTGTCCTACAGCCTCCCAGGTAGCTTTGATCATGTGTTCTCCATATTGGCTCATGACGGAGTCGGCAGGCAAGTATTTGGCCCATAAAGTCAGACCAAAAAGAGACACCCCTGTATATGTACCACTGTTGAATTCGGAAAGCGTTTGTGCGCGATTGAATAGGTCGATAATCTCTTGGGCATATTGTTCACCTGCCACAGTGAAATTGGAGTCGCTGAGCCGACGCCCGGTCCAGCCCGAGACGAACGCTCGCATGATAGACGGGTTCGAATAAGCAGGATATAGATTATCACCGTCAACGCCGCCAACTCTGTAGCTATCCCCGATGGTAGAGTTGCGTAGAGACTCAAGCATGAGGTTGGTAACACCGTCGCTGAGTAGATGTGGGAACTCTTCTAGACCGATAATGAAGGTCGTGCCAATGAAACCTCTCCAATTGGGATCCCACGAGTTGTAGATGTCCTCGGGATACGCATCAGTGCCTACATACGGCTCCTCAGGTTCCTTTTGGTAATCGCCAAACCTGAGATGTTCAGTCCACCTGATCTTTCGAGAGAGCTGTGATTGAGACATACCATTGCTCAGTTGGATCCTTGTACTGTCCATTGATTATGTTGGTCAGGATCTGCTCGGCGTTGTTGACATCGTCTCCCTCGTTCCTGGCCAACAAACCAATGGCATACCACGCCGAGCTACGTGTATCATGTCGAAGAGCAGCCGCAGCATCCAGACTATATAGATATCCAGCAGCGCGGTCGTAGTATCCGTCCATCCAGCTCATGGACTCATTGAGAACTCCTTGAGCATTGGTCGATAGCGAACTGACATAAGAGCACGACACCTGGTTGGCGCATACAGCCAGTACTGCGAGTATGTGCTTGCGAGACGGCATTGATGGTGGTTGACACTAATTGACGACAATACATCTTGGGAAGTCATAATGTTCTTGTATACCTGCCATAGCAAGACTCAGATTAGGGCGCAGAGATGATCGCCATGATTGCTGCGTATCATTGCGCCGGCCAAGCTGCGACACGACGCTATGATAGGCCATCTCTGGTATGGTCGGGTTGAATGTAACCGAAAAGGCGAGGTGGTCGAATGTTGATCAAACTTACGGGCTTCGATAGCGCCTTGCCATGTGCTGAAGTTTGTAACTCACACACTTCTCTCCTGGATGCATATACCATATTTCTCACTATAGAAACCCACAATAATATCCGGCTCAGAGGTGTATCCGAAGAGATCCAACGCACATCGTTTTCTCAATGTGAAGTAATCACTTATATAGACCACTGTGCATTTTTACAGCTCCACGCGTTACAAACTTTTGCAAATGGTGAGGCGGGGTCGGCCAACTCTTCGGTTAAAACCGTGTTCTCTATCCTCTTCGCAAGATGCAACCTCATCGCCGCCGTCCCGTAACATGTTCATGTACAGTGGTATCTGCCCACTAAATTCATCTGTCCATTCCGGCACGACGAAAGATAGCATGGTAGCAGATCTGCAAAGACTGTCGCATCGCGCTATCGCACATAGGCCAGCCCCGCTATCATCGCTTGGCCGGCCGCTCTATCGTATTCTGAATCCTGCGATATGATATACCTTTTCGAGTTATTGTTTATCGCTGGCTAAGGTGGCTCTGTACAGTCGGTAGGCCGTGTGGGTTTAAGACTCAGGCGGGTGCCCACAGCCTTCGGGTTTCTCTGCTCCAGTCGACCCAATTCAATTTTGCGATGCAGAACAAGGCAGAGAAAGACGAGGCGAGCATCATTGCACTGGACGCTCATAGCGATACGAAGGGCGAGATACACAATGCTGATGACATGAGGCTCCAGCAAATGGGTTGGTTGTACTCCCTGGTCGGCTTCAACGTGCAACTAATATAGTCAAAGGTCACACCCAAGAGCTCTCTCGACACTTCAGTGTGCTAAGTCTCATTGGTCTGGCCTCGACGTGTACCATTTCCTGGACGGGACTCGGCCTGGGTCTTGCGACTGAGATCGGAGCTGGAGGACCAGGAGCTGTGATATACGGATTCATCCTTATTGCCTTGTTACAATCATTCCTGGGCGCATCGCTGGCTGAATTCGTGTCCTCTTACCCAACAAGCGGCGGAATGTACCATTGGATCGCTGCCGTCGCACCAGAGAGATTGAGAGGCTTCCTCAGTTTTCAAACCGGATTCTTTACGTGCTTCGGCTGGATCTTTACCACGGCCTCGACCAACCTGATTTATGCGCAGAACTTCATGGCGCTTGTTGCTCTCTACCATGCGGATATGACGATCAAAACATGGCAGACCTTCTTGGTCTACCAAATCCTGAATCTCGTCACCGCTGCCACGGTCATGTATGGAAACCGGATCATCCCTGCTCTCAATAAGTTCTCGCTCGTCTACCTCCAGATAGGCTGGTTTGTTGTGATGGTCACAGTTGTAGCTTGCGCTCCAAAACACCAGAATTCAGAGTTTGTTTTCCGGACATGGATCAACAACACCGGATGGGAAAACCAGGTTATCTGCTTCATCACTGGTCTTGTCAATCCTCTGTATTCCCTTGGGGGACTGGATGGGATTACCCACCTGACGGAAGAAATGCCAAATCCATCTAGGAACGCGCCCCTCGCGATTGCAATAACTCTTGGTATTGCCTTTGTCACAGGTATAACTTACCTCATCGCCCTTATGTTCTCTGTTCAGGACTATGCCGCCTTGTCAAGTACGAACACTGGACTGCCTCTTGCAGAGCTCTTCCGACAAGTCACGAGTAATGAGGGCGGAGCTTTTGGCTTGACTTTTATCCTCTTCGTTGCACTAGGTCCGTGTGTGGTATCTTCACAACTCTCGACAGGTCGCATGTTCTGGGCCTTCTCGCGTGACGGCGCACTACCGTTCTCGAAGACCTGGTCGAAAGTCAACCATCGCTTGCAAATGCCCATGAACGCCCAATTTGCAGTCACAGCTATTGTCGCTGCACTTGGATGTCTGTATCTTGGATCAAGCACTGCTTTCAACTCTTTGCTTGGCTCAGCTGTTACCATCAACAATTGCGCATATCTCGTCCCAATCTTGACCAATCTTTTGACTGGAAGAAGGAACATGTACAAAGGTGTGTTTCACATGTCTGGATACAAAGGGTTCGTTGTCAATATTGTCACTGTCTGCTGGTTGACCTTTGCAATCGTCTTTTTCTCATTCCCATACTACAAGCCCGTCACTGGTAAGTTACGTATCACATGCAAAGATGCCAGGAAATACTGACTGGAACACAGCTGCAAACATGAATTATACATGCTTAGTAGTTGGAGGCCTTACTCTGTTCCAGTTGCTGTGGTATATCAAGGTCAGAGGTCGTTATAACGAGCGCGTTCAACGAGCAAAAGAAGAATAATCTCGGCCGATGATTGTAGAAAAGCAGAAAGATTTTTCGACGAAAGATGGGTCCAAGGAAGACTGGAACTCATCGCCTCTTCATGAGCATTATCATATCTCTTGAATTCAACGTGCATTCTGATGGCTGTCCGTATGACATGCTTCTGCACACGAGGAGGAGAGGTCGGGAAGGAGCAAGCGCGGGGCCGAGCTGAACCTCGATGGGTGCGAACAAGGTTTGTGGCTAACCACATGTAGTCATTGCCTCTACTCGACCTCGAAAAGTAGTCGCACCCACCTCCGAACGACATACAGTACATCGCAGATTCACACCGAGCATTCATGGCTCGAATTCGACTATTTCTGCATTTGCCGAGCTGAAACTTGTGTTTGCGTCTGCCTCTGCTGCACGGATCTTGCCAATACGAGATCTGACTGTGGCTCAACCAATCCATGTCTGTACATGTACATTGTATAAGTGACTTTAGAGTCTGGCCCCTTGACTCGCTGTCGCCGAACTGTTCAGCTCCGAATTTGTGGCTGCTCTTGCCGCAAGGCCTATACAGGAACTCACATCATACTTTATGGAAAGGTCAGCCTTAATGCTTCTCTTCCAGTGGCGATGACCCGAAACGATCAATGTACCATGGCGCCGAATACCTTGACTATCCCGAAGGATGGATTCGACCTTACGCTTGGTGGTCTCGACCGTAGAGCAAGTCACGATTGCTCAATTGAGCATCAGCGTCAAAGCCAGCCCTATCTGGTTACGAGCGTATTTTCGGACACATCTAAAGCATATGGTCCAGTATAGCCTCTGGGCTTCATAGAGCAAAGACGTATAAGAATGGGTATCACGCCCAGGTGCAGAAGCCATCAACATCCTCTGCATACCTCGCACTCCATATCTCAATTCCTCCAACTCTATTCCGTCTCGCCCTCGGCCCTATCATCACAATGCACTTCTCTTCCTGGACACCGCTTGCGCTCTCTCTTCTCACCATTTCCGCCACTGCGGTCCCCATCCTCGAAGCTCGCAAAAATGGTGGTGGTGGTGGTGGCGGTGGTGGCGGTGGTGCTGCTGCCACAAAGGGCGGTCCGGCTTCAGCAAAGGTCACCATATATAGCAGCTACACTTGCGCTGCACCTAATACTGTAAGACAAGGCATCAAAGCGTTTCGATGGATGTGGATACTGACGAGCTCCAAGCCTCCACCTACGGATGGCACCGCTGGCACATCTGTTTCATTCAGCGTCACAGAAGCCCAATGCACAATTCCCAACACAGGATTACAGTCATATGGAGCCTTGACTGCGACTCTGACTGCATCGCCCAAGACAGGCACACCTGGATGTAAGTTGATCGAGTCTTTACCTTCTCTGAGCAAATATTGACAAGCATCAGGCTACATCGTTGCCCATAGTCAACAAGGTTGCGGTATCGTCTTGTCAAACGTAATGTATGGATGGCCAGTGGCAGGAACCAACGTCGGAGATTCGCTTGGGTGTGGCAATGCTCCCGCTGGCACTACATGGTCCGCCTTTGAGATTCTCTGCCCTTGAAGCTATCCTGTTCCTTTCGAGACTTGACTAGATTGCGTAATGTATTTCCACGACTATACTCACATTATAAAGTTACTTTGCATTAAGGAGGATATTGTGCATCTAGCACTTGTTGCCTTGAGAGGAAGAATGATTGTGATCTTGAGATACAATACGTCCACTATAACTCGGTACAAAACTCTGAACGCTCCCTTTTTGCAGACTACGAAGTTGCATCCTGGATCTTCTTGTACGCAGCCTTGACCTCCTCGGTCTCTCCGTACTTCTTCAACCACTTTGAAACATTGGGATAGTCATCAAGGCTCAACTGTGCATAAGCGTGCTGACGGACCCAAGGCTCAAAGTGTGCATCCACAGCCGTATAGCCACCAGGCAAGATACTCTCACCTCCAGTCTTCTTCAATTGGCCTTCGAGAACCTGGTAGCAACGGTACGTTTGTGCTGCATAGCGGTTCAGAGCATCTTCGTTCTTGACTTCGTTGTAATGTCTAGTCCCGTATCAGTACAGAAGAAGCTGGAACGAACAAAAACGATCAAAGCAGCTCACGAACCTAAACCAATTGGTTTGTCCGGCCATGGGTCCCAGAGTCGTAAGCAAGAAGTACTCCCACTTCTCAGAGTCCACGATATCTTGTTCACTTTGTCCTTGAGGACCCAATTTGTTCTCCGTGTCGTACTTTCTTCTGATATAGTTCATCACAGCACCAGATTCCCAGGATACGACGCCAGAGTTGGGGTCTTCGAGTGCAGGTACACGGCCATTCTCGTTGATGGCCAGGAACTTGGCTCCCTTGAGGCCATTCTCGGCATTGTCACCAAACTCCCAGAGCTTGATTTCATAGGGCAACTTGAGCTTCTCGAGGGCAATGGCAATCTTGATGGGGTTGGGGCCCGTGGTGTGGGCGTGAAGGATCAAAGGTTTGATGTTTGACGACATGGTTGATTGTAGTGTTTTCGAAGTTATTGCAATGTTTCTGGTGGCTTGACAAGCAAAGAGGTAGCAAAGCGAGATGAGGTCCAAATGACGAGTGTGTCTTGGGGTAGATACATTCTACTGTAGGGATTGGCGCTATTGGGGTCGTTGAGAACAAATCTCCCTACCACCGTCTCCAAGTTTGAACATCTCCATTCTTATTAAGTCTTCATTGCTTCCTTTCATGCTTTGTCGTTTGTCTGTGTCTTGCCATTCCTTCTCTCAATCTATTCATGATCCATTGACCCGCAAAACAAGTCAACAATTGCTCTTGTGCATGCCGTCCTCCATCACGTCTTCCAGCCCCCGCGTATCCTCTGACGCAATCATTACCGCCCCCACGCGTTCATCCCGCATCCCTGATAATTCTTCCATCACATCAACCCTCCATACGCATCATCCTTTCTCTCCCAAGAGTTGACTCTCCTCACTCTCTGCGGCATATTCTGCGGTCTCGAGATCCTGAAGCCAAAGTAACTCGACTCTTTCTTCTTTTCCTTGATGGCCTTTTCTCTCGTCTCGTGCATTTCCTCCACTGATTGCGTGCGTCCGAGTTCAGATAAAAAGTCGACTTCAACAGCAACGGTTTCGTGATGTGCTTGTTGTGATTTCAGCGTTTGTATTGCCATTTGTTGGAAATCGTCGATGTCGAATCTGTTGCATAGAGATTCTGATTGCAGGGCGAGAACTGCGGAGCGAAGCCATGATTCAGAGGGTTGTGCCTTGTCGGTCTTGGACAGAACTTGTTGAACTCTCTCGCCAATGTTCTTGACGCTGTTTTCGCCGATGAGGAGCTTGACTAGTAGTTCCTCACCCTTGAAGCCATCGCTGTTTCGTCGTTGGCTGTGATCGGCCTCGTTGGATAAGAAGACTGAGGTGTGAGGGTGATCGTGGAAGAAAAGTCGTTTCTGCTTCATGGGCTGAACAGAGATAGCCCAAGTCGGTGGCTCTGCTGATGCAGCGTTTGATAGAGCGATCGCGTAAACGTGGTTCGAAGTCATGTTGCTCTCTGGTGAGTTTGACGCTTTTCGACAATGCAGAGAAAGAGGTTCTCGAGGACAAAAGACGGCAGTGCGTGTTAAGAGCATGTCGAACAGCCTAAAGTACTCAAGTATAGGCAACGAGTCAATATTACGGAGTGGTGATGGAATATAGGTTGATTAATTCTGGTGTACTCATCAGTGGCGCCTGTGGTCAATTTATCCAGACGCCCATGGTCGCTAGATCCGAGCCATACCGAGCCCCATCCGGAGTCACACAACTAACGTTCTGCATGCCTTGATTTGGCAACGCATCCATCACTTGATAGCGCTTGGCGGTATCTTCTGATGCGTGTTTCGACGAATCATCTGAAGACTCTCCGACAGCGACAACGGCGAGTGTCGGCTCTATCTCGTTGCGCTCGAAACTCGGCAGTCTTGTCACAAAACTCGGAGTCATGGTGTGCTACCTCTCGTTTGCAATAACGGGAAGCGTATAGAACGACTATTCTAAATCACAGACATGAAGGCACGACGAATCAAATTGACTGACTGTTTGGAGCAAGATATATCAAGGCAGCTATCAACTAATGTACAAATTCGTCTTCTCGCTTTCGCAGCAGGGCCACTTGTTTATCCCTTGAAGATGTGAACGGCCGAACAACACTCCACAACACAGGACTGATCCTCCTTTGCTTCTTCTTTGCACCATGACTTCTTCAAGATGTCTTGCAGTTGGTGCCGTGTGGGTGCAAGTGGTAAATGCAGGGGTTGTCCTTGGAGGACATCTGGATGGCAGCACAGGTAGATCTGCCCATGTTCAAGCAGAGCAGAATGGACAAGAGCAGTGGTTCGGGCCAGACCTGGTCTTGGTTAAGCTGGACACCGCTCAGAATTACGCAATGGCTGATCAACAAGCGAAATGTGCTGTTGACAGCGACCACCTTCAAGAGAGCGTCGATTTCATCGGCAGCAGCGGAGAGATCATCGGCAGTGATTGTCTTCCTGATGATAGCATCGGCGACAGTGTTGGTAAAGAGAGGAGCTTGGATACGTGCACCAAAGCGCCAGAGCTGGATGAGTGTCTTCAGGTCGATGTTGTCGTAAGCTTGAGCAAACGACCTTCCGTACACCCATTCACGGAAGACAGCATAGGAAGGGTCTTCAATGACATGGACGAGCTCCTCCTTCTTCACCTCGGAATCATCTGTGAAGGCAGTGGCAAAGAACTGCGAGTAATGGTTGAGAAGTGGCTTGTGAATACTACCAATGGTAAACTCGCCGACATTGACGTTGGTGAAGGATCCGATGATGGTGGGAATCGACCAGTTAGAAGGAACAGGGCAGCAGTTGTTGATGTATTCAGCCTCTGAGTCGCTGATGGCATTCTTGGACAGAGTAAGAGGCGAAGTGGAACGCGGAGGAAGGTAGTCGACGGCCCTGGGGTTCAGGCTGGGGGTATGGGCCTTGAGATCGATGTGCTTCTCCTTGTCAGACGAGCTAGGAAGTTCGGTCTTGAAAGCTTCGTAAGCAAGCGACGAAACGTCTGACTCATTGCCGTCGTCAGCTGCAGAGGTTGTGGGTGGACTGCCTTGGACGATGGCAGGCTTAGTATCGATGGCTGACTTGGCGACAGGGGCAGGTGACTGGGGTAGAGGAATGTCCTGAGCCATGGCCAAGGCCTTCAGTCTGTGGTGAGGACCAAGGCTGCGCAAAGGGCGAGGGGACGGGTTGGAAGACGGGATAGTAGACTGGATAGTAGACCCGACGCCATCGGCGACAGATGCAGTGGGCGTAGTGCCACTCAGCAGGTTAGAGGTCTCGAGGTCAGGAGCAGTTTGGAAAGCTTCATTCTTGATGACGATGGCGCTGGCGCTGGTCGAGAGGTTGGAACTAGAGCCACCAACGACTGAAGCTGCGCCATCGGGCTCAGACATGTCAGTGTGAGCAGCGTGACCGTTCATAGCGTGATCGATTACGGTGTCGGCGAGTTCAGCATCGTCCTTCTGTTTGATGTAGCGGGAGAGGAACTTGTGGGGGCCCAGACGCTTAGCGAGATGAGCGTTAATTGCTTCACGATCACCGTTGGTGAGATCGGCGAGTGAAGACTTGCGCACTTCGCTGGTCGTGGGAGAAGCTGCAGCCACGGAGGAAGAAGGATCGACAGTAATCTCGCTAGTGAGTCCAGCAGTGGGCTCCTCAGCAGCGACAGGATCAGTCTTGTGGTCGGCGACTGGAGACAGCTCGGGCTGCGCCTCAGCGGTGCCCCAAGAGTCTTGAGCAGGAGCGTCCCAGGACATGTCTTCGAAGATGTCGTTGATGGCTTTGGTAGTGGTGATGGAGCCGATTCCACGGACGTAGTCAGCAAAGGGAAAGGGCTGCGTCTGGCCGTGCGCGTTGTATTGCGCAGATGGAGACCATAGATTGAGCGCTTGGGCAGAAGTGTGGTGAAGAGGAAGGATTGCTTGAGAGCGTAGAGAGAAAAGAGAGTTGAAGTCGTATGAACAGGAAGTGGTCATGTTCGACGAGAGAGAGTGGAAGAAGGGCGCGATTGAAAAGAGACAGTCAAACACGGAATTTGATGTTGCTTGTGAAAGGAAGGCGCGCAAACAGGGCAGGCGCAAACACGGAAACTGCTATCACAACAATCGAACCACCAAGTGGATGCAAGACAACAGTCGAAGCAACCAAGACTTCCTTTCACTCCTACCATTGACCCGGTGTTCTGGCAGAATTTTCTTATTGTACCTACCGTCTAGAGTCAGTCGATGAACTGGCATTGATACTTCACCTAGCCCATGCTTGCTGCTCTTTTGCTGCTTTTTGGAAGTAACCTCAATTACAGCCATTCAAAGCAACTTATCGCCATCACCCGGCATCCCGAATCTCGATGGGATACACTTCGACAGCACACAGTGCTTTGAGGAAGACAAAAGAGCAGCCTGCTTGTTCAAAAACCATACTACTCTACATGCATCTTTTGACCAAAGAAAGTGTGAGCAACAGCTTCAATACGATGGAAGGAGGTCTGTCTGACATTGCCCCTCTAGCGTGATGAACTATACGCATGCTCGTATAAACAAGGCTGAGCCGCTGGGCCACGCGGCGTTGACAGGAAACGGCGATAAGGCGAGCTCTCTCCGAAACACCCAAGATAATCTGTGACATGATGATCACCCTTGATCCTTGCAAAACTTATCAGGTACCAACTTGGCGGGCCTCGTCGTCCTTGCAAAAAAGCACTGCCACACATGGGTGAGTTCAGTCATAAACATTGATCTTCGTAGCTTTTCTGTTTTCCTTTGTGTCACCTACCTTGCTCTTCCATAGCGCCTCTCCAACTTGACATCTCCTATCCATACAAGACATTTCCTGTCCAACCTTCGCTCGAATCAACCCCGATACAACAAGATGCGCTTCATCTTCGTCACGGCTCTCGCAGCTCTCGCTGCTGCACAAAGCACCACCTTAATGGACTCCAGCGCAAGCGGCAGCATGACAACCTCGACTTCCTCAGCCGCACCCTCTTGTGGCGCTGGCCAGTCAACCTGCAACGGAGTTTGTTTCGATTCGAGCGAGTACACTTGCTGTCCTGCGGGACTCTGTGCCGCTGGCAACTACTGCGGTCAAGACAGCTCCGGCAACGCTGCCTGCTGCGCCCAAAACACCGCAGGCTCCTGCTCCGCGGCTTCTACACCAACTTCCCTCAGCCGTGGTGCTACTGCCTCGTCAGGTGCAGCGACAGCAACCTCCTCGGCAAGTGGAAGCAAGAGTGCTAGTTCTTCGTTGAGCGCTTCGGGCTCTCAGAGCAGTGGTGCAAGCACTGCTAGTTCTTCGGGCGGTGCTGCCGGTCACGCCGATTCCTGGCTCTCGAACGCCGTCTCCTATGCTGCCGGCGGTCTGGTCGCTGCTGCTTTGATCTAAAGATACCCATGATACGATGATGGGAAAAGAGAGCTTGGGACATACTGGAGATACCCACGGCTGGAACGATTTACTTTCTCTGTACATATTCTGAATTTTCATCCCACTTTACACACGAGTTCTCCTTAATACACTGTTCGCTGCCTCTCTAGTGCCCGACCATCTTCTGGTGGGCCTCGCCGTATCTGTTACCATGGGGCTTTGCGCTGTCAATGATCTTTCTCATCTCAGCCTTCTCCTCTTCGTTCAGCTCGACATCCCTTGAAGCCCAGTTCTGCTCTAATCTATGTGGCTTGGTGGTGCCAGGAATGGCGATGAAGCCTTGAGCAGTAACCCAAGCAAGAGCAATTTGAGTGATGGTACAGCCCTTCTTGTCCGCCAACTTTTTGATCTCCTCAACGATAGCTTTGTTCTTGTAAAAGTTATCGCCCTGGAACTTGGGAGCTGTAAGTTGGCAGCAGTCAGTACATTGGCAAGATGGTAGGAGACATCGGATGATTAGAGAACTCACATGTACGTCTGAAATCATCAGGGGCAAAATCGTCAGGCGTCTTGAACGGAAAGTCGTCTACAAGGAACCCATGCCCAAGAGGACTATACGCCACGTACGCAACCCCCAACTCTCTAGCGGCCTCAATCAATCCGTCAGTCTCATGGACGGTTTCAAAGGCAGAGTACTCCGCTTGGATCGCGTCTATCTTGGCAATAGCGTTGGCCTTTCTCAGCGTGCTTTCAGAACACTCAGACAATCCAATATATTTTGTCTTCCCAGCCTTGCGGATCTCATCTAAAGCAGGAATGGACTCTTCCAAAGGAGTATTGGGATCGATGCGGTGGAGGTAGTAAAGATCAGGAGCAAAGCCCAATCTCTCAATGGTGCCATCGATGTATTTCTTGATGTGATCGGCAGAGTTGGTCACACCCGCCTTCTCGAAAACTGCAAAGCCACACTTGGACGCAATGAAGACCTTGTCGCGCACGTCGTGTTTGCGGATGAAGTCGCCAAGGAGTGTTTCATTGATGCCTGCTGCATAGACAACGGCAGTGTCCCAGAATGTGCAGCCGAGTTCAATAGCCTTGAGCAAAACAGGTTCGGCTTGTTCGAGTGTAAGGTTGGTTCCGAGGCCAAAGGAAAGACCCATGGCTCCGAAACCAGGACTGTTGACATTGATGCCTGAAGAGCCAAAAGGAAGTGTCTTGACCATGATTGCAGATATGGAGATGCGTGGGACGAGATACTCGGTTTCTTGGAGGTCGATCCTAGCAGTTCGTGTCGTTAAGAGATAAGGCGGTCCAAGGTAGTCGAAGCTGATGTGACTTTCCAGTAATGCGAAATGCTTGAGAATTTATGTTCATCTCATGCCACCTCGTGATGCTCCGGTCATAGGCAACCCCTAACTCCGCAACCTCCTTGAGTAACTGCTCTAATTCCATCACCATGTCTAATCCCCGTTTTTGTTGAGAGCATGCAGTCAGTCATGTGAAAACCTTCTTTGTACATTGTTCCTAGATACTCATGGGGCCTGTAAGTGGGCATTGTGCCGTTCATCTTCGAAGAAATCCGCAGCAAGCCGATCCTCTCTCTGGCGTGCCACCCCGTAACCATGCAATACATACAGTAAGGCCAATCGAGCCGCTGACAAGCATCGATCAACACTCGAGTGGACTCTGAAAAGTCCGAGGAATATAGCTCTGACAAACATAACAGGTACGAAAACGCTATCAATCAAAATCACAAATGTCAACAACGTAGTGCTGAAAACATGTCGAGGCCCAGTAGGAATGCGGGATTCGTGAACCGACCTCCCGAGCATGCGACAGGTCTTTACCAGGTTTCCTAGTGCCGTTAGTGTATGTACGAGAAGCTTTGGTAATAGAACACCTACTGCAACGTATTGGCCATCATCTCTCTTTTGCGCCCAGAAATCCTTAGCCTCTTCAAAGTTGAGGTTGCCCTTGTCCATGGCGACGTCGATAAGAGCTTCCTCTACACCTTCGCCCATGCCTCTCGAACTTCCACAGACAAAAATGCGACCGTCAAGAGCGTTGATAACAAACCAGACGATGTCTGCCTGTAGACGGACCTCGTCTTGGACGTATTTGGCTGCTTTGTTCGCTTGTGTATCAGACACAACCTTGCCGGTCACTTCACCACCCTTCTTAGGTTGGATTTCAACGACTCCAGGATCGGATACGTCAACCGGTGGAGGTTTGGCGCGAGACTGAACGACCTTCTTGATTTGCTGTTCGTGGTCACCCAGTTCTCCAGAATAGATCTCGTCCAAAGTCGAGTCTCGTACACCCTGGATCAGCCAAATTTTGTTGGCGCACTTTGAGTTGCGGAGGCGATTGAGGATGAAGCCACGGAAGGGAGCCATGCCCACGCCAGCACCAATCATGATCATCGGGCCCTCTGAATCAAACTTCTTTGACAGAGGGTTGGCCATTAAACCACGGAACATAGGGATACGCACACTCGGCATCTCAATCTCGCCACCTGATTGCTTGGCCTTCTTCTCGGCATCAATAAAGTGGCGGGCGACACGCTCGAGGTAACCAGAACCAACTCCTGTGCGCATCTTTCCGTCCCAGCTGGGATTCTCGTGGACAGTGACTGCAATTTCGATGATACGACGTCCGGCGAGTCCCTCTCGGTCGGAAGAGACGTGAGGATCGTTTGAAAGTGAGTAGAATCGAGGCATTAGCTGGTTGAGACAGCTTAGCAGCATTTCCAAAGGTGGTCTAGATGAAGGGAAGGCCTCCAGAAGTCGGAGCAGTGTGATATTGGGCCCAACACGAAGGTCACAGAAAGCACCTTGACCTTGAGCACTAGCCATGTATTCAAGAATCTTGCGCTCGTTTTTCGCATCGGCGTGTTCGGCCAGAACACGGAAGAGCTGCTTAGTTGGTGCAGACGATGCGATATCGACACACCAGGTCAAGAGCTCTCTGCGGGTGGTCAACAGCTCACGAGCCTTCTCGTCTCCCCAGATGGTAGGCCATCGTCCGCCTTCAGTCTTTAGGACTACAGCCTTGTCACGCACGAACTTAGGGGTACCAATCCTGTCGAAGATGGTGTCGACAGCGGATGCATCGTTGGGTGGACAGATACCAACAGCACCGCCGACCTTGAAATCGATGTCGCCTTCCTTGGGGTAATCGGTGATGTCAATATCGAAGTGCACAGTGCGCTTTTCGGCACCTTCGTTGGTAAGCTGACGAGCATGGAACACAGGCGCAGAATAGACATCATAAGGAGGGTGAGGCTGAACAAAGGTAGGTGGGTGGACGTCGACGGTGCTCTGGTGACTCTTGGCTTCGTCCTTTGAAACAGGTTCCAACGAGAATTTGGGTTTGGGTAGTTCTGTGAGATCACTCAGACCAGTGTCGAGAGTCAAAGCATTGATCTTGAGGTTCAAGCCACGGAAAGCGTCGTTGTCAGGTACCACGACGGGAATGAAACCAGGTTGAGTTGTGTCCGGAGGAAGTGTCTTGATTTTGCAGCAGTTCGCAGCCGCTCCACAGCAGTAGTTCTCCAAGAACTTGGTACCAGTCTCACCAGTACCAAGCAACTTGCGAATGTCGTCGGCCGACGATGTGATTAGGTGAGTTGAGGCACGGCGCTTAGCGACCTCCTTTTCGATCGGGCTCTTCTTTTCTCTAGGCGTCGCGTCGTCGAATTGATCGTACAACTCGGTCGAGGGCGTCGAAAGTCCAGATTCGAAGGTACCCTCAGACCAAGCCATTGACTCGCCCAGCGAGTCGCCCGACGAGCGTGGCGATTGTGATTGTGAGTGGACGGATCGCTTTGACGGCGACATGCTGCCCTGCGGGATGGTGATGGGCTCGGTGGGAATCGGGTTGTCCGGGTGTGATGTGGCCGAGGTGGGAATGTGCTTGTGAGTGTGAGTCGTCATGGTGAACGACGAGAGCGAATGGCGACGAGGCATGTTGGCGAACTGTGTGATAGTCGCTGCAGGAGAAAGCGTGTCAGTATTATACGACGCGAGGTGACGCTCGACATTTGCCGTAAAGTGGAAAAGTCGAGGTTCGTCATTGTGCCGATGGTGGGGCGTCGAGACGCATAAACCACTCACCACGAGGAGATCGATCTGATAAAGATAAAGGAAAGGAAAGAGTCGTTCTCCAGAAGAGTGCCCTCTGGACGGCGACGCGTGAGTTCACTTTGACAAGAATTGTTAGGTATATAGAGAGCAAAGCTAGCGAGCAATTGCTTCAATGAGTTGTTGTGTTCAAAAGTCTTGTGCGGTGGAAAGCGGGTGGGAAGGAGCAGAAGTACATCAGAAAGTGGAAGGTGTTGGGCGCACGGCTTTGTCAAATGGCAGTTGCCCGCCTCCACTCCAACTCTTGGCCGCCCCTGCATTCGAGCGTCACCGAAACATCTTCGTGCCGGAGATCCTCGATTGATAAGATTGACATCAACATTGACACCTACTCCTTGCGTAACATGGTGAGTCACTCTATATTGGCTGGAAACAATCTTGATCTTTTCATTTTCGAGTCTGCAAGTGCTTAATGGCGTCCGATCTGTTTCTTCGTATTGTTATTGTAGATTTCGATGTGCGGCCGAGTCTTTGCCTTCCGATCAGTGGCTCCCGTGTCCCGCGAACCTGGTTATCGACCTCGGCTGGTCATCGACACTCTTTGGCACGCAAAATTTTGTATTCCTCTCGTTGCCTTACTGCCAAAAGGATCACTTAACCAGATTTATATGTACTTGCAAACAGTGTTTCGTGTTCTGTTGTCTACCCGACATCGCGTGTATGTCTAAGTCGGCATAAAAGGCCGATCAGCTTATTCATGGAGATCGTACGAGAGACTCCTGATCACGACATCTCTAACCTGGTGACGACGTGCTGCGATTGCTCGAGGGTACTGCAGGCATATGGATCTTGCTTTCTTAACAAAACGAATCAAACAAGCAAATGGCTCCGTTCATTGGCTTATTCATGCTGGCGCTCTATCGGCCATGCTACATTACTGACACTTTCAATCCATACCTGGATCCTCAATCTCTGCAATCACGCGTCCTTCCTGATCGTGAGGCATCTTACCAGAGCGCTCAATCTCCTCCATCTGCTTTCTGCCCTCTTCGGTCGTTGCATCAATCACACCCTCTTCCAAGCTCAGCATACCACCTTCGCCGAGCTGTGCCACAACTTGCTCGGCCTCGTCGACGCTCATCTTGCCCAAGACTTCATTAACCCTGTCTAAGCTTCCACTTTCGAGCGCGCGTTGGAGGCCTGGAGGGAAGGTCTCAAAGACGGCACGAGCCTCCTTGGCATCTTCGTCTGTGGAATCGGCGGGCGGTACAACAATGTTGATGGTTGTGTTTGGGTCGACTGCATGCAACTGAATCTGCTCGACACCACCAGTACCCTCTGCTTCGTCACGCTTGCGCTGCTCGGCAAGTTCTCTTGTACGAGATCTGATTCTGGCATATGTTGTGTTGACGTCGTCCATGAACAGCTTCTGTGCTTGGTGACCCTGTGTAGTAACGCGCTTGAAGAACAGCTGTACTCCGTCGCGACCGAGCTGCCTGCAGTACTGCAGTAACAGAGCTTGATGGACACACTGTCTGGCGTAGTCGTCTTTGCCATCACTCTGAGCATTGAAAGCCTCGACCAGTAAGCCGTCCGTCTCTTTCTCGGCCATGACTTCGGTATTGTTTGAGATGAATTCCAGAGAAGAGCGGTAGTCACCAGCTCTGATTTTGGCAAACTTTTTTGCTAGGGGCGAGGCCTCCATGTCCTCATCGTCGCTATCCAGACTGGCAGTGGGTTTTGTGACAATCGATTCGTCCTCGATATCGGCATCAGCACCAGACGACTGACCAGTTTCGGTATGCTGAATCGAAGGACGCGAAGGGTTGAGAAGTTCCGGACCTGACGAGGCCTTGCTGGGGGCGGGCTTGGTTGAAGGTTTGGAAACGTGAGAGCTATCGAAGCCGGTGCGGTAAGTTTCGCTGGTGATCTTTGCCTTTTCCTCCTTTTCGAGCTCAGCAAGCTTCTCCAGTAGCTGGACTTGCAGGTCCTGGATCTTTGTCTTGTGTGAGGTGACTTCGGTGATGAAGGCAGCGTAGTATGCTGATGGGGCAGGCTTGGCCTCGTCTACGGCCTGCTTAGCCTGATCGACCAGAGCAGCCATCATCTTGCTGTAACGTGGAGGGTCTTGGACATTTGCGTGGACACCGCCTGGTGGGGGTGGAGGGGTATCCTTGTCAGGAGAGCCGGTGCTCTTGATGAGGGCTTGGAAGATGTAACGTTCGAAGCCTGACTGAGCCTGTTCGGCCTCTTGTTTGAAGGACTGCAGAGAGTCGAGCAGGTCGTCTATGCGCTTGATCAGGCCATCGTTGATGATCTTCTCGTACTTGAGGGTCTCGATCTGGTGTTTGCGATCGACACGCTGTTGGTGGATCTGATTCTGCTTTGCGCGGATGAAGGAACGCTTGTCGACATTGGGATGGACTTCGATGTCGGAGTCGTCAGACAGCTCGAGAGCGTCCTAGAGATTGTTGTCAGCTTCCAAGCAAAGAAATTCAGGAGAAGGATAGCTACCCATTTGCTATAGTCAACGGGCATGACTGCGGGGCTCTTGACAAGAAGTTGGAGTGGACTGTTCTCTGAGGTATACCAACGATCAAGATGTGCTGCTTGTGCCAGAGAAGGATGCTTGCATCAGAATACGGAGGGATTATTTACAAGGTACTCGGACATGAAAGATGCAATGTCTCTCTTGTTGTTTCGAAGCAGATGGAAACGCCCGAGCTCTGCGAGCGCGCGCCGGGCCGAGGGTTCATGATGACGATGCGACAAAGACGCGGCTCGACGTCTGGACGGCCAGAGCACCTGCTCAGACTGGCTCAAGTCAACTCATGTCGCATTCACTCACACACCGCCCGTAACAAGAATGCCCATTGCTGTCCGCCCTGTCGACTTGTTGCGGTAGACGACCTCTCGCTCCCCACCTCGCCCTGCTCCGTCTGTCTCTCCCTGTCGGCTGCCGCCAGCCCTCGCCCTCGCCCTCGGAGCCCCGCCTAGTCATGCACCCTCGCCAATGGCTCTGCTCAAGAGCATGTCAGGAGTCATCTACTCTGTTGTCCGTCCTGTCGAGGTCTTCTCTTGCTCCAGCTAGATACAGTCGCTTTCTGAGCACACAACCGAAACAACCGCCATCAATACCCTCGCATACCCTTGGCCTCTCATGCGCTCGCTTAACACCTCTATCACGACCCTCGTCGCATTCGCCCACTCAGTCCGCTGTATCACTGGCTTTCAGGCGCCCATTTACTCGTTCTGCGATTGTCGCAAAGTCTCAAGAGGCTGCCCGCTCATATCGAGATGAGATCAAAAACCAACCAGATCGCGAGGACGATGATGCCATGGACGACCAATCATTCAAGCCCACAGAAAAGGCAAAGAGTGCTGCTCAGCTGAATTTGTCGGCAAAGCTGAGCAAGGACGGCAACGGAAAGACTGGTGGCCAGAATGAAATTTGGAGATTGCTCAAAATTGCCCGTCCTGAGCTCAAGGTCCTCTCCTGGGCTTTCCTTTTCTTACTCATATCATCATCTATCTCCATGTCTTTACCCTTTTCAATCGGTAAGATTATGGATGCTGCTACCAAGCCTGCTGAAGAAGGCGGGGACCACCTCCTTGGTATGACCATGCCTGTCTTCTACATTGCTCTGGGCACCATTCTCTCCATTGGTGCTGCTGCAAACTACGGCCGTATCATCATTTTGCGCATCGTTGGTGAGCGTATTGTCACCAGACTGCGTTCTCAGCTCTTCAGACGTACTTTCATCCAGAACGCAGAGTTCTTCGATGCCAACCGCGTAGGTGACTTGATCTCGCGTCTTGGCTCAGACACCATCATTGTCGGAAAGAGTATCACTCAGAACGTATCTGATGGTCTGCGATCCCTGGTTTCTGCTGTCGCTGGTTTCGGTCTCATGGGCTATGTCAGTATCAAGCTGACTGGTATCTTGGCTCTCATGTTCCCACCCGTCGCCATCGGGGCTTTCTTCTACGGTCGAACCATCCGCACGCTATCGAGAACCATCCAAAGGAACCTTGGAACTTTGACAAAAATTGCCGAAGAGCGTCTAGGAAATGTCCGCACCTCTCAGGCGTTCGCTGGTGAGCAGCAAGAGGTGCACCGCTACAACACCCAAGTGCGCAAAATCTTCGAGCTCGGCAAGAAGGAGGCTCTTATTAGTGCTGTTTTCTTCAGTACCTCTGGCTTCATGGGTAACATGACTTTCCTGGCTCTCTTGTACTTTGGTGGTGGCATGGTCAAGACTGGTGCCATCAGTGTCGGCGATCTGACCAGTTTTCTCATGTACACAGCATATGCCGGATCCTCACTGTTTGGTCTCTCTGGCTTCTACTCGGAGCTGATGAAAGGGGTGGGAGCTGCGTCGCGCCTGTTCGAGCTACAAGACCGCGAGCCTACCATCAGCCCTACCAAGGGTGAACCTGTCAAGAGTGCGAGAGGTGATATCGTTTTCCAGAAAGTCAGCTTTGCATACCCCACTCGCCCGGCGGTGCCCATTTTCAACGAGCTAGACTTTACCATCAAGCAAGGCACCAATGTCGCAATTGTTGCTCCATCGGGTGCTGGTAAGTCTACAGTGGCCAGTCTGATCATGCGCTTCTATGCACCTGCCAACGGACACATTCTCATCGGTGGACGCGATGTGACGACCATGAACGCCAAGCAGTTGAGGAGGAAGATTGGTTATGTCGGTCAAGAGCCTGTCCTCTTCTCGGGCACAGTTGCTGAGAACATTGCCTATGGCCGACCTCTGGCAACTCGCGCAGAGATCATCGCTGCTGCACGCCAGGCCAACTGCCAGTTCATCTCCGACTTCGTAAGTGTTTTCCTCATACTCCAAAGACCAACATGATGCTAACCAAACTCACAGCCCGAGGGCCTCGAAACACACGTCGGTGCAAGAGGCACGCAACTTTCCGGCGGTCAGAAGCAAAGACTGGCCATCGCCCGCGCCCTGCTCAAGAACCCAGACATCTTGATCCTGGACGAAGCAACGAGTGCACTAGACGCCGAATCCGAAACCCTGGTCAATCAAGCCCTGAACAGACTTCTCGCAGGCAACAACACCACGATTTCCATCGCACATCGCTTGTCGACAATCAAGCGCTCAGATATGATCATCTGCATCGACAACGAGGGCAAGGTAGCCGAAACAGGCACTTACAACGAACTCAGCAAGAAGAAAGAAGGCGCCTTCAGCAAACTGATGGAATGGCAAATGTCTGGCAATGAAGCCGCAAAGTCACGTCCTCATGGCCCGAAGATTGGGGAGGAAGAGGAGATTGAGCATGAGCTTCAAGACGGTGAGGCTGAGCAAGAAGGTCGTGATCAGATGCAAGAAGAAGGTACAAAATATAGAGGCGAGGACATCACTGCTGGGGAGGCTGTTGCCGAGAGGACGCCAAAGAGTACAGGGAGATAGATGAAAGGGATGGCAAGTTGCGTTACTGCGTTTCCCGTTTTTGTCCTCCTCACGCTGCTCTTGGATACCCCCTCACTCTCACCTTTGCCATGTAGACGGTTTGCATCTTTGTTCTTCTGTTTTGCTAGAATTCCGGTGGCTTTGCATTGTTGTCAAAGAAGTAGATGGAAGTATACCCCACTCAATGATTATTTACCATTTATCGACACCATCATGCACTTTATTCTAGAGCTTCACTTGGTAATGTACACAGTTGCACTTTGAACACTGAAAGTGTCATGTACGATGTGAACTGTAGATGAAAGGATCAAATGTTCGAATTCTACATTGTTCTTTTCTGCAGGCAACAGCATAGGCGCAAGAAAGGGGGGTATCTCTGTCTTAGTAACCGCTGGCGCCAGGAGCCTTCTCATCCTTGCGAAGGTTGAGCAACAGTTCCCTGAACTTTGACTTTGCCGAACCCTGAGCACCGCCAGAGTTGCCCTTGCCACTGAGATCAACAAGCTTGGAGACTCTGTCCCAGCTGGTTCCGCCGGCGGTAGTGTCCTCTCGGGACTTGAGGAACTCTTCTGCCTCCTTGCGGGTCTGGGAGACGGTCTTGTCCTTCTTGTTGTTGTAGTTTTCGTAAAAGTCGTCGATTGCTTGGTGGGCGGCCTTGACGGTTTCTTCCTTCTTGTTCTGGGAGACTTCGTCTCTGTGTTGGAGGGCCATGTCTCTGCGCTCGCGCCATTCGCGAATGACACCAGGTTCGGATTCGTCTTGGAATGAGGCTTGGTTTGATTTGGGCTGGTATGGTAGTGCAGAGCCGGTAATTGTGCCGCCAGGCGCTACTCCCTGTATTTGTGGTACACGTCAGAAGGTGTTGATTGGTAGTGAACCAGAAGAGCAGTGAAGGCTAACCTCGTTTGATGTGTCAATGGCAGGGAAGCTGGACTCGAAGCCACCCATCTCGTGGTCGGCAGAAGCCTGGTAAGATCCACCTCCTCCAAGAAGGTTATCGTCGTCGTCGACAGTAGCGGCGTTGTCGGCGGGAGTTGCGAATTGGTCTGCGTCGTCGCCCAGGAGAGCGCGTTCACGGGCCAAGAAGTCTGAGGGGTCGTCGGCCATTTGGGTAGTGTCCATGTTGTTGTCGGCGGTGGAGTCTCCGATCAGACCTTGAGAATGATGTGTCAGTCCAAGTGTGATCAGTAGTGATCTTGATGCAGTGGTTTACCAGAGTCAAGGTCCTCAACCGAGGGAAACTTGTCGGCCATTGTGGTGTCTGCGGTGGTGTGCGAGCAGTGAGGCTGACGGTGAATGGGTTCAGTGTTCCGGTCGGAGTGTAGATGGTTGTGAGAGAGAAGCGGTGATGAGGTGGTGATTGTTTGGCAGTCGGATTGACGACAGCTAATGTCCAGGCGGGCTTGGGGTACACGGAGCGCCAAAGCGCCGGCCGATGATGCGGGAGAGCGCGGGCCCGCGACTTTCGACTTGGCGCCTCCTGCCGCTCATAAAGTCAAAGCACCTTGATTGCGCGCCGCGACTTGCAAGTAGCTGTCGATTGCTGCTTGCTGTCAGTTGATCCTCTGCCATCACATTCTTCTTTCGTCTGGTGCATACACAATGGCCTACGCCGATGACGCCGTCAGAGCAAAGCTCTCGGCCCTGAACGAAACTCAAGACAGCATCGTCAGTGTCGCTCAATGGATCATCTTCCACAGGTTTGTTCGCTTTGCGCCGCGACCCGTTACAACACCATAGCTGACTCGCATAATCAGACGACACGCAGACCGCACTGCTGAGCTCTGGTTCGAGAGGCTCAAGGACTCAAACCCGCCTAAGAAGCTCAATCTCATCTATCTCGCCAATGGTACCTGACTACACACCTTCCCTCACACACGACCACTACTGACGCATCCCGCAGAGGTTGTCCAGCAATCAAAGGCCCGCAAAAAGGACGACTTCCTCGTCGCCTTCAGCCCTGTGCGTACACTACTATAGCATTTCCATAGCCCCTTCTGACCATACCAGATCATCGCAGAAGCCACATCATTGGCATACAAGAGTGGCACACAAGACACCGGCGGCAAGATCAAGCGTGTTGTTGAAGTCTGGCGTCAGCGCAACATCTTCGAGCCCGCCATACAAGATGCAACCGAGAAGCGCATTCAAGGTACGAGCCCTCGTCGTCCTACACCGCATCCGAACGACTAACACCACCCAGAAGTCGACAAGTCCCGCACAGCTCGTTCAGGTGGTGCACGTCTCGGTGGTTCCCTCCTCGGCGGTTCTCTCTTCTCAAACTCTTCTGCCCCGTCAGTACCACCTGAGCTGCAATCTCTGGTACAACTGCAGTCCACCTTTTCCCGCTGCGACGCTACCGCTCAACCCCTGCTCCAGACCGCCGATACCGAGTACACAAAGTCGACGGATCCAAACACACCTGTACCCAGCCCTCCTGTTCACGCCGCTCGTCTCTCGTCGCTTTTGAAGAACCTTGCGGCTGCAGAAGGCGCCCTTGACGCCAGCCTCAAGGCCCGACACGAGCTCATCGCCAGCCTGCAGAAATTGCTTGACTCCAACAAAGCCAAGCTGGAGTTTGAACAAATGGCACACTCGGAGCTTTCGTCCCGCCGCGCTACCATCGAGGCAAAGAAGAAGGATGTCGAGGACGGCATTATGCGTGGTCTGTCCGCCGATGCGTCGGCCACCGTCTCCTCTGGCCCTTCCGCGGATCCTCGCCCTGCTGGAAACGACGGCAGTCCTGAAGTCGAAGCTTTCACTCCTCCCCCAGAGGTCGAAAACTTCACGCCCAGTGGATCTCCTGAACCCGCCTATCCTGCCGACGATCACGCCTACGGTCAAGACTTCCTGGAATCAAACACTTTTGCCGCGGATCGCAACCAGGAACAGGAACCCATACACACCGAACCAGCTCCCTCATACGAGCCCCCACTAGCTCTCCAAACTGGCGCTCCAGCCATGTCAGAGGGCGCAAACATGTTGCTCAGTAGTCTCACTCGTCCTGCATCTAACAGTCCTGCTGCCACTGCTGATCCCCGACTGAAGAGAAGAAAGATGAATCACAACTCTGAAACTGGCGAGGATCTCTTCAGTACGGGCGATGGTGTCGGTCTAGACAAGGATGTTGCTGCCATGCTTGGTGCCCAGTGAGCTTGAACGGGTAGCTGGCTCTTCCAGGGGTTTTCCACATACCGCCGGTGGCTACGATTATACGGATATTTAGCTCTTTCTGCTTTTCGCTGGCTCTCAGGACGGACCTTTAGTATCTTGTAGTCTGACAAAACGGTCGCTCAAGTCAATAGCTTTCACACTGCGGACCTTCATATGAACAATAGCATAGAAACTCGGATTGCCACCTCCTCTCAGGACTACTTCTTCTTCCATGCTCCTCTGCTCGAATGTTTCTCTCCCTCTCTCCAGCTCGTGCTTTCCAATCTGGTCGCTCCAATACTTCATTCCTTCCATTACCCAACTTGTGATGACTTACGCCTTTGCCCAGCAGTCTGCTACTCCGGCGCTACACATCGGCGCTGTAGCGACCTTGCTGCCTAAGAGCGTGAAGAGGTTCAGTCATCCTTCCGTTTGCTATCAGCATCACACTACTCTCGGGTCATCGATAGCTGATCACGAGCGCTCGATTTCAACAGAACCGGACAGCTCAAGTCGCTTCGAGTGAGCTGGTAGTACATCACTCACAAACAATCACAGTCGTTCAGGCTTCAACACCTAGAGGCTTGCATGCGTGTGCGCACTAGTTCACTTCGAAAACACGCACCTTCTGTTTCTAGCGACTCCTTCCTTGACGACTTCTTCTTCTCACTCATCCTCCTTAATCGCCCCTTCGCCACCAATCTTTCTCGGCGTTCTTCTCACTGCTCTCTCTCTTCTCTATCTGTCTTCTTGTTTCGCCTCTCCCGACCGTACTTCCTCAACCCACTTTCACCAACCATCATAAAATTCCTTTCTTTTCCCAACATTCCCCTGCGCTAGCCAACCATGGCGCGCATAATGCAGACAGCCAGAAAGAATACCGCTAAGTCTGCTCCTGGCAATCTTGAAACCCGTTCTCTGCACAGAACAGGCTTTAAGAGCAAGCAGGAAGCTGCGGCGACCAAACTACCCCTCAAGCTGAACAACATCCTTCAACTTGCCCGCCCAAGATGGCCTGCGAATGATGAGGTGACACCTGAGATATCTCTGAGAAAGATCAGACAACTGGAGAGTGGAAACGTCGACGAAAAACTAATGGCTTGTTTTGCAAGACATATCATCAAACCAGGCCAACACAACCGCGCGCGCTGCTGGGTATCAAGGCGTTCTTTGAGAAAGGCTTTCCCAGAACATTTCGGCCAGGCTGGATTCCTTGCTGAGTCCACTTGGCAGCACAAAGCAGCTAGCGACTTTGGTTTGCCAGACATTTTCTTCCGATGCGTCGATGATCGGAGAGCCCTCTTAGGTCCTCACAAGTCTGTCGAGCATATGATCGCAGATATCGGTTATGCACCTGATCTGAAGGCGCTAAGTCACAATGAGTACCAATGGCTGCAACAGCGTGATTCAAATGACGAGCAAGACTCATCAACGAACCTCGAGCAATCGAGTACCCCCGTGAGGCTCGACGTACACAATGAAATCAGTCTGGACGCGAAAAACGTAGGGGAGAACATCACGCAACTACCCGAACATCTTCAACCTATGCCTTCTGTAGGGTCACATCCAAGGAGAAACACAAAAGCGCCTGCCATTTCAAAGATCACGCCAAGTCGCGACCTAACTCTCCCTATCAAAGCAGAGCCCATGGAAAGCTTGCGTCATGAGCATGGGACATCTTCACATCAGCCGAAGCTTAGCACGCCTCGCACTACAGGTACACAGGGTGATAACACCCACACGACCACGCAGCACAACACTCAAGGTCAACAAGAGCAAGTAGGCACCATTACCGAGCCGGCACAGCTGCCCGGACCGTCTGGTGCAAACAACATGACAGCCGTCAAAACCATCCTCATTCCCAGATTATGCGATATTCTTCAAGACTTTCCTACGGCTCCGAATGACGAGTTATTTCTACCCTTGCTGCATCAAAGCCACGGTCGCAAATCTGCCAGATATCATAGAGGAGAAGTTCCTCGATCTGTCTACTCACGTGGTCATTCATTGCATCAGCAGTTCGGCTACTGACCAAGTGGACGCCGCAAGTCTGGTTAGGCCTGTGCTAAGGATCCTATCCAGAAATCGTCACAGAATGACCGCAGGTGCCTACAGCATACTGCAGCGGGGTTTGAACGATGCTGCCAGAGCAGACAATCTTGTCAGGCTGCGGGCTATGCACGCGCAGTTGTTGCTTCTCGAAGCGCAGCACGAGAACGTCTAGAGCGAGCAATAGCAAGGGCTCAACACATCTTTGATATGGCTGAAAGTAGCCGAAATGGAAAGTTCATTTGGGAAGTTGAAGCAAATGAATATCCTCAATGATATCGCAGACAAGTCATGGGAACGTAATTCTATTAATTAGCAGTTCGAGAACGAAGACCCCATCTGAGATTGAATCAAGTGCAAACCTTCCATCAAGGTGCTGAGTCGTTAGGCTTTGATACGATGGCAGAAAAAACATGCCATGGTGGCGACCCTGAACCGAGTGCGGATCCTGAGTAATTTTGAAAACCGTCAAGAGCCCTTATGCTTTTCGTTCTTGTACGATACTCGTACTCGCATATTTTTGAGGTATTTACTGGCCGGTTCGCAGACGTTGCGAGACAGTAAACACAAGATATTGGACGGCAGTCAAGGCACGGAGGATCAAGGCGCAAGCCCTCGTTCCAAAGCAGGCTGCAACTTTTTTGACAGGATGAGGATGATCCGCTCCGCTCGGCGAGCGGGAGGAACTCAAGTCCGTGTCAAGGATCTACGGTGAGCGCTACGGGTTGAACGGGTATGATGACAGATAAGCCCAGATATAGAATAGCTCAAAGAACGTCAAAAGTCAATCGCGAATCGACCGAGTGCCAAGCACTCAAAGACGGCAGACCCAGCCGTTTCGATAGAGCGTACAATTTTTTTCCCCATGGGATTCTGAAAAGTTGGCTATGTGGGGGGTAAGAGAGAAAGGGTCAGTTGGATATGGACGAGGAAGTCCGGTTGTGGAATGTATCAGAGGCGAGTAGCTGGTAGGAGACGATTCGCTGGTCAAACACACAGAGTGTGAGGTCAGTCTGGTGGGAGAAGCAGCGTCACTGTCAAAGGTACCCGTCGGGCCACGACGTTTGTGGTGCCACATCATCCGTCGTTCGCGGTGCACCGCCTCAAAGTTGTCAACCGCCAGATAGACATTCGGCCTGCTGTGGAAGACCTTGATGCTGTATCTTTGTACTGTGAGATATTGCAGCTGGGAGAGAAATCAAGAGATAGAAGCTGGAAACCGAGTTGGCAAAAAGCATGCAGATGTATGCTAGATAAAGCAAGAGGCAGGCAACACCAAAGGGGACCCTTTTGGATGTACCAGCCACATTCGCAACATTCTCTTGATTCCGCACGCGTGGCAACCCAAGCCGATGCCTCGTAAGCACTTCCACGACACCACAAACCTACCCGGCGCCCAATTCTTCTCCTTCGTCCGTACTTCTATTCCAAGTTCCAACTCTCTACTCTTCGTCGAATCCGTCTTCAACCCATCACTCGCTTTTATCGCGTGTCGCATATTTGTAGCATAGCAGAAGTGCCTTGAGCATATCGATCGCTCTATCCACTACACTAGTCAGCACCCGGCAGCAAAGGTCCGAAAGCCCACTTCAGCATGGATCAATCGTCGCCCACCACCCGCCCACGGACAACCTCTCGCGCCTTCAGTCACAAGTCCGACCACAGTCGCAGCAGCAAGCACGAGGTTTTGGTTGACAACCCTGTCGAGAAGCAGCGCCGCGATAGCTTCTGGAAGGGCGGGTCCAAGGCCAACCCAAATGCTGCCATCAACGAAGCCCAGCCTGGAGGTGTGTTCCTTCCCTCTTCCTAACATTCCCATCTTTGTCTGTCTTTTGACTACCTCTTGATTTCCACTCCTCCACATTCCCAACATGGCCGATATTGCTGTTAGCTTTCCCGTCACCCCCGCTGACCCCAACAAAGATGCCGCCGTCTTGGAGAAGTCGACCCTCGAGTCGCTCCGCCACGTCCAACATAAAGATAGTAATGGTAATGTAATCAGTAAGTCGCTTTCTCTGTCGTCACCTGCTCGGCCATCGTCGTTGACCACCCTCTGCAGCCGAACCCGATCTTTCGAATCCTACTCGCCCTCGCTGGGAAAGACCTCTCGATACCATCAGATCATTTGAAAGAGCCATTGATGGTGGATACAAGCGTCGTTCCGTTAGCAGATCTGGTACGTGCGCTGTTACTTTCCATGCCCTAGGGCCCCTCACTGACAAAAACCATAGAAAGCTACACTTATAACAACAACGACCAGAGCCGTAGAAGCAGCTACTATGGTGGCAACAGTACGTATCACATGTTGGCCATCGATCGGACATACACTGATTGAGTCGCGCAGACTACGAGAACGGCTCACAATACGGCGGCGGTCACTACGCGTCGCGTCGTCAGGACGGTTACTCTGATGCCGGTGTCCCTGGAGCACCCTCCAGCCGTAACCAATATCAGAGACGCATGAACTCGAGTCGCTCCAACAGCGCATACGGATTCTACCCTCAGCATGGTTACAACGACTCGTACGAGGCAAACGGCCACCACAGCGACAGTACCGGACCCTGGGCCAACTCGACAGACCCCAGCAGCGAGAACAGCTCCCTTGACCGCGCCAATGGCGTCCCTAAGCAGACTGACCCTTACGGTCACGATATCTACAATGGACCTCCGATCATGGAGGAGTATGCTAGCGACTCGGATGGAGGTTACGGAATGTCCTACGGCCACAGAAACGGAGCACCGGGTGGAAACCCAGCTGCACACTCCCAGGCGCCTCCTGTCCGCGCACCCATCAAGCTCAGCGGTGGCGACAACGCGTTGGCCTCCCAGGGTGGAAGCCTGCCACCTACCACACGACCTGTCGCAACAAAAGAGGAGAAGAAGAAGGGTTTCTTCAAGAAGCGATTCAGCAAGGGTTGAACAAGCCGCGATGAAGCAGTACATACGTAATGATCTAATGGGCAGATTGGGAGGAGCTGGGTGTTTCACAGCTGCATCTCAGCGGCGTTTTTGATTTGTCCTTGGGTGGGTGGGTGGTTTGGCGCTCGACAGAGATGATGTCGGGCGGTGGCATGTCAGAGCCAGCACCATCACAAGGGTATTGGTACAAATGAATTATTTCTATCTTTTTGCTCAATCTTCGTCACACATCTCGCTTTCTTCTTTCTGATCATTTTTATAAAAACTCTGTTATTCAGGACTACAGTGCAGTGCATATGAAAGCAGTGAAATGAGAGGTGAACCATCAGCGAGATTTTTTATCTTTCTCTTCAGCCTCTGCTCGTTCGTCTGCGTCCTCTCTCATGGCGACGATCACGTAGCCAATCAGGACAACATTCGCAATGATTGCAGCGGTTGCACCAGCAAATGTGGAGTTGCCTTTTGAGTTAGCAGGGAAGGTGAGAATGGCTTATTGTACGAATGATATTCACCAGAGTAGATTGTGTTGAGAGTTATGAAGTAAGACGAGATTGGGAGGATAATCATAGCAAACGTGAAGAGCAGCAGCTTAACAATGACATGTCTGGTGACAGGTTAGTGGTGGATTGAGATGGCGGTAGATAGATTTGGCATACTGTGGCACAGCCGGGGTGGTTATAGAAGGCTGCTGCTGGACTTCGTCTTGGTCAAGATGGGTCTTCTCCTGGGTGACGATTCTTTTGGTGGCCATGATAGTTTACGGAAGTTTGTCAAACAGGTGTGGTCGATGGCTCTTTGGCCAGTGAAGAGAGTGCAAAGTGTAGGGCCGTCGCGTGCGCGTCACGCCTCCGCATTCAAAGTCGTCGAGTGAAGCAATTGACGATTGTGAAGCGTCTCCCTTGCCACTTTTTTGGTGATTGTGTTCCTATCGATCATTGCACCCCTCTCTTAGTCACCACCGTACACCACCTTTCGTCCCACGTAGAGAGAGTCTAGGCCTGGCGATTTGTCCTGTAGCATTGTCGGCTTAGCGAGAGATCGAGACTTTTTTTTCGTCTCCACGGATCCCCGACAAGGCAGGCACAATGGACAGCGACCCGATTGTGAGCAGCCCGGTCAAGAGGCAGAAGACCGCTGGCGGCTTCCGCCCTGCTGGTCGTCGGCCTCAGACGCAGACACAGATGAGCGCTTCAGGATCCATACCGACGCAGATTCTTTCACGACCACCGCCCCAGGCCAATCTGACCTTTGCTAACCTCATGGCCGACTTGACCGCCGACTCGCAACCTCACTCCACTCAGCCGACTCAACTTCTACCAACCGCCCAGAAGCGCTCTCACTCTTCCACTCCCACCGTCCAAGTTGCTCGCAGCTCACCCGCTCCGGTTCCCGAGTCACCTCTGCCACAGCCCCACTCTCGTCCCCAAAGCACTCTGGGTGCTCGTTTCGCTCCTCCTGGAACAGGTTTTCGACGTCCTGGAGGCATCATACAGCCCCGTCCTGTGCAGCTCATTAACATTGACGACGACGATGACTTCGCCGATCCCCCGGTCGACCGCAGTTCGGATACCGAAGGCCCCGCTACACAATCCGCCATAATTCCTACCGCCTTCACGAAAGGGGGAAGGAACCTCGACTCTTCTCCCAATCGTGTGTATGAGAGCCCCAAGTCGTCGGCTGAGAAATTCAAGAATCTGACTTCTTCCTTCGCCTATAATGCCGGTGGAATGGAAACTGCATATGGAGGTGCCTCGAGAAACAAGCCACAGCAGCGTCAGCCGGTCCCTTCGCGTGCTCAGCCTGTAGAAGATATGTCAATTAACGATATCTTCGAAGTGCAGGACCAGAAAAAGGTGGAGCGTATGATGACTGTTGCACCCGGCCGACCTATTAGTGTGCTCTACAAGGCTTTAAAGACCTGCCACGGCAGTTTCGACGATGCCATCGATATGGTCTTCCGTAATGAAGGAGAGAAGGGTGATATGGATGTTGTCGACCTCACCAGTTCAGATATCGAGAGCAATGTCGCAAAACCTAGTGCCCAACCTAGAGCGGCCGCCAAACAACAAGTCAAAGCACCTACACGAACAATTGCCGACAAGTATTCGACAAAACCCAAGCCGACTACTGTTCCAAGTCCGGAGGCCGCAAAACCCAGAAGACGCTTGATGCAAGGCCGCAAGAATCCGGTATCGCCCATTGGATCTCCTTCTCCCACTAAACCGGTCGAAGCTGTGGTGAAGAAGCGTCCTGTCATCATCGACTCGGACGATTCTGATGCTGAGTCCGGCAGGGAGTCGTCGGAAGAAGATACAAGTGATTTCGACGGTCGTCTGCTCAAATTCTTCAACACGTGTAGTGCACAGGATCTGGCCGATATTTCTAACGAGAAGCTGGAGATCGCCGAGTTCATATTGTCCAAGAAGCCCTTCCGCAGTCTGAACGCCATCCGAAACATCTCAGATGCGCCGCCCCTGAAATCTGGCAAGAAGTCAGCCAAGAAAGCCATCGGAGACAAGGTCATGGATGTGTGTAGAGAAATGTACAAAGGATACGAAGCTGTTGACGAGCTGGTCGAGAATTGCGACAACCTTGGTAAACCCATTGCCGACACGATGAAGCAATGGGGTATCGATTTTGCTGCCGCTACCAAGGACGGCGAGTTGGCTCTCACGTCCTTGGAAGACACCCAACACGATTCTGGCATGGGTACTCCCGCCAGCTCTACCGGCATCCTGGATGATGACGACGACGACATAGTCAAGCCCAAGACATCGCGGCCCAACAAGCTCAAGAAAAACATCTTCCTGAAACAGCCTTCCAATATGAGCACTGATCTGGTCATGAAGGATTACCAGCTGTTCGGCCTGAATTGGCTCAATCTGCTCTGGTCTAAGAAGCTGAGCTGTATCCTTGCCGATGATATGGGTCTGGGAAAGACCTGCCAGGTTATTGCTTTCCTTGCTCACCTGAAGCAGACGGGAGTGCCAGGAGTCCATCTCGTTGTCGTTCCTGGATCCACTTTGGAGAACTGGATCAGAGAGTTGAACAGATTCTGTCCCGCTTTGGAGGTTGCCCCTTACTACGGCTCACAGGCCGAAAGAGAAAACCAGCGATACGACTACGGATCTCGCCTAGATGAGATCGACGTTATTGTGACTACTTATGAGACAGCTGTCGGAAAGTACGACACAGACTTTTTGCGCAAGACAGTACGTCCTGTAGTCTGTGTTTTCGATGAAGGTCATGCTTTGAAGAACAGTCAGTCCAAGAGACACCAACAGCTGATGCGCATTCCCGCCGAGTTCCGCCTTCTCTTGACCGGTACGCCACTGCAGAACAACTTGCAAGAACTTGCTTCGTTGCTTTCATTCATCCTACCTAGCCTCTTCAATTCGCGAAGAGAGGATCTCGACAATATCTTCAAGTTCAAGGCCACTACCAAGGACGCCGATCACGCAGCTTTGTTATCTGCACAACGTATTGCGCGAGCTCGCTCGATGATGACACCATTCATCCTTCGTCGGAAGAAGCAGCAAGTTTTGAAGCATATGCCTGCTAAGCACCGCCGTGTCGAGTACTGCGATATGCTGCCCGAACAACGCGAAGTATATAATGAGATGGTCAAGCAAGCTGTGGATGCTCGTACACAGCCCAAGAAGGGCGGCACCAAAGCAGCCAAGACTGCTCAAGAGATGACCGCGCTGCGCTTCGCTGCTTTACACCCTCTCTTGTTGAGACGCAAGTATGGTGACAAAGAGCTGGAGAAGTTGGCAAAGGCACTCAAGCGTTCTGAGGAGTACGGTGATAACAAGCCGGAACTTATTTGGAGACTGCTCACAGAGCAGACCAAGGGTGGTGACTTTGGAATGCATAAATTCTGTCTGGACTACGACTTCCTGAACAGATACGCCTTGCACAACAACGAGTGGATGAACAGTGGCAAAGTCAACAAGCTGAGAGAACTACTCGAGGGTTATATCAAGAACGGCGACCGCACACTCATCTTCTCACAGTTCACGACGATGATGGACATTCTGGAATCGGTTCTCGAGACACTGTCGATCAAGTTCATGCGCCTCGACGGTAGTACTGCTATGTCGACTCGCCAAGATATTATCGATCAGTTTACCACTGACACTTCCATCCCTGTCTTTATGCTCAGTACTAAAGCCGGTGGTGCTGGTATCAACTTGGCTTGCGCCAACAAAGTCATCATTCTCGACTCTGGCTTCAACCCTCAAGACGACATCCAGGCCGAGAACCGCGCTCATCGTGTTGGTCAAACCTGTGATGTTGAGGTCGTCCGCCTGGTCACCCGCGGCACCATCGAAGAACAGATCCACGCACTTGGAGAATCGAAGCTCGCACTCGACGATCGTGTGGCCGGTGCCGCCGAAGACGCCGCAGCCGAGAAGAAACTCGAGGCCGATGCAGCTCTCGCTGTCGAAGACATGTTCTTCAAGCACTTGGAGGAAGACAAGAAAGACGAGCATCACCCAAAGATGGAAGACAAGGACTCTATCGATGCCATGGACATCACGAGAGACGACACTGCCGCAGCGAAGAGTAAGGATCTTCGCGACGAGTTCAGAAACGGACTCAAGGATGCTGGTCTCGATGTCAAGGAAGAGAAGGATGTCAAGGCAGAAGCCGATGTCAAAGAGGAGGCTGCTGTGAAGAAAGAATGACGAGATGATGATGAAAAGTCTGCATGATGGCATAAACCTATACAACCTGATTACTGCAACATCGGTGTTTTGGCGGGGATTGTGTTTCTTTTTTTCTTATTTGGTATACAATCAGATGAGCCAACGCTGTTCAGACGATGGAACATGTGAGAGACCTTTGGCGTTTTGTGCTTTCAGAAAGCGTGCATGATGGGGAAGAGAAAGAGGCGGATAGTTTTAGATGAATAGAATCGCATGTCTCACTCGCACACAAGGGACTAGATGGAAATATCATCATTGGTCTCACAATTTGCATGCCTCTTTTCTTGCATCGATGTCTACTTCTTGCAAGTTATACCCATGAAACACCATTTTTGCATTCTCTTGCGCTTGGTGTACAATACATTTGCACTATTCGACATAGCTAAAGCGCTTGTCGGACTTGTATGAGAACTTCTCAGTCCCTCATCCCTTCTTTTGTTTGAATCCGAAGTGAGAGGTTTCACCCAACAGCTGTATACACCGAGTTGAGCAAAGCGAACGTCAAGTCAGCCTCCTAGTCGGATGCCCACTGCCTTTTTGCAACCATACAGCAGAAGCAACACGAAGGTGGTCATTGTTGGCGACAGTTGGACATCTCGACTACTCAACCGTGATCAAGAAGGCCTGAAGAGCCCCGTAAGCACGGCAAAGAGCAGCTCTGTCGCCTGCTTTTACAGCTTGCTTCATCCTCTGGAAGAGATTCGTGACTTCTGGTAACGCAAATACTCTCATGGAGTACTCTTGGAAGATCTGAGTGGTGATTCGGCCGTATTCTTCGGCAAGGGGGTCTGGTCCGAAGTGGCTGGTGAACGACATGTCTTCGCTGTACGCAATGGATGGTGTGGATACTGGCGTTGGGGTTGGTGTCTTGTAAGGTATGAGAGCCGAAGGGTGTGGTTGATCTGATTGCTCGAGTTGTTCTTGCTTGACAGGCGATGATACATCCTCATCTGACAATTCGATCACAACACTACCTCGAGAGCGGGGTTGAGATATCGGTTCTTGCGGTAGAGGTAGATTGTGTGGCGACGGTCTCGCAACTGCAATTACTTGTTCTTGTGGCTGGTGGTGTTGACTGGATCGTAGAGACACACGAGGCGATTCGCGAGTCTGATGTACTGGTCAGTGGTCATGATCCTCAGTGTTTGTATCGATTTCTTACATCTGTTGTATCTTCGTCCTCGACACAATCGAACTGGGTCAGACTAGAAGTGTCTGAGTTTTCCTCACTGTCATGAGCCAACGGATTGAGACATCGATGTTTCGAGTCCATGGCGAGCACCCTTGACAAAGTGCCGTCTGTCTTTTGGAAGCAGTATCTCCCCTGGCTTACGTGGAGTAATAGCGCAACCATCTGTTCGCCTCTAAGATAGAATCTGTACTCGACCAAGAAAACCTTACGGTATTTGCCATTGTTAGCCGCAACCGGAAGGAACTCGAGTGTCAACTTCTCGCAGTCGGTACCAAGTTTTTGACAACCAGCACAACAGACATGTTTCAGATAACGTCCAGGACGGTCCGGATCGCTAACAGTACCGCTCCCTTGTCGCGGATCTGTCACGAATCGAGGAAAAGCGGCATTCGCGCCGCCAGCAAGGGCATTGCGTTGGCATCGGCCAATGACCTCGTCAAAGCTAGGAAAGACGCCTAGATACTTTCTCAAAGGCTGGTCATGGTATCCGATCCAGATCGAGTTGTTTTCAGACTGAAACGGAGCGACTTGAAGACTCGTGGATGGGTCTGAGCCGTGGTTTCCAGGATCGCTCAATGGTGAGAAACACTTCAAGACGACTTTGGCGCGTCGAACCATTGTGTGATTATCGGAGCGAAAAGACGTGTCCCAAGGTTGAAAGATCGAGCAGGATGGTAAACTGTGAAGAAGTGCAGGGGGATGGGCTGAGTTGAGGTTGAATTGTTGGACAATGCTCGAGGCTGTTGTGTGTGACTGTGTTGGAAAGTGCGAGAGTGGAACAAACAAAAGAAGCGGCTTCCTGCAGCGCGGTTGTTGCACAACACGAGTGCTTGTCACAAAAGGCGCCATCCAAATTCGAAGTGGAAAGATCGACTTACGCTCATGACTGATAGTTCACCTACTACAAACTCGGCTCCATTGTTGACAGTTTACATCGCCTGATGACCATCATTCTCATCTCCTTTCCCCTCTCCAATCTCCAATCTCCATCAGACAAGACAGTGCTCCTATCCGATGACTCGTCTTGCCTACTTCGATACCATTACAGGGACCAACCATGATGGGCGATGAGATACACCTTCAGCTCCCTCTTGAGCTCTCTCACACGTTCCTCATCACCACCGAGAAGAGACACTTTCAACGAGAGCGCCATCTCTTCAACCAGTACATCGTCCTGCGCGCCAGGGTATTTGATGTACATCTCACGTAACAAATCCTGCAACTCCTTCTTCATTGTCATTTCGCTGTTCGGATTCTTAGGCTCGGACAACATCGTGGCGCTCGTGTCTTGAGCTTGACTGATTGATGAAGCTGTCAAATCAACGGCGACGATTTCTGGAACATCTGGTGATTTCGATGCTTTGACAGGTATGCTGGACCGCAACGTTCCACGTAACGTCTGGGTGGTAGGTAGTGTCGCAAACTGTGGAACTCCAGGAGTTGCTAGGGCATCATTCAAGGAAGTCTCGGTCACAACTGTCGGGCAGGATGTGACTTCACCGCCCTCGACCTCAGATTCGTTCTTTACAACGAACAACTTCGTCTGCTCGGTTGACTTGTGGCTTGTGGTTGTGTTCTCCTGCTGGGCTTCGAACGCGGCAGTCCGGCGTGTGTTGAGCTGTTCCAAGAGCTCCTGATACATGGGCTCGAGCTCGAGGCTGGAACTGTCAGCATTGTTAAAAAGAAGATGAGAAAGATTCCCCTTACTCATTCTTCCAGTTGATACTGCCTCTAATCAATTGTCCGATGCGAGCTATGAACTCATCACGAGCACTGGAGCCGCCAAATTCCAGCAAGATGATACCTCCAGTGATCTCGTCAGGAGACTCGTGGATATTGCGTGTAGCATTGTTGCTCACAACGACCTTGAGAGACTGTTGTCTGCTGTACAGAAGATACTGTGCATGTTGTCCGGTCATCAGGAATGGGTTTTGGGTGGTAGGATCGATCAAAGATCCCTCGCCAGACTCGACGGTGAAGCCGTCGTTCCCATACATCAGCTTCAAAGTCGGTCCGTTGAGATGATATGCAAGCATGCATATCTCTTTGATGTGCAACAAACGGCGACTCGGTTGCTGTGTGCTACTAAAGCCCGACTGTGATTGCCAGGTGGTGGTTTTGGCGGGACGTCTAGCTCCGGGCTTCCCCAATTTGGGTCCGGGACGCACAGTAGCTGGGTGTCTGCGAGCGATAAGTCGTCGCTTTGATTGAGGCTCAGAAGAGTTTGTGAGAGGATCTTCAGTCTGGCCATCCGCAACATGTGTGCTCATGTCTCTGCTTCTGGTGAGCATGCGCATCTTTTGCACAACGCGCAATGGCGTGGTATCAAGATCATCAGCGAGCTGTGCTGCCGATCTACCCGATTTGGTTGGAGTGCTGGTCAATTGACCCTTCGAAGAGCCCAGACTACCAATATTGGCGCTGCGGGCTGATCTTGGACTAGACACAGAGGCACTTCCTTTGGCAAGCCCGTAGGACTCGTGATAAGTGCCATCAGCCTTCCAGAACCGGTATCCGCCAGTCTCGTGACGATGTACGATGGCGAAGAGCTTTTGTGGTGCAGCGAGTTCAGACAGGCCCATATAGAAAGGATAGATGATGACCTTGAGAGTTGTGTCAGCATGGTAACATCTCGGAGATGGTCTGGTAGGAGCCTCACATTCTGCGTCTGTCCAAAGGCAAGTGTTTCCAAGCGAGAAGGTTTCTCATACTCTACATCTGAGCCGTGGGTAGTCTGATCACAGCCATCACCACAGCACCGTAGACGCAAGCTCCGGAATCTGTTCTTCTTGGCCACTGTATCAGGGAGCGCAAACTTCGGGTCTCCAGTAAGCGAGCGTGCGATCAATTCCTTGTAGCTAGGGTGCGGCCACACACGGCGACCGAGGTCTTCGAGATTGCCGATCCAGATCTCAGGGTCGAACGGCATGGTGCGAAGAGGGCGTGCACGATCTGATCCATGGTTGTGTGCTTGCTCGGTAGGTGCAAAGCAGAGGCGGCGGTCGGAACTGTTTTGGTTGCTGCCATCAGTTGTGGTGATGATTACATTCGAAGGCGTTGCAGGCAAAGGCGTCTTGACAATACCACCATTGATGGTTACAGGAGTGCTATTGTCCGGAGCCGCCATGATGTCCGAGTGCAGTGACTGCAAGGATGGTGATGAAAATTCCGGACGACGCACGGAGCGCGGAAGTGATAGGAAGTAGGAAGTGCGGTTCTACTAGTGAACGTGAACGTGAAGTGAAGTGGAAGTGGGCCAGAGAAGATCAAAACAACGCACGTCTATGGAGTTCTCAAGTGAAGCGCCTTCAGTGGTCTTTCTGTGTATTACAAAACGTGTAAAATAGGATATTGATGTACAAAACAGCATTGCCAAAGTGATATATTTCTACCGGCCAGGCTCAACAAACCCTCTAAGCATTTCCAATAGAACAATCAGACGGATCTGTACGCACCATCGGCGGGCTTTGGTAAGAAGAAGAAAACACTCTAGAAAGGGGCATAAGAACAGAGAGCAAAAAACCTTTTAGCCATTTCTAATGGCTGTGGCCGTGACCGTGATCGTCGTGGTCATGGTCATGGTCATGCGCATCCTCCGATTCAGCAGGAGCAGGAGCACAGCAGCTCTTGCCATTGCAGGCATCGTCACAGTCAAGCAAGCACGCATCTGCCGCAGCGCGAAGACTGTTTGCATTGCTAGCTTGCCTGTCCAAGGTCTTACGAGAAGAGGATCCATCAACACCGCCAAAGTGGGTGTCATCGGCGAGAGGTGCAGAGTGGTCGTGTTCAGGGTCGAGGCAGAACTCAGGCTGGATAGTGGAAGAGTGAATGCCGTACTCGTGGAGGCAGTCGCGAATGGCACGAGCAAGCTCCATGTATCTTGCCGAGCCCTCGCCCTTGAAGTCAAAGTCGACCTGAACGTGCAGACTCGCAACAAGCTTGGTGTCGCTCAACTGCCACACGTGGAGGTGATGGGCACTAACAATACCAGGAAGCTCCTCAATATCTTCCTTGATATCATCAATGCTCAAACCAGCAGGCACAGCTTGAAGCAAGATGCGGGAGGCGGCAAGACAGAGAGGGATGGCAGAAGCGAGAATGATACAGGTGATGATGAGGGAAATGCCAGGGTCGGTGTAGAAGCGCCATTTGTAGTCGGTGAGCCAGATGAACAGAGCAGAAGCAATGACACCAATGTTTCCTAGAGCGTCACCCATGACGTGGAGGAAGACACCGCGCATGTTGAGATCGTCGTGAGAGTGACCGTGGCCACCGCCACTTGACTGTTCTTTGGGCTGTCTGTGTTTGTGCTGTTTGTGGTCGATGGGCTTTGACTTTTGAATGCTACCATAGCCGTTGGATCCATTCTTATTGAGGAGCGGCTGCTGGGTGGTCTCGTCGGCGTTGTCATCCTCTGCGGCGGATTCTTCGGTGTTTTCGCCAGATTCGATGTCTTGAAGTCTGCTAGTCTCGATGATGGAACGACGGAAAGATGAAGGGTTGACAGGCACGTCTTCGACCGAGTAAGCTCTGGAGCGAGAACGGCTGGACTTTGACTTTTGACGGCGGTGGCCAGAGTGAGGGACTTCGACATCATCGCTAGCTCCGGAGCCGCTTGCTGCAGGCTTCTTAGTCTTGGGCCAGTTTGCAACTCTGCTCTGAGGCAGCACATCGGCGACGTTTCCAGACTCATCAGCGACATCAGCATCTTCGTCCTGGACAGCACGGCCTTCTTCGGCGGCGCTGACAGTGTTTCCATGGCTGTGTCCGTGGGAGTGGCCACCATGGCTATGACCGCCATGGCCGTGGTCGTGGAAGAGGAAAAGACCGACAATGTTGGAGGCAAGACCGAGACACCCAACAATCAGCACAAACTTAGGGTTGCTGACTTCTTGGGGCTCGACGAAACGTTGAATGGCTTCAAGGAAGATGGAGAGACACAGGGCGACGAGGAAGACTCCATTGACGAGTGCTCCTAGGGTTTCGGCGCGTTGCCACTGGCAGAGAGTAAGTTCGGGAGCGAGTTGTGGGCGAGGATATGAGTACGTACGCCGTAGGTGTACATTTTGGAAGTTGTCTTCTGGTTGGCGACCTTGACGGCCCAGAGACCGACGAGTAGGGAGATGACATCGTTAAGCTGGCCGCTGGTGTAAGTCTTGCAAAAGCTACAGGCCGGAGGAGAGAAGGCGACTGACCATGTGGAAGGAATCGGCCACGAGGGCAAGAGAATGGACGGCATAGCCTGAATGCTTTGTCAGTATACGGTGGTCGCACGACCTGGACGATAGCCAGGCATACCGGTAATGAGTTCGATGAGGAAGAAGACGGTATCGATCGCCAGGAGGATGCATATCCTCGTCGACTTTGAGAGGCCCATGGTTGCTGGCTGCTCGTGTGTCTGTCGAGAAGGAAAGTGGTCGAGAACTTTGGAGACGTGCGGCGTCGCGCGCGTCCTAAATGACGACAGGCAAGCTTTTCCCTTTCTGCGAAGTCGGTGCTTAAGCCTTTCAATCTGCTGTTTGTCCTGCACTTCTGACTCAGCTCTCTTTGAGAATTCTGAGTCTGTCCGAGACGGTCCGACCTAATCTTCAGGAAAGCTTACAACCATCTATCGTTTGTTCTAATTCGCTGCCTAGGATATGCCTTGTCGCCTTGAGACCCTGCTTCGTATTCCCACTCACCAAGCTTCCCCGCGAATGAGTTTCCCTCTCCAACTGTCCGAATCTCGGGCCGATTTGATCGCCGAGTGGACCACCCTGTCAAAATAATTCTATCTTGTCCATGACAACATCAAGCCACTACACTTGGTCGTGGTCCATCGCGTACTTGATCTATCGATGCATGACCTGAGAAGAACGTACATTGAAGGCTCTTGAGCTTGACAGGTGCTTTCAAGACCTCTGAATCATATCGACTGATATGTTTGGGATAATTGACATTAAGTCTGTACATCAAGTATCCAGCCCATGCCCACCTTCGGCAAGTTCGACACCTGTCTCTCTCAACTTGAACTTTTGGATCTACTTGCTGTCAGTCTAGACCACACTGGGACGGATTCACAACCGTCACTTACCTTCCCAGATGCTGTCTTCGGCCAGCCCTCGGACCAAAAGATGTACTTTGGCACCAAGTGCGGACTCAACGTCTCCTTGACCCATTTCCTGATTTCTCTGGCGGTTTTCGCTTTCTCTTCTTCATTCGCGTTTGCGTTCTTCGGCATGATAAATGCTGCGACCACTTCGCCGTACTTGGGATCTGGCAAGCCTACCACAGAGACATCCGTCACAGACGGGAGTTTGAGAATAGCGTTCTCGATTTCCAGAGGATGAATGTTCTCGCCACCGCGGATGATGAGATCTTTGATGCGTCCAGTGATGCGCACATATCCCTTCTCATCCATGCTGGCTTCATCGCCTGTGTGCATCCAGAGAATACCTTCTTCGTCTGGTTGGATCGCCTCTCGAGTACGAGCTTCGTCACCCCAGTATTCTTTCATGACCAAATAGCCAGCCACAGCAAGTTCGCCGCGGACATTCGGTGGTAAGATCTTGCCGTCTGCACCTACGACTTTGGCTTCCACGTGTGGAAGCAGTCGTCCTACGGTTTCGATGCGAGCCCACATCGGGTCATCGGTCGTTGTCATTGCACTGACTGGACTGGTCTCCGTCATACCATAGCAGATCGTCAGTTGAGTTAGTCCAAGCACATCGTGGAGTTTGCTCATCAAAGCAGCTGGGATGCTACTGCCTGCCGCAATGCCTGTGCGCAGCTGGGAGAAGCCTTCGTATGGTACTGTACCAGAAGCCAGCAACTCCAGCTCGCTGATGAACATGGTAGGTACGCCATAGAGTGCCGTGCATGCGTTCTCTTGTACTGCACGCAAAGTAGCTTCAGCGTTGAAAGATTCGGAAGGCAAGACAATGGCGCTGCCGTGTGTGCTTGTGGCCATGTATCCTAATACGGCTCCGAAACAGCTATCAACCCTTGGCATTAGCGTACAGAACATGTCAGCTGCACTGGTCTTGGACTTACTGGAACAGAGGTGGCGGACAACAGACGATATCTCTGTGTGTCAAGAGCATCCTGTCACCAATGCTCTTGCCGTTGTTCAGAACAGAGCGGTGCGTCAAGCATGCAGCTTTCCTGCAAATCTCTATCATCAGTAAACCTTCCATCATGAATGACATATGACGACTTACGGCATACTCGTCGTGCCAGACGTGAACTGGATGTTGACCACATCATTCGCATCCAACATCTTCGGCGCCAACGTTTTACCTTCCCCATCTCGAAGCACATCTGTATAGCTATTCAGTGCTCCAAACGCTTCAGTATCTACTCGACCGCTCGAATTCTCAACCACGATAACACCCTTCAAGCTGGAGACGGCTTCCGACTCCATCTTCGATCTCTTCATGTCAGGGATCAGGTGTGCGAGTAACGGCATGACTGATCTCGGCGCTTTGTAAGGCAGGTTAATTTCGGAGGATATGATGAGGTGCGAAGCCTCAAGGTGAGTAAGGGCTGAAGTGATTTGTAGAGCGTTGAATGCAGGATTCAGAGGTACCTGAAACATACGCAGGTCAGTAGAGACTTGTTGAAACCCAGATTGTGCGACGTACGAGCATTGCACCAAGCTTGAAGAGTGCATACGTAGCGACACAGTATTCGACTCCATTCCCGAGCATTACGGCCACTCGATCACCTTTTCGCACACCCTGCCTCTCAAGTCCTCGCGCGAGAGCATCGCTCTGAATATCCAGGTCTTGATAGGTCAAAGTAGCGTTCTGATGGCGAGCTATCACTCTATGACCAAAGCTCAGCTCACACATTCGAATCGAAGAAGATTGCACGTAGAAACTCACGCAGGTCTATCGCCATGCTCGCTAACTACATCCCTGAAGTACTCAGGTATGGTCTGCGTGATTAATGGAGGCTGAAACATACGTGATTAGTATCATTGTCATCGGATGCTGTTCTTCGGAACGCCACATAAAGAGCGTGTGTCTGTCTTGATCCTACTCACATCACTAGATCCACGATCTCGTGACTGGGTCAAGAGCCCACGAGTCGAATGGGGCTTCGAGAATGCCACAGAGGTCCTCGCAATGCGTATGGACGATGTTCTGGTGGCCGCTACCGAGTGCCGAAGGGGTCGTAACAGATGCATGTTGATGAGCGTCTCAGTGAATCCAGCGGAGTCTACTTCGAACCATCCAGTATCAGACCGCTACCAGATGTTTGGTCTTCGAGTTTCTTGATACTTTCAAGTCGCGAGTCTTGGGATGATAGGGTTTGTCTCCCAGACCTTGAGATTTGGCCTTATGGTGAGAAAGGGGCCCAAAGTTGACCTTTCCGTAGTTCCCAAATATCTTTTCCGATTACAGTGGTATGGACTACCTGATTCTCTTCTTTGATCAATGAGTATTCGATGGCCGGTTGGCGTTGATTGGCTCCTTGACACAAGACTCGGAAGCTGCTGCTAGAAGAGACAACTCAGACAGATCTTATTGGTGTGAATATCGAGCAGGACGGACGGAAGCAGTACAATGTAATTACTCGGTCATATCGAGAACAATCATCCACTCCAGTTCGCCGAAACACAACACCCATAACCGGTTGCAAGGAGGGGTAAGTAAATATGCGGGGTCCAAGGCTTGGGGGACGAAGTGAAACGCGGAAATAAATCCGCTTCGCTCTGTTTGCACGAAGACTGTCAGTCTCGAAGCATCTTGAAAAGAAGAATTGGTGTATTAATAGAAAGCTCGTTAGCTAGGCATCTAGCCAGTACCATCTCTTTCCTTCCCTCTCCAGCGATTGTACAAAATATAAAAGTAGGTGGTCGTGAGTACATATCCTGGCTGTCCCTTCGCTCTGAAGTAAGCAAGAAGAAAAAGAGGTAATTATCCAAGGATGAAGCAAAAGAAAAGGAAGTCAAAGGGTCATGAAGTAGCGAGGCATAAGAGGAGAGGGTCGCGATGAATCACAATTTCATGCTTCTGACCCGTGTCCTGCCCGACGTACGGGGAACCTCTTTAAAAGTCCTTGAAGGCACTTTCGTACTTCTCCTTCATCTCTTTCGTGTATTGATCCTTGTGCAGAGGTTCCGGGTCGTACTCGTCAAAGTTTCGTGTATCGGCGGGACCTCGTAGATGCGGTACGATGGGACCTTGCATCTTGCGGTGGTACATGGCGTCCCAATCGATGTCCTTGAACCAGGGATGTGCCTTGATGGCCGAGGCACCACCTTTGATGTTGCCCAAGCGTTTTGACACATCGACGGTGCACAGTTGTGAGATTATGTCGCGAGCGTCTGTAGACATGGCCGAGGGGAAGCGAAGTTTGCCTTCGACGATTCTGAACTCCCGTTAGCCTCCGCAACGATTCAAGTTATAGAGCTCGCGTACTGTTCATAGATTTTCATAGGGTTCTGATCCCAGAACGGCGGTTGACCGACCAGGAACTCGTAAATCAGGATACCCAGTGCCCACCAGTCGACAGCTAGGCCATGTCCTAGAAAACAGTCAGTATACCAAACAGGCTGTACAGTGCATGATGACATACCGGTGTTTCGAATGACCTCTGGCGCGAGATATTCTGGCGTTCCGCACAACGTGTATGTTTCTCCTGTTTTTAGAGTCACATCAGCCAATCGGTTCCTTGAGCAGAGCGTGGCTAACGCTGAGGGTAAAAGCCGTTTGATAGCTCGACCAGCCACACGACCTTCGGGGGTGGAAATGGAAATGATACGCACTGTTTTCGACCTTCTTTGCAAAACCAAAATCCACAAGCTTCAAATGTCCTTCTGCATCGATCAGAATGTTCTCGGGTTTGAGATCGCGGTATGCGACACCTTGGTGGTCGTGCAGGAATTCGAGGATAAGGACGATTTCGGCGGCGTAGAACTGTGACGTGGATTCGTTGAAACGGCGGGCGCGGCGCAAATAGCTAAAAACCTCACCACCGGGGCAGTAATCCAACTGTGCAAAGGAGAAAAGTCAGTTCGCATACAGCCGAGGTGGACGTGGAGAGCGGTTTACCAGCATGTATAGAGTGTCTTGGTCTTGGAAACTGGCGACCATGGTTGTGATGAATGGGTGTCCTGCCACGGCGGCTAGGACATTGCGCTCGTTGCGAACGTGTTCAACTTGCTTCAAGCGGATGACTGCAACATTCGTCAGAACGGCTCTCCTATGTTGCGAGTAAGTAACACGACGCACCATCAGTCTTGCGTAGTATTTTGAGAGCAAAGACCTTGTCTGCATCCTCTTTCCTCGACGTGACCAAGTTCGCGAGCCAGACTCTTGCAAATGTGCCTATAGAGACACTCGTTATCAGCAAACACAACGCGTCAGTTGTAGTCAGATGGCAGTTGCATACCAGTGCCGAGCGTCTTGACAAGATCAAAATCCTCGCGCCGTAGAACCTTTGAGCTGTGACCGACAGGCTTCGAGTTGGGCTCTACCAATATCTGGTCGTACTCCAGGGGTTGTTTCTGTGCTTCCCAGGCGAGAAGTCTGTTCTTTTCCTCTTCGCGAGCGCGATTGTTGGCCGAGGCTTCAGATCGGCTCTCTTTGCGACCATCCTTGTCTCTACTGCTGCCAATGTGCAGCTTGGGCATGATGTGATGCATTGCTGCTGTCGCCATGGCCTACACGTCTGGTTCCTTGGAGTGTTCAGATCGAGTGAAGGGCGTCCGAATCTTTGTTATGGATGAGGTCGAGGGTCCGAGTTCGAGGATATTGGTGGGTCTGGGCTTGGGCGGGCTATTATATCTTGATTGACACGGGAGAGCGGTGAAGTGACGTGAGATGGATCCACGAAGTTGGTATGGATATTTCACTCGGCCATAGCACGTCTGGGTCGAAGGAATCGCGGATTATACCACTGGAGCTGGCAGGACTGAGAAAAAGAGAGGGACTGGAAAGAAACAACTCTCAACCAAGTCTTGAGGGCGCGGGGCACCGATGAAATCACTCTCTCAAGCCGCCAGCCCACAGGATTGCACCAGACCCATCTGTGACCAAATCTCGCCGATCGCAAGCTTTCGGCCCGCCATGTCGCCAAAGAGACAAACAACTTGAGTTCACCAGTTTGACGGCATGCCAACCGTCGCTCGTGGCTGCACGCGAGCCTACATACTCTATTCTTTAGACAAAGAGAACCACCGACCGCTGCCTGCCTCCTGCTCTGGCTGATGCGCCTGCCGTTCTTGGGCCTGCACTGTCTGTCATTCCCGCCTAACCGGCCTCGGCTTCAACCACCGAGAACCCATCATCTTTTTGCTCATCAGTCCATCGCCGCGAGTCAAACTCAACCTACACGCGGCCTACACGTGCAGCGGTACACTTGAGATACGACAAACTCAGCTGCTAAGAAAAATGCAAATGCTTGGTCGGCAACGCCGCTTCTGGCACAAGCAAACCTTCGGTCAATTATTTAGGTGATTAGGGTGCAGAGCCGAGCAGCCACCAGCTGATAAGGCGAGCTATCAAGATGAGGCTGAATTGAACCTATTGAACCATACCACGAAAGCCGTTTATTGAACCATGTTGTTAGCTCGCTGCCCTCTTCCTCGATGTGGGTTGAACAAACATATTACTGGAACAAAAGAGCATCGAATTTGATGCCGCATCCATCATTTTTTCATGCTGGGCCCTTCCCCAGCTCCTCCCAAAAACACTCTAGCATATCTGCAATTGGGCCGTCGTCGCACGAAAGAGATGAACAAGACTCGGGCGCCTGTGCCGGCACATTGAACAGAAAAACAAGGAAAAAGAATCATCCTCCCAGACGCCTTTGCCAATCCAGAGAAACAGAGATTCAATATCAAAACATCAAAAAGGAAACTGCGGCCTAGACCACTGGTATCATGCGCAGAAAAACAGAAGAAGAGCAGAGGCCGATGCTGTCCGGCCAACCGTGTCCAGAAGAGTGGCAGTAGCGAAAATACTACAGCAAGATGAGGTAGTTGCTTGGTGCGATACCAGTGTCGCCATTCTCTTTCTTGGCTTGCCACCATCTTCCGCTGACATCGCTGATTTCGAGGACTTCGTGTTTGGAAAAGCTGATCTCATTGGCATCGTCGGGGTTGGCCTCGTAGCTGTATATGGCCTTTGCACGGTAAGGGTATTCCGCTGGAGCTGCGGCGGTCGAGTTGGGTCGATCTGCTGGCACTGGGTGGGGAGCCAGGCTGTTCTGTCCATAGCGAGCACCGCTATCACGATTGCTGTCCATTGCTCCCAAAGCTCCTCCGGGGAAGCCAGTGACGGGCGACGATGTCTCGAAGCCGCTAAGCTGGGCGGATGTGTACATTTGTGGTTGCTGGGAGATCGAGGTCTCGGGTCGGTAGCTGTTGTGCTGAGGCTGGCGAGAGATGCGTGATGGCACGCGACTGTCTCTGTGAAGGGCGAAGGAATCGATCACGTTGCGACTAGACGCGGTGGGTTGGGAACCATAGTAGAAGATCCAGACAATCTGCATATGTCATGTCAGTGCTTTCCTTCGAATAGCGAGAGAGGAACTAGACGTACGGCGACCATGGAGAGGAGGATGAAGCCAGCAGCGGCAGCTTCGTGTGCGCCATCGGAAGAGTAGACCAAGGAGTTGACCGAGGATGTTGTGAAGACGAGGCCAGCAGCCAAGAAGCCGACGATCTATGATTGAGTAAGCAAGGGAAGCTGCAGGCACGCGAACGCAGAGCTTTGCTTACAGCGACATGGTAGGTGAAGACGGAGTCGGAAGCAACTGTGACTAGGACTCCGATGATGCAGAAGAACATGTAGACAAGAGCCCACCACGAGTAGTTGGGGAACTGTCCGTGGATTTTGGAGATGACGGAGGCCACAAAGGCAATGAGCCAGGCAATCTGTACCGGGTCAGCAAGTCGAGTCCGACGGAGAGCGAGCCAAGGTCTGGCGGCGACATACGATCGCTATTGAAGAAGTTGCCAGAGCGAACGGGTCACCGATGATCTGACCGCAGCTGAACCTCGGTTTGCGACCAGCGTACATGTCACGACGAGATGCTTCCATTTTTTGCAAAGATGGCGAGCCGAGCGAGCTGTGGGGCATGTGAAGATGCGATGCGAGTTCGAAGAATGTGTTTGGAGTCGAGTAAGAAGGTGGATCGGGCGTCGATGGAAAAGACAGTGGGGGATTGACGCAGGCGACGTGTCAGGCTGTAGCAGGCTTGTATGAAAACCGATGCAGCGTGGCTCGTGAAAGGGAGTAGAAATCTTGCTCAGGACGTGGCCACGCAAGAGAAGGACGTTTGTTGGCGAGAGCGAAACGGCTCGCGCGCGTAACTGATGGTGGGCGGGGAAAGGAGAGGCAACGGTACGACAACAAGAAAAAGGGTTCAAAGTTAGAAAGCCAGCGAGAGAGAGCGGTCGATAAACGAAGGACGGCCGCCTCTTGGACTTCAGATGTGCGTGTCGTGGAAGGGACTGTCGAAGCCGTGATGGATGCGACAAAGACGAAGACGACGACGAAGACTTGAAAGCGGTCGTTTTTGTTTCAGGAGTCGACGCAACCCTGTTGATGAAACAGACGTCGCCCCCACAAGCGATGCACGAATGGCGCCAGGCACTATCGCCAGCCTCTTCAAACTCTTTGCGCAGCAGCAGCAATCCGACAAAGCTAACGAACACCTTTGACACGAACAGCACTGTCAATCGATCCGGCCGCGCGCATCCATGTCGCTCAGTGAGAAATGTCAATCTTAAATATAGATCTACCCTTCTCCAGGACCCACTGCCGAGACACAACGGACCCGGGACAAGGAGATTTTCTCCGCAGTCTGCTCAACTACAAACGACTCATGGGCGATGACCCAAGGCCCAGATCACAAAGCAGCCCATTGTTCGTTGCCCTAAGTCTCGAGAGCTTACCATCAGCGGATTGAATGGACCAAAGAAGGAGACACTTGCAGTCCGAGTTCCTTACCCAATCCTCGACTGCGATCTATTCTCCGAGTCTCGGTCGCCCCTGCATAACTAATTCTCCTTAGCTTTCCCCATCGTCTGCTACGTATCTCACCAACAAAACTAGACTGTCCATATCGGAGAATAACCACCTATCGTGAAGTCCTTTGTACTGCAGCGATATTGCCACCTACTCGATGATCTTCGATGCTGGAGAGTGTTCATAGAATCTAGCTTGGCAAGGTCTAGGACTCCTACAAAGTTTGATAATTTGATTCGTGAGCACGTCGACCACATAGCAGACCTGGCAAGCTCTGTGGAAGAAGGCGGTATAAGTCAACCTCACTTCGCCACATTTAGGGACGAGAGCGACGGAAGGAGCGATGACTGCACACGCCTACGCCTGCTGTTCCAGTCACCTACCTTGACTTCATCACAACAACATTAAGTTCTGAACGTCTTCCAGCGATCTCTCCGATCCGTCCATCAGATCCTCTTCACAGACGAGCAATTGACAGAATGACGCCCCTCCAGCACACCCACATTAAGCTCGATCTTCTTCGATGGTCCATGGTCTTGGGGAGGAGCTGCAGAAAATTGCATCCGATTCAATGCAGACGGCACAGGCTCTCTCTGTTGTGGTGCAGGGTTCACGCGACTGATTGCTGCAAACTTCTCCTGGACCACGCCGGATCGCGAACAACTTGAAAAGTCGATAGACATAAATCTCCAGCGCGAGTCGTCAACAACTGTTGTTGTAGCTGAGCTGCAGAGCTGCAGATGCAGATAACCCTCACGACCGCCCGACCCCCTAAGCACGATCACTTGCTGCTGAACGAATACTTCGTGCGCGAGACAGCCTTTGGATCCGAAGTGTTCACCATTCGCATAGAAAAAAGTGCCTTCCTTGAACAGCAGCATAAGCGACTTGCGAAATCCATTCCCCCTATAGGAAGGTATAACTGGCGCCTGGTCTTTGACAAATCGCCCATGCCGCCTTACGCCGATTGGAAAGAAGAAGCCTTGAGATACATAGAGTATGCGCGGGCGTGGGATTGCACTGAATTTGTCAACCATCCGATCCTGAGACGACCTGGAGCACGACGCCAGTATGCTCATGCGCAATCCAGACAATGCCTCTTCTTGTGACGTGCAGGAAGATCGTCTTCAAGCTGGAAGTTCGGACGAAAGTACTTCAGCTCGGAGGAGGATTGACGTATGCAAGAGACACAGCTGATCGTGTGCGGCAGGGTGTATTACAGACAGCTTCTTGCGATTCTATATTATCATCACGGTGAGCCTATCATACACCTGATGGTCCAGAAAAATGACCATTTGGGTCACCGCAGCAAACTCTATTTGCAACGCGGTGCTTCATAGAGTGACCACGCCAAAAACAGCCCTACGATCATGCATCATTGTATCGCTTCACAAATACAAAACTCTCGCATGTCTTTTTACCTCCCTAACTGTTCCATAAATTGACTCAAAGCCATGGTTATCGCCAAGAAAGCCGTCCTGAATGTGACCGCACAGCAGAGCCGTTTCCACGCACAGAAACAAGAATATACTTCTACAGAGATTACAGTCAAAGACCTCAGCATCACAATCGGCAACCATGAGATATTAAGCCATGCCGAACTACAGCTACATCCAGGTCGACACTACGTCCTGGTTGGCCGCAATGGCGTGGGGAAGTCGAGTAAGTAGGGGTCTCGACCCTCCCTCCTGCTCCCACCCACTCATGTGCTTACTGTCGCGTACCAGCACTCCTCAGAGCCATGGCCGAAGGACTCATCCCTAGTATACCCGCAGCTACACGCATACTACTTCTCGGTCAAGTGCAAGAGGACGAAGACGATGGTTCTTCTGCGCCATCCTTACCGGACGAGACTGTCCTCGAACATGTTTTGCGCAGTGACAAGCATCGCCGGCGTCTGCTGTGTGAAGCAAGTAGGTTGTCAGTGGCCATGGACAACGTCGAGGATCCTGCTGTATTGCTAAAGGTGTACCGGGGATTGAAACGCGAGCGATTGCAACATGATGTTGACGAAGCGAGACGGCGGGCTTCAAAGACGAGTGGGGTGAGGGGCTTGGGCGCAAGAAAGGAGCTGACACACTTGGAAGGAGAGTTGGCCATTTCTTCCATGAGGTAACGAGTACCAGCGTGCTGCGAGAAACACACTGTTGACATCCTTACCCAGGCTTGACCAACTAAACATTTCAAATGCTCTTGAAGCCGAAGAGGCTGCGACAGTCAAGGAAGAGATGCAGAGCGCCATCGATATGCTGACCGATGTGCAAGCATCTCTAGTATCGGTACAATTTCTCTCTTTCCAGTGAATTGCCAGATACTCGTACTGACCAGTTCCCAGATAGATGCCTCGGGCGCCGAAGCGAGAGCACGTACTGTATTGCTTGGATTAGGCTTCTCAACACAACGCATAGAGAACCCCGTGTCTCAACTATCCGGAGGCTGGAAGACTCGTTGCAGTCTGGCATGTGCGCTTTGCCAATCGTCGGACCTCCTTCTCTTGGACGAACCAACCAATTTCCTCGACTTGCCGTCCATCATCTGGTTAGAAAAATACATCCAAACGCTCGATTCTCAAGTCACCCTGATCACAGTAACGCATGATCGGTCGTTCGCAGACGGAGTCGCAGACGAACTTCTCGTCTTACGAAACCAGAGGATAGAAAACTTCAAGGGCAACGTATCCGGCTACGAGATTGCAAGATGGCGATCTTACAGATATCTCAGTAGGATACAAGCCGCTCAAGAAAAGCAAAAGAAACACATGCAAACGACCATCGACCAGAACCTCAAGATGGCAAAGCGCTCGGGAGACGACAAGAAGCTCAAGCAAGTGTCCTCGCGGAAGAAGAAATTGAATGAGAGAATGGGTATGGAGGTTTCGGCCAAGGGCACGAGATTCAAGCTTAACAGAGACAGAGCTGGGTGGCATGACAGCCTGCGGGACGCCATCGAGGTTCCTGACTTTGATCCTCTACCACGCATGGCATTCCCTGTCTGTCCATCTGACCTTCGTTTCCCTGGTGCTCTGGTTTCTCTCGAAGACGTCTGCTTTGACCATCGTGTTGCCAGAACGCAAGTACCCATCTTGCGCGATGTCAACTTCAACATTCATCTGGGAGAGCGAGTAGGAATTGTGGGCATGAACGGCTCTGGAAAATCTACCTTGGTCTCATTGATGATTGCAGACTCACAAAACAGCGCGGAAAGTGTTACGGCGAGCAAAGGTAATATCGTGCGGCACACTAGAGCAAAGATTGGCCTGTATTCGCAGCAGGCCGTCGAAGAACTTCAAAACATTGCTTTGGCAGAATCCAGGCTGACGGCATTATCGCACCTGCTGGAGTTTGCGGGCGGAGATCTCTCGGAACAGGAAGCACGCGGCCTCCTGTCTTCTCTGGGCCTTGCCGGCAAAGTGACATCAGAGGTGCCCATGAGCAGTCTCTCGGGCGGGCAAAAAGTGCGATTGGCGCTGGCCAAAGTGCTGTACGACCCACCTCACCTGCTCATTCTGGACGAGGTCACTACACATCTGGATCCAGACAGTATACAAGCACTTGCTCTCAGGCTTCGAGAGTACCAAGGAGCCATCTTGCTCATTACGCATGATCGCTTCTTCATGCGGTGCGTGGTGGAAGGTGAGTCACCTAAAAGCTCGACCGAGGGCGTCGAAGATGAGTCGCCAAAGGATTCAGACAGCAGCGGAGAAGGCCTACCAGAATGTGGAGAAGTATATCGTCTGTTCAAGACGAAACTGAGGAAGCTGGCAAGTGGTATGCAGCAGTACGAAGACATGGGGGCGAAGCTGTTGTCCTGAGTAGATAGGTGATGGGTTGATGATATCAAAGAGGGTTCTCGTGTTGTTTCTTGTCGGCTTCTGCTCTTCTGACGAGTTTCTCCTGGTTCATGAGTCTTGCTTCCCACTCAGTCCAGCAATCGTCCATGCCAATAATGGCAGAATCGTACCATCTGGCCAATATGGCAAGACTCTGGTGTCGCAGTTGGGCTATTGATTCTTGTTGAGCATCTTGTCTGTGTGAAAGGCGTTGCAGTCGGGGAAGCAAGTGAATAAGGGCGGCCGAGGAAGAAGGATCAGGTACTGGCAGGTCTTGCAAGGAGGTTAGACGGGCAGCTGTGGCCTGATACGATGGTGCATGAGAGAGAACGAGGGCTGTCAGGGCGTGATGGGTCATGTCAGGGGCATGGTGTAGATGTTGTGATTCTAGTCGGTGGTCAGATGAGTTGCAGATATGTCGTGCGACAGGCATGAATTACGTAGTGTGACGATGTCCCGAGCGGAGTTTGAGTCGGACAGGACAGAGTTAAGTGAGGACTGCAGTGCTTGTATTCGCGAAGCGATGGATTGAGTTACGGGAGAGTCGGTGGACGTTTTGTCGTTGTCGTTCGGGTCGGTAGCGGCAGAGGTACCGTAGAGCAAGAAACGCACGCGTTGCAGGCGCTGTTCCAGGGCGTCAAGGGTCTCGAAGGCGGTGCCGTGTGCGATAGTGGACATGGTCGTGTGATGTGTTGGAAGCTGTGCAGCGGGAGAAAGGTGTGTTTGGTGTGCTCATGACGGAAAATGGCGAGCCTGACGATCAAGACACAGTCGGCAGCCGAGAGCCGTTTCGCGGCTTGGCCCAAGGGTAGATAGCGAAGGCAAGACTCATGCTCCATCAATTCTCTCCCACGCCATGGTCGCTCGCTAGCATCCACGTCCTTGTCGCCGGCTCCTTCTCAGTACCAAACCATGACTAGCTACGCCTCAATCCGCTCGCCGCCCAGCGACTCGTCGTCCCGTCCCAACAGCACCGCCAGCATGTCGCGCCGTCCGCGCCGCAAAGAGAACCGTGTCCACGGCCACGCTTCCTGGACCAGCAGTGTCATCAACCTGGTCAACACCATAGTCGGTGCCGGCGTGCTGGCCATGCCCTCGGCCCTGTCCAACATGGGCATCCTGCTCGGAATCCTTGTCATCGTCTGGTCTGGTCTCGCTTCAGGCTTCGGTCTCTACCTTCAAACAAGATGCGCGAGATACCTGGATCGCGGCAATGCCAGTTTCTTCGCTCTGAGCCAAATCACATACCCCAATGCTGCCGTCATCTTCGACGCTGCCATTGCTATCAAGTGTTTCGGTGTCGGCATCAGTTATCTTATCATCATCGGTGATCTCATGCCCGGTGTCGTTCGTGGCTTCACAGACACTCCTGCGGCCGAATATCTGCTGGACAGACACTTCTGGATTACTGCCTTCATGTGAGCATATACAAGCCTTCACTCTTCTCCGTGCCCATCTGACTAGTGTCCAGGCTTATCGTTATTCCTCTCTCCTTCCTCCGCAGACTTGATTCTCTCAAGTATACTAGCATCATTGCTCTCGTCTCTATTGGCTATCTTGTCGTGCTGGTGGTGTACCACTTCGCACAAGGCGATGATATGGGTCTCAAGGGTGATATCAGTATCGTGCCCGACAAGGGTATCGTCCCCGTCCTGGCCAGTTTCCCCGTCATCGTCTTTGCCTACACATGTCATCAGAATATGTTCTCCATTCTCAACGAGATCGAGGACAACAGCCCGTTCAGAACCACTTCTGTCGTCTTGGCCAGTATCGGTAGCTCCGGCAGTATCTATCTGCTTGTCGCTATTACTGGATACCTAACATTTGGTGACAACGTTGCCGGTAACATTGTCGCTCAATGTAAGTCACGATAACAATCTCAACACCTTTCGTGGCCTGGCCCTGACAAATCACAGATATCCCTTCAGTGGCATCGACGATTGGTAAAGCAGCAATCGTTGTGCTTGTCATGTTCTCGTACCCTCTTCAAGTTCATCCTTGCCGTGCGTCGGTTGATGCAGTACTCAAGTGGCGCCCAGCTTCGCGTAAGCAGCCAGAATACGCCTCTGTCAACGGCTCTCCCTCTCGCTCGAGCCTTTTGACCTCTGCGAACAACTCGCAGAAGGGTCGCGGCGAGATGAGCGACAGACGCTTCGCGGTCATTACTACAGCCATCATTATCCTGAGCTACATTGTAGCCATGACTGTATCATCTCTGTCGGTGGTGCTAGCCTATGTCGGCAGTACTGGAAGTACTTCGATCAGTTTCATTCTTCCAGGGCTCTTCTACTACAAGATCTCATCACCAGACTCGCCGCATCACCAGCGATTGCTCAAGGAGGACGATGATGAAGAGGCAGAGGGTGATGGAGAAGCAGAAGCGGGTGGATGGAACAGCGGAAGCATTCTGCGCAAGGCCAGTCTGGGGCTGGCAATCTACGGATTGCTTGTCATGGTGGTCTGCCTCATCACCAACACGTTCTTTGTTGTTGCTCACTGATGTAGATCTGGATACCAATCAAAAGTAATGTCTTCTTACGTCCAGATAATGATGCTGTCCGTGCCACTGTCACATGCCTCGGCCCGGAGCGATGACGCAAGTATAATCTGGGGAAGGCCGAGGGGCAGATGCATGTCGAGACTCGAACGAGGCCGTGACAAAAGACAAAGGATCCGTTTCCTTTGCATGCACTCCGCAGTATACCACAGCTCAAGTATAGTGGCCCCGCAGACCAGGGAGTGAGCGCGACTCGACGATAAAAGGTGCGCCTGGGCCTGATCCTCCTCTTCAGACACCCCGCTGACCTGTACCGTAGAAACATCGTCCAACATGTCCGTCTACAACAGTCAGCTGGTAACGCGCCTCATGAACGCCATCGACCGCTTGAATTACTCTGCTGACTATGGAGTCGAGGATGCCTTTGAGCTCTACCACAAGATCCAGGAACAGAACGAACGACGAGGCCCCAGCACCGATGGCATAGGTCTTCCGGCCCTTGGCCATGCTCTAGCAGGTTCTGCCGGTACTGCTCTGTCGCATCTTATCCTCTACCCTCTCGATCTCGTCATCACTCGTCTCCAGGTTCAACAGCAACTCAAAACACCCGGAGAGGCTCCCTCGGCCGCCAAAGAAGCAGAAGATGCCGAATACGCCAGTCTTGCCGACGCAGCACAAAAGATCTACACACACGAAGGAGGACTGGAAGCCTTCTGGAATGGCTGCGCGACCGACACGGCAAAGAGTGTGGTTGACAGTTTCTTGTTCTTCCTCGCATACACTGCCTTCCGCCAGCGCCAGCAGAAGAAACTGGGTACCAAGTCTTTGCCCGTCTTTCATGAACTCGGTGTTGGTATAGCTGCTGGTGCTTTGTCCAAGTTCGTCACAACTCCTATCCAACAAATCGTTACCAGGAAGCAGACTGCCGCTCTGATTGCCGCTAGAGACAAGACTTCCAGCTTACCTCCCGGTATGGCATCGAAACTCAGCGTGAAGGACATTTTCCTGCAGATCCGAAGTGAGCGTGGCCTAAAGGGTTTCTGGGCCGGTTACAGCGCGAGTCTGATTCTCACGTTGAATCCCGCCCTGACTTTTCTACTTCAAAATCTCTTGAAGAGGACACTGTTGCCTCGTTCCCAACGCGACAAACCAGGACCAAAGGCCCTTTTCCTCATCGCTGCCATGTCCAAAGCCACAGCATCAACAGTCACCTACCCCTTCAGTCTAGCCAAAAGCCGCGCTCAAGTATCCCGTCCCATGGCAGAAGAAACACAACGCAAACCACCCGCCTACCTTGAGAAACCAGATCTTTCTTCCGACTCCAAAATCACAGCCCGCTCCAAGAAGGTTCTGCGTCTTGTCTTCTGGCAACAAATTCAACAATTGGCAATCTTCCGCTCTCTGGCCAACATCTACAACACCGAAGGCATCAAAGGCATGTACAGCGGTCTGGACGCCGAAGTCATCAAAGGCTTCCTCGGACACGGTCTTTCCATGGTGCTGAAAGAGCGCATCCACGTCTTGATCATTTCGGCCTACTACACCATCCTCAAGTTTACAAAGCAGTGGCCCCACGATCTCGGGTCTGTAGGTGAACAGGCCAAGAATGAATTCGAGAGGGTCAAGAGTGCTGCAGTGGACATGGCGGAGAGTGCTGTCGAGGCTGGCAAGGATGCGGGTCACCGTGTGCAGAATGTTGGCGAGACTGTTGTTGAAGGCGTCAAGCATGCTGTTGAGTCTGGCAGCACTGGCGTTGGGGAGAGTGTACAGAGTGTCGGCAGCAATGTTGGCGAGAGGCTGCAGAATGTCAGCGAGACTGTGGTCGACGGGCTCAAGAAGTCGATCAAGACGGAAGAGTAGCGCACTAAGGAAAGGCAGGATCTAACGATGTCACGATCGGCGAGAGACGATGATGATGATCAAGGGTTACAGTACGCGGGAGTGGTAATGGATGCAGAAAATCTCTTGGACTTCTTGTATTAAAATGACATGTGATTGCGAACTTTCTCAGCTTCTAGTTGCACTAAACCAACCAGGGGCTAAATCATGACGACACTGAAATGAATATGCGCGCGAACGAAAAATGCAAACAATGTTCTTCAGGAAACAAATTTACTTGTACGACAGGAAAGTGCCAGTGTTGGTCGTGTTCAAAGCAGGTCTCTGCGTGGTGGCCTGGTTGTTCTCGTTGATGTTCTTGAACTGTACGGGTGCAGAGGCGTCGTTCATGACACTGGTGTCTGCGAATTGTGTTGGGGCCATCTTGCTCTCAGTGGACTCGACAGTGGAGCTTGCGAATGGAGTGGCGATGGTTGAGGTCTCGGTTGTGCCGAAGCTCTTGAACGGAGTACCACCCACAGCGCTCTGGGCAGAGCTGTTGTCGCTGAACGGAATAGGGGCCTTAGTGTCCTGGAAATAGGAGCCCACGTCTTTGAAAGGGGTAGGCTGTAAGGTCGAGCTTGTCTCCACGCTCTGGAATGATGTGGGTTGTGCGGCTGACGTGGTCGTCTGAGCAGAATGGGTAGGAATGGTAGCAGGGGAAGGCTCTGCTTGCTGCTGCTCTGCCGGCGCCGTCAACGAGGCGTCAGGCACGTACATCTTCTTGACAGGTACCTCGTCTTCTTCGCTGTGGAAACGTTTCTCCTTCATTGCTGGTCTGGTTTGTTGCTGAGGTTGCTGCTTGAAGTATTGGCCTTTGTCCTGCTCGTTGTTTGATGCTTCTTGCCTTTCTTGTGCGGCAAACTCGTCGGGAGTGGCACGTTTGGGGTCGTATTCCAGATGTTCGAATGCCGGAGGATTGAAGCCATTGGCTACCTCTTCGGCGGTCTTGTCCAACCATCCGCTCTCCAAGATCTGGTTGACGGTCGGCCGCTGATAGGGGTCGGCCTTCAAGACCCATCTGAGGAAGTCGACTTCTCCATCCTCCAGACCACGTTGACGCAACAGCTCCCACTGGTCACCTTTGTGCTTGCTTGGGTCGTTTGCAGGCAATGGGACGTTTCCGTACACAGGCTCGTTTTGTAGCTTGTAGTCGTTCATCAATGCGCTCTTGACAGCGTCTTCTCTTTCAACCATGCCTCCAGTCTTCGTGTCGAGGTCGTCGTAAAGACCAGTCTTGGAGAAGCGAGTGCGGGCTTCGAGCAAATGGCAGTAGATGAGAGCCCAGCCCCATACATCGACTCGTGAGGTGATATCGCCTTTGAGGTAGACTTCGGGTGCGCGGTACGTGATGGGCTGGACTTTGCCATTCATGGGTTCCATGACGAGACCCAGATCGCCCAATTTGGCCTTGAGGTGGTCGTCCTTTTCCTCCGACTCGGCATTGAAACCGTCGACCATAATGTTCTGAGGCTTCAAATCTGCGTACACCAGACCAGCTGCATGTACGTCGCGCAGGCCGACAAGGACATCTTTGGCGACAGTCTTGATCTCGGCAAGTGACATGGGTCGTTTCGTGCGTGCGATCCAGAGAGTTGTTTCAGTGATCTCCAAGACAATCATTGGTGGACCTCCAGCCTGGGTGGGAGGGATCCTGTCAACCTGTTGTCTGATGGCTGGCGAGTCCTTGAAGACTTCGTGCATGACCATCTCGTTTTGGAAGCTGGGCCATCCTGGCTGTGTGTCGACTTCGCCGGGTTCCTTGATGACAACGACCTGGAGAGGCTTTTTGGGATCATTGCTCTGCTCGACAGCTGTCCAGACGTTACTTTGGCCCAACGGGCTGACTGCCAGGTACGTCTTGCCGCTCTCGCCGACCAGTCTTGCGCCTTCAGAAAGCATGCTATGTGAATTGGTGATGTTGTGGATGCGTAGGGGATGAATTGAGATGGTTGAGGTGGAGGAAGGAAAAACCAGAGACAATTCGGGCACGTAAAGTAGTTTGAGGTCGAACACGCACGCAGCGTGACAGGCAAACCACAACACGCCAACCGGCTTTTACGTCACAGAAGATGACGAACTGGGTTCCTGACAACTCTGAGCGTCGGGTGTTTTCCTGCTTGCAACTCTACTTCCACCAATACGACAATTCCTCCGGGGCATTTCATCTTGCTGCTCCGATAGCGTTTGAACAATCAGCAGGTATTTCCGGTACCTCGATCGCGGCCTATGCGCCAGGATGTTCTGCAGCTAGAACGAGTCGAAGCAGATGACGGCCGCCTGTTTCGAACGACGAGGTTCGACGACCGTTTGCTTAAACATCGTCAGAGCTTCATCCAACCCCACAAAACTCGGCAGCGCCGGCGTCTCTCATAGGGCCAAGAGCCGCGACAAACTCCGAGGATTCAAGGACATCTTTCTATTTTTACCGATCCTCGCCTCTGTGGCAGTACAGTCGACTCGCGTCGTGCGGCTGTGTCGTTGCTGCTCAAACTCCAATGACATCTGCCAACGTGTTTCTGATATCGCTTCGATTGCTCGCCATCTTTTTGTTGGATGTCTGACTAGCCCTGACAGGGTCGCCACGACCAGGGTTGTTACTCGGACACCTGCAGTCGTTCGCCTATAAAGCAGGTACTGGATGACGCGTCTGCGCTGCTATAGTGCTGTACCAAGTTTCATCGTGTCAGGCAGATTGTCAAGTGCCCTGGATTTCTTTTGGAGACCCATGGTCAGTAGGTCACGACTCGCTACGCTCGACATCGGTGAGTTAGACTGATTACAGGTCCGCAAAGCGCGCTTCGATCGCTCGACTGAAAGAGTCGTCTGACAGCCTTGTCTCGCGATAAATCTTGCTTCTCTGTGCGCTATCCACTTGTAGCAGCAACATATCAGACTGCGAAAGTCAGGTAGGATGAATTGAGTTTAATTTGATTCCAGCATCCGACCTCCTACAATCTTAGTCAGTCCCATGCACAGATCACATTGGAACGTAGCTGGAGTCACCACAAAAGCAATACATGTCATGTGTTACAACATTCCAACTCTCGTGTCAATTCTTATCTGTCATTCAAACTATGGTAGGGAGGGCATTACATCTGTCGTTCATGGTGAAGCCTGGGTGATCCAGCTCCGTCGGCTGAAGCCCTGCATTGATCATGGGGACGACAGTCGTGGTTGGATCGTGTATCATTCCTTCTCATGGTCAGTGACATAATAAGAAGACAAACCAACCGACATACCTGGACTTTTTTACAGTCTGCTTCCGTTCACGACTCTGTAGTCGACGGCAAGCTCACGACCTTGGTCGCTAAGAACAAGAACTCTGATACTGCCACGACCTTGGTCGAAAGCATCGGTGAGACGCTGCAACAGGTTGCTCTGGTCAATGACAGGAAGTCCCTGCTTGACGTCACCACTCTCGGTCATGGCAACAACATGGCCATCATCGCGAATGTCAAGGACACGGTACTGCTTGAACACGGGTCCGTACATCTGCTGAACAACCACCGAAGGCGAAGGGTTGGAGATGAAGGAAGACTCTTCTTGCAGCTGCTTGGTGAAGAGATCGACACCGAGGTAGCGGTGCTGGCCAGTCTGGGAAGAGGTGGTGATACGGATGACCTGACAGGGGCGACCCTGGAGGTACAGCAAGTCACCAATGCGAATGTGGTGGCAGGGGATGGAGACGGCACTGCTAGGACCGGAGCGGCCAGCGGAACGACGAGGAGTAGACATGGTTACGGTTTCACGTTCCTCAACGACTTCTTCGGCAGGAGAGGAGTGGTGGTGCTGGTGGTGCTGTTGGTGGTGACGGGGTCCGTGGATGGGATGGAGGATGTGATCAGCAGCGCGGTGAAGTCCGTCACGGAAAGAGTGATATTGGCCTTCGTCGTCGTAATATCCCATGTCAAACTTGCGGTTCTTGGGAGGGTCGACGGTAGTACGAGTCTGGGTTTTGACACGTACTTCCTCTTGGGCAGGGGCGGTGTGGTAATAGTCCCGAGCAGATGTGGTGCTGGGGTAGTCTTGGACGTATGAACCAGATGTATCCTGAACGTAAGAGTCCTGGACTACGGGGTTGGTTCGGCGACGATAGTCACGTTCGGTAACGTCAACCTCTGAGTCGAAGTGAGTAGCAGGACTGTGGGTGGTACGGTATTGTTGGTCGTAGGCCTTGTCCTGAACGTCGATCTGTGCGTCGACGTAACGTTGGTAAGGTTCACGGTAGCTAGGTCTGTCAGTGGGACTGGTCTGAGCAAAGAGGGGGAGTAACGGTGCGGGAGGAGAGAGTCAGGTAGAAGGGAGGAGGATATGGGTGGATGAGGAAAGCTTGGACGAGCAGCATGGACATCCAAGTTGACATGGCAACACGCTAGTGGGTGGATAGCTGGTTCATGTCACTGCTTTAGTGCCTGAACCGCCCGAGCCGCCCGCTCGTGCCGAAGCGAGGTGCTGAGAACTGGAAAGGCGGTGGGTGGGTGGACTGATGCTGATCTTGCTTGCGAGAAAAGAGGGGAAAACGAGACAATGACTTACCGGTCCTGTTCGATACTGATCTTGGTCTGCCTGTTGGGACGAGACGTATGCTCTTCTTTGTAGATGTGAACGTTCTCCTCTCTGCGTCCCGATTGACGATAGCGGTCCTTCTCTGTTACTCTGATCTCCTCTTCAAAGCGGCGGGACGGAGGTGCCTGGGATGAGGTGTAGCGGTTTTCGTGACCTTCCCGTCCGCCGTGCGAGCTAGAAAGGTTGACCTGCTCTTCTACTTTAATCTCTGTCGAGTTGGTGACAGTATCGTTCCTATACGTGGACGGGAAGACTGCACAGTGTGAGCTGAGTGCCAATTGAGAGCGATGGAACAAACGATACCACTGAAGGAGATGGGGACCTGCAAGTGTTCTGTCAATTGTTGCACTAACGATCTGATTCTGATGCTTTGCACTCACTCTTGCTTCAAAATCCAGCTTGCTGGATGTCTAGTGTTCTTTCTTGAAACCCTCACGAACTGTCCTTGAACAACTCGGAAGGAAAACAAGAACGAACTGGAGGTCCTTGTCGGGGATGAATTGGGATTGGGAAGCGGAGTAAGGAAGGAGAAAGTGCTAAGGTGACGAGGGTGATTTGTCTTGCAGGATACTAAATAAAGCGGGAAGAGGGCAAGCTGATCAATGGACCTTTCATTTGACCTGCATCCTGTTTGTTGTCACTATACCCGCCCGTTTCCAGGTGGATATAAAGATTAGTGGAAACCGTAACCCGATATCTAGGGTCCTGTTCTGTCCGTCGAGCCACTCGGGTGGTTTGCTCCTGCCCCGTTCAAGACGATCTCAACATTTGCTGGCCTCGACAGCCACCTCGGCTGGCGTCTCGCCGTACTGCACAACCTTAGACCAGCCATCCCAGCAAGTTACAAGAAGGCGATGGCTGACTGTAGGCCGCCGTTCCCAGCCTCTGTTTCTCTTACGATGTCGATCTCTGCAAACTAGCAGGTCCGAGTGTTTTGTCAACACACAAATTCGCTAAGCGCTTTGGTGGCTGGGTGGCTTGGTCGTCAGGTGTGACAGGAACAGCCTCTGTTGTCGCCCATTTCCTTCCCAGAGAACAGGTCATGATCCGCAGTATACCAGTTGAAGCGTCTATCTACAAACTTATCTGTTTGCTGGCCGTTTTTATGACGTCTTGTACGTTGCAATCGTGGTCGTTTTGTGCCTGTTTGTGATTGAGCTCTCCCCACAGAAACGGCAACTGGCCGTGCATGTCCCAACGGTGTGGGGAGAGCTTTCCATGTTCCCTCCCCGTGTGCTAAGTTTTGTAACGCGGATCACTGTAAAACTGCACAGTAGTTTCTATACATGAACAGTGTCCATCGAAAGACTGAGTGCTCTAGGCTCTCTTTGGTATTGACTCTAGCTTAGACACCTTTGTGCCTTTGCATAGGCAGATCATTCTCTATGCCTTCGCAGGAGAAGTGTAAGTAGGAGAAGCGTGCGAATTACAAAATCAAGCACACGGAGAGGTCTGACTTGGATCTTGCTTCATATCCAGACAATGTTTTGTTTACGCGTCGTCCATTAGGTCCCGTAGTTTGATTCACTACGGTCCGTTATCGAGTGTCGCTCACAGAAAGTGCTTGATCTAGACATTTGCCAGGCCTGGACAGTTAAAGAAAGCCACCTGCACGGTTATATCGTCCCTCAGCTCTCGCGAGAACGGAGGACCAGCTACAAGCCGGCCTGCTATCAACTCGTCATGGTTTCCGCCGAGAGAATTTCGCATCAGATGCACGGCGACATTGTCGTCTTGGTTTGTTGCCCTTTCCTCTTCGAATCTCGAGTTCACACCTTTGTTGAGCTGACCAAAGTCGAGTGGGTCATAGTTTGGCTTTGGTCTGCTTTCTCTCGTCCCACTTGCTTTGGTTTCGAGCCATAATCCCACTAGGTCGACAGCTTGCTGATTGCTGAGCGAATCCCACAAGCCGTCTGACGCCAGTATCAGGAACGAGGGCTTCGACGGATCGATTGAGGTAGTCGTAACAACAGGTTCAGCTGTTATATAGGGCGGCGTCTGAATATTGAATCTCGATGTCAGAGGTGCTTGACCCTTGAACCTCTGTTCGAAGTCTTTTTGCTGTCCTAGAGGCCATTTCCATCGGCCATCCCCAAAGGCTCGTGAAACCATCAGTCCTAAGATTCGCCCATTCTTAGCTATGTCTTCTTCACCAGGATGCTCCTGGTTGATCCTTACAACCTCCTCCGTGTTGCTACCAGTCTGATCGACCGACAAAGCCAAGGCTTCCCATTTACCATCTGAGTTTTTTTGTGCGAGGACTGCTCTCGAGTCACCAGTACATGCAACGTGTAATTCGCTTGCAACAGGATCATACAAAGAGACCAAAGCGCACGAACCAGCGAATCCAGGCATCAATTTTTGCATCTTCTCTTGTAATGAGAGAGCACCTTGCGAGGTTTCCTGGGCTGTGTCCATGATCGAGCTGTCGAAATCCGTGAATGCCTTTGTGATAGCACGCTGAGTCGACTCTCGATATGCGGAAAGCGCTTCCGGAGTAAGCTTGACCTGACTGAGGTACTGTTGCACCAGAGGTAGAAGCTGCTTCTGTAGCAGGTCCGCTGTCTGCCAGCCCGCATGCCCGTCAAAAACAGCCCAAGCCATCCAAGGCATACCGTCGTTCCGAGGCGAAGGAAGCTTTCCGTGAACAAATCGATCCTCGCAGGGGCTATTAGAGGCTAGCTGAGCACCATAGTATCTGCTCACACTCGAAACCCCTTTGACCGGGAAAGAATATGCCCCTCGGGAAAGCATTCGGGTGATCTCATCTTTCGAAAGGCCGGACTTATCCAGCATGTGCTCAGCTTCCCGATTCTCTAAAACTGGCACGTTGTCGAAATTGTCGTGTGTGGTTGTCAACCACCAAAGTCCTCCTCCAGCAACTAAGCCGCCAGGCACGATGAGCCTCACACCTTTCGCGACGGGTTGCGATGCATAGGACCTTTGCTGAGTCTTTGTCCGGAACACACGATGCAGACTTGTTCGAGCTATGCGTGATGGAAGCATCTTGTAAAACTAAGATCGTTCAGACTCCAAAGTGTGTAGGTAGCTTTTGCCTCTGCCTTTTGAACTCCAGATGTCGGCAAGATATGATAGATGAGGAAATGAAGCTCCAAAGAAACGATGAGACGAAGGATCAAAAGGGGGTCACGCGAGCTGGAACTGATAAGCACATAGCAACATCTCTCAGACATACCGATCGAACGGGACTAGCGACGAGGCAATACGACTATGCCGCTCTCTGCGGCTATGGTCCAAATAATAACGACCGTTTACGGCATCAACTGACCAGGATGAATACCGTCGTCAACCCGGCCGACAACAAAGGTCACGACTGTCTGCTTACTCATTGAATCTCCTGAATCATGCTGTATAGCCGCACTTGATATCTGACTCGCGAAACACGGCACCTTCTCCTGAATCCTTCGGAAGCACCATCCTTGGCTCCGAAAACATCGTTTCAGACCCACTGTGTAGGATGCCCGTCCACCAATCGAAAACCGGTGCCTTGTAGGCCTACGAGGACATCAATCCTGGTGCCTTACGACTAGGAACAACAACAGCATACGATCTAGGGGCACAGTGATTGATCTCGTGTATGTTTAGCTCATATTTAAGGTCTACACCCCCGTCGATCTTATCAACACAACCTTCCATCATCGATATCGATATACATCCGAGCCAACTACATCATGGAGTACCCAAGTTCTCTTGACCGTGTCCTCCGCACCACAACCATTGTCACCTTTCTCCTTGCATTTGCTCTTCTGATTCCCTATGGCGTTACAACAGCTGCAGTACTTCCCGCCATTGGCCTGGTACCTGCGTTCATTTCTGCCATTTTGAGCCCGCTAGCCTTGAACACAAGCCCTCGATGGTCTTGGTTCATCCTGTGCATGGATACGTTTAATGCCGTTTTCCTGTTCAGCATCTTGATGCCATTCTTCATCATCACGGCAAGCAGCATGGGCTGGCTAAGCAACGGAACCATCATGTTGGGAACCTACGGTAGCGTGCCACTGATGATTGATCTGTGAGTCGAGAGAACCCTCTGTTGCTTCTTTCTATACCGAGAGATGCAACAATAATTAACGGTGTGTTCTGACAGTTGCATCCACGCTTTCTTCGTCCTTCGCCGAGTTTTCCAAGCGTGCAGAGGCTTCTCGTTCGCACGCACTTGTCCGAACTGTCACACACACATCGGTCCTAGGATTGCTCCCCATAAGATTCACGTCTCGGCTGAGAAGCCTCGCAATTCTTCTGAGGAAGAGGCCCTATATCAACCACTTGACGCCCCTAAGTATGATGACGAGGGAAGAATTTCATCAGAGGCTGGTACCCTATACAGACCCAGCGTGGACACTTTGGGATCTACAGAGACGGTGGTAAAGCTGATCTGAGCTCTACTGTTGCCTAGCCCTGCAGGAGTTTGGCCGAACGACTACCGGTAGAGTCTGGAACGTACATATAGCCTCCCCGTGTGCAAAGGGTTGTAACGCGTATACCTATCAAAATGCACAACGTTCTCAAGAACTAGTTCGTATCCATCGAGATACAGTGTTCTCTAGGCTCTATATGGATCAATCTTTAATGTAGAAATCACTGTGCCTCTTTATAGCGAGTATTGTGTTCTACACCTTCGTGGGAGAGAGGAGCGTAAGGGGCTGGAGTTAGTGGAGCATGTGAAGAAATGGTAGGAATAGCACCAGTGATGACTGTTTATATATCACGTATCGAAAAGCTAGCACGCATTCATGTTCGCATCTCGTTTGTCAAAGAAAACAAGGACGGCCTCACTTCCCCTGACACTCACAATGCCGTCACGTCCAACTGATTCTACAAGGAGCTCGCCGGCCTCGTTGCCATCAGGGAACGATTGGCCCGCCCAGGTAGTCTTGTTCGCGTTGCCTTCGTCGACGTGAGGAGCACTCAACCTCTTCAACCACGCTCTTGTTCCCTTCTTCGAGTGTCCGTACTTCGAGATGTCTAGGGTAACCGTAAAGTCGCTTGTCGAGTTGGCGTAGTATGGCTTCGAATTGATGATGGCTAGTTTGTTCAGCTTGTTCTTGACGTAGAAGGCATACGCGGAGAAGTAGTCCTTGTCAACGCCCGATGGCGTTTCCACCTGACGGACACGAGTATCAGGAATGGCAAACGCTTCAGCCATGAAAAGTTGACTAGGAAAGCTAGGCAAGACTCTTGCAGGACCGCGCTTCTCACTGTCTCGAGGATAGAACATGTCGTATGTTGAGTAGCCTGGCGACCCATCTTGGCCTGCAGAATTGACCTGTTGACTACTTTGGAATACCAAAGCTGCTCCTTGGTGTAGGTAGACAGCGGAGGCATTTCTTGCAGCATAGATAAGTTCGCTCTGAATGACCCATAGGGCCTGCGCGAACGTGTCCGAGACATTTGGATTGCCTGAACAAGATATGGAGTTGAACTCTCCGATGATCCAGCGGTTGCCAGCATCAAGTGCAGCCTTGGCCGACGGGTAGATTTCTTCGTCAGCATAGCGAGCCAGTTCAGTCTGGTTCAGGATGTTCTGTGTAGTCGCTAGTACAGCCCGGGCAGGATCGCAAGTTGAGAACGGGTACGAGTGTATCGAGTAGTCAGCCACTTGGTTATCAGAGTCGATGCCTGCAGGAATAAGAGCAACAGGTCTAACTTCGAGGCCACTTTGATCTGTCGTCGCCGATGAAGCCCACCAACGCTCACTGCCAGATTCAACCGCTGAATCAGAACCCAAAGTCATGTTGACAGCTGCATCGATCTGAGCTGTCCAGTTCTTCCATTGCTGAACGTACGCTGTAGTACTGTTCTTCCATCTTGAGCTGGGGTAATTTGTTGGCTCGTTGCCCAGCTCAAAGAAGCTGATGCTATCATTGCTTGCATATTTGACAGAGGCAACTGCCATATCTCTCGCAATGTCGAGCGAGTCGTTACCAAAGTTCAGTGTGGAGACAAACTTGGTGCCTTCAGGGAAATTTGACCAGCTTTCATAGTAGGCAGGGCCAACAGTTGTACGGTAGACACCACCTTTGGGATTGGTAGTGCGGACCGGATCACCTGCTGACACATCGAAAATCAAAGAATCCATCGTAATCCCACCAGGTCGGATCTGTCGAGGGACTGATGAGCTTAAGGTCTGGATTGTAATTGGAGGGAAACGTACCGTTGGCTGTCCACCATGATCGACAATACGATTGAGCAGATTAAAGGCAAGTTTGTTTGGCGTACTGGAATTGCCAAAGAACTCTACCCAGAATGCTGGCTCAAACGAGAAGGACGCAAAAGACGGATCGTGTTCTATTGATGCACCAAGTGCTGTTTTTGGAATGTTTAGAGAGAAACTATCACCATGGCTAACAGTAGGTTGAGAGGTGACGGTACGGGCTGCGATGAAAACGGCAGTGTATGCGACGAGACGAGAATCAGATCGCTGAGATAGACGCATGATGAGAGATGTGTCAGTAGGAGCAGGAGCAGGCACGGAGAGCATGCAAGATGTTATACCTACCTATGATCGGGCTAACATTGCCCGAAGGATGAACAATCATGCGGAGAACGGCATGGAGAACGATGATCCTTGTTCTTTACCCGGGCATTGTCGACAATCTTGGTGGAGGAATCGTGCCTGCTCCGGTGGGCAAGAGACTCTTCCTCCCCGTCTGTAATGCGACTACCTATTGAAAGGCACAATGATCTTAAGGACTGGATCGAATGCATGGAGATACAGTGTATCTTAAAGCTCTATTTGGAATAGAAATCACTGTGCCTTTTTATAGCGAGCATTGTGTTTTCTACACCTTCTTAAGAGAGAGAGAAGCGTACGGGACTGGAATTACAAGGTTTAGCACACGGGCAAGGTAGAAAGAAGAAATGTGGTTGACGGAAAAACGATGCGGGGAAGGTGGCTGAGTGTCCCCTCATGATGTGCACCCTCGTATTGATGTAAGTGACGATCCTTAACAATACCCACGTCCCAAATGCATCACCATTCTCTGACGAACAGTCGTCGACCTATATCTCAGTCACCTGCTCTCCTAGGGATTAGTTGCTCGTCACTACAATTAGAACACAATACGATTGTGTGGAGTGCAAACATTGTACAAATAATTCTTGATATAATCTGTAGAAGAACTAAAAAGTGGTACTTTGTGGATGCTTCCAACGTACCGTGGGTATCAAAACCAAAATTCATCATAACTCATCTCCTTCGCCTTCAAGGAGTACGTATTCTAATATGTCACTCAAGGTAAGCAGGCCTTTGAGCTTTTTATCCTCGTCAATCACGACGAAACGATGAACGCGGGACTTTCGAATCGTGTCGAAGATCGAGTCCAGTCGGTCGTTGAGAGTGCAAGTGAAGATACCAGGAAATTCCTAGAGTCAAGTCAGCCGTGATGATACAGGAAGAAGGAGTCAAGCATGTTACCTCGGAGCGCTTTAGCAGGGCTTCACCAACGGTCAAGTTCAGGTCATCATATACACCACCCTTAATGAGCGATATGACATCGACTGCTTCAAAGACGTTGACAACACCACCTGCCTCTTGTTTAGTGACACAGACCGAAGAATTCGGGCAAGAAGACATACCTTCAGGGTCCAGGATGGGGACGTTTGATATGCTGTACTTAACAAGCAGATGAATGACGTCCATGACGGGAGTCTCCATTGTGGCAGTTTGCAGGTCGCCATAGGTGCCGCAATCAATGTCTCGTAGGGGTTTGCGCAAGTTCTGAGTGTCTTTGACGTTGACGGCGACGAATTTGAGGATGCGGTATTGAGTCAAAACGCTGACGATCATGGCACGTTGCGTTTCGTCATCGACGTCGACCAGCGGGATACGGCGAGCGCGAGACTCGAGCATGCGGCGACATGCCGTGTATAGAGATTGGAGTGGATGTACCGAGACGGTTTCGATGGGCTGCACGCCAATGGCCTTTTCAATATCGCGGAGACTGTTGAGACGGAACTGATCGACTTGGGCGAGGGCGTCGGGGTTTTGCCAGTAGTACTGAATGACGTTGATGTAATCCGAAGTGGTCAACAGGCCAGCAAAGGTTGATGTCTTGGAGTCCCAGAGCGGAGCAGAGACAATGCCTTATGAGTGTCAGCCAGAAAGATCAAGGAAGGGCAGGTGTGAGGGCATGATGTAGGCACCATTTTGGATGAGGATGTTGAGACTCTTTTTGACCAAAAGGGCAGTGTCGAAGACGATGAGGCGGTAACTGAGAGGAAGCACGTCGTAGCTGGTGCGGACTTTGAGGAACTCGCGAATGGCTCGCTGCAGACGATGGTTAGAAGAGAGTCAACGAGGGACGCGTGCGGACTGACTAGGCCTTCGAGCTGCTCGATGTCGAGGGGACTCATGGGGCCTCTGGACTTTGAGCCATGGGCCCTGTCGCGAGGGCGCAAGTAGTGACTGGGAGCGACAAAGTTGGGCGAGGGCTGCTGTGGTTGCGACGAGGGAGTCGATGTGGAGGAGGGGCTGTAGGTGGGAGCGGGTTCGTTCAGAGGCCCAGCTGCAGTTGCATCGGCCTCTGCCATTGTGAGACTCTACACCTCGGTCCAGTCGTCTATGCGCGACCACTCTGCTTCGACTGTCGAGGTTGCACTGGGGCTTCTGCTTTGCGACGCACCTTGTCGCCAGACCACACCATCATGTCCCCGCGACTCTCGGCCCCAATCGTCGCTGCTCCGTGCGTCGTGTGGAGAGACCAGAAACATTCTAGAGACGCTGTTGCTGTCGTCGTGCCTCCTTCTCTCATCAATTCCAGCTTCTGATTTACTAAGAGCTGCTGCGAGACGGTCTGAGTACTTCGCACAGAGCTAGCAATACCTGTATAGCCACTGTTGGACTTTATCTTTGACTAGACTACGCTCTGCTGTCATCCTCCAGCGTCTCACGTGCCTCTTGATGGGTTCCGGCTTCCACCGCTCTTGCCCTCAGCCGCGATTCAGCTGCACTTTCGCGCGTCAACACTCATCTTGACTACCACCTTTTGTGTCTGTTTTCTGTGCTCTCCTGACAAGCAATGACAGGTCTGTGAGCAGCCTGGACCGAGGCACAGAACGTGCGCCAACACCTTTCATGTCATGTCTGATGCTTGCCCGCATACCGGCCGAGCTTAAAATTACCTGTTCTCAGCCACCCGACTCTTTTTTCATCGCACTTGTTGAACATCGCCATATCGACCGAGGTATCGGTGCGACACCATCTGGAATTACGCTGCGCCATCCAATCACCACTCTCCTTTGGTGCGAGCCCCTCTGTGCGATTACCTACAACGGTCAAAGTGTCGTCTTAGACGTGCGGATCCGCAGATCCACGTCGATCCATGGTTCCCAGAATCCGGTCCACTCATGACGAACCTTTTACTAGACAGCCCGTCATGTTTGCTGAACCACTGGACCAATTGAACATGAACGGCTCATGATGATGATCATTCTCGCTGAAGCTCTTAAGGTAGATGTGTTGCTTCTCCTTGTGTGTTTCGTTCCCATCTCTTGCCCTGTGAGAATTCGCTGTGCAGTATGAAGTCATCGTCAGTCCTACTTGCGGGTCTTTTGGCCCAGTATGCCTCTGCCTTTCCCGGAATGGGCAACACACGCAGAGAGGCTGGTCTGCTGCCTCTAAAACCTCTAGTCAAGGCTGTTAGCACGTCGACCAGCACTTCCAACAACTATCCGGCATGGCACCCGCCACAAAACGGAGAAGGTACGAGTCCTGATATGATTTCTTGACCAGGATATCATTCTAACCCTTGAAACAGTTCGTTCTCCTTGCCCAGCATTAAATACCCTCGCAAATCATGGCATCTGTCCTCGAAGCGGCAAAGGTTATACGATCCCAGTTGTGATAGATTGTTTGAAGAGGGGATTGAACGTCGGTGCCGACTTCGCTACGGTCATAGGTACCGCAGGAATCGCCTCGAACCCCAACCCGTTGACCTCTGGATTGTACTTTGATCTCGATATGCTTGATCGACATGACTTTGTGATCGAGCACGACGGCTCGTTGTCCCGTGCAGATGCCTCCACAGGCAACAATTACAGCTTCAACCAGACTATCTGGGACACAGTGCTCGCTTACTACAGCGGTATGGACAATGCCACCATTCCTGTAGCTTCCAAGGCCAGGTTCAACCGTATCAGCACAGAGGCTGCCAGGGATCCCAACTTCAGCTACAGCCCAGTGCAGTTCATCCTCAGCTACGGTGAAACGGCCTTGTACCTGTCGACTATGGGTGACCCGATCACTGGAGTTGCACCGCTGGAATATGTGCGCAGCCTGTTCGAGGAAGAGAGACTTCCTTATGAGCTTGGTTGGCAACCACCAAAGACAGAAACAACTCTAGCAACTTTGGGTGCAATGGCTCTCGAACTCAATGCCGCGAGTGGAGAACAGGTTCCCGAGGGTGTAATTCTTGGAGAAAAGAGTCTGAGAGCGGCGCTGATTGGCCTCAATGCCGCCACGGGAGAGATTGAGAACAATGCAGTCTACGCCATCGCAAAACTGACTGGAGCACTCGGCAGTTTGATTGGTCTTTAGTGTAGAGCTCAGAAACACTGAAATACAATGGCATCTGTTCCCCGTTGAAGACAATCTCGTTTGGCTTAGCAAGCGGCTTCCTGCATACCGATGTCCGCTGACTATACTCGCTGCACTTATTTTTCTGCCTCTGCAAGCGGAAATCTAGAACTCAGTCACAGTGTTCTCCCATTTGATCTGTTCTTTCTCTCTTCAATCATACTCCAAAGACTCAAAGCATGGGCCCGACATGTACCCAGCTCGTGCTATCAACACATTGATCAGGTATATCGCTTTGATGCCGAGTAACTAGTGGATTTCAGTGTAAGAACAATGCCCATATCGTGGTGTGACAAAGGAGACAGTTGATGGAAGGCGCAACATGGTTCAGGTAACCGCTATCTCTCACCGCCTTCTTCCTCCGGCTTTCTGCCAGCGTAACACTCACCCACGTCGACGTTGATAGGGCAACTTGACGTCCTATATATCAATCCAAAGAATATATTCGGAAAAAAAGATACGGCACATGGCCAAAAAATAATAATCGAGACGACATTTCAAGACTCGCAATATTTGGATCTCGGATGCAACATGAATCCTGGATACTCATCAGCCTACAAGGACTGGGATAGATTGACCTTTTAGGGAGAGTAGATAACATCATCATTTGTTCCAAGTAGGTTCAGGCACGCCTGTCAATCTTTGATTTTGGACCCGCGCTGTGTGCTTGCTATACTGGCTGGATCAGAAGAAAGAAAGATATCTATGCTGGCTTGCAACAAGGACCAGGTGACTTGCCAAAGTTTTTCCGAACATCTCGGGACTGTCAACCGAACACCGTCCAGAATGCCTACCTAGAACATTCGACCAAGGAACACGGATTGAGCAAGATAGCGACTTTCGAGATTCGACTAGGCTGCATACCAAAACACGGTGAGCCTTACATGCGCTAAGGTCTACATCAAAACTGTTCGTGTAGAAAGGAGACTGGTAATACTGCGTCCAAATTTCGATACTCTATATGCATGAGAAACCGCTCCTCGCAGCAGCTCCAAGGCTCTTCGAATTAGACATGACAACACTTCTTTCCGCCAACCTTCTGCGTCCACTCTTGAGAGCGTCATCACCGGATCTGTTTTGCGCATGTTACCTGTCAATGGAAACAAGCGTCTTGATCGGTGTCGGGGAAATATCTTGATTTCCCGCTGAAGCGTCGTCGTCGACTGGACAATACTCCTTCATAAGCGAGAGAACCTCGTGGCTGTGACTCTAGAATGTGCTGTATCTTCGGAAACTCTCTCAGCACTTAGTTGGCGAAGACTCATCGCACACGCACAGGTGATCTAGCATCGTATTTGAGAAACACAGTCTGCTTGCAAAATGTTTCCTTTCTTCTTTCTGTACACATCCATCAAATCACATCGCCCGAGTCATCCCACAAGCATATTCTCTTACTACATACCATCAACTATGTCTCCTGTTCCTTGGACCATGCAGCTTCGCTCTGCCACAGCCAAACAGATCCTCATCAAAACACCTGTCATGAGAATCCACTGGATCAACAAGCAGGGTGAGCGCAAGATCATCACGCTCCCTCTCCGCCAGCACCGCTCAGGTCAGACCCCGGAGCAGCGCAAACGCACTCTCAAAACCACCACCAGAAACCTGGTCCATAACCACGAGCGTATTCTCCACCACAACAAGCGCGCTCTGAGAATCCACATGACCAACGGCGAAGGTCGCCCCAAGACTCTGACCTTTGTCCATGAGCCAAAATCTGGCATCAAGCTTCGCCTACGCAAGGTCAAGCGTTCAATATCGCCTGCAGCTGATCTTCTTAAGGTCTCTGCGCTCCAGATCAAACTCGAGGGGCAAATCGAAGGTCACATCAAGACCGAAGGGCAAGTCGAAGGTCACATCAAGACCGAAGACATCTAAGCGCTCACAGTGGTCAAATGCTCAAACACAGGCGATACGCCGTCAACAGACCCGGAAAAGCCCCCCTTAGGCGATACGTCGTCCACATTGCGCTTCTTTTGCGAAAGATTTTTGAAAAAGTCTTCGCGCAGACTCTTTTGCTACTCGGGAGGAAAGGATGAAATTACGATACGAGATACCCATGGATTGAGCAGTTACATTGCGAGGAGAAAGGAGTTTGGAATATAGGTTTACAAGTGCTTTACTTTTCTTCCAATGATACAAACACAAGTTTGAAGGAAACATTTTGTGCTGCTCACAGTGAGATTTCTATCGAGTGCAGTGATATGAGTGTGATTGTAGAGAATAATGATGCCTTGGAGAGATGTCATGTTTTTCACAGTCTCGCTTGTCGGTCGGAAAATCAGAGGCGAACAAATTTACGGATGACGGCGTCCACGCCGAAATAAAGTGGTACAGTGTGGATGGTAGAAGATTTTCATTGCTTCTAGCTATAGGAAAAAAGTAGTTAAAGCAATATTGTTGTTGTTTGGGTATCGATTATGTTGTCGTGAAACGCCCCTTCGATCCTTCTTGCCGCGTTTCCACCCTCTAATATCATGGTTGAGACCACCGTGTCCATGCCGCTTGTAGGGTCTTGACTCGTGTGTTTGGTCCGGGTAGCGAAATTCCACTCTGCGACGGGCGCTTTTGCCCCGAGTGAATCAAAGCAAATGCAGAGACTAAGTAGATTGCCGAGGTGTTCAAAATTCTGAAATGTTGACTTTCTGGTTGACAAAGTCCCAGAGCATCTTGATGAGCTGATCGGGGAGGGTGTAGAGGTCGACGTGGAACTCTCCGTCTGTATCGCGTGTCAGTGGTGGTGTATCGACAGCATTGCAGCAAAACTCACTCTCGACATCGTTCTTGGTGTATGTTTCTTCCGTTTTGTTGTCGTGTACCAACTGGACGACGTGCAAGAGGTCGTCCTCGCCGAGTCGCTCCAGACCCTCTGCCAACTTCTCCATGTCGACTTGCTGTTGCAGATGTTAGGTACGTGCAAGAAGTGGGCCGACAGAGAAACGTACAGTCTTTGATGCCTTCTTTCTTTTCTCTGGCTTAGCAGCACCGTTAGCATCTCCAACAGGACCGGAGTCCCTCAGTCTGTCGACAAGCTCAGGCTTAGGATTGCGGAACGTCTGATCAAACAAGTCAGTCATGGGAAGCGAAAGTTGATACAGGGCTGACCCACGAATTGCTGGAGACTCTCGTAGCGTTCTTGTTGGAAGTTCAGGTCGTGGAAGATGGTCTGTTCACCCTTGGGCTGCGAGAAGGGCGTGAGGACGATCGACATGTCGAATTCTCCCCATCCTTGCTCCTGGATCCTGAAAGGAGCCTGCTTGAGACCTGCATTATGTTCGCATCAACATGGAGCTCTTTCTGGAAGGGGTTTCGAGGGTCAAGTCGAGGTAGAGATGGCGTACTTTGGGTGGCGCGCTTTCCGAAAGACTCGTGCAGACGGTAGGTTACTTTCTCGAAACAGGTGGCAGGAAGTTGTTCGTCGTTAGGGCCGACTACGTAGACTTCGATGCTCCATTCACGCATGGGGAAGCCCTCGACTTCTGACGGGACATCGGGCCTGTCGGGGGAGAATGACTCTGTCAGATACGCCAATCTATCGTTTGGATTGGGGCAAAACTGCATCTAGTGACTTACAAGACGTGCTGCTCGGTAACGAGCTTGATCTGGCGTTTAATCTGTATGCGCGTCAGCAAGTTGGCGGACTGACAGAGGCGGATTGGGGCGCACGTCAGGCATCGTGGAGCGCTGTGGGAAGAACCGAGATAGAGAGTGTTGCCGCGATAATCCAGTTATAAGATTTCCTAAGTAGCGCAAAGATACACGCAGTAACGATGTTGGATGTATGAAGCACCCTCTGCTTTTGCGCCGACGCCGACGCGACAGCTGAGCGTGTCGTAAAGTTCGCGGGGACGCCCATACCGCCTTGACCGCCTTTGTGGCAGAATCCGCGACGTCACCGTCTCCTACGTAGGTATTGTCCTTTCACACATGTCCTCTCACACATGGAATTCCATCGGTCAAGCAAGAGGGAAGGATCCGAGAACGTAGATACATTAACCATCATGTGCTCTATCTAGATGAAGGCGCTAAGGAGACTTGGGGAACATTCATCATCATCTCGGAGGGCCGTCACCGAGAGGACCAACGGGGGCATATGGGGAGGGGGGATGCAGTGCCTAACGCCCAGAGTGCTGAACACAGAAATGCAAAATGCGTCTCGATGTCTTCGTCAGACATGCATGGTGATGATGTGGGTGAGGAAGGTACGGCATGTGCATGGGATAGGGGTTATATGGGATTCTGGGCCTGGCTACTGCTTGGTGGTGCACAAATGGCGGGGTGGTCGTGCTGGTGTTGGAGCAACAATCTAGTCAGACTTGTTGAAGAGAACCTCGTTCTCCTGCTGAGCCTTGATGAAGGCCTCCTTGAACAGGTTGGCGTCTGTAGTCATGTTAGCATGTGTGCGCTTCACTCTCGACCGTGCAGCATTCAGACGTACTCTCGCTGTTGCCGAAACGGATGGCAAGAGTTTGAGCCTCAGGCTCGCCCTCGGAAACATCGGCCGAAGCGTTCCAGACCCACGAGCGGTCGCTGCCAACGTTGGGGGAGAGCTTCATGTCGGGGACAACGTAGTGGTTGGCGCAGACCTTGAGGGTCTTGTCACGACGCATGACAAGTCTGGTTCTGCCGTTCTCCTTGTGCTTGAGCAGGCGGACCTCGCCGGTACCACGCTCCTTCCACTCTCTGCTGTCGCGGTCGAACTTGAAGAGCTTGGCACGCATCTTGAAAGTCTGCTCCTCGCTCTCCTCGTGTGTCTTGGTGTCGACTTTCTCGGTAAGGTGGACAACGGGCTCGAAGTGGACGTCGGGCTCCTTGTCGTCGACCTCGTCCTCCTGTTGTGCTCGTATCAGCATTTGTATGGTACTGTTAGGGGTGCGCGTGGAATTACCTCGTCGGCGGTCTTTGCGGCGGTGGCCTTGGAGCTTCCGCTGGCCTCGGTGGCGCCCTCATCCTTCTCGTCGGCCTTGTCCTTCTTGGGGCCACCACCGAACATGCTGAAAACATTGTCCTTGACGGCCGAAGCGGCGGCGGCGGCGGTCTCGGTGGCTTGCTCGGTGACGGTCTTGGTCTCGTCAGTCTTGGGAGCGTCGGTGGCGACGTCCTTGGGCTTGTTCTCGGCTTCAGACATGATGAAGGTCGGGTTGTGATGTAATGGAGTTGTGTAGATGGTGTGCCTGTGCTGGCGAGATTTGTTCAAACAGTTGTTTGTTGGCTGGAGGAACCAAACTTGACAAAGAGCCCGTCCGCCCCGCTGTTTCATTAGCTTTTCCTTCTTCACGCCTCGCCGACGTTGCCAACGGGTGCCCCTGTCGCAATCAAGCAATCAATCAATCGTCGTCCTGCGTCACTGGCGCCCGGCTGCACGTCTTCCGACACGTCCGTACGAGGCCGCAATTCATAATAACTTTGTAGGTGGTGTTCAGGTCGTTCGAGTCGCATCCGTTGCTCAGCTCTTCCCTCGACCTTATCAACTGCTCACTCAACGCCATGCTCCCTTCTTGTCCTCCATCATAAACTGGTTCTGTTTGATCATCACACAACATGTCCCCTTCCTCATCCGTGGGCTCCGACGTCTTCGCTGTGCTCGCCTTACTGTCTATCTCAGCAACCGTCGTCCTCCTTCTTCGGTACTACCTACCTCTACGGACAACTCCTGCATACCTGCTAGTCCCTGTCTTCCTGGCTCTTGCTCTTCCGTCCTCCATAGTCCTTCTGGTTCCTATCGACTTGGCCTCGTCTTCTGGCACTGATACAGATGGTCAAAGAGGAATATGGTTGCCCGACAATGTCATGCTGGTTGCCTGGAGGCTGGCATACTGGCTGACCTTCTGTCTTACATGGTTCGTCGACTCTTCATTTCCATCCGTTCTTGCATGCACTGACACATCTGACCTAGGTTTGTACTCCCTTTACTCGGCGAATACTGTGATTCTGGATACCGAGAACCAAAGGACCGCTTCATCTACTCTCTCCGATCCAATGCGCGATACCAACTTATTACACTTTCCCTTGGAACCGCTGGTGCCGTCTATTTCTTTTGGCAGAATCACCACGACGATACTACAACCAAAGCCACAACTCTCAAGGCTTTGGTAATGGCCATGGCATACGCCTACGGTCTGGTACTGGCTATCTACCTCATGGGTCACGGACTTGTCGCCATCCCGCGTCGTCTAATCAGGGATGCTAGCGTCAATGCCAGATTGAAGAGGCTCCAGAGCCATGCACCGGGTATACACGACAAGCTGGACCAGGCCATCGAGGATCTAAATCAGGTCGAGGCTCAGGTCCTTCAGCTACGCCAACGTAAGAACGCAATGCCCAGAGATCTGCAAGATTGGGTCGAAGAACTCTACGACAAGTCCAGCCTGCCCGAATCACGCCCTGCTGTCACCTACGCATCTGTGCCTGCACCTCCACCTGTCGTCACAGAAAGATATCTGGCAGAACTATCCCGAAAGGTGAAGCGTGCCCGGCACAAGCGCGCACGCTTTACCGGCGAGTGGAACCATCTGGTCAGACAGGCTGCTAGATTCCAGTCGCTCATCGACTTTCCCTCGTCACAACGTCCGAAAGCAGCAAATATGCGCTATCATGTTCAAGTTCATATCTTGCCTGCTCTCCGTGTTGTCGCAGGAGTCTTTCTCGCTTGCGCATCTATCGCCTTGCTCTGGTCAGAAGTGGTGCATGAGATGGAGCCAAAGCTTTCTTTAGTTGGCATGAGTGTTGTTCATCATCCTTCGAGCTCTCGGGGACAGATCGGTTTCGCCGGTCAGATGATCTCCGCTGCATGGTTGCTATACATGTGTGCTGCAGCTCTGTACTCTGTTACAGAAGTCAAGGTCTGGGGCAACCGTGCGCTTGTACGCCGCCAGACTTATGCCGAGAGTGCATGTTGGTACAGCTTACAGGTGGCCAAGCTCACGGTCCCTTTGAGCTTTAACTTCATCACCATGATCGATCCCACGATCAGCGAAGGCACCACCTTCTACCGTTTCCTTGGACGTCTGATCAACCTCACACCAGTGATTGGCAACTTCTCGGCCTACTTCCCAATTGTCGTCCTGCTCCCTGTTGTTGCGACTTTGTTCAACCTCTACGGCAAGGTCAAGAACGTGGTTGGCTTCGGCGTGCTTGAAGACGAACACGATGAGCCGGGAGCAGGCACATGGCGCGAGGGTCGTATTCTAATCGAACGTGAACTTCAAGCCGATGGTTCGCAGCTCAACCTGGCATCCTCCAGTCTCTTGTCTTCGAACGAACCATCGCCACGTCACAGTGCAGACCTCAACAGGCAATCCCGATTGAGTAACAACAATCGCGCTTCAGCCGCAAGAAGAGCTGCTGCACGGATGCCTGAAGAGGATGAAGACACGAGTGACAGAGCCTTCTTCCAGGATGTTGGTCAGCGTATGCGCAACACCTTTGATACGGTAGAGACACCAGCCTGGCTTCGGGACATCGGAGAGGGTATCAAGAAACCTAGGTGGATGAGTGGAGGCGGTGATGATGGCGCACAAAGTTCAGGGGATGGACCCAACTTCTTCGGAAGGTTGTTTGGCGGTAGCAGTGGTGACAATGGTAATATTAGGCTGTAGGTCTAGACCAAGGCACATGTTTCATTTTAGCAAGGCGTTGGGGTATTATAGGTAGACATATCGCACAGGTTGATGGCGGGGATGCTCAGGCTTGTGTTTGTACTTTCTTCTATAGACATTTTCCGAAGTGTAGTTAAGACACCTCTACCCAATCAATGCACATTTGTAAGAATGTACAGGGATCGTCGACCATTGAGTCATATATATACACTTTCTAGATCACCATGGTCTCCACCGATCCCACAGGGCGACCAGCAAATCCCACGAAGCCGTCGACTACAGCCTTCCTCGTGGGCTCCGAGCTGACATTCTTGCCCGCCAAGTAACCCATCCAGATCAGCCTGCTGATTCTGGGATCCTCGACCTTGCCAACTCTCTCAATGCCAGTACCCTTTGCCGGGTCTTCGAACAATACTTCCATGGATCCAGGAGCGTCTCTCAACATCAGCACCACAGAGCCCTTGGGTGTGCGACCACCACTGAACATGCCCTTGAAGTCACGCATAGCATCACCAAACGACTCGTTCTCGTAGTCTGAAGTCATGATCGCAGGGTTAGTTTGCTTGACTCTATTGATCTCAGTGGTGGCGCGCTTGATGCCGTTGACCCAGCCGTCGCGCAGATGGGCAAAGTCGGTGTTCTTGGACGGGACGACACGCCAGGCAGAGCGGATGCCTTCTTCACGCAGCATCTGCTCCCAGATCTCGACGCTGGTGTCGGCGTCGAGCATGCGTTGCTTGAGACTATCCTTCTCGCCAGGCACGAGGGTAGAAGCGTTAGGGTTGATCAGGTGGATGAGGCGAGCTTGCAGAGTTGAGATGTCTTGGGTGCGGACGTAGAGGCCCATGACGTAGACTTCGATGGACAAGAAGGATACAGTGCGGATACCGAGACCAACCAAAGTGTATTCTTCTTGGTTTTGGACGTTACCGGGGTTGACGCGAGAGTTGGGCTGTGCTGTTTCTGACCTGGCGGTCTTGGAGCCGGGAATGGGCAAGAAGATCTTGCGAGGGAAGTATGGGACACTGCCACTGCCAGTATTTACCAGATCCAGTTCCTGGTCGCCCTCGGCTACGATTCTCTTGTCTTCGCCAGCGCCGATGACATGAACGGGGCGACCCTGGAAGTCCTCGGAACCCGGGCCGGCATCTAATTGTGCCTTTTTCTTGTTGGCACTTTTCTCCAGCTCATCCAGATCAATGTTGTACAGAGTGAGGGCGAGACCACCAACACTCATAAGCAGACCGACGCCGGCGAATCGCATGCGTGCCATGGCATTTGAACGTTTGGCTTCGAACTCTCGGCGGGCGGCGAGTTCGTCCAGTGGGTTGACGGAACGGACTTCTGCATCCTCGGGATCGACGACTTGTTGCTGGTCGAGGAAAGAAGGGGCTCTGGCCGAGAGTGTCGAGCCTGTTGCGCGAGCTGCTGGGTTGCTGTATCTTGACGAGTAACGAGCCTGTGCTAAGGACGATTGAACACGAGAGTTCTGGAAGATGCATCTCGATCTAGCCGACAGCAGTCGCATCACTGACCGGCAGGGAGTGGCCATGGTGCTGCTGGACATTTTTGTGATACGACAGTATGAGGATGAGACGTGTTTCAACATGGCATTCATGATGGTAGACCCTCGCCAAGCCGACTGTAGAGCTCCGCTGTTCTTCTTCCTCTCCACCGAGGACTGTCTTTGAGATGGCCATCCCACGTGCGTTCTCCTGTCTACAGGACTGTCGCGTGCAGTCTAGATTTCACGTATCACTTAGTCTCACGCCGTATTGTCCTTGATGTGTAATCACTAGTTTCGTGCCATCGAAGCCGCCATTGTAGTGATAGTTGAGCGGCTTCTAGAAAAATAGTAGCACGTCATCGCCGCTTTGTAAGCTCTAAACGGAGTCGCATTCCAATAAAGCAAGCCAAACCCCTCTCTCGCCATAGCAATCCATCATCTACTACTACAAATACGACTTCGGTCCCTCGCAAATCGCCCACCATTAACTTCGTACGAAGCTTCTTCACACGCGCGACCAGTCCCGCAAGCATGTCGTCCGCAAAGGCCAAGGCTCAGAACATCATCGACCAGAACGGCGTTGGTATGCAACTCGATCCAACACAACAGCCTTTGTAGCCCCTTTGCTGACTCTCCGCAGCCGTCTTCTCCAAGTCGTACTGCCCCTACTGCAAGGCCACCAAGGAGCTGTTGTCCAAGTCCGGCGCAAAGTTCTACGCCCTCGAGCTCGACCAGATCGGTCCGTCGCCCTGTTTGTTGTGCCAGCTCATTGGAACCCGATTGCTAACACTTTGTCTGTGCAGATGACGGTGCCGACATCCAGAACGCTCTCGCTGAGATGACCAGCCAGCGCAGTGTCCCCAACATCTTCATCAACAAGGAGCACATTGGCGGCAACTCGGACATCCAAGCCCTCAAGAAGGATGACCTCAAGAGCAAGCTCACCGCTGCCAGCGCTCTGTAAACGTGAAAGAAGTCGAGGCATCATGATATCACGATAGATACCAAGCGCAAATACAAAAATGCGTCAACAAGCTTGACATGCTGAGACACGAAATGTGCTCATGTCGACAGTGACCGAGGCATGAAATGTGACAGCATGCTCCCGTTTCTCGGAGAAAACATGTTGCACCGCTGCCTCTAGATGTACAAGATCCGGTGGATGACCACTCAGGGTTCCGACATCTGGAATATTGAAAAGAGGTGAGCAAATCACACGGTAACATGTAGCCTCTCCTACGATGGCACCCGACCAGCCAAAAAAAAAAGGGTACGTATCTAGACACAATAGGCGGCTAGCACGCGGATGATGATGATGACGATCAGACCGACAAATGTTGGTCAGAGAGCAGCGCATGGCTGCGTGAAATGGAGGTCAGTATGCCCGAGGGAAATGGGTAGCGCACATGATGCAGAGCATGTTGCAGATAGATGCATGCGCGATGGGTGAAATGCATCAATGGAAACACGCCATGGGAAAGCTGGCCGCAATGGCCGGCGGTAAAAGGTGGGATTGGCTGACCAGGTCTGCGCCTCTTCTGCCCATAGATTGACAACCGGTGTCGAGTTCCCGAGTCCTCTAATCTCCCTTCTCCTGCTTATAGTGTGAAGCCTTGTTGCACTTTCTCCAACAGCGGCCGCGAGTAAACAAAATACAAGTTGAAGTGAGTCGTTCCTCAGCGGCAGCAGGATGATGCGTTGGCTTCGGGGTCTACTCTGTTAGCGCTACAGACCCCCCATGTCGTAGCTTCCCTCCTTGAGTACCTGCCAAGTCTTGAATTGGGCTGACTCGATCCGCTGGACAAGTCGAAACATCTCATCTGAATCCTGCTCGTCTTCAATACCAGGTCGAATCCACGACGAGTCGCTCCATATCTCCTCCCGGCCTTGTGACCCCGAATCCCTCGCCGCGCGTCACTCTCACGACCGTCTCTTCCTCTCACGACACTCCCCGCTTCCCAAACGCGGAAACCTGCCCGTCGTGGCCGACCACCAAGAGCCCCCGTCTACGCCTCCGCCGTCCTCGTCGGGTGTCTTGCGGCCGCCCGTCGGTTCGGTCGACATGGCTTCGCCAGCACCACTCCTGAGACCGCCAATTCCCGGTAGCAGGAACACGAGTGCCTCACGCACACCCAAGCTCGGCCTGGCTATTCCGCCCTCTCCAAATGCCAGACCTCTCAATACCACAAATTCACATGCCGTACCCCCTCTTCAAATACCGCCTCGCCAGGGTCCTCCAAAGTTGAGTCTAGCTACACCCATGGGGAGTCATGGCGTCCCTCAAGAGACCACTCGGGCTGCAAGAGGGAAGCTTCCCCCACTACAAGTCACTGGTCTCTCGACTTCTCAGGGCGGTGGAAGTAGCGACGACAGCGCTCGTTCGAGATCAAACAGCAACACTGCGAGTAACAACTATTCCACCTCTACCACCGCTTCTTCATACTCAGCCTCGCTGGCTGGACTGATTGGCGGCCAATCCAACTCGCAAGATCCACTTTCCGCCGCTGGCTCGTTATACTCGGCATCGTCCGCTGGCGGACTTGGTGGTACGGGTATGGAACGAGATGGCAGCATGCAAGGAGCAATATTACCGGACTTGGAGAAGCTAAGCCTGGAGAAAGGAAGAGCGCTTGATGTTGAGGATCTTGACGATGCTGGCTGGAAAGTGGCTGCTAAAGAAGACAGAATTGTCGAGCTTGGAAGCCTAGGAGAAGGTGCAGGAGGTGCCGTCAACAGGTGTATACTCAAAGGTGGAAAGACAGTGTTTGCGTTGAAGGTTGGCATCTTGACTACGGATCTTTGTACAGAAAGCTGACCATTTACACAGATCATTACGACAGACCCTAACCCGGACGTCAAAAAACAGATTGTTCGCGAGCTGTCGTTCAACAAGAACTGCGCCTCGTCGCATATCTGCCGCTACTACGGCGCATTTATTGATGAAACCCATGGCACCATCGGCATCAGCATGGAATACTGCGAGGGTGGCTCTCTGGACTCGGTTTACCGTGAGGTCAAGAAACTGGGCGGTCGCACAGGCGAAAAGGTCTTGGGCAAAGTGGCCGAGGGTGTGCTCAACGGACTCACCTACCTGCACAGTCACCGCATCATCCACCGCGACATCAAGCCGTCCAACATTTTGCTGACCAGATCTGGCGAGGTGAAACTCTGTGACTTTGGCGTGTCTGGTGAGTTCGGTACCAAGGGTGACGCAAACACTTTTATCGGAACTTCCTACTACATGGCGCCGGAACGTATCACTGGTCAGAGCTACACCATCACTTCCGACGTGTGGAGTTTGGGTGTCACACTACTCGAGGTAGCGCAACACAGATTCCCATTCCCGGCTGACGGGACGGAGATGCAACCCAGAGCCGGACTCATCGATCTTTTGACCTACATCGTCTCACAGCCTATTCCGAAGCTAAAGGACGAGATTGGTACTCCCGACGGACAGGATATTCGATGGAGTGAGAACTTCAAATATTTCATCGAGTGCAGGTAAGTGCTACATGATCTTCCCTACGTCTGCAAGCAATGCTAACTGGAAATTCAACAGTCTGGAAAAGGAGCCCAACCGACGAGCGACACCCTGGCGGATGCTGGAACATCCCTGGATGTTGGAGATCAAGTCCAAGCGGGTCAACATGGCTTCATTCCTCAAAAGAGTTTGGGACTGGACAGACTAAGAAGAAAGCACACAAAAAGTTGTCGACATCCAGGAGGAGAAGAGGGAAGCATTCGAACAAGTGATTTTGACTTGATTTGTTGTCGCATACAGCCCATTTTGCAAAGCCTCTGCGAGTATCATCGAGGTTTCTGGTCTTCCTCATCATCTTGGCTCTTTCTTGTTACTGGTTTTGTTTGCATTGGGACGGCGCTTGTTTCTCTCATTCTCACAAGCGGGTCATTTTTGTTTGTGTTCTTCTCTCATCACAATTTCTCCTTGTTCCGATACACCTACTTCCCTCTGCATAATCAGCGAGTACCTTCATTCTAATCTTCAGGCTATAGAAACCACAATTTCATCAGATTTACAAGCAGACAGAGATTGAATGTGGTTGTTCGGGGTCAATGGATACGAAAACAAATGTGCACCAGTCAGGGACCGAAGAGAGAATGATAATATGGTCAAATATTGAGTCATTTTATGCCAAACGAGACTTTGTGGCTATCCAGACAATCATTCTAACAAAAGAGGTGGAGCGCCATTATCGTATTCGTTTTGGAGAGCCTCTGAAGGCGACAAAGATGGGACCCGCCCCGATGGAGAAAGAAGAGATAAAATGCTACAAAGGATCGAGAAGAATGAGATGAGAACATGTCTAGTCTTCCCACTCCTCGTCCAGGTTGTCGATCAATCTGTTCTCGTCGTCCGAGTTTGAGCGACCGCGTCTTCCGGCGCTGGAGCCGTTGTTGAAGTTGCTGCCCACTCTGCTGTACCCCTTGCGACCGGGCAGGAAGCGGGCGCATGAGGAAAAGAGAATGATAAACATGTCCTGTTGAGCGATCATTAGCGTTCTGACAGATTTGATGTGGACAAGGTGTTGGAAGCACTTACCGAGACAAAACTGGCAATGCCGGCCCATAGTGAGTAGTTTGGCAGCTGCCTCCAGCCTCTCTGGTGCATGACAGTGCGTTGGTAGACACAACCACCAACAACGTAGACTATTACTGCAATCAAAGCGATGACACCAAAGACACCGCTGGGACCGAGCTGCTGTTTGGCGACCTCGATGCCTCCGCAGGCTGCCGAAGAGCGGGCCTCGAAGATGTATGTGCAGCTGTCGGGAGAAGCGACAAAGGAGACGGTGTTGAGAGGAGCCAGGGGATCGGTGTTGCAGAGCAGAGAGATGATTGTGTTCTTGCGGCGAGTGAGGTGGGTCGAGGGCTCCTTGCTGCCTCCCTTTCTGCTCTTCTTGTCATCGTCGTCCTTGTCCTTGTCTTTGTGGTCCTTGTCATCTTTGTCGTCATCGTCGTCGTCATCATCATCGTCGCCAATGATTCCACGAGTGAGGAGGGAAGATGTAGGAGTGTCCGGGCATGGCGATCCATCGGTATAGTTCAAGACGAGTTTGCGGCCACGGAAGACGGGTTCGGAGCTTTGTTGGCTGTTGCGGACTTGTTAGCGCTGTGTCATGAGGGCATTGCGAAAACGGTCATCTCACCCTATACTGTATGTCTTTCCGTCAAGTTGGTAGAAAGCGCTGACATTCTGCCACCTCGCCTCATCGACGCCGACGACATTTGTCAGGTTCTCGACGACTGGACCGCAGAAGTTGAGGGTGAAGTTGGCGCCGTAGTCGTAGCCTCGAGCAGACCAAGACTCGTTCCGGGCATCTTTGCTTGCTTTCTTGAGGTCTTCGGGTAGGATGACATGTATGGGATTGAGGTCGAAGAAGGCGCCGGATGTTGGCGAGCGGATGGTGCAGGGTACGCGGTCCTCCTTCTTGCCCTTGGAGTCGTCGGAAGCGGCGGCGGCGAGACCGAGGGGCAGACCAAAGGCCAGCAGATGGTACCAGAGGGACGAGTGCATAGCCGGATGTGTGTAGTGTCAAGTAAAGATAAGTTCCTGGACTGCAGGACAGTTGTACGGAGGCTTGGAGGATGCGTGTAGCCTGGTTCTGTACCTCGACCCGCAAGCCATCACCTCATCAAGCCCTCAGATCCTCCCGCCCTGGGGTTCGGATCTCGCAGCCGAGGGCTGACGACCCTGGCGCTGCCAATGGAATCGTACCATTAATATGTCATTAAAGCCAATCGAGCCCCGTCATTGTCGACTTTCTGTGTTGACTTTCTGATGTTTTGTCTTTCTTCCCTCCCTCCATCTCCCACCATACCCTACACACTTCAATGGCTGTAAAAGATCAAGCCCATGGCTACGAGTTTGGCGGCCCGTACGGTTGCCCTTCTGCAAAATATATTTCCCAAACCATATGCTAACTCCTGCACCAGTCTGGGCGCCATTGGCATCTCGTTCGTCCTCCCCCTCGTCTGCTACGTCTTCGCTTTCCTCTGCAACGATGTTTCTGGATGCATCCCACCATCATTGACCGAGCCCTCCACCCTTACACTTGATCAACTCAAGAAAGAAGTCGGCTGGCCTGGTGTTACCGGCCTCCTCAACACCCAAGCTGTCGTCGCAACCTTTGGCTACTACATCCTCAGTCTTGCCCTTCAAGCCTTCCTGCCCGCTCATGAGGTTCAAGGTACTGTGCTCGCCTCAGGCGGTCGCTTGACCTACCGCTTCAATGCCTTTGCCTCGGCCATGTTCATCCTCACAATTGCTGCCGCCGGTACCTTCCTCCAGGGCGCCGACTTCCCTGTCTGGACCTTCATCAACGACAACTACATCCAGCTCTTGACCACCAACATCCTCATTGGCTACTTCTTGGCCACCTACTGCTACGTTCGCTCCTTCTCTGTCAAGCCCAACGACCTTGACAACCGCGAACTCGCCCAGGGAGGCACAACTGGCAACATCATCTACGACTGGTTCATCGGAAGAGAACTCAACCCTCGCGTAACACTTCCCATCTTTGGTGAGGTCGACATCAAGGCTTTCATGGAGCTGAGACCTGGTCTCCTCGGCTGGGTCTTGCTTGACCTGGCATTTGCTGCTCGCCAGTACGGCACATATGGCACTGTCACCGACTCCATGTACATTGTCGTCGGCACACAGGCCTGGTACGTCCTGGATGCTCTGTGGAACGAGCCCGCCATCATGACCACCATGGACATCACCACCGATGGTTTCGGATGCATGCTTGCCTTTGGTGATCTCGTATGGGTTCCTTTCATCTACAGCATCCAGGCTCGCTACCTGTCCATCCACGCCGTTCAGCTCGGTTGGGCCAAGGTTGCCTTTATCATGGCTGTTCAACTTACCGGCTACTACATCTTCCGCTCGAGCAATGGCGAGAAGAACAAGTTCAGAACCAACCCCAACCACCCCGATGTCAAGCACCTCGAATACATTGAGACCGCTCGTGGAACCCGTTTGTTGACCTCTGGATGGTGGGGCACTGCGCGTCACATCAACTACCTCGGCGACTGGATCATGTCCTGGGCATACTGCCTTCCTACCTGGATGTCTGGTTACGTTGTGTACTCTGCCGCTCTCACCGGCGACAAGATCGTCAGCCAAGGTCCTAATGGCGAAATGGCTGGCTGGGGCATTCCTGTCACTTACTTCTACATGCTCTACTTTGGCATTCTCCTCATCCACCGCGAGCGCAGAGACGATGCTCACTGCCGTGCCAAGTACGGCAACGACTGGAAGCGCTACTGCGACATTGTCAGATGGAAGATTCTGCCAGGTGTCTACTAGAGTTCCGCGCCTTTTGAGGAACGGAAGGAAATGTATAGATAGCTTTGCTCACGCACAAATGGAGATCTTGAGAGATATCATATGAAAACCACTATCAATGCAACGATCATTCAAAACTTCAACACGAGCAGAGCAAAGAGCAGTAATCTGAATTTGTTGTGCATTGCAATGTAGTAGCTATAACACTGGTTGTACCGTCGTATTCTTGTAAAAGCGAACGTGAATAGTCATAATGCATGTCAAAACCCCCCAACCCTCCCAACTACAACCCAAACCAAGGCTCAAATCATAGCAGACCTGAGAAAAACTCCCCGATGCCATCTCCGGCGTTCATCTCTTCGTCCAAAGCGGCCAATAATCTCTCAGAAGATTGCAAAACTATCCAAGCTTCTTGCTAGCCATCTCGTTGGCCTTGTTGGCCCATTGACTCGCCTGAGAAGCCACGCCCTTGAACCACGCCGTCGCAGTGCTGCCGGTACTCGGGCTGCCGAAACCATCGTCTTCGCCAGAAATCCACTCGCTGATGCTGTTGCGACCGGACCTGCGGCCTCTTTCTGCTGCCTCTGCGGCTTCGAGGCTAGCGCGCTGGGCAGAGGTCATTTCAGCGGCGTAGGGGTTTTGTTGGTAGCCCGGTGGGTGGGACGAGATGCTCTGGGGTCGGCTGTGCATGGTGGGTGATACAGGGCCTATGGGCAGCGTCACTGGGCGACGTGTAGGTGAGGCTGGAGATGCTGCGACTGTGGAGTGGGTGGGTAGGGCGCTTGTGGTGGGTGGTGGGATGTTGATCTGGTGTGGCATTGGTTGTGCTCTTGGTGCGGCCGGGCTGTTGGGGTTGTAACCATTGGAGTGAGCGAACGGGGTGGGTACGGCTCCGGGCTGGGGAGGTGGTGGTCCATCGTTCTGGAGTTTTGTAGAGATTGTGCTTGTAGGTGGTGGTGGGGCTTGTCTTGAAACACTGCCTGTGGGTGCCGGGCCAGCTGCAGCACCAGGTTGAGCAGCTGGATAGCTGTTAGTCGTAGTAGCGGAAGTCGTAGTCGCTGGTAGATCGGTCGTGCGAGCGGGAGGAGGTGCCGTGTGGGGAGTTACGCCATCTGCTTTGGCTGCCGAGATGGGCGCATCGGCGTAGATTGGAATTGGTGGCATGATGGTCTGGGTTACGAGTGTGTTATGATTCGTGGGTAGCTGTAGCAATACTTATAGTCATGTCTGCATTGGATTGAGCGCTTTCTATTGTCGTCCCTTTGTGCATTCCGAGAGTCGACGTCACACGTGACATGACGCTCATTGACGCGTACGGCCAGCTGTATGGGCTTTCTTCCAATACGCCAGCTGGCAGCACATGGAGGCATCTTTCCGGCGGCTTGTCTACTGCACTGAAGGTATACACAAGCCTTTGTGAATCGGCAACTGAGTGCAAGCCTTGTCATGGGTGATGGGCGATGTGATCGCATGGATAGACCTGCAACACGAGAAGCAACAACCAAGACCGGAGATAGAACATACAGACATCACTTGCAAGTAGAGGTCGACGGAACGGAGGTCATGATCGAAAGAAAACGCCTGAAATTTATTTGTGATACATGAAGAAAGACGAGAACAGGCTGGTATATTCGAAACCGCCCCAGAAAACATCATTTCCCAAATTCCCCTTCTCATCACCAGGCCGATTGAGCCGCTTTTGAGTTGGAGCTGTCTTCCATCGGCAGACAGGTAATACATCGTTCGTTCATCATCCCCTATGATTTGCTCTGAGTGCTTGTCGAAGAGAGCGTTTAACCGGAACCACCCTTGAACTTCTTTCCGAAGAGGATGAGCTGGGCCTGGTCGTAGATGGACAGGACACCGGCACCGGCAACACCACGGAGGATGTTGGCACCAGCACCCTTGAAGAGAGACTTGACACCCTCAGCGGCGACGATCTTGCGGGCAGCATCGAGGGTACCGTTGTACTTGACGGCCTCACCGGAGGTCATCATCATACGACGGCGGATAGTGTCAAGAGGGTAGGAAGCGATACCAGCACCAGTGGTGACGGACCAACCGAGGAGGAAAGAGGCGAGGAAGTTGCCCTCGAGGGAACCAGTGAGGAGGACGGGCTTGAGCGAGTCGTACATACCGAAGTACAGACCACGGTAGACGATGATACCAGCGACGGAGGGCATGAAACCACGGTAAAGACCGGCAATACCGTCAGAGGCGAGGGTCTTCTTGTAGACATCGACCAGGCCGTTGAACTGGCGCTCACCAGAGCCCTTGGAGGACTTGGCGTCGTTGGCAAGACGGGTACGGGCGTAGTCGAGGGAGTAGACGAAGGCGAGGGAAGTGGCACCGGCAGCCTGGATGATAGTCAGTCGAAAGTCAAGATGTGGAAATAGATAGGTTTGGAACGTACACCACCGGAGGCAAGGTTGCCCATCATCCACTTGGCGTAACCGTCACGCTCCTTCTTGTAGGAGAACATGGACTTGTAGGTGTCGCGGAAAGCGAAGTTCAAGGCCTGGGTGGGGAAGTAACGGATGACGTTGGCAGTGTTACCTCTCCAGAGAGAGACGACACCCTCGTCGGCAGTGGTGCGCTTGAAGCAGTCGGTGATACCGGCGTACTTGTGGGAAAGGCGGCCAGCCTTAAGCATCTCATCCTGGTTCTGGATGAGGAGCTTGATGCGCTCAATGGGGGCAGCAGCGGTCTTCGAGACGGCGGCGGAAACACCACCCATCAAGAAGTCGACAACGAAGCCCTGTAAGGATTGTTAGTGAGCTGCATTGAAAGGACAGATAAGCTCGCTGGTGCGCGCGGTGCAAATTCATTGAGTGCGCCTTCACACAGATCCGTCAAACCAATCAACGCATTGACGGCCTTGAGCTCGATGAGCTTGTAGCTGTATGCAGCAGATGTGTCGTGGACTGTCGTTTCCGAGGTGTGAAGTGCGCGGGCTCAACAAATTCGCACAACAAGCGACAGCTGGGCGGTGCAACTTACGGGCATGCCGAAGACGCTCTTATCAGCCTGGTTAGCCATTTTGATATCTTTTTGAATGAAAATAAAACAAAAAGAGAGGAGAGGATGGAGAAAGGGAAGAAGTTGGATGGCAGAGGCAGCTTCAAATAAGAAGGGGGCCGGCTAAGAATTTTTAGCGCACTAAGCGGCACGAATCGGAAGGAGCTCGGGAAATTCACGCACCTTCTTCCCCAACTTCAACAGTTCTTGCCTTCACCTGGAAGAGTCGATTCCTCAACACCAGCGACTCATTTGATTATTGCTATTTTTCCCGTGTCTCGAGCGAGTCTTGACTCTTCAGTTGCTTCGGGTTCGACATCTGGACAGCACTCTAGGCGGCTTCACGTCACTTGTGCTTCTGACTGCATCCGATGTTGTCTTCCAGAAGCTGACGATCTGCGCTTATCTTCAGCTGCAGCAAGCAGGTAAACAATAATCAATTCTTCCGCTTCAATCTCCTCCTCGTGAATGCCAAGATACTTGTATACCACCATCACGGAATGGGTGGATTATCAGCGTACATTCACTGCCATCGAGATTGATCACGCATAAGCTACGCTCTCCTTCACTGGCCCATTTTGCATGCTAGAGGTATCTTCACATGAAAGAATTGCGCGCCCGTGTCCCCAGATTTGATGCTCCACACCTTGCGGTCACAGCTTCTGTTGACCTTGGCTCTTTATGACACTCCTCAAGACATGCACAAACAAGCTGTCCTTTGAGCACGCGACTTCTATCACCTGGCAGCAGAGAGCGACCTGCTTGCCTGCGGCTCGAGCCTTTGGCCCGTCAACCGGCAGCCCCAGTGAATTCGACGAATCGTGTGCACCGTGCGTCGTTCTCCACACCGAGCGAGAGGCGTTCAACAACGCTTCCTTGTTCCTCTGGGAAACCTTCCCCAGCGGCGCAACCATCAACCGTATGGACATTCAGGAAAACGTCGAGCTTCTTCGCTTGGCTTTTGATCCAAGGAGATTGGAGTAAGAGGTCGTAAATCGGACGAGCAATCGAGATAACGGCGTGTGTCCCTGCAGCGGTCTAAACATGCCTTGCAGCACATGATATCTATATGGTGATTATTGTCGCTCTGGCAGTTTGACAGATCAGAGGGGATGAAACTCTTGGCTATTGAATCAATTGTATGTGCAAAGGTTGGTCACTGGATTGTTCAATTGTTGGTAGCCTTTTGATGAGCTTGGTGCTGTGGAGTATCGCATTTTGCTTCGAGCATTGCCATTCATTCGCACCTTACTGATGTCGAGTTTCGACATCCTTCTATTCTCAACCTTGATCATCGTTGCATCGTTGCAGGCTCTGTGGGAATGCCTGAAAACCTGCATTGTTCTCCGGTAAACGCAGTATCGCTCTCGGCAAATAGCTATACACGGTCTAGACCGCTGGAGGCATCTCGAGAGCTTCGATCATCTACGAGCTGACACTCACGCAGCTGTCAATCGGCCCTGTCGGCTGTCGAAGACTCGGTCAAATTGTTAGACCTCGGTCTCTATATCGTGTCCATGTGATGGACGTATGAACAGAAGTCTGACCTGTCTAAAATGTGATCGCGTGTCACATCCCATGTATGTAATTCTCATACTCAGTCTACTCAACGACCGTACTATCTGAACCTAGCGTGGGAGAAAAAACCACTTCTTCGCGACTTCCGCAACACCACGGGTGTGAGGAAATACACGGTCATCATCGCTCTGCGATTGACAATATACAACAAGAGATATACTGCAACCAGGGTCACCCTATGATCAAGATTTTTTTGCTTGCGACTGTGACCTTACCACCAACGACTTGACATAGTTCAGCTCCGGAGAACTAACCCTCAAAATCATCCGGTGGAATCGAAGGTCTGTCTGTCATGATTGCAAATGCGCAATACGAACTGGCAAGGCCGATGTAGAGCGAAACCTGACATGATGTAAGCTGCCTGAAGGCTTCGAGCCGGCAATTACTGCCATGGCACATTGGCACGAACAACGAAGGTTTAATTAGCAGCAGAATAAGAGTCAGCTATTGCTTTGACGGATGTCCTTTCTATTGACTGACCGTTTGTCTTGCGGCTCCGGTCGGTGGATTCGCATCGATTTACGAGGTGCCAAGTCAAGAAGATATTTTTAGACCACAGCTCATCCACACTTCTTCAGGTGGCCGTGTTCAGAAGCGAAGCCGAAAAGCCTCTTGTCTAGAGCATGCCATACTCTCTCGGAGTATGCTTGCCGTACGTGTACCGGCTGGCATCTTCTTCCGAACGATCTGTTCCTGCGACGAGATTTTTGCTGATCGACTTTGGCTGTCTAGCATTCAGAGGCTGACTTTTGGCTTGTGAGGAGGTCAAAGTGGCCTGTCTATTATTGTCCACGCCTACTTGCTTGTCCCTCCAACGAACAGACACAAGTAGAGTCAGGCATCTGGATCGACTCGTTTGCTGCCTGCCGTACTGCAAGACCGCAGTGATCATCGGCGCTGCTCTTGACCGTCAGCTCCGTCAGGTCTCGTAACATCAGGAACTGGTCTCGATCCCATCAACCAAATCCGCATTTGCATGACTATTTGGCTCTAGCGTACCCTCGTACGTTTGCGGTGTGCACGGCTTGTTTCGTATTCTTAAAAACCACAAGCCCACCGTCGACGAGCTAGTTTGGTCGTGTCAATTTGCCTTTTTCTTGTTGCTTGCTTACCTTGTCACCTTATCTAAGATGCAAGGTCGGCTTACCCTGCTTCCTGTGGCTTCTCAGATCCTGTACTCCGCCTCCACATACCAACACCTGGATATTGAAGCCACTCGGCAACCATAATCATTCACACATCATTGTCGCATTGTATGCATCCCACTCATGAACCGGAATCAAACCCAGCAACCTTCTCCATATTGGACATGCCACGCGAAACACCACCATCTATACTGTGACGCAATCGGAGACTCATGGTTACAGATGGATCCCAATTCAGACTGGTCGCTACCGCGTGATCGCTGGACAGAGACGAACACGCATGAGAGCTACTACAGGAGCGAATCACAATACCAGGACGATGTGCCTGAATACTCACAACAACAATACTATCCTCTGCCAATGAATCAACATCATCCGCAATTTCGTCACATCAGGCCTCAAATACATTCTCAGAACTCAGTGCCCTCATTCACGGAGTATCAAGGCAGAGTAGCACCAGTTCAGCACCCCGGACCTCGCTGCCTGAGTCAACCGGACTTTCACGATCGGGACCGCCAGGAGCATTTCACGCAAACTCGCAACACGGAACCACGATCACCACCACCGAATGACCGACGATGTAGTGAGAACGAATTCTCAAGCGACATGGACTTGACGCTCTTCGTCGCAGCAACCTCTGGATTTACCCCAGACTCGCCTGTACACCGCTCATTCGCAGCTGCGCCGTCATGGCGCGATCAACAAGTACAACTGCCGCCCGAATATCCACAACCGCAACAACGGCCGCAATACGCACGAGCGCATAGCTCGTACGCCAGTACCACGATTGCACAACATCCCGTACCGTCACATTCTACACCTCACCTACCCATCAGGCAACCGCAGCCCCGGAGTCCTGCATTTTCTCGTCAGGGACCAAACGTATGGCAAGAGCGACTCGAGACAGAGCCATATGCATGGCAAGCCCACGACTACGGTGACGAGCCACCACCGGCAGACGAGCTTCCCGATTACGAGCAAAGTCAGGCCGAGATGCAGAACAAGACTCGTCTCGAGGCAAAGAGAAGAGCGGAAGAACTGCAGAGGAGGTGGAGACAGCGACATAGTCGTTAAAGCGCGGAGAAGGAAGGTTGAAAGAAAGAGAGGGAGCCTCGAAGTAAGAGGCTAAGCAAGTATGAACTTGCACAGAAACAAGAAGTTTGGCGTTTTTACTTTGGCTTGATTATTCTCTCGCTTGGTCATTCATGATCTGTTTCAATCGATACCCAAAGGCGATAGCATGGAAAGGCTGGGAGCACTGATGCGGCCCAGCATGGCGTTATGATTTGTTTTTCTTCTCTCACTGGAGACCACTATCATGGAACACATACATGCCTATCATGAGACACGAAGTAGTTACTCTACATTACACATGAGGTCAAAAGATAATGTACATAAAAACCACCCTACTTTCTCTCTACCATCGTCATGCTCACAAACCCCACGTGAAGCTTTGGCCACCAAAACTTGCCCTGCAGCAGTTCGAGAAACAATTTTCCACGCGAGGACAAACCTCAGGTCATCCTAATCCATTCTTTCGCGAACGTTGTAGCAGAACAACGTAGAGAAGACAAGATGACAACCGACGCCAACAGCCTAAACGAGGCCCAGCCCTCAGCGCTCCAGACCCTCCTCACAACATCATCCTCGCAATCATCGCATCCGCAACACTTGACCAACCTCGCTATCCAAATCGCGCACAACCTCGAGCATCAACATCTATGGACTGGTTTGCGCATCCACCATGTCTCTCCTATCGACTCAACTCCCCTCCCGCGCCCGATGGTCAGTGGCCTGCCACCACAACGACTATACATCCACCCGGACGAGCAGATTGCGCTGTTGCAAACACAAAAGGCCAAAGGAAAGACCGGACTGGGCGAGGTCAAGACAGAAAGAGAATGGGTGTTGCCCAGCCACTTGCGCGAAAAGTGGACGCTGAGGCGCTTCGCAGAAGTGTTTGAGAAGGTGGGCATCATGCCTCCGGCGAACGAGGATGACGATGAGGATGAGGAAGAGCAGCAGGACAACAAGTGGAGGGACAAGAAGAGAGTCGTGTTGGCTACGGTAGACGACGACAGCACGATCGTCTATTACATTGTTCACGATGGAATTATCAAGCCTCGCCAAAATTGAGCCACGAAGCCGAGGAAAGGAGTTTGTCTAAATTCGAGGCCCGGAAGATCCCTGGCTACCATCCTGGACTACATCTAAATCAGGACGTACAGTGCGCAAATCTGCCATGAAATCAGCAACCACGAGAAGGACTCGGAGAGAAGGATGGAACATACCATGCTCAAACCCAAGATCATGCTGCACCAGAACAGGACGTTGTTGAGAATGGTCCTATTACGAATCCATCGGCTGCGCTGGACCAAGACTATCGGCATCTGCAACATCATGGCAACGAAGCCGTATCCACGGAACTTGCGGGTGATGCAGCCCATGACCAACTCGTGTGCTATACTAGACACCAGGAAGGTGATGAATGTAGCCACAGGGCGAGACATTGTGTTTCGAGATGCCGAATATACATGGCGACGGAAGAAGTGATGGACCGGGATGTTCCATTCACGGGAGAACTCGAGCCAGTCAAGACTGTTCCACCAGTCCGAATAGAACTGTCTGTCGGCGAAGCCTGAGGATTGTCAAGAGATGCTTCTGTGCAGCAGTAGAAGATTATAAACTTACATGTAATCTCTGCAAAAGCACCAAGGAGATATTCAAAGATGACGAGAAAGACCAGCAAGAAAGCAACCACTGTGTGAAGTAAAGTTAGCAGAGTTCTCTGTGGGAAAAATGGACTTCGGTACAAATTCGACAAGCCAGCTTGTAAATCGAGTTCTACATGGACGAAACAACGTCCAGGACGCCGTCTCATCGATGCTGCTTCGATACACACTGTACTTGTATTTGTACCTACACCTTACGTACTGAAAGGAAACAGCAGTCTGCTGACTGTCTCTGCAAAGACCAGGCTGCCCTCATGCCAGTTTTGCTGATGTTCCAACCTCTCGGCAGATTCAGCGAGCACAGGGATGATGAACTCTTCGGAAGTGATGGTAAGCAGAAAGATGATGCCACCAACTGCGAGAGATTTCCAGAAGATTTCTAGATAGGAACGCGAGCTCGTACGGGGATATTCAAGTTCGTAGCACAGTGTCGGGCAGAGCAGGAAATCGAAGTAGTTGGCGACTGTAAGGTTTTGAGGGTAGGTGAGGCGACCGAACGGAGAAACCAATTCCATGGCCAAGTCTTCGCGCAACTGTGTCAAAGAATCTGCCTGTGCTGTCTCTTCTTGTTTCAATTCGTCGTTGATGTCGGCGATCGGAGTCTGGGACGAGGGGTACTTGACTGCAGCAGCAGTGGAGGCATCCGGAGCAGGGTTGTCGAGCGCAGACAGTCGCTGTAGGGTGTTGGCGAGATGGCCATTATAGAAGGCATATGAGTGCATCTTCATAAACATGACGAGAAGATGCAGAGTAAAGAAAACCTGAGCGGTCCACGTCCAGTCGCGAACGAACGGCCAGGTAACCCACAGCAATAGCCAACAGGCTTGGAAGACGATCTGGATGTTCATGCCCTGATGTTTCCACTGAAGCAGACCCTTGCTGTTCTTGAACAGCTTGTTCAAAGGCAGACTTGTGCCGGTGGTAGCGACCATGATCAGATCAACGATGGCCATCTCGTAGATGTTTTTCGTGAACAGCCCCCACTGGCGCATACTCAGAGGGTAGCCCGTCTCTTTCAGATTGCGCAACATGGTTGTCAGGACCATGATGGTCAGTGCAATCCAGAAGAGGACGAAGAAGCCTCTGAAGTTTGAGTATTCAGACCGTGGATCGAAGTGACTGAAACGAGCGGCATATTGTATCCTTGGAAATGCTCTCTTTTGCTCTGCGCGGACTTGTTTACGAGCCGATGAGGTTGCCTTGACCGAGGGCGGAGCATTCGCAGGTGTACCGGGGCCTGGTGTACTCGATTCACTAAGAGCCGCGTCAGATGTCTTTTCGTTGACGGAGAGGAGCGGTCAGCGTGTGGGCGTACTTTGAAGGGGATGGCGAAGGAGCAACGGCAGCATCTTCTTGGTATGCGCGGATGGGCTGCGAGTTTAGACGGCGTGGCTTTGGTTGTTGAATAGGTATGCCATTGATGTCGCTGCTGGTCGAAGTTGCCATAGCTGGAAATATCTATGCAGACTAGGTAGCTGTCGTGAATGTTTTCAGGAGTCGCGCAGATGCAGAATGACTTTCTGCTAAGTCAGGAGGACGAGCACAGGCTTCGAAAGATGCAAAGGGCGAAATGTAGTAGGCCACTAGGATGCGAACGTATCTAGGGACAGCGAACGGTAGGTGTTTATTGCAAAGATAACCACCTGCAAGACTAGTATAAGGAAGCGCCGGAACAAACATCTTGAAATCGAGAAGATGACGTAGAATAATTTGGGCGTGTGATCGGTGCGGCGACGGGTGCCAGCGGAGTCGACGTTCTTGCTAACAAATCTTCTGCCGACTGCTGGATAGCGTGCAGCAGGAAGGCCCAAACTTAGAAGGGTGGTCTACTTGTATAGTCGTAGCTAGTGACTGGTCGCTTTTCTGAGAGACATATTCAGGGTGTCGGCGTGTGTCTCAAAACGAAGACATGAATAGCGGAGAGCTTCGGGGGTTATCTAATCTGATCGAGCTCGGAAAGCCTAAAGGAGAGTGCCAGCGACCACGCATGCACAACAAAGTCGAGACCGTCTACCACCCCTCCGACATAGCATCTGCTCGACTCGATCCGCTCCAGCTTTTGCCGACGACTGATCCAATTCTCCACTGCTCTCTGGGGTCGAAGGGGTCGCTGCCATGAGTTCTCGTAGGCGTCAATGACAGCTGCCATCAATAACCAACCCCATACTGACCCGACTGCAGTCAAACAATTCATCCGCAACGTCAGAGCGGCCAAGACGATTGCCGACGAGAGAGCCGTCGTCCAGAAAGAGAGTGCTGCTATCAGAGCCAGTTTCCGTGAAGAGAGCCACAACTCCAACGTCAGGTACCTGCTGCCTTGATCAACCACCGCCCGCCTACCCCTCTCTGACCACTGAATCCTAGGCGCAACAACGTCGCAAAGCTCCTTTATCTGTTTACCCTCGGCGAGCGAACCCATTTTGGCCAAATAGAATGTCTCAAACTGCTGGCCTCTCCTCGCTTCGCCGACAAGCGTCTGGGTTATCTAGGCACCATGCTGTTGCTTGACGAGAACCAGGAAGTTCTTACTCTCGTAACGAACTCCTTGTCCAAGTACGTGCCTCCCGACCGCTGTCTGTCTCTACGCACTTGCTAACACACACCCAGTGATCTCAAACATTCCAACCAGTACATCGTCGGTCTCGCCCTTTGCACTCTCGGCAACATCGCCTCGGTCGAGATGTCGCGCGATCTGTTCCCAGACATCGAAACCATCCTCTCCAGCTCCAACCCATACATTCGACGAAAAGCTGCCCTTTGCGCCATGAGAATCTGCCACAAAGTCCCCGACCTACAAGAGCATTTCTTCGAGAAGGCCAAGCTACTCTTGACCGACCGAAACCACGGTGTCCTGTTGTGCGGAATGACACTGCTCGTGAGCTTGTGCGAGGCAGACGAGGAAGAGGGCGGAGAACAGGGCGTAGTCGAGATGTTCAGGCCACTAGTTCCCACACTGGTCAAGATCCTCAAAGGCCTGTCGAGCTCTGGATACGCTCCTGAACACGATGTTACTGGAATTACCGATCCTTTCCTGCAAGTCAAGATTCTCCGGCTCTTACGAGCCTTGGGCCGTGGCGATGCACACACGAGCGAACAAATCAACGACATTCTGGCGCAGGTAGCCACGAACACCGACTCCTCCAAGAACGTTGGAAACTCGATCCTCTACGAAGCCGTTTTAACCATTCTGGACATTGAAGCTGATTCAGGCTTGCGCGTTCTCGGCGTCAACATCCTAGGCAAGTTCTTGACCAATAAGGACAACAACATCCGATATGTCGCACTCAACACTCTGATCAAGGTTGTCGCTGTAGAGCCAAATGCAGTTCAACGACACCGTAACACCATCCTCGACTGTCTGCGTGACCCCGATATCAGTATTCGTAGGAGGGCTCTGGACCTCAGCTTTACCTTGATCAACGCAGACAATGTCAGAGTCTTGATTCGTGAACTCTTGTCATTCCTCGAGGTCGCCGATGCCGAGTTCAAGCCGATCATGACTTCTCAGATTGGTATTGCCGCAGACAGATTTGCGCCCAACAAGCGATGGCACGTAGACACGATGCTGAGAGTCCTCAAATTGGCTGGTAATTACGTCAAGGAACAGATTCTATCTTCTTTCGTGCGACTTATCGCAACAACCCCTGAGCTGCAAACATACGCAGCCCAGAAGCTCTACGCTACGCTCAAGGACGATATTTCTCAAGAGGGCCTCAGCTTGGCAGGCGCCTGGGTGATTGGTGAGTACGGCGATGCTCTTCTGCGAGGCGGCCAGTACGAAGAGGAAGAGCTCGTCAAAGAGGTCAAGCAGAGCGACATCGTCGACCTGTTCACCAGCATCCTCAACAGCAGTTATGCCGGTCAGATTGTCAAGGAATACATCATAACCTCTGCCATGAAGCTTACTACCCGTCTTACTGAGCCTGCTCAAATCGAAAGACTGCGAAGGCTACTGGAAAGCAACAATACCAATCTGGACGTGGAGATCCAGCAGCGTGCAGTCGAGTATGGCAACCTGTTTTCCTATGACCAAGTGCGTCGTGGTGTTCTAGAGCGTATGCCACCACCAGAGATTCGCGAAGAACAGAGAGTGTTGGGCGAGGCCACGAAGAAGCGACACTCCAAGGTTCCCAAGATGAAAAAGCCAAGCCAGGTCACCGAACAGGATATGCTTCTGGATCTGATGGGAGGCGACACAAATATGCCTGCTGTAGACCTGAGCTCAACCCTCAACGGATCACAACACAATGCAGACTTGCTCGCTGATATTCTGGATGGCGGCCAATCTATGTCGATACCTTCTCGACCTCCCCCAACCACATCGCCCGCGCCTGCTGGCAACATGAGCTCGATCATGGATCTTTTCGACACGCCATCCGCCACAGCGACGCCGCAACCGCCTTCTCAGCAACAAGCACAAAACACTGACTTGTTTGGTGGAATGACTTCTCCGCCACCGCAAACGCAAGGACCACCGGTCCACACAGCTTTCGACAAGAACGGGCTTTTGGTCACATTCCAGATCCAGAGAAACGCCACAGCGGTACAAATCATTGCTCGCTTCAGAAACACAGGAGGCTTTGAGCGATTGACAGACCTTGGCTTGCAAGCTGCGGTCCCCAAGAGTCAGAAGCTGCAACTGCAAGGAATCAGCTCAAGTGAACTAGATGGCGGAGAAGAGGCAACACAGCAGATGCGCATTATCAGCGTCCAAGGGGTAAGTTGCATGTGGAATATCACAACTGAAGCATGCGCTAACAATATATCGCAGCCTCCTCCTCAAAAGTTGCGCTTGAGATTGAAGGTGAGCTATGCACAAGCAGGCAGCCCAGCCACGACAGAACAGGTGGATTGGTCAGAACCAGCATAGAAAGCATAATGAAACAAAGAGACAGAAGACACGGAAACATTCTGATGAATAACCGTTGAAGTGATTTTTGGCCAATAAAGTGCAAGTTGCTAGGTGGTAACGCGTAATTGTCCCGAAGAGCTGGATAAGGTAAGCAGCATAGTACGAAGTACGTACAGTCGACGCATGCATGGTGGAGGTCTGCTCCGAACGCGGGGAGATGTTTACAGCATGCGCCGCGCGAGCCGCAAGACGATGTCTCATTGGCAGTTGGAACGGGATGAGATGATGCGAAAGTGGGAATGCGCATGAGCCGGTATCTGACAACGGACAGCAATTGGTAAGATCAGTATAACCAACGTATCCGACCAGTAGAAGACAGGCAAGATGTATCTGTCATTCTAGACGGACTAGCGATGCGCTCCACTTGCTCCACATTCGCAGACATCGGAGCAAACCTTAATGATATCTAGTCTCAGTCTTCGCCAGCCAACAGGGACGGACCCCGACAACGGCATTGTGTTAAAGGCATTTTGAGCGGCTCTCTCCTCTCGTAGCTGACCCTTGAGCAATCTGTCTGTGCAAGAGCGTGGTGCAGCGACAGATTCCAACACATATCTCGTCGTCGTCGTCGAGAGCAGCAGCTTTATAAGCATCCGCCATCTCCACGTTCAGGCGGGGCTCCATCAAGTCGGTTTTGCTTACCAACGCACGATTGTCGTTGGCCTGAGATCCGGCGCTGGTCTCTGGTCGCTGAAATCTCGGGCGCGCCGCAGACAGAGACAAGTGAGCCACTCGCACTTGGTCTGAAGGCAAGAGGCTTTGTCTTTGATCGAGTCGCACGCATCAACTGTCCAAGAGGGCCCCACATGGCCGTTATAGCTCTCTGCAATCATGTCCATGTCGCCAAACACGTCGCCGTCCTTCGATACGCCTGGAAATTCTTTTCCTGAACTGGATGCCAACATTCCCTCCTTCAACGCGCCCTTCGACTCCAGTCATTTGCTGTCTCCTCAGATGCATAATGCTCCCTTCCACTTTTCCATTCCAGAGCTTGGCGATGCCCAGTCGCCATCTTCCGCCCACTTCCACCATCGCATGAGCATCGGAAGCTCAGGCCCGCTGCCGAATCAACTCCATCCAGGAAGCATCGGCGACTCTGATGCCACCAGTCCCGTGAGCGGCCAGGATCCAGGATCCGTGGGTCCTCACACGAACGCTTCAACCGGCCCGCCAGGCCTAGACGATCAGAAAGACAAGAACGACCCAACACCGGCATGGGCAGAACTCAAGACCAAGGCAGGCAAGGAGCGAAAGCGACTACCTCTAGCCTGCATTGCTTGTAGACGCAAGAAGATTCGTTGTTCGGGCGAGAAGCCTGCTTGCAAGCATTGTCTTCGTTCTCGCATTCCCTGCGTATACAAAGTCACCACCAGAAAGGCCGCTCCCAGGACCGACTATATGGCAATGCTGGACAAACGATTGAAGAGAATGGAAGAGCGTGTCATCAAAATAGTGCCAAAGGAGGATCAAGGTCGCATCGGGACCATCGGTAGAGCTGTCGTCAAACCCGCTATCCCGGGGTTGCCCTCGAACGACAAGAAGAGAGCTGCCGATACAGCATTCGGCGACGATATCAACGATTGGTCAAAGTCCAAGAGCAAAGGCAGCGCGGAAGCTCGGTTGAGGATAGGCCCTCAAGAACAAGATGAGCGACGGTTGCTCCAAGAAGGAGCCGATCAATTGCCTTCCCACGAGCTGCAAATCCATCTGGCCGAAGTTTACTTCGATTATGTCTATGGTCAAAGCTATCACTTACTGCACAAACCAAGTTTCATGCGAAAACTTGAGGTCGGACAGGTACCGCCAGTGCTTATCCTGGCCGTGTGCGCCATCTCTGCTCGCTTCTCATCACATCCCGACGTGAAGACGGAACCAGCGTTTCTACGGGGCGAGGACTGGGCCAGTGCAGCGAGGGAGATTGCCTTGAAAAGATATGATTCACCAAACATCACAATCCTCATAGTCTATCTCTTGCTCGGTCTGCACGAGTTCGGAACGTGTCAAGGCGGTCGAAGCTGGATGCTTGGAGGTATGGCTCAGCGCATGGCATACGCCTTGCAATTGCACAAAGACTTGGACCATGACACCTCGACACGCGCTACGGGGACTGGTGCCGAACTCACGTTTACCGACAGAGAAATCAGGAGGCGTACAATGTGGGCCTGTTTTATGGTAACGAAGCACGATTACGACTGATCGAACACAACTAACATTCTCAGATGGATCGATTCAACTCATCAGGAACTGAGCGACCACTTTTTGTCAACGACCAATACATTCAAGCTCAACTGCCCGTCAAGGAACACTTCTTCCAATTCGAGATCCCAGGAACAACGGAAGTACTCGAGGGACCAAATTCTGACAACGCTGAAAATGCCGGACCGCATACACTTCCAGCAACTGAGAACATGGGCGTGGCCGCATACATAGTCCGGTTGGTGGCCATCTGGGGTCGTGTCATCCGCTATATGAACCTAGGAGGAAGAGAAAGAGACACGGAGCCTCTATGGTCTCCCAAATCAGAATTCCATGGCATCAAGGAGGCTGTTCGTGAATGGCAAAGTGGACTTCCAACATGGCTCTCTTGGTCGCAAGAGAACCTCGAAACCCATGCAAGCGAGAAAATTGCCAACCAGTTCATCTTCATGCACTTGATATGCAACCAGATCATCTGTTTCACGAATCGCTTCGCACTGCCGTCGCCAGGGTCAAGGTCGGCAAGCGTCAGGGATACACCGCAGGCCTTCATCACCGAAAGTGGAAGAGCGGCTCTGGATGCAGCCAACCAGATCTCGGTCTTGATCAACGAAGCTATGGACCACAGGGTAATCGCTCCGTTCGCTGGATATTGCGCCTTTTTCTCCAGCACAGTCCACATATACGGTGTTTTCTCCAAGAACCCAGCACTGGAAGCATCTTCCAAACAAAATCTGGCAACGAACATCAAGTACTTGACGAGGATGAAGAAACACTGGGGAATGTTCCACTTCGTCACAGAAAACCTAAAGGACCTATATCGCAGACACGCAGACGCCGCCTTTAGAGGCGCGCAAGCTGGCAATGCTCAAAAGCCGCTCGAGACGATCTTCCAATATGGTGATTGGTTTGATCGATATCCTCACGGTGTTAGCGGCACAGATTATGAGGAGCCTGTCAATGCAGATGTCAAGAAAGAGCCAGGGTCCGATGCGGTATTGGGCCAGAAGAACGATCTTCAAAGTGTAGAAGAATTCTTCTCCAAGTTGAGTCCGCCAAACAAGAACGCAAAACAGAAGGCGCCCAGAAAGAAACGCGGAAAAGCAGATGCCCAACCAAAAGCAACATCGGCAGGAGCAGCCGGACCAGCTGCGGTCAATCCATCAGGCTTCCCGAACCAGCAACAAAACCAAGCTCAGCCGCAAGCACAACGACAACAAATCCCAGCAGCCACGGTCTCACAGATGACAGCCGGGTCCATGAACACCAGCTTCAACGTCCTGGATCCGCAGAATAACAATCCTAACTTCCCTGCCGAGCTAGCCATGATGCAACAGCAGCAGCAACGGCAGCAACCAGACCAACAGCACCAACATCAACAATACAGCAACATGCTCAATCTCGACGCCAACATGTCGCACTTCCAGTCCCTCGACCCATCCTCGAACTCGACCAACCCCTTCTCCCTCGATTTGAATGCCTTTGACTTTGGCATGAACAGCAACAACAATGCCTGGCACGATCAGAGCACTGCTTGGTTCATGCCCTTCAACGTCGATCCACCTTCTGTCGGCACAGGTGGCCTCGATGGGGACGCAGGCGGATTGTTTGCTGCAGACTCTGTCGGCGGATTCGATGTCAACTCGTTGTTCCCAGACTTTGGAGGGGCACATCCTGGGTTGTTGATGCCAGAGCACGGGTTCGAAGACAACGGAAACAATAATGGTGATGGCGAGTAATCGTATTAGATGAGACTTTATGTATACACGATGGGCCGATTTGGAGGGAAGCATTGTTTGAGTTTCAAGCACACGTGGTAAAGGTTTCTGGAGCATTGGGGCCTTGTTGTGATGTTTCTGGGATACGAAAACTTCTATATACTTTACAGCATTGTTATACGAAGAAGCATATGTGCAAAGATCGAAAGCGTCCATAACGAACATGGTCTGATGGTGCCCAAGCCTGCGAACAAAATCGGTACCGACGTACAATCCCATCTTTGAACGATCTATCAAAACCGGAAATATATAACCTTTGCCGCTTCGTGGACAGATACCATAATTTGCGAGCATTCGGATTCGGGCAAGGAGAACGATCTACGAGAAAGGGTAGAATGATGTTCTGGTTAAAAAATCGTACCAGGACTCGTACCTTCTCCGTTTTGTGGCGGATATCTACTGCCTGTTTCACCTATTTGTCTCCTGCAAACAAAAAATCTCGTAACGAGAGTGCAATCTTGGGTCCAATATAGATCTCTCATAATGCTTCTCTAGTTACTCTAAATATCTTTTCATATAACAAGGCATCTTACATCGTGCTACTTTGTGATGAACCTGGCGCTCTAAGCCTTCAGCTTGTCCTGAGACAGAGTCTTGACCTTGTCATCAAACAGCTTCTCGGCCTCCTGCCATACTCTCTCGCTCTTTCTATCCTTGAGTGTCCTCAGACTGGGCAAGAGAGCATCGCTGAAAGCTTCCGAGGCCTCACGGGGAAGGAGCGAAGGCAAGTGGTCGATCGAGATGACACACAGCGGTGGGCCAGTGGTGATGTTGACAGGGACGGTAGGCTTGTCGAAGGTGGTGTTGATGTCGTAGATGGGGATGGGGTTGTGGGGGTTCGTTGTGTCGCAGCTGACGTCGCAGACAACGCTGAGCTTGCGGTCTTCCGAGTTGAGCTGTGCGGGCTCGATGAAAGGAGGAATGGGTTGCGAGAGGTAGATGCAGTTGACAAAGATGTCGCTATCGAGGATCTCGGGGTAAGGACCAGGGCGGTTCTGTGTCTCGGCCATGTCCCACTTGACAATGTTCTCGTCGGGCACGCCGACCTTCTGCAGCAGGTCAACGGCACCTCTGCCACAACGGCCCAAGGCACCCATAACCAGAGCTCTGGGCTTGCGGCCAACCTTCTGCTCACCCTTCTCCAAGCTCTTCTTGACGTCGGCAACTAGCAGACCCTCGTTGGCGAAAGGCTTGACACCCTCCAGAGGCTTGGCAGCACCCTCGACCAGCTGGTGAGCCCAAGCCTGAACGGCCAATGCAGCACCAGCGAAGCCAGCATGGAAGCCGAAAGCAGCGACACGACGACCCTGCTCGTCTTGCAAGAACTCAAGGTCGTACAATGTGCCACCACCACGAGGGAAACGAGCGAGGACCTCTTCCCAACCACCTTGGTTCTTGTAGCAATGTGCGAATTGAACGTGTGTGTGCTTGAGGGGGAATGTCTCTTCAGGAAGCTCCTTGAGACCAACAATGATGTGGTCGGTGGGGGCTTCAGTCCAGCTGCCCTCGGGAACCAAGTTTGCGCCAACCTTGTCGAACTCGGAGTCGGGGAAGATGCTGAGACTGCTGCGCTCAATGTTGACGGGGTAGCCCTCGTCCATCAAGGCCTTGGCCGTGGTGGGCGTCAGCGCTGAGCGGTGCTCGAGAGGCTTAGTCTGTGAGAAAGCATCAGCAATGCGTTGAATTGGCAAGCATGTATTCGACGAAACGTACCTCTGCGCGGAGGTGTAGAGTAGGATACGACATGGCTGATGTTTGATTGATGTGTGGTAAGACCAGAATGCAGGTACGAGAAAGCGTAGATGAGGACAGTCAAAAGATACGTCGGCTTTGACCTGCAACTTCTGTGAGTCAAGCCTTCCCCAGAAATTATTTGCGGGCAGGCACGTCAGTCCATGGCAGAGCCCGAGACCGGCCGATGCAGCACGGCCTCCGTCCAGCAACCATGCCACCATCGTGCCGTCATCGGGAATGTCAAGAAATTGTTGTTGCGCGACTGAGACTTGACGTTGACTCAGAGCGGGCGTTGCGCCGGCCATTGTCTGATCTCTCCATCGATTTATTCGCCTGACGCTCTCTGACTCCCAGTCCCAATTCCCCCTTGGCTTTCTTTTTCCTGTTCTGGTTTCTTCTTCCCTGACCACTCGCATCACACATAACACATACAACATGTCTGCCGCACAAAACATTCCCACTCGCAACCGCGATGGCGCTTCTGCTGTCACAAACAGTTTCGACCCCTCCACCAGCCCATCTCAATCCTTCATCTCGCCGTCACAGAGCTTCAGCCACCGTCAATCCGTCTCTACCAAGCAGCTCAAGCCCTTCAACACCCAAGATGTCAAGGTCTTGCTGCTCGAGAACATCAACGTCACTGGCCAGGACATCCTAAGAGAACAGGGCTACCAGGTCGAGGCTCTCAAGGCCTCACTACCCGAGCACGAACTCATCGAGAAGATCAAGTACGCTATACATCATATCCATCACTCACCTCTTTCTAACCCCCGACCAGAGACGTCCACGTCATCGGTATCCGCTCAAAGACAAAGTTGACTGCCAAGGTCCTCGAACACGCAAAGAACCTCATCGTCATCGGCTGCTTCTGTATCGGTACTAACCAGGTCGACCTCAACTATGCCGCCAACGCTGGTATCGCCGTCTTCAACTCTCCTTTCTCAAACTCGCGCTCCGTCGCCGAGCTCGTCATCTCAGAGATCATCGCCCTCGCCAGACAATTGGCTGACCGCAGCATGGAATTGCACAAGGGTATCTGGAACAAGGTCTCAGCTGGCTGCTGGGAAGTCCGTGGAAAGACCCTGGGTATTGTTGGCTACGGTCACATCGGAAACCAGCTGTCCGTCCTGGCTGAGGCCATGGGTATGAGCGTCATCTACTACGACGTTGTCAACCTCATGAGCATGGGTACCGCCAAGCAGGTCCCTACACTCAAGGCCCTTCTCGAGGGTGCCGACTTTGTCACTCTTCACGTCCCCGAGCTTCCCGAGACCCAGAACATGATCAGCACCGAGCAGTTCGGTTACATGCGCAAGGGCAGCTACCTGATCAACGCCTCAAGAGGTACCGTTGTCGACATTCCCGCTCTCGTCGAAGCCATGAGAAGCGGAAAGATCGCTGGTGCCGCCATCGACGTCTACCCTAACGAGCCTGCTGGAAACGGCGAGTACTTCAACAAGGAACTGAACGCATGGGCCGAGGACCTCAGAACCCTCAAGAACCTGATCCTCACACCCCACATCGGTGGCAGTACCGAGGAGGCCCAGAGCGCCATTGGTGTCGAGGTCGCCGATGCACTCGCCAAGTACGTCAACGAGGGTTCCACCGTTGGCGCCGTCAACATGCCCGAGGTCAACCTGCGCAGTTTGACAGCCGACGAGCCCAACCACGTCCGTATCATTTACATCCACAAGAACGTTCCCGGTGTGTTGAGACGCGTCAACGAGGTCCTGGGAGAGCACAACGTCGACAAGCAAATGACCGATTCAAGAGGCGATGTTGCATATCTGATGGCTGACATTAGCAATGTCAACCAAGGAGATATCTCCAACCTCTACAACAGCCTCGAGGATCTGGGCTCGCGCGTCAGAACCAGAGTCTTGTACTAGACTTGTTGTCTTTTTCTTCTCTTTTTGTCCTTCTTCCTAAAAAGCACTCAGCAACGCAGCTCATCATTTCTTGTTTCGGTTTCCGTTCTTGGACATGCATTTGGTGTATATTTCTTTGTTGTACGGAGTCTCAAGCATGTCTTTCTAGACCCCTTTAACATGCAAATGCGTCTGGATGTTGTAGAGCAGATCAACTCTATCTTTATGTACATTCAAGTTATAAACAAAACAAGAATGGAAAAACAACCATACATGGAAGAACGAAAGGTGCAAGATGTTGGAAGCGAGATGTGAACATTGATCGAGACCGTCTATCTCTTCCTCTAGTATGATGAAAACAGAGAAAAGCAACGTGTATCTACAATCAAGGTACAGAAGTGCTTCAGAAGGAAAAAGAATCGGTGTTACTGCGCTAGAACAAGAAAGAAACAATGAAATCAATGCTGAATACTCCTGGATCCCACTCTGCGGTACGTGAACACCCAATCTCTACTCATTGATGCGCAACCTCGTTCTGAATCTCCTTGAGAGCGCCAACTCCAGCAAGCTTGTTGACCTTCTCAACAAGAATGGCATTCTCACGCTGCAAATCAGTCATTTGCTCTCTAAGCAATCCGTTCTCGCGCTTCAGCATGTCGACCTGGTTTCTGAAATCATCTCTTTCTCTAGCAACTCTATTGGCTTCGTCCTTGTTCAGCTGTACGCTCCTCTTCCTCTGCGCTTTTGAGATTTCCTTTTCGCGCTTCTGCTCCAGTTTGCCGAGTTCCTTTTCGCGCTTTTCTGCCAGCTTGGCCATTGCTGCGTCGTATTGTTCTTGGTATTTGGCAGAGTCTTCGGGGTGCTTTTCTTTGCGGCTGGCGAGTTTGACCGCCTCGTTGTCTTGTTTGCTGTGGATCTTTGCCTCGATCTTTGCGCGGTCTTTGTCAATCTTGCGCAATTCTTTGTCGTGAGGGGAGTTGCCTAATGGGACGGCTGATGATGAGGCGGATGAAGCGCGGCCAATCGAGGTTGTAGAAGCGGCTACAGCTGCGCTGTCGTGTGCGGGATGTTGTGCTGGGTGGTCGCCCATGTCATGATGATGGTGATCTTTGGCAGATGCAAATGATGCGGCATCTGATGAGTCCGAAGATGACGATGAGTCTGAGGTGTCGTCCTCGGGATGCATGTAGTTGTGAGTGTAGTTGGCGACACTGGCCGGAGCATAAGCTTCTATGCCTGCTTCGACGGCGCCTGTGATGGAGGCGAAAATTCCGCCTTGCTGCTGTACGGCAGGTTGCTGTGCTTGTGAATTCTGTGCTGGTGCAGCAGCAGGAGGAGGGCCCTTCTGTTGAGTTTGCTCGGCCTGAGCTTTCTGTTGCAGTTCCTCGTCGGCATCGGCGTCAGGAATCTCATCTTTGGCACATGCCCAATCCAGGAACTTGGACACATCGGCGGCGATGGAGCCAGGAGTGCCTCTTTCGACCATGAAACGAGGAATACCACCACCAGGGTCACTGCGTGTAATCATGATCCACTCGACAGGGTTGAGCTCGTGCTTGTCACCATCAGCAGCTCCCTCTTTCTCAGGAGCGGGGGTCAAGGGGATCTCGCGGATCATCTCGACAGACTCGTAGGAGCCCTTTACGTAGCCTTCGCGGTCAGGAGTATCGGGATGGGTGAGAGGCTTGGAGACGACCATGTAGTGTCTCGGAATGGGATGTTTGTCTTGGCTGGTCTTGTCGGACAAGGCGTTCTCGGTGGTCAGGAGAAGAGTGATGAACTCTCTGGGAGCTGTAGGGCCGGGGAATTGGGCGCTGAGCTGGAGGGCCTCCATCTTGCCAACGCCATCGACCGCTTTCTTGTCCAGTCTGCGGTCACCGCCGATACCACGGACGTTGCCAGCACCAGGACCACCAGCCTGAGCCAAAGACTCTGCGAACTCGCGCTGCATGGCTCTGCGGACTTTTGTGAACGAGACGCCCTCGAGGACCTGCCTACGAGCGAACCATGCGCCGCGTCTGTCTTTGGCTGCCATTTTGTAGACAGAGATACCCAGTGGGTTGTCCTTGGCGTTCAACTTGACGGGCTTCCCCCATGACTTTTGCAGGGCGACGTGTTCGGGGTGGGGGTCGACGGGACGGGCATCTGAATTGACGACCTCTTTGGCCGACTTTGCTGTGTCGGGCTCGGAGTGGGTAGGCTTGGATGCCTCGTACGCGGTGCCGCCGGATGGAGGTGGGACCGAGTTGCAGATGAGTTCACCATTCTCGAAGAGGTTCTTCATGAATGGACCTAGGTCTTGCGGCACATCGGCCCAGTCGATGGGACCTATCTGCTCAAGCGCCTTGTGTAGTTCGGCCATGATTGTGATGGGCGGGAGGCTGTAGTGGGGGAGGACAGGCGCCAGTTGGGTTGCTCCGGATACAATTGGTAGGTAGAGGGGTAGCAGATGAAGCAAAAGGGAGAATTACGACGCTTCAATCCAAATTCAACATCATCATCATCATCATCCACGCCATCATCGTCAACGTCTTTCGAGTGCTTCCAGAAGTAAAACTCCATAAAACAAGCTCTCGCGCGCCTGCACAGAGCCCCCCGGATCCGGCTGATCCTCATGCCGTCATACCGAGCCTCCCGTCTCTCATTCAATCACATGGTGGAGCTCAATTCAAATCAACCCACGACGCTTGCCTTTCTATTCTGAATTCCTCAAATCGACACAAGTCACTTTCGTTACATGTCCGTCTATAAACATGGATTGTTTACATTCATATCTTTTCTTGTCTAACCCTCGAGCAGAGCGGGCAGGTTCTCCTCGATAAACTCGACCACAGCGTCCGGTCCTCTCGACACCTGGAGACCCTGAGGCAGCGCGAAAGTCTTCAGTTGTGGGCCCATGATTTCTTTGGCTTCGGCGTGGATGCTCTTGGCCTCTTCTGGTGTCCACATGGATGCGGTGAACTGTCCGTCTTGTCAGTCTTTTGTTGCTCTTGATGGCTGAATCCGGCTCGACACACCAAAACGTCTGGTTGTTCTCTGCTAACGACTTCGCGGACTTGTTCCTGGTCTGCAGATGGGTCAATCAATGTCTACCAACTCTTCCAGTCTGATGACCTACTGTCTGCGTTTCCAGCGTGGATGATGGTGTACTTGTCCTTGACGTTCTCGACAACGCGGCCAATCAACCTGTAGGCACGCTCGGGTGCTGTGTTGACCGTGACGAGCTTGAAAGGTCCCAATGGCTTGGTAGTCGACATTCCGTGTGGTGTGTGATATGTGTGATTGAGAAGCAAAAGACAAGAATACTCGTAAAGAGTTACAGGGCTCATATGTTCTCGGCCGTCATCGGGTTATCTCGTCAAAACACCCTGTGACTGCCCCACACGGCCTTCCAGCTGTAGAGCTCTGACCAGCAAACAGTCGGGTGGTGCTGTTTCGACGTGTGGGAACCACCATGGTCAGACGTGTCGGATATTCCTGAACCCTATTGGGACTCCTATCATAGTCTGTATTCTATGCTCTGAGCTTTCATACAGCTGTATACCGATCAAAGATGCTCCAAGTTGTTCTGTCTCGGTATTCGGGCTGGCGTCCGCCGATAAGCAGAAGGTTCCTTCCCCACTTGTACTCCTCGTAGGTGGGGAAGGAAGGTGTTTCTTGAATGCTGCGGATCTCGTGTGCGGGACTTGATGTGTTTCGTGATAGTATTGTTTGCGCGACATCGGCCGAAGTGTTGAAGCTTCTCTTGTTATTCTTCGACCCTTGACCTTCTTCCTCAATACCAAAGATATCCAAACCCAGAACCCCACCATCAAAATGTCCTTCAACCGCCTTGTCCGTTTCGTCCCAGCTAGCGACTCCAAGGCAGTCCTGATCGGTGAACCTGTCGATGCTGAACTCGATGTTGGTCTTGCTATCCGCAAAGGCGATGAGGTCGAAGTCAAGGTGTTCAGCGGCAAGTCTGCTCTGAACCCTGGTTCGCTGTCAGACAAGACCGAGAAGATTGCCAGACTGCTGTCACCACTTTCACAAGAGGAGGTCGGCACGATACGCTGCATCGGATTGAACGTAAGACTTCCGTCCCATTTGGTATCAGTGAAGCGTCTAACAGGAATACATAGTACAAGAGACACGCCGAAGAGGTCAAGATGGACGCCCCATCGGAGCCCGTCATCTTCCTCAAGCCAGCCACCTCCCTCGCAGACCCTTACCCTGCCCCTACCGTCATCCCCAAGCACACAAAGTCAACCGACACAGCAGACTACGAATCCGAACTCGTCGTTGTCATCTCCAAGCCCTGCAAGAATGTCTCCGAGTCAGAAGCCCTCGACTATGTCCTTGGATACACAGCCGCCAATGACGTTTCCAGCCGTGCCGCTCAATTCTCCCAGAGCCAATGGTGCTACAGCAAAGGTTTCGACGGTGCCTGCCCCATCGGTCCCGTGTTGGCGAGCTCGAACTTGATCCCTGACCCGAGCAAGTTGCACATCAAGGGCAGCAAGAACGGCAACGTCATGCAGGATTCCGGTATCGACGACCTCATCTTCAGCATCCCTAGGCTCATCAGCTTCTGTTCTCAGGGCACTACTTTGCCTGCTGGTACCATTATCCTTACGGGAACTCCTGCAGGTGTTGGTGTTGGCAAGGATCCCAAGGAGTTCTTGCGTGATGGTGATGAGTTCTCTGTCCAGGTTCACCCGCACATCGGTACTTTGACAACTGTATTTGAGGACGAAAAGTAAACAGCAGAGACGAATGTGTAAATAATGCTTTCATATCATGCCAAATTAACGATTGAAATATGAACTGTACGTGGCGCCCCGAAGACATGTCTCCCAGAAAAAAAAGAAGAAAAAGGTTCCAATTTGTTACTCCAGACATATATTCGTCATGCACACACAATCCCCTTGACACCATACCTCAGTGGCACAAAGATATCCACGAATTCAACAGGGCCTCCATATCATGTGCGAGCCCCCACTGTGAGCTGAGACATCGGAACAGCTTCTGCATCGAGTTGAGCTCGTAGAACAAGTTACGAGTCAACGATTCATAGCCGCTGCCAGAAAGCTTTTCACCACGAACGAACCTTCTCGTCGTGCTCGATCCAGCCGATGCACCAGCGAGGTCACCGAGGATGACACAGGGGTCGACTTCGGTGAAGAGTACGTCCTTCCAGTCGATGACGCGAGGCAGATTGACAGTCGTGTGGCCTGCTAGCGAAAAGACGCTGTACACGGTCGCAGCAGCGAATAGGGAACCGGGCATGTGAAGCACATGCGCACGGCCGCGAGGAAGCTGCTCGACGATGTCCTGGATGGCGACAGCATGGAGCAACGCTCTGCGTGCATCCTCAGTCTTTGCCCAGGCAACCAGATCCATACCTGCCTTGAGGCTCTTGCTGCCTCCAAGCACATGCTGTGGAATGTTATAGCGAGCGCAGATGTGTCGGCACAGCATAGACGAGTCTGCAGCCGCATCGAGGCAGATCGAGTGCCATCGTAATAGAGCCTCTAGCGTCTCTGATTCGGATATCTTGTTCTTGGTTATGCTTTCATGAACCTGAGCAAGAGCCCTGCGGACTTCAGATTGGGTTGGAATACCGACAGATGGTCCGTCAGCGGAGTCGGAGACGAGCGACTGTACACCTTCCAAGATTACACGCAACGAGAAAGAGGTCAGGGTATGCTCTGGCAGTCTTCCCATGTCGACAGGCAAGAACAGTGAGTTAAAAATATCGCGGAAACAGATGTCCTGCTTGGGCTGTGATCGCATCTTGACGAGCCACTCATCTGCAGTACTTGCTTCAAATAAGCTCTCATCGCAGGGTAGTCCAAGCCGGTTGGCAGCATGCCGCGTCGAAGGGGGATTACCGCTAGCTGACGAGACCAGTCCGTCTAGTATGTATTGAGCGAGGAGTACTCTTCGCTGGATTTCGTGAGCAGCCCAGGTTCTCCACTGGCGGTCCTTTTCTGCTGGGGAGGCGTCCAAGGAAGGTAAATTGTCTAGTGAGAACGTGTCGTCGTCGTACATGCCACAGTGCCTCGCCCAGGAGAAGCCAAGCGCATGGAATATTTGCGATGTCGTTCGGAGTACTCGGTTCTGGTCCGTCAGCAGCTGTGAGATGGTAGTCGGCACAACTTCTTGCCTTTGAGAGAGCTGCATAGACCTGACCGAGTAAAGCAGCCAAGACCAATTGGAGTCCGTTGCACGGATCGTGTGGCCCTCGGTGTGTGATAAGACTCTGCCACTACGACGGTATCAATAGTGAGGTCAACAGACTTGCGAAGACGAGACATACCGAAGTCGCAATCGCTGTATGAGAAAGACGCCACAACGCTTCGCCTTTTGCAACAGCATCCTTTGGGCCGAGATATAACGACCCTATGGCGATAGCGTTTAGCAGCAAAGGGTGGGTACAATCTCGAAACACAAATGTCGAGCGGTGGAGGACGGGAAATGTAGGTGTAAAGCGGACGAAGAACATGTGGAGGCACTCGTCCAAAAACACAGATGTGACAGATGTGGCCTCGGCTTCTGCGGTGATGCTTGACGACTGGAAGAGAGTCAGCTTGGGCACTTTTGACAGAATCGAGTAGACTCACCAAATTAGAGATCATCTTGCTGACTCCGTAGACAGCCTGGTGACCACCGCCGTTAGGGATAGCCTTGATGGCCGAGCCTCGATCATCGACCGAAGTGGGCGAGTCAAGACTAGTTGGTGTAAATCTGTCAATGCCTTGAGGAAAAGGTAGAGTGCCCACAGGTATATGAGAGGTGGTGTCTGTAGACATGATTGATTGAAACAGCTCCTCGGAATCAGGCCATATCAATTGGAAATCAAGATCTGTAGCACAATGCATATCAACCATCTCGGGTTCTACTTGATATGTTTGCTCGTGCCAGGTCTGCGAAGTGCCAGGAATGGAAGGTGGTACATAGTTGCGTGTGTCCATGTCGTCTTCAGCCGCCAGCAGATGCTGCAACGCGTATGACTTGGCTGGCGTATAGGTCGAAGCAGCGGGAGAAGCACATTTCATGCTCTCTCTACGCAAATGGAGTTTCTCATGGCGAGCCAACGAGTCTTGTCGACTGAAGGCGCGGTTGCACTCTTTGCAAGCAAACGGCCGCACGCCTGTGTGAGAACGTTCATGTCTCTACATTCATGTGTCAGAGATTAGTCTGTCAATGTTACAAAGGCTTTGTCGTACTGTCAGATGCTCTGCCTTGGAATAGATCCTCTGGCAGAACCGACACTCCAATTTCTTTGCTGCGCTTGTGGCACTTTCGACAGAGGCCATTATTGTGGTCAATTGTGGTGAAGTTGTGGAGAGGATGAGAGAAGGCGGGTGGTCGGCGGTGGAGAACTTAGGGCAAAGCGGGGCAACGGAACAGAGCCCTCAACAAGAGCCGACATCGTGCATGGCAATCACGTTCGGGAGGTGGAAAGGATAGGAATATGCGAGTGTCTGAAAAAGTGACAATAATGTACATGAAGGATATTCTCCGATTCTGTGAGAAGTATCGATTAAAAGCTAATCGGAAGGCATCTGCTGAGGGCAGCTGAAAAATAAGAATAATAACTCGCCCCTCTCCAGGCAATTTGAATGCACAAGACTTGAGGGCACAGCCCTGAAGTTCACTGCCTTTGCCGGAGCTTATGGATAGAAATGAGAAAGAAAAAAACATTTGACACGTTCCGAGTCACCAACCCGATCTCAGACTCCAGTGCCCAATCATAAAGCCTTGCGCGCCCAACCATGGAATGAATCCAGAAACGGAAATTGCGTCGTCTGTGTCGTTACAGATCTTCACCATTCACTCTAGAACATGCTCTTTCTCTTCTCAGCAGCGCTGAGAACGCCCAACATCATGTGTCTGCGACCGAGACCCTGCTGGATAGGGCTGGGAAGCTGCTTGGCAAACGATCCCATGTCGAAGGCGTCTCCCTTCTCGCTGACCGGAGTCTGAACAGCACCACCTGCGCCCAGGCCCTCGAGACTGTCCTTGGAGCTTCTCTTGGCATTGCGCTCGCTGCCGATAGGGCTCTGCTTGCGGAAGCAGGGTTCATCCTCCTCCGATTGGAAGTGGAGCTCACGTTCGCTGATAGGACTGCCGCGAGGGGAGCCGCTGACAGCGCGACGGAACGAGCCAGCGCGAACGAGGTTATCGAGGGCACGGCGGCGTTGGCGAGTTGCGAAATTCTTGCTGCCTTCATGCTTGCTTGTGGGCAAAGCGATCAGTTCTTCAAGCGGAGGTGGGCCGCGAGGTTGACGAACAGGGTGTTCTCCAGCGCGAGCAGCACCGGGTCCGAAGGTACCGGTCATTGGGGTTGGTGGGAACACTGTTCTGGCAGAGCCGAAAGTGGCGACGCTGCTTGTCTTGGGGCCATCAGATGCTCCAGTCAATGCGTTGATCGCAAGAGAAGACGCCTTCTTGTGTCCACGGCGGAAGGCGTTGGCAGACGGAGGAGGCAGTGGCTCGACGTGAGCAAGGTTCGATGCGGGTGAGGACGTCTTCTTGGGAGGGGTGATGGAGCGAGAACCGGTTGGCGTAGGACGCTCAGTGGGTGGCGGCGAGATCTCGGCACGGAAGACAGGCTGTTGCTGTTTCTGAGGAGTATCAACATTGAAGAAGCCGTTCTGATTCTGCGATACGGGAGACATGGGTGATTGAGCGTTGTTGTCGACTGCGTACTGGTACTGGCCAGTCATGGGGTTGTACACAAGGTAGAGACCAGGTTGGCCGGGAACCTCGATGGGCGACTGCTGGTGCTGAGCGCGCTGCTGACCATAGGTGTTGACCTGAGGCATTTGCTGTTGGAACTGGTTAAGGTTCAAGCCCTGCAACTGAGCGGTGTTGGCAGCAGCAGTGATGGCAGCGAGCTGCTGCTGAAGTTGCTGCTGGCGCTGAGCGAGGAAGAGGCTGGTAAGCTGAAGCTGTTCCATGACGTTGGGGTCCATCTCAGCTTCCTGGCCGTAGAAGGTGGGAGGAGCCAAGACCTGCTCGGGCATCGAATACATGTGCTGCTGCTGCTGCTGCTGATGACGCTGCTGCTGGTGTTGCTGGCGACCACCGTATTGGTTGCCGCCGAAGCTGGCAGCAGTGGCTGACTGAGGAACACCTTGCATGTAAGCGTTGTATGTGTTTGCGTCCATGCCACTGAGTTGAGACTGGTAGTCCAGTTGGTTGTAAGGAGCGGAAGCCGGGACGGCCGGCGTCTTTGGGGCGGTACGAAGACCGGCGAGAAGGTGGGAGCGCGAGGTGCGAGGAGTAGGGGTTGAGTCGGAGTGGTTCTCGGCAGGGTTGATATGCTGAGGAAGGCCAACGCTGAGGCGCTTGTGGTTATGGGCTCCTCTGTTTCTAGAAGCAAAGCCAGAGCCGGGAGCGCCAAGGCCGTTGGAAGAGAAACCGTTAAAAGTCATCTGAGCGAGACCGCCAGCGTCCATGCTCATTATTACAGTTTGATTCGTGGGACCAGGTAAGATCTGGGCTAAAGTGATGTCGATGACGCTGAGTGAAGATGTCGATGATGTGGATGGTCGTTAGACGTGCTTTGTGCAAATATGCGAAAGCGGTTGACGGTATGTCGAAGGGTCGGTGGGAATCGGCAAGGCAGGAAGCCTGTCGTCAAGGTCGGATCTTGTACAGAAGTAGAGAGGGTATTGACCGTAGTGTGGGTGAAGTGCTTGACAAGCAGGCAGCTACACTGAGTGATGCTAGACTGATATTACACAAACGGTCGGGGGGATCCGACAGATCTGGGGACCGACGTGGTATGAGATGTAGTCGAGTGGATAAATGTTTGTCGATCTTTCAATCTGACAGACGTGTTGTGTGTGTATGGTTACACTATAGAGAGGTGTTTGTCGTGTAGCCGTGCGGTGTGATGTCAAGAACCAACGCGTTTATCGGGACAATGCTGTCAAAAGGCACACGTTGACGCTAGTGCGTGAGACAGATGGATGTGTGAAGATGTGTTGGTGAGATTCAGAAATTGGAAGCGTGTTCCGGAGTGATGAGTGGTCAGGTGTCAAGCTCGAGATGACTGTGAAGTTGCTCTACAAGAACACAGCACGGGAGGCCAGACGGTCGAAGAGAAGGCGCCTTCCGGGTTTGGGAGATTATTAAAATTCGCAAAACAGGTATAAGAATGAAACAAGGCTGCAATCCCAAATGAAGGCAGAAAGGGAAGGACGGACGGGCGCAGCTGTCGTAGAATGAGCACACTGGGAAGAAAAGAGAAAGAAGAAAGAACGAACCCTTCTTTGGTCGAAGGGGCAGCGGCAGACAAAGCTCCTCGCTCCTGTGCGCTTTTTGCTTGGCTTCGAGTTGAACCCCGTGCATGCCGCTTAGAGCAACGCCCCGTTTCAGCTCAGGAGGTTCTGCGTTTTTCCAACGCCGACCACCTCGTCTCACAATTTCACGAATCTCGCATCTGCCACATGACAGGCCCATCCCCGAACGGCCCAGTACACTAATGCGCCTCGAATGTTGCTGGCACCACGCCTTTCCATTGTTTGAAAAGCCTCTCATGAGCGGTGCTTCTGAATGAAAAAGCACCGTTCTTTGAGTTTGGCGACTCGCACAAAGGTGGCAGTAAATTAGATGGATCGCCAGCTTGTGTTTGATTGGTTCGGCCGTGCCAATCTTTGACAGCCCGACCGGCGCCTATGCACGCTTCGTTCACGTTCCAGCTCTCGAGAGCCACCCGCCGCGCTTCTCGGGTTCCACTCATGTGGCCTTCGACCACGATCACGCTTGATCACAGAATGTCCTTGCATTTCTAGAACTTCCCGTACCGAATCAGCACCTTCGGATACGCCTGCGAGCCTGCGACGATATCTGCTGTCTTGGTGTTATGCACGCGCACCTCTGCACGCGGCTCTCTCCTTCTCCTCACTCGTAGATCCTCCGCATCGCGGCATACCACAGCGTTTGAAACGCGCAAGAGGCGTCGCAGATCCAGATAGATTGGTCTAGTGGTGTCAACGGCCGCTCCCCTGGAAATAGAGATGACCGAATTCGAATTGAAGGCTAAGCATGTGTACACGTTTCAGAGCCACCTTGAATCTTGACATTCCTGGAGGCCAGAGAGAGCGGCGTGGAGGGGTAAATCTCAAATGTTGTCAGAGTGACCCTGGTCATACTTAATCATACCTACCGTGCATCTCGTTTGAGCTTGCGATGTAAGCTCTCCATCTGCAGAGATATGTAACGCAGATGGCTATAGAGTTGCACAACTTCTTTAAATCGTTAAGAAGCATCCACAGATAGTTGTGGTGTTATCGGCTCTCTTTGAATCTTGCTACCATCCAGAACTGTATATTTGGAGGGCTCCAGCTACCTGTATGTGGTATCGCGAGGATGACAGAATTTAATACCCGGGGAAGACCGGATACATAGAGAAATAGTTGCTGTGGATCTATGATCCGTGTAAGAAATGGACATTATTCGTACCGATCTGAGCTCATGTAGTGTCGTTCTTCCCCAAGTCCTTCTCCTGATTGCCCAAGACATGCTTCAAATCCTCAATCTCAACGTGGTCGCGTGTGTTCTGCATCCTCCTCGCCCACTTGACTTCGCCGTCAATCCAGATCAGCTCTCCACCATTCTGGTTCTTCTTCCCTGACGAAGTAGTCAAAGTCATCAACGTGTTTGCAGTACCAATCAATGTTCCCATGAGACTGTTCTCGATGTACCTCGGCTTCTTCCCGAGTCCCAAGTTGCACGTCATGCCGAGCGTATCATAGGTGACGCGCGATGGATCCGTATAGATCTCAAACTCACAGTGAGTGCGCTCCTTGTAAGTCGAGATAAACGTGTGGCTACCACAGCCGACAATGGTAAGCGACGTTGGTATGGACCTTGATGCCAGAGCTTTAGGGGAGAATGCTGCCGACAGAGCACGAACATAATCCGCGCACGACTGTTTAGCAGGTTGATCAGTATTTACTCGTCGACGTCAGAAGCGTTTGCCCTATGATAAGCTTTCTCTCTCACCTCGCAGTTGAAGTGACGGATGAACACAACGATCGTTCGATGCGGCATATCTCCATGACGACTCCACAGCGTACCGAACTGCTCCTTGTCGCCATTCTTGTCCAGGATACCTATCTGGGCGACTTTGTCGAGTTCTGCCTGGGTTGGGAGACGAGTCTGTGCTTGACCGCCATCTTGAGATTGCAAGTTTGTGGTCGAATTGCTGTCCGACATGTTCTATGTCTTATTGTTTTTGATATGTTTTAGAATTAAGGATTGGTTGGAACAAAAAGTAGGTGTTTAACAAGGTGACCACAAACAGAAGACTGGACATTCTAATCAGCAGATACGCCTGCGCACGGCCGCGGGCGACGCTTGACATCAACACAAACGTTGACCACGATGTAGGAACTTCTTGACATGATGGTATCTACGAGGCTAAGAATAGGTATATTGTCCGAGATAGAATCTGTTTGTATCTCGTTCCTCTGGAACAATAAGTCTTGGAAAGCTCAATCTCTTGCTTTGCGAGTAGCTGCTTCCCTCACTTGCTGAACAGCAGGGCTACTCGAGAAGTGATCTGCTCAACTCACGACAATCTCGAGGCTCGTATTCTCAGGTAGTACTGTCGATGTTGCTTTACGTAACGAGCATCGAATGACCCGGTATGTCTCACTGCAACTGCCGAATCTTTGCTATACGTGTAGTCTTGCTCAGTGATGTATGACTTGAAGATAAATGGCTACAACTCGAAGGCTGGTCTTTCTCGTGCTACTCAGGTCTCCGACTGTAGTTGGTTGCGCATCGATTTGGATTGACCCCGTAACTCGCATGGCCGTTCGGCTAGGCTTAACGGAGCCGCGTATGGCTACTGAGATGTCCATGACGATGTACCGGACGTGGTCGCCAGCATCATATCTCTTTAACTCTTTTCGGTGGCCGGAGGAACGAGTCGTCTGGTAATCCGCTTCTCTTTGTTCCCGGTAGACTGCCTGTTCGAATATCATTGTCCTCAGAGCTGACTTTCCGAGGAGGATACTTGTGTTCAACACCTTCGAAGCAGTTTTTGGGAGGTGCCGCTGGCAGATCGCTTTCGTCGTGGAGGAAGTATGGATGTTGAAGCGCATGCTCGGCACTCAGTCGATGTAACGGATCATACTCGAGCAGAGCTTTGAGCATGGCTAGTCCATCTCGATGTGGTGCTGGCATGTTTGCGGCCGAGTATTGATTGTTCCGAGTGAGATTATCCCACCATTTGTCCAGACCTATCGGTCGTTGGACTGCAGGATTGCCAGCGGCCAGAGTTTGTAACTGAGGGTATTCGGGCATTGCCTGGAGTAGTGGCCAGTTCTCCTTCCTTGGGATACCAAGGACTTCAGCAATCTTGCCCATTTGGTTTCTCTGGAATGGTACCGTCTTCTTCGAGTCTTGTTTCGCCTCTTCGCCTTTGAAGATTGGCCTCAAACTCAATAGCTCGGCGAATATACAGCCGACAGCCCATGTATCGATCGCTGGCGTGTAATGTCGACTCCCAAGGAGAAGTTCAGGTGCCCTGTACCAGATTGTGACAACGACCTTGTCACCTCCGAACAAAGCTTGGAGTGGCTTGTAGAAAAGTCGTGCAAGCCCCAAATCCCCTATCTTGACCACTCCGGCCGATGTGACCATGATATTCGCGGGCTTTAGATCACGATGCATAACCCAATTACGGTGAAGGTAGAGTAGTCCTTCTAGAAGTTGATACATGATGGAGCGTAGTGTTGGAGCCGGAATCGGAGTTCGAGGATGTTGCGTGTGCCAATGTATAATCTGCAAGAGGTCGTGCTCAGCATACTCGAAGACCATGAATATGCATTTCGACTCCAGAATGATCTCGACAAGCGAAATGACGTTTTCATGAGACAGTTCCGTGCAAAGAGCCATTTCTCGTATTGCAGACTGTGAGATGCCTGTGTACTGTAATTCTCCTTCCTTGTCTGGCTTGAACCTTGATGTCAAATATCAGCTTTGCCTGCAAAGATAAGCTTCCGGGCGTACTTTTTGATGGCGAATGCTTCGATGGGATTTCCAGAGTTTCGACTCAAGACCGGATGGGCTCCTCGTCCAGATTTGTTGCGGGCTTTGTAGACCCTGCCATAGGTACCGCTGCTGATGAAGCCCACTACATCGTAATTGTCGTTGATGCGCCTCTGACTAGTGTATCCCATCGACGACATTCTGGTGTCGGCCGGCTCTATGGACGTAGGGGTTAGCTGACAGGTGTTCGCTAGCGATATTGATAGAAGAACGGCATAAGAGAGAGAGAAAAAAATACCATCAAAAACCGCGTGGAGATTGCGTTTGAGGGTCAGACTACCTGCTGGGACGGAAGAAGTTGCATTTCTGACACTTGGAGCAGAGCTAGGAGGGTTGTTTGTGGGAGCAGCAGAAGCAGTCACAGAGGGAGGCACATTTGAGAGGGCAGAGGTCGAAGTGATCATGGCGAGGGGATTAATTTATGCTTGGGTTATGCATACCCCAGCGGGAGGCAGAGTTTCAGCGTTGGGCCGAGCTGGCGACAGGAGCCGAGAGAGGAGGTTGTATGATGATCCGGGTGGAGTGATGACTACTAGCTACGGGCCGAGCAAACAGAGAGACATGCGGTGAAGCCAGATAGCGGCGGAATACGAGGAGGAGGGAGCGGAGGACGTGGCAGATCAGAAATGTACCCGCCGTCTCACATTGGTGTCTGGACAATGGTGGGCAGCTCTTGTTCACCCGACGAGGGGAGGGAAAGGGCACTGGGCACGGTGGCACGTCAAGCTTCACGGCTGCCACGGCCCGCATGTGAATGTCACGCACGTCTCGACAACGGCTCCAGCTTCGCAGCCATGTCGATATTAACCATGTCACTCTGACAAGATCTGACAGCTGCAGCGTCGTAGCGAGCTTGTACCGAGTAGCCTTCTCTCATCTCGCAAGGCCTCTTTCTTGCTCACCCACCTGGTGCGACGCGTCTTTGCAGCTACTCCATCTTCCCCCGGCCGACGCTTGTCTGCCAAAGCTTAACCCCCCAGCCATGACTATCTTCAAGGATCTCACGCCGTACTTTGTCTACATCCTCCTCGTCTCCACCATCGGTCCTCTGCTATTCGGCTTCCATCTCGTATGTATCTGCCCTTGGTGTAATCTGGTCTTGTCTTTCCTGACGCCTTGTTCAACAGGCAGAGTTCAACGCGCCGCAATCCGTCATTACCTGCGAGAAGAAGTCCATCTCGTCAACTGTCGCTCCAAGTCTGCCGCAATGTATCCCTATGGACTCGACCCAGTTCGGCCTCATCTCGTCCATCTTCACCCTGGGAGGTCTTCTGGGCGCGCTTAGCGCAGGTCCTCTCTCAGCTCGCTATGGCCGCTACAAGTCGATGCTGTTAAGCACCATCCCCTTCATCGTCGGTCCCGTTTTCGAGGTCTTGGCTACCGACATCCCCATCATGACCATCGGACGCTTCATCAGCGGTCTCGGCGCTGGTGCTTCGGTTGTCATCGCACCCATCTTCATCTCCGAAGTGGCTCCTCCCAAAGAGAAGGGCTTCTTTGGCGCTTTCACCCAAATCATGATCAACATGGGCATCTTCATCGCACAGCTGCTCGGTCTCTTTTTGAGCAAGCGCTCTCTGTGGCGTATTATCCTGGCTGTGGGTGGGGCTATCGGCGTCGTTCAAGCTGTTGGTTTGTTCCTTGGTGGACAAGAAAGTCCAAAGTGGCTTGCCGACCACGGCAAGGAACGACAAGCGAAACGTGTATTGCGCAAACTAAGAGGTCATGAAGCCAATATCGAAGACGAAGTCAAGGGCTGGGGTGAGAGCTCGCAAGACATGGAGGACGAAGAAGACAGTCTTTTGACCAACGAAGACCGTATGCCTCCAGGCGGCATCGAGCAGAGCGGTCCTTCCTCTGACGCCTCGGCAAGCAAGAAGACCAAAGAAGCTCTTGAAGCTCTTGGTGCTCTTGCCGTCCTCAAAAATCCTGATTCTCGCTCTGCCGTCATAGCCGTTGTTGTCATCATGATCGGTCAGCAGCTCTGCGGTATCAACTCGATAGTCATGTATGGCGTCTCGTTACTCTCGGACCTGCTCTCGGCCAACGCTGCTCTTCTCAACGTCCTGGTGGCAGTCTTGAACATTGTCGTGACTACATCTTGCGCTCCTCTGACCGATAAGCTTGGCCGCAAAGTTTGTCTTCTCGCGAGCATCTTCGGCATGGGTGTGTCATCGTTGCTTCTGGGCATCGGAATCATGAAGCACATTCCAATCCTATCAGCCATCACTGTCTTGACCTTCGTGTCGTCCTTTGGCTTGGGTCTTGGACCTGTGCCTTTCATCCTTTCCTCTGAGCTCGTCGGACCTGGCGCAGTTGGCGCAACCCAGAGCTGGGCTTTAGCAGCCAACTGGATCGCTACCTTTGTGGTTGCCCAGTTCTTCCCTATCGTCAACGAGAAGCTCGGTGGGGGTAAGGTCTACTTTATCTTTGCCGCTTTTGCCGCGTTGCTGTCTGCCTTCGTCTTCTGGGCAGTGCCTGAAACCAAGGGCAAAGCTGATGCAGATGAAGTTTGGGGTCGTAAGGCTAGCAGGGCTGTCGACTGATCTCTCTTCATGAATTTTCTATAGGTAGCAGATATTCTCGAGTATCATTGTTGCAATCTCTCAGTACTATGAATATTTTAATCAAAATCTGCGATTGTATGTTCCAATGTGACGCATTTCACCAGCTTGTACAACATGGCTTCAGGAGGAAGTCACCACCTCTCTGTTGCTACTGCTCTTTCCTGCGTGATTTGATAGGACTCATCTCCCGCATCGCGCACTTGTTCTCTCAGAGTATCAAACCTGCAAGCAAAACATCGTATTCCTCGCCAGCATCATTAGAGAGTATCTAACCAACGCCGTCCAAGAGCCAGCACGATGGAACCAGGAGATACGGCTACCCCCTCGCCAAAGAGCAAAGAGAACAACCCCCTGGAGTCTTCGAGGTTCGCCCATAAGGGCAAGGCCACTACAGCACTCAACCAGCAGCATGGCGTCACACACGAAACTTCCAGTCCTATTCGACAGCGCGAAGCTTCTGGATCGTCTCATGGCAAGCAGGCACTCAGCAATGCAATCAAAAGCCTGATACCCCATTCAACTCGCTCAACATCAGGCAACAAGTCGAAAAATCATCCGGGAAGCCCTCTGCCACACACATTCCGAGCACAAGCTACTGGCAGTACGCCCACTCTCGCGTCAACATCCGACGACCAAGTCATGGAGGCGCATGATTTCCACTCTAGACAGGCGACCGCATACCTTGACGAGCTAGTCAGGAGGAGACATCCCGCACCACCTGCTTGAATCCCGCCGAGTGACTGGAAAGTGTCCAATGCACCTGGAGGACCTCCCTCAACAGACGCAGAGCAACCAAGGCTGCGAGATGTGGGCTCACTCGCTTCCGTTGATGAGGAATCACCTTCCACTGAACCTTCTCAAGAGGTCAGGAAGGACTCTGCATTCACACAAGGTGTCAGGGGGAGTATCGCTTCGACAGACAAAGGGCCGTCTTCCAAGGTCGGGCGAGGATCACGACTAATAAGGTTAGTGGCAACTCAAATCATAGCAGGCTCTCGACGATGCTAATGTGGATATGCTCAGCAGGAACTCTCGGGATCGGGCGAGAGTACAAGTAACCCCCCAAACTGGGAGATCTGAAGGTCGCATTGTTTGTGTGAGCAAGAGACAACGTGGTGTAATACTCACAAGAAAGGCCAACGTGCGAGTACGAGATTCCTTTATGCTGAAGAACGTCATACGTGCACCTTGTAGCACCGCTCAGGATGGTTCTGCAGAGTGGATATCGGAGGACGACAGCGAGCTCGTCAGGATGCCTGGACAATCGATCTCAGTTGTCAAGATTGAGACACACTTGGAGGCAGAGACGAATCTGCTGTATCTCAATTTGAGGACTGCAATTCCTATGCAATCTGAATCGTCCAAGATTAACACTAGAGGCTCCGATGAGAGTTCGCAGCTCGGTTCGCACCAAGAAGCTTTTGCAGGACCGAGTACTAAATTACACGAGCCGGGGAAGTCAACAAAGTCTTCGGAAGCAAGCCGTTCGTCTGAAGCAGAGCGCAAGCCGCAAGATCGGGAGACAACGAAAGCGGCTAAGAATGTTGCATTTACTTCAGTGAGAAGTCAAGACAGATAGTCTCATCACGACACACCAACATCCGCGAACAGACAAGGAGGTGAGTCGAGCTCAGACCGTGCCAGACTGCGGGGTTCTCATTAATTCATCAGGTCGCGGACGTTTGCGCGGTGGAGGTGATAGCAATCAAGTTCTGCCACTACGAGTCCCACCTAGACCGCGACTTGTAAGAAAGGGTTTGACCTTGCCGCCGCCTTGGGAAGATTTCAACATCGAATCCGACCCAAACTTTCAAGATCTCGAGAGCATCGAACTGATCGCAGACACAAGCTGTAAGCACCTGGCAAAACGATTCGCGTGATGACGACAAGCTGAGACGCATAGGTACGACAAGCATACCATCCTGGGCGATTCCACCAGAGTTCAGAGTCGACTCCGCGACACCCAATTCACCTACCGCGCAGAGTCGCAAGCCGAAAACCCGCAAGTCCAAAAGCATGCCTCGCGAATCCAATGCCCACACGGGCGAAGGGTTCCGTCGTATGAAACTACGCAAGAAGGCTGGAAGATCTTCGAGTTTCTACAGAGCTCCAGAGATCCATGAGAGAGGTAGATCTTTGGAGCGCGACTCGAACCAAGAGCGCATCGGACTGGGCATCGGACTGGGTATCAGTATTCCGGACAGAGACAGACCCTTCGACAGTCCACGCAGAGTGTTGCCAGACGACATGGCGGATGACCCAAAGATCCAGAACTACTCGTCCAGGCGCCTGCCTTTGTTGATTCGACGTGATACCCCGAAGCCCAGACAGACGGTGGCTCCACGCTATGGTGATCCAGTGTTGGCAGTGCAGGAAGTGCTCCTCCACGGTGGAGTACTACTTCCGGTGGGACGGGAAGGAGATGGACTCCTGCGAGTTAGTACTGACCAGGTGCGTGTGGTCAGAGAGAGACGTAGACGCGAACGCGAAGGTACGTCTACAGCGGGCCGAGCCGCGATCGGCATGACGCACGAGCCATGTTGTCTCAGGAATCCACGGCTGACTTGGGATGTATAGAGAAAGAGGAGCACGACCGGGAACTGGACTCTTTTGTCGCCAATTTCGAGAAGCTCCAGTGTGAGACACAGCTTGACTCTGAGGAAGGCGAAGGAAAGTTCGACCAAAACATACCCGCCAAAGAGACAGACTTCGACGGCGTACCAAACACAGACGGTGTTCAAGAGTCAAACCTCCGCCAGAAGCAATCGCCTGTGGACGGTGGATACCACAATTACCTTGTCGGATCTGACAACGGCCGTGAGAAAGACACCTCTAGCCCCGCCGGCTCAGACGCATCAGTACGCACTGCCTTCAGGACCAGAGACGGTAACACCACACCCAGACCTGGCGACCTTGGAAACTTCGACAGTCCAGGAAAGAGCGACTCGTCTGTTGCGCGTCCACTGCCACCTGTGCCCACCTTCCCTCCATCGGACCTTCTCGAATCCGCCGACCCTGACGACCATGAAGAGTTCGTCTCGCTGAACGATCCTTCCATCACTGAACACCTTGCCCGCGCACTCCACAACATCTACTCTGGTGATATGGCCGCTCAGAACCCTGCCATGGCCAATTCGGCTGCTCCATACACCCTCGGAGGTGGCATGCCATCAGCCGGCCATCACAGCGACATGCAGCACATCTGGACTTTGGTCCAAGAATTGAGTTCTGTCCTGCAACAGAACCGCGAGCAATACGACGAGCTGCAGGACGGCCTCACTCGTGCTCAGGTAAAACTCGACCACAACGACATGGGAAAGATGCTTGGTTGGCTCACACTCTTCCTACTAGACCAGACCCGTTGAAAATGGTGTCCTGACGAATGGAGACGCAAATGGTACGGTCGTTCATGGTTCTGCTCTTTTTCTGTCTTTTACAGCGCTTAGATACCCCCTTCGTTTTAATACTTGTCTTTTTCATTCGTAAGCTAATACTCAAGCTTTATTGCTCCCTGCAGCCTCTCATGCCCCTCATACCTCTTCTGATGTCGACACAACCGCCCTCCAAGCCCAGTTATCAGATGCCCTGTCCCGCATTACAGAACTAGAAACCGAGTGTAAGGAAGCCAACGAAGTCATCGACTACGCCGAAGAGATTGTCGAAAAGTTCAAGATGCAGATCCGCGAATACGCCACTAGCCATCAGAGCGCAACCATCGGTAGAAGCTCCTTCCCTCTTTTCCAAAGCGAACGACTGCCACTGACACGGAACGCAACAGCCCTACATGCACACTATAATTCACTGCTCGAGACATCACGCAACGAAACCATCCAAGCACAACTCACACACCAAGCCTGGCAGGCCTCTTTGCTGCGTCTGTCCGAATACCTGCGTCTGGCCCAACGCGCACATGAAGAAGGATCTCTACCTTACCGTCGCCGTATCGCCGCTCTTAGAGAGGAAAACCGTATCTTGCGCGCCAAAGCCGGATGGGAGCCTGCCAGCGACAGCGAGAACAGCGACGACGAAGACGACGTTTTTGATGAGGGTGTTGAGGTCAAGTCTGCTTGATTTTTCCTGCACATGCGTTCTTTGGTCTCTGTCGGACTTCGAATGGCTTGACGGAGAGAGCAAGTGCAGCATAATTAGCATGGGCGTTTTATGGAGTCTTGAGGCGAATGGAGTAGACTCTGCGTGTATATGGTCTACATGGCACCTCGGGACCGAGCATAACCATAAAAACAGATTCCAGTTACTTTACAAATCATGGTGCATTCAATGTCGTTAGCTCGATGATTTACAAGTCGTGCAGTCAACCTCGGTGACCCGGACGAGATGGTAATAATCGCAACGCAATTTCATTTAACTGGCCAGTACACAAGTCGTCGTCTCATCGACCTGCTTAGCGACCCAGACGGCCTCCAACCTACTCGGCGACCCAGACGGCGGCCATCCCCATACCCGTTCCTACACACATGCTAGACACTCCGATCTTCTCGCCTCTTCGTCTCAATTCGTAGAGAAGAGTGCTGACCTGTCTGGCACCGGTGCAGCCGAGAGGGTGACCGAATGCAATGGCACCGCCCTTGGGGTTGATCTTCTCCATGGGGATCTGCAGCTCCTTGGCACACCACAGACACTGCGAAGCAAAGGCCTCGTTGATCTCCCAAATATCAACATCCTCCTTTGAGATGCCGGCCTTCTCCAGAGCAACGGGAATGGCCTTCCAGGGTCCGATGCCCATGAGCAATGGAGGCACACCGACGACGGATGCTGTGACGTACTTGCCGAGGATCTGCTGGCCCAGCTTCTCGGCCGTCGAGCGCTTCATCAGCAGCACAGCAGCAGCGCCGTCAGAAATCTGAGAAGCGTTGCCACCGTGGATGGAGCCATCCTTTGCAAAGGCAGGACGGATCTTGCCTAGAGATTCGGCTGTCACACCCTCTCTGACTCCATCGTCCTTGCTCACGGTGATCTCCTTGGTCTCGTCGGTCTTGGGGTCGGTCCACTTGACCTTGATGGGAGCAATCTCCTCGTCGAATAGACCCTTCTTCTGTGCCTCGGTAGCTTTGGCATACGAGGATGCGGCGAACTCGTCTTGGGCCTTGCGGGTGACGTCGCGGTCTTTGGCCATTTGCTCGGAAAGAACTATTGCAGAGTGAGTAGAGTCGCAATACAGGCAAATTACACCAGAGATACTGACCTCCCATGGGAACCTTGCAGTTTGCGGCCTCCTTGTGGTTCTCGAGCAGCTCCGAGAACTCGGTAACAGCTCCAGGGCCATACTGACTGCTCATGCTCTCCACACCAGCACCGATGCCAACCTCGATCATACCGGTCTTGATGGCATTGGCAATCTCGACACAGGCCTGCAGGCCAGAACTGCACTGACGGTTCAACGAGTGCACAGCAGTGCTGTCAGGGAAGCCGGCAGCGAGAGCGGCAGCACGGAACTCGGTGGCACCGCCTCCAGGAGGCAGTACACTACCGACGGCGATATCCTCGACCAGCGAAGGATCGATCTTCGAGCGCTCAATCAGGGCTTTGAAAGCTCCGTGGAGAAGGTCGGCGGCGGGTGTGTCCTTGAAGCCTCCTTTGCCTCCCTTGGTCAAGGGTGTGCGCAGACATGCCGTCACGACAATGTCATCCGGGCTCTTCTTGAGGATGTGATCGCGGTTCGGGGCCAGATCGACCTCTGATGACTTGAGGTGAGTTGTGACTTGTGTGAGACGCTCGATAGCTGTTTCCCCAAGTAAGCTTCACATTCATACGTGTTGCACATTCGATCAAATACATACCGACCGAGTTTTTTCCTGTTTGGTTGGCCATGTTCTTACTGTTCTGATTCACAGATCTGCTGTGAGTATTGTACGGATTGAATGAGTTGGCAATAAGGAAAATGGGCGAGTGGGAAGCAGATAGGGCAAGAGCAGATGATGTAGTATTATTGTTGGAGATGCCGAGGTTCGGCTCGGCCTCCCTTCACATGCTCGAGCGTTCAGCGCTGCGACGCTTCTTGGCACCAACCTCTCTTCTTTCTTTGTACGCTGTACAGTCCCACCTTCAGAACACACGCACGTCTACTCACTTTGTCTTGACCTCGGTCTGCTTAGGTCATACGTAGTCAACAGACCGAGACAGACCATCTGACCCGGTGCGAACATTCATCGGCGAAGCACTTGTTGCAGGATGATCAGAAAGCAAATCATATTGAAGATAGCAGCTACTACTTCTGAAGCTCATAAGTCGTGGGTATCATGCAGCAAAGATATGTCCTCCCCTTCCGAATCCTCATACTCCATATTTGAGAAAACAGCAATATACCCATAGACACACGTTCGCATGTTGCAATTTGTGCAAGCATCAGTAAACACAACAGGAAAAAAGAAAATAGAGCAAAATAATGAAGCAAGTAAAGAGGAGCTCCGACAAGGGACTTGCTTGTCAACTGAGGACACCGACAAGAGATTTTCTTCTCGGTCGTTTTCACTTGGCAATTCGGCTGCCATCGTATTCGTTCTGAGTAAGGTCAACTTCGTAGTTGGGCAGTTCAGACTCCTTCAAATGTCCAGGCAGGACGGTACGGCATGTCAAAGCATAACGCATGAGGCCCTTGGGGGTGACGCCGTGCTCGTAGTATTTTTGAAGATGGGCGCCGCGCATGATAACGATATCTCCGTGACCGAGTGAGAGCTTGATGTAGTCATCGACCTTGGTGTGGCTTTGCTTGGATGGGTAGGCTGCGCGAAGTGCAGTGGCCATTTCGGCAAGCCTTTCGTGTTCTTCGTCCTCAGACAGATTGCCATTTCGAATCTCTGTAAGGAACTGCTTGCGCATTTCATAGTTGGGGAACTCGGGCAGTGGATCATCCTTGGTCATGACAGTCATTCTCTTTTTCTTGTAGTGAATCGTCTTCATGCCATGATAGAAAGGTGACTTGGGCCTGAAGTTCATCTCAGCTCGGCCACCGAGGGAGAGGGTGGCAACTGTGGACCCAAGTCCTTTTTCTCCATCGTCATGGTAGCTCATGGACTGGTCTTGGAGATACGCGACCAGATATAGTTCGTTGAAGTTTTCTTGGTCTTTGACAGCGGTTCCAGAAGTCATTCTGTCGGCCCAATTCAGGCGTGAGACAGCTTCAGTGACTGGCCAGGGCGCATCTGTAAATGGCAGACTCTCTCCTGCGGCAATGAACTTGTATGGCATACCATAATTGATGGTAAAGGAGTTCATGAGAGCGTTCGACAACTCTCTGCGTACCAGCCCGTGGCAGTTAGTCTGGAGGTCTTCCCACATTTCATTGGGACCTCCGGTCTCTTCGCGAACAACTCTGTTCGCAATACCATGGACGACTTCGCCTTCCTCAGTAGCCGAGACATTGAACTTGTAAGTAATCCAGCGGTAGTTGTGCGAGAACTCGACCGAGAGCTTGACGTGTGAAAGGGCAGAGTCGTACGACGAGGGGTAAGCATCCGTGACTGGGTAGTTCTGATCCTGGATCGACGCTGCGGGCAAGGGATTGATCCTAGGCATGTGCTCAAAGCCGCAGCCTGTGCATTCCCAGCCCTCCCACTTGACACGCGCATTGCATTTTCCGCATTCAGGACAAGTCATACCGCGCAAATTTTCTACTTTGTAATCTTCACCCGCGATGGCAGAAGCAGTATACAAAGGGAAGCGGAAGCTGATGGGAGCCTGTTCGTTGACCCAAGAGGTCTTTTGCTTTAGAAAGCGAAGATCATATATCAGTTGTGCAGGATCGGGCGTATCGCCATCGGGCAAACACCAGAACTTCTCACATTTACTGTTGAGGCACATCCAACCACACAGATAAATCTGGTCGTAATTGCTGCTGCATGATCCACAGTGTGCTTTGACAGGTGACCCAAGCGCCCCGAGCTCGACCACTGGTTCTGAGTCCCTGGGAACCCACCATCCAGTAGTAGCCGACTCGAGCTTCTCAAGACGATACTTGATGACGTTGAACCTGTCTCGCTCGGTCCATACATGAGTGACCTTGTACCAGTCGAGAGAGTTGTACTTGTGTGGCATCTTGCTAGGCACTTGGCTGTTCTTGTCGCCACAAATGACCGCGACAGGACTTTGCTGGTTGATGGCATTGACCATGGCGTGGTATTGATGATTGGGCTCCTGGTCTTCACGCTGTTTCATGCCGTTGTCACCGTCTTTTGCCATGCTGCCACTAGCACGTAGGACAATGACGTTTTCATCGAGATGATCTCTCGCGTGGCCATTGCCATCAAGCATGAACGCTTTAGCGACACCGCTTTTCCCGTAGTAAGAGCCTTGCCAGGATGCATAGAGCCCGCTGAGACTCTCGCAAAGATGGTGTCGACTTTCTGCCCAGATTTCTGGCTGACCACGGGGTTCTGGCTTCTGTCCAATGGGTAGCTTCTTCGTGACAGCCAAGGAGATTGCAGCCAAGTCATGTTCAGCAGCGTCGAGAGCAGGCTGAGGTGCTGGCAAAGACATTTCAGACTCGTAATCCGCGTTGGTGGGTGATGTTGGCTCTGGCAACGTCACAGCAATCGATGATGTGGAAGGTGCTACGCCGACAATCTGGCCAAGTCGTTCTGGGCTGATCTTGATCTTGACGATTCGTGAAGTGCTCATCTGCTGAACAACAGACACAGGCTTAGAAACATCTTCATCTGACAAGGGTGATCCGTTGACATGAGACGAAGCGATTTCAATTCTGGTCGTATTCCTTCGATGAGGCTTGCGAATATTTTTGGACTGAGTCTTTATCTGCTTGACCGGGCGCTCAGGTGTATCGAGCGTTTCAGGTTGGGAGGCAAGAGTCGCTTTGCGTTTTCGTTCGGATCTGCGGAGGAAGGTTGGAGGCTCGTAGGGTTCGCTGTTGGACGAGACAACACAAATTGTGTCCATCGCGGCATCGCTGTGGACGGAAGAGAGCCTGGAACTGTCTTGGGCAGTGAAGCTGTTGGATACGGCGATGTCTTGCAAATCGTAAGGGATCTCTTGGGTTTCAAGATCTCCAGGGACAGAACTTAGAGGCGAGCTGGGTGTATCTGTGAAGCCGAGATAATCTCTCTTGTTTTCGAAGCCATAGAAGGAATCATGTCTGGATGCCATGTTGGAAGACATAAACACCGATGATGATCAAAGATACTTCGACGGGATATAGAGTAGGAAGGATGGCAAAGAGTTGAGTAGTATGGTTGGGCAAAGGGGAGAAAGTCGTGCGCAGATTATATCAATAGAATGATGCCAACACGTGTAAGCGCGTGCAACCGCAGGCTGATCACCGAAGTGTGTGTGTTGTATCTTGTGCAAGCGCAAGATGGCGGATTCTGTGAGAATAGCCTTGTATATACCTTGATGTTGGTTAGCACGTGGAAGAGTATGAAGGAGCATGATACTTGCCGGAAAAATGCAGCGATGGCAGCAGCTGAGGATGCTCTTGAGGTCACCAGAAGCGAGCTTCTGTACATCTGCTACTGCAATATAGAACCAGAGCTGATTGGGAACCAGAGATTCCTATATCTGTAAGGTTGAGGTTAGCTGGTGTAGCACAGAACCCACTCGAGAACATACATGATAGGTCTGCGGGACTTACGGACAACACACAAAGTAACACGTGGCGCGTGAATGACTACTCAATGTTAGTATGTTTCACGTGGTAGCGGGTTGATCTTGTGTCAGCTATCTGTACAGCAGGCAATAGTAGACAACAACCAGAAATGGATGGTCAGAGACGCGTCTCGTCGCGTCGATGATGGGCTCCTAAGGACTTACCAGGAAAGAAAGAGCCAACGGTACGTTGGGCGATACTCGATAGAGTCGCAGTCGATATGCTGTGTTTGGTAATTGGACGAAGAAAAGACCCGCAGCTCATGGAAGGCTTGAAAGAAATCGTTGAGGATCGCGATCAATAGAAAGGTAGACTTGAAGTCTAGCTTCTGAGCCTTCCGAGTACCAGCTGCAGAAAGAAACTGACCAGAAATGCACGGATATACTGTATGGTTGGGTTGACGATGAGTCAAGTTGCAACTTTGGTAGTGCAAAGTCAAAGAGTGTTTCTGCCCTCAGAGGTGGGCTGAGAAGTTCAGCGAAGGTGCTGGAAACGAACAGACCTGATGATTTGGCTTGCGTCTCTGGACTTTTGAAGAAGACGGTGCTTTTCCGCGATTAGAAAACTCCGGATTGGAAACGATATCTTTTTGTGGTATGCACCTTCGAGGCAAGAACGAGTCGCCGCGTCTCGAGGCCTTGTTTTTCGGAAGCCACTTCCGAAGTGCGAGTCCGTGCTTTGTCGTCTCTCGCACAACCCCGCACCAGGTGCGGAGAAGCGTCATCTTTCGGTGACAAGGCAGCTCGAAACAAGCGCTGATGGTCGCGTTCATTCGCGATAATGGCTGAGAAGGCTGGGATGACCGAGGTAGATATACCACGCTGGAGTCGTCGGTGCGTTGCGAAACAAAACTGTCCGGGTCCCTTCCATCGCTGTCTCACACAACTTTCACATCCAATTTACCAGGATGCCGTTCTACGCTCCAGACTGGGTGCCCAAGCTCCCCTTTGACATACCAGACTCCATCTCGGTAGACAGATTTATTCTGGATGAGAACTTCGAACGTCATCCTTTGGGATATTCTCGACCACCATTCACCTGTGGTCTTACCGGCAAACAGTACAGTGCTTTGGAGGTGAAGGAGCGGGTGGATTTTCTGGCCAGAGGACTGAGTAAAGAGCTAGGTTTCTTGCCCAACAGGGGATCGGAATGGGATAAGGTCATCGGTCTGTTTAGCATCAACACCGTAAGTCCCAGCACTTACGAACCGGAGTCAATGGTCTGGCAGCTGACTTTTGCCAGATTGACACATTGACCCTTGCGTGGGCGACTCATCGTATTGGCGGCATCCAAACACCAGCCAATGCAGCATACACTGTCCAGGAGCTGGAGCACCAGCTTCGTGACTCTGGCGCCAAATGTCTTTTCACTTGTCTGCCGTTGTTGGATTCGGCATTGCAAGCAGCAAAGACCGTAGGAATACCCGAAAGCCGAATATACTTGCTCGAGGTACCCGAGTCTGTCGCTGGCAAGAAAAGAGATGGATACAAGACGCTGGATCAAATTCTCGACGAGGGCCGAAACCTGCCAAAGCTGGAGGACCTGAATTGGTCCAAGGGCGATGGTGCGAGAAAGACGTCGTTCCTGTGTTACTCTTCCGGTACCTCCGGGCTTCCAGTAGGCTTTCCCACGGCTGTAGTAAGGACGACGCATACTGACTGCAGAACCAGAAAGGAGTCATGATCAGTCACAAGAACGTCATTGCCAATGTTCTCCAGATGCGCACTTTCGAAGACCCGTGGAGAAAGACGCTGATTGAGCCTGGCAACCAATCCGATTATACCGAGAACGTCCTTGGGCTGGTGAGATTTTCTGACGATGTGCTTTGCGAGACGAGAACTGATCATCCTAGTTACCGCTGAACCACATATATGCTCTGATAGTCATCGCCCATCTAGGAGCGTATCGTGGCGATGGTGTCATCATATTGCCCAGATTTGAGTTCAAGACCTTCCTTGAAACGATACAGACTCACAAGATCAGCTGTTTGTATCTTGTACCGCCAATCATCATCACGGTCACAAAGTCGCGAGATGTAGTGAAGCAATATGATCTCTCTTCCGTAAGGAGCATCTTCACCGGAGCAGCACCACTTGGAGAGGAGACGGCAGAGGACTTGCAGTCCATGTTCCCCAAATGGGCTATTCGGCAAGGATATGGAAGTAAGTTGTGGTTTCGATATTCGCGAACACCTGGAAGATACTGACCAGCGCCTAGTGACTGAGAGCGCAACCGTGGTGTGCTCAACAATTCCCAGCGATGTGTACTTTGGATCTTCTGGAAGCTTGCTGCCGGGGATCGAAGCGCGTATTGTTACGCCCGAAGGCGAAGAGGTAACAAAGTTCGACACGCCAGGCGAGCTGTGGGTCAAAGGACCGGCAATTACGCTCGGTTATCTCAACAACCAGAAGGCCACCGAAGAAACATTTGTGGATGGGTACTTGAGAACCGGAGATGAGGCTGTAATCAGGAAGCATCCGAAGTCCGGCCATGAGCACGTCTTCATCGTGGATAGACTGAAGGAGCTCATCAAGGTCAATGTACGTGTTGCTGACAAGAAGGCACTCAATGCATGCTGACTCTTTCCAGGGACTGCAAGTGGCTCCCGCGGAGCTCGAAGCTCATCTTCTGACCCACCCTTCGGTCAACGATTGTGTCGTTATTGGTGTACATTCAGATCGTGAGGGGGAGGTCCCTAAGGCATTTGTCGTCAAATCACCTTCTGTCGGGCTAGAAGAGTCTGACAAGATGGTCATGCGGGATATTGCTCGTCATGTGGAGCAACACAAGGCAAAGCACAAGTGGCTGAAAGGCGGGATTGAGTTCATTGATATCGTCCCAAAGTCACCGTCAGGAAAGATCCTGCGTCGTCTTTTGAGAGACAAGGAGAAGGAGAAGAGAAGAAGCCAGGGAGCGAAGCTATGAGTCTGTACGTGCCGTATCATATGCAAACCTTTCTCGTTGAAGGGCAAGGATTCTTACACATTCGACCGATTGTATGTCAGCCACAAAAGGAGCCACTGTACAGGTGCCCCGAAATCAACGAGCTGCCGGAATCCCATAGGCACAGATTTGTTATGCACTTACGGCTGTCGGTGTGCAAGCCCCTTCGGCTTGATTCGACCTGAGCCCGCGATAACCGCTTGTTTTCACCGTGTTTGCTCGTCTGACAACCATTCTCGGTGCATCCGAGGGCTATATGTAGGTCATGGTGCACACAAACCGTAAAGGGCGAGCGCCCTAGATCTCGGAGTCGCCGAATCTTGGCAGCGTGGTTGGAGGCTCGCTGCCTGCCCTCTGTGCCTCACTGGCTAGTCGTCCAACGGTGGACCGTTGATGATTGAGTAGTTGCATTATTAAATTAATCATGAAGCAGGTCGGCAACCAAGCCGATGTACTTCACTTCCTTTCGCATACTCGGCTCCAAGACCTCAGCGAGTGGCCGCACGCACGTCGACATCATACAGCCGGGTTCAAGTCCGCTGACAGTGGCCATCATCTGAAGGATCGCATACAGATCGCATCGCCTTCTCAGTGCAGCTTCCGCCGGCCAGCGCCCGCCCGAGACCGGGCACGGGCATATTGCTATCACGCAACATGAAGCCGAGACATTCACAGACGAACAAAGCGGCTATCCAAGTCATCTGTCTTGTGAGTTCTCTCTCTTCCCCACGCGACAGTGCTACCCCACAGATCTGACCATCGTGTTGCGCCTCTAGGGCTCGGGAGGAGGACCCAGCGAAGACAATGTGACGGGACTGCTGGTGCGGTCGACGGCCACAGATTGGGCTCGTGGCTCGCTGCTGGCCGTCGATGCCGGCTCACATCTCGCAGCCATCACCCGCATCTTTGAGAAGAACCTCCCCAATCAGGCACCCGCTCCCGAATTGCCTTCTCAGCACATGGACACAGATGCCTTGTCATCTCCTACTTCGTCGCCATCGACTAGAAATCCTATACACCCAAAAACGCTCCCGGAACCTATCGTCCTCGACAATGGCCCCTTTGCTGGTCTATCTCTCCCCCATGCCTCAGCGCGCGCCAATGCTGCCCACGTTGTACGGGCCCACGTCTCGACCTACTTGATTACACACCCTCACCTCGATCATCTCTCGGGCTTTGCCATCAACACAGCTGCTTTCCATGCTACATCGCGACCCAAGAGGCTAGCAGCCCTACCTTTCACTGTCGAAGCTATCAAGAGGCACATCTTCAACGACGTCATATGGCCCAATCTGACAGACGAGGACGGAGGCGTTGGCTTTGTTAGCTTCCAACGCTTGAGAGAAGGCGGAGATATCATGGTTGGTACGGGAGAGGGCAGGGGATACATCGAGGTGTGCGATGGCCTTGGAGTCAAAGGCTTCAAAGTCAGCCACGGCAACTGTATGAAGGAACCTCAGCCAACTCGCTCTCAGCGAGGCTCACTGGGCAGCATTTCGGAACCGGATCACTCTGCGTTTAGGGGATCAGATTACCGGAATCTGTCGATACCGCACGTTTTTGGAACACCAGGCGAACAAACCCCAGGACACAGCTACTACTCTCCCGGCCCGCCAGGAAGGAGTTTTACCAGTGATCCAACGCCACAACACTCGGTAGTGGACAGCACCGCCTTCTTCATTCGGGATTACGACACGTCTAAAGAGGTATTGATTTTTGGCGACGTTGAACCCGACAGCATCTCTCGTGTCCCACGTCTGGCCGGCATATGGGCAGAGGCGGCACCAAAGATAGCCGAAGGCATACTCGGAGGCATCTTTATCGAGTGCTCCTACGACGACAGTCAGCCAGATGCCGTACTTTTTGGCCATCTTGCACCGCGGCATGTTGTTGCTGAGATGAAGATACTTGCACAGATGGTAAAAGACGAGAAGGCTGCCAGAGCTTTGGATAGAGCCCAACGGAAACGGAAGCGGAGCTCGAATGGCTTGAACATAACGATGGACGATCTATCCGATAATAAGAAACGGAACAAGAGTGTCATCACGCGGTCATCGAGCATGCAGCCTCGACGCAGCAGTCTTCCTCTGATGGTACCGGAGGAAGAATCGCAAGCAAACACACCTGATTACGCGGGCACAGAGAGAAACACGCCTGTACCAGCGGATGCACCACTTGAGGGCGTCAAAGTGGTCATGATCCACATCAAGGACACGATGGAAGATGGGCCACATGTAGGCGAGCGGATTCTAATGCAACTCAAGGAGCATGCTGATGCTCTTGAAGTCGAGGGATTTGGCAAGCTCGGATGCGAGTTTGTGATTAGCAAGAGCGGAGAAGACTATCATTTCTAGTCGATAGTACTTTAGTGAACAAACGACGGCTGTAATTACGAACCAGTTCTGATGACATAGGAGGGAGGCAGCAAGTGGCAGTGAGGGCTGACAGCGGACGGCCATGCGAAGAGACTGTATACATGTATCACATGGACCTTCACGAGCAATGAAACTCCTCCCTGATCTGGCCACCTCTATATATTCGAATGCCTTTGGATTCGCGAGCTGCCTCAGGCATCTATGTGGCTGTGGTTGTTGAGAGGGACGGCCTTGGCGTCGAGGACCCCACCAACTTAGAATGGTAAACGTCAGGATTCAGCAAAGCTGGACCCAGCCAAAGCGTTCTCCTCCTTCACTTTCACCACATCAATTGCATATCAAAATGTCTGGCCAATACGAAATCCTCTGTCTCGAGAACCCTCTCCTGGACATCCAGGCCGTCGGCGACGAGAAGCTGCTCCAGAAGTATGGACTCAAGTCCAACGACGCCATCCTGGCCGAAGAGAAGCACATGGGTCTCTACGAGGACCTGTTCGAGAACTACAAGGTCGACCTGAACGCTGGTGGTGCCGCCCAGAACACCGCCAGAGGTGCCCAATACGTCCTCCCCGCCGACTCTGTTGTCTTTGTTGGATGCGTTGGCAAGGACAAGTACGCCGAGAAGCTGGTCGAGGCCAACAAGAAGGTCGGTCTCCGCGCCGTCTACCGCTACGACGACGAGCAGCCCACCGGTCGCTGTGGTGTCATCATCACCGGCCACGACCGTAGCATGTGCACCGATCTCGCTGCTGCCAACTGCTACAAGGTCGAGCACTTGAAGGAGAACTGGGATCTCGTCAAGCAGGCCAAGATCTACTTTGTCGGTGGCTACCACTTGACCGTCTCGGTTCCCGCCATCTTGGCTCTTGCTGAGGAGGCCGCCGCTGAGAACAAGACCTTCATGCTCTCGCTCTCCGCTCCCTTCATCTGCCAGTTCTTCAAGGACCAGCTCGACCAGACCTCCCCTTACTGGGACTACGTCGTTGGCAACGAGACCGAGGCTCGCGCCTTCGCTGCCGCCCACGACCTCAACACCGAGGACATTCCTACCATCGCCAAGCACATGGCCAACCTGCCCAAGAAGAACACTCAGCGCAAGCGTACTGTTATTGTCACCCAGGGCACCGAGCCCACTGTTATCGCTGTTCAGGGCGACGACGACGTCAAGACTTTCCCCGTCCACGTTATCGGCAAGGACGAGATTGCCGACACCACTGGTGCCGGTGACGCCTTCGCTGGTGGTTTCCTTGCCGGCCTTGCCAAGGGTGAGAGCATCGAGAAGTGTGTCGACATGGGCTCTTGGTTGGCCAAGTTGAGCATCAAGGAGTTGGGTCCCGCGTATGTTTCCACCACTCCAACATGTCCCGAAAGAAAAACTGACACATCATGACTGCAGATACCCCTTCCCCAAGCAGACCTACAGCGCATGAACAACTTGTACGAAAGTCATTTTCCGCACTTAAAAATTCTCAACGAAATCCGGAAGAGTACAGAACGCACCTATAGAGTAGGGAGCGTCACGCCATCAAGACAGTTGGACGTGAGATCTTCAACAGAAGGTTAGCCACACCCGGTGTTATTGTCCCGGGTCCGAGGCATGATAAGAGACGTTGAGGCAGCAAAAAGAGATCGATGATTTCCAAAATATGATGATGAATACCAAAATTACGAACTGGAGACAGAAACATCCTGGTGCGATCAAAGCCAAGAATGTGCTGCTGCTTTGTGAACGCCTGAAAAGCGCAGCTGTCTGTGTTGCCGCTACTCACGAGACATGATCACAGGTAGGTAGGGAGATATCTCGGCCTGTCCGACCCTATATCTGATAGTTCCCTGTTGTCCTGTAAGTCAATCGGGGAACCCTTTGGTCCCTTTCCGACCCAGTGATCGTAGCACACTGGACGTCAAGGTAGTATCGATTCAGACCCTGAGGACTTGTACATAACTCGATGTGTGGAGAAACCGTGGCGGAAGGGGTTCGAGGTTATGATAGGCTTCACGGTTAAGCGGACTCGATCGCGTGACATCGACATCAGCCGTCGCAGCCTATCAACCGTCTAGGCGGGTCTGTCTACTTCATTTCTTGCTCATGGTTGGATGCGATCGCAGATGGTGTGGTTGCGAAGTGCATGGTGGAATTAGAGTTTAGGATGCCGTGAACTACCTGCATAAGTTTGGGGGCTCCTTCTGACCTGTCGGCTATTTAGTGTAAAAGTAGACCCTCAAGTAGCCGCAGGATGTACTCCGTAAAGTGCATCCTCTTCTGTTGGCTCCGGTGGATCGTGGGATTCTGGGACGAGAGGGATTCAGGCTGCGGATTTGCTTGTTTCTTGGCTTGTGACCTGTCGTTGTCCTTGCGGCTTGCATTTCGTTCCTGGTCACTGTTCCATCGTCGTCTGTGCGGTTCTGAGAAGGGTGCGCAAGACTTGTGCTGGTTCGACCCGCATCGGATGCAGTCGCATGCTTCGCATTCAGGCTTCCTTCAACTCCCGATCGACTTGGTTGAGAAGCAGAGTCTCCATATACACAACACTGTCCCCAGCGGGCACATCTCCTTGAAGTGTTTGCGAAGCAAGGTCAGAGGTGTCATGTCGGGGCGTTCAGCCGAAGTTGGACTTAGCTGCATGATGTTCATTTTATAGAGCGGGTCGTCTGACAAAGCACAAGCTTGAAAACTCAAAAGCCATCTCAGGTGCTGCTGGCCGACTACCTCCTCAAGGAAGAACGAAACACGCCCGAGCTCCTCCCCATGTCGCTGTCGGTATTTGATACGATTTCGGGTTAGTGAAGGCTGAAGCATGCACATTCCTAATAAACTGTAGCGGGGCAGCGGCATGCACTCCGCGGCAATCGTTTCTCAATCGTCCGGACATCACTCCGTTTGTAAATAGAATCAGATCAAGTTTGTTTGTCGTTGACTCGTTGACCGTCGGTCGCCAGCCGAGCAGACCCTCGATCTTTTGGACATCGTACACATGCAAATAGTTATTGCTTGACCGATGGGCTTTGTATGTCATCTACCGCTGTAGCTTGACCGGTCTTCTCTGCTGCTCTACGATCTCCAACAATACGCGACCATTTTTGAGTTTGAGACAGCTAGCCTTAAACAGACATCGCTCTGTCTCAATGACCGTGCGAGCCCTGAGCAAAGCAAGAAGGTGCTCACCACCGCTCAGGAGACTCGATATAATGCGAGGCTCAGGGAGCCTTAGGGCAGCCGCCATCCGTACATAGGAACCGCGCACGCCACGCTTATTCGATTCAGCCTCCTGCCACCTTTCCGGATAAGGTTTCTGCTGTAGAACGAACACGGTCGGGGCACTAGCTGAGTCATCGACTTCCTGCTTTTAACCCTTGTCCAAGGGCGCAATCCTGCGACAAGGACCAGCGGGTACGAGGTACGATCACCTGGCCCTACCTGGCGCTACTCACTTTCCCTCCACCAAGATACCCACGATACACCCACATTGTATGAACCAACTGATTAACAGGGCATTATCAAGATAGCATGCCAAGATATCCACACGGAAGGAGACGCTCCCTGTGCATACAAATGCCGAAAGTACTCGTCATCGACCTGCCTGCAGTGAGCCGCGTGAGTAAGTGCATGGTCATGGCGATATTGTCCGTCTCCTCGAATGGTCAGCTTTATCGATGTCAGTCAGACACGCCAGACCGTAAGAACTCGACAAGGCCGATGCATGGTCGCTCCTCATGACTTCCGCTTACACCCACGCCGAAAAGATACAACATGACTTGAATTATGTTCATGCGTCACTACTGCAAGCCAAGGTTGACATGTACATACAATGATCGGTAGGTTTGCATGTTCGTTTAGGCGATGGTGGGTCTCCGACTCTCCGCTCGATGCTAGCAGAGCCGCTGAGCGTCTCCGATCCTCGACCGCGTTGTCAAGATATAGTATGTCTGTAATTGACACTCGCATCAACCTTCGAGCAGGGGATATTAGTCTTCTACGGCCCGGTTGCCGAGCAGTCCTCGCTCGTTGCCAATACTCTGATATCTGAGTTTGTCATTGCAGGTCGACGGAACAGATAATCTTATGAACGTCATTAAAAAAGGACTACCCGCTCGTCGCCAACTTCAGGGTACGATGCGTAGATACCCATAGTCTAATCGTAGCGATCCCCACCATCGGCCTCGTTAACCAAACCTCAATACACGGCCCTTGCGCCATTCTTGCCCAGACCCGAAGGAGCCTCCCAACCTCCCGCAAGTTTACATCGTTGAACTACAGGTCCCTGTTTTCAATATCTCCGGCTCAGGCAGATTGAAAATCGAATTCTTGTCTAGCTTTCCTTCGTCGTCGATCGGACTTGCGAATCTACGAGCTCACACCAACTGCCACGCTCTGGAGCATCAGTACAAGATTGAACGGATCAATTCTTCTCCAAGGTTACGTCGTTCTTGCTCCCAACTTTAGCTTTCCGGAAATTGAATCTTATACAAACACATCTCGTGTCCCCGCAGTCCTGGCGCTGATTGCTGTATTGCTTTCCTGGGAAATGGAAAACCAAAATGGTAGAAACCATCAATATTATGTCAGCCAAAGCCGTGCGAGCCAGATCTCTGCACACTACAATTCTTCGGCTTCAACACCGTCAGCTGGACAGTTCAAGACGCCACTACTACCGCAACACAACAGATCCAAGGCGAGCGCTCAGCCACTCGCTCACCCTTCGTACTTGGGAGATGAACACCTCTTGACGTCACCCATCTACGAGGGATACCAGTATGGCGGGATGACATTTCTAAACTATCAGAACAACGATGTGACGCATCAGCAGCCTGTGTCGTCACCTCTTGGAAGCGCTGATTTCGCATACGGCTATCAGCAAATACCATTGACCCACAGTTCGCATCACTATAACTCGTACAACATACCATCCATGAGCATCCCTTCGCCCTATGGCGTACCACATGCCATCCAGGCATTTCCTCCGAGCACAACTCACTACAATGACCTGCGTACATCGACGGCGGGACCCGGCGTGTATGAGCCTCTCTCGTTCGACCATCAAGCATTTCAAACGCCAGGCTTTACAGCCGGCGACAGCAATGATAGCTGCGTATTACATGATAGAGCTCAGCAGCAGACAATAAGACAAGAAGATATCGCCGATCTACGAGAACAGTTTGATCGATATCAGACGCAGACCAAGGAGATATTCACCTTGGTCAGAGATCGTCAGTTGAAGCCAACGGCGAGCCTGCTTCTCCAGATATCACGATTTCTGATTGGCAACGTCGCGGCCCTGGGACTTGATCGTGACGACAAAGGACAGAACAAGGACCGACTCAAGCTCTGGGACACGTTCAACTACTGCTGGTTGACAGCGTTGCATTCTCAACACAAAACGACCCAAATCATGATCCAAACTGGGCAACAGTTGCCACCTGGGCAGTCAATCATGGACTCTGACGACCTCGAGACATTGGGACAAGAGATCGTAAAGCTTTGCGACAGTATAGACAAGACCGGGTTGGTCGATTATCAGATGGGCGTAGCAGAAGAACGAATCGTGGATAGTGAGTATTCGCAACCCCAAACGTTTACCACTCGGCTCGCTGACCTATCAACAGTCCTACTGAAATGTCTAAATGTGATGGGTTCGCAATCGCGAAAGAGATCCAAGGGTTCTGGGTCGAGTTCAAGCGCTAGTGCATCTCGCAGGTGATACGAAGGATCCTGCGGACGGCTCACGAATAAGGCATGGCAAATGCAGGAACAGTCCCGACTCTGTGGGTTACACCTGCTTCTCAACGTTGCCCTGCATTTCTCATTTCCAAACCCTGTCATGCGCGATCCCGCGCTTCAGTTTGTTACGCAAGTCTTCGCCCATAACTCCCACTTTATCGGCACGTAGGCTATCGCTGCCAGAGAACGACGATCGCAACTCCCATCTCACGACCTCATTGTTGCATTTCTGGCGTCTCATATCGGAATTGACATTCATCTGCGGCTCATGGCATCTTCGGGTCTTGCTTTACTACTTTCTGCTTTCGTCTTAGTCTACACAGCAACAAGATACGTCGCGTACACGAATCATGACCTTTATAATATCACTTTTACACGATCACATTCACACTACTGGCTTGAGATATTTCATTCTGAGCCAACGGATCTCCGCAGCCTGTTTGCATGTCAGCTAAGCAAGTTATGATCGACGACCGAAGGCAATGACAGGTCAAGCTGAGCCTTCCTTCTCGTTTGTCTTGTAGCTCATGCCAAACAAAAAGCTGTCAATGACATGAGCCTACATGTTTTCTTCTTGTTGACTATATTCAAGATACCTCAACTCTCCATTTGTTCACGACACGCCTCTTCAGGGCCAACGAATCATGGGGTCCCCAGGTACTCCTGTCGAGCTTTCCGATGGCACGTTGGTCTGTGAGGACTATGGTCTACAGATCTGTCATCAATGCTGCTGCGACTATACCTTTATGAACGACAATGATCTGCAGCATCCAACCATCGAGGAACCCTTGATGTCCAGCGAAGAAATTGTGGACAGAGCCCTCCGAATTGCCGAACCAGCCAACAAAGTCCTGAGAGGCGCAGCCGCCAAATCCGTCGCCGATGTTCAAGCCGCGAAATATTGCGAAGAGTGTCATCTCACCTGGATGCCCGCAGAATCCGGCTCTGCAGCTTGGTACGACGAGTGCCCACACCACGATTCCCTCGGAGGAAAACATGCCGAACAACGCACACTCTTCGTTCATGTCGATGGTGCATGTCCTGGCAATGGCAAGCAGAACGCCATCGGAGGTATAGGCATCTACTTCGGACCCTCATCGTCCTTCAACCTCAGCGCTCCACTCGCCAACTTCATAACCATGAAGCCACACACCAGCCAGAAGGCCGAGCTCGAAGCTGCTGCGAATGCCCTCAAGATCATCCGCAATGAGTGCATGCCTGCTCGCCGTGAGCTCCTCAGAAAGCTCAATATCTGTCCTTGTCATGAAAACTGCTGGTCCGCAAGCTTCCCCTTCCAGGTCGTCATGATCACCGACTCCGCCTACCTTTTCGACTGCATCACTTCCCACCTCCTGATCTGGCGCTGGAACCCAGATACACGCAAGTACACCAACAAGAAGAGCGGCAACGTCATCAAAAACTCTGAACACATCCGCAACATTGTCGAAGAAGTCGAGTTGCTGGCAGAGCGTGGTGTGCAGGTTCTGTGGAAGAAGGTGCCCAGAGAGTTGAACCAGGAAGCTGATCGTCTTGCAAAGACTGGAGCCGAGTTGTCGAGCACTTGCAGTGTTGCCACTCGTCTCTCTACCATCTCCTAGGAGTGTCATCAAGGGCTTGTTGGAACATATCACGCTGTGGACCAAAGGGGTTGAGAAGAGAGCTCGTGTAAAGGGAGTTCATGCCGATGGAATAATTAGACTTCAGATGTAATGCAGACGAGAAGAAATGAAAATACCCATGGCATACTTCGAATACAACCTACTCAATAGCACTTACTCGCTCTTTCCTGTTCCATTGTCTTAATTTCGTAGCAAAGTAGGAAGGCGTGTCGAGAGCGCAGACAATCGAACCTTCCTTTTCATACCACACGCAATTCAATAGAAGTGATTGTTCAACCTTGTTTCATTTGCATTTGTGCTATCGCTCGTCTTTAATTTATCTTTTGCCGCAAGGGAAAGAAACTCTTCTGTTACACTCTGGCTCCCTCTCCATATGCAATTTTTTTGAGCCCGGTAAAAAGGAAACCAAAAATCGAAGAACCTTCCTTGTTTCGTGCGGCCTCCGAGAAAGAAGGGAAAAAACAGAACTAGCAGAAAAAAAGAAGAACGCCTTGTGGAAAGTTCCCTCAGAAGACCTGATTGTGCTCTTGCCGCTCATGCATCGTTTCTGTCGAACGACGCCGCAACTCTGATTGTCTCGATTCGCCATGAATTTGTCATCAACTCTAGCCCATCAGAAGACGTGGACCCAACAAAGGGTACGTCTCGACTGCTCGCTTCGTTCGCTTATTGGCCAGGCGAGCTGAAAAGAGATATTAGCATATGATCAAGCGTCCAGGACATGCTCGTGACTTACTTGGGCGAGTACTTGGGGCTAGTAGGTGAGTACTTGGGCGAGGCTTGACCAGGGGAGTTCGGGGTGTACTGTGGGGATGTGGGAGAGTAGCTCTGCTGGGCCGGACTGGTAGGACTGTACACTGGCGACGTCGGGCTGTAGCTGGGCGACGTAGGCGAGTGTGAGGCACCGCCAGGATTGTACGAAGGACTGGTTGGGCTGTACGCCGGCGAAGTAGGCGAGTAGGCCGGCGAGGTCGGGCTGTAGCGTGGAGAGGTGGGAGAAATGCCCGATCCTCTGTGAGCAGGAGAAGTGGGACTGTACGAAGGCGAGGTGGGAGAGTAGCTCGGCGACGTAGGCGAGTAGCTTGGCGAGGTTGGCGAATAGCTGGGAGATGTGGGAGAATATGAAGGAGAAGTAGGAGACCCTTTGCCATACGCAGGAGATGTAGGCGAATAAGTAGGCGATGTTGGGTTGTATGCTGGACTTGCGGGTGAGCCCATACCGTAACCAGGACTGCCAAGAGCTGCACCAGGTGATCTGGGCGAGTATCCAGGTGATGATGGCGAGGCGTATCCAGGAGACGAAGGACTTGTGCCCATGCTGAAGGGACTTGTCGGTGCGTAACCAGGACTCTGACCGCCACTGTAAGGGCTGAAGCTTCCACCTTGGTAGGCCGAGAACCCACCCATCTCGTCGCCGCCTGCTTGGACCATAGGGGAGAACGAAGCGCCGTAGTCTGCGGTACCGTAATCGCCTTCGGCAAGAGGGGAGCCCATGTCGTAAGGAGTCATGGCACCATCGAGAGGAGCAGCGCCAGCTTGAGTACCGGCACCCATACCGTGATGGCGAGAAACGACAGTGCTGAGCATCTGCTGGTCCAAGAGAACATCGAACTCACCAGTACCTGAAGGAGCAAGTTGACCAAGGATAATGTTCTCGGAAACACCACGGCAGTCATCAAGCTCACCAGAGGAGGCGGCTTCAAATAGAATTTCGACTGTCTCTTCGAACGAACAACGCATCAGTGCACCAGTATCAGCACGATTGATACCGTGACGAGTGACAGCCATCAGATTACCGCGAGCAGTCATGATGTCGACCAAAAGAGCGAGATGGCGATGGTTGACATAAGAACCGTCGAAGGAAAGCACTTGCTTCAGTTCTCTCATCAAAGCAGATCTGGTGGCCTCGATACCGAATACACTGAAGATGTCGATGAAGTGGTTAGTGTAGGTGCGAGTAGGATCAGTACCTTCAACAGTAAGGACTTCCTTGAGAGCAGTTCCACTAGTATCCAAGAACCATTCCTTGCAAAGAGGATCACTCTTGGACATGGTGAGACCACCGTCTTCCTTGACACGCAGGCGTTCCTTGAAATTGACGAAAGCACGTTCCACACCTAGAACTCCACGAAGTCTGGTCTGGTCCAACAGATGGTTTTCCAGCCTCTGAATGACAAGATCGGCCTCAAGAGCAGTATCATCATCCTCCTTGGATTCCATGATCTGGTTTGAAGGTCTGATACGGATGACAAGTTCATCGGCATTGTCGTCACTGAAGATAATGGACATCTCGTGGTTGTAAACATTTCTGATCGCAGCAGCGACATCGGCAACCGAGAGACCCTTGTCCAAGAGTTGTCTTCGGCCGAGAACGATACGCAACAGCCACTTGGAATACGTCTCAGGGCTCTCTGCGTTTTCTTCAGGAATGATGAAGTAAGATTCTACCATATCTCTGTCGAGTTCAACAACAGTAGATTGGATGTCAGGGTCGAACCAAATCTCAGTCTTCTCGGTGATTGAACGCAAGCTGGTGTACTCGACAAGACTGCGAAGTCTCTTGCAAGCTTCTTGGTCGAGACGGTTTTCGGCGGATTGGTAGACAGTCATGGAAGGTGTCTTGATGTTAGTGGCCACATTCAGAATTTCCTTCAGACGGGGCACACCAAGGGTAACGTTCTTAGACGAGACACCGGCGAAATGGAAAGTGTTGAGCGTCATCTGGGTAGCGGGCTCACCGATAGACTGTGCAGCCAAAACACCAACCATCTCACCAGGACTGACGAGCGATCTTGAGAATCGGTTCAGGATGTCACCAAGAATATTGTCAAGAGCCAGCTTGTTCAAAGAGTACTCCTTGACCAGACGCTTGAAAGCAAGACGGGATCTCAGCAAGGCCTTGAACAAGATAGTGGCGTTGTATTGTGCCTCTTGGGAAAGAGGGTCATCACCACGGACAATGACGATCTGATCGAGCAGATTCTGGACCTTGGGAATGACTTCGGATGGGTGAAGATCGCTTCGAGCGCCGTCCTTGATGCGGAATCTGGTCTTGGCACTCTCGACGATACGAGTGATGTTGAGTGGAAGTTGATGAGTCTCCTCATCATCAGTACGACCGTCTCTGAGCAGAGCTCGATCAGCCAACAATGCTTCGTACTCAGTATCCAGGTGACGCTGAACTTCAACATCACCTGCGATCTCATGTGCTTGTTCGAGAATGTCGGGAGAGAGAGACATTTTGGGGTCCATGACGTCAATGCGGAACTTCTTCTCGAATTGACTGTCGGAGCAGTTGATGATGTCCAGCTTCTGGCCTTCGATATGCACGGCATCCAAACCGTCTTCACCGTAGACGAATTGCACGACGTCACCCAATGAGTTGCGGACAGTGCCGTCGTACTTAGCCATGACCTCTTCGAGGGCCTTGACGAGACGACGCTGAATGTAACCAGTTTCGGCAGTCTTGACAGCGGTATCGATCAAACCCTCACGACCAGCCATGGCGTGGAAGAAGAACTCAGATGGTGTAAGTCCACGAAGGTACGAGTTCTCGACGAAACCACGAGACTCGGGAGAGTAATCGTCCTTGGTGAAGTGGGGAAGCGATCTGTACTTGAAGCCGAAAGGAATGCGCTTGCCTTCGACTGACTGCTGACCGACGACAGCCGTCATCTGTGAGATGTTGATCGCTGAGCCTTTGGATCCTGAACGAGCCATTTGGATGGCGTTGTTCAAGTCCTTCAAACTCTTTTCAGTACGGTCACCGGCATTATCACGGGCACTGTTCAGAGCCTTGGATACTCTGCTCTCAAACGTCTCGCGAACGTTCATACCAGGCAGAGCCTCCAGCTCGTTAGCAGTAGCAGCCTCAGTGATGACAGCAACCTCTGCCTTCTGCTCGTTGACCGCGTCTGTGATAGCCTCGGCAGTTGCTTCGTCAGGGACTGTGTCACCGATGCCGATACTGAAGCCATTGTGAAGCAGCCAGTAGTTGACAACACGCTGTGCGCCGTTGAAGAAGTTGACCGCAGCTTCCCAGCCCTTCTCATTGTAGACGATGTGAATAATACCACCTCCACTGGCACCGACGGACTTCTTGCTGAACAGACCGTACATCAGCTCACCACCGTGAACCATCAATCCGTTGTCGTTGAGGGGATGCATGCCCTCTGCGTCACCACGAACAAGATTGAGACCGGAGGGGACGATCAAGCTGACAATCTGCTTACCGGTCCATCTCGGGCGAGGCTTGACAATGGCAGGTGGAGGAATGATGCCGTCCCAGTCAGGTACCCACATGAGGATGTTCATGACAATCTCCTTGTCGAGGAAGACGTCACGACGACACATCTTGTAAATACCGCAAAGGGTATCTTGCACGATACCCATCAAAGGACCGTTTCGCTGAGGGGAAACGATGTTGAGGGGAACCATGCAAAGGTTCAAGACTTCTGCGCGAGTTTCGTGACTCTGGGGAACGTGCAAATTCATCTCATCACCATCGAAATCGGCGTTGTAAGGTGAGGTAACGGAAAGGTTGAGGCGGAAGGTTGAGTAAGGCATGACACGAACTCTGTGACCCATCATGGACTCCTTGTGTAGCGAAGGCTGACGGTTGAAGATAATAACATCACCATCGACGATGTGCCTTTCGACTTTGTAACCGTATTGCAGCTGAATCTCGCCAGCGCGCTTGTGGTGGCGCAAGTCGATGCGCTCGCCAGTATCTCGAATGACATACTTGGCTCCAGGGTGTTCGTTGGGACCGTTGCGGACGAGTTGTTGCAGCTTATCGATGTTGAAGGCGTTGACTGTCTCAGGGAAGGTAAGAATACGCGCGGTACTTCTAGGAACGCCCACTTCATCCAAAGACAAGTTCGGGTCACCAGTGATGACAGTACGAGCAGAGAAGTCGACACGCTTGCCCATGAGGTTACCGCGGAGGCGACCTTCCTTGGACTTCAGACGCGCACGAATAGCCTTGACTGGTCTACCAGACTTTTGCAAAGCCTTGGGCTGTCCTGCAATGTCGTTATCCATGTATGTGGCGACGTGGAACTGCAACAAAGCCTCAAACTCTGCGATAACGTGGTGTGGAGAGCCCTCGAGCTCACACTTGCGAACGTTGGCGTTGGCACGGATGATATCACTGAGCTTGAAGGTCAGATCATCCTCAGAACGCATGCCCTGGTTGGTTCCATCGACCGAGACACTGGGACGGACGGCTGGTGGCGGTACAGGCAGCACAGTCAAGATCATCCATTCGGGACGAGCGTAGTCTGCGTTGAGACCCATCCTGGCCAAGTCGTATGTCGAGATATTGCGGAAGACGTTGAGGGCCATCTGGGGCGTAATGACTTTCTTTTCTACCGGCTTCTGTTCCGTGTCGGCGTCCTTGGGGAATGTGTAAGTGCCGGTAAGCTTGAGGCCATCCTTGCGAATTGTGGGTTGCAGGTTGCCGCAGCCACCGTGTGATCGCTTGCCCTTCTTCAAGGCGTCTTTTGGGTCGTCTCCGTCGTCACCAGCCTCGTCAGGATCGCAGGTCGTCTTGGCCTTGCACAGTCTGTGGATAGCATCGAAACGGCGCTTGGGGTCTCTCATCTTGACAGCTTGGGCAAAAGCGGGAATGCTCTATGAAGGGTAGTGGTTAGCAAAGAGGGTGGCCACTGAGTTCAGCTTCTGCCGCGCAGGGCGACTCACTTCATCAAGCAAGACCTTGCCACAGTTGTGGCAGACGGATTCGAGGATCTTCTTGATCTTGGTGACAAAACCTGGTACGGGTCAGCGCAAGCTTAGACAGGTTGGACTTGAGGCAAGCAAACACACCGACGTGGAAGACGGGCACAGCAAGCTCAATGTGACCAAAGTGACCGGGACACTCGAGCATGTCTTCACCGCAGGTGCCGCAAGCAACAGAGCGATCGATTGAACCCAACTTGGGGTCGTTCAAGCCCTTTTCTCGCGGGCGCATCCGTTGCTCGTCCATAGTCTCTGGGTATTCGATGTGACACACGCTCATGTTCTTGATCTCCTCGGGCGAGAAGAGACCAAACTGGATCTCCTGGATGGTCTTCAGCGGAGCGCTGGAATAGGGAAAAGAGTGGATGTTCATGGTGGCGGGTGTTGATAGCAATGGCTAAGAGAAATTGTGTAAGAATCGGATCAGCGGCTGCCACGTTCAAGGCGCTGTCGACGGAGAGGTTGGCCGAAGTTCTCCAGGACCGATGGCGGTTGCGATGGAAGTCGAGGATTGAGGATGGCAGCGGTTGCCTCTGGCGAGAGAGCGCGTGTCGAGCGACTGGCCTTTCGGTCGGCGCGCGCACAGCCGGGCAGCGGCGAAAGCAAAGAAATCGACGGGAGTCAAGGAGCGACGCGACTCGAGATGGCGAGATGCGCGCAGCGAGATGGCGGGCGCGGAGATGTGGTGGGTGAGGGCGTGGTAGTAACAAGGGTGAGGTCGACGATATGACGGGCGTTGATGTTGCAAGACGCCGGCCGCTAAGTGAAAGCGTCGCTGGTCGCTGCTGCTTCCTCCCGACTCTGGAGCGCGCCTGCCTTGACCACCGACAAGTCACGTGCTCACTACTTGTCACTCGCAGTCCAATGCGAGTCTCAGTCGAAGCAGGAACAATGAATCCCCTGTTGGTCCTGTCTCTTTGACCCAAGTAGAGGTCCGGCCGAGAAGAGCAAACGGCATACACGTGTCTGTCAACCAAGGCGTGCGGGCTATCGTCTCCGACGCAGACTCGCCCTTGCTCATGCCTTTCTGTGGCTTCTGTCGTTTGTCGTCTGTCGTCGTTTGCTGATTGTTAGATCCACGCCCGCCAGATCTGGTCAAAATCATGCCACTGTAATCTTCCGAAAAGCGTCATCTCATTTTCAGCATGAATCTCGCCCTGGTCGACCCGTTCGTGCTGGCGCAGGACATGCCAGAGACGCTTATTGCCCGTCTGCGAAGTTCTGGTGCCGCCGTCTGTTTGCGATTCAACCGCCAGGGCGACCTGCTCGCTTCTGGTACCGCCAAAGGTGCCATTGCCATCTTCGATCTCGAAACTCATGGTGTTGCCCGCAAGCTGCGTGGTCACACGCCTGGCCGTCAAGTCCAGTCGCTTAGCTGGTCTGCTTGTGGTCGTTATCTGCTCAGCTCCTCGGTCGACTGGAAGGCCATCCTGTGGGACCTCAACGATGGTTCGCGCATTCGCACCGTCAACCTTGGTGCCCCCATCTACATCGCCGAACTGCACCCTCACGATCACCTCCTCTGCACTGCTGCCCTCTTCGAAGCCCAGCCCGTCTTGGCCTCGCTCGACCAATCATCCACCCTCCGAAGACCTCTGCCTTCAGCCCCCAAGCGCTCTACCTACGAGCAAGATGACAAGCAAGCTGCCCAAGATGCCAAAAATACCACGACCGTCACCATCTTCACCCCGTCTGGCAACCACATCATCACCGGCACCACAAAGGGCTGGCTCAACATCATCAAGGCGAGCACTTGTTCCGTCATCTATTCAACTCGGCTTAGTGTCAAGGCGCTACTTCTCTTACGTCTTACTCTGTCGGGTCGCGATTTACTGGTCAACGCGGCTGACAGCATCATCCGCACAATTCATTTGCCCGACCTCGAAGACCTGTCCTTCGATCCTGACAACATGCGCCTTGAGGTTGAGCACAAGTTCCAAGACGTCGTCAACCGTCTGTCTTGGAATCACGTTGCCTTCAGTCCGTCTGGCGACTATGTCATGGCTTCGACTCTAATGAATCACGACATTTACATTTGGGAGCGTGGTCACGGCAGTCTGGTCAAGATTCTTGAGGGACCGAAGGAAGAGCTAGGAGCAGTCGAGTGGCACCCTCAACGACCATTTGTCGCAGCCACTGGTGTCGAGTCTGGTCGAATCTACCTATGGTCGGTCAACACGCCACAGCGCTGGTCTGCACTCGCTCCTGATTTTGTTGAAGTCGAGGAAAATCATGAATACATCGAAGCTGAAGATGAATTCGATATACAACCTATTGAAGAACTGCACAAGAGACGTCTCGATCTCGAAGACGAACACGTCGATGTCTTGACTGTCGATCCTGCCAAGCCTGGCCAGGTAAAACACGAGTTCCGCATGCCCGTCCTGTTAGACATCCATGCAAGTGACAGTGAAGAGGAGATGGTCGCAATTGGAGCAGGACAGTATCGCCGCAAGAGTCAAGGCCCCGAATCAGAGTTCCTCGACGATGACGAGGACTCAATGCCAGCCAATGGTCAAACCAAAAGGCGCCGTGCTGATTGAACGGTCATCTGTCAGAGCTCGGAGTCGAATCAACATATCTAAGGAATCACAGCCCTACGCTGCATCAAGTCTTGTCTTGGCTCCTGGAGGAGCCTTTTCTAGCATCCTGTCCTCTTAGGCATGAACCAACTGGATTGTCTGTGTCGCACAGGCGTACCAGCAACATCCGATGATGTCAGATTGCCGTGCTGATGTCTACTCGAAAGATCGGCGTGCGAGAGTGTCGTAGATATGTGATTACCTAGCCAGGCTCTTCATTGGATCCCTCCTAGCCGACGGCAGACTATAAGTTCTTTTGCTCGGCTCAGATCATACAGTCGGTTTGGGTCGCCTGGTAAGATGGCGACAGTCGCTGCTAACACCTGTAAAGGAGTTCTCCGCTGTGTGCGGCATATCAAATGCAAGAACATTTAGCTTTAGACAGAGTTCCACCTGGTCCATTTTAGCAGCAACTCCTTTGTTACTCGAGCAAGCAGAACAAAAAAAAATTTAGCCCGCATTCGGCGGCTTGTTGATATGAACACAAAGAAGTGACTGCTTCCATCTGAGTCTCGGTAATTGATAGAGTCTTTTGTCTCCCGTACCTCCTGAACCACAAGAAAAACTACCTACTGTCTTTTGTTTACTAGAGGCCATGATCATGACGACACGCGGGTGGAATTTGATTCGTAGCAAACCAGGATTCGCGACTCAAGAAGATCAATGGGTCGGTACAAAACAACTAGGAGGTAACAAAGGATGACCTAGGACGGGTTTCGTTCTCCCTCTCGAACTCATGCTGACATTACGATACAGAAGGCGGTCAAGGCTGTGCAGGTTTATTCGTCAAACGGGATCCAAGCACACAAAAGATCGTGGATCGTATGGTGGTCAAGGAGGCAGATGTAACTAACTGGACCAAGGAGTACGAGTTCTTTGGTCCCAAGAAAGACATTCCCAGAGAACACTACATGAGCATGATCATGCCTAAAGGCTCGAACAATACGATCGATGTGATGGGCTCTCGATTGTTCCGCGACAGAAGCTGTATTCGGCTATACATGGAATATTGCCCGGGAGGCGATTTGTCGCATTTTCTTGGATTGTACCTCGATCAATCACTTACTTTCCCGGAGCCCTATCTCTGGAAAGTATTCCAAGATCTCGCTCGAGCAATACATGCCATGGACAACTTGTCTGGTCACGGATTGCAAGGAGGTGAATCTATAGCTCATATGTAAGCCTCACTCCAAATTTAAGTACACAGCGCTGACTTACAATTGAGCGACTTCAAACCGGCCAACAGTAAGCTTCATCCACCATGGTGATCCTTGACCATATTGCTAATATGACGCAGTCTTCCTTTGCTTGCCCGATGAGAACAATTTTCCAAAGTACCCTGTCGCCAAGGTGAGTATACGCTTCTGTCAGATGGTGCGACTGAGCTAAGGCATCTGTTAGTTGGCTGATTTTGGGGGTGCAATAATTTGTTCATCACGAGATTCTGAGAAGGTGCACTCGGACAAGGTTCTTGATGGTAAGTCTATCGGACATCAGCAGATAGTTGTGACACTGCTAACACTGTTCGAAGGTGCATTTTCGCCAGGTTATGCTGCTCCTGAGGTGGAACGGTTCTTCAATCCTGGTCCCGCAGATCGCATCCCGGCAAGAGACGCAAGAGCTGGTGTCGTGCTGGCAGATATACCCAAAAGGGTTACCACTGCTACCAACGTCTGGAATGCAGGCTTGATCATGCTCGATCTCATGAGTCTTCAGCAGTTGAATTGGCCCAAGTTCATATCTCAAGTATACAGTGCTCGTGATACATGGCTTGACAATCTCATCAACCAGAAGGACACTCATCCCAGATTGAAAGGCTATAGCACTTTGCTCAAAGATACAGTCATACAATGTCTCAACTATGACCCCAGTCAGAGAACGACCCCAAAAGACCTCCTTGCTAGAGTCGATCAGGGAGTGCGTCTGCATGGTGGGCTCATGCAAACCAAAGACTGCCTCGACACTAAAAAATACAGAGGCCAGTATGACCTCGACCCTAGAGTAGCGTTCACGGACGACTACCCCGTCACGCAGCCGGAAGACTGGCTTATGGCTAATGGCGACGTCGACGTCGACGAGGAAGATGACGACGATGAAGACTTTCCATTTGCAAAGCCCGGTGGTGGTGGTGGTGGTGGTGGTGGTGGTGGTGGTGGTGGAGGCCCAACGCCGAAAACACCACACGGGAAAGCACAGGCTCGATCATCATACAGCACAACGGCAGGTGCTCCCCAAGATACACCCTTCAAGGGCTTCGTGTTCGGTCTCAATGCTGGAGCGTCTACTCGTAACTTCTTCGATGCCCCTGATGAAGACTACGAGATGGTCGACAGACCCGAACCCCGGCTTGTCTCTTTCAAGCAGAGTAAGATGCGTGAGGCTATGGAAGATGAAATGCCGGACCGACAAGATGGCAGACCTGAACCTCCACATGGCTTTGTTAAGAGCAGTCAATTACGCCAGGCTATGGAAGATGGAATGATGGGCTAGCGTAGTAGTCAGTATGAGCGTTCGTCTTTGTGCGCGACGCCTGCATGGGTCATCTTCTCGCTGCTTGTTCTCCTTTTCTTTCTATCCTACTGTCGCTTCGCAATTGAAGCTTTTGCTTCCCTTGCGGTGCTCTTTTCTTGGTCGCAGCTTTCTCCATTCTGGTTGCCATTTGCGCACAGGTTGTACTTGCTGTTCGTCTATTGATTTGCTTCCTCACTTCTAGCTTTTGAGATCCCCGAATTTGCTTAGAATCCTTTTTCTCCTCTTCCTTCCGTCGTGATGCGTGTTCCCTCATCATTGCAGTAATCTGCAGGTTATCAGATCGGGGTCCACCTATGTCGTTTTCGGCATCACAAACAAAGACCATCCAATATCTCTTTGTTGGGCACTGGACTCCTTAGGTGGAAGAACGTCGTTTCCAGTGAGTACCTGATTCATAACTTCTACGATCCATACTGTCATCTTCGACTGGAAAAGTCTGCTGGAGGATACCGCAAATGGCTGCAGCAGTACCACCACATCACGTTGCTCTTATTCCGGCTGACGATACCAGAGATCGCTCGACTTTTGGCTCTCTAGCTACCGGTGTCCGAAATTGGTTGGTTCACGCTTTTACGCACACTTGGGCATTCGCTACACCTCCTCAGTCATCCTTGGCTGCCATTAGAGCATTTGGACAAGGTACCTGGCTGCCAGCACCGCAAAGCCACGATACGATACCTCTTGCCTCTGGTAGCAGCGGTATCGTTCATGTTTGGGTCTGCGTCGATGGACGACCGTGTCGTCGTCAAACAGAGCGTTCCTGGACATGACTTTTACATCGACCCGGCAAATTGGGCCAATAGACAAGTTGGTGGAGAACCAATGGAGAGCTTTGTTGCCAATACCGTCCATCTGCAATTACTCTTGAATGGCGCCGGCGATGAAAAATTCGTTGCTGAGTGCTTGGGATACGGTGATTGTCAGCATCTGTCACCTAACCTATGGCAGTACAAATTGTACTATGAGTATCTACTAGGCGATCTCCCTGGATGTATCCAAGCCCAATGGTGAACAACAAAGCTGGTCAAGCCCTCTGGGAAGGTCAAGAAGAAGAGAGTTGTGCAGGAACAAAGACCATTTCCTGAAGGCTTCTTGTGGGCTGTGAGTGCCTCTACCCGCATCCAATACCCCATGGGTCTTCTACTAATCACTTATGCAGATGTTCGAATCACTCGCCAAGACTGCTGTTGCTATGGATGCACAAGGCATCGTGCATGGGTGAGTCCTGTCTTGACCTCAAACATACAGCTGAACCTGACTGACCTGCAACAGTGATATGCAATCTGCGAACAGTATGACTTACTTCCCGTTTGAATTTGCATTCGCTGACTATCGGCAGTCTTTTTTGGTCAGCCTGATCCTAATCACTTCGCGATCTGGCCCGTTGCTAAGGTAAGCAAGGCCCAACTCGATCATCGTTCAGGAACAACACTGACAAGCACAATCCAGCTAGGAGATTTTGGCAGTGCTCGGTTTGTTGATGCTCAAGGCGAAGTGCTTAGACACCGCACGGGACCATATGCACAACCTTTCGCCGCACCTGAGATGGCATGGGATGACTCTTGGGACCCGGGCTGGTACGCTGTGCAGAACTTTGATCACTGGGACCCGACTGTACCACCATCAGGAGGTTATGTCCAAAAACCTGCGGTGCTTTCTTCAAAGACAAACATTTGGCAAATTGGCATGCTCATGTTGTGTGCTATCCGTCTCGAGGTGAAGCTGCTAGAAACACAGTTCCGGCACCCTCCCCCCGGTTATTCTGTTCCTATAAATCAGTTCATGACATTCACACCCCAGTGTGCTTCTCGACCCATGAAGCTGAGACTTGACGACGACCAGTCCAGGAGGCACAGTAGACAGCTATTGACGCTTGTCAACAAGTGCTTGGCGGTGGATCCAGAAGCGAGAATCTCGCCGCAGAATCTGCTTCAGGAAGTACAGGTCAAGATGGTTGGGAGAGATGGCGGGATGGCGGCAGCGAGAGGTAAATTCCCCTGGAATCATCCTCAGGCTATCAGGATGAGTTTGAATGACAAGTACAAGATCGGAAAGAAGCCTTACAGGCCAACTAGAGTCAAGTAGATCGGTTCTAGTAGCTCGGTCCTTGGTTGGAGGAGAGGTGGCTGTCTCAACTTTTGGATTTCTTGGTATTCGATTGAGAAGAAGGTGCAAAGAGGACCAGTTCCTTCCGATTGTGTTCATACCATCTTGAATCACGTTGAGACGTTCCGCAACTCTGAAGTGCATTAGGTGCTGATGAAAGCAATGATAAGTGGCAAACTATCGGTGAATATCTGTGTATGATCTGAGTCGAGTCTATATGCTTATCTACACGATATCCTGAGTGAATGCAGAGTAAGAATGCACTGGTAAGTGTGGACTGCTCACAAGTCGACGATGCACCAGCAAAAGATGTGCAATGACATCCCTAGAACAATGAGCCGATTCTGTATTGCTCATTGTCGAGATCTACGCAAAGTTCCCTCTGGGCAGCAGTCAGATTCGCTGCTGTTGCTGTGTCCATTCCCTGGAAATTCGCATTTGCATTTATAGTCTGCAGCAAATTATCAGCAGTAGATCGCTGGGTGGCATTGTGTCTCAGACAATCCTCGACCATGGTGACAAGCGCGTTACTATATCTTTTTGGTCCTGGGTTTAGCTGGGCTTGCGTTAGCTCGTGCACGCCTACTGCGGGTGCAATGGCACCGTCGTGGTGTAGCTGGTTCGCAGGTGGTGCAACGCGTTCTCCCCGTCCCGGGTCTCTCCAATTGTTTTCTGGTAGAGGGTTGAGAAGTCTCATTGCAGAAGCCATGATAAGACCAACTTGATAGATGTTGGTCCTTTGGGTAATGGCCATATTCGGTGCTTCCCAAAATGGAGGTGGATTTGGCGCCCATGGGGGTGCATTCCATGCATTCTCCTACAAATTGACGTCAGTATATACGACTGTGCCGATTGTTGGGTAGTTCTCACTGGCGCTGCATAAGGCAGAAAGACCGGGTCGGTCCTGACAGCACCGACGCGCAATCTCGTTGAAAGAGTGAGTCTCCGAGCACTGCCAAAATCGGCCACCTGCACGTAATGTCAGACACTTTCTGCATAGTAGTCAAATGAATCTAACTACCTTGAGAACAGGGTACATTGGGAATCTGGTTTGATCTGGGACATCAAAGAAGACTAGATGGGTCGGTGTTAGTTGATTGGTTTATATATCAGCTGCTTCGATCGACTGCTTACCATTCCCTGGGTGCAGATCTCTGTCACATTGGTTAGCCGACCGCTCGTACAAAAGATCGTGTATGGCAAACTTACTGATGGACCACGCCGGTGTACATGTAAGCTCTGTTCATGCCTATGCAGGCCTTCGCCAACGACTCAAACATATACCAAAGGAATGGTTCTGGGAATTGTCTTCTCCCTCTCCTGACCGCACCCTTCTTCTTCCTCTTTGGCTGGTTTTTCATGATCTTGTGCAAATTCTTGTGTGCACAGTACTCGTTGTAAATCTTGTACCGATAGTTTTGTGCCACGTAGTGAGGCGGTACCACATCTCCCCAACCTAAGCAGGCTTGGATATGCTTCCGATCGGCCGGGGTCGTGACTGACCATACGACGTTGGCTTGACGACACTCCAAGGGTTCTCCTCCCACAGTGTCGCTGGCCCAATTGTGAGGATCCAGATATCGGGTTGAGCCTGACACCACGTTCTTGACAACGACGCGGTCCTGAATCGTCAAGTTGTTGGGATCGACCCTGCACCAGAGGTGTACTATTCCTTCACCACCAGTGGCCATGACTCCATTAGCTGGCAATACTATAGGCCTCCAAACACCTGCTGCGATGGCTCTTTGGCCCAAGCCCTGACCACCGGTTGTGACTGCTTGATTGCCTGGAAGTCTGAAAGCCCAACGTAGGAAGCCCCTTATGAGCTGTGCTTGAGCAATGGGTGCCATATCGTAATAGCGCGATGTAGGAAGGGCCATGTTGATTGCGTGGTGAAGTGAGAAGAGCTCAGAGCGTTCGGATGGAATGTGGAAAGGAGTAAGACTGATGGTTACACAGGGCCCTCGAAAGTGATAGTGTCCTGCTCGAGACCTTCTTTGTTCGCCGCATCCGTTGACGGAAGCCGCGACGGTTCAGACCGGAAACGCTGGTTAGAAAACATATTCGATCAAAAGCTGCATTTGACCTTGTGGGTTGACAAATCAGAAAAATTCCTTTGTTCCATGACAAAGAAATACGGCACACATACCTTCGCTACTGTTGTCGCTCCTACATTGCATTGTGCTTTCCAAAATTCGAAGAGCAAGCTGATCATGCCGAACAAAGGAAGTCACGAAGAAGTTTTTGCTCGCATTCGGAACCAGTGATGATTTGCAAAGGAGGCCAGCGGCATGTCTCGACTTGTGCAATGTCATCCTATGGAGCTTTGATCACAGTGAATCACTGGTCAGCATTGTATAACAATGCCTGAAGTTCGATTCAGCTAAAAGGCCAACGCCTCAGGTTCTTCTGAGTCTAGTGCAGAAGTACATGAGGAAGCCGGATGCGGGTGACGCACATGAACTCCGCACCACACTGGGTGACAAGTATGGCATCGGCAAAGAGTATTGGTCGGACCCGCCGTGATTGAGCAACCAGTCGGACTCCTAGGTGCCAATGCAACAACAGCTTCAAGGCTAGATGATGACTGCACGAGATTAGGCCGGGAGAGCGTGAAGCTTCTTCTACATTTGCCTGGTTGAGACATAGAGGGAATGACGCCGAGCGACTTGTATACGACTTTGGGTTTTGTCATTCGTGAAATCGGAAAGATACTGTACAGCAATCATGGCCACCTTCACCAGCCGAAGACTTTTGCAAGAGCTTCTTGGAACACACCCACATTGTAGTCTATGAGCACCTTCTTCTCCATGGGGTTGTCATCGCCCATGATGCAAACTAGAGCAAGATATCTGTTGCTATGTTAGTACCTGTAAGAGTAATAACGACGAATGAATGTCACGAACCTGTTCATCTCCCGAAGATATAGATAGTTCTGCCCCTTCTTCTCCATGGTGACCATACTCTCGCAGGCATGGTTGTTGAATTCGGTCTTCTCGCCCTGTTGGGGTCGTGCCCAGCCGTATAATTCGCCAATGTCCACCACTACATCAATGAAGTCGGAGCAGATCTCGTAGCTATTAGTGTCTTGAGGACTTGTGTCTGATGCGATGTAGATCTTGGTGATGATGTCGAATAGGTATGCCTTTTGAATTCGGCACGTACTACACAAGCTGTTGAGCAGACTCTCCAATGTGGGCAGCTGTGGCAGAAGCTTCTGTATAACTTTGCTGATCGACTCAAAGACGGAATGATCGTAGATGCTAGTCTGATAGAAACTGACAGGTGCATTGTCATAACCGAGATCAGAGAGCTCATCCAGGATTCGTTGTCGGATATCGCGGAAGGTGTCGTTCTTGTATTCCTCGGAAAGACCATCAACCTTGTGCACGAAGACCTCGACGTTTATCGCAGGCCATGTTTGGGCCAAGTAGGTTATCGTGTCAATGAGTTGGTTGAGAGCGTCAAGATACTGGTCCTGGGCATCAATGACCCAGATGACGGCACCGATCTCGGCAAAGATATTGGCCTGATTGAAGTCGGGTGTGAAGTAGTTGACGTGGCCTGGAAGTTCTGCTATTTGGAAGTCCATGAAGGAGCTGATGTCGATCAGAAAGAGGTAGAATGGTCGTCGAACGCAGAGTACTCACTGTGCAGACGATTCTTCGGGGCGCGTCGTGGTCTCGAGGTACAGCGTCTCAGAAGGTGGCATTTTTTGGAAGACTACACCGGAGATTGATGACTTTCCGCTTCTGTTTACTGAGTTATTACCTTGTCCTTGTGGTGGCCTTGCCGTTGTGCCTACCTTCTTTGACCCATGAGCATCAACTTCGGTCTGTTGCGACTCTTGGCGCCATTCGGTAGGCGGCCAGTATGGAATTGTGAGTTTGATATCTCAGCAGACATGTCTGGGAAGTCGGCAGATGTTTGATCCTGGATATAACTCATTAACCTTTCTCGACCCAAGCGCTCATCGGTCGGTCCACCGAGGATTTGAAGGCCGGGACGCGGCATTGTGATCGATCGCTCGAACGGCTGGAATTATGGTCGCTTGACTCTCGAAGTGGCAGAGATATTGTGCGGAGCCTCGTTTCTCTTCTGGATTTGATCTTCATTAGTGAATGTTCTTCTGTTTGCGGTGCTCAGTCCTGGTCACATGAGCCGATGCCGCCTCGAGTTACCCAGAACCACTGTTTGTGCGACTGCGATTGTTCTCGGACAAGAGCGAGAGCGCGACACAATTGCCCAACGTAGCTCGGTGTATGAAACCGCCAGGATTTGTCGCGACTCTTGTCTCCCGACGCAAAAAAAAATTGACAGGTTATAAGGAGATTGTTTAGTACTCACGTTTCTATGAGAAAACTTGCTTCATTGAGCGCTTCGAATTTACGAAGGCTGTTTGCAAAGGCAGATTTCAACCACCAAATCTATCGACAAGCGCACCTTCCAAGCCGAGGGACGACATCGTTCGACCTTCACAAATTTGGGGGCAGCACGCTACTTACATCCATTGCATTGGGCATCTTTATTTCATCAGGCGCAAATCAGTGGCTTGCAAGGGAGATGCTTGATTGGCATGCAAGATGGTCAAAGTTGTCGTCCAAAGTGATAAGTCAATCAACCCTCGCAAAGGGGCTGGGTGGTCGGATGCAGTACCGGCGACCCGGTTTCTTCTTGACAAATGCGGCTTGATATCCCCCGGCCGTTCCGGCTGCAGAAAAAGTCGTGGTAGTTTTGCGTGGCTGGTAGTTCGACGCAGGGTTTCGTAGTTTGGCATGAGGTCAAGTTCCAGTTGATTGCACGTCGCAAGAGACATGAGATGTGCCAAGTCTCCAAATCCGATTGCCTTTCGATCAAAGATATCGGCTATACCGGAGATAACATATCGTTAAAACTGCCTACGTATTTATACGAAACTTGGAAACCTGTAACGCATGCTATCCTATGCGAGATAAGACAAACGTGGTCATAGCTGACCACCATGGAACCATGTAAGGGTAGCGTTACTGGCCATTGTCTCTATACCCCATCATTCAGCGTGGAACGAAGTCGATCTGAATGAGTAGACTCACAGACAGCAACCCTCGTGTTCTGTCAGACCTACAGGGTATGTGGTCATAGGGCCTGTCATGCTTTGACGATCAAGCCTTTGATGCAAAGGGAGCCTGCTACAAAGCCGTGCTCAAGGAACGCTTTGCGACTGACCTCGATCAAGTCTTGCTCGTACAGATATCGGGATTGACGTCCTTGCAGTGGTTCGCAACGGAGTAAACATGAGTATGTTGATGACCGTGGTTTATCACTCGGTTGCGAAGCGAGACGGCATGACGGCCATTCTGACGCGGTTGGTTGGTTGCACGACAGCGCAGCGCCGGTGCGAGGTGGAAGAACGACGGGGTGTCAGCGTATCGGCGAGGCTTGGAAGTGTTCATGTCGAAAAGGGATGCCGTGGTTATTCAATCAACGTAGAGCAGGTGGTCTGGCTTCCTTGTTCCACTTGACTCTGCTGCAGAGCCAGTCGACGGCTTCCTTGACACCTGTGCCGGTCAAGGCACTCAAGGGGAGGACTCTGCTGTCTCTGACACTGCCTCCCTTTTCACCTTCGACGATTTTGCGCACCAGGCCTTCTTTGATGCGGACAACTTCTACACAGTCCTCCCGATCCTGCTTGTTTGCCAGGACGAGAAGAGGGACGCCTTCGGTCTCTCCGTTTTGTAGAATGCTTTCCAGCACGAGCCTACACTCGTCCAGTCTTCCCTGGTCCTCGACGGTATCTTGATTCTTGCTGAGGTGCTCGATGTCGCCATCACCCACATCGGTGCTGTCGATGACGAAGACGATAGCATGACAGCTGCTGTAGTAGGATTGCCATAGTCCTCTTAGCGAGTGCTGGCCGCCGACGTCCCAAATCTTGAGGTAAATGTCGGGCAAGTCGACGGTAGAGACGTTTTGGCCGACAGTGGGAACGGTATTAAGTTTTGGGTGAAGGTGCGGGCTGAAGAGGGCCTTGATCTGCTCGAGCAGTGTTGTCTTTCCGGCGTTGTCGAGTCCAAGAAGGAGAATGGAATACTCTGGTTGGTCGCGTCAGCTAAAGTCAAATCGCGACTGTCCTCTGCGTCTTGTCGTACCTTCCTTGCTTGTCGCGTGCAGATAGAGTGACTTTACCAAATGGTACATGTTTGCTACAGCACACTCAGGCAAGCACAACCAAGAGAGCTTTTCACGGATGCAAAGCGACACTCCAAGGATCAATCACATGCATCTCGCAAGCTCCGCCAGCGACGCGACAGCCTGACGCTGCTGGCGGGGAAGCTGCCTCCTCCCTTCCCGGTCAACATCTCCCTTTCACCTCACCATGCAAGGAATGCATCAATATTTCGCATGTCCATTGTACACAGCTAGGTCCAATGTTGCCATCTACTCCAACGGAATGTAAGCGTGCATTCCCAAGAGGCTCGAATAAGAGCTTCATGCCTCCTCCCTACCTACTCTCCTGCTCTCAACAGCTTCGCAACATCATTCACCCAGAAGATTGAGAAATGGCGCGTTCAGAATATATCCAGCACACGATTCGCCCTGGCAGTTGGAGTCCGGCAGGATTCCTTACTGCAGTAGTCGTGATTCTGGTCGACATTTACTTCGTTGGCCAGCAAAGTGCGAATCGAGACAACGTCGGCATCAGGCTCGCCATGTCTCCCACCAATAGCCGGAGAACTATCGCTACTGCATATCTGTTTGTTGCTGCGTTCTCTGCTTATGTAGTCATGAGCTATCAAGATCAGTACTTTGACGACATTGGAAGGCTCGGTTTGCGAGACAAGAAAGGTGGTATGCCTCAGTCGGTGTACCCTTGGTTCTATGAGTTGGTCTCCCTCCAGCAGCTGTGCCTGTCCTTCGTCTGTTATTAACACATGAATAGGGAGTATCTGGATCGTATGCCACAGATGTTTCAGATGATGCATCTTCGATCCTGGGCCGGTGAGGCTGCTACTTCTAAGCCGGCATGGGCCTCTTTTATCTGGTTGTCGCAACAGTATTTCTCGGGGTTGATTGCTTTTGCTTTCTTCCTCTTGACTCAGTGTAAGTCGAATTGTTCCCATGTGTGCTGCAGATATGTATGGCTAACTTTCGTGTTCAGCTCACATTCGTCGACTGAAGTGGTTTACGATGCTTGCATTCGTCTGGGTAGCAATGACGAGCCTTAGCTGCGCGCATTCCTTGCTGCTCGCGTTCATACTCTTAACACCTCCATTGAGAGACTCCAGATGGTTCGACATCGAAGTACTACATACAGTTGTCGGACTCGTGTCGCTAGCCCACTACGTCGCCGCAGGGATGATGGTGCTTGCAATCAACAGTCCTTTGTTTCAGAGGCAGCTGTTGGTCACGACTGCCCTTCCGTTGGTCCTTCCACTCCTCCCGTGGATTTTGCCCAAGGTTGACAGCCATCACCGCCGACTCGTCAGCATCTCGGAAGCGCAATCCAAAGTCTTTCTTACAACAGGCTTGTTATCTTTGGCTCTTCACTGGGTAACAATGTGGTTCATGTTCTACGGAACAGCTTTTGTCAATGCTGAGGATCTCAGCTATCGAATCTTTGTCCAAAGGTCTGACGTCGACGACTGCTTTAGACTCGGACTGGTGCATTTCTTGAAGCACGATCCTTCTGTAGCAGCCATGTGCTGTGATGTTATGCTCACTCTACTCTTACTTCTGACCTGGATTCCAGTGAGCACGGTTAGTCTCTGGGGCATGATCAAATGTTCTATGAACCCGTGGCTTGAGACTGGTCAGAGAACAGTGTGGGATAACAATCTAGACTTGGGCGCAGCGTTGGCTAGGGCACATGAGCCGAGAGTGATCGTATCGAGGAGTGAGCCGGCTTTCTGGAGGTTGGTCCTCGCAGTGGTGTTGTGGGTGCTTGGTGGACTTGGATGGGTGGTACCTGCAGTCTTGGGAGCAGGGGCAAGGCATCTAGACCCATGATGATTCGGACGTGGAAAGGTTCACGCCATCTATCCATATTTTGATAGGCAGTGCAGGCGAGTCCGCGACTCGTGGAAGAGGTCGCCGGTATAACCCTGCTCTGCCTAGATTAGTCTTAATTACTATGCATCTGACGACAATCATGCTCCTCGACTGCTATGGCTCGAGCATATTCGATACCTAAATGGGGTATGATAGATTATTAAGGCTCATGACACGGTTGTTGTCGTCGGGTGATCACTTGTTCGACATTTCACCAGTTCTCCGGTCGTTCACGACGTGTAACCACCTGCAGTCCACACCCGACAGTGAATCAAGCAAACAATTGGACTACAAACTCACTTTCCTACAGAGCACGGTGAATGAACCAACAAGCATCCGGTCAAGTGACTGTTGACCAAAATAGCAAATGTCCCACTGCGACTTTTTGATGTACAGTATAAAGAGATGCAGTTCTCGGAGGTCTGGTGCATGGCCGCAGCGGGCAGATCCGCGATAAGATGTGCCTTCCTCTGATTGTCACGAGCGATCGAGGAAGTCGCTCCTCGCAACATTCATCACAGTAACCGACCATCACAACAGCTGTCTATTCTTTGTATTCATCCTAGCATGGATTTTGCATCGCTCATGTCGGCGCAGATTGCCAAAGCCAAACCAACGCCAAAATCGCAGACGTCACAGGAAACGAAGTCATCCAAATACATCAAACGCGCCGACGTCGAGGCTCAACGACAAGCCGACTACGCCGCCGAACAAAAAGCAATAGAAGATGCGCGAATCGCTAGGCTCGAGAAGAAGCGCAAGTTTGATGAAGACGAGGCCGAGAAGAACAGAGCAAGAGAGGACAAGCGCAAGAGACTGGCAGAAGAAAGCAGGAGGTTGAGGGGGGAGGAAGAGGAACATGAAGAAAGGATTCGTCGCAAGAGACTGGGGCTGCCAGAGCTACCACCTAAAGAGAAGGTCGTCGATGGTGATGATGCTACTCCCACACCTGAGAATGACATTGCGCCAGAGGAGCTCGTTCAAAAGCTAAGGGGCATGAATGAACCAGCGCGCTTGTTCGGAGAGACTCACACCGGCCAACTGCGACGATACAGAAAGCTTGCTGGACTCGATGCCTCAGGCAAGCCCAAAGCAATCATGTACCCTGGTCCCATACCCACAACCCTCGAACCTGTACCCGAAGCCGACATGAAGGTCTCCGAAGTTGTACCCCAGGATACAGAGGGTCGAGCATTCCTTTATCGCCAACTCGCTTCCTACTTTACTCTGGTTTTATCAGAGTGGCAAGTCTCGCTGTCTTTACGAGATGAGGCTGTCAAGACGAGTAGCAGTGGAAAAGCTGCATACAGTGCCATGGTTCAAGCTCGCGAAAGTATGGTGCCGCTGTATCGGAAACTGGAGAGGCAAGAAGTGGAGAAAGGCATTCTGGGTCCCATCGTTGAGATTGTGCGAGCATGTCAAGAGAGACGCTACGTCGATGCCAACGATGCTTACCTGCGGTTGAGTATCGGAAAAGCGTAGGTCAACCTTTGATAATTACTTCTTTGCAGAGCGCTAACGTTGTCGCAGTGCATGGCCTATTGGTGTCACCATGGTTGGTATCCACGAGAGATCTGCACGCGAGAAGTTACATGCGAACGACAAGGATGCGGCGCATATCATGAGTGACGAGATCACTAGAAAGTTCTTGCAGTCCATCAAGAGATGCCTGAGTTTCTCACAGACCCGTTGGCCACCAACCACTCCTCTACAGCTTATGGGTTAGAAGGTCATTTTTAGCTGCTCTCACTATAATCCATAGAGCATGCACCCACTTCTATAGCAATAATGAGTAACGAAAGACCTGAGATCATTGTTTCTTTGACTTGTGTGATCGATTTTTCTCCATTATTTCTTTTTATTTTCTGCTCATCGTCCACCTCCGCATTTGGTGCAAGCTCTCGCCTGACGGCTTCATCTTGGTTTGCGCTTTTATCATATTTTCTATCTCATCTTCCAACAACAACACAACTTTGGATCGCAAAATGCATGAAGTGATCACACTGCAGTTTGGTCAGCAGGCTAACCATGTGGGAACACACTTTTGGAACGCCCAGGTAAGTCATTGATTCTTCGCAACGTCCCCAGCCCCCTCCAGAATGTGAAATTGGTCATACATAAAGACAATTGAGGTCGGAGTCATCGTAGACAGTCTTTATTCTACGTTCTCGCACCATAGAGCTTGATGTTGCTTGCAAGTAAGATGTTGATCAATTCGCGTACAGGAAACATATTTCACATACGGTGACGAGGAAGAATCTCCCGTGGATCATGATGTACACTTCCGACCTGGACATTCGGAAGATGGTACAGAAACTTTTACACCTCGCGCACTGCTATATGATCTGAAAGGCGCCTTTGGAACTTTGAGGAGAGATAATGCATTGTACGGTGCAGCCGATGATCCTGCAGCAATTGCACAACAGATGTGGTATGTTTCACATATACAGCATGACTGTGCTGGAGACGACTGACCAGATAAATAGGGCGGGAAACACGAATGTGATTCGAACAGAACAAATCCAGCAAAGTGTATATCAACAGCATCTGGACCAAGGACTCGAACCACCTGCTCTGTCGCCAGATACTGTGCGCTACTGGTCCGATTTCAACAGGGTATTTTATCATCCCAAGTCTATCGTTCAGCTGCAGGAGTACGAACTGAATTCTGCTCTTATGCCTTTCGAAAAATGGGCAACTGGAGAAGACTTGTTCGATAGCCTCGACAAGGAACACGATCTTCTGGATAGAGACCTGCGACCATTCCTGGAAGAGTGCGATCAACTGCAAGCTATTCAGATGATCACCTCTGCCGACGATGCCTGGGGTGGCTTCACAGCCAAGTACCTGGAGAGAATGAGAGACGAACTGGGCAAAACTAGTGCTTGGGTATGGGGACTCGAGGAAGGCGGACGCAAACCAAGGGTCAGTATGCACATGCACGTAGATTTCGAAACCACGAACTAACCTCGCATGTGCATCAACAGGACAAGCAAATCTTGCAGGTCGCCAATATCGCACAGTCAATCTACCAAATCTCAAGCCAGGCGAGCATGTACATTCCGCTTACCACTTTACCGGATGTATTGCCATCGTATATTAATCTGAATGCATCATCCAAGTGGCATACTTCTGGACTGCAGCTGTTGGCTTTGGAGAGCATGACTCTGCCAACGAGGTTGCGTTCAGGCCAGCAAGGACGCTCGTCATTCGCTGATATCGAGACATTGTTGAGCAATGATGGCAACCGCAGAGTAGCTCAACTCAATATGAGCATTAGAGACCCAGCCGAACTTGACGGCGAAGCAAACGGACATGCGGCACAGCACGACAGCAGAATGAATGGTTACACGAATGGAAGCCACGGCCACGATGATGCAGAAACGAAGGATCTTGACATAGACATGCAGCCAAAGACGGCCAATCTGACTGGCGAACGAGGACCAAACAGATCCCGAACTCACGTCTTCAGCCAATTGCAGAGCCTACGCGGGAAATGGAAGTCGAGTCTCGAAATCGAAGACACGAACCTCGCAGCCCGCGACCGCTTCGGCCACGGCCCCAGAATCGAGAGGTAAGTCCTGAGACACACGAAATTGCGATGTTGCGATACTGCGGCAGAACCCAAAACTCAAGATGCTGACAAGAAGGATCTACAGTCACCAATCCTCGCTGCTGTTCCCCGTCATCGACAGCTTCCCTCAAGTGTTTGCGTCTGGCAATATTGTTCAGAAACTCGCTGTGCATGCGACACTATCAACAACTACATCTGTCGCGCAGAGACTCCGTGCGGTGGAAAGAATCGCTCGCTCAATAATTGGCATTGATGAGCGTGAAGCACTCTGCGATGGACTCGTAGGGATCTGCGAGGAATATGAAGATGGGTGGGAGAGCGGCAGCGAGAGCGACGATGATAATTAGCTTCAGAGGCTTGAAAAATGACAAAAGGACTGCAGGTCCAAAAGGTACACATGCAGCAGCAGCAGAGTTGTTTTTTCCTCTTTGCCCTGCACACAACAGGCGACAGCTGATCAAAAGGGCAGTGTCTAACCTTGCAGTCACAAGTTTCTGGGTGGGCGGAAGCATCTTCTCCTTCGCTCCTTCCTCTCTCAAGAGTCAAGCTCTTGGCTGGCTGGTCGGCCGAGAGATTTGGGCAGACGGAAGGACATGCTGGTTTGGGCAATTGATCTGGACGTGAGGGTGTGATGGGCTAGCTCTTGTGGAGTGCATATAATACGCCCTCAACAAAAAAGACATAACCATTCGTTCGCTCGTGGGAATGCTCGGCTATATATAAAGTTCATGCTTTGTTCTTTATGCTCTTGTGACAACCACTCACACCTGAAGTCTCGTCATGTACCTGCGTAAGTGTTGCCATTTTTCGCTACAAGCTCTATAGGTCAGCCAGCCCTTCTTCTCGTTGGCGTGAGAACACGCGCAGCCTCTCTCTCAAGTGAAAAAAAAAGCTGGCAGGAAGGGACGAAAGTCTGAAGAGCATCTTTCCGAGGCAAACCCGCAGACAGCCTCTTCTTTTTTGTGATTGGTGGATGTTTGCATTTCTATTACCATGCGAACCAAACGCGCAAGAACGTGAAGGGAGCGTGCTTTGCTCCACTCTTTGTCAAAGAAGAGCAAAAGCCCAAAAATCTTCTCGGCTGTGACTTCAACAGAAAGTTTTGTGAGGCTGCTTGATCCTTCGAGCATCGTCTTGCTTCGGCGGGTAGCGGCAGCGATTCAGAGAGGAACATGGCGGAGGTCCATGCTCGTGCTGGCCCTGGGACTTCATGGCGTCGGTGGCTTGAATCCTAAGGATGGGAACATTCTCGCAAACTGGAAGCTCGAAGCAGCAGCAAAGCACGACACATCACATGCATCGAGCGATGATTAACAAATTCATGGATGCAACCTCGCCGACCGAACAAGAGCGGTGGTGGGAGTGACATTTGCTTGTTTCTCGTATATTCGACGCAGCGCTGTATAACAATAGTATACTACTTGCATACAGTGTGGCCGCGTGATGAATCCTCGCGAGAAACTCGTCTGGTCAAGCAGCTCGTTTGTGGAAGCCACTCAGGCAGTGGTTCGATAGCCACGAAGAGTCCACAGTGGGAATACGATATTTTCCAAGCCTTTGTTGAGGGCTCTCAGATGTGATGATGCGACTACATGATCCTTCGGCGCAAGCAAGGTTTTGGTTTCGCGGCGCAAAACAGACGTTGCGACCCTGGAGCCTCTTGTCGATGAGCAGGAACGTCCAGGTTGGAATTGGTGTGGTTCGTGGATCGTTGTCTCGGTTGTGGACGGCCCTATCCTCCCCACGAGATCGACGTGATGCCATGTCTATTTTCTGCTTCTGGGTTTTGTCCGTCTGTCTGCCAACTGGGACGCTACTGCAGGTTCATTGCCTGCCTCGAGTCTTGGATTATGGAGGCCCACCACCACAACGTTCCTCCCACCGTTGAATTTTCGTCGAAGCCAAAACGTTCAGTCAACGAGCATACGCAAACGCTTTGTCTGAGAATACCCCAGTCACACAACGTCGCGTGGTAAAGCTTCAATGTAGCAGCAGGAACCCGACAGAAAGACATGGATCGAGTGCGCCGTCTACCAGGATCCAGAACTGCATATTCCGCATGTCCTGCGCAAGGCTTGCGCATGGAAAGCTGTCTGCAAGTAAGAGCTCGGTTGGCTGGGGTACGCTTGCTGCACGCAGGTGGATCTTTAGTGTCAATCACCATAACCGAGTAGTCGACATGTGGGCCGGTTCTTGAGCCACGAACCTTCGAACTATTGACCTCGATACGAAAAACTCATCTCTGCCAAGCTCAAGGTAGTCGGCTGCTCCGCTTACCTTCGTACCAACCATTGCCTGCCAGCACGTCAACACACTCGATCAATTAGTGATGGCGCTGGTTGATCCTCATCAGTGGCGTACCCTAAATCACGTCAATCGGTAGAGTACCAGAGCTGGAAGATGGGGCATCTCGAGCTCGGGCAGTCAACATGCTGGGGAAGATGAGATATATTAATTGTCGTCCCTTCCTCTGCAGATTGTTCTATCATTCAATCGCTTTTATTAATCGCCCTCTGGAGACTCTCTCGCTACGGTCTCTCTTGGATACTTTCGTTCACACATTCATCAAAAGCAGTAGTCAATTAATATCGACTTGAACATCTGTAAAAGAATGAAGTCTTTCTCCATCCTTGCTGGCCTCATTGGCCTTGCATCCGCCACCGGCTGGAACGAGACATGGAGTCACACTCCCTCTTCGTCTGCTTCGGTCTCGTCCTCGGTCTCGGAGCACCAGTCCACCCCCTGGGTCAAGCCCACTGGCTGGACTGAGACCTCATCGGTTGCTTCTTCCTCTGCTGAGCACAATGCTACCTCGACGCTCGTCACCTATGTCACCACAACCGTGTGCCCTACGACTCTCACCACGACCAGTGGTGGCAAGACGTACACGCAAACAACAACTTTGACATCGGTCTTGACCATTACTAGCTGCAAGGGAGGCTGCACAAAGCCCACCGAGGTCCCTTCTTCGACCTGGGTTCCTTCTTCTACTAACCCTGCTGCCAATGTCACAAGCACCGAGATTGTGTACACCACCACCTCTCTGTGCCCCGTCACCACCGTTAAGCAGGGTCAGACATTCACGTACACCACAACGAGCACATTTGTCGTCACTAGCTGCAAAGGCGGTTGTGTTAAACCTACTCAGTCTGCTCCTGCTCCGACCACCAAGACCGAGGAAGTCTACACGACCACAACTGTTTGTCCCGTAACTGAGACTACGGTCAGCGGTGGCCAAACCCTGACCAAGACGTACACTACTACTTCGGTCGTGACTCTGACATCGTGCAAGGGTGGCTGCGTCGCTAAGCCCACCGAAACCCCCAAGCAGTCCTCGCAGAGTGTTCCTACTGCCCCCTACCCTATCTGGAATGCCACTCACCCCATTGTTGGTCCCTCGGGCACTGCCCCCGTCCACAAGACCTCGACTGTGACTGCATCTGTCATTACCACTGTCATTTCTTGCTCTTCTGGCCAAGTAATTACCAGCGGTGGTCAAAAGACAACCCTCACGGCTCCTTCAACGATTACAAGCATTCTGACCAGCTACGCCACCGTCACCGCACCCACTCAGGGCCATGTTGTTCCCACCACTCCCATCTATGGAAATGCAACCACTACTTACACCGCTTCTGGAAAGGTCACTGTTGTCGTCCCCGTCACTCAGTACACCACCACTTGCCCCTACACTACCGTTGACCAGCACGGCTCGACTTCCGTCTTCTTGACCACCTCGGTCGTCAGCCACCCTGCTGAGAGCACCAAGGTCTCTTCTGCATCAGTCGAGACTCACCCCGCCTCGTCGCCTGTTGCTCCCGTCCCATCGAGCAAGCCTGTCGAGACCCACCCCGTCTCGTCGCCTGTTGCATCATCCCCCGTTGCATCTGTGCCCGTCGCATCTTCTCCCATCGCCTCCTCGCCTGTTGCTCCCGTCCAATCGAGCAAGTCCGTCGAGACCCACCCTGCTTCTTCCCCCGTCTCTCCCGTCCAGTCCACCAAGCCCGTCGAGAGCGCCCCTGCTACCACCGCCGCTGCCAGCTCGCCCGTCAGCAAGCCCACTGGAAACGTTGTTACTCAGATCAGCGATGGCCAGATCCAGGCTCCCGGCCCTTCGTCTGCTCCTCCCGCTCTCCCCGTCTCCTCCGGCCTCGTCGCTTCCTCCGTCCACTCTGTCCTGAGCAGCTCCGTCCACGCCAACGCCCCTAGCAGCACCAGCGGTTCCGTTGCCTCGGCCACCACCTCCACCCCTGCTCAGTACACCGGTGCTGCCAGCAAGAGCAACGCCAGCTTCATGGCTGCTGTTGCCGCCATGGCTGCCGTCTTCTTCTTCTAGATGCCGGATTTTCCCTGCTCTCTAGTCTCCTCTTGAAACTCTCCTTTCTCCTTCACTTCTTGTCCAACACCTTTTTTATCTTTTTCTTTCCAACCCCTTTTTTTGATTCCCTCGTATTCTAAAGAATATGGAGGACCATGATATCATGACGAACCCCCCTTTTTTTTCCCACTCTAATGACCTATTTGGCTGTGCTACCTTGTAGCTTTATAGCCTCTATTTGTATAGCTTAGGTTATTAGTACATGGCGAGATAGCTTTACATTCCTGTTCTTGGATGTTTTAGTTTGAAGATGCAAAAAGAATCAGAAACGTATATAATAAGCTGAACAACAAAAATTGCAAATTACATCAAAAAAAAAAGCAATCACTCGAAACCGTTAGCTTGTGGTCCAATGTGAGGAGATCTATGGAAAGATGTACTCGGCCACGGTTTCCCACAGAGTTGGCGAGTGCTTATTGGTGGTCTTGATGTGAAGGGGGGACCCTGATGTTTTATTCCTCTGACCTCGTAACTTTGCTTACCAGAGTGTTTTGTTCGAGGTCGTGCAGAACGTTTTCTTTCATCTTATCACTCGACTGAGCTTACCATGTATTCATCTGTCAATTTGACTGGCTAGACTCGAGACTTTTGAGTGAGCGAGCCTCTTGGAAGAGATTGGGGCTTGTCTTCTTGGGTCGTATGGAAGCACTCTTGTCATTGCCATGATGATGATGATGATGATGATGATGATGATGATGATGATGATGATGATGATGATGATGATGATGATGATGATGATGATGATGATGAGAAGCATTCTATTCACAGATCCATTGAACAATCGTGTGACAAGACTATGGACGAAAATGTATAGAACTTTGATTCCGAGTCCTGACAACGAGTCTTTTCCCTCAACATGGTATAGTCGGATAAGAATCGAGTTGTCATCAGGGCCATCAACAAACCAGAAGGTAGGAAAAAAAAGTGCATCTGGCGGTGGGAGGAGTACTTTAAGAGTCTATTCCATGCAAGAGTATGTGGAAACCATGGCCATATGAACAGGAAAAAAAAAACTCATCCTCAAAAAGAACAGCAAAATCCTGGAAGAGGGGTATATAACAAAGGACGTGCTATGTGCAAAGAGGCAGACCGAATTTGGTGTAAAGGAAAAAGAGAAGATGACAAGAAAAGGAGAGCAAGAAGAACAAACGCCGTGTTATGCACAACCAATCAACCAACCTGTAAGTCCCACCCCAAAAACTCCTCGCTCTTTCGATAGGGTAAGCGTATATGTTCATTTTTAACGCTTGAATATAGAAATGAAACTCTTCCTCTTGGCCACCTTCGGACTAACCGGTGACGCATTTTGTGGTATAGGCGGTGGCTTCGGTATAGGAGTGGTGCTGACCGATCCCGGGCGAAGAGAGTTGCGCGGAGAGCTACTAGACGCGTTTTTGAGTATACCGTTCAGATTGCTCTTGCGCTTGTCCTCGCCATTTGGTGTGCCGATTGGTGTAGGCGGCAGGTCTCTGGTCGGAGGGTTTTCTCGTTCTTCGAGTACGGGAGATGTTGCGCTAGCGATGAATGCAGGGCCTGGGTGGGAGGTGAGTGATACGGCAGATTGAGACAAGTTTCCGCTGGGTTGTCGAGAGTGGTTTGTAGTTGGTAGATGTGTGTTTGCGACTTGTGGGAGTGCCGAGGGGACGTCGTCGGTGTTTCTGACCGAAGGCTTCTTCGCGTGAACCGATCTTCGCGAGCCTCTGGTCCAGGCGCGCTTGATAGCGTTGGCAGCCGTCACGTCAGAGTCAATGCTGCTCTTCTCGATTCGCTCAATCTCTCCCAAGACAGTGGTGCCATTCGTAGCAAGATTTTCTTCGGCAATGGGCTGGAATCGGAGAATGCCTCTTTCTGGTGGGACAGCAAGAATGTCTGCCATGAAGGATTGTATGAGGGCCGAGTTGCGCTTGTTTGTGACGGGCTGTAATTGGGAGGGGAGGGCGGTGATGGTGAGAATGTAGGCGGGTTCGAAGGAGCCGGCGAGCAGTAAGCAGGCAGAATGCTCAACGTTGACCATGATGCTGCTTTCGGGACGCGAGTAGCGCTGGCTGAGGTTGTACGACATGTCGGTGACGAGGGTGAACTCATCCTTTACCTGTTTCATGAGGTCAGTCGGCGATGTTTGCGACAGCTACGCGCGCGCACAGCAGCAACAACAACAACATACAATGACATTGGTACGCAGCTCAGCCACGACCGGGGAGTCCTTCTCAATCCTCTCGCGCACACTGCCCAACCCATTGCCCTTGTATTGAAACTGCTCTTCGTAGAAGTTCGTCCTCCTCTTCGAGTCTTCGAGGGAGAAGGCTGGTCCATCTGTATCCTTGTCGCCCGACATGCCGAATGAGAGCTCCGAGCTGATGTTTCGTGATCGGTTACCTCCTCCTCCGACCAGATTTAGATATGCGGCCTCGATCTCTGCTGGGTCTCTTTCGTCGCCGGATCCGTCGTCATAGCGCGTGCGGGCAAGTTGTTCTCCAGTCTTTTGAGGGAGCAATGAGAAGACGCCGCTCCTGTAAGTCTCTCGTCTCGGCAGAGCTCCGCCAGTGGTGGACATTGATCTGCGGTCCTGCTCTCCGAGGGCGGGCGAGTCTGGATAAGGATAGAGTGTTTGGCGGGCTGAAGCGCGCTTAAATGAGAGTGGTCGTTCCAAAAGCATCTTGGTACTTGTGCTGTGCTAGATGCACCTTCCCGGTTCCGCGTCCGACTGCTGCGACTGCCTAACTCGTCCCTGTGTGACAAAGAGCGTGTAGATTAATGACAAAGAACGAGTAGACGGCACCAGAGGGAAAAGAGAGTGGAATGCCAGAACAAGAGCGTCTGACCGACTGCTACCAAGGAACCAACCAACATGTAGACAAGCCCACGGAGCAGCAAACAGACTTGAGCAGAGGGAAAGATCGACTTGGACTTGGACTTGGACTTGGACTTGAACTCGGGACTGGCCAGCTCATGGCTCAAACGCCGTTGTGTGGGCACCAGGACGCTTTGGGAGGAGAAAACGTTGAAAGGGCCCAAAACTAGCCAGCGAGCTATCACGCGCCACTCGAAGCCTGTCGCTTTGCTGTTGTTGAAACGCGCAAATCGGATCAGAAAGACCTTCGCAATGATTGCTTGATGACAGCTGAACCCTCATCCAGCTAAAGGCTAACCCGCCGTCGAGGTACAAGTCGTCGACGCTGGTTGGTCTCCGGCCATGTGGAGGAGTCAGCGCCAGACAGCAATCCCTACAAGGCCGTCCGCTTGCGGTTAGACGCTGCATCAGCACGGCAGGGCTTAGCGCTTCCGGCTCACCTCCGAGGCCGATGCGCTTGCGATTCCATCTGCCGTGCGTAATCGCAACCGAGATCTGATGCACGTGGGTCAAGAGCCTCAGGCCAAAGACATTTTGATTCTTCTTGAAATCGACTTCGAGTGGTATAGAGCTCACATTGACAGGAACAATGCTCGGAAGAAGCACGGCAAGAGGTAGTACACACCCTGCGACACGTCCAGCTGCGGGCATAGCCCACCACGGATCCGAAACCATTCGTACCGTTTCAAGGCCAATATGCTCCGTTGCACTCGAGTAATATCCAAGGCGGAAAGCGGCATTGAGTATCCTGCATTGGACGTTCGAGATCAAACAAACAATGACTCGACACCTGACACAGGCAGAGTCGCAACTCGAGCTCTGACAGGACAGTAGAGCTCTCCACACGACTAAGATTGTGGGATGTGGAGATAGTCTGTATCATCACAACCATGCAACCGCTCAGCAGTCGTGGACTAGAGAGGGCAAAGCAACCAGAACCCCAAATGCGCATGGGATTCGATGTCCCTACGTAAACATGCCCATCGTTCTCGTCTAGAGATGATCTCCTGACGCTTTGCTACGTACATGTTGTCATGACATAATGGTTCCTGAGTATGACGACCTCGATGATACATCAAGACAGCTCTGGCGAGTTTGAACATGTATAAGAGAGGTCAGTCTGGGTAGCGGAACTTCATCAATTTACCCAACTTACAACTACACTTGACCCCTCAAAACCCTAAGCTACACACACAACACACACAATGGACGGCGACTCAGCAGCAAAGACAATGGACCAGGGTGCCTCTGCGTACGTGAATGTGTATCTCATGCAGCATAGACGTTTAGCTGACTCGAATCAGAGCATTGAGAAACGATGATCTTGGATCCAATGCCATTCACGAGCAAGCTGTACCCAGAGGCGAGCCTGCGGGCGAGAAGACGACAGGCACTGGCACACCAGCCTTCAGCGCGGACGGTGCAATCGGCAAGCAGTTCAATGGTATTTTATACTCCTCAGAAGAGACGAAGCAGCTGCTGACCATATGACAGCTGACGGAGCGATCGGTCAAGTTGGCGAGAAGGTCGGTGGACCATTCTCATCGCAGGGTGCAATAGGAAAGCAGTTCACCGCCGAAGGCTCGATCGGCGGCGCCATCCATGAGCAGTTGGGCAAGGGCGAGAACAACACCTTCCAGAAGTAGAAGCGTCTTACGAAACATGCCGACATGATCATGGCATTGTAAAAAAGAAAATCCCAACGAAATCATGAACAATGAACAAGCGCATGTCCAAGATAGTTAATAGAGGATTGTGATGCATGTGAAATCAGAAGGCGGAGAAAACGATCGCCATGGACCAAACAGTGCAAACAGGGCGGGCTCATGTTTCGGCCTTCGCCATTGCCCAGAACAAACCATCTTTCGAAATGTCCGACCAAGACAAATTGCCCGTCGACCAGGACGAGGAATACAAGTCGAGCGAAGATGAGGACTTCAACCCAGATGCGGTAGACGCACCGCCAGACGAGGACTTGTCCTCGGACGAAGACGAAGCGCCGCAACCAAAGAAAGTCTCCACGAAGCGAAAGAAGACCCAAGCCGATGCCGAAGAGCTGGACTCTGGTGATGAAGCCACAATCACAGAGTTAAGGAAGGCCAAGAAATCAAAAGCAGACGATGACGAGGACAGCGGAGGTGAAGGAGGCCTGATCAAGACGCGAGCTCAGAGGAGAGCAGAGTACGTCAAACTGTCGCGACCCTACAACATCAATTCTAATGCTTTGCGCAGAAAACAGGAGCGTCAAGAATACCGGAAAGCCAACATTGACAATGTTACCGTCGACGTCGATGCCCTGTGGGCCTCGATGCTTGCCAGACCCATGCGACCGGCGCGAGACCACCTCAAGCCTGTGCAAGAAGCGAACACCAAAGACACCGTAGCCGAACAAGCCCATAGCAAAGACACACAAGCAGACGAGGATGATAATGGCATGATCACCATCAGGCGATCCTACGACTTTGCGGGCCAGAAGGTGACAGAAGAGAAGCGCGTACACAAGGACTCGGCCGAGGCAAAGCTCTTCCTCGCAAACAACGACCCAACCAAGCAGACCAAGCCTCGCTCGCCATCACCAAAAGATGACCAACCCACTCTCCGCCGTCCATTACGTCGCGCCTCAAAGTTCGAGCCCAACCCGACCGGCGAGGTCAAAGGTCTACCACTAGAGCGTCAAAGACTGCGAACCCCTTCCCGAGCCGATGTTCTCGCACAACAAAAGAGGCTAGAGGAAGAGGCCAAGAAGGGCAAGGCTGTCAAACTCAACACCGTCCAGAAGTCGGCCATTGATTGGGCTGCCCATGTCGACCAAGAAGGATTCAAGGAAGAGTTGGACGAGTACGGCCGCAGCAAGCAAGGCTACATTGGCAAAATGGACTTCTTGCGTGGCGTCCACGGCAAGAAAGAGGAGGAAGAACGAAAGGCTCGCATGGCCCAGTCTTCTGCATGAGAAACGAAATTCATATACCCGAACTCGTCGTCATTGATAAACTCTCTGCTTCAATTGGCGCGCGATCTCGAATCACGGCGCTACAAAAATGCACGAATGTTTCCAAGACGGGATGGTGGCCAAAGAGACACATCTCGGAGACTTGCCCTCAGCGGACATCGCTACACGCCTACAACATACTTTGCATCCGGACGACCACACGAGTCACATGCTGACCAATCGAGAAGAACGACAAAGACGACCAATCGCACTCGAATCGGCAACAAAGCCTTTAGACTTCGTGTGTGAACGCATTTTACTACCTCGCCATCGTCTCCCTGCCACGAAGCCTACACGAATAGACAACTCGATATCGACCCGACGTTCGATGGTGGGTCGAGCAAAGGCTGAAGTGGGAGCGGGCCTCCGCACGTGGGACTCGAGGAGAACTCAAGAAGGGCGAAGGTGTCCAGCCGCTGGACCGCCTTGTGGTGGAAGAGAGAAAGAGGAGCACACAAGTTTGGGGCACGACTTTATAGTGAAGATTTCAATGTGAATTCGGTGGGAGCGATGAAGTCAGTTTGGTGAAGACTCAGAGACTGAGAAATATGATCTTGTGACGACTTGAACGCGGACAAGAGAAGAATCAAGCCTTTATTGTCGCCGAGAACAGAAGAAACAAGAACGCAATAGAGAGATGCGAAGAGAAGGAGACGGAATGAAACAGAAAGAAGCTGGTAGAACCAACATCGCTGAAACTTGACACCGCTCTCTGCGTCAGGCATGAATCCTTCCCGGTGGCCTAACAGAGTACCAACACACACTTGACTCATGAAGAACATGAAGAAGCTGAAGCATGTTAAATAACGGCTATCCTGGCTCTGAGCTAGGAAAGTATCTTCCTCACACATCTTACTACCTAAATCAATTCAACCAACATGACACAACGAATCAACCTCAGCGACGACGGCGCAAGCTACATCACCCTAGACACCCTCCCTCTGGATCTCAAAGCCTACGGCACCGACGCCTTCGAAACCCTTTTCAATCTCCACCCCGAACAGCGTGGAAAAGTTCAAATGCCATCCGGAGAAGTCGAGTCACCTCGCTGGCACAAGAGCTACCTCAACACACCAACCCACAACCCAGCAACACATTTCAGCTACATGTTTTCTGGCCACAATGATGTATCAACTCGCGACTTGCTTCCTGATGCATTTCTGCCCTTCTTGAAATATGTCAATCGCAATGATGAGACATACAATCAAGTGGTGATCAATTGGTATAAAGATGGACAGGACTTTACACCACAACACAGTGATTGCGAGGAGGGCATGAAGGAAGGCGCGGACATCGTTATCATATCCTTGGGCGATGAGCGCGATTTCAAGATTCGTCCCAAGAACATCAAAGTGGAAGGAACAGATGGGAATGCGGATGTGGCTGCCAAGTCTGAGGGCTTGGATGTGCCTTGTCCTCATGGATCTATCTTGACCATGGGTGGTCATACGCAAAAGCTCTTCCGGCATGGTGTTCCCAAATCTGTATCTGAGGGACCTCGCATTAGTATCACGTTCAGGAGCTTCAGAGAGTAGTAGAGACCATCGAGTCCAGCAACAGGAACAGAAAAGGGAAGGAAGGAGTGTTTCATATAGTTTCTTGAGGATACCGAATCAAAACAGACTCATAAACACAAACGCTGGATCTGTATATACAGTAGAGATTGCATTCAATCGTGCAAACAAAGACATTAGATAAGTGCGTGAGCACAGAGATGGTAAGAATGTAACAATGTGATGCAAGCAAAAGCAAAAAAATTCATCGGAACGCCTCTATGCAAACCGATTGTCGCTTTTTATCCCAAACGTTCTAAAGTCATCAAGGAGTGTCGTGAAGAGTATGATAGTCGTGTCTGTACATCCGTTTGTTGGTCATGTATACTTCACCCAGTCAAGTAGGTTGAGTGCACTAGCCACTTAGTAACCCGAGGGCTTGACCCAGCCGGTAGGCTTGATGTGTCCTGAAGGCTTCACCCAGCCAGTTGGCTTAGCTGTACCACTGGCAGAGCCGGTGTGAGACCGGCTGAGGGTAGAGCCGGGCTGGATAGGTGTGTTGGTGGCAGAGGGAATGCTCTCGGTCTTGTGGTCACCACCGTAGACGGTCACATATGAAACGACGGTCTCGTAGACAGTTTCGGGTGCAGCACATGTGCCAGAAGCCTGGCCAGTGACGGTGGTACCGTGTATAGTAGAGGCAGAAGGCAAGACCAAAGCAGGAGAAGTCGAAGAAGAGGTGGCAGAAGGCAGAACCAAAGTAGAGGTAGGATAGATGGTCTCACAGCTCGTTGTCACAGTCTTGTAGCTTGTCGTGAGGTATGTCACTGTCAACCAAGTGCTGAAGAATGTCGTCTCGCTGTTCGACATCACGGCAGTCGAGCAAGGCACAAATGACGTGATAGTCGTAGTCACATCGACAGGAACAGTGTGGGTCAGTGTGACTACGCTGCCGTCTGTAGCTGTGGTCGTAGGCTTGACGACGGCCGAAGACGTGGTAGGAGGGTTGACAGAACCAGTTCCAATCGGGCCAGTTCCAACAGCACCAGTCTTGGTATTGACAGAGCCGGTAGGGCCATAGAGATAAGACGAATCAAGGGGGAAAGGCTTGGTATTCGTGTAGCCGAATGGGTTGTATCCCAGGCAGGATGCGTACTCGGAAGCGCAAGTGGACATGTTGGCCAAATACTTGCTACGACAAGCATTGTAAGTTGTCTCACAGTCAGTGGCCGAGCGCTTCGCAAACTGGAATTTGCCAGGGAGTGCGGAAGCAGTTCCCACCAGGGTGATAGCTGCAAAGGTAGTGAAGTGCATCTTGATTATGTATCGATGGTTGGTTCTGTTATTGAGTTTGCTGGAGTGCCGGAGTTTTGGGTATAGTAAAACGATAGAGTGTGCAGCTAGAAGCGAATGTAGTTCCGATGAAAGGATGATCAAGAGCAAGCTGTGGTTGTTGTAGATGAGGAAAGAGATTTTGGGTGCACTCTCACCGCACTTATTATAGTTGTCAGTGGTAGAACTTTTCACACTTACACACATGATACACCATTTGTTGAGATTGAGTTTTACGCCTCATGGTCGAATGTAGCATCAACAGCTAGAGTGTGATGCGGTGAGGCAACATCACGGTCCTTACAATCCTTTTGCGAGATGTGGAATAGCTCGGAAGTGCCAAATTAGAGTCATTCCAAGCCACGGTCGCCACAATACGAAGCAATGGTGTATGTACCTTGGAGGCTCTCGGTGGAGACATCGATAGGGACGTGACTGAAAGAGGTGGTTGCTCTGGAAAACGGAGGATAAAGAACCTGGAAGAACTCTAGAAACTGCTATAATTAGTGTCAAAGGCTTGGCTTGGCATGCATCCTGGCAGAACAAAGTCATGCTGACTGGCTCGTATATTTTCATGGTGTGGGAGGGTGCCTTGCATTCTGCAGTCAGGTGTCATACCTCCCAAGCTCCAGCTGTTCGGTGTTGAGGTAAAAAGAGTGACATTGACGGTCGGACACGCCGTATACCACTCTCTACCTGTGGACGTCTTTGGTCATCTTGGCAACCTCACCGACCAGAGTCCCATTCTGGTAAGCGGTGACTTTGGTAAGATGGATGGCAAACTCGGCGGATCAGCTCACAGATTTAGGACCGCGTTTGCTGGCGATCGGAACCGGACACGCGATGACTGTCCTCGTGCTTGTGGAGTGCTCTCCATGAAGGCTGCCACTAGACTGATCCTTGGTTCTGATCGCGAACCACAAGCGCAGATACAAGCGCGATATACAAGCGAGTGGATCAATAATCTTTCAGATCTCATCATTCTACTGTTCATGCCATGATGCCATAGGCCAAGGACTTGGTCAGCACCACGTTCAAATGTTGAATCTTGACGAGAAGGCACGAATCGAATTGGTGCAGGCCACGCTCCTTCTCGCGAAGGCCGACCAGCCACCCAGTTTGATTTCTCAGCTTCCGTCATACACTGCAATCTGCACCGCCTCTTGTCGACAATAATTCCACAAGCAACGCAGACATACTGACAGCTACCCCCGAGTCGCAATTGTCTTGGTTGTCCATCTATCTCGAGTACACCAAGATTTCTGCACTGCCCTGCGGCATATATCGAAAATCCCGCAAGGCCCTGGATATTTGAGGAGGACATGTTCCGCAACCAAACCCCTTTCCTCCCTTCTGCGATCTGCTATGGTTGACAGTTCCGGATCGACTGCCCATCTCTTCTCTCTCGTGGCCTCAAGCATTTCATACGCCCAAGAGAAGCTTGTCGAGATCGGAGTTTGTACATTTTTACAGATACGCTCGTCATCCAACCGCGAGATTGAAGGAGAAGCCTTATATCCACATCGCATCCTTACATTCGCACATTATCACACACTGCGCGCCGCGTGGCATTCTCGGGTATCGCGGCCAACTTCAGTCTGGGCTCGGTCTTGTCATTGCTGCCATCGCCACTATCGCCATCCCTCGCAGTCGTTGCAATCAGCTCACAGTCGTCACGTATCACGTATCTACCACAAGGTTGGCACGTGTGCCGTTGCCCCGGGTCGCCCTCCATGGCATTGAGCCAAAAGCAAAACTCCGCGGGCTCGGAACCATTCTTGGCATTCGCGGAGTCTTGGACAGCCTTGGACGACATTCCATCGACTCTCCTCCGCTCATCACAAGCCGCACCATGTTCACACACCTGTAGGCAGCCAACAAGGCATAGACACATAAGTATCTGCGTCTTTCTAGCTGTATCACAGGCTTAGATATTGCTTGTCTGCACAGCGACCGATGACGAACAGGTAGGTCGATGACAGATGCCAAGGCAGTTTCTTGAGTGTCTTGGTGCCATGCAAACATGGTTCCAACCACACGACACCTTATTGGATATTGACTCAAACCCTTGCGATAGTTGCAAGTACCAAGACAATCCTGAGGAACAGAGTCAGGATAACGTGGGCACCATTGTACGTATCGTCGCTTGGCGGCATAACCATCTAGAAGAATGATAAGGATGCCAAGGGTGGAAGTCCGCCCTCCGCTAGAGAAGACATGCGATCATGCCACATATAAGGCACGCGAGAGCCCCTTCTTGTCATTGTACCTGACCATCTACCAATCCTAATGCCCATATCACCAACATGGGCAAGCAACAAGACACAACACTCGACCAGCACGTGTCAGGCCAGGCCAACGGCAATGGCCTCTCGAAGCCTGCCCACGCACTCACGTTCACTCAAGTCACAGAGGACATCAAGGCCAATGCTGAGAACGGTCTCTCAACAGCAGAAGCCAAAGAACGACACGACAAATATGGCACCAATGAACTTGGTGATGCCGGTGGTGTCGAACCCGGAAAGATTCTCATTCGTCAGGTTGCAAACGCGATGACGCTGGTATGTAGCCCAATGATGCTTGTGTAATAGATCAATCTCGCTGACGAGCGACAATAGGTACTCATTATGGCTATGGTCGTCAGTTTCGCAATCAGCTCATGGATCGAAGGTGGCGTTGTTGCAGCAGTCATTGGATTGAACATCGTCATTGGATTCATGCAAGAGTTCAAGGCCGAGAAGACCATGGACTCCCTCAAGTCTCTCAGTTCTCCTACTGCGAATGCCGTTCGTGACGGAAAGACTGTCAACATACCTACCGTAGAGATCGTTCCTGGCGATATGGTTGAAATCAAGACTGGTAAGTGCAGTATGAAGCCCACCTTGGACGAGAGATACTGACTTTCGCAGGCGATACTGTACCCGCAGATGTCAGACTCATCGAAGCAGTCAATTTCGAAACCGACGAAGCCCTACTTACTGGAGAGTCTCTACCGGTCAGAAAAGACGCCGACGCCGTATTTGATGAAGACACCGGACCCGGTGACCGTCTCAACGTTGCCTACTCTTCTTCGGTCGTCACCAAGGGACGTGCTCGTGGTATCGTTTACGCCACTGGCATGTTCACCGAGATTGGATCGATCGCCGCAGCACTCCGCAAGAAAGACTCTAGGGTCAGGCCTGTCAAGCGCAAGCCTGATGGATCTGCCAGACCTCACAGATACGCTCAAGCATGGACATTGACATTTTCAGATGCTATTGGCCGCTTCCTCGGTATCAACGTTGGCACTCCTCTCCAAAAGCAGCTCTCCAGACTCGCAGTGCTGCTCTTTTTCATTGCCGTCATCTGCGCCGTCATCGTCGAAGCCGCCAACAACTTCAGCAGTCAAAAGGAAGTCATCATCTACGCCGTCGCTACTGGTCTCAGTATGATCCCTGCATCTCTTGTCGTTATTCTTACCATCTGTATGGCTGCTGGTACCCGAAGAATGGTCGAACGCCATGTCATCGTCAGAAACCTTCGCTCGCTCGAGGCTCTTGGTGGTGTCACCGACATCTGCTCCGACAAGACTGGTACATTGACTCAAGGCAAGATGATGGCCAAGAGAGCTTGGATCCCCGCCAAAGGCACATACTCGATCGGAGAGACGGATGAGACCTCCAACCCTACCGTCGGCGAACTACAGTTCAGCCGTGAAGAACCAAGAAATATCAAGGCCGACCAAGAGAAGCATGACGTTGTCGCTTACGACGAAGAACTCCAGGACAACGAACATCTGGCTCACTTCCTTAGAGTGGCTGCTTTGGACAACCTGGCCATCGTTCAGAAAGACGAAGACGACAGATGGACAGCACGAGGCGACCCAACTGAGATCGCTATCCAGGTGTTCGCCGCTCGCTTTGGCTGGAACAGATCCACTTTCATCTCCGGCCCTAGTCCATTGTGGAAGGAAATTGCTGAGTTTCCCTTCGACTCTGACGTCAAGAAGATGTCTGTGATTTTTGAGGAAGCTGCAACCGGCAAAAAGCAAGTGTTCACGAAGGGTGCTGTCGAGCGTGTCATTGGCTCTTGCATCAATCTCCACCAAGACGAATCTGGTAAGCCAGTCGAGATGACCGAGACCATCCAAGAAGAAATTTTGCAAAACATGGAAGCTATTGCCTCTCTTGGCTTGAGATGTTTGGCATTGGCTAGCAAAGACTTTGAGGGCGAGATCAACAAGGACGAGGAGATTGACCGCAACTCTATCGAGAACGGTTTGACTTTCCGTGGTCTTGTTGGTCTCTACGATCCCCCTCGCCCCGAGTCTGCCTCTTCAGTCCGCCAAGCTCACGAGGCCGGTATCATCGTTCACATGTTGACTGGTGATCACAAGGGTACTGCTCAAGCCATTGCTGCTGACGTCGGCATTCTACCTTCTCACATGAAAGACCTGTCCAAAGAAGTGTTGGATGCTATCGTCATGGAAGCCAGTGGTTTCGACAAGCTCAGTGATGATGAGATCGACGCTCTCCCTGTTCTTCCGCTAGTCATTGCTCGCTGTGCGCCCAACACCAAGGTTCGCATGATCGAAGCTCTGCACAGACGCAAAGCTTTCGCTGCTATGACTGGTGATGGTGTCAACGACTCGCCTTCTTTGAAACGCGCGGACGTTGGTATTGCCATGGGCCAATCTGGCTCTGATGTTGCCAAAGACGCCTCTGATATTGTGTTGACCGACGACAACTTTGCCAGTATCCTCAACGCCGTCGAGGAAGGTCGCCGCATGTTCGACAACATCCAAAAGTTCATTCTCCATCTCCTCGCTCAAAACATTGCTCAGGCATGTATCCTGCTCATCGGTCTTGTTTTCAAGGATCTTGACGATCTCTCTGTCTTCCCCATCTCGCCTGTCGAGATTATGTGGATCATCATGGTAACCAGTTCGTTCCCCGACATGGGTCTGAGTTTCGAAGAAGCCGTGCCTGATGTTATGCGTCGTCCTCCTCAAAGCCTCAAGCGTGGTGTCTTCACCTTCGAAGTCCTCCTCGATATGCTTGTCTACGGTCTTTGGGTTGCAGCACTCTGCCTGTGCTCTTTCTGCCTTGTCCTCTACGGCTTTGAAGACGGGAACATTGGCCGCATCCCTGCTACCGGTTGCAATGCTTCTTGGTCACCCGAGTGCGACGTCGTCTTCCGTGCCCGTTCGACCTGCTTTGCTACACTCACCTGGTTCTCGCTTTTCCTCGCCTGGGAGGTGATTGATCCCCGTCGAAGCTTCTTCCGCATGAAGCCCGACTCTGATCGCTACTTCACCCAATGGATGTTCGACGTCTGGCGCAACAAGTTCCTCTTCACCGCCGTTATTGTTGGCTTTGTCCTCATCTTCCCCATCCTTTACATCCCTGTCATCAACCACGACGTCTTCCGTCACACCGGTATCTCATGGGAGTGGGGTATCGTCTTCATTGCCACCCTCATCTTCTTCATCGGTATCGAGTCTTGGAAGTGGGCTAAGCGTATTTACTTCCGCCACCAAGCAGCAAAGGCTGGACCCGAGGCTCAAGATATCGAGACTGCCATCTTTGGCAAGTACATGCGCGATCTCACCCCCGTGGGCAGCTGGTCCAACTCCACCATGAAGGAGGAAGTCTGAGCACCGATTTACCATTCACGCGATGATGACTTTTGATGTTTTTGTTCTGAGACGCAGACTCTGTTTATTCACTTTTTGGCCTCACGGCTTTTGTCTATTACTCGTTTTAGCGATTTCTTTTCTATTCTTGTTCAAAAGATGTGTGTGGATATACAGTATATACGAACTGCAAGATGTTCAACCAAATCAAATCAATCAATTAACTCATCGTCTCTTTCTAATGCAGAGTGACTAAACCTTATGTCAAACACCACCATCACTTCCGGACCAGCCGGATATCAAGACATCCACGGTTTCCTATCTTCGATGTGTAGCTTTCCCACAGGATAGCCCTTCTAGGTACGTCAGCGCGCGTTTAGCGCCCAAAATACGACATCTCTCGTGGAGTGTATAAGCTCAAGACTTCGTCAAGCTCGACACCAAGCTCAGAGAAGACTTTGAGCTGGAGTGAAGTATCGGCCAAGATGACGTGTGAAGATTTTCTGTTGGCCCAACGATCACGAAGAGTAGCTGGGAGTGGGATAGAGTTGCGATTAGGGGAATTGTCGACAGAAGGGGATTGTTCTGGAGTTGTGCCAGCTCCGGATGAACGTGGTGAGTCGGTAAAACAACGGATGAGGTCTTTATGGTGGCGTGGTGTTAGTGGAGCCATGGGCTGTTCGACGTTGTTGCTCAGAGTTGTAGCTGGGAGTCTCGCTCTTGGAGACTTAGTGTATGGCATCTTTCTGCGTTCAGAAGTTCTCGAGATAGGCGCTGATGGCGGCAATGGTGGCGATGGCAGGAGGATACCGTTGTATGGGCTAGATGTTGCTCGAGACGGCTTGTTGTACGCATCATTGTCCGCCGGTCCTTGGTCATTGATACTGCTGTGCTGATGATCAGGTCTAAGATCAGTTCTGGTTTTGACAGAGTGGGGACGGAGTGGCTGAACCTCGATCCAAGACTGTTCAAATGGAGGATGGCATGAGAGAGGAATCTCCGACTGTTTCCTTCTGGCTATTATACTAGACTGGTTGGTTTGGACTTCTCTTGGTGACCCGTCATTCTTATAGAGATCCACAAAACTGCCTGGAACGGGTAGTGAGATGACAGATCGATCGACTCTGGGCTTTGGAGTTCCGTACGGTATTGGCGGTGGAGGGTTTTTGGATGCTTCATCGGCAGAGAGGGTACTGTCAGTGTGTAGAGATGATCTGATACTGAGCTTACTTATACGTTGGGCAAAGAGATTGAGCGAGGTATGCATAGTGGAGGCTGCAATTGGATCTGGAAGTGTGATCTCTTGGTCGTTGCCAGGAAAGAACGACCTATTTGGACAGTTTGGGACATGGCTGTGATATCGGCGTTTAGCTCAACCAACGGACGAGATAGACAAAAGCATTGTCGATGAACAAAGAAACAGAGACAAAGTTGTCTCATACCCTTGACTCAATATGTCAGGTGTTGGTATCTGAGAGCTAAGTGAAAGTGGCATGCATGTTTGAGAGACATTAATCTATGTCTGGTTGTAGACGCTCCGGACAGAACAATCGAGTTCTTGACAGCTGTTGGCAACAGACAGAAGTTGTTAACAACAAGCATATAAATCCAGCGCCGACCGCAACGACTCCCGCCCCAAACAACAATCAGAACCATTCGCTTCATCATATCCATCTCGCATGCGCAACACTATCATCAACTGAGGGTGGAGCGGCGGATGCGTGTTGGAGTCTGACTCGCAAGAAACAGGAACGATCGCTCACCGACGCATGCAATGGCGCGCACACATGAGCTGCCTTTTCGCGGTCTCCCCAGGGAATTGCGCGACATGATATGGAAACACGCTTTGACTGTCGATGATGTCCCGTTTCGAGTACTGTCAAGATTAGAGAAACCAAATTTTGGGTGCCTTGGACTCCCCGACCTTCTCTTACATCTCAGTCGCTTGACCAACACTTGCAACGACCCGCCCCACCTGAGACTCTTCTTAACCAACAAACAGGTGTATGCAGAGTCGTCTCTCGTCTTTTACTCAAGCAATGAGTTCACGAAGGATGTCATGAGTCTCGACGACTCCAAATTCAACGCCAACATCAGATATGTGACTCGACGTGTGCGCCTTGAGACTCGACTCTGTCAAGCCGAGATCCAGAGATCTTTGCCTCCTCTACCCAACATCAATCTGCCTTTCGCTAATCACAGACTTGATATGCTCACCATAACAATGCCCTCCGAACCTCCATCTCTTCCAGTACTCATCAAAGGCGAGAACTTGGCCATTGCGCCCTCTCTCGCTGTGAACATTGTCGACTGCATGCTCAAAGGCTTTATCAAGCGAATCCGCCTTGTCTACCCTACCCTCACCAGTTTCTTCACTCCTATACAGTTCTGGACTATCAGAGTCTTGCGGAAAGGCAAGCCTGCCATTACCGGGAAAGTGGGCCACATACTCAACGAGGCCTGGTGGAATACGGACAGGGGTAAATACGCCGAGGTGCTGTACAAACTCCAAAACGTTCCCACGCTAGGCTTTACCGCCAGGTTCGAGGACGGTACGTTCATGAGATTACCGAGGGGTAACGCCGTGATTGTGCTCAGTCGCATCGAGGACGAACCGATCAAGAAGCATACAGTCCCACGTCCCAGAGTGTGCATTGTCAGCTCAAACTCTCATTCCAAACGCAGACTTCCCTGGAATCCTGATATTGCCGACTCGAGACCCAGCAAGATCCCTCGCTTGAAGCTACCCGTCTTCATAGCCTTTTCGGAGAGTCGTTCGAACAAGATGCCTCAACGTGCTGTGCAAGAAAGATTCAAGGGAAAGTCGAACCAGATCCGCCGCCTGATGAACGACCGAGGACCGCTTTTGACTCAGATACCACGAGAGACGTACCGCTGGCAGCACCATCCAAGCTACGATGAACGAAAAACGGTCGTTCCTGATCGCAGCAGAGACCGAACCATGAACACGAAGCACTGGCCGTTTCTCTGAAGTCACTTCACCGAACAGTAGTCTACAATCTTTCCTGCTCTCCTAAGAGGCACTTTTCATGCACAAGTTGTAAAGACAGGTGTGCAGCATGCCAATATGGAACAACGTATCACAAGGTCGAGACGATTGGAGAGAAGACATCACAACCACTCTGGCTAACGAAAGACAGTGTTGCCTTCCAAGCATAAGTCTTATACACTTGAGATAGAATTTCTCGGTATAACGGAGATGTCGGTGGTCTGTCCAGGTCCTTAGTATGCAAACGACCGAGCTATCAGCGATGGACTGACTCTACGACGACTAGAGCAAGATTGGTTGTTACTGGCATCATGCTGTATTGACGATACCCTCATTTCTTCTCTTCTCACAACCAAAATTTCTCTCATTGCGATAACTTTGGTCTCCGATGCTTTTACTTGATCCGCGGACTGTCGTTCGAGCCGGTGGTAGCGACATCGACACTTTTGGTGATGATGACCAACTCCTCATCGTACGTCGGCTCCGGCTGTGGTACAGCAACAGCATCCTGGATACTTTGAATCAACAGTAGAAGGTGGATGATGAACAGTGGAATGGCAGCATAGGACGAGAATTGCTGGTCATCTTGTCAGTGACTATAACGAGGATACAGGGGAGCGTATCGGGGTAGAACTGTGCTCGAGAAGGAGGTAGGCAATGCAGGGAAGGAACAAACAACAACATACACTTTCCCGACACAGCGGTCCAAAGTTTTGAGGTGCACCCACAGCGCCTTTCCAATGACATGTCCATGTCTGAATCGTGTCAGATTTGCTAGGTGCTTTAGCATTCGCAACAGCGGGCATGATCATCGCAATGAGTGCTGCCACCGTAGCTATTGCCATACATGCCACTCTCGTCCACTTGATCATCTTACTCTGGTACTTGTCAGTCCAAATTCCTTGTAACCGAGTATGAGAGTCGAACGTACCTTCCCACCAGTCTTGTTCCCAGCCACAACCAAACCGATAGATATAATGTCGACGGCGAACATCAGACAGCAAGTTGTGATGATAGCAATAAGACCATGAGTATTGAAGTGGGCGTGCCAGATGGGTAGCCACCATGGGTTTGATGCGTGTTCTGCGCGAAAGACGGAGAGGATGTGGGTTGAGATGGCAAGAGCAGGTAAAGCTAGGCATATGCTGAGGGTCAAGAGGAGCAGAGGTGATCGGGCGATTGGTCGGACAGCCATTGTTGCTCTTTGTAAATGTACTTGGTAGATAGATTTGGCCTGCAAAGGTGTCTCCCTTGCGGTGGCTATGCAGGAACAGTAATAAAATGAATTTGCGAAGGGTGAAATGTCAAGTTCACCACAAGGCCGTGACCTAACTCTCTTTCTTATGCTTCAGAGCGATCGCATTTACCTTTGATCAGGCAAGACCTCGTAACCGCTGGACGTAGGCAATACAGCATTCACATCGTTGATACAATTGTGCCTCATGTGCTTTGGTTGGCTGTTCGAGCCGCCCAGTTTCACACAAAGAAAGGTACGTACCGTGTTTCAGATTTTTCCACCTATCTATATGATGTCCAGAGTGTCAGTCAAGAATACGTTTCGCTGGGACAGGGTGATCAGTTCTGGGCGCTTAGGAGATGCCGGAAGGTGGGCGGTTGATGCGACTCCAAATATAGCAACTTCAAAGGAGCGATGTTTGGAGATTGTCGAAATGCTCAAGAGACGATAAGAACATGGAGGAGAACGGTTATGAAAGAATCTCTAAGGATATCGTAAACTGTATGTACACTATAAAATCGCCGATATTGTACTCCCGTTGCTATTGCCCAAGGTCCTTTGAAACGCCCATCCTACCCTGGAAAATAAGAAGTAAAAGACCCAAAATTCTATGCAACCATCTAGTCCAAAGATGCGACCAACGCCAGGATGTCATGAAAACTGAGAGTGCAACTACATTTCCATACCTTCACTATCGTCGGCAGGTTTCTGTTTCTTGTCCTGCTCAATCGAGATGCCAGCGTCGTTGTTATCAGCATCCGAAACAGCGACTCTGACCCAGCCCTTGACAGTCTCCTGTCCAGACTTGCTCGGCTTCAGGATTGTCTCCTCTTTCTCACCTTCAAGATTCTTCTCGCCGACATCCGCTACCTCAATGTCCATATCCCTCAGAACTTGCAGCATAGCGCGAGTGTTCAACAACAGCAATCTTTCTGGATCTTCGGTCTTCAGCAGTTTGCTGGTAAGGAACGGGAAAAGTACACCAAAGTCAGACTGCGAAAAGTGCTGGCTAGTGGCAGGGTAGAACAAGTGTGGCTTCGGTCCAGAAAAGTTTTTCGGCGGTGCAATGGTGCGACGCACGTCGTTGAAGTTGCCGGTCCACTTGAAGAAGGCTTGCGACATAACACTGAGGATGTTCTTACCACCGACTGAAGAGTCTGCGTATGATGGCAGAGGGCGCTCCAGAAGCCAGGATTGGGCTGGGCTGCGAAGTGGCAGAGTCCAAAGATCGAGTAGTAGTACTGGAGAAGCAGAGGTGACTTGGCGAGTCAAGAGGGGGTCGGTCGGAGTAATGAGAGGTGAATGAGCGTTCTGAGGTCGGTCTTTGGCATAGAAAACGGACTTGACGAACTGGACCGTTGTACAGGCACCCATACTGTGACCTGCGAAAGTGATCTTTCCAGGTATATGCACATCGAGTTGACCAGCAAATCTCGACAAGACTTCAACTCGCTCTTTCTTGGTGTGCGCAAAGTTATCATCCAAATTGTTCACCTTGTCGCCCTGATCGATCTTGAGTAGTGCAGCGTGAATCAAAGAAGTTTCGTAGCATCTGATACGCAGCTGCTTGTCTCTTGCAGCGTAGACTTCGGGAGATGGCGAGTGGGAGATTTTGATTTCATCGACGATTTTCGCGGGAGTGTCCGAGGTTGCACGGATGTGTTGAACGGGCGAGCTGCCATCTCTGTGGTCCATGGCAATAACAACAAGGCCGTATGAAGCCATAGATCCACAGATGTGCGAGTATAGGTTGCGGTTGCCAGCAAGGCCGTGAGAGAAGATCATGACAGGCCATCTCTTGTTGGTGGTTGGAGGAGCGAGGAGTGGCGCATTGCGCTGAGCGGGTATGGAGATATAATAGAGGATGGTTGGAAAGTAGGAGAAGAAGTCGGAGGCACGAGAGCCAGCACCAAGGAGTCGGGCGAAAGCAGAGAGATTGGGTCGTTGTGGCGAAGGGATCCATCTTACGGGTCTTGGGTTTTCTTTCTGGTTCTGGCAAGGATAAAAGATACGGAAGGAGACGGTAGGAGCGGCATCGGCAGGGGCTGCAGCGGTGGAGGGCAAGTCGGCGGTGGGAATCTCGACGTCGACGGTGCCGACAGTATGTGGGCCAGGATACTCCGGGAAGGCCGGGGTCGGGTTCAGGCGAGAGAGGAAAGCCACCATGGCGACGATGGTGAAGAGCAAAGTAGTGTAGAAGATGTGAAGATAGCAGAGATGAAGAACAGCAGGCAGAAAAGAGGATGACAGCAAGCAGACTAGACAGAGGGAAAGGAAGTGAATTGAAAAAGCAGGATGGGCTTTGTTTGAAAAGGCATGTGAAGATGGACTTAGCGCACACGACCACTTACCCGATCAAAGATGACTTCATCGGAGATGCCGCCTTGGCAACGCATGTCCAAAGACTTTGTGCCGATATGATGTCGAGATGTCGACGACACCGACATGTAACATGCTTCCGCCGTGTTAGTGTGCCTCTAGGCCTCCAATGACCCGAGGCGAATGTCCAACCATGACTGGGTTGCTTTTTCCGACGACAAGGCTTTGTGCATTGCTTGTTCGAACAGAGGGCACGCGACAGCTCAGGGCCGAACCACGTCACATTCGGCAGGCACGCAATTGCGATCTGAGCATCCCGAGGAGATGATGCAGCAGTCGAGATACGCTGCTGAGAAGAAACACAGCGCTTTGTCGTGGATAGCAAAAGAGAAAGACAAGATTGAGAAGTCGAAGCTGGAGCTGTCTCCCCATGGCAGGTAGGTAACGGCGATATCCGAGAGCACTTTGGCGGCGGCGGCGCATACGCGAAGGCCGACGCTCCTTCAACAAAAGTCTGGGGCCTGAAACAGGCCACCGCAATTTGGCCTATCGAATCTCCTTGACCTCAAGCCCTTTGTTGTTGCATCTCATGCTACTCAACCGCCCTCTCTGCTTTTGCGTCTTACGACACATGACCGCTCCTACGCCATACACGACCACCTGACACCGATACTCGACCAACATCGACTCTTCCCGACGTCCAGCGTCCGTGAAAGCGCAGCGTCCCCGGTCAACAATCCTCTTATCTCCGAACAAAAGGTCACACCAAACACCGTCCATCCTTCCACGTTTATCGCAAACCCATAACCACAGTCATGCCGCGACAACGACGTCCGTCGACCGCTTCGACCACGACGCCCGACAGCTCTCTCCCGCCAGAGTCTGAGCTGGGCTCCATGTACGACTACCTCGCAAAGATCATCCTCCTCGGTCCCTCGTCGGCCGGGAAGTCCTGTCTCTTGCACCGCTTCGTCAACTCTTCCTGGCGCATTCTCTCCTCGCAAACCATCGGCGTCGAGTTCGCTACCAAAATCGTAAAAGTCGGCGACGGCAACCGCAGAAAGAGAATAAAGCTGCAACTCTGGGACACTGCCGGTACGGAACGCTTCAGGAGCGTGAGCAGGAGTTACTACCGTGGTGCTGCTGGCGCAATCCTGGTCTACGACATCACGAGCAGGGACAGTTTTGCACAGCTAGGCACGTTTCTGAATGATGCGCGCGCTCTGGCGAGTCCGCATCTGACACTGCTATTGGCGGGTAACAAAGCCGATCTTGCCGACCCTGTCGACAGCGATGCAGAGAGCGACGATGAAATCGATGAGACCGGTTCCCTCTCACCACCATACGGACACACACCCTCAAGTTACGATTCGCGCAGGTTCGACAGCATCGCATCCAGAGGCACCATACCGCGAGGCGGCAACGGCTCACGCGCCACTTTTGCGCCCGATGGCCGACAAGTTTCAGCCACTCAGGCGACACAATGGGCGACTTCGCAAACAATTCCTCTCGCTGTCGAAGTATCGGCTTTCAACGGTGATGGTGTGAATGAGCTGTTCAACCGTCTCGCTCGCATGATTCTGGCAAAGATTGAGTTGGGCGAGATTGATCCTGACGACCCGCTCTCGGGCATTCAGTATGGCGACAGTTTATCTTGGGCTGTCGACGATGGAGGCAGCAGTATCAAGAGCGGTATGGACGGACCAAGGAGACGGAGGAAGAGAGCGGGTACAGGCCAGTGGGCTTCTGGCCTACGCGAATGGGAAGAGGTGTTCAGACTCGACGGACCTAGACGAAGAGGCTGCTGTTAGTTCCACTGCCTTTCGTGTTTTCATTCTGGAGAGATTTTCATTTTTGGCATCTTTGGTTCTTTGGTTCGTTGGACTGGATCCAGAACACAAGGAATAGAGCGGCACAGTGCGCGTACGATATCGCGTTTGACACGCAGATACATTGGGAAAGGCACATTGGGGGCTTTTCATAATTTTAATCCTAATTCTAGCCCATCGTGGCAACTTCTTGAGTATAGCAAAGGCCAATACTCTTTCGCGCCCGAAGATTTGCTCTTCTTTCCGATGTCAAAAGGTTGACGCTTTTGCGAATTTTGCTTGGAGTCTAATGGAATATGCTACATTGGAGACCAAAGAAGAAGCATTTGATTCTGGGACCCTGTTCTATCATCTCAATTCGGGCTCCATCATAAACGAGGCCTTCTTGAGCTTGGGCAAGCCCTCGGAGCGTTTGCGCTTCTCCTTGGAGCGGACGGGCATATCCAATCTATCGGCATGCGCACCCTCCTTGGCTTCACCATCATCCTCCATCAGGCCAGTGTCCTCCTCGGCTCTCTCATCGCGAGCAAATATTTGCAGGCCACGAAGATGGGTGTCCTTGCCGTTCTGATGGTTCTCGAGGATGCGTACTTGGAGAATGAAGCAGCGGAGCAGAGGTCTCTTGCTCCAGTCGATGGAGTCGAGGTCCTCGTTGTCGTCATCCTCGATAGGACCGACCTGGGAGAAGTCGACGGGTATCCATCCGCGAGGCTGCTCAAACTGCATGTCTGCAAACTCTATGAGGTCGTGGAGGCCAGTGCCGGCCCAGAATTGCATGCGGGTGGGCGTGTAGCTCTCGTCGTTCTCAAAGTCGAGATAGATGCGAATGTGGGCAACGGCGACTTGTTTGAAGAAGTGTACGGTGAGGAGGTGGGGCTGAGGGCCATCACTCTGCCAGAAGAGTGAGGAAGATGGGTGACGGAGGGCAGCAACACCGCAGCCAGGCTTGCTGGTGCTGACGGTCCAGGAGGCAAGCGAGGATATCTCCTTCAGTCCGCGTGGAGGCAGCGGATCGCCGCTTGTCGAGTTTGCACCATCTAAGACACCTGTCAGATATATGCGTCATCTTGAAGTATTGTTATGAGGTTGGCGTTGCGTGGTCAAGGTATTGTGGATAGGTTCAAAAGATAAGGGAAGGTGCAGTATATGGAAGGGCAGACGCACGGTACGACAGAACGGAGGAAGAGTCAGCATCGGAAACTTCTGATGACATGATGGTAGAGTCGGCTGTTATGGCTGTTGTGATGCTCGTCGCAGCTGCGCGGCCTGTTTCGTCGAATTCGTGGTGCCGCAGTGCAGCTTCTGACAGGACTCTGTAGAGCGATGGCACATAGACGCCTCAGGCAGGGTGCTCAATGCGTGGCTGTCGAGACATATTCTGTCTTTTGAGAGTCAAGGCGAGGCGACTCTTGGTCAGAAGGAAAAGAGTCGGCCTCAGCGATCGACTTCACGGTCGCAAACATTCTGCAGGAAGGAGTATCTTTACCAGTTGACCTTCCTGAATCCACGAGCAAGAGAACCCAACAAGCATACATAAGAATGAGAAGGAGAAATGTTTGCCTTACCTAGATCTACTTCCTCAGGATCTACATCTGCATCTCCATCGGCCTCCTCCTCGTCATCATCTAGATGAATATTCTCTGTTTGCTGACTGCGGCCCAGCTCAGCGATACTCCCTGGCCTCAACACATCGTCTATACTGTAGTCGACAATCAGGCCCGATGGAAGCTCAGAGCTGTCGATGGAGAAGCCAGTATTATCCAACGAATGCCTTGCTCTGGCGTTTCGGTTCTGACGCACTTGGTACGAGCCGGTCGCGGTAGTATGAGCACGTGATGGTGGCGGCATTTCAGGTATTCATCTCCGAAGCGTTGACACCGTGATATACAGACGACAAAGTGTGCTTCAGGTTGTTGCGACTCGTTCATAACAGCTTGTGTGATCTGACGTCGTGCGGAAGGACCCAGGTTTTGGGTTGCCTCGGTAGCCCCAGTCCACCTTTTGCGGTCACGTGAGTCTGAATTTCACCGCCAGGTGTCGTTCCTCCTTGGCATGTCGGAACTATCCGAGCCGATTACAGTCTGGGGCTACCGAGGCAAGTTTTGGGCACTCGGACACAAAGGGCAGGGTCACTCCTCGGCTAATATGCGCGGACGACTCTCGGGAGCTCCCTCGTTCTTCCCTTCTCAGCTATCCGCTTTGGTTTCAGAGTTCTTCTTACCTTCTCTTCTTCGACGTTCAACAGACGTTGAAACTAGAAGCTGTTTGAGGTCGGTACCGCGCTTCTCGAACGGTTGCAAAGAGTCGGGATTCTCGCACACTTCCATCTGCGACAATCAGACTGCCTCGACCAACGTCGTCATTTCCAATGTTACCGTTTGTCTACAACAACCACGATCCATACCAGTCTCGCGTTTATGCCTAAGCTCTATTGTACCAGAGAGCCGGTCGCCCTCGTCTTTCCTCTCCCCACCCATCGTGTATGCTGAAGAGTGTCCAGTCCGCTCAATTAAGATTGCTGGCTTTATATGGCTCCGCTTCGGGATGATGCATGCTTGCCGATTGGTCATAGGTGAGCGCCTCGTAGAAGTCTAACTCTTTGGCAACCCTGGACCATCGTTGCTCTGTACAAGATGGTGGCTTCAAGCTGAATGAGGTTGAGCCGCTTCGCTTATCGTTTCTGAGAACGGAGCAAGACAACACGGGTCAGCCATGGGGAATGAATCGATTCATGGTCCTGCCCAAGTACAAGTTGCTCATGCCTACATGTGGGCCTCAATACAGAGATATCATGGCTCTGCGCTGTACTCTTGGGAGTATTTGTAAGTCATCGTTATCACTATCGCAACCTTCTTGCAGGCATTCAGTAGAGTGGCTCTCTTTCTCGAAAAGCTTGTGCGAAGCAAAGCTCTTGTATTCAGCAAGCGACAACCGTTGAAAAAGAGGATGACAACCGAGATCAGTCCCACGCTTTCAGCAAGCCTTCCTTCCTCAGCGGTGCCTAGCTTCGCCTTCGCATGCCTAAGGTGCTGTATCAGGGCCTGGTGCAGAGAAAGTTTCGCTGGCATACCGAGATGTTTCAGGTTGCCGAGCAGTTCGTCCATTCCACAACCTCCATGAAAGTCAAAATACACGTGGCATCGCACATGTCTGGCCACAAGCAACGAGCTAGTCATGCCGCTATCTAAACTTACGATCAGGACAATGCTCGTTCCAGCACTGAAGTCATGAGCCTCCCATATACTTAGGCTCATGTGCTGTCACAAGAGCTTTCTTCCCTCTTGCTTCTCGCAACTTGCGCTGTCTTTACATCATCCATCACGCTCCTTAATTATATCTCCTGATTGCTCGATTGCTGTTCTCCACCCTCTTTTTCTTCTACATCCTCATATTGAAGAATAACTCCTGCGCTCTACATCAATCTCCAATCTAAAAGATCGGAGTGGCCTCCGTCGAGCTCATTGGAGAAGTGCAGCGAGCCCACTGTATCTGATCATGGACTCTTATCTGATGGCCAGGGAATCAAACCCATGGAACCCCGATGCAAGTTATCACACGCCGTCAAGCTACCACTCGGATGCTTTGATAGCCATCGCTGCTGCTTTCCTTGCGCTCACCATCACATTCACAAGTCTACGTTTCTTCGTCAGAGGATATATGATCCGCGCCTTGGGGTGGGATGACTGGTTGATCCTGATCGCACTCAACAGCTTCGTCTGTCAAGCCGCCTTTCTTGTACACATTGCGTCGATGGAGAAAAAACACAATCTGGAGATGCCTCTAGCGCTCTCGAACGCCTTGGAGGTTAGTCATACCCAAATGAGCGTCGGGACATATACTGACTGCATATAGTATGTCGTTCTCGAGTTCGGCTTCTACATACTTACCACCTTGGCACTGAAACTCTCGCTGGCCGTGTTCTTCTTGCGAATCGTAAGCTCTGCTGCTCTTGCACTTTTTCTGACCTTGCTAATACAAATACTAGGTGTTGGAAAAGTGGCAGCGCCGAGTCATCATCATCAGCACCGTCATCTTCTCCGTCTTCACATTTAGCTTCTTCTTTGTCGCTGTGTTCCAATGTGGAAATCCGGCGAATTACCTTCTCCACAAGGTACAAGGGAAGTGCGTAGCTTGGAGCGTTCTCGGGCCCTTGAACTACATCCACGGAGTCATGAACGCTTTGACCGACTGGGTGTTTGTGTCTCTCCCGATCTTGGTTATCCGCAAAGCCAAGATGAGTGCCAGAGACAAGCTGTCCGTGGTATTTGTGCTTATCATCGGCGTTCTTGGCAGTGTGGCATCGGTCGTTCGCCTCTTTTACATCGACGCTCTTCATTCTGGTGATCAGGATGCTACGACGTTCTTCAGTAATGCGTCAAGCATCGCGATTGTGTCCACCATTGAGCCCGGTTTGGGGATCACAGCAGCATGCCTTGCTACTCTGAGGCCAATGTTCAGGTCTCTCCTGGACCGCACCCGCTCCCAATTATCGAGTGGTCACGAGAAGAACAAACTATCCACTGCAGAGCGTGGCATGCATTCTTCTACTGGAGTCACCTCAGCACCACAATCTCCTCGACGTGGAGAGTTCGCGCAGTATGGATTTGCTTCCGAGGGCAAGTCTCGTGCGAAGAGCGAGCCACAAGTCGAGATGGTCAATCTCTCTACAAGAACGTCTAGGGCGGGCTCGGACGAAGTCATGGTTCAATTCGACACTGTACAGTCTGAGAGACGGGATTCGCAGACTGATCTACTGGCAGAGTTACAACAAGCCAGACAGGCCTACAGTGCACGTATCTGGAGCGGAAACGATGACAAGGGTCCACAGCCCAATCTACTACTTCCTGATGTCTGAAAGCATCTGGACAAAAGACCAAAAAACGGAACACAGTACCGAGAAAGAGTTATGATGCCCACGATCTTCTAACATGTATATACCTGTTTTGTTCTCTTTGTCAGTTTTTGAATTACATAATGGTCGTCCAAATGTGGATGAAAAGGATAGCTCAAGATCTTCTCTTGATATGCTTCAACGATCAATTGATTCATTGGCTTTTCGGTGATATTCCAGTTGTCTCGCAAAGTCTTATACTCCAACATAATTGGGATACCTTGTGCTTATACCATTGCACCAAGAACGGGCACTTGCAAGTAGAGTGCAACTGACAATACAAGGACGTTCTGAAGTCAAAGCATGAGCATGTAGTGTCTGTGGAGAAAGGCATGGTGAGTTGCCGTGACAACAGATCTGGGGCAGCTGTCAGACAACAACGTTTCTCTCCACCTCCAGCTCCGTAACCCGCGATCAGGTCCCTTGCTTCTCCCTGCACGAAAGAGAGTTTCGATATTCCTATCGTTGCAAGAGTCTGGAATGCTTGTGAATCTCCATGGCAGGATCTAATGGCTACAGGGCCGATAGCCCTGTCTCAGCTACTATCGAAGTCGATGACTGCTGTGGATACAACGACAAGGACGATCCGAAACGCCGCATCTCCAACATCACAGCGACTTCCGTTTCGTCGTTTCCGGACTCGGCTTGGCCTTCCGACTCTGACGTTCCCGGACCCTCGTACTCGAATGCAAAATCTCGACCCGCTTATCGTGTAGGAAGTCTACGTCGCTCGCCTCTGCCCGAACGCCTGTCACCATCCTCTCTGCGACCTCCGAAGCATACATCGCACCGCCCCAGAAGTAGAGACGAAGGTCGCCGCCCCAGAAGCAGAGGAGAAAATGTCACCCAACACGACCTTCTACCAGAAACACCTGCTCCGCTAGTCCTGCTGCATATCACAGTCTTGCCGCCGCGTCTGCCATGGAACCGCTCTGTTCTTGATGCAACACTGCCTCCAGAGCTGAAGAGGCAGTTTGGAGTGCTACGAGCAGCAACATCAGGTCTGATCGCACAAAGAGGCATCCTCATTGCCCATCCAAGAGAAGAGTTTGAGTTGCTGGAAGAGAGCGTACTGGAGGCTTTGGACCTGCTGCCTGAGCGCATCGGCTACGATGGACAGTACAGACCTCGCACACCAAATACTGTCATGGACGACGACACAGACAACGACGAGGATGCAGAGACTCCAATCTGCGAGACTTGCCAACGAGTTCATGTAGGCGATGCTTGGTACACCAGAGTCTACGCTGCGAATGGTCTCATGCGCGCCGGTGCTTGGGGCGCCTGTTGGTCTGAGATGGAAAGAGTCGATGTCGAGGTCCGACCTTGTATCTCTGAGCACATCTGCCGAAAACTTGATGAGATGCAGCTAGCCGAGGACATGTTCAACGAACGACGAAGCCACCATCCTCCAGCACAGCTGTTGTCTGAACTCCAGCCCGCAGAATCTCCAAAGCAGCCCAGTCAGTCTCTTGTCACGGCGTCGGCCCAAGAAGCAGCAGTGAAAACAACAGAGACCCAGCACGCCCCAGGCACTCAGCCCAAGCCCACACGATCTACACCTGTATCTCTGCTCGACAATGACCTTCCGCCAATCTACCAACCAAAAGACGTCCCACTGAGACTTCTCTTGCGTAACTACATCTACCTTTTGCTACGCGATCGACGAAACGTCGCCATCTTCTTCCTCACCATGGCCTTGCTGGTGTCAACCTCGTATGGCATGCTTGCCTCACACAAGTCTATCAAGTCCGCAAGCAAAGCCATAGCAGTCGACGAGTCTCCTGTTCCGCCAGCTGCATCGTCGCGAATTGACGTAGGCCATGGCAAAAGACATCCGATGTGGAAGCCAGATAGATTCGAACCACAGGAAGCTGTTGGACCTGATGAAGACTCCTCTAGTAAAGTGTTCGAATCGATCCGACAACCCGGCCACATGTCCACAACTGTCGCGCTTAAAACCACAGTTCAAGTCACCACTGTTCCGACTACAAGTGTGGCCGCCGCAAACACTCACATCCTCACTGAGACTACATTCACCGTTTCGCCCAATCCAGACTTTCTGCGACTGCTCTACGGGCCCACCCAGTGCTTGCCAGACGATGAGCAGTTTTGAATCTCAGATGGGGGATGACACTGCAAAAGCAATGATGATCTTCTTTTTTTTCCCCCTTTTACTTCAAAGCGTTACCAGCGAGCGAGCGATTTGATGTCTTTGCTTGCCTCTTTTGCACTGAACGATAATGAGATGTCGACACGAAGACGACAGAACGATAGAAATGCATGTGTTGAGACGAAGAAGACACGACATCTGCATGTAGTAATATAGAAGAAAGCGAACCATATTGTTTTTCTCATTCGTCATCCGTTTCCGAGTCGTCCTTTGGCAGTTCTCCATCGACTTGAGGCAAAATGCGGAAGTCCACAAAAGCAATACCTTCCTTGCTTGGTTCTGCTTGTGCTGATGGATCCACCTCGATCAAGAACTGCAGACTCAAAACACCTTGCTCATCTGCGCGAACGCTGACCTTTGTGGCAGAGACCATGGCGCGGTACACGGCTTTGATGTGTCGGAAGTTGTATGTCGTGCGGAAGCGAGCTGGACATTGGAATGTCTCGAGCAATAGAGGATCTTGATCTTTGTTGAAGTCGACAGTGGCCGAGCCGAGTGGGCCAGTAGCTGAGAGCGACATGTAAGGCGCTGTGGGAGAGGCGATCAAAGAGAGACTGGTGGGGTTTGTGGACGCGAGTTCCGATATAGCGTCGGCCAAATGTGCAGAGCGCATGATGGTTTTGAGGGCCAAGGTCTCTCGATCAAAGGGGATATCCTCGGTCGTCTCGGCTTCGTATGTAGTCAGGTCACAGTTCGTAGTGACATCTGATTCGGATAGCTGAATTGACAGAGGGCTGCCGCGGTTCTCGTACGAGATACGACAGAGCCCAGAGGAGCCCAGAGCCGGGGCGGAAAAGGGATTATTGGCATTGCGGTTTTGCCTGAGTGCAGCGAATGTATCGTATGGATCCTGCTGCTGTCGAAATGCGTTACTGTCCCCGAGAGAAAATATTTGTAGTGTCTCTAGCAAGGCCGGAAGGGAGATTTGAAAAGTAGGATCTTGAGGAGCATCTTGTGCCGAGTCGTCCTCGGGAACTTCAAGATCCTTGTAGCTCCAGGTTGTGAATAAAGTCTTGGAGAGGAATACGAAGGCTAGATACGGTCAGAAGGATGAATTCAATCAAGTGGTCAGAAAAGCGCTTGCCTTCCATCACGCTCGTTTCTTGTGCACTGAATCGTAATCCTTCCGGGGATAAGCGGACCTGCGTCTTGGAAGCAAATGCAATGCATCTTAACAGAAGTGTCAAATCGCGAGCTGCTGGAGAAACGGCGCTGAACAGAGGTGGATTCATTGATGCCATATCGCTATAATCATAGCAGTGGCGAGCGGCTCTCGGATTTGACTCAAGACGCGATGTATAACAGATGTTCGCGATATCGGGTCCGGCTATATTTATATGAAAGGATCTCACGGTTGTCAAAGTTGAATCAAGTTTGGTGTATGTTATAGCAAGACAGTCACGCGAGATGGATAGTTCGAAGATGGAGGTTGGAGATGCCAAGCCTATTCAGCCTTAGGCAACTACGACAGTTTCGCGTCTCGTGCTTTCGCGGTTGCCCTCGAGGTGCAAGTCGCAATCATGTCTTTGTATATATCCATATGTCCGTCCTTGTGTCCAATCGGTGGCTCTCGCAATGCTTTTACGAGACGGACTGGTAGACTCAGAGCTGACAAATAGCTCACGCACGACTATCTCTTGATGGGTGGTATGGCATGCATAGGATGTATAAGAAGGCTGTGTTGCTTTGGTATGGGTATCTCGTGTAGCGAAAATAGAAGGGTGCGGGCAGGAAGATGAGCAAGAGCTCAAACGTATACGCCTACAGCGCAAATCATGTAGACGGCACCGAAGCTGAACAGCATTAGCGAAGTCGACGACTCGTAAGGAACAGGTGAGTAGTACCCAGCAGCGAGAGAAGCAGGCAGGCCGATCAATGGGAGGTTCTTGAGCGACGGGTCTGGAAGGTGTTAGTCAAGGCACCAAGCTTGGGGTTGGGAGGAAGCAGCATACTCAGGCCGAAGTAGCCGGACAGAACAAGAGCTAGGTACACATGTCAGTCTTTCTTTCTTGTACAGCAAACAAAGACAGATGGCGTATACCAGTAAACAACAGAGTGATGCCGACGGTGAACTGCGAGTCCTTGCCAATGGTGGGCTCGTACGGCTGACCAGCAGCAGCTTCCCAGAGATCGTTCAAAGGTTGCACAGACATGGCGACGGAGTGAATTGAAAAGACTACAACTGGTACAACAGCAACAACAATGCGAGAGATGCGAGTCGAGCAACCTTGATGCTCGAGGCCAGATGGCAGCAGTCAGCCAATCAGCCACGCATGCCAAGACTCGAACTCCAGCCCTGTCGACGGACAAGGAAGCAGCGCCCAAGCGTCGAGCGTCGGCCTGTGTAGAGAGAGCAGCAGCAGCAGCAGCAGCAATCGCATCTCGACTCACTTGCACGCGACAGAGCATCGACTCGCTCGCCATCTTCCATCACTCCGCCCTTTCTCTGCACGCCCTCTTCCGCTTCGTCTAGCGCCGCTTCACTGCGTCGTTGACTCGCATCCGCCGCTCACTCATCGCCACAAAGCGCGCGCGCGCCTTCGCATCCCCGTCTCCTTCCGCTCCCAAAACACGTCCATCTGACTCCCGCCCATCTCCATCTCACCGCGCCTCCGTTCAACCATGGCCGACGTCTGGGGCAACGGCGTGGGTAGCCCCTCCCAGAGCGAATACGATGAGGACGACATCATCACAAGCGAGGACTGCTGGACCGTCATTCAGTCCTTCTTTGACTCAAAGGGTCTGGTCTCACAACAGCTTGACTCGTTTGATGAGTTCGCTGGTACCTCTATGCAGGATATTGTCACCGAACAGGGCCGCATCGTCATCGACCAGAATGCGCCGCAAGACGACAATGACCTCGACCCCATCGTCAAGCGCCGCTACGAGATCGAGTTCGGCAACATCACCATCTCCCAGGCCGCCATCACCGAAGGCGACGGTTCCACTCGCCCTCTCTACCCCAACGAGGCTCGTCTGCGCAATTTGACCTACTCGAGTCCCATCTACCTTGGCATGACCAGCCGTGTTTTGGTCGCCCGCGAAAGACGTATCGGCGCAGCACATCACGACGAAGACGACCCGGATCATGTGCCGAATGAGGATGAGGAGACCGAGTTGGTTTGGGAAAAGGAGGATCCCGATGCTATCGAAAAGGAAGAGCGTGTCTTCATCGGAAAGCTGCCTGTCATGATCAAGTCTAAGATCTGTACCTTGCGCAACCGCTCAGAGCAGGAACTCTACGCCTTCCAGGAATGTCCCTACGACCAGGGTGGTTACTTCATCATCAACGGTTCGGAAAAGGTTCTGATCGCCCAAGAACGCAGTGCTGCCAACATTGTCCAGGTTTTCAGAAAGAAGGGCAGCCCTACGCCAATTGTTGCTGAGATCAGAAGTGCCATCGAAAAGGGTACCCGACTGCTCTCGTCCATGCAGCTAAAGTGGTACCAGAAGGGAGATCAGTCCAGGGCTGGAAACATGGGCGGTGTAATCAAGGCTACCTTGCCCTACATCAAGGCCGATATCCCCATCGCCATCGTCTTCCGTGCGCTCGGTATCGTGTCAGACATGCAAATCCTCGACTGCATCTGTTACGATGCAAATGACACACAGTTGCGGGAGATGATCAAGCCGTGTTTGGAGGAAGCTTTCGTTGTTCAAGACCGCGAGTTCGCCCTCGATTACATTGGCAGACGTGGTCAGCAGGCGGGAACAAAGGAGAAGCGTATTCGTTATGCCCGCGACATCTTGCAGAAGGAGTTCTTGCCTCATATCTCTCAACGAGAGGGCAGTGAGACCAGAAAGGCTTTCTTCCTTGGCTACATGATCAACCGTATGTGTCAAGTCGCCCTTGGCAGATGCGACGAAGACGATAGAGATCACTTTGGTAAAAAGCGTCTCGATCTGGCTGGTCCCCTGATGGCCCAGGTCTTCCGCCTCAAGTTCACCCAACTTGTGCGTGATATGCGCGTCTACCTTTCCCGCTGCATTGAGCAAGGCAGAGACTTCAACCTTACTCTCGCCGTCAAGTCAAACATTCTCACATCAGGTCTGCGCTACTGTCTGGCTACTGGTAACTGGGGAGATCAGAAGAAGGCTGCTTCGGCGAAGGCTGGTGTCTCGCAGGTCCTGAACAGATACACATACGCCTCCACATTGTCGCATTTGCGACGAACAAATACTCCCATCGGTCGTGATGGCAAGATCGCCAAGCCCCGCCAGCTGCACAACACTCACTGGGGTCTCGTCTGTCCTGCAGAGACTCCTGAAGGACAAGCTTGCGGTCTGGTCAAGAACTTGTCTCTCATGTGTTACGTCAGTGTGGGTACTCCTGCTGAGCCTATTGTCGAGTTCATGAACCAGCGAAACATGGAACTGCTTGAGGAGTACGAGCCCAAGAACAACCCGGATGCCACCAAGGTCTTCGTCAACGGTGTGTGGGTTGGTGTCCACAGAGACCCTTCTCAGCTCGTCAAGGTCGTGCAGGGCCTTCGTCGCAATGGCACCATCTCCTTCGAGATCTCACTCATCAGAGATGTTCGTGAGCGCGAGTTCAAGATTTTCACCGATGCTGGTCGTGTCATGAGGCCGTTGTTCGTTGTCAACAACGATCCTGCAAGTCCGACCAAGGGTCAGCTCGTTCTCAACAGACAGCACATCTCTAACTTGCTCAACGCAAGAGAGACCGAGACTATCGGCCTGAGCGAAGAGGAGCGTGACAGCGCCATCTATGGTTGGAAGGACTTGATTAGTGAGGGAGTCATCGAATACCTGGATGCCGAGGAAGAAGAGGCTGCCATGATGGTCATGTCTCCAGAAGATCTCGATGAGCATCGTCAGATGAGAGCTGGTCTCGTCTATGATGAGCCAGTGACTGATCCCCACAGAAGAATCAAGAGCAAGCCCAACCCGAACGTCAGAATCTGGACTCATTGTGAGATTCATCCTGCCATGATTCTGGGTATTTGCGCCTCCATTATTCCCTTCCCCGATCACAACCAGTCGCCTCGTAACACCTACCAATCTGCCATGGGTAAACAAGCTATGGGTATCACCCTTACCAACTACAACGTGCGCATGGATACTATGGCCAACGTCCTTTACTACCCTCAAAAGCCTCTCGGTACTACACGTTCTATGGAGTACCTCAAGTTCAGAGAGTTGCCTGCCGGACAAAACGCCATCGTCGCTATTGCTTGTTACAGTGGTTACAACCAAGAAGATTCCGTCATCATGAACCAATCGTCGATTGATCGTGGTCTCTTCCGCTCGCTGTTCTATCGTGCTTACATGGATCAAGAGAAGCGTGTTGGTATGTCGGTTGTCGAGCAGTTTGAAAAGCCCACTCGCGGAGATACTATGAGAATGAAGCATGGAACTTACGACAAGTTGGACGAGGATGGTATCATTGCACCAGGCACTCGTGTCTCTGGTGAGGATATTATCATCGGTAAAACTGCACCCATGGCTCCTGATGCTGAAGAGCTCGGCCAGCGTACCAAGTTCCACATCAAGCGTGATGTCTCGACTCCTCTACGTTCTACTGAGAGCGGTCTCATTGACCAAGTGCTTCTTACGACCAACGTCGAAGGTCTGAAGTTCGTCAAGGTTCGCACACGAACAACCAAGATTCCCCAGATTGGTGACAAGTTTGCCTCTCGTCACGGTCAAAAGGGTACCATCGGTATCACTTACCGTCAAGAAGACATGCCTTTCACCGCAGATGGACTTGTTCCTGACATCATCATCAACCCCCACGCTATTCCTTCTCGTATGACCATTGCCCATTTGATTGAGTGTCTGCTTTCAAAGGTCGGTTCTCTACGTGGCCAAGAAGGTGACGCCACTCCTTTCACCGATGTTACTGTCACTCAAATCTCCGACTTGCTTCGTCAACACGGATTCCAGCAGCGTGGTTTCGAGGTCATGTACAACGGTCACACTGGTAAGAAGATGTCTGCACAGGTCTTCCTGGGTCCTACATACTACCAGCGTCTGCGTCACATGGTCGATGACAAGATTCACGCTCGTGCCCGTGGTCCTACCCAAATCTTGACTCGTCAACCCGTGGAAGGTAGAGCGCGTGACGGTGGTCTGCGTTTCGGAGAGATGGAGCGCGATTGTATGATCGCTCACGGTGCCTCTGCTTTCTTGAAGGAGAGATTGCTCGATGTCTCGGATGCTTTCCGTGTCCATGTGTGCGAGATCTGCGGTCTGATGACTCCCATCGCGTAAGTTTCTACTATCTTTTCGTGACATTTATTAACATGTTTACTAATCTACTTCCAGCTCGCTCAAGAAGAACCAGTTCGAGTGCAGACCTTGCAAGAACAAGACCGAGATCGCACAGATCATCATCCCATACGCTGCCAAGCTCATGTTCCAGGAGCTTGCAGCTATGAACGTGGCCACGCGCATGTACACCAAGCGTAGTGGTGTCAGCATCAGATGAGAGCATTGACGGCACGTCCGATTTGAGGACACAAAAACAGTACATTTGACGCAAGAGCAGCAATCGCTCCCAACGAGTCCATTCAAGGACAAAAAGGAGCATGGCGCCGCGACGAAAGACGTGGGCGCAGCGAAGAAAAAGCGAAAGAAGTATTTTCACACGCATAACATGGGAGTTTATTTCTTCGACGGTTGGGTTTTCACGAGATCAAATTGGTTTTCTTCTGCAGTATTACACTTGGTTCAACTTCTCTAGAAAGTAGCCTGGCCCAACCACTTTATGTAACTTTAGCAAAACAAAGCACTTTCAAAATCATTCATTCTCGAGTGTGTTGGTGCTCGCCTCTTCGTGATGGATCTTTGAAATTTACAAACGCATGTACGTAGATTGAGCATGTAGCAAGGCAGGCATGTCTCGGAAAGAAGGAACCCTTATCTGACTTCAAACAATGTTAGACAACTCATCCAAGACCCCAAAACTCAGCGTCTCTCGTTCAAATCATCTTTGGAATGGCAATTCAGACGCAATGAACCATAGTTGTTATGGTTGTTGAGTATTCGTGACCAATAGCTTGTGCCAGGGTCGTCCCCAAAGCAGCTCACCGACAATACCCGATACCAGTAGCCGAAAAGAACTACCTCCTCTCAAAGAAACGATATGACTATCCTCTCTGTCCCCCCTTGACATTGTCCTATTGAAACACGTCAATTCGCGGCACTCTACCTAAATACCACGGCCACGGGTCTCACACCTGATCATCATCACCTTCAACATTTGCCATTCATCACAGCCAAAAACAAAAAATAAAAACACCACATCACCACAACAAGACAAGATGACAATACCGACCCCATCACCAGTCTTTCCAACCTCGACACTAAAATCCCACTCTCCGACCCTCACAAAATTGCTCAAGGACCGTCCAGCTCCCATACGAGAGACCGCTCTGCTCGCTGCTGCTTCATCTGTTACGAGACCAGTCAAACCGCCTGCGGGAGATTGTTGTGGCAGCAGCTGTGACCCTTGCGTTATGGACTTGTATGCGCAGGAGTTGAAGATTTGGAAAGAGTGTGTGGGGTTGAGGGATCAGGGTGTAGAGGACGAGGGTGGGAGTGCGGAGGCAGGAACGCTGGACGCGTGTAGCGTCCCGGGGTCTTTCGAGTGGTGAATGGTGGGAATGGATTTACAGTCGATACTGAACCATCCATCTCATCAGGAGAAAGACGATTCCCAAGCATCAATGGACGGTCACAATCGGCAACATGAATCACATCAAACAAAAGGCACAATAACGTCAAAATACCACACCAGGAAAAGGTGTCGAAAGTTATGCAATACGATTATCTCTACCAGCAAAAGTATGGAGAATATAGAGCACAAGAAGAAGGGTATTGGAACATGCCTCGATGGGTAAGCAAAAAAAAAAGAGACGACGAAGAAAGAACCAGCGATACGACATAGGCAGGCCCGAAGACCATTTTGCCTCGCTCCTGAGCTTGTATGCATATATTCTGGGATGGTATACGTCCTTGTGGAGGCCGGTCATGCACAGATCCAATGTTTCTGAACGACACAGCCGTTTCATGAAGAGCAGATCTGGGAGAACTTTCTGTTGGTCAGAGGTTGAGGGAAGATGCCAGCATCGATCAGACGGAAGGCATCCCATTCGGGCGAGGCTTCGGTCTTGAAGTTCCAGAAGACCCAACCGATGGTGTTGCTCTCGAATGCTTCCATTTGAGCCTCGATGTATCCGCGAGTGTCGTCCTTCAAGGTCTGAGACCACTGGTCGATGTAGTTCATGCTGGCGCAAGAACCGACGTAACTGCTGCCAGGGTATGTGCCGTCGTAACGAGCACCGATGCCGTAACCGTTCAGAGCGGCGGCGCAGTCAGTCATGGCTGCCGACCACTCGCCAACAAAGGTCCACTTGTCGGCACCTGCGTACTGCTTGACGTTGTTACAGACATATTGACGGTGCTGCCAAGGCTGCATGGCGACCAGCTCGTTTGTGAAACATTGGTACTCATGGTGGTCAAGAGCGACGTTCTGAGCGTTGTTGTCGGAAGGAGTCAACCAGCCGTTGTAGCTGCTGGGAGGTTGGAATCCATCTTGGATGACGACAACACGAGACTTGGAGACAGTGCGCTGCTGTCCGAAACCATTGCGCTCAAACTGCTTGAGGTCGTCCAGGTTCAGGGATGTGGACAGAGGCTCGTTGAGAAGCTCAATTCCGGCGACAACGTCGTCGTAGGAAGAGTCTGCATACTTGTTCTGGATAGTCTGCAAGACGGCCAGAGTGCGCTGCACGTTATCTCCTTGCTGGAAGTCAATGTTGTCTGTACGTTGACCAGAGTTGTCGAAACCGTTCTGAGAGCCAGGAGCACCGTGCAGATCAACAATAACCTTCAGTCCGGTCTGTCTCGCCCACTCAATGGCTTGATCCATGTAGGGAGCTGCTCCGGAAACGTAAGGGCTGTTGGCGTTGTCGTATGCCCAATAACCTATCGGAACGCGGACGACGTTGAAGCCAGATTTTGCGATCTTCTCGAAGTCGGCAAGTTGTACCCACGAGTCCCAGTGAGGCTTCAGCACGTTGTATGCAGCATCTTGACCGAGCTTCTCACCGAGAGTGTACTCGTCGATGATGCCTTGTGACATAGGGTAGGCCTGGAAGATTGAGGGAGTAATCCACCTACGCATGTCAGAGAGATGTCATATGCCTCGATCGAATCTGAACTTACGGCTCGAGGACCAGCCATCCACCGAGATTTACTCCACGCATAACTTCATTGCCCCAGTTGAAGCCATTTGCACGCCTACTGCTGTTAATGGTATCGTCAGCCCTAGTCCTTTTTGGTGGATGTCATGATTTCTTACTGAGGTGCAGCGAATGCCGTTGCTACCGCACTCAATGCGGCAACTGTGTGTCTAAGGAAGAACATGGTGTGCTAGGTATGTCGAGAGGATGTTCCGGTACCAGATTCGATCGCCGCCAATGACCAGAGGAAACTGGAAAGTATTCGTTGGATACCTTTATGGAGACCTGATTGATTGATTGGTAACGCTGTGTTCGGTGGTTGTTGCTAGGGAAAGTAGGATGGAATGTTAACTGAAAGCGGAATGCTCGGAGAGATGAAGGTAATTGTCCAGCAGAGGAATGTTGGTAGGAAAGCTTTAATTGCACAGCAATACGAGACCAGAGCTCGGCGAATATCTGACCAGCGAGAGGGACGTAAAAGACTCGAACTGAATTGTAAGACGGAGAAGAAGTACGGCCAGCAGGAGCAAGGTCGAGATAAAACCCTTCTGGCCAAGGCTCAGACCAACACAGGGGGTCTGCTAAGGTTGGTCACTTCTCTCGAGGCAGGAGCGTTGCATCGTCTGCCGAGGCCGATTGGCGCCAGAAACTTGATCGTCTCCGCTGCATCTACCCGTGCATGTGGCAGGGCGCGTGTCAGCACCATGAACATTGACGACACAGCAGCCTGCCTCCTTGCTTGTGATGTTCTATTTGGCTTCGTCAGAGACGGTTGTTTAATCTGTTCCAGGGGAATAAAAGGCTTGTTTCTCCTTAGCGTGCCAGGAACAGGCAAGTCTGTCACGCACAGACATCACGGGGTGAACCCGCAGCAATGATCAGAGTTGATCTTCTGGCCACCTGATGGATTCTATATCATGTGTAGCTTTTTCCATGACAAGCACACTGAAGAGTATTACAATTACTGCAACGTCTATCGTGAGATTCAGTCTTCATACACCATGGCCGGCCAAAAGGATAGCTTTTTTGCTTCGCGCTGGAACCGAGACTGTCGTCATCTTGAAATAAAGGGTGTCAAGTCCGGCTGGCTCATGCAAGTCTGCAGCGTCCGTCCGTTTTGTCCCTTGCGCCGCACCCGTGGCCGTCGCTCGAACTCTGGACGGCACATTCACTCTCTCCTCGGCATCCAGGACCCGTGTACCCGATTACACACTCTACCAGCGACTCTGCTTATTGCAAAGTGGACATGTTCAAGGGCGGTCGACTGCGGATGCTTCCTTTTGTTCCCTGCTCTTTGTTCTGTCGTCTGCCGTGAACGCGTACGCTCAGCCACGCGCTTACGCTTCTGCCTCACTCTCCCCCTTTTGTATGACGTTCGCTGGTGGAGACTTCAGCCGCCTTGCGCAACGGTGCAGTGCTCAGCACTCGGTATACTGGTGAGACCACTGTGACAGTGTCCCAGGGATTCTAGCAGGCTCTCACCGTTATTCCTCCTTGACTGTCCAGTGCCCAGGCTAACGACTCATACCCACAGACCTCATCGACGCTTGGGCGAGTGGCAAAGCAAAGCAATGTGAAGCAAACAATGGTTTGTGGCTCAGTCACCCTTAATATGCAACAATAATTACAAAAATAGACGATGTAGGACAGTTGCATTGCGCATAACATCGCTACGGAAATGGAAGGTACACCTCTTTGTATCATGTGGTTCGGCGCATGAAGTGAGCTTGGCAAGCCAAAGCTCAATATCTGCGACAACGCAATGTTCGCTGATATAACCAGGACTTCAACTTGTCGCTGACGAGCCTTGGCCGAGAGGCGGTTGAAGGTTGCTTTGTATCTTAGATTGTGGTTCAATGCCCGCTTCGCCTGCAGATGGCCACGAAGTTTTTTTTCTTCTCCAGGAAGACCCGCTAGAGAAGTGGCCATTCAAGATCATCACGAATGAAATGCATGTGATCTTTCAGTAAGAGTACGCAACAAGTCTCCCAGTATTCGATCCTGCGGCTCTGGTTGTCGATCGCTGCGAGCATAGAAATAGCCATATCGTACAGGCCTATCCAAAATCGTATGCCTTCCTCCCACATTCTTAGCTCACACTTCGCAGCGGTGCTCCAAAACGAGATGTCTGTATCGCAATGACTGAGGAGTAAAAACGCGATTTCCAAATTCTCTGTGGGCGCTCTCCATGACACTGCACAAAGAAGTCTCTCTGTCCAGATGCCGTTTTGAGACTGGTCTCGAAAAGCAGCAATCTGCTGAGACCCTCACAGCACAATGGAGCGCCGGTTGCGGAAATCGAGAGTCAATCATTTTGCTATTGTCGTCAAAAGAATACTACACGCCGTATTTGGTATTGACACAATATCACGACAAGATCCGACAATGACTTCAAGTCCTTATTGTCCTGACAAGGTAGATACACAAATATTCGATACTTCCTTCTGATCACTCCCTGTTCAACCATCGTTTTGAGAAGAAGATTTTGTCTTTTCTTTTTAACACATCAATCTGTCCATCCCCAGTCACCCCTCCGATATGCCTCCCAAGAAAGTCAAGAAGACTGGCGATAAAGCACCGCCCAAGCGTACAGCCAGAGCAACAGCAAAGAAAACAGCTACGGGCGGCAAGAGAAAGCGTACCGATGAAGACAAGGAAGACAGCACGCCAGCAGGAACCAAGAAGCCCAAGCTCTCACCGAAGAGTGCCAGGGAAACTAAACTGGAGGAGTATTTGAAGGTCAGAATCAAGGACCTGGGGTTCAACGTGGAACCCATCAAGGGCCATGAACCGGATGACGAAGACGAAGATGAACCTGACGAGGACTGGGCTTCAACATCTCGTCTGCGTCAACGCTGCGATGATCGACTTGACGACATAGAAGAGGCCATCCGTACCATTGGTCGCGAAAAGTTCCCGGCGTACGATATCCCAGAGCACAAGAGCGACGAGACTCGTCAAGAAAAGCGAAAGAAGAACGAGGGTATCCAAGACGATCAAGAGATCGAGCCAATTGTAGAAAAGAAGCGGGTCAAGGTACGTTTTCAAGTCGTTCAGCTCCACATGAAGTAGAAAGCTGACCATGTCTGCTATCATAGCCCTCCACAAACTTCCCCAAAGGCAAGAAATACGTACCCGCGAAGAAGTTGGGACAACTTGTGAAGCAACTTGAGCAGCAGTTTGGGGACGAGTTGGCCAAGCGTAGGGTCCAGTACCCCCACGACGTAAGTCTTGCTAAGTATTCTTCCAAGAGCGCCAAAGAGGCGGAAGAGGCAGCAGAAGCTAGAGGAAAATCCCCAAAGTTGACCAGATCTCCCGATAAACAGTGGAATAAGCATGGACTTTCGCTTCGAGAATTGCTTGATCTATACAACCGTCATGGCTCACAAACCCCAGCCCCTGTTCACGACGACCTCGTCAACAAATGTAAACAATACGGACTCAGCACTGTTGGAAACCTCTGGGATCTGGAAAAGGCCATACTCATGTACGAGCTTGCAAGCAAACAACGCATGCATGGATTGCCCCAGGAAGCTATCAACAAAATCATATCTGCTCTTGGCGACATTGAGGCTCCGAATGGCACCGAGGAAGACAAGGGCAGTGACGATGACGATGGTGGGAAAGACAAGTCAAAGGGGGCCAGTGTCTCGCCCAAGGGTGACAAAACTGGCGATACAGAAAAAGATGGATCCAAAGATGGCAAGGATGACGGCAAGAAGGGTGACAAGAAGAACGACAAGGATACTGGAGCTGCGAAGAAGCCGATCAAGAAAAGCACAAGATCGAGCAAGAAGACGGATCCCATGCTCGAAGACAGCAAACTCATCAACCAGAAGGAGATAACTATCACGGATGGTGGTCAAAACCAAAGGTTTACTCAGACGAACGTCTCTGGAGCTTCAAACCGTTGCATGTGGCACGCGATCCAATTGCTTTGGATGGGAAGACAAAAAGCATCGGGCAGAAAACTTGTGGATCAATACCCCGTCAACGACAGAGTGAATAATCTTTGGGATGCGGTCATGCACCCTACTGAGGGAACTACAAATCCGGCACGCCAGGCAAGGCGGAGACTCTACACTGCGATGCAGCAGAATAGCACTAGTGCTGAAGGGGGCTCACTAGAGAGGCGTATCCGCAACAGGCAGTTGGGTAAGTGTCTATTAAATTTTCTATGCGTCCATGTGTACTAACACTGAACACAGGTGACCTCGATATGCTCCAACTGGTCGCAGATGCATTGGATATCGAAATCTTCGCCTACTGTCCAACGCACAATGACGATGGTACAACATGGCACAGATATGTGAGAGGCGAGCCACAGACCGATCCCGCGCGTCAAATTCATCTTGTGTCCTATCTGAGTGTCGTTCACTGGACGGCTTTGCGACCAATTGGAGATGGATCTATCAACTTGCCTGCTTTGACACAAGCAAATAGAGATCCACTCTCGGGCATGGGTCCGGGCATAACTGTTTCATCACTCACACGCCTCCAACCTGGAGATGAGGATAACACGGATCTTCGACCGGAGGATGAGCATGACGCTGTCGAAGATGGACACGTCGCAGACATGACCGAAGAGGAAGAGGAGGAAGACGACGACCCTGAAGATGAGGAAGCCGGGGAAGAAGACGAAGGCGAAGACGAAGGCAAAGACGAAGATGGTGCTGATGGAGGTACGGGGGATGGTGGCCCACCTCCACCCCCAGCTGCTGGAGCCACAGTTGCCGCTACTTCGACTGCTGCCAAAAGACAGTCATCGCCGAGAAGATCGTCCCCGTCGGACCGCAGCGTGATAATCATATCCTCGGACCCTTCCGCTCCGAGCCCACCAGGATCCCAGAGACGGGCAAGGAGACGAGCACGCTCCAGGTCAAACAGTCAATCACGCAGTACATCTCGGCCCCAAGGCGTACGAAAGAACGCTCACACCTCGCAACCATTGAGCATCAAAGCACAGAAGAGAAACACAAAAGCCCTTCGCAAAATCTTCGAGAAATACCTTGTCGCAATGCCCAGCCCTTACAGTATGGGAGGTGCCATAAGATCGCCCTATCCAAGTTCGGCCGTCTTTTGTGCTTAGTGTATGATGAATATGGCTGGCTACCTGAGCAAACCGAGTTTCATGTGAAATACGATCTTCGATGTCTTTATATTATTATGCTAGCGAATCTAGACCCTTGTCTCTGATGAATACAGTATCATGATTCGAATTTTCGAACAAGCGCGTTGTAACATCGGTGACTTTTGTTCGATGGCTTGCTAGGAGCTCTGGCCTTAACGCTGAATATCCGTCTGCGCTTGCCTCATTTCGTCTTGCTCGTTTCAGTCAGGAGAAAGCAGCCATCTTGTGTGTTCGATGTTTTTCTCGCGCCTTCCGCAACACCATAACCACCACGTCGTCGTAGAATCGGCTGGGTTTCATGTCTTTGGAAATCAACACCAGCACTCGTGGCCTCAGAAGCAAGCTTCATACATCGCATCTCGAAAGTCGTTCGTGGTCTCAGAAACATATGTATATCATAGTGTATATCGCCATGTGGTTCTGCAGTTGTTGAAGATTACGAAATGCCGTTTCGAGCAGATCGTAGACCTCTTTTGACCACATCATGCCGGCAAGGGACAGACGCCGCAAGCATATCATTAGCTGCTGCCACATGTGGCAGAAACGCGTTATATACATTTGCTCATGACTGACGACAGCAGCCACGCGATGAAACCCCCACGCGTCAGGGTACTCGGGCTTCAGATTTTTCTCCATCCAAGAGGTGATACTGATGTCGAGATGATCAATAAGGCACCGTAGGCGACAAAACATGGGCATTGAGTATATGACAGTGTCCAGATGTGGTAACGTCGATCTTGTGGGTGGGCTGTTATTGGTTAAAGTGGTCCATAGTATTTGTATCTCATCTTGTACTTTCAAGGCCATATCTCGTGTTTGCTCGAGCTGGGAAAGGCTCGTTGATAGCAAGGAGGAACCTGATGGGCAGTCCGCACCTGAGTCACCATCTGTACCGCAGGCAACTTTGTTGCACAAGCGCGGAGGAACCAAATTCTGGACTTTTGGAGCATATCGCGCCTGGAAGTCGACAGGAGGAAGCGGTATGTACATGCTGATGATGGCTAAAGACGTATTGCTGCTTTTCGTGGAAGACGACCCTGAACACTTTTCAGAACGATTATTGGTGTTTGGTTCTTGAGATATTGCGACTCCGATGAGTCAAAACATTGTAGAGCTTTTTTGAGTCAGATATCTGAGCAGAAAATCGCGAACTTGACCGCTCTTTGAGTCAGAAACCATCACACGATCTTTCAGTCTTCGTGCACCGGAGCGAACTTCGACATCTTTCTGAGCTTTAATCCGAACTTCATGAATATGAAAGGGACGGGTAATGCCAACGCAGCGATGCCGCCAAGAATACTCATCGCAGGCCCAACACCCAGATGGTTAAACATCGGTCGTGCCGCGAGCGGAAGACCTCCCGCGATCAAGCTGCGCAAGAACGTGTTGGCCGAAACAGCCGAGGCTGCATATAGCGAGTACGTATCAACCAGGAAGTTGATACATTGCTGGAAGATGATGTTGAAGCCTGCTCCGATGAAAGCTGCCGCAACGACGCAAGATGGCCACGGTATGGATGGATCAGCGGTCCAACCGAACCAGAACAGGCCGACAGTAAAGAGAACGCCACCTATGCTCATCGGCAACAACCTCGCTTCCGGTACCTATGATAAGAAAGTGTTAGCGTGATTCTTTCTATGTTCAATAGCCAACGTAGAGGAAAGCGTCGTTGCCGGCTCCAGCAGATAGGCTACTGGTGAGCGTGATGCTTATGAGATCATCAGAGCCTTGCATGCGAGTGGTGACTTACGGGTCTTCCATTGTTGGCATCAACAGCACGAGCGTAGCGCGGCTGGTTGGCCAGGTTGATCAGGACAGCAAATAATACTCCCACGAAGAGTGCGAGGAATGGTAGAGTGCTTGTGATAAGAGGCCAACCTCTGTTTTGTTCAAACACGATGGGGAAGACCTCGAGAGTCATGTAAAGAATTCCGTACACGAATGAAGCGTAGAAGGCGATGCAAGTGACCATCGGCTCTGTCGTAAGCATGACGATGGGCCTCGCAAGGTGCTTCGTGACGACGGTCTTAACGTCCAACTTGACGTCTTCATGAGGGTGGTGCCATCGTGAGTCGTCAGTCTCTTTCCGTAGACGCTGGGCCTTGGCCTTCAGAAGAACAGGAGAGTATGTTTCTGGCAGGCAGAAAAAGGCGAATACAACGATAGTGAAGACCCAGATCGCAAGGATATAAGAGGGCCACCTGAAGCCAACGTTGACAGTCAATGCACTGCCAATAACAGGTCCGATTGTCGGCCCGCCGACGACAGCTATGGCGTAGAATGTCATCGCTTGACCTACGAGAACACGGTTATCATAAAGTCTTTGAGAAACAAACACACGAGTCGAAACATACCTCGAGGCTTCGGGGCGTACATATCACCAAGAGCGGCGCTGACGTTCGAAACGGGAGCGGAGCCAAAAACTCCCGAAAAGAAGCGACAGATGATGATAGTCTGAGCATTCTTGCCAACAGCAGTGCCGATACTGAAGAGGCCTAGACCGACCATTGCTGGCAACATGCTGACTTTACGTCCCCAAACTTCTGACGTAGGAGCCCAGATCAGAGGACCTACAGCGAAGCCGACGATGTAAAGGGAGATGACCAGAACAGCGACTTCTCCAGAGATTCCAGTGTACTCTGCGATCCGTTGCTCGGCGGGAGAAATGATAGAAGAACCAAGACTAGCAGCCAGCGCGAGCATGCCGAGGATGAAAGTGATGAAGGCCTTGTAAGTCGACGACCAATTCATCGGGTTGCCCGTTTCTCCTGCATCCCATCCTACAAGGAACGAGTCCCCTTGATCCTTTTCCTTTGCTATCACAGCAGCCTCCTCATCGCGTGGAGGTTGTTGTGATTGTGGGGAAGTGGACAGAGAGATGTCGTCACTCGATCTCTCTTTCGGCGAGGTGTTTACCAACGACGGCGACGTCGAGCGTGTCAGATCGTTGACCATGGGCGCGAATCTGAATGATTGATAGTGTAGAGGCGACAGAACTGGAAAGGCATGTTCAAGATCGTCGTCACAAAAGTTTTGTCTTTTACATTGGATGAATCGGCTCAAACGGCACTATAGAATCTGACATTGCCGCCCTCATCTACCAGGAGGCCACGGACATAACCATCAAAAATCCGAAATGCGATCGACCAACAAATCGATTCTGCCAACAGTAGTATCCAGCGGTCAGCCAAGCACCATTCTTGCGTGATTCCTTTGGGATAATATGGAGAGGGAGTACTCGAGTAAGACGACGCTGCCGTTCCCTGTCATTGCACTTGCGGGACAGAGCCTCAGATCTGGATCACTCCGCTCCGAGAATGCTTGACACTCTTGGCGTTTGCGAACGTCATGATTTCATTATGTCCATCAAAGTGTCTGAAGCTTCAAAAGCAGCATCTCTTCTGTCCACATGAACCTCATACTTGTCTATGTCCTCTGTCTAGCAACTTTATTTACAACTATATCTGGCGCTCTTCATAATAGCCACCACCATTCACAAAAGATGTCGCGCTCATTGAACGGTTGGTGATGCTTATAGAGGGTCTCCACATACCGAACACTGACAAGCTCCAGTCCTCTCGAAGCCTTTGGCTATCCACTCGACCAGCCCCATGACAGGCTATCTTAGAAACGGCTACTGCGAGGTGCCAGCTTCAGATGCTGGAAACCACGCTATCGCTGCAGAGGTCTCAGACGAATTCCTCAAGTTCTCAGCCGAGCGTGGTAACGACCTCCGCCAGATCGGACTCAAGGGAGGCTGCAAATGGTGTCTCTGCGTATCCCGCTGGAAGGAGGCATTCGACGCCAGAGGGAAGGAGGGCGACAAGATTGTCCCTAAGTATGCCGCAACCAGTCCCGGTAATCGGCGTAGATATGCTAATTGCTGGCAGGATCTTCCTCAACGCCACCAATGAGAAAGCACTAGACAAGGTATCGCTGGAAGACCTCAAGAAGTTTGCCGTTGACAAAGAGTAAGCGCGTGGCAACGCTGGGGATGTTGAACAGTGACGAATAAGAATTATCCTCTTTCCCTATATCCATTTTTTGTTCGCGCCGTGTACTGGGAGTCTGCCTCCTGTATCTGGCTTGTCGGCCTGGAGAGAGCTCTTGATAGCATTCCTAGATCTGAGGTCGGAGTAGAGGCCCTGGTAGGAAGGCACGCATGTAACAGTAAGTGCGGTCGTTTGGAGTGGAGATTTGTGTCGACGACGATGGGAGGCGCATAGAATTATTTTGGATTTCGGCCGTCGGAAACAGTTTGTAGCTTGCGGTATTCCTTTTCCAGCTCGGCTTGCATATCGAAGTCTAGTTGACGTTCCTTCTTTATGCGTTGCTGCTCCATGTCTCGAATGACACCTGCGTGCATAGCCTGTTCGGGAGTTTAGCACAAGAAAAGTAGACAAGAAGATGGATAGACTGACGGCCTTCTCGACCTTCTGACCATGGTGCACAAAGATGATGATACCAATCGCACCAAGCGAGGTGGCAGCCAGGGTCAACTTTGCTTTTGTCGACATTGTATATATGGTAGTGGCGATGGAGAGGCAGCTGCTACAGGAACTTGCAACTTTGCGGGAAGGAGCGACGGGAGCGTCAGTCGCATATCGAAGGGCGCGCTTGGGCCCCCACGACTTGGCGGTCACCATCAACATCCACCTGCAGCCAACAACCACTGCACCTCCGGAGCTGTCGTCACATATTCTACAATCCACCATGGTGTGTTTCCCTGCCGACCGCCTGATTCGAGCGACAAGATCATATGCTAATATTCTCTCCAGTCTGCACAAAACTCGGCCGGAATCCAAACGCTGCTTGACGTAGGCTGAACTCACGCACCCTCAATCGGCGCCTTTACTTACCCATACCCGTAGGCTGAGCGCGAGGCCCAGAAGATTGTCCAGCAAGGTATATCCTGTCATCTAGCCCGCCTACTGTACACATGCTAACCAGCTCACAGCAAGAGAGTGTAATTCAACGACCCGCACCCCGTAGCAAACCACACGTATCTGACCAACTACCCAACAGACCGCACCAAGCGTGTAAAGGACGCTCGCTCCGAGGCCCAAAAAGAGATCGACGAGTACCGCAACAAGAAGGAGGAAGAGTTCAAGCAATTCTCAACACAGGTGCGTTCGGGACCAGTCTCACAGTCACTCGCGGCATCTGACACAGGGCCTACAGCACACCAGCGGCAACGAGCAGGCCGAGAAGGATGCCTCCAAGGATACAGATGAGAAGCTGAAGGAGATCAAGAGCATTGGCGACAAGGAGGGCGGCACCGTTGTTGAGAACCTGCTACGCGCCGTCACCGATGTCAAGCCCCAGGTTCCCGACAGAGTCGAGCAGCCCGTCGCATGATCTACCTGACGTCTGTTCTTGTCTCTAATCGCATCTTTTGCCCCGTCCCGCTCTGCTTTCTCCTCGCTGTAGATATCCTCTTTCGAATTATAGATTGATCTTCATCTGACGAGCCTCGTTGTGCCACTCTACTTATGAGTTGTACGTTTGGACTCTATGGATACCACCAAATCTATATCACTAGTCCTGTTCTCTTGTATACTCGAGATATGTTCATGGTATCTCGTGAATCGATGCGAGGAACACGCTCGTGATTGATCGACTCTGACGTCATATTTCCGGGGCTACACTCTCAAACCATCTGTTTACTGTACCTTTTTCCCAATCACGAACTTTAATCAACCGTGCAATGAGCCTCCGACTATCGACCAGACAGTTATGTCGTCCATACTGTCGTCCTGTCTTCCTTGCTACAAACAACAGATATGTGCAGTTCAGCCACGCTTCGGTGAATCGAGAAGAGAAGGTCGAAGATCCTCGCCTCAAGGAGGAGATTGGCGATTTGGTCATAGAAGATCAGTATGCAATCCTTCGAGAGAAATACGGTATGCGACCACCACCTCTATATCTGCGTTTCTGGTCTCTGACACGTTGGAAAGATACGCCCAAGAATCCAATCATCCTGGCACATGGCTTGCTAGGGTTTGAAGAGCTCAATATTGTGCCAAAAGCAATTGCTCCTGGCTTACAGTACTGGAGAGGTATCCGGGAAGCATTGGCTGCAAAGGGTATCGAAGTGATTACTGCAACCGTACCACCATCTGGATCCATCGAAGCACGCGCTCAGAAGTTGAGCGAGGACATCCACAACAAAGCAAAGGGAAAGAGCGTAAACATTATCGCGTAGGTGTATCGTATGTTATTACACGAAGAGCAACAAAAGCTAACTTGATCGACAGACACAGCATGGTGACGACTGATGAGATTCCATAAAACACTCCCTTGCTGACTGATCTGCTAGGGGTAAAAAGAAGAACCAACTTGAAGCGTTGTTCTGAACTGACATAGCATACTACTCAGCGGCCTAGACTCTCGATACATGATCAGTCAATTGAAGCCAGCAAACGTCAAAGTGCTGTCGTTGACAACAATCGCAACACCCCACCGAGGTATATTGGTCTTTGGATCTTGTAGACTCGAGTATCTCGCTCACGTCTCTTATCAAAGGTTCTTCGTTCGCAGATGTCATGTTCTCCTGGATCGGCCGTTCGTCACTCTCGTCTACTCTACTCCAATACACTTCTCTGATCTCACTGACACACAACGTCTCACGCAGCAACCAACATACCCAAACTCTACAAAATGCTCGAATTCTTCGGCTTCGAAACCGGCGCCTTCAGCCAGCTAACCCAAACATACATGCGAGACAACTTCAACCCAAAAACACCCGATCGTGAAGGCATTGCCTACTACTCGTACGGTGCCAATGTGGACCCCAGGTTCTGGAGTATGTTCCGTCAGAGCCATAGGATCATCCAGAAGATAGAGGGTGACAATGATGGGTTGGTCAGTGTGCAGAGTGCCAAGTGGGGTACTTATAAGGGCACGCTGAAGGATGTCAGTCATTTGGATATGATCAACTGGACGAACAGATTGCGTTGGTTCATGTGGGAGTTGACGGGAAACAAGAGGAAGTATGTTTCTCGATTTCTCATCGTTTAGCATGCGGCTACTGACAGCTGTGATGACAGTTTCAACGCCATCGCATTCTACTTGGACATTGCTGGTAAGTCTCCCTAGACGTGTGAAATCCGCTGTGATGTACGTGCAGAACTGATCCCGAGCAGATATGTTGGCGAAAGAGGGACTCTGATGGTCGAGCAGGACTTTTTCTAATAGTCGTACAGCATCATTCAAAACAGAAAAAGATGCAAACATACAAGGATTACAGACAAGTTCCCCCCCCCCCTTTCTTTCCATTTTGTTCGCTCAGCAGATTTGTAGACAATATATACATTTAACAATACAGTAAAGACTTTATTCCATGTGCCAAGCGAGCGACACTTCTCTTGTACCAAACTCCCACTCTTCTCTGGCGCCACAAAGGCATGAACCAGCCATGCCTTGGCTATGCACACCAGAATCACTCGTATTGAGCAGCCCAACTGGCCCAGAGTTTGGTCGGACTCTCAGCGCCGAAGAGAGGGCTGCTCTCCGGAGAACCAGCCGTGTATCCATTGCTTCGGCTGTTTGCGCCATTGCTCGTATCGATCTGCAGACTTCTCATGCTCTGTGTTTCCGATGCGACGGGGGCCGGTACGAGGTACTCGCTCGCGGGGCCAATGGTGATGTTTTTGGTTGCGGGCGAGGAAGTGAGCGAGGACAACAGAGCGGAACGGGAAGTCGTTGCGAAGGTCGAGAGGTGTGTAGAGGTGTCGAGGTAGATGAATGGCATCGCTGAGGGGTGCGATGGCGTCTCGGTAGTAGTGGCGTGGGAAAAGAGAGGTAGGAGGTTGCGGATCAGGGCGTGTAATGGAAGAACTGAAGCCTGTTCGCGTGTTAGCCAGATTCTCATATACAGTCTAGTCAAGAGGGCAAAGTCACCTTCCACATGGCCTCGATCTCGTCTGTGTCAATGGTCAATACATCCTTCTCTTGCTCTTCTTCTTCCTCGGGCAGCTCGTCCCATTCGCAGACGAGAGCGCCCAGGACCTTCTGCCTCCTGGCTCCTATGTCTCTTACGGCCGTCTCCAAGCCTTTGGCGCCTTCTGTCAAGGTGATTGAGACCTGGACATCGCTCCTCATGCGACCAGCCAGAGTGTAGAGTTCGGTGCGTAGATTTTTGAGCACAACGTCGCGACGACCGATCAAGTGCACGGCAGCAACGCGCAGGGAGGATAGGAGAACAGAGAGATGTTGGGACAGGGTGGGCGAGGCGACATTGGGGACGTAGAGGATGATGCTGTTGCCGGTGGGATTGGTAGGAATGCTCGGACTGGCTGAGGGCAACCTGTTGAGCACTGGGGCGGATGCTGAAGAGGCAGGACTGCTAGTACGAATGCCCGAGGGGATACCTGGCGTGTTCGAGGTCGCGCGATAGTTGAGATAAGTCGGTTTCGTCGTGACTGGATTCATGGCTGAAGACTGGAGCGTGTCGACTGTCGACTGGCGTCACAAAAGACGGTATTATACAAGGAGGAAGCACGACGGACGAGAAGGAAACAATGACTCCAGAGAGAAACGAGCGTAAGACAGACAGCAGGGACACAGAGTATGTACAAGAAAGCGGACGACGAGAATTAAATGCGAGACAAGTCGACTCGCTCTGGCCCGACTTTGAGACCCCGAGCCGACTGCCTCAGCCTCTTTTGCGGGGTTCCCTCTCCAAATTCTCCGACCAAATCGCCCCAATCTCGACCATGACTCGCTTGCATCGTGGCCGCATAACTGCTCTGCATTCATCCTGTCTATCTGCGAAGATTGACTGTCGAACTGCTACCTCTTTGCTTCACTGTCCTCGCTCGCTGTCATTCGTCCCTCTCGCATCTGCCGGACCGACAATCCCATGCTCTTCGCCGTTCCCATTTTCTCTGCCTTTTCTGCGTTGAGGTCCACTACCTCGGTCATTACGCCCTCCTACCCTGCTGAAGAGCCATGCTGGACCCTGTATGAGCTGTGTCTGCTCTGACACGAGCTGAACTTTCCTTTTCCTCACGTCCTTGTTATGAACGAACCGCTCCGAGGATGCTACAGTATCGCCAGAGACATACTTGCTGAGCCATTTGATCGCCCTTGCCAGTCGTCTCTATCAGATTCCTCCTTGTTTACCACTCGAACTCTCCTTGAGCCTTGTGGAAGAGGTACCTGCAACCGTCGGTCAGTCACGGTTTTGGTCCCTGTGCTTTCGTCTCAACTTACTCCTTGCCATTGGCCGACATGATACCGTCCTTGAGAGTGCACTTCCACTTGTTCTTGACGCGCTGCACCTTGTCGTATGTGCAAAGCACGTGGTCAATCTCCTCGTCTTCCTCGTCAGCGTTGTTGCCGGCTTCGTCACTCGATGAATCAAGATCAGAGTTGATGGCATCTTCGTCCTCTTCCTCCATTTCACCGTCCAACTGAGGAATGCTGGCCAAGCGCGAACCAGCGTTTGCGCTGGCTCTACCTCTAGACACACGCTTTGTGTAGCGGCTATGCTCCTTCCGATCGTCCAGAGGAAGCAGCAGACCGTTCTCGAGTCTATGTTGTAGATCCTCGATTTGACGTCTCATCATACCATCGTACTTGTCCACTTGAGCTGAGCTGAGTCTGCGTCTCTCGGTAATGTATCTGTTCCACTCGTCAAGTGCGGCTTCATCCGAACCATCCGTCTGCGAATAGTTGACGCCGTGTTGTTGAGGGTACTGGCCGTTGCCTTCAGTCTTCACCTGAGGCTGCTGGTGTGCAGTCTGCTGGCGCATCTGCTGGGCATACTGCGCTTGCATCTGGCGTTGCTGTTGGACTTGTCCCGGTTGCGACACAGCTTGTCCAGGTTGTGTAGGCAACTGCAAGCCTTGTGTTCTTTGTTGTTGTTGTGCCTGCTGTTGCTGCTGCTGTGATTGTTGCTGTTGTGGCTGTTGGGGGTGAGCGTTCTGAACACCTCCAGGCAGAGCGATACCTCTCTGCTGCATGGCATTAAGTGAAGCATTGGCTTGCTGGCCGAATTGCTGCTGAAGGAGGGATGCAGCACGTTGCTGAGCCATCATCTGGTTGTTCACCTGCTGAGGATATCCTTGCTGAGCAGGGGGATAGTTGTGCATAGGCTGGGAATTTGATCCAGGTTCAACCTTGGGCTGTGCGTGTCCATTCTGAGGGGGCTGATGCTGGACAGGGACTCCATTTTGTACAGGCTGAGGTGCTGCGGCAGGTTGCTGTGCTTGCTGCTGTTGGGGCGCTTGCTGAGGCGGAGGCGGAGCAGGCTTGGGATCCCAAGGCATCTGCGCGACATCGCGCTGCGACATCTTGTGCTGCCATGACTATCAGACACATATTAGTACAAGCATGTAGAAAGATGATAGCAGATTAGCTGATTAGAAGGGTTGGTCCGGGAGAGCTTCGGGACTTCTGAGCGCTCAGACCACGCAGTATAAAACTGGGTAAGCACGTCTCTGAGCCTTAAGCCCCGCTTCCGCCGCTCCTTTGTTTGTCGCCTGCGCTTCAGCTTCGCAGGCAGCAGCCAGTCGAGCAACAACAAACAAAAAGATATGGCAGCAAACTAACAACACGGAAATCAAGACACAGCGAATGGTCTGAAACAAAAACATGCAGAAAGGTAAAGTGCAGAGAGAACGAAGACATGACCAACCTGTTGCAGTTCCATCAAGGTCTGTTGCTGGACACCATTCTCTTCAAAGTCATTCTGCGAAGCATTGATGACTTCTTGGATGATCTTTTCGTAGATCTCGCCCTGCAGACGTGTCAGTACAGGTCGCTGGCAGGGTTCGCCGCGCACAATGTGCCAGCAGCCGCTGGATGAGGGGCCACAAACAGTAATGGTGTTCGACATGACAGCGATTACTATCAGACCAAGCCCTGTTGCCTCGCTTGACCGATGATATCTGTGATGCTGGGTGCCAGGAGACGGATCTGCACCGAGACGTGCTGGGCTGTGGTCGTGTGACGCTGATGGTTGATGTAATGCGCAGGCGAAGGTAGGTCGCCCCGGGTCGCGCACTCTTTACTACTTTCTGGCGCTGTACGTCTGATTGTGGTGACTCCTGGACACTTTTTGAATGCTTTCTGGCACGATGAGAGGTTGGTTGGCTATTGCTCGGTGATGGCCGTATTGCGTGGTCAGCAGGCAAGTTGGATGTCGCAGCACGAAGTTCAACCCCTTCGACGCGGGTAAAGTCCGTGCTTGCCGACGTTCATCCGTCACTCTCCCTTGCACCTTGTCACTCTTGACTTCAAACGCTCTTCACGTTGAGCGATACTGTGACAACGTGAAGATACCTGGTTGACCGAGGGTCTGTTCTGTGGAAGGGTTATATCATAGAGACCGGTGTGTGGCCAAACAAGGTGTTCCGCTGCCCTTGTTTTTGAGACTGCGACTGGACGTCGCGACTTCCGCAATGATTCTTGGTGAGAGCTTTTGGTGAAGCTAGATACTTTTCCCGTTGTTTACCTCGCATCGCCAACTTCCTTTCAATTCATCCTTTTGCATTTCCATTTTTACGATTCCTTTGCTACGTCAACGCGACCACTGCTATCGACATCGGTCCTTCACCCATGAGCACAACACTGCCACTCACTCTATCGCGTCACTTGCGCGACTTCCCTGCTGCTCGTCGCGCTTTCACTCATTCCGCTCGTCCTGGATTACCCATAGCCATAGTCTCGGTCTTCTCTTCTTTCCAGTCCAAAGAAGCAGAACACAGCCACCATGTCTAGTGGGATGACTTTCTCAGGCGTGCCACCCCGTGAAGATTGTGCATGCTGTCCAGATGCCGGAGCTCGCTGTGCGCTGCATCAGAGCATGTTAGACAGACAGCAGGTTCCAGCTATCATGGCTCCGACACAACAAGCTCACACCTACGAATCTGCCGGAGATAATGCTCCACGGGCCGATAAGAAGTCACATGTGTCAAAGGCAGTGGCTAGAGAGATGAATCGGCTGAAGACTCAGGAAGGCCAGATGATCAAGGTAAGTTCTCGCTCCTCTCAACTTGCATGCTTGATGGCAATTTTTGGAGTCAATGCTCACTTTTCGCAGGCTTTGAGTAAAATGAACTTCAACGAAAAGAGGCAATACGACCTTACTAATAAACAGAAGAAGCGCTTGCGAAGACGCGAGAATGCCGCTGTATATGCTCCTGATCCGGACAAGATTGCTTTGAAAGAAGAGAAGGCTGCGCAACGTGCTCAGGATCCAGAGAGGATTGCCAGAATGGAAGCTCACAACCAGAAGACGGCCGAGAACAAGGCAAGACTCCAAGCCAAACGCGCCCGCAACATCAAGGAAAGCAGACAGCACGGCGCAGGCAGGTCCCTCATGGACAAGATCAAGGTCGAGACAAGTGATGCGTTGGAGCACGCATCTGCTCTACAGTCTCATGGTGCAGAGAACGAATACATCTCGCGAGGCCCGGCTATCAGAATCAGAGGTCAACGCGCCGCTCACCAAGTCAATACGGAGCTCCAGGACCTCGCCACTGTGCATAGCATGCCCGAGGAAACCGGTACGGACGCCTTCTTGGACCGCGCAGACTCCCTGATCCACCAGACGCTTGCGTCAGTCAACTCTGTTCTGTCACCTGCCGACCGCAAGAACCTCGAAGAAGCCCTTAGCCTTGTCCGCACTGTACAACTGCTTTCGAGCAAGGACCACCGCCCTTTGCAAAACAGTACCAGCTACACCGGACAATTCGACCGCGTGCTCCGTGGACCCAATCCAGACGAGTACCTCACTCATGATCGCAGAAGTGCTAGCGCAGGTGTGCCTATCAAGCAGGAGAATACATCGGATGGCGACGCTTTCGCACAGCAGCGTGATTCAAGATCTGATGGTCATCTCAGAGGTGGATTCAGCGATGGCTTCAATCTCTCACAATCAGGTATCCCCGAGCGAGACGCTATGGTGGAATAGAGAGCCTGCCGTCAATCCCAGTGCAGAATTTGTGCTTCGATAAACATCCTGCGGGAGCTTCTGGCCTCAGGCACCTGCGATGCCATCAGACCATCGGTCATCTCAGAAGCGCAGTGGCAGCAAGACCTTTACGATGAGGAGTTCCCTCCGCTTCCATGAGCAACGATTACAAGGTTGAATCGCCCTTCAGTGGCGGCAATGAGGCCTTGTAGAGAAGAAGCGCGTTGGGCCGAGAGGTATACAGTCCTTTCAGCTTAGAAACAATTTCGACAAACTGACTATCTTTCGAATGTGGTCCATTCCTTTTCGTGATGCAAATGTTGATGTGGAGGATACACATAAAACTGTACAGTGCTTTCAAAAAGAGGAACGACCTTGCTGGATTCTTTATTCTACCAGCTCGCGTTGGTATCATCCTTATAGGAATTGCACTTTTCGAATGTATTGGTGATTAGTCTATTGTCGCATTCCCATCAACATCAAACGAGACTACAGTCTTCTCATCTATCCTGACCGTCCCCTCAAGTTTTGCGCTCAATGCCATCCGCTCTTCTCCCCTCTGCCAGAGTTCAACAGAGGATCCTCAGCCGTGACGGGGGGCACATATTCGGCTCTCTGTATGCCACCCGCGGGCTGCACATCCGTAGCCATAGCGTCTTCGTAGCTGGGCGGCGCATCGCCAAACGGTGGTTCCTCGCCGGAATGTTCTACATGTTGCACAGGTTGTACTGGTATCTGTACAGTCTCCACCGGTGCTAAAGAGGAGGCTACTGGTTTGCGAGCGGGGAGCGGCGGTGCTCCAGAAGCGGTTTTTGTGTCGGCTGGGTAGTTGGGCCGAGGTGGGATGGGTGGTGCAGAGGAAGGATCGTCGTTGGTACCCTGAGCTTGAGCTCTTGACATGGCTTCGAGGAGCTCGGGCGGTGGAGTAATGCCTGAGAAGATCTGGACGGGTAGACGGAGGTCTATGGTAGTTGTTTGAGGCTTGCAGAAGTCAGCTCTATGTGACTTGCAAGAACGCATATCAAGAACATGAGCAACTTACCATTGACGCTGTACCATCATAGCGAATACCAATGCGGGCAAAGATCTCGTACGAGCGAGTAATGTTACAAGTCTCGAAACTCGGCGGTATGGCATTAGGCAAAGGCGTATCACTCCAATAGCGAGAGTCAATCTCAGCTTCTGACTCGACTCCTCCGCCATTGGGTGCGATTGCTTCTCTGGCTACGCTGTCGCCAAATTGCAGTGGGATTGCCATACCGCTACGAGAGAACAACACCGTACTGCTGCGCTCGACCCTGCCGACGTCCTGCGCGCGGATCTTGGTGATGGCCACGACTTCGAGCTGCAGAGACGTGAGTGTCATAGCAGTGACTTTGCCATTCAGACTGGTGACTACGAGTCGTGCAGGCACGGGTTTGGCACAAGTCAAGATCGCGGGCTCTGGTAAGCGTATGTCAACAGCAATGAATGGAGCTGTGGGTGTTGTGCTCCCTGAAGTAGATCCATTGTTCTTCTTTGAGCCACCAAAGAAGGAAGCCATCTTGGATTTGCTCGGAATCACGGCAGGCGTGGGCGGCATGTTCATGTTGAATTGATGTCGGCGTCTTGCAAAACCCAAGGCATCCGATGGTGGTGGACGTGGTGGCTCGATGGGACAGAAGTTGAACGGCACATAAGCGCGTACGTTCTCCTTGAAGAGACTGGGTCTGTTGATGGTTGCTTTGACATAATAACGAATCTCGGCTTCACCAGGGAAGCCTACTAGCGTTGGTGGTAGAGTCTTCTTGACGTGGCTATGCGGCGACTTGTACATCTCAACATTTAGACCTCCGAATAAGGATATGGTCGGGTTAGAGTTCGATGCTGGATCACATGCATTGTTGAAGGGAAACTGGATGACAGTCAGCAGAAGAAGAATGAATGCTTTGCAAGGGACTTACCTTGAAGCTGAAGGGGTATTCGTGCTGTCCCGCGGGCAACGTATATGCTGTCTTGCCAGACAAAGATCCTGAGCTACCTTGTTGTCCTACAATTTCTGGGGGTGGGAATACCGCTATAGTCTTGTAGAGAATCTGAATGCGTGTAAGTATATCTTTCTTATGCCAATAGTAATGAGCCTCGATACTCAGGGGATGTGAACGAGCGCGACTGATATTCTCTCTTACGGACGTGTTACGTGACAGGGCAAGAAAAGAAAGATTTCACCAACCTTATGAAACTCCAACTGAGGCTTCTGTCTATCATTACTTGGATTGGGAGGAGGCTGCAAAGGTCCATTGTCAGAAAACTCTCTGCTCTGGGAACACGGCCGGTCGTGTGGGTCTTGTGTACCAGTAATCTTGTTCTCGACTCTCCCTCAAGCTTCACCACAATAGCAGAAACTGTCGTCGCAGTCTGTGTGCGCACAAATACTTTTCCAGATATGTAATCCAAATTTGTGTAATGCGGAAACGTCTGATCTAGAACGATGCTGGCTAGCATCTTGAGATCCCGGGACGCAGTGGCTTGCGATCGACTGTGCAGATATCTCTAGTCCCTTTTTGATTCGATGGCTTGCGCGGCGATATTCAGAAGCGTGAGAGAGAGGATGCAAACAACTGGACAAGGAGAGCCTCTCCTTTTTGACAAGATGGATCGTTTGCTCGTCGTCACCCGACGACATGGGGGCCAAGTTGCTTGTCGCTTCTATTGGCGTGCACGGATGTCTCAGCTCTCGCGTGCTGCGCATGTGGCTGAGTCGTCCTTCTGCTGGGATGACCCTGGTCTGTGGGAACTAGAGTCGCCGACAACGCAGTCATGCTGTCGAGTGTGCGGTTTGTTATTGGCCTTGATCGTCAGAGAACCACATGATCTATCTGATAGTATCAGCTCCGGGGACATCAACACCTATCTGCTGTTGTGTACATTTCAATCCGACCACGCATCATGCAATGTCCCAACCCAGGACATTATGACACTCGACAGGGAAAAGTTTTAGAGATGGGTAAATGATGTTTTCTTTGTTCGCGTCTTTATGCAGAACCCCTATGCTATAGCCGCTTCAAGGCCTGTGTAACTAATAAACCTCAACCGTTAGAAATCAAGTATATGCTTCGCTTCCCCTTAGTCATGATCCTCCCAAACTCCAATTCCAGAATGAATGCATATATAAATGTTGCACGCCCCCCCTTAAGTACCACCCTTTTCTTCATGGCGACAAGCGGTCTCAATACGCGTCTTGATGGCCTCAAGACGGTTGTGCAACTGCCACAGGCGCACAGTGTCTTCCTTTGGGACCTTGTCACTGGGTGTCTGCTCAACACGGCGATACAGTTTGAGATACTCCGGATATAGCTTGCTCCTGAAAGTTTCTGCCGCAGCTCGAGTTTGTTCCCACGTTATCGTGCCGCCTTCGTACTCGTCGTTCAGGATGCCAGCAAGGTTGTCGTCTGAAAAATCCGAGCCCGCGGGAGAAGAGTGAGGTGACACAGTGGGAGCAGTTGTCAGAGAAGCGACTGATGAACCTGTCGCTGTATGCGAATGTGTACTACCCGAGTCAGTCTTGCGGTGCTTGGACGAAGGTGCGGCATGGTCGTGCAATCCAGAGGAGAGATCGTTGGCTTTGCGCTTCAAGGCGGAAGACGCAAGTTGCGCTTTCGTCACTGTTTGTTTGCCACTACCACTTGCTGGAGGGAGTTTGGCCGATGCACTGGTTGGGGCTTTGGCCGAGGTAGAAGTGGTTGCTTTGACCACCTTTCTCGCCGGTTCAACACTTTCAGTATCGGATTCAAGTGGGCGTTTCTTGGTAACGATCTTTGATTGCGAGCCGGTCTTGACACCACCAAAGAAACTCAGAGGCTCAGATCCTTTAGCTGCAGGTGTAGGTTTGACAGGCTTAGTGGCACTTGCAGTTGTGGTTGCTGTTGGTTTGGGCGGTTGCTTGTTTGGCTTCTCAGCCAGACCAGACGCAGTTCTTGGAGGACTCGTACCCAGAGGTGAGGGTACCTTGGGTTTCGTGTCTGTCAGTCTTCGGGGGCTGATGTTAGGTCGTTGCGTCGTTGAGGCAGACCTGGCCGGTTTCTGAGCTACGTTGTCTTTCGACTTCGTGGCGGTGCTTGCGCTTTCGGGCTTCTTCGGGAGGGCAGTGTTCTTTGGGAGCAATGGAATCTCTGCTTTGGCCTTGGAGATTGCACTGTCTTTTCTTGTGACAGTGCTGGCGGCAAGCTTGTCAGAAGTCAATGGCTTGGTTTTTGACTTGTTGTCCTTGTACGGTGCAGGGGCCTCACTGGCCGAGGAGTCACGTCTCTCTGTTGCAATGGCCCTGGATGCTGGCTTGAGAGGGTCCTTCCTGATGACGGTACTTTTCCTCGGAGTTGAGTATTCTTTCACCTCCCCTTCTTCTTCGTCGTCTGAGCTGTGAACGACCTCATCAGATTTGACTTTGGAAGCGACCTTCTTGGGAGGTATCGGTCTCCTGGCGGTCACGTTTCTCGGCTTGCTCTCGCGATCACTGGCGGCAGCTGCGGCCTCCTTTGCCTCTTTCTCCTGTTTCTTTTTCTCCATGGCGCCCTTCTTTTTCGCCTCCTTGAGCCGCTTTTCGATGGAAATACCAGCAGCGGATCTTCCAGTAGCAGTAGCACTGCTTCCACCACGAGGGGTTCCGGTACCTCCCAACTTCGGAGTGGCAGCCGCACTTGTGTGAAGAGGAGTGGAAGCGAGTCCAGGTGTTCCAGCTTGGTCTGACCTCTCGGCAGTCAAGTGAAGGCGCGAGAGGATTTTGCCCTTGTTACGTTCTTCTTTGGGCAATAGAATCTGCCAAGCTTTGTCGTCCTTTGGTATCCTAGCTCTGTCGAATGCTCTGATGGCGTGATTGATTGCCAACGTCCGCTGGTCGGAAGTGTATTTGAAGGACCAAGGATCAAGCTCCTTGTATGGTTTGCTGGAGAGTTCCCAGGTGAGCCCTTGCTTGTCGGCAATCTTTGAAAGGAGTGACGACAGTTGAGCCTTAGGGATGAGGGTCTTCTGGTGAATGTCTTGTTCGGATAAGGGTCTGACGGCAAGCAGATGTATGAGAGCGAATCGCATGCCCTTCTCTCGCGCTTGAGTGTGAGGATCGAAAGGAGCAGAATTAGGTGCGGCAGGACGAGGGGTAGACGATGAAGAGGCGGAGCGCTGGGCGAGGGAAATTGGTCGAGAGGAGGGTTGAAGGTGTCTGGAGTTTTTTGCACTAGCCGTCACGGAGCTACTTATTGTCGCCCTATTGTCACACGTCAACAATGGCTAGAGAGAGCAGTGCAATGCTCGAACTCACTTTCGTTCCTCTTTCTGCTTGGCCATGGACGCCAGTGATTGCTTCAGAGCCTCCAGGGCGGCTTCGGCACCAGCACTGTCTTCTTGCGCTTTCTTCTCGACAGGCACTCTGAGCTCTGCATGGTGCGACACAAATGCAGTGAAGCCGAGTTGGTCGCTGCCATCGCCTGTCGAGTAGATTTCATGACGAAATGTCTCGGGTCTGACGTTCAGCTCCAACAGCTTTGCACCGTATCGGATTTTCTGCACTCGTCAGAAAAGGGACCGTCGAGGCTCTTGAACAGATTCAAGGGCATACCGGTGTCTTTCCACCCAACAATTGCACTGCCTTGCCCGCTTGGGCACATTGTTGCAAGTCACGTATGACCTGATCGTTCAATCTAACCAAGATACCAGTCTTTGACAAGCTGGGTTCGTTCTGTTCGTGTTCTGTCTTGTTTGGGGCACCGTGGAGCGACAGTGTCGATCCGGAGATTTGAGTCGAAGCCATGGTGGTGATCAACAGCAGCGAGGGGCTCTTCGAAAAACTCCAGGCCTGAATAACGGTTTCGGGGGACAAATAATGTTAAGAGGGGCTTGCTGCATCACATGTGCCACGAACACACAGCGCATCTGTGATAGAGACTCGTTGTCAGCAAATTGTTGGTGGACGAGCAGTCAGGCCTCCCAAGCGATATGACGTCCTTGGGCCAGCAGCGAACCTGCAACTTGTTGGACAATCTTCCTCGGGGTCAGAACTCACCTAATGCCAGAACACGCCCTGCATCACGTCTGATAACCCAGGCAAGTATTCACCAAAAGTATATCAATCAAACAAGAACAAGATGTAGGAGACAACGGAATGAAACGGCGAGACAAAGGATGGGGTGAGGCAGACTCGCAGAGGGCACAAAGCACAAGCCAGCCCAAGAGTCCAAGGCTAGAGTTGACCGGCCGGCCCGCAGGTGCAGTTCATCTCCATGTACACTTGTGACTTTACACACGCACGTTGGCGGATATAGAAACCTTGCTGTTTTGGGATAAACCTGCCCGTGACCCAGCTCACGCTTGTCTCTGCTGCCTTTCTGCTGCCACTTCCCCAAGAGTCGAAGAGACATGCCGTCCCGCGCCTTGTAGCAAGCAGCCGTCAAAGACCTTTCCTGGACAAAGGCCGCGGTCCGGCTGGCTGCAGCTTGCGTCGTGCAAGACGAATGATGTGCGCATCCAAGTCTGTTTGTCTAAGAAACGGTCGTCGCCTGTTACGCACCGCCGCGCATCACTAGCCTCGATCTAGAAGTAGCCTCAGGGCGGGGCCCTTCCGGCTGTACAGTGCTGTACTATTAGTTGTGCATGATACTTTGACTGACCTTGATGGCTCTAAGCAGCAAGACACAAGATGCTCTGCGGTACTCTCTGTTCTCTTCGCGTATGTATCCGGTGAGCAATAGACAGAGTCGCGAGTTTCACGAGTGCTGTACGCAGTGTTCGACATATCCTCGTGACGCCCATGTCAACATACCAAAATGGCACGCGGCATCGCTCCCGAACGCGTCGCAGAAGTGGCGTTACCGTTGCTGGCCCTCGAATCCAACGTGTAGATAAAGTCTCAACGACGACCAGAATAACGCTCACAGGCGACATTCTGCGATAAAAATGCACATGGCTCATGTCTGAAGCACGAAATAAGATCCATCTGCCTGTTCGTTCTGGATTCCTTGGACAGCGCAGCTCTGCACAGTGTCTCCGAGGCTTTGGCCTCGAATACCTTAATCGTCAATATCCGGGCATTAATCAACGGTAGGGGCGTCGCTCGGACGCACAAGCGCAGCTGAACTGAAATCGCTTGCATATTGTCGCGGGTACACCTGCTTTCCGCATCACACACTCCGCGTGGCTTGACCGGGGGTTGCATCAACTTGGCGAGATCGGGGACGAGGTTGATAGCTTTCTACAGCAGTAGTGCCCCCGTAGGCTGAGAGCATATAGCTGCTAGACAAGAGTACGAGTGCATGTCTTGTTTGTGCTTCTGTCTCTCTCTCTCTCTTCAAATCGCTGACGTCTTTGGAATCTCTCTTCGAAATGAAATGCTAAACACCAAACCACCCCTCTCAATCTTAAGCTGAGTGGTCTGCTGAATCTGTTGTTTCTCTCACACCCCGTGCATAGCTGCCTCGAGAACCGAGTTGATTGGCTGACTGCGTCTCAGAATTGCTTAGAAGAGAGCCGAAGATGATCGTATTTCAGGGCGGATGATGAAACCACATGATGCTACTCTGCACTTCATTCTGTGTGCAAGCGATTTGCAACACACACAGCAAGCATGGCTGCTCTACAAGATCATGCGAAGCTGCCATTCGCTTGTCGGTGTTCATCTTGCCCTTACAAACTCGTCTCCTTCCTACACGACTTTCAATTGCTTACTACCAAATGGTGTGCCATGCTCTCGAAATGTTTGAAGGAATTTATCAAGAAATACGCTTGCAGGCCTAAACTCCACCTGAGTTCAAACGACCACTCCATATGTACAGATTCTGTAGAATCCTTTTACTATCCGTAAACCCGTTCCCAATAGAGTAGTTAACAGGTTTGAATAAACACATAAAAACCATGCCTGGTATAGTACAAAACTCCTAATGCCTGCCCGCTGGTATCTTGTCAATAAATCCTCGCACTGAAGAATGATAAAGGCTAGTAAATCGTAAGCTCCGAGCATGCCTGCCAAACGCCGACGTAGCGAAGACCCGTTGTCTGATTGTCACAATCGTTATATTCAATTGCTTCCGCTGCTGTCCTTGTGTAGTAATGACGGTACACCTCCTGGAGTCATACCAGCATTCGAATTCGTGCCGCTGTCACCGACCGCTCTCTTCTTCTCTTTCTTGGCCCACCGTAGGCCGCATGCGTTACATAATGTTTTGGGACCCTTGGGACCTTTGCGCCATTCCGGGCTGTCCAGAGTTCCGCAGTCCGCACATACGTATTCTTCGGCGACTTTGAGCTTCTTTTTCTTCTCCTTGGTGCCATCGCGGTCCCTGTCGAGCAAAATCGCGATGCCGGCATCACCTCTAATGAGTGCGGGTGATGTGTCTCCTGTCGAAATTCCATGACTCCGTTCGCCATCGCGGTAGCGTAAACCAGTGAGCATCTCAATAGTCTCGAGGTGATTTGAACCCTCATAGCGAGACATTTTGTCCGCTATGCTGTCAGGCTGTTGGGCCGACAGAGCACTGTCCAAATTTTGACGAGTGAGAGCAGTATTTGATATCGGAGGTTTGGCGGGTGGTGGCATGCCCTGGTAGTTTGGTGTTTTACTATGCTCACTCGAGCCCTCGACGCGGCCGGCTTCGGATGGGTCGCGTCTGGACTGTTCCTGCCATTGTCTTTCTTGCTGCTGGTTCTCCTCGACCTCTTCTCTTTTCAACTCTTCAATTCTCTTCTTCAATCGCTCGTTCTCCATCTTGTGTTCCAGGAACGAGTCGAGCAGGGCGGCGTTCTTGGTCGGATAGGGGCGAGCCATCATGAAGAAGCCTCGGCAAAGGCCTGAGGCACTCATGGCACCTTGACCTGAGCCACTCATGTGGCCGTATCCGCCTTGGTCGGACGAGATGTGTGGGTGGCCATCGCATTCAAAAATGATATATGTGCCGTCCTCGCGCTTGAAGCGGTAGAAGAAGCGCAAAGGGTTGCCCGACGCTATGGACTCGTTGAACTCGCGCATGAAGATGCCGCTGTCCTCGGGGTGGACGAACTCGCCAATGAACTTTCCGACCAGGTATCGCGGTTCATAGCCGGTAAGGGTTTTGGCAGAGGGGGAGACGTAGAGAATGCGGCCATCAGGAGTGAGGATGTGCAGGAAGTCCCTGAGCTCTTCGATGACGCGCTGCGACCAGTTCCTGCGCTTGGTGAACTCGGTCAAGGTGTTGCCGGCATTGGAAGGGGGGCCCATGCCAAAGCCAGTAGGCAGGGGGCCGGCGCCGATGCCTGACATGTTGGACTGGGACTGGCCGTCGTCATGTTGGTGGTGGGATGGAGCGGCGAAGGACATGGAGGTGAGGTTGTTGCCAAAGGCGCCGGGGTCGGCAAAGGGAATGTTGCTCAGCGAGACATCGAGGTTAGGGTCGTTGAGATCGAGGTCCATGGGGAGCATGTTAATCTGGTCCTGCAAATCGAGCATGTCGGATGCGGACACAGCCCCGGTCATCTATTGATGCACAAAACAAACGATCAGTGGGCGTTCGCAAGCAGTCGACTCTGTTCTGCTAGGCACTTACGGTTTGGGGCATTAGCGAGCCATCGACCGACGACAGGTACGACATTGCCTATTCCGCCCTAGATTTTAGGCCTAGTTAACAGGTCAGAGTACTCGCACAGCGACGCGCCTTGCCCGAGCAAACAATTTTACGATGCAGGAAGACTTGCTCGATCCGCAGTCGCTGCTTGCGACCGAAGTCTGACGATGACGCGCCTTGGCCAACGATTTGGGCCAGCGAAACCGAATCGTTGATCGCTAACCTCGATTGCGCAAATGCTTGTGCCATACAAACACCATCCCCGAAATCTTGTGGATTTCACAGCCCGCGCTCGAGAAGCACCTGGAAATACGCAGCAAACATACAGTACGATTGTGCATCTGTCATGTCCATGTCCCGTGCCACTAATTGCTGTCGTGTAGCCCTGCGAAGGCCGGGACAAAAGTCTGGGCAACAAGACCCTCTGGCCTCCACTTTGAGGTCGCTCCTTCCGCCATCAGTGCTTCACACGCGTCTGCCTGCCAACCCTTGGAGAAAGTGTCGAAAGTGTCAACTCTTTCAATGCGACACTTTCTCTGCTGGTCCAGTACTTTCAACACTTTCAACGACCCCAACTCTTAACATCCACACATCTCCCCTCAAAAAGCTCCTGCTCACGCCTGCTCTTGCACGTCCTCTAATCGTCTCTCCCGGAGCTTACTCCGAGCTTTGATCCACCATGTAAGTTCACCACGATCCGCATCGGCCAATACTCTTGAAGCTAATTCCCCCAACAGGTGTATGTCAATCGGACTGTCTCCCAGAATCGGACCCACCCACTGACATTCCTCCTGTAGCTAAGATCGATAAACTCTCTATCCTGGGGTATGCATAGCAACCAACATACAGTTACACTTGAACATTTGCCAACTAATTTTGTGCCACAGAGTTCGTTCCTTTGACAACGGACGCAGCGAGACCATCCAGTTTTTCGCACCTCTCACATTGATCGTAGGCCACAATGGTTCTGGAAAGACTGTGAGTCCTTGCTTCGGAAGCACACATGATAGCCACACTAACACCAACATAAAGACCATCATCGAGTGTCTCAAGTATGCCACAACTGGAGACCAGCCTCCAAACAGCAAGGGTGGTGCCTTCATCCATGATCCCAAGGTATGTGGATTCGAGATGGCCACACTGCTTCGACTGACCCAGCATAGCTATGTGGTGAGAAAGAGGTCCTTGCCCAAGTCAAAATGTCGTTCCTGGCCACCACTGGAGCCAAAATGGTGTCAACTCGCAGCCTGCAGCTCACCGTCAAGAAGGCCACACGTTCAGTCAAATCGCTTGAAGGCCAGCTGCTCATGATCAAAGATGGCGAGCGCACATCCATCTCATCTCGTGTCGCCGAGCTTGACCAGCTCATGCCCCAGTACCTCGGTGTAAGCAAGGCTGTCCTGGACTCCGTTATCTTCTGCCACCAAGATGAGAGTCTGTGGCCGCTCAGTGAGCCTGGCAAACTGAAAGACCGCTTTGACGCGATCTTCGAAGCTATGAAGTACACCAAAGCCATTGACAACATCAAGATCATGAAGAAGAAGCAGACCGAGGAGCTTGCAAAGTACAAAATCATCGAGCAACACGCCAAAGAAGACAAGGACAAGGGCGAGAAGGCCCAGAAGCGGTCCGAAGAGCTTTTCGAGGAGATTGAGACGATGCGAACCAAATGCGAAGACATGGGCACCAAGATTACCGAGGCTAAGCAAAAGTACAATGCAGCCTGGGAGAAGATCAAGTTCCTTGGTGGTATCGTCGGTCAACTTACCGGCAAACGCATTGAGCAACGTGCTAAGCAAGAGAGCGTTCAAAAGCTGAAACGCAACCTCCGCGAGATGACCGACTCGGATCGAGAACTCCAGGTCCTTCTCAAAAAGTATGAGGAGCGTGTTCAACAGCTGCACGACCAGGCCAATGAGGAAAAGCGTCGGTATCAACAACTTAGTCGGGAACTGATGGGTAATCGTGAAAAGCTCAGCATGAAGGAACGTCAAGTCGGCTCATTGGAATCTGACCAACAAAACCACGATCGCCAACTCGAACACAGAGCACAACTGGTCAAGCAGACTGCTCGCCAGCACAGCCTTCGTGGCTACGACCTCGAGGTTGATGACGAAAAGGCCCGTGAATTTGTTGATCGCATCAGTCGTATGGCAAAGGAGCAGAACGCCACATTTGAACGAACCAGACGCGAGACACAACAAGAGCTGCAACGCGCTCAGAGTGTCCTGAACCGTATCAGTGAGCAAAAGTCTACACTCAACCAGAAGAAAGAGAACGCCAAAGCCACTCATGCGGCGAACCAGCGTCGCATTGGTGGTTTCCAGACCGATCTGAACAAAATCGAGGTCGATGAAGGGTCCAAAACCATGCTTGAGTCCTCGGTCGAAGACACTGAAAGCAAATTACAAGCAGCCAAATCTGATTTCGAGACAAAGAACTGGGACAAGCAAATCGACAAGACTGAAGCCGTTTTGCGCTGTCTGGATGATCAAAAGGAGAAGCTGGACTTGGAGCTTGGTCATTCCACCAAGCAGGCAGGAGACTCAGCGCGTCTAGAGTTCCTGCGAAAAGAAATCACGGATCGCCAGAACAGTCTCGATATCATGATCAAAACTCATGGATCCAAGATTGACAGCATTGTTGGTGGCGGGTGGCAGGCTACGTCGCTCGACAACGATTTCCAGAGTGCTCTCAGCAGCAGTAACAACTCGGTGGCAGAAGCTGAGCGTCAGCGTGATGGTCAAGCCCGTGAGCTCGAGCAACTCGAATATCGTCTCAAGCAGACGAAGACCGATCTTGTTGCACGCAGACGAGAACTGGACGCCAGCCACAAGACCATCCAGAACGTCATTGAAACGGATCCTTCCGAATACCAAAGAATTCTCGAAGAAACCGAAGCAGAGCGCGATGATCGCAAGAGTTCAAGCGAGTATGCCGGCCATCTCAAGAAGTACTATGAAAGTGCGACGAGAGCTGCTCGAGAGAACAAATGTTGTCTCATGTGCCGTCGTGGCTACGAAAAGGATCGCGCAGGGCTTGAGAAGCTGGTCAACCTTCTCGGTATGGAGATCAACAAAGCCGAGGCTGGCCGCGCAATCGAAGAGCTTCGAGACACCGAAAACTACCTGCAAGAGGTCCGCGCGATCAGCTCGACTTATGACAACTGGGAACGTCTCAAGAGCAAGGACATTCCTAACCTCGAACAGGAAGAGGACCGCTTGAAGACCCGTGTATCTTCTCTCACAGGCGACGTCGAAGAAGAAGATCGAGTTGTCAGCGAGCGCAAAGCAGCTAAGCAGGAAGTCGAGAGCCTGTCCAAAACCGTTCAAAACATTGTCAAGTACGCCCAAGAAGTCGTCAACTTCGAGACGCAGATTGAAGAGTTGGCTACCAAGCAAAAGAGCCAAGGTCTTGCTCGAAGCATTGAGACGATTTCAGACGATATCAAGTCAATCAACGAACAGTCTCGTGGATCCAAGGTCTCATTGACAAAAATTGTTGGCGAGCGCGACGGTGCTCGTAGCACAATCAACACGCTTGAGCTCGAGCTTCGCGATGTCAGGGCCAAGCTCAGTATTGCCATTCATCATCTCAAGGAGAAGACTTCTCTCGAGAAGCAGGTTCATGAGCTCAAGGTGCAGAACGACGAGCTCATCAATTCTCAGCGGTCGTTTGAGCGTGAGCTTGCTGACCTTGTGCCGGAGATGTCACAAGCCCGATCAAAGTACGATGACATCTCTCGTCGTGGGACAGAGAAAGACAAGCAGCTTCGTGAAGAAACAGCCGCTTTGAATGACAGTATGAACAGGCTGCAAATGGCTGAGCGAGAGATCAGCGGCTACATCCAGCGAGATGGCCCCGCTCAGCTGGAACAAGCCAAGAGTGACATTGAGGTCATAAAGCACGACATCGAATGTCTGGAAAAGGATATGCAGACCATTACTAAACAGGTCAAGGAATTCGAGAACAATCTTCAGAACGTCGAGGAGACGAAGCGCCAGATTGCAGACAACCAAGAGTACCGTCGTGATCTTGCTGCCGTGGACGCCATAGGTGCCGAGATAAGGGAGCTTGAGACACACAACGCCGAAGAGGAGAAGGCTACTCACGAGCGCGAAGGTAATCGCTGGGAGATGACGCGCAACAAGCTCACAGCTGAGCAAGCCTCGATCATGGGTCAGCTCAAAAGCAAAGACGACCAGCTGCAACAGCTTATGCGGGACTGGGAACAAGACTACAAGGACGCAGCCTACAAGTACAAGGAAGCACACGTCAAGGTCGAGACGACAAAGGCGGCCGTCGAAGATCTTGGCCGGTATGGTGGTGCGCTCGACAAGGCAATCATGAGATACCACGCTCTGAAGATGGAGGAGATTAACCGCATTATCGAGGAGCTTTGGAAGAAGACTTATCGCGGCACCGACGTCGACTCGATCCTGATTCGCTCCGACAACGACAACGTGAAGGGCAACAAGAACTACAACTACCGGGTGGTCATGTGCAAACAAGATGCAGAGATGGACATGCGCGGTCGTTGCTCGGCAGGTCAGAAGGTGCTTGCATCCATCATCATTCGCCTGGCTCTGGCAGAGTGTTTCGGAGTCAACTGTGGTCTTATCGCTCTGGACGAACCTACGACCAATCTTGACCGTGACAACATCCGCTCGCTGGCAGAGTCCCTGTCGGAGATTATTCGCATCAGAAGACAACAGTCGAACTTCCAGCTAATCGTCATCACGCACGACGAAGAGTTCTTGAGATACATGAACTGTGCCGACTACACAGACTACTACTATCGCGTCAGCCGCAACGACAGGCAGAAGAGTATCATCGTGCGTCAGAACATCGCAGATGTAAGCATTTGACACGTAAGATTATGTTGAAGCTATTCTGACTTTCGAACAGGTTCTGTAAGGATCGAGCATGTCTCACAAGGGAAGCAAGTCAGTTGGGAGGAGGATTACTGCTGTGGTTGCATCTATTAGCGAAAGCATGAGTTTTGACAAAGAGGTCGATCGTCAGAGGAACAGCAACAGCGGATGAGATGGCTCTACAGACGATGGGTGGCTACAGATGGACAAGGATGAATAAAAGTTATACAGTATTATGAAGGATTGATGCTGTGAGAGTGTTTTTGTTCCAAAAGTGAATGACGCGTGGAATGGCGACACGAAGCAGACGCGAGCATCGACCAGAACCCCGGCAACGGTTGTTTACGTGGGGTCTCTTTATGCATTATTGCAGGAATAGGGATCGAGACGATAACATTATACAGGAGCAGCGTGCTTTATTTTTCTTGACCCATAGCCAAAAGTCGTCCCATCCCTCTCCATCACAACCTCCTCTCTCGCATCTCTACCCTCCGTGTACCCGCACTGCCTTTTCCTTCACAAGAGCCGTCGAGTCTCCCCATCAGCAAGACAGTCAACATGGCCACCGTCGCTGCAGCATCCAAGGCACCCGCCAGCCCATCCAAGGCCAAGGACAATGGCAATGTCATCAAGCGGTTTGTCAGTTGGACGGCCAAGGGTAGCAATCAACTGACCAAAGACACAGTCTGCAAGGCGAGCTCATGACGCTGATGACATCGCCGGCGCCTGGCGTCAGTGCCTTCCCGCATAACGGCGACCTCACTGCCTGGGACGGCACCATCGTCGGTCCCGCCGACACGCCCTACTCGGGTCTCACACTCAAGCTGCGCTTCAACTTCCCTGCCCGCTACCCGTACGTGCCCCCGGAGGTCCGCTTCACCACTCCCATCTACCACCCCAATGTCGACATGAAGGGCCGCATCTGCCTCGACATTCTCAAGGACAAGTGGAGTGCTGTCTTGAACGTCAGCTCCGTCCTGCTGTCCCTGCAGAGCTTGCTCGGCGAGCCCAACAAGTGAGCCTCCTTCCCAGTCAAGACCCAGACGCCACACTGACTCTCCTCCCAGCGCATCTCCCCTCAACGGCCAAGCCGCCGAGCTCTGGGATACCAACATGGACGAGTTCAAGCGCAACGTCCTTGCCCGCCATCAGGATCTCACCGATGAAGAGATGGAGTAATCCACAACCTCGCCCTCGTTGCTCATTTTCGTATCCCGCTCTCGTTTTCTTCCAGCGCAGCATTACTCTGGCGTTCTTGTTTTTGAGCTTCTGCTTCTTACGCGAATCCCTCTTATATTCCCTTACTCGGCTTATTCAGGTCAACAGTCCATCTCAGCTTCTCTCCTTCGAGTCTTCATCTCTGTTCGTAGATTCCTAGGCAACCGATTGTTCCGTACCCTACAAACCTACACTTGTCTTTGACACCTCTGGTTGCCTTTTTGTTGTTGTCATATCATATGTGCAATATCTCTCTATATTTTATGATCGCCAGCTCTCTCTCATTCAGCCCCTCGGACTCTTTGCTCTTCTGCTCCTCGTCCTGTCTCCTTCCGCCAGCCGTCTCACCTCTGCGTTGCTTGCACCTCCGTTCAAGATAGTGTCCGTGTAGATGAACGATTTGCGTCCGCCAGGGTATATCCCTCTCCGCACCTTGTGTCTACGCGAGAAGTACACGCAGCTTATGTAGAACCCGTGTATATGTGAAGGCAACACACCACAGACAAAGAGTATGCTGTTGACGAGGCAATCGGTGCTGAAGTTGTCGAGGAGTCCCACGGCGAGAGGTGGAAAGAAGATGTTGAGTATGGTTATACTGATTCGATAGCACAATGTACGCAACATTGCTGCTGCCTCTCGGTTCCGACGACAGTGGTTTGGCCTGGTCTAGATAGGGTGTTCGGCTAGGAGAACAGTGGTTAGTAAGCCATGTGCACTCTACATTTGCGACACGCTTGTCTTTACTCCAAGTCTGCTGTTTCGAGAGCCAAGTGTATCAAAGTATGTTAGCACAAGACAAAAGTCGCTGACCTTCGCGATGGTTCGTACGGAGAAAGAAAAGGTAACACGTCAAGGCGAGGGACATTTTGACTGCCAAAACTTGCTGACTGTATGTTTTCAGGTATACACATCTTTTAATCTATCATGCAGATAATAGTACGAAATGGCGTTCAAGTGGTGGAGGAAACATGGCAGCTGCAAGATGAGCAAATCCTTGAATACGTCATGGTGCAGCAGCGGTGTTTTGCCAATGACAACCTGGATGGTTCAATCGCGACGCAACATCATCTGTGAACACCATCGCTTATCTTTGTGAAAGGTATGGCCAGGGGGGTTTGAGCTTGTGAGAGATGCATTGAGACGTTCAGTAGGAAAGCTTGAAGGAGGAGTCTCCGCATGAGGAGGCTCATAGGTATGCATACATCATCATGATCACCACAGGACAACTGCCGAGAGCACTTTGGACTGTTAAAAGAGCATCTGGTGCCCCTGTCGTGATTTGAAATCTCCAAACCATAAACCTTTGTTGTTAATCATGCCTGAAGATAAGAGCAAGAACCCTAACGACCCATATCATACAGAGCAGCCTCCGCTTGACACCTACCCGAAGGATGCTGTCCGCAACAACGCCAAAGGGCACGACCTGGACAAAGAATTAATCGAGCGAATGAAGATTCGTGAGCTCTGTGAAGGCTGGGGTGTGTACAGAGACGCAGCAGAGTATGCATCTTGATCGCGAGCATATCTGTATCCGATGCTCACCAAATGTCACAGATGGGAGAACTACCGCTCAATGTTCTTCGACGATGCGTACATCGCTACAAGTTGGAAGCAAGGCAACATTGACGAGTTCATCGAAGCCTCCAAAGCTGGATTCGAGAAAGGCTCCAAGTTCATGTATATCCTGCATCGCATCATTGGCTCTCAAGTCGATATGAACACGGACCTCACGCGTGCAGTGTGCAAGATGAAGATCACAATCACTTGCCGCTTCACGTTTGACGACATCGAGATGGACAATGACGCCGACTGTCGGTTCTTCTTCTTCGTCGAGAAGAGAGGAAACAGATGGGGTGTTGTCTTCTACACACTGCTGTTTGACAAGGACAAGTTCTCCCCAGTCAACCCGGAGAAGATTTACAGTATTCCTGAAGATGAGGTCAAGCAGTATCCAAGCGGTTACAAGTATCTCGCTTGGGCGGAGAACAAGATCAGCCAGCCGCCTAAGATGAATTTGAATGCACATGGTCCAGAAAAAGATGTGTTGTATGGCAGGATCAAGACTTGGTTGGAGGGTGGAGATATCAGACCTGATTTGACTGGCGAGGATGACCCTAATTGGAAGCCTTGAATTTATACTCAAGAGATAGTATCAATGTTCAGGCTCTGGCCAGCGAGTAACGTTCGATTGGAAGTACACAAAGTCTATGCTACCTTACAACCAAGGACCCAGACAGGCTGAGATAGCAATACCCTGATGGTAGGGCTGACTTAAGGTTTGAGGGTCGGACGGGTGTGGCGTTGGCGCAGAGGCGCTCGTGGTTCGCATGTGGGGGAAATTTTGCGATCGGGGCAAGGACGAATGCTCGCAGGAAAACAGTTGAGTTGCTCATGTTCAAGACAAGACTGTCACGGTTAGCAGCGCTGCGCACTCTGACGACTCCTTCTTTACGCACGATCAAGACGCAACCATCAAGAATGAGTCAGTCGACCAAGGCACCGAAGCTGCATGGGCGGGCTTTCTACGAGAGCATCGGCAGCCCCAAGCTGATCCTGGCGCCCATGGTCGAGCAGAGCGAGTTTGTACGTCGCACTGATCTCGACTGACTGGAGAGGTGCAGCGCTGATAAAACAGACAGGCGTGGCGCTTGTTGACGCGCTCCTTCCTCCCGGCCGACCAGAACAAGCAGTTGCTTGCCTACACGCCCATGTTCCACGCCCGTCTGTTCCATGAGAATCCCAAATACCGCGAAACCCACTTCCAGCCATTGAAGACGTCCATGCCCGAAGCCCCCGTCCCATACCACGAGACTCAGTTCGACCATAAGGACCATCATCTCGATGGCAATCACGAAACCGATCGTCCTCTATTCGTCCAATTCTGCGCCAACGACCCCGACGACTTGCTCGCCGCCGCTCGTCATGTCCAGCCCTTTTGCGATGCCGTTGACCTCAACCTCGGCTGTCCTCAGGGCATCGCTCGCAAAGGCCACTACGGTTCCTTCCTGCAGGAGGACCAAGACCTTATCTACAGACTCATCAACAACCTCCACCTCAATCTCGACGTCCCAGTCACCGCCAAGATTCGCATCCTCGACACGCCCGAAAAGACTCTGGACTATGCGAAAATGGTTCTGTCTGCAGGTGCCAGCATCATCACCGTGCATGGCCGCCAGCGCCACCAGAAGGGACACAACACAGGCTTGGCCGACTGGACTGTTTTGCGTTATCTGAGAGACAAACTTCCTGCCGACACTGTCATGTTCGCCAATGGAAACATCCTACGTCACGAAGATATCCCCGCCTGCCTCGAGGCCACTGGCGCCGATGGTGTCATGAGCGCCGAGGGCAACCTCTACGATCCCTCGGTCTTTGCCCTCCCTCCTCCCGCCGGTCAAGAAGGACGAGAATACTGGAGAGGTCAAGACGGTAGAGGTGGATACCGCATGGATGCCGTGCTCAGACGCTACATGGACATTATTCACAGATATGTGCTTGGTCAGGACCCGCCGACACGTAAACCCTTGTTCCTGCCTGGCCATGACGATGCCCCGAGTGATACAACTACCCACGAGGCAGTACCCGAGAACGCTGTCGGTCAAAAGCGACCTGCCGAGGACGAGGTTCCGGAGACTGGGGCAGGAGACGAGCCGAATGGCCAACAGCCTTCCAAGAAGCAAAAGCAGACCACGGGTGAAAGCCGCAAGAAGAACAAGCAATGTACGAATCCCAACCTCACGCCGATGCAGGCTCACCTCTTCCACATGCTCCGGCCGTTGGTTTCCAAACACACAAATGTCAGAGACGCTCTCGCCCGTTGTCGTGCTGGCGACATTGTGGCATACGAGAATGTTTTGACCATGGTCGAGGCTGCGGTCAAGGAGGGTCTGCTCGAGTACGAAAATGCCCAGCCCGAAGAAGTCGAAGGCGAGCCACAAGTCCGACCCGAGGTAGATGCAACAAAGGACGAGAGCTCGTTAGCGGCTGTTGCATGGTGCAAAAGGCCATGGTTCATTTGCCAGCCATATGTGCGACCGCTGCCAAAGGAAGCTATGGAGAAGGGGTCGCTGCAACTCACCAAGAAGGAGAAAGAAAGGCAGATGCGCGAGAAGGAGGAGAACAAACAAGCAGGTCTAGTGCCGGAGGGTAGAGTCGAAGTGCAAGAGAACCATGGTGAGAAGGTAGAAGTGCCAAAAGAGGGCATGGTTTGTGGTTGATCTTTGCATCAACGACAAAAGAATGATAGATTATATAATACTAGAGTCGACATATACAGGCTAGATCGACTCGAATAAACAAGTCGGTACACACAGGCTATAACAACATAACATAAAAGTCAATATACAGCATGAGCGATGAGTGGATACAGAGAGACGGGCTTGGCAGGGCACGTCATGTCCCCAGTCGCAGACCAATGTCGAGATGATGATTGAGCAAGACTACCTACTTTTCACACGCCACTTTCGAAGCAATAATGTTCTGGCCATATCCATAGGACAGTGTCTTTGAACGGCCCCCCCAGCCATGTCAACTCCATCCAAGAAAACAAAAGCCGCCAAACGCGACCCCCAAGAGAACAAGAGTGCCGACGCTTTGGACGAAACCCCGTCCGGAATCACAATTGTCTCGCCAGCAGGAGACGTCGTACTACTCGTTCAACGGGAAACCTCCACACAAGAGACATGCAAATACAGAGTCGACTCGAGCACGCTGAAACATGCCTCGACCTACTTCAGCCGACTCTTTGATCCCACCTTCCAAGAAGGCACCCAAGTGGCAGGCGTCCACCAACAGCTCAAGACCAAATATATAACTCTGGATGCATCCGTACCCGCCGATGAACTTCCTCAAGTCAAGATCGTAGACGTTGGTCGCATCTCGCCTTCAGTCAAGACCATCAAGCCCCTCATGGCTGACTTCTTGTGCGCTCTGCACGCGCGCAACTTGACCACCCCCACTCCACCTCTGGCCAACGTCGCAAATCTCTGCATCGTAGCCGATCGTTTTGATTGCCTCGTACCGTGGCGTGCGTACTGCAAGAACCACAAAATGATTGCCGCTCTGGACGCAAGATCAAAAGTTGCTATATCGTGGACAGAAGAGCGCACACGCCAACGCTTGCTGGTCGGCATATTTCTGGAGAATGCAAGCTGGGTATACCAGGCATCTCTCCGTCTAATACACCGTGGCTGGGTCGGTCGCGAACCCCAAGACGACGCCGCGCTATGGTGTGATCTTCCCGCAGGCATCGAAGACGAATTGCTCTTCCGCCGGGACTGCATACTCGAGACCACGCAATCAATACAAACACATTTCCTCACTCTATACACATCTCGAGAACGACAGTGTAAACTCGGCTACACTTCCAGCGCCGAGTGCGACATGTTCCAGCTGGGCCAGACCATAAAGTTCTTCAACCGCATCAACACCCTCTCATTACAAGGCACGATTTTTGCAACCTCTGATGCGCCTGAGCCCTACGATGGCGATATCCTGGATCTGGTCGATAGCTTCAAGCAAGCTCCCGAGTACCAGGTCGACACCAATCACCACCACTGCGGCATCCGCACGCGCATCATGCCTTTGCTGGATCTCTTGGTGCTTGCTTTGGGTGAGGTAGGCGTGTGCTGGTGGTGTTGGCACGAGTGCAGACACGACTACGCCTGGTCCAAAGTCAAGAGACCGCTGATGTGGAAAAAAGACTCTGCGGGTGCGAGTATGCATCAGCATTACAAGAACCGGCAAGCTCAGAGTCATTTGTTCAAGCATCTGGACACTAGAGATCTTTTCATGGCTAACCAAAGGCTTTGGACGGGTTGAACGTGGTCGAGTGTACACAATTCTGATGACATACGTCAATACCCTACGACTTTTGATAAGGGCACGAACAACGGTCAGATCCTTCTGTCGCTTCTCGGATCAAGTCTTGCCGATGATCAACAAGCAGTGGAGCCTCTCTACACGAAATGATCCTTGTATCCCAGGGCCCACCCTGCTGATTCATCAAATATCATCCCTTGCGAATGCGAACCAGCATTGACCTCCTAGACCTGAACGAGGCGAAGTAGGACGAACATCGCAAATCAATCAAGGATGTGAACAACGGGGACCGCTCCAAAGAGCTGCTCTACACTTTTTTTTGTACCTGCATCGTGATATGCGCCTGTAGTAATTCTCCAAACATGGGATCCGTGTCCAACCCTTCCAGTCTGTCCCTTTTTTAAGCTTAGCGGGTTCGTCCCTGTCTGTTGGTTCCCGACCAACAAGAAGAAACGTATTCCCTCCCCTTTCTGTAAGATGATGAATGCTCCCGTTTTCGCTTTTTGTTCAGTGTAGTGTTCACCTGGTGGCTTTTGCTGCAGAAGCAGGGCCAATTCTCTCTTCGTATGCCTTCCATGCCCTGACCCTGTATTCCTCTGCCTTTGCTCTCTTGTCTTGAGCGCCGTAGACACCACGGCCGACAATGATGATGTCGGTGCCAGCTTCGATGATGACCTGTTCCGGAGTGTTGTATTGTTGACCGAGACCGTCTCCAGTAGCTCCGATTTGCACGCCAGGAGTCATGGTGACGAAGTTGTCACCGGGCTGCTCGTTGAGTGAGCGTTGTGCAATGAAGCCCATGACGAATTCTGGGTTCTTGCGTGCTTCTACCACGCATTGTTCCGTGTATGAGCCAGTCATCAAGTTGCCCGCACTGCTCATCTCGGCGAGAATGAGCAAGCTTCTTAGAAGAGGAGGTTCTCCGAGACGAGCCAAAGCAGAGGATTCTTGACCAGCCGAGCCTGCACTAATGGCTGAGATGGAACCAGAGGGACCACCAAGGTGGTTTGGTGTGGGTTGGGGTGAGATGCTTTCTGTCTTTGTGCTGATGGTGGTAGAAACGGACACGACACTGGGCTTGCGACCAGTGGGGTCGTTGTATGTAGACAGTTGGTTGGTGTCGTCGTCGCTAGAAAGTCTGTCGAGATCATCGGAATCGTCGTGTTGAGACAATGCAGGAGAGTCGGCTTCATCGCTGTCATCCATGTACGAGGGAACTGGTGAGGCTGAGATTGAAGTGGTCACGGCGGTGTTGAGCGAAGTAACAGCACTGTGGGCAGCTTGTGAGAGAGCGGTGATGATGGCGGGGCCGGGGAAGATGTGGGCATTGATAATGTTGGCCCAGCGTACGATTTGCAGGGGCCCGGCGGTGAACTGCTTCTGCACGGTGCCTGCGAGCAATTGTCAGTGAGTGGTGGTAGCGATCAGGGATCAGGGCATGTGCATACTGCCAATGTCGCCAAACTTGCGGTCTTCAAAGATGAGGAAGTGTTTCTTGGCGGCAATCTCTTTCAGGCCTTGGATGGTGCGAGGGCCGAAGTCGTTGATGATGTCTGCGTGTGTCTTGAGCATGCATATTGAGTCGCCGACCTCCTCGGCGAGCTGCAAAAGCTCTCTGGTGGTGGATACATCGGCCGACACGCAGAGGTTGGTCTGCTTTGTGGCAATCAGGCGCAAGAGGTACGAGGCCACGGGCGATGTGTTGGGCAACGAGGCGCGCTCTTGGTACGACTGGGTGATTGTTGCGTGACGAGCCATTTTGAGCGTCGAGGAAAAGCAAGAGGCTCGGCCGGAGTGTTGCGGAGCAGCGAGGAAGAGGATGTCCAAGGTCGAGTGATCAGACAGCGGTCAATTGGCTATGGAGGGAGCGAGACGAGGGGATGGTTGCACGCAGGAGAAGACAGAGTACTAGATTGGAAGTTGCAAGGTGAAGCAAAGTGTAGAACGATGAGCAGAGGGCAGCAGCCCAGACCGCAGAGACCAGTCGAGATTTTGCGCCGAGCAAGTCAAAGCGAGAAGATCCGGCCGCTGGCGTGAGGCACACGAAACACAAGACAACAGAGCACGACGCGGAGAGCAGTCACAGACACGCTGAGGGAGAGACTCTGGCAGAATGGTTGGGGAGAGGAAGGAGCGAGCCACACCAATGTCGAGCGTGTCTTTATGCTTCTTTTCGACGAGCAGCGCCAGGAGCCCGATTTGCTCTCCCGGGCTCCCACCACCTGCCAGCTGCCAGCTGCAAGAAAGCTTCTAAAAGTGGGGTGCAACCCGAGGCCTTTCGGGTCCTGTCTTGAAACCTGCCGTTGCTGCACTTTACCAAAGCACAACCTAAGATTCTGCTTGACCACAGTCACACGCCAATGCAGGGACTAGGTAGGCAATTGACAGGTCGTGCCCAGCACCGCTCTTCGCACTCGCTTTTCTCGACTCTCTCCACTGTTTGACTCTCGTCCGAGTCTTGCAGCGTACTGATAGTCCAAGCCAAGCCATGTACTCCCTTTCCAGGTCCACAACTGTGGACCGCAGCTGCTTCTGATCCGCGACATGCTTGCTCGCCAATTCCTGCCTGCCCCACGCTGCCGTCAAATCTGTACACCAAGCCCTCCTCTCAGCCTCCCTCCACAGCTTGCCGCCTGCCTGCCCTTCCTTCTCACTCCTCCACATCTCCCAACGTCCATAAACAACCATCCAGCTGGCTTTACTCTGCGTGTCGCTCCGAGGGCACAAAGGCCTGCCTGCCTGCCCTAGGGGAACTCAACGCGGAAACGCTCTTCCGCGGTTCGTTGCGTGTGCTGTACCAAGACTGCGGGCTCACTATGTTCAAACATTGGATAGCTGCAGATCTGCAGCAATAGTCGCGTTGGCTTGGCCCAGCTTGTCCAACGGTTGACCTTTTGACCGACCATCATCTTCTCACCAGTGCCCCTCTACTCTGCATCCTGAACCTCGAGCCTAGGTACATACCTAGTTTATGACCATCATAAATCCGTTGACAGAACATGTATCTCTTGCCCAACCGGCCCCACTTTCGACCTTGTCTGCCACCTAGAAAGGCACATCCTTCTGGATATTGTCCTTCCCTCTGATTTGATCACGGTAGCAGGGCAACCCAATCCTTGTGTAGCGAACATGATCAGATCATTGCAAGCATTCATCACATCTACCTATGCTATCGTCTACATACGTCATTCATGCATTGCGTGAGAGCGTCACAGACTCCGTGAGACACCAGTCTCGTCCTTGAGTTTGCTGCCACACCCCAACTGGTGCGATAATGCATTCTCCCATCGACATCACTCATCACTTGTGCGAAGATGCGAAGCGACCATGGAGACTTGCTCGCTCGAACTAAGCGGTGCCATTCCGTACCTGTATCGTTCTTGTGTCAGCCACCGCTACACAGCTCGCGATCTTGTGGAACGCGATCTCAAAAAAGACTTACCAGGTGATTGCCGCCAGGCCTGCAAACGCTGCGACGCAGCTGAAAACCAGAGCTACGATGCCCCTGGCCGTGAAACCTGCAGGGACCGGACGAGCCGGTTTGTTCTGCCCGCTTAGGTCTAGGATGTCTTTTGTGTTGGCAGCCGCATTTCCTGCGTACGGCATGCCGGCGGCCTTGCAAGCAGCAAAGTGATCGTCTGGAACACTGAGCCTCTTCTGCATCTCGAGCGGTGCTTCGATGAAGGTAGCAGCCAGGCCCTGTTGCATGTGCCAGTCGATATGACCTGGAGCAAAAGTTAGCTTGATCCCTATCTGGGTCATATACCGTCTAGAGATACGCACAGTGGAAAGCCCACACTCCAGGATTATTCGCAACGAAGCGAATGACAAGATTGCCCATCGGCGGGAGAACTGCAACATCGCGACGCATAGGATACTTAGGGAATGCGGTGTGATTGTTGGGATCGTAAGCCTGAGGGTTGACGTTGTTGGCTAGCGAGTAAAAGTCCTCGCCGTAAGACGGAAAGCGGCTGACGACTTGGAAATTATGTCCATGATAATGGAATGGATGACCTGGAGACACGATCGATCAGCTTGAGGAAATCACGGTGGAGATAGGTAGAATGAGAGACGGGAACATACTGCCTCCGTCGTTGTTAGTGAGAACAACCTCCACTACATCGAGATGGTCAAGAACAAAAGCATTGGTATAATCACCATACACAGCCTCGTTGGTGGCTTCCTCGCCAGAAGTGAGAGCAGTGTAGAGACTGGGTACCTTGGGCTTAGTGTAAGTCTGGTCGTTGAAAAAGGCGTACGGCTTGCCATTCTCGAGGATGCCCATCGACACGGTCAAGTTGATGACTTTGCTAGGATTTGCGAAAAGGGGTTCCTTGTCGTATGGGACAAGAGAGTAGTCATCGAAGGCGGGGTTCTCGTCCACAACGTTAAGCGTCACATTGACTGGGTCGAAAGCAGCCGAGGAGTTGTACTGAAGCCAGTTGGTTTGGTTGAGGCTCAGTGTATCCGGGATACCGTCCAGCAGTACTTGATCCGCGATAGTGACAAGACCGTAATTGCGAGAAGTAGAGGCTTTCGTTGTAAACAGGATAGAATAACGCTGGGCAACAGCCACGTAAATCAAGCTAGCCTGTTGTGGCTCGGTAAACACACCATCGACCTCGACAATCGTGAAGTCGTGATCCTCGATGTAGAAGTATTGAGCAACGAATGCACCCGTGTTGACGATTCTCAATAAGTAGGTGGTGTTTGGTTCCACCGAGAGCTTCGTATTCGCGATCGAGTCATTGAAAAGGAAGTTGGACGGAATAGGTTCGGCACCAGTCGGGTTCGACAGAGAGATGAACGTGATGTCTTCTACCAGGTTGTGGTACCAGTCGCTGACAGTGACCGCGAATTCTTCCTTGTACTGGTTCGTGAACCAGGCATCGTCATCGTGGACGAGCAGCATCTGTCGGTAGCCATCGGGATAGCAAAGGTCGGTGTGACAATGGTACCAATACGTTCCGCTTTGGTCCACCGTGAAATCATATGTGAAGGATGCGCCGGGAACAATGGGACATTGGGTCTGCATTGACGGTCCGTCCATTTCGTTTGTGGAATTTTGGAACAAGCCGTGCCAGTGAATACTCGTCGATTTATCTCCAAGGCCGTTGTAGACATGGACAATGAGTCGATCACCCTTGTTGACCTCCAGAACAGGGAGCGGCCATGTATTGTTAACACCAATTACTTTTCTCTCCTGCATTCCGTCAGGATTGGCCATCACCCATGTCATGTTGAAGTATTTTTCTATGACCGCAGCTTGACATATTGTGAGAAGTAGGGTGAGGCCAGATAAGAATTGAAGAATACGGCCTGCCATGGTTCCAGGACGTGGGCGTGCCAGCGAATTACCAGGAACGATCTGATAAGAATCTAGTACGAAAAATCAGGTGGGCATGGGAAGGATGAAGAGTGGGAAGATGATATGATTGATAAGATGGAGGGGTATGCAGCTTGGGAAGTTTTTACGATCCGCGACACCGGTGGGCTAAACATGGGCTAGAACGCCACATGTCACAGCCGCTCAAAGTCACCATGATTGTTTGTTCGTATAACCAAGGTATTTCCGTGATCCTCCGGGCGATGCTTCTCTCGCGAATGGAGCAAGTAATCGACTGGGTGTTGTATGGCTCACGATCCATGTCAAGCACTCTGTAGGACCGATAAGAAGTCATGGCAGTGGCCTGAGGTACTCAAACGAGTATTATTCCACGAGGCTTTTTCTTTTCGAAGGATGCACTTTGCCAGGTCGTACCGCAATGCTAAACGATGGGTGAATGGAGAAGCTGATGAAAACGTGGTTGATCCAGAGCGCCCGCCCCACCTCGCGCGAATCGCTTATCTGATCCGCATGCAATCCAAGCCTCACCAAGGCCCCTTCAAAGTCCTTGGCTGTCGATCAAGATGGAGAGTGCTGGCGACTGGGGTTCATCTCAAACTGACGGTATGCTTTGTTGTTGTTGATGAGAGCAGGTTGTCATGACTGAAGAACGAGCGGAGGGTGCCATTGCACCAATTCGTATTGCAGTCGTCGCTGCTCGCATTCCCGCTCTCTTCTTTCCCGGCAGGTTTTCGAAGAATCCCGGCAACGACGGAGGCCAGTAACGCCACGGATGGCTAGCTTAACTCTAGAAGGCCGGTGGCACCACTCAACACGCACCCTGAGGAAACACGCATGCTTTTGAGGGAAAAAATGAAAGTGCTGGTGGCCGAGGTCGCGAGGGTCGCCGTTATCAGATCAGTGTCCCCATCTCCTCTCATTCCGATCAAATCAATCTTGATCATATCCATCTTATCCCAATTCTCTGCCAGACAGCACCATCTCAGCCATGGGTGCCAATGTCTTTGCTGTACCTAGTGCGTTTATCCATGACTACGAAGCACCGTGGACTTCACTGATCATGGCACAGTCTTCTTCATTTGCTTCAGAGAATGCCTCGAATGTAGCATCATCGTCTCCGTCTTGCTGTCATTTCTGAAGCAGACTCTTGATCCTCAAGATCCCACAGTCTACAAGAAATTGAGAGCTCAAGTCTGGTGGGGAATTGGACTTGGTCTAGTGGTCTGTTTGATCATTGGTGGTGCTTTCATCGGAGCATTCTATGGCCTCGGTAAGCTGAATCGAAACATCGATCATCTTGCAGCACTAACACCTACTCAAGGCAAGGATCATTTCGCTGCGACCGAAGACATATGGGAAGGCGTCTTCGGCTTGATTGCAGCAATCATCATCTCGATCATGGGCGCCGCTCTGCTTCGTGTGTCGAAACTACAAACCAAATGGCAAGTCAAGCTGGCCAAGGCTTTGGAAGAAAAGGACCAGAACAAGGGCAAGGCGACCACCCGCTTCAAGCGATTTGCCGAAAAGTACGCCATGTTCATGCTTCCTTTCATCACCGTGATGAGAGAAGGTCTTGAAGCTGTCGTCTTCATCGGTGGCGTTTCCCTCGGGCTTCCAGCTACATCCTTTCCTCTAGCTGTTGTCACTGGTCTTGGAGCTGGCTGCTTGGTTGGGTACCTGATCTACCGTGGTGGCAATGTGGCATCTCTGCAGGTGTTCCTCATCGTTTCGACCTGCGTTCTCTACCTTGTTGCTGCTGGTCTCTTCTCCAAAGCAATCTGGTTCTTTGAGAACAACACCTGGAGCAAACTCATCGGTGGTGATGCTTCTGAGGTCGGCAGTGGCCCTGGATCTTACGACATTACAAAGTCCGTCTGGCACGTCAACTGTTGCAATCCAGAGATCGACACTTCAGGCTGGGGCCTGTTCAATGCAATCTTGGGCTGGCAGAATTCTGCAACCTACGGTTCAGTGCTCGCCTACAACTTGTACTGGATTGCAGTAATCGTCGCCTTCGTCTCCATGCGCTACAAAGAGCAACGTGGTCACTGGCCCCTGATGAAGGCTAAATCAAAGAAAGCCGACAGCGAGAGTTCCAGCCAAGTTGATGTAACGGAAACAATGCAGAAGAAGGCCTCGAATGAAGCCGCAACGACTACAGCGATTAGAGAAATTGAGGGATGAGAGACAAAAGCACAAACGATTACGAAGCTGAAGAGGTAGGATAAGAAGAACCGAGAAGGAGAAGATACCATCACCTAGCATATACACAACGCTGAATCACATGCATGTCGGCTTTTGTTGTACATTGAGAGTAGCCGTTTGTATCGTCGTTTCACACTATGTCGACTTTTCTCCTTCGTCTCCAATAATGTCGTCGTCGTCATCTTCTACCAGTTTTTCTACCATTAGATTCGCACTTCTTCCAACACGAGACTTTAGAGTGCCGCCCTGATCAAGACCGTACACTTCGCGAGGCATGGGCGAGACCAACTGGAACTCGTATTCGTGCCTGTAGCCGCTCGGCTCAGAGGTTCCCTCTCGTGACGCCAGCTCGTCGTTCTGCATGATGTCGTAGCATTCAACGAACGCATATAGCTCTTCGAGCGGAGCGTCAGCGCCAAACTTGCGTATCACTCTCTCGCCTGAGGGCATTCTGACGCTGATGCGCACTACATCGCTGGCAGTAGGAGCAGGTTCATGCGGCAATGAGTGCAAGCGCCATTTCCTCCACTGCAAGACATTCTGTGCCTTTTGCTGTTTTGCCTCTGCGCGTTCTCTTTCTTCACGTTCGGCCTTTTGTTGGGCAGCTTCAGCTTCCTTTCTCTGGCGAGCCCTCTCTCTGTCTTGAGCCAGGGACCGCTCGTATGCACTATTCTGCTCTTCTCTAAGAGATCTTGAAGCCTGTTGCTCGGATCTCTGTCTCCTCGCGCCTTCCAACTCTTGGTCGCGCTTTTGCATGGCATCTTGCATCTTGACAAGAAAGTCTGACGGGGGCACTGGACCAGCGACGCGAGCGATGAGAGACATAGAGGTTGATGAGACGGAGGGAGTATGGACGATCAGACCGGTAAAGGGAAATTTTGTGACGTTGAGGGCGTTGGCAACCTGGTAGGCTTCCGAGTCTTGGACGCTCCCAGCCCAAAGAACCAGATCAGAAGCGTGAGCTTGGATGAACTCCTTGACCTGTGGCGAAAGCAGAGTATCGCGGACGAAAGGGGCGGTGTCATCATGCTCCGGGGACAGCAGAATGACCAGCAGGTATTTGAGGTCTCGTTTGGCTAGGTCAAAGGCTTGGGCATAGCCATTCTCAAAGAAGGGGATAGTGTTTGGCTCGACGTTGTAGTCTTCCTCAAAGTCGCGGATAAAGCGAGAAGCCGTGTCGCGAGGGTTCAAGGGCCGTTTGTCGGAGTTGTTGGGACGAGCGGACTGCAGAGGGAAGATGCGGTGCAGGAGGCGAGGTAGGACGGGGAAGATGTAGCCGAGAGCGCCAAAGACACGGGTGAAGATAGAGTAGGTCAGGTTGAAGGGCAGGAAGAGCAGCTGCAAGACGAAGGGCGCTGGCTGGGACAGCTGGCTTTCTGGTGTAGGGACAACGCGAGGAGCTTGCTGCAGGCCATCGGGGGTCGATCTGAAGCTTCTGGTGGAAGCGGCGGCATCGAGACTGGCGGCCAGGTTCTCGGAGCGGCGAGTGTCTTGGGGTGGAGGGACGTCGACGTCGACGACATCAGCATCGCCGTCGAAGAAGCGCGTGATTGCGATCTGAGCATTCCATTGACAGCGCTGTAGCAAGGCCAGAGCTGTGTCAAGGTCCTGGTCTGTCACCGAAGTGACTTGTTGCAGCGCGAGTTGCTGCTGCTGCGAGAGCTGTGATATGTCTGTTGAAGGTGCCGACATGTCGTCGTCGTCGCGCATCAGCAAAGAAGGCCAGAGGCCATGTCGACTTTCTGAATGAACACCAAGGTGTCCATGTCATGCTTGGCAAGCCGTCGGTCCATGACTCGCGACTCGCCGCGGGTCGTGGCCGACGAGGAAGGCCGCATGCCGACAGCCATCGCGTGGCCTCACCTGTCCAATCGACCCTGTACTCTGGCTGCACCAAGATATCTTGCTGTCGGACTTTCCTCCTCTGACTCCCGCTATCAATACATATCGTGTCTTCAAAGACACATACCCTTGACTCTGCAGTCTCGCTTTGTTGCTGTCGAGCACTGCCCGGCACATACCGACGCTTTCCTGAACCAACGACTGCTTCCACTCTCACCCTCTGTCGCTTGTGCATACCCAGCCGTATTGGACGCGGCTTCTTACTTTTGCTTTGTATTCGGCACAAACTGTTGTCAACATAATGTCTTCTGTGCTTTGCTCTCATTAGGTATGTGAAGCACCTAATGCTACGCCTAACCCGTCCCTCTCCTAATTCTCGGGCTTGCATGCCGGCAGCCCCCTTGTCCATCTCTTGATCTTTCTTGTCACACTACCACAGTCATTGGTTCTTCATATCTTGCTCCCCATCTGACTTCTGCCCATGCAGACACTGTACCTTGCTTTTCGATTTCTTGTTACCCGAGATCGTGCTGCAGCGCTCAGGCTATTTCTATCCTTCCGACATCAGCAGCCTCTCTATCTTGTCATCGATTTCTGCCTTCAGGCTACTGGTTTGTGCTTGGCTTTCTACTGCAGAGTCTCTACTATTCTCTGATTACTCATCTCCGCCCACGAGATCAATCTACATCGACACTTCCGTGAGCACAATCAAGTTCTGCGAATGCTCCAAGACGACCACCTACCGAACCCAGAAGACTTCTCACCGCGAAGCTACTTTCAACACCATGGCAGCATCAGGTGCTAGCAGCCCAGGCGATATGCGTAGAAGGCATCAATCTCCAAGGCCCAAAGGACGTGGTATGTACTCTAGATCGCGTTAGATCCCGAAAGACTTAGCTGATTGTATAATCTGACACGTTCGCAGAGAATACAAAGAACGTCCTCTGCAGAAACGTAACCATCTATGGTAGTTGCAGAGCCCAGAACAATGGTCAGTTCTGTGCGCCCTTTCCTTGAGATCAATCCCTCTGATATGTTCCAGGTTGTCCTTACAACCATGAACTACCTTCAAAACCCAGTCAACAAGCAGAAAGGTGCGTACAGCATGAGTTATTGTTTTTCGTCAAGAGCTCACGGCTGCATAGCGCTAAACGTTTTCTGAGCGTTGATTCTCCGTCGTTCAAACCTCTATCGCCTGTCACGAACAATGTGCAGCCCGCAAAGACTCTCGGCATTTCTCCAAAAGCGGCTTCGGCAGCAGTGTTCACCCCAAAATCAACAGGTATGGTCTAGCAGAGTTGTCGCGAGCTGTGTTCAATCGACTGACTTATTTCAGCGGCAGTTCCTGTCGTAACAGCCAAGCAACCATCAGCAGAATGGTCCCAGCGTGGTATACAAGAGTTCGTCCCTCAGAATTTTGTGCCTCAGACTGAGAGTGGTTCTTCTGCCAACAACATTTCTTCTTTCGATCCATTCACCATGCAAGGAAATTCCGATGCTTCTCATGCTCCGCAGATCAACCCATACGCTCAGGATGCTTCCACCTTGGCTGCGAGTTCGATGTTCTCAGCTGCTGCTGCTTTCGCTCATCCAGTATGCCAATACTCCTTCGTTGCAAGCATATACTGACTGTGGTCCAGCTCAGCTACCATCTTTATGCGCCATTGGGGCCTCATCGAGAGAATTTGATGGCTTACCAGCGGACGACTCACGACTTCTTCATTCCCGATCACTTACGTGAGGAGATGCAACGCAAATCTGAGGCATCTCTCCAGACTTTCTCCAGTAAGTCATGTGGCTCAAGACTACCGATCCCAAGAAACTTACCTCCCGCAGATACAGCATTACCTCAGCAAATAGAGCACTTTCATTCGCTAGTGGCTCTTGATACTAACGCTCAGAAGTCCGCATCAGCTTATGGCTATCCCAGCTGGGTGTATAAAGCTACTTCGAGCAAGGATGGATACAACTATGCTCTAAGACGTCTAGAAGGTAGGAACTCCGTCTGCTATCGTTCGAGTGTTTGAGAGCTCACAATACAACTGCAGGCTTCCGACTGACCGATGAGAATGCGATCCGTACTATTCAGACTTGGAAGCGTATCAGTAACGGGAACGTCGTTACTGTTCATGACGCTTTCACTACTAGAGCCTTCGGAGATAGTTCTCTGATTGTCGTCACCGACTACCATCCGCTCTCGCAAACTCTAGCTGACAAGATCTTCACTCCTACTGCCAGAAACCCGGGAGTCACTCTGGCGCGATCCCCAGCGATTTACGTGACTGATCATGAGTTATGGGGTTACATCGTCCAGCTAGCATCTGCTATCAAGGCCATCCATTCTATAGGCCTTGCTGCTCGCCTCATGATCCCTCAGAAGATTCTCATCACATCCAAGAATCGACTGCGATTGAACTCTTGCGGTATCCTCGACATCACCCAGTACGAGCAGGGCCGCAGCATATCAGAGCTTCAACAAGACGATATACTGCAAATGGGTCGTTTGATACTCTGTATAGCCAACAAGAACCCCACGGCCCATCACAACACTCAAAAATCTCTGGAGCATGTTGGCCGAGCATACAGCGAAAAGATGCGTGAAGTAGTCGCTTGGCTACTGACCCCAGCTGCGCCAACGACGCCAACACAAGCGCCAACAAGCTCACCAGGTTCTGCAGCAGCGACCACGTCTTCAGACCATGATATCGACAGCTTCCTTTCGCTGATCTCGTCACAAATAACATTGACCTTTGATGCCAGTCTGCACGAGGCTGACTCGCTGACGAGCAACCTATCTCGCGAGCTCGAGAATGCGCGCCTTGTACGCCTGCTCACCAAGCTTAACATGGTTCTTGAGCGGCCCGAGACGACTTTGTCATCTAGCGCCGCGAACCCAAACCAAGCTGCTGCTCCTCATACCCTCAACCATACGTCATCTGCCTGGTCCGAGACTGGAGAACGCTATTATCTCAAATTGTTCCGTGACTTTGTGTTTCACCAGGTTGACGCAGATGGTCGGCCTGTTCTTGATCTTGGACACGTCTTGACATGCTTGAACAAGATGGACGCTGGTATTGAAGAGAAAATCATGTTGGTCAGTAGAGACGAGCAGAATTGTTTCGTCGTCAGCTACAGAGAAGTGAAGAGAGGGTTCGAGAGCGCTTGGACAGAGTTGATGAAGGCTGGACAGAGTGGGAGAAGATAGACTATGATCGTATAGACAGCACCAAAAAAAATTAGAAAACATTCATTCACATCGACTGCTCTGGAGACAAGGCTTGACCATGTTTGGCGTGCTGAGAGTACCACCCTGCCTGTATCTGATTATACCAACACGATGGCTCAGGAACCTTGCTGGCTATATGACTCGTGGATGTTCAACTCCAATAGCTCTGTTCCCTTGCTTTTACTATAGCGATATCTAGAATATAAGAGTATTCGCGTAAGGATATCTATTATTCATAGACCCCTCCAAGTGACCCCACATTCCCGAAAGGAGTAAGGCGCACCTTTGTCCCGAAAAGGACCAAGAAAAACAAGCATGTGATGTGACGCTCCAGACCCGACGAAGCAGCAGAGAGGGAAAGGACCCTTGGTGGAAAGCACACGAAAAAGACCCAAAGTCGAAACAGAACTGGGCTCCCCCCTTCTTCTTTGAAACATCAAGGCAGCCACAACAATAGCTTCGTTCCTACCACCGTCTTCTCCTCGCTTTTTGTTTCTGTTAGAAGCCAACAGTCATTCCATCTCCAGATACACAGATACACCGCAATCATGTCGGCACACCAGAGAAGACCTAGCATGGTATGTCATAGGAGGGCGACCCCGGCCACACCACCGCAAGCAGTGACATGGACGAATCAGTCGCTTTTGCAAAAAGAGCAGACATGACTGACACGTCCACCTCTTCTAGGCAGAGAACCTCACACCAGAGCAAATTCAGGAGCTCAAGGAGGTCTTCAACGTTTTCGTAAGTTCTTTCCCTTTACAACAGAAGAAACCACGAAAATTGCATGAGAGTTGCACACTAACGATAGCTCTCTTGTTTCTCGACAGGACAAGGATGGAAACGGCAACATCACAGTCGACGAACTGGGCGAAGTCATGCGCTCCCTCGGCCAAGAGCCCTCCCAAACCGAACTCGAAGACATCCTCAATGAAATCGACAAGGACGGCTCTGGCTCCATTGAATTCGACGAGTTTCTCTCAATGATGGGCCGCAAGGTCCAGCAAGCAGACAGCGAGTCTGAATTGAGAGCGGCATTCGCCGTCTTCGACAGAGATGGCAGCGGCACCATTTCTGCAGAGGAGCTGAGAAATGTTATGAAGAGCATTGGTGAAAACTTGTCTGATTCGGAGATTGATGAGATGATCAAGGAGGCGGATGCTAATGGAGATGGCAACATTGATTGTGAGTTTACTCGAGTTGACAGCGAACAAGGCAACAGCTAATGCGAGTCCGCAGACGACGAGTTTGTCAAGATCATGAGTGTTTAAGGATCGTCAGGCTCAACAGTATGCTTGACGTCTTTTCTTTTTCTTCTAGAAGGCCAATTCGTGCAGGTTACGGTTTAGCCCAGGAGCTCAAGGATACATGAATCTACTACGAGAATATCACGGAAAACAGGCAGGATGGAGGGTTTTGAGTATGGATCTATGTAACAGACGGGATCTAATTACCACCGGCGAGTGTGGAAACCATCACGTACATCACACAAGACTCCAAACCCAGGTGTCGTGTGACATGACTTTGAAAAAACGAACGATGCAAGAATTGAGGGCAAAAATATCATATGGTATACAGTTATTCTGCGTGGCTATCGTATACACTAAGGAGTTTCTCTCGACCTGGTGTGTGTGATACTTTTTCTAGGCATATGCCCTTGACTCCGGGGGGATGCTGAATTGAGTCGAGCTGTTGATATGCTCTGACAGTGCTGGGGTGCTGGGGTGTTGGGCGATTGATTTATCGGTCCTTCTTGGGGACGCTGTCGGGAGCGCCAGAGACCTGGTCACCAAGACGGTTGTACTCGGTGGAGAGACCCTGAGCCTGCTTCTTGAGAGTTTCAATGTCACGGTCCTTGGCAGCGAGCTCCTTCTTCAGGCGGCCGACCTCGCCAATGCTGCTGGCCTCGTTGAGCTTGGCGTCCTTAGGTCCATCGGTACCCTTCATCTGTCTGTTCTCAAGCTCGAGACGGAGCACCTCAAGGATCATACCGTAGGTGCGGTTGAGGATCAGAGAGAGGAAGAGGGTGAAGCCGCAGAGGTACATGTTGCGTTGCGAGTAGAACTTGCGGGCCTGGATCTCCATGCGTTCGATACCGCCAACGGCAGCAGTGCTGAGTGAAGAGGTTAGCAAATTGCACTCGATGCCGAAAGAGAGGGCAGGGAAGCTTACCCGCCGCCAGTGTTGTTCTTGTTGGCTGTAGCAAGCTCGAGCTGGACGCGGTAGACGCGGTTGACGCTGTCAACAAACAGGATCAGGATGAAGACGAAGGTGATCTAGTGGTCTTGTGAGCATTGGAGCTAGAGACGAGTTGGAGGTCATGGGCCACTGGACCGAGACGCGGACGGAACGTGGGCCAGAGAAGATGGGATATGTACCTTTATCCAATACTGCAGCTTTGCTATGACGGGACTCTCGGAGATGAAAGTCAGGAGCTTGCGCTTCCAGCTGAAAGGCATGGGCACAATCAGGGACATGAAGACGACCATCTCGAAGACGAGAAGGGCGAAGACAAGACTGTAGTAGAGCGTCATGGTGGGCAATGGGTGGTGTGTGGTTTGGGATGAGTGTAGGAAGGGGAGGAGGGGAACAGGAGAAGGTGGATGTCTCTATTTCTACAGGACGTCGTCCGCGCAAAACCGGCCGGGAGCTGCGAAGCCAACACGTACGAAACAAACCCGCATACGTCACAGAGAGCTCCGTCACTACGAAGCTGGGGCCACCGGTCCTTCCGACACGGTTGCAAGTTGCAACACGGTTGCGCTGCTTGCTCGAGCGAGCCGAGGAGGTGCCGCTCCACCATCATCCGTGCACGATAAGAAGCTTATCGTCCATCGGTCGAAAAAGTGTCGCCGCTGCAAAAGAGACAGCACCAGTCCAGACAATCATTCGCTCTCGCAAACATGGCAGACAACACCGACAAGTCGCTCAACGGCGCAGGCACCACAGCACCTGCTCAGCCCACTGTCAACCCTCTCAATCCCTCCGAGCCCTTGAAGCGTCCAGCCCCCGGCGACTCGATCGAACCTGCCAACCCCCAGACCGAAATCCTTCCCTTCGACTCGGCCACCACACGTGCCGAGAAGGTCGAGCGCAATGGCGACGGGCAACCCTCTAAGAGAGTCAAGCTGGAGCAGGACCCTGTCTTGGGTGCCGTGGACCCCAAGCCGAGAACCAAGGGCGTCGCACCCATCAAGAAGGAGTACCTGATTCACAATCCCCAGCCTGCTGCAAGACCCGAGCAAGTCTCAGAAGAGAACCCCGACGACGCCGCCGAAGGAAGCAAGCACGAATCGCAACAGCAGTCCAAGGACAAGAAGCAGAAGAACCGCGGCCAGAACAAGGCTAGGACTTTTGGCAGCTCGCGCGATGCTCTCCAGCTGTGCAAGACTCGCGTTCACAACAACGAGTTCTCACCCACAGAGTGTCCCTTCGGCGACAAGTGCAGAATGGAACACAACCTCCGCAAGTACCTGGCTGAAGGCAAGCGCGATGACTTGACTACTTTCGGCACAAAGTGCCCAATTTTCGAGGTCAAGGGGAAGTGCAATGCAGGTTGGAAGTGCCGCTTCGCTGGCTCTCACTCTACCGAGAGGGAGACCGCTGATGGTCGCAAGGAACTGGTTCTTCTGGACAATGACAAGGCCTCGAGCGACGGTGCTCAAGCAGAAGAAGAGGAGGGTGTGGGAGTGGTCAACGTTGTCTCGATGGGAGCCAAAATCGAACTCAGAAAGAAGAAGACCGGTATGCCCAAGTCCGAGGCCTACGTGGCCTGGCTGGAAAAGCGCCAGACCGAAATGAACAAATACTACGCAGCAAACAAGCCGGAAGAGGAACAAACAGCACCCGCCGAAACCATGTCGCTTGAAGAGCGTCGCGCCCAATTCACAGAAGCACCTGTGCGTGCCTCCGAGAAGCGTAGGATCTACTACGGCCCAGAGACACCGGTCCTAGCCCCATTGACCACACAAGGAAACCTTCCCTTCAGACGTTTGTGCGTTGGTCTCGGTGCTCAGGTCACATGGTCCGAGATGGCCATGGGCCTGCCCCTGATCCAAGGTGAGAAGGGCGAATGGGCTCTGGCCAAGGCCCACGAGTCCGAAATCACGCCTCCCAAGTACACTCCCAAGTCTATTGTTGCTGGCTACGACAACTCAAAGGATCTCAAGTTTGGTGTCCAGATTGCAGGAAACAAGCCATGGAACGTCCTCAAGACCACCGAGATCCTTACCGCCCTCTGCCCCAGCATCCGTGCCATCGATTTGAACTGTGGATGTCCCATTGATCTGGTGTACAGACAGGGCGCTGGCTCTGCGCTCATGGACTCGCCTGGCAAGCTGGAGAAGATTCTGCGTGGTATGAACGCTGTCTCTGGCGAAGTCCCCATCACCGTCAAGATCCGTATGGGCACCAAGGACAACCACCCCACTGCTGACAGGCTTGTCCAACGTCTCGTCCTTGGAGGTGAGGAAGCCATGGCAGCTGGTGACGGGTCATGCGGTGTTGCTGCTATCACTCTGCATGGCCGAAGCCGTCAACAAAGATACACTCGCCAAGCCAACTGGGAGTACATTGCTGAATGCTCGGCCTTGGTCAACAGATTGAAGCAAAAGCAAGCAGAGGTGACAGACACTATCCGAGAGGCAGACGCTCGTGACATGACCGCTTCAAACAATTCCCTACCGTACTTCTGTGGTAACGGTGACGTTTACTCTCACGTTGACTACTTTGATGCTGTCAACAACGCCAATGTGGACTCGGCCATGATCGGTCGCGGTGCATTGATCAAGCCCTGGATCTTTGAGGAAATCCAGACTGGGCAGTATCTGGACAAGAGCGCTTCGGAGAGACTGCAATACATTGAACAATTCACACGTTTCGGTCTGGAGAACTGGGGCTCTGACGAGATTGGTGTGGGCATCACACGTCGCTTCCTTCTCGAGTGGTTAAGTTTTAGTTGCAGATACGTGCCCATTGGCCTGCTCGAACACTTGCCGCCGCACATGAACGACAGACCCCCTGCTTTCCGCGGCAGAGACGAGTTGGAGACGTTGCTTAGCAGCGCCAACTACAAGGACTGGATCAAGATTAGTGAAATGTTCTTGGGACCGGCACACAAGGACTTCAATTTCCAGCCCAAGCACAAGAGTAACAGCTACGAGATTGAGGCTGAAGGTTGAATGCCTTGAGGATATCGCTTTGGGACTACGGATCGTACACGACGTAGATAAGGGGTAGATGATTGCTGCAGATGGGAAACCACGGTTCTGAGATATGTACAAGAACGAGATCATTTCGCTCGGGCCATCACCCTGTAGCACATTTCACAACAGCCTACAAGATGTTCACATCATGATCAACGAATAGACCTCAATTCTATACACGTCTAGACGACTATGGATGATAAAAGGTGAATCCAATATAGTCTTGTAATATTCAAAATCTAGGCTTGCTCGACAACGGGACTGGCGGAGCATCGGCCTGCAGCTCTCGTTTTTTCGGTGGTGGAGGAGGTGGCTTCTTCCCAGCAGCAGCATTTGGGGTGAAAGACGAAGCGGCCGAAGCAACAGTACCAGCGTGTTGAGTAGCGAGATTCATGGCTGTAGGTGAGGCAGCGACCCGCGAGAAGCCTGACTGCAGAGCCTGTGCCTGCTGTGGAGAGGCACCGGATGCAGAAGCAAAGGTACCGGCATGCTGGACCGCTTGTTTCTGAACAGCAGGTGATGAAGCAATGTTCGCAGCGTGGTTTCGGACAGTGGGCGAGGAAGCCAGTCCTGCGAGACGAGATTGAACCTGTGGGTTGCTTGCTTGACGTGAAACCATGTTTCCGAAGCGTGAGGACACTGCATTCGAGGATTGTGATGGTTGGTCATTCGTGGAGTTGGAGGATGACATTCTGGAGAAGCGCGATTGTAACTCGTTCATCTGAGATGGTTGCGAGGGAGCAGGGGCTGGTGGAGTCCTGGAACCAATGTCGAAGCCTGGCACACTGACACCAGCACGAGCAAGTCGATTCATGGCGCCTTGATCTGGAGCAGATACGTGGACAGGTGCGTGGACGGCTTCCGAGTAGGCAGGAGGAGGTGGGGGAGTGTTTAGATCGGGATTCGAGTTCTGTCGCGGAGGGAGTCTCGGTGGTAATGCGGGTTGTTGGCGAGGTGCGGCAGTAGGAGGGGTGGGAGTTGAGCGAGGAGGAGGCAGGGGAGCGCGAGCGGCGGGAGATGGAGCGATCTGACGTGGAGGAGGTCTGGGTTGCGAGGAGAGAGAGGCAGGAGAGGAAGTGTCGACACGCCGCACAGGAGGCTTGGGCAGATTGGCAGTTGACAGGCCAGTTGTGTCTACGCGGTAAGGTCCCGGTGGTGGGCGAGAAGCTTCCTCTTCTTCTTGCTCTGCTTGTTGTTGAGCGTACTGCTGCTGCTGGATCATTTCCTTGGGCAGAGGAGCACCCAGCCCACGTGTGGCCGCTGTGGTTGCAGGATTGCTAGAGTAGCTAGATGTGGTGGAAAGAGCGCTTGAGGAGCCACTGGCTGCTGCTTGGCCATGGTAGTGTACGTGTTTCGGTGGAGGTGCGAACGAGGCAGCTGTGTTGTGGTTAGCACAAAGGCGATACCTGCTGGCCCCTCTCGAATCGCTCACGGTCTCTCAAGGCAGTCAAAGGCTGCGATACATGATTTTCCCTTGCCTCTATGCGTTCTCTCTCGCTCTTACTCGTGCTCCCTGGGATCCTGTCGTTGATGCGGCCGGGGATTTTGTCGTTGATCTTGGAGCGCCATCCGCTGCCTCCTCCACTGCTGCTGCTGCTACCGCCGCTATCCTTGCCACCACCCGGATGCCAGCCCCCTTTGGCGATATTGCGCAGGCCTGACATGTTGTTTTGTGTGAGCTGGTTTGTTGCAAGTCAAGTTTGTTCAAAGTCCGCTCGACTCCATCTCTCACCATCGCATGCCCCGCTTACGTCAAGCCCTCGCCCGCTTCCGCATGTTTCCCCTATGCTGTTTCTATCATGCATTATACAACACAGTACACAGTCAGCGAGAAATGGCTTTCCAAACACTCTTGTCATATGCAATTCGTCAGCGGGGATATCTCTAATCGACAATGCCAACTCCAGGACGCCGCTCTGCCTTGCTGGCTTTCTCCAAGCCCATCAACCTCTAGCTAACCACACTCATCTTCCTCATTGTCGGTGACTCTGCACTCAGATCCACGCGCTTCCACATGCCAACGTGCATGATGTTTTCCTCCTCCCACGTGCCCATGCTCTCGTCCTTGACAAAGCCAAACAATGCCCAGTACTTCTCCAAGTGTGCCTGTGCGTGTACCAGCACAAGACCTCTCCATACGTCTTCGACTTCGGCTCCACCTCCGAGCTCAAGCTTGCGTTGCTCGGCTGCTGCAGGCGACACGGGCGGGAGGATCTTGTCCACGTTTCCAGATGCCCATGTGAGGGCCGCGTCGATGAGAAGACGAGCGAGTCCGAGTCCTTGAGTAGAAATGTCAGTATGGCTCTTCAGCTGAGGATCGATGCCATCACCTCGGAATGGTTGTAGAACGGACAAGCGACCGAGCTTGATGTATGCCTCTTTCCCGTCGTGCATCTCAGTCTTGCTCAGTCCGCTTTGCATGTCCTGCGGCAGGCCTTCGTGATTGTCGATTTTGTGACTGGAGCCAGGCTCGGGATGAGGAGGATGAGGTGGCGGCACCAGTCTGATTGTTCCGACCGGCAACCTCACGGCGGTACTGCCCTTGCGACCACTCTTCTCAGCAGAGGTTGCAGAGTCCTTGTCGACGCCGTCCATGGCAGCGTTGCCGTCGCTGCTGCTCGTACCGACAGAGGCGTAGGCAACCCAGTGAAAGCTGCGTGCATCGTCAATGTCGACCTCGTTCTCCAGGGCAATGTTTTGCTCTTTGACAAAGACGTCTTCGCGAACACTCATGGCATCGCGGAAGGTCTCTGGCACGTCTTGCGGCTGCGTCGTGTGCAGTGCGGCAGAGTCATAGTTGGCCAGAGCCAGACCGGGAGGAGGTAGGAAAGAGATGAACTGCGACATGGCTGACGTTCTACTCGTCGACCATCCAAAGGAGAAATTTTGTGTTGATCCAAGTGAAGCTGTATGCAAGAGACTGATGGTGGGGCTCTCGCGCTTGATGTCTTCGAGAGCTGTTTCTTTGTTGATGGAGGTGGTGCTGGTGCAAGTGGTCAAGAGTGGTTGAATGCAAAAGACGGACAAGAACAGCGCCTCAACAGAACAATCTTCTCATTATCACTTTGACTTGCCAAGCTAACCATGTCAATAGCGACTTTGTAACGATCAGAAGGCCACACCGCCGCACTGATCGACGACACGGCGGCTTGCAACTCCTGCGGGAATGACGCGTGCCTGCATCAACATCCGTGCGCAAGCTTGTCTACCATCCAACTTGCATCGAGGCTCAAGCTGCACTTTGTCGTGTCAATCATCGAATTTGGCTGGCTTCAGCAAATAATATGCCCGAGAGAAACGCCAGTCACTCTCTCCTGGCCCTTGGTTAGCTCCTTGCATGATGGCTGCTATCACATCGACCCCTTCTACACAACCCGATGCCCTGCCCTAGGCTTCTGGCCATAAAATGCTCGTCAAACGTCCGTGGAACCGTCATGTGTAGGTTGATCATTACTATTTCGATAATCATTCTATCTAAAACCCTTTGTCGTCAGTCAGACATCATCTAGTCCTCACATTCCCACTCATCGCCATCACCCGCTGTGCCATTGTAAGGTGCTGCGAATCCGAGTGAGGCTTCACCTCCAACCATTGAGAAGACCATGAACTGCGATTTCAAGAAGATATCTCCGAGAATGCTGAAGCTAAGTCCCGTGTTCTGCTGCAGACCACCGAAACACGTCGTGTATGAGATCTGTGCGTAGTTCATGTAGCTACCGGGCTGTATCTTTTGTTAGCTAATCTCCCCAAGTCGAGCAAGAAGATGACACTTACCACAGTGAACTTGTTGCCTCCAACGATCAGATTGAGATCAGGCAATGCAGAACTGCAAGGGAACGTGTAGCCACCTTGGCTGTTGTCATATCCGGACCCAGTGACTTGAGCCCAGTACGCAGTAACACTGCTCGAAGGCAGGTACATGAGCGAAGTACCGGTGTCGGCAATGGCAGTGAACGATGAGCTGACTGTCGACGAGGAACCGATTTGATATCCATCGGCAGTGAACTGCCAGAACCCGCTGGCACTGTTCACATCGACGTAGGTAATCTTGCCCGAGTACTTCGAGGAATCGATGTAGCCGAAGTCGTACGAACCAGGAGCTCCCTTCTTAAGATTGGCTGTCCAGAGAGGCATTGCAAGCGAGCTCTTGACGGTATCGAAGAAAGTCCTTTGTTGACTAGGTGAGACGGTGTTGATGTTGCTGAACGACAGACCGACCAGACCGTCGTTGTTGACATCCGCCAGGAACGAACTCGAGACCGATGTGGCTGCTTCCACGGCTTGTGATGTCGCCGTCACGGCTCCGATAATGACCTTGTCTGCATAGACCTTGCCACTTGCGCTGGAGCCGTCACCATACTTGATTGCCCAAGTGTTTCCGACCAGAAGCTGTGATGATGAACTCTTGGTGGGGTCGTATATTGAGTGTCCGCTTTGCTGTGAACTGGGCTGTAATGTCGAATACACCCAAAGGTCCGCACTGCCGCTGTCGAAGTTCAAGTTCAAAATCTGTCCGCCAACAGATACTTGACACAGATAGGACATGTCATACTGTTCTCAAAATCAGTAACTATACCAAATCAAGCGATCAGGGCTTACTTACATGTTGTGGAGTTGCTTGTACAGTTCCTGCCTGAATGGCTGCACCAGCGACTTTGAGCTGGGTTGGAGGCGAGCCAGAGAATTTGGCATATGTCCTTAGCATCGATAATGCAGGAGCCTGCAATTCTTGCCGCTTCGCCTCCACCTGCTGGACAGTAAAGGTCTTTTTGCCTTTGATGTCTGCAATGGAAACAACCCTTTTGCTCATGACATCGACCGGCGATGCCAAAGCTGAGCTGATGAGCGATGCCACCAGGGCAAAGTGTGAATTGAAATGCATCCTGTGAGTATGGTATGGACACGAGTGAGAAGGTTGGGGCTCTTTGCTCGTGGACGAGAAGTTGCTTGCCTGGAGACAGCCTCCGGCGTCCGGATGGACAGATGCTTTATAACACCCAGACGCAATGCAAATGTTCCATGGCTTGCGTTGACAGTGCCTGGCTGACCAACGGGCACGACTCAACCGCTGTTGCCAATCGGTCTTGACTGCGCCGTTGGCATTCTGGAGGTGCCGTATCTCACAGTCAGATGGCCATTCTGGGCTACTGGAAGTCTCTGATTTGATTCCGAGACCACCCAGTTAGGTCTGAACCGACCAAATTATCCAAAGCATCTGGGCACTCGAACGTAATGATCCATGTGTTGACCCAAAGCCATGTTCACGTTTGAGCTATTGCCCATGCCGTTGCAGTTGCCGGCCGTTCTGAACGGTTGCCCCCCTTGGAATCCGAGATTTCCTCTCTTCTGTAAGGGCAATTCATCAATGATATTGGGTTGGATAGTTTATTGAAGGTCGGAGAGTACGTACGTCTATTTTTCAAGCAACAGATTGATTTTGCATGTGGTGTCGGCAATCCGGCTTTCTACTGTGCTCTGCGTGCAGTTGCTCAAAACCGTGAGACCCGACGGTAACGCTCTACGAAATCGATTTGGACCAGCAAACAAGTCTTTGAGCGATGCTGCGACAAAATCCCGATCAAACCAATACCTCGCTCAATTCTCGCTACCTGCGATTGATGACGACCCTACCGAGGCGGGATTGGACCATGGCATGTTCTTCGCTCTATCCTTGGCAGCGTCTTGATATATTTGCATTTCGCTTCGAACGCGACTGCGAGCCAAGTACAAATAACAATGAGAACATTGTACAAGTCACAACCTCCGTTGCTAGCGAGAGTCTTCCTGAGACACATCAAGCGTCCAGCCTCCGGAGGCGGGCAACGCCCAGAGTTGATAATCGGCAATGCGACAATCGATAATTTCGATTAGATCCGCTGGACGTACGGAGCCATGGATGCTGAGAATTTAAAAGTACTCCAACATGCATACATGTTGACAAACACCATACTAGCATCCTATATCGTCGTCCCTTTATCTCCTCCTGCTAGTAAAACCTTGGCGGTGGCTCATGCTCACAGTGCGAGCTCCGCTGCCTATTCTGGTCGCTTTAGTGTGTTAGATATAGTGTGCAGCATGAGGAAGGGTTGTTTGAATAGTTTGTGGGATGCGTTGCACGGATGGATCGCTGTTTCGCGAGCAGAATGCACTCGGTTACTCCGTTACATGGATTCTAGATGCGATCGACACGTGTAAATCGTTCGGCACGTGCGGGTGAGACACCATGGGAGGAACGGTTGCTAGAACATGGCTAAGGAACACATGGGTACTGTATGTTGGTAATCTATAACTCAAAAACTTTGGTGCATTGTGCTCATAGATTCATTGGCATCTCGGTACAGAAGAGACCATGCTCGTCTGGTCGATCCTCGAATTTAGTCGAGGCATCGTCTTAATAATCGGGACGAAGCACCATTTCTTGAAGCGACTTTAGATGGTGCTGCCGTGACAGCCAGCTCGCTGAGAGTGTCAGGATCAGAGTTCCTTTTTCAAAAAGTGCTCTGCTCTGTGCTCGGTTTCGTAGTCGCTGTGGACATACGCTCTCTCGACGTCAGGCAGATTCTCGAGCTTGTTTTGCAGATCCTCTGCAATATCATGGGTCTCTTTGAGCGTCATTCCTGGCTGGAGAACGATGTCGACTTCCACAGTGATTCTAGGACCGGAGTACCAAGCTCTTACGGTGTCCAGACTGACGATATCCGGACTGTGTGTCATGGATATATACGTGATCCACTGCAGAATGTGGGTAGGAGCGGTGACTCCAATCAGAAGCTGGAACTCTGAGTAAGCGGTGCGAAGCCACAGGAAAGCAACTAGACACGAGAGTGCAATTGCTCCAGCGGGATCGATTTGCCAAGCGAGCTTGCTACCTCCTACGGATGTCAAGACACCGAACCTGACGAGTGAGGTCAGCAGATTGTTATTGGGTCCGAGAATTACAAAACATACCCGTTGATGAAAAGATCATTTCTGTGATCTGTAGATTGTCAGCACAAGTCAAAAGCCGGATACCCTCAGAACACAGTGGGCGTGTAGGCGTCCCCTCAGTCTCTGAGGAAACAGACTGTGCTATCGCACTGCAAAGAACGATCTGATGGCGTGCATTGACGTACCTTCCCACAAGATGCGGACCGAGGAATACTTGTTTCTCAAAGACCAACAATACATGAACAGCACCAGCTTCGTAGCAAAGGCAACGCACACAGCAAGAACAGCCGGAAGGTGGAAAGTTTTTGTCTCGGCATCAGACCCTCGAACCAGTTCCATGATAGAAAGGACGATCAGAATAAACGAGACACTGCACATGAGAAAGCAGAAACAGATGTTTCCTGCAGTCTCAATGCGCGCCTTTCCGGCAGGGAACTTGCGGGGGTCAACTCGGTTGACAGCTCGGTTACACAGAAGTAAAGTAGCGTTGGCTAACGGGTCAAAGACAGCATCAGCGGTTGTGGTGAACAGGGAGAGAGAGCCTGAAGAGACCGCGCCGTACATCTGAAGGCCAGCCAAGACCACGTTCGCGGCGAAGGAGCCGTAGACAGCAATCTTGTACTGTAGATTGTCGGCACCAGCTTCTTCTTTGGCTTCTCTTCTGTGGTCATCGACGGGTTTCAACATTCTTTCAATGGCCTCGTTCTGACCCTCGTAGAAGCCGCGGACTTTGCGCAGCTGGACAGCATCCTTTGTCTGAGCAATAGGGGCGCAGAAGCGATCCTTGGCACCCTGTCGTCTCCTAGACGTGTTTGCCTGCATGGCGTCCAGCTGTGTAGCGCTCTTGATGCGGCTTGACAGATCGAGCGGGTCATTGTCCGACGTGTAATTCGGGAGAGGTTGGCCCTCTACATCTTCAGCTCCACTGGCGTTGCGAGTATATGCGGGGCGTGAGACGGGGTCATGGGACTCGTTAACCTCGTACGAGGTGCTATTACTAGCTCCGGGCTTGGTCTGCGGCAGGGGCAGAACAGGAAGCACTCCTGCTGGAAGTTGAGTAGTCCGAGTCGAGAGCTCAGGGTGCGTGTGAAATGGACTGGGTCGAAGAGAGATGGCCCGGTGGAGGTCAGGATCCGAACCGTGATGTGACATGATCAATATAGCACTCGCCTCTCTACACGATAGAGGTGGTATGCGTCTGAAACGGAAAGGCAATTAAGCGAGGAGCAGTTTGCGATGCCAGAAGCGACTCGAGCGGTGCCAGAAGCAGATGGGGAATCGGACGGCGGTTTGCAAAGACGATAGATAAGATACGGTTGCCTGTGAGCAGGCGAGAGCTACACACACCTACGTACTGCTACCACCACCAAGTACCTTGATGCACCGCCACACAAGGGTGCATCATACGCTGCATCTCCCGCCGAGCGCCAAGTTTTTGATTCCAACGTCCAAATTGCGAGTTGCACGTCTCCACTTCACATTGTGCTGATGCAGGAGATATGCTTTGACGACTTCGAGAAAGGACACACCAAGAGGCAAACATCCGTGCAGAATCCCGGTGCAAATCTGTAGTTAACACCTCGATCGGTTTTCCTTGCGAAAGGGTCCTTATCCGCCGAAATAAACAACAGCATGGCACAGACTAGCAACTGACATGGCGTGAGGACGGTCAGCGCCTCCTGCTTCTTCTTGGCTCTAATTTGAGTGACGCACATATTGGACGGCAAAGGGAGTCCGAGATCGATTTGTGCGACCGAGCGGCCAACAACATTGTCTCGTGTCGCGAGCGTTACGATACAGCAGCTGTTTGGGAATCAGATATACGATGGCACGCTCTCTCAGATCAGAACCTCGGAGTGAACAAGCGAGGGCTATAGGGTTTGGTCTCGTCAATGTTCGAGGTATACTGCCGACGAGCTCCAGAAAGCCATCGGCAGGCGCTTTAAGGACAGATGAAACACGTTGGCAGGAACAGTGGCTTGGTGCCAATCAGGCCCAATAACCGTTAGCCGCCTAGTGCCAAAAGGCGTCTCCATGCGGAGCCATAAGGAGGCCAATCTGGATTTGGTGTTTATGTAGGCGGACCTCGATCATTTTCTTTCCGCGACAACCATTGCTGTCTTTTATTGTTCCACTCGCCAGAATCCCGTTCGTCGTGGCTTCTTTCCATTCACTCACAAGCACACTCCTTTCTTGCTGGCACGCCCCGCCAACCTGACGCTCGTTTGCACCCTGCTCGTCCCTGCGCCTACCAAAACATCCCAAAGCTTGCTGCATTCCAGAACCCCCTGTTATTCCCTGGACACACAGCACGACAAAGACACCAATTCCACTCTGCCCATTGAGGACTGCGACAAACAGGCGACCACGTTCACTCTTTTGTCTCCTTTTGTGCCCCCATAAAGGCATGTTATAATAGTCATTGTTGGCCTATTGTTCGGCCTCGCATTATTCAACGACGACCCCAATCTTCTTGACATCTGCGAGTGATCATAACTGCTTGAAACGCCTCTCCAACTCCAACATCAACCTTGTCAGCTACTGCCACATCGAATCGGATATTTGAATTCTCAAAAAGCCACATCAACACCACAAAGCCGGTTCTTTGTATCTACTCTCCGGATTTGATCGAAACGACACCACCAACTTTTTCATTGTTCTTCGACACAGGCTTGTTCCTGCACTGCGCCGGTCGCCATGCATTCTCACCACTCACACTCACACCTCCAGTCTGCCTTTGGTCGCGCCGCGGACATGGTTGTCGCCCCAAGAGGGCTCACTACTGAGCTCAACGCACTCGCTAACGCTACTGTACAAGAACTATCACCCTACGCTCATGGATTGAAGGGTGTTGACCAGACTGCGAATTATCTCTTTGCTGCAGTTCTCTGCATATCTCTCGGCGGACTATGTGTGTTGACATTGTTGTTCCGATGGGCCACCATGGGAAATGCACACATGCGGCACCTACTCACCATGAGCAATCCGGACAGACAAGTGTACTGGGCTCAAAATCATACCTCGCTTTGGCCCAAGATCAAAAAGCACTTGCTATACGCCCCGTTAGGTCGCAATCGCCACAACAAGGAGATCCAACTTTCCTCCGCAATCAGTATTGGAACCCTCCCATCGCGTTTCCACACCCTACTTCTCACAGTCTACCTTTTCTCAAACATCGCCTACTGTCTGGTTTTGCGTTGGGGCGCCGAGGACCGTGGTGCTGTTATTGCTGAACTCCGCGGTCGCAGCGGTGAGCTCGCTGCACTCAATATCATCCCTACCATGCTCTTCGCTATGCGCAACAACCCTCTGATTCCCCTGCTCAGAGTTTCATACGACACATTCAACCTTCTCCATCGATGGTGCGCCAGAGTTTGCGCCATCGAGAGCATTGTTCACACCATTTGCTACCTGGTCAACGTCATCGACTCTGTTGGCTACGATGGGCTCAAGAACAACCTGACCACTCCAAGCTATGCATGGGGCATGGTTGGTACCTGTGCATTTACCATGATCATCATTCAAGCATTCTCGCCTCTACGCCATGCCTTCTACGAGACATTCCTCAATCTCCACCGCTTCCTGGTCATGCTGGGTCTGATCGGTGTCTATGTGCATCTCGAAAAGCACGACCTTCCTCAGACGCCCTACATCAAGTTCGTTATCATCCTCTGGGGACTGGAATGGCTCTCGCGCTTTGTGCGTGTGGCCTACTTCAACTTCAGCCTGAAGTCTGGAATGTCAAGAGCACATATCGAAGCGCTTCCTGGAGAGGCTTGCCGCGTCACTTTCGAGCTTGCCAGGTCTTGGAACTACATTCCTGGATCGCATGTCCATGTCTATTTTCCCACGGTCGGTCTGTGGTCATCACACCCCTTCTCTGTCGCTTGGGCAGAAACAAAACCTAGAAGTGCACCGCTCGAGATCGAAATGGAGAAATTACCCTCGTGGAATATGCCCAAGCATCAATCTGTCATATCACACTATAAGACGCAAATAGCCGACAGCGAAGGGCCGGAAGTCACGCACGTCAGTCTGATCATCCGCGCCAGGTCGGGCATGACCCGCCAGCTGTACGAGAGGGCATGCGCCTCGCCAAATGGCATAATCACACTACCTGGCGTCATGGAAGGCCCGTACGGTGGTCACGAGAAGTTGGCGTCTTACGGCACCGCAGTCTTGTTCGCCGGAGGTGTTGGCATCACGCATTGTGTGGGTTATGTGCATCGTCTTTTGACACAATACTCACAAGGGACGTGCTCGACACGGCGAATCCTCCTCGTTTGGTCGGTGCCTACTACCGAAGCGCTCGAATGGGCACGACCATGGATGGACCAGATTCTCAAGATGGAGGGTCGCAAGGAGGTGCTTCGCGTGCAGCTCTTTGTCACCAAGCCCCGAAACCAGAACGAAGTCAACAGCCGAACAGGGACCGTGCAAATGTTCCCTGGACGCTGCAACCCGTCGACGGTTTTGGAGAAGGAGGTGGCAGAACAAGTGGGAGCGATGGGTGTTGTGGTTTGCGGGCCTGGAGCATTCGCAGACAGCGTTCGCGCGGCAGTGCGCAAGAAGGTCGACGTTGGCAATATCACGTTCCACGAGGAGGCTTTCACGTATTAAGGCGACAGACGCACACTTTTTTTAATTTCTTGTTCGATACCTTTAGCTCTTAGCGCGTTGATGATGAGCATTCGTGGAGTGCATGTTATAGCGGTACATAGACAGCGGTGTGTTTTGAAGCACAGATGCATAATTGGTAACCAATATCAGTCAAAGCTCAGAAAGATGCAATAGCAGGTGACTCGTGCGTGTGACGATGCAATAATAGGTCGCAGAGTCGGTAGTTGGATCGAGCAGCAGCAAAACAGGATGGCATGGATGGATGCATCATGGTTCCTGGCGCCTGCCAAGGAAAAGGCGGCAGGCGCAAGGCCATGGCCCATCACCCACATGGTTTCATCGTGTCTCGAAGCACACGAGTACAGCATTGCACATTCGATATTCTCAAGAACAACAGGCCAGCAGTCTTCCCACGGTATTGCTACGCACCCTACATCACCCAGCGCTCCGTGACCCTGGCGCCGCACGACTAGACCCAGCGAAGTCCGCCTCCACTCCATGCCGCCGCCATGGCCGAGGAAGAGCTGCAGGCCAAACTGCGCGAACTGGACCATGAGCTAGAGGAAGGCGACATCACAAAAAAAGGGTGCGCTTGCTTGGTTGCTGCACCAGTCGGGCCTCGCGAGACTGACACGCGACAGATACGAAAAGCGCCGGACGCTTCTGCTGTCGCAGTTCTACGGCCATGGAGACTTGGACGCGCTATCGTCGGCCGGCCACTCGCGTGCTGCTTCGCTGGCCGCCATCTCTGCTGGCCCTTATGCCACCGACGACAGCTTCAGCAATGCCCCGACTGCAGTCGAACGCACCGCCTCCCACTTCCAGGGCCGCTCCACACCTGCGAGCACATACGGCTCCGACTATGCCTTTAACCCGGACCCTCAGTACAACCACCTGCTTGCCCGCCAATCCCACCAGCAGTCGTCGCCCGATGTTCAGAGCCGCCTGAGCACCATGCTGGACTCGCAGCAAGGCTTCTTCGACGACTTCGCCGGCCAACAGATCCAAGACCAGCCCCGTGAAGAGAGCTATGGTGGTCCCCAGCGTTACTCGACCGGCGAAGCCTTCTCGCCCACAGCCAACATCCCTCCTCCATTGATGCATTCCACCGACATGGAATCAGCCGCTCCCATACATCAGCTGCCCCTTGAACCAAGAGAGGTGCCCTTCGCTGTCTTCGATCCCCACAACAAGACCGTCCCCATGTCCAACTTTGACAACATCGGTGCTGTCCTCCGTCATCGTGCTAGATCCAATGGCCGCCAGCCCGCATACTGGGTCCTCGACTCCAAGGGTAAAGAGACGGCTTCGATCACCTGGGAGAAGCTAGCAAGCAGGGCCGAGAAGGTCGCACAAGTCATTCGTGATAAAAGCAATCTGTACCGCGGGGACCGTGTCGCCCTGGTCTATCGTGACACCGAGGTCATAGACTTTGCCGTCGCTCTCATGGGTTGTTTCATCGCTGGCGTTGTCGCTGTGCCCATCAACAACGTCGACGATTACCAAAAGCTCGGCCTTCTCCTCACTACCACTCAAGCACATCTTGCTTTGACCACGGACAACAACCTCAAGGCTTTCCATCGCGACATCAGTCAACAGCGGCTGAAATGGCCCTCGGGTGTCGAATGGTGGAAGACCAACGAGTTCGGCAGTTATCATCCAAAGAAGAAGGATGACACACCACCTTTGCAGGTTCCGGATCTAGCCTACATAGAATTCTCTCGAGCTCCTACTGGTGATTTGCGCGGTGTCGTCCTGAGCCACCGTACCATCATGCACCAGATGGCTTGTGTCAGCGCCATTGTGTCTACCGTTCCTACCAGTATCCCTGACTCTGGGTTCCGAGCACCGCCTGGAACAAAAGCTGAAACCATCTTGTCTTATCTCGATCCTAGAGAAGGTGTTGGCTTAATCCTTGGTGTACTGTTCGGCGTGTATGGTGGTCATACAACCGTCTGGCTTGAAGCCAAGACTGTCGACACGCCCGGCATGTATGCCCATCTGATCACAAAGTATCGGACCACTATTATGGTTGCCGATTACCCAGGCTTAAAGCGCACTGCGTATAATTACCAGCAAGATCCAATGGCCACGAGGAATTTCAAAAAGAATGCCGAGCCCAATTTCTCAACAGTCAAGATTTGCCTGATCGACACAATCACCGTGGACAGCGAATTTCACGAAATTCTGGCAGATCGATGGTTCAGACCCATGCGCAATCCTCGTGCCAGAGAGTTGGTTGCCCCAATGCTTTGCTTGCCTGAACACGGAGGCATGATTGTATCTGTCAGAGATTGGCTAGGTGGTGAAGAGAGGATGGGATGTCCCCTGAGTATCGACGAAGCCGAGCACGATATCGAGGACGATGGGTCTGCGAACCAAGCAAACAACTATTCCAGTCTACTTGGGAGTGTCGGAGGTATCATGGCCAAAAAGGGGCAGAAAAACAGTCGGAATGAGTTGAGTGAGGTCTTGCTCGACAAAGAAGCATTGAAGACGAACGAGATCGTTGTTCTTGCTATGGGTGAAGACGCCAGAAAGAGAGCCAATGAACCTGGAACCGTAAGAGCAGGCGCTTTTGGTTACCCCATCCCGGATGCGACACTTGCATTGGTTGATCCCGAGACTGGATTGCTTTGCTCGCCTTACACGATTGGTGAAATTTGGGTGGATTCTCCATCCCTTTCCGGAGGCTTCTGGGCTCTCCCACGGCACACTGAGAGTATCTTCCACGCCAGGCCCTACCGTTTTGTCGAGGGCAGTCCTACACCAGTCTTGGTAGAACCCGAGTTCCTGCGTACGGGCCTTCTTGGATGTGTTATTGAAGGCAAGGTGTACGTCCTCGGCCTCTACGAGGATCGCATAAGACAGCGGGTAGAGTGGGTCGAGAATGGCGTTTCAGAGCATGAGCACCGCTACTTCTTTGTTCAGCATCTGGTCACAAGCATCATGAAGACCGTGCCGAAGATTTTTGACTGTTCTGCATTTGATGCGCATGTCAACGGTGAATATCTTCCGTTTGTGCTTTTGGAGTCCCAGGCCGCCTCCACGGCTCCCACCACCGCAGGTGGACCACCAAGGCAACTAGACATCCCTTTCTTGGACTCGCTTACTGAGCGTGTCATGGAGGTGCTCTACCAGGAACACCACCTGCGAGTATACTGCGTGATGTTGACGGCTCCAAACACCCTGCCACGAGTTGTCAAGAACGGCAGAAGGGACATCGGAAACATGTTATGTCGAAAAGACTTTGACAACGGAGCTCTGCAATGTGTGTACGTCAAGTTTGGTGTCGAAAGGGCTGTTCAGAACTTACCATTGGGCGATGATCCTGCCGGTGGTATTTGGTCACCTCTGGCCTCGCAAGCAAGACAAGATCTCTTGATGTTGCAAGACAAGCAATATTCCGGTGTAGATCACCGGGAAGTGGTGATTGATGACCGCACATCGACGCCCCTGAACCAGTTTTCTAACATTCACGATTTGATGCAGTGGCGCGTTTCGCGTCAGGCTGAAGAATTGGCTTACTGTACCATTGATGGTCGTGGCCGAGAAGGCAAAGGTGTCAACTGGAAGAAGTTCGACCTCAAGGTTGCAGGTGTTGCCACCTACCTGAAGAATAAGGTCAAGGTCCAGGCTGGTGACCACTTACTGCTCATGTACACCCACTCTGAGGACTTCGTCTACGCCATACACGCTTGTTTCTGTCTGGGCGTGGTTGCCGTACCAATGGCTCCTATTGATTCTAACAGACTTCATGAGGATGCGCCAGCTTTGCTCCACGTCATCGCCGACTTTCGGATCAAGGCTCTTATCGTTAACGCCGATGTTGATTCGCTCTTGAGACAGAAAGCTGTTTCGCAGCACCTAAAGCAGTCAGCATTGATTCTCAAAGTTAACCTTCCCAACATTTACAACACCTCGAAGCCACCCAAACAGTCCCATGGCTGTCGTGACCTAGGACTTACCATGCGACCAGCATGGGTAGCTCAAGGATTCCCTGCTCTCATTTGGACTTACTGGACGCCGGACCAGCGTAGAATTGCCGTTCAGCTCGGCCACGACACCATCATGGCATTGTGCAAGGTTCAGAAGGAAACTTGTCAGATGACGTCTACGCGTCCAGTCCTGGGATGTGTGAGATCCACCATGGGTATCGGTTTCTTGCATACCTGCTTGATGGGTATATTCTTGGCCGCTCCCACGTACTTGGTTTCGCCTGTCGATTTTGCTGCAAATCCTAGCATCCTGTTCCAGATATTATCACGCTACAAGATCAAGGACACATACGCCACATCGCAAATGCTCGATCATGCCATGGCTCACAATGCCGGAAAATCTACCTCTCTCCTTGAGCTGAAGAATCTTATGATTGCCACAGATCAGAGACCGCGCGCTGACGTCTACTCCAAAGTTCGCGTGGCGTTCTCACAATCGGCGCTTGATAGGACTGCTATCAACACCATATATAGTCATGTGCTGAACCCCATGGTTGCGAGCCGTAGCTACATGTGCATAGAGCCCATCGAGCTTTATCTCGACACCAACGCACTCCGACGAGGATTGGTGGCTCCCGTCGATCCTGATACGGAGCCCTTTGCTCTGCTGGTACAGGATTCAGGCATGGTTCCTGTCAGTACACAAATCAGCATTGTCAATCCAGAAACAAACCGTTTGTGTTTGGCAGGCGAGTATGGTGAGATTTGGGTACAGAGTGAAGCTTCTGCGTACTCCTTCTACGGCTCGAAAGACGCATTCGATGCCGAACGTTTCAATGGTCGCACAGTCGATGGTGATCCTGGCGTGAGGTACATGCGAACTGGAGACCTCGGTTTCTTGCACAGCGTCAGCAGGCCTATTGGCCCTGGTGGCAATATGGTTGAGATGCAGGTGCTGTTCGTCCTCGGTGGAATTGGCGAGACTTTCGAGGTTAACGGCCTCCAACACTTCCCAATGGATGTTGAAGCTAGTGTAGAGAGGTGTCACCGGGCTTTGGTATCTGGCGGATGGTAAGTGGTTTTGATTGCTTCCCACACAACATGCTAACTTTCAACAGCGCAATCTTCCAGGCCGGCTCACTTCTTGTCCTGATTGCCGAATCTCGCACTCGAGCCTTCCTCGCGTCGATAGTGCCGATGATAGTAAACACGGTACTTAACGAACATCAGCTTGTCCTCGATATCGTCGCGTTCGTTCAGAAGGGCGATTTCCCGCGATCACGACTCGGTGAGAAGCAACGAGGCAAGATTTTGGCCAGCTGGGTTTCACGCAAGATGCGCACGATAGCCCAGTTCAGCATCCGCGATCCTGACGCCGAGGGAAGCGTGGGCACAGCGGTGCCGAATGAAGCTGTGACTGGCAGGCGTGAGAGCGTACAGTCGGGCATTGCAGGCGCTGGCGCCTACAGAGGAGGACCCGGCAGCATCAACCGCGCTCCCGGCACAGCAGGCAGCTCGTTGCGTCATGTGGAGAGTATCTCACAGTTACCGCTGGCCGAGGAACCACATGCGCACGACTCAATGCCATCATCCATGCCGCAACCGCTCTACATGGAAGAGCTGCCGCGGCCATCGGCAGAGTTCCTACACAACAACAACGACCACACGCCTACCAACGAGCGGCCCCACGAACTCACACTGAACACCACACTCGATTATTCTCCCGTGGAAGGCAATATGATTTACGGTTTCTCGGACGAGCAGGACTTTGCGGGCATGGCGCCTGAGCAACATCAACCACCGCCTCGATCAGACTTTAGAGGCAGTTACGGCGGATCGCCTCACTCACCTGAGGACATGCCGATGCAAACAGGCGGATTAAGAGTTGCCAACCGCACGAGTATCGACAGCGATGACGATTGGTCACAGGATGCCCTGAGGCATTTGAATCTGAACGCGAGGTAAACGGAATCTGGGTAAATTAGCATTGCGCCCATCATCTGTTGATCTTTTGTTCGACTCCTCAGCATGGTTGGATACCACAAAGAGAGGAGTTGTCGTGCTCAGCATACCTCGGAAAAGTATACATGACGGGAAACATGGCAAACTAAGTGTGCATAACATATAGATATCAGTCTCATCATTTGCATTGTTCGGTAAACAACAGCTCCTTCTCCCCTTGCGTGTCTTCTCACACGCTCCTTCCGACTCATGATGTTTGGCTCAAAGACGGTGAGTAGCCAAACGGTAAAGTGATAAAGCGGAATAACTCAAGATGCAACTTTTATTTTGAATTCTGTAGACAGCCAAATGGACAGCCCGGGATATTTGGGGGGGAAATAAGTAGAGGAAGATAGACATCACACGTAAGTAGTAGAACGGCACGATGCCGAGGGCAACTAGGCACCCGAAGCCTATTGAGTGTTGCCGTTCTCGGCCTGTGCTTCGAGGTTTGCGACGACATGGCTCTTGGAGTCAGGGCCACTGGATGGCGCATCGTTCGGCCTCAACGAGTCGAGCTTGGGTGCGCTGGAAGGGACGGGTGTGCCGGGTCTGCTTGACAGGAACTGCGAAGGAGACTGAATCAGACCTTGTAAAGAGATCGAGCGAAGGCAGGAATTTATTGACTTACCGAGGAAGCGGCAGATAAGAAAGCAATGAGAGAAGCCTGAACGACATCCTCGTGGATACCGACGCCCCAGACCTTTTGTGAGCCGGTAGTACATTCAATATACGTGGCGGCTTTGACGTCGCTACCCTTACCAATAGCGTGCTCTGTGTAATCGTTGACTTCGAGGTGGATGTTGAGGGTCTTGAGGGCATTGGCGAGAGACGAAAGGGCACCAATTCCAACACCCTGGATACGGTGTTCCTTGCCATCAACTTCGATGACACCGTCGAAACGACGCTTGAGGTTCTTGTTGGAAGCAGTCTTGCCGTCGGTGGGAGGGACGGATGAGATTGTGCGGTCGGTGGTGATATCGTAATCGATGAGATGGAAACGCGGGTTCTTCTCGAGATGGTAAGCGTTGACAAAGAGGTTTCTGATCTCGGTAGGCTGCAACTCGCGACCCAGAGCGTCAGTCTCCTTTTGTACGATCTTGCTGAAGGCGACTTGTAGGCCACGAGGCATGTCGAGTTCGAGAGTGCGCTGGATGATCCAGGCGACACCGCCCTTGCCGGACTGACTGTTGACACGAATGATGGCTTCATAGGTGCGGCCAATGTCTTGAGGGTCGAGGGGAAGGTAGGGCAGCTGCCAGCGTTCGTCGTCGTTGTTACCCTTCTGCTTGCGCAGTTGGAAGCCCTTCTTAATGGCGTCCTGATGACTACCAGAGAAGGCGCAGACGACAAGCTGGCCACCGTAGGGAGCTCTGGGATGGACGGGGATCTTGTTGCTCTTCTCGACAATGTCGATGACCGAGTTGATGTCGCCAAAGTCAATGTTGGGCGGGACACCCTGTGTGTAAAGGTTCAAGGCCAGAGTGACGAGGTCGACGTTTCCGGTTCTCTCACCGTTGCCGAAAAGAGTGCCCTCGACACGGTCGGCGCCTGCCATTTGGGCGAGCTCGGCAGCGGCAACAGCGCAGCCTCTGTCGTTGTGGGGGTGGAGGGAGACGCAGATCTTCTCGCGCTCCGAGATGTTGCGGCAGAAGTATTCGATCTGGTCGGCGTAGACGTTGGGGGTCGACATCTCGACAGTGGCAGGCAGATTGAAGATGATGGGCTTCTCCTCGGTCGGCCCCCAAGCGGCCTTGACGGCCTCGCAGACCTCGAGGACAAAGTCTGGGTCCGAGTCGGAAAAGCACTCGGGCGAGAACTCGTAAGACCAATCTGTGTCCTTCTGCTCGGGGTCGTCCTTGGTAATGGAGCGTGCGTATTTTGTGCATTCCACGGCGAGAGCCTTGGACTGTTCATTGTTCATGTTGAAGACGATTTGCTGGAAGCACGGGCTGGTGGCCAGGTACAGATGGAGAATGGCCTTCTTGGCGCCCTTGAGCGAGTCGACGGTACGGCGGATGAGCTCCTTGCGGCATGGGGAGAGAACCTGGAGGGCGACATCGTCGGGCACGAAACCGGGAGTTGTGACGAGACGACGTGTGAATTCAAAGTCCGTGTCTGAGGCCGAGGGGAACGAGACTTCGATTTCCTTGTAGCCAAGCTTGACGAGCATCTCAAAGTATCGCCATTTCTGCTCGCCATCCATGGGGTCTACCAAGCTCTGGTTGCCGTCGCGGAGATCGGTCGACAGCCATCGCGGAGCCTTGTCGATTGTCTTGGAGGGCCATTGGCGGTTAGGCAGGTCGAGAGGTTGGAATTTGGGGTACTTCTTCCATGGTTCTTTGAGCCTGCGCATTTGGTCAGCTCGGAGACATGATGTGTGGACCAAGTCGATGCTTGTTGGGCATGGCCATGGCGGTCATACATGGGCATGATGGGCGGTGTTGAGGCTGAGTAGGGCGGCAGTAGAGCAGGTCAATAGGAAAACACGTCTATGACAAGAGTGTGAGCTGGCGTGGCGGCGTGGTTGATGTATGGCTATATGACTGATATTCGACGAGCTAGTCGCTCTTTCTCAAAACCAAGTGTGACAGCATGGCGCCGACATCGTGTGAAAATATGGCCCTGCGGGGTATGACGCCGCCGATAACCGCTGCTTCCCCCGCCAAAACACACCAACAAACACCACGCCCTGCAGTCATCATCCCCAAATACCACGCCCTAACCCTGATCCACTCCGCCCGCAACCACGCCCTGACACGCCTTTGACTCACTCTCGCTGCTCACACGCCTTCGACTCACTCTCACTACTCACGCCTTTCTCAACATGTCCCTTGACTCACCCTCTCTCCCTATAGTTTGCTCGACACGTCCTTTGCCGTCTTGCTCTCCTTGAGTCGGACCACGCCCTAGCACAAGTCAGTCTTGTTCCCGTTGATCTTCATCTTTGTTTGCCATACCTCTTGCACACATGTTGCAACCAATTCGCCCTCCTTTGTGAACATTCTGTATCTCTTTAGCTTTTGCTTGCTGCATCGCCTTCGTCGATCTGCGCCCTTACCTTTGCAGCACCAACCCTCTGCCATCTCCCGCCCATGGACTTTCCATCTCCGTAAACATCCACTCGTCTGCACGGAAGTTGCGTGGCGAGTGGAAGTAGATGGTATGGTCCAAGCTGACCTAATCCACCCGTCAGTGTCTTTGTCCTGTGAGCAAGCCCCCTCCTGACTTACCATCATGCCCACTTCTGGTCGTCTCTGTTCCACACTGTTGATGTCCTTCATATTTCTGAGTGCAACAATGACATCTTCGTCCATCCCTTGCATCCTCCGCAACGTGTCGTCGTCCATGTCACGAAGCTTCTCAAGCACAGAGTTGTCAATCGTTGACTTGCCGTCCTTGTCCGATGTCGAGAATCTCCACAGACGGTGCACCCGTGACACTGTGCCTATGAAGTAGCTGTCACTCATGTATGCGAGAGCCGAGAGGTGTGCTTGGTGTCCTCCACTAGGACTGATCTTGCCCCTAGCCTTGATCCACTGTCTTGTCTTCTTGTCTTGCGGCCGACCCGATTCGTGATTGAGGATATGGATGCGTTGGCTTTGGAAGGGGCTGTTGTCTTGTTGCGGAATATCCAAGTCTTCCGAAGGCCCAGGCACTGTCGGCATGTCGACTGCATGTTCGACCCGCTTGGGACCTCCGCTGTTCTCTCGAACAAACGACATGGTTGTTGTGAAGATGGGTCGTCCTCGCTGTCGCGCTTGCACGGTGCGTGTTGCAAAGCTTCGGCCGTCTCGTACTTTTTCGACGTGATACATGATTGGGATTTCTGCATTGCCGGCTAGGACAAAGTAGCAGTGCATACTGTGGACGGTGAAGTCATCGCGCACAGTTCGTTGTGCTGCTGCTAGACACTGTGCAATCACGGCGCCTGTCTTCTGTGAGAAGGTGGAAGCTACATCCAGCATACAAGGACCGCATACCTCCATAGATTCCTCGAGCGCCTGGAGGATGCCAGAGTGGTCGTGTATTGGTGAAGATACCAGGATCGATGTCGGTCAGTTGCTTGAGCTCAAGCACGCTTTCTATTGGGGATTTGCTGGGATCAGCTGGTGGAGGTTTGATCAGTGTCGACATGGTGACTAGCAGCGGCAACGATGAATTCATTGTTGTCGATGAACCGTCCTTTGCTGTTCTTAGATAATTCAGCTTACTGTCATGCCTCGGCTGTTCTGACGCCTCGGCCCCTGTCCGGCATTTTCACATCTCATGTGAAGCACAATGCCATCGGCTCCTGCATTTCTTCTGGAGAAAAACATGCAGACGAAAGCGCCCTGCGCAGCTAGGTTTTGAGTGGAACAATACCACGCTGTGCGCTGTGCACTGCGCTTGATGTCGACTTGTGAGGATCGGCCTGCACTGTCCCGACTGGTCGAGCGCTCGTGATGGCTCCAGCCTTGAACTACACCTCCCCTCAGCTTCATCTGACCGCAAAACTTGCTTTGCCGGTCTCCTCACTGTCTCGCGTGGTCTTCCAGGCTCTAGATATGCAGGACAGACGCAGATTGTGGTTCACCTCTTTGAGAGAGACTGAAACACATTGGACCTTCATTCACTAGTACAGTGCCTAGCCGTGCTCTCAAAGCCTTCCTAGCATCATAACCTCTTGAGGGCGATCTAGAGTGCCCGGCAGTCAGGTACAGCAGAGGCTGTAGGCTTTGGTATCACAAAATTTTGACAAGGGAACGCTTCGTGGGCCAAGGCGGGAAAACAAGTCAGCAAGTGTTTGCGTGTTGTCGCAGAGTAAGTAGACTCATGCGCGATTGGCGAGACAGACAAACAGCAAGTGACTGGTGCCTGACAACTCACTTGAGTGAGAGCTCACTTCCAACGCGAATGGGCTGTTTTCAAGAACTCGTCTTCCTCCCTCTTTCTTCTTCGATCCATCCACCACTTCCACTTCCAATACACGCTCACAGCACTTTCCATTCCCAATCCTCAACCACTCACTTCAACATGTCAAACATCGGCAACGTCATCGGCGGCCACAAGGCCAACCTCCACAACCCCAACACCTCTGAGAAATCCAAGCAGCACTCTCTCGAAGTCATCGAGAAGGAGCTCGGTACTGAGGCCAACACCGGCACCGACGCTGCTGCTCACAACGACGATGGCAAGGACCCCATGAGAGTGTACGCTTCCTGGCATCCGTTTGTATCGCTCCTTGCTAACGTGCTCCAGCGCTGCCGGCCTCAAGGCTGCTCTTCACAACCCCAACGTCTCTGATGAAGCCAAGGAGAATGTCTCGCACCATCTCGCCGAGATCACCTCTCCTTCTCATGCCGATGCCAAGTCTACTTCGACTGCCAGCACCGCTCCTGCTTCTGACACTGGCGATGGCAAGGATCCTACTAGAGTGTAAGTCACACGAGGATTGACACACAGTGCGCTTTATACGTACTAACACACACCACAGTGCTGCCGGCCTCAAGGCTGCTCTTCACAACCCCAACGTCTCTGACGATACCAAGGAGCACATCCAGGAGCGTCTTGACGACATGAACTAGATTTGTAACGTCTGAGCACGGCGTCCTGGGCTGGATGGTTCAACCTACAGCTATGACAGCTATGGAGTCTTGATACTCGATCCTTGAGTTACTCGAGCTGGTTCTTCAAAGGGGTTTATATGCAGAACCAGACTGTGCTGCAGGTTCTAGAAAGAAATGAAAACACACTTCCTGAGCATTCAGTATGTGCTTGCGTTTGGTCCTTTGTTTGTGATTTCCCCTTCCACGTTCGGTCTTGTTGACTTATGCTCAAGACCTGATGTTGAGCTCGAATTCTCAAGCCTCCGCATCGTCTGGTCGTGTATCATCATTGCGGATGTACGGTTCCATCATATGGTCGTTGTTGTTTATGGAATCATGATATAAATTGTTGACGGCCAGATGACCCTGACTAGAGATGAAGCTCGGCGTCTTGAAGCGGGGGCGGGCAAATCGAATCTTGATTGGCCAGAAATTGTTCATCTGGCAGAGCGCCCGCTCGTCATATTGCGTGACAGCTTCCATATCGCCGACTCGGTCGTCTCCTGTCTGACTTGATATTACTCTACTCTCTGGGTCGTAGCAGTCGTAGAGCTCGGCAAGATGATTCGCAACGGTATCGTTGGCGCCGAAAGGTTGCAGCAGCTGAGCGGTGCCATGGCGAGAGCACCGCGTTCAGCGAGACGAGTAACACAGCGAGGTTATGCCTCGGAAAGCGAAGGCAAGTCCTTCAAAGGCCAATTATACGATAGTACTGCCCAAAGGTTACAAAGGGAGAGGGCAGACCAACTTCGCTTCGCCGAGATTCGAGCTGCTCAGAAGGGCTCGGGAGGCTCGCCCATCTGGTTGGTGCCGCTGGGTATCTCATCTCTTCACGCTTCTCTGCCCAAGATACAACCAGCTCATGTTTCGCAGTCTTGCTGACGGGTGCTCTCGGTGGCTACATCGCCGGCCAACAAGCTCCAGCCGACCCTGCCCCCAACTCGACCCTACCGCTTGCAGCCGCCCATCCTCCCAAACACAACATTGCCCCTACCAATCTCGAAGCAGCATGGACCGACTTCCGCGACATCGTTGGCCAGGAGAACATCTCGACCGAAGCTTCCGACCTCACCTCACATTCGGGCTCTGAGTGGAGCTCCTATCCTTCTCTCCCCGGAGATCAGCCTTTCTGCGTTGTGAGGCCTGCCTCTACCGAGCAAGTGAGCGAGATCATGAAGGTCTGTCACCGTCGTCACATCCCAGTCACACCCTATTCTGGTGGAACCAGTCTGGAAGGCCACTTTGCTTCAACAAGAGGCGGTGTGTGTATCGACTTTAGTCGCATGGACAAGATCCTGAAGCTGAACAAGGACGACCTGGACATAATCGTACAACCTGCTGTCGGCTGGGAGAACTTGAACGAGGAACTAGCCGATCACAATCTCTTCTTCCCTCCAGACCCGGGTCCGGGAGCTATGATTGGTGGTATGGTCGGCACTGGGTGTAGTGGCACAAATGCTTATCGCTACGGAACCATGAAGGATTGGGTTCTGAGTCTCACCGTGGTCCTCGCAGATGGAACGATCGTCAAGACCAAGCAACGCCCAAGGAAATCTTCTGCCGGCTACGACCTCACGCGTATGTTCATCGGAAGCGAAGGCACTCTTGGTCTGGTCACCGAAGCGACACTGAAAGTCACCGTCAAGCCCCAGAACACGAGTGTTGCTGTCTGCACATTCGGCTCGGTCAGGGAGGCTGCCAATGCTGCCTTCAAGGTTGTAGGTGAGGGTGTGCCCATTGCGGCGATCGAATTGCTAGACGATGTTCAGATGCGATGCATCAACGACGCCGGGCAAACGTCACGATCGTGGAAGGAGTCTCCCACTCTGTTTTTCAAGTTCAGTGGAACCGCCACCAGCGTCAAGGAGCACATTGCGATTGTCCAAAAACTAGCCAGGTCTTCGGGCAGCAAGACCTTCGAGTTTGCAAAGAACCAGGACGAGGCGCTCGAACTGTGGAGCGCCAGAAAGGAAGCCCTCTGGAGCGTCATGGCCAAGAAGCAAAACGATGGTGACCATGTCTGGACTACGGACGTAGCAGTGCCCATCTCCCGCCTGCCTGATATTGTTGAAGAGACCAAAGAAGCCATCTCCAAGAGCGGCCTGACAGGAGCTATCGTTGGTCACGTTGGTGACGGCAACTTTCACGGTAAGGCGCCACGTGGAACGAAGAAATACAGCATTCGGGCCGCAACTGACTCGTGCAGCTATCATCCTCTATAACGACAAGGAACATAGTCTCGCAGAGGACCTTGTCCACCGCATGGTCAAACGTGCCATCGAGATGGAAGGCACAGCCACCGGCGAGCACGGTGTTGGTATGGTCAAGCGCGATTATCTCGAGCATGAGGTTGGCCGTAGCACTGTCGACTTGATGAGAAAGGTAAGTCTCGAACATGTAACGAATTGCGCGTTCAGGCACGCCATAACCCCGGTCTCGCTGCGCTGTCCTTGCCCCGTGACATGGCTGACGTGCTCAACTACAGATGAAGCTTGCTCTTGACCCTCTGTGTTTACTCAATTGCGACAAGGTCGTTCGCGTCCAACAGCCCAAGCCTGGTGAGGTGCAAGAGTGGTAGATTTGCTTTGAGAGATGTTTAGAATGTGTGCCATCTAGTGTCTCCACAGCAAAAGCAATAGAGTCCAAAACACCTGCCTATGTCACCGCATGTGGTCATAATCCACGAAGACTCGATCGCATTGAGACTCCAAGATTTGGAGGCGGTATGCATTGATTGTTTGGGGTTGAGGACGGACCACGATAGCAAAAAAGTAATCCTTCCACCGTTGTAGTCTGTAACAGTCCTTCGCGACTCAATTGCGAGCGTTCTCCGTCCCGCGGGACCATCCCGAGTTGCACTTGATTGGGCGCCTGTACAAGCAAATTTCACACACGCTGGGCTTGGCGTAGGACTTCTTCTGCGATGCTCATCGAATCCGGCTGCTGATAGGGTGGTATGTGTGTCTTTCCGACACATAATCTAGCGCCCGCCGGTGCCGACTTTAGCTTCTACAGGGACAGATATCTAGATGCTAAATAAGGAAATCTTGCCATTGCATATTGCAGTAGCTGAGCAGATTCCACATCGCGGCGGTAGCAGCGCCGTGTGCATCATAATAGGGGCTTCAATGGCCACCACGATGACCCCAACCGTATGCCCGGAGAAACATCCCGTTGTATGTATTACCGAAGAAGACGATACGGAACGTGAATTAAGATCTATTGCTTCTGCAGTGTTTGCAGTACAATGCAAGCTTGGCGACCCAGCAAAGTTCAAACCTTGGTGGTAAAATGGATGATCTTGCGAGTCCCTCGTCCGTGAGCATCCGCTTCTTACCGTCCGTCTTCCCTTCTCCAGAGTTGAGATGTCATGCTGCATGGAACTCTTTCAGATTCTAACTCGGACAACAAGCCGACAGAAGGTTTGAGCTGCAAAAAACCTTGTTTCGAGTCAGAGCCGTACGACTCATACAGAACTCTTTCTCCATGTGCTTTCAAGGTTCTGTGGAACGGGTGCCCTTGGATTCTCCGATTCTGCTCCATCGTGGCACTCGACGCCCCAATTCCAGATGTGACGCGTCTCCCGGCTGGGCACCGGGCGTACCTGCAAGGGCTTGCTTCAGGACCCAGAAAGCCACCAGCACGCTCGATCAAGGAGGAGGTATCTGACTGCCAAGCCGCATTTGAGTAAAGAGCCCCGGTCCCGCCGGTGCCCAGACCCCGGCTTGTCGTGCGATGACCACTGGCCACAGGCCAACAATCGAGAAGGTCTGTTACGTGATATCAGGTCTCACCAAGTCCACACATGGGCCAGACGCTCAAGACCGCATAGAAGCCATTGTAAAATACCTTTGTCTACATATACACGTTGAGGGATGATGTTCACAGTCAGACGCTGAGTACTGGCAGTTGGTATGCAGATCCTTCTCTTGTAGGAGCACCCGAGTGGGCTTGCTCATTTCTTCCCTTCGTCCAGACTGAACATCGCCATCGTTAGCAACGAGCTAGCTACCTCGAGACACCCTGAATGGGGTAAAAAGTACAGAACAAAGTTCACCAAAATACCTATCAGTGCGTCAGATAATCCTTCATGTTCCAGCTCGACACCATACCAAGGCTGCACTCCGTAGAAGAACTCTATCGCACAATCTCGGGATTAAGGTAGCCGGTGTCCACCAAGATTCTAACAGCCCGGGCGTCCGTCGGTGCCACGTTTCGAGGCTTCCAACCTAAATAGTTAATAGCTTATCCTAGGCTAAGGAAGCAACAAGTCTGTCGTCGGGGGGAACAGCGAGAAGGGGGAATGGAGAACCAAGGGCTACACTTTTCCGGTCGTCATTTCACGACGGCATGGCGTAAACGTACGAGCGAGCGGACGGGGCCCTCGACGCAGGCCGACACTCTGAAACGACGCTGCAAAGTCACAGTCCTCATTCCACCCAGCCTCTTGAATCGCAGCTGAACTGGCTCCCTAGTGATTCGGTTCAAACTTCTTCAGATACAAGACAGCGAAGCAGTCGAGGTGTATCTACACGTGGCAACTGCTTCGGTCCACGCCTAATCAGGAGCCGGGTCCTTGAGATGATAAACCGTAACATGCAACCGCGCTGGCCGTGGCGTCAAAGCGGTGATCTGCCGCGGTGGATGACCCTCTATCCAAACCGCTCCTCGCACTACGATTGGCGGGTGCGCCCATTGTCTAGTCTTAGACCAGTCTGTGCAGCAGACATCTCACGCGTGCGCGCGCGCCCAAAAGACTTGCCCACTATTCCCGCCAGGTCCAACAGTCACCCAGAAAATCTCTTCCTGCCTTCCACGCAGGGTTCGGAAGCCGCTAACGAGCAGACTAAAACTTCTTTCGTCATGTGCGGTGCGGCTGCGGTGGGTGCATCTCTGACCAGATCTCGAGCTATCCAGCCATGGTTCTCAGTGAGTCTGTGTCCGTGTCCAACGTTTCTAAAAGGCCCATCGTTCGCTGTCTGCAGAGATTCAAGAATGCAACTTCAAGGCCAGACTACTCCTCACATCTGCCCTTCTCCACCTCAACACCCTTTCTTGTTCATTATATTTGATCAGTGCTTGCTTGCCCACTTGCTTAGTCCAAGCTGTCCCCGATCTTCACTTTGTCGTGCATCATCACCTAACTCGACTCAAGTCGAACGACGTCCCTGCCCCTAGCCCCCACCATTGGCCCTTTGACCACCGGCATTCCCCCTTGACGATCTACACTGGCCATTCTCAGGTGTTCGGCAGTTGATATATATTGTGTTCTCTTGACTCGCTCCGGCTTTTCAAAAACATATTGTTATGCTTAGTGCTGGTCCTGTTTGAACGACCCACGTCCAACCGCCCACAAAATATCTCTCACCATGAATCAGGATGCATCATCAGGATCTCGCCAAAGCCCGAGTGGCACCATGCACAGTTCAGACTCGGGTAGCCAGTCAAAGCTCCCGTCGAAACGCGCTTCCAGAGCCGGAACGCGTAGTGTCTCTACCCTTTCGGCCGCGCAGTTGGAGAGAAAGCGTGCAAACGACAGAGAAGCACAGAGAGCCATTCGCCAAAGAACAAAGGATCACATCGAGAACCTCGAGCGACGGATCAGCGAATTGACTGGCACTCAGGAAGCCAGGGAAAAGCTCTACCTGACTACACAGCAACGTAATCGAGAGCTCGAAGAAGAGAACGCGTACCTTCGAAGCAGGCTTTCGGGCGAGACATTTACCATCAATGTCAATGAGAGTGATGGTAAGTGCTTTATAACACAAGTTGAGGTGTCTCGTACTAATATAAGAGTTTCAGACAAAGCACCACCACAATACAGTGTCTCTGCACCCGAGTCTTCTCCTCAGGCTCACCTGAGCGCCGCTGTGAACATTCCCAGACCCTCATCTTCGGCCACGAGTCGAAGTATTCCCCAACCATCGGAAGCCTGGAGGCAACAGAACCAGTACAGTCCTGGTAGCGGCCCAGCTTCAGCATCGTTTATGCCTGAAGGTGCACAGCACACTGCTGGTCAGGGTGCTGCGTCCTGGAGGGCCCAGGATGTCGCTTCAGCCCCTTCGTACGGTTATCAGGTTCGCCAGAGTGACCGGCCAACAAACTACCCCTCTCCAGCACATCAAATGACCTACCCGGGCCATTCACAAGCAGCCCAATTCCAACAAGCCATCACTGCTCAAGCACCTGTACAAGCCTCTGTGACGCCGGCCTTCCACAATGCTGGGATTGGAGCCCATCCCGACTTCCAAAGCATGCCTCAATACGCCGCTTCTTCAAATGCTGCATACCACGACCAGCAGAACCACGCCAGCTTTGTTCCTAGTGCACCACCCGTGTCATCGGCTGCCGCTGATTTCCATGGTGCACCTCGCAGCTTGGCTCCTCCTGCTTACAACCCAAACATCGGATCTGGTCACTTCATGCCTGGACAATCTTCGCAAGCCCACACACAGCACATGGGGTTCCGTGAGGGCACAAACCAACATGGATATGGTTACGATGCATGATGAACCGTTCTACATTGTTGAACATATCAGCCGAAATTCGAATTTGATGTCGCTCGGAAGTGCTGCCCTAGACTTTCCACTCGCCAACGGCTCGAGGCTTCGGAGAAGGGGTCCGATGGCCAGACCGTTATTTCTCCAACGCAGATATTGCGACCATCGAGAAACATCAAAACAACCGGATAATCTACCTCTTTATGAGACAATACGGATTTAAAGCCCGGTCAACGGTGCGACCGGGTAATCTGTCCACTGTATATATGCGATCTAATACAACAACATGCAAAGATGGGAACAACGGGGTTTCATATTCTGTGCTATCGATATTTGCAAGGTGTTACCGGGGGTTGAGAAATATGGGTGTATTTACTTCTTGGATGGAATTATGAACAAACAGACGAATCTCCACAGAATATGCATATTCTTCCGACCGCAATCGAAATTAGAACAATTTAGCAAGATCTTCACGCTGCGCTCTCCATCCTTGCTCTCAAGCCTGTTAGATTCCCAGGTCTGGCCGCTGCCCAAGTCAATCAGATAGATCAGAGGGACAGTCCGACACTGACCAACGCTGACAAAGTCGTCCCGTCTTGAGGATATGCTCTTGACGCCCTGGTGTATTGGCTTCGAGTCTTCCTCTATTTTGAATCTCTTGATGATAGAGCACGACTACCATACCTCTCCATATGTCTTTGGAACGATAAGTTGCCAGAGGCTTGGAGCAATATCTGAAGGACATGGGACATTGTAGAAGCGGACATAAGGCTGAGTGGAACAATATACGACAAGGGTCTCCTCTCGTCTCGTCACAGAACATGCAACACATGCTGGAACATGCAGTAATCACAACCCATTCTTGCGACCATGAACCACATTACTTGCATCGGCAGATCAGTGAAAAGACGCTCGGGATTATCGGCTCTTTCAATACGACTCATCACTTCCACCGCTGTGAGACTTGCCGAAGTTCACAAGTCTTCTTTTCGTTCTCTCGCAACTACACGCATGATAGATGCCGCATGCTGTGTCGGAGGAAGAGCAACGTCTCACGAAGCTTATGGCAACAAGATGCATGACAAGAGTCTGTCCAGATAAAATGAGTTCTCGATAGATAACAGCATCCATCGAGACTCGTCGTTCCGTCAGGAATGGTGCAATCGTATACGCTTCCAGGTTTGCTAGGTAAACTTCGTCTCGCTCCAGATTGCCGTACTTGTTGATGTTACGTATACACGTCGACGCCTCCTAGAGAGTTCAGAGCCAGGCCGGGAAGAACACCGCTTAGCATTCAATAATGGACAAGCATTTGACCCTCTGAGAAACAAAAAAGGTGAATATCAATCTGCTGACCCTCGCTTATACGCGGCATAAGCATCCTTTGGAAGTAGGTGACGATCCATCAAATACGTCTGGTAGGCTTCTGATTGAGTTTGACGATAGATGCTGGTCCGAGGGCAGAACTGCTCCGGACGTAGGGACGTCGGTAATACGACGTTTGATAGCTCTTTCGTGAGTACATGCGTAATGTAGTCGAAGCATGTGGGTCCAAAGTTACATGGAAGCGCCAGACAGGCCCGGCGCATGGCGAGCATACGATGTGATCCAGACTCGCAGGATTTGTCCTCATTCATCGCAATCGACGCGGCAGACGGCTTCCTTGTACTGCAGAGAGGAGCTCAAGTTGTTGTCATTGCAGAAGGAGGCGACAAACAGTTCTCTAATTCCTGGAGAACAGCACAAAGCCGCAGAGAGCAGACAGCTTGACAGCGCAGACCATGACCAAGACGGATACAAGCAGCAGACTCATGGTGTATCCCTTGTTCTGCGAACTGGATTCGAGAGCTGTCGTATCGTGTTTGTGACGGTGGATGATGGACGAAAGATGATGACAAGTGCGGGGAAGCCAGGGGAGGTGGTTCGAATGGCCTCTAGATGGAGCCGCCTCACGTGGTCTTGTGAAACTCAGATATGTTCAAGGGTCTAAAGTAGTATTTTGTGCAATTGCCATATCCTCGAATGCGGCTCGCGGTACATCAATGACCTCCTAGGCATCTGCTAGAATGAACCCGTCATTGCGAACGTCCCCGACCCGGGACTCGATTGCGCCTCCCCATTGACCGTATTACGACCCACGGCACGGGTTGGCCGCACTACGACCATGGAGTGCGAAATGTATTAGAAGCCAACCAGGCATGGATAGCTGGCTTGGGAAGCATTGGTGTTGTACCAGGGGAATCCATATTGGCAGAATGCAAGTAAAGCTCGACAATGCTCAGGCAAACTTGTCGTGCTTCCCCTTGACCTTGACGTCAAGCAAGGCTTCGTGATATGTGCCATCTCTCCATGCTCTCTTCAAGAGTTTGACGTCGCCGTCTTGTAGCTTGCGGCCGACAGCCTGTTCAAGTTGAGCCCTGCTTATCTTCTCATTTGCCTTTTCCTCCTTGGCAGCCTTGTGGACAGGCTTGAAGCGGGCTTGCATACGGAGTCTGATGGCACATGCTGGACTAGCGTCGTCGTCGGCATCAGCTCTGATCTCAACAACCCTGTCCTGTGTGACGGAGAAGAGCTTGTCGCGTGTTGTGCGTATGTTGAAGAGCAGAGAGTCAGATGGCACCAAGGTGAACTGTTCTTCGGGCGAGATTGCGTCGCGTGTAGCTGAGAGGATACCGAACTTGTCGCTGTTCAAATACCTGTGGTGAGAGTGTGAGTGACAAGTCTTGCAGCAGCGAGGTCAGGGGTAGGATACTTACTTGGAATGATGTCCCTTGAAGCTAAACGTATCGGTGCCAGCAATCTTGTTTGCGATAAAAACTTGACGGACGTCGCTGGGCTCGGCCGTCGAGGGCGACGCATCGACCATATTCTCGAGCGGGCTGGCAAACACCTTTCCATTGGCATCGCAAGCCAGACATGTCGGCGGGGTGGTGGGCAGCACGAATATGACGGGGCCTGAGACGTCGCTCACGCTGTCTGCGGATACCCACGATTCGTCGTCTTGGTCATCTGGATGCTGTGGTGCGCCAATCTTCAAGTCCTTTGTCGCAGGGCCATGGCCGTCTGCATCTTCATCGCGAGTGCGCTTGCGCTTCTTGACCTTCTTGTCGCCCTTGAAACTGAGTGGTTTGACCATGTTTAGAGTGCTGGTCGGACATGGGCGACGGCTGCCAGAGCTCGGCTGACATTGCGGCGCTCCCGGCCGACGAAAAATGTCCCACCACCTTGATGCATGAATCTCTCGTGTCTTGTACCTTCTCATCGCTCCTTCTCACGCCCACTACAGTCTAGTCGGTCGTTCGTTTGAATAAACATGGCTGTCAACTTGAACGAATCTGGTGTGCAGTCCGCATCACCTGTTACGGTGAGCCTTGGTGATCTGCAATCAGGTAAATCGACAGGATGCTTTCCAAAACACGGCCATCTCATTGTTTCGTAGGCTCCGTACCCTTCGACGCCCTTGAGGATGCTTTCGGTCCCGATTCCCTAGGAATCATTGTCGTTCGTGACCTGCCATCTGAATTTGTTGCCATGAGAAAGGCCCTGCTGTCGTATTCTTCCTATCTGGCCAATCTGCCCCAGGCCGAACTTGGTACGTTAGCTCAACTCCTGCCGTATCATGTCCAAGCACTCATGTTGTCAAGAAAACCTCGAAAACCCTCAAAGCAGTTACCTAGTAGGCTGGAGTTGTGGCAAAGAGACGCTCAAGGACGGCAGGTACGACACGCTGAAGGGATCCTACTATGCCAACCCAGTTCAAAACCCAGAGCTGCACCAAAAAGCCGTCGAGAAGTTCCCCAACCTTCCAGAGTACAACGCGGCAAACATCTGGCCAAGCAACCATATCCTCCCTGGCTTCGAACCTGCTTTCCAGTCTCTGTGTACCTTTATCGTTGACACTGCTGCGCTCGTTGCCCGAGCCTGTGACCGTTACGCCGTCAAGAACGTTCCTCAATACCAACAAGGATACCTGGAGCACGTTGTCAAATCGAGCATCTCTACAAAAGCCCGTTTGCTTCACTACTATGCTCCGACCGCGAACCAAGGCCAAGGAGAGAGCTCGCCCGACGACTGGTGCGCGACGCATCTGGACCACGGTTGTTTGACCGGCTTGACGTCTGCCATGTTCATAGATGAGGCAGCCAACCCTCCTCACCTCAGCTCCTCCGAGTTCTCACCCTTGCCAGAACTGTCATCGCCGCCGGATCCGGCTGCTGGACTATATATTCACTCCCGCTCTGGCAAGGTGGCCAAAGTAAACATACCAAAGGATTGCCTCGCCTTCCAGACAGGAGAAGCTCTCGAGGTCATCACCAAGGGTAAGTTTAGAGCGGTACCGCACTTTGTCAAAGGTGCCGCACCTGGCAAGGGTGGCCAGGTTGCTAGAAACACTCTGGCAGTCTTCACTCAGCCAAACCTTTGGGAAATGGTTGATGAGAAGCGCGACTTTGCCACCTTTGCCAAGGAGATTGTTGAGCGTAACCACTGAAAGATAGAGGGAGAGAAGGAGAGAAGAACCCGGGGAAATGCTGACATTCGTTGATGCCGGACGGCAATAATCACATTCGAAGTTTCTTTTTACACGTTAGAGCGGTCCTCACCAGATCCGGCCGAAAAGCAACATCAGCCTGATACAGAAACGATGTTGCTACAGACGTGGAACTGTGTACACGTGAGACTACCAATAGTAGAATGTAGATAGATCCTTGATCAGGAGTACGAGGCTCGCATTGCACTTGCCTTATCGAGTGACGGGTCACGCGATATGTGTAGATGCGCGTGTGAACAGTGTTCACATTGCAGTCAACCCTTACCCCTGATGCTGCCCTGTGCATGCAGATGTCGATATTCATGCAACGTATCAGATTCGCTAGAAGACCATGCCCTAATGCAAAACGAGCGACACGCACGAGCTAGACCTCTGACAGCACGACTCATTGCAACCCGCGGATCTACAGCCCTCGTCTCAGCTGATTCAAAGGGGTGATCGAAACGCAGTCTGCGGATCGATTGAAAGTCGGACACAATGGTCGCGCTGCACCACCTTCCTACCTGGGCTCCAGTAACGAAATTATCGACAGATCAAGCGAACGGGTTAAAGGATACCATTGAAGAACACAATGAGCATGTACGCAATAGATTGCCGTTAACGGTCGTGTTTCAGTGCCCTTGTCTTGGGTACGCGGAATAGAGATGTACAGTAGATCCTGGAGTACCGTGCTCCACCTACCTCCACAGCGTAGCGGTGTGCACGCGTCAAAAGATGGAACTACGACTTGACTAGGCGATACAGACTGAGATGGCTTGCGCGGAGACAAGCCGTCTGCAAGCCTTTTGAGGCGAGCCCGGTCTATCTTTCTCTACCTGGTTGTCACAGATCACGTTTCGGTCCGGTACTTCGGAGTAGAGGAAAGGTCGCAAGTCATCAGGCTTAACATCCGTGCGCTCTCAGGGTCCAGACTCTAGAATGTCAAACCAAACACTTGAGCCTCTCGATTCGTGGCACGACGCGCACGATCCCGCCCAGCAGTCGATGACACGAGCGCGAGACAGGGTCTCGAGAAGTGTCCAGACGCTGGAGACACTTCATACCAGCTTGGACTTAGTTGCAGGGAGCGAGTTGTAAATATGGAAGAGGTTGTGAAGTAAATGAATACTGGTGACTGGCTGCGCCAACTTTTTTTTTGAAATCAGCGCCACGTCTATTGTGAATAAGCGAAAATCAACACGTCTCGTCGCCTGTCATTCTCGTAAACTTGGGTGTAGCAACCTGCCGAGAGGGCGGAAATAAACCCGTAACGTGCGTTTTGATACGCTCATAACGCCAGACCATTCATCCGAAAACGTACAACCAAAAGTGAACAGCGTACCCATTTTGAAGAAATTACCCGCAAGCCAACACCAGAAAAAGCAACAAAGAGACGAAAGAGCAGAACAAGTGCCTCCCTAAAAGGAGGATAGGTCGGTGCAGGGTATCACAAAGTGAAGCGGATGTGTCTTGAAGCATGGAGAACAAGCATGACACAAGGACGCCGCCAAAACGCCATTGTCGGAATGAGTATCGTGAGAGCAACAAGAAAAGGGCTAGTAGCCCAAGCCATCGTCCATACCCATGGACAGACCGGCTCCAGCAACGTTGACGTTCATAGCTTGCATGCCGTTTGGCATCTGAGGGACGGCGACGGGGTTGAGCTTGAGATCAGGATTGCAGGGCGGTGAGTGTTGGCGGTGGTATTTGAGACCGTTCAGATTCTTGTAGCGTTTACCACAGACCTCACAGCGGTAGGGCTTCTCCTTCTCCATGCCGACAGTGCCAGGATAGGGAATTGATGTGGCGGGATCCACGATAGAGAAGGTGCCGTCGGGGTTCTCCTTAAGCTGTTGATTCTGGTGACCGTGCTGGAAGCGAGTTAGTGAAGAGCTTGCTGTGAACGCGAGAACAACCTACTTGTTTGTGATACTTGAGACCGTTCTGGTTCTTGTATGCCTTCTCACAGCCAATGACGGGACAGCGGAAGGGCTTTGCCTCTTCGCCAGGGAAACCGAAACCTTGAATGAGCTGTTGTTCACGGAGGCGTTTCGCCAGTTCACTGTTGTTAGCGAATTGACTCGGGTTCTTGAAGCCGCCCATGCCGCCCTGCTTGCTGAGAAGACGCTTGGCGGGGTCGTCGATGCAGCGCGACTCATCCTGTTGGCCGTTCATGTCGGGGAAGCCAAAGCCAGACATGCTGGCGTTGAAATTTGATGGGTCCATCTCGCCGGGAGTGTGCACAGTTGACTCGGAGGGGCTGACAGTCTGCGATGTTTGACCAAAGGTGGGCGTATTCACAGATGAAACGGTGGGGTTGAAACCGCCGAGCTGCATAGTCTGGCCAGGCTGTGGTGTCGTGGGCGTCGAGATGTTGTTGACCTGTTGTGTATTTTGGAAAGCGCTGGTCATGCCAATGTTGAGCGATGGCGCTCTGGCCTGCTGCCTACCAAACTGTGGTTGAGGCTGGAACTGGTGGTTCTGGTAAGGGTCCTGTACGGCGGGGGCAGTGGTAGAATCGTCCATGTCCATGTCCATGTCGTCCATGTCGTGATCTTGCAGAGGATCGCGGGCTAGACCTTGAGAGAGGCCGGATGGGTGGTCAAACTGAGGGGCTTGTTGGTGGTTGTGGGGCTGGCTGTGTTGCTGCTGCTGCAGCATCTGGGCGGCAGTACCGGCGTTTGCGTTGCGAGCGTTTGCGAGCAGGTGCTCTTTGGGCGTGCGGCCCATGGTTTGCGTGGGCACCTGAGCGTGGGCTTCTTCGTAGTGCTGGAGCAGCTCGTGTAGCGAGTCGAGAGTGATTCCGCAGCAGATGTAGTCTTTCATGAAGTTTGCCTCCATTTTGGGCAGATATGAAGACGAGTGGAACGAGGGGGACTGGAAGTTGTATGGCGAAGTGCCAGCCATGATTAGACTGCAACCGAGCGTCAGCGGGTAGTCAAGGTTGCACGGGCACGAGGAAACTTACTCGTCGCGGATGAAGCTGCCGACCGAGAGACCACCCCAGCTCATACCGGCCATCAGGCTGCCAGCATGGTTAGTGCTGTCACGGCGACCGCGGTCACGCATCGAGATGGGGCGCGAGTGGAACGAGTTGCCCATGCTGATGGAGCCGGGACGCAAGCTGTCGGGTCTGAATTCGCTGCCGCGACGCTCCATGTTGGCCATGAAGGTCGGTGGCTGCGTGTCGCCACTGCGTGCATTTGCAGCTTGCAGTTGGCTGGTCAAGTTTGAAGTCTGGTTGGGGGGCGACGCACGCGGCGTGGCAATGTCTATGGGCGATGCCGTCGAAGCCATCGTGTTGGCGGCGAGGGAATTATGTTGGAGAGATGAGTTTTTGGGAGTTTTCGGGTCAAGGTCCGCGTCGCGCAAAAGACAGTCGTGGTAATAATGACACCAGGTCTTGGGGCCAGAAGAGGACTCGGAATCAGAGTCGTAGCCAAAAAAGCAGTGGTCGACGGTGCCGTTGCGGTGTGGCCAGGATGTGAGATGCAATCCGATATTTGGAGCGAAAGCGTAATAATAGCAGGCAGTCCAGAAGAAGGGCAGGGTGCAGGGCTCGATAGTGGTGTTGACGGCGAGGCGAGGATTATGTAACCTCGGCAAACTCTATCGAACTGTCTCTCGGGTCTGTCGTTCTTTTTGGGAGCTGGCTTGTTTGTACTGTAGCGACAAAGCGCTCGAATGATAATGATGGCCTGGGCGGCGGCTCGCGGCACGACAAAACCAAAGGGGAACGGCTCGAGTTGACAGAGAAACTAGCGGGCCTGCCAACACTTTTGTTGTGAGCAACCGGCTTCAGTCGAGTGCAAGGGGGTTGTGACGGGAAAGCGGCGAGGGTCAGGGCAGAAGCGACGCTTCGATTATATAACAGCTCCGAGTCTCGTCAGGCGGATCGACTCGAGATTACAGAGCAGCAAAACAAAGTAGGCCCTCGTTGGACGATTATAATCCACCTACCAGCCTGCGAAAGCGTCACCGTGGCCAAGGCGTCTTGAGCAGAGGAAACTCGAGCGAGCTGCAGCAGTGCGAACTCAATCTTAGCGCCGCTGCGACAAGTCTCAGAAACCCGTGAACCTTGTACCGCTGAGCTGAAGACATGCGTGACGTCGATTCATTATTCCGTGTCAGAGGCCCGCCGACCCTCCGATCCCTACTCGTTTATCGCTCTTGGGTGCATCTTCATGCCTCTTCCGACCATGGGTGGTGGCTCCTCTTGTGTGTCCCAAGTCTAAGTTATCCTGGCTGGCTTTCTCCCTCTCGCTTCCCTCGCGAAACCCTCAAGCCCCTGCCTACATCCCTAGACAAACGCCTTTTACGGCCGCACGGTTGCATTTACCTGTCACTTGTCTCGTGCCACCGGCCATGTCCCTTTCCCCCGTCGTTTGCATTCGCAGCCGTAGTGGTTCCGAGCAGTGCCCTCACCACTACGGCTTGCGAATCGCATCTTGGACAAACGGCTGCTATGCCCTATGTCGTAGGTGCTGACCACTGCCCATGAATCATTTGTATACCAACCACAGATCACTTGGTCCCGCTCGCGGCTCTTGTCTTCTGTGTTGGACCGCCAACTTTCTGCCATGTGCCGCAGAAACGCCTGCCAATCGTACTCCAGCGGCCTTACCAAGCACTTGTCTATGCGCGCCTCTTCCGCAGCAACGTTCTTCTGGAAGAAAGGTGCGCCTTGGCTTGGCACTCTAAGTCCAGCCACCTGATTGGCCTTGACATGACCTTCACCGACACTGCGGAACCCTCCACAACATCATCTAGTATCTTTGAATCTCGGGTCGCCATGTGCTCGAGAAACACCACAGTATCGGTAAAGACTTCAAACGGATCCAACAACAACCAAGCAATCGTTTGCTTCGTCTCGTCTCCTGCGATTTGCGGATCAGCAAAAGCGCAGACTCAGGAAGCATCTGTTCCCTGTTTCCATTTGTCAAGCAGAAGTGGCAGACCCTGAACCGTCTATGGGTCCCAAGAAATTGGCCTCCCTGTCGGTATGAACGTGCACTCCAGCCGAGTCGTCGCGTGGCCATCGTGACAAGTCGTTGAGACACTCTGCTTCTATCATCCGAGCCACCCCAGAAGTTGTTGACTTCAAGGTTGTATGGTTCGGGGTTCTTTGTGGCCCATAGAGCTTGAATGCCAGGGTCTTTTGCAACGCGAATTTCGCATTGCCGCGTGTCTCTTGTTCGTTATCCGACCTGATCTGGACCCTGACATCTAACGACGGAACTCATAGCGCCGATTTTGATTCTTGACCAGCGAATACGAACGACTTTCTTGCCGACACTCGACAGTTGTTCAGACTCGAGGTCGACACTCAAAGTCGACGGTCTGCAGAGATGGTGCGCATGTCTGTAGCTAGCTACCTAGCCTGTCCAGCACATTCTCGAAATGCATAAAGTCTGTCCGGCGACCTCGCAACCAAGCCACCAAATTCGCAACCGCTTAGCCCGCCTCGAGAAGGTAAGATGTTCATCAATGGCAGCGGTGCCAAGCCTATGGATGCTTTCTGTAGTTTCCCAAAGCAGTTGCCATCCCGTGCAGAAGTACTATTAAGTTTCAGTGTCGTCGGGCTTTGTTCGGCGTGTGCTTGGTCAATAGCCATGCCATCTTTCCCGACCGTCCGGGGCGTGCGTTAGGAAGCTGTCTTATTTCCGTCGGTGCCCCGCTATGGTATTGCCAAAAGCCACAGATATGTTCATTTCCTTTGCGGCAGGTGCATGTTTCTGTGTCATGAAGACCATGTGCTTGATAGACAGGTGTTGACGCTGCAACAGTATTTTGGCTCTACACTCGCGAGATGGTGTGAATAGTCACGTAATGGCGCGGGCGACATTGCGTATCTACACGCGTCAAGTGAATCATTGAATCATGATCTACAGGACAGCTACAGGATGTGTGGTACCGCATGAATGCGTTGCATTACACGATCATATATTGCTGCATATGCGCGTGCTAAGACAGTGATGTCGAGCAACGGTAGCTGTCTCCGCCGCAGGCTTGAGACATCATCATGATGGGCAGGGCATAACTTAAAAAGCAATTGGGCAGTTGAAGCACGAAGCCAAGCGACCAGAGACAACGAGATAGTCTCAATCGTGTCTCGACATGTGGCCATACCAATCTCACTTGCGCCGTACAGATATTACACTGCCCCGTATGACGCTGGTACGGATAACGGGATGCGAACATCTTGCCCCCACGGAAGTACACCGACGTTCCTGCCCACGGAATATGTTTCGCAAACAGCGTGTTTTGCATGTTAGGTTTGGGGAAAGGTGGAAGAGACATTCGAGTAACACGCCGTGTCCCCGTACGTACTCGGAATCATCGCCTCAACTCCCGGATCAAAGGGTTGAGACACAAGGGGAATCGAACGCAGAGAAGATAAGGTCGATCTCCTCGCCTGGCCACACTCCAGGAGTTGCGACTGTTGCGTCAATGTTTAGCGATGGCGACAGACGTCTCTGGTCCTATCATACAAAAGTACCTACGGGAGCGCTTGAAGTGAAGGACGCTTCCGAGTCTGACATGCTTGTTAAGGTTTGATCGATATCTCATCACTGACTCGCCCCTCAAGGAGTGATATCGCAAGCTTCGGGTGCCTGTAAAAGAATGAGGCTAAACATGCGACTACGATGGCCGCACTCGGCAACCTTGCTCTTGCCGCCATGACTACACATGCTCGAAACTTGGATCGCATCACAACGGTCTGATGTTTATCTTCGCTCTTGGAGCTGTTGGACTGGAAGAATGGCATATACGCTTTCTTGTCTCCGCACACGAGTCAACAGCGGTTCGAGGACCCCTCGTTTAGATTCACGACACCACGTCTGTACAGGTGTGGGGGGGGGGGGGGGGGGGGGGTTGTCCCTCGTCTTCATTATACGCTTGGATCAACTTTAAACACATGTCCAGCATCGGCCCCTGGCATTAGAATCGGCACACTAGTTCGTGCCCTTTGTCTGATAAGCTTAGTGTACGAGTGGTTATCTCTTTCATCATATGTTTTCTTGTTTCCACTATCAAGAATTTTGCTTCACCTTTGTGAGTTGAGTTTACCCTTTACAATGCTAATTCTTATGTAGACTGCTTGGCGTGGCATCGATGATTGTGCACCGAGTCATCGCCGCATCCTTCTCGATAAGATTCTGACCAGACACCGTGCAGGATTGTTGGCTGGTAAGCAGTGGGTTGCCAATTGCCGTCAAACAGCGGCTTACTATGATTGCCACACCTTTTTTTTGTTCTCCATCGACGCCATCGTGACTATCGCGGTAGAGTCTTCTTGGCTACAACACTTATTCAAAGCCATGGACCGCGGGGCTTCCGCGGCTTCCAAAACACGCGGGCGTGTAGCACGGAATAGCTGGAAATGCCAGAAATGTGAACCACTGCTCTCTCTCTTGACGGAGTCTGATGCGAAAAGATAGCCCAAACACCATCCCAAATCGGCTTGATAGGGCGGCCGAGTAGAGCTCTCTATAGGGACCAGCTCAGGACCAGAGGGTGTATGACCTTTTCCTACCACAAGCGTCCCTGTCGAGACGCAAGGTAGAACTTGTCTGGGACAGCAGAATCCGCATGATAGCGTTCATCGGCGAGGTTCTGGTGTAGACGACACATTGACATATACTGATCCTATACGCAGTATAAGGTCGCATAGAAAGGCTAATCAGCCATCTCCACATCGTCATCTTTCCTGCCCTTGTTTTTCCTGGGCTTCGTGTTCTTGCTGGTCACAATATTCTTCATGCCCTCAAGCGCATCGACATATCGGCTGCGCATCTCTCCGCCTTCTTTCTGGTCCGTAGCAAGTTTCAGATTTGTTCTTTCAACCTTGGTGTTTCTGCCTATACCCTTGGCTCTTGCAATCTCGTTCCAGAACCAACGGCCCTCGTTCTCAGCGAATAGTGACCAGGCCTCACCACTACGTCCGGCTCTCGCGGTGCGACCCACACGATGCACATAAGATGCCAGACTACGCGGGATGGTGTAATTTATGACGTGTGTCAGCAACGGCAAGTCAAGACCGCGAGAAGCACGATCAGTCGAGATGATGATACGAGGAAGGGACGATGTGTTGAAGTTGAGGTTCGTGGATGCTTTGGTGAGGAGGAGTGTAGTGGCTTTATAAGATGGTTCGATATGCGTGATAAGATGGTGTAGACGAGCTGCAGCCTCGGTGCTGGGCGTGAAGATCAGAACCATACCGTTTCCAGTTGGTTTCGGAGCCAGGTTGTTGGACCCTTTAGGCGCGATTAAGATTGAGGATGCGTCACTGTCGCTATCGCTGTCACTGTCACTGTCGCTGTCGCTGCTGCTACTGCTGTCATCAGAACTGTCGTCAGATGAGTCACTCGATGAATCGCTGTCGTCATCAGAGGACGACTCATCATCCGAAGACGAATCACTCTCGGACGTGGACGTTGAGGAGCTGTCATCTTGAAGTGTTCTTGATTCAAGCTTCGAGCCAGGGAAAATTCTGGACCTGAGCAGCTCGAGCAAGAAGAGAGGCTTGTCGGAGCCATCGCCGACGGGGACAGCGAATTCCGAGAGGGTAGTGGGTAGCTCGAAGCCTTCGGCACTGTTTGCTGTGGCCGTGTCGGGATCAATAAGAGCCTCAGCTTCAGTCTTGACCACGACCATGGTAGGTCGACGCAACTTGAGAGCACTTAGTCTGGATATATCCCGGGTCATGGTAGCACTCAAAATGACCTTTCTTGCGTATCTCTCGCGATGCGGCATAAGATGGCGCAGAGCAGCGGTCTCAGGGCTTGGTGTGGAAAGAGGTTTCTGGACATCTAGGGCGGCCGTCACTTTGGCTACCCACTCTTGGAAACTTTGATCCAACAAACGATCGGCCTCGTCAACGACTAACCACTCGACATGGTCCAAGGTGAAGCCAGCAGTAGCGGTCAAGTGTTCGACCAGACGCCCAGGAGTGCAGATGAGCAAGTCGGCGGCCGAGCTGTAAGTTGGGACATAACCGGTTGGCAAGCGAACAACATCGTCGAGCATTGCGGCATCCGTATCAGTCAAGTCCGAGTCTAGCTCAAAGCACTGACGTTTCCGGGCCTTGTTCATAAGCGAACGATGGCGTTCGGGATTATATGACCGACCTCTCTTTACCAGCAGGTCCTGTTCGGCAGCAACAGATTGGTTGCCGACAGCCAGGGCGATCTGTATGGCAGAACCTTGGGCGCACGTTGAGGCTACAGTGTATGCCTGTGCGACGAGCTCTCTGGTCGGTACGACGATGACGGCGCGCAGTTTCGTGTCGAGCCTCGGGCGTAGGTTTTCGATGATCGGAAGAACATATGCCAAAGTCTTGCCGCTGCCAGTTGGAGCACTGACACAGACATCTTTGGGTGGCAGGTGGGTCAGATAGGGATGCGGCAGGAGAAGAGGAAGCAGAGCGGCTTGGACGGCGAAGGCAGTCGTGTAGCCTCTTGCTTCAAGGTGGGCCAGAGTCTTCTTGGACAAGGCAAGCTCGTTAAAAGGCCGAGTGGTGGATTGTGAAACGATGGTTGGATGGGCGAGCCATTGCGGTAGCGACGAGAAGGATGGCACAAAGTCGGGAGTTGGGGCACGCTCGGGTTGTGGCAGCGGGATCAGATCTAGACATGGCGGTTAGAGCTCGAGGCACAGGCGAGCGCGAAAGACAGCCGGCGCATACCGTGCAGTTCGGGTTGATCGGGCAGGACGACGTGGCCGTCGAGCGCGGAGGCCTTTGCTGCCTCGGAGCGCTGGGCAGCTTTCTGGAACTTTGAGTATACGGCGCTGTGTTTGCTGGGGACTGGAGGAGTGTCGGTGTCGTTGTCAGCGTCGTGGGTGGTGGGCGGATTGTCTCGCTCTATGCGCTTTCTCTTTTTTCTGCCGCTGTCGTCGGATCTCGATGGGCCCTTTGGGACCTTGACTTGCTTTGCGGTTGGAGGGGTCGGGACATGTTCGAGAGTCGTAGTGGCAGCTGCGACCGGCGCAGCAGGCTTGAGCGGTACGTAACGAGCGTACGGGGCCATGTCGACTATTGTTGCGAGGCTCTGGTCTGTCCCGCGACAAACAAGAAGGCCTGAGAACTGCCCTCACCGCCCGGCCCCGAAGCCAAGCCCGAGAAGCTCCAGTCGGCATGCCGAGGCTTCTGCACTATTCGGTTGCGCTTGCCGCTTGTACTTGCTTGCTCAGCGACCAGGGCTGCTGCTCGTCACTGCCTCGACTTCGCTCTCTTGCTTCTCGGTCGCTGTCTGCTGCTCGCTCCGACTTGATCGACGGTGCATGGGATGGAACAAGAATGCAACCGCCATCATGCCTTATAACATCGCCATGGTCAGCGACTTCTTCTTCCCTCAGCCCGGAGGTGTCGAGAGTCACATCTACCAGCTGTCGCAAAAGCTCATTGACCGTGGCCACAAGGTCATCATCATCACACACCAGTACGAGGGTCGCACTGGCGTCCGTTACTTGACCAACGGCCTCAAGGTCTATCATGTGCCCTTCTTTGTCGTCTATCGCGAGACTACCTTCCCTACCGTCTTTTCCTTCTTTCCCATTTTCCGCAACATTGTTATCCGGGAGAAGATCCAGATCGTCCACGGCCATGCCAGTCTGAGCAGTTTGTGCCACGAAGCCATCCTGCATGCCCGCACCATGGGCCTGCGTACTGTCTTCACTGACCACAGTCTGTTCGGTTTCGCCGACGCTGCCAGCATCCTAACCAACAAGCTCCTCAAGTTCACCCTCAGCGATGTTGACCATGTCATCTGTGTCAGCCATACATGCAAGGAGAACACAGTCCTCCGCGCTTCTCTCGATCCTCTCATGGTCTCGGTCATTCCTAATGCTGTCGTTGCATCAAACTTCCGCCCTCTACACCCCCAGGATGCCACCCAGCCTTCGATGCGCTCTGCTCTGCCACCCCCGCCGCCTCAGTCCTCTCAGCCACTTGGCCCTAATGACACCATCACCATCGTCGTCATTTCTCGTCTTTTCTACAACAAAGGGACCGACCTGCTCATTGCTTCTATCCCGCGCATTCTCGCTTCGCATCCCAACGTGCGTTTCATAATTGCTGGTTCTGGCCCAAAAGCAATCGATCTCGAGCAGATGCTTGACCGCCATATCCTCCACGATCGAGTAACCCTTCTGGGCCCTGTGCGTCATGAAGAAGTTCGCGATGTCATGGTTCGAGGTCATATATACTTGCATCCCAGCTTGACTGAGGCTTTTGGAACCGTCTTGGTAGAAGCTGCTAGCTGCAACTTGCTCATTGTATGCACCAGAGTCGGCGGCATCCCAGAGGTACTCCCTGGCCATATGACAGTGTTTGCGAAACCCGAAGAAGATGATCTTGTGCGTGCAACCAGCGAAGCTGTTGGTTTGTTGATGGGACAAGATCAGAAGCGTACTGTTGTCCGCAGAGACCGCTTCCATGAGCAAGTTCGCATGATGTACAGCTGGTCTGACATTGCTCGCCGTACTGAGCGTGTCTACGACCTGATCACTGGAAATGAAGAGCATGTCTACAATGATTTTCAAACGGATCAACAAGACTCTAAATGGCGCCACTATGGGAAACAGGTCTCTCCGGCTTCACAATCATTTGCCTTGATCGACCGTCTAAAAAGATATTACGGTTGTGGAATTTGGGCTGGCAAACTGTTTGTGCTATGCGTTGTTGTGGATTACCTACTATTCGTCTTCCTCGAGCTATGCTTTCCTCGCAGCAATATTGACATTTGTAGGGACTGGCCGAAGAAAAAAGAGGCAGTCAGTGCCCTTGATGCAGCCAACACTGAGAAGAATTCATCGAAAAGGACTCGGGCCGCTCGAGATGCCAGCCTGGGAATCACCAAGCAAACTTCAACATGAGACGATTTGCGCTACACCCTCTTTAAGGGTCAGTCACTGTCTGCCACCTATACTCTCTCGGACGATATTGCTGAGCAATTCGGAAACTTCCTATCCTCAGCGTTGCGGAATACGCTTGGACGCATACCTCTGGCTTAAGGAGCCAATAGAGTGTCAAGGTTTTGCGACCAGATCACTATTGAAAGCAGATGACTGCTGTTATCGGTCTTGGACACACCCATTGAACACGATCTCGAATCTGGAAGGTACCGTGAACAGGGCTCTAGATTAGCACCGTTTGGAGATCGATACTATACGCCTCCCGAACACTGCCTCGGTGGTTCCAGGGTATACAAGCAGGTTTAAGTCAGGTACAAGCGCTCCGTTTTCTGTAGGCTACCACGAAAGTCACGCCAATCTCCAGCTCACGACTGGCGCGGTGAGCTGTACGATCACATTACCATCGTTTTACCAAGACGCAGATGGACAGCGTGACTTCTCCGCAAAGCAGCTACCCGGTGGAAACATGTTTTGACAAGCCTTGGACAATATCAAGTATGCCAATTATAGCACGAAGACTCTTGCTATGCCGGTCGTAATCCGGGGAGTTGAGAACGCTAATCTGCATTCTGCTCCAAGGTCTACCGATGAATACGGGTGACCCAGCTTTCATACGGTTCCATCCATCGCCCAAAAGGCTTGTCTCCTCGTCATTCGCCCGTTGTAGACAAGACGAGCGTCTGAGCAGCCAACGGGCGGCCACTCAAAGGCTCTCGTGCGTTAGACAGAGAGCACTATAATCCCCGGGGTCAGAATGGCTCGGCGTTCTCCTGTAGTATGTCTTCGCTCTGAGCTAGGCTATCTGATACAGCAAGAGGATTTGTAGCGGAGGACCCTGCGTATACAATACGGATACGCAGGATACGCAACGTAATAGTATAGAGCAATTTCTGGTGTGCGTCTAAAGTAGTAACTTGTGAAGCAGTCCTCTAGCTGCCCCCAACCTACTATACTAATCTCGGCCCCCGATGGTATTACTGCGCCTCTGTGTTGACGTTACATTCAACGTAGCTGCTGCTTAGGCTTAGGGGCCAGTCTTAACATTCCCGCAAAGTTTTCCTCTCCTGCTCTTATAAATAGACCAGAATGAATACCTTAACACTCTCCCTCAAGTGGGTGTCAGGCATTTCGCCAAGGATAATAGCATCATGCTGTGAGTGTATGGTCTATGCCAGATCCGAACAGGAGTACTGACAAGTCATAGTCAACAAGCGGTACATTGCTCTACCGCCGTAGTATATTCCGCCTTCTACTACTTCTCGGGGACATTCTTCTTCGACATCGTCCATTTCCTCCTTCATCGATGCGCTAGATCACGGCTACGTCCTCTGCGTCAACTTTCCAAAGTGCACTCTGTTCACCATTGGTACTTCGACCGGCACCTCAAACACAACGATAGATACCAGCTTGCCAATGCTTTGACAAATCTGCCGCTGGAGCTCCTGTGTCAGCTCATCGGCTCGTCGCTGTCTAGGGGGGTCCTGTGTCTGATAGTGGCAGAAGATGACCGAGAATTTGCGACTAGTATTCTCCACATCACGTTGGCTCTTGAAGTCATCAGGGTCGCTGTTGTGATTGTCCTCGAGGGCAGAGACTCCAACCACATACCTTTCAGCACGGTGCCCAAAGACAACGACTGGCTCCTTGTTGGACCTGCATATCACTCCTTACAGTACGTAACACAGAGACGCAGGAAGCATCGTGATATGTTCCGCACAGAAACCCAGCTAACCAAGGCTGCCTAACTAGTCATATGTATCCTGATCAACATATGAGTTCGTTCTTCAGGCTGTTCGACTGGATTATCGGCACCGCCTGGACCCTCAGAAAGAAGCGTATCGCCATGACTGGCACCGGTGGTGCCTATGGAGCAGCGCTCAAGAAACAGCTAGAGTCCGATGGCGTGTCTGAGATCACAGCGCTCCGCTACGGGGTCGACTTTGACGATGTAGCTGTGGCAGCAAACGGTGTTCAGACACTCGCAGGTGTCGACATCTTGATCCTCGCACATGGGCTGAGGCATGGCGACGTGATGAGGGCCAACTACGAAACTAGCAGACGTCTTGTAGAAGTGTTTGCTCAGACCCGCAAGCCCCGCACAGGACGGCGGCCTGCTGAACTGCCCGAAGTTTGGTATACAGGCAGTGAGGCGGAGATGCATCCGAGCTGGGGAAACGACTCGCTAGCAGCGTACTCGGCATCTAAGCGGCGCTTTCTCCCCTTTGCAAAGTCGCTCTACGAGAAGGATACGGTGGTCTACAGACACATAGTCCTTTCGGCCTTCTCGTCCAAGATGGGTCCAGCCATTGTGAGTGCGGATTGGGCTGCGAAGTGGACAATGTGGTGGATCCGAAGGGGCGGGAAGTACATTCCTGTGACCTACACAGGTATTGCCTACTTGCACTTCTTCAAGTTCTTGTTTGGCATCAAGGCGGAGGCGAACGATGTTCAATTCGAGGTTTGGAGAGAGGTCAGAGTGGAAGATTGGAGGAGTGATCAGACTGCTGAGGGGGGCACGGCTGTTAGTTGATGGCGAGTGTAAGACAGAGGTAGCAGCAAGTGAAAGCACAAGTGGCACGTTCGCAACTGCAGACAGGTTCAGTCGCGACTACAGATGGAAGCTTCAGTCGCGGGTGCGACTAGATGCTGATGTCCTAGGCAATGGTTGAAAGGCGGGTGCGAGCAGAGGAGTAGCAGCTGATGTTGTGTCGCGAGTAAAACGACAGCGGGGCGATGGGTATCTCATCAGCCGAGGATCGTCGATTGAACAGTTGCAACAGACGGCGAGCTGTACAGGCCCATGTCTGTTGTATCTGCGAGTGGCCATTGACTTCGCTGACTCAACCCTCGACGCATAGTCACTCGACGAGTCGCAGCAGCAGAGGGTAGATGGACCGTCTGCTGGCCTCCGATGACTTCTGGTAGTCGCAAGCCGGGGTGCTCTGGACGCCTTGCCGCCGCCCACAACCCACGACCATCCTCGTCGCCAACAGCCCCGTCATCCGCACCAGCCCCCATTGTCCCCTCGGCACCCACGCCGCCGCCCGCGTCGCCTCGTCCCTGCCCGTCGCTCCGTTCTCCTGCTACCCAGCCTGTCGCAGGCCCGTCGCTGTCGCTTTCGCCAACGTCATCACCCGGGGAGCCAAGATCGAAGCCTCACGAGCGCAATGCACACGGCCATGGCGTGCCTCTTGTAACCACGACCCCTGAGGTATCCCGACGAATGCCCAGTTCGCCAGCCGCCGCCTCGACTGCCTTTGACCTGGATACACAGCTCCGCCGACCGCCAGAGCCCAAGAAGCGACCTCACCCTGATCAGCTACACCACTTCCGTCCTCCTCCGCCGCCTCCGCTGCGCCCACCCACCTCGTCGCCCAGCACTACGACCACCCCTCCGCCCATCGACACCCTCTCCTCTGCATCCCTACCACCGCCTCCTCGTCCGCCCGTCTTCCAGTCCGTGTCCAGCGACGCCCTTGACGCGCCCTCTCTACGCAAGAAGCCGCGTCTCCTCCCGCGTCACGAGCGCTTTACCTTCTCCGGCCCTTCTGTCAACCGCCTGCAGCCCCCATCGCCGCTGTTCTTCTCAAATTCTCCGCGGCCGCGTCCGCACCTGCCACCGCGCTTCACCTCGTTCGAGGCAGGGGCCACAATGCTGACAAAGGCCAATGGCGAGGACAGCCATGTCAAGACCGTGACACTTGCACGCGGCACCATCTCCAACTCGCTGCGCCGCTCCATCGACCGCTCTAGTGCCGGTCGCAGTGCTTCGCCCGATCTGCGTGCTGACGTCTCGCTCAATTCTATCGGCATCCTCGAGCTTCTCGACCATGACGACCGTCCTGCTTTGATATTGGATCTGGCGGACGGTACAAACAACACAGAGCTGTCACTACGACCTGTCTTCACAAACAGGTCTTTGCGCTCAAGTCCGGATCTCATCAACGCCCTTACGGGCACTGCCCGAGATCACGATGACGCCGCATTTGCACAGTTCAAGGCATGGGCACTTGGCTCACAAGTCAATGGTGAACCTCTCAGTGTGCCACTACCAACACACGACTATGCTGGTATAAGCTGGTTTTGTTCGACGCTGCGCAAGAGGCTACGAATCATCAGCGGCGCATCGGCTGCCACGACCTCCAACGGCGCTTTGGCTACGTCTGCAAGTCGCAACTCTTCAAGCTCGACCTCAACATCAGCCATGTCTATATCACAACCCTCTTCCTCCTTGCCCATCTCTGGTTCAGCCCTATCTGCAACTGTAGAAGAGCCTGATGACTATTTCGGGAGTGCAGCACCCGCTCCGACCTCAGCTCCTGCTCCAGCAGAGATCTCTCCCTCTATCATTCCTTCTACCGAAGTAGTTGACGACAAGGCTCGACCAATCTCATCATCGTCTCTTTCACTTAGCTCTCGCAAGAATTCGTCCCCTGGTCTTCATGATACCACATCACTCGACACGCATCCTTCTTTCGTCAACGAGCAAGTACTTTGCGCCCAAACTGCGGGCAACGTTGACTGGTTCGATAGTTCGTCGAGTGCTTTCTGCCAGGAAGGCCCCTCTTTCGACTGGACCCGCTTGCCCATAAGCGATTCGATGCCTCCACATATCAAATTTGCACGCAGCATCGAATGGGAGAAGACTCCATTAGGCTCGATCGAAAGCTGGTCATCAGACTTGCGCCAAATGTGCAACCTGATCATGGCCAGCCCTCATCCGGCTGCTATGTATTGGGGTCCAGAACTGGTCGCCATCTACAATGAAGCTTATGTCATGCTAGCTGGTCAGAAGCACCCGGCTCTTATGGGCCAACGTTATGCGGACGCATGGTCTGAGATATGGGCAGATGTCAAGGACGTGTTTGCCAATGCGATGCACACTGGTGAAGCAACCATGAAAGACGACGACCGGTTGTTCATCATGCGCAACGACTATCTTGAAGAAACATACTTTTCTTGGTCTATAATTCCCATGGTTGGTGGTGACGGCAGCGTCATGGGCTTATATAACCCTGCTTTCGAGAAGACGAGACGGAAGCTTGCTGAGAGACGCATGATAACCCTTCGTGAGATCGGTGAGCGTACCGCCCCCGCCAGAGATGTCAGAGGTTTCTACGCGGAGGTCATCGCCGCCTTGGATTTGAACGAACACGACACACCTTTTGCCATGCTCTATTCTGTTCAGGATGAGACTGACAGCGATGCATCGTCCATCCATTCTAGCAGCGTCATGACTAACAGACAATGCGTTCTAGAAGGCACTTTGGGCGTACCTGAGGACCATCCCGCAGCTGTCTCATGTTTTGACCTCAAAACCGGCATGGAAGGACTCGGCCCGGTTTTCCGTGAAGTCATGAAGACTGACAAGCCTGTTCTTCTTGAAGTCGGCACAAAGGATCTTCCAGCTCACCTGTTGGAAGGCCTTGGTGGGAGAGGCTACGATGATTCCTGCCGAAATGTTGTAATTTGTCCTATACACCCTACAACTGGAGAGGCTGTGCTTGGATTCTTGGTCATGGGCGTCAATCCTCGAAGACCGTACGACGAAGATTACAGCTTGTTCATACAACTGCTCAACAGACAGCTTGCGACCTCTCTGGCTTCTGTTGTTTTGTTCGAAGAGGAAATCCGACGAGGTCAAAGAGCGGCGAAGCTTGCCGCTCTCGACAGGATGGAGCTCTCGGAACAACTGGCGGCACGCACCCAGGAAGCCATCGAGAGCGAGACGAAGTTTACTCGGATGGCGGAGTTTGCCCCTGTCGGCATGTTCATAGCCAATTCTGAAGGTACCATCACCTACTGTAACGATACGTGGTTCGAGATATCTCGGGTTTCCAGGGACGAAAACACTCCAGACCATCACTGGATGGATGCTGTTAATGACGAGGACCGTGAATTTATCAACAAACTATGGCATGATCTCATCATTGAAAAGAAACCACAAACCGGTACCTTCCGATTCAAGTCCAAATGGCATGGTTCTGAAGGACTAGAGGGTGATCGATGGGTGCTCTTCTCTGCTTATCCAGAAAAATATGATGATGGGAAACTCAAGAGCGTTTTCGGCAGTCTCACTGACATCAGCAAGCAGAAATGGGCTGAAGGGTTCCAGAAACGCAAGATGGAAGAGGCCGTGGAGCTCAAGAGGCAACAAGAAAACTTCATTGACATCACTTCTCACGAGATGCGCAATCCACTCTCGGCGATCCTGCAGTGCGCTGACGAGATAAATACAACCATGAGTCGGCTTAAAGACGGCCTCAGCGGCCAAGCATCTTTAGTTGCCCCAATCGACAAGTTTCTCAAGGAGGGTCAGAGCATCGAGGAGACTATTGATGGTATCCTCTCTAGCACAGTAGACTCGGCACAAACTATTGCTCTTTGTGCACAAGTAAGTCTCCCTCTCTTTAGGCAAAGCCGCTTCATCCCACTTTGCACGTACTCTCACTCTGACCTTATGCTTACTTGACAACAGCATCAAAAACGGATGTACGTTTATATTCCCCTGCAAACGTCCTCACCTAGCGCTTATACTTACGTGAAAATTCTAGTGTCGACGATATCCTGACTTTGAGTAAGCTTGATTCGCAGCTACTACTGGTCACTCCTGTGGACGCGCAGCCTCTTACAGTAGCGCAACGTGCGTTGAAGATGCACGAAGGCGAGCTTCAGACTGCCGATATTCAACTGAAATTCGTCGTCGATGAGTCGTATAAGAAGCTCGGCATTGATTGGGTAAAGTTCGATCCTTCGCGCGTCTTGCAAGTATTGGTCAGTATGGCATTGGCATTTTGTTGTGACTGAGCTGAGCCAAGTCACCAGATCAATCTTACCACCAATGCGATCAAGTTCACGACAACAGAGAAGAAACGTACGATTACTGTCACACTAGCAGCCTCGACAAAACGTTTCTCTGAACTGGAGAATCGTGTGGTCAACTATTTCCCCACGCGTAACAAACATTCGGATCTTACCAAAGAGAAGGATTGGGGTGATGGCGAAGAAGTATACATCCACTTTGCCGTTCAGGACACTGGCCGCGGACTCAATGAACAAGAAAAGAAGATGCTCTTTCTACGCTTCTCGCAAGCCTCTCCTCGAACTCACGTGCAATATGGCGGTACGTATGAGGATAACGATATACAAAGCATCTCTCAAACTCACACGATTCAATCTTAGGTTCTGGACTTGGTCTCTTTATAAGCAGAGAGCTCACAGAATTGCAGGGTGGCGAGATTGGTAAGCTCAGACCACTACTGCACCTCGGTATACATTACTAACTTTTTGACAGGTGTAGCCAGCGAGTTCGGTGTGGGCTCTACCTTTGCTTTCTGGGTCAAGGCAAAGCGAAGCAGTGCTCCACCCGAAGCGGAAGGCCTCAATCGACCTGCTGTTCGCGCTGCTAGTGATGCAACTGGCAGGAAGATACCATCCATGGTCAACGCCAAGGCTGGCGGTATGGACGCAAGGCCCATCAGAGTTCTCGTAAGTCTTCCTACATTCCACACACGTTCTCTTGATTTTATCCCACACCCTTTTTCGTCTTAGTTTGGGAACACTTGACCTGACCGATCGTAGATCGTAGAGGACAACATTGTAAACGCGAGGGTTCTCTCCAAACAACTCAAAAATCTGGGTTGTGTCGTGCATGTCGCGAATCATGGCGGAGAGGCTCTAGACATCCTTCGCAAGTCTACCTACTGGAATCACGAGGCAGACACCGAGCACGCCACTCCCGAATCTGAACGAATAGGATTGAGCGTTGTCCTCATGGACCAAGAGATGCCTATCATGGATGGGCTGACCTGTACGAGAAAGATTCGAGAATTCGAAAGGGAGGGAAAGTTTGTTCGCCATGTACCCGTCATTGCAGTAACGGCCAATGCTCGGAACGAACAGATTGAGACGGCAATGAATGCCGGCATGGTGAGTAGAATGTGAACTTGGTAGTCAATGCTCGGTTTGCTAATGATTTTGGCAGGACTCTGTCATGGCCAAACCGTTCCGGATCCCAGAGTTGATGCCCAAGATCAATGAGCTTATGGCCAAATATCCGGAAGACTGAACGCCGAGAACAAGCGTGATTCATTACCATGGTCCTGCCCCAGCCAGGATTGCGTTTCGTCGAGATACCCGTTTTCTCACTTTTGAGGAACGATTTCATTCAGATAGTTGGAGAGGTTCTCATTGCAAACGTGTGCGCATTGAGTCGATACTCAAGAGTTGGGATTGAGCAATAAGCATTAACACTGGGAACTAGCACAGAACTAAAATCATGAAGAAACACATCGATCGTATCGATCGCATCAATCAAGCGACTATCTAGTCGGGGGCTTAAAATTTTTCTGCTGGGGTTCAGTTGCTTCTCGCTGGTCACTTGGTGGTGGTCGCGACGATGATACAAACCCATCCTCCAAGCTAGTTTCCTCAAGCAGCACACAGCTCCTGTTCAACGACAGCGGCTTTCCTTTAGTGCACTAGGTCGTGGTTGACATGCATGTGCTGTTGTCTTGGTGGTGCCTGACGGCCTTGGTGTACAGCGATGTGTCAGGACAGCTCTATCAACCACTAATGCTACCTCTTCAAGTACTATGCTTTGCTGGTGTGGCTCGATTTGTATGTTCTTGCAAAAATCAACCTGATGCGCCGTCGCTCCAAGCCGAAGGATGGAGATGACGATCCTTTCAGCCTGGCGCTTCCAGCTGTCACCTCAGTGGCTGAATATATCGGCATGTCGCCAAACGCATATGGTGTACATACTATTAGCCGCGCAACTTGGGAGGTTTCGATGCAAGTCTGTGCTAAGCTTGACTCCGGTGAGCTGATCTTTTCAAGTTTGTGCATCTGCCGGAACCGTTTCTCTACAACTTTTTCATGATGTTTTCTCTTCTATGTGTGCTCACAATGGCCAACTGCACCACCTAGATTCTGTAGCTTTGGAGCTTTGCTTCTGCTGGTTTCGAAAAGAATTGCGGTCAACGTAGGTCCGGCCCATCTACGCCTTCCTTTTCCAACAGCTTCCCACCTCGAGTGTGCCACCAAAAGACATTCCAACCAACGTCAGCATGGCTGTAGCATTGCCATATCTACCATCCAACTCTACTTTCAGCCCATTCACTGATTCCCCGAGCTCGCCTGTTCTACATCAGGTCGACTTGTCAAGCTCTCACAGGTAAGCAAGCTTTGTTCGCGTCGCAATATACCCTAATCACCGTAGCTAGGTGGTCCACGATGTCAGACGCTTTGGCGCCGCCTCCGTCTCCATACCCTCTACAATCTGATCCCTCACCTACCGATTCGAGCGGCACAGAGAGCACTGATATCGAGGAGGACGTTCAACAAGAGATTACGAATACTCCATCGAACTTTGCGATTCAGTCCAGTCGGCCCCAGAGTCGAGAAAGCGTACGCACTGCCGATTCATCCTGATCGATTGCATTGTGACTTATCAGCTCGAGGCAGCTCATCAGGCTAGACACAACTACCGTTCCACGGTCACGGTCCAATTCCGATGAGCCACCGCCATCAGTCATACATGCGCCTCCTGGATTCAAAGAGCTTGTCAGTATAACTGCGTATACCTTGTCCTCTGTATGCCTAAACTCAATCACATCAGGACGGAGCTAGTGGACAGGATTCAGGAACCACCATATACCCGTCCAGCCATGATTTCGATCACGATGCAACTTCTCCAAGTACTCCCGACGCGGCTCTAGGTCCGGAAGACAAACGACTATCCTCTCTCACTTCTCCTTTAGATACGAATACACCACTCAACAAAGGCGTCGATAGGCCTACACCAAGAGCTCAAACGCGACAAGAAGCGGAAGACGAATGGAAGAGGTCTGGGCGGACGTCCAGTCTCGAGGGTATGCCAGGACCCATCTTGCTTGGTTTCCTACGATGATACTGACAAGGAAAAGACATTCCGGAAACAATCATTGACGGTACCAAACTAGACACAGATGGCTCTCTGACACAATCACATACAGTCGACGAGATCTCTGAGCTACGCAGTGCCTTGGATGAATGCTGGACGCTTTGTAACACTCTGTCCAATCTGAGCTCTAATCATCGGCGAAGAGCTCGTGCAGGAGCGCAGTCTGATGCTTCTCAGGAACAAGTATGGCGAAGCTGCTGGCTTCTTTGCAAGCAACTGTATGAATCGTGCGAGAACAGAGCTCAGATTCAAACACTCCGGATTCTGGAAACTTGTCGAGAGTTCTGTCAAGCTCTGTTTGACGTTCGTCAGCGTGGTGACGAGACTATGGACTCTGTTCTAAGAGTCAGCTTCGAGATGAACAATCATCTCTACAATACACATGACCGCCATCTTCCCGAGGCATTCGAGGAGAGAACACTGGATTTCTATGTCACCCTGTGTCATCGTATGATGAAGCGATCGACCTCCTTGAATCAGGAGGCTGATGCACTTTTAAGGGCCTGCTGTGAGTAAACTGTAGGTACTGATTCAGTAAGCCAGTCTCGCGTATTTGGCTGGCAATTATAGGATGGTGTCCTGGACCTCATCTCGTTGATGTTGAGCTCGGATTGTGAGCTGGCTTGCTGCAAAAGTACTCTTTCCGTTCTTCTACAAGACCGTGCTAATTATACCTTCACTTTAAGGGGCTTTGGCTGAAGCACTCTCCAACTTAAGGCAAGTTGATCGCGACATCAAAACACTTGATGAGCTACTCGCTTCTGCTATCCAAGCCTGCTGGGATCTTTCGAACATTTTTAGGGAGAGCTGGAGTCATCTACGTCCTGATAAAAGTACGCCACGACCAGTTCAAGATGCTAGGGTTTCATCATCGATGTCACAACACTCAACAGGTCGATCTGAACGAGCTCCTTCCAGTTTGAGCAGCGAGTACCATGACGCACCATCACTACCGCCAGAAACTCCAACCACCATCTTTGACGATGCAACCACGGTCTCATCACCAGAAACAGTCAACGTACCCAATATCCTGGTACTTGGCCCTGCTGCTCCTTCGAGTTCTGGTGGCTCAGCCCGTGGTACTAAACATCACGATCGCTGGTCCAGCAACGCATCAACGCTGAGCGACTACTCAGAGTCTGCAGACTCGCAACGGACTTCGTCCACTGCGCGTGCGAATTCTGATGGTAAGCATCCCCTCCGCCTACGTTGTCTGATTCTCAAAGCGGCTTCCGATGTTGGGTTCCCAAGAGCTTTGAATCAGTCTCTGGCTTCGTTTGCCAAAACACTTCCGGTGAATACTTTTGGCAACCATCCATGGCAGGTCCAATTACTCGAACGCTACAAAAGACTTGTCGCTGTCGATCAGAGCCTTCGATCCGTAGCGTCCATGTCCGGTCAAAGGCTTTCTGCTATCGAGGTGGCCAAATCAGTCAGATGGTTGTGCCGAAACGAGGATTGGACGTGGTTGAAACAGCTATACTTGGTTGTCTTTGGGTTTGGCGTCGAAGAAGCGGAAATCAGGGGTGGATTTCTCCAAATTTAGAGCATGAATGGTTGGGCAGCTGTCGTCTTCCCTTATGATTGGTACTGAACTAATGCCTCGCACATCTTGCAGGATGGTCTGTGATATGTCGTCAATGTGCTTGTTTCTGTGATCCGCTGCACTGTTGTAATGTTCTTTCACAGTACGGCTGTTGCTAGGAGCACCCTGACGATAAATATGATATATTAAGCTCATGCCAAATAGGTGTCACAAGTTGGCCACAACAACTCTCGATGGCAGTCATGCGCCATCTGGAGGCATATTGTGATCCATGAACACTCAATGTTAAGGTAGCCTCCTCTATGTAATGCGGTGGTATCGACGGCGAAATGGTAGGAAGTAATTTAGTGTCTCTACCGCTCTCCCACGAGCAATATTACGTGATAAGTACATGGCTACGAGAATGCACGATGCTTTCAAGAGACTAGATAGTATCCAAAGAGATGCAACATGCTTCAGGCTCTCGTTGGATGCGTCTCTGTTCTGGAGATCATTGTGCCTATCTACAGAGAGGCGCCGCTCGAGATGAAATGATATGCGCCATAAATACTAGAGTTTGATGAGGTGAGGTTGTAATACAGCCGTGTCCGGTGTCTTGGCACAGCTCAGACGGGCTAGCTTCGCCGCTTTGTCCATGAACTAGTCTCAAACAGGCAATCAGATTCACAGAGCGTGGAAAAATTCTCTCCGAAGCCACCATAACGTCTCTAGTGACTCTTACGATGCCACACGAGCAAAAGAGATGTACGATGGTCAGTACGGGGGTCGAACCCGCGACCTTGGCGTGCCGTGTATCGGGAGATATTAGCACCACGCTCTAACCAACTGAGCTAACCGACCTGTTGATATAATGTGCTCAGCACGTAACGAAAATGATCCCACGCAATAGTGTCGGAGTGGAACGGCACCGGAAACAGCCAGGAAGAACGAGCTCCAACGCTTGAGCTGAAAACGTCTCTTGACAATTTATTCCCCGTTGTTGACACTACAATGGATGCTTGTCCATCTGTTCCTCAGAGAACAGCAGTCGTGTCGGCAGTTGCGTCTTGAAAGAGTAGAAGACCTTCTGTACTGCTCAGTATTGGAAAGGGAAAGTATGATTCCTAGCCAGAGTCTGCTTAGTGTTCAAGCAAGAATGGGCGGATCCATCGAGTCCACGAAAGAAGCAAGTTGTCTCTGAACAGAGACCACAAGAATATCGTTACCAATCACCACCAACGGAAGCAAAAATAAAAGTCGTTCAAGAAAAATATAAGAGCCAGAAGCAATGTCGAGAGTTTTGGGTACAGTAAACCCTCCACGAGGGGAGCGAACAGCATCGGATCACGGAATCATGAATGGCCTGGTAGGCTTGGTACGGAAGAGAAAGTCGATGGCATTGAAACGAGATACAACAAACGGGGTATAAAACCAAGACGCAACATGAAAATCGTAAAATCAATCATCCATTCATAAGTTGGGGAATACTCTTCTCAAGAGTTTACGTGCTTTTGAGGTCCTGGGTTCTGACTCAGTCTCGTCGACAGAGGCATCCTGAAGTCCTGACATAGCCAGAGCACGCCTCCGTGCCCACTCCCTTCGGCCCTGAGCGGTGGCTGGGGTGACCTGAGGCGCATGCGTATCGTTGTGCTCCGGTATAGGCGTCATCTCTATCGGAGGGGCATGGGTAGGAGGCGGTACACTGGGCCTGGCGGAGGCTCGAGCGTGTGGACCAAACAGCATGAGATTGCTGGCATTGGGTGTTTGACTTGCAGCGGCATGGCGGGCCCGTCGGGCTGCATTCCGCCGCAGATATCTCTCTCTTCTAACATGGGCATTTGTGATCTTGCCAGGCACGTAACCTTTTGGCAGGACTGACTGCTTGCACAGAGGACACATGGATGACGTGTCTAGCAGGAATAGATCGATACACTGATTGTGAAACACGTGACGACACGGGAGCTCGCGTACCGGATTTTCGGATTCGGTAAAGTCATCCAAGCAAATAGCGCAAGTAGACTGATCAAGAGGTGGCGGACCTTGCGACGAGCCTTTGGGCATGGCAGTGTTGGTAGAGGGCGTGTAAGTGTACATCTGATCAATGATATCCTGAGGTACGGTGAGCTTTCCAAGACCTAGAGCTTCGATGTTGACCTCGCCCCGAGCTATTCTGGCACGCAGGTCGTTCCGCCTCTTCCTCTGGATCATGTGCATGGTCAAAGACAAGGTGCCGATGAGAGCGACCAGAATGGCCAGAATTATCAACAAGAAGATCCAGATGCTAGGAAGATTGTTTCCGCCACTAGTGGTGGTAATGTCGATCCAGAGACGAAGCTGGTTGTCTGGAGCAGTGTTGCCAGAATAGAGAGCCAGTTGAGACACAGCCATGCCGCCGACCTGCGAGGCGATAGCATAGACTGGATAGGCAGTGACGGATCGCCAGTGACCGCCGTCGCCCAGATCCCACATAGCGGATTTTGCGGGAGCAAGCGGAGGGTTTGTCTGGTCAGGGACATAAAAGACAAAGGCAGAAACAAGGTCATTAGAGGCAGCTTGGAGGTAGCTCAAGGTACAGGAAGGAGAGAGCCAAGGAGCTATCGCGACGACTGGATCTGTATTAACAGGCAGATGGTTGTATCTGGTGACATTCTGGGGCAGAGACTGAGCGCATAGACCGCTGGAGTCGGGGACATAGAGAAGTCCCCTTGCTTGAGGAGCCGAGTAGGCGGAGTTGAGAACGCGGACATTGCTTTCCTGGAGGAAGTCAAAGGCCACACCCGGGGCCAAGATGGACTGATTCAAGATATCAAAGGTGGATATTCGCAAGCTCGTCATGGTTGGGGCGCGAGCACCAGTGCAAAGGCAGGAGAGGGAGAACAAGGAGCCAAGAGGGAGTGGAAAGAATATGTCAGCAGGATTTGTTACAATGGGCCATGGCAGCCAGGATGAGCAGGCAGAAGGACAGAAACACAGACGACGAGGGCGAGGGCGAGGGCGAAGGCGGAGGCGGGCGAGATACAGGACACGGGCGGGAAGGCGGGTTGACGCCGACGAGACGGCAAGCTGAGGAAGGCAGAAAGCTTAGTTTGGCGCACGGGCATGTGCGTCTTTGCGGAGGTGGACCAAGACGCAACAGCAACACAGCAACAGAGCATCCATCAACCAAGAATCGGCCCGGGATCCATGTCCTCGCAGCGCCATCATGGCCCCGTCGTCCAAGAACACGCCGTCGCAAGCCCGCCCGCGTGAGAAGCGCTCGCGATCGCGCGCCGCCAGTCCAGCCTCTGCCACGCCCGCTGCTGCCGCCGCCGCCCCTACAACCACGCCCTATCTCCATACTTCGCTGCTGCTGCTGTCTCCGCATCTGACCATCGACGCTCTCATGGACAAGCACGCCACAAACTCGACCAGCCCTCCCTCGGCCTCCAGCCTGCACGCCCTCCACGACAGCATCCACCACACTGTACTGCCCAACGTCCGCTCCCGGAGCGATGCTTGCGACCGCAGCATGCGCGAACTCTCGAGGAAACGGAAATTCCGCGCCGAACAGGAGCTCGACCGCGAGCGCCGTGAAGACGACGCCGCCGCCCAACTTAAAAAGGCCCGCCTCGACAAGAAGACGGATCCGCACCGCCCGCCTGCCGTTGGCGCTCGCGGCCTCGCTCGCCAGGACGGCCAATCTTCCCCTCCGCCCGAATCCCCTGTGGCCGAAGACGACCCATCGTCACCTGTTCCCTCAGACGCCGAGCACCAACCGGCCCCCGCCCCTGCCATTGCCCATTACGAATCGTTCGGCAATGATCCCAGCCAGTTCGATGATCCCACCATATACCATATTCGCGACTGGACCCCCGACATGACCGACGAAGAGAAGAAACAAATCTTCTGCGTTGCTCGCTTCCCCCACGATGATTTGCACGACCTGACACCTGGCACCCCACCAGACATGGACTTTAGTAGCGCAAAACCTGCCAGTCAGATCAACTTCTCTACCTTCCAAGCCTATGTTGAGCCCTACATTCGTCCTCTGACCGAAGAGGATGTCGCCTTTTTGAAAGAACGTGGCGATCGCGTCACACCATATCTCATACCACCGCGGGGTCCCATGCCGTACACCGAAGTCTGGGCCAAGGAAGACGGCGTGAGCCATCACGACTTTAATCTCCGTCTGCCGCCAAACGAGCCTCGAGGCAACATCGAAGACATGAGTGACGATGTTGCCGAAACTGCCCAAGTTTCGGCAGGGCCCTTAATATCACGTCTCATGAGCGGTTTCCGGCATGATCCGAATCTCGTCAAAGATGACCAGACGAATGGCAATGCTGATGTATCAATGACCAACGGAGAGAGTACTGCAGGCGGTCCAGAAAGCGAACAAGCCACGAATAACGAAGAACTGTCAGATACGGTTGCATCATTCAAGCCTGCGACACATTTTCCAGATCAATACAAGATTCCGCCCAACGCAGGCCGAGATTTCGCACCTTTGGAGCAGCGGACGCTACAAGAGCTGCGCTACTGTGGCTTTGTCACGCCCGAAGCAACCCCAGATTATGATTCGCAGTACGATGACGAAGTCGCTGCCCGTCTGCGTTATCTTCAATCAGAGCTTCAGCGGGTATCACGAGAGAACACTGCTCGAAAGGCACGTGTGCTAGAGTTGACCGAGGAGCGTATGGCCATGCAGGAGTACTCTACTATCGCCGATGATCTCGACTCCCAAATCAACACAGCCTACTTGAAGCGAAATCGTACCATGAGTAAGCCTAAGAAGGGTACAGGCAAGGGAAGACCGGGTGGCACTGGTGTGGCCATCAGCTGGAATTTGGTCAGTGAAGGAGTCAAGATGCTGATGGATAGAAGAAGAGAGTGGAGAGAGCTCATTGGTCCAGTTGTCGATTTTGGACAGCAACGGATACCAAAGGAGACCGTCTTCGACAAGGAGAATATGGAAAGACTTGAAAAAGTCGAGGCCGATGCTGGCGAGGAGGAAATAGAATAGGTACAAGTACCTTGCTAATAATTATTGCTAGCGGGCTTGATGCCTAGCTAAACGACTTGATGTCATTTCTCTTCAAACCTTCTTTGCTCTCTCGGTTCTCAAAGATGATATTCGTACCTGCTCACACATTGTCTGAGGAGAGGCCTGGTCGGTAAGAAATGCTGTATATGGATCCACATTCGGCGATAATTCCGGGGTACCTCTTTAGCCATCGGCCATGGCCGATCCATCTCTTGGAAGGCGGAGAAAAGTATTACTCACGGTCAACCGTCCGTTTTCGTTCCATCCTTTTTCTGGCCAGCTCTTCTTCGCGTTGTTATCCCGACCGGACTGCTGCATTATATTCGTGGGTCTTGTAAACTTATGACAGCCTCTATGATTCCCGGCACAACGCCTGAGCGTACCCTTTCCAATGCCCCACCAATTGTACCATTGACCTATCATGGATCCGCGGACAATGAGAAGCCACACTCTTTATATCGAGACATAGAGTCGACAGGCCTGCCAGACCAAGAAGTCTCATATCCAGAGGGTGGAAGAGGCTGGTTGGTTGTATTTGGATCGTTCTGTGGAATGTTGGCAGCCCTTGGACTCATGAATTCAATAGGTTTGTCTGTGTTACTGTCCACGTTGAGGCTCCGACTGACCATATCAAGGCATCTATCAAGCCTACGTTGCCACACATCAGTTGTCCGATTATTCAGAAAGTCAAATATCTTGGATCTTCAGTGTATATTCCTTTCTTTCGTTCTTTTGTGGTGTTCAAATTGGACCATATTTCGACGCCAAAGGTCCTCGTCTATTGGTTGCAGTTGGCAGTGTACTGCTAGTAGCCTGCACACAGCTGCTGGGCATCTGTACGAGTAAGCCTCAAACACGTCGCCTTCATGAGCAATCGATGAGCATGGCTAACGAGCACCAGAATACTGGCATTTCATGCTCTGCTTCGGGGTCTTGGGAGGCACTGGAACCAGCCTCATATTCACTCCAGCCGTCTCCAGTATTTCTCATTGGTTCCTGGCACGACGTGGTAACGCGACTGGTGTCGCAGCAACAGGAGGTGCCGTCGGCGGCGTCATCTTCCCTCTGATGTTGCAGAACCTCTTTCCCAAAGTTGGCTGGGAATGGGCGACTCGTATTCAAGGCTTCATATACATTGGTCTTCTTCTAATGGCCAATCTTTTTATCCGTTCTCGGCTCCCACCAAAACCTGGTGGCAGCGTCTTGCCAGACTTTAGGATCTTCCGGGACGTTCCTTTCGCCCTGACCACGGTTGGAGTCTTCTTCGCTGAGTGGGGGCTATTCGTCCCAATCTCCTATCTGACGTCCTACGCATTGAGTTCTGGTGCTTTCAGCACAACCTTTGCATATCAGCTCATTGCGATATTCAATGCCGGATCAATCATCGGCAGGTGGGCTCCCGGGTATCTCGCCGACAAAGCCGGAAGAGTCAATCTGATGATCGTTTGCCTAGTATTGTGCGCTCTATCCTCAATGGCTCTCTGGCTACCTGCAACGATTCTCTCCGCATCTGGTGGTAGTAGTGATTCGACAATCCTGGGCCTCACGATAGCCTTTGCAATCCTGTTTGGATTTGGTTCCGGATCCAACATCAGTCTCACTCCTGTCTGTGTTGGCCAGCTCTGCTTGACTGAGGAGTACGGCAGATACTACTCCACCTGCTACACCATAGTATCGCTCGGCACGCTTACGGGCCTGCCTATTGCAGGAGCATTACTTGAAGCATGCGACGGAAAGTACTGGGGCCTTGTATTGTTCACAGGTCTGTGCTATATCATCAGCTATGTCGCATTCTCGTGGGTCAGAGTAATGAAGCAAGGGTGGGGGTTAACGAAGGTGTATTAGAGACAAAGATCAGAAGCATGTTCAACTTCATCATATCCGTACCAGAATCTTATCCTCGCCATCCCATTTCATCACGAAGAGTTCCTTCTCGTCGTAAACGCGACATCTAGTCAACGCATGTAATCAATTTGAAATCTGTTTCGAGACAACTATACCTTCTGGGCTCATTTTGATGACTCACTGTACGTCCTCTATCTGCACTCTAGCCGTGGCGAGCAAGGCAAGACTTTTGAGTATACTAATCAAGAGGGTCAACTTTCGAATCACGTTGTGTACTTTGATCATGATCTCTCGCAGGTTTTATCTTCACAGCTATTGGTCTTCTCGTTCATCGTTCGATCTTAGCCCAAAGCGGCTAGTCTAGTCACTCGTGGCATGAGACTTCTCAGCGGATGAGGCTCTCCAGTAGGAAGATTCTTACGAGGCAATGATGGATGTTGATCCGACCGGTATTCGGCTTTACTATGCTCTAGTACGTATTGTGCGCAACAGGAAACATAGCATTGGGTGTACTAGACGACGTGGCTGTGATTTGGACTCTACGTGCCTTCTTGTCCCTCCCCTTAGCTGTGTTTATCCTTTGCCATGGGGCTATACCGTTTTGCTGCCTCTATCTTATACTCGAGGCGGGCACAGCCAGATGGCTGATAATCCTGTATCATGCTCATCTGAATATGTTTTCTGCTATCGTTGATCGACTCAAGAGGAAAATGCAAAGGATGCGGCTGAACCGTTGATTCAGAGCCGCATGGCAGACACGTGGGTTCAAGACAAAGTTAATTGCGCGCTTTGACGACAGTTGCTCAGACTCCGACAGATCTCAAGTCTTAGCAATCGACACGTACAGATTGCGAAGTGGGGATATCTGGCTAGACGGAGTCATCCGCTCAGACATAATTCTGACACGAAGGTTCGCGGAACGAAGTCCTCACTACAGTCTCCAAGCTCTGCCCCACTCCTGATCTCATACCATTCGTTGGCTCTGTCCAGCTGTAGCTCTTGCTGGGTACCTTCACTAGTCCATCATATTGCAGTGAAGTAACGACTTGCAAGCCATGCCTAATGCTCGTGTCGGGTCCGGCAATTAACTCATCACAACGGGTTCAGCCGTGGCCTGCTCATGGTTGGCAGCGTGATGGAAGAAATGTTTCACACTCGCCTGAATGGAGCTTGCCTGAACGGATCTCACCGCAATAATCACGAATCCATTGACATATGATGATCGCTGATTGGGCAGGTCCTCTCCGCATTGAACTTATCACTAGGAAATCGCCGATATGGCATACTCTGACGTATGTCGACCATCTGATGCACAAGAAATGGTAGCTGAGCTCAATCTAAGGAGACTCATCTGTAGTGCGAGTGTGGCAGACGCTGAAGCCTTTACAGGCAGGCATGGGCGGCTCTGTTCTTGTAATGGCTTAGGCCCGCCTGGGTGGGCCGTGAGCTGTCAAAACCCATATGGAGTCTCCAATCATAACAAGGATTATAATACCTACGTCACTCTTTGGTAAGCTATTTCCATAGTCCAAGCTCCGGTCATCACGGTGATTGTTTATCAAGGACATCGCCCGCCGCGCAAAGCTCAGGATCGATTGACCAAGTACTCTTTCTTTTTTCACAACAATCGCAATGGCACCAGGAATCACAGAAACCGTCAAGGAGGCCATCACTGGCTCACCTGCTGAGAATGCCAAAGTCGCTGCAATGAGCGACAACATCAAGAACTACATGGACTCGAACAACCGAATCACCACCGACTACGGCGTGAAGCAGACAAACACCGACGACTCGCTCAGAGTTGCAAGTGCCGACAAGACCGGTCCTGTGCTGCTCGAAGACCACGCTGGACGCGAGAAGATTCACCGTTTCGATCACGAGCGTATCCCCGAGCGTGTTGTCCATGCCAGAGGTGCAGGTGCTTTTGGTACCTTCAAGCTGTTCGAGAGTGCCTCGGACGTTTCGTCTGCTGGTGTCTTGACCGATACCTCGCGCACTACACCCGTCTTCATTCGCTTCTCTACCGTTTTGGGAAGCAGCGGCAGTGCGGATACCGTCAGAGACGTCCGTGGCTTCGCTGTCAAGTTCTACACTGAGGAGTTCGTATTCAACGGAGCAGTAGAAGTCCATTCGACTGACCCACAAATACAGAGGTAACTGGGACATTGTTGGAAACGACATTCCAGTAAGTCAACCCCCAAGTTTTCTACTATCCGAGTTTGTGAAAGAATGCTAACACTCTCGGCCTAGGTGTTCTTCATCCAGGACGCTCTCAAGTTCCCCGACGTCATCCACTCTGGCAAACCTGAGCCTCATTCCGGTATCCCTCAAGTGAGTCAAATATAGGTACATATTTAGTAGGTCAGTCTCGCATATTTGGCTAGCAATGATGGGATGGTGTTCTAGACGCCATCTCGTTAATGTTGAGCTCGGACTGTGAGCTGGCTTGCTGCAAAAGTACTACTTCCGTTCTTCTATAAGACCGTGCTAATTGTACCTTCACTTTAAGGGTGAGCAGAACCACAGGCAAGCACACTGCGAGGTATCCTTGTTGCTATGAGAGGAACCTTGTGGCGTGGCTACCGCCTATACTTGTAGAGATCATGCTAACCAGAATCGCAGCACAAACTGCGTATGTCAAACCTATGATGAATGCTGCTGTATTTTCGTGAATTGTATCACTTGAAACATGCTAACGATCATTTCTTTCAAGTCACAACAACTTCTGGTGAGTAGTCTCCTATACTGTTCCGATACGATATTAAGGACATGCTAATCATGCCTTCGTTGTAGGGACTTCCAATACCTTCATTCCGAGGCAACTCACATGTTCATGTGGGCAATGTCCGATAGAGGCATTCCACGTTCATACCGAGTATGTCCAAACACTATCCCAGCTCTCTGTCGACGTCATGCTAATTGAATTTCAGATGATGCAAGGGTAGATCACCCGGATCCTTACAGAAAACCAAGCTGACCCGAGTAACAGATTTGGTGTAAATACTTACAAGCTGCTGAACTCCAAGGGAGAATCCCACCTCGTCAAGTTCCATTTCACACCTCATCTTGGTGTGCACAGTTTCGTGTGGGATGAAGCCTTGAAGCTGGCGGGACAAGATCCTGACTTCCACCGTAAGGATCTCTGGACCGCAATCGAGGGCGGCCAATACCCAAAATGGGACTTTGGTATCCAGACCATTCCCGAAAGCCAGGCCGACGATTTCGATTTCGACCCCCTCGACGCGACCAAGATCTGGCCCGAGGAGGACTTCCCTGTGAGATATATTGGCGAGCTTGAGCTCAACCGCAACGTACGTATATTCATGTTGCAGTCTGCAGATGCCGACCCTCGTCGAGGATCCATCGTGGCACACTGCTCTTTGTCTTCGGATCATGCTAAAATCTGCATTCCAGCCTGATGAGTACTTCACTCAGACTGAACAGGTCGCCTTCTGTACTGGTCACGTCGTTCCCGGTATCGGCTTCTCCGATGATCCTTTGCTGCAAGGCCGCAACTTCTCCTACTCCGACACACAGCTCACACGTCTCGGCGTCAACTGGCAGGAGCTGCCTATCAACAAGCCAATGTGCCCCGTTATGAACCAGAACCGAGATGGAGCTCTTCGTCATAGCATCACCAAGGGAACTGTCAACTACTGGCCCAACCGCTTCGAAGCTACCAAGCCTGCCACTGCTGAGGAAGGTGGCTACGTCGATTACCCACAGAAGGTTGCCGGAATGAAGGCCCGTCTGCGTAGCAAGAAGTTCTCCGAGCACTACAACCAGGCTCAGTTGTTCTACAACTCCATGTCTGAACACGAGAAGATGCACATCATGAATGCGCTCTCTTTCGAGCTCGATCACTGCGACGACCCCATTGTTTACAAGCGCATGGTCGAGAGGTTGTGTGAGATCGACCTCGATCTTGCTCGTGGAGTCGCAGAGCAAGTTGGTGCGGACATTCCCGAGGAAGCTCGCCGCGTCAACCTGGGAAAGCGTTCCAAGAACCTCTCTCAGGAGGACTTCCCTCCTAAGAACTTGACCATCGCCACGAGAATGGTTGCAATTCTGATCGCAGATGGTTACGATTCTGTTGCCTACAACGCCATCAAGGCTGCTCTCGCTGCCCAGGGCGCTCTTCCGTTCACCATTGCTCCTCGTCGTACTCCTATCTATGCTGCTGGCGAGAGCAAAGACTCTGGAAAGGGACTCGTTCCTGATCACAACCTGGAGGGACAGCGCAGTACCATGTATGATGCCATCTTCGTCCCTGGTGGAGCCGACAGTATCGCCACTCTTCGCAAGAACGGCCGCGCGCTGCATTACGTGAGAGAAGCGTTCGGTCACTTGAAGAGCATTGGCGCTACCGGTGAGGCGGTTGCATTCGTCAAGGATGCTTGCCAGCTCCCTGGTGTATCGTTCTCTGAGGGCAACGATGTCGTCGACTCTTACGGTGTCGTTACCGCTGCCCAGACTGAGGTCGGCAGCTTCAAAGAGGCCGTGACCCTTGTCAAGGGTGCAAAGGACTTCGCAACAGCCTTCTCGTACGCCATCTCTCAGCACAAAAACTACCAGCGCGAGCTTGATGGCTTGGCAAACATGGTGGCCTACTAAGCTGTGTCCAGCAAAGATAATAGTTTGTAATGTAGAAGTTTCAATTCCGAATTGTCGGTGCAACCTGGCTTCTGGTTCCATCAATCATATTTTCTGACACGGAAGCTCGAACGTATGAGAATGTTTATCATGGTGTGTTGAATGGACTCCCTTGACTACGGAGTACTTGGGTGTAGCTTGGCAGACAAAGTTGTCAAGCAGGAATTCACAAATCTAAGGTCTCATACATTTTCCCCTGCCAATGTCTCAATCAGCATGGTAAGTTGACTGTCATGTCTGAGCTTTGTCGTCAAACATTGGAACAACGCAGCGTGCGATAATCTTGGTCGTGCAAGCCAAATTGGCCCTGAACGGGTGAGCGTGCCGTGACCACCCACTGCAGTGTAATAGAGAAAGCCGTGTTCACATCGACTGCTACGCGTACTTGGTGACACGAGAAGGCTTGCATTTGACAGCTGTAGGCAGCCTTTGCCGGGTCCTGCAGACTGCACCTTATTACCTGCAATAAGCGGTGTCAAGGACGGACGGAACTCAGGGGTTCGGATAATCGACTTGGTTTCGTATCTGTCGCTCGCATATGGGATGAACGGACAAGGCGTGACAACGTTCCAATTGAAAACCATCAGGAGACATGAAAGACATATCAAGCCCCTCTCGTTATTGCTACCAAGGCAAGCCAAGGAATCGACAGCAGCCTTTCATACCAAGAAGGTCCAGAAGCTGGGATACACAAACTCGTCATCAAAGATGCGGCGCACCTGTTCGAGGACAAATTTCTCCACCTTCCCCACATTCTTGAGAACTTGCTTTCCTCCCTCGCGTTGACCAATCTCACTTTCAACTTTGATCTCTTCCAAGAGAGCTCCCAGCTTGCGTGAGCCCTGCGATGAGTTGGTGCTGTGCTCCTCATGCTCGCCTGTCAACGATCCACCGACCAAGGACTCGGCATCCTCCTGACAAAGGAAACAAAAGTGTGCCTTTTTCTTGATATAAGCCAATATTCCGACACCATCGAATGTCAGACCGGTGATGTTGAGCTGCAACGGGATCCCTACAAAACTGGGCATCGGGTAGTCCAGCGAAATTTCAGCAGTCAACCTCAGCTTGACGTCGCCACAGTATGCCACATGAAAGACCATCTGGACATCCTCGGGGCTACGTTCCTGCTCGTCTCCAACTCCGTGATGTGACGTGTCGGAGTCGTGGTCATCGTGTTGCAAGGACTTCTCAGGCCAATCCATATGTTTTGAGGTTGGACGCGAGGATGACTTTGAAGATGAAGGCGTCTGGGAACCGAAAGAAGTTGAGCGGTGCCGTGGCTCACTGTCAGAGTAGTTGCTCTCTGGCGACTGGGCCAATTGTGAGGGGCCATGTCGCGCATTGTGGAATTGTGCGCCGGCCACAGCGGCCAATGGGGTCGTGGTACCTGAAAGTCCTGCCGATAGTGGCAAGTGGAAATAGCCCAAGTTCGACGTGCCTCCTAAGACTCCTGGCGTAGCTGTTCTTGAGAGAATTGGGTTTCCCATGTGCTCTCGAGAACTTGTCAATCGAGGATTGTGGAATTCATCACGGCTCAAGGATGCGTTGTGTTGATGGTGAGGACGCGTCTCATCGACCCTGGGAGTTGCAGCACTGTGCTGGCTCTCGTCAATCTGGCCGGGCGTCTCGTCGTCTTCTTGACTATCGTCGGCGTCGTTTTCGTAGAAGTCCGGTAATGGATCACAGACGTCTTTGAGCTCGATTGTTGGAGCGACATTGCCAAATTCAAAAGCGTGGCACTTGACAGAGCGTATCATGCGTGGGAGGGCAATCTGTTGGAAGCGATCATGGATGAACGCCCTGATAGTCTCTGCCAGCGCTTCGCCATCAGAGCCCGTGGTGAGAGTGTCCCAGTTGATGTCTATCGACATGTTTGCCGTCAGAAGTCTGACAAGACGTCGGGTCTGCTAAGCGCTGTGGAAGCAGGGCAAGTCGAGGCGGATTCTCGGCTGGCAGGCCTTCCTTCTCCACTTTGCAGCCAACTGTGAAGCTCGCCCAGACATCTCACCGACACTTCGACGTGTTTGTCTCTCCTCTTCTTCCTCTGCCGCCGACTCGGCTATTTGCAATTGCTCACATTGCATGTCCTCGTTTGCAGCAATCTATCAAGCTCTGGGCCAAAAGGATAGATGCCTCTGTGTCCCTGCAGCCACGTTTCACGTCTCCTAAGGCTCTGGCATGACAGCGGAAAGCTGCCCAAGCGCCTGCAAGTCTGCAGCCATCTGCTGTATCCTGCAATGCCCACTCGGCCCGTACCGGCTCTCGACAGCCAGTTGCTGCTTTGTTTGTGACAACTCAAGAATCATGACATGGGCCAGAGGTACGTATCAGATACACGCCACTTTTGCTCATAGCAGTTCGATAACGCTATGATCCATCATTTCGCTCCGACCACTCCACCAACGCCTTCAGGTGGTCAGATGCAGATGCATGTTGAATGTTTGCCGCAAGCAATGACTCTTCTTGCATCTCTCTCAGCAAGATAGAGAGCGTTCATGAATGTCGCACTGTGCGAAGGACAATATCCTTTATTGCAATATTTCTAGCAGGCCCTTCTGTGCTTGCCGAATGCTTCGACTGCTCCAAGTAACCATACGCCGCGCTAAACCTGCCCTTTTTGACTTGCCGAACGCCGAGGGATGATATCCACCATGAGTTGAATGAAGCAGGAAAAAAAATACCCAAAACAAGTCAATGCCGCCAGAAGCCTCGTCAACAACTGATTCGTAGACCATTAAACATTTCCTTCAACGCGGGCTACTGTCTTTCATCGTCCTATCAGTACTGTAGTTGACCACGCAACCGACACTGAGTATATGTCAGCGACGTTGGAGCCGAACTCAGTCGGTCAAAAGAGCCTCACCGTGTTATCTTTGGCAATTCGAGCAGCGTTGATCGTGATTGATCTTCTTGTCTTGGGAATTGGGACACTTTGCGACTCTCGACGCGGCGCAAGGGGCCAAGTCGACTTGCTGATGACCGCATTTGAAGACGTGGACGATTTTCGTGCACATGATTGTTGTCGGCTAGCTGGCGAGGAAGTGTTCCGCGGGAAACGAGGGTGGTTCGGGCAAGGATGTTTTGTTGCAGTCTGCGACAATCGTGGAGCGGCCAAGCCCTGGAGAGGAGTGTGACTCTGCTGAGCAATTGTTTAGTCGTTGGCAAGCCTTTGTCGGCAATCGTGCACTCACCGACCTGGCTAAAATACCACAGTCTGCCGCAGTTGACGAGAACGAAAGAGGTTTGAGAGGGTGCACACACGACGGATGGACATCTTTGACTGGCGATGGCTCGCGCTGGGTCTTATAAAGGGCAAAGCAACCAGCCCGCCGGATAGTCTCACGAAATGTTAGCACTGTTTGCACCAGCTTTGCAACACATGGATAGCCGTTAGAAGACCCGCAGGCATGCGCTCTCTCCCGATGGCGATCAGAAGGCAAGGGTCCTCTCAGACTACGAGCGGGTACCCGCGAGCCGAAGGTCTTGACAGCCGACTACTGCACACAAGCGCGCCAACAAATCCATGTCCTGAGGGTTGACAGATGGTGCAACGGCCTCTGGTTTTCCCTGCCACTCCTTTTCTGTGCTCTTGTTGTCTTCTGCTTGCCCTGTTGCCGTCGGAACCTTGTCCCGTGTGCTGTACGACGCATGTATTGACCATCACGACTGGCCAACATACCTGGCGGGCTATCCTTGCGCTTACGCATGCCGTGTCCGTCATCAAAGAGTGCGCCCCTCACCTTTTCGCTTGAAACAATCGCGCTCCTAGCGACTCCAAGACCTGCGGCTTCCGGGTCCCAAGTCTGATGGAGCTGCTGTCGTCTTTCGCCCTTGGTGCGTCTCTCTGCAATTTGTCCGGCGTATGAACGGCCCGCTGGGAGATTGTCTGTGAGGGTTCATTGTCCATCTAAACAAGGCAAAATGCCCTTCCCAGCGGACAGAAGCTCATCTTCAACACACGCTCCACCACGAGGGCTCTGCCCCGCTTCCCTTGCTTGGCTCTGTAGCGAGCAATCAAAACAAATTGGTCCATTTTGTTTCACAGGCTCACAGTTCACATTCTTTCGTTTCCTCAAACTGAACATGTTACGTTTGATTTTGCGCAATTGACTTGTGCTCGGATCAGTCTACGACGGGACATGCATCATTTTAGATAGAGAACCGTGCATTGGGCAATCGCGAGCATGATCGTCATGTTGATATTGTTTTAGCGAGAGCCAACCGCCTGTCCATGCATACAGCAGACAAAGACTCGTCCACGACAGAATTTGACCTGTGGGTTCTCAAATGCAGCCAAACGCCGTCTTTGCAGACAAAATGTTAGCTCAAACTCGAGATCGCGAACATTGTCCTTGTCCTCCATTTCTGCGCAACGGACTCCAGCTACGTCTACGCAGACATAGGTATAATCTCAGTTCCCGTCGGACTGCACCTCAAAGCTTCAAGGACGTCTGCCATCTGACCATGGTAAATTTGCGGCAGGCCGATTCGACCCAAATCACAAGCTCAAGAACAGCTAATCGCTTGTCAAGACAGATACTAAGGAAGCTGAGCATCTAGTCGTTCTGCAGGATAATTGAAACGGTGTCAAACAGCATAGTCATCACCACAAGCTGGAGAAGATCTAGTGCTACGTATGTTGATCATGCGGTACATCAGGTAGAGCTCTGAAAGCCATTACATTCCTAGCCAAGCTTCTCATGTCAGGATGGAGTAGTCAAATTGCCGAAGCAACAAGGGCTGCATTCCTGAGCCTATCTCCCTATGAATGTTCCAATTAGTATCAACGACAACATATGCTACCTGCAGATATCGTGGAAGCATCAACAACGCATACCAATTTGGGCATCTCTTGGTTTGTTACGCCAAGCCGTGCAGAGCCAGGCATTGACGCGACACATTCGATTGACTAGGGCAATCAAGCAGTTGAAGATACTCGCAAAGGTGAAACGTTTGATTCTGACGTCTGCCGCACTTCTTTTCAAGACCAAGACCAGTCCCACTCTCTATTTAACGATGCATAGCAGATGCAGATTCTCCAAAAATCAATTTCGGCCCTGGTGGACAGGCCACCCTGCTACGCACACATTCCTCGCCATACAGCATTCCACTATAGACGGTTGGAAATGAGGATAGTGATGACAATCATAACAAGTCCTTCGGCCCTTTCATTGCAAAAAGCTTAGTAGAGCAGCCGTGGATCCCTGCAAAATAACATTGCATTACTTCTTCCCACCCTGTCCATCCCGCCTTACACGCATCATGCCTATGCCACGCACACTGCCATTTGGTGAAGATGGCTTCTATGACGGAGAATTCGACGAGGACGAACTGGACTATGAGAGACAAGATCGTCGAACTGTCAACAACTTTGATTTTCCTACGGAGCAACGCCGCGTCCAGACCAACAACTCAAAAGCCAGAAAAGAGGTCACATTCGACGCGCAGATCGACGCTGATGCCGCCAGCCAGTTGCAAACAGAGCACCGCCAGGCAGGGAGATCAACAAACCGCACAACCCGATCTAGGAGCCCGAGCAAGCGGACGTCGGAAGATGCTCTTCGCTCAGCTCAGAGAAACACAACCAGACGCCCTTCACCTGCCCCTTCGAGACAGAACCCAGAAGGACACGGACAGGCATCGTTTGGATATCCTGGAACCGCAGACTTGACCCCACCCGAGAATCTGACGCCACAAGAGAGGAAAGACAACAACCTTGACGCCAGTGTCATGTCCACGCTGGCTGGAATTCGCAAACGCATTGACAAATTCTGCGAGGACGTGTTTCGTAAGGACCTTTTGCTGAAGGACATTACAGAGTCTAAGCTCAAGAAATGGCTGGCCGACATCGATCAGCGCAGCGAGTTGGAGTTCAAAAGCTTCTGCAGGGCCGTCGCCGAAGGCGGTGGAGGTGCGGAAACATGGCAAGAAGTTGTCGCAAACGGAGAATGTCGGTTTGGGCTTAGCTACGGCATTATCCACAGGGTGCTGGTACGACATGTCTTTTGCAGCCTCTTGTTCGGTGCGCCTCCAGATTTGTTGGTCAAGCTGGAGCAGTTGGAACACGACCAGGAAAACGAAGACGGTGTGTTTTCCGAGAAAACAGATATTCATACGAACGAATGACTGACAACGCGATAGGGTTCATCAGGGAGCAACATCGCGCCGAGCATATAACGTCTTACGAGATTCAGTACAGGATGGATCTGAACGAGAGCGAAGAGCGAAAGCGCGCCACCCTCAAGACGGCGATGCAAATCTGGTTGCTGCTTGAACCACTTTACCAACTCGACTCAAGGAACAAAGACTCTGATGGAAAGATCAACGAGTTGCAGCAAGTCTTGATCACAATCGTAGCAACAGCTGCACGGCTTGCAACTCTGATGAGAAAAAGCGGCAAGACAGTCCTCTATCAGTTCGGCAACGTCTTCAAAGAGGAGCTGATCGAGCTTAAGACGATGAATGTTCTCAACATCGAGCAGTTGAAAGCAGAACGCGACAAGAGCGAGGCCGCTGGTCAGGTGTTGATCAGAATGGTATGTGGAGACCCTTTGCACGCGTTCAGGAAGGGCGGTGGTGTCATGGCGGAGAGGATACTGGAGAGGGAAGAAAAGGAGCAAGACATGAGCGTTGCTCCAGAGCTGCGACATATGCCACGGAACCAGTACCGCGGGCGCCTGATCACCGCACAGGACGGTTATAGAGCAAAGTTCTTGGCCAAGGCGCAGGTAGTCGGACGGTGGCAGCAGATTGGCCGCGACAACGAGGCAAAAGGGCTGATGGAGGCGATCCGTGCTCTGCAAGATGGGACTTGTATGGTGCAGTAACAAGAGGCGATTGCGGAACGTGTGGGTTGATGTTTCTGGCAGAGGTAATGGTAGTGATAGTCAATCGACTGTTGTTCTTGCTGTTGTCATTGTTGTCGGATATGGGTTGATGCAGTAGATCAATTGGAAGTAGGGGCATCCTCGAGGAGGTGCCTCAAAGTCTTTGTAGTCTCTTCGCGTTCCTTGTCGCGGCGCAGCACTCTCCACGGCTTTTCCGGCTTCCTCAGCGTGAACTCGCTCAGGCCCAGCATGGGGACGGTTTTGGCCAAGTCTTCTTGGACGAGACTCCTGTTCGAAACCTTGTAGGAGCCATTGTAGACGGATTGGTCGATGTGATCGCGGTGGTGGAAGGTCGAGGGGTTGGCCTGGAGCTGGTAGTGCCTCTGTTGTCCTTCAGGCGAGCCTTCGGGGCTCATGACAAAACGCAGGGGCGACTCTTCAAGGAGCTTCCGGGCGGCGTCGTCGGACTCGTAGATGGCAATCATGCTGTTGGCCAGCGGCTGCGCGTCGTACTTGAAGTTGCGGAACATTTCGACTCGTCCGAACGTCTGCATCAGGCGAAGAATCTCGCGACTCTCGGCCAGCGTCTCTACACGAGGATGCAGCCGCACATGCACTGCGCGATTGGCAATTGGCCTGATGAGCCCCGATATTGACATGTCTGGTGTTGGCGCTTGTCTGCCATCTCCCTAGACCATGTAGCATCTCGGACAAAGCACGACAACGACTTTGCTCTTGGCAGGCCGCCCGCCCTGCCCGCCCGCCCGCCCACTCGCCTCTCGAGACACCCACCCACACCGCCACCATCATCAACCTACTCAAGCATCATAGTCAGCGCGTGGTTACCTGGCTTGTCTCACAGCCCTTGTCTCTTGTCCATTCAGGGCATCAGCATCGAAAGTGAATGAAATGGCAGTCGTCAGCTGCGCATGAGTGACATCTGTGTCATTCTCGGTATCAAAATCATCTAATTAAATGGGTATCTCTGGTAGAACGCCTGCAAAACAGCAAAAGCTCCCAGATGTTGATTACATCTCTTCCCGTCCCATCCGATATCCTTTCATAAGTCATCACCACACTCCTCACCCAATACTCCGACATCCTGAAACTTGGACCACGTCCCCGCCCAGTCCTCGAACATTTCTTTTTCATGTCTGCTTCGACGCACCGCGCGCGTTGCGAGCCTTCTTGACACGGACCTTCTTGGACACACAGGCGCCCGTGATGGAATCCACAGAACGTCGGAATGATAACGAAGACGCTCCCGATCCAGCAGATGAGACCGATGATATCGATCCGCTGCGACGGTTCTCGTCAAGGCTGCTGTAGCCTTCATCCTCCGCTGGTGATGGGCTTGCCCCGACACTGGGAGCCCGAGGCGGCGACACGGCGCATTGCTCCCCAGATTGGACCATCTTGTCGACCATGTCTTGAATGTTGCGAAGGTGAGACGGATCACAAAGCATTCGCACGCCGTGTTGCCTCTGCGCACGTCTCCTGGACGGGGATAGCGAGCCCACGTAATCAGCAGAACTCAGGGTTGGGTCCAGCTCGCGCTCGGCATTTGTTGGTCTGTGTCGAGGATAGAAGGAGGGTTGCGAAGTGTAACGCATTTCGCTGAATTGTTGCGAGAGTTGAGTAATTGAAATTTGAGAATCGCATGGTGGCGAAATCCGAGGGACAGCCCAGTCAGGTCCAAACAGGCCATCACAAGGGAGTGGCAGAGAAGAAGGATGACGCGATGCGGTCACGGTGTAGTTTTCAAACATGGCGAGAGATTGTGACCCGGTATTGTGACGATTGAGTTCAGAAAGTGTTTGCCAATCTCTTGACGGTACTGAGACGATGACAAGGGTTGCAACAGATAATCGATGGTTCAAAAGAGGTGACGGGCATGGGACAGTATTATGCTAAAGAGTCGAGGGCTCAGCACGACGAGGCTTTGACGCCTCAAGGCCGAGATCATGAGTCGCATCGTCCGTGGCACGCACTAGAACCCCGGGAGACGTCGCGTCTAACGGCTATTGTGGCTTGTGCTGGCACCACCATCAAAGACACCGGACCACCTTTTATTTGCGCCGAAGGCCATGAGATTGTGCAGTGTTCAGGCCACGGCCCCAATCAAAGCACCACGCAAGGAGCCTGTCTTTGGATCGTTGAACAATCTGCGCCTGCTCCAGGGCCATCCTTCGCTGCATGTCTGATGATTCTGCATGACACCGGCTGCTGGCCCTGCGCCGCCCCTGAAGTGTCATCTGGTGAGAAGGATCAAAGTCCACCGTCCCGCCCTCGGTGATGAGCGTGTCTTCTAGAAAACAGTGATCCGGCGATCGACATGCAAGACACCGCTTTTGGTGTTCAACTCGACAGCTTACGCCCGTAAACACGTGTGACTTGGAGACTGGGCGATAAAGCGTTAAGACCGTAGATGAACCTACACCAGGTCCACTGGACGAAAAGGGCAGCCGGTAAATATCGAATTGATAGTCGTTCCTTGTACCAGATTCACTTCACCCCAGTCCTTCCAGCAGACCGTTTGAATCGAGAAACCTTCGTGACATGGGCCTTGCCGCTATGAACGATTGACGCATGGCTGTTGATCGAGTGTGAAGCTGCTTGTTGGCCGCCGCGAGTTATGCATAAGCAGGCGACACGTGAAGATGCGCGCCCGAATTTATCCGCCCCAGCTAGACAAGCGTGAACCCGGTTCTCTTGCAGGTGTCCCAACGGCCGAACTTTACTGCCTTACATGGCGTATTGGGTCTAGATTCCCAAGCCCATGTACTCGAACATTTTTGGCATTGAAGATTTTGTTGCCCAGGTCCTTGGTTAGAAGTATGACACTTGTGCGCGATCCGAGACATGAGCACCGACGAGCATGCGTCTATCAATGTTATGTGAGCGAGACTTGACTTCGAGGCGGCAAGCCACTATGTAAGGTCATTTGAAGTTGGATTTCTCGCTGAGTAAACGGACTAACTGTGTGCCTCTCACGTGCAAACACATGTCTATAGCTTCTATATGCAGGTGCAAGGGCAAGAAAACGAAACGACCCAAGCCTGATGATGCTGCAAGAAATGATATAGATCAGTGCGAAGAATGGCGACTGCAAAAGGCTGCTTTGAGCATGTGGCGTGAGCATTCTTTCGATGTCGACAAGTGATACCTCAAGCGAATGTAATAGAAGGCAGGCGATTTCGTGCCGAGTCTGGCTGCGAAAGCAACAACCACCCACACCGGCGACAGTATGTCATCAAGATCTTGGAGCGCAAACCGGATGGATGCATCACGGATCTGGAGATCGTGGTCAGCCTACTGGCACGAGTGATGGTGATGAATCGGAGCTCACCAGCAAGTCGAGTGACGTGAGAGCATTCGGCATAAGAGTACGAGAAACAAGATGCACTCTGTGCAAGGATCAGGAGCGATCGTAGGTTTGGTTGATTCTGGCGCGCTCTTCGCGATACATTTGCTCAAAGTCACCGTCACTGACGTTGAGCTTTGCAGCCATATCTTTGAGAGCGTCCTTTTTGGCGAGCTGGGATCTCATGTAGGTGACGGTAGCCGAGAGCATGACGGCTTCACTGCGACCCTGACCTGACATGCTGGGCACGATCTCAGCAAGACGGTCGAAGCCTTCACGAATTGCTTGACGGCGTTTCTGTTCCGAGGCGATGTGATTGTTCTTCTTTTCTTGTTCCGTCAGACGTGGTTTATCGGCGAAGTTGGCGCCGGCATTGTTGTTGGCCATAGCGGCGGAATGCAGGAGGCGTAGATGGCTGGGTAACAGGCAAGGAAGAGCGTGGATGCAGGATGTTGGAGGGGTATGGGGTTGGTGTGAGGTGGTGAGTAGTAGTCAAGAAAGATAACGGGCAGCAGACAATATGAGGAGACACGAAAACGCAGCAGCACAGTGATTAAACAGCCAAGTGACAGTCAGCTGAAGAGCAGATGGATTTCCCGCAGTGAATCACGAGCAGATGCATGTGCACAGCGGACCAAATTCCAAGAAAAACCTCAAGAGCGCAGCATGTGGGAGCGACAGGCAGAGAAGGAGCTTTGGACGAGAAAGTGGAGAGCAGGGTGGTGTCAGCAGGAAGGCGTGGCATTTGCGAGAGAGATTGACCGCTCCGGCTTCTGGAAGCAGCAATTGATCCATGTGCCCAAACAGCACCATGGCTACAGGATGCACGTCCGAGCAATCAATCTGACCTCGAGAGAGAAGCCTCGAACCTTAGCAAGAGCCAGTGGTTCAAAGCGAGTCGGCAGTGTAGCAGAATGGCAGCCAAGAAACAAGCTGAAACGCGCCGAGTGCTGCGGGTGATCGTCTGGTCAGCGGGAGTGAGCATGGCCAATTAACCATGACGCGCCAGACGCTGTGGATTCTCGTACCGATGCCCGCTGCGAAGCTGTGTTCGGAAAGGGTCTGGGAAAGGAGAGAATAAGGGACCAAGCACACATTCTCGCAAACCACACCATACCGTCTTCGAGTGCGCAGCGGCGTCTTGGTATATACTCGCGTGTGCCCGAAGACAAGCAGAAGCCGCCTGAAACACCCAGCGGACGGCACCCCCGACCGGCCTTGTTTGTAGTAGTTGTAAGAGAGTCACGACCACTGACCCAGCAGGTCTCGCACAGCAAATGTCGGCCTGACCCAGACACTCCCTTCGTCCGACTCTCCTTGAACACACAGCAATGTCGCCGGCGTCTGCTCGCTCCTCTGTCACCGGTCGCCGTGTACAGAGCCTACAGCCTGCGCGGCGCCTGGTTGACGAGCACGATGCCTACTCTTTCGCCCTACGCACTGCCTACCTCTCGCATCTCCTGCAACCCAAGGCTCGCCGCACCCACCATGTCGCCCAGCCCGTTAAGCCCATCTCGCGCTCCTCGACCTCCATCACAGATCTGGTCAAGGACTTCTCCTCCATCAGAGACTCCAAGAGCACCCGTCTGCCACATGGCTTCACCGGTGAACTAGACAAGCGCATTACAGGTGTACTTGTTGGCAAAGAGCGCATGCCCGAGTTCAACGATCCTCTGGTCAAGCGCACCTTTGCCACCTTTCTGAACGAGTTCAAAAACCCTACATTTCGCAAGTCCATGGAGAAGGATCGCCGTGTCGAGGATCTGCTCTTGATCTTCTTCTCCAAGGCCACCTCGGAGCTACAGAAAGGAAAAGGTCCGGAAGACGACTCGTGGAAGCTCATGGTCGATCGCCATGTTGCTCTGTTCGTGCGCCTCATCAGCTCCACTCTCAAGAAAGACGACTGGGCGCGCGATCGTCCAGAACTCACCACTCGCCTGCAGACCCTGGAGAGCAAGCTGCTGGTACACGCTCAGGACTTGACAAGCTCCTCTCAGCCTTCAGGTGGGACCACAATCGAAGTCGAGGTTCCCCGCAGTTCAGAGGTCAAAGATATGCCGCTTGTCCTTCGCATTGCAAACATATTTGGCACCTCGTATGACCAGATCCAAGCCGACATCGACTCGCACAAGGCTGTGTGGACCGAGCAGGCCGCCATACAAGACTTGAAGTTGTACCAGATGCATCTCAGCCTGAACTCTAGTAGAACCCTCAGCAACCAAGACTTTCAATCTGACGACGTCTACGAAGCATGGAAGAAGGCCGAGATCCAGGATCTCTCACAGCTAATGTTGACCATCATTCAGTCCAATCCTGAGCTTGCAAGGAGCACGACTGGGCCAGCTGCTATCAAGTCTCCGCCCCTCGCATCGACCGATGATGTTGACCCATCCGCTTCAGCCGAGCAATCCTTCGATCTGAGCACACTGAGCCTGAACAACTCACCTCGTGAGTCGGTCAGCGATGACACGGCCTTCACATACATTCCAGCAGAGCCAAGGGCCTACTATCGAGCTGTCCTGAGGAAGGCCCTGGACAATGACCTGTTTCAAGACGACGACGCCGAGGGTGTAGACGGACCAGATATACAACTACTCTCGAAGCAATCCACTGATGTTCTCAACGAGCTAGCGCTGCGATGGCGCGTTCCACAACCCTCCCGGATGACACTATTCTTGGACGTCATCAGGGAGAAGTTTGATCGTCAGGAGATCACTTTGGACACGCTCGATGCCGCATTCATGTATGTGAAGACGCCTACGGCCGAAGTAAAAAAAGCGAATCGTGTGAGTCAGATGACTCCCTCTAACATGTTCGATGCGTCGAAGTGGACGGTGTCTGACTTTTCGCTGCAACAACAATCCCTCTCATCGATTCATGATGCACTTCTCAGGGAACTTTTCGAGCTTCTGCAGCATTGCTATGAGCCCAAGCCCCCTTCTATCGGCTCGGTGATGTACATCCTCGAGACTCATATCTACGACGATCCTCTCTTTGCGAAGACGCCCGAAGATCTTGACGAGTTCACACTTGCGTTGCACGATGCGTTGAGACAAAAAGCCCGGGAGGCCTACAACGGTATGCTCTCGAAGCATGTCCCTGAGGATGCAGAATCTTGGGAGTTTTACCACGTCATTCAACTTGGCAAAGCAGTAGTCACACTTGCCGACAAGATCCAAAAGCGTTATCGCAAGAACCCCGAGATCATGGGTGTCAACCCGTTAACGGCGTTGGTCGAAGAGATCTTGCCCTCTTTTGCCGCCGACGCTCGCGATCTGGTATCACGTATAGTCGAGGTCGTTCGGGGCCGTGGTGAAGACGTTCCGGTACAGGATGGGTTCGATCTGTACAAAGAACTTGTGAGCATTCGCAAGGTTCATTCGCAAGCACTTCCCAACGTTCCGTTTGCATTCCACATCGAAGGCTTGTTAGCAGACTTTGTGTGGCGTTGGATCGCTTTGACCGATGCAAACATGCTGGGCTGGGTCGAAGGGGCTGTCAACCAAGACGACTTCAGGGTCCGCACTTCTCATCCGGACAATGTCCCCACAGACGAAGAGCGCCATAGTGTATCCGCAGTTGATATGTTCCGTTCTTTCAGTCAGACCATCGATCAGATCATCAAACTCGAGTGGGACGATGATCTGCAGTATGCCAAATTCATGACAGCCATATCGAAATCTATCGGTATTGGTATCGCTAGATACTGTGAGCTTGTAGAACAGAAATTTGTCAAGGAGATGGACCGCATGACACCCGAACAAGAGGCAGCGTCCCGTCAGACACGACAAGAGAAATGGGTCCAGATGGCCAAAGACACGTGGGCGAACAGAGAGAAGGTTGAGCCATTCCAGTTCTTGCCCGAGTCACTTGTCAAGCTCAACAACATCGAGTACACGACACTTCAGCTGGACAAACTAGAAAAGGAGATCAACGTAGACGCTTGCGCAGACGTCATTCAGAAACACGCGCCTCCGATCAACCCTGTCAAACTCCGCCAGTCCAGCAAATTTGTGTTCACTATCAAGATCATCGAGGCAGAAGACCTCAAAGCTTGCGACATGAATGGCCTGAGCGATCCATATGTCGTGCTTGGAGATGAATACCAGAAACGCTTGGCCAAGACTCGCATCGTCTACGGTAGCTTGAACCCGCGCTGGGATGAGACGGTCGATATCAGCACCCAAGGCCCCTTGAACATTATTGCTACGATTTGGGATTGGGACGCTTTGGGGGATCACGACTGCGTAGGTCGAACTTCGTTGAAACTGGACCCATCGCATTTCAGTGACTACATGCCACGAGAATTCTGGCTTGACCTCGATACACAGGGCAGGTTGTTGCTACGAGTAAGTATGGAAGGTGAGAGGGACGACATACAGTTCTATTTTGGCAAAGCTTTCCGAACGCTGAAGCGGAGCGAACGCGACATGACACGCAAGATTACAGACAAGGTAAGCTGATGATAGATTCTGTCTTTTTGTCCGCCTTGACTGACTGGATTTCAGCTGTCCTCATACATCCAACAAGTCCTGTCACGTAGAGCTCTCAGGGGTCTTTTGAGTCAAGGAATATCGATCAACACGGTCCGTGGATACTTCCAGAAGGCCAGACCACAATCCGTCATTCAAGGACCCACACCTATCGACACTGCGAATGCGTTGAAGCCACTTTTCACCTACTTCGATGATAACTTTGCGATCATGAAACAGACGCTGACGGATTCGGCAATGGTCATGGTTATGACGCGACTCTGGAAAGAAGTCCTTGTAACGATCGAATCGTTGCTTGTGCCTCCGCTCTCCGACAAGCCCTCGCAACAACGGCCGTTGACGCAGCAGGAGCTGGACATTGTGTTCAAATGGTTGCAGATGCTGTTTGACTTTTTCCACGCCGTCGACGAGGAGGACGGTACAGCGCATGGAGTACCACTGGACATTCTCAAGTCGTCAAAGTATCACGATCTGCAGAATTTGAACTTTTTCTACTTTGAGTCTACCGAGAATCTCATCCGGACATCGGAATCAATGGCCAAAGCGACAGTGGCAAGACAGCAGGCCAGGCAGACGCGAGAGCTCAATCGTATGTCTGCACCTGCGACACTCGCACAGCACTCGTTCAGTGGAGCGGCGAGCTTGGTAGGAGTGCCCAGTACACGACGAAGCAAGAGTATCATGCTTAGTCGCAACCTTGGAACGATGAAGAAGGCAAAGGAGGAAAAGCGCAAAGAGGCACAGGCCGAGCCGAGCGACGATATGATCTTGCGGATCTTGCGGATGCGACCCGAGGCAGAGAGATATCTAAAGGATCGCAGCAGGCAAAAGGAAAGGCTGGCAGCGCATGCGGCGGCGGAGCTGATTGTGCGACAGAGTCTCATGGCACAAAGAAGTATGGGGCGTGGACGATGAACGAGTTGCTGGTCAACCAAGACTGCGACGTCGGCGGCACAAGCAGAAAGCAGACATTGATGACGGTATTTAAGCATTCGATATGGCGGGTGAATGGATTAGCAGGGCGTTTCGGGGCACCAAGAGGTATGTGTAGCTGTTCAGTATGGTGATATTGGGTATGCAGACAAGGGGTATTTAGATAGCCGACTCGCCGAGGGCGAAAACAAGTTAAGCTCGCATGTGGGCCAGAGGCCAGACCATAGGCTGTACTCGTAGGTTCGCACATTTCCGGGGTCGGTGTCGAATTTTCTCCCTGCGTCGCTTGATCTTGCGACGTCTTGAGACTCGTGCCGCCCGGTCAAACAGGTCTCTGCTGTTCTTGTTCCTGTTCTTGTTCCTCTCCTTGTCCACTGCAAGACACGCAAAGCCGCATCCCGGGCACGGCAGTCGTCACGCCAAAGCAGAAGCAGCAGGAGCGCGCCAGTCTCCTTCTCCACGAAACGAAGGCCCGTTTCCCCACGCTCAGCGATCGGCCGTTGTTCAAAACAGAGTGCAATCTTTTACACGCTTCGGCCCTTCTCTCCACCACCGAGTCTGCTCATATCATCTGTCAGCCGGACTGTTTGGGCGTGCCCTTTCGACCCCAGACCGCGCTGCCCGACTCTTTCGCATCCCAACACAACCATCATGCGCAGACAATCCTCGGTGGCCTCGCTCCTCTACGCTCACCTCTTCCCCAGTCCTGGCCCCTCGGACCCCCCCAACTTCCAGACCCACCTTGCCCGCGACCTGATTCCAGAGATCCGCATCGAGACGGCCACCTTCTACGGCAGTCTGGACAGCATCGAGGCTCGCTATCCCGGCTTGAACTACTGCCATGCTCCTCACCGCATGCGCCTGGGCCGATTCCCCCACCATGCCCGCCTGTTCGCTGCCATCGACACCATGGCAATCACCGACCAGGAGGTCATGGATCTGGTGCGCTGGGAGGGCACTTTGTGGGCCAGACAGAGATTCGAAAGAGACGAGAATATAAAGGTCAGGGATACCACCGGTGACGGCATCTCTGATTGGGTCGACCCGCGCATACCATCAAAGCAGAAACCCTTGATCCGCGTCCACACCGACATCGCCATCACCCAAGGCAGCCACCCTGTCGACATGCTCCTGGACGACCACGCCCATCCAGACATGGTCGACCAAGAGTTGGAACAAGACGACGACAATGCTGAAGAAGAGGAAGACGACGACGACCAAGATCAAGGCGGTAACGCCGACGATGATGATGATGTGGGGGACAACATTCAGAGCATCGGACACGAGTTGAACCGTCGGCTGCTAGCAGCCATCGCCGCCCGACAGCAAGGCCTCAACGTCGAGATGGATCCAGAATTCGAAGCCTACCTCAAAGAGCTGGTCGAAAGCGGCCATCTGTTGGCCACCTCGCGTCCTGTCGATGGCCCCATGAGCCGCTCCGACACTTCGTCGCCGCTCCCTCGCCTCGCAGACTCCTCTGCCATTCCCGACATTGCCCTTCCCACCGCCGCTAGTTGGCAGCCGACGGCATGATGACCCTTTTCCAAGTTTTTTTTTTCCTTATTGCTCAAGTCTTGACGCAGCGTCTTTCAGCTCTTGCACTCTGTCAAATTCCAGCCTGGTGTTGGGAGAGAGAAAATCCACGGATCATGATGTTTAATATATATCCAAAACTGTTTAGCATGGAGTACGGGGCTACTACTTTTTCCTTTTCGTTGGGCGGCTGGAGTCTTGGGACATGGCTCGACAGGACGTTTAAACAAGTATCGAAATGCATTCTCTGTGTTCCCTCAACCTTTCTCACTCAAGTTTCGTCCTACATTGCGGATCGTATGATTAAGTGACCTTGCGCAAATCTGACGCGTTCTCTGTGAGCAATGTGGCTCAACCCTACGACTTGAGCATGAGCGACTCAAAAAGTCCTTTCATGGCTTTTGCACTCTTCTTTGGGAACCTCTGCTGACCGTTCTTGTAGTCAACGAATGTGACTCCGAAGCGAGTCTCGAATCCTTCAGCCCACTCGAAGCTAGACGCTGTCAGTCGATGCAAGATCTAGGAACGAGTGCGCGTCTTACTTGTCCATCAAGCTCCAAGCCATGTATCCTCTGACATCCACGCCGTCACTGGTGTATGCATCTGCCATGGCATTGACGTACTCTTTGAAGTACCAAACACGGAAGTCATCCTCGAGTATTTTCTCTTTCGATAGATCGTTCTCACCCTTCAGACTCGTGCCGTTCTCGGTAACGTAGATGGTGGGGCGCCCGTAGCGATCCGATATCCATTTGAGTAGCTTTCTGAAACCGATAGCATAGGGTCGCAGCCACGGGCTTTGAGTTTCAGGGCCAATATCTTGCCCGTCTTTGTTGGAGAGCAGAGACTCCAAGTTTCCAAGGTAGTCTTGCGGTTCTGCCTCGCCTGATTTGTGCTTGATGTAATTTGCGCAGTAGTGGTTCATGCCGTAGAAGTCGTTACTGCCCTGAACCAATGCGCGCTGTTCGGGCGTGAACTTTGGCAGGCGATCTCCAAGTTGCTTGCGCATGCTTTCGGGATAGTCGCCGTGGTAAACAGGATCAGCAAACCAGGCGATGGAGAACTCGAGCTTTCTCTGACAGGCTTCGACATCCTCGGGGTCTTCAGGATCCCAGGGTTCAACCCAATCACCTGCACGGGTTAGCTACGTGGAATCATAGTGCCTGAAGTTCGAGACTGCTTGCCATTCAAGGTGATTCCGATCTGTCCTTTTTGACTTGGCTTGAATTCTTCTCGATAGACCTTGACGGCTGCACCGTGGGCAATCAGTAGATTGTGGCCTACTAGCCATGGTTCGGTGCTGCTATCGCCGACTGACGATTTCGAGCGGTCGCTGGTCCTTCCTGGAGCAAAGGCACCTTCGTTGTAACCCAGGATCGAGCTACACCAGGGTTCGTTGAAGGTCACCCAATACTTTACTTTTTCTCCTAGTGCCTCGAAGATGGTACGGGAATACTGTTCGAAGTCGGCAACGAACTCTTCTGTGTTAAGCAGACCTCCATATCTCTGATCAAGCGCTTCAGGGAGGTCCCAGTGGAACAAGGTTACCATGGGCTCGATGCCATTGGCGAGCAACTCGTCCACAAGATCGATATAATACTGCAGTCCTTTCTCGTTGATGGGGTCTTTACGTCCTCCCAGAGGGATGACGCGAGACCACGAGATACTGAAACGATATGCTCGAGCACCCATGTCCTTCAGAAGCTTTACATCTTGCTTGTACTGGTGGTAAGAGTCACAAGCGATGTCTCCGTTCTCGTTGCCGGCGATCTTGCCGGGGATGCGGCAGAACGTATCCCAGATACTGTCTGCTCTGCCGTCCTCATGCGGAGCTCCCTCTATCTGGTAACTAGACGCGCCTGCTTGAGCATGGTGCTACACACGCAATTCTCGAGCCACTAACCTTGCTGTCGCAAAGCCCCACAGGAAGTCTTTTGGTAGAGTTGGGGGAGTCATATTGACGATCTTCAGATTAACAAGAAACTAGTGAGTAGAGCTGGGAGCGGATGAGAACAGCAGTTTATATATCAGCATAAAAGAGGGGACACCTCTCGATCAGATGCGACAGGGTAATGTCTCGGCTACGAACACGAAGTCAGAGCTCACATCGTGAGTCTTGGTAGCCTCTTCTCATCAAACATAGTGCAGAGGAACACTTGGAAGTGCAGCCATGACAACAGGCATCTTATTTAGCCGTACGGAGCTTGACTTGCCGTTCCAAACGTGGAAAGATCTCGGCTTTCCGGGCCTCAATCCCTCGCGGCTCAGCTGTCCTCTACAAATCGAAAACTTGTCACACATATAGCTATAAAGATGCACGATCCGTTCAATGAATAGGAGGCATCTACTGGCAGTTGTGTGAGCCGTGCCTGTCTACCGACATGTTTGCACCTCAGAAGCGACGGTGCAATGTAAAAGCTGTATCTCCACTTATACGCTGGTTTGGGAGTGGGGACGAACCGTGTGACAAACTTCCGCACACGGAGAAGGCGTTGCCAATGATCATCAGCCATTTTTCTGCATACTCCCACTGCGACCATACGAACTCCGCACCGAAGATCTGAATCGTAACGAGAAGCCAACTCACATCATCTAATGATCTAAATCATCAACGCATATTGCAAACATGCTCCCGAGCCGCTATCGGACGGTGTCCCAGTCAAATATTTCCAGACTGCGCAGACATCGGCAGGCGGCTATGGCAACACATGCTTCGAAGAGAGAGGGTAGCATAGGCAATGCTTTCTCCACTCTTCCAGAGTTGACCTCTATGTCTCTGGAACCACGGTTCACGACCCTCAAAAGTGAATTGATTGCAGGAAAGGAAGACGTCATCCAAGCATCCTTCCACCGTCTGCTAGATGCTTTGAAGGAAGAGATAACAGTTGTCAAAGCACTCAAGAGTAAGGTGATTCCTGAAATTGACTTCAGGGACATCAAGGATGCAAGCACCAAGTTCAGTGCCGATTACAAGACCAGAGGAGCAGCCATCATAAGAAATGTGGTCCCGCCAGTCGAAGCAATCGAGATGAAAGAAGAGCTTCAGAAGTACATCGCTTCAAATCCACAAACCCGTGGCTTTCCGAGCGACGATCCTCGAGTATACGACATGTTCTGGTCACCAGCTCAGATCCGAGCGCGGTCTCATCCATACCTTTTGGCCGCTCAGAGGTTCCTTCTCTCACACTGGCACGCCAAGGACCCTCATGCGTTAGTTTCTACTGCACATCCGATCGTCTACGCGGACAAGCTCCGTATGCGGGCACTGGAGGACAGTGGCTTTGCTCCTGGCCCAAATATCGATCGAGCTGGTCGAGAAAGATGGGACCCCACAGGATCTGGTTCCAAGGTCTACGGATCAATCTGGCAGGGCCGCTGGGAAGATTACAATCCTTGGGAAATCACTTCGAGGCTGTCTCTGAACTCAGATATGAACCAAGGCGTTGGAGCATGTAGCATGTTTCGTGCAGCCCAAGGCTGGTTGTCACTAAGCACTATTAAGGCGTGCGAGGGAACGTTATTGGTAAACCCGATGCTGAAACATGCGATGGCGTACTACCTTTTGCGGCCCTTCTTCTCTGCCAAAATTGGGCCAATGAACTTGGAGACTGGGGCTTTCGATGAATCTTTTCTTGCACCAGAGAACTGGATTCTAGACCGTCCTCAAACTTCGTGGCTCCAAGGCGTATCGTCGGGCAAGGGACCAGAGCTGAGTAATGCGACGAACCCTCATCTTGAGCTCCAAAGCACCATGGTTCATATCCCAGAGATAAGACCTGGTGATTACGTGGCCTGGCATTGCGACCAAATACACGCAGTCGAGCAACAGCACGAGGGCACGACTGACAGCTCGGTGTTATACATTCCTACATGTCCTCTTACGACACAAAACGCAGAATTTCTCGCTCGTCAACGACAAGCGTTTCTTGAAGGACTTCCCGGCCCCGATTTTGGGAGTGGGGTGGGAGAGAGCGGCCACGTCGGTCGACCAGGCCCAGAAGACGTCGAAGAGGCGAGTCAAGGAAAAGACGCAGGTATGGTCGCGTTCGGCCTTCAAGAATGGGACAGCTCAGCAGCAGGGCTGAGTGAGGCTCAGAGAGAACTGTTTGATAGGGCGAACAAAGTTCTCGGCTTCTATGACTAGATCGCGGGAAATCGAGAGAACATCACAGAATCTACCGTGGATATTTGTCTTTTCTAGACGGAGTCGTAGACCATCTAGAAAGAACTGTGAAATTGGATAACCCCAACTAGGCATTGTGTGAGAGAGTGAAAGTCTGCAACACCCACTCTCCTGTACGAAGGTCTAAACACTGTATGGAGACACAATCACAATAACGTCGGACTAGGACCATATCCAGAGGAAGCCAAGAGTGCAATATTCCTTGATGGGTACTAACCCGTTTCCCGAAGGTGTTGTGCGCTTTCATAGCTACCCGGGATGTTTAGGGATCGGGAAATAGAAGTTTGACTCAACTATCTGCCAATCGCTAACCAAAAGACTCTCTGAAGGCAAAGACCAAGTCGGCCCTCTATCTCCTGCAGTTGCCTGTTCAGCTGTTGTATGGTAGACAAGATATCAACGAGTCCGAAATAGACTTGGTTACAGCTACAAATCCGTAATAAGATGGCGTGGAACCTGGCTATCGGCATCTAGGGCTGTCCCACCCCGCGCCCCAGGAAGAACTCTCGTCCCAAAGGAGAAACTACACGAGATGGGACGGCGCACAGTCCTTGTCCTCCCCAATAACTCCGCTTATCGCAGTCGAGACGGGCGGTACACACCAGTATCTTAGTTGTGCTTTTTGATACAGCACAAGCGGTTGTCTAGGTCGCCACCGAATGCGTGCCAGATGATTATACCCTCTCGTCCAGCCTGCCAGGCTCTTTTGTATCCCATCCTGTCTCACAGGCTTGATAAGTAGTTGCCTTCTCGACTTCATAATCTCTCCACGCCGAGTCATTTTGTTCCCCCTTCTCGTGTTCAAGAACATCTTCTGTCAGAGCCCCATTCTCGTCTACGGACCGTCCTCGTTCCAACATGGACTCCAAGCAGCTGGCGGACCATAAATTAACGCCTGTGCGATCTGACCAACCCGAGGTTGAAGAAGGCACCGTCACCGTCAATACATCCGGCCACACGCAAGAACTTGAACGCAACTTCAGCATACTCAGCTGCTGCGCTGTAGGAATTGTAACGGGCAATACATGGTAAGTCGAGCCCGGTCTCATGGTGCTTGAACACGCCGGCCCCTGTCTCTGGTCCTGAGAAGCTGACTGTACCTTGCCCTCCAGGTGTGCCCTCGGTGGTAGTATCGTCGTAGCTCTCTACAACGGAGGACCTACCGGCGTACTTTTCGAATTCCTCGTCGTCAGCGTGTTCTACTGGATGGTCGGTGCCTGTATAGCAGAATTGGCATCCAGTATGCCATCCTCTGCGGGCGTCTACCATTGGGCAACAGCAACATCGTCGCCAAAATACTCGAAGTTCGTTGGCTTTCTAGCTGGATGGTGGAATGTACTTGCGTGGATATTCGGTTCGGCCTCGATGTCGTCGTAAGTCATACCAAGAGTACAAGCATCACGTCAGTGCTGGCAGGTGCTTCTCAAGCCGCACAAGAAGCCTATACGGGTCGGTTGAATGCCGCTCGGATTGGGATCTTGCAAAGATGCGCGCAACTGTTCAGCAGTGATGCGGTTTTGTCACCGGTCAACTGTTTGAGATGATGCTAACTGTACCTTTGCTTCAGAATCCTGGCAAATGAGGTCCTAGCCATGTGGGGGCTGTTCCATCCAGAATATGTTGCTGAGCGATGGCACGTCTTCGTCTGCTACATCATCATCTCTTGGTCGTGTTGCGGTGTCGTGCTGTTCGCAAACAGAGCTTTGCCAATGATCAACAACATCGGACTGTTCCTCTGCTTGGGAGGTTGCTTCATCACCATTCTTGTATGTGCCATAATGCCTACCGCGACCGGCGCGGGTCACGCTAGTACAGCAGCCGTCTGGTCTTCTTGGTCAAATGATACTGGCTACAAGTCCAATGGCCTTGTCTTCGTCACGGGAATGCTCAATGGTGCTTTCTCAGTGGGCACTCCAGACTGTGTGTCGCATCTCGCAGAAGAGATTCCTCGCGCATCTCGAAACGTGCCCAAGGCAATCGCTGCGCAGATGGGCGTCGGGTTCCTTACTGGTTTCGCATACTTGATCGCCATCTTCTACAGCATCAACGACATTGATGCTTTGATTAACAACCCTTATACCAATCCCTTGGCCGAGCTTTACAGACAAGCTACTGGATCGAGAGCTGGATCTTGTGGCTTACTGATCGTCGTCTTCCTGGTAAGTCAACTGAGTACTCCAGCAAGCACGCCACATGTGTGTTGTTAGCATCAAACGACCGGTATTGACATTCCTCGATGTAGCCTACAGTAGTCAATTGCATTGGCACATATATCACATGCGGACGCATGCTTTGGACACTTTCGCGTGGTCAGTATCCCTATACATGTCGGCTGAGAAAAGGTTTGACTTACGCATTGCAGATCGTGCTACTCCCTTCTCAGACACACTTGGTAAAATATCGCCTTGTTGGGGCAACCCATTTGCTGCTACCGTTGCCTGTCTTATCGTCACGACGGTACTCGGTCTGATCTATATCGGCAGCGCGGTTGCATTCAACGCCTTTGTCGGATCGTTCATCATTCTCTCGTCGGCCTCGTACCTGGCCGCCATCCTCCCTCATCTGCTGAGCAAACGCAAGAATGTCGAATTTGGACCATTCAGGATGCCAGACAAGGTTGCTGCGATCCTCATGCCAATTGCATGTGCCTACATCGCATGCTTCATTGTCATCTTCTGCTTCCCTTTTTCGTAAGTGATCTCCTCATCAGTAACTTTGACATAGACTGATCCGATTGTTAGGATGCCTGTGTCGGCCGAGACGATGAACTACTCATCTGCTATCACTGGTGGTCTCACCCTTATCATTGCCTTGTTTTACCCGTGGCAATGCAAAAATGGGTTCCGGAGCCCTATCGAGGTTGTCAGGTCGAACTCTGCGGCCAATGTTGTCAAAGACAACCGGGAGTGATCAGTATTGAGCATACACTGCTTCATCCGTGTATCTTTGTTTTGGAGCATTGTTCATATCGTAGTAGAATGCCAGATACATTTGCGTAATAAGATCTGCACCTCATGACCATGGAATTGTACGGCTTCCTCGACACGCCCAGCATCCGCTGGGAGTCCCGGGTCAATGCATCTCTCTGGACACGTCTTTGTCCTGGAAACAGAGTGTGCACTTTCATAGCTCGCACATTGCTTCGTGACGCTGCGAGAAGGGACTTGGAGGTGACAGGCTCGCAGATAGAGAGCGAGCTTGGTATGCAGCACTTGTTGTTGTTTAGGCAGATCCAGGCAGATGCGCTCAGATCCAACAGACTGGGGTTCCGGAAGCGGCACTCAGGGGTAGGTCGGGGATCAGGCTGTTTGTGCGCACATGTTTCACGCAGCGTAGGCCCACGGTCTACGGTCCAGCCGGCACGACACGCGCTCGGTGATTTGGAGTTCGGAGAGCAAAGACAAAAGCCATCGGTTCCGACGGGAGCTGATCGGATTTTGCGGGGCAATTTATCCGACGGCTATAATAACATGTTTAGTGGGGCCGGGTCTGCAGCTTGGACAGCACTCACATGATGGATGGCTTCTGTTTTCTGCAAATCGCAGGCTTGCTGTACCACTGTCCTGGAAGAAAAAGCCAATCACCCTCTGGGAGCTCTGCATACTCTAACCCGAACCTTCGGCAAGCCCTCTGTATCATCCGTGGCTGCTTGATATCATCCTCAATTGAGCCTGCATACATTCCTCTTGTACGTCCTCTCTCCTACCAATTCTAGTTCTTCTTCCCTCCTCCTGATCTGCCTCCTCCTCTCCTCTTGTTATCTATCTTCTTCGCCTGTCTATCGTGTTATTCTGTGGTCCTCAAGAGTTACTTTCCAACTCGTCCTTTCGTCCCACAAACTCAATCGTCATCACCACACAGCTGCTTACACCATGTCTCAAGTTTTCAAGTCAGCTCTCCAAAGAAGCCTTAGAGCTTCGGCCGTCCGCGCATCTCCTTCAGCCACATACAAGCTTCAGTTCTCGAGAAGCTGTGGTAGCTGTTACCCTTCTCCATACCCCAACTCTAAGAAAGTCGCAAGAAACTTCTCCGCCACAACAGTGCCCAAGATGGCCTCGGTACAAGAAGTAAACCCTGCAGAGGCAAAGGTAGATTTGCACTTCCGTATGGTACGCGTTGGGTCCCAGAGCTAACGACCCCGGTTGTGTAGAACTTGTCATTTGTTCTCCAGAAACCCTACGACGTCAAGTTTGAGGACCGCCCTATTCCCCAACTCAGAGATCCTTACGATGTCATCATCAATGTCAAGTACACCGGTATCTGCGGATCTGACGTGCACTACTGGACAGACGGTGCTATCGGAGACTTTGTCGTCAAGGCCCCCATGGTCCTGGGTCACGAGTCGGCCGGTATTGTCGAGCAGGTGGGAGACAAGGTGACAACACTCAAGAAGGGCGATCGTGTCACCATGGAGCCCGGTGTACCCTGCCGCAGATGCATCCGCTGCAGAGAGGGCAAGTACAACCTCTGCATTGACATGGCCTTTGCAGCCACCCCTCCTTACGATGGCACCCTCGCCAAGTACTACCGCCTGCCCGAGGACTTTTGCTACAAGGTCGCAGACCACGTTCCTCTCGAGGAAGCCGCCCTGGTCGAGCCGCTGAGTGTCGGTGTACACATCACCAAGCAGGCCGACATCAAGCCCGGCCAGAGCGTTGTTGTCTTCGGTGCAGGCCCTGTTGGTCTTCTCTGCATGGCCGTCGCCAAGTCATTCGGTGCCGCCAAGATTGTTGCCGTAGACATCAACGAGGAGCGTCTTGCGTTTGCTCAGAAGTACGCTGCCACTCACGTCTTCCGCTCGCAGAGAGTCAGCCCTCAGGAGAACGCCAGTCTCCTCAACGAGGAGTGTGACCTCGGCTTGGGCGCAGATGCCATCATCGACGCTACGGGAGCTGAGCCCTGCATCCAGACTGCCATTCATGCTGTGAGAACCGGCGGTACCTTCGTCCAGGGTGGTATGGGCAAGCCCGACATCAACTTCCCCATCGTCACCATGTGTGCGAAAGAACTGCGCTGCGTGGGATCGTTTAGGTACGGACCTGGCGACTACCAGCTGGCCCTTGATCTCATCACCTCTGGCAGTATCAGCGTGAAGGAGCTGATCACCGGCCGTGTCAAGTTCGAGGACGCCGAGCAGGCTTTCAAGGATGTCCACGCCGCCAAGGGTATCAAGATGATCATCGAGGGTCCCCAGTAGAAGCATGTTGAGTGTAAACAAAAAGAACTAGCATTTTAATTTGGGTCATGTACTTTTGGTAGCGTTCGGCAGAGTATTTCTTGTCTGGAAGTGTACAGAATGAAATCGTTACATCACACCAGACCTTGTGGCATCTATCTCTATTGGACATGTCTTTGGCCTTTCTTCGTATCATTCAAGTGAGCCGGGGCGGCGTGGCTGGTAAGCTGCAAGCCTCAATGTCCTTCTGCTGGCCGCGGCGAGGTATTTCGACAGCATCAGTGGGTTTCTGACCAATTTGGCTGCACTGTGTAACCGTGTAGGTACATGTGATGCGCCGTCGCATCATTTGGCAATTGGAGGTGAGTGTCGGCATCTTTTGAGTCTAGACGAGTTATCATGAAAAAATCGTGGGGGATTCTCATGTCGAGAGACTTCCGAGCATCAGGTTGCGATCGGTAGAGGCAGAAAGAACTAGACATGGGTCAGTACGAGTTGTTTGTAGGGCATTTGAATTCTTCTTACTCAATGGCTCGTCGTTGGGCGCGAAGCGTACATCGTTGACGGAACCCTTGTGACCAGGCAGCTTCTGCAGCAATTTGCCCGTGCTGTTTTCCCAAATGACAACTGAGCGGTCACCACTGCCTGCAGCGATGCGCTTTCCCTTTGTATCCCAAGTAGCCCTGATCAAGTACTTGTCCATTCCTGTGGGGGCACCATCGAAGGTTCTAATGTGACGCTCGGTAGGGGCGAAGGGACGAATGTCCCAGGTGCGGACGGTGCTGTCGTGCGAGTTCGAGAGGAGGGTCTGAGAGTCGGGAGAGACCGCTAGCGAGGTGATGGTGTCGGTGTGACCAGCCAGAGAATATGAGACCTGCTTCTTCCTCAAGTCCCAGACCTTGATGTCGTTGTCGATGCTGCCCGAGTAAAGTTCGTTGCCGGCCTCGGCTAGAGCAATGGCAGTAACGGGGAAGCGCGTCTCGATAAAGTCGACGGCGGCTTTTTGGCGAGGGTCCCAGATGCCTATGTAGCCGTCGTCGGAGGCGCTGAAGAGTATGTCCTCGCCACGGCGGCTGATGTCAAGGGCGTTGATGACCTCGTCGTGACCCTGGTGTCTTCGTATGCGCTGGGCAGTCTCGAGGTCCCAGCTGGCAATGTGCATATCCGCCGAAGCAGAGAAGAGGTTGCGCGAGTCGCGCGACCACTGCAGGTCGAGAATTGCGCCTTTGTGACCGGACAGGATGCCGTAGTTTTGGCAGTCGCCAGAAGTGCGCCAGAGGAGAATGTTGCGATCGGTGCCCGCCGAGGCAATGTAGTTTCCGTCGGGGTTGAAGCGCGCAGCAAGCACCTCGCCGGTATGGCCAGACAGCTCCATGACAGGAGCGGACAGAGGAGGGCCACGGTGGGTGCTCTGGATGAGGGCGCCATTCTGCGAGGCCGAAGTCAGAGCCATCGAGTTGTCCGACTTCTGGCGCTTGACCAATTGGCCCGAGGCCATGGAGCTGGAGGCCGGCCGCTTCTCTGACATGTCGCGTGTGGGTTGGAGTGCACGAGTCGAAAGTCGAGGCAGCTAGAAAGTATGAGTAGCGAACGTGACAATGTCGAGCGAGCTTGGACGCTAGCGACGTCTCCGGGACATGGACAGGTCCACCAGCCTCTCCGCATCCACTCTCATCTGCTGCCTCTTGTCTTTCGCTACCCACAGATTATGGCTACCAAAGCTACTCGCCTCGGCGAAGAGTGAGTGCTTGTCGACTCGTCCCTCGCGCCGCAGGCTTGCTGACATGCGACAGGGTGTGGAAGTAAGTTGGCTGCCTGCCTGCCTGCCTGACAACAGCGCCCCTCTGACGCTATCCACAAGGACCCGCGTTGACAAGGTCAATGCCGAACTCGTCACTCTCACCTATGGCACCATCGTCGCCCAACTGTGCAAGGACTACAACGCCGACTACGCTCAGGTCAACAAACAGCTGGACAAGATGGGTTACAACATGGGCATGCGCCTGATCGAGGATTTCCTGGCAAAGTCAAACTCGGGCTCTTGTTCCAATCTGCGTGAGACGGCAGAGGTCATCTCAAAAGTCGGCTTCAAGATGTTCCTCAACATCACTCCCGTCGTCACAAACTGGTCGCCCGACAACAAGTCCTTCAGCCTGTTGTTCGACGAGAATCCCTTGGCCGACTTTGTCGAGCTGCCCGATGATGGAAAGGCTCAAGATGAACTGTGGTACTCCAACATCTTCTGTGGCGTCTTGCGAGGTGCCTTGGAAATGGTCAGTACAAGCCTGCCACCGTGACTTCTGCCGTCAATTGATCCATTTCAGGTTCAAATGCAGGTCGAGACTCAGTTCACGAGCGATGTTCTTCGTGGTAACGACACGACAGAGATACGCGTTACCTTGATCCGCTACATTGAGGACGAGATGCCACCGGATGATGAGTGATGAGACGCACTTTCTTCCGCTGGGCGTCATCAGAACTGTCCCTTGCTCTCAAATTTCACGACGTTACGAACAATATCGATTCAAATCTGCCAACTCCCAGTCGTTCAGGAGGAGAGTCTCCTGGGCACTGGTCGCGATTGGCTCAAATTATGGGTGGACCGAATGGCAAACTAATAGTATGCTAGCATCACAGACCGGAAAAGCCATAGAGGCATGGCTGTATAGCGAAAGCAGGGAGACAGCATCTCTAAATAGACATGATAGTTGGCCGGCAGGCAGGAAAAAGGGGCTGTTTGTTGGAGCAGGAGGTGCAGCATCACGATAAATGCAAAGCTTCACGTGACTTCTGACTCGTGGAAACTGGTGGGCACAGGACGGCGTCGACAATGGCGGCGCGGCCTGTGTCTCGCCAACAGAGAAGAATGGCGGGCAATACCGAGTTGTGGGATGGTGCATACAGCGGCGATGAATGGCATTGTGGTTGCAATCGAGTGGCTCTCGAATGATGCGTGTCGTGGTGATTGTGCGTTTCCAATGGCTCTCTCTTGCTTGGCACGGCTTCGCTGTCAACGCCTCGCTGCCACCAGCTCCTGTCCGTCCTTGCCCCAGTCTACCCTCACCACCCTCACCCACATTCTTCCTTTGTTGATCCACTTCGCCCCGTCCGCCGTGCCGCTAGGCTATTGCGACTTCCCCTGCGCCTTGATTGTGTTGCGCATCCGACGACGACGACGACGACAGCTGCCTTTCGCGCCTGTTAGACCCGTGTCTCGTGTTCCGATCGGCGACACCCACGCCTCGGCTTGCTGCTTGCTGCTTGGTCGCTGCCCACCGACCGCGACCTCCACCACCGCTGCCACTGCCACCACCACCCACAGCCGCCATCGCGTCCGCCCTTGTCGCTGGTCTCTAGCACCTCCCCTCACCTCTGTCGTGCTCTGCTCCTCGTCATCTCTGGTCGCTCTGACGTCCGCCTGTCGCATCACCTCGTCGTCTCTGTCGTCCGTGAGCGCGCCCCGAGTCCGAGACATCTCCATCGACCACCATCCCCTTACGATTCTCGCACAACTGGCTGAACGAGCCTTCCAATTCCTGGCATGAGCCAACCAATGAATCTCATGGGCGGGCCCACCCCCAATTCCGGCACGCCAAATAACGCGTCTAGTGGAGACCTATCTCGCCAGAAGCTCAACACATATATCTACGACTATTTTCTTAAGTACGGCAACCACGAAGTCGCCCGCGTCATCCTCAAGACTGTCGACCTCGACCTTGACCCGCACCAGAGTCCAGATCGCAAAGACATCAATGGCGTAAGCGACTCGATGGACACCGATGTCAAGGACAACAACAAGAAGCCCGACGACCTTCCCTCGCCCAATGTGCCAGCCGCTTCAGACGGCAGCTTCTTGTACGACTGGTGGCATCAGTTCTGGGAGTGTTTCAACGCCCAACACGGTCGCGGCAACAACACACAGACTGCAAAGTATCTGAGCAACGTCCAGGTATGTCGCTGCTTTTTCTCTCTCACCGACCCTTGCCCCTGCCCACCACCACTCCCACTAACCCGCAGCATTAGGCCCGAATGGCCAGCGAGCGACAGAGGCTGATGCGCGTCGATCCCCAGATGCAAGCTAATATGGCCATGCGCCCCGGTATGGTCGGCCCCGGCATGCCAGTGCCCCCTGACATGGCTAAGAAGCTTGGCCTTCAACCAGGTCGCCAACCGTAAGTTTCGGCCCTGTGCGCATCGTTCGCGACCTAGGTGCTGACATGACAATGCAGTACACAGCAGCAAGTGGTACAAATGCAGCAGCAGATGCGCATGCAACAAATGGCACAGCTGCAGCAGAACATACAGAGGGAAGGCTCCACCATGGAGCAAAGACCCACCTCTCCTGGCGGCGGCGATGCTGCCCCGTCACCCAAGCGTCAACGACTGGACGGCAACTTCAACGGCGCCATGGGCCCAATGGGACGTGGTCAGCCCCCGGGCATGCCCGGACAACAGGTCCGTCTTCCTTCTCCCGTGTGCGCATCGACGCAAAGACTGACCAGACGTAGATGGCCAATCCCCAGGCAAAAGCCAGGCAACAGGTATATGCCAACTCCATGCGCCAGCATATGCAATCCGCCATGGATTCTAACGTGGACAAGGGGTTGATGCCTAACGGAGCTCCTCAGATGCCGCAGGATCCCAATTCGGCCGAATTTTTCAGCACCCAGATGCGCCCCATGCCAGGTCAGCAGGCACCGCCCAACAACAACAGCAACCATGCCCTACAGGACTACCAGATGCAGTTGATGCTGTTAGAACAGCAGAACAAGAAACGCCTGCTGATGGCTCGCCAAGAACAAGACAACATGACCAACGGACCCAACGGACCCAACGGCCCCGTGCCTGCTTCCGGCCAGCCCCAAAACTTCGCCCCGGCCATGTCGCCCTCCAACAGCAGGGCTGGCCCTTCTCCAGGCCCCAACGAGCAGATGCGACGCGGCACCCCCAAGATGGCTCCCGGTGTCGTCCCCTCTCCAACTGCCGACGGCGGCATGCCCGGTCGCGCATCTCCCGCTCCGGGTCAGTTCGACCCCAACAACCCCATGAACCCGGCCATGTTCCCCATGGCCATGATGAAAGGTCCCAATGGCCAGATGATGCAGCCTCCTAGCTCGCATCCTGCCTTTGCCCAGATGAACCAGCAACAACAGATGGACATGTTCCGCCAGGCTCAAGCGCGTAACGGTCAGGCACAGATGGCCAATGGCTTTATGCCTCAACCAGGTCCTATGATGGGAGGCCAACCCCCACCTCAACCACCCAACATGACGCCCCAGCAGCGCAACGCAGCCATGCCTCCCCCGCCTGCTCCTGGTAACGATGGTCCAAGAGCTGGCACCGGCCCCTCATCCCCCTCGCAGAATCAAGCTCCACCCACGCCTTCGCAGGCGAACAAGCCCAATGCCAAGTCCAAAAAGGATTCCTCGAAGGGCGGAAACAAGGTAATCAACCTCAAGCACTCCAGGTCGATGTGTGACGCTAACCCTTATGTTCAGGGTGGCAAGAAGGGAACGACCGGCGCTACTCCTCAAGAGTCAACAGAACAACCTCCAACTCCGACTCCAGCACCACCAATTACTCCCCAGCCCACATCAGCTTTCCCCCCGAAGCCGGGTCAGCCTCAGAACCAACAGCAACCATCGAACGCGCAACCCGGTATGCCTGGCCAGCAGAATCCGGGTGGTGACATGTCCAATATTGGAGCTCCTTTCGGCAACATGGACGACAACGTAAGTTATGTGTGCTCATCTAGCAAGCTCACGCTGACACATGGACAGTTTGGAAGCATCAGCGGAATCGATTTCGGCGAAATGGGCGGCCCAGATGTGCTGGACAACTTCGATTTCGACTCCTTCCTCACAACTGACGGCGGCGCCGATGGCTTCAGTTTTGACCCAAGCGGCATGAATTTTGGCACTGACGGCGGACTTGAAGCAGGTGGGGATCTTTGATCATACCTCACTTCACGCCCGAAGTCTTCGCTATAGTTCTTGCCGCTCCGACTTTTTATAGTACGACATGTCGATTACGTACGATGCCGTTCATCTTCCTGTCACCATGTTCACACCAAACAGCTTCGAAGGTTCACACACCTTGGTCTATCCGCTAATAGCGTTCCTGCGGTCGAATCATCTACCTCTTATTCCTACCCCTTTACGACGAACGCTTGAATATTCTCCCCACTTGCTACTGCATAGGAACTTTCTTACTTCAACACATTTTATCTCCGAGACCAAACGACTCTCATTTTCATACTTATCTTCTGTCTGTTTGGAGAAGGTCGAAACGTATGAAAGCAGAACTCGACACATACGCACACAAGCACATTTCTTACATTTTCACAAAAACAAATTTCCTATTTTCTTATACAAGAGTTCAACGGCGGGGTTGGCGTCTGGTGTGCAAGAGGGATCAAGGACCTCCATCAGTGTCCCGGCCGATCGAGGCTGGGAAGGGAAAGGGAAAGGGGAAACGTCGAGCGGTTGTTGTCCATCATCATCAAGATCTATACCCCAGTCTGCACTACTTATGTTTCTTCTCGATTCATCCTCCTCGACGTGTCATTATCGTTTTTGACCATGTATCAACTTGCCTACCTCACGACATCCAGTCTGCAGGCATACAAAGCCGTCTCAACACCACTGCGCATTTGAACAAACATACTAGACGTAGTTGCGTACGCTTCGATCTTGGCCATGCTCGATCTGTGAACTATTATGACAGACCAAACGAATGTCGAGAACCCAGCCACATCACGCCTATCGGGACGCTGAGATGTTCTCTGGGTCCATGTTTTTGGCGCGACCCTGCTCTTCCACTTCTCCTTGTAGAAACAAAACTACAGTCGATCGCTAATAAGACGGAATGAATGAAACGAGAAGACAAGATAATCCAATCGCATGATGTCTTGAAGTCACTAGTGCGCTGGTTTAATTTTCTCCCCAGACTCGGTTTCATTTATACTCTGGTTGCAACTCTTGACAAATAAGAGGTGGGATGACTGAACAGTGGATGTGGTTGAGACAAGACACTAGTCATGGATTTTGCATGTGAATAGTCCGATGCTGCTGATAACGTGACAAGCCTCCCACTTCAAATGCAAGATTACAGTCGGTTTGGAGATAGAAGAATCGAGCTGTTTGATCTCTACACTATCTGTGAACTTATCTCTTTAACCCGCAGACTACGCAACTTGCATCTGCATGAGATGTGTAGCATTCAAGCGAGTCACACAGAACGATATCGACTCGAGGATGGTCGTGACTACTAGGAAAGAAGTGTTGCAACATTTTCAGGATTGTGGACCCGAAGGACCACCTGCAACGGACATCCATACCGTTTTTCAGTCCAGAGCCTCTCCACTTACCGTGACCCGGAGCTGAAGCGATATGTGTATGATGGCCGTTCAAGACGAGATGTCTGGCCTCCATAACGGCCCCAGGATGGAAGAGCCGGAGAGCTGTGCTTTTCCAACGGTCTGTGCAAATTCTTCGAATCGAGGTGGCCAGATCCGCTTTTAGACCATTTCTAAGGAGGTAGATATAGAATAGGCATTAGGTCTCCGATGGGGAACGGGGTTTAGCCCTGCGTAGTGTCTCACACCAACAAGGAATTCAAGCGAAGTTTTCTCTCAATAAGACGACAGCCTCTTGGGCAAGTCTGGGCCTAAGAGTTTGGCGAGCAAATCCCAGACATCTTCTTTCTAGCTCAAGAGAGTCGCAATTTGAAAGTGTAATCATTGTGCTGTCTGATGTTGTTGGTGGAGGGGGTTAGATTAGCCTGTTAACATAGATTGTTGAGCACAAGTTGCATCATGAGAACCTGGGTGAGCAAACAGAGTGCGCTCAAGATTCATGACATGGACAATGACACGAACATCGAGGGCAGGCACAGTTTGACAGGTCACAGATGTCATTCTAACGAGGATGTCGATCCCAGGGTCTGGGGATGAGGTCAGAACAACAGACACAAAGGCAAAACCATGTGGGGAACGGCGAAGCTGCCAATCGGGGTGTCGCATAGAGATCGAGACTCGCGGGCCGAGTGGTGCATGGACAGTAGACAGCGGTGTTGGGCGAAAGAGACAGGTAAGTACAAGAGCCGAGGACTCGTGCAATGAATATGAGGAAAACATCAGTCGAGAGGCCCAGACCTAGATACTGCGAGACGAGAACGTTGGAGATGAGAGCATGGATACAAAACTCGATTGTCGGTTCGCAGAGGGCAGTTGGACAACAATCGATAAAAACTATTGACAACGCGGACGCCGGTTGCGACGGTAAACGGGCTTTGCATGGCTGGCGGCTGGCATGAAGACTCGAGCGGGGCGACGGATAGCGTCGAGGCATGCTGGAGATGGAGTGGTCGCCGCAGCAGCAGAAGATATATGTAACACGGCGAAGCACTCGCAAGTAAAAGATACGGTTGCTATGAGGGCTGGCTGGATCCACCTCTTCTCGTCATCTCAGACTACCTAGGTATTGTTCTCATTGTTTGAGCCGAGTTGCCGAGAGCGGTCAGCGACGTACAGACAGCAACAGTCAATCAGAGTCTTGGCCCCACGAACACACAGGCCGCTCATTCCTCTCACTTCTTCCTTTCTCATCAGCATCAGCAGCTCGCGGGTTGAAAGCTGGCGGTGGACGAAAAGAAAGCAGGAAAAAAGAAAAAAAGCATGCGCGGCTGAGAGGGAGCGGATATTCTTGTTCAACAAATTGGAATTGAGTTCACGTTGCAAAATGGTGCTCGATTCACGGCAGAGTAGGCCGCACTTGGCTGCCATCAGCATCCAAGCCGCGACAACGACTAAGCCCGCACCCAAGTCTACCACCACCCCTCCTTCTGCTGCTCCTCTTCTTCCCATTTCGCCTCCCTGGATCGCCGTATCCCACGCACTCAACCCCTTCGGCGACTCCAATGGCCGTCGTGACAGCTTCACCACTCCATACCGACGCACTTCGACCTCGACATCCTTCTCGCTCCAAGTCGCTCCTCAACGCCCCGTCCTGGCCCGCAGCATGACTTCGGCCTCGCACTTGCCGCGTCATGCCAAACTGCACAAGAGGTCCGACTCGACCTCGTCTACCGCTCCCGTCGTCTTCACCATGCCCTCGCCCATCCAGCACGAGTTCACTCAACCCACCTCGTCCGTGACCACCACCCAACATGCCCGCCATTCGTCTGCCAACAAGATCAAGCCCTACCTCCGCAAGATGTCCTTGCGCGATGACGACTTGGACCAAGGCCGTCTGGATCTGTCGCGTCCCTCTGCCGAAAACGAGTCTTTGGCCGGTCTGGGTATCTGCGACGACGCTCCCTCCTTCTCGAGATCCCTCTCGGATGTCTCCTTCATCCCCTCGACGCGCCGAAAGGCCTCTCACTCCCGTGCCACCAGCGGTCCACCATCTCTGGCTGTCGCTGCTTCCGGTCCGCTGCGTCCTACACAGCCTTTCGCCCCACTGCGAGAGGCCCCTCGCTCCTTTACCCCGCCTGCAACCGTCTCACAGGGCGACACATCCGACGACGAGGCAGAGGAAAGCGTTGGTGTTCTCACCAACGACATCCGTCAACCTGACTATGAACCCTGGAAGCCACGCAGATCCATCTCCATTTCATCAAACCCCGCAATCACTCCCCTTTCCATAACATACACCGCTGGTTCTCTTACCAAGTTGACCAGTGCATCCCAATCGAATCTCTCAATTCGATCACAACCCTCGTACGACCAGATCAAGACTGGTCGTTCCCACAGGAACACTGGTAGATCCACTGATTACCCGCCAACCCCTTCTGCTCGTACTTCGATCGACAAGGCCTTCAGCTTCATCACACGCACTTCTGAACCAGAGGACGCTGCCTCGCGGGCTGCCGCCATCCGTGCCGCTCGCAGGGCGTTTGAAGAAAAGGAGGCCGCAAAAGATCGCAAGTATGAGAAAGAAGAGGTAAAGCGCAGAGCCTCGGTCATCAAGAAAGAAGAGCGTAAATGGCGGAAAACGGATCCGCGTGCAAGCATGACCAGCAACGGCAGTAACAGTATTGTCGTCGATGAGAAGGCTGTTGCCGGTGCAGACTATGCTACCCAGACGCCTGCCCACGATCTCAGTCTTCCCATCCAGGGAGACCACAGCGGTGCTGCACCCATAGTACCGCTCTCGCCACCATCTCCTAGCAAGACTAAGCAGGCCAAGGGTGGATGGAATCGAATCCTTGCGTGGACTCGAACCAGACTTCTCGACTGCGGCGGCAAAGCTTGACGCCGCAGTGAGCCGATGAATGCATGACGAAGAGTACTCAGCAGTGGCTGAAGCACATATGTGTGTTTTTGATAATCGTTTTTAGCGCGGGAGGGAAAGTTCCTTGGATATGTTTCAGCATTTGCATTCGTTTTATGAGCGCGGAGTTTATGGTTATACCCTCGTTGGACAGTAAATTTAAGGATGGATCGATGGATTCATCGCATACATGGAGTACAGCATATCGTCAGTAGATCAACAATCAATCTAGGCCTAGATGGCATTCATAACACGTTCAATTCGAGAAACAGTTCATTGAATTGATTATTTCGGAGCGGTTGAGATGGGACAACGCCAAGCATGCCTTCTGGATGCGGAGCGGAGATCGGGAGTCAAGCGATTGACGGGCTCATGGAAAATCGTCCCGACAAGGACATTGTGAACAACATCAACCTGCCGCACTGCCATTGACGCTCAAACCCGGGTCCTCACACTGCTCATCCATACTGCATAACACGCCATCTACTCGCAGCAGCTTTGCCAATTCTTGGTCCACAATGGCGACCGTCTCACAACCGCCTCAGACACCACCGGCGCAACCGCCTCCACCACCAGGAACCACTGTACCTCAGACCAGCCCTCAGCTAGTGCCGTCGCGTCAGCCGCTGCCTCTTTCTGCCTCACAAGAAGGACAAGTGCGAGAGATCTACCACAAACGAGTACGGAACAAGTGCGCTGAAGAAGTCCGATGTATGTCATCCATTCCTTTGCGATGATTCTTGGACTTACGCTGATCTATCTTGCATGTTAGTATTTGCAGCATGTGCTACCAATCGAACCTTCACAGCGCCATTCTACTGTCGACCCGAACGCCGCCAGATGAACGCCTGTATGCTCCAGTACGCCAATCAAGCCGAGCAGGACGCCGCTAGAGAGGAGTGGTTTGCTACTCGCGACTTGCGCCGTAGGGAGAGGGAAGCCAAAGAGGAGAAGAGGAAAGAGCAGGAGAAGTTCCACCGTGAATGGTGGGGTCTGGATGAGAACGGCAACCGCGTCGAGAAGAAAGATACAAAGTAGCCTATCGTGGGATGCCGCAGATCAATTTGCGTTCACGCCATCTGGCGCGTGAGGGGATACGTTTACATCAAGAAGGGCATAAGAAGGCGTTCAACATGCTCAGCGTCTCGTTTTGTACAAAGAATCATGGCTCCTTGGTCGGTATGTATTTTAATCCTACTCCTCTAATAGCTTATGTTCCCGTGCAACTTTGACTCTCTTAGCATTTACGTTGAAAGCCTCATCCGGAATCGCCGTCCTTGTGTATCGACACCACGGTCTTGGTGGATCGAGCTGTCACGGTGCAGAAGGTCGATCTGACTGGGGAGTCTTGGATGGAACACATCCTCTAATGAACCAATCCCTACGGCTGCGCACCTACTACACTGCCTGAACCAAGACAATTGATGTGATTTGAATCTCCAGAAAACATGGCACTGCCTAGGTCCAGATGCTCTTATCACACTCCATGAAACAAAGAGACATAAACATCTCGTTTGCTGGGGGCTCGATATCTGTTGATAAGACCTCTAAGCCTCTATGCTTTGCCAAAAGTTCCGGAAGCCATCACCGCTTGCCAAGATCTGGGGTTGACTCGAGATGCCGAGGCATGTGATACCGAGGAACAGAGTATTGAGTCTCGCTCTTGCAGTCCTCAAGTGCTCTTCCTCTTTTTACTAAACCTGATACTTACAAACGGAAATAATCATGCACATCAAAGACAGACTCTTCGTCATTTCTGGTGGTTCTTCTGGCCTGGGTCTTGCAACAGTCCGCAATTTGCATCAGAGAGGAGGTTATATTGCCATCTTTGATCTTAACGCAGATACCGGAGCCGAAGTAATCAAAGAGCTTGGCTCTGAGAGATCCCGATTCTTCGAAGTTGATGTTACCGATACCAAGAGCATCGGGAGAGCCGTGGAAGGCGTCTCAGAATGGGTACAAGAAACAGGGAAGCTCATCGGCGGTATCGTCAGCGCAGCTGGCGTAGGAAACCCTGGAAAGGTATACATCAGAGATGTTTCTTAGTAGTTGAATACTGACCGCACGCAGATGGTTGATCGTAACAATGAGCCGCTCTCTCTGTCGTCCATTGACTTTGTATTGAACATCAACCTTCGAGGCACTCTGGATTTCGTTCGCCAATTGCTCCCACTCATGACCAAGAACCAACCCACACAGCCAGACAACGAACGAGGTTGTGTCATCTTGGTCAGCTCTTCGGCTGCTTATGATGGCCAGCCAGGTCAGGTCAGTTTGATATGTGATCGACCTTCCATACATCCATACTGACATGAGAAGGTGTCGTACGCTGCTAGCAAAGGTGCGGTAAGGTCAATGACATTACCTATGGCGCGTGATCTAGCACAGTTCGGTATCCGCGTTGTGACGATTGCACCTTCATTGTTCGAGTCCAACATGACGGCCATGATGAGCGACAAGGTTCGAAAATCGCTCGAACGTGTCATGGAGTTCCCAAAGAGAGCAGGCAAGGGCGAGGAGTTTGCAGAGTTGACCAGACATGCGATCGAGAATGTCATGCTCAATGGAGTTGCACTACGGTTGGATGGTGCGATGCGAATGCCGTCAAGGTTGTAACACCCATATGGACCTGCTAGGAATGTATCTGTCTCCCACCAGATCTTTTTCTCGGATCTCATGCTCTTGTTATGTGATACCTAGCTTTTGCATCTCTTGCAACTTCGCGAGATTAAATTGGGTGTGATTTGCTCGGGCGGGGTAGTGGCGTTAGATAGGTCTTGCATGCTCCGTGCTATGAAAGGCAACCCTGTCCTTTAAGGCCCTTAAACAAAGTGATCTAGTAGTATAAATAGGAAATGTACTAAATGTTATATGTATTATAGTTATAACGCCTACTTAAACTAATTATTATTATAGCTTTTAAGGTGTGTTTATCTAGTCTATATAGTTTATATATTATTATAGTATCTAGATACTAACTAGAGATAAAGTAGTACTAGCTTACTAAGACGCGCTTTATTTTAATAGTTTAAGCTATTTTCTTAACTTACTTTTTAGATCTTTACTTCCTTTTATTCTTTTAATAGCGACCACCCCTGCTACTCTAAATGTTATAGAATGGTGAGTTACTACTAAATCACCCTTATTTACTCCTTACATTTGCCGTTTGCTCTAACTTGCCGAATTTCTAACTACGCTTGCTGTCACTCTAAAACGTCAACTTGACTAATAACACTCACTAGCAATGACGACGAACACGTCAGCCTCTACGGTGGAAGACACTGGTTTCCGTTCAAAACTAAACACGAAAGCCCCAAATGGAGTAGCGAAGATCATCTCAAGATCCTCACCTACAAGAGAGGCTGTTACGTATACGCTCCTGGTCGGCGATATCGAAATACCAAGTGTCTCACCCGCTGAAATAGTAGAATACGTCTCGGAGCATGACCTGGAAGTATTCGAAAACCAACAGTTTGAGAGAGATATCAAAGAGGAAGAGGCCAAACAGAAGGAGCGCCTAGCCGCCAAAGCCCAAGCCCAAGCGCTTAGAAAGGACAGATCTGTGTCTTCGTCATCAGATAGCGATGGACGTGATACAGACTCGTCCCGATCTGGTGAAAACACTAGAATGACGACTGGCGGCAGACAACGCCCAACCTACACTCACTTTTATCCAAAACAACGAGCACCGCGAGGATCTTCCAAGCCCGTAGCTCAGGCTGGCAGTGAGTATATGATGGTATAAGATTATTGGTACAACCAGCTGACATGAGTACGATAGATCACAGAGACAGCAAAAGACGTCGATTGAGAGAGGACCGTGACGACAGTATATCTTCAGCACAGGACACAAAGAGTATCTACAGCGCGGCTTCTCTCAAACCACCACCAACAACTCAGCCACCTTCAGCCATAGAACAAGCAGCAGGTCTGCTTTCAGATTCACACGAATCTGATCCCATGGATATCGACGAAGAATCAGACAACAACAACAACGACGACGACGACGACGACGACATTGGCATGCCGATCAGACAGCCAACAGGACCGATGAGAGACAAAGGCAAGGAGAAGGCCGCGACAAGTGCTTTCTTCACATTCAGAGATCAAGCCATCCCAACACAGCGCATGTCTGCAAAAGAAAATCTTGCGGCTGAAATAATTGGAAGGCAAGCATCTACGACTCCGGCGAAAGCAGCAGCAGCACACGGAACCATGCCATCAGCATCATCAACCATATCGCATAGAGCAAAGAGCTCAAACACCATCGACCCTACCCGTCAAGCAGTCGTCGACCTCAATGACTCCGTATCCGAACCAGAAGATGACTCCGACAACTCGGAAGTTTACACCGTCGAAAAGATCCTCGCACACAACAAATCAGACCCCAGATCTCACAACAAGTCTGTCCACGGAGAAAAGCCAGTCATGCTGTACCTAGTGAAATGGGAGGGCTACGATGACACGACCTGGGAGCCAGCAACGAGTTTTCAGGACACCGATGTGTTGCAGGAATATTGGGCGCAGCAAGCGCAGAAGCAGAAGCAGAAGTCATCGGCATCGGCATCGTTACCAAAGGACAGTGCTGCAACCCTCAAAGGTCAAAGGCGGGGTTTGTAGAGACAGTCTGTAAAATGCAGACTGGTACGTGGAGGAAGGACATCGTATGAATGCATAAGTGGCCTTCAGTCGCTGTGAGCTGGCTGACATGCTCATTAGAGAGGACGAGCTTCCAGCCATCTTTATGTCGTTATCACATTCTGAACAGTAATTCTCGTTTCCCTCTTGCTGTCGATAGATGACTTGCAACAAATAGAAGAAGTGAGAAGGCCAGTAGGTAACAAAGTCTCAAAAGGCTGTGAGATCGCGACTTGATTGATGTTTGATAAGTTGCACTTCTGGTTGCTGCCCACAGTGTTGAAAAAAGAAACAAAGAAAAAAGGCCCCATATCTCGATGATCAAGGGTCTATCTATCGAAGTTTTAGACGCACAGTAGCAATCATGAAAGTAACAAGCATTCAAAAGTTGAAGAATTCACAGTGACCAAGATCAAACGGCTTCAATTGTCGTCATAATTCATAGTATTTGCATTTGTTCATCTATTGGAGGGTGAAAGCTCGAAGGGAAACTGCCCAAGCCAGAGGACGCAGCAAAGATTTGACATATGTATCTGCCATCATGTCTCTCGCAGATGTAGGGGAACGGGTGAGTGCTGTCGTGATTCGTAAGGGAGAAAGAACAACGCTGATGGACGCAAGTGAACAGAAATTGCTGTTGGGTATCATACGGCATGGAAGAAACAGTAAGGAAGGGGCGGCGGCATTAAATCGACAGACGAGAGCTGAGGCGACTTCGATCTAATCGTCAATTTCGATGATTTCGATGTTCTTCTTTGGTGCTGGGGTTGCCTCATCTTCACTCTCTTCATCGAGAGCTTCATGTACGGGCGTCCAAGAGCCGTCACTTTCGACGTTGATAGCACGCGTCTTTAGCATGCTCCTTGCGGCAAGACTCTCACGGACTGCCATTAAGAATCCATCGACTACCAATCTCTGTGGTCTGGAGTCGGCTCTGCAGATGGGACATCTCCATGCGTCAATCTTGCTTATGCGCCCTTTACGCGACTGTGACTTTTGCTCGAGTCGAGTTTCCAAGAAAACGTCAAGGTCGAAAGCTTGCTTGTGCATGCAGTCTTGACTACGAACTGGAAGGTCGAAGATTTTGGCGTTGGAAAAGGGTTCGTAGAGTTGCAGAGTGAAGTTCGACTGCATGACAAGATCATCGTCATTACTGACTAGAGACTTTTTGATGGCATCCAGAACCTGCTCGCTAGGAATAAGACGCTTCATACAATCCTCTTTAATACTGTTACCAGTGGTAAAACCGACGACCTCGATAGCGACTGCGTAGTTGAAGGGCGATTTATCGTACTTTGATCGATTGATTCTCACAACGAGTTTGTTCGAATCCGCACTAACGCAACGTGTGATGTCGATAGGGAGGCATTTGCCATGATGGAGTTTGCGTCTTGGCTCGAGCGGATTCTGGTTGACTGTGAAGTAGGCCTGCATCGGCCAGCTGCCGTCGAGGAGGACCCATTTGTTCTCGGCGGGGAGGGGTTGAGACGGCGCGACTTCGCAACACCTAAGTCTCAGGGTGATGGAGTTGACGTCGACCTCGCCAGCTGGAGGGTCGCCGTTGGCGCCCACTTTGACCTTTAGGAGTCGTCCAATCGCTTGGGGCGTTAGTTGAAAAGAAATTTCTTGAACAGGCTTGACTGCCAGCCGGTAAGGCGGAAGAGCAAAGCCGACAACGCGACGGTAGTGTTCGTTAGATACGGGAGAAATCGAGGTGTCAGGCGTCTTCGGAACAAGAACGGGGCTACGCAAATGGGCTTGATGAAGTGCCGATTTGCGGTAGTCTGGGTTGGCGGGCTGGGGCACAGAAGGATTTGGTCCGGGAAAGAACAGACGAGGTGGTGGGTTTGGTACTTGATGTGGACGAGGCATGTTGGCTGGTATCGGAGGAGTTGCTAGGGAATTGGAGGGCAAGAGAGGTTGGTGGGGGCGCATTTGATGTTGATAGGTCATCATCGCCTGAATCTGGGCAGCATCATAAAAGGCGGCGTTGTTCTGACGTATAGACTGATGCGGTAGCGCAGTCACACCTTGTTGAAATTGTGGGAATGCGCTGCCGGAGTTCTGGAAGTGGGCAGAAGGTGGAAGTGAAGCACTGTGTGGCTGATTCTGGAAATAGGCAGGAAGTGGAGACTGAACCTGCGCTTGCGCCTGCACCTGTGCTTGGGCCAGAGCACGCATCTCCATGTCCATCTGCATACGCATCTGCGCCTCTGTATGAGCGGCCTGCGATTGTGCACCGCTTGGCCGCGGCACCTGGACTTGGTGAGATGGCTGGACGTAATTTTGGCCCGAACGATGTGATGGCAGTTGTGATGGCAAATGTGGTGGTGACGACATGTTGGTGAAAGTAGGCGTGAGCTGAGTCGCACGTATGTGTTGGTGGAAGATGTTACGATTGCAAGCTTGCTGGTGGATGCGCACTTCTGGTGATTGGCCCCCTTCCAGCGCATATGTTTGTTGCTCGATGATGAATTCTCGCATGGCAAGTTCAGCCAATGGACCAACGTCCGAGCCCCAGGTGTTGCGCAATAGAAAACGAAAGGTTGCTCGTTGAAACAGCAACGAACGAATCCCGAGGCTCGCAATCAAATCATGAACAGTTGGAAGTGTTTCTGCACGGCGGCTCTGCAAGAGCACCCGCTCTAAATTCAACATGACTTGACGGAGACAGCCAGAAATATGGCCAATGGCCGAGCTAAAAGATTGATCGGACAAGCAGACTTTCAACTCTTCGAGAGGCCTGGGGAAGGCGCTAACAAAGACCTGAACTTCGTGACTCAAAGACGTTCCAGCATCCCGTTGTTCTCCCAATATTTTCGCAAACATAGAAAGGCTGTGTGGCGGAAGATGGGGTTGGATAGATTGGATTGCAGGTAGATTCAGGGAGTGGCAAGCTAGGAGCATGAGCAGTATGATAAAATACCAGTCATTCGATGTCGTGGCATCGTAGAGCACACCCAATCTCTCGAGATCAGCATCATTCAAATTTCCGTGAGCTGCGACGAAGCCAGATAGGCGCTCAGTGCACTCTTGGATTTGGAATACGGCAGACCATTCAGGTCCGAAGGTGGGAGAAGCTTGGGTATCCGAAGGAGGCAGTTGGGTATGCGCGGTGAGAGTGTTTGACGCCCGAGGGGCCTGCTGAACCGTAGCGGGTGTATTCGGTGGCCGTGAGGAAGAAGTGGTAGAGGTGAGTCTGCTCCTGGGCAGGCGAGCAGCGGGCTCGGCTGGAGAGGTGTGGAGAACAGGTTCGTTCGGAGATTGGTGAGCAATAGCTTCGTTGAGAGATTGACGGGCAACGGCTGGAATCGAGGATCGACGAGTAGTAGTTTGGATCACAGGTTGAAGAGTCACGGGCGGGCTCGGTGACTTGTCGTGTTTACTAGGAGTAGGCGAAGGGAGGAAGTTTCTTGAGTTGGACGTGTCAGACACGGGGTCTTGGGGAAGAGGCGGAGCTTCCTGAACGAGAGGAGCTTGCGAGGCTTCCTGAACGAGGGAGGGTTGCAAGATTTCCTGAACGGGAGAGGATTGTAAAGGCAGGGTCGCGGGAGATTGATAGTGTAGGGCATCCGGATCGCTGGCAATCAGAGTGGGAGCTTGTTTTTGGGCGTGTTTTGCAGAGGCACGAAGAGGCGGCTGTGAGAGAATCGAGTTCTGTTGCATCCAAGAATATTGGGCAGGGCGTCCCAAAATGTTTCGAGCAGCTGCATTCGAGGCGGAGGGCGACACGGCCATGGTGTCAGACATGTCAGGCGCACATGCGAATGTGGGCCATGTGCGCGTGGATGGCGAGCGCAGATGTTAGGCGGCGAGGATAGAGTAGGTGGTAGTCAAAGTGCCGGACAAGGAAAGCGCGACACATGCAGAGATGCGCAAAGGAACGCAAGCGGCAAGGCAGGCAGGAGCTCGTACGACCCGAGACGCCTGCGCCCTTGGACGCAGACACACGCGCTGTCACAAGCACAGGAAGCTGCCACCGACTGCTGCACACGGCACTCGCCGCCCGCTTTCGGTCCATGTCCAAGAAGTAGGTACAGTACCTCTTGCACGTCCACTCCCCCGTCCCTAGCAGACGCCGACTGCGACACAAATCCCGTCCGCCGCCAGACGTGTGTTCGTTTCAGCTCGACTCTCCCTCAGCCCCTTGACGGGCCATCTCTCGGCTCCACGTCCGACACCCGCCGACCAACACACGCCATACCACCACCCTGAGACTTCGATGCTCCCGCCCCAGCCATAGTCTGGCTCCCCCCTTCGACACGGTGCCTCAATGGCCTCTCGTCTGCCCTCGGACCCCCGAGAAGTTCCTCCAGGCTCTATCCTGCTCGTCGTTCACGATTTCATCGCCCGCAGCCCCGACGAGCTGAGCCTGGCCAAGGGCGACCGCATCGAACTCATCGAGCGAGACGATGACTTCGGCGATGGCTGGTTTCTTGGTCGCCACATGACCAACAGTGCCACTGGCCTGTTTCCTGAAGGTGAGAGAACGTCGCTCGTCTTCGTCTCAACTGAAACACTTCCGCTCACGCCAACTCGTCTGCCGCAGTCTACACTACTCCTGCCCCGAGAGGCACTCTCCTAACTACCCAGCAACCCCCAGCCCGTCGCAACGATGCATTCCAACCCAGCAGGCCCCAGACTGCTGCTTCGACCGCCTCTTCGCAATCCGCCAATTCTCTCCCCGCTCAGCGCGCATCACAACACAACTCGGTCATGCACGAAACTCTAAGCGTCATCGACGAGCATATCACCGACATGCGCACCCCGCGCGAGAACCCTCTGACCAACATACGCAGCCATGATACGGATAGCGTTTACAGCTCACACGCTCCCAACCGCTTGTCTTACATCAACGGCCGCGAGACTGACGATGAGGAAAACCAGCTACACACCGAGGCTGAAGTCATCTTGTGGTCTCCCGTGCGCGTCGCTGAATACCTCGAAGATCACGGCGTCGAAAAGTCGCATTGTGACACTTTTCGCGAGCAAGAAATTTCTGGAGAGGTTCTTCTGTCCCTGGAGCAGTCGGCCATCTTTATCAAAGAGTTTGAACTGGGTTCTGTGGGACGGCGTCTGAAAACGTGGCAGAAGGTCAAGGCCCTCCAGGATGAAGTGCGCCAAAGCTCGACCAACGTCCCTAGGAGTGTATCCGAATACTCGGCCGCCGGCGACGATATGCCGGCCGAGGCTGGAAGAAGACGGAGCCAGAGCGTGACGGCCTCGCCGTACAGACCTGTCAGTACCATAGCGACTCCGTCCATGACCTTCACTCGGCCAGACAATACCCAACGTCCCTCGGCCGCTTCCATACGCAGCCTCAACCATTCCCGCAGGCACTCGTCCATGGGGTCCATCGACAGCATGAATCGCTACTCGCACCAAAGGCAGTCCTCTGTTGGTACAACCTCCGCAGCGCCCGCAGCCACTCGACGTCTCTCAGTTGCTCATGAACCGTCGGCCGACCTCGGGGCCGCCATCTCGCAGACGGATGGAGGCGTCGGTGATTATGGCTTTGGATCTATCTCTTCGCCCATCGATCTGGACCGCGGTTACTTCTCTGGAAACGAGGTCGATGCTCGCAACAAGCGCAACGTTTTGCAGAAGAAGTCAACGTCAGCCCATACCAGAAACATAAGTGCTGCCACTGATTCTGCTCGCCATAGCGCTTCGTACAGGAATTTCCCTCGGATGTCCAGTGTCGAATCGATGCGCGAGCCTGCTTCGCCAATCATGTCCCCTGCGTCCAGCCAGTTCTCGTTCAACAAGCCTGCTAATAGCCGCGCTGTCAGCAGTCCACACTCCGCAGTCAAACCCTTAGCACCCATCCACCAACCTGTGTCACCCATCGTCACTCGACTAGATCAGACATTGGCCGACAGCGATAACTCTTCACTTAATCCCTCACCTTCGCCTGCTTCAAACACTCGATCTTTCTTTTCCAAACCTCGCATTGGCGGCGGCCTTCGGATAGCCTCTGATGCCGTTACCCAAAGCGAGAAGAAGCAGAGCGCTTTGAAGCACGAGCCTCTCGCTTCTCCTGCTCGCACTGGCTCCACCACACCTTCAACCGAGACTCGTTCTTTCGATCTGCAAAAGTCAGACAATCAATCTCGAGTATCAACCGGTTCTTCGAGCGCTCTTGCCCCACCCGCACCTTCTACGCGGCCTAGGCCAAAAGTGAAGAGCAAGAAGTCAACATCGGCATACACCCGTGGTCTCGAGAAGAAGGCGCCGGCTGAACAGATTGCCGATTGCGACTACAGCGGATGGATGAAGAAGAAGTCTTCGAGCTTGGTAGGCTCGTGGAAACCTCGTCTGTTTGTACTTCGTGGTCGGAGGTTGTCGTACTACTATTCCGAGAACGACACCGAAGAGAAAGGCTTGATCGACATTTCATCCCACCGCGTCCTTCCTGCCGAGAACGAAAAAATGACAGGCTTACACGCTGCACTCACGGGTGCCGGGTCATCTCCCATGGTGCCACAAGGTACTGTAGCGCCATCAGCGGACGGCCAAGGTCTTTTCATCTTCAAATTGGTCCCTCCACGCCAAGGGCTGAGTAAAGCTGTCAACTTTACAAAACCGACCGTACACTACTTTGCCGTGAACAGTAGGCAAGAGGGTCGATTGTGGATGGCTGCACTTATGAAAGCTACGATTGACTATGATGCTTCGAATGGTAAGGTCACGACAAGCTATAGTCAGAACACAATATCCCTCTCAAAAGCACGCGCACGCAACGAGCGCCCACCCGCATTACAAGATACGGTGGCCACACCTAAACTTGTCCACGAACTGGAAGATTCATCCAGGCCTATATCCAGTGGTCTGGGTATCGGTGGCCTTGATGAGGCTCAACCAGGAGCCGAACAGAATGGCAGCCCAAATGAGTCGACGACGTAACCTGGACTACATCTGACGTCTTGAAATCACATTTGAGAGCTGATTGACTATGATACGACTTATGAAAGGAGAAGGAAACTCCCTACAGCTACGAATCTGTGGTATTTCTGTATTCCTTGTAATTATAATGCGCCGTATGTGTTCCTTTCTTTCACTTCGATCTCTTTTCTTTTCGTACTTGTGTCTAGTGCTCGAGTAAGATATTAGTGACAAGATTGCCGTCACTTCTCGATTTCTTCTACAAATATATACCACCCAACGAGGTGGCGGCTTGCATCAAACCAAATGACCAAATACCATACAACGAACTGCGCTTCTCTGTATAACTACAGACCGGTCAAACAGTTTAATCGTGATTCATTGTTGACCCAGGTCATAAATGTTGACAACCCTTTTGTGCAAAATGCGGAGAGCATAAGCCTTCGGGCTTCTCGGTGCAATGAACCCCCGGCGCCTCCACGACATCTCCACAGTAGTCAAGGAGCGATGCTGAACGAGAAATGTTTATTAGCAAGAAGCCTCCCTCCGTACCTCTCCTCGATCTTGAAAACCCGAGCTGGATACAACAGGTTTCGCTCATAAACTGCCAGACACAGCCATCCACGACAATGACAACATTACTTGCTGGAAAGGTCGCTGCCATCACGGGTGCAGTGACAGGGATTGGAAGAGCTATCGCTCTCGAGTATCTACGTCAGGGAGCCGCGGTCGCTGTCAACCATTACCCGGATCCGAAGTCAGACGAACAGTTCAAGAGTATGAAGGATGAGGCTGGCGCCGGTGCGAAGCTCATTGCCATACCCGGTGATATTGCAAAGCCCGAAACTGGGACGGATTTCGTTTCCAAGACGGTATCAGAGTTTGGCAGGTTAGATGTGTTTGTGAGCAATGCTGGTGTTTGCCAATTTGCCGAGTTTTTGAGGTTTGTTGCATTATTTCTGGACATGTCGATTCATCCAACTGACTCGTCCACTCACAGTCTGAGCCCTGAACTTCTCAAGTCGACTGTGTCTATCAACCTTGAAGGTGCTTTCTTCGCCGTGCAAGCAGCAGCTCGTCAGATGAAAGAGCAATCGCCTCAAGGCGGCAGTATCATTGGTGTTTCATCCATCAGCGCTCTCGTTGGTGGTGCCGGTCAAACACACTACACACCTACCAAGGCAGGCATTCTATCCCTCATGCAGAGCTGTGCCTGCGCTTTGGGTCCATACAACATCAGGTGCAATGCTCTGTTACCGGGTACGATCCGCACTCAGCTCAATGACGAGGACTTGGCAGATCCGAAGAAGAAGGAGTATATGGAGGGTCGCATTCCGCTGCGCAGATTAGGCCAACCTCATGTAAGTACCTCGAAGCTAATGAGAACATAGTTCGCTGATGAATTCTTCAGGATCTTGCTGGACCCGCAGTGTTCCTTGCTTCAAGTCTCTCATCATATGTTGTAAGTTTATTACCACTCAGGGGCTTGACTTACAAGTACTGACCTTTGGCTCTAGACTGGCGCACAGATATTGGTAGACGGTGGAGCTTTCGTGAACTTTCAATAATCAAACATGTCAAATAGCACGAAGAATTTGACCTCATAAAGTCTAGGATCAGTCTTGTATCAAGATCGACCGGCATACACTGCACAAGAGAGTTTTCGAGTGATCGTAGAAGCATGCGACAGGGGCAAGATAGGAGAGAAACTTGGCTTGGATGAACGCTCCCACGCTAAAATATGCAAAGGGTATCTATGGAAACTGCACTTATTCTTCAAATCCGCCAAAGCTCTCACCGGAGTCTGATGCATCTCCCGATTCTTGCGGGTTCTTGCTCGCTGCAACAGCACCCTTTCTATTGTTCTCAAGTTTTCGGATGTAGCCACTCTTGGTACTAATACGCGCCTTTGGCTTTCCGGTCTTGGTATCCTTGCCAGAAGCAGATCTTCTGGTCTCGATACCGCGCTTCTTGAGTTGTTGCTTGTCGCGCTTGCTGGGCGTTGGTAGAGCGTCCAGCAACCACTGTTGGATGTTTGTTGTGCCACCTGCTGCTCCCCTCTGCTTCTGACTTGCGACGATGATGTTGGCAACTGTCTTGATGGATGCGACATCATCGTCTGTGTAATAGGTCAGAGCTACACCACCTTCTCTGCCAGCACGACCTGTGCGGCCAACACGATGAACGTAGGCTGCAGCCGAGGTGGGTGCATCGTAGTTGATGACAGCATTGATGCCACGGAAATCGACGCCGCGCGACAAGAGATCGGTGGTGATCAAGATCCAGACCTCGCCCTTACGGAAGCGTGTCATGACGTGGTCACGCGCGGTGTCAGAGAGGTCCGAGTGCAGTACAGAGATACGTGAGATTCCACCTGCTTCGGCGGGAATATCGTAGAGAAGTTCCGAGTGCAAGGCGACCGCACGCTCTATGGTTTGAGTGAAGATGAGGAAGGGGGCACGGACAACGGGCTGCTTGTCGACGCCTGTGGAGGTAGGATGCAAGAGCTGGCGGAGGGCCAAGAGTTTGCCTTGTTCGGTGGCCGCGTAGATCAGACGGTGATCGATGTTGGGCACAGCCGAGTCTTTGAGGCCAACAACAAGACGTACAAAGGGGGCGATCTGGACAGGAGTGGAGCTGGCCTCGGAAAGCGTCTCGGCACGACTTTTGATGGTGGCCTTGACGATTTCCTCGATGTTGGAGCCCATGGTGGCAGACCAGAAACCAAGACGGAGGTTGGGATTCGACAAGGCATTCCATACAGCCAAGGTCTGGTCGCGGAACAAGGGGTCAAGAAGAACATCGGCCTCGTCAAGGACCAAGAATCGGATCTGAGACAAGGCTTGCGAGCTGGTGTTCACGTCGCCAATGGCGTTCTTTAGAGCAGCCGGGGTGGAGACGAGGATGTCAGCCTTGACAGGAGGCACGTCGTTCGCTGAGGCATCTGCATCGGATGAAGGATCTGAAGCGAGACGCATGCCCTTGCGGACGTTGGTGATGCGTATAGCAGTGTTCAGAGCGAGTTTTCGGCCCTCGTTGGCAATCTGGCTGGCGAGTTCCTTGGTTGGGGCGAGTATGATGGCCTGAGGGCCAGATGGTGTTTGAGTGCGACGTGCAAGCGTCAGAGCATGGATTAGAGGAATCATAAAGGCCAGAGTCTTTCCGCTGCCCGTCGGAGCAATGCTCAACAGGTCGACATGATGTTCCTGGTCTTGGTCTTGGTCTTGTCCGCGTGCATCCAAGTATGGGCGGGGGTCAAGCAAGAGCGGCAAAGCAGCGAGTTGGACTTCGGTCGTGGTGCTGTAGCCATTGTCCTTGATGTTCCGTAGAAGAGCCTTTGAGATGCGGTATCTCGGGGCTAGACTGCCAAAGTCACTGACGGGCGCCGGGTATAGCGGTCTTGAGTGGTCGGGCGAGGTGTGGGCTGCCTTGTTGTTCTCCTTGTCGGTCTTTTCCTTCTTCTTCTTTTTCTTTGCAGGAGGCTCGGACTCGCTGCGGAACAGGGTGATTTTGACCTTGTGGCGTCCCAGCAGCTGCTTGCACTCTTCGGGGCTCAATGCGACAGGCGCCGCTTGTTCCTGCTGCAGCCTCGTCTGCTCGTCTGTGGTATCCTGCTCTTGCTGCTCGACGTCTCCCTCCTTGGCCGATGCACCGCCACCGAAGAAGTCCAAGCTCGCCGTCACTGTCTCGCTCCCTCTCTTGCGTTTGCGCTGGGCTGCTTGTGCTTGGTTGCCATGGTCGAAGAGTTGGGGATTTGACGCAGGTCCCGACGATGGCGTGTGAATCTGCGTACCCGCCGATGTACCCTTCTTTGCAAACTTGGTCGACCTTGTCAATAACCGTAGGGCATCCATGTTGTGTTTTCTATGTCTTTGTCTTGTACGGTCTGAAGAAATTGTTCGACTTTGGAAATTTTGACGCCGAATCATGGCGCCGAAGGCCGAAAATCATCGCTCGTCATGGCCATGACCCTGCTCTACTTTGGTCGAATACTCCTCGACTCTTCGTATGCCCTCGACCTCGTCACAATCAATCCAACAAGTACCTGTGACTCCATACACACTTCATACTCTCATCCAACGCTGTTCTGTACTGTGGTGGACCTCGTGGGAGTGGAAGATATCCTCTGATATTACTTCGAAGCTTAGCTCGACCAGAATCTATACCCACCGCTCAGTGGTCATCACGGTCAGCTACAACATAAATCAATCAGAGCACACCATCATCGCAATGTTCAAAGCGGCAAGTCTGTGGAATAAAACAAAAGAGCCTTGTTAAGCAGACCGTTCATGAGTCCGGTAAAGAAAGAAAAAATGGCGATCTAGGCTGTTGTACACGGCTAAGAGACAGGCTCGCGTGTCGCTCCCATATATATGTGCATGCTATGCTTTTGCAGCGTCCGCCCCTCGGCGCCTCGGCATAGGCGACTCTCGCCCACCTTGCCTCTCCCTCCAGCTTCCTTCGCGTCGGTATCGTATAGCGCTTTTTGTCCACTGCTTAGTGGTGCTCGTCGTGAGAGCTCGATCGGTAGCCAATGAGCTTCATGCGTCCAATCATCTCGCCAACGGTGAAGAAGCCGAGAATCTCGGCCGTCACAACTCCGGCGGTGATGAGTTGCGAGGTGCCAATGTTGCGCATGGCCTGGAAGGGGTTTGACGGGCTGTTGGCGCTGGGGTTCTTGACGGCGTTCATGACGTTCTGGCCGTATGTCTGGAAAGTCTGGACGTTACTGCAACACTAGTAAGTCGACGTGTTCGCGGGCGGTCTTGGTCACCATCACATACGGAGGGCTCATCTTCTGGCCGCGGGCAACGAGCTTGGCCAGCTCAAGGCCGACCTTGCCGTAGTAGACGGTAGGAGGGATCATGGCTGCAAAGAGACAAAAGAGTCAGCAGGATGGCAATGGACGAATGTCGCCAGGCAGGCAGTCACGTACACTGGACCATGCTGATGACCTGACCGGTGCGACCACCAACGCTGTTCATGGCGCTGGTGGCAGCTCCGGCAGCCTTTGAGATACCAGACTCGGCCGACGATGAAACTTTTGACAGGCCCTGAGAGGCTTGGGTGGTGGCCTTGGAAGCAGCGTTGGAGGCAGCGTTGGCTGCTTCGGATGTGGTCGAGGCGTGGCGCACAGCGATGCGGCCAATCTGGGGAGTGCGCAGGAGCATACGGGAGGCCGAGAAAGACATGTTGAAGACGGGGCGCAACGACAAAGGGACGACGAGTGGGAGTAGGACGTGAGGGTGCGTTGGGTTTGCTCGCTCGAAAGGCTCAAGACGCGCTCGAACCAGAGGTTGCAAATCTACAGTATCCGTGTCTTGGCACCGCTCCGTTCGTCTCCGCGCTTCGTCCTTTCCCGGTCTCCACCTCCTTCCATCTTGTGTCCATTGCGAATCAGATCAAGTCTTCGGTGTCGTCTGGCGCCTCGCTCGCCCACTGAGCTTGATCCAGTTCCGCTCTGCTCGCTGCCACATAGACGCTCGCCGTCTACTCGTATCGCCTGCACGACTCTCTCCTCGAGTCCGTAATCAGGTAGTCCGATCTCGTCGCCATTTCTGATTCTCGAGAGAAGAACGAAAAGAATTATGATCAGTCAGTTTGCTCCTGATTGGAGGCGCGCACCTACAATCGCTCATCCGTCTGACTCTTGGAACCCAACATTTTCAACTCCGGCTGTGAGGATCACGTCGGCAGAATGAGAAAACCAATATCCAGCCGCAAATGGCTCCTGCAAGTATCTTGTATAACATATACCTTTTCGTCATATCTATACACAGAACAGCTGCCTGTGAGTCTCGACACCCTTTCAGTATCAGACTCGTGTGCCACCTTCCATTTTATCAATACGAAACATAAATTCCTATCAAGCTTGTCGATCCGAGGTTGTGACTCGCCAGGAGCTGCGTGTGGCTGCCATCAAGTTCAGTCGTCAAACGGCTCGGGAATGGGTCGCATGTGATTCGTCTCTAGGATGCACCTGTCGGAGCCGACGGATCCTTGGCTTCACGTGTACTGTAGCGATATGTACATCACTTTACGAGTAAGCGAACAGTTCATGTAGAGCGAGCGACTGGTCAAAACATGCCGATCTTCGTATGTCGTCAACCCTCCTCTAGTCAGACAGCCTGCCATAGCGACTTCGCTCCAGATATGGTTACACATATCTCCGGGACGGATAACATGCTTCCCCCCAGCGATCATCAACAGTCACTTGGGAGCCACAATCCAACCCCAGATATCGGTATATACGCTCACACTTCTGCGCTTCAAACGGTCAAGGAATCAGCTGTGCTGCCCACGAGCACACATTAGGCCGTACGGTAGTCGTAGTCTCGTGATAGATCTAGCTTTGAGTCCGCTCAGGCGGCCGACTGCCTGCCCCACAAAAACTTGTCAAAATGGACCCTCAACCAAGACGACTGAGGATCCAGTTCAACCCGAGGTTGGAAGGGCAAGTGTGGTACACGGCAAGTTGATAACAGGATGTGTTCAACATATGCCTTTGCCTTTGCGGTGTTGGTGGATCTTTGGCCGTCCATGTCTTGCGATTCTCCCAAGCCTGATGATTTTTGCAAACCTACATTCATTCCATCTCTATCTATCGTTCCATGCGGTGGATAAGAGTCCTCGTACGCCTGGTCCTAAGGTCCGCCAGTCGGCATGCATCTCGTCTGACGGCTCATGAACCTGCATATACAGTACATGGCGCATGTACTCCTGGTCTGAGCGTCCAAGTGATTGCATATCGATCCACACCAAAAACGTACATCACGCTCGACAGCTCGCAGCACCAATACCGAATGTACAGTGTGATAGCCTGTTGTTGTCATGACGAAACCCCATAGCACTTCGTATGGTCACGACACAGAGGTCGGGTTGGCTCGTGGTTTACTAAGAATGCTTGGACCATGTGCGCTAAAAGTGGCTGGCGTTGTTTAGGGCCACTCGCAAGAACAGCGATTGCCGTAATCTTCGAATGGACAGGTATCGCCGATTATGCTCGTGCTGATGGTGCTCCGGGGCCAACTCTTCTTTACACTGCCGACCCAAGCATCGAGATGCCAGACGATGCGAGCTGCAAGTAATTGCAGAAGGTTCTGTAAAGTACATTGGCCTGCAGTCGTGGCCGTCCGCTCGCCTGCGGATGCCCAAGCGCGACTGCAATTGTGGACGAGAGGATTGTGGATGGCTCGCTCGCTCGTCTGCTCAGTACCAAACAAGTGCTCTAGCTGTGTACGGAGTACCCTGCTATTTAATCAAGCGCCGATCAGGCGCTTGCGCCTGCGGCTTGCGCCAGCTCGAAGACCCCTCATTCGCCATTGAGCAATTAAGTTAGCCTATTGAGCGCACGAGCGTGCCCATGTCCACAGTCTACCGGTATGCTCCCCCTCCTCCAAAGCGGGCTGGCCGGTTGCTGGTCTGAAGAAATCAAGGTCGACTATGGCTTGTATCGGCGGGTGATAGCTCAATGCAAGCGCCTCAGCAAGACGACCGGCGACTCTCCGACGCCTCCAATTACCTTCTGATCTCATCATGCCATGCCACTGTTACCCACTACGCGGACTCTTACTAGACCAGAATATCTCCAGGGCCACAAGACCGCACCGCATCGCAGCCGAGCCCAGAATGTTCATATACCTCGCTCCCCCGGCGGCCCTGCAAGCCTCCTTTCAATATCCTTGATCGGACAGAGGTGCTGCTCCCACTCTCGTTTTTCGTCATGCTGTTGTCGTGCTGGGCGTGGGCTGCGTTTTTGCTTTTGTAAGTCTTTCAGTTCTCCATTGGGTACCCTCATCCTTGCCATGCCATGTGCTTACCGCTGCCTATAGCATCTTCCGTTATCTTCGACTCGTCGTCAACTTGATTTCCAATTGGACATACAAACCAATTCCCGTACCCGAAAAACCTAATTACACCAACAAGGATGTCACTGTCATTATACCGACCATTGAGGGGGAAGGAGACAATCTTTGCCGAACAATAGAGACCTGCTTGGCAACACAGCCTTTCGAAATTATGATTGTCACCATCGATGCCAGCATAAAGAGGGCCGAGAGGACGGTTGCTGCTTTCAACACAAACAAGATCCGCATACTAAGTGTTGCAAAGGCCAACAAGCGCAGCCAAATGTGCGCTGCTATTCCCGAGGTCATGACCAAAATCACCATCTTTGCAGATGATGATGTAATTTGGCCACACACCATTCTTCCTTGGATACTAGCTCCATTTGAGAACGACGAGATGGGTGGTGTAGGAACATCTCAGCGTCTGATGCGTCCCGAGAAGACAAGTGTCTGGAGTTTTCTTGGATCTCTTTACCTAGAGAGACGCAATTTTGACTGCTCTGCATGTCTCAACATCGACGGTGGATTACCTTGTCTTTCAGGTAGGACGGTTGCATACCGCACCTGTATTTTGCAAGACGACGCCTTCACTTATGGCTTCACAAACGAGACATGGAGGAATTTCCAGCTCAACGCCGATGATGACAACTTCATTACTCGCTGGATGTATGCATATGGCTGGAAAATTGCCATGCAATACCACAAGGCTTGTGAGGTGCAGACAACCCTCGAAGACAGTCCAAAGTACTTGAAACAGTGTCTTCGCTGGGTACGCAGCAATTGGAGGAGCAATTTGACGAGCATGTTCGTTGAGAAGCATTACTGGAAGTGAGTAACTGGAACACAATCGTAGAAGAAACGAACTGACCATCTCGAGAACAACGCCCTGGACGACTTATGCAGTTTTCCAAACAACTTTGACCGCGTGGGCTTTCACCGACCTTTTGATCTTCTTTCTCTTCTATAGAGCTACAGAGGACTTGTCAGCAGATGTTAGACAGAAGATTCTGACTACAATCGGCATCTGGATCTTTGTATTCGCAAAGTCAATCAAGCTCTATGGTCACTGGATCCGGTATCCTGCTGATCTTTTGATGTTGCCATACTCGATTCTCTTTGGTCATTTGCATGGAATCATCAAGCTTGCAGGACTGCTGACGCTCTCTGCTGTCCGTTGATCAGTGCTCCAACCCTTCGCTTGGACAAACACTGACCGTTCAATAGACATCCTGGGGAAGTCGCGATGGCGCAGATGAGGATAATCACTACCGAATGATCAAACTCCCACCCTACGACACCGACGACCTCGAAGCCTCTCCTCCGTCAGCTTCGAGTTTCGCCGACTCGATGTCAACAGCACAATACCCTCCCCCTTACAAGAAACACGAACCCGACGAGACTTGCCCATTGCAGGGCCACTACAGCCACGATTTATGACGACCCGATGCCCAAAATGAACATCAAGCTTAATGTTAGACGAAAAGGAGGAAACCCGACGTTAGAAGGGAAAAAGATTTCTGGACGGTAAAAAGTCAGGAGTTCAAACAATTCACCTGTTAGTGCTGAACTTTGAGGGGGTTTCTTGATATTCGAAAGAATGAACAAGCTCTTTTTAGCAATGCAGTCATGTGTCTTTCTTTTTGTCTTCTTGGCTCACAGCATAGCAGAGTCTGAGAAAGCAGTGCTAGATTCACAAAGTTACCAGCCACAGAGACATTGATTATCCGTTTTTGGCAAGAGGTTCACGGACAGGCCGAAACTCGTGCTGTGTTTGGCAGCCGCGGTTCCTGCATCAGTCCGCGCAGCCGACTCGCGCCGATATGAGTGAGACTTTTGTGGTCAACATGCTTGTGGCGATCATTTCGTGGTAGGTATCAGCCGCCAGACGGTCCGTCCAGGTTACCCGAGCGAGCTCGCTTCGACTTTGCCAGATGGTGGGCCTCTGTTGCGGCTCCTCGGTGGACTCGTGCCTGGCTGATTTCGCTTTGACCAGGTCAGGCATGACTGAATTATCATCGGTAATTCGCAATGTGTACCATATCAGGAAGCTTTATGTGATTGTTCGGATCATAGTTGCGTGAGGAAGGAGCTGCGAGAGGCGCAACCTCCCGGCAACTACATGCGTGTACGGAGTACCTATATTGCAGAAGCGCCGTCCTAATCTGGACGGAGGAGCAAACAGAACAGTCTTCTGATTATGTCTCAACCGGTTCTGCTCCAGATTTTACAGTGGGGTCCTTGACACGAAACACGATGATCCCGATTTTGTTGAGCTGAAACCAGAACAATTGTTGGCAGACCTGCTGACATGCTCGTACAACTTTTTTGCTCTCCAGACTCTACAAACATAGCAGGTCCGAGCTCAATGCACGGTAAACCCTGACATGCAGAAGCGCGCGCAGAGAGGCATGTGCACGAAGCGGCACAACGACCACGCGCCGTCGAACCTTGAGCTTGTTCGCAACATCTCCAGTTCAACCTCAATCCTTGACCACAAAAGATGTAGGATTTTTTACGAAGAATGAATTGACTGCACTGCGTGCTGGTGTACCGGTATCGGTGATGTGGCACGCACCAAAGTATCATACTACCAGTGTACTGAGATGCCCTGAGACCCGCACACCAGTCTCAATCTGGCAAATGACAGCTCACTTCCGCTGAGAATTCTTCGTTCGCGCCATCAGAGATCACATCACGCTCGGATCTTGATCAAGGAATTGTCTGACTCTTCTTGGCGGGTCCAGGGAAGGCCGACTCGAGCGCAGTACTCCACAATTGAGTAGGTCATCATGGCACGGACAGACATACGCGTTCGGCTGCCATTTCAAAGCCCACCTGGGCCTCGATATATTAGTGTGCATGGGGCAGAAGCTTGGGTCAAGTGTCAGGATAAACCTTAATTGGAGCCCTGCTGGACGAGTCACTCCGTACCGCATGGACCAACCTTGACGTTCGCAAAGAAGTGCCATCATCTGGTTGGTACGGTAACTTAACGACATATGGAGTGTTCCCGTAGGCATCATTGCGATGCGAGCCACTTGTTGATCTGTATTCACGCCGCTCGCCTCATCATCAAGAAGATTACATGACTCTTCTTCTTGAAGGGTTCAAGACTCTTTCTCCAAAGTACTCACACACCAAGAAGTGCCTTCTTTCACAGCCGAATCAAGCCTAAGGATAAAACCGACACAGATCGTTGAGGGTTGAGCTGTATTCTGCTACTAACCAGGCCTTCTATTGCCAGAGGACTACTTTTTCTTCTTGTCAGCACCAGATGCGGTACTGCCCAAGATTGAGTCGAAAGTCAAGTTTGGATCGTACGCACTGACTCGTCTTGCTGCTTGAGTTTTGTCATCCGAGGAGTCCACACCCAGGCCCACTGGTTTTCGACTCTGGACCTGGCCTGCAGGACTGCTCCTCTTACTCGGGGACGCTGGTGCAGCTGGACGATCGAGTTGTTCGACATCAAGATGGTATTGCGAATGAAGCGCGGAAGCCAGTGCTGCGTCTCCAGCGCTCCATGCCTTTGCTGCCTGCCAGCAGTGGCTTCGAAAGTAGATACCTTCAGCGCCATGATGGAAAAGATCAGCAGGTAGGCAAACAATACCTCCTGCCCTGGCTATCCCAGTGCGGCTAGCGTCACGCAAAGCATCCTCCCTCGCCCAAGGCACCCCAAATCTAGGTGACTCGCAGAGGAAGTAATCCACGCCTGTAGTATGCTGAAGCTGAGGTCCGTCCACGGTGACCAACGGCAAAGCTTGCAGGACGGCGTAGACGAAAAGCCATTGACCCATGCGAATTTCTGCCAACTCCTTGATGGTGCAACGTTTCGCGGCCTTGCGCTCGACTTCTCTGAACGAGTTCAAGAACGAAGATGGTGGGACATCGGCGTTGTGTGACGCTGTCATGATCTCCGCTATGTCATCGTCTTTCAATTTTTTCGACATGGCCTTCAATTCTTTCTTTGAATCACCCCATCCGTCGCATCGTGTCTGTCTCAATGATGGAAACATAGGAAGATCGTAAGGGATCGGCGGTTTTACTGGCGGCGAAGAGCGATCATACTCACTTAGCACCGTACGAAGCGCTCGCACCCGTGGTGCATCAGCAGCGCTCTCGTCACTCAAGAGACCATCCACAGAACGGTTTGTCAAACCCGAGCGATCTACCAAGAGATCGTACATAGCGCAGAGATCTTGGTATAAATCTCGACAAACCAATCGATTAAGTCCGCTCGTTTCCAGTTCGTTCTTCTTCGAAGCTCTCGGCGGCCACGAGCCGAAACGATTCTTGTAGAATGATATGACAAATTTTCGGGTAGAAAGAAACGAACTTCGCAGGACATCGAAGTCAACATCTTTGCGCTCGTCGGCTGTTTTGCTGTTCAGGATACCGGAAAAGAGTTGTGGAAAGTCGAAGTCTACCAGCACGTGTCTAACGCTCGCCGTGCGCTTTTCCAAGTCCATTGCTGCACGGCTAAGCCTGTTGGTGGAGATGAGGCTGATGAGTTTGAATTTTGGACTCCCCAGTTTCAGGAGCTCGTTATATCTGCCAACAGCATGTGTGAAAGCTTCGTTATACAGCTTGATGTTTTTCATGTGCTCTCCAAGAATCATGCCCTCAATGGTCTTCTCGGGGCTTGATCTTACATCTGCCAGACCTAGTTCGCTCACATACTGGTCGAAGCTGGATGTTGCAATCTCGCCAAATGTTGAACCATTGGCATTGGAGAATCCGAGTTGTTTCAGAGTCTCCGATATCTTGATGAAGACAGAGAAGATGGTGGGGTTCCTCTGCGTGGCTACCAAAGACCCTCCAGCAAGGAAAGCGAAGAGATTGCGCGTTGCAACAAGTATCTCCTCGTCATCCGATAGCTTTTGGGAGTCAGAAGGGACAGACAAGGCCATATCGGGTTTCAGTGCGATTGGTAAAAAGACCCGGCACCCTGAGCCAGTCTTAGGGGTCAAAGGAGGCGTATGAGCCTCATCAGGGTTCGTATGAGGCCCATCAGGGTTCGTATGAGGCCCATCAGGGTTCGTATCGATCTCTGAGAACCAAAGACAGTCAGCACATGCTTTGATGGAGTTCCTTGAGAGTTCTTTCCGCTTTATCTGTCCTTCAGTACGAGCGACTTACCAGTGTCAGAGGGCAGGGCCAACTCAGACAACAACTTGGATGAAGCCAATAATGCCGAGTCAAGCCTAAACGAAGAACCTTTGCCCGAAAGCCTCGCGAACAAATGTATCTCGCAATCTGCAGACTCATCCCACAGATCTTGTACCCGGTCTCCGCCAGCCAAACGGTCGAGGTTGTATGGTTGCTGCTCCGGGTGACCCATGACCCATGCCGCAGGGCCTCGTTCTGTGCTCTCAACACTCTTGCTCCGTCCAAACCATGATCTCCGACGGCTTCTTTTCTGTTCTCTCTCAAGAACAACTGGGCTCAACGTTCCAGCAGTCGATACCTTGTTGTAAGACGGTGATGAAGGACTTTCACTGCGAAGACGAGATGATGGTCTTGATAAAGGGTTAGGCGATAGAGGGCTTTGAGGTTCCGGAGTGGCCAGGAATCCAGACTTTTCGATCTTAGGAGATGCCGATGATGAAGTATTAGCACTAAGAGTGGACTGGCCAGAAGCGCTACGAGACTGAAAGAAAGTCGGTGTTGTCTTCTGTAGGCGCATACCCATGGTGGCTGCCAAAAAGCTTGGGGTGTATATGTAGTTTGATGGTAAGATAATCCCGCAGCCTTTAGCTATTGTCTGAACAAGGAAAACAAACCTTGAGAGGACTGGAGAAGAAGGCGAGGCACAGATGGTATCATATAGCCGTCCGAACCCAAGGCCTTTCCATTGCTTTGTATCTCGAAAATCGTGCATGCATGACGCAACCCGATGAGCCGGGAGAGAGGCGAAGTCTGCATAACGACCAACGAGCACAGAGAAGGCTATGTCCTTGAAACAGTCCGTGACACCACTCGGCGTCAGAAATAGCAAGGTGTTGGACACCAGACCGATTGTCACTGACACGTCCTCGTCTGCAAATCATCGTCCGGGGCACTCTGCTGTTCATGCACTTCTGGAAAAATCGTCAGGCGCCCTCATGCTTTTCAGACCGGATCTTCTGGAACACCTCACCTGCCTACCGACTCTACACTCGCGGTTTCTCCGCCGTCTCTGGAAGAGGAGTTCGGCAAACTTGCCGGGATCAATTTTCCAACCTCTGGCAGTTGTTGCATGTTTCCTTGCGCCAAGATCGCTGGGTAATAGCGTTGGCCGCGCGTTTCCAAGTCGTCGACGACGACGACGAGTGCATGATTCTCATCTTCTCGGTGTGCCGGTAGAGTGCTCTCGATTCCCTTAAAATTGCGAACCAGCAATAGCTGTGCTACCCTCCTGTGATTGTGTGCCCGTCCCTGGACCAATTTACGAACGCCCGATCAATCGTCCGTCGGACTTACGCATACGCCTCCCGGCTATTACATTCCTCGAAACACACTTCTGGCATTGTCATCATCGGGAGTCGGCTGCATGTACGCGTTGCTCAAGCTTCAATTATGCACATGTGTTGTCACTGGATGGTATTCATTGGGTTTCATGTCTCTAGCGACCAGTCCCAGAGTTGAGAAGATTCTCGAGACCGTCCACTCGTATGCGCAGCTCTCTCTCAGTGAGTACACGGTATAACCTCTTCAGGTCTTGAGTGCTCCAGCAAAATTCATCGTCTCTATCAAAAGTTTCCAGACCCATCAAGACCCAGTTCTTCGACCAAGGAAGATGATGCAAGCCAGAGAGAAAGACATGTTTTAACTTCTGGAAAGGATTCCTTTCGACGACACTTCTTTTGCCCACCGCAGACCTGCTTGTAGCTTCTTCCTGGGCTAGTAGCTTCTCGAACTGAAACCACATCACCCAGAGCATCTGTGAATATCTGACAGGGCTTCCAACGGTCATCAATGCGCGGTTGAATGTCGATCTTACCGACTCCGCTGTCGAGCCAGAAGACTGACTTTTGAATCGAACCAATTCTTGGTCAATTGAGAACGACCATGTCACAAGAGGTGACTGACTGTGAGTGAGCACTTGAGTTTTGAGTATTGATCTTACCCTGTCGTCAAGCCGGAACCGCACTTCATTGTCTCGATACATCTCGAGGAAAATGGTGTTGTCTGGGAACCGCGCTATACTTGTCTCGAGCTCAAAGCGCACAAAAGCAGGCCTGTACGGTCGTCTTTTGCTGATATGATAAGATATCACACCGGCCTTGACTTGGTGTAACATCTCGATGAGCGCATGATCATCTGAAAATCTCTGTTGCGCTGCATTGCATTGCTCATGTACTGATTGCACAGATGCTTGCAGTGCATCTGGTTCCGTAATATACGCAACAAGCGCCAGCATTTCAGCGTTGAGTGCAGCCAGCTTGAGCTGAGATTGACTGAGCGCATGCTCAAACCCATCTTTGAAGGCATTGCGTATCCTTAAGATTGTCGCACTTGACATCGGAACAGATCCACTGATGTCCAAAGTCATGCTGCTTCCGAACGATGCAAGATGCGATAGCGCTGTGTGCGGTTGATCGATCTCCAGATCGCACCATATCCATCCTCGCCAGAGTAGGACAAGCTCTTTCTGTGCTTCGTGCGGAAAACTATCCTTCATGTTGATTGCGCCTGCCCAAATCTGAGTAGCCCTATCAACCATACCTAACTTTGCTGCAATTGTGGCACACGCATTGTAAAGTCGAGGACTGGATGGTCTTTGCTTCAAAATACTCTTGGCCACCTTCAAGGCCTCTTTAGGAAAGCATGAAAGCTCGAAAGCTAGATAATACTCGGCCAAATCGTCGTTGCTGGGAAAGTATTTTACCATGCTTGATAGTACTCGCCGAGAAAAAAGCAAGATCTCCTGCGTCGGCTGTTGATTGTGAGCACTCTCCTGAGACACCGGCACAGAAACACGTTGAAAGACACGGGAGAATAAGAGATCCGTCGATATCTGATAGTTGTCGATACGCTGTCCACCGTCTTCACTGGCCGAAGAGCCGAGTTGCAGCAGACCACATTGAAGCAGAATATCTGATCGCCACTTCGGTTGAGGTCGAGTGTCTCTGCCAGTAGTCATTGCCCATGTTCCGCTAGGGAGGCCCAGATAACACAAAATAGCATCGAGCAAATCAAGGTGGTCGAGGCCAGCCGCTGTTGCTTCAAGAACGTCGCGAATGTCGGAAAAGAATACGACGTGGAACGGATCATCGGCACCAGTATCGTTCATAGTCCTCCCAGGGAGTCGTAAGAGCTTACTCGTGGTCATTTCCAAGCCTGAGAAGGATCTGAACGGTAGTTTCGAATCAAGTTCGTCCTCGGGAAGAGACTCCAGCAGACCAGACGCCACTGAGTCGTCCTCAGGAGTATCACACCATCCTTGCGCTCCATCTTCACCAAATCTTGGGGCTTCGTTCTCCCAAAACTGTTCAAAGTCGGCAAGAATCTGACTGTCTTCGCGAGTGGTGAGGTGAGCTGGTCTGAACAAGTGGTACTCGCCAAGAGCCTGCCACGTGGATATCGAAAGCTCATCATAACCGGTGTCTAATAAGAAAACAGTGTAACGCAGCATTATGTAAAGCAGCAGATTTCGAGTCTCGGGTTCATGGCCTGATTGAGTCTTTGAGCCAAGCGTGCGAAGGCTGCGGACGTAGAATGCTTTGACATCTTCGAAGCGAAAATCGATTGGGTTTGCCTGGCAAGCGTTCAGATATCGATTCCAGATGGAGAAGTTCTCAGGATATTGTTGGACAGCTTCTTGAAGTTTTTGTGTATACTTCTGCACGTCCCAAGCAAGAGATGTTTCATCTAACAATTCTGACACCAGACGCTCACGTTTGGATGCTTCGCTTGTTGGGAAGTGCTTCAGAGCTTTCTCATAGACAGCGATGCGCATATCTGCTAGAGTCTGCCTTTCTGTGTTTGTCAAGGATTGAGCATCAGCACCAGGGCTGACGAGCTGTTCTTGATGGTTTGCTAGGTTGATCCAGGCTTGAAGGTCAGAGGGATCTGATTTGGTAGCTCTGACGAGTTGAACATTATGCTGGCGAACCTGCTGCTCTGCAGTTGGAGCAACATTTGGGGCTTCTCGCTGCTGAGAGTTGCGGGGGCCAAAGTCTGTGGACGGATTGAGGTATCTGAATGAATCGTAGCTATCGCCCACGTGTTGTTGTTGGTCATGGTCAGTGGCAGAAGGTGGGAAGACCACGAAATCTTGAGCCAGATCTAGCTCATCTTGGTCACGCACATGCAGATCAGAAAGTTCTTGGTTCCGTTGACGTTTCAGAAGCAATCGCTGCGGGACCTGCTTGAGGATGGCAGACTTGTCAGTAATGTCGAGCTTGTCAGGGGTGCTCTCGGCGCGATCTATCTTGAACCTGGAATTGAGGCCTAGAATGTTTCCATAGCCCACTCGATGGTAGGAAGGAATACTATACTTGTGCAGTCTTTCATAAGCGGCATTTTGATGGTCGCCGTTTCGGTCAACGACGAAGAGATGGGAGGTTTCGTCGTGTCGCACCGTCGTCGTAGTTTCGGTTTCATGATGGTGTTGGCCCCGATCACGACGAAGCGAATCAGATATCTTCAACCGATGTTCAGATGGACTACGGTGGCGACGAGACGAATGCTCCGGACGTGTGCTTCTGTGAGATTTGACAGGGCCATTTTCACGTTCGGGAGTCAGCCGGCGCTTGAGAGATGTCGAAAGAGGCAGTGAGGGCTGTTCTTGTGGTGCAGGTTTCTTTGCACGAAAACTCGAGAACTTGGGCACTTCCTTGGAGGGCGCCGACATGTAGAAGTGGTGTGCACTGAGTGCAGGTGAAGGTCGGTGTACGAAACAGATGAGCGGTGCAAGGAGAGCCGCGGGCGGGCGCCGCTGACCGCCTTCGGCATACCTGCCGGTTCCAATGCCAAGAGCCGCGAGTTTTTGGCAGAAGCTGCAACTTTTTGAATGCGGCAGGAACGGTGCTGGACGGCGATACGCAAGACAGAATCTCTGTCGCCGCCATTTGCATCTCCAGGCCGCCAAGCACGATTGTGAGAGAAGAGCTCTGTCCGAGACAGTTGGCTTTCTTCAGGCGACAGCAATCGGCACCATGGCGACAGCTTTGCAACAGCAGTTGGCGCAAATCGCCAAAAAGTCGACCGACCAACTCGATCTCAAGGCCCAACGCGCCCAGCACAGCAAGTCGTTGTTGTTCGACCCGCGAGTCGCTTCCAACCAGACCTTCGAGACCATCTACCAAATATGCGCCGAGGCCTTCCACGAACTGTGCATGCTCGACGCCCGCTTCGCGCCCTTTGCCGCCAATCTTTTCAGCGAACAGTCAAAGTCCGAGGAGCGCATCAACTTGACCAAAAAGGACAATGAGCACCTGGATCACATCATCGACAGCTTCTTGGGCCTCGTCAGCTCCAGGCTGCTGCTACGGCCAGGTCTCAAGGCCGTCGAGTGGCTTGTTCGTCGTTTCCGGTACGTGACGGCCACGCCTACAGCACCCACTCACACCAACGTTAACATGCCTGCAGTGTGCACGAATACAACACCGAGTCTCTTGTCCTCACCTTCCTCCCATACCACGCAAATCCCATCTTCCCCACCATGCTGTCCATCCTACCCAAGACACTTCCTCCGACCTTAAAGTTCCTGCAACCATACATTCCCAGCCTGTCGAGTCCTCCCAGCCAAGCTCTGATATATGCCGCCATCAACAACCCCTCGTTCTTTACCGCCTTCAACACCTATGTCGTCCGCACCTCCAACTTGGGCCACCACTCTGTTATGCTTCTGCAATTCTGGGCTGGTGTCATGACCCCGACCATCAACGGCATGCTCGACGCTGCCATGTCAGGCCGCGCCGACGTACGTAGCCAGCGTCAGGAGGATTTGTTGCTTCGCGTCGTTCCCGTACTCCAGCAGACACTGCGCATCAAGAACGTCCCAGAGCTCTTCCTCGGCTCCTGCATGATCATTTGCGTCCTGGTGTCCAAGACTCAGCTCGACGACAAAGTCCTTGATAGCCTCATGGATGCAGTATCTCGTGGCTGGACTCCCCAGACCTCGGACCAAGGATTGGCTACTGTCGCAATCATTGCTGAAGAGCGTCAGTCGTTGAAACTCACTCGTTCAGTCACAAGAGCTCTCATGAGTCTCCCTGCCTTGGCAGCTCGTATGCATGATCTCCAGACAAAACAGCATATTGGAAAGCTCCTTACTGGTCTCGCCATGACTTCGCTCGACGAGGCCTCGGGCGACGAGGCCTTCGACCTGATCGAGAACGCTGTCACTTCCAACATCCTCAGCCTGCCCCAGAAGGCTGCCATCGTCCGACTCTTGTTTTCTGCTGTCTCTGGCCTCCATGCATCGCCCGAATCTGCTGCTTCTCAGGAGCGTCTTGCCCGCATCTTCTCTGCCCTCTGCCAGTCGCCTAGCACACTGCCACTGGTACAGGCCGAGGCTGCTAGTCTAGACCTGAGCCTTGAGTCTGTCGAGGTCCAACTACAGATCTCGTTGGCTCCGAGCGGCATGTTGGCCTTGCCGTCAGCCGACGCTGATACAGAGATGGCTGATGGGCCCGTTACTACACAGGCGGACCAGCTAGATGAAGCACTTTCCGTGATACCTCAGAGCTTGCCCAAGGACTACTCGTTCGTTGCCAACACCGAAGTTTCTCCTTTTGACACGTTTGCTCGCGCCTTCCTGATTCTGCTCCAGCAAAACAAGAGCCTGGACCAACTTCTCGGCATGCCAGTACTTCACAGCGCAGACGCTTTATCTTCGCCGACAAACTTATCCTTCTTGGCAAGACTCTGGACAAGTGCTTATCCGATCGTTGCACGTGTCTCTGCTCTTCGTTCAGCTACTTCGCTTCTTCAAACCCACTCCTCCGAAGCCATTGATATGCAGGCACTGACTCCCTTTGTGCTCGTGGCTTTGGCCGATGCTTCAGAAGCTGTGCGCAAGGCTGCTGCTGGCTTGCTCATTGCCATCACTACTCTGTACCGTCCGGACGCAGCAAAGGGCAAAGTCAACGAATCATTAAAGCCATGGGCAGCTCAGAACATTTACGCAGCAGCTTCCAGAAAGTCGTCTTTGACTGGTCCCAATGCTTACAAAGTCTTCTCTGATGCACTTGTACCCAGTCTCGAAGAGTGCGTCCTTGACCCCAGTCAGATAGCACGAGTGCTCGCTAGCTCCATCAACGGCCCAACTCAAACACAGCCTGGTCATCCATCTGCTACCTCGACGGATCTGAAGTCAACCCTGAGGACATCGTTTGCATCATGGCTTTGCGAGCATGCTGCTGCAGTGCCATTGGCTGCTGTCAAAGTTCAACTTCTCTCCTTCTTGAGTCCTGTCGGTAAGGCTGCTTCTACAGGCCGTGTGCAGACCCTCGTCCCATCTCTTCAAAGCTGGGTCCAATCGGACATGCAAACCCGATCCGCTTCGTGCGCCTCTGCCCATGTCGATGTAGCAAGTGTTGACAAGGCTTACGTTGACTGTCTGACGAGTCGAACTTCGGAGGAGTTGACCTGCCTGCGAACACTTGCAAACGGAGAGCTGGGACAAAGTGCATCTCTGTCCACTCTAGCGATACAGAGATTCAGAGCTTTGTGGCCCAGTATGAAACCAATTGCACAAACGTCTGCTTCTGCGTTCCTCCTTGACCTTGCGCTCGACGATCAAGCGGACGACATATCTGAAGCTAGACAGTCAGAGGCTACCGATCTTCTTCGCCAAGTATCAATGCCGACTGAAGTCCTCCTTTCCTTGTTGGAATCAGTGCCTAGTATTGCACAGATGGAAGACAAGCCTCCAGCCACGAAGCGTAGAAGAACAAGCAGATCTGAACTGGCGAAGTCACAAAGTATCAACGTTGCAGATCTACACAATGTCATCCGTAGATTGACTCTTGTGCTGGAACTGATCGAGGGCTCTCGTCCCGAAAGACATCCGGAACTGCTCAAGAGCCTCTTCCACGTTCTGAGCGAGCTCCAGCACTACAGGACACAACTCGGATCGAACTTAGTCTACCTGCAGCAACTGGTTATCGGATGTCTCTTCTCGATCGTGGACTCGCTAAAACAGAGTCCTGCAGTCAAGGTCGACCGCTCTGTGTTGAGGGCAGACCTCATTGTCGAGTGTGTTCGCACCAGCACCAACGCACAGATTCACAATGCTGCTTTGTTGCTCATCTCGAGCCTGTCAGGCTGGGCTCCTGACTTGGTGTTGCACAGTGTGATGCCAATCTTCACCTTTATGAGCAACACATTGCTGCGACAAAGTGACGACTACTCGGCGCATGTTATCGACCAGACTGTATCTCGAGTTGTTCCCCCTCTTGTCGCATCTCTCCGCAAGAAGAATCAAGACCTTGTCACTGGAGCTGCCGAGCTCTTGCTCAGCTTCACTGCTGCATTCGAGCACATTCCTCTTCATCGCCGCTTGCGCCTCTTCAGTCATCTTGTCAATGCTCTAGGTCCCCAAGAGTTCCTGCCCGCCATTACTGCCATGCTCTTCGACAAATATCCCACAGACAAGCGGGTACCCACCTTCTCCGCCGAACTCATGGGATCGTTCTCACCTGAGGTTCAACTCATCGCTGCATCTCAATATATCGATCTAGCCACAAACGCTCTACAACCCAAATCAGTTGTGTCTGAAGCAATTTTTGGATTCAACGATAAGACACCAGAGCAGATTGAGCAATCGGTAGCACATCTTCTGCGTTCCCTGGGACTTTTGCTGCAGCAACGTTCTCTCCATGTACAAATTCTCAAGGCTCTCGACAAAGACGCAAGTGCACAAGGTGAACTCCAGTCTGCTGCCGCCGACATCCTGCAGAAAATCATGCAATTCTCTTCTTCCGCATCCATCCAAGACAAGTCTGATTTGCAGTCTGCTTCGAATGACGTTCTGACAGCAGCGTTGAGCCTGCTTCCAACACCGTATTTCGTTCGCACTGCGGAGGAGCTTTTGCAAAGACCCGAACAAGATCTTCGACTTATGGTTCTGCGTTCGCTCGAGCAACGCGGTCGTGAAGCCAAGCTCGCCGATGCCACAGCAGCAAACGCTATGCTGTCTGTTCTGCCAAGCGTGACCGGTATCATCAGTCACGAGAGTTCTATCGAGTTAGTGCACAGCGCTGTCACATGCGTCGATGTCATTTCAGAGAAGTTCGGCAAGAAGGCTACGGACAAGGTCATGTCTGCTGCTCGTGTGGTTGCTTCCAAACATGCATTTGGCAGTCAGAATGACGAGCTTCGCATCATCTCTTTGCTCTGTCTTGCCACAATGGTGGAAGTACTCAGGGACGATCTCGTTGACATTCTGCCACAGATTCTTACCACTTCATACACCTACTTCGATTATGCCACTAAGATTGAGTCCGGCAATGCTCGCCTGCACGACGCTGTCTACTCTTTCTTGACAAATGTCATCGAGTACATCTCATGGATGTTCTCTGCCGAGACTCTCGATAGAGCTTTGTTGCTCACGCAACAATCGGCCTGTAGTGAGGTCACGGACATCCGAACTTCGAGCAGTCGTCCACAATTTACTGGCTTGCTCTCTCAAAAGCTCGATGCTAGGACCATATTGGCAGCTTTGGAGCGTACATTCGACAACGCTGTCACTCTTGGCCACCAAGCTTGCCAGGAGGTTCTTGTCACTCTTCACACAGTGATCAAGACGCATCCCAAGTCGGCTCTGATCAAGAACGCCTCGATCTTGTTCTCAATTCTCAACAAATCATTCGATCTTCGCCGCCTGCTCACCCAACAGCCGAACTCGCCTGACAATGAACAGCTTGCTGTGATGGAAGCCCAGAGAGACAGTCTGTCCCTAGACGCCATCATGAGACTGAACGACACAACTTTCAGACCGTTCTTCACCCGCCTCGTGTCTTGGGCAGGCGAAGGTCTACCAAAAAAGGAACAAGCTGGTCGTACCCTTCGTCTTATCAGTGTTTATGGTTTCCTGGCTAGGTTTTTCGAGACCTTGAAGGTGAGATTCTTTCCCCTTTTCGGAATTGTCCTGTGATCAAATGCTAACTCGGTGAATAGTCTATCGTGACTGGTTATTCTGGCTACATCCTTGAGCAAGCCGCGTCCATTCTCCAGAACGTCAAGCCAGAGAGTGAATTGGAACAGCTTCTCCTGAAGGCTCTACTTCAAACACTGGTCGCAAGCTTCAGCAACGATCAAGACGACTTTTGGCAAGCCCCTGCGCACTTTGACGCTATCATGCAGCCTCTGTTGGGTCAAGTGACGTTCGCCAATGAACCTGAAGTTAGAGACTCGCTAGACATTGTTTCTGCTGTCACTGGACTGGCAGGAGCTGCAGCATCGCCTGAACATCACAAAACTCTCAACTCGGCCATTCTCAAACTCATGAGACATGACAACGAACTGACCAGATTGGCAGCAGTCAAATGCGAACAGTCTCTGACCGAGAAGCTTGGAGAAGACTGGCTTGCTCTTCTGCCTGAGATGCTGCCATTCATCAGCGAGTTGCAAGAGGACGACGACGAAGACGTCGAGAGGGAGACGACAGCCTGGATCCGCCAAATTGAAGGCATCCTTGGCGAGAGTCTTGAGGGCATGTTACAGTAAAGGACGGACAAAAGTGCTAGCATGGCGACCGGTGTTTTGTTATGACAGGATTTATATGCGTTTTGTACATATTGAGCTGATTTACAAGTTCTATTCTTCCGACTTGGTGCTTGTCTGCCATTGCAACGCGTGAAAATTGATGACCTGCCGAGCCGATCCATCTTCGATAGAGCATGTACTCATTATGGCGGCTGTCTCTTTATTGACAGCTCATCCGATTCCAGCTGGGAAAGGGCGTCAGTATGACAAAGGACCTCGCGAATCCTTGTGAGATACCTTAGACGGTTAACTGTCTGGCGGCGACTCAGGCTGAACAAATTGTAAGTGGCCGGTTAGACTTTCGAAATATAGACCTCAACATCCAATTCAGTATGGATTCTCGTTGACACCATCCTGCTTGTGAGCCTCTTCAGGTCTTTCGCCTTTCAGGCAACTCTCAAGGACGAGACTAATCCTCTTGACGGCTTCGACCATCAAGTCGTGATCGATCCAGCTAAAAGTCAACCTCACAGAGTGTCTGAACTTAACACTGTCATCGCCAGGAACCTCAAAGATGTTTCCAGGTGCAATAATGACTTGAGCTTCATTCTGACATCTCTTCGCGAAGTCAATTGCGTTGACCGTATCAGGCAGTGTCAACCACAAGAAGTAGCCCCCTACAACTTGCCGATTGGATTGTGGTAGCCTGGCACCAAGAGGGTAGAGATGGGCCTCGATTGCCGACACCAAGGTCTTGTATCGTGCAGCGTATGCTGGCTGTAGTGTCTTGAAGATGTGCTCGGACATGGTCCCATCTTTGACCAAAATGTTCATGTACGTGGACGTGAGCTGAGATGGAGCTCCTCCACTGCAAGAGGAGCCAGCTTGCGAGACTCCGTATGCGAACTTGGGCGAACCCTCTGACCATCCGACTCTAAGTCCTGGCCCTCCTATCTTGGAGAAGCTACCGCTGCTCGTCGTGTTACCATAGCCATCGGCTCCAGAGCGTTCAGGTCCGCCGTCGAGAAAGCGGTCGATATCGACTAGGCGAGGCAATAGCGCTTTGGTAATGCTTGATGGCGAGGCGTTGAGATCCGCAGGCCATTGCAGAAAGTCATAGACATCGTCGGATATCACGAGCGCATCAAACTCTCGAGCCAGTTTTACAAGCTCGATTCTTCGATCCAATGGCAAGGTCCTTGACGAGGGATTTGAGAATGTGGGCACGCAGTAGATGACATGGCGGTAATACTTTGCGTAAGGTCTTGGAGGCTTGAACATCTACAGACTGTTGTCAGCGGGGAAGGGCGCAATCTCGAGCAAGGATAATTCACAGGAGTCTTGTTCCCAGACGAGTGCTTCTCGCTCTCCTCAAGTGCTTTCCTGAGTAGGCTCATGTCCATGCCATCATCATCCTCGGGAACTGCCTTCATCTTGCCCGAAAAGCCATTGTCTTCGAAAATGCGGAAGGCCAGCATATATGCAGGGGCAGCAAACAGTATGTCTCTAGTGTAGACAGGGTCGGTGAAGACCTCGAGCAGACAAGCCAGATTCTGAGAGGCGCCGCCTGTGATGGTGATCCTTTCCTTGCCGACAGGTTGTTCAGGTTGGTAGAAATCAGACAACCATACTCCAAGGGTTTCTCTCAGCGGAGCATAGCCCTCATCGGGACCGTAAAGTAAGCCTGGAAAAGCAATGGATGGATCGGCTAAAGCAATCTGGGCAGCTCTGCTTAGATGCTTAGTCGGGAGCAGTGATGTACTCGGCCAGCCTTTGATCAGATTGATGGAGTCTGGCGACGCCATGAGAGCGGTGGGATGATGTGTTTCTTCCTTTTCTTTGTTTCAATGCACAAGTGTAGTGGAGTGGAGCTGGTAGTGAAGAAGTGTAGATATGGAAGTAGTTGGCGCGGCTATCGATGTCAAGACAAGGGCGTCGGAGATGGCAACAACAAAGTCTTTGTCCAGATCCGGAAATATGAACGAGTAGGCGTGAGTTGCTACAGCGAGAATAATGCAAGACTCGTGCTCGTCCGGTGTGCAGTTGTAAGCCGGTAGAGTGACGTGTCGATGTAGAAACAGGGGGTGTGTATACCGGACTCCACCTTCTCGGCCACGCTCGGCAAGGACATTGATGGACTTGTTGCTGATCTGACGTGCGACGTGCGAGGCTCACTTTGCATAAGACATACGACATGGCAGTCCAAGACAGGTCGAAGAGTGCAGAGGTGGCATTGCCGTCTATAGCAGCGCTCTTCGTCGTTGTCTTTGACCGCAAGGTAGGGTGCGTCATTGAGTGCACATGAGACAAACAGGCCGCTGACAAAGGCATACCTAGGTACACGATAGCATGGAAGCGTGCAATCCCAGACCGTGTGTCTCCCACCATGTCCAATCTTGGCCCGTAGACTAATGCTGACAGTCGAGCTGGATGGCGTGGTCGAGTACAAGTCGCTCCCCTCGGGCCTTCATAATTGCGACTCGGATCTCGTCTACTTCGTCCACGAACAATATGCTGGCATCAGCGCCTTCGCAAACCGGCCTGCCCACGAGTTTGAGAGAAATGCACACTTTGCCGCTGTTGGTCTGCTCGTGCCTTTGACATATGGACGCCTGGGCCGTAGCTGGTTGCATGCTCACCAACTGCGCCGTTTGGTCGCGTACGCAACTATGCCACGCTACTGCTATATACCACGCTGATTCGGCTGTAGCAACACAGTCGACGATACCGACAACACACACGAGCTGCAAGAATACTGGGAACACCACCGTCTAGCTGCCCATGATGAGCCACATCCCGACCTTGGCCACAACTCGAGTCAACGCAAGCGACGCGCTCTGTCCGACGCCGCAGGCTTCCATCCTGCCGACCCTACTCTGTCAGAAGACCATCCCGCCATGTCTCTAGCACATGATCTCGATACTTTTGGTCCTCTGATCTTCCCGCTCCAAAGAGCCGCACTCGTCAAGAAAAGCATATTGATCATAACACCAACGCCCGTTCAGCCCGCTTGCAACCTTGTCTACAACTTGTCCGTCCTATCGAATATTCCACCTTCGGCAGCCGACTTGGCATCCAAAAAGGACGCTTTGTACCCACTCAGGCCATTGTTTAACGTCGGTATTCATGATATTGACTACCTGTCTCAATTAGCCACCAAAACCAAGCAACAAACTTCTTGGATTGCATGTACTTCTGACGACATACTAGCAACCAAGTCGAACCTCTACGATGTGCTTGTCGAGCTACCGCAACGTACACTGGACACGCCTGCCGTCAAACAATGGCCTCGTGTTCGTACTGCTGCTGGCGAAGACATCAAGGCGACCCAACGAGATCTGAGACGCTACTACACTCTCAAGCGTGAGCTGAACAGGGTGCGGTATCAAAACCAAACGGTTCACCACATGGAGGCCGATCGGCCAATGGACGACGACGCGAGTGAGAGTGCACCTTTGGTCCCATCAAAGCAAGATGGAGAGATTAGTGGTGATCAATACATCCAGCTTGAAGGAGAGAGCAAACTGGTCGAACCTTCGTCATGGGCCTCGATTGCCTACACCAGTTTTCTCTGGTGGGCCTCGGCAGGAGAAAAGGACGCTTTGTTGAACGACGAGGCTTGTCAAGATGCAAGATTGCTAGATGATTTGCCTCTACCAGCGCCGGGCAAGATAAGTCCGAGCAGCGGCAGGAGGTCTTCTTCTGTCCAGGACGGAGTGGCCGGAGTTGACGTGAGGTTCCAATCGGTGGCAGTGATCCTGATAGCCTATGCACATCGCCTTACCACATTGGTCATGGAGACATTGGCCGAGATGATCGAAGCTGCCGACGTTGAAGTCGGAGAGGGAGAGGAGGGCACGATAAGCATTCACAGTGAAGACTTGAGAAGGATGGGACTGGACGAGTGGAGCTCAAACGATGGAGAGTTTGTCAAGGAAATGGCGGCGCTTTACTTTGGACGTGAAGACATTCAGACGGTTGGCCGGACAGTTGATCTTTGTGGCATGAGAGTGTGTTAAAAGGAGAGAAGCTGGCTGGTGTCTCGAAAAGAGTTGGGCCGATGCATGCGATTGAGCAGCCCAGTCTCGAGCCATGGTTCAATTGTAAGATTAGCGTATCGCATTACACGCTCTACAAGTGCTCATAGCAGTGCAACTGAAGCAGCTGCTGGCTTGACCGAGAGAGTGGGCGAGCCGAAGTAAACAGCAGCGTCATGAGCAGTGGCCGAGTTGTTCCGAAGTACCGAAGTGATGGGCCTGTGCGCGGGTTGGTTGAGAAGGCTTTCCGCTTTCCCAGGACTTGTTGGTTCTAAAAATCGGCCGCTGCAATTCTTCTTGTTCCTCCTCCCACTCCTGTCTATACCATCTCCACTCCCCTAATCCCTGGAACAATGTCTGCCACCGGAACTGCCCCTCCTTCCTCTACCGGCTCCACCAAGGTGGATGCCATCAAGGAGAACATCAAGGCCGCCGCTCCCAAGAAGCTCAGCGGTCTCGACCTCTACTCTAGATTCGCCTTTGCCGGTGCCGTCTGCTGTTCCGTCACCCACGGTGGTCTCACCCCCGTCGATGTGTAAGAATTCGCCTGTCGGCCGCGCTCGCAGCCCTTCTGCGCGCCCGCCGACCGTCCAATTGACGAGAACAATGGCTGACTCGAGCCCCTTCAAACAGCGTCAAGACCAGAATCCAGCTTGACCCCGTCACCTACAACCGCGGTCTCGTTGGTGGCTTCCGCCAGGTCATCCAGAACGAGGGTGCTGGCGCTCTCCTGACCGGTGTCGGCCCTACCTTCGCCGGCTACTTCCTCCAGGGTGCCTTCAAGTTCGGTGGTTACGAGTTCTTCAAGCAGCAGGCCATCTCCATGGTCGGCTACGAGAGCGCTGTCCAGAACCGCACTGCTGTCTACCTTGTTTCTTCCGCCTTTGCCGAGTTCTTCGCCGACATTGCCCTCTGCCCTCTCGAGGCCACCCGTATCCGTCTCGTTTCCGAGCCCACCTTCGCTTCCGGTCTCGTCTCTGGTTTCTCCAAGATCGCAAAGACTGAGGGTCTTGGCGGTTTCTACTCTGGTTTCGGTCCCATGCTCTTCAAGCAGTAAGTCTATCCCCCGTCATCATTGGTTGCGTTTGCATTCTGACTCTCGACGTAGGGTCCCCTACACCATGTCCAAGTTCGTCGTTTACGAGAAGGTTGCCGAGGCCATCTACAAGCGCGTTGACAAGGCCACCGCCTCCCCCGGTATGCAGACCAGCATCAACCTTGGTTCCGGTCTCATTGCCGGTTTCGCCGCCGCTCTCGTTTCTCAACCCGCCGACACCATGCTGTCCAAGATCAACAAGTCCAAGGGCGCACCCGGTGAGGGCACCACTTCCCGTCTGATCAAGATCGCCAAGGAGCTTGGTTTCCGTGTAAGTACTCTCTGATATCGGTCTTGGATTGAATTTTTTGCTGATGTGATGTACAGGGATCTTACTCTGGTATCGGTGCCCGTCTCTTCATGGTCGGTACCATTACTGCCGGACAGTTCGCCATCTACGGTGACATCAAGAAGGCCATCGGTATGTTACAGGACAATTGCCAAGGGACTTCACAGTGCTAACATGGTGCGCAGGTGCCGAGGGTGGTGTTGAGATCGCCAAATAAGCGATTACAAAGTCGACAGAGGAGCGACGGATGCAATAATGACCACACCAAAACAGGATATGTGCTCGGGCAAAGGGGAGGTGGACACGAGATGGACATTATCACGCTCACGTTGACCTTCGGCCATTTTTTACAGCTCATCGGGTCCAAGACATGGCTGGAACTAGTAGTTTGAGATGCTACATGATCTTCGGCTCGGTGTGTACTATTAGGAGTCTTTCAGGGAATGCATTAGATTTTTTTTTCTCGTTCTTTTCAACCTTTGGTCGGCTTTTAGAAGCAAGGCAAATGCGACGAAAGGCTGCAGGTGGCATGTTCGAACAGCAAGAGGCCACGGATGACGAGAAGGGTCGACTGCGGCATGACGAGTGACGAGAGAGGATGTTGTCAAGACGTTGTTCGGGGGGATTAGTATGGCGGTTGGCAAGTTGGAAGTTGGTAATAACAAGCAGGGAGGGCGTCGGGGCTGGTAATGTGCACAGGGTGGGCGGGCGGGTGGAAATTTAGCTGTGCGTCATTGTTGGGCGCAATGTGCTCTCGGCAGGTGAGAGACAGAAGGTTCAAGGGTACTCAGTTAGCTGGACACTCTGTGTGGCCGGCTTCCGCGTCTGGCCCTTGATCCCGGGCCTTCCTAGTATTTGTCTTTGGCCCTTGTCGTTGGCGGGAGCGAGGACGACTACGACTTTGCAATCCTTTTCAAGACGCTTGCTTTCCCTTGCACCATGCAAATATGAGCGACCACATGGCAGACGACGCTGCCCTCGGCCGCGACGCCCTCGCGCTGCACCCCATCGCGAGTGCCCCGACCAACAACAACAACAGACGCCGCCTATCCTCGACATCCCCTCCCCCTCCTGCCGCTCCTCAGCAGCAGCAGCAGCAGCAGCAGCAACCATCCACTCCACGCAATGACAGGCGGAGACCCACCCTGGACGACCGTCGCCAGCCTAGCATCCGCTTACGCCGTCTCGGATCCGCCAGCACCCTGGCCTCTCAGAACACAACTGCCACGACCGATTTTGCTCAGAAGCATGTGCCCGATACCTCTGGCAGGCGCCGCTCGTCGTCCGAGCCTCAGCGCCCACCATGGGCTGCCGCCAGCACTAGCAATCCCAACACACTGAGTCTTCCGAGAGGCACTGCGAGACCTGCCTCTACCCATATGCCTCGCCTGGAGGAAGAGATAGGCCGTCCATCAACCACCATGCCCCCAGACGTCGACATTGAACAACTGGCGGCCGCTGGTGATTCCGCAAACCTCACCGAACCCGCCCGCCCGGGCCTTTGGAAGAGAGCGAGTGTCGCCGCCCTCCAGCCCTTTAGACGTCAGCAGCAGCAGGGTGATACCGACCTGGAATCTAGCCCCCGGAGAAGACCTCGTCGCGGCACTTGGGCAAACGAGTACGACTCTGATCTGGTTGACATTCTCGATGTCGTAGGTTCGTTCTTCTCCCCCAGCCCGCTCTCTCCAAACCCTCACAAGACTGACCTCGAACCATGACAGATCCCGAGGTGGCCACGCTTGCAACTCTCACTAACGTCCAGAACTCGCTGTTCATTCCCGATCTGGGCTCCTTCCTGAACCGCCGTCCAACTTACAACCTGACCCGAGAGCCAACCTTCTTCCCTCCACCAGCAAAAGCCCCTTCTGTGAAGCCTCCTTCCATAAAGCCTCCTTCTATCATGACTCAGAACCGCATCGAGACGGATGCCGACGATGTTGAACAGCGTCCGGGCATCGATCGCACTTTCACCATTGCTTCGCATCTGAGTGACACCGAGGACCACTACGCCGTGCTTCCGCACGGCCTCAGTCTTGAAGGTTGGAGTTTGGCCGAAAAGCAGGAGCTGAACGACCATGTTAGACACATGTTGCATTCGCGCCGTGCCGCTTTCAAACGAGGAATGAAAGGCTTTGGTCAATATGTCCGCCGCCGTAAGTCTCACCTTTGACCCTTGGTCCCTCTCACCCTGTGCTAATCTCGGTCTTTTAGCCCTTGGCTTGTTTGTCACCGTCTATGCCACCCTAGTAACCTTGTTCGGTCTGGCATGGGTCCTCTTCTTGATCGGTTGGATCAATGTCGGAGGTCGACAGTCTTATATCATCAACGTCATCGACAACGTCCTGGTCGCCCTTTTCGCTGTCGTTGGTGACGGTCTAGCCCCCTTCCGAGCAGTCGACACATACCACATGATATACATTGCGCATTATCATCATCTGACGTGGAGCCTCCGCAAGAAGCGCAACCTTCCTAAGCTCAAGAACGAGAACGACCTGCCCGTCCAGCCAGGAATCGATGCGGATATCGAGAACGGCTCTACTGCCGAGGCTGCTTCCGTCCACGAGTCGGCTTCCGCCCTCAATGCTGATGTCAAGTCGAACAGATCCATGAGCAACGACTATGATGAGGAGAGTGTGCTCAGCGAAGAGCAGCAGAGAAAACTGAAGCATCATGAGGACAAATTCTCAAAGTCCCACACCTTCTACAAGCCCCACGAAACCGAAACACACCACGCTTTCCCTCTGCGACTCCTCGTTGCTGTCGTCGTCCTGCTCGATTGTCATTCTCTCCTCCAAATTGCTCTGGGTACTTGCACATGGGCCATCTCTTACCACGTGCGACCATTCGCTCTCACGACCGTCATTCTGTGCTTCTCAATCACATGCAACATCACGGGTGGCATCATCATCAGTATTGGTGATCGCATCACTCGCAAGAAGGATGTGGTGGAGCGCATGTTCAGACAACAGCTCACGGAGCAAGCAATCCACAAGATGGAGAAGCGGCGTCAAAAAGAGAGTGAACGCAACGAAGAGCTGGACGAGGTTGTGACACAGTCGCCCTCGGACGGTCCTAGAAAATCACCCCTCGACGGTACTGGACTGGAACCAGGAAGCAATCCGATTCAACCCAGGGTACTCGGTGCTGGTTTGGACGCAGCTCAGCTAGTCACCAATCTACATTAATTCTAGTGCTTGCAGGGATGAAGCAGACCCTGAGTACTTCGTTACGAAATTTTTGGGTTGTAGATGATTATAATGTTTCATACTATTGTCGGTAAAAATCTTGGCCTGTCGGCGTTTCGAGCGTATCGTTTTTGGAATGCACATCCGTACTTTATCAAAACACAACCACTTTGATCTGCCTCTTGTATATAATCAGATCAGAACTGTGCTTCTCTGCAACGCATCTCACTTTGGCAGACTATACTTCGTCACCCCCTCATCCTCGATAGATCGGTCAGATTGGCCTGTTATTCTACTTCCAACAGGGTTATCCTTGCAACAAGATTAAATCCAAAATCGAGTCACTGTCTCTACCTTAGTCTTGCTGTCGAGGAATCAAATAACCTACAACCTTACAGGGTGACGGCATCTGAGCAGTGCCTGACCCTGCCAACTAGTAGCGCCCTTCGAAAGTGTCGACTCTTTGGCCGCCAATTTCGTCTACAGCATGAGCGATAGGGCTGTCTCCACCCACGACATCAAAGGCCAGACCAATGGTCGACGGAGTGTTGATGCAACGCACAATGACCTCGGCAACATCCTCTCGAGAAATGCTTTTATCCAGGTGCACTTTGCCAGCAGCGACCTTGCCTGACCCCTCGTCTGTGTTCAGAGAGCCAGGACGTACTATGGTGTAATCGAGCTTGCGGCGGCCGTTTTGCGTGACCAGGTCGCGGTCGGCAGCGAGCTTGGCCTCGCAGTAGACACCAATTGCATTCCACATACGGTTGCTAACGGCCGTGTCGTCATCATTGTACCTGTTCGTCGAACCTTAGCATACAATCCACTGTTGGTCATGTCAGGAGATAAAGTCTTACCACTCAGGGGTGGGCTTGTTTTCTCGATCACGAATGTCTACTGCACTGACAATGATGAATCGTTTGACTCCTGCAGCAGCAGCAGCGTCAAAGACCTTGACTGCACCTATCCTTCAAGTCAGCATATATCGAACTTGACACGGAAGTGCAGAGTTGGTCTTGCCTTCATGGTCTACAGCCTTTGTGCGCGCAGGACTACCGCCTCCAGCCCCTGCACTCCAGATGACTACACTGGGACTGTGCTTTCTGATGGTTGCTGTAAGGTCGTTTACATTAGAGTCTTCTATGCTTTGCACGATGGGTTGCGCTCCGAGTGCTTCCAGCTCGGGAATCTGCGACTCTTTGCGGATAATGGAGTGAACAGTGTAGGATGAGGCAACTAGCTTGGTCGTCAGGTGTCGCGCAACCTTGTGCTGTTAATTAGCGTTACTTGACGCTGCCGGACATGTCGACCGCACCTTTCCGGAGCCGCCAAAGATGAGTGCGGTGGACATGGTTGATTGAGCTGCGATCGTGGTATATGCAGAAGGCCTTGAAGCGACGTGATAATCAGAAAAGTTGTAGAGGAAACGTCGTATTGCGATGCCGAGATTTCGTGATTCAAGAAACTGCAATTCATCTCATGATGTGCTCGGCGGATGCTTACACATCGACCGCCATGACGTAACTCTCCAGAAAAGAAGCGATGTTTGATCGTCAATCACTGCAAGCATTGCACAACTGTCGAGTTCCAACTAGCGATCTGTGCTATGGTTTCTTCGTGTTCTCATTGAATAGGAATATGACCAGGGAAACCCGTAACCAGATATCTAACAAAATGCCAGCCTCGTCATCATTTATACCTTGATGGCGAATTGCTTCATGTGCTCGTAGTCCTTGACATTGTCTGCGACGGTCTGCTGAATGATCTTGGCAGCTTCCTCGCCGTACTTCTCGGTCCACTCGGCGAAAAGCTGCTCTTCGCTCTTCTCAGCTTTCTTCTGTGTTGATTGTCAGCGTCCGTCCTTCACGGTTTGTAGCAGGAGACTTACGTGAGTTCTGGGCTTGAGCTCGGTCGAGTTGATAGCGTCCTCGTGGAAGCCTCTCCACTTCTCGAATGCCTCCTTTGCATAGGCGTGGTCTTCATCGTTGTTCCAGTTCAACATGCTGGGGGAGTACTCGATGCCAACGCTCTTGCAGAACTGCTCAAGGATGGCAGAGGGGTTGTCCAGAAGATCATCAGCGTCAATGACACAGATGTCTACAGCTCCGCTCTTTTGCTCGCCGTCCTGACCTGCAAGCTTGGGGCCAATCTGACCACAAGAACGGAGGTAGTCGAACAGGCGACGCTGCTCATCGTATCCAGCCTCGGAAGGCATGAAGTTGTAGAAACCAGTGATTGCGTCGAGCGGGGGGATGGTGCATCTCCAGTAGCTGGGAATGCTGTGCTTGGGGTGACGGATGAGGAAGGCGAAGTGGAACTTGCTCAGGACATCGGCAGGGACCACGGTGGGGTTTCCAGGCTCGGACTCTGTGGCGTAGGGGTAGGGAGGAGAATTCTCTACTGCACCGTTGGGATCTGAAGCATTGGATCCATGGGCGATGTCGGTCAAGGGATTGCCGCCGTTGGTACCGACACCACGCTTGACCTTCATCAATGAGGGTGCGATGGATGCAGGCTTGCCGTCCGGAGGGGACAGATAGTGGGTAATGTCCTTGATGAAGATGCGTTTGCCCTGATGATTGTGAGTACAAGGACAAAGTCATGAGAGATTGCAGCAGTGTGCGCCGCGCACGTGTCTCTCGTGCGAGGGAGAGTGCTTGGTAGCCAGGAAGCTCGATTCAGTCAAACGACAGGGACTTGAGTGGCAGCAGGAGCCAGATTGAATGGGACAAGATGACGGGAAAGAGGAATCAGCGGGACACGCAGTAAGACTGGCTCCCAATGCTGTAAGGGATGCACACCTCTTCGTTTTCCTTCATGATGTCGTCAAAGATGGTCTTGTATGTCGAGCTCTCGAAGCCGCTCTCAGCGCGGGCCTTTTGGTCTTTCTCGTATCTGTCGCTAAGTCTCTCGGGACCGAAGTAGAAGGCATCGCCAAAGGGCTCGTGGACGCATTGCAGAGTGTCGCGCTGAGTCATGAAGACCTGTTGGAAAGGGTCAGTGGTCGAGGTGGTGGATTGCCATGGGTGGTCGAGGGAAACGCACTCGCTCGAATGCCGTCGAGCATGCTCTAGGGTGGGTAGCCACAAAGATGGGCTTGTTGGACATGGTTGCAGGTGCGGAAAGGGCTGATCTCAGAGCTCGTCCTAGACACGGCAGCGGCAATTGAAAAGTCTACAAATGTATGCAGAATAGAACGGGGAAAGGAAAAAAGGTGTGAGGGACTGGAGAGACAGTCGCGGGAGTGAACAGAGATTTATCAAAAGATTATTAAACGGTAGCCCAATGGAGCATAGAAGCAAAGTGGTGAGCAGCGTGGGTGGTCTTGATGACGTGCAAGGCATAGCAGGGTGGAGTGGAGGGTGTTCTGGTGGGCCCGAGGCGTTCTGCGAGCAATGCCAGTCGCTGCCCTGGCATGGCGAGGCGTTTTAGTGGCCGAAATAGCGCATCTCGGATCGTGCATCTTGTTTACAACGACCGCGCTGGCTACCTATTGACAAGGTTTGCGCATTTTTGTTCTGGGTAAGCGTACGAGTACTCGTAGCGGGGTGAGAGAACGACCCCGCTTCGATGGCTTTTTAGCCCAACCGTAAAACGAGCCGCCGCAGTGCCGCAGCTCCCAGTGCCTCAACCGAATGCTCCCCCGGCACGTCGGCGAGCGAACTGTTTGCTAATTCTTGTCGCTAGTGACCAGGCACAGGCACCGCATGCACCGAGCGCCCAGGCGAGCCCTTGTCGTCTCCTTGTGAATTGTGCTTTTCATTTCTCGATTTATGTGGTGTTACGGCATGCAGCGTCGTGTTGGAGTGCAACGTTATGCTCAAAGACGCTACCAAAGACGAGCTGAAGGCTCGTCTAGTCGCTGGCCATAGACCCGATACTTGTAGGGACCAAGTTGCAGCAAAGCGTGGCAAGCCCTACGACCGACACTGTACCGACGTACCAGAAGAACTATGAATCTAGAAAAACGACTGTGGATCGAGTGGCCGCCTGACTTTGGCATGAGATAGTGCCGCATCAGTCGGCAAGGTCAACGTCTCGGGACACATGAGTGGCTAAGAATTGTGTGCTACAAGTTCGCCGGGGACGAGCAAGGCTGTTGCCATGGTGTCTGAAGGGCGGCAGCTGATAACAGGCTGCAGACACATGCAGCGTCGTGGCCAGTGAGAGGCCGGTTGAATGATGAAATTGGCAGCAAATGGTAGAGTAGAAGCAGACGGATCAATCAGCGCCGGCGCTGAACTCGGCTTGATAATACTTCAGGGTGGTCAGCATGGACTTTTGTCGAGATTCAGCATTGGAAAACGGGGTGTGGAGTGTAGTAGATACCTCTTGGACTTGGGCAGCGAGCTTCGGGTCGCGCAAGGAAGAGCGAGGCTTGGGAATAGCCCAGTTGTTTGTCTGCCACCACCACCTTCTCAGACGAGCGCCGATGCTGGAGCCCGAGAAGTTGGACGACGTGTTGTGAAGCGCATTCCAGTTCTTCCAGCCTGCGACGACCAAGGTCCAGAGCAAACCTTGGGTCAAGGGCATGAACAGTTGGTCCCTGAGGGTGATGTAGGCAACCATCTGCCACGAGGTAGCATCGCGAATGCTGGCGAGATAGCTCTGTTCGAAGCGCAGATCGGGCAGGGGAGGAAACTGCTTGCTGCGCGGAGCGGGCTTCAGGACAGACAGAGGGATCTCGTGGTCATTCACGTCGTCTGGCAGGTGGTCAAGGTCAGGTTGGTCGTCGAGGCGCACGGGCTGCTTGATGGATGCGGCCGTAGAGGGGTTGGCATCGTGGGCGGGCGAGGGATGCCTGTTGATGGATGCTGTCTGGATAGTCTCGGCCAGCTGGAGGATGGGGCTGTCGGTCATTGTGATGGTTGGCGTCGCCGGTCTATGACGATGGCGTCGAGGTGTTGGGTGGCAGAGGGGCAGGCGGCCGAGAGGTGCAGGTGCAGGTGCAGGTGCAGCTTCGAAGCGTCCAGGGTCAAGCGTCACTGGACAGAGCAAAGGCTCCAGGTGCAGCAACCACAAAGACGCTCGTTTGTCTTCTGTTTCTCGACCACCCACGACACATCATCCACACTGCACAACCATGGGCAACGCAAACTCACAGATGCTCGAGAACCTGGTCCAGGGCAGCAACTGTTGGTCCCGCCTACACTTTCTCGTCTGACCCCGTGCTGACCGCCCTCGTCCAAACAGTTGACCGCGATGAGGTCGACCGTCTGCGCAAGCGCTTCATGAAGCTCGACAAGGACAACTCGGGCACCATTGAGCGTGACGAGTTCCTCTCCCTCCCCCAGGTCTCTTCCAACCCTCTCGCCACACGCATGATTGCCATTTTCGACGAAGACGGCGGCGGTGATGTCGACTTCCAGGAGTTCGTCTCGGGCCTCAGCGCCTTCAGCTCAAAAGGAAACAAGGAGGAAAAGCTGCGTTTCGCCTTCAAGGTCTACGACATTGACCGCGACGGCTACATCAGCAACGGCGAGCTCTTCATTGTCCTCAAGATGATGGTCGGAAGCAACCTCAAAGACCAGCAGTTGCAGCAGATTGTCGACAAGACCATCATGGAGGCCGACCTCGACCGCGACGGCAAGATCAGCTTCGAAGAGTTCAAGAAGATGGTCGAAAACACAGACGTGAGCAACAGCATGACTTTGGACGCTTTCTGATCCCTCTGGCCCCTGCATGTCCCCTTTCGTCTGTCAAACAAGAGATACCACGGCGTTACGGAGTTGTCAACCATAGTCCTGCCTCCACACAGCGAGCGGCATATCCTTTTACAATATATTCGTTTCTACTTGCTCGAGTGGCCCTGCCCCTTGCGACTCTCATGCTTGATCCTCCACATTACTGTTCTCTACTCCACGTCCATGTATACCACCACCTGCCTCCCGCTCCGGACTTAGCTTTCACCACGGATAATCCGAAGGGCCGCCTCGCCCTTCGCCGCAGTCGTCAGGTTTTCCCATCCATCTTTAGTGATCAATAGATCGTCTTCGATACGGACTCCACCAACCGCCATGAAGCGCTCGAGTACCGATCTGTTGATGTACTTTGAATGTACCGGAGAGGGGAAGAACACTGTCTCGAGAGCTTCACGGTTGAAATAGCTGTCTTCTGGTCAGCTGCTGTTTCCTCGCGCATGTCATCATTGCACATACAGGCCTGGCTCTACTGTGATGATCATTCCAGGCTGCAGACTAGGCGCGCTCGCTTCATTGAGAGCCCTGCTCCATACCGCAGGAACAATGTTGGCCGACAACGACCCAAGCTCTGCTCTAGTCTCTACGCTAGGTAGATGCGAAGCAATCTGTTTTCTCTTAGCACATTTTGTCGTCAACTGTCTTGGTGAAAAGAACGTACCTCTGGGACGACGCCATCATCCGCGTCAGTAGTGGCGCTGTTCGTTTTCGTGAGCACCGTCGATACATCATGCACTTCCAACCCCATATGATGACCGAGACCATGTGGGAAAAAAGCAATCGATGTACCTGCCTCATAGATCTCCTTCTTGGAGCCGTTGTGGAAAATTCCCAGCTCGAGCAGCCCTTCAATGGCAATAAGGTGCGCGAGATACTGCGCGTCTACGAATCGTGCTCCGGGTCCAAGCACATCCATGCATTTCGTCTGCATACGCTGCACCAAGTCGTATATCTGTTTTGCCTCGCGAGAAGGCCAGTGACCGGAAAGGGGAAACGTTCGGGTGACATCTGCTGCATATCCTTGCCACTCTGCGCCAGCATCTAAGCACATCAGTTGGCGATCTTCAAAATCCTCGTCATTCTTGATGTAATGAAGGACTGCAGCGTTCGGTCCAGACCTGTTCGGAGTAAGTAAGGCACCTCATGTGTTTACTATCCCGTGGATGGAAGTACTTGCTCACCCAGCAATGATTTCATATGCCTGGTGTTTGGCACCGTGGGCTACACAGACGTCCAGAATCTCGGCCTGTACTTGCGCTTCATTCTTGAATGACCGTAGCTTTTGCAACACTTTCTCGTGAGCCAATGCACTGATATGGTTGGCTTTCTTGACCAAAGAAATTTCGTGAGTATCTTTGATCACCCGGCATTCGTCCATCGCCGGTCGGAGCTTCTCTGAATCGACCCTAGAAGGAAAACTCTTGGAAAGGGCCTCATTAGGGTGTAGAACATAAATGGAGCCTGCATGGTTAGAAGTCCATTTCTTGACGAAATGTGCAAGCGATGGTGCAAAACGGGCTTCGTCAATGTCGTACTTGTCTAGAAGCAAGGGTACGGTTAGCCTGATCCTTGGAAGTATCGTACATACGACAGAGGAAACCGGACTCCCATGGCTCTGAGTCTGCGATATCCTTAGTTTTGCTTTACGTACCGAGCGCCTCTTGAACAGTAGATCCTCTGCCGGTCCAGACAACCTTTCGTGGATCGATGGGTGCCAACCACAAAGTCAGCTTGTCTGACGCAATATCATATGTTACGAAGCAGTCGGCCTCCTGACATCCGCTTAGGTACAGAAAGTAGCGAAGCTGCCTAAAAGCGCGAGGTTGATCGCTATCAGGCCAGTTCAGGGTCTGTTCACCAAGTAAGTAGATGAGACCTTGATCAACGTCCAGAGCTCGAGCGACTCTTTGCGCATGCTCTCGTGCTTTGTATTGTTAACGTAAGTTCGAGACACAATTGCTCATGGGCTGCGAGACTGACCAGGATATTTATCTAAAGTCGATACAGACCTGATGGCGATGCTGAGACCACCAAACGCAGATACGATGGGACCCGTACGGCTGACAGTCAAAGGACTTGCCGGACCTTGATTTTCACGCATTGTATTTGGTATTCTTGAGGGCGAGATGTTCACAAGACAGTTGAAGTTGACTTGTTATCTCGACCGATCGATCGTCGACCAGTGCACAGACCTTTGAGGCTGGGGGTCGCCTGTGTCAGACATCGTTTCTCTTTTGCCAATTGGCGTGCCTCAGGTCACAGCGGGGCAATGGTTTTCTTCCTTGCAGTGGTCTCCGTATACCAAGACAACAACAATATATTCGAACCAGTCCCCACGTTTTGATCGAAGGAACGTCGACTTGCTTTCAGGTCCAAGACTGCAGCCTCGGCGTCATGAAGCGCCAGCATCGAGCAGTCGCGCGCTCCAATCGCATGCTTCCTTGAACCTCGTTCGCGCCTTCCTGTGTGTTCCTTGTTTCCAAGCTGGAACCCCGTAGATCCTCACTCCCCTGCCGTCGCCATGCTGCCTATCCTCCCATCAACAATTCCCATCCTCCGCCCTTATCTGCCAGTTCCTCTATCTTCCGCAACCTCTTAACAACTGCGCTGTCGCTGCATCCATTCCCTATCCTTCCTCGCTCCTCAAAATAGGACTTTCATTAGCCACATCGATCCGTATGATTTGATAGGCATCTATTTCACTCTCGACATACGGACCTGACTGGTGCTCATCGCCTCATCATCACTCCCTGGTCCTCTCTTTCCGCCTCCAGCATGAAACATCGATCGACGGCGGCATGCATCCTGGCCCTGGTCTCTGAATCCAATGGCTCGTACACGCACCATATGAAGCAGAAGCTCGCTGTCCGCCAAAACAATGCCGTGAATACACCACTCGTTGTGACAAATAACTGTCCCGATACCATCTACCCAGGCATCGCCACCCAGCATGGCGTCGCACCCGGACAAACTGGTTTCCAGCTCACTCCTGGAGCTACAGTGTCACAAACCGTCTCTGAGGACTGGCAAGGGCGCGTTTGGGGCAGGACGAATTGCAGTTTCAATGCTCAAGGCAGATCGAATGGCGGCGGCCCAGCCTGCACGACAGGAGATTGCAACGGTGTGATACCGTGTCAAGCAGCAGTGAGCAGACGTCCTGGTCCGAACGTACTACTGCAGCGAACACTGACCTTTCTCAGGGCGCCATTCCAGTGACACTTGCTGAGTTTACCCTTGACGCTGGCGACGGCCAAAGTTACTACGACATCTCTCTTGTTGATGGGTACAACCTCCCGTTAGCAATCGTCCTTGTGCCGCATGGCAACTCTTCGTTGGATGACATCCCTCCGAATCTTACCAATCCCTCCTGCGAAGGCACAGGCGCTATGCTTGCTCCATCCAACTTCGACCCATACGGCAGTGGAACCTTCCTCGGCACAAATGCTTCATATCCCCTGCCATTCGAAACAAAGGTCACCACAAGTAATGCTAATCAGTGGTGTCCCTGGGATCTTCAGGTCAACGCCCCGTCTGCTCCTGGGAACAACGTATATCCTTATCCCGACGGCAACATTCAAAGACCTGCATTTGACCCCTGCTTCTCGGCTTGTGCCAAATACAACTCTGACCAATATTGTTGCCTAGGCAAATACAATGGACCGGACCAATGCAGTCCCAATTACTATGCAAAAGCAGCCAAGACCATGTGCCCCGATGCCTACAGCTTTGCGTACGACGACCAATCGTCCACCTTCATCATCCCTTCTGGTGCTGGCGTCGAAGTTGTGTTTTGTCCAGGCGGCAGAAGTACAGTGATCCTTTCCACAAAAGCAGCACAACTTCGCCAGTTGGCCAACACGGGTTCTGTCTCGAGCTCAAGCGGCTCAAATTCCACAGCTTCCAGCTCTGCGATCCCGAATCTTGATGCTCGAACACGTTATTCTTGGTTGGCTCTTACTGTGGGGTTTCTCTTCAGCTGTTCATGATATCCTGATCTTCCCATAAGTGTTTCTGAGAAAGGGCGGGACGTATGCAGCAGCCCTTGGTTTGTAGTTTGGTGCAATTAAACACTTTACACAAGTCCTCATATCCCACGGCATCATGACCACACGCACATGTTTGACTCTCTGCTTCGATAATTTTGTCCTCTGAAGTATTCAATTGCCCGTGCGAATACCGATCGTGACGGCAAAAATCTTCATCTCCACCGTAATCCGCTGTCCAGGGTTGCTCACACGGCTTTACTGGGACTAGCCTCATCGAGCTAGGACTCTGGCACTTCTCATTCTCGTATGTTGCGCAAGGGACAGCCCTGTGTAAGCTTCTCGCGTATCCATTCACTACTACAGGATACAGGTGATTCAGACTGTCGACAGCATTTTCATGTATAGGACTGTCTAGATATACACAGTACAGCGTACAATCATTGTGGTAAGCTAAGAGTCTCAGTTGTTGCGCTGTGTCTTGCCTGCCTTGCCTGCCTTGCCTGGCTTTCCTTTGACCTTTTTCGGTGCTTCGGTCGTGTCTTCTGACAACTCCTCTTCGGCGAACAGGGCTACGAGCGCGTCTGTGTACTTTTCCATCTGGGCAATGTCTCCGACTTTGATCTTCATGTAGTCGAAGGCAACACAGACTTTCATGTCGCTGCCGGCCTTGATTTTGATGTGCTTTGCGGCCTTGTTCGCATTCGTGGCACCAGCAGGAGCCTTAGTATCTGATCGAGGCACAATCGAATCAACTGTTGGCGCATCGGCCTCGTCGTCAGTGTTGGTCGTAGTGTCCATCTCGTCTTCGTTTGCCGCTAGCGATTCGACGGTGCCATCTTCTTCATTCGTGTACTCCAACACGGGAACCTTCTGGTAGCGCTGGCTGAAGTGGGTCAAGACGCAGGCTTTTGCTCCCATGCCCAAGGCCACGCCGAGGGCCTCACTGGTAGTAGTGTGGTTCTTTGCTTCAGCATCTCCCTGAAGCTCGTCATCAAACGTTGCTTCGTGAATACACACTGTGCTGCCCTTGCCAATGTGCGTGAATGGTTTGGAAGGACGGCAATCGCCCGAATATGATGCTTTGAAGCCCGAAGGGAACGTCACCGATACAGCACGAGCGCCATGACAGTGCTGGACCTGCACACACTGGATATCCAGCAGGTTCAATGCTTGTGGCGAGACAAGGGTACGAGCCATCTTGTCGGACCACCGCTCTCGAGCAGAAGGAGATTCATCTTGTTGGGAGGCACGTGGCATGAACCATTGGAGAGTTGAGCTGATGTTTTTGTTGATGATGTTGGGAGTGATGCACAACGGTGCCAGTCGTGAGAACCCATAGTCGTCCACGTTGCTATACTCCTCGAGCCACTGCAACATTGCTGGTTCTGAGATTACAGACAATCGATCTTGCTTGCTAAATGCAGCAGATGCATCGAAGCCAGCGTCAGCCGAGTTGATGAGCGGCGCTGGTTGCGACTTGTGGACAACTCTGTACCATTCACGGACGACGGAAACAGTGCCAAGATGGTGGTCGGCGTGCATATGACTGATCCAGATCACCCGCAGCTCTTTCATGATCTCGTTGAGAACATCAGGGGGATATACACGTTTCAGCTGGCCCAGAGTGTTCTCGCCAGCGTCAAGAAGCATCGACCCCCAGCCGGGTACGCGTACGAGTGTTGCTGAAACATTGCGATACTTGGATGGTAAAGCTGAACCGGTTCCCAGGGTGGTGATTTCGACGTCCTTCTGCGGAAGGCTGTCTGCCCAAGCTTGGAGAGCTTGCTTGCTGGCTGCGACATCCTCAGTGACCATTCGAGCCTTGTCAAGGACGTCTTTCGACATTGCTGCCTTGACTGTGTCAACATCTAGCAGAGCGTTTATCTCATTGTCCTGGACCTCGATAGATGGCTCCAGCACCACTTTCTGCCCTCGGTCGGCAACGAATACTAAATCCTTCAACCCGCTTGCAGATTCAAGATCTTGTGCAGCAGATGTATTGTCGTGCACAGGGATGCCATAACGTGTGGGGTCGATTTGACCAAGTCTTATCGTAGCACCCGCGGCCGAGTCAAGTGCCAGTCTGTTAGGACAGAGTTCTGGAGAAGAAACGACATGTTTCATGTGCTTCATGTCTTCGATGAACTGCTTGAGCATGGGGTGTGACGCAACGTCCGGACCAAGTATCCAAATGAAAGCACCAACGCCCGCCATAATGTCTTCCGACGTCCATTCGGGGCGCGAGACCAAGGCTTCGACGTAATTGCGAGAAGGCAGATCGATAACAGCCGCACCTCCACCTTGTTTACTTGGCTCCAGCACCATATCTGGTGTCACGGTCTCGCCTTTGGAATTTACAACGTTCTGACCCTTGCTTAGAGCTGTGAACTTAGGGCCCTTCTCGACACCCAATTCTATGGCTCTCTGCGGCAGGAACCTGCCTCTTACGATGTGGTTACGGAAGATGTACGACATGGCTACCTTGGCGGGTTCGGTGGGCGGCAGAGTTTCGATGAGAGCGCCAGGCCAGGGACGGCGGACCATGACATTGATGTTTGGCACTGGCTCCTTACCCCCCGGCATGGGACCGGTGTACTTCACCAGCTTGTGAGTTTCGGGGTCGTGAACGAACAGCGTGGCAGGCAACTGTACTTCCTGGATAGGCGTTTCGACAAGAGCATCCAGACGCCACGAGGAATCAAACATGTTTGAGACAACAGCCTTGGACATCATCAGGGCCTTCTCTTTGTCTGTGTTTTGGAGAGGCGCAGGATTTCTGAGAGGCTGCTGTCCGTTGAGCTCATCATAGCTACGCTTCCGAGGGCTAGTCGAGGCGCTCGATGATGTTGAAGCCGGAGAAACTGGCAATGCCCATACTTGGATGTTGTCATCTGACCAGGTAGGCTCGACTGAGGGGGCTTGGACCTGATGGTGGCCAAACTCGTGTACATCCACAGGCATGCCTTTACGAAAGACAAAGCGACGAGCAGTAGCCAGGGTGTAGTTTAAATTAGGCCCACCGAAGATAGAAAGTCTACCTTTGTCTTTTTGTTGAAGGGCAGCCTGCTCAGCGGCCTGCTTGATAACACGTTCGTCGGTGATGTCGGCACCTTGGTGCTCGAGTTTGTTCAGAATCTTTCGTTTAGCTTCTAGCAAGCCGTACTGAGCACTTGACGAGGCAGAATCGGCCAGAGTCAGGATCATGCCGATCAGACCACCAGTCCTTTCCCATGTCGTGTCTCCGGTCAAAAAGATCTCGGATGTCTTCAGCAAGCGGACTTTCTGTTCGACAGAAGCTCGTTGTGTGCCCTCGGCGATGTTTCCAACAAGATAACGCTTGTTGTCGAAGTGCAGTAGGAGCGAGGTGCCAGGTGTGTCGGCGGTTGGCGTCGTGACGAACTGGAAGAAGGATCTCATCCTGCGCAATGCCGTATCGTCGGTCAAGCCTGGGCCTTTGGGCACTTGGAGGGAGGCGGATGGTGGAAACTCGAGATGGTGATGCAGTCGCAGTCCTCTGAGCTTTGGTGCACGGCTCAGACGCGAACGAGCCGAGCTTTGTACAAGGTCTCGCAGTGCTTGTAGCTTCCCAGGCTTGGGCTGCCGTCTTTGGACGTCTGGTGTCTTCTTGTGGTGGTAAAACAAGTCTTGTGTCAGGTCCGCAGCACGCTGGTGGTGTCGCGAGTTTTGCAATCGTGTGCAGGTTGCCAGTAGTCTTTGCTGCGACCACGTTACTGATTTCAGACTCGACAACGAGCTCCGTGAGAATGCCAGATTTGCAGTTGCTGTGATGTGTTTTGCTGTGCATCCATGCATGACGACGGTCTAAATTTCTTGTCCATGTCAAGCATTGAAGCACGGTCCGCCGCTTCCACTCCCGCATTTGTATCTACTTCGCGCTTGCCATACCTGAGTTTGAGCATCCGAGCCACATATAACCGACACTTGGAAACACATCTGACCATGAACTCCAGTTTCAAGTCTATAGAGAATTGCAATATCTACATTGTGAAAGAAAAGTGAACCACTGCCGAACGCCAACATTGCCCGAGAACGCTTCCACAAGGCGGGGGAATAGAGTGAATCATTGAGGACCAAAGGAGAGAATGTTTTGACAAAGGAAATCAGATGCCACGACATGTCAAGCAGCAACAAACGAATGTGGTCTCTCTTGGCCACCCAACCCCAACATATAGCTTCACTTCCTACTGGAAGTTGTTGGGCACCTGAAGACCATTGTTCAAGTTCAGCAGAGACATGTCAAGGGGTGCCTCACGCTGCGAAGGCACCGAGCCGGCAGCACCCTGTTGGCCTTGTCCTACAGGACCGGCAATGCTGGGGTCCTTGCTGATGTCTTCGATGAAAGACGAATATGCAGGGTGACGCAACAGAACCTCGATGAGACGGCGACAGCGTCCATTCTCTTCTTGGAGGCTGCGGTTCTCCACTCTAAGGTCGTTGGCCTCCTGTGCTTTCATGGCAACTTCGCCTTCGAGCTGCGAAATGTACTCTGGGAATCTGTTAGCCTGTTTCTTGACTGTACACCTTCTTAGACACAAGCTTACCCTTTCTGCGAGAGCGGAAGGCACGGGCAGAGACTTTGTTGCGAAGCTGGCGTCTCTCTTTGCTGCTGAGCTTCTTGCCCTCTTCGCTGTTCAGGAGACGTTCATCCTCGTCCATGTCTTCCTCTTCCTTGCGCATGCGGGCAACATGAGGAAGCATGCCGTTAGCAGAGTCGTCCTTGCCAGAAGGTCCAGCACTGCCTTGGCGCATCTGGTTGAGAAGGCGTGCGATGCTCTCCTCGGTGTGGGGATCAGACTGGTAAGAAGAAGCGCGGCTTCTGTTGGGCTTGACTTCGGCTTGCTGTTGCTGCTGGTGTTGTGCTTGCTGCTGTTGCTGTTGTGCAAGGCGTCTTTGCTGTTGTTGCTGAGCCTCGAATTGCATTCTTTGCTGCTGAACCTGAGCCTGGACCTGAGCTTTGGCCATGGCTGCCTGCTGTGCCTGTTGCTGGTGCATGCCGGGCCACACTCTGCCGACATTGCTGGGAGAAGCGTCGTTGTCTCTAATGGAGGTTGGGTCGACGAATTCGGCGGAACGTGTCTGGGAAGGGCCGGGCTGGGGGAAGTAGATGGCAGGAATGGTCTGGGTGACGTTGAAGTCCATGCCCATATCGGCGTCGACGTCGATGCCAGAAGACCAGGAGCCATTGAAACCGTGGTCGAAGGCCATGTCGTCAATGCCCGAGTTGAAGCCGCCAAAGGCATGGCTGGGGGTGAAAGTGTCAGAGACGGGCGGGTTCATGGCAGAGAGACTGGCGACTGAACCAACCGGGAGGCCGGTCTGCTGCTTGAAGCGATCGTATTCATGGCTTGGGCCGGTAAACATGTGGGCGTCGTCTGCCTCGAAAGGCGAGGGGGCACTGTAGTAGGCTGAAGCATCGATCGAAGGGCGAGGGGTAGGGCCCGAGAGCTGAGGAGAGTTGAGAGAAGTGCCCTGGTTGAAGTCGAAGAACGACTCCATATCAAGATCCGGCTTGAGAGCATGGGGGAGGCTGCCCATCTGGGCAAATTGAGCAGTGGCCATGGTGCTGGGTGACGGGCGAGGGGCCAGAGGAGCGATGCGTGCGAGGTTATGGGTGCAGCGGATGCGCACGTTGCGGGATTACGCGGCCTTGTGCCAAGACCAAGAGGCGCCTTTCGGGATTAAAGGTGAGCGAGTGACTGGAGATTGAGGCGTTGGCGTCTTTGCGACGAGGGCTGGCGATGATGTGAAACTGGCGCGGTGGTGATGCCGGAGAGGATTGCTGACGGAAAGGGGCAGGATGCAGAGATTGAGAAGGGGGGGGGGGGGGGAAAGAAGGAAGAAACGAAGAGTTGCGATCGGGCACGAATCGACCGTGGAAACGAAGGAACGATGACGGGCGTGCCTTTCCGAAACACACAGCCTCACAGACCACCCTAAGCAAGCCTTCCGACTCACCGGCCTCAGTCAGCCCTGTGGACTCTGGACACTGGACACAAACATGCCTGTCCTCCCTCTCCACGCTTTCTTCTGCCAAGTTGCCAAATGCCCGCCTGGCACGGCCTGACGGGGCTTTTCGACACCGAGTCCATACCATGAATCGATTTCTCACTCGACAAACTTTCGCTGTTGCTGTGCTATTGAGTTTCGATTAAACGCGCCACAGCTGGATGCCCGGCACAGCCTCGCAGCTCTCAAAACTTTTGCTTTGGTCAAAACTCTCGATGTTATCCCCGTGAGACTGGCCTCGTTTGCCAAACCCGGACTCGCACCTATTTGTGGCCGACACCGGTTACTCCGTCAGTATCCGCCAAGTCGTCAGACCTGTGCCGCTGCGGTTGGCGTTTTCTTCTTGACACTTGGGGACGATCATCGTTTGTGCGAGCCAACTCTCCAAGGTTTGTTTGACGACAACCAATTCAGACACCCTCCACAGTAATATTCGATTCTAGAACGATGGGTATCATGAAACTCGTGGCGCTGCTGAGCTTGCCTGTCGGAAATGTCTGATCTCTGGTTTTGGCATCGACTCACAGCTGTCCGCCACATGGTGCTCAACTTTAAGGTGAATATTGCTACTGACCATGACTAGAAGCTACATTGAAACCCGTCACGTAGTTTCTCATCAAGCGCTGTAGCACAATATTGCCATCATCAAGGACTCCTCACTCTTTCGATGAGGACAATGAGACCTCGTTTACCAAAGACTGAGATCTCATGTTATCACCTCTCAGTGATCCGATACAGATCGACGACTGTCAATTTCCCGATAAACTTATCACATCTTTGCGCTTATAACAAGCTTGACTGACACAGCCTTAAGTGGAGGCCATCGCGCGTGTGTCCCCTGAGCCACTTTGTGTTTATAAATAACGATTCAATATCGATCTGAGCCACATTGCAGCGTTCATTTGCCTTTCCCAGAGGCATATAGCCTTCTGGACTTGTGTGAATCACAATGCTGTCTCAAGACAGAGCGTCATCAATTGAGAGCCGTGTGTGCTCGGCTCTCTCTGGACATGTTGTTTGTCTGGTAGCATCGCGGGCCTGCATATAAACACAGGGGCGGTTTCTTTGATGGGAATCGAATCAACATCTCACTGTTTATCAATGTTTGAAATTGATTTGGCTTGATTTGAGCTGTAAACATGTGAATCTCGCTCCAGAGCTCAAGGGACCGTTGTTCTTCGAGGGACTCTGCAACGGTGGCTGGCCGCGAATGAAGGCGTCCCCTATGGTATCGAGTCTTTGTTGCCGAAGAAAAATCTATTCGGCGTGCGTCAGCAGCTGCGCCTGCAACTAGCTATTTTAGGGGTTCGTGCAGACCATGCCATCTCCGGCAATCTGCCACTATGGCAGGCTAGCTCTCTCGTTATTTCATGCGCCCCTGAGCAGTCCCAAGCAGGTCGTGCGTGGTCTTTCCTGTCCCGGCCATGCTCCTAGTACAGGTGTTTAATTGGAGCCTTTGGCGCAAATTCCTGTGTCTGATTCGAGCAGTGTTGTCCTTGCCTATGCCTCGAGATTGATGCTGCGACCAAAACGACCGTAGAGTGCCGTCTTCAGCTGCTGCATCTCTTCCCTGTGCTCGCTCAACTTCTCTTCAACAGCCGTTACATCGGCATCGATCTTCTCAATTGACGCTGTCAGCAGCTCCTGAACCTCGGGCAAAGGTAGAAGGAAGAAGGAGTCTCCGATCTTGTATCTAGAAAAGACATGAGCTGAGCTCTAGATGTGCAGCATTCGCCATCACTTACGAGACCTTTTCGTCTTCGTCAGCAAGCTCGAGTTCTGACGAGACTTCTTCCAAATCCTCCTTCTCCTTCTGTAACACACGCTATCAGCAATTGTATCGTATGTCCTGGTGAGAAAACTGAGAGAACCTCTTTAGTCTTGAGCTCCGCTTGCAAAAGCTTCTCTCTCTGATGCAGTGTGCTGAAACGATTGATCTTGTCCTGGTCTTCGCGGCGGACCTCGGTCTCTTCACCTTCCTCGTCTTTCGATAACTATATGATTATGAGCACATAGTCCCAGTTGCATGGGTGTCATAGTGTTTACCATTCGTCTTGACATCATGGCAGCCATGTTCGCGATTACAATATTAAAATGGTTGGTATGTATGGCTAGAAGAATCGCCAGAACACGCTCTCTGTTGATGCAAACACGATCAAACTGCTTGGCAAGAGCCCTTAGTTCCCCACCTTTGCCTCTTTTGAGACTTGAACATCTTTCTGCCCCATAAACATCGCGACGAGTACATTACCATCCATCGCCTATGCCTTGTCTCTGTAAGCCTTGGGTACGAGCATGTGATACTCGTTGTAGACCATTACTAGTAGTCTTTCCTTCGCGCAACATGCAATCTTCTCACGCAACCTGATCAGTACAAGTCTGGCAAGACAACCTGTCTTTCGTATTTAGAGTCTGAGGGTGGCAGAAGTCTGAAGGTCGGTTGCTTGCTCAGGAAGGCACTTCACGATCTTAAAGACGAGCTGTTAGCCTCCCTAGAAGCGGCGAATCAGCGCGTCCGTATTCAAGACAGAATATGCGCCAATATACCTCAGCCGCAAATTAGCCCCACTACCTGACCACCACCACTTGCAGAAACCAACACGTTGCCTGCAAGGCTGTGGATGCCTTATAATTCTGACAAAGGAGGATAGTACCAACACAGACGGCCTCTGTATATATATATGACTCGATCTTTGCTTACTCGTCTCACGATTTCCTGTGTCACCTCCCCTATCAAGGAAGGCTTTATTGCTGTTTTTGCATACGAGCATTGACTCTCACATATACACGGCACACAAGAGCACCCACCATGATAACTTCTCCTACAGCTGGTCGAGCGATCCTTCGCAAGCCGAAGAAGATCATCTGTGCTCTTGATGGTGAGTGGATGACTTGATCAGTTATGAACACGCACTGACACCGTACAGGTACCTGGCAGGTGCGCAATTGGCGTCTCGTATCAAACGTGTTGAAGTCCTAACCACCTCTCAAGGATAGTGATTCTGGCTGGATTGATGGTAGTCTCAAAACGCCTTCCAATGTCACCAGGATTTCAAGAGCAATCAAACCCGAGGACAGCGAGCATCACGCTCAAATTGTCTACTACCAGGCAGGTATTGGAACGGGTCTGGGATTGCGAGACAGGCTATTAGGCGGCGGGACTGGATTAGGCCTCTCTGAACACATCAGAGAAGCTTATTATTTCCTGGCCAACAACTACTCATCTGGTGATTCGATATTCCTGATTGGCTTTTCTCGAGGCAGCTTCACAGCTAGAAGCCTTGGTGGACTCATCGGAAACCTTGGACTGTTGAATAAGAAAGGTCTCCCCTTCTTTTATGAGATATTCCTTGATTGGGAGAATGCCGGCAATCCAGGATCACGGGAGTCTTCGTTCTGGGAACATTATCGCGATCCTTTGGATCCGGAAAAGAAGAGCATGCCTCAAACGCCATCGAATGATCCGGCAAGAGTTTACGACTATCTGGATGAGTATCGCGCCAGTACGTACGGCGAGGGGCTTATATGCCATCAATTGCAGTTCTGACATGGGCTGATTCGTGTATTGCTCACAGTGCTGCGGAGTTTCGGACTAACCCATGTCGTTCCAATTCGGGAGAATGAGACACGTGATGTGCCTATCAGAGCGATTGGTGTCTGGGACACTGTTGGTAAGATGAGCTCTTCTATACGAAAACCTCACGGAAGATTCTAACCTTGACAGGTGCCCTTGGTATTCCAGTCAACCCGTGGCTTCAAAAGCATCTCGGGCTACCTGGGTTTTTGCACGAGTACAAGTGGCTTGATACAAAACTCTCCGACAAGGTGGAGAACGCATTTCAAGCTTTGGCTTTGGACGAGCATCGAGCTCCTTTCTCGCCTGCTGTGTGGGAGAAGTCGGAGGGTAGTCACACGGTAAGTTGGCGTAGGTATTTGGTCAAGTCCTTGCTGATTGTGCCGTAGTATCTGAAACAAACGTGGTTCCCAGGAGCACACTCCAACGTCGGCGGTTCGTACGATGACACGGCTACAGCAGATATATCGCTAGCATGGATGATGGATCAGCTTTCGGGCGAGAGTAGGGCTTCTGACGATGCGCCATTGGACAAGAAAGATTGGATCGAGTTCTACGACGATTATCTGGACACGCAACAAGCGCTGAACACGGTTTGGTACCAGAACCATCCGCCTGTGCGAGGATGGTCTCTGGGCGCAATCTACAACTCGTTCACCTTTCCACAGAGCCTAGCAGGGCGAGTGGTTCGAACACCTGGACGATATAGGGTAACGAATCCATTGACGGGCATGCAGAAGCATGGCGGGGTGCTAATGAAAAATACGCACGAGAGTATCCATGCTTCGGTCAGAGCGCGTATGGATCTCGGGGGGTCTGCTTCGGAGTCCAAGCCCAGCATGTGGTCAAAATTCATGCGATGGTTGCGGAAACTGGTGGGTAGGAACGGTACAGTGTTATACAGACCCGAAGCATTGCGTTGGTGGAGACTTCACGATGGACACAGGCATCATAACGAATTCTCGATCAACTCCAGACTTACAACGGGAGGGGCGGAGAGCTCTACAAGGGCTCCCTGGTGGGAATGGATTGGCAAGGACAAGCTCGTTCCACAAGGACGGGTGTTGAGCGAAGACGTACTGGGAAGGTACGAGTTGCAATTGCTCAGACACTATGCAGAGGTGGCCGACGAGATTGAGGCCAGCAACAAAGGACTGGCGAGTGTCGAAGAACTAAGGAGAGTGCAAGAGCGGGTGGCTCGAAGATCGGTGACAGTGTAGGCGTGTGTAGCAATGAACAGTTGTTCGGCGAGATCAAACACAATGGAATGTACGTATCAAGCCAGCAAGTCAGGTTTTGCAGGGAGAGGCCGAGTCTGGCTTGACGGGGCGGCCGAGATGCCGGTAGAGTTTGTGGGGTTGACCTGAGTTCTGCTGACCGCCCGGCAGTCAGAAAAAGTCCCCGAGTGTTTGAAGCGACACAGAGCGAGTTCGAGACAAGGCCGTAGTCGACTCTCGCACAACATGGTCAAGCGCAAGGTTGGAGCGCTCGAAAAGGTCGATGCAGACCTGCCAAACCTGCAGTACAAGGTCCGCAGAGACCCAGCGTACGTCGCCTCACCATGCCAAAGACACGCTATGTACTCTAACACGCCGCCAGATCATACAAGGATGACTTCAACAACCAGTACAGCCAGTACCAGGCTTTCCTACAGCTCTTCATGCAGGCTCCCAGCTCGACCGATTCCCAGGGTCTGGTCAGTCTCCGCGAGTTGATCGACTTTGTTGCACACTGCGCCGACTGCTATCCTAAACTCACTGCCGACTTTCCCACCGATCTCATGGCCTTGCTGCGTCTGCACCACGCCGAACTGGAGCCCGAACTGCGTGACAAGGTCGTAGGCAGTCTGGTTCTGTTGCGCAAGAAGGACATCATCGACTCTGCAGTGTAAGTCGACCACTCTCGTGCTACCGCCCTCTGCTGACTCTCTTGGCCTGCAGTCTGCTCAACGCTCTGTTCCCTCTACTAGTCGACACGGCTAGTAAAGCCCTCCGTACTCTCTTGTTCACAAAGATCATCTCCGACCTCCGTACCTCCAACTCAAAGTCCACCAACCACAAACTCAATCGTACCATCCAGACTGTTCTCTACAATTTGCTCACTTCCGATCCCACTTCTGCCAAGGGTGTCTGGGCTGTGCGCATCACTCGAGAGATGTGGGCTAGACAGATCTGGACAGATGCCAAGGCCGTCGAGATCATGAAGGAGGCCGCCCTCTCACAACACGAAAAGGTCGTTACCGGAGGTGTCCATTTCTTCCTGGGTGGTGACAAGGAGCGTGAGGAGAAGGCAGAGGATGACAGCGACGATGAAGAGAACATTGACATGGGAAAGCTGCGCCACCAGGCTGGTATCAACAAGAAGACTAAGAAAAAGGCCAATGAGCTCAGGAGAGCCGCCGCCACAGTCAAGCGCAAGGAGAAGAAGAAGAAGGCCCCGCATCCCCTCAATTTCTCCGCTCTGCATCTCCTTCACGACCCTCAAGGCTTTGCCGAGAGATTGTTCCACCAGCATCTCAACACCCAGACCCCCAAGGCCAAACTCAAGCTCGACCAGAAGCTGGTCGTCCTGCAGCTCGTCTCTCGCCTCGTCGGTCTGCACACGCTGACTCTGATTCCCCTCTACTCTTACTTCATCAAGTACCTCACACCCAAACAGCCCCAGGTCACTTCTTTCCTAGCATCGCTTGCTCAATCTACCCACAACCTGGTTCCCCCGGACGCCCTCGAGCCCCTGGTCCAGAAGATCGCTAACGAGTTCGTTTCCGAAGCCGCTGCTTCTGAGGTCGCGTCGGCGGGTCTGAACGCAATCCGAGAGGTTTGTGTTAGGCAACCCCTCGCTATGAACGAGACTCTCCTTCAAGATCTTGTTGAATACAGAAAGAGCAAGGACAAGGGTGTCATGATGGCCGCCAAGGGTCTTCTGAGTCTGTACCGTGAGGTTGGCCCAGAGTTGCTGCGCAGAAGGGACAGAGGCAAGGATGCCTCGATAGGCATACAAAAGGGTACTCTGAAGGACCGAAAGTTCGGACAAGTTGAAGCAGGTGGTATCGAGGGTCTGGAACTCCTCGAAGAATGGAAGGCAGAAGAGAGGAGGAAACGACGCATCGAAAAGGGCCTTGACCCTGATGCTTCGGACGCAGATGATGACGATGAGGAAGAGGACGAAGAAGCAGGCTGGAGCAAATTTGATCTCGAAGAGGACGATGATTCAGATGAAGAAGGCTGGATCAATGTTGAAAGCGATGGCGAAGACATCAACATCAGCGACAGTGAGGACGAAGACAAGAAACCAAAAGCGAAGAAGCAGAAGACGGATGTGGATGCGCCCAAGACGACCGAGGATACACCAAAGGACCCTATTGCCGAGTTCTCCAAACTCGCTACGACACGGATTCTTACACCCGCAGATCTTGCAAAACTACAAGAGCTACGAACGAGTGCAGCTGTGTCCAAACACATGCCCTCGCAAAAACGTCAGCAGCAGACTTCAGGACGTCACGCCGACGACCCCCTCACAGCTGCGGAGATTGAAGGTCTTGCGTCGCTTTCTTCGCGTACGACCAAAGAGGAGAAGATTGCACTGGCGAAGGGAGATCGTGACGAGAAACACCAGTCTACCACGGCCAAGCGCAAGGAGAAGAAGGAAGCTGAGGGCAAGAGTACGACCAACAAGGAGAAGGCTCGCAAGAAGAACTTCCTCATGACTCTAGGAAAAGCCAAGAGAAAGGGCAAGAGAAGTTTGGTCGATCAACGAAAGATTTTGAGAGGTCATATTGACCGGCAAAAGCGTGGTGGCAAGCGTGGAAACGCAGGATAGATGGCAGATTACTTTTTTCTTTCTTCTTCCCGAATGTAATTCATACATGGAATAACTTCCGAGCACCGCTCTATCTGCCTTTATGCCCTCCGAGTCAACATTAGTGACTACTTTCAATGCCCGGTCCTTGGTGAGCTCTGTCGAGGAGGTAGGAAAGCAACCACTTGTTCCGTAGGCTACGGTATAATCGACGGTCGTCGGGCTGATTTGCTCGTTTGGAACGGCTTGGCATACGTCTTTTGTCGCGTCGACGCGGAACGACCAACGACCATTTTCAATCAACTCCCTTCACGAGAACGACATCAATTATCCATCTTGCAATGGCGAAACGCCCTAGAAGTCAGTCTCCTACAGGAAGCGCTTCAGGAAAACAAGACCATGACTTTTGGGTCTCCGAACCAATTGAGGATCGCTCAAGCACATTCCGGGCATTCTTCTCTCCTACTATGCCTGCAAAAGAACTTCAAAACTTGGATCAGATCAAAGATGCTTCGCACCGTATTCTGGCATGGCGAAGTCCCTCATCACAGAGAACGTTGGTCGGTAACGTGCGAACTCTCGAAACCGGTACAGACGACGATGGAGAACGATACGGAGGCCGTCACGTCCTCAAAGTCATCGAAGAGATGCGAGTGGAAGGCGCTGTCGTTGTTGCAAGATGGTATGGAGGCGTCATGCTGGGACCTGCCCGATTTGCCCACATCGAGAACTCTGCTGGGGACGCGATCCGGGCTTGGCGGCAAAAGGAAGACAGCGAAGGTCAGAAGCGCAGACGGGTCGAAGACGAGGACATGGAGAAGGCCACCTTGATTTTTGAGCTAGCCGATCGGGATCAAAACATCCTGGTATTGAGACGACTGCTAGAGGAAAAGACAAGGCACACGCAGCCACAAGCCGGACAGAAACCTCCCTCGAGCTCCCCACTACCGGCGCCTGATTACAGTAGCATGCCTCTTGAACGCCTGAGACAATTCGACAAAGCTCGAGACAGTACAGTCGCATTCCTTCTAAAGAAGATTGATGAAGCAGAGAAGCAGAACAATCCACGGAGCATAAGTCCTGATCCTGTGTCTACTCAGCCTAGTAAAGACGAGAGTGCGAAGAAGGGGCCCGAAACTGCTGCGGAAGAGATTGTTAATTCGATCCAACGGCCCGCTTCTAAGAATGAAGAAAGCTCAGAAATCGGTACCACCGCTGAGAGCAATTCAGTCTCGGAGTCGAAGCCAGCCAAATTGGCACCTCTCAAACCTTTCGAGGAGGAATCAAGCGACGATGACGACGATAGCGGAGACTGAACAGTATATGCTGTAATGACTACAGACACAAAGCTATCTCTACTCACATACTGGATTCAGGACCAACAGAGCATTAAACGAAAGTCTCCCAAAGTTGAGCGACACTCTCAGCATCTCGGGATGATATTCTTGGTATCCGTATTCACATACTTCTTTCTTGAGATTCTGCCCGAAGTATTCGGCAACTTTGCCTTTCTGGTGGGGTACCGCGACTCCAAAGGTTCTCGACACGAGCTGCAACACTGCTAGAAACGATACGGTGGTTCGCAGACACTACTTTGAGTGAATGCGATCGAACAATGAAACGCAATGCGTATTTCGACAATCGGCCCTCGAAGTATCGATTCTGATAGAGTCTCACACTCGATGGCTATGGGCTCCTCGTCACTAGCCTTTATCTAGTCCATAATCTATGTAAAGGCAGTGCTTCCTTCACCAAAATCGACGCTCAGCCCGTTCTTGCCCATTGAGCCTCCGCTCTCGATTGCTTCATGCGCCTTTCTCAGGCCCTTTAAATTCAGTCTAAAACTTTGCTGCAGATGGGTCTTGACTTTGCCGTCTTCGACCAATTGCCTGAGCTCTTCCAGGATCTTGCCGTGGCTGTCCATATCCACTCCATACCACGGTTTTGTACCCAATAGCTCCCAGACAAAACTCAGTGACTTGGCCATAAACTCCGTGCCATACATTTGGATATCCTGGGCTTGTACAATCGAGCAGACTTTGCCAAATGGAGCACAGATCTTGGCTGCTGGCTCGATGTAAGGAGTCGTAGAGTGTGTGATGAAGATGTACTTTATTGGTACTTTCAGCCCTAACTTTTCGATTTGTGGTGGGAGGTCTTCACGATGGTTTACAGTGTGAGTAGCTCCCATTGACTTCGAAAACTCGGTGGTCTCCGGTCGCGATGTGGTGGTAACAACCACTGGCAGATTGAGGACTGTCCTGGCGATCTGGCTTGCAACCGATCCAACGCCTCCGGAACCGTTGATGATCAGAAGTCCAGCTTGTTCGCCTTTTTGGATTTCCATTCTCTCGACAAGGGCTTCGTATGCAGTGATCCAAGTAAGGGGCAGGGCTGCAGATTCGATGAAGTCGAGGTTCTTAGGCTTCTTTGCAACAGATCTAGAGTCGACCGACTGATATTCTGCATTGGAGCCTTGTCGAATGGGTGAGCCCGAGTAGTAGACCTCATCTCCAGGAGAAAATTTCTCCACTTTGGGGCCGACTCGTTCGATCAAGCCGGCTCCATCGAACCCTATGATCTGATAGCCGCCTTCGCCCGGCTTGGGTTTGGGTACGTGATCATAGTAGTCTGTGTGTCTGATGTCAGGATGGTCTGTTCTTCTTTTGAAACTGTGATACTCACCGGCATAGTCATCATAGATTCCAGCCCTTACTTTCATATCGATCGGGTTGACGCTTGCAGCTTTCACTCTACAACCAATCAGTTTCGGTTTTCCATTTCTGCAGACTCGATGGTAGTGGGACTTACTGCACAAGTACATCGTAGTCTCCCAAGTCCGTAGGCTTTGGCACTCGCTTGTGCACGAGATTCTCAATTCCGCCATACCTCTCCACGACGATGGCATTCATGTCAGGCATGGTTGGTAAATTGAGACTGTTGATGGTTCAAGGTCAGGAAGGACGCAATAATGAACAGCCCAAGTTCAAGATGGAGGAAGGACTAGGGTACTTGGATCGGACCTCATGCCCGTGACAAGGGCAATATATTTGCCGGGTCATCGTGATGTCAGTCGGACTTCGTTGTCACCAGAGTTACAGTCGATGATTCTTGGTCGATCAGACATCTTCTGGGCTCACAGCTCCCTTGTAGATAACTGATGATACCCTACAGAAAATGCGCGGGATAGGTGAACATATGTATGAACTGCTCGCAAGCAATTGAGGATCGCGGATTTTTGGTGCCAGGGTCGTACCATGAACAACTGCTGTCATTGACATAACCCTATCGGACGGAGGGCTAACCACCATACTTTACAAGTAGACAGCTACCAGCTGTTCTTGTAGTATAGATGATTGGCTAACAACTGTCATGTAGGATCGACATTGTGTGCTAAGATGTGACGGGTGACAGGTCTATTAGCACGCAGGTGAAAGACCCTATCAAAGTCTCATCGATGACGAATGTTGCAAGAAATGATCACAGAATCCCCTCAGCTCATCGACAATTGTAAACGTCTATAACACAAGAAGTATGCTATGTGGTGTTTGTCTATAACACGATGAACTCCGAGACCTTGTTTTCCAACTCGATATCCAACAATTGATGAAAGGACAGGGTGACTGAGCTTGAGACGAGACCAATTGCAATCTTGCGGTGCAATATTTGTACTGAGACACTATGATCCCTCCACCTAGCAAGCCAATGGATGTTTACCGAATTGACTCCTCTCACCAAGCTCGACACCGTGTCTTTGGGTCTCCACAGCATAGCTCAACACCCTGTGGTTGTATTCGTCTCTACCGATGTTCCCTTGAAGCCATTCTCCAAGAGTAGAGGCATCGAATGCAGCCTGACTTGTTGAAGCTGCAGTATGAGGCCTAAAGCCAGCTAACGAGTCTCCCACCAGTAACAGCTTTCCATCAAAGAATTCGTTGTTCGGCGAGATGTTGTCGGTAATGGCTTGAACGAATGGGTGTACCGTCTTGTTAACCAACTCAGCGAACTGAGGTGGCAAGACATCTTTGGAATCCCGTTGCTGCTTCGTCCAGACTTCAGGCTTCATCTGGTCCGGAGGAAGCGTGACATGGTGACGTGACTGATCTTTTCCTGTCATCAGGTCCACCAGCTCATCACTGTCTTCCTTGTAGTTTCTATACCAGACCCAGTTCATCAACCTCTGGCCGGGTTCCAGCGTGCCATTCTCTCCTGGGATTGCGTAAGCCAGAATTTGAGTACCGTCGGCGTGGTAAAAGGCAAATTTCTCGACAAAAGCTTTCGCAGCAGATTCCGAGATCTGAGTCTCGGGCACGGTACCTCGAAGGGCGACGTAACCAGTGTATGTTCGTTGGACACTTGGGAGCAATGTCCTTCGTATTGATGAACTTGCTCCGTCGGCGGCGATCACCAAATCTGCCGTAATTTCCACCTCTTTGTCGGACTTATTCATCCATCGTACGCGAACACCCTCCGAGGGTCCAAGGTCTTCGACAGACTTGACGTTGCAGCCGTATTGATAACCCGCTGTGCCATGGCTGACATTCGATAGTTTGTCTTCCAGTTTCTTGAGATCCGGACCGGAAATGTAGTCCTTGATGTCCATGTCATCCACCCTCCATCTGAGATATCTGTAAAGACTATCCCAGCTAGTCATTCGTTGTTCCTTGTTCTCAACACTTCCCCGGATGACATCGCCCTTGCGATCAAGGTACAGTCTCTGCTTACTCAGAACGGCAAAGTCTTGCCCAGGACACACGTAGTGGGAGAAGAAAGATTGTGTATCGGCTCCAGCGACCACTCCTGCGCCCTGATTATGTAGAAGTGCAGTAGGTGATCTTTCGAGAATTGTTACTTTGACTTTTGGACAGTGGACCATGATGGCCAAAGCATGCATCAATCCGGCTAGAGATCCGCCGACGACAACAACACTTTGTAGTTTAGAAGGTTGAAGCATGCTGAAGGTGAGATCCTGGAGTTACAGAGTACGGCGAGAGAGAGAGAGTGTGCACAGTGTTGGCTGGAGACTCTATATGAGTATAATTTTATATTGCTGAAATCTTCCTACACGTCATTAATATGCCCGCATAGCGCTCTCGATCGTCGCAAAGAAAGCGGTCGATCAAGGTGGCTTCCACGTGCTGACCCAGCCATTTCCTCTCAACTCTCGCGACCACATACGAGCTGTAAATAGAGCCGATAGAACATAGAGTGGACAACTCCACTAAGTCTGTGCAATTACGTCTCAGAAGATGCTGTCCTGCTTCCCAGAACCACTCGTCGCTTGTTTTATCACACACCGAAGGATGTAGCACAGAAAAGATGAAATAGAAACCGGTGTTGAGTCATCTAAAATGCTATTGATTGTACATAGGAAAGTGCGGCTGCGATTACAAACAGGCAATATTATACATGTGCCATTGGGAAGAGCAGTGATGGCAAGAATGGTCGGCTATGCGATGTTTAAGCCAACCACTCACCAGCGACCCAGCGGTTGACCATCTCGAGGGAGGCAACAGGCTGGTCGTAGGGGACCATGTGGCCACCGCCATCAATTCTGAGGAAGGTGAAGTTGCCACTGCTCTTGACGGCTCCAGCGGTGGAACCATCCAGGAGAACGTAGTCCTTGAGGGGAGTCTTCTTGAAGTCCTTGTGGCCGGGCCACTCGAGGGCCTCGGTCCAGGCTTGGTTTCCGAGCCAGTTGCCTATACAGTGTTAGTTATTTGATCACGCAGGAGCAGGAGGATGTGGGGAACGTACAGATATAGTCCAGAGAACCAGCGTAGATCAGGACAGGAATCTCCTTGAGGATACCAGGGACGAGGCGGTGGAAGGGCTGCATCCAGTCGCCAGCGAAGAGGAAGTTTCTGTTGATGTCAAAGTTGCAAGAGTCGTACTTGCTGACCTCGGCACCGAGAGCCTTCATGACCTCGGGTCTATTGAGGTACTCGCTGATCCAGTCGAGCTCGTCGTAGCAGAGGCTGTTGCTGCCGCACTTCTTTGTGATGTCGTAAGGGTTGCGGCCAGTCTTCTGGTAAGGGCCGATCATGGCGTTGTTGCAGTAGATGGAGGCAGGAACACAAGACCAGACGCTCTCACTGTCGTAGCAGCTCTGGATCAAGCTCAAGCAACGAGGCAAGGCGTTGTCCATAGCCTGGCACTGTTGAGGGTCAAGGACAGCAGGGGAACCACCCTCGCCACAAGCCATGGGGCGGTACTCGGGGTACTGGGTCAGACCGTCGGTAAGACCGTTACCGATGAGAACGGACTGGAGGTTGATGTTGCGCTTCTTGTGCGAAAGAATCTCAGAAGCGAAGACGGGGATGTAGTGGCCAGCGTAGGATTCACCAGAGATGTGGAAAGGCTGGGTAGCGTACTCGGGGAACTGCTTGAAGAAGAGAGTCAGGAGGGCGTAGACATCCTTGCCAGCGGCGACGGTGTTGGTGACGGAGCCGCCACTGTACGAGTAGCCGACGTTGACGGGCTGATCAAGGAAGATGACCGAGGCGTTGGCGTTCCATGAAGAAGGGTTGTACTTGAGGCTGCCGTCTTTGTTGATAGACGAGGGGCCAAGCTCCATGAACAAACCGGTCAGCGAAGAGCAGCCGGGGCCACCGTTGAGCCAGAGGATGACGGGGTCGTTCTTGGGGTCGTTGCGGGACTCGAAGAACCCTGTGTGATGGGTTAGCGGATGCTACAGAGAGCAGGTGAGCAGTGGCGACTTACAGTAGAACAGATGCTTGTCGTCCTCGTCATCGTCGAGGTAGCCACTGTACTGCTTGACCTTGTCGACACCGAGGTGGCTGGGGTCGACCTTCTTGGTTCTCAGGCTGTAGTTGTCGAGCTTGCCGTCGATCTCTCTCTCCTTCTGGCCCTGAGCATTCTCGACCCAGACGCTCTGGATATCAGCACCACTCATGATGTGGTCCCACTCATTGTCATGCTTGCGCGAGTGAGGCTTGGGCAGAGAGAAGAAACTGGTTTGGTCCATTGCTTCGGGGAACATGAGGGCGACCTCATCCCAGATCTGGCGAGCCTCGCCGGTCAGGGACTTGAGGGACTCTTGCAGGTTGTGTAGAGGCTTGGACCATGCGTCTGAAGCGTGCTTAGGGGCCTTGAGAATGGACTGGCCGGGGGTGACGGCAGCCGTGGCGGCTCCGATCAGAGAGGCGTATGCAGCGACCTTCATGGCGGCGCAGATGGATGTGTAGCTGCTGGTAGTGCTTTGTGCTATCAATGCAGCACAGGATCGAAGGATTGATGGAGAAGAAGGATGGGTATCAAGAAGCAGACCTCGAGCTTATCAAGGTAGAGTGGATGGAAGAAGAAGAGGGGAGGAAAGAGGCAGCCTAACAGACGGAGCCCATGTGTGGGGGATCAAGGTCATGCTTCCACATGCACGGTTGGTTCCTGTCCTGCCCGCCTGCCGAATCTGGCAATGATGTGGTCCAAGACGTCCGTGCTTGTCTTAATCAGCATAGCACCTTGGACACCTAACTATGATAAGAGTCTGAGCTCTGTGTAAGAATCAAGGGAGCGGAGAGGGAGATGGACAAATCAGCTTGAGTGGCTACAAGTGTGTCACTGCAGTGATAGACGACATCTCCCGTCCATCAGAAACATGCAAAGGAACACACATGGATACGAATGTGGTTGCAGACTTGACGCTGGCTAAGAAAGTGGCACGCGGCGGATACCATCTCCTCTGCGAGCTTATCTGCTTCCCCAGTGCGTGCTGCCATGACGACGTTTTCGCGAGGCGCGAACGGCTTTAGCAGCTTTTCGCGTGCCCGGACTCGTTTGCATGAATTGATACTAACCCAGCCTCTTTTCAATATTGCATCGTATATTCGTGCACTATCAAAATGCCTTCGGCCCAGATCAATCAGGTATGTGCCTATCTTGTACTCGACATCGGTACCATGATACTGACAGTCATGCGCAGCCCTCGAACCAGATCAGACTTACAAATGTCTCTCTTGTCCGCATGAAGAAGGGTATGTATGTTGCACTCTCCCTTGCGCACAACCCTCCCGACTTGCATACGGCGCCAGCTTCTTCTCGACTGTCACTTAACTCATTCCTCCCAGGCAAGAAGCGTTTCGAAGTCGCATGCTACAAGAACAAAGTCCTCGAATGGCGTTCTGGCGTCGAAACCGACCTCGACAATGTCCTTCAGATCCCGAACGTCTTTCTCAACGTCTCCAAAGGTCAGGCTGCTCCTTCAGCAGACCTGCAGAAGGCCTTTGGAAAGGTGCCCTTGAATGACATCATCTTGGAGATTTTGAACAAGGGTGAACTGCAGGTCGGTGAGAAGGAGAGACATGCTCAGTTGGAGAGAGTCCATGCCGAAGTCATCGACATTGTCGCAGGCAAGCTAGTCGATCCTAAGAGCAAGCGCGTCTACACCACTGGCATGATCGAAAAGGCACTCGATCAACTCAGCAGCCAAAGCGGAAAGGACACCACCACTCCCAGCGCGAGTGGCACCGCAACTCCCGTCGAAGGCGAGAGCCATGCCGAGCACAAGTCGAAACCCATGTGGACAGGCGTTGTGACTACTCGCGATGCCAAATCTCAAGCACTCAACGCCATGAAGGCTTTGATTGCACACCAACCCATCCCAGTCGCTCGCGCAAGAATGAGACTGAGAATCACCTGCCCAACTTCGGTCCTGAAGCAGGCAGTCAAGAACGCATCTAAACCCGGTGATGAGGCTGAAGGTGAGGCACAGGCAAAGGGCACAGTCAAGGACAGGATACTCGGCTACATCGAGCAGGTCGAAAGCCAGGACATGATGGGCGAGGAATGGGAAGTGGTTGGTTTCGTCGAGCCAGGCAGCTTCAAGCCCCTCAGTGAGTTTGTCAGTGGACAGACAAAGGGAAGAGCCAGAGCAGAGGTTTTGGACATGGCTGTCATGAACGATGGCGACTAGTGCATTATTGGTGGAGAAGTGTAGTCTTTCTTTCTTCTGCTTTTATAGCGAACATACCCCAGGAGTTTGGTCTACATCAAAACTGCTTCAGCCTCATGTCGAATACATGGTTCCCTATAATGTATCTTGACGTGCTACAATCACCATATACATGTGTCGCGAAGCTTGTTGACATGTGCTGGACACTGCCTGGCCTCATCAAATCACTTTACAATAATCAATCTCATTGCAGAGGATAATGCCGGAGCGACAAAGAGCATTGTGTTTGTTAACGAGAAAGAAAAGGATTTTATTTTCTTCAACAGCACAATGTCATTGAGATTGGACCACAACAACAACCATAGTCTTGCGCCATATCCATGAAGAAAGCCGAGAGCAGACTGCTTTGGTATTTTTGATTCGGCTGTAAAACGCTGCACCACCACACGCCCCAATATCGTTCCGGGAAAATGTTGTAGAAAGCGAGTCGTTTACTTCTTCTTGCTGACACCGACGGTGCGACCACGACGGCCGGTGGTCTTGGAGTGCTGACCACGGACGCGGAGGCCCCAGTAGTGGCGGAGACCTCTGTGGGCACGGATCTTCTTCAGTCTCTCGAGGTCCTCACGGAGCTTGGAGTCGACACCGTTGGCGAGGACCTGGAAGTCCTTGCCGTCGACAATGTCGCGCTGTCTGTTGAGGAACCACGAGGGGATCTTGTACTGGGTGGGGTTCTGGATGATGGTGACGATGCGCTCGAGCTCTTCCGAGGTGAGTTCACCGGCGCTGTTTTGATGGTATTAGATGCCAGTGTCTTGGGATGTATGTCCAGAGGCCAAATGCGTACCGCTTGCTAAGGTCGACATCGGCCTTCTTGCAGACCAAGTTGGAGTAGCGGCGACCGACACCCTTGATCTTGGTCAGGGCGTACATGACCTTCTGCTTGCCATCAACCTGTAACACGTCATGTCAACACTGGTCTTTTCTGGTCGTCTGGCGATGCGTGCGAGTGCCTGTGGCTTTGCGTGGTTGGATGTAGAGGGAGGCAATTTTGGGTATTGGAGGGTGCGCAATATCGGGCGGATCGTGGGCATGCGTACGTTGGTGTTGAGCAGACGCAGAATGAACTGGAAGTTCGACTTTTCTCCGGAGACGAGCGACATCGTGGCGGTTGATGAGCGATGTTACTGTTGGCGGCGCGAATACAACCAAATCAGAGGTTTGCGGATGGATTTTGGCAAGTGCGAAGTGTGTGCCAAGCCCGAGCTAATCGCGCACAACTCTGTCTTGGCGTCTTCTCACTCCAGACTCGAGCTTCACTTTGAACATCATGGAGAACATGATGCGTGTTGACAATCGACACGGTCGTGCAATTTCTGGCCAAATGCTAAGTCCACTCAGATTTTACCAGCCCGAGAAGCCCAGTTCGAAGGCAACATGACCAATGAACCATGCACACAGAGTAATCGTCACTGCCCTTGACGGCGCGACATTGTGAGTTGCACCGCAGGATGTAAGAAATGATTGCAAACGAGTCAATTGTCTTGACTACGACTTGATTTCTGCTAGATCTTACCTTCGGATCTGCATCTCGACCCTCAAATGGTCGGATCATCAGCAACTAAGATACAAGAATGCCCGCTTCCTGCTTTCCAGATCCTCATGCTGTAGATCAAGCACTGCTCAAAGCTTTCCTAAACTAGACAGCCCATCATTGCATGGTGAACTTTGCAGGATGACAAGCTCCGAAATCTGCTCTGCCCGGTGCCTCCTTGCGAACGTAGACAGCGACACTCTTGTCGGCGCACCTGAAGATGCCATAGCCTCTGTCATCAATGGTGATTGCATCGCCACAATTACCAAGGATGTCGGTCCAGACCTGACCAGCTTTGGTAGGGCCAACGAACATGCTGTTCTTAGCAGCACCTCCGATGCTCATGATGACGACGCAGCCGTCAGCTCTGTCCCAAGTACCGTGACGGACCCAACCAATCGAAGTTCTGCTTTGAAGATAATCGGTTTGCTCGCCGTAAGCAAAGAGTTTGCGGCCAAGGACAAGAGCGGGCAGTTTGCCCTCACAGGCTGCTGATGAAGTGTGAGGTCCCTTGGTTCCGTAGAGATCACCCCAGAAGACACAAGGCAGACCTTCGCGGCGCAAGAGCATGATCGCGTAAGCCAGAGTCTTGAAGTAAGGCGCGATCGGGGTGTCCACGGCCTGACCTGGCTGGGTATCATGGCTGGTTACAAGGGTCTGTGTATGCTTGTTAGTACTTGTGCATGACCGATGATAGAGCAGCCACTTACCACCGCATTGCTGGGTCGGTGTTGGATCAAGGTGTTCTTAAAGACCTTTCTCAAGTCGACGTCAAGCTTGTTCTTTGCCATAGAGACCTTGGCAAAGTTGCTCAGCAGTGGGATGTCGTAAGCGTACACTCCGCTGTCCATTCTGTCCATCCACTGCAGGATCTTGTTCACATTGCTATTGTAGAACTCGCCCATGATGAACAGTTCACGATTCTGGCGCTTGGCCGCTTCCTTTGCAATGCGGATCCATCCTCGAGTGAACATCCAGCTGATGTGAGGTACAGCATCCAATCTGAAGCCATCCACGCCAACTTCGCTTACCATCCACTCGCCCCATTTTTGCACATCCTCTCTGACTTCAGCGTTCGAGTAGTCGATGTTGGAGAACATGAGATAATCATTGTTGCCATTGGAATCATCGACATCGGTCGCCCAATCCTTCTTGCGCCAGTTTGGGTCAACGGCTGCTCCAGGACGAGGAAGTGACTCTGGAGGATCGACGATTTTGTAAATGGCATTCTTCTGAGAGCGCTGGTCCCAGTCGGTGCCGCTGAAGTGTTGCCAGTGCCACTTTAGGCTGCTGTAGTGGTCTCCGCGGCCAGGGAAGTTGAAGTGGATCCAGGGTTCGATCTTCCTTGGTGCTGTCTGCTCAACTGTGCGATCTGTAAAGTCTTGATCAGTTTGATGCACAGAGTGACGAGGGCAAGGCCATGTGTACCTTGTCTGTCGACTTCGACAGCCCAACACTCCTCCTTGGCGTCTCCGGCTGTCTTGTGGTTCAGCACAGTATCCCAGATGATCAGGACATCCGAGCTCTTGGCCTTTGCGATCAACTCGTCCAGCTCTTCTCTAGATCCCCACTTGGTTGCACGAGTCCATTTCTGATCGAATTCGCCGAGATCCCAGAGGTCGTAGCAGTCGTAGCCGTTGCCGTGTGGATCGTTGGCCTTGCAGCCTGGTGGAAGCCAGAATGCAGTGATGCCGACGTCAGAAAGGGTTGAGACTGTGTTTGCGAGACGGCTCCAATGTCCGCCAGGTGTGTGCCATTCGAATGCTTGCAACAGTGTTGAGTTCTGAGGTGTCGGTCTGTTCGTCTCACTTGCTGCTTTGACAGCTGGTGCTGTTGCTGTTTCGTTGGTCGGTGCTACGTCATGGGTTAACTTTTTTCTACCACCAAAAGTCGCTTCGAGAGATCGCGCGACTTACACTTTGTGCGACCGTCAAGGAAGCCTTCGAACCTTTGTGCTTTACTGCGCAGCCACGAAGCCATGGTTGATTGTGTGTTGATGAACTGTATCGGAGATGAGTTTCAAAAGACCTTGCAAGTTGTTGTGCCGGAGTGCGTACGGACCAGGGCCACTTATTTATGTTTGCTGGGCTCGAGTCATTGATGCCTTGATTTCACTTGTAGCACTTCTCACCCTTCAGTCATACATCGAGTGAGGCTGCCATATTAGAGATGTGATAGATGGCTCTGAGGAGTAAATTGCTTTGAGAAGCCCCAAGTGAGACTGAACAAGCCAAACACTCAATCAAGTAAGACTTATAGAGGTGAACAACACGCTACACACTGAAGGAGCTTGCGTGATCCTGTACTAACTACTGGTATAAAGAACAAGAGTAAAAGCATTTGCATCGCGGGTGGGATATCAAGTCTGGAAAAAAAAAAACCGCAATGGTTGATGTGAAAGGAAAATACAGCCACCGATCGTTACTACTCGAACCAGGGATTGGAAACAGTCGCTCAGTATCGTAGCTTGCCCACAAGACCAAAGGTGTATGCACATTCACGTTCCTGGCTGTAGTCAGTACTCAGAGCTTCAATTTATCACGATCAGGTAACTCACTGTCTTGTGCTGAATCATGTAGGTGTCTGCTTTTGAAGCAAGGACTCCGCCTGAGGTGACTGGACCGGTTCTATCTTCCCAGACACTGACTGCAATACCTGTTCTGGCGACTCTTTCAAAGCAACTCTCACCCAGAGTGACGTCCAGCAGTGTTTCACCTCTAGTCTTTCCACTGATCAGGATACGTTTCTCCAGACCAATTGTCCGTGGGCTCGCAGGGATTCCAGGGGATGGCCGCGGAGGAAGTAATATCGACAGTCGTGCTGAACCCATATCTCTCCATTTATTCTGTGACTCTCGTATGTACAATCGAATTTTGGCATTTGTAATCCCAAGCGGTGTCCCTAATGATGAGTCGTAAACGAGTGGGGTCGAAGCCCCAGACGAGAGTGACTCGCTTGTACCACTTCGACTGCCTTGACGAGATGTAATAGTACTCTTAGCAATGTTGAAGAGTCGGCTATTGCCATTGAACCTGCGCAGCGCAGAGAACGCGGAGTTCGTTGTACCGACAGAAGAGTCAGTTATCTCAGAGGGTGCCCGAGAGGTCTTGGATCGGTACGTGTTACTTCTGCGGAGCGGATTGTGGAACCAAGAGCCATTCACGGACCTCTGATTATTGTTCTGGTTCATGGCTGCAGACCATGTACTTTCAGTGACTGGACCTCTGGCATTCTGCAGTGCAATATATGTTGGGTTGTTGATCCGAGCAGTATTAATGAATGAGTACAGCATGTCGCACTCTTCAGCGCTTCGAGAGCGGAACATGACGTTGTTACTGGCACGAATCAAGGAGCTAGCCGTGGGAGGTGATCTGATGGAAATGTCAAGCGCTGTGCCCCGACGCAAGGGAACAAGAGGAGTGACTTCGAACGCTATCAAAGGCTGTACACCCCTGGCGGAAGGACTTGTCACATCGCTCCCATCTGGTATGGCTTCATGCAGGTCAAAAGCTTCAATAAGCCCCGGTGTGATCACAACGACGCATTCACTCGGGTGCAGAAGCTCCCATGCGCCTCGGTCTGACCATGAGTATATTGACGCAACAGTTTTTGAAGCATTTGTCGCTTGCAAAGGAACAGTCCGATATGGGGCTTGAGAGGCAGAGTTCGACGGACCAAGTGTAGTGGTAGGTAGGGAAGCAACCGATGCCGGCGGGTTGGCTTCTCCAAATTTGTCAACAAGAGGCAGATCGAGCGGTACCATTACTTCTGCCCCTTCGACGGCGTCTTCGGAGGAACCAGACGTGATGGACTCGTCATCATCTTCAGAGTAGGACAGCTCACTCTCTGTAGAAGACTCGCTTGTGATGGACGGTTCGTATTCATGTTTGAGAGGGGACGAGGACCGGCGATGTCTCTTCAAGAAGTTCGGCGTGAAAGATGGTATACTGAATCTTTTCGACTTCGGGGGCGGCAAGTCCTTGTCTTTGCTGGAAGCGTCGCCGAGTATATCATCGAAGCTGACACCCTTGACACTTGGCCGACGCTTCTGCAATTTAGCAGGGCCCGATGAGGGTTCTACTGATTCCCCAAGGCGAGTCCGATCTGGATAATCAAAGAATTCAGGAGGATGAATTGGTGAGTTTGGCTCGCTCTTGTGTCGCGACTTCGGAGCATGAGCACACTCGGCCACGGGTACTGATGATACTCTTCGGTGAGGCTGCGAGCGAGGCCTGTTTGCCGTGTCCGTGTGGCTGCCATCCTCTTCCTCTTCAGACTCGTCAGATGCAATCGTGGACGGAGGCATCCAAACACTATATTCTTTTCTCGACTGAGACAGTGTGGATTGACTCGAGTATGAGCTCAGAGTGGTGCCAGTTTCCGACCTTGACATGTGATAAGTAGGACGTTCTGGACGAGCCCTCGTTTCCTTCTCCCCAGAGAACTGCAAAGAAGAGCGAGATGAGCTAGGCGACATAGGCGGTGATGATCTCTGACGCGTCGCCCTCGATCTTCGAAGTGCCGGCGTATCTCCTGGAGACGTTTCTGTTCGCGACGTAGTTCCGATAGCCTCTTGCAATGGCAGACTGGGCAGAGCGAGATCATTCTGAATTTCTTTGAGCGTTAATGGGACAGACTTCCGCAGCAACCTGCTATCCGGCAGGGATTGTCTACCACTCTCAAGGTTCGCCACGAGCTTCTCTTGCCCGCTACGTTCCGAACCCCAGCTCCTAGACGAGCTAGGTCTTTCTCCGATAGGAATCTCGATCTGTCTAGTCCACTCAGCTCCTCGACTTGTAGGACTGACGGGCGATGGGACCTCTTGCGAATCTCGGCGGGATGGGGCCTGGGATTTGGCGAGGAAGCTGGATTGTCTTGCCAGAGATGGTGGAACGGGACTGAGTCCGAGCATCTCTACCCACTCTGGTCCAGTAGATTCATCACTAGCACGCAATGACAGGAGCTCATGCCATTCTCTATTGTTAGCGTGTCGACCCCGAGCCATCATGACTATATCTCCTGGACTGTTGCCAGCTCTTGCGGAGACAGAATCTTTACTGAGAGGTGGAAACAGCAACCAGCGACCTGTGTCCGATACCTCGCAGACGAGAATGTCACCCCCATTTCCTCGACCAGGACAATCATCGCGGATCACAAGCTCAATCCTGCAATCCAACTGTTGCCCGCTGGAATGGATTATGTTCATGTCGAAGTAGTCTCTGGCATGAACACAACGTGTCGCATCGATACTGACTCCTTTGAGCAGAGCCAGACTTCGAAGATCTCTGGCACGGGTAGGGTCGATGGCCGCAGCAGCCTCGTCCTCCAACCGAGCCCGTTCTTCGTTAGATCTTCTGCGAGCCTCGGTGACCAACTCCTGATATTTGTCGGCCAAAACACATGCCGTGGCTGACGGAGCGAGGTGATTGATGCCCTGATCTGTCAGCAGTGCATCTCGGGAAATTTGTGGAACTACATTTGACATACCTTGAATGTTTTGGCGAGATACTTCAGGCGGACCAGGGGTCTCTTGAGCAAGAAAGCTACGTCGACTCTCTCTCCGTCACCATTGATCAAGTCACCGTCCTCATTCCTTAGCAAACCGTCATCCCATCTGGCACTGGTGTCGGCATCTGCGGGTGCAAGGTTCACCACGACATCCTGGAAACCCATCCTCCATGCTTTCAGGTAATCATGGTAGATTCGAGTAGCTCCTTGAGCCCATGATATTAGTGCGCTGTTATCGCACTTGGGAACTCGGCGATGGTGTGCTTTCAAGCGTTCTAGTGCAACGCCCATGTCGACGATAGGTTTGGTGACAGCCGCATCATCGGAAGCAGAACGTCCAAACAGACCAGCAGCGATCGCCGAGTCTGACTTGGAAAGTACACATGACAGCAGTACTGGAATGACCCCATCCACTAAAGTGCGGAGTTCTCGTTGGTATTTGATTTCGTCCGCAGTGAACTCGTCCCAAAGATCTTGGAGGGTCGCCTTCTCAAGTCTCGTCCGGTTGGTCTGGATCCTGCGTGCTGAAACAATGCTCTTAGCGTCAGCCATAGGTAATGACAACACAGATATGAGGTCCTCATGACGGGTCAACCTTCGCTTGAGCCCACTGGCGCCACCCTGAGATCCTGTGCGTTCGGGCACGATCGTCTCTTGCTCAGAAATCTCAGAAGAGGCCACAGACTCTTGTAGTGTTTCTGCCGAAGCGATGGTTGATAGTCTTTTTCCCGTAGTGGGAAATCGCCTTCGGAGGTTCGCTCCTGGCGCATGTTTGCTGGTCTGCACATCGGGAAGTTGTATATCAGATGGTACAGAGGATGTAGCATAAGAGGAGGTATCGTCGTCGAAAGTTGAAGGCACAGACTCGGGAATGGTTCGTAGCGCCTCTTTTGACTTCGGACTCGCAGTTGAAGGTTGCGACTTGACGTGGCCGTTTGGAATGTCTGCATTATTGTAGACTTTTGGAGTAGAGCCAATCCGTTGACCCGCTGAGTCTACGTTTAATGGTTGCTGAGGTTGATCTTTAGAGGCTGGGATTCTTTTATGCCCCTTTTCTTGTTGTAAAGCTTCACCAGCAACGAAAGGATCGGGAGTTCCTCCAAGCCATGCCTCAATTCGGTTTCCGTACGCAGGTGCTGCGGCAGGAATTGCATCTGACGGCAACACACCATTGGTTTCCGGTACTCTAGAACGTCCAGCCGTCGGGTCTTTTCTGGTTTCTTGTGCAGTCGAAGGCGCTCCTCGTGACTTTCGGGCATGAGCATTCCGAGCACTGATACTGTCATCTGGATCCAGGGTCTGTGCGATTGATATGTTCTCCGTTCCTGCCTCGGAGGCTGCTGGCGAAACGTGGCGTCGACGTAGCCTACGCCTCCGATCTGAATTGTCGCGACTCACTTCCCTAGGGCTCCTCGTGTCTTTTTCTCGTGTGCGCTCCCCTGCGCTTGTTGATTCCAGCCTATGTTCTGAAGCACGCTGTCTCAAGCTTCCAGAGCTGCCGCGTTGACCACCTTCGATCTTGGACGTACGCTGTTTGTACTGCGCTCTTGAGCTCTCTTCTATGGGTGTTATGCGTATACCGTCGTCTTCTGCCATGGGTCTGACTCTGATGCCGTCATCGTCTTGTTTCGATTTTGAAGGCTCCTCACTCTTGTATACAGTAGTCCTCTTGATCGTGTATGGCTTTGGATCGATATTTGGTGGATTCTCAGGTGTCTTTGTAGGCGAGCGGTCTTTGCGCCAGTGAGCATCACTGACCACGCGCTTCAAGGGTGCTCCAGCATGTTTGACATCTGGATTCAAGTCGTTGCGGGGAATGTTTTTCTTGCGCACCCATGCTTGTCGATCTGGGTCGGGTTCTCTAGGGGTCTTTGGCGATTTGGTTGGAGATGACTGACTGCTCCTCTTGTCTGCATCGGTTCGAGATTTATCCGGCGAGCTCTTGTTTGGCCTTTTTGCGCGTCTTGTGTCGTCTGCATCGTGCTCGTACTCGACGGTTACCACATTCTCATCCTCTTTCGCAACGACTGCTCCAGCACTGTCAGCTTGCCATCTTTGCACCCTTTGGCGAATCTTATCAGTGTCGTAGAGGCCGGTCTGCTTGCCGGTGTCACGGTCGCCTTTTTTCATGTGTGGTTGCTCGCGGCGAGAAGATGCTGTGGTGTTGGGAGTAGTTCTGAATATACGCTAGATATGTTGCGACTGGAAAGCGACAATCGAAGACAGGGTACATCGAGGGTGGTGTTGGTCTGTTACGAGATTGAGGAATTGACGTGGCAGGATGAGAAGTGACAAAGACAGTACCGCACAGAACAGGGCGCGAGCATCTGCTTGGAACGGGATATACGTTTGGGCTGGCAGGATACAGCTACCAATGCACGTCAGTGTCCACCGCAGAGCCGTTGTTGTCGATATGTGCCTTACGGTTGAAACGGCGAAGGTGGAGAGAACTGGACCCTGGTTGCATGTGTCAACAGTGGGGAACAGTTCTTTCACAGCTCAGATTCGACCGCGGAGTTGACGGTAGAGCTCATTGCTCGAGCAGAGTTCGGACAGGCGCATGGGCGACAGCGAGGACGAGGACACAAACCAGGCTTTGTGTGTTTACAGTCGGAAGGTGCAACCAGCCATTTCCCGCGCATCAGGATCCGCTCGATCCCCAGCCCGTCGCAAACAATGCCGCACTCCACCCACACTTCTTATCTTCTCTACCGCACTGCCCGAAATCCTAGAAGTCTCTCGACCTGCACATCATCGCACTTCCACCAATCTATGGGCAGCTGCCAACCCGGAGGTGTCTGACTGACAACCCGGCCTCCATGTCCATGAATTACTGGTGTTAATGTTTTCCGCTCGACGAAGTCCGTGCACATCTAGATAATGGAGCAATGCTCCGTTGCTTGATTATATTATGGCTGCGCATTAGCGCCTTCTCTACCGATGGATTACCTCACGCTCTCTAGGATCGCCTAGATGTTCTTCTTCGACGTCTTGAGCTCCTGAACTTGTCGAATCGCATCCGCGCTAGCCTTTACGCTGTTATACAACAACACTGGGCAGGGTCAGCAACTCCCGAGCGCTTCGATCGACCAAATTGCTTACCTGCAGGTATCACGATCCAGAAGAAGTTCGCTCCGAAATAGTATCCCCAGAAGTAGTAAGATTCCGGTCTTGAATACTCGATACCCAGGTAAAAGTGATCGGCCATGCTGGTAGCATAATACAAAAGATCACCATAACACTGCCCAAGGCTCACTGCTGCTTGCAGTGGATGCCTCAGCGGGTTCTCGGTCGCAATCATTACAGCGACTACAAAGCTCAGTGGGCCCCAAAGAATCTGTTGCATTCGAGTAAGCTTTGGAAGTAAGAGACGCGGGAGATATGTCACTTACAGCGGTCATGGCTTCAACACAGAAGACGAAGATGTTTCCTGTAAGATATCTTGAATCTGAGAGCGCATACTCTTTCCAGAGCTGTCCAAGGAACGTCTGCAGCCCGCCCATGTTTGCATGGTTGTATGCAAAATACCCTTTTGAAAATTCAGCTTCAACTCTGCTGTTCTCGCCCAACACCACTTTCTTACCTTCGAAGAACAAGTGTATACACCCACAAAGAGCGAACCACATGACTGTGATGAGTTCGCTGGCAGGCAACCTTGGGTTTATTCTCTTCACAGCCAGAAGTGTTAGACCAAAGATCGCAGCACAGCCAGCAATAAAGGAGCCGAAAAGGGAGAGCACGGTAGAGTCGTTGGCCACATAACCGACAATGTTGGCATCCAATGGGTAGTAGGGATGCTTGACGTTTTCGTAGCTAGTCGTGTTGTTCATCATAGCTTGAAACGGCAAGGCCATCGTAAAGTCTTCAGAGATCGCCATTTCGTCCACACAATGTTGTCGAACAAGCAGCAAACGAAAGAGGCTAGGAACAAAGATTAAGAAAGAGGATCAGGCATGAAAACAAGAACGTCGGACAACTCGGAACGTAATCGTCGGTCAACACGCAACATGCGAAACACACAATCCAAATAAATATCTCGAACATGATGACGATACCAAACCTCGACCATTTTCACGCTATGACTCAAGATCAACCAATCGGAAAGCCAGGGAAGTCGCTCGGCCCGCGAACTTGTCTTGAAGATCGATCAACTTGCTTCGGCAGAGTTGGATACAAATGCATCATGATCAGATCATGGGAATCGTCGAATACCCTTGTTCTGTGTCACGGAAATAAATGTTGCTCGTGGGACTGGCGTGGGATCAAGCTTTCAAAGGTCATGCATGTCCTTGGTGTCTCGGCACTTTTGTCTGTTGGTCATGCTACTCCCTGGCCAAGCCGACGACTCGGTACATGATTCATGTGAGGATTCAGGACTTGTTACGGAGAGATACTCCGCCCGAACGCGGCAAAGGACCAGATTGAAGCAGTGGTAAGAGCAATGACGCAGGCAATCAAGTGATAGTACCCGGCCACTCCACGCGCGATGAACCAAGGACGCGAAGGGGACTTCAGGGTCGATCGTGACTGCCGGCAATCGTGCACAAAGACTTATTAGGATCCCCAACAGAGTCGGGCCAAGGGGATAGATGTACAGAGGATATACATAGAAAGGAAAGTATCCAACAATCAAACCGCACTGTATCCACCACGACTGCTGCTGCGTCCTTGGATCATACCAACAATCGAGCGACCCCAATCCTTGACGGTGTACGGTAAATCGCGCCAGAAGTCGGCGTGCGGTACTGAGTCGAAGCCCTGCGAGCCGTACTTGCTGCTGTTGAGCCATGTGCCGAAGATTAGATATGCTGCTGCTCCCAAGAAGGCACTGCGACCAATATTAGCAAAGGCACGATCATGGGCAAAGCCAGGAGAGACGTTACATGATAAGGAACCAAGTGAAGAAGCCCCAGTGGCTGCTCGAGTTGTTGCCAGAGGATGGCTTGTGTTCGGTCATGCCTTCACAAGCGTATTTTGTCTTCCATTCCAGACGCAAGACATCGAACTCGGCATCACCCTGGCCCTCTGGTCGGTAGCTAATAAGCTTCAGGCTGGCATCTTCGACAGGTTCTTCCTTGTCGTCCTTCTTATCATCAGGCTCGGCGCGAGTTGCTAGTCGTGCAGCCAGTTGCTCCTCGTCAAGCTTGTCGCGCGTATCATGCTCAGAGCCTTCCAATCCAGTCCTGTTACGATCGCATTGGAACTCGATAATGGCCTTCTGCTGGCGACCGCTAGATTTCTCGAAGGGGTATTTTCCGCCATGCAGTTCGACCCTCAAGCCTTCCTTATTGGCATCGTCGTGTGAGGCAGAGTTCTTCAGGCGGGTCCACTCGGGATCCAGGAATCTACCGTGAGATCCGGCGTACTGGCCGGCGATAGGGATGACTCGCCTGATGGTGCTGGAGTTGTCGGCGAGATTATAGTCGTACTCGATGCCGCAGACTACAAGTTGTGAGCAAGTGGCACGACCAGAGGCTGGACCAAGACTAGATACCATATGTGCCAGTTTGACATTCGTTGTCTTTGGGGACGTTTTTGGTCCTCTTGAGAGGATTACAGATATCAACGGTGAAGGTGGTGTTGGAGAGACTCGGGGGGTTCTCTTCGAGGAGATGAACAGCACGAGGGCCGGCCAGCTCTGAGAGATCAAAATGTTGACCTTTCACTACGACGTTCTTGCAGTCAAGGGAAACAGCTGTGGCCGCAGTCGCAGAGAAGACGAGTAGAGCGGGTAACGACCCGAGCATGCCTTGTGCCCACATGGCTTCGAGGAGCTTCCGGATCAAATACGTAGAGAGAGGGCGAGGTGATTCGAGTGTAGCGAGAGCGAGCAGAAGCACAGAGAGAGAGGGAGAGAGGAAGGCGCAAAAGACGCAATAGTGCAAGGAGGAACGCGAGAGGGCGATCAGACAGGCAATCAATCATAGCGCCAAGCAACGACCGCATTCTGACTTGTACCTCTATACTGCCCGCCGTGGCCCGTCGCTCTCTGCTGCCACGACACATACACATCAACTTGTCCACACCAATAATGTCTCGCCATGCCCGTATCGAAGAGGTGTCCGACAGCGACTCGGACCCGTCCGAGATGGATCCCTCGGATTTCGACCCTGGTCTCCTGAACTCCATCATCCAGCCCGCCAACATCCCCTCCACCGCGCCTGAATACCCGCAACAGCAGCAACCTGTTCTGCAGCCCCACTTCCCTGGCCGCCCACCACCAGACCAGAATGCCGAACGCGAGCGTACCAAGCACTACCAATGTCTCTACCCCATCTACTTCGACTCATCTCGCTCTCGCGCCGAAGGTAGACGAGTAGGCAAGAACGAGGCCGTCGCAAACCCTCTGGCCCAAGACATTGCCAATGCCTGTTCGCAGCTGCCTGTTGCCGGCCAGGTCGTCTTCGAGCCTGCAAAGACTCATCCCAAGGACTGGGCTAATCCCGGACGTGTGCGCGTTTTGATCAAAGAAGACGGCAAGCCTGCAGGAAAAGGCTCAATCAAGAACAGTACGCCAGCTGGCATCAATCGCTGAGACTTGAATTCTAACTCTACACAGAGCACCAGCTGTACAAGTTGGTCGCCGACTACCTACGAGCACACCCTACTACCGAGGATTCGCCTATGCGCATGCGCATTGCTGGTCTGCCACCACCGACCAAGCCTATCCCACCGCCAGCAGCACCTAAAGGTTGGAAAATGGGTACGATATTACCATTACACTCACCCGCTCTGAGCGGTGGAGGCGTTAACGAAAACTACTTTAAGGATATGATGCAGGAAATGCAGGGTATGCAGGGTCAGCCTGGTATGCCCTCTCTGCCAGCAGGCTTAGAAGGCATGTTTGGTGGTGGTGGTGGTCCCTCTGCGCCTGAGCCACCAGCTTCCAAGAAAAAGGACAAGAAGAAATCCAAAGCCTAAACGCCTGTCTTTACCCCCGAATGTCCAACCGCCGTCCGTCCGTCGAATATACATAACTCCTGGCATGAACGCTCGACATTGACATTTACGTCGTCTTGATGATTTTGGGCGGGGTCATGGGTAGTTCGGTCTTGAACACCCAGTCCCAGAAACGACTGGTGACACCGAACCCGTTCTCGTAATCGGCAAAGTGGTGTGCCAAGTGGTACTTCTTCAGCTCGCGCCAGTAAGCAGGAAGGCTGGGATACGTTAGCTGGGAGTCTTCACCCGTGATATAAGAAAAACGCGACTTACGTCTTGTGGTGTAAGAAGTAATGAGTCAGATCGTAGCAAATGTATCCAAAGATACCACCACAGAAGACTGCAGTGGCAGCGTTCCAATCATAGAAGAAAACGGCGTGAGCGAGATGCCAGAAAGGCGTGGCAAGAGCCAGGAACAAGGTTGGAGGCATAACCAGACGCAGCCTGTCCATCGGCAGGTAGTGGTGAATACCGTGGAGGAGAAAATGCAGGGTGAGGGCAGCACGGTTGTCGGGTAGATACTGGTCCAGATGAAACAGGAAGCGATGCAAAACGTACTCGACCAAAGTCCAGATACAGAGGCCGGTAATCCAGTAAGAAGTGAGGCCGACGGTAGAAAGACCCTGACCTGAGAGCCAGGTGCCGTACGCAACCGGAGGAAGCCAGACAGTAGGCACGACCCACCAGGGAGTTTTGCTCAGAGGTTCAAGGAAGTTTCCAAACAGAGGCGCGCTGTCTCCACCCTTGTAGTGGCGAGGGCGATGCACTTGTTCGAGATAGAATTCTTTGGTGAAGCCACCCCTCCATACCTGCATCAGCAGAGGCTTGTTCAGGTCGAGGAACTTGTGAGTGCGGTAATCAGAGCTAGCGTCCGTCTCTCTGGACAAGTCTTCCTCGCAAGACATTCCAGTGTTCTCGTAAAGTGGCTGGTTGGGGCCATCTTTGCGCAGCTCCGCGGCACCGGCCTCTGAAGGCGGCAGGGGTACGATATCGGCTGGGTGGGTAGTGTCGGTAACGGCCTTCATGACGGACTCGGTAGCGACGAAGCCAACGAGATAGTCGTCGAGGATCTCCCAAGCAGATTCCGAGTGGAAGTGGGAAGCCGTGTCGTCCATAATGTCCTTTACATCCTTGCCGCCATAGTCGATAATCAGGTCACCACCACCAGGGTGATCCTCGAGGAAGGGAGTGATATCGTAGACCTTTGTGCCGACGGTGACATAGCAGCATTTGGCAGTGTTGTGCGAGGCGACGTCGGCTTGAGGGATGGTGGGCAATGTTCTACCAGGCATACTGTCGCAAAAAGTCGTTCAGGTGGAAGCCGGAGAGCGGCGGAGAAGTCGGATGTAAACAAAGGCGAAAGGGCAGGCAGGCGGGCAGGCAGGGAGGCAGATGTTATGTCGGTATATCAATTGGCAGTGGGAAGTCGAAAACAAGAAACAGGGCGGATGCAGGCAAATATAACAGTCTCCTGAAAATGCAAACGTAGGCAACGGAGATGGGAAAGCGACTGAGGTGATGGGTGGCGTGCCTCTCAAGCAAGCAAGCAGCCCTTTCAGGGAAATTTGGACGGCGCAAACCCGCCACATGCCGGAGAGTCTCGCCGCTCCGGCTGCTCCGCCAGCACCTTCATCTATCTCCCGTCCTTCGACCCTCACGACTCCATCTGTCACTCGAGACTCTCATGGCCTGTCAACAGTTCGTAACAGACACTCAAGCTTATAGTGAAGTGTACTGTATCAAGCGTTCGCATCGTTGCGCAAGCGAAAGCTGTTTGTGCGGCCCTTTCTTGCACACGTATCTAGGCTGCTGCAGGCAAAGGCAAATCGACTCTGCCAAGCACGCGCGACTTCGCTGGTCGCGATTGAATTTGCCGGCCTCCTTGGACTCTTCTCTTTCCTCCACCACCACCACCACCACGTGAAATCTCCTTCTTGATCTCGACACTGTGTGTATCCACCTCGTCATAACTCGCATCCATCTGGCTCGGCTCCATCTCCGCTCAGCGTGTCACCTGCCTTCGTCAACCTACGCCCAAGTCAGCGCAAGCCTCTGCTTTTCGTAGTCATCTCACCAACCAGACATCATGGGTACCCTAGACATCTCGGTTGAAGAACTTCTCGAGTCCGCACAGAGAGATGCCTCTGCTCAAGAAGCACACACTACCACTACCAACAAGGAAGATGACGGTGCTCGCTCTCGCCGCGGCACTACCGCCGATGTCGACATGAAGGACTCAGACAATCTCTCTGCTAACGGAAGCACTCGTAGTAGACGCAGAGATCGCAGTGCCGACCGCTCATCGCGTCGCCCTGATTCGCGCGAACGTCGCGAACGCTACCGCTCGAGTGGCGGTGATTTTTACCGCGGAAATGGCCGTAACAGAACTAGATCCCCTTCAGACGACGACAGATACTACCGCCCTTCGGATCGCTCGCGCAGAGAAGATGACCGACCTCGCCGTCGTGACAGAGAACGTGGTGACCGTCGTTCCCCCCGTCGCGACCGCGGCGACTCATACCGTGGCGGACGTGCTGCTCGTGATAGATCTCCTCCACGCCAAAGGACCCCCGAACCCACCGACGATGAGCGCGATCGTCGCACAGTCTTCGTACAACAACTCGCTGCTCGACTACGTACCAAGGAACTCGAGGCTTTCTTCGCCCAGATAGGTCCCGTCAAGGAAGCCCAAATCGTCAAAGATCGCGTCAGTGGCCGCAGCAAGGGCGTCGGCTACGTTGAATTCAAAGAGGAAGAATCGGTTCAGAAGGCACTCGGCTTGACTGGTCAGAAGCTTCTTGGTATTCCCGTCATTGTACAACTCACAGAAGCTGAAAAGAATCGTCAGGCTCGTGTAGCAACTGGCCAGCCCACACAATCTAACGGAATACCGTTTCACAGGCTTTATGTTGGTAACATCCATTTTTCTGTCACCGAGGAAGACCTCCGCGACGTTTTCTCGCCATTCGGTGAGCTCGAGTTCGTCCAACTGCAAAAGGAGGAAAACGGTCGCAGCAAGGGTTACGGTTTTGTGCAGTAAGTTGTTTTGAGCATTTCATCTTCCTCCTTGCCCGTACTGATCTGTCCTAGATACGTTGATCCTGCTCACGCGAAGGCAGCACTCGCCGACATGAACGGCTTCGAAATCGCTGGCCGTCCCATCCGTGTCGGCCTCGGCAGCGACAAATTCACCCCCGAATCGACCGCCAGTTTGTTGCAACGATTCGGTAGCCAGAACCAGGCTGCTCAGTTCCAAGGCTCGTCCTTTTCTGGCGCCGGAGGCCGTGGTGCCCATGCTGGCGGTAATAACAACTTCGATCGCGCCGGTGCTCGCGAAGAGAAGGGTACCGGTGGTGCTAGTGCTCTTGATGATGCAGATGTTGGAGGCGTCAACTTTAACAACTTCAGCAGAGACTCCCTCATGCGCAAGTTGGCTCGTACTGAAGATCCTGCCCCACAGACTCAGGCCACTTCTTCTCGCCCCCGTGCTGACACCAAAAAGACTGCTATGCATACTCCTGCTCCTAGCCGTTGTATTGTGGTCAAGAATGCCTACGACGAAGCCACGTGAGTTTCTTCCTTCCCGTACTTACCTGAAACAATGCTAACATTCCGCTAGCCAAACCGATCCTCATTGGGCCAAGGACCTCGAAGAGGACTTCAAAGAAGAGTGCAGCTCCAAATACGGCAAAGTCGTCCACATCGGCGTTTTCCGCGATAGTTCTGACGGCGAGATCTATGTCAAGTTTGCCGATCTTGCTGGAGGCGACAGCGCCCTTAAGGGCCTCAACGGCAGGTACTTCGATGGCCGCACGCTGACGGCTACGCCAGTTGTCGATGCTGTGTACAACATGAACTTTCCCAAGGCTGCCAATCTTTGAACACGGACGAGCGTCAACAAAACCCACGAACCATAACGAGTGCTGACACTGCAGATTGCATGTTTCTAAACTTGGACCTATCCTGGAATTCCGTTGGCAACACAAAGGTATAAAGACAATACAGATGCTTCTAGCGGGCTTGCGCTACTGAACTGATCGCATTGCGATATTTATTGTGTTAGTCCGAAACAAGCGTCCCAACTCTCAAGATATCTACGCATTGTTGTCAAGAGAAAGACGAAGGTGCGCGGGTTCTAGTCTGAAAGGCGTGATCGCAGCTAAGAATGTGTTTGATCGATAACTGAATAGCAATGCAAATTTTGTTCCTCTCATGTACTCCGTACGCTTATCTACTTCGCCTTGCCTTGCCACGGACCAGGGTTGCCCCAAGGATCTCTTGAAAATAACAAGTGGTGGAACAAGCCATGAGACCGAGTAACGGGTCTACATTGGGAACCTGTTCAAGGACAGCTGAGGCTACCACGGGTCAACGAACATGACCACTTCTCTTGAAACTCACGTGTAGCCGTGCAGGTGCGTGTTTGGATTGCTTCACAAGTTGATGCATGGATATCTGTTCATACCCGCCCCAATGGTTTCATAACCTTGGACGACTATATGACCTATGTCCGATTTGTAAAGTGAGTTTCTGTCGAATGACACAACCTCCCCCTTCAAAGCTGCGGCGTTTCTCGTAACATCATCTCTTTCCTCTTGCTCCCAGACCATTCTATCGGACATTTATGCCTCAAACTATCTGTTCCCTTTTGCATTTACTGTCATCTTCTCTGCCCTTTTTTTCCAGAGAGCACCGATATTCCTGTCACCAGTTTCAAGCCTCGCCAAGTAAGGCACTTGGACGAGTCCGTCCTTGAAGCGCTCTGCGGTGGATTGTTGAGTCCTAGGGGTTCGATTGGGCCATTGTACAGCGTTTTTGGGTGGACTGGGCGATCCGTCGTTGCTGTATGCACGACGTCGTTCGAAGAGGCGAAACGGCAAGTCCGGAGGCAATTGTCTATCATGGACTGGCGAAGGAGAGGAGCTGCCGTCAAGGAAGGGATTGGTGACAAATTCGGAATATAGAGATGCTGGTGAGTTCGGCAAGAGTGTGTTGATTGTCGTCGAAGGAAGTGTTTCCGATGAGGTTGTTCTAGTGGGATTATGACCTGTTGGACCGGTGGCTTCCTTCTGAAACATTCTGCTGGTGGAGCTTGAGTTCAAAACTATGTTTCCGTTTGACCAGCCATCCTGTGGAACTGGCGCTTGGTGGCTGTTTTGTGTTGGCAGAATGGGAGCAGGAGAATAAGCGCGAGATACCGGATATCCAGGAATTGGACGACGTGACTCATCAGAATTGTGAGCAGAAAAGTATTGTTCAGGCGAGTGCAGATCAGCAGGCGGTGGGTAGACCACAGGGAGTTCAGGAGAGTGTTGCTCGGCTGAGTAGCGCTTTGGCAAGGCAGGTGCTGATGAGTATGGCTGGAGTGGCAATTGTGGAGATGACCTCTGCGGGCTTGCAGTTGCTGCTCTCTGATGGTGGCGCCTACCATCTAGATCTGGTTCTTCCTGACATCTTGACTTTCTTGTCAGCTGCACGTTCGGCATACCGCCTAGCCCGAGACCTCTTTCTCCGTGCTCGCTTGTGGCTTCTGCACGCCAGCGTGCCCATTTCCTCGCCTCACGGAATCTCGTTCCCATCAACTCCATCTCGGAGAGCGCAGCGTCCACGCAATCGATATCGCCTTCCACAGTGTATCGTACCCATTCGCGGCAGAAGCACACGCGGGTACTCAGCATGTCGGACCTGCGCATCGAGCCTAGTAACAGTGCACCGAGTGCCATTGCAGTTTTCACATTGGCCCCCATTCTCGCTAGAACACAAGCGACGCACTCGTCCGCTTGATGGGCATATCTCGGAGAAGGCAGGCGACTGAACTTTTCCATAAAAGCAGATGGTGTAAGCCATAGTGATTGGAGTTCCTCCATAAGGGCCAAATGTTGAGTTTGTGAGGCTGATAGGCCACCAGCCAACGCGACGGGCTGCCAAATTTCCTGTGTTCTGACCTCGACTTCGTACCGTAAAGCTGCAAAGATGTCCTCCAGGGGCTTAGCATTGAGACGACGATGTATACTACACAGACCGTGGTTGGTAGACCAGGGTAAGAAGGAGGGCAGTGTAGTAGCTGCTCGGAGCCTGTGACTGAGTAGAGCGATGCGTTCGTTTGTGTGGCACACATAGGCTGTCCACACAGCTCCGTCTCGGGGCGTATCGACAGGTGGTGCATGGCAAAGGACTGAAGCCAGCTGGCTGACTTCATAGGGAAACAGGTCATCGTATCCTCTGGCACGGCGATGTATGGGCAACGTTGGTGGAGGTGCGTGTCGGCGACGAGGTTTCCATCCTCCTCGTTCATCAGACGCGGGCTTCCGAGCAACAGAGAGGTAGGATAACGACGAAGATGATGAGACCGCCGAAGGTGCTCTTTGCTGATTACGAACTTGGTGTTTCATGATTCCGGTGATAAAGTGATTTCGTTGTCGAGATGGTTGCTCATTAGTGGAATGTGCAGATTCACTTTCGGATAGCCGATTCGGAAGCGGCGTCATGGATCGTGTGCGAGTTTGTGTGCGATGATCATTAGAGGATCCGGATGACATGGACCGCTTTCGAGTCGTTGGTTGCGCCTCAGAAAAACAGCTTGCGATTCGTGTTTCGAAATTGAAGGCGATTGTTCCGAGTCGAATGCCCGAACTTCGGATAGGGTGCTGCAGATAGTCTATATATCAGCAAATTCGTATTGATATACTCGGGCACAAAGACACAGCCTATCCGCATGGTCTTTCTTTCGAGACCTGGGTAGAATCTTCTGACCCGGCAAATCTGACCTAGCATGTTCCACACAAGACACATGTCTTTCCGAGAACGATGCCATGTCTACCTGAGTCTTTTTCAGGGATTGTATGAAGAACAACTTGATGACCTTGCGTTTCGTTGGGTGAATCTCCGAGTCAAAATCAGGTCACAGCAATGATTAACTCTAGAACTCGCAACGTGTTGGATTTGCTGTCAACGATAGACGAGACAAGATATGACACGAACAGAAAAAAGAATGTTTCCATGCCCATAGGGCGCGACGATAGCATATGAGAAACCTATCTTGATACCAACGCCCATGCGTGAATCCAATGCACCGGTCAAGCTCCTGAGGAGACATTGAAATAATCTATTTAGATGTTTCGTGGAAAAAAACCTTTCGCCGATATCACCGGATGCAGAAAATCAATCAAGATATGATGTTCGAACAGACACTCGCTATTCGCAATGCTAGCAAAGATATGAAAATGCAGTCGAGGGTAACTCAAGCTTTTCTTGAAGAAGGAAATCGCTTCGGGGGTGCTTCTCAGCATTGCCACAGGAATTGCAGATGCGTGAGGCCGAAGATGCGTTATGGGAAGAACGTAATTTTGTGGCGTAAAGTGTCTCAGAGCCCGGGGACGGGCCATGCATTGAAATTCTGCATTGAACTTGATCGTACCGGATGTCCGTATGACACGGTAGTGGCGCTCGCGCAGAAAGAGCAAATATATGCATGTTGGGTAGGATCGAGACCGACACAACCAGAGTGGGAATACATGGCACAGGAGTTGCATCGGACCATCCTACCATCGTCGAAGGGAATTCGACAGATACATCGTGTCATGGAACTCATATCGTTCGTAAATGTTTGTGGGGGAGGTGCCGAAGTGAAAGCCACTGGCGCAAAATCCATCGTGAAGGACCCACGAGGATCAAAGACGGGTGCTGTTGATGTTGCTGTTGGGTAACTGATACTATGCGATTTCGCATGAGTATGAGGATAAGCTTGGTTGCTTGGAGGCAGCTGTTGCATCTGATGGACTTGTTGTACAAGCTGTGATTGCTGCGTCTGCTGTTGCAGTGCTTGAGAGGTCTGTATCTGCTGCACTTGATGTGTCTGTTGACCTTGTTGTGATTGGTGAGAGTGCTGAGGCTGTGACAGCTGGCGAGGCCGTGAAGCGCTCGAAGGAAGGGTGTCTGAGCGAGTGGGGCGGACAGGCTGGACTGTGGCATTGTCAGATGGGTTGCGGTCAGACAGATGCTGAATCTGCCTAGCGGATGGGGAAACACGATGGGCAGCAGCCTGGCGAAGCGCAGAACCGGCATCTGTCTTTGTGTGCATCTCGTCCTTGTTCAGGTCCATGGCGGCCAAATTCTCGAAAGAGCTGTTCAACGAGGACAGCGTATTACGTCTACTCTGTACACTTGAAGGTCTTTGTTGTTTCTTGGCACTACCCTGACGTCTGAGTTGTATCGCGGCTGTATAAGCAGCTTTGCACGGGGTCTTTAACGAGACAGTCGAGTTAGAGCGCGGCAGTTGTGCCATCTCGAGGTTCTCCGACGACGTGTCGAGCCTTGCTATCTTTGCCGATCGCTCCTGACCGGCATTGATATGGGCCAGGGAGTCGTGGCGGCTCGGCCATTTGTTGCCGCATGTCGAGTCCGAGTCACTATCGGAATCGTCCCAGAGATTTGGATACTTTTCCTTTATTGACTGAGATTTCTTGTTGGGTTGGGACGGGCTTTCTTCGATGACTCTGGTCTCTGTTCTCGCAGTTCCATTGGCATCAATGGTGAGGACAACAGATGTGCGGATCTGAGGTCGCGAAGTTTCGGCAATTGAGGACAAGGAGCCACGTGCTATTCGCTTCAAGGGCGAGGAACGGCGTGGTAGATTGGTGACGGAATTGCTGCGACCAAGTGCGGTTCCGGCATCAGAAGCTTGCGAGACGATTGCAGGGCTTGGCCTCAAGAAATTGGCTACCGTGTTGCTGCGCCGTAGACCACTGCTCTCTAGTGGTGAGGTTGGGCCAGAGGTCGAGGGAAAGGCAGGGGCCAAGCATGGTTTCTCGGGCGACACAGGACGTGCTTCAGGAATGTTGGGGAAGTGGCTTCTCACAGGCGACGAGTAAAGGTGGGTCGGATTCACGCTGGATGGCACAGAGGGCTTTTTAACGGCAGCGGGAGCGGCGGGAGTAGCGTATGGGACGTTATTGGAGCTGGTCGAGCGGGTGATGGTGGGACGTGAGGAAGTGGATGGCTGAAGAGGGAGATGCGGGCGTGACGATTGAGAGGCGACCGTGGGTTGAGAGGATTGCGGAGTGTGGGTAGACCAGTGCAGAAAAGGGTCGTCTTGGTTGGCAGTCCAGGCAGGGGCGGACAGCGGAGCAGTCAAAGGTCCTGAGGGCTGGGTCCAGGAATCGATAGAATGCTGGGGGGCATTGAAGCTAAAGGACGAAGTGTCGAAGGCGGGTTGAGATATGGCAGTAGAGGGATACGCCGTGTCTAGTCGTTCAGGCCTCGACTTGATGGACGAGCCTCTGGTGGGAGGCGGTGTCTGCATCTGGAAGATCTGAGGCTGGGCAGGGCCTTGGACGAAGAGCGGAGTCGTGGCATAATCGTAGGACTGGTATGATTGTGGTTGGCTTGATTGCTGGTGATGGTGCTGCACGTGCGGGTAGGCGGCATAGTGCGGGTTGCTGTCTATCGAGGTAGCGGTAGCAGTCGAGGCTACAGAGTCTCTTTTGTGGTGAGCATAGGCGTAGTTGGGGAAGGCGTCGTGGAAGTGAGTCTGGGTGGGCGTGGCGGCATTGCTGTGGTGGTTGTGCGTGTGGGCGTGGTCGAGGCCGTTGTGGGTGTTGACGACTGGATTCTTGAGGGCATTGGCATCAAGGCTCCGGGAATTGGGATTGTTGTGTTGGGCATCAATGTCAAAGACGGTCGTGGTCGGGGTGCATGACGGTGTAAATTGCTGCCAGTCCCTTGAAAGCGTCACGTCAGCGCTGGGCAGCAGCCATTTACGTGCGGCTTGCTGATGCTTGCTTGCTTGCACCTGAACCCATGGCCTTGGACTTACCAACTCATATTTGCACTCGATGCCTCGAACTGGCTCATGTTTCTGACCGCAGCAAAGGTGCGGACACAATGGCAGACGGCAGATCCAAAGATGTCCGAGTAGGTAGGGCCTATGTACGAAAGTTGAAACCCTACCTGCTCTCACCTCACGGTCCAGTCCGCTTCAAAAACGTCCCTTGCAGACGACCGACACATGCCACGCTCGTCGTAGCCCGCCAGTGCAACTGCTTTGTGCAGATGCCCAGCCTGTCAGACCCGTCTGCTCCTGCTGATTAGACTTCCGCCAAACGAGTCTGCTTCCGCCGCTCCGCGATGCCCACCATTGCCCGCCGCCCGCGGTTTCCTGGGTGCAAGACCGTTGCAACTTCTTGCCTGCTAAATCCAGCCAGCTCAGGGTCCCTCCTGCGCACCTGCCTCGCTCGTGGCATAATTGCGTCAGCCCGCTGTGCCATCATTTTAGCTATCCGCTCCCTCTGCTACTCTGCCTGCTGCTGCCAATTCGTGCGAGGTACTCTACATGCCCATAGCAGACCTGCCCAGGTGAGCAACGTACAATAGTCTGCTACGCACACATCAACACTGCATCGCGCTTGCCTCCTCGCTCCGACCATCATCTCCTGATCATCACCTCACACCCACCCGACCCGGCCGTCGCTCTTTGACCCCTTTTTCCTTGCAACGCCATGACTGGCCTCAAACTACTGTTGGTGAGAAGCTTCTAGTATCCCGCAAAAGAGGTAAAATCCAAAAGCTTCCAAATCTCGCCGTGCACAACAGCCAGTTGCTAGCCAGGCACAAGCCTGGGGCTTTGCTCGCTCGAGCACGGTTGTCGTATCCACTGTGCTTTCGCACTCATCCTCAACACTCTCAAGCCTTGAAGCCACCGCTGTCTCTTGTATCTCGTTTTTCTATACGATCGCACGTGGCTGCGGGACGAGCTTCCTGTCCCTTGTCCCAATTCTGTCCTAATATGGACTTCCAAGGCCTTAGCTGGCTGCATCTCTGCTCCCAGTCTCCACCTTATGTCCAACCTTGTCTGTTCACTGCGCATGCTCTTGAGCCTCCCACCCGATGAAGAAGTGCCACTCTCCAGCCTCCACCTTGTTGGGTTTGTATATCTTTCATCTATCTCGGCTGAAAAGTCTTTTGATTACTGAGCTTTCCAACGGTGGCCGTACTTAGCACTGTCAGATCGCTCGATCACCGATCAATCCAGCCAAGCTATCTACAGAAGCGCCGGGCAATTGGCTTCATCTGCCCGGACGGGATTATGCATGTGCGTTGCCCGAGACCTAAGATCCCACACTATTCCCAAGACGAACTTCTTGCTCGCTCGCATCCAGGAGCACGTTATCAGTGAACCCTACTCTGGTTCTATGCACAAAATGTCACTCACAGCTGGGCTTACGAAATCAATTGGCTATCTCCGCACGAGCAGTCGTTCGTCAAGCCCTCGTAACGCGGAAACCTTGCACGTCTTACCCCTCATTCAACACCATTTCTCCAGAGTCCAGCTTTGTGGCTCGTTCACGTTCGGGTGACGACGATCTGCCGTCCCCCAGATCGACACATCTGTTACCTCTGTCGAGACCCTTGGCTCTTCTATCCTATGCCGTACTATCCGACTCAAGATCTTGTCTAGAGTACATGCAGAACATTGGATCAAGCTGGATGCGTGGACAGATCCGCCATGAGCCTCCATCCTTCCTCCATCCACGTACCAGTTTTGGATTATTCACTCACATATTGTTTGCGACCTCTGATCGATCCTCTTCTGACAAGAGGGTCCGTCCGAAAGCGCATGATAACGGGTGCGGCCCTAGCAGAAACCAGCGCAGCCACGAGAGAAATAACCGGAGCAGTATGACATTCCAGTTCGAGTTAGAGCGTGAGAACTCACCTCGTCCAAACTCCACATCGCACTCGAGTTTGCAGAGCCTCAAAGAAGTTATTGCCTTCGCTACCAATGACAAAGACGATCCCCACAACTGGTCTACTGGAAAGAAATCCTTCGTTGTCTTCAATGGAGTAGCTCTGGTCCGTGTTGGTACGGAATATCAATCGCTTTTCTAATATAGAGACCAGGTTATGTCTTCCACTATAGGGTCATCTATAGCGGCGGGAGCATCGCACCAGTTTGCCGCTTATTTCGATATCACGAATCAGTTGCAGCTGGTCTTGCCAACGTCCTCGTACTTGTTTGGCTATGTCGTCGGTCCGCTCTTATTTGGCCCACTGAGTGAAAGCTACGGCCGGAAATGGGTCATGGTATCAACTTTTGTAAGAACTCTTGTTTGACATCTGTTCGACAACTCTGACAGCGTTTCTCGCTTAGGCACTGTTTACTGCTTGTACACTAGGATGCGCTTTAGCAAACAATTTTGCAACTCTGTGTGTACTAAGGTTGTTCGTGGGCATTGGTGCCTCCAGTCCCATCTCCGTGGTGGGTGGGTGAGTATGCGCACCGGGCCCACAAACGTGGGTTGAACGCCCTAGCTGACGCTCTTGTCAGTATCTACGCCGACGTGTACCCTGATCCTGTGACTCGAGGTCGGGCTTTGACTATCTTCATGGCTGTAAGTAACTCATTCTGTATCCTACTCCACAAAACAGAGGAGGACGCTGGTGATCCCAATCCACAATATCTCCGAGCCTACGATGCTGTCTCTTGGCGAGCACCTCAACGAGCTCGGAAGGCCACAGAAGAGATACGGTACCGCCATTGACCGCTTTGGGTATATCTCCCGTCATCTGCTTTCGCATGCAGGTTCATACCTCGTGATACGCACGAGTGGTCATCCTTCCAGCTGGAGATTTTGGGATTGTCGGTGCTAGTGTCCAACCTATTCGAGTGCTAGACTTTGTAACTCCTATCATCTTCTCTCAAAGATTTGGAGCAACGTCCTCGCAATAAAATGCATGATCGTTTATAGATTGGAACTGTGACCAAAGCGAGCCGAGAGTGTATCACTTCCCGATGGATACTGTTCTATCACTGAAACCATTGTGCTTTTTGTTGCTACACGCGTTACACACTCCTGCGAGCGGGGAAGAAGGTGCATTGAATGCATTGAGGAGCTAACCATGGCTGCAGGCAACGACGTTTGGCCCGATCCTTGGCCCTATCATGTCAGGATTCATCGCAGTCGTTTCATGGCGCTGGATATTCTGGCTGTCGTTGATCATAGCTGGCCTAACTTGGCCAATCCTGCTAACCAATCCAGAGACTTACGCACCGGTTATCCTTGCCACGCGTGCACGGCGTCTCCGCAAGGAGAACAACAACCCAAACATCTTTGCGCCGCTCGAACTTGAGCATCGTGACCTGAAGCAGATGGTCACCGTCGTGCTCGCAAGACCTGTGCGGATGTTCTTCACCGAGGCTATCGTGCTGTGCAGTTGCCTGTACCTGTCCTTCGTGTACGCAATCTTCTACATGTACTTTCAGGCTTACCCGATCATTTTTAGCGGGATATATCGTTTTAACTCTGGCGAAGTCGGCTTGACGTTCTTACCAATCGGGATTGGAGCTCTATTTGCGTGCGCTCTATATCTCTACTGGGACCGTATCCTCGAGAGGGCGAAAGCACAGGATCCACCTGCGGTATGGTCGCAGACTGAAGAGTATCGACGCTTGCCTCTGGCCTGCATTGGGGGACCCTTACTCGTGCTCAGTTGTTTCTGGCTTGGCTGTACGTATGACCAAGTCACGCACACTGTACCACGAGACTACGATATCAGTCTTCGTTGTGTCTGATCTGTGCATATATCGTCATACTCCACAGGCTGCAAAAGTCGCACATTCTCTGCTGGCAGCTGTGGCTCGACAAAGATTGCAACAACCTCGTGGTACTGTACTGTGGATGCCTGGAATTGTGCTGATTCTGCCTTTTAGGGACAGCTCGTGAAGACGTTCATTGGGCAGTGCCAGTCTTGTCGGCTTTGCCATTTGGCATGGGTTACTTGCTTCTGTTCATGTCTCTGATCAAGTATCTTGCTTTCCTATACCACTACTCCAGCGAACCGCTGGCTGACTGGGCCGCAGCTATCTTGTTGATGCATACGAAGTGTTTGCAGCAAGTGCCATGGCAGCATCTGCTTGTTCGAGGAGCTTGTTTGGTACAGTTCTGCCGTTCGCAGCAAGACCGATGTAAGTGGTGAAGATGTGTATTGCAAGACTGGAGGGGCCGCGAAGTGCGAACCCGACTCCGCACACGACAACTTCTATGGCGCCACAAGGTAGCATCGCTATTAGCGATTTGCGGGAACGGATTCGCGTCTGGGTGGAGGACTCACCAAAGAATCGTGCTAACTTCAACCAAAGGTATGAACGCTTGGGTGTCGCGTGGGCCTGTTCATTGCTAGGCTTTCTAAGTTTGGCCATGTGCATTATTCCCTTTGCCTTCATCCGCTTTGGGGACCGCATCAGAGAGAAGAGCAGCTTCTGCCAGTTTCTGAAACAACGCAAGATGCAAGAGGACCAGCACAGGAGCGGGAAATGCAGGAGCGAAGGACGCAGCAGAGTGGGGTCGACAAGGCTATAGCTGTGGAGAAGTTGGTTTGAAACGGACTCGCAGAGTATTAAAAAGTCTTGGTTGATTCAGACGACAATCATCAACGGGATTTCGGTTGAACGGGTTGGACTGAAGAATGCATGTTTTGCTGAGCAGGATACGGGCAAGTTCGGTCAGCCGCACAGTGGGAATGAGACAACGCGAAGCGCACAAATGATAATCGATTCTCTTCATGCAGGTGCAAAAGTTTCTTTTGTGGGATAGATGTTCTTCTAAGCATGAACACGAGGATAAGATCTCCGCAAGTGCAACTAGCATCTTCTGTGATAACGTTCACTGCTCGTCTCGCTTTGCCCTTTCTTGCGCACTACGAAGCGTCTATTCTCCCTAGTGCTGTGGAGTGGAAGATCGTAACTGTTATACAGCAGGATCCTCTCTTTTGACCTTGTCGGCCGAGCGATCCCACACCTTTTCGAATAGTATCCATTTCACACACGGGTTGCGTGAGATCAGCATGTGGGAACGCAACTCCGGTGGGTTTGCGACAAGAGTTCCTAGTGGGCAGCCACAGGACAGACTTCCGGCAGGATGGCAATGTTTGCTCTAGTACAATTACAATTTCATAAGAGCACAAGTCGAGATGCTATACTTTGCAGGGCTGCAAACATCCTCGGCTATATCAGCAACATGATCAGCTGCCTATTACGCTACAGATTAGGTCCGCTTGACAATGGCTGAAATTTGGCAACAAGCTTTCTCATAAGCTACATGGTGACCAGCATGAACTACTGTACTGTTGCCTTTGAGCGCCTGATCCTCGGCTGTCCGAATCAATTACCGGCCGAAAGCGCATGCTTTTCCTCCTTGATACTCCCGCTGATCTCCATAGATGTCCGCTATCCTTTCTTAGCATGAGATGCTGCCGCTTCTCTTCATCTGTCTGCTCGGTGTCACTCATGTCTACTCCCACAGTGGAGCAACAACCTCAACAGCCCGTTCTACCACGGCACGGATCCTGTCGGCCATGCTTCGCATACCACACTCTACTTCGAGCGTCTCGAGCCAAACCTTGGCTACAATCTTGTCTACCTTGATCTCCAAGCCTGGCACAGGGATGCCTGCTTTGTGGAGGCGTTCTAACTCTACCATCTCCAGCTGAGCTCTGGCTTTTTCCGCTGCAATGGAATCCTCCGAAGTATCGACATCGTCGACCTCGGAGACGTTGAGCTTAGGCCTCGAAATCGGAGTGATGGCGTCCTCGCCGAATTGCGCTTCGAGGAACATGCATAGACGTGAAAGCCTTTCCGAAGGACTGATGTGAGCGTGGAGATTGCGCTTGTTCTCGTGATGGTCGTGTGAATGTGGACTCGACGATTCTGCATCTCTGTTAGGACATTTGTTCCATAATGTGTTTTTTGAACAAGAGAATTCAGCTCACGCTTTACAGCCGCAGGACTGCTTTCAACCGTGTACAAGACGGCAAGAACAGCATCTGCGATTCCGTCATTGGAAATGTTGCCTTCCCACTCGACATCGACCTCGCCACGATCAGCCACCTTGACCCTGACTGAGCCCATGACCTCAAAGACGGTCTCCTGACGTCTTTGAAGCTCCTCATCAGCCTCTTCATACGTGGCACCATTTCCACTGGCCTCTGCCTTGATATCTTTGGAAGGGGATGAGATGGTTTCGATGGCTCCAAAAGTGCCTTCAAGGGCCCACTTGATCAAATCAAGACCCGCGGCTGCAAGGGTCAGTCTTTGGCGGCAGAGAATAGTTGTGGTTGTCAATCCAGCGTATTCCTTCAGGTCTTCGGGCGCCATCAAGCTAAGTTTGAAGTCATTCTGCACCAATACACCAGAGACTACCTGAGCGCCGTTCGTCGTTTTGAACTTCTTTTCGTCCCTTGTACCTTCTTCGTCGGAGCTAGGAGGTGAAGGTGGGGCTGTAGATATCTGGATCTGGTTTGCAAGTCGACCGACCACTTTGGCAATCTTGTCCTGTCGGAAAGGGATTCGAAGCTCTTCGCAATTTGCCGGGGAGAAGACCTTGACGGGTGTTGACTTGTTTGCGTTCAGCGACAACAGTTTGGACTTGAGTCTCATCATATTTGTCTTCTCGCCGTGAACCAAAATCTGTTGTGAAAGAATTAGCACAGACCAAAGTCCTACATTGCGTATCAGTACTAACCACGACAGGAGCTGCAACTTCCTCAATGAACTCGCGGTTCTCGGTTCCGTCGACGTGTGCTGCGAACGAATATTCCTGAACGGTACACCTTCGGGGAATCATGACTTTCTCGCCCTCGGCGCCTGGCTTGCCTCGACCACCCACACCTTGCACTCTACCACCTACTCTGCCGGTCATAACGGCTTGGATGCTTTCGGGCTCAGTCAAAATCATCTTGGCCATAGTGCCTTCGACGCTGTAACCAGTAACAATGACGCCGTTCTTTGGATCTGGTGCCCATCGCTCGAGTAGAGCTCGAGACACGCCGTTTTGAAGCATGCCAGGAGATGCGAGCATGACACAGCCTCCAACATCGTCAAACCTGTCGAGAGATTTCAGGTTGCGGATCCAGCGGAAGTCCCAAGGGCCTCCAGCGCCAGCTTCACCGTTGCTGCCGTCAGCTGTTTGAGCAAGCCTGTTCTGGAACATGGACTTGATGTTGTCGTTCATGGCGTCAATGTACGTTTGGTAGACAAGCATGCACTTCTTTGCTAAGTTACTGGCATAGTAGATTGGATACTTCCTGTACTCAGGATGACGGTTCCAGTAGTCTTCAAGAATCAGAAGAAGCTCTTGTGCACGGCCAATGGCAAAAACAGGCATGAGAACGCGCCCTCCGCGGTTCAGAACACCAGTCAAGCTCTTCATCAGAGCTGTCTCGCGTTCCAGTCGCGGGATGTGAGAGGCAACACCAAAAGTAGACTCTGTGATCAAGACATCTACCTTGACGCCCTTGGGAGCCGAGGCGGGGATCAGATGGCGGTCATGCTCTCTTGAGTAGTCTCCGGTGAACAAGATATGGAGACCAGCAATCTCAATCACGTACATGGCTGCACCGAGGACGTGGCCAGCTGGGTACGGGGTTATCCGGATACCTGCATGGGTGTGTGTGGTGTGGAAGGCGATGGTCTGGATCATGGGAAGAGTCGAGAGGACGTCAGCTTCAGTATAGAGTTGTGTTGGCTGTTCCGCAGTTGCATGGGTGTTTCTGATGAACTGTCAGCGCAACACCAAGAGTATACAGAGAAGGACAGGCATACTGCACGCGAACGGAATCTTGCATCAGCCACTTGTAAATGGCTTTGGTAGGGTGGGTCATGAAGACGCGACCTTTGAAGTTGGTCTTTGCCATGACATAGGGCAGAGAGGCGGCATGGTCTAAATGAAAGCTGTACAAGCTGTCAGCCATCGAGTATACTCATTGTATACACGCGAGCCACAAGTTTGAGCGAGCAGAAAAGGACAATTGGATTCGGCTCACGGTCACCGGCACACAGGAAGAGTGGTGGAAACAGAATTTCGATTTGGTTTATGTACATACTGCGGGAAAAGCTGCCTGGATGTGCAGGTTATAGCATGCAGATGCAAGACAGTCAAGGGGGGGGTGCAAAATGAGAAGCGTGTGCCGATGCAGTGACCGTGAGGGTGGCTGTGGTGAACAGGCCATGAGAACTTACTGAGTAATGAGAAGAATGTCGACAGTGCTTAGGTCGAACTCGTCATAGAAGGGTAGTGAAGCCAGGCCATCGTATGCAGGATGGGCACCAGCATCGAGCATGACAGTCTTGCCCTTGTATTGTATGATATGGCACGAACGGCCGACTTCGTTTCCACCACCCAAGCACAGAAACATCAGCTCATCCGAAGGGTCGACGGGCTCTTCGGGCTCGGGTGTGGCCGTGTCGAGCTTTCGCTTGGTGGCCATGGCGAGCGGCGACGGCGGTTGCACTGGGCGCTGATTTGGCTAGAATCGATGATGGGGCTGGGGCATATGAGACCCGTCAATGCGCGCACAAGATGTAGGATGATGCCGTGTGTGGCCGTTGATGGTGAGTGATGATGGAAGGAGGAACGAAAGTGAGGAATGGACTTTAGACACGCCGAGCTCCAAGGAAGTGACGGTCGTCGACGTGACGGCTCCTTCCGTGCTGAAGACCGCCCGGCAGCGCAACCGTCACAGCATCCAACTTTGGCTTTGGCAAGTTGCTGTCACCACCTGCACTCACGACCCGTACGACTCGCCTATAACGCGCCTCGTCATCGACATAATCTGTCGCCTTGACCAGAACCGCCCGATCCATCACACTCGCCGCGCCTGCTTCCGTACATTCGTCCTGGTTCTCGGCATGCTCTGTTGATACTTCTACGACTGCTTTATTCCTCAGCTGCTCAGCGGCCGCGGCCGCACCTTTCATCTGCTCGCCCGCACCTATATAGTTGCCGCCATGTCGCACAACATGCCCTCGTCCCAGCAAATTCCCCCACAGCTCCCTCAGCATCATCCACTGCCTCAGCAGCAGCCGCGACCAATCTCCCACCCTCCACAGCAGTCGCATCAGCCAAATCCGCCCATGCAGCCTGTTTCGCGTCCCTACTCGCCCTACCAGAACAATGCATCGCCTACTGGCATCGCCCTACCTCCTGCCAAAAGACCACGCCTTTCACCCAACCCTCAGTCACCTCATTCCGCACAGAGTCCATACCCCCCGCCCCCTGCTCTGCCCGAAAGTCCGTATGCCAGCTACTCGCCCATGACTGCCGGAAGCCCTCCTGCTTTCAACACCCCTCAACCTTATGCTCCCTCGCCTATGCCCGGCGCCATGGGCCCTCCTCCGCGTCCTACACAGGAAAAGGCCGAGAAAGAGGACAAGGAAAAGATCACTGATATTAGCGACGTCACTGATGTCTTCCATGGTTCGGGTATTGATCTAAGAGAAGAGGAAAACTACATGACGAGCACCTACAGAAATGTGCACAAGAACCAGTCCTTCAACACCTCCTTCGGTTCCAACACGACGGTTGCTTCTCCAAACAATAGCTTTGGTCTGGTTTCGCAGGGCAGCTTCGGAAGCCAGCCTGCCTTCGGAGGAAGCGGCCCCATCTCCCGACCACCTGTATCGCAAGAATCTGTCAAGGATGAGCTCGATCAGAAGCACCGTGCCGCTGCACATGCGCATAACGAGAAACGTCAGCAACACTTGAATGATTCGTTTTTGCAAGCTAACAACATCCGTCATCGTATGCACCGTATTGCTTATGATCAAGGCGTTGCCCTTAATGTCGAGGGGCTGTATGACAAACTTCCCGAGCGGCCACAAGGTATTCAAGGTGTCTCGGCGACCGGTCCTAACGGCACAGCTGCAGCCGTGAAAGCACATGGCTTGCTTCAAGAGACGGCACCTCTGGCAGAAATTCTCACCCTTGTATCGCTTGCTGCGAACGAGAGAGTTCGTTCCTTGGTCGACGAATCATATGCCATTGCACGTGGTAGACGTTATGGTAGCCATGGAGTCGTTCCGCCAAGCTTGGCAGATCTTGCAATCGGTGAGGGTGAATCAGCAGCTGTGGCTGAGGTACCACGTATCACGAACTCGGCATGGGAGAAGGTGCAGCAAGACAATCTCGGTGACGCTGAAGGTGGTGTCATCAAGGCACAAACACCCGGTAAGTGTTTGATATGTTTTGGTGTAAGGTATGTCGCTAAAGTGCAAGCTTAGAAAGCAAACCATTACCGACGAAGGCTTTCCCCTCGGCCATATCTACACATCTACTTGAGCTGGCGAAGAAAGACCGTGATGCTGAGCGCGAACGTGTACGTAAGCGACAGGAACGTGCCAAGCGTGCAAACTCGACTGCAAATGCCGATGGTGTAAATGGCAACGATGCAACATCTGGACCCGCAACACCTTCTGCAGCGAATGCCATGTCCTCCACGGACGCTTCTGGTGCTGCTCCAGAGAAGCCCATGACCAAGAAGGAACGCGAACGACAGGCCAAGATGGGCCAGACCGAGGAAGTCTTGCATAAGAACTCCAACACGACCGCTGCTCTGCAATTAGGCATAGGCAAGAGGAAAAAATACAGTTGGTTGACTGGTGGTGCTCCAGCGGCGCCTGTGAATCCTTACAAGCAGACGCCCAAACCAACTTCTGCTAATGCAGCAACAAATGGCACTAGTGGTAGCAAGAACTCTTCGGCTGGCGGAAATGGCACCGACAAGGCGCTACAGGTGCGTGAAAGGAAATGGGGAAGTTGGAGAGAAGATGGCGTAGATGGCAGGGGCATCCAGACAAGAGATTGGGTTGTTGTACTCGAGAGAGACGGCAAGGAGAAGAAGGCGCTCCAGAAGAGTCTGCTGAAACTCGAAAGCTCGGAAGAGTGAGCGCATCTTCTGCATGCGCAAGGCGACCCGCCACAAGGTTTGGCGATGTGAAAAGGGCGCGAAAACTTCAAGCGAAAGCGTTCGTCAGCACTACTTTTAATGACATGATATCAAACCAGCCTCCGAAAACTTAGAGTGCGTGCAACTGTTTCTTCCACACGTCACTGAACTATTGTCATCGTGGTCATCGGGACTTTGACAGGCCTCCCCGTTGTCGACTTCTACCAAACGAGACGGACTTTGGTACGAATTTGAAAGCAGCTAGTGAATTTGCCATGACGTCCATGGATTCATCCTCCGTCAATTGGTCGAGGTTGTCGATCTTTTTCTCTTGGGTATCCATGAGGTCGGATGCATATAAGTTTTGTTCAGTGATGTCTTCTTGAGCATGGTTTTTGTTCATTCGGGCATTGTTCTGCTTCTGATAGGTCTTTGCCTCTGGTCTCAGCAGTGAGGTGCGATTGTCGGAGCCATGATGTACGATGTAAAAATCATAGTTGCGTGGAAACATGTGCTTGTCAATCAAATGCATTCGTCGCTTCTGTGGAGTACTGCAGACCTTTTCACAGTCTTGGACGAAGCAATGATAGGTTTTTTCACCTCTCTCGCGTCTGATGCGACTGAGAGGATCATGGGTTTCGGCGATGTGTAGAGAGAGAAAATGGTCGGTAGGGAAGTTTTTGGCGCATTCTAGACATCTGGAATCGTGTGATTTGTGGTAATGGGTTTCGTACTCGTTGTACGTGTCGAATTTAATGGGAGGGTGGGGAGGCAGGGCACATGTTATGGCAGTATTTGGGCTCGTCGAAGTTGGAGCATCCAAGCTTGTATATTTGGTGGGTGGCTGTGCGCTGTGGATCGAGAGGTGATGGATCGGAGACGTATATTGCTCATCAGGCTCTGAATCTCGTCTGAGGCGTTTGGACATTGCGTAGAGATAGATGCGGTGAGCGAGAGAAGAGAGGGAAAGGAAGCAAGTCGGAGTGCAGGATCGATGAGGTACACGACAGGGTGGTAGGAGTAGCAAGTAGCGGCAAAGGAGCCGAGCCGAGAGTTCGCGCATGCCGCGCGTGGCTCTCGACGCTCGTCGCTCGTCGCTGCCAAACGTCGACGAAGATTGCGATCGCACTCGTCTCGGATCGTCACAGCAGCAGCAGGCCCGGGTATCCTTGTTGCGCGCAAACGTCCTCCGCATCACCTCTCGTCGCCCTCCATGGATCGCATCTGCCCGTCCGCAATCTCCGGATACCAGCACGTTTTCATCTGACCTCCCGCACTGCTCGGTCACCGACGACCCCGTCATAGGCGCTCTATGACGAGCGCCATCCTCTAACATGGAACCCACTGGCGACCAGGCCCTCGCGTACGCATCCATCTACACCATGCCCCCCGGCGCCCCGCTTACAACCCTTGCAGCAAGGCCATCGCCCTCGACCTTGAGTTTGCACAGACGCTGCAGCCCGCCGACTCGTCTCTGGACCGCGTCTTTGTAGTCTTGCAGCAGTGAGTCAGACATGGCCTGTACATTCGTGTCGCCCCCCCTTTGTACCAACTTCGACACAGATACCGCTCTGCCGCCGCACATGCTCTCGCGTCCGACTTTCTATCTGCCCGCGCTGCCGACATTGAGACGCGCCTCTGGAACGCACACAATCGCGTAAATGTACGTCTGCGCAAGCAGCTCAGCAAGGTCAGTTTGCGACATGTCGTCCGACAAAACTGCCTCTCTTTCTTACCGAGTCCATCAGCTGCGCAAGGATCGCTCCAGCAAGCCGGTCGAGACTCGCAAATTTATCAAGCTATATCTTGAATTTCTCAAGGACAGCCAGCGGCATTACCGGGATTACATTCAGAAGCTGAACGCCAGATTCGGTGGCATTCAGGACCTTGAGCGCATCGCTCGCCAGGTCCGATCAGCCCGTACTTATCCTGCTGACCACACGTTGCATACACAAAGGCTGATTCTTCATAGCTGTGCTGATGTCTTCGAGACAGCCCGTGTCTCCGCAGATCCAGGCTGCCGTCTCGCTATCTTGTCACCAAACTCTCATTTATCTTGGTGATCTGTTCCGCTATCGTGCTGCCGAGAGACTCGACAAGGAGCCAGACTGGGGACCCGCAATTGGTTACTACGCCCTGGCAGCATCTCTGCGACCCGATTCGGGACTCGCTTTCCATCAACAGTCCGTCGTTGCCTTTGAACAAGGCGACTATCTCCGCTCTACATACTATCTTTACCGTTCTATCAATGTCATCGAACCCCACCCCAACGCCATTCCTAATCTGGAACTACAATTCAAGAAGATTACCGCTGGATGGCAGAAAGGCGACCTGGTGCCCAAAAACTCTCCTCAGGATCCCGTTGCTTCGCGCAAAGCCTTACTATCTTGGTTCATTCGCTTCCACAGCCTCAGCTACAATGGTCATTTTTTCACCGGCTACGACGAGCTCGAGCGTGAAGTTCTGAGTCGCACTGTCAACGAGATCAAAGCGCGCGCTCCGGACGGTATCCTTTCTAAAATGTCCTTGATCAACTTCTGCGCCCAGGCTACCGCCGGCAACCAATTTGAGAGCAAGCCCGATCAGCACAAGTTCATGCAGTCTTACTTCTTTTTTCTGCGTCTGAATGTGAAGTTCTTCACAGCCATCCTGGAAATCTACCATGTCGACCTCGAAAAACACCTCCAGGAGCACACCGAAGCTTCAAGCCTCGTTGATAAGCTTACTGACTTGGCACGTCATGTCTTGCCGGCTTTGCGTCTCTACAGTACTTGGTTGTTGAGTAATGCTCATATCGTCGCGGCACGTGTCGGCGACCAGCCTATTCAAGAAGCCATGGATTACTTCTGGCACGTTTACGCCAAATCGCTGTCGGTCATGGCATACAGCTTTTCGTTTCGCGAGCTTGGCGAGGTTCCGTACCAACTTGAGGAGGATGTCGACGCCTTTGGTCTGAAGCCTTTGAATTCTGACAAATCACGCAAAGTCTGGGTAGACGATGCAACCGGACAAGCCAAGGCCAAATACAATGATGAAGGTGTTCATCGTCTCGACCACAACCAGGAGATGCTCGGAAGAGTCCGTGAACTTCTCTTCGATGCCTTGCTACTTGCCGTGGATAAGGTTCGTAAACAAATTTATCGCGTTTCGTCCATATCAGGCTGACCTTCAATACAGGATGTACCCATCACCTTCGACGGATCGCAATTCATACACCAGGACCCTCATTCAACTGATAAACATTCGACCAATTCACTCCCAGAGGTCGCTACGTCTCGTCAAACTATGCGCGGCACTGTAGACATTGTGGCAAGGCATGAACACCCTGAGCAGAGACATACGTCTCTAGCCCCCGAAGTTCCCGCGTCGGTGATGACTAGCACAAAGTCGCTAAACAGGGAGGCCCAACTCAGTCAAATGGTCGATGATCTTGTCGGGCCCGACGAAGACGACATCATTCTTCCAGGCTTGCCCGTGCACTCCCTCGAGTCCGTCAACGATTCTTCCAATGTCCCTGGCTACAAGAGCAACGCCCCTCTCAGAGGGCTTTCGCCGCGCGCTTTCCAGGCTGTTCGGACGCCGGAGTTGCGAACAGAAGCCTGGGAGCTACCTCTAAGTCCAACGGGAGTGCCTTCACAGCGCTTACATTCAGTCTCAAACATCTGGAATGATGCACCTATACGAGAGACGAGCCCAATAACTCCATTCGGAAGTGCACCTCCAGGACTGCCGCCTATTCCAGTAACCGCGAGACGTTCTAATGCACACTCCCGTGTGAATTCGACCAATTCTGCCAGAAGTCCTCTTCCACAACCAGATGCTCTTTCATCGTTCGACCCGACTCCAAATAACTACAATAGCATTGGTGCCCGCGGAGACCGATACCAGAGCTTCTCAGGGCACTATGCAGGCATGCAGAGCCCTCTCCTATTTGGAGCAGGCATGTCGCCCTGGAGTACAGGACCGAGGAGGTCAGTACCTAACATTACACCGCCCAATGGTCAAGGTGGTTGAGAAACCACTAGCTTTGTCTTAATCAAGCAGGCAAGCAACCATTCATACACCTTCCTACACTAAAAACCTCTGGTGAATGCCAACAAACCTGGGTTCTACCAGAAGCAGACAATGGGTTACAAGTTGCTGTGAAACTAGGTGTGGCTTTCCGCGTCAGCCCAGATCATCTCGAGAGTATCAGAATATATCGCTAGAGATGGGTCACCACTTTGAGGCGCACCGTACAAAGAAGGGATGAATCGGATTTGGAGTATGGTGCCCGCTGGCATTAAGTCGTACAGATTATGAGAAGATTGGCCTTGTATGTATCGCCGAATCATTCTGGAAGGCTCGCCATGCGGTCTGTCGCCGCAATGGTCAAGCTGCAAAGACGGCAAGGAGGTGCCAGTATACCGGAACCCAAAATTGAACTTTCCTTACCTCACTCATATTTTCCTGGCCATCCAAAAGCTGGGCTTGTACATATTTTGCAACATACTGCGCGGGTCTTGTATGTAACCAGCCTCTCCAACGACCGGATCATGTTCAACGATCTGAAATCCAAGATGTTCGATCAGCTTGATGACTTCATTATCAGCGAGCTCGAAAGAACCAGACTCGCCAATGCCTCTATTTCTGTCTTGGTTCACCCTGCCCGCCTCTGAAGAAGCGGACGAGGACGAGCTTTTCTTGTCGGGCGAGCCGCCTTCAAAGTGCCAAAGTAAAGGACCAAGATTTACCCATACGCCTCCAGGCTTGATACAGTGCCTGACGGTTTCGATGTATGCAATCAGATTAGGGGCTGTGTCAATGAAGAAGCATGTTGTGACTGCGTCGAAAGCAGCTTCGTATCTTGGCTCTTTGTATAAGACGCAGAAGTCACCCGAGGACATTGACATTCGTTGGTAAGCATGTAGTTCTGCTTGCAGATCATTGCAGCTCTTGTCCAGCTCTTCGGATGGCCATACATCGGGGACTTGTACTTTTTGGAGCTGGTGAGAGCGGTGCGTATGGTTTGAGAAACCGAGAGCCCAGGGGTAGACAGAGTGTGACTTGGGACCCGAGGTGTAGTTGAGTATCCAATTGCTGACAAGGAGTTGATGGTATGAGATTTCGTTGCCCTCCATAGCATAGCCTGCATTAGACAATTCAAAAGCCAGACGTCCTAGTCCAGCACCTGGGACTAGTACACTCACATGAGAGCGCTTGGCCGGAGTGACATGCTTAAATGCTTTGTTGAGGCCAGCCAGAATGGGCTTGTAGCATGCCTCTCGTTCGGAAATGCCTTCAGCTGCCCAGTCACGATACAGCTGGCGAATGGTTGAGCGTACTTTGTCCATGTCCTGTGAGGTCGCTGCTCCGTGCCATTCGGTTGATTCGGGGTCTATGCCATACATGTTGAGCCCCAAGGCGAGAACGGTGTCGGCTATATCGGCATTCACGTCGATGGCCACATCCACAGCATCCAGAGTTTTGGGTAAGCTGAATGGCTCGGAAGCCAGCAAGTCCATGTGCGCCGAAGGGAGCGAATAGAAAGATTGGCGTCGAAGATGGGTGATGTTATAGTGGGCAGCCTGGCGATATTGTCTAGGGTCGCCAACTCAGAATGCATTTTTTCTCTCCTCGAGTCTTGTTGCTGGTTCCATATTTGCAAATCCGCACCTTTACGACGTACACAGGATAGCATAAACAAAAGACATGGCTCACTCACCGGAATGAATCGAGGGCGGCATATAGGACCCTCCTTTCTTCTGGATCGCAGAGTGGATCGATTTCCGAGCCCTCATCATGGTCTACCATTCCCTGGCCAGGCATTGACATTTCCTCATCCAGCTCATCCATACTGCTTGGAGCGTGCTGCAAAATGATAGCAGATGAAGAGTATAGGATGTGGTAAGCACTCATATAGCCAATGCCAAAAAGTAGAACGACGAGCAGCAAACAAAGCAAACATGACCATCATACAGCTCAATAGGTGCGACCGATCCGCTCTTGCACCTCGATTCATAGCAAACATGGCCGCCGAAGCAAGCAGACCGCTTACGAATGGTACTGGTATGACAGAACCAATTCAATTCTCCATGGCCTTGCCAAACGCACCCGGGAGCCGCATCCACACGCACTTGACCATTCTCGCAACGTCCATCCTCCTCTTCTGCACCAGCACCACGGCCGAGTTCTCGTCTGCTCCCGTGCCTTCGCTCGGCAGTTTCGTCTATGCCATGCCCGACGTATGCATTATCCAGATACCATATCGTAATATCCACACACTGACACTGCAACGACAGCGCTACAACCCCTCGGCACCGCTCAGCACTCCTCTGTACACACTCCCATCAAGTCTAGACTTTGCCGATCGACTGGCCAAAACGTTGGCGAGACGCACGAATCTGCCGGTGCAGGTCGGCAGCTCGGTCAACTTCTCGTCGGCTGGAAACGGTGGCAGTGTCGAAGAGGAGATGGAGGCTTTCAGACAGCTGGTCACTGTTGTGCTGAGAGAGGTTGAAAAGGCAAGAGCTGGTTGAACAATGTGACCTCGGGAAACCTCCTGCAGAAAGACACATCGGCATGATGGTCAGAAGAGACAACACCGCTGAGCACAGGTGGCAGCGCGCACAAAAATGACGCTAGAAAACAGGTCGCGACCCAAGTGCTTGCCCACTTGGGGTGTGCCTTCGTATGCTCACCACAGACAGCCATGCGATCAGGTACCGAGTGTCAAAGGCTGACATAGTCACGGTCACCTAATGCTTCGTTTGGTCTCTCAGGCGCATCTTGCGCCCCAAGAAGCAGGGCAATGCTTTGCAATACTGTTTCGTATGGAATTGCAGCGAACAGAGTATCGAGGTCAACCAGAGATATCATCATGTCACAATGTCTGTTTAGGGACAAGCAGCCGAGATGTGGGTATGAGAAGCCTTTCAACTGCCACGAGCTTCTGATCTGTGGTCCAACCGAGACACCTCTTCATGTCGTCCGATCATCCTGCCCAATGTCAAAAGTTGCAAACAGAGGGACATGATCGCTGGGGCCTCTCTCCCTTTCTGTAGCACAGACACCCGCATCGAGAATCTTCTTCTCCAAAGAGCCGGAACATATGATCAGGTCAACTCTGTCACAACTGCTTCCAAACTTCCTTGCACGAGGATAATATGTGTATCCTCTTTTGTCTCCGTGAATATGCCTGTATGTATCAATGGCCTTGAGTCCTTCTTCTGCGTCAAAGAACTTCTTGTTGAAGTCTGCACGGTTGATGATATGCTGTTGAGGCGATGTGCGTAGATTCGGATATCCATCCAACTGGGAACGAGCAATATTCATGTCGCCGGCGAGTATCACACCATATCCTTTGGATTCGAGCAATTTCGCCTCGTCGAGCATATGTTTGTGCACTGCCAGCTTTCTGTCATGTCTGGTGCCTACTACAGCTCCTGTATTGCTGTCCTTGTATGGATTATCGGTGCCGTTGACAGCGTAGATGTTCCAGATACTCAGTTTAGGATCTTGTGATTCGACGATCTGTATACGGCCTTCGAGATCCCACTCCACGCTTCGTACTTTCGGCTGATGGTTGGTGATGAAATCTTTACGTATGATCGTGCATACACCGTAAACTTTTCTACCAAACCCGCGGGCATTGTGAGGATCGGTGGGTAGACAGAAGTGGGCCTCGTAGTCGGGCTCGCCTTCTGCATTACTCTTGACAGCTTGTCGGACCGCTGACTTTGTCGCATCATCGTGTGGGTTGATCTTGACTTCCTGGAGGCAGAGTATTGTAGGCCAACCGTGACGCCGTAGGAAGTCACGAAGGGACGCTGTGGCGGGTGTCTCTGATTGTTTGGACAAAGGCTTCTTAGATTGAAAGTATGAAGTTATCGAGTTTTGGATAAAGGGCTGAATTCCGTTGATGTTCCAGGAGTAGATACTGATGCGGTCCTTGTCGGATGATAGAGTCGTGGATTTGGTTTCGTTGTTGCCCAGACGTCTTCTCTTGAGAGGAGGCGGACTGACACTCATGTTGCAGAGCTGTATCCTCGGCACTAGGGTCTTGACATTCAATCTCACGCGCCGTGGTATGTTGAAGCAAGATGCAAGAGGAAGCATTTAGATGTAAGGTGATTGCTGGAGTCGCAGAGAGACAGACGAGCGGGTGGTGGCCTTTTGACTCAACTTGCAGTCTAAAAAACTTCCACACACCCAAGTCGCATTCTCGATGATGTAGTAACTTCACCTCAGGACGATAGTCTTCACTACTCTACTTTCGTTCTGCATATCATATTCATGTTCCGTGGCCTCGAGTCTTTCCCATGGGTTGAGCTTGCCCGACCAGACATGTGCACTTTCCCGCCCCAGTGCGACGTTTCCCGTGCCTATCGAGGTTTGCCGATCTGTTGATTAATATACCATCCACGCCAATTCATGGACGGACTACCCAAGCCGACTTATGTTGATTTATCGAGAATGACGACAATTGCATCCCAAAGCGCCGTGTTTCATCGAAGTCTCCATTCCGATCCTATATCAGTGGTTGGTGCCAATGGAAACTATCTGCACCTGTCCGGTGGAGGAAAACTGCTTGACGCTACAGGAGGAGCCGCCGTATCGTGTCTCGGCCATGCTAACAAGCGCGTAAAAGATGCCATCATAAGTCAATTGGATGTAGTCTCATACGTACATTCCGCAACTTTTGGCACAGACGCAGCAGAGAAGCTGGCAAAAGCACTTGTTGAATCGACTGGTGGAGAGATGTCAAAGGCGTATATAGTCAGCTCTGGTAAAGCATACTGTCATAAAAGCATATATACAGACAGTCGCTGACGAAATTCAGGTTCCGAAGCAATGGAGGCAGCCCTGAAACTTGCGAGGCAACACTATCTTGAACTCAGCCCCCCACAGCCTCAGAGGACCAAGTTCATCGCCAGACACGAATCTTATCATGGTACAACACTTGGAGCACTGTCGATCAGCGGCCACAAAGCACGGCGTGCTCCGTATGAGCCTATGTTGCTTCCCAACATGAGCAGGGTCTCTGCCTGCAACGCATATCGTGGGATGATAGAGAATGAGACAGAGGCAGGATACGTGGACAGGCTAGCGAAGGAACTCGATGATGAGTTCCAGCGCCTCGGTCCCGAAACAGTGTGCGCCTTTGTCGCCGAGCCCGTAGTCGGAGCTGTAAGTGAAACGACCAACATACCTTATACACACTGACCAAGAAAAGGCGTTGGGATGTGTCCCGGCAGTCAGGGGCTACTTTCAAGCAGTACGTGCTATTTGCAACAAGTACGGGGCACTCTTGATTCTCGACGAAGTGATGTGTGGTATGGGTCGTACAGGCACACTGCATGCCTGGCAGTCGTCTCTCATCAACGTCACACCTGATATCCAAACCATTGGAAAAGGCCTAGGTGGTGGATATGCCCCAGTAGCCGGCGTGTTGATCAGTCGGAAGGTCACAGACACGCTCTTTGCAGGCACTGGTGGATTTTCCCATGGGCAGACTTATCAGGGGCATCCTGTCAGCTGTCGAGCTGCCCTGGAAGTCCTCAGTATCATCCAAGAGGAGAAGCTGGTACAGAATGTGGCTGCTATGGGTGAGAAGCTAGAGCAACTGCTGAAGCAACTTGTCTTGCCATTACCTCATGTTGGTGATGTGCGAGGAAAAGGACTTTTCTGGGGAGTAAGTACTACTGGAGACCAGCATCGACTCCGAACTGACGAAGACAGATTGAGTTTGTCAATGATAAAACAACCAAGGAGCCATTCGATCCAAAGGAGAATGTCGCAACGAACATTCATGAGAAAGGTGTGTCCCGGGAGCTGATTGTTCGGGTGCATTGCCTATATGCTGACCCAAGTCAGGATTGACTGATCCACACAACATCACACTATATCCTGGCAATGGCACGGTGGACGGCAGGGTTGGAGATCACATTCTCCTTGCTCCTGCGTACAACGCGACAGCGGAAGTTATCGAGTTGATAGTGCGAAAGACGGCGGCAGTGATTGAGGAGTATTTCCGACAGGGTAAAGACTAGACATATCCTACCTACTCGATATGTATGAGCAGTGATAAAGCGTCTGCTCAGCCTTTACAAACATAGCGGAATGGCAGTTCTTGATTGACGAAATTGTCAGCAAGCAAAACGATATAGAGAACGAGCAGCTTCGCCACGGACGCTGTTCTGGGACCCTTTTGATGTTGGATGACAGAGCTGTTGGAAGCGATTGTGAAGCGGAACACGGAGGATTCGGCGGGACGAAGCTCAGCTCTGGATCGGCGTACAAGTGTCCAGACTTGGGAACTTTGCAGTGCGATGCAGCTTTCAGTTGGTACAAAAGTCGGACAATAGTCGTGGCAACCTGAATACAGTAGGCGAAGATTGAAGAGAGATTGGGACGAGTACTGTTTGGTGACGTGTGGAGGCAAGTCAAGAGGGAGAAGTGAGGTTGGCTGTACAGCGCCACCAAACCAGAAAATACCCAATCGGGGTGAGACAAACAACAAATGGGGTCAAAGGGTCAGGATAGTCTCAGAAGACGCATGAAAGTCGCGAGAGATACGATGCAAGGGAAGATACAGTGAAAAGAGTAGATTCGATAAGAATAGAGAAGAGATGGACAGATAGTGGTGGGTGAAAAAGAAGTTGAGCGTCGTGTTGATGTGGATGCGGAGAGTGCCAGAATGACGAAGCGCAGTGAATGCTCGCAGCTCGTTGTCCAAGGGCGGCAGTGTCTCGCACGCTTTCTCGTCCAGCCCTCTGGCACCTGTCTGTAGCCCTCCCTCGACCAACACAATCAGATCGACTCTGCCACCTGCGCGGGCCCGTCACTCGGTCACGCCGTCTTTACACCCACAGCCGTAGTTAAGCCGCTTGTTCTGTGGGACTGAGGTCTCTACGCAACCACGACTCTGCTCGATTGCTCAGGCTGTCCAACTGACGCCCGTCTGTCGAATGAGCCGGCAGCTTCGTCCGAACACAAACCGCTGCCCTCGAATCCGACGTGTCGAGTGGGCCGAGTTTCGCTGATCTCTGCCTCGCTCGCTGCACCCAACGACGACGACGACATCGACATCGCCAACCACCACCACCGCATTTTGTCCCGCCGTCATAACATGTCGACTCCTCAAACCGCTACCGCTACCCTCGCCCCGAACCACTACCAGTCCCACCAGTATCTTCCAGCCATGACCGAGTACCCGTATCCCCCGCAGCCATATGCCAACGGCTATCCTCCACCATCACGCACTGCCACATCCACATCCACCGCTACCGCAACTGCTGCCGCACCCTACCCCGCCCCGCCTTCCACCGCTGCTTCTTCAAATGGCACTGCTGTCAAGAGATCGAGGAACCACCCAGTCGATTGGAACCAATTCTTTGGCGGCAAGCCTCCCAAAGAGATCATAGTCATTGACGATGACGATGACGACCATCAAGAAACCCCCGCTGCCACTCAGCCATACCAGAACCAGACATCCACTGTACAACCCAGCACAAGTCAGCAGCACGTGGAGAAGCGCAGAAAAACGACAAATTATGATCCCGTCTACCACCACGCCGAATACTCGAATACTCACACGCCTTACTACGACGCTGCCTCGACCGACCAAGGCCCACCATCATACAAGACGTCGGCTGCCACATCTCTGGCCTCGCAGCCGAGTGCGAGTGCCTACGTCGAAGACGCTGCCACCGGTCAGAAGCGCAAGAGGACGACTCGTCAGGCCGCCGCCGATCAGAAGAAGCGCGAAGTCATTGCCCGTCCCGATCCCTTCACCGAGTATGTTCCTCCACCTAAGCCACCGCTCAAGGCCAAGGATGTCTTCGTGCCGTTGGTACCAGACGTATGTTCAACCCTGCATCGACTTGTATGCTCTGTTTGCTGACGTACGCACAGAGGACGGCCAAGCGCGATCAAAAAGTTGACGATGACGATGGGCATTACATTGTCCACGACCACGCCGACTTGACCGAGCGATGTAAGTCGACGCTGTAATGACACGCTCCGAGTGGCACTGACTCTTTCTCGACAGACTCGATCGTGAAGCTCCTCGGCCAAGGCACATTCGGCAAGGTAGTACAAGCATACGACCGAAGGAGAAACGCCGACGTGGCCATCAAGATCATCCGTTCTGTGCAGAAATACCGCGATGCTAGTCGCATCGAGTTGAGGGTCTTGTCGACTCTGGCATGCAACGACAAGCACAACCGCAACAAGTGTATCCACCTGCGAGACACATTCGACTTCCGCAACCACATCTGCATCGTCACCGACCTCTTGGGCCAGAGCGTCTTTGACTTTCTCAAGAGCAACACCTTTGTGCCTTTCCCCAGCACTCACATCCAGCAATTTGCCCGCCAGCTTTTCACGAGCGTTGCCTGTAAGCCTTGTTCCAACCGCTCCTAGCCCCTATCTGTGTCTCTGACCCTTGTGTACAGTCCTGCATGACCTCAATCTCATCCACACCGATCTCAAGCCCGAGAACATCCTTCTTGTACAAAACCACTACCAGACCTTCACATATAACCGCAACATCCCTTCTTCATCCAATACAAATCCCCGCTCAGCAAAGTTCCGCAGGGTGTTGCTCGATCCCGAGATTCGACTCATCGACTTTGGTTCGGCTACCTTTGATGACGAGTACCACTCATCCGTCGTCTCGACCCGACACTACCGCGCTCCCGAGATCATCCTCAACCTTGGATGGAGCTTTCCTTGCGACATCTGGAGCATAGGCTGCATTCTCGTCGAGTTTTTCACAGGCGATGCCTTGTTCCAGACGCACGATAACTTGGAGCATCTGGCAATGATGGAAGCCGTGTGCAACACTCCGATTGACAAGGCTCTCGTCCGCCAAGTCACCTCTGGTCGTGGCAGTAACAAGAACTCTGCTGCAGCGTAAGTACCCTGCTGCTCTCGCCCTGACTGCGTGCTTACACCTCTCAAGTTACTTCAGGCGTCAATTACTCGACTACCCACAAAGCGACACTCCTCGCTCATCCCGCAAGTTTGTCAAGGCGATGAAACCTCTTCATGTAAGCCCTCCCGTCCTCTCCGGGCTCAGAAACTTCCCCTGCCCCCCTATTCCTTCGTCCTCTGCGGCGCCTCCTCGAGTCGCTCGTCCAACTAGCCTGCACCAAAACCAATATGCATCATACTTATATACTCTTCAGGAAATCATCCCGGCTCACAACGAGTTCAACCGCAAATTCCTCGATCTGCTCAAGAAGATCTTTGTCTATGATCCAAAGAAGCGTATCACGGCACATCAAGCCCTGCAGCATGACTGGTTCAAGGAACACTACGAAGACGACGGCACCGAAGCCGAGAAGATCAAAGTCGAAAGACAGCGCGCCGCTCGCCTCGAGAATCAGCGAAGTCAACAACACGATCCACCAGTCGGTCAGCTCAATCGGTGATACTGTACAAACATGATGCAAGCTTTTGGACACACGCAACAACATTGTGAGGACGTCGCATTCTCGGCAAGAGAGACGAGTCTTCCGAACAGACGGCATCGGGTAACGGGAGCTCGTCGCATTAGTGGGGAGTCACGGGAGGTGAATGGAGTTTTTCTTTGACAAAGCCATCGAGTCTTATTACAATTGTTTCTCTTTTTCAAAGGTCACGATAACACACGAAACGGAGAAGGGTTGCATCCATTGGACAAAAGGGAAGGCGGGGTTTTATTTGTTAATTTTTTTTTCTTTCCTTTTCCTCTGTCTTTACCAATCAGCGGCCGCATGCCTGCCTGCTGTTGCCTCTTGGAGGCTTGTTCTTTTTTTTTTTTTCCTTTCTGTCTTGTCTTTTATCCCGTCTATTCTGGGAGTAAGCAAGAGGGGATTTTCCATAAAATTCAGCCAGCCAGATCGGTTCAGCTGTTCGTTCCGCCATAGGATGGAATCATGTCCTTTATTATTTCATCTTCCATCATCCTCTACTCTTTACCTTGCTACCTTAACTCGTTCATCTACCAGGTTGATTATCGTCGTGAAGTCGTTCTGAGGTGTATTCTCATAACATGGATCGCACATAAAGCAGGCAAGGTGTGGATCGATGGATGGACTGGGACCACTTGATTCAATTTGCTCAAGTCGACGAGTTTCTCGTTCATTCCATCCACCAACGCCCATAATATCCAACACGAGAACATGAAAGAAAAAAAGCTGGGCTTGGTTTACACGAAAGCCTCGAGGATTCCCAGATAAGAAGACAAAACTAAAAGCGGATACCAAAAAGAACGTATCTAAGAAGAGGAGCGAGGGATAGAATGAATAAATGCTCCCTGGGCATCGGAAGAAGGGTATAATAAACATTATAAAGAATGGAAAAAGACGGCGCTGAACGGCACGATAAAAGATCACTGTTCATCTGCTGCTCTCGACCAGCACGCCACTCGCCTTTCCGTGAAGACTGGTGTTGACTCTATCTCGCAGACCCTTGAGTGGTGCCGATGATGCTTGTGACACTGTCTTCTTCCTAGGGCTGCGACGCAGAACGCGCTGTGCTTCACGCTCTTCAGCCGCTTCCTCGAGAAGAACTTGGACACCACCGCCGGCCTGGTCGTCCAGAATCTGTTGTCTCGACCCAAGAGCTTGCATGGCTGCTTTACCCTCTGGAATGATGGGACCAAGCTGTGCCTGTGATTGTTTTGCTAGTGCGCTAGCATTCTTCTCTTCAGAATTGTACGGTGAAAGCTCAGACTCGAAGCTCTGGGATGGGCTGGAGTGAGAAACATTGTCTTGATCGAGTTTCTTCTGGGCGGCGATTCTGGACCTTTCGTAGCGAGCAGAGACATCGCCGCCGACCCATTTGGTGCCGAGAAGACCGTCCCAGAAGGTGAAGAACGGCTGGCTGAAGTTGGTCTTGATGCCCCAGCTTTGGTGGTGAATGTCGTGGTAGCCGGCGTTGTTGCTAGTAATGTGCTGGAGAGGATCCCATGGAAGAGCGTAGCCGCAATGGTCGTCGACGGTCTTGATAGTGCTGCAAGTAAAGAACCACATGGATTGTCTGCAAGTCATACCAGCGAGCATGTAGGCGATACCGGTACCCAGCGTGTCCAGGAGGAAGCCCTCGAAGGGGTGGTTGTATAGAGCGCCATAGGCGTAAGGGACGTAAAGACGGTGGTGACGGGAGTGGAAGGTTGTGTAGAGCCATTTGTTCATGTGCATGGCTCTGTGCCAGAAGTACTGCCATGTGTCGACGACAAGGACGGCAAAGGTGAACTGCAAAGCGGGAATACCGATCCAGTAGATGGCCCTTGCAAGTGCGAGCTCCCATGAGGCGAATGCAGGGACGAGGTCGCCTGAGGCGGCTTGCTGGTAGAGATTGTAGCTACCGCCTTGCAAGGCGGCAGAGAGGATTGGGTGGGCAAGGGCCTGCTTGGATGCGATGGTGCCGGCGTCAAGACCAGTAAAGGCAAGCACAGCGGGAATTGCTCGCTGAGCAATACGGATTCTCTGGGCCCACACAGCGACGTTGTAATCATCCTGGCCGACTGTAGCCTCCGGCTCGATGATGGTTATGGCAAGACCAACAGCTGTCTGGACAATCTGTTGAATGATGACGTCGCGGAAAACATCCCATCGTGAGACGTGATTACGCTTGAGGACCTCGGCAGGGGTGTGTAGGCGGTATTGGGGAAATAGGTCGTACTCGTCAATGAAGTGGAAGATGAAGGAAACGATCCAGTAAGCGGCTACGGGAAGGACCAGGGCGAGGTAGAGGTCGGGGATCCAGGAGAGTAGGGGCTGTAGAGGGGTCAAGGTGTATGTGGGAAGAGGAGGGAGGGGCAGCATGGTCGCATTGGACATGGCTGACTGCATTGTGGGTGTGTGTTGGTGCTTGTTGTGGCTTCAAAGCCGGCACGCGAGTTGAAGAAGTTGCGATCCGCGAAGCTTGGTTTGTTGTGCTCGCAGCGAAGACGACCAAAACAGAGGCAGGCGGGAGCGAGATTGGCGTTGGTGCGGATTGAATGTTTGGCTGGTTGGTTGTGATAGGGACAGTTTGTGGTCGGAGGGAAAGAGTGGACAGAGGTGGATGAGGCAGGAAATGAGGCAGACTGAGGGTATTGATCGTCATTCGATTTCTCCTGTTGCTGCTCGGCTTGATCTGTGCCCGTCACCCGATCCGATGAAACGACTCAAGGAATTCTCGCCACCCTCTCGCAAGCCATCCCGTCACCTTCCGTGACACGTCCATACGCCGCCGTATTCTAGAATCCTGCCCTATTCGGTATCCTACCCTGCTGATCTCCGTGACATGGACATCATCGCGGGCAAACAGTCGAGTTGTTGTTCGTCTCATATTCGTCGTCTGTGGTCTCGCGTGTGTCCGTTTCCCTGTCGCTGTCGCTTGCGTTGTACACATCCCTATCCGTACTCGTTGCTCTTGACTATGTCCTCCATTCAGGCGTGTTGCATCTGTTCCTCGGTGCTACATACGATAGATGCGAAGACCGAGAAGCCTGTCATCGCTGCCCGCCACCTCTCCTGCTGCTCGCGACCCATCTGCCAACGATGCATCGCCAAGAATCCTCGTTACAACTCGTATTGCCCGTATTGTCAGATCTCCACAGATCCGCAATCAACACTGCCTCATGGTCTACGTGACCCTCCGCCGTACAGCGATGGTCAAGATTCTACACTATCATTATCTGAGAAAGACCACGATGCACCGCCTGCTTACTCCACTCACGAGTCCTCGCAACCTCCGCCAGAAAAGACGCTCGAGAATGCTCCAGACGTCCTGCATTTCTTGACTCCTGCCGACACGGCTCTCTCCCTGTCACTTGCCTATGGTGTGCCCCTTCACGCTCTGAGGAAGGCCAACAACGTCTTTGCAGATCATCTCATCCAGGGGCGAAGGACGGTCGTTGTTCCCGGAGAGTACTACAAGGGAGGTGTGAGCCTCAGTCCCAGACCAATCGAGGGCGAGGAAGAGGAATTACGCAAGTCAAAACTACGTCGCTTCATGGTTACCTGCAAAGTCTCAGAGTAAGCACCTACCAGTCAGTCATGAGAGTCCTGTGATACTAATTGTCTTTAGGTACGATGTCGCGCAACTATATCTTGAGCAGCACGATTATGACCTGGATGGTGCCGTCGAAGCCTACCAAGACGACGAGAAATGGGAGAAAGAACATCCACTACAGGACAACGGTAAAGGTAAGATGAATGCGCGTACTGTGGGCAAGAGGCGTTATGTTGGATCAGCGTAATCTGGACACCATCTTGTCTGTCTAGAACTTTTTTCTTCATGAATCACGACATTGTGTCTGCCGTTGCTTCTTGACAGGTATTTATTCGAAGCGGATGAGCCAGCCATCTGCTTCCTTCTCGCCTCTGGCATTCTCACCTCCCCACATTATGACACTTCGTCCATCGCTCGCGACATCTGAACTGAAGAATGCGCGAGGCCCTGGATGAACTTTTCCCTCGTGACCAATCTGTTCTGTGGCTTGAACTTCAACTTCGGCCCACTCGTAGCCACCACTCTTGTAGCCCAACTTGTCCCGAATCGTGTCTTTGATGGCTGCTGGCTTGAAGTCTGTCCATGTAGTGGGTCGGGTTGATTTGGAAGGCAGCTGATAAGTCCATAGATCAGACTCGATCGGTCGGGGTGTTTCGCGTGACTCGATTGATTTCTCGAGGTCTTCGGCATTAGCATGAGACTCCTTGCTGCCGAAGAAGTATACCAGATATAGACGACCATAGCCAGTGGTTATGGGCACGAGCGCACCACCACTTCGAGCCCCGGGTCCAGGAGATGGCACCTCTGACGGGTTTGTGATCCTCTGCCATTCTAGTCCGTGAGGCGATCCTGGATTGGGTACACTGTCACCAATCTCGAGTCTGTATACATGAGTAGCGCCCTCAGCTGGTGAATTGGTGATGAGATACAGTGTACCATCAGCAAAGGCTACACTCTCGGAAGATTCTGGGGAATCAGGCAAGCGGATCCATGTGTGGGAGACCATGTCGAAGAACCAGGTATCGTTCAACTGGGTTTTTGCAGATGATCGTCCACCATGAAGTAAAAGGTGGCCGCCGTAACGGAACAGTTTGTGATCGTATCTAGGTAAGGGCTTGGGGCTTCGGGTGGATGATCAGCGTCGATATATCAGAGTGCCGGGAATAGCACGTACCTGTCTGCAACAATCTGATGCCATTTGAAAGACTCAGTGTTCCAGATCCACAAGGAAGAGTCTTGGTCTACAAGTGAGTGATGTTGGTCACAGCCTCCAAAGACAGCCAGGTCGTGGCCCTGGACGCAGGCAGCGTGTCTGGTCCGTGGAGCCGGTACAGCAGCATCTTCATCACGAGGAATGGCTGGGTAACAGGCATACGCAACATCTGTTGAGCTAGTGCTCTTCATAGGAAGTGTTACGGTGTGGATGTCGTTGGATGCCAGGGTTCCATTTGTCGATTGGCCTCCGAAGATGCATGCCTTGTCGTTGGCGATGCTGACGGTGTGGTGTGAGCGTGCAAGCGCTAGACTAATAATTCGTCAGCTGTATACAGCTTCAGGCGTAAGGATGCATAAGTATACGTAGTGTCATCCTTGTCTGCAGTAGCAATCTGCGAGAAGGTAGCTTTCAAGGGAACAGTTGGTTTGGCGACTGCATAACCAGCAATGGCTCCGCCTTCGAGAGTTGTGGAAACAACCTGTTCAGCGACAAGGGCTCCAGCTGCTATCTCTGCCATTCTTGAGCTTGCAAGATAGTCTGGTGTGTGTTTGGATAGCTACTCCGGTAGGTATGGTCCCTGGCCTTGTGTAGGTATGGACTGTCATGTGAAAGCATGACGTCGATTGCCCCAAAAGGGAAAGGCGGGCTTGGCGGTCGGGAGTCAACATGTCCCCAGACGGGGGAGCCGATCACATCGCACGAGCACTTTACCCAAGCACCGAGCACCTCGACCGACCACCTATTCTTTGAGCAGAGCGGCAGAGAGTAGCGCCAGCACTCGGCATGGCGACGGCGACGACAGTAAAGGCCGGACATGCCATGCGCCGCCCGCGACCCGGCCTGAGCGGCCGCCTGGGCACGCGCGCCAACACACATGCGACAGGGAGCGACACGCCGCTCAAGACCATCTCGGAACCGCTTGTCAGGTCGTCCGACCACATCCTGCGCAAGTTTCGCGGCAGCCCCCCCTCGCTCACCATCCATCTGCATGCCACCTTCTTCCGCTTCGACCAGCAGGATGGCAGCTTTCCCTACGACTCTCCCATGAAGTTCATCCTCCACCACCTGCGCAAACAGACCATCCCCCACGAGATGATCCAGGACCTGTTGGAGAACCGCGTTGCCTTTTACGATGGCTGTCTTATTGTCAATATCGTCAATCACAAATCCTCTGTCGCAAAGACAACCACACCCGGCAACCTGTCTGTCACCTCGGCCGATCACAACGTTCCCTTCTCCATGCACAACTACCACGACCATGTTACTCCCTCTCCCTTTGGCCCTTACCCCAAAAAGCCTTCGGACCGTCAGTCGCTACCCAACAAGTCTAGATCCGAGTCTGTCAAGCAACACGATGGCTCTAAAGACCAGCCCCATACCGGGCCGCGCACCTCGACTATTGTTCTGCATCCTACCGATCTCTCGCGCCACCACGAGTTGATGCACCTCGCCAACCAATTCAACAAGACCGCCCCGACTCTCGATGAGAAGGACTACTATCAGTTCGAGGCTACTATGCTTGTTTCCAGCGAGCCACCGCTATTGTTAGACCCTGCAAAGTCTCCTGAGGAGGCCGAGATGGCCCTGCGACTACTTCAGCACCCTCTGCACTCTGAGCCTCCGCCGTCACCCCGCTCTCGTAAGCGCACCCATGCCGAAATGGCCCAGGACGATGCACAGGCTTTCGAAGAGGAGAGACGCATGCTTATCATGGACGAGCGCATCAAGCCTTCCTTACGGGGTGCCAATGGTACATCTGCTTCCGAAGGCCAGACTGCCTCGGTCGCTCTCGGCTTCTCCCGTTTCAAGACACTCGAAACCATCAAGAAGAACCACGAGGAGAATGATCGCAAGAAGAAGGAGGAAGAGGCACAGAAGGCCATTGAGAAGCGCCAGCACGATACGGCGTTGGCCCAAAAGAGAAAGCTCATGGAGGACAGGAGCAGACAAGAGCAAGTCGCTACCCAGCAGAAGCAGAAGATGATGATGCAACAGCAGCAGTTGATGCAGCAGCAACAAGCCCAGCAGCAGGCTCAACAACAGGCCCAACAACAGGCTCTCCAGCAACAACAGCAACAGGCCGCTCAGCTGCAACAACAACAGCAACAACATATGCAACAGCAGCATGCCCACAACCTGGCTCAGAGCCAACCCATGGCTGCAAATCCCCAGCAGCAACATCTTCAGCAACAAGCAGCAATGGCCGCTCAGCATTCGTCTCCTATCGTCCACAACCCTACTCCCATCATGGCCTCATCGCCGCTCATGCCAAACGCTGCCAACATGAACATGGGAGGCTTCCCCATGCAACCTTCCGTATCGAACCAAGGCGCCGGAAGCCCGGCTCGTCCTCCTTCGGCTGCTATGCAACACGCCAATATTGCCATGGCTAGACAACTCAGCCAGCAGGCCAGTCAGAGCCGTCATGCCACTCCACAAATGGCTCACGGAACCCCCCAAATGACCTCTGCTGTGCCCATTGATAGCAATCGCCAGATGAGTGGTACACCCAACATGCAACATCGCAGTCCCATCCCTCCTCACATGCAAAATACACCCAACCAACAGAACCTTATGGTTGCCGCTCAGATGAACCAGCTCACTCCTGGTCAGCAAATGGCTCTCATGCAGCAACAGCGCGCACGAAGCCTACAACAATCTATGCAAGCTTCACCAAATCAGACATATACGGCTGAGCAGCTCGCCATGATAAGAAACCAGCAGAATATGGCAGTACAGCAGCAGATGAACCCTCAGATGTATGCTCAAATGCAGCAACGCATGCAGATGCAAAGTATGCAAGGCGGGACCCCAATGATGCAGACGCCTTCCCAGCAGCAACAGCAGCAGCAAATGAGCCAGGCAATGGGACAACAGATGGGCCAGCAGCAGATGCCGAATGCCCAGGCTCAGAGGGTACAACAAGCACGTGCTCTACTCATGCGTACGAAGCAAGTGATTGTACATATGCAGTCTCAAGGTCAGCCAATCCCGATGGACCTGCAACAGAAATATCAGCAGCAGCAGCAAATGGTTGCCGCGACCCAGGCACAAATGGCAGCGGCCACAGCGCGAACGCAACAACAGGCTCTTGGTGACACGAGCAACACGGAACAGTATATGCAAAACTTGCGTAATCAGCAAGCACTGATAGCAAGGATGCAGCGAAACCCTCAGATGGCACAGCAACAAGGCATGATGAACGGGGCGGGCCAGCAGCAACAACAACAACAGCAGCAGCAGAACATGAATATGTTGCAAACTCAACAAGCGCAAATGCAGCAACAAATGCACTTTGCCCGTCAGAACGCGATGAATCAACAGCGACCTGGATCGGGAATGGGTCAGTAGATTTGACATGATACCCCATGGGCAGGCGTTTCTTCTTCAAGGCGTTTAGTGGTCTTTTGGGCACGGGCATTGGCAATGCATGCTTGTACGTATAAATTGAGTCGAGTTCGTGTGCTCTATCTCTAGCCTTGATGATTGAGCGGATGACTTGCAGACTCAATTCAAGGACGAGTTTGCACCACCTGAAACTTGTACTTTATGTATTTCTCTATTGGTTTATGATTCTGCTTTTCATCTGATCTTGTCAAATCTTGTGTCTTGTAATCGTATCTGCAACCACCAGCTGACTCGGGTAGTGTCAATGACTGCTGCCCTTCGGCAAAATTCGAGCAGTATCGGTAAGTAGGTAGTCATGGGATGGTGGCAACTACTCCGGAGTGGATCAGTCCAATCGGGCTTGAATGCTGACAGGTACCGCGAACAAGTTCGGACTTGCCTGTCGAGAATCTTCCTCTCACACCATCATCTCGACCGTGACGCGGTCATTTCACTCACTGCCATCCAGTCAGCTATTGCCATCTTTGAATTCTCGTCCATACAATAACCGTTTCCAACTCCAGGAAGCCTTCACGAACCGCAGCGAAATGCGCCTTCTACTCTCCTTTTGCTGTAGTGATGAGACAAGAGACAAACATGTCACTGACTGATCAACATTACCCGGAGAGTCTTTAATCACGCATACTCTTGCTTATCAACAGACTCGGAAGATACGTTCGTATACTGCTTCTGCAAAGACCCTGCGCCATATCAAGTCAAGTGTCGGCATTACTACCAGACCGAGACCGAGATATTTATCATCGACTGAGCCCACACACTTGGCAACTACGCTACAACAAACCCCAACGATGATGATATACGAATGCTACCTGGACGCAAAATCCCGAAAGGTGCTGTTTCCCTGATCTCTCCGTTACCTTTCCCTGGAGAGGATATCTGCGTTATGCCGCAACGCGAGTCCCATGCATGCTTCGCATTGATATGGAACAATGCAGACGCTAAACTATCATCCAATAGCCACAGAAAGCACAGCTTTCACATCTTCCGTGGCGCAATTGGCTAGCGCGTTCGACTGTTATATTTGCTTCCAGCATCTCAGGCTATCGAGAGGTTGACAGTTCAAGCCTGTCCGGGAGAGCTTTACTTTTGTTTTGTCATCACATCGACGAGAGAAAGAGAAAGAATAGCAAGTACCCTTTTGGCATATGCTCTTATCTTCTGGTCAAAGTCACTACCCAACTGCTTATGACATACGTGAGAGCTATGCTTTTTCGTGATGCTTGTCAATATGGCTGTTCTCAGAGGTTGAGCCGGACATGACAGTTGCTGTGATGATGACCCTGTTCCGATCAATCGCAGCTTTGAGAAAGCATCACCTTCCCATATGAAGACATGTCACGCGGATAGCTGAATGGATGCACAGTCTCTATAGTGGTAGAGAGTAACCACCGGCACTCGTGGTGTTATTGGCTCTCCATCGACTTTTCCACCATGTGGAAAGAACTATGCAATTCGATGGCTTCATCTCGAACATGTTCTGATCAGGGTGGAGTGGCACATCTAGCAGATGGGAGGACAGCGATGTTTGTGTATGCAGCTAAAGGTGCTAGCGTATGTATGTTTCCATCTGACCCACGGTCAGCGCCAGTATAGAACCTCGAGAGACACGCTACAAATTCGCGTACAAAATTTGTACTGCTGCGCTGCGGAACAAGTCCACGAAAGTCCTTCTGCGAGAATGACCAGCTATCCAACCAGACGGACACCCTGGGTATAAGACTTACTAACTATACTGTGCCACAGAACAAAACTATGAAGGGACGTGTGAAGCTGCATGACTTGATACAAAAAGCATGCTCATGCTGGGGATCGAACCCAGGATCTTCTCTGTAACCACTAAATGTCAAGACACTATGTGAGAGAGATGTCATACCACTAGACCACACGAGCGCGCATTGACCAATTTTGGATAAGATACAATATATTGCCTAGATAAGTACACTGTACGCTTGAACTAGATCTACAAGTATCGTCAACGGCTTTCCAAGAGTGGTAGCCAGCGCCTAGCAGAAGATTTTAAAAGTACAGCTCATCGCTGATCAGACTCCATCATATGATATAAGCAAGGTAGTTAATCACAGGGGACTGATTGTCGCCAGAAGAGCCTCAGCTTCGTGGAGTGCACAGGACGACTCACGACAGACCAGATCGTACGATTCGTGTCTATTGGTAAGCGTCACAGGGTCTGCCGATGAACCAAGCCACTAGGAGGGGACAGAGGTCGTGTTAACAAGAGAGATCGAGAGTGGTACGAGATGGTCGACTAATTGAGGGCAGATAGAAAATATACCCAACCCGTCACATCCGGATCCGAAATTCGGTACACGACTTGTCTATAGACTTGGAAATTCCATTGCACAACAAAAACGGGATTTGCTCTTCTGCGCTGATCGGCGCACTATTTCAGGCAATCACACTCGCAAGAGCGAATCACAGTTAACAAAGCAGAATGAAGGGCACGCAACGGCCAATTCTTGGGATAGAAAAAGCCGAAGACGTACAGGGAGCGTGTCTCGATTCTCGATGCATCAGTCAGCCTCATGATTCTTGAGCTTATGAAGCCCTGCTGCTTGCGCGGCCATCCGAGTCGTCTCGATGAGCGAGATCAAGTTTTTCGATGAATGTTTGTCCTCGTTCACCTGATTTTCGATAGTTAGCTGGTTAGGCAGAGCTTGGCATGGGTCTCCGCTCCGCTACTGGGAGTAGGTAAGGTTGATCGGGCTCTGCGGGTCATGCAGCCACTTCGCTCTTCTCCCGGGCCTTATAGCACAGACCATGAGGGTGATGCATGTGAAAGGAAAAGCTTGAGATCTAGGCAAGGGACATGTGCAGACACAGCGAGGAATCGACCAACCAAGCAAAAGGAATAGACGCAGCAGAGGGCGAACGGATTTTGTTGATCGGATTGCAGTCTCACGGATCTTGCGGTCCGCGGCAGTTAGCACGAGGAATAGCTGTAGACTCATCGTCGGCGCACATGCCGGAAGTCCCGGACTGCAGCACGGTCGTCGATGCTGTATGACTATGCGGTCATTCGATCGCATTTCTAATCTTTACATCTCTGTTCTTCCTTTTTCACGCTTTCCATCTTCTTCGGACTTTCGTTTGCTCCACGTCAAATAGACGACTGACCTACTCACGCGCGCCTGGAGTCGCTGCTTCTGTGGGCAATCGGACTGACAATTTTCGAGCTGGTCTCTTACATCATCTGCATCTGTATCTGCACACCCGGCTCGACTCGCCCAGCCCTCTGCTTAGCAAACATCACTCAAGATTCAAAAAAACGCTCCACCACCACCACTACTACTACTACCGCAATGGGAGCAACATGCGATACTGCGAGGTGAGCAAGCTGTGGCTGTTCTAGCTTGCTATGCTGTTACTGACAATGTTGGGCAGGACGCTTAGCATGGCCGTATCCTCGGTCATCTTGATCTATCATGCGGCAACAGCATATCTATGCACCTTTCTCACCAGCGATCCGCTGTACATGTCCTTCAGCGTGACTGCATATGCCTGGTATGGCTGTGCCTTGGCTATCCTAGGAATCTACGGATCCTATAAGGTATTCACGGTAGTCTAACTCTAACCTTATCACTGCTAACTCTACCTAGAAATCACCCACACATTTGACAATCTTCTCCAATCACCTGCTCATCGACACGGTACTCTCGCTCGTTCCTAAATTCGGTCTTGTTTATCTCTTCTACGATGTTACTGCAGATCTCTGCTTCACCAGCAAGCTCAACACGTCATTTTGGTTCCCTTCCAGCGCCGCGGATCTTCACGGTTCCGGCCGCGTCATTCAGACTTCATCTACCGAACAAACCCTTGGTGCGAGTATCAAGGCACGCCGCCACTGCGAAACGGACGTCCTCATAGCCCAGATTGCCTTTGGTGCTGTGCTAGTCTTCTGGACAATTGCTCAGTGGGGTATGGGCTTGAGCGTGCGTCGATATGCTCTCAGGCTAGAATTGCAGAACTACAACTCAATCCAACGCAACGAGCGCTTGGACGAAGAGAAGGCTCTCTATAAAGACGAAGGCTATGCCGACGAGTATCAGGATCATGTCCACATCGTCCAGCAACTGAAACCCTCAGAGAAAGACAGCGTCACTGTCATTGAGATCGCTGAAAAGCACTCCTGATCATAACTCTTTCCTTTTCGCCTTGGGAGTCTTCAACTCGCCATCTTTTGGACACGATACAAGCATTACGTTTTCCTTTTTCTTACGCATAACGTCAGCGATATATACCTATTATTTACTCACGCACTCTTCCTTTATCAAGTCTCAAAGACATTTAGACTGATAGCAGTATGTCGTCAGGACTCGTGTGTAGAAATCTCGTTTCTAAGTATCTACACCAGCAGCTTTCGTGTCCAGAATGCGTGTATGACACCAAACGTCCCTCTTCCAACAAGTCTGACAAGGCTCTTCACAATCACATGTATTCCAAGCCAGAACGCCACCACAATGCATACATGCTTCTTCCAGTGTCCAACCATGGTCTGTCGTGTGATCCTTTACAGATCCCAGTCTCGAAATAGTACGCTCGAATCTTCTTTGATGCCATCTACACACACGATTTTCCATCACAGCTACTTCGGCCTGAACACGACTGCCTTGAGCAGTACGTTGGTCCGGTACCCATGTGAACAGAGCAACAGGATACCAGCTCCGGCATAACACGCAACATCTGCGTGCAGATCGCTCCTTCCCTTCCTCCATAGCAGTGAGGATGGCCTGTCTCTCACAACTGTTCGAATCTCTTGAAAGTTTCTTCTCTGGCGTTGGGATTGCCGTGAACAGATCTCGACTACTGAGACGAAGCGAGACGAGTGAATCGTATGAAAGGTGGGCAGGTAAGTGCAAGGTCAGGATGTCGAGGGGCAACTGTAGCAGCGGAAAGACAACACGCGGTTTAAGGTGTTTGCGCGACATTGGTGGAGGCGCTGGCTGGAGCGTGGTGTCGTGGTCATGCTGGTGGTCGGTTCGATGAGTGCTGATCGTCGGAGAAAGCGATGCCGGATCGGTGATGGAGTGACAGAGTGTGAGTAGCTCCGAGGGTAACCACATTGCTGCTACTGTCGCTTCTATGCTGGAGGTATCTCTTGAGACGATAACTCTTCTTAGTTCTCGTCTGCAAATGCTCTACTTGGTTGTCTTCTTGTGGTTCTCGGACAAGACTTTTCTTCTGTAGTATCTTCGGCCAGGCAATTCGTCCGCGTCACTGTCGTCACAGACCCACACACTCGCTGCAGCTAGAGCAGTTGCTATAGCCAGCACTGAGACCAAGGTAAACATTTTGTTCAAGGTAGGAAGCACCTTTTATATAGCCGGAACCCGTTTGAGAGTTGATCTTCCCTATGACGGATATTTGGTGAATTATGATGAAACAGGGTCGAGCTTGTCCTCTGGTGAAACTTGGGTGTCTCCAACAGGGTCAATATTGGCGACTGGGCTCGCAGTTTGTTTTCCTTGAGAGATGTTGGACTGAGTACAAGGGTACACCAGATGGTCTTGTGGGGGTAGTGCAGGAACGTCTCGAGTAAACAACCAAAGCGCTTCGAAAGTTAAGAAGGTGCGACTCGCGATGCTCTATTTTTTTCCCTCGCGAAATTCGTTTGCTGCAATGCCTCTCCTCTTATATTGCTACGTTTTGTTGTCTTCATGACCAAACACTGTTCAGCTGCTTCCTGCACCTGTAGACCACAGCCACGCAACGTCCGGCGCGTGACCAAACTAACGCTATTCTCCTACCAATTTCGTTCGATTTTGTATCATTCAAATTCAAGTCGTCTTGGAGGTAAGATGACCGAGGTCGTTACTCCAAGTGTTTGTCTGCATGAAGCGTTTTGATTTCATTTTACTTGTCTTGTTGTACCGGTCGCAAGCACCATGCACCTCGTGTTTTGAATTCATGCAGGAGAGCTTTGGATCATCTCGACGCTCAGTTTTCTGCCTGTCATGAACACAACTATCGTGATGTTTTCGAAAGCTTATGTCAAAAGAATGTCTCTATTATGGAGTTTGCATTTGAGCTTTTCGCATCTGAGCGCTGACGCGAGAGCGAGCCGGGCCTGGAAATGTGATGCGAATCGCGTGACTGTGGCCTAGCCTTCGCTCTCAGACTCTAACCTGCCGGTCTGCAGTAAGTGTATCATGAACTTTGGGTCTTGAGTAATGTAATTTGTGGTGCTCAAAGTACGTATTGAATAAGTAGACCTTTCGGTCCCGGTCTTACAAATGATGAGATCACACTCGTTGTTGACTATGGTCGTTTGCGACGCATGTGACAATGGTCTCCTATGTTCTGTTCTCGCGTTCGTAGTCTTACCAACGACCGAACGAGAATTTGTCGCGGAATTGATCAGCTGTGTTCATGTCAGTATACGCGACCTTCAATCAAGTATGCAAGTCTACTTACCATAGTCAGTTATCTGACCACAGCCGCTCTGCTCCCTTTTCATTTCAGCATCAGGTAGCCATGACTGAATCTTCTCCATTCGATTATGACTTGAAGGGTGCGTGGAGAGAAATTGTGGCGGAGCGCCCTCTTCAGCATCGTGCATGCGCGACCATAGTCCTACAGCGGCTGATGGATCGTAGCAAGCTTCCGCCATCATCATCAACCCAATATAATCAGCCTCAGACTAAGGATTCGGATTAATCTTAAGAAGTGGAGGAATATCGAGGCGACCAGCATAACTCACCTCCTGCTTCCTGCTGCCAGGCCTCATAAAGGCTAGATCCACTACCATTCTGGTGAAAACATCTCCAACGTCACCAATGCCTAGCAGAAACGACCCAACCATTGCGATAGGCATAAGGACGACGTAAGAGCTCATTCGCTCGGCAGAATGATGGGCTACGTTGTGGGCAATCTCATGGCCGAGCACGGCCGCGAGTCCAGGTTCGCCTTGACAGACATCAAGTATGCCGGAGAAAACAAAGACTTTGCCGCCCGGGATTACGAAAGCATTCTTCTGCTCATCTTTGATAACATGCACTTCCCAGTTGTTGGTTTCGGCTAGAAGTCCAGAATGAGGAATGAGTCGATTCAAGACACGTTGGACAAGCTTGTGCTGAGGATGCGATGGAGGCAGGATACGGTCTTTGTATTCCTCAATGACTTGCTGGTACAGTTCTTGGCCAGATTGTTGTTCTGTGCTGGCAGAGACGACGTTGAAGCGCCTGCGACCCGAGACCTATACAACAGATCAATGTCATAGTTACTCTCAAACATTGTTATCACCGCAGATAGTGGACCGAACTTACAGGTACGACTTCCAGGTTGTATGCATAGAAGCCACCAGCCAGGCTAGCCAGGCCGCCAGCTTCGTAGTAGAACGTTGGTCTCGCCGACCATCGCCTCATCAGCCCACTTGCCTGCTGGAATCGCGAGTATCGATAGCCGTTCCCTCGACCAAAGCCATTGGCATACGTCCTCTTTTGCCAAGCACTGCCACCATTGTTCTTGAATCCACGGAATATCGTCTGCCTAGAGGTTGAGCGAAAGGCGGCATTTGAATTGAAGAATGTCCGCGCTGTCGCCATGGTCGCGCGTGATTCTGAACGGCTGCACCGGAAGTATTGCGCTGAGACGTTAAGGAGATAGAGTCTCGAATGTGCCCGAACAAAGTGTTGATTATATGGCACTTTGTCCCTCGTGTGATGTTTGCTTGACGCGATACGGTTTGCGATGACGACGCACGTTTGTCACGTTTCCTCAAGTTGGCCGAAACCTCAACTCAAAAACTTTATATCAACTACCAACGTCCTCGAGCTTGGCACTGAATACGACCAGAGATATAAGCAGGGGTCAGGACGATTTTCGTCATTATTGTGCATGGCGCTATTTCGACCTGCCCCGTGACGGCGAAAGAAACCAACCACCAATGACTTGTTGGATACAAAAATACTCATCAACGCATACCCGAGCCGTCCATGTCTATCTTTCAGAACTCGGGATCTCCACCACTTCATTGAACCACTCTCTCATCTCGTCGCCCTCGCCAAGAACAAGTAGTTTCCTTGACCCGCAGAACCCTCCTGGGAGCGCGGCTCTCGTGACATTCCTGTACCCTCCAGACATATTACCAGTCGTCAACCACGCAGCATCATCGTACTCCCAAACCACATCTTCGTACTGCTGGCCGACCTCTTGTATCCTTCTAGGATTTCTGGTCGGAAGTCCGAGACTTACGCCTAGCATTTTCTGGAATGGAGCGAACAAGCGTTCGAATCGACGACTAATGCGGAGAAAGAAGAGCGTTCTGCTGCTATATGCGACTCGGATATAAGGATTCAGGTAGATGCCAGTCGACAGCGAGCCCGAACGGTTGACAGCTGCTTCAATATCGGCGTGGACCAGGCAGCATTCGCTCGCGTCCCAAAAAGTGTCAGCCGAGGCCCGAAAACGGATCGGTGGTACTGTGTTGGGTATGCTTGTTGTGTCATCTGCGGATTCTTGATTGGAGGATATCATGTCGAGGTCCGGCGTCGTATCGGCCACCCCAAGATTGATGCGCATACCACCTGGCTGGAACCATCTCGCATTGAAGGCCACCATGCCGCCCCAGCAGCTTCGCACCTTTACGGCGTCTTTCTGATCAAGCACATCTTTCCGGCTGTTTGCGTCTCGAGCATCACTGAACCACGGATAGATCGGCACACCTATACGATTCCCTTGATCGTCTCTCGTTGCAAATGTGTCGTAATATTTGAAAGGATTGATGAAGTCTGCTGCACAAGCAGCATGATATTTGGCCTTGCCGGTCTCATCGACGTTTGTTGAGAAGATGAGGTTTGCTGCATCGATTGGATCGAAGACGACATCGTTGATGTAGAGCAGCTTGTCGAAGTGTACCGAGTATGCGGACGACTCTGGGTCTTCCAGAGGTGCCAAAGCACGATTGCGGACGTGAGCCAGGAACTCAATACGCTTGAGTCTCTTCTGACCGTTTGGAAGCTTTACGTGCGGCAAGGCTGCGCGATCAACATGTTCAGCGACCAGCGAGGAATCACCTGTAGAACAGTCAGTCATGAAGAACAGAAGCTCATATTGACTCACAGTTAACTCGCTTAGAGAAGCGCTCCAGAGACGTTCTTGCCAGGCTGTCTGGGTCATCTTCGAAGACACTAAGGAACACGTTCTCAGGTCCCAGCAGATCTACAAGGTCAAGTAGATTTTGCGCCCACGGCCCAGACGCAAGTTTACCTTGCTTGTCGTAGATACTGCTTGCAATGAATATTTTCTCATTATGAATATTGGCACGGCCAGGATCTGTTGATATTAAAGCGTGTGCACGCAAAATATTGTAATGTTGCGGAGGATGAGAGTAGGAAGGGTAAAGAACAGCAACGAGTAGTATAACAACTACGGCCAGTGAGAGTAGAGTAACCATGACCATCCCAATTAGACGCCGGAGTCGTAAACGTCCGACAGAGCGGAATGCTGGTGTTTTTCGAGTATGAACTGCATCGCGGCTGTGGTTTCTTGTGTTGTCGAGATCGCTTATCAGAGTGTAACGAGTCGTTCTGACGGCCGACCAGGATGCGACAGCTCTCCAAACAACTACTGGGACGCGCATGTACCATGGCCGAGCCACGAGTGAGGAGCGACTGCGTGTGTTTCGTTGTGGTGAACGCGATCGCAACGAAGTCAATTCGTATTGACCAGACATTTCAACTGACACTGGATCTCGTCGGCAACGAAGACTACCTGCACTTACCTCTGTTGTGAAGCAAGGCAGTCCCGTGTTTCCGTCCGCGGCTAAAGGGGTTGTACAGAATTTCCGTACTAGGCTAGCGGACGCACGTGGACAAGCTTTGTACCCCAGATAGATCTGCAGGGTCTCAATGCTTGAGTCTGAAGTGATGATCGATCAGGGCACGCACGTAGGAATGTTCAATCCTTGGAAGTGTCACTCCTAAGAGGTGCGAACTGTCATTCACTCTCATGCCGAAAGACTCTGCAAAGGAGGTATTTAAACAGGCGCGTAAATCTGTCAGATACCGAGTGCAGCAAAAGCAAGGAAAAGTGGAGGCAGGAAGAACATGGAAGAGCGAAACCGGTTGGCTAGTGTTGCAAATTTGCGACTCCGCAGAAAGCAATATTCTGCTCACCGACCGGAATGCACAACTCGGTGCGAGAAAGTGGCCTTGCACACCCTCAAGGCTCTGATCTAGATGTTTAGTCCGTCGTGTACAATACTAGAAGCTCATCGACCGATACTGTTACTGTCTGAACTTGGCATGGAAGGCCCGTTCAGCCAACGCGAGGTGTGTTACAACGCTCGCACTCGTTTGGTAGTAGATGATGGTCTGGCGTGTGGCTGTGAAACAGTGTTTGCATGTTCCGAGACGGGTGGTCTCGTGCCTGACGAGCTAGTCGACGACAGTCCTTCTGATGTCAAAGACTAACAGACATGGAAGCGAGAGGTGAGAGGTCTGGACGGTCAAGCAGCAGCAGCAAGTGCTCCTGATGGTTCATCAAGTGTGGGTGTGGGTTATAATGACTTGGATCACATGCCACCTTGGATGGCAAAGGAGGACAAGATCAAGACGAGGGAATTGATGATACCCCAGGAAAATGGGATCCAGGTCGACATGCGAAAGTAGCCAGCAGTATAGACGCCGCTCAATAGACCACCAACGACGTTGCCAGCAATCAGGGCTTCGATAGCACCGATTGCGCCAAAGACGATTGGGGCAATCCATATGAGCTTCCAGTTGCGCCATTGGATGGCCATGGCAAAAGCGGCAGCAATTAGGTGAATGCCTACGACATCAATGATGGTCCAGAGAAGAGTGAAGCGCCATATGTCGTGGGAGTGGTAGAGGTACAGGGTTTGGGTTCCACCAACAGGGAAAGGCCAGTACAGAGAGGGAAAGGGTGGAGTAGAGTATGAGAGTGGAGGAGTGTCGACGACGGTGCGCAGGAACGAGTCTCTGCAATCGGGGGTCAGAAGCGTGACGACGAAGGGGCCGTGGCCGTGCAACGGGCGGAATGCGTGTACCTGATGCTAAGATGTGTCAGAGAGGATGATCAAAGCTACGTTGGAGCGAGAAGATACGGCACCGACCCCATGGCTGCGACGGTACGTGTGTACGGAATGCGAGAGAGCAAGAGTAAATGTCGTTGCTTGCGAGAGGCTTCGACCTTGACGGCCGAACCTCCGACGCACCCTTGGACCTCGGCTTGCCGCCAAGCTACCCTTATCCATCAACCACGCCGTCAACATGTCAACTCCTCTTCTGCAAGCCCTTCTGCCAAACACTACACCATGTCGATCGATAGGCTGTTGTCCACCTTGCTGAGGTATCTGCAATCAACATCGGATCAACATGACACTCGCCGGTATGCTTCTCCAAATCCTTTCAACCATGCTACTTCTTCGCGACTAATCACCACCAAGACTACTCGGCACAGCAGCATCTCTGTTGACAACACTAAACAATCCCTTGAACATCACTTTGCTCACCAGTCAGCTCTTATCTGCACCCGCCTTGTGGTCTCGCCCAAATGCCTTGACTTCTTCCTTGACCTTTATGACCGTCTTCCACTCGGCTGCTATCAAATGCCATCAACGTGAACTTGCCCAGCACGACATTCAAGAATCTCCTTCATCAATGCGACCACATGTCGAATCTCATCTTCCCTTGAATGACTGGATTACAGCAGTGCTCAAGGGTGCCGACCAACATTCTGCTCCCGACCACCACCTACTTGCTATCGGAGGTTTGATCGTTGGCCTGACCACACACGACAATCAGTCCATGTCATCAAACATTTCTTATACTCTACGCTCAGCCTTTGTCAAGGCTGTCAATCTGGCCCTGTTAGAAGCTCCTGCCGCTGATGACGCCGCTCATGGAGCCATATGTCTAGCTCTCAACCATGCTTTCACTCACCTATCACATGTGGACCGCTCCACTCTTGACTACGACCGTCTTCTACCCGTACTCATGACTTCGACATTCCACTCGCCACACGGTCTGCGCTCTGGCTGTTTCCTGAGCGCAGCAGACGCCGATCTCCAACAGGTCTCGACCCAGCAGTTCAACTGGCCCTCTGAATCACCTTCGTATCAACAGATCGACTCTATTATCAAAGGTCCGCTGGTCTCATCTCTTGGCCCTCTGTCAAGACTGATAGCTCATACTATCCATCATGTGCACGATCCATGGCTTGTGCTATCTGCTGTCGAGGACTTGTCAGACTTCTCGAAACGTCTGGGTACACAATGGAAGCAGAACAAGCTGTCCGAGATCGATGCGTCCGAAGAGAATGTCTTCCTCCATGAAGAGGCCCGAACTAGCACTGTTCCAACCTTATGGAGGCTTCTCCGCTCCACTTTATTTGCCATTGTCATCATCCTTCGTAGTGCAACCGGTCGCGTGGTAGGAGATGTAGCTTTGGCAGCTCATAACAGTAAGATATATGCATCGAGACATTTTCGGTCAGGACTAATTCATTAGATGCACCTCATATGGCACAAGCCATTCTTCACTCTCTTCGCAGTCTCTCGTTCGTCTTTAGCCGCCTGGGCAATGTCTCGTTCTCACAATATACCTTCACCTACCTTGCTTCTATCGATATCCTCTCCAACTACCCGGATCACTCGTCAACCTTCCTCGATTCTATAGCCCCCTCAGAGCTGGGACATATTCCTTCTCACCCCTTCGAACGTAACCTAGACCTCTTCTTCCTCAACACGGCTGAGCACTTTGCTCTTGTTCTATCCTCACGCCAGAACGAAGACCTTCTGCTTGCTGCAGCATCACCATATCTCGTCACAGCAGGCAACTCCAATCTCCTCCCAATCTTCGAAGCCGCTCACAGCGTCACTTTATCAGTCTTCTCTGCGCCTCAAAATGTCGACCTCGCCGCAAAACACCTTCCATTCTACGTCGACGCCTTGTTCCGCGTGTTCCCTCATAACCTTTCCGCTCGCCAGTTCAGACTGGCCTTCAAAAATCTCATCAAGGTCGTCTCGCCACCCAGTCGCATCGCCGTTACCCAGCCCATACTTGCTGCTACACTTCTTGATCTCGTACACGAACGTGCGATACATGCCCCAAACACTGCTCTACCGCCGACGTATGTTCCTCTGTCAGCAAACACTCCAGAACTCGAAAGCATTGCTCCGTCCGCTATCCCTGACCTGTCCGAACAGGCAGTCCTGATACTTACTCTTATCGACTCCTTCCCATGCCTGTCCTTGGTTCTGCTGGAGGAGTGGTTACCAATGACTGCCACGGCGACGCAGATGGTCACGGATCCAGTCATGCGTGAATACTGCAGGAAGCATTTCTGGGAAACTTTGATTGGTGGCGAGATGGACCCAGAGCGTAGTCAGATATGCGTGCGGTGGTGGACTTCGAGGGGAGGGCGTGAGTCGTTGCTTGAAGTCGATGACTCAGAAAATGATGAGCTTGTCATGAGCGGAGCATTGGGAGAGCATGAGAAGATCATGGCCAAACTGTGATGGTTGTGAGGAGGATACCCTAATGAGACTATGAAACGCCTGACACAGGCAACCCTCAATACCAGTCAGACCATCTGCCTATTTCTGTGACCATCACTGATCTATCACACCCTCGTGTCTCGCTCTTACCTTCCCCCCCTCTTCTCCTTTCCCCTTTCCCCTGTCCCTCTGAACGTGACTCAACGACCAGTCACTGATACCTTCATGTGCCTCGGCCCTGCAGCTCAGACCACATCACCATTCGCAGTGTGTCTGCTGACTGCTCTCTCCAGTCTGATTGCCGCATCCTCTTCTTCGGCCAAATCTTGTTTCTCGTCCGGCAGCAATACTGCACGGTCGATGGCAATGGGTAGACCCCTGTGCCTTCCTCTCAACATGACAGCGCACAGAATGAGCTTACTCAATTTGTGCCATGAGCCACAAAATGAGTACGCATTGTCAGGAACACCCACACTTATGCCAACTATTTTGCGCCGGTTAGCGATGTTCGTCGAACATGCGGCGAGCGTATGATCACGAACCTGTACCGTAGCCGGAAACGACTTCGAAAATGACGTTGAAGACAGAAAAAGTCTTTGGGTCACGTTCGAATTGTCCACCCTCGATGATCATGATGAGAAACACGGCAAAGACAATCCACCAAGCGTCATGCGCGAGCTGCGCCCTCAGCTGCTGCTGTAGGAAGTAGCTCTTGCCCTCACTCAACCCACCGAATCCAGTCGCGATTTGTTTCTTCACCCCGCGGAACTTGCTATAGAAGCTGTTGGGATCTTTGGAGGCCTCAGATACGTTGTCTGGATCATTCTCATCGTAGACACCCAAACTTCGCTCTTCATAGACATTGCTGTTACGCATTGTGATGACGACAGGATATACGGAGATGTACATCATGATCACATATAGGACTTGAAGCGAGATGCGGACGGTGGGAATGGCAACCACATAGAAGCCTCCAGAGCGAACGGCAAAGGCCTGGAAGAGACCATCAAGCACGCGGATATGAACAGGGATGGTTGCGTTAAGTACGCGATTGCCGATGTTCAAGATCTCGAAAGCAGCCCAGTCAACGCCGTTGAGAATAAAGACAGCAAAGGCTAGCCACCAGGTATGCTCTGATGGGAAAAGATTAGTGTAGCAGCGGCGAGGGTGGTCGAGCAAGAAACGCAAAGTGTTTCGATGATCTTCGAACCTGGCTGTCTTGGGTAGAGACTTGTAGATTATCCAAACGATCAACCGGAGGAAGATCGGATAGCAGGTATTCCCGGCGAGGATCAACAGGCCCATAGTCAGTAACAGATAGTACGATGTCTGGAAGGCTACCATGTTGGCGTCCAGCAAGCTCATACCAGAGTTATTGAAGGCAGACACAGCATTGAAAGCTCCTACCCACCATGGGTTGAGGCCGTTAGATCGAGCTGTCTCCGGACGGTTGTACGCGACCCAAGCAGCACAGCCTAGAGCTCCAAGCAGTTGCCAAAGGACGAGATACAGAGGGACGATCCAGGAGAGCCACAAAAGTGCCTTGTATTCCACACCACCAAGCTTTTGGCGTTCGGCTTCAGTGAGGTTGTGGAACGTGGAATTGCGAGATATGTAGCCAGCAGAGGGAAAGTAGTCAGCAGTAGACTGATTACCAACAGGCGCTTCCTCAGCAACAGAGGTGCGCGAGATGGATGCAACACGCTGGAGACTGGCTTCAGATCTGGCTCCAACACCGGAGACGGAGAAGACACGCTGTCTCGGTTTGGTCGGCGACGGTTGATCGTCCTGGTATCTCTGCGATCGGAATACAGTCTCAGGGCTGAAGGTGATACGATCCGGGGAGGTGACATCGTGCAAACCGTCTTCAGCGATATGCGATTCATCGCCGGCCCCATCGGTATCCTTGCTTGTGCTCAAGCGCAGGGAGGTTTTGCTGGTCGAAGCACGGCCTCTCCTGACAGGGCTATGGGCCTCGTCCATGTCTGCTAAGCGAGATTGCTTATCTAGACCCAGATTTGGATTGTTGTTCTCTCGAGATCTGCTTATCGAGAGCCTGGACATGGAAAAGGTGGAGCCTCTGAGAGAAGTGCGCCGCTGTTTCCGAGCCCTGTTTTCAATGACGCTTATGAACTTGCGTTCAAATGCTCTCCTCCGGACTTGGAGGACGAAGTTGGATACGAAGATAGCGGAGCCTATGAAGATAAGAGCAAATAGCATAATCTGCTGCCAGGTATTGAGCTCGCTCAGGTTAACAGTATTCAGGCCGCTGTGGTGTACTGGGTCAGTCAACGGAAGCAGGAAAGCTTGGCAAGTTGATAGACTTACGCTTCAGTCATGGCACTGACACATAGGAACAAGGCGTCAGTAAAATCTACATGGGTAATAGTTGAAGATGCCCAGAAGATGACGGCGGCCAACAGACAGGTGAATATAAAGTAAGCATAATGCAGAGTGATGAAATTGACCGGAGGCAGAGCGCGACGGATGGCTCGGAGAGGACGAGCGAAGCGCAAGTCAAGACGTCGACCCAGCATTGAGATTCGAGAATGTATTGGAAGTTTATACGAGTAAAGTGTATCGAATATCTACTTGTCCGGTCGACGTCTTAGTAGCTTCTTGGGGGATCTGGGCTCGTGTCGTATGCCATAAGGATGGTCCCTATGCATGCAAGTGCGGTGATGGGAATGTGCAGATAGATGCACGGTGAGCGAGGTGTCAACGTTGCGTGGGGATGAGTGCGGTGCAGTGGTGACTTTGATGGTCAAAGATGCAGGGACAAGGATGACGGGAAAACGAGAGGCGTTCTTCACGCCGTGGCAGACGCTTCTGATTTGCTCCCCCACACTTGGACCGGGCTCCGGCGCCACAAGTTGGAGTTAACCAGCCACAGTGTGGCGCAGAGCAGCATAGCCCCCGTCCACGAGCGATGACGATGTGGGTTCATGCACGAAACAAGAATGGGCCATGTTAAAGTCACCTTGTCCCCGCGATAGCTGGTCGCTGATGCCTTTGGACCATTCAGACTATAGACACGCCAGGCAACCATGGCAGGACACCACGACCCCAAGCTTCTGTACACCATCGCCAATGTCAAGGCATACCACATCCAGGGTGGAGAGGAGCAGGACCTGACCTCGTCGGGCCCCCAGACGCTGTCGCTGCTGATGGTGCCGACCTCGTCGCCCTTCTCCGACCTGTCGTCGACCATCCCGCAGAACGAGATCCCCGAAAACGATTTCTACCTGCACCTGAACCTCCCTCCTGAGCTGGATCTGCCCCTGCCGGCCACCACCCAAGTCTACCACCAGCCTCCCCACTCGTACTTGATCCCTCGCTGGGACCTGGGTGCCGACAGCGGCATCTTTACCCGCATCACATTCGACAAGAACATCTCGCCCGAGGACCACGACACATTCGAGACCATCCTCGCCCAATGTACTGCTTTCCTCGAGCGTGCTGCACCACCAAAGCCCTCTCGTCCTTTGGAACAGTACAACCCCACGGACTACGCTCCCGGTGGTAAATACCACGATGTCAAGGGTTCTGGACACGGCCAGGTTGTTCTTATCGACGAGGACAATGGCAGCATTATTGGCGAACTGGCCGGTGACGCTCATATCGTCGAGGACTCTTCCTTGAACCAAGGAACAAAGAGTATGCTCCTGTCCATGTCTTCTTCTTCTATCCCTCTGCTGACCGCTCTTGCACAGACCCCGTCCAACTCGAAATCTCGCCCGACGGAAAACGCATCAGCGTCATGCCCATCAGTGAAGAATACCTACAGATGGCCCGTCACCCCGCATACAAAGACAGCGGCATGGTCCAGAACGCCGCAACTGCCTCTCGCTTCATCGTTACCTCGAGCAGCCGTCTCGGTAACATCTTGACCGCTGGTGCTGAGAACTTTACCCAGAAGGTCAAGCCCGCCGCTAAGCCCATGGAGTTCAGTCCTGCTGCCCACGAGCGTGTCCGTAAGATCAACGCCTTCACCAACAGTGCCGCCGGCATGTCTGCAAAGACTGTTGGCCAGGCATCCAAGTACGCCCAGAACATTGGTGCCAGATTTGGCGGCAAGAACGAGGAACGCTACAAGAAAGGATACGATGCCAAAGGCAAGCCTCTCACCAAAGATGAGTACAAGCCTGGTCTACTCAACAGAAGTATGATTGCTTTCTCCACCATTGCCGACGGTTTGGCTACCAGTGGCAAGCACCTGCTCGAACAGAGTGGTTCGGCCGCAACAACTGTTGTCGGCCACCGCTATGGCGCAGAAGCCGGATCTATCACATCCAGTCTCGCTGGTGGTGTAAAGAACGTCGGTCTCGTCTACATCGACGTGACAGGTGTCTCTCGCCGTGCTGTTCTCAAGTCAGTCGCCAAAGGAATGGTGGTTGGCAAGGTGCGCAACGGCGGCCAAGTCATCGTCGGCGGTGGAGACGGTGGAGTGGTCGAAGACGAGGACATGAGAAAAGCCGGTCTCAAGAGTGACGGACAACCTCCTCAAGGCCCTGGATATGGAAACGTCGGCAGCGTTGAGGGCTACGGCATGCAGAGCGGCCCACCAGCATATGAGAGTGGTGTTGGAGAGTCGATCGCAGGTCAACCTGCATCGCAGCGCGATCTGAAGGGTAAATACGCATGAAGCCATGATTAATGTTTTTCTTTTTACGACGAGCTATTACAGCGTTTCGGTATTTGCTAGTTAGACGATCGAACGTCATGCCCATAGTATTATTCTTGTGCCTATATTCGACATTGCTCTGTGCAAAGGAGGCCTGGAAAGAAGTGATTCTTTCGCTTTCTCTGCTATCAGCTACACATGATAGGGTCATGTTTAGCTGCTGATGTTGTTGCCAACAATCATTTTCCACGGTCATCTCACGGCGTTCTCTACAAGCTTCCTCTCGCGTCCTTCATCCGTTTCCAACGACAATTCTCAACACCGCTTGCACCTGCCCATGTCTACTTGTGCACATGACTTGCAAGGCTCTTCTCTAGCCCTTTTGAGCTAGATTCTGTATACGACTCTCGTAGAGGCAACAGTCTCGTTCAAGTTCTCTCTGACAGATGGGTTGGACGATTCAGATGAGGTCGGAATGTTTGATGTGTATCAGAAACTAGCAAAGAGATCGTCAGAAACGATGCGCACGTAAATCTATCGCGACGTTATATCGTCGAGGATGGTGTGTCACGTCGAGAGGATATCGTTATAGGCCAACTTTTTGAATTGAAGGACACTTCGCATCGAAATCATCGCCAACACTGTGAGTGTACTGATATTGACAGACTGGAAGGCAGGACGAAGCTTAAGATGTCTACTGTTTATGTATTGACCCTCCGATAGTTTCAGTCGAGCAATTCGTTGTCTATCCGGTCAAACATGGATGATACTTTGGTGAGAGCACAAGGAAGGACCTGGTTACTCTCAGTCCATTTTGATGAACTTTTCGTTGACGGGATGGTCTCTGTATCTTTCGTCGAGGAAGACACCAGACTTGCCTCCCGCTTTGTACACCACGCGCGTCTCAGAGATGTGCATGGCTTTGTCAACAGCTTTACACATGTCGTAGGCCGTCAAGCAAGCGCATGACACAGCTGTGAGCGCCTCCATCTCAACGCCTGTCTGTCCATGCGTATGAACTCGAGCTTCCACTGCGATCACGCCATGTTTGAAACCACCGTATCTCGCCGCCGTTTTGTAGGCATTCTGGGGTGACATGGCTCCGACGTCTACCGTGATCTTCGTGATGGGTATGGGATGACAGAGGGGGATGATATCCGAGCATCTTTTAGCCGCCATGATGCCGGCGATGCGTGACACACCGAGGACATCGCCTTTCTTGTTAAGATTCTCTGTGATCAGTCTGTACGGCTCTGGATTGCTAAAGTGCACGAACCCGACAGCTACTGCGACTCGCTCGGACGATTCCTTCTGGCCGACGTCGACCATATGAGCCTCGCCGGTCGATGTGAGGTGGCTTAAGCTGGCACCTGTCTTGACAGGATTGGAGATATGGTTGGAGAGAGAGTCGTTGGCTGGACTTTCAGGCGATGCAAACAATTGGTTGTATAGACTCTGCTCGTCGTTCTCTGTGAACAGAGGCGTCGAAGGCTGAGCATTGCCGTGCACTAGCTGGCGTGGCGTGGTTGACAGAGACACAGTCGGTGTGTCGACCCGCTCATTCGAGCGAGATGACAACTGGACATCATCCGAGCCGACCTTCCAGACTGGCTTCGGTTTCGGCTTAAGCGTTTTGAGTTTTTTTGACGCTTTGGCAGCCTTAGTTGTGTTCGTGGCGTCGAGAATTTTCCCGTATCGGAGGGTTTTGACAACTCGTCCGTTGTGTTTTCGCACTTGGATTTGTGGCCATGATTCGACGTGGTTGGGCTCTTCCGATATAGCCTTTGACATCATTATGCTTACATCACCTCCGTTCGCTGGCTGCTCTGCTGGCTGACCAGTGGGCACCGCGCCAGACTGCGCCTCGGTAGCGGAGGCCGAAGACAGCGTCTCGTGTGCTTGTGCTTTTGCGTATTCTTTCTCTGCATTCAGGAACATGTTGTTGGGATGGTTCTCGAACGGATCACCATCGAAAAAATTGTTGGAAGAGTGGATTTCTTCATCTGATCTGTTTGATCGAGCATCGTCAATCGCATTGGTTTCGTGACTTGAATCTTGAGGCGGTGACCAGGATTTTCGAGGAGTTCCGAAAAGACCTCTAAGACTTGCGAATCCAGGTTCATGTGCATCGGTCGCGGTTGGTATAAGAGAAGGCGCGTCATTGGTTTGGACTTCTTCAGCGGTCTGTTCGCCTGAAACTGGAGGCGGAGATGAGGATGTAGAGGAAGAAGAAGAAGAAGAGTAGAGGCGGAGTCCAGAATAGTTCGGCATATTTGGTTGCAACAGATGCAGGGGAACGGCTTGTCCTATTGGCGTCGAGCCCATGGGCCTGATGTTGGAGTTACTAAGCCCTCTCCTCGGGCTTCTGCCCTCAGCTACCACCAAATCAGTATCAGCTCCAGTAACGTATGGGTCCATTTGGTAATTCAAGAAGGCAGTCGTGTGAACGAAGGCGCTACGAAGGTCGATAACATCAAACGGGATTGCGGAACCTACCCACCAATAAGTATCATGGGCCGGTTTTCCATGTTTTGTAGTTCTTCCATGCCAGCATGTTTCTCCTCTTTGCGCTTGACTGCCTGTCCAATGAGATTAAGTAGTGCAGTTTCCCGCTCAATCCAACTTGGTCTTGTGTCGGTTACAGACACGCCCTGACGTCTGTTCATCTCTATCTCTCTGACAGCTTCGAAAGCTTGCTCATCCATGGGATGATTATCGTTGTCTTTCCGCAGAAGGTCTCTCAGGGAGACTTCGGTGTTACCATGGAGACAGACTTTGAGGCTGCCATCGCTTGTAATGCGCAAGCGATTGCAGGTGCCACAGAAGTTATGCGTCATGCTAGTGATGAAGCCAATCTTTCCTACGAAGCCCGGAATCTCGTACGTCTTGCTCGTATCGTTAAGGTGACCCTTTACACTACGAAGGCCAGGATACTTCTCACGGATGATCTCCAGCATTTCTTGGTAGGCCAACATTTTCCGCTCGCTCCACTTGTTTCCACCAAAAGGCATGTACTCGATGAAGCGTACTTCGATGTCTTTTTCGCGGCCCATTTCGACGAAAGGAACAAGCTCACGCTCGTTGATGCCGCGCATGACGACGCAGTTGACCTTTAGCTTGACTCGAGCGCCCAGGCTGTTCATCTCCAGAACCCGGTCGATGCTCTTCATGACGGCATCGAAGCCTTTGCGGCGAGTTAAGATCTGGAACTGGAAAGGATCTAGAGTATCGAGACTGATATTGACACCAGTCAATCCGGCTTCGACCATTTTGTCCAGCTTCCGATGCAATGAAATGGCGTTTGTGGTCAAGGCAAGCTCGCGCAAACCTTTGGGTTTGAGGCTTCCAATCTGCTGCATCAAGGGCACAATATCGGGGCGCACAGTCGGCTCGCCACCAGTCAGGCGGATTTTTGTAACGCCCTGAGATACGAAGAGCTCGGAAAGGTAAACGATTTCGGGGGTGGTGAGGAGATGGCTCGAGGGCGAGAGTGGTACACCCTCTGGATAAAGATATTAGTGGGGTGATCTCGACAGTGGTGCAGTGCAGATGATGGTACCTTCGGGCATGCAGTACAGGCAGCGCAGATTACATCGCTCCGTGACACTGATGCGCAGATAGTCATGTTGACGATTGTATTTGTCCGTCAGGAAATCGGAAAAGGGTTTTGCCTGCTTGAGGGCTTGTCGTCTGCTAGACAGGACGGTGTCATGCTGTTGCAGTGAGGGTGCCGAGGCATCTTGTTCGTGGGCGGCGGGTGCTGTGGCTGTGGTGGTCGAAATACAGCGTCTTCCCGGTCGTAGACGATGGACTAGGGACCCAAGACCGCGACTCGAGCGAAGAGCAGCTGAAGCCATGGTCGGGGACGAGACAGGTTCATGTGTATGATGCACGGCGCATGCTCTTATGTACGCTGCCGTGTCATCTCTGTTGCTTGCAAATATCGGCCGTCGCCAAAGTTGCAAACTCCGCATCCCGCCCCGTACCTCCGCCCGGCGCCCGCTCCGCTTGCCGGAGCCTCTTATCTCTGCTTGCCCTGCGACCTCTTACGTGAAAACGTCCATCTTCTGACTCGCTTCTTCACTCTATCTATATTAATCGCTCATGCTGTCGTCACATTCCAAGCGCCTCTCTTTGCGCCTCGACAATCGCAAAGATGTCCCTGCCATGCTCGCTACCATAGAGCTCGTTCTCCGCTAGCCTTCCCACGTACTCCCAGAAGTCTTTCTGTCCCTTTCTGCCCCGAAGACCTACGCTGAGAAGTCCTTCCTGCTTGTGACAGTCCATGACTATCTGCCCGACCCTGTCCCATTCGTGATTGCGCGCAAGACACTGTACCACTGCAGTCATGGCCAGCCAACCCGGCCGCTTACCCTCCTTGCTCATCCGGCTCAAGAAGGCCATCGTCCTGCCCACGTCGCCATGTCTTGCGAATCCTTCCACCATCCTGTCATAGAAGATGACGTCCATCTCCTGCTGCCTCGAGTTTTCTATGTCGTTCCAGAGTGCGTCGGCAGCAAGTAGCTCAGGCGGGTCGCGGTCAAAGTAATGCGTCATGAGGATTGTGTAGATGTGAGGTGTACATTCGACCTTGCGAGTAGCCATGTGCGCCAGCACGCTTCTGGCCGCCGTCAGGTTGCCATGGTCTTTGAGCATCCGGTCGATGAGCAGAGCATATCCTTGTTGATCCACTGTCATCCCACTCTCTTCGAAAGAGAATATGAGATTCATGATCTTGTCTTTCTGTTCATCCTGCGTCATGTCGCCGAGCAACGTTGTCGACAGCATCGAGTCGACCAGAATAGTAAAGGTTGACGAGTTGGGCTCGACGTTGGACGCTGCCATTTGCTGCAGTATATTCGCCGCATCTGTCGCTTGCCCTGCGCCCAGCGAAATAGCAAGCAACGCATTGTAAGTCGCTATGTCCGGCTCGATGTTGAAAAGTCGACTCCAAGCAAGGACTCTGGGAATCTGGTACGCTTTAGCACCACGAAGCGCCGAGATGGCTGAGTTCAATATAGCCGTGTCGGGCTTGGGAACTTCTGCACTGTCCTCTGGAACGGCAGACTTTGATCGCCTTCTCTTTTGGGAGTCAACCCATTCCCTTCCCATCTCATCCAGCGCAGACATACCATCGCGGATGCTACCAACCCGAAAATGGCCATAGATTCTCGTACTCCAGGAAATCGCATCGGGTCGAAGACCTGAATCTCTCATGTGCTGCCACATGGATTCCATGATGTTGATGTCTCGAGAAATGTGGCAACTCTTCATCATGACGTTCCAAGTGCGGACTGTTGGTTCGAAACCCGATTGAAGCATGCTGTTCCAGACCTGCAGCCCAGATTGAGGCCTCCGCAGCTGGAAGAAGGCATGCAGAAACGCTTCATAGAGCCGATGCGTCAAGGGCGCACTTTCTGTGGTTCGGGACGAATCGTCCGTGAAGACCTCTTGTGCCTGTGTCCAGAGTCGTTCCAGTACGTCAAGATTTTGTCTCTCGGCCGTGATGTTGACTTTGTGCAACAGGATTTTGGTCTTTACTTCGACCGACTCGGGTGCCACGGTCTGGTCGCCGTTGGATGTGGAGTCTTCTGGCGAAGCGGTCCCTAGCACAGACGTCGATTGAAGGCTGCAAAGTCTTCTGCTTAGCTCAGCTGATGCTTGGAAATGGTCCGGAGTTTCTTTCTTGAGCCTCATCTCGATGTGGCGCACAGCGGCTTCGCTCAACTGAGCCTTCGAGCACGCGCTACCAAGCGCCTGCAGAAGGGACCGATACTGCTCGAGGTCGTGTGGAAAAGAAGTGGCACGACACAGAACATCCTGTACAAGCAAGAGTGATATAGCGAAGCTTGACGGTTTCTCGGTCGGCGCTCTGACCAGAGCTAGAAAGCGATGATAGTATGATGCAGGGCCATATTGAGACCTGTCGACCCTCCTCTCGTAGAAACAGAGCGGCCAGATGTCCAACAGCTGGGTAAGCACAGGCTTGGTTGTAGGATGATTGAGAACATCCAGATCATCTTGAGCACCCAGCTGAAGGTGGATGGCCAAAGACAGGACTACTGTGGAAGCAATAGGCTGTATAGGTATGGCGAGCTGGTCAAATCTCTCGAGAATAGCACGTGGGGAGGGAGAGATTGCGTTCGAGGTGGACGGGTGCGAGTCAAGTTGTGCAAGCCAGTGGCGGGTCATGAGAGACAGCAGGTTGGTATAGATCCAGCCTCTCCTGTGCTTGGGAACGTCGAGGAAAGGGAGGCGAGCGGGATCCAAGGCTGCACAATCGGGGGCGGTATAGTGGGTGGAAAAATAAGACCAGGCAGCATCAGCATCCTCTCTTGCGATCAGATCTTCGAGGTTGGAAGTGTAGGAGACGAGGTTGGCATCCCGGGATTTTCTCGTGCGAGGTGCATCCCGCGTGTTGTGTCCGAGGTGCTGAGACTTATGGACTGCACTGGGCTGAGCGGGAGTGTTGGTGCGAGGGCGGATGGGCTGTTGGACGGTGGATTTCGCAGCTACATAGTCGTGGAGGCTTTCTGGCTGGCGAGAGGCAGGAGCGGCAGGCTTCTGTCGAGGTCTCGAATAGCGAGTGCTGCGCGGTAGTGCCGAGACGAGATCATCAAGGTGGTACGACGGGGACGGGGACGGGGACGGGGACGAGGACGAGGCGTGTCGCTGCTGCAAACAAGAGTGCTGGCGTACGAGGTGGACTGCTCGCCGCGCCGTGATGCGACACGATTGTGAGCAGATCTGAGGGCCGGACATGGGCTTGATCTGGCTGTTGCACGGGGTCGAGACAAGGGCAACAGAATATAATTGTCCGGCTCTTTCACATGCTGCCCTGCCAAGCTTCTGCGACCAACATCATCATCATCACTCCCACGTGCTTGGATCGAGTCCCCAACCAGCCACCTCTTGCTTCACCCCTTGTCATCCTTTGCCCTAGTGTCTCGCGTTTCCACTCATTTCCACCTATCCGTCCTACTTTTCAACAGGCTCAGCACCTCGCCATGACTACCCTCATACCCCGCGAGAAGTATACTGCTGATGAGCTCGAGCGTCTGTATCCCAAAGAGCTGGCCCTGCACCAAGTCCAAGTTGTATGTATTTGACACTCTCGGGAACAGAATCATCATGCTCATCGAGTCTAGCTCCTCAGACACGGTGCCACCACATCAACCTCCAATCTCACCTTCTCTTCTAACTAGACATAGGCGAAAGATCTCCAGTCTCTGCCAGATTTAAGAATGTATGTTTTGACTATGACTGGTCTACACATTCTTCGCGTACTGACCATGTATATATCAGGCCGGTCTTTCTGCGAGTATGTTTGACCCAAGTCTTTGGCCAACTATTTGCTGATCTCACAATCAGACTGGCCTTATTGCAATGCCGCACAGCATCTGCGCAGCGTCATCATGTCAGCCAACGATTCATGGGATGAACTAGCCTATAAACGAAGACTTGAGACCTTCGATGGAAAAGACGATTCTCCTGTTCTGACTCTAGGTCCCGGACGTGAGACTGATGGTATTTGGTATTTTCAATTTCATCAAGCAGTCGAGACCTCGCTAACGCCTGACAAAGTCTCCCCGGAGAGTTGACCGACCAAGGACGTGCTTCTACATTGGCCCTGGGTCAACGCTTGCGTGGACTGTACGTTGACCAGCTTGGCTTCATGCCCGCCGTTCTGCAAGACGCAAACCATATGTACCTGCGCGCCACCCCAATTCCCCGAGCCCTCGAGTCTGTACAGCAGACCTTCTACGGGCTGTATCCTCCTTCAGCGAGAGCCGCCGACTTTGTTCCGCCAACCATCGTTCAGCGTCAACCTAACCACGAGACGCTCTTTCCTAATGAGGGCGCTTGTCGGCGTTTTGCTCAGCTCAGCCAGGCCTTTGCTCAGCGAACTTCGGATCGTTGGAACGACTCGCCCGATATGGCATATCTCAACAAGATGTTCGGAAAGTGGATGCCCGAGGATTCTCCTAACGTGAAAGTCGATGGTCATCCCAGACTGAGGTTCGTCAACATTCACACATGGCTATATAGCTCGTAGAATTCTAATCGTTGCAGTGGAATCATGGACACCGTCAACTCGACCCTAGCTCACCCACAAGAAACTCGCCTGCCAAAAGAGTTCTACGACACAAAGGGCAGGGCGATTATTGACAAGATCGGTGTCGAGGAGTGGTTCTCGGGCTACATGGAGTCTAGAGAATATCGACAGCTTGGTAAGAATGTAGTCGGGCTTGGTCTTGCTTGTTACTGATTGTCGATAGGTATCGGTGGATTGATGGGCGACGTGGTGAGCCGTATGGTTGAAAGGACCAGAGCATCGACCAGCAACAACAACGACATTCAGATGGCGCTCTCTGGTTGCCATGACACAACTCTAGCCGCTGTGCTCAGCAGCGTCGGTGCCTTCCAAGGCGAGCAATGGCCTCCCTACACCAGTCACATTGCCATCGAATTGTTCAAGGATCGTACAGCGCCTACCGCTGCTCAGCCTGCAATCACTACCGGCAGTTGGTGGAGCTCCCTGTTTCCGGCCAAGAGCATGTTGACCCCGGAAGCCTCTCCTCGCACTCCCTTGTCGAACCTCTCCGAATCGGACAAGCAAAAGCTGCATGGCTACTATGTACGACTACGCTACAATGACCGCCCCATGAAGATTCCTGGGTGCAGACCGGCCGGAAAGCATTATGGCGACGACGAGAGTTTGTGCACTCTCGAAGCTTTCAAAGGCATCGTGGACAAATTCACGCCAGCGAATTGGAAGCAGGCCTGTGGAGCTCGTTTGGGGGAGAATGCATTCCCTGAAACTGTCGAGCCTGCTGGTGTGTGATTGGACATAGAAGAAGACTACATGACAGGCTCAGGCTGGAGATGGAATGTGGCTATAGAAAAGATTGATCAGACTAGAAGTCGACGGCTGAAGATACCTTTCACCAACATAAACACCGCTACGAGGGCATGCGAGAGATATTGTAGTCGATCAAGGTCGCGATGGACAGAAGTCTGATCAGGGAACAGACGCTCCCGTTTAGACAGACGCCATGCATGAGCAAGCGTTTCACCCTTGGCCATTTGAGTAAAGCAGCAGTAAGAACCAGACAGCCACATGGTAAGAGGCGGTGGGTAGTCCATACCGACAGTCGTGGTCAATATAATTGCATTGGATGAAATGATGGCCAGGCAGGCATGTGGTCGTCTGGCGGTTCCAGTTTGATGCGGATCGACATATCAGAAACCGTGCACGCGCTGACGCAGGCCAAGATAGGGGTCGGAACAGAGATTATTGGTGGAGAGTAAAGTAGATCTAGGCGTGGCAGGCGCGAGTTGAAGCTTGATCTCGGTTGCGACAGCGACTTTGTGCTGGCGCGGGCAGGAAGAGTCAAGACGGCTGCATGCCCGTATGCCAACACGACGACTTTCTAGACACGACTGCCCGACCACCCACCACCTGCATCCATCTCTCTCGCTCCTCCCCACCTCGTTCCCCTCAGACCTGCATCTATTTGCCCCCGACCACTCGGACAGGAACTCGACACAGTCCAACGTCTCAACGCTCGCTCCTTGAACATCTGCTCAGACGGTGTTTCAAGTGACATGGGACGTTTGCCTCTCTGAGGAGCATACTTTAGCTGTTTGCAGGCCGCTGAAGCGTTTGGCCATGTCAAGCACCACATCAGCTGCAGCGTCATCGACGACTAGCTGTGGTTCAGGCTTCTTCAATGCTGGCTGCGGCGCTGCCCTCAATAGTTCCGGTCAGGATTGGGGCACCCTCCTCTCTTCGATTGTCGTTGCTCTCGCCTCTTTGGGAGGCCAGCTGCTTGCTTTCCTCCTTTTTCGCTTCCGCCTCAGCAGAATCTAGTAGGATGCTTCTTCTCTGCCCACCACCCCGACTCTGGCTGACTCCGTCTCTTTAGTCGACCCCGATCATACCTTGTTGCCGAACGCGAACGAGTGCCAGCCCCTCCAAAGGGCGTGTGGCAATGGACCGTGCCTCTTTTCCGCACACCCAACCAGACCTTCATCGAGAAGTGTGGTCTCGACGCCTATTTCTTCCTACGCTTCTTGCGCATGCTGTTGAAGATATTCGTACCCCTTTCGCTCGTCATTCTCCCTATACTCTTGCCCATCAACAAACTCAGCTGTTCCGACTGCACAGTAGGCCCTGATCAACTGGGTTGGAGAAATATTCCCGCTGCACACTATCGCCGCACATGGGCCCACCTTATACTGGCAGTCCTTACCATTCTCTGGATTCTGTACGTCATTTATACCGAGCTACGTGGTTACATCCGCATCCGACAGGCCTATCTTGCATCTCCACAACACCGCATTCGCGCCTCGGCCACCACTGTGCTTGTCAGCGGTATTCCTAGGAAGTGGCTGACTCTCGAGGCACTGAACGGTCTATACGATGTCTTCCCTGGAGGCATCCGCAACATCTGGATCAACAGGAACTTCGACGAGCTTGCCGACAAAGTTTCCGAACGCGACAATATCGCTCAGAACCTCGAGGAGGCAGAGACCAGTCTGATCCAGAAATGCGTCAAGAAGCATAAGAAGATGGAGGCAAAGAAGGCCAAAGAAGAAGGGCGCTCCAAAACAAAGGTCGAAAAAGAACAAGACAGGACCAAGGCAGATGAACAAGCCGAGCGTATTGCCCAAGGAAATGGTGTCAGTTCTGGTGACCCTCACCAAGTGCCGCACAATCTGCAGGAGGTTCTCGAGGAGATCGAGGAAGATGAGCACAAACACGACAAACATCGGAATTCGTCTCCGGAACGTCTGCGAGACAGGCTTGGTCAGGGATTTGGTGCCGTTGGTCACGGATTTGGTGCACTGGGTAACTTTGGTCGCAAGGTTGTTGGCGACGTCGCTGACGATGTCAACCGCGTCATCCGCAATGTCAACGAGTCGGTAGACCAGGCCAACAATATTACTGGCTTCTACGCAGACATTGACGATGTCAACAAGCCGGCCCCCGCCGAGAGACTTGCGTTCGACGCATCTGTACCTGTACCAGGACCCGCGCCCGCTTCAGCGCCCATGTCTGCCCCTGTAGCGTCTGCTGCTCGTCTATCATCTAGTCATCTCCAGAACGAGCATGACCCTCGCGAAAACCGAAAAGACGTATTCGAACCCGAACGTCCTACCGGACTGAGGACAGCTGAGGACGTTGCAGCGTTGGACCGAGCCGATGCTCCACATACTAGGCGCTCTGACTGGAGCGAGCCTTCTTCTACAAACACTCAGACCCAGAGCCAAGAAATGTGGACTGGAAGTTCAAAGTCTGGCGTCAAAGGATCAACCACACCTGACGAAACCCACACTACCAAGCAGAGAGGAGCGCCTAGAAGAGCATGGGATGCCATCGTAAAACAGGTGCAAGCAACGCCCATACCTATCCCAAGTCCTCAACCTCACGCCGTGGAAGAAGACGAGTATCCTTTGCATACTCTCGGTCAGCCTCGGAATGCTAGTCCTGACGGACACACAGCCAAAAAAGCTTCCAAAAGCAAGTGGGCCAGCATATTGGACTGGCTTCAGTTCTGGAAAAGTACTGGTGAAGAAGAGAAGCCCGTTTATCCAGAAGCTTTCCATGAGGAGCTCGCTGATGCGGAAGAGACCGAGGCTCTGTGGAAGCTTTACATTGAACCAAAGGACCGCGATACCCTCCGTGAACCAATCTTCGATCTCTCATGGTGGCCACGCTTGCCCTTGATGGGTAAGAAGATCGACAAAATCTATTATCTGCGCAAAGAGCTTGCTCGGCTGAACGTCGAAATTGAAGAGGACCAACAGAACGTGGAGCGGTTCCCCTTCATGAACTCGGCTTTCATTCAGTTCAATCATCAGGTCGCGGCTCACATGGCCTGTCAGTCTGTCAGTCACCATATGCCGCAACACATGACCCCTCGTCTGGTAGAGATCTCGCCTGACGACGTTTTATGGGACAACATGTCTATGAAATGGTGGTGGCGCTATCTGAAAAGCGGTCTCGTGTTCGCCATTGTTGTCGGCATGTTGTTCCTCTGGGCGCCTGTTGTTGTCATCTCTGGTTTCCTATCGACTCTGAACACACTGCAAAGAATCTCGTGGCTCTCATGGATCTCCAAACTACCGCCCAAAGCAGTGGACTTGGTTCAGGGTGTGCTTCCGCCCATCTTCCTGAGCATCGTGCTCGCATTGGTGCCTGTCATCCTTCGACTTCTAGTTAAGTTCTCAGGAGTAGCTACTGGTAATGGTCGAGAAATGGGTGTTCAAAACTACTACTTTGCATTTCTGTTCATCCAGGTCTTCCTCATCGTCACCTTGTCATCCGGCCTGCCCGCCTTCTTTGAAGAGGTCGCAACTCAGACCTCGAAGATTCCAGAGACTCTCGCCAAAAATCTGCCGCGAGCCTCTAATTACTTCTTCTCGTACCTGACTGTTCAGGCTCTCAACAACAGTGCAGCTGCACTACTACAGGTCGCTGCGTTGTTGGAGTGGTTCCTATGGGCACCCATAGTAGACACTACAGCACGCCAGAAGTGGCAGAGACAAACAAAACTGAGGATGGTGAAGTGGGGATCATTCTTCCCTCCATTCACGAATTTCGCAGTCATTGGAATCATCTTCTCGATCATTGCACCACTCGTCATGGTGTTCAATCTCATTGTGTTCTGCGTGTATTGGATTACGCAACGGTATAATGCCCTTTACGTCTACCAATTCCGTCACGATACAGGCGGCCTCTTGTTTCCCAGGGCCATCAATCAGTTGTTCGTCGGCCTATACGTCATGGAGGTTGCTATGATTGGTCTTTTCTTTGCCTTCCCTGGTGACAATACGTGTACAGCACAGGCTATTATCATGATTGTTATGCTTGTAGGCACGGTCATCTTCCAATGGCTTCTCAATGATGCATTCGGGCCATTGTTCCGATACTTGCCAATCACTTTGGAAGATGATGCTGTCATACGCGACGAGGAATTTGCTCGTGCTCAACGCCTCAAATGGGAGAGTCTGGCCGATCAAGAAGGCGAGCACGAACGTCTGCAAAATGACCCAGAGATCACGATGGAGGAACAAGAAAAAAGAGAGGCCGATGAAGAAGAAAAGGCGCTTGCTGAGGAGCGTAGAACTGTCCAGGAGCACAGACGCACAACCGCTCGCATGTCAAGCTATGGTTCTGGTTCTCACTCTGAACGCCCTGCACCCGCTATTATGGACACTAAGCCTGTGCATAACAACAGCGGTGACCGCTGGACTAGAGTCAAGCAGATCAGTGAACCTGTTCGCCACTTGCGCAAAGTTGCCCGCCCGCATGACCACGGTATGGATGGCCGGAGACCTACGGCCATTGACGTAGATCCTCAGACCACCAAGGTGGATATGGAGTCCCAGAAACAGGTCGGCGATGTACTCTTCGGCGGGTTCAGCGATGAACTCGAAGATCTGACTCCTGAAGAACGCGACACGCTCATCCGTTATTCCTTCCAGCACTCTGCGCTCCGCGCCCGTAGACCGGTCGTTTGGATCCCGCGTGACATACTTGGAATCTCGGATGACGAGATCGAGAGGACCAAACGCATGAGCACTGTAGACGACATTCACCCAGAGACCGAGAAGAGAACACCAAAAACGAATATCTGGATCAGTAACGAAGGAACCGCGTTGAACGCAAAAGGCAAGGTTTTATTTAGGAAAAGCCCGCCTGATTTTGCCAACGTAGATCTGATTGCTCTGTGAGCGGCAAGATCAAGGAGTTTATGGTTTGCGTCTTTTTTTCCTCATATTTGCATAGCGCTGGGCATCAGCATGGAACACGGAGGATGGGCATAATTGCATTTCTGTTTTGTACATGAGCGCTGCAAATACCGATGAGAGAATTCATCTTGTCCTGTGTCTTGAACTCAATCCAAGTGAGTGCCACTTGATTATCTCGTCTTTTGACGATTCTGTCTACGAGTACTTGCTCATTTTGATCTGCATACCTCAGGGGGAAACTGCTGGGTGATACGCTGGGAGTACAACCCTGTCATCAGTAAGACAACCTACACAAACTGTTATCCTTCAGCACGAAGTAATGTAGCAAACATCAGGTGCTTCGTATGCAGTCCGATCGTTGAACTTTGTGAGTGGTTTGACATACAAAGTGGGTCTAACCATAGAGGGGGCAAGTGCTGCATTGAGCAACAAGCTCCAAGTTGCTGTGCAAGGCGCTCACCAACACCTAACAAATGGCACGTCGAATTGTGCTACATCTTCCACCATCGAGACAGAGGCTGAGCGGATGATTGCAGCTGTAACAATAGATTATCATGTTTTATCATTTGGAAGATGCTCACCGAGAGCAGGTATATGCATTGCTCTTTCCTCCTCTTGACCACCACAGTTTCCCTCACCAAGATAGAGAAACCAGCTTGCCCCCAAAGCCAGGATGCTGTTTAGACTAAAGATAAAAAGGAGCATTTACATCCACACCTTGCCCATCTCGACAGCAACTTGGCACCTCAACACCCGCATCACGTCCTTGGGCTGGACGGCCTTGCCCTTCATGTGCACAGCGCCGACTCTCCAATCCCAGGCTCTCTGCACTTGGTAGCCTCCCATTACACCGGCACTAGAGTCGCCGCCATTGCCGTTTTGTTCGGATGCGATGCTGCCGCTGCTCTTGACCATGTTCCAGCTCACGCTTTGCTTCAACCCTGCGATCGACTTGCTGAGATCAGGAGTCGAGGATGATGGTGTAAGAGTGGTAGGCGAGGATGAGTTTGAGAGATAGCTGTTGATTGCAGCACTGAAGACAGCAGAGTTCTGAGCGTAGATGCCCGGTGTGATGGTTTCCAGATCTTCGATTGCGCGGATCAGTGTGAGGAGGTGCGGTGTCTTCAAGATCTGTTTTGTTTCTGTTTTCCGGGGTCAACAATTCCGTTCTCTACAAGACACGCTCGAGGTCAAGAGAGAAGACTTACGATTCATCAGAGGCAACGCCTCACACAACAAAGCCATCAAAGCATCCACCTGCACCACCGATTGGGCTTCAGGGTCATACAAGCCACCACGAATACTATCCGCGGCGGACTCGATGACGGCCATCAACGCCCTGGCTGCTTCCCGCTTCCGGGCCAATGGCCTCAACATACCGGGCTTGCGGCTCGCAGCTTCCTCGTCGCGTTCCACATCAGCTTCCGCTGCATCTTTGGCAGCATCTGCGTCGCGCAAGTCATAGAAGCGGCGCAGCGTCGCGTAACCACTCAATTGTGATGCAAGTAGTTGAGCAGCCGCGACATCTTGACGTGCAACCTGGTGGAGAGTAGCGTGTTGATCGTTGAGCAGAGCATCCAGTTGCGGGTCGATGATTGCCTGTGGAGGGAATGCAGCACTCTGCACAAGACACAATGAGATGAGCAGATCGATGGTACTGCGGAGCTTTTGCGAGGCGTGTGCGCGGGCGTAGTAGATCAAAGCGCTACCGTAGTCTTGACTGGAAGCTGCCAGATCATCGGCATAGCGCTCGGCGATCTCGCAAACCTGGTCAGGCAAACCGATCTCGTTGAGGACAGCGAGGACCTTATCCACGCGCGTCGTCGAATCAAGGGCAATCTGGTTCAGCAGATCCGAGATTTTTGTCTTGGCCGTCTCGAAGCTATCAAGACGTCCCAGCACACGACAAGCAAGATCCCAGCCTTCTTGCACAGGTTTGCCAGTCGCGCTCTTGAAGGAATCTTTCTTTGCCAGAACCGAGGCATATTGTATCAAGACGTCATCACGTTTAATCAGATCGGACTGTACTGGCTGGCCGTGGCTCAGAACCATCAAGTCGTCTTGATCAAAGGCGTCAAGGATGTTGCTTGCCGAAGAAGGCATCCAACCCGCGGCGGTAGCTAGCTCAACGATAGCAGAAGCGATAGGTAGAGACCACGACTTCAAGATGCCTACGAGACCCTGGGTATCATCTTCGCAAATACAGGCAATACCAACCTGGACAGGGTTGACAGTATTGAGGTAGAACTCATCTTCGTCTGGTTTGTCGGTGACAGAGGCAAAAGCCAAGAGCAGTTGTTTCTTGTAGGCGAAGACAGGTGAGACGTCGACTTGACGCATCGACTGTGACTGACGCATAGAGCGTCTACTGGCAGCAAAATCGTCCGACATGATGTCGTCGTCTTCACCGTCCCACCAGGCAGTCAGAAAAATGACAGCCTCCAACCAGTCCTGAGTAGCCACCATGATCTCGTCCCTCTTACCCAGCAGCTGACCGTACAGAGTTTTTAGACTCTCATAGATAAGCCAAGGGACCTTGCTCTCTGCTCGGCGACTGGCAGTGCTGAAACTCATACTCACCCTGCCAAAGGGTGCGGCTGGAAACTGGTCCTTGTCACGGCTATCTGCTTCTGCAAAGTCCTGCAAGTCCTGAAGCTCACGACGAACGCGGTGGCGGAAAATGGTCCAGTCAGACCCCTTGACATCCCAGTCGTTCTCGGTAACAGCGGGACAGGTGCTGAGCAGGTCCACGCATCGGCTGACGACTTCACGAACAGCGTGGAGGTGACTTCCAGCATACCCGGGCTGATCGTAACCGTCCTCAATAGCAGATTCGGCTTGCGACCAATCGGCGGTCTCCAGTAAGTTGATGGCGTTCAGAACGTCGCCGCGCAAGGTGCAGGCATAGACCATATCCCAGAATCGATCGTGAGCAACAGGAGTTGGGCGATAGCGCATGACGTCCTTTAAATCGTCGGGGAATGGGTTGTGGTAGGTGTTTAGCCAGTCGAGCAGAGCACGGGGTATCGAGGTGGGGTGGCCTGAGGACATGACGAGGTTGGAATAGGCGGCCGAAGGTCGGTATGCGGACGGGGCATTGGCAGACGCGGAGAAAGGATGGTGAAGGCGGAGAGCGAGTTGTGCCAGGTAGTTTGCTTTGTCGAGACCCGAATTTGATTTGGGACCAATAGAGCCTGACTGCGACTTGATCTGTGAGTGGCTTTGCCAGAGACGACCCAGCTGTTGTGCGGTGCGATTAGGAGGGAGGGGGCTAGTTGCAAGTTTGGCGTCGGCATGTAGCTGGGCCATAAGGGAATCAGTACGCAAGACCATGTCGTCGGACTCGGCCAGCTGTGGAGGGGGATTGGTAGCGTATTTGTTTGCAATGGCGGGGATGGCAGTCTGTCGGTCCTTGTCTATGCGCAGACCTGTAGACTGACGCAAAGAATCGCTCATGGCATTGCCATAACGCGAACGCTTCAGACCACGGGGTGATGAGAGCATGGTGGGTTGTTGTGCCGGCAAGTTGACAGAGCGGAAGGCCGAGGGGAAGGCCGAGTTGAAGGCAGGTAGTTGGTTGTTAGGATAGTCGTCCAGGATGCTCTCGCCGTCGGCATCCATGTCGTCGTCGTACTGGTGGTGATGGTTGCGCGGCGGACTGCTGGGCACAGGCTTGCCATGGGTTGTGAAGGCATTGCGGGATTCGGCAAAGAGCGAGCTACCATAGACGCTGGGAGGCGGAGGCCCCGCCGGAGTGAAGGAGGCATTCGTATAGCCAGTGGGCGGAGCGTGGGCCGGTGTTGTCGATGGGTGGGCATTGTCGCGGCGCGAGCTGGGCGTCGACGGCGCATCCGAATCCGGCACCCTGAACATGGTTCCTTGGTCTATCTTGCAGGCATGTGATGTGTGATGAGCGCTCTTGTCTGGTCTCGTGTGCAGATGATGTCGTGTATTCGTATGTTTCCAATGCAATGAATGCTTTCTTTCTGTTTCGCGCGTCTTGGTTTGATCGCGAATTCTTGGGTCTTTGGAGCTCGGCGCTTGGACCATGTCGGTCTGTCTCCATGCACCTTCCTTGGCTGTCTCCCAACACACCTTCTCTTTCCGCTACTCTTGTATCCTCTCATACAAAACTCGATTACTGTCGACTCTCCGTCTCCCAACAAGACTGTGACGAGGTAAGCCATTTTCTTGTTCGACCTTCACTCTCCTGATGAAAGACGCTGGGGCCATATGATCTGCTTGTTTCAGCAGCCTCACTCTGCTGTCGCGCGTTGGACACCCGCTTGATTTCGAAACCAGTATCCAATATCTTCTCACCTTCTGACCGATCCTTGTTCTACAACATCGTAACCATTACATTGGACAACTTCGAAATGCTGACTGTACACAGTTGCATGGCTAGATTTTATCATTTTGTGCTCATATCATTGACCACGTCTAACCACTCTTCTCAAACTCTTGCTCCAGCTGCTTCAGACCCTCGTAGACACCGCTCCAGTTACTCCACTCTTGCTCTCCACCCTGGAAGCCTCCCTGCAGTGGTAGTCTGGCGCCTTCCTTGTCACCCAAGCCCCAGCATCTTGCAATGGCCTCCTTGATACCAACAGTACCCCATTTACCGATAAGTCTCTCACCTTCGCAGATCTTGAATTGTAGCTCACGTAGCTTCTTGTTGTCTGCACCCTCTTGGAACATGTTGAAAAGCTTGACCACCACCCGAGGGAAGATACCAGCAAGCCCGTCAATGGCACCTTGACCGCCAACCGTAAGAACGGGAAGGAGGTTTTGACCAAGCCCAGAGAAGACTTTGAAGTGCGAGGGATCAATCTTTGGGGACGAAGCGATCAAAGTGTGATCGGGGATGTCGCCATGTGACAGCTTGCAGCCGACAATGTTGGCGTGTTGTGCAAGGCGTTCGAATGTTGAGGGGGCCACAACGATGTTGTTGGTCACACCAGGGTAGTGGTAGCTGTTTTCAGGAATTAGTGCTTGTTGAAGAGACTCTAACGCTGGAAGGGTACGTACATCATGATGGGAATGGGACTCTTGTCGGCAACTGCCTCGAACCACTTGGCAATACCTTGCTGGCTAGCGGCTGAAGCAAAGTAACCTGGTGTGAGGACCATGCCGTACTCGGCACCGGCCTTCTTAGCATCCTCGAGCTGGATCAGAGTCTCCTCGACATTTTGTGTGGCGGTTCCGGCGATGATGGGTCTATCCTTGAAGCCGGCGTTGTCGAGCTCCTTCCTTTGGCTCTCGATGAGTTGGTTGCGTTCCTTGTTGGTGAGATGAATGGCCTCGCCAGTGCTTCCCAGGATGACAAGACCACGGACACCGCCCTTGACGAGGAAGAGCGAGTGCTTGGTCTGAGTTTCGAGATCCAGAGGGTTGTTGACAGGGTCATAGTTGGATGCGGATTGGGATGCGAAGAAAGTGGGGACCTGCCATGCTGTCAATGTCATGAAGCCTCGATTGGCGGGGTCAGAGAGGAAAACGTACGGGGACGTAGATGCCCGAAGGAGGGGGAGAGACCATTGTGAAGAATTTGGAGAGAAGTGTGTATTAGAATATGGAAACAGAGACAGCAGAATCGGGGAAGTCTTTTGTCATGAGCAAGAGGGGCAGGGCGGCCTTCTTATGATGTGACAGCCGCGAAGAAGCCCGAACCGAGTGGGCGCCCCACGTTCCCCAGAAGTTTCTCGCTGCTCGGGTCAGCTCTGCCCGACAAGAGTGGCCGCTCGACAAGAGAGCCGACGGATACACACCGAACACCCCGAACCCGACATGACTACGTCCAACCGTCGGCTGTTGAGCCCGTGGCTCGATATCAACTTCTCCCGGCGCCGCTTCTGCGCGCCAACTCCCACCGAACCCAACATCTCACTGCATTGCCACGAGTAGGCTCAAAACATCAATCATGTCACCCACACGCGCCATCCTTGACAGCCACATCCACCTCTGGCCTGCCTCAGCTGCAGATGAGAACGGTCACGCATGGATGAACGATCCTGATTTCATCCTCTCAAAACAACACATCCTCTCCGACTACACAACCGCATCATCCCCATGTCCTCCCGCTGGCGTCATTTACGTCGAAACGGATCGTCGATTGCAGGATCCATCTTCGGCTCCACTCGAGACTTGGGCTGCTGAGACTATCAAAGAACTGCAGTTTCTACGCACCATTGTCGAGGGTGAATACGGTGCCGAAGCCTCGAATCTGCTACAGGGCATTGTGGCATGGGCTCCCGTGAACCAAGGTCCAAAAGTGTTTCAACAATGGCTGGACGTGGCCGAAAAGACCACCGGTCCTCGGACTTGGGAACGCGTAAAGGGTTTCCGGTTTTTATTGCAAGCCATCAGGGATAGAGCCGAGTTCGAGGACTTGGTATTGAGTGACGACTTCATCGCCATCTTGAGGTCATTCTCACACCGAGACAAGAAATTCACTTTCGATGTCGGAATCGACCAATGCAGCGGCGGCACCTGGCAACTGGAAAGCTTCACAAAAGTCTTGGAGAAACTCTACGACGCCGTACCGGAAGACAAGAGAACAACGTTGGTCTTGAGTAAGAGTCTATCCTTTCTTTGGCGCATACGACATGACTAACAACTAACCCACAGACCACATGTGCAAACCAGAATATACATCTACATCCTCCGACCCCTTTTCACGGTGGAAAAACTGTATCGAGACATTTGCTTCTTACCCTCGAGTCTATATGAAACTGTCAGGCGCCTTTTCCGAACTCAGCAAAGATGCCTCTCCAGTCGACACTGCAGATCCCAAGGAGTTGGCAACCAGAATACAGCCATGGACGGATGTCGTCTTTGATGCATTCGGCCCGCAGAGGATCATGTTTGGAAGTGACTGGCCTGTATGTAACGTCAAAGGACCGAAAGAAGAGGGAAGCTGGCCTGTTTGGACAAACGTTGTAGAAGAAGTGTTGACCCGAAGGAACTGTACGGAACAAGAAAAGGAAAGAGTATGGAGTGGAACAGCCAAAGAGGCATACGCCCTGTGAACAGAACCGTCAACTAGGGACGAGCAGAAGATATCACACGCCATTGAGTCAAGACATGAGATTATAGACAGAGTATTGCGGTAGAATTCGAGATCGAGAAGATGGTAGGATATAAGAACAAGACAAAAAGCGTCAATCAAGATGATTCGAAACCAAAAACGCGGATTTCCCACTGTTTGCCGCTCCCTTACGCCGAGTCATGCGTGATCCATCTGCAAGAATAGATACAAGAAGGTGAAGAAATTCCGCTGTCGTAACATCGTGAAAGAAAGGGAAAGAGAAATTATACGCTCCAATGCAATATTTGCACAAAAATTAGTCGCCTGGATGGTTTAAGCTTTGTCGGTAGCTTTTGATGGCACCATAGATCAACGATTAATGGGTTTGACCCGTGTCCACAGATATTCTCATCTGTTTAGGACGCATGGACACCCTCTCTGGTTTCGTCCGGAGTAGGGGGTAGAGAGTGGAAAGCTCCGGGCATGTCGAGAGAGTCTTTGCTCTCATTTCTTCTGTGCTGTTCCAGAATATGGCCCCAAGGATTCCGCTCTTCGCCGGGACTGGGAGACGGATCTCCGACACCAGGACTTTCGGCGCTCAGCTTGTTGGGGCTGGAAGGCGCACTCCAGTCAGGCTTATTCGTCTTGAGAGGAGATTCCCCAGGACTCGAAAGCTCAGTAGAGGAAGGACGCTGAGCTCCGGGCTCGGCATTGATGACTATCGGACCCTTGCCGCGGTTGGGGTTGCGAGGAGGAAGTTTGGGCGTAATGCGCTTCGGGACTTCTACAAGACGAGCACGAGAGATGAATTGAGGAGCGGTGGCTTTCTGAACCGAGTGCACGACAGGTTCTTCGATGACAGCTTCGTCAGCAGTGTCGTCACCGTCGCCGTCGCCGTCGCCGTCGACATCAAAGCTTTCCTCTGCAATGTCCTTGTGTTCAGGCTTTGCAGGAGTGGCTTGCTGTGGTGGAGAGTCGGAGCGTGAATCGCTGCCGCTGTCAGTGCGGCGATGTGATGAACGGAATGAGGAACGCCTTGGACTCGAACGAGTTGAGCGCGAACTCGGGTTGCGATCGATTTTAGGACGGGATTCGGAGATAACGGTGCTGTCCTCGGCGATTTCGTGAAGACTGCTTTGGCGACTGCGGAAGCTTCCCACGCGCGGGCTGATGGGTTCGGGGAAATCGGTTTGTGTGCACATGTCTGACATGGATCGTGTGACGCTTATGCGTTTAGCTGGCTCCACTGCTGTGCTGGCAGTCGAAATAGCAGTCTGTGACAGATTGGATGTCTTCCAAGTCGAGTTGCTACTGCTGCGATTGCGATTGCCATTCTTCTCCAAGCTCTGTCGGCTGAAAGTGTTGAAGATGGGGCTGGTGGGAGCAGGCTGGAAATTGAACTGTTCCCAACTGGCGCGTTTTTGTGTTCCGGCTTCGCGAATGCTCATTCCTTCTTTTTCGAGTGCCAGAACACCGTACGGGTCGGGATCCTCTCTGTCTGGGATGCCGAAGAAGTGGTCGGGATTGTTGACGTCCAAGTCACTAGGCGGCGGGGCTGACGGAAGCAAAGACTGATCGACGTTGCTATCGCCTTGAGCAGCCTTGATGGTTTCGAGCAGAGGGCGGCACTCGAGAGGTGGATGGCGTATCCTGCCAGCTAGAATGTCGCCGACAGAAATCTTTTCCTTGTAAAAGCGCTCGTTCTCGTCAGTCCTCTCAATGACGACTGTACCGTCAATCTGGACGCCAGCATAGAAACCACGCGACTTGAGATAGGTGAATATAGGTGCTTGTCTCTTATGGATTTCGGTCTCAAGCATGCCACCGGCTCCTACAGGGCCAGCGACAGCACTGACTTCTCCTCCCAAGGTGCACCTAATCTTTGAGAAAGCGTCCAAGGCCTTTTGGGAGTTGATGACGACTACGCAATCGTAGATGTCGACGCCGACCAGAAAGCCGAGGCCGGCAGTGTGCAGCATGATGCCCGAAGGCGGCGACCAGGAGCCGTCGGGGGTCCTGGCTACCAAGACGCCGGAACCGCCGGCACCAGAGACCCATAGTCCAGTGCGCATTGTTGTGAAGATGGCGAGGCCTTTTGCATTCTTGATGACCTGTGTTGTGTTATTAAGGAGTTCAGAGGATGGATTGGGAGATGGGTGGACGCACTTCTGGTGGAATGTGTTTGAGGACCTTTTGCTTTGCCGTGGGGCCGTCGGTAGTGGCGGTTGTCGCTTCTTCTTGGTAGAAGCCATCTTCTGGACGGGGGGTTAGCGAAGGTGTAGGGCGAGCGACAGGTGGTGGTGTAGGAAGGGTGCAGGAAGAGTGGTGGATGGTGGTGACGAGTGGTACACAGTGTCCAATGGGCAACGGGTGACAGGGTGGTGGAGGACGTACTGCAGAAACTGCGCAGGATGCGAGCGGCCTTGTCGCTTTCCTTGTCGAGGGTGGTGGGCCAGAAGGCTTCGGAGCCCAGCTTGTTGCTCAGCTTGTTTACAGGAGCGCCGAGTTTGTCGACGAGTGTCCAGGCCTTGTCGAAGCCGACCTTGCCTCCGCCGCTCACTCGCGACCACCAGCTGCTTTGTTGGCCCGTCATGTCGAGGGCCAGGGACGCATCAATCTCCGATCGGCGTGTGTCGTGGGCGGGCGTTCATGTCCAGCGCCAGAGTGAAAGCGTGGGAACTGCAAGACAAGGGAGAGAGACGCGATAAGTCTTGCGGCTGGAAAACGATGACTTGGACTTGGTTCCTCGTTCATGACCGTTTCGTCATGCACATGCACAGACCCGCAACTCTCTCGCACTCCTCCAAGCTCCTCTTCCGCCGCCTCCCACTCTTCCAACTTCCACCCTCGCGCCTTCTTGCTCATACAAACTCCGACCTGCCAAGACGCTGATCCCTGCTTTCCCACCACACGCAATCTTCTTCTTCTGCATCTGCTCCTGTTGTCTTGTTGTCGCTTTGCCAGCTAAACTTTGCCTTTCTGACTCCAATCTGGCCGTCCGCACGCCTAATCTGCACCCACAACGGTTTGCTGGCGTCGCTGCTTATGCTGCCTCGTGCCTATCCCCCCCTCCTGGGCTGAGACATTCGCTCGTATCATCCACCGGATCCCCAATACTCAATAGTCTTGCCCTTCGTCCATTGTCATTCAGCTCCATGCGCTCCACTCTCGCCCTCTACTTCAGCTTCACTCGTCCAGGTGCCCTGCCTCTCATCTCACAAAGCTTCAACGCTTATTTAACCTTCGGTCCGAGCCTTGAGCTGTTGTGACCCCTATCCAACCTACCTATCCACATCTGTCAGCTTCGCCTGACAGAAACTCTCATCTCGTTTTCCTTCTTTTCATGTTATGCTTTGTTCGCTGTCATCATAGCTGTGAGAACCGCATCATGTCTCAGATGGCCGCTGAAAGCGGCTCTTCTCCATACAATATATCCTCGCCAACGGCTGAGATTCGTCCCAGTCGAGCCGCTCCTTCACATCTTCTTGGCTGGTTGGCAGTTGATCGGCATACAACAGCCGCCAAGCACTATACTTTTCTAACCTCGAATTTGCCTTGTATACAAACATTGTCTGCGTACACACCCGACTAAACATGGTAGTCTCTCGGGCTTGTATGTTTGACAATGCAGTCTGAGAGCTTGCATATCGCGAATAACCGTCGTCGCTGCTTACGACCCACATGGCGAAAAGCGGCATAGCAGTCACCCAGGACACGACCGATCGATCGTACAATCTTCTGTCCCGCAGCAGCATCTGAAAGGAATTTGAAATATGGACCTCGATGGCATGTGGCTCTGTCATTGTTTGATATTTTTTAAGATCAGAGTGTCCCAGGCATGGTGCCTTCGCCGTTGACCAGGCCGATAGAACGTCTTCAACCTCGAATCGTTCTCATATCGCTTATCCAGAAGTCTCAGACAAGTCTTGATTGTATGCAGGTGTCGGCGCTTAGCAAAAGGCAACGATTGGCTATGCATCAGCCTTGAAACGTGGCAGAGAGATCTACACCTCAGGCGGCTAACGCTCTAGAATAAAAGAACCGACCAAGCCTTCGAACACGTCTTCGCGACCGCGAGAGATTCGTGTTCTTGGTGAAGAAAGCAGCGTCACAGAGCTCAAAAGGTTATGCAGGTGCTATGCAATAGAGTGACTCTGTACGGAGTAAGTGTTGGAAAATGAGGGGTTGCCCCATTTGCCGACGATGGCAAGTCTCAGGTATATCCGTATGCTCTTCGTCTTTCTGTTCATCTTCTTGTGGCCCTCTCTCTCATTGCATTGATCAACTGCCGTCAAAAAGCACCATAATCTCCATCGTCCTCAGAAAATCATGGACCCTAGCAGCAAGAGTATCTCGGGCACAACATTGACCAGCAGACCTTCCTTCGCCTTTCCAACCCCGTCTTCCAACACTTCGGCACCACAGCTGCTGTTTGGCGAAATCGATAGCTCCTGCGGCCAGTGTAAGGGATCAACATCCCCCAATTTAAGTCACGGTTCTGACCTTGGACTGCGTAGCATTCAGGAGTGCAAGATCGACATGCAGTCTCATACTTTGTCCTAACCCTTCTTTCCTTGAATTTTGGAACACGGAGAAGTGTCGAGGAAAGCTAGCTCATTTTCTCGCACGCTCAGATCTTCTGACACTGCGTCTTGTATGTCACGGGATCAGCGAGCGAGTCACCGATCAGTCCTTTTCTTCCGTCGACATTACATCTCGAACCAGAACATTCAGCAGACCAGCCAGGCTTGCCGCTCTGCAGAGAATAGGGCATCACATGAAGGAAGTCACATTTCATCTACCTAAGAGTATGGATACGACACTGCCACCCCTGATTGACCCTTGGACTGGTGAGCAAAAGGAATTTGCTTGGAAGCCCAGTGCGGCTCAGAGTCGTGATGCTGGAACATCGACCAAGCAACCGAGATACGGCGACACAGAGATCACAGAGTTGCTGACTCGACAATACCCACCGCTTTTCCACGCCGCCACAAACGTGCAGTCCTTCGTCGACGCAATGTCTTGTTTGATCAATCTACAGCATCTGGAAAACTCTCGTCGTGCAGAAGATGAAGCGATATCGCACCGAGTACAAGGTGTAGACATCATGCAGGTTGCATTGAGATCTCTTCTCTACGCGGTCGAGCGAGCCGGACTCAAGCATCTGCATACAGTAACACTTTCCAACATCTGGCAGACCGACATTATCGCCCTGTCATCTTTAACAATGTGCGCGAATCCTAGCTCCGCAAAACGGTGGTCCAATGTTCACGTACTGGATCTCAGCATGTCCTCGGCATCCAACTCATCCCTCAAGACCGATCAGCTCAAACTCCTCCGCGAGTACATTCGTGGCTATAAAGGATTACGTCGGCTTACCTTCCGATGGATCGGCGCAAGGGGTCCTTCGCCACTACCCGAGCTGGTTTTGGAGCAGAAGCACCTTCATCCCGCACTCAGAGAGGCATCGCCTTCATCATCTGCAGCACTGTTTCCACACCTCGAACACTTGACGCTGAACAACGCATCCATCTCCGCTCTCCAGATACAACGATTGATACAGACGCACAAGAGCACACTCCTGGAAATCAATCTCGAGAACGTCGTTCTCAGAGACGGAAACTGGCGCGATGCAATGGGAAATATGCACGGTGTGGAGGTCAAAACCACTTCGCCTTGTTTCAAAGAAGAAGGAGACGTACCGATAATGCTCGCACCCAGCATGCTTCCGCGTCACTCGCAGCCAAGAGCACCGAACGCGGAACGCAAAGGCCAGACCAGCGAAGCCACTGACCGGACAAGGAGAATGCTGCTCGCCGACGAGTTAAGACAGCGCGAGTCGTCTGGCCATCGGACACAAAAACCCAATGGCAGGGATCGGAAGAGGAAGAAAGCCAAGAACACAACAGCATCGCCAGTCCAGCAGTTGAAGAAAAAGTGTGGTGATTTGTTAGGATGGAGGAGGAATGGGCCGACGCTGGTTGTCGGCTGACTTTCTTGAATCTCGTTTACACTTGCAAATTAGCATCTCTGGTTACGGACACATATTGCTTGAAGGTCTGTGATTATCCATAGCAATATGACGCAGTATCAAGACCGCAGTCCTGACGAGAGAAGAACAAAAGTATGTACAGTGTATAGAAGCTCCTCTACCATAAACGCCTTCGCTCAATTAATATTACCCTCTGAAGTCTTCTCAATCGGCTTTGATAGCACCGTAGATCCTACGGACAAAGGTATAAGCAGTCAGGAATCCAATGGTTCCTGTCAAAAGAGCGTAAACGGCACACGCTAGGCCCGAGTATGCGAAGAAGAGCAAAGACGACACGAAGCCGTGGATGTGCAGATGGTTGAAGTAGTAGTAAACGCAGTAGGCGAAGATCCACACGCTGCTCGAGGCACCGACCATAAAACTGTGCCACCACCAATGATAGTTCTGTGATTGTGATTAGTTTTGGAACAGGCGTATGACAAGAACGGATGATTACCTCAGAACATAGCTGGACGTATACAGCTATAACTGTAACCTCCATCACTACTGCAACAAGCATGACTGCCACAACAGCTAGGAAACCGAAAACGTAATAGTAGCCACTCTTGTCTTGCCAGATGCTCTTGAAGACGAACATGAGCTCGATAGCCACAACGAAGAATGCTGGCAATCCTGCTAGGAGAATGCTCTGCCAGCCACGGACGTACCAGCTCTGTTGGGGGATTTGACGAGGAATGGTGCTTGCTCTGATGGGGTGAGACCAAGCTCCAACGCGCACATATCCATACCAGGAGCCAATATAGACGAGCGGGAGTTGGATGAGAAGCCAAAGTGCGACAAGACCGACAAGTGTTCCGAATGGCAGAGCAGTGCTGGATGCCTGTGCCCAGACAAAGAGGTTAAGAATGAATACGATAGTGAAAACAAGACCCGGGAAGAGAGTGGCAGTAACGAGACAGTTTCTCTGCCAGACTTGACCGTTCAGTGTTTTGTACACTCGAGCCGAGAAGTAACCAGAAACGAGCCCGGCGAGAACGAAGAGGGCGACGGCGACGCTGACAAAGCCGCCTCTGAAGGAAGGGTTGAGTATGCCGAAGCAGGAAAGGATGATCAGACCAGCGACAACAAAGACCAGCTGGGTTCCAGAGCCAACAAGAGCAGCCAAAACACCACCGTATGCAGGGGTGCGGAAGACGTCTGCATGAACCAATTTCCAGCCAGTGAGGTCTTCTACAGTCTCATCGTCGGACGCGATGTCGTTGTCAGCATCGCCTTGGTCGAGCAGTCCCCCAGTCTTCTCGTCGGGCTTACGAGGCGAGCGGGTACCAGTCCTACCGCGGATGATTCTGAGCTTACCGTCTTCAACATTGGCAGGCTTTAGGTCACCACGGATGGTGCGTGCGAAGATGACTGCGACAACAGCGGTGAGCAGTCCAGAGATGATGATCGAGTTGGCAATAGCGAACCAGTGGGTGCCGGTAGCGTCATTCTGGTCGGCGAAGAACAGACTCCAGCGGTTCTGCCACTCGATGTGTGGTTCTTCTCGGAAGTAGACCGAGTAAGTGTATGGGATAGTGAGAGTGGCATCCTCGTCAACGTCGTCGACGGTAGCTGGGTGGTAGGTCGAGTCGGAGGAATAGTAAGCAGCGGCGGCGGCGGCAGTGCCATTTTTGCGCATGGTCAGTTCCATGCCGTTGCTGACATCGGTAATGGAAGCGGGTATGCCCTGTGCGTCTCTGTTGCCAGATTCAATGCTCTTTGCGTAGACCTCGAAGCCAACTATGACCTTCTTGCCTTGTTGACCGTCTCTTCCAGGAGCCACGTGGTAGCGCATAACAAGAGTGACGTGGTTGTTGATGAAGTAGCGAGGGCGGCCGGTAGTGGGGTCTTCGTCTTGGAAACCCATCTTGAAGCCTGAGGCGTAGTATTTGCGAGTCTTGTCGGCCGACACAAAGTTGGTTGCGCCCGGCAAATTGTCGACGACCCATTCGGCCACGTAGTTGTCCTTGACGATTTCTTGGGCCTTGCGTAGCCCTGCCCTGTCGACCTTGTGGCTGCAGAGGTAGTGGGCCTCATCGTCTTTTCCCATCTCCAGTTCATAGTCGCTGACGACGATTCGATCGCCTCGGAGCACCTCACCCAGGTTTAAGGCGATGCTCGATCCAGAGATAAGACCACCAGCTCGTCGACGTCCACTGGGTGGGCATATGAAGGGGAGTTCGGCGTAGGCATATTGTATTTGTGTCTTGTCCGAGTAGACCTTGTTGACGAACAACGGTATCACATCGCCGTCGCTGTAGCTTTTGATTGACCACCCTGTATCGTGTCAGCGTACGTCGACTGATCTCGAGATGGGTCGCATACCGGGAATATAGAAGGCCTGTGCAAAGGAGACCAGACAAAAGAAAGTAGCCCAAAGGCTGCTGCTTGCCAGTAGTAGGGCAGCCATGTGTGTGTGTGTATGTGTACAGTATTAGGGTGAGTAGATGAAGAATTAGACTATTCTTGACAGCCGACGGTTCGTAACGAGAAAGCAGACATGGACTGAAGCTTTTCTCTCGCCTCGGCCAACAGAAGGTTGAACAAGCAGATGTTGAAAGTTGTTCCTGGCCCGCAAACGAGGGTAATCGACACTAGTCTCACAATACGCGTGTCAGGATGAGGACCAAGAGCGGCGAAGGTTGTGCTGTCGGTGGGAGCAAAAGTCAAAACAAAGCGGTCGGAGAAAGAGGTTGAAAGGCGAAACGAGAGAATGGACGAGCAGAAGAAGGCGCGATGGGGAAAATGCGAGCCCTCGATGCAGAGCAAGCTCCTCTTTCTAAAAATGCATGCGCGCTGCTGCGTAAGATAGGGAAAGCTTGACCCGCCAATTCACGCTCGACCCCAGCTTTGGACACACACACGGCCCTCGACTGACTCCACACAGCCCTCAACCTGACTCGCCCAACACTCAAAAGCCCGATCATCTGAAACGTCTCTCCTCGTTCTTGAATTGCGCAAGCCATTGTCCTGTGCTGCGCCTGTCTGACTCTTGTCATCCATGAAGCTCCGTCCCGTTTAGATCGTGAATTATAGCTCAGGCTTCCCATCGAGGGATGTGTGCAGCTCCAGGTGGCTCAACCCGTCTGTCGTTCGTATCACCATCCCGAGCACCTGAGACCTTATTGAACAACCTAGTCATCCTTTCGCCGAATCAAGCCCTGATCGCGCTGCATCCATTGAATCCGATCGCACAACGTTTTGATATTCGCCTTTACGCCAACCACTTGGTCGACCATTATCAGGACGTACAATTCGTCTGTCGCATGCAGGAGAGACGGTACAGCGATTGGCCGCTTCTGCATGTCATGTGAATCTCACAGGATCATCCCACACACCGGCTGATTTTAGTCTGCTTGCCTGTTGTATCCGTAATCAACCGACTTAATTTGTGACTTATGTCTTCCTTCCTGTGATTACGCTGTTGGGGTGCTTGGCGCTTGACAGAAGCATGCGGCTGACAACAACAAGAGGCACGTTAAGCTATTGTGCTTGCTCGGCTTGCATCAAATGCAGCTTGACTCTTTAAAGGTCGGTCGTAAGCACATAGTTCTTGTGACCCAAGAACAAAAGTTGAATCGCACCAGATCTTGTCAAGATCCAACACGTATTGCAGCAGGGATTTTAGCTGGTTGATGTTGTGATTTTCCAGACCCTTACCTAGCGGAAAGGCCTTTGTCTAGAATTTTCTCAAGTTTGGCGCCAAGATCTGCGTATGCCACTGTACCGTCAGTCTCATTCGCAGCTGTAGCAGCCTCCCTGTAAAGAGTCTCCATGTCTTCTCTCTCCACCCGGACCATCCATCCGTTCGAGGTGATCATGGTACGGCTTTGTCCTTGACTCTCAAGAAGCAGTCCCGAGGCTCTGACCAGTCCCTCAACCCACTCGCGCCCTACATTGCCCCCGATTCGTCTTGCAACATCCTCCAGATCAACGACCTGTCTAGTCTCAAGTTCTTCTCTTGCGAGTTGCACAGCCCTCTCTCGTCTCTGAAGTTCTGCTTCTCTCGCCTTCTCTTCTTTCAACCTCTTTCCCTCCCTCTCCTTCGCCCGCTTAGCCTCAAACTCAGCTTCCTTTGCTGCACGTCTAGCCCTTTCGGCTGCAAGCTGTGCTTCACGTTCCTCTGCTCCCTCTGCATCTCTGGCACGTTGAGCCTCTCCCTGAGAGCGCATAAATTCGTGATAGGCACGGCGTTGGTCACGACGTTGTAGAGACTTTGCTTTCTTGGCACCAACTGTGCGATTGGTGTTACTGCCTGGAGGTGCTTGAGGACGTGGATTAACGGGACCAGGCTCTCCATCGTCATCGTCTTGAGGCAGTCCTGCAGGACCAGCAAAGTCGTTGAAGGGAGCATCCGGTTGTTCTTGCTCATCTGCCTCGGCATCCTCGATGAAAGGTCGTGGTGGAGGAATCGCTTCTGGTTGATCCTGCTCCGGAATTTGATCTTCGTCGTGAGCAATTTGTTGCTCAGATTGATCCTCTGCTTGATTGTGTTGTGACTGCCGTTGTTCCTGGATGTAGGCCTGGATCTGAGGCGCATAATACAATGCCGTGCATAAGGCGGCCAGATGCAGTAGATCCTGGTACAAGGGTGTGCCGGGAGTCGCGAAAGGCAGCAGAATGTTCAAGCCGCGTTGAATGAGAGAAAAAGGGTTCACCATAGTGCCGAATGCTCGAATCGACACAGGTTGATCTGAAGTTCGAGTTTGTCCTTGCCAACCAAGATGAAATTTGGTGTGTTGATAAAGTGGTTGTGAGGAGCTGTTGCAAATCTTCCTCCGGTCTGCACAATGAACGACAGCAGGAGGTTACCACCGGAATCGATTTCGTTACGTGTCGTTATTGAGTGTTGTAAATTGATGTCACAGAGTGGTATTTTCAATTCTTATCCTCCAAGTGGTTTGCGCGAAACAAGCATGGTCGAATGGCGTGTTCACTCGAAGACAATTTGTTGCTTGGCATCGAACGTCATGATCGCACGGATGCCTACCGGCAATCGTTTGCATCGAGGACCCTGGACATGCCTCGGACAGCTGCAGTGATGTGCATCGACTCAGAGTTGTACTCATGCCACTCGTTTCACGTAATACAAAAGTCTGGGAATCTTTCCGAACGAGACGCGTTGGATGATTTGTGCAGAGAAGACAGAAGGTATATTGGATGCAACACGCTACATGATAATCGAAGACAAAGTGCTGGAGATTACTTTATGATCTCGAAGCAACAACACCCTTTTCGAGCGCAACAATACTCTCTCGGACTTGAGGGCAGAAATGCTTCCTCAACAGCTCTCCTTCCCATACTGTCGTTGCGAAAGGGTTGCTTCCTTCCACTTCCTCCTTTAGGGGATTGAAGACGCCGTCTCCCTTTCTCTCTTCTGTGTACCATAACGCTGCGATCTTCTTGCCCTGCACCTTGGCCACTTGTTGCAACAGACCCATCATGGCTAGACATGATTTTTCAGGTAGTTGCAAGGAAATTGTGAGGAGTTGTTTGGCAAATGCAGCCAGACGGAGCGGAGGAACGGAACGAAGATTTTGTGGCGGGAGTAGGACCGACGACAAAGAACGGAGAAGTAGTACAGTTGTCGTCTGGACATTGATCTTGTGCTTAGCCTGTTGAGGGAGGAGAGCTTCGTCGTCATTGCCATCTGGATCTCTCAAACGCAGCGATTTAGCGCTTAATTCCAGATCTGGGTTCATGGAAGACGGCAATAGTGTCTTGTAGAGGTGGGTGATGAAGAACTCGAGATCCAGATGTAATGATCCGACGCTCTTGACCACATCTTGACCTTGGAGAAGGGCGAATGCTGTGATGATGCAAAGAAGAGACTCGCGGTTGATGTTTCTCGGGGCGGTAGCAGCTTCTTCATCCTCCTCAGCAAATGCTTGCTCAGCAGCTTCGGTGGAGATGACGAGTTCGCGGAGGGCTTCCAGGATGTCACCAAAGAAGTCCTGGTTGATAAGGTGGGCATAGCGAGCCAGGCCTTCCAGCACAGCGCCCATGAGTTGAGGTACTCGTTGCTTCAAGACTCGGAAGTAGGCAACGAACACCAACTTCAGCATCTCTGACTGGTTCTTGTCGCGTTCTTCATGTGAAACTGTAGCATCGGCTTCTCTGAACTCCTTTTCCACACCCTTGACTTCACGTAGACGTTTTCTCTCCTTTTTGGTTCTGAACTCCCGCTTTTGCTTTTGCTTCACAGCCGGTTCGTCCTCACTCTTGTCAGTACGGGTACTGCTGCTTCTGTGTGCAAATTCGGAGAGGAGTCGCAAGTGCAGGAAAGTGTTCAACACGGATTCGTGAATGTTGTAGCTTCGCGATTTCATCATCTTGCACAGCAGATCGACAGCCTCGCGGGATGCGTTTCCATCCTCGTCGTCACGGAACAACGTCTCCAAGCATTCGATAGATTTGTGGAAGTCCGAATTGACCTGTCTGATACTAAGTCTGCCGACCAAGATGTTGATGAGATCGCCACGGAAGTTGAAGTGAGGAACGGTGTTAAGAAGAGTGCAGGCGCAAGAGATGGCAACAGTAGCGACGGACGCAGCCTCCTTGTTCTTGTCACCACTCTTCTTGGCAGCTCTTGTCAAAGATCTGACGTATTCATGGTATCCACCAACAAGCATTTGTTCAAAGTTGCGCAACTTGCGTACGTCCTTGGATAGCTTCTGCTTCAACTCTTCCTTGGAAACGGGCCGAATGCGGTAGCCGGGGATGATGTCGCGGTAGATGGCAAGTTGGGTGGCCATGCACAGTTTGACGACAGTCCTGTTCTGGGAGGTTGCGTGGACTTGCAGCTTCTTGAGCTGGCCAATGTGTTCTTCCGGGTCCTCGGAGATCAAGCTGGCAACGCGCGCAAGATCCTCCTTGGCCTGGAGAATCTGCTCGCGCGGCGAGATTTGTGGTACTTCTGGCTCGTCATCCTCCTCTTCTTCATCATCATCGTCGTCAACAGCCTCAGCCTCGTCGCCGCTTCCCAGGAAACTGTCAGCGTCGTCCTCTTTCTGCTCGACCACAGCAGGAGCCTGCTCAACCCAGCCTTCCGATGTCTTGATAGGCAGCCTTGTCTCGTCCTTCTTCTTCTTCAGGTTGCGTGGTCGGTTTTCATAGTCCTGTTCTAGATGCCATCCAGCAGCGTTACGGTAGAAATCCTCGATCTTTTCCTCAGAAGAAAGGCCATTCTGAGTGGTGGCAGGAGGCGACTCGACCTCCGGACTGATACGACGTCTCTTTGCAATGGGAGCCATTTCCGTATATGTTTTGGCTGGGTGGTGTATCGTCGAAGGGGTAAGAATCAGCAAGGGAAGAAAAAAGATAGGCAGCTCCGCCAAGCATGCGGTGCAGGCCAATAAGAGGGCTGCATTTGCGGCCAAAAGCAAACCCCCGAGACGCCGTCTCCGCAACTTTGGGGAAGCATCCGAGGATTCTTTTTTCTGCCTCGCTCCTTCTTCGTATTCATAACCAGACATTGTCATTTGACCCACACACTTCGCGCTCATCTCAAATCCAGTCGCCTTTCGTTCGCCGTTCCGTTGTACCTCGAACCTTCTTCGCGCCAGCTGCCAGAGTCAATCTCCCCAACACCGCAAACATGCGTCCTCTTACAGAAGGAGAATCCAAGACGGTCTTCGAAAAGCTGGCCAACTACACCGGAAAGTCGCTGACCAACCTCTTGACCGATACGGCCCCCGGAAAGGATGGAAAGGCTTCGAGATTTGTCTTCCGCGTCCAGGAATCAAGAGTCTACTACGTGCGCGAGGATATGGCAAACCTGGCCACCTCGGTAGCCAGAGACAACCTGCTGTGTCTGGGAAACTGCATCGGCAAGTTGACCAAGACTGGCAAGTTCCGCCTCCACATCACCGCTCTGGACATCATCGCCCCTCATGCTCGCGCAAAGATCTGGGTCAAGCCCAACGGAGAGATGCCCTTCCTGTACGGTGGTCACATTGTCAAGGCTCACGTCGGACGTTGGAGCGAGGACTGCCCTGAGCACCAGGGTATCATCGTCTACTCGATGAACGAGTATGTCATGCACTTCTGCCATATGCACCCAACAACACACGCTAACCTGCTTCAGCACTCCTCTTGGTTTTGGTGTTACCGCCCGCTCCTCGGCCGAGGCAAAACGCCTGGACCCCACAGGCATTGTCGTCTTCAGACAAGCCGATTGCGGCGAGTACCTCAGAGAAGAAGACACCCTCTTCCAGTCCTGAAAGCCTTGATATCTTTCACGTCACCCTCACATATCTTGCCACGAACCGCCACCTACCCGCGCCCGGAGGAGCTGCTACAAATGTCGCATTGGAGATACCCGTTGATCGTTCCGGGATAGCAGGAGTTACAGGAGTTGAACACTATTCATTGGGCTTATTCCAAGTGGAAATCGTGCGGCCAGAACAAAAGGTTCGTTTATTAACGAGAATCAAGCCGAATGCTTGCGTATACCATCAAGCCGTCTATTCTGTCCACTGATCCACTCAATTCTACTGTAAACCCCATTTGTGATCGTGTCACTCACAATGGCCGTAGTTTCTTCGTATAGAGTAATCACCGAAATGATCAGGTGGGCTCATACATGACAATCAGAAAACCTCCCACACTACAGCTTGAGAAGTCATATGGATCTGTTCGGAAAAGCATTAGGCTTAGATGAAGGCTCATATCTTCTGTTTCTTCTTGGGTGGGGTAATCGTGATCGCTTTGTTCGTTCTGGGTCGTTTGTTGTTCTTAGACCGCTCGGTAGACTCTGACTCTGACTCTGATTCCGATTCTTCAGCTCCAAACATCTGGCCTACTCTGTGTCTGAATTTCTCAGGCTGCCATTTGAGTTCGCATTCTTCGGGGATATCTAAGTCCAGTTCTCGATAACGTGTGGCCAAATTCCGATCCTCGAAATCGTCAAGGAACCACAATCTACCAGCGGCTGCACGCCGCTGGATGCTTGCTTTCATGAACCTCTTGTGGTCCTCAGTAAGAGGACCCATGTCGTCGTACTGTTCCTGGACCCAGTCTTCGGTGCCCCAAGCGTCCATTCGTTCATTGTGGACAGGAGAAATCGAATTTATCATGTCCAGAAGTTCAGTAGGTGTCGGCCTGGATTCGGGATCAAATCGTTGACATTACCATACTAGGTCAATGAGATCTTCACTGTAGAGAAAGTCAGGGTCGTTTGGATGATCTGGAGGGTCAGTTTGAATTTTTGACTCTTTGTCGCTGTCAGGATCATCCCAGTCACAGTCATCCACCTCTTCCGTTCGCATCATGACTTCTATGGTTCGCCCGAGTTGCCACACGTTCGTCCATGAGTACCAGGGTGTGAATTCTTCTTCTCCGTCTTCTTCCTGTTCGGATTCATCCTCTCCGTCTTTGTCTCCTTCGTTTCTGGCTTCTTTATCTCCGAACTCATTGTCCCCGGAGTCTTCCTTTCCGGCTCCTTCGTTTCCGGCTCCGACGTACAATTTCCCATGTTCAACAGACTCCTCCCAGACGTCCATCTCGTCATAGGGTACCATGTCTGGGACTTCAACATGCATATTCTCATCTTCCTCAGATGACGACTCGTCAAGATCCTGATGATGTATGGATACCTCATCTCCATCTTCCTCGTCTCCATCTCCCTCACCTTCGTCTCCTTCGTCTCCTTCGTCTCCATCTCCATCGCTTGCCTTTGTAATTGCGTAAGCTCCTAAGTTGCCCAAATTATGGGGGGCAGGCAGTCCTCCCTTTTCTTCGGCTGATTTCGAGTCGTCAAGATCATGATGATGGGTGGCTCCCTCGTCTCCATCTTCATCGCTTGCCTTTGTAACTTTGTAAGCTCCCAAGTTGCCCAAATTATGGGGGGCAGGCAGTGCCCCTTCTTCTTCTTCTTCTTCTTCTTCTTCTTCTTCTTCTTCTTCTTCTTCTTCTTCTTCTTCTTCTTCTTCTTCTTCTTCTTCTTCTTCTTCTTCTTC